TATTTGACCTTGACCAAGGGGGCGGGCCCTCCGGATTTGGTTAGGTACGTGCTCATCGACGTTGCCTACAAGTCGATCCTGTGTTCGTGTTTTGAAATAGCATTACCGGGGCCTGAGGCACGGCTGAGCCTCGTTCCTTCGATGCGTCTTCGATGCTTCAGCCTAACCTTCTTCCATCTTCCAATCTTGCACTGCACGCTGCGGGGTGTCACTTTGCCTGTCATATTTCCACTAGTCTTGGTCCCCCAGCACATGCAGTGGGCCGACCTGGTTTCCAATTGTTGACTTGGCTACTCATCAGCTAGCCACCTAGATATTAGTACTATGTAAGGATGGATTTTTCTTTTTTTCTAAAACGTGCTGTGGCTTGCTAATAGTCAATAGCCCCAACCTGAAGTGCAGCCTGCATGATCCAACTGCTGTCTGTTCTCATTTCTCCATGCTTATCGACCTCGTGATCTTTTAATTTCTTTTTCTTATTATTGCCTCTTCTGGTTCAATAATTTAGCAGCGCAGGCATAGTTTACCAAGCGCGAGGTCAGCACCTCCTGCAAACGAGATACTTCTCTCGGTCTTCGTGCTCCGTGCTGTGTTATAGTCATTGGCGCGATAATGGCCCGTAGCAGTGGGCTCATCTTGCTGCTGCTATCACATCACGCCATTCTCATACTGTAAGGCTGTGCATCGCCTCATTGTCGTCTGACGTGTGATGTGGTTCGGAGGCTGTTCTTCCTGATTAGTTGCTTATGGAGTACCAGGAGGTATCATCAAGACCTTGGTTCCAATCGTAAGGATCAATGTAGAGGTCCACCGTGGGAATGACAGCGTCGGAGCTTTTGATCCGAGGATCGGATCTAACAAATACTGTTTCCTGCCCCCATTTCCCTCGAGGTTATTAACAAGGACAGATGGCGTCCTGCTTATTCCCTTTTCTTCTCCCTTTTCAAATACGGAATACATAACTACTTGTTCTTTTCGTTTGCTTTCGGTCCGAACCGACAAAACGCCACATCCGTACTCCGTATTCAAGCATACTAACTGAGACAAAGCAGTGCCCTGTGCGACGCGACAACACACACTCAGAAAGGCGACTGTCAACAAGGTGCCTTTTTCTTTTTTATGTCTTTACACGCCAACCCGCCCTTCCAAGTTTGGGGCATTGACCTTGGATCCTCAATCCGAGTGTTTACCAATACGAGCGTCCGTTTCAGGCTTTGTTTAGTATCATTTTAGATTCTGGGCACCCTGTACCCACTTCTGTTTTCCTTGAATCTGTCTTGGATCTCCAACTAAAAATAGCCCTTGTTTCTGGAATCCTTCGACGACCTAACCGACACGGCACACGAGAAGGATAGTATTTAGCTGTGGGCCAGCGGCAGTGCATACAATGCCAGGGTGCCAGGCCCCGGTTTCTTTCATTCCATTTTCAAAATTGGAAGCTGAGACGGAACTGGCGAAGGACCCCAATGAAGGCCTTAGGGGATATTAGGCTCCCTTGCGATCCATTGAGGCCCAAAACGTACAAGCAAGTCCAGCCGTCAGACTCTGCCTCGAAATGATAAGCTCTCGCTGTACCGACTGTTTGTTGACCTCAGACCAATGAATGTTCTGAGGGTATGTCTGCTTCATCGAAGCGTATTATTTTGGCCATGATTGGGTGTGTTGCCTTGACGTACAATGGCTCCATTGGAAGTCCCGTAAGCGTATCTGAATATGATGCAAGGAATGACGCGAGGAAATTCTCACTTGCGGCCTGGTTGCCTTACGGCCTTTTCGTTTGCCGCTTGCTCCACTTTTCATTGGCGAATCCTTCGTTGGTATCGCAAAGCTTCAATTAACCTGAAACCATCATCAACGAGCTTTACAGAGTGTCGTCGTTGGAGTGGTACGACGCAGTCGGCATTACTCCTTGTCATCATATTGATCCAATTCCAACAGATTCATAAAAGTGGTGTTGTTGTCATGGGTACATAGACCCATGTCGGACAACACGTCTTGTTGACTTGGAAAATATCCAGGAACCCCATGGGGGCCGTGAAGCTTCGGCCAGGGTCAATCCACAAAGTTTAGTTTCGGCCACAGCTCTGTGACTAATTTCCTTGCCTCTATTGAGTCAGGTAATTAGTACTACCACGAAATCAGGGTTCGACGTCACACAAAACGATCATCAGTCTGTTGTTTATTCGCTCGCCTCCAGTATATGTCTACTATTGGCAGGAAGGATGACAACATCAGCCCACGTTGGGCATTAATTAATATCTCTTCAAACAGAGTGCGTTAATAAACTCACAGGGGTGGTATGCGAATCTAGGTTTAGCATGAACTCTTTTATTGCTGTCATTACAAACGATACCCCTATTTTCCGGGTCTACAAACTCAATTTCCGCCTAACACTCACTAGCCAGGCAATGTTATTAAGGATTGGCGGGCAATGCATCCTGTGCCTGTCATGATCTCCTGTCTGCGGGTTCTGTGAATTGAATAAAGATATTGCGAGTCTGAGTTAATCTCTGGAGAGGACCTTGGTTTCACAACGGTGGCATGACTCGTATCGGTTCTCGGAAGCGTTTTATGCCAGACGATTTTGCGACGTGTAGTTGATCCCTGGTATCAGAAGACACGGCAAATCCGGTGCAAGAAAAATGCTCCGTGCATGTAACAGAATAACGGAAATATTGCCTGATGTCTCTAGTCGGAAGCAATGAATGCCGTTGGTGACATACAGTGACAGTAGGTCCGAGCAAATTATTTTCATCAATTCTGCATCTTACCTCTCATTGACAGGTACGTATTCTAGTCCCTCGAATAGACAGCAGTAGGTACTGGTGACCCTCCACATTGAGTCCGAAACACATGCTTTGCAAATGAACATGCCGTATATGATCGTAAGGCCTCCATCAAAGGTCTCCTAAGAAGAGACACATAGAACAGAAAAGTTCTCGGTATGGGAAGATTTCAGATTAGAAAGTCCTGCATGTACAGCTACATAGCAGGCGAGAGCTCTAGGTTGTCACCAGCACTACTCTACCAAAGGTCGAGCAGCGATTCAATCATCCCCAAGTGCTCAACGAATCAACACTCAAGCTAAGAGAGCCAATCTTCTGGGTACGATTGTTGAGAACTTGCGAAAGTGTCTTTAAACTTTGATAGCTGTGGCTGCCTGCTCATCTGAACATGTTGTTGTCCATTAACGCAAATCAACATCAGGGGTGGATAATCGCACGGCGATACAGATATCAAACCGTCAACGAATCAGTGGTTCTGAATAGACTAGCAAACAGGAAAAGGTCGGCGAAGACGTACGTCAACAGGACCATGCATTTCGATCGACTTGAACTCTATTCCCAGCTCTCCATCAAATCCGGGTACCACAGCTATGAAGCGGATTGGACAGTCAGGGAGGTATTGAACAGCGGAGATGTTGCCCGCGCTGCACTGAGAGCCACATCTGTCATGGAACAATGCTGGTGTTCTGTTCGCTTTTGCATATCTGTTTGGAGAACACCAGTCCCAAGCATGTTGGCAGATGTGGTTAATGCGAGCTTGTGAAATATCAAGGTGTTGATATGCTTAATATCCTCTGCAGCCTTAGTGACAGCCCCTTGGCTTAGGTGTGAGTCTGGGTATTCGACATGCCTTCGCACCTCTGAGGGTATCTTTCCAGTACTTCCTTGTATCTTCATGGGGCGACATTGGCAGGTAGGCGATATAGTCGTCGTAGAGGGGCACACTCTGTGGAGAAGCGTCGTCCAATAGCAAGACCTAGCTACTTCATGTGGCATCAAGGACTGCCTATCCTAACTCGAACTTGCAGAAAACTGGCCATGTGATGAGCTGGGCTCGAGTCCCAGTTTTATACTGGACGGAAGTTCCAGAGGCCTTGAATGGCGTCTGCTGTCACCGTGGTTAGGACGTAGCGTCTATCGGGGTTTCTTCCAGCACGATTTGGAGATACTTTCTGGGGTTGTGTGGGTCCCGAATAATGATGCTGCGGAGAGTTTTGCAAAGCTGGATGACCTTTTGCGAGCATTTAACCCACATGGTCGGGGCCTCGTCTGACCTTGTGACGAGAACCATCTCCATTTCCAGTCATGTCGAGAAGCCTAGTGTGAGTGTCCGAGCGTGGATAAATATTTTCAATCTGTCGGATGGATTGTAAACCAAGCTGGCCCGAAGCTCTGTCTGCAGTCGAGTTAGTTCGCCATGGTCATTTGGACCAAGGAGACGTCATTGAGTTGAGTTGATAGCTGCAGTTGATCAGATCTGTGACGTCATTGCACAATGTCTGGTGATACTCTGTCACCTACTAGCGAATGCTGGCCTGTTGTTGACTGCGCTTGAGCACCAGACTGCGACATGACTGCTAGCCCCCACGGTAATCGAGATAACAAATAATGCCGGTTGGGACATGCATGCCCCGGACCAGGGTTTGAATCGTGCCCAAAGGGAACGAAGAGTCTTTTTCTCATCTACACACGTGCTTTCAGAGCCCAGAGACCGTGAGACCGTGCATTTGCACATAACAGGGACACTACAGTCCGAGGAAGGTTGGCATCGTGACAAGCTACTTTGTCTTCCGGCATAGTGTGAGGACTTACTGTGTGATGGCTCGAGTTTAGCAGCCCTTGACTCCCATAACTATCCAACGTAGCCAATCCATCTTCAGAGTGTCCTATTGCAGCTTAATCCTTCAGTCTTTTCGGAGCAACTGAGAGGGCGGTATCGTACACTGGAGGCTCCAGGTCTGCCATTCCCCGAGCCATTGAGTAGTTGGCAGTCAAAGACACCATGATCCTCGACTCTCCATCTTGTATGGTCACCTACAGCTCACGAGCTCGTCGGATATCACGTCTGCCAGACGACGGGCATCAGTCCCCATCTTCCTTTCTCGCTGGCATTGATGATGCTCTTTTCAATCCAGAGTTAGGGCTCCCCCGTCACCTGACCCCACCTGTCTTTCGCTTCATCGCAAACTTCATCTTTCCTCTCCTTCAGTAACCATGAGTCTTTCCAACGTCACTGCAGAATTCACCCGGGATCTCCCCAAAGTCGAGTTGCATGCGCATCTGAGCGGCAGCATCAGTCGCCAGTGTCTGCATGAGATCTGGCAGCGCAAAAAGGCCCAGAATCCCGGGTTAGCCGCGGAGGATCCATGGGTGGTGATGCCTTACGGGAAGGAGGACTATTCACTGACGAAGTATGTCCTTCATAATATTAGTATCGCGCTGACCCCCGTACAGCTTCTTCAACGTATACTGCAACTCTATCTATCACCTGTGCAACGACCTCCCCAGCATCGCCTACGCCACCCACTCCGTCCTCGATGACTTCCGTCACGACGGCGTGTGCTATCTCGAGCTCCGCACCATCCCCCGCGCATCCCCGGACTCGTCATTCACGCGCGAAGAATACCTACACACCATCCTAACCACCATCGAAACCTACCGTCTTACCCATCCAGACCTCACCATCAACCTTATTCTGTCCATCGACCGAGCTAATGCCTCCGCCACGGCCGCCCTAGCCATAGTCGACCTGGCCCTGGCCCATCGCGCCCGCGGAATCGTCGGCATCGACCTCTGCGGTAACCCCACCAAAGGCGAGAACCTCGCCATCTTCGCCCCCGCATTCGCAAAGGCGAAGGCGCACGGTCTCGGCATCACCCTACATTTTGCAGAGATCGACCATCCCCCCGCGGAAGATGAACTCTCCGTTTTATTGGGCTTTTGGCCCGATCGGCTGGGTCATGTCCTTCATGTTCCGGAACGAATTAAAGAGGAGATTGTCCGTCGCCAAATCGGGCTGGAAGTCTGTCTCTCGTGTAATGTGCTATCGCAGATGTGGGAGGGTGGGTTTGCGGATCATCCGTTTGGACACTGGAGGGGGGAGTGTCCGGTTGTGCTTTGTGTATGTCCTCTGTCTATCTCCCCATCCCTCCCTTTCCCTTTTTATCCGCCTTAGATGGTTCTTCTTGACGTACACTTGATCTCTTCTATACCTGTCTCTGACTAGCATGCTTAAGACCGACGATGTGGGATTCCTCTGTAGTCCCGTCTCAAACGAATATCGTCTGGTCGCGGAGCATTTCCACCTCGATCGACGAGATATCCTGCGTATGGCGCGGAACGCTGTGAATCTGATTTTCGGAGGGGAGGAGGAGAAGTCGCGTCTTCGTCGGTTACTGGATGCGTTTGAAGCAAGTCACGACGATACGATGATCCCAAACTAGAGATGTGGTTGTCACAGTGTCTATATAACATAAGACATACTGTGAAGGAATGAACTAGAGTACATCACTAGACATAACGTAAACCAAGAGCTGAAACTAGAGAACTACCCCTGCCATCTCATCTTGCCCTCCTTCAACGTCTTAACCACGCCCAGAGGCATAAACTCCCGATTCACCGCTGCCAATCCCCCGTACCGTCGCACCATCTCCCCCTGGTACAGCTCCGCCGTCCATCGCCAGTACGGCGTCATCTCGTCAAAGCTTTGCGAGACCGGCCCGCAGGTCGCGTCCGCCAGCGACATTTGGTGCGCCCGCAGCCGCTGCGTCTGGTTGACACCCACCTCGTCCGGCACGCGCGTGAGGTCGCGGTACGCCTGGAGCAGGGGCACGCTCAGGCTCTCTGCATACCGCGTGTATTCGTCCAGGCTCAGGAACGCGACCGACTCGTCGGCGTCGACCGGGCCATCCCTCTGTGACGCCTCGGGGGACTCGACCTCGGCCTGTTCGAAGTGCTCCTTGGCCGCCTGGTACTCCTTTTCGTCGTCGAGTCGCGCGCGACGCAGTCGTCCCTGCGGCGTCTGCCGGATATCCTCCCGCATGGCCAGCAGCGGGATGTACGGGTTCAGCAGCTCCAGGCCGCCGAACTCGACGGGGAAATAGAAGAACCCCTCGGGGAGGTCGTGTCTGTCGAACCGATCGGCGATTCTCCGTCGCAGATGGTCCGTGGCGCCGCTGGTGCAGTCGGGGAACAGGGCGCGCTCGATACGACTGAGCGTGGCGATGGCCATGTCGATGTGCTCGCGTCCGAAGCACACGGCCGGTTTGCCGAAGTTGTTGGCGAAGAAGCGCCCGAAGTAGCTGTTCCATGCCTGCACCCAGGCGAAGACGCTCGTGCACGCCGACATCTGGCGCCGCAGCTCCACGATGTGCTGGTCCACTTGCTCCTGGTCGATGACGAATCGGCCCTCCTGCGCGTCCAGCTTCAGGAAGCCCCAGCGGATGTCGCCCGTGGGCAGGGGGATGTCCGGCGACGGAGGGTGATCCGGATTGGGCGTGTCCTCGTCCTCTTCTTCTGTCTCCTCCTTCTTTTGCTTCTTTTCGCTCGCGAATCGGACAGTCCCTGTCTTCTCCGCATTGAATTCGAGGCCCATCACCCGGGCGAATTCGGTCATGGTGGTCCAGGCGTGCACGCACGTCTTCTCATGGCCCCAGAACCAAAAGTCGTCGTGCAGCCGATACAGATAGGCGCCGTGGGTGCGCGTGTTCACGGCGTAGTCCATGCAGAAGAGGACAACTTCACCGAAACAGTCCGACAGCATATGGCTCATGGGAATGCCGCGCTGGCGGATGCGAACTGCCGCGTCAGGCCCATCCTGCGTGAATCGCAGCGGCGCCTGCAGGAAGGTCTCGAAGAACCGCAGCCAGGGCGACGGCACCCCGAAGTAGGCGAGCACAGTGAGCATCGTGGGATGCGGCAGCGACGGGCCAAACCACTGGAAGTCTGACCGCAGCGCCGTGAACTCGCCGTGCTGCGTCGTATAAAGGAGCGACTCCGTGATCAGGAGGTGCAGCAGCGAGTGCTTCGCCTCCAGCGCGGTCTGGCGCTTCTGCTCCTCGACAACCACCCCGTCGTCACTGTCATCGCCGTAGCCGGGGGCGTCCAGGTCCAACGAGGATGGCAGTTGCGTCATGAAGTAGTTCTTCTCGTACGTCTTCTGTCTCTCCGCGACGACGCTGCGGGTCCCCGACCACAGCGTGCGCCCGTTGGCCTCTCGGAAATGCTTGAACTGCCTCCGCACGCGCTTGGGGATATAGGGACGCCGGACTTTCCAGGCGCGCGATTCCTGGAAGGCGCTGAACGCCGACCGAAACGTCACGGCCCATTGCATTCCGAGATACTGCAACAGAAGCGCGTCCAAGAGGTCCTCATCCATGAAGATGCGATACTTGCCGTTCAGGTGGCGGCGCATTTCCACTGGAATACCCTCGGCCGGCCACTGCCAGCTCTCCAGTGCCGCGAGGCGCATATTCAGCACGTCGGCCACCTCCTGCGCAACCGCCGAGTTCCGCATGAATTCCTTCAGGATGGCCGTCTTTTCCTTGGACAACAGATCCGCCCTCAGCAGCGCCCGACTGACCCCTTGGAGCCCATTGGCGTCAAACCAAGTCTGCTTCGACGCGAGCTCCTCCCCGAACGCCTTGATCTTCTCGCGAAGCTCCTTCAGCGCCTGCTGCGAGAGGTCGGTACGCATGAAGAGCCGGTCCAGGTAGGATTGGATGCCGTCCCGCTGCACGTCTCCCGCGGTGAACACGAGATTCTCCCATGTCTCTCGCTGCTCGTGCATTTCGGCACGGCCCACCGCTTCACCATCCTCTTCCTCCGTCGTGCCTGTCCGGTCGTCTTCCAGACTGGCCAACCACTCGGTCACCAGTGTGCTGTAGAACGAGGCATGCTCGTGTCGCAGCTGTAGGTACTGCAACTCCCGCTCCAGATCATCCACCCATTCCTGCAGACTCCGATCCGACACCGACGGATCATACCGACTCTGCAGGAGAAACCGACGGATATTGACGTGCGCGGCACGTTCCGATCCATCCTCCACTCCCGCGGCCTGGAGGGCCGGTCGCTCACATCCAGGTCCAGGTCCTCCTTGTCGAACGCATCGCTGGGGGATCCTTTGAGTCGGGTCACTCCCTCCAGCAACACGCGGGCCTTGGAGCGCAGGTCGACGGCGTCACCGGCCGCACGAAGGATCTCGGAGTGTTGTTTTTTGAACAGATCGCGCTGTTTCGACAGCTCACCGATCTTAATGTCGGTGATGGACTGGAGGGTCTGTGGGAGAGCTCCGGTGGCCGCCATTTTTCTCCTGTGGATCGAGAGGAATGAACAAACTGGGATGGTATGAGGATGGAGGGCAGAGAGAGCGACTCTTTGGCGCAGGGAGATCGTCCTTATAAAGAGAAAGGAGAAGAGAGAAGGGCCAAAGGCGCGTACTCCACAATAAAGAGGCAGACGCTAAAATACTGAGCTCCGGCGGAGATGCAGCCCAACACTAGAGTGTTACTAGCGGCCTCGGCGTCGATCTATGCGGCTAAGCGTCGTCTACGTGAGTCACCAGGACTACGTACTTAGTTAACTAGTTGCTAGTTAACTGGTTAGTTAGGAGTAGTTAGGTGTCATCATCAAGGAGGGGCCCATACCAGGATGTGGGCTTGACAGCGAAGGCGAGGGAATAGTCGCGTCCTTTGCTTTCCAACGGGGTGTCGAGGTAGCATCCGTCGGTCAACACCAGGGCGTCGTCACTGGACGCGACACCCATGCACGGTGCCGTCAGTCGTTGCACGACTGGTCTGGAACGGTGGTGGCGTTGGACGCATAGTCATTCCACAGCGCCGCGACATGGCTGGGCACACCAGGGTAGTCCCGCGGGGGGTTCATTGAGGGGTCTTTCACGTCCAAGGTGTTCGGAGCATAGGCACCGTCGACGAGATTGCCGTGGAAGATGCGGGTTTGTTCATCGGATTGAGGTTAGAGCTAGGACCACTTGCTGACGGGGGAGAAGGCATCGTCCGAGTTGAGCACATCTGGCCGTTCGGGAGGTGGCCCAACGTCGCGCTGTCAAAGTACAATTGCCAGTGCTGGATGGTCACCTCCTCGACATGTTGGTTCCCTGTTGGGGGTGAAGTGACCCCAGATAGTCGAGCTGGTCGAAGGTATACGATTCATTGGCGCGGGTGTTCAGACCGGCCACGGGGGCATCGTCTGACCACAGGCGGAATGCAGCGTACAGTTTCTTGGATTCGTCGGCCGAGTATCTTGTCGCTGAGATGCAGATAGAACATGTTTTGCTTGAAGGATAGGAACGAGCATATCTCGATCAAGAAACTCGGCACAGGCTACCAGCATACACGGGTCGCTCTGGAAAGTGAGCCGCTTTGCATCCATGCTCCTGATGCGGTTTTTCTATCTCGACGCAGACCAAGTCGGTGAGAACTTGGATGAGGTGCTCGAGATGTGGAGGGAGATGGATGCAGAGGGACATTTGGCGGAGGAGTTTGTCGTCGATGCTAACTTTCTCTTGCTGATGGTGAGGATGATGGTGGATAGTCTGGATTGGACCAGTCCGTTTTTCTGGGCGCTGTTTATCCTGATGGGATATGCTGGATATTAAATAATGTTCTATCTGTAGTACTTACTCTATACTGTATACTCTATAAAAGACATATTCAGGCTTCTATGTATAATAATTTCATGTAATCAACTAGCCACTTTGATTAGATCCACATCCCCACATTAGCGCCACAGCTGAACTTGGACTTCAAACTGAACCTCAAACTGAACCTCAAATCGAGTCTCTTCAACAGACAAGTGCTATTCTCTCCTGATACATCCTCAGTGCCAGTAGACATGGGAATGGACTTTGTCTTCATCAACGTACGCGAACCCAGAGATGCCCTCCAGCTAGCCAAAGAGCCCGAAGTCCGCTCCCACGTGGCCCGCTATCAATGGCGACAAGTCGAGAGTCGGGCGAAGATCACACGCGAGAGAGTTGTCGGGCGATACGAGGAAATATTCGAGACATTCAAGGACAGCGAAGACGACGACGATGACGACGACGAGGAGATCGTCTCCGTTGGCTATATGCAAATCCGCCGTCCTAAGCGCCCTCTCCCGGACCCGTCTCACCCTCTCTCAATCCCACTGCCACTAGGCGGACTCCGGGGCGATCCTTTTTCGATCGTATCCGATCTCGTGGAGACCGTTTCTACCACGGTTGGTGGATCACTGTAGCCTCCTCCTCCTCCTCCCCCCTTGCTCCCTCCCTCGTCGCTAACCGGCTTAGATTTGATGAGTATGGCTGTGGACATCCCGGAGTTAGACCAGCCCGGAAACCGAGGTCTTCTCCGAACCCGCTGGTTCCCTCTCGTCATGACAGAGCCAGCGCTATTCCTGGTGATCATGTTGTTGGCGGCATCGCACCACGCAACATTAGTGCCGAATCCGTCGACGGACTCGAAGCTGGATCTTCTCCGTCTGCGATGTGAAACCATCAACGCCATCAACCACGCGCTGCAGTTCCAGCGCCACGACCAGGTCAGCGACGCCCTGGTCGGGGCCATTGCCAAGATGGCCAGCTACGAGGCCATGTTCGGCAGCATGGAGAGCTACGACGTGCATATGCGGGGTCTTACCCAGGCAGTCGGTCTCCGGGGCGGGCTCACCGAACTGGGACTGGATGGATTACTGCGTCGGATTGTCGTGTGGATCGATCGCAATGCGGCGTTTCTGCACGGGTCGTCGCTTCATTTCCCGGGAGCGACTTTTGTGTTGGGGGAACCGTTACCGGATCCGAATCCGGGACATTTCTTAGGGGCGTCATAATGTACTGTAGTACATACCCCCGGTAGACAGACTAACGAGACAGGCTGCAATGTGATAACCTAAATAGGAAGCTGAAGATTCTTGACGTCATTTGAAGTTTATTTGGATCCACCCAAAGCTTAATGAGTGGAGCATTCCCAATGCGGATATCAGATCAAACGCGGCGACCCACTATATACCGTATTAGGATATCACATACTAACAGATCGAGCCGTCAATGTCGCTGTTAACACACTCTTAACTTTCTCCTACCTCACGACTCGACATATAAAGTCCTTCTCATTCCAACATCCTTAATCTCATCTAAGTCCGTCAAGAATCCACAAACCATCAGAATCATCAATCTTAACCATTAACAGAAATGTCTCTCAAAGGCCAAGTCGCCCTCATCACTGGCGGAGTCAAAAACCTCGGTGCCAAAACCGCTGAGGAACTCGCCGCGCAAGGTGCCTCTCTCGCCCTGCACTACCACTCCGCCAGCAGCCAATCCGACGCCGCCCAGCTGACCGCCGAACTGACCCAGAAGTATCCGGATCTCCGCGTCGTCACGTACCAGGGCGATCTGACGCGGGCAGCGGCAGTGACCAAGCTGTTCCAGGATACGTTGAAGGAGTTTGGCAAGATCGATATCGTCATTAATACCGTGGGACGGGTGCTTAAGAAGCCTATCACGGAGATTAGTGAGGAGGAGTATGATTCTATGTTTGCGTATGTATTAAAAAAGAAAGAAAGAAAGAAAGAAATACTAATATGTTACAGGATCAATTCCAAAACCGCCTTCTTTGTCCTCAAAGAAGCCGCCGCACATGTTTCCGAGGGCGGAAAAATCATCACCATCGTGACGGCCCTGTTGGGTGCTTTCACGGGGTACTATACGTCCTACGCGGGAAGTAAAGCTCCTGTTGAGCACTTTACTCGGTATATCCTATCCTATCTTATCCGTATCTATATACTTCCATAAAACTAATATTATATAGTGGAGTGTGCAAAGAGCTTCAAGCAAAACGCATCAGCGTCAACAACATTGGACCCGGACCGATGGATACACGTAAGTCATCTTAATATCTATATGGCTGGAAGCTAATTGTCTAGCGTTCTTCTACCCTCAGGAATCTCCCGAGGCTGTCGCCTTCCACAAGTCCAATGGTATGGGAAATCGTTTGACCATGGTCGAGGATATTGCTCCGGTTATTCGGTTCCTGTGCACCGAGGGATCGTGGATCACGGGCCAGACTATCTTTGCCAATGGGGGATATACCACTCGGTAATGATGTTGTATATGTCTTAACTGTTTAGTCTAGTGAATTCTGGTGGTTTTAATTTACTGTGGTGTTTATATACTACGTAGGATGTCTGTTTCTAAGGTACTACTGCATCACATCACTTGAAAATATCCACATTTGGCCGCAGACTCTTCCGTATCTAAGTTACATTCCCTGCTTTACGGAGCCATGAGGATATCCAACCTAACTTGTCTGCTGGACGGTATATTTCATGTGCATTCTATTCTTAACGAAAGGACTAGTATAAAAAGAGGAATAATATGTGTAGCGAGCGCTGTTCTCTGAAAATGTCAGAACAGAAGAAATCGCCCACATAAACCTTTATCTTCTTGGACAGAAAGAGTCCAATGAAAACCAGAGAAGTCTCGGAAAGTACTCCAATGCTTTGGAGTAAACGAGTGGAAAGAGGAAACTGTTCTGGTTGGCCGCACAACTTATCTGCCTGAATGCTGCACATCCTGGGTCATTGCTGCAAACAGATAATGTCTGTCAATAAAATATGCAACATGATAATCCAATTAGAGCTCACAAAGCCGTAGTGCTTTTGATCTACGAGATTAGTGCAAGATTACTATATAAGACAGCCGGTTGATTCTTTTACCTTGCCCATCGGCCTGAGCATGACAGGAATCTTTGACTTCCTAGAGCCATGAAGGTCTTGTGCCTTTATATTAATACGAGACTCTGCTTGTAATAACTCCTTCTGGCTTCTTAATAGAAGTTAGCTGCTATAATATGCCCACCATTGTAAAGCTGGTGTTTAGCTATAGTCTGTAACTTACATGTCCGAGCTATTATAGTTGCATCCACGCTTAAATTGCGTGGAGAAGTAGTTTAGCACTTAACTCTAATGCTCTTATGTGTGATTTAAGAACATCAACGTCTGCCAGCCATAGGCTGTCCCACATGCCTTCAACAAGTTTTTTTCCTGCGGATTCTGATACTTTTCTTATTAAAACTCTCGTCGATCATCAGCGAATTATATGGCTGATCCATTCAGAAATGGTATAGAGAATAAAATGCTAGAGTAGCAAAGTCAGTATACTGCATGGACATGCGACAAGTGAAACAGACTATCGAATGTTTTCGACTCTGCCATATATACAGCACCCGCTCTCGCAGGCTATTGGTATCTTCCGGGCTAGCACTGAATAGCTTAATCGGTCCTTCGGACTTCTGTGAGCATGCACGATTCAATGATTGTCGATTGAATTAAAGCTCACGATTCAACTCGAAAAGGTCAATCTGATGATGACAAGAGGAGATTGAAAATGGCAACAGAAAGCGGTAGATAAGCAGTCAGAATCTGGGAACTAATCCCCAGAAACTGAAGTCAGCCAGTGAAGAGGAAGTTATGGATAATGATGTAAATAACTAAATCATTCATTCTCCCTATTAACTACCAGCGTGAGTTGAAGTCCTCAGTATGATATCAGCTCAGAAAAGTAGCGAGGGATGAATACTAAATGGAAGACACTTGTCTAGAACATCCTGTCGACACCAAAGTTCACAGTTACAGGCCTAGCATATGAGTGCTAGCCACGGATTTTGTGGCCGAATGATATTTTCCATGATGTTACGTAAATCTATATCCATAGCAACCCATCATCCGATGGCTAATGCTAGGTCCAGCCAGAAGCCGATCTGTGCCACCCAGGTACGCCAACAGCAACATAACCAAGAATAGAATTGCCTCTCGTAGACTGTCAAGATGTTTAATATTTCCATCCTCATGAAAGTTGCCAATGTAGTCTCCTTCTAGCAGTATCCGTCAATCGTCAGGTAATCAATTGCATAATTATCCAACGCCTGGTATGGTGCTGTAGATACAGCATCACAGATGGGGACCTTTCACATAGTCTACTACAGCAAGTAGAGACCAGAGACACTCTGTCCAGAGTATATCCAGTCCTAGAAGAATATTCTTCTAGAAAGAATACAGTCTTAGCACCCAAAGTATCGAGAGATATCCGTTCCAGTGACCTGGATTTATCGCCAGGGAAAACAACCGGATGCTTCATAGCATAGAAAATACACCTGCTCAAGAACCTCGTCAATACACGCTCCAAGAAATCAATAACAGTACCGACGAGAACCAGGAACGACAGACAAATCTGGATATTCCCTGGGCTTCAAGCCATGGCGTCCTGGTCGTCCTCATCTGGATATGCAACCGAGTACAATATCCGAAGCTAAAAGGCGTTCGCAAAGAACAATCCGCCTGCCCCGACGAGGTAACTACAACACTGGGTATGCCGGTGAACATATGACAACAGTTGAGACCGAGTCTACTTGCGTCTTACCTGGCAAACGCTGCCATTCTTTGTAACATTCAAAAACTCAAGGTCTTCAAGGCTAGCAGTGAAGAATGTAGACGAGCACCCTCATCCGTACTTCACCTTTTCAATACCAGCATTCTTTCCCCTTCACATATCTACAGTCTATTGGGAACAATGTGCCACGCTGCACATAACATACGTGCCAGACTAAATACCATTAGCGACAGGTACACACTCGGTCTTCTTTTCAAAATCCGGAACGACTAACTCGGCTCGGTGAGCCTTCCGTTAAGCAAAGTCGATCTCTGTATCAGCGACCATCGGCAGACAGGAATATATGGTGCCCATTTCGGCTTCATCTAGAAAACCCATCGCACATAAGGTTTGCCGAAGGGATGGTTTTTATCCTGCCCAGACATGGCGAGGAACTTGGAGATAAACTTGGCAGTGAAAGACGACACTACCAAGGATCTTATCCATGATCCTTTGTGGGGCGCCTTTATCGAAAGAGATGCTTTTGGCCATGAGCAATCTCCGATTTGCAGCAAATTTGTCACATCCAATTAAATAATTCACCATACACATACATCACACCGCGGCAGATCCCACCTTAGTCCCGCTCTTATGGTCTGTCGACGCAAATCCAAAATCCGTGGAATCGTCCGGTTTGGGTATCGCATCTTCTTCTTCCGCGTCCGCTTCCACTTCCTCGCCGTAAGCCACCGACAGATGATCCACATCCACGCCCACCTCGTTCCAGTGGTCGCTGGTGGCTGGCACAGGCACGATGCGCGTCAGGATGTAGTACATGACGAACGACACGACCACCCCGGAGAAGTAGTTGATCTTGTAGATATACTGGGCCCCGACGGGCACCGTGCGGCCCACCTCGCCGGCGAATCCCACAATGTTGACCAGGATCCCGGAGATATACGACGCGTATGCCTGCCACGAGAACCCATACACGTATCGATAGGCGGAGTTTTTGCGCACTGTGTAGAGATCCTTGATCTGCAGGTACCCCTTGCGGACCACGTAGTAGTCGCAGAACATGGGGCCCGCGATGGCGGATAGGAAGATCGAATAGGCCGACAAATAGGTGGTGAACTGATTGGACGAAGACACCAGGTTCCACTATACACATCAGATTAGCCATTACAGCCGAAGGAACCACATCACGAAACAATTGTGAAGCCTTACTGGACACATAGCCAAGCCCACGGCCGCGCAGATATAGCTTCCGCGTCGGATGGTGATGTATCGAGGAAGCAACGCGGTCATATCCGTACCCGCAGAGACCGAGTTGGCCGAGATGTTCGTCCCTAGCTGCGCCAGGGCGAATCCCGTAGCGATCACAAAGATTCCAAAGCGTTCGCCCGAGCTGGCCCCGTCCAAAAACATGCTCAACAGGTCGAGCGGATTCCACACCATGCGACCCCCAAAGATCACGGCCGATGAGGACGACGCGATGATGCCAATGAACGAAGTGATGCCGAATCCAATGGGAATCGTGAAGAGTTGCGACCAGAGAGCGTCCTTCGGCTTGCGGGCGAACCGCGAAAAGTCAGGGTCATTGATAATGAGTGCCGCAAAGTTGCCCAGGCAGCTCATGATGGCCTTCACCACCGCCCATGCCAGCGTGCTCCCATGTGCGGTGGCGGGTTGATGCACGATCGGCCCAATGCCATTGGCACGGGAGATGGACCAGGCGAAAAAGGCAATGGCCGCAATGGGAGAGTAGACCGCTTTCACGGTGAAGAGATGTCGGATCTTGTGGACCGGGAACCACAGCGCGGGTAAGGAGATGAGCCAGAAGAGGAAGAAGCTCAGGAAGTTCTGGCTGTCCACGCCGGAGCTTGCCGAGAGGGTGTTGGGCACGTTTTTGTAGCTGGGCCAGATGGCCCGGATCATGATGGCCACGCATTGTCCTGTGTCGCGCGTCAGATTGGCAGCCGTGTGTACTCAAGGCATCACATCCTTACCTCCAATGTAGCTCTGAACCCCGTACCAGATCACCGCCATAACCGCCCGATTCAAGACAGGCCACAAGGAACCCCAGATGCCGAAAGTCGACCGGCAGACTACGGGGAAGGAGATGTGGTAGACGGCACCGATGCGACCAGTCAGGCACACAAAGCAGGCCGCAATGAAGTAGCCCACCCAGACACACAGCCACGACTGCCACCATGACAGACCATCCACGATCATCGATGAGGAGATCATCCACGTATTCTACCACCCCGCCGGTTGACGGGACTCATTAGCTTCGCTTCCCGCAGGCAGACGGTGACAGGATGGCTCGCAACGTACGATATTCAGCGAATCGGCAATCCAAAATGCAATAAAATTAGACCATGTCCATTGACGACGTTCGAGTTCAACTGCATTGCACAAAGCACGTGAAAAAGTCGCACACCGTCAGCTTTCCAATTCTTGATGGAGAAACGCCAAAACACCAAAGAAGACAGTGTCGGATGGGCAATTGTCGGCCAGTGAAGTGATCTATCTCTCTTTCTCTCACCTGGCCGCAAGTCATAGTTCATCAACATCAGTTGGGTGTTGGTCAACCCTGGCTCCGACGGCACCTCGAGCTTCTCGATCCATTGCTTGAGACGGGCCATGTTGCAATGACCGATTCCTGGGAATCGAGGATGTTTGATGGAGAGGCTACGGGGAGCGTCCGACGAGAATATAAAGGGGAGCATCATGGGAAGGGTGCACTACCTCACACTGGTTATTCCCCGCCTATCAATTACCTCAACCCTACACAGTATACTCTGTCCTACCTACTTGGCTGTCATGGCCACGAGAAGCCATATCGTCATGATGGGTATCGGGCCAATCAGACACGGAAGACGGTGATATCGACGACCGGGATGCATTCCCTGGCGAGTCAAAATTATGGGGAAGGCCGCCGATAAGGGGCTGCCCGCCCACCATGGGGCTCTTTCGGTGGCTTGACTTGTCGAGTAAGAACGGCTGTTATCGCCGGCTCCACTGGGTCTCCGCAAACAGCGACAAATATCTCATCGTCGCTGACTCGATGTGATCGAGTAATGCAATCGATCGCATCTGGCTGATTGGTGGCGGAGGCCCCTCCATCGACTTCGTCATCATTAAAGCCTGATTCATTGCTATCTAACCAAGATAACGTACAGATAAGGATTCGGGAAATCACGCGCAATCACGTGTCATACCAGGTAGAATCCTAGGCAATATACTCCGTGTTCCGTAACGGAACACATGCGAAAACCGCTATCTACCCCTGGTTCCACTTGCCAAACTTCAGATAGTCATCGTACAACCCCTTGAACACCGCTCGTCCCGATCCGTCCAGTCCAGCATTCAGCGCCCGCATCGTATCCCGTGACATCACGTCCAATGCCGAGTACAGTCCAGGCATGATCGCTGCCTTGACCTCGGGCGCCAGCGTTCCCCGCAGCGAGCTCTGCGCATACTCCATGATCAGATATTGTAGGTACTGGCCCGCGAGCCGTTTGGCCTTCTTGGTCTGGTCCGTCAACCCTTCGGTGGCCGTCCCGCCCTGCGCCGGCCTCGACACGGCTGAAACAGTGGGATCGCAGAGCGACGTGAGCAGCCGGGTGAAGTGCACCGCGTGAGCCGCCTGCAAGGGAGCCAGCCAGAACGGTTGTTCGGTCGACCGTTTCTCCGAGAGCATCGACCGCGTCCGTTTCCGAGTGCGGGCAAACAAGCAGTTCAGTAATCGCTGCATCGCAGGAAGGATCAGGTGGAACCTGCCCCCGAGTTTCTGCCGGTGGATGCCCAAGAGAATCCCCATGATCCGGCAGAGTCGGATATAGACCGTGCCCGAATATTCGGGGTTGATGCGAGGCCCCGCCTTGGACGCGCAGACGGCAACACACGCGAGAAGACTGTCGACGTTCCATTGGGTAACGCAGCGCGTGTGGTTCCGCAGGATCAGATCCAGGCACTCCATACCAAAGGTAAATTGCTCGATCGATTTGCTCCGCGAAACCGAATCCGTGACCACGGTGCACAGGAGCGACAGCTCCTTGGCGGAATCGCTGTCCTTGTCTTCGATGGGGGTAAGCGATGCCACGGCCAGGCCGGAAATAAGGAGGTGTTGCTGGGCGCTGTCTCCCAGGAATCCCAATTCCCGGACATCTCGGATCACTTGGATTCGTTCATCCATAGTCAATTCCCGGAACCTTGCGCTCGTCGACCGAATGAAAAGCCGTTGCTCCTCACTGTACAGTTGCTGGAGGGGAAGCGCCTCTGCATACTGTATGATCGGAACGGTGACACTCTTGTCAGATCCTCGGCCAGCCAGTATACGGCGTCTGATTAGCCTCCGCAGTGACGAGTCGGAGTCAAGGGACTTTTCGACATAGCTCTCGATCTTGACCAGGAACTTCTCGACTTCGGCGTGATTAGTAGCAAGATCCTCAAAATCTTCCAATGCATCGAGGATTTTAATCAGAGTGATGGTTTCTTCCAGCTTCTGCTTCTTGCACTGATCCCTGGCAGCCTTCACCTCCGCCACAACGAGCTCAAACACTTTCTGGCGGCAGGTAATAAGCTCTGTTTCGTTGAAAACAGCGGGAAAGCTTCTGCGGTGTATCCAGAGTTGGGACAGAGATATCCGGAGGAAGAAACAGTCCATTGAGTCGCGGTCGACCGACCGCAACTTGGACGCCTTGGCCAACACTTTCCGGTACATTTTTTTGAACGTCTTGCGGCGATCTTCATCCGACTGGACAAGCAGCTTAGCCACAACGGCCCGATGTAAATTTCGGAAAGCCTTCATGATTTGAAGATCAACGTCATTGCCATTCAAAGAAACGGCTTTAGCCACGGTCCACATTGGCTCCCAGTCGCTGGTTATAGTAGCTGCAGACTTGGGCATATCGGCCAACTTCGCCATCAGTGACAACACCCCCACAGTGACATCCGGCGTGCTATTTTTTTGCAAGATAATTTCTTGCATCAGCTCCAGCAGGATTGCTCTCTGACCACGGATAATGAGCGGGGCAGGGATCCTTTGCAGGCTCTCGATGTAAAGCATGCGATTTGATGTATCTTCCTTGGCAGCTCCCGTGAGCACTTGAATCAGGTCTGTGACAATGATGGGAGTGTTGAGGAGGTACTCGTGGCACACTACGCTAGCCCAGGCCTGCAGGAACCGTGCACCGGCTGGAGCGGTTTCCAACACGGACGACGATGGTCTGTACTGTGAGGTCGCCATGGACAGCATGTGTTGGAACAGAGACCGACGGGTGTCGGATTCGATAAGGGACCAGGCATCTGGGCTTCCGATGAGTGCTAGGGAGTAAGCCAGGGCAAGAGTGATCGGAGAGCTGAGGGTCTCTGCACGCCCATCCCATGGCGAGTCCATCCACTGCAAAATATCCTGCTTGGAGCTCACTCGAAGAAATCCGGCGATATTCTTCATGAGCGAGTTAAACTTGTCGACATTGCTAGAACTTGCAGACGCCTTGACGGAGGCAAGGGAAAATCTGTATGCCTCAAAACATTCCAGGGTAGCACATGGCTTTTGCATCTCGTCTGTTGAATGGCGTTGGATCGATTTGGCTGCGGAATCCATTAATCCCACGTCCGCAGCAACACGACCATCACGGGTGGAAGGGCCATTGTTTTCCAGCAGGTTGCGAGCAAGCCTCCACAGTCGCCACCGCCAATGAAGGCTTTGCTTTGATGATAGCGTGGATGTCAACACGTCGAGGATAGGCTCCAAGTCTTCATGTGGAATGGTAGAAGTCAAGGGGCGACTTCTGAGACCCGCTTCCAAAATCAAAACCTGCGCATAGGCGCCGGGTGTAGCAGATACTTTACTATCCTTACCCCGGACCTCTGAGGCTGCAGTGTGCATCTGCACGGCAGCATATGCGTGAGTAAGGGGGCTGCGCATCAGCTCGCTGTAAACGTTGCATACATCATCGTCCTCCCAGACTGTAAAGAGACTCAAGGTACTGTCCTGTAATCGTGCCTCTTCGACCCTGATAAGCTGCTCGTGCCACAATTTCATAAAGGTGCGCAAATCTCGGGCTGTGACAAACCCGCGCAATAGCGGGATCACAATGCCACTTTTAATGACGTCGTAGCTGATATGCGTGCGAGACACGCCGCTCCGCCATTGAAGGAAGATTTTCTCAAGCAACGCCTTGAGCAGTTTTGTTGAATCAGGCAGCCCAGAATTCGGCAAAAAGATATCCGCACCTAGCTCAATTAGCAGTGCAGTGAGGTTCCACTCGACCTGTGATAACCCGTCCTTAAGCAAACCGGTATACACAGCATGTGTAAGCAATGTATGAAGTGATAGCTGTACACCGCGAGAAAGAACCACACGGAAAAGGCGTTCTAGAACGCCGACAAACTCCGGTAGATAGATATCCGCATTTTCTGCTTTAACAACCCAATATGCAATCTCGGCAACAGCCACAAAAAGGGTTTCTAGCCAAGGAGCCTCGTGTGTCTGTCTTTTGAAAGTGTCCCTGGGCACTGAACGGGATGCTATGTCGAAGAATTCGGGTAGGAGATCCGCTGTCGTCCAAAAAGGCTTGGTTGTAGTATTTACATTTTTGCCGGTGGCCGCGGGAGGGAATTCGGTCCCGCAGAGAATAGGCTTGAAAGTATCAGAAACAGGTTTGACAGGACTCCAATCGGTCTCGGTCGCTGAGTAGTCGATGCCTGAGCCTCCTCGGTCAAAAAATGCCGCTCGCGCTGGGAGGACCACATGGAGAGCAATAAGACGCTCCACTCCCTGCAAGACTTCAGCTCTCTCATCCGTGTCGAGTCGGACGGATCGCACGCAGAGATGTAATCTTAGGGCGCTTTGGAAGCATAACTTGGCAAAAAATTCCTAGGGAAACGTTAGCATACCGGGCACTCCGAGTTCTAGCTAGAAATCCACTCCAGGCTTACATTGTCTGATCCGCTGTCTGAATCGCTCCGACGATAGGACCTTAATTCCCATAGCTCCAAGACCGCTGGAAGCACGTACAATAAATGTTGTAAATCGGTTGTTTTCCGCGCGCGGGAAAACTGTGTAGTGGCCACGGCAGCAATTCTAAGCGACTTTCCCAGCATCAGGGCAATGGTCTCGGGCTCCCCTTTCAGAGCGTGCCTCAGGTGAGCGCTCGCTGCCTCTTCAATACCCAATGTCCGACTCGCCAGCATCGCCAAGCTGTACAAACAATCCAGCGCACGGATGAAGGTCAAGAAGCACGAGGAGGGATTTCGTGGTTGGTCATCGATGTCCATGGCGTCTTGTTCACTGTCACCAGGCCTTTTCCTCTTGGTCCCTTTCTTATCGTACTTTCCAACGTCATGCGGCGAGTCGCTAAGCGTCGTACTCGACTCGGAGTCCGAATAAAGGAGCTCCGTTGTCCCATTTTCCAGACCGGTAAAAACTTCCTCCTCTAAGTCCGTGATAGCATGGCTGAGGATGCCCAAAAATTTCTGGTCTTTGAGTGTAATTGCCAACGCCTTCGCAGGAATGAGATCAATGAGCTGCCGTAAGAGAAGGAACGAGGCCGGTTCGATACGATAGTTTATCCCCGCCTTCAACTTCTTCAGCAGCCATCGGAGCACCCATTCTTCCTTCGGAACGGCCCTGGTCTGAATATAAGGGTTTCGATTGATTTGCGGATGGCTCGCACACAGGGCCAGGTCTAACCCGATGATCTGGGCGGCTTCGTTAAGCTGAGCGGTCGGTGAACCAGAGCCTTTTTCAAGACGAAGTAAAGCCTCTTGCGACGAGCGTGGACGCTGTATCGAACACAATCATATTAGCTTGCACATATATTTTTCAAGACCCTCAGGGAAGACATCAATCAAAGGGAACAAGATAAAAAGAAAAACTCACCTCCGCAACAGACGGCATTTTGGAGGAAGACAAGAAGACAATTCTATCTCCCCGATCTTCCAATAGCCGATGTACCCGAATGTCACGTCGACATAGTCCGCCGGCTGGCGATTGAAGAGAAGAAAAGTATGGGAGGCACGCTGTGACGCCAGAAAACTGGCACAATTTTCGCCGACCGCCTTTGGGCCAACCGAGCTCGACATTCCCGATCGCTTCCATCGTCTCCCTTCTTTTCTCAATTCATTCCTTGGGATTGTCTAGGCCCGCGTCATTTTTGTACCCATTCGCCGTCTATTGCAGATAGTTGGTCATCCTCCAATTTGTCCTAATCGAAAGTTTCCCACTGACTTTTTGTTGCTAGGTCCATCGCAATGGCCGACAATAATGGTTCCCAACCCGTGTCTCGGGCCACCAAGCCCGTCAGTGAGGCATTGCTGAACGAGAAGGTACCGTCTACAGCCTGAAATCTCCTCGTTTTTGATATGGGACCAGGATATGGTGTTAATGGCCGTTCTTTGTGGGGTGTTCTGTGACCTACGTGGACGGATTGGGTAATCTTGAAATTGTTTGAACTCGGGCTAATACGGAACGTCATGAACATCCATAGTGGGACCGAGCCATCTCCTCCATGATCATTCGCTCCTCCCTCGGTCTTTCGTTCGGTGTTGTTTTCTCAGTGCTCCTGTTTAAGCGGAGGGCTTGGCCCGCGTGGGTTGGTCTGGGCTTCGGTGCTGGTCGTGCTTGGGAAGAGGCTGATGGTACGTGGATGTTTTGATACTCGACGATTTTTGTGCCACGGGTCGCTGGGCATAATGTCTTGAGAGGGGTCCGCTCTGCAGATGGCTAACGTTAGGGAATATGTAGCTTCGTTCCGTCGGGGCGATTCGCCCGTAAGAGACGCCCTGCGTAAGTAAGGAGGACTCCACATTGATTTGTGTATGATATCTGTATAGCTGGGGGGAATTAAGGTGTCTTGAGACATCGTCGCATAAAGTTTAGAAAGTCTATTCTAGACTTTGATTTATATTTGAGCATGCAATTCATCCTTGTTATACCTGCTTCTGGGTGCGCTACCTTATGTGATTGAGTTTGGCGGGATGCCTATGTACTCCCAATATTGCAGTTCAAAGTGGAAATTTGAATTAATCATGCAGTATTCAAGGGACAATATCAGAGCTTGTATTCTCAATATCGGTAGACATCTGTTTTTGGAACCATTTGGGCCTATCTTCCCCATACAGATAATGATACTAGCTCGAAAGAGATCCACCAGGCCTGCCTTTATAGGAAAAGATGGCTTTAAATCATACGATACATAGTGGGATTGATCTAGCAGTAAGGAGGTAGAAGCTTGAAAGAGAGGAGACGTCAAGACGAGCCTGAAACGGTAGAAAGGCCTCGAGAGAAGAAAACAATTGTATAAACGCGAGGTATCCAGGAGCTCTAATGTCCATCATCTATGGAGGGGTATCATGATCATCAGTCGTCCGAATGGTAAGCTCAACTTCGAAAATAGACAAAGAAGGGGAGAACGCTCCGAACACGAGTGGTACTGGAGGCAAATCGGAGGAAAGATCTACAGCATAGGGGTTGCAGAAGGGGCGGAGTTGTTGCTCAAAACATCGGTCTGGGACGTGTTGATTCCTGCTTCACCTGCAGTTACCGGAGTGGGAGACATAGCTTCTGGACTGGCCGTTTCCAAAGAAAGGCCGTTATGACCACTATGAGTGAGGCAGCCAACGCAGCAGCAGTCATTCCCACATTGGCAGCTGCCCGTCACATCAGAGCAAGCCGGCGGCAGTCCCACTGGATATTCGAGAGTATAATACTCTGAAGGCTCCATCAGCGGCTGCCCCGACGCATACTCGGACGGTGGAGATGAATAACCGTTGTTAAGGCTGTTCGACCTGGTACCCATCTCGCCGTATGACTGCACTCCAACATGCGGTGCATCATTGCTCGCACCATTCGTCACGGGGCGATTGAAATCCGTGAATGAATAATCTACTCGCGGTACACTCGGATAGTTCTCCCGTAGTGACGCACTTTGGAAACCATTGAAACCTTCCAGTGTCTGTTGACCGTCCAGGGCAACTAAGAGACCCATCTCTTGCACGTGCTGTCTCGTAGTGCTGTTAAAGGGATGGGACGCACAGCCCAGACATTGGCAGCTGTCGCCACAGGTGCAATCATGATTAGGGTCACTATCGAAAGCCCCCGGCGTTGGATTTGTGTGTGGCGTACTTGGAATGGACAGCGACAAGGCCGTTTGATTGAATCCAATGTTGGAGCTGCCGTGGTTGGAAAAGTCTGAGGAGGTCCTTGGTCGGGACAAATAATCGGGCCCATAAGCAGGAGTTCCATTCTGAGGTTGATGCAGAGTAAAGGGGTGCATGTAATGGTTTTGTCCGGCTGCATGAAAGTCTTGCCATGGAGAAAGCTGGGGGGTAGGCGCCGCTATATAAGAATTCCCATTTAGCGAGGGAGAGTATAAGTGGGCGGGACGCTCGTTTTTAACTCTTTCGCTCTGACCGTTCCTCACAGGAGAATCAGACTCTTTACAACAAGAACTTTGTGGAGGCACCTGCGACGGTGGCTGTGGCGCCCGCGAGCAGCAACTCCCAGTTTGAGATTTCGAGGTCTCCAGGGCAGTCAGTCCTTGGGGCGCAAAAGCACCTGGTATGCTACCGCCATTTCTCCGGCTGCTTGAGGAATTGGCGATGTACGGGGGCATCTTGCTTGGCGTTCCATTACTGGTCTGCGTGTTGTGGAACTCCGGGATTGAATGAAGGGCTTTTGCGATGTTCTCTGGAGCTGTTTTCACTTGTTTCCTGGATGACTTCTGGATTTTTCCTGGACCAGGGGAGGGCGTCGGGGCAATAGAAGCCGGACTCATGGTTGGAGCAGGGTCCGCTGCATCCGCTGGCACTTGATAGACCGGCCTACATAGACAAGTCGAGCCTGTAGCAGAGAATCAGTACTGGGTGACAGTCTACCATGCGATCAGGAGAAGCCACTCACCCTTTGGGATGCGAATCATAAATGCATAAGACTTCTGGCAGCTACATGTGCCTTTCGGATGAGGGCATTTCGCAAGCGGACGGCCCGCTTTGGGGACCTTCATCATCAATCGATCAAAATGCTGACATTTTGAGGAGCGATGGCCACGGATGCACGGTTCGCTAGAAAATGATATCCGTCCTGGTTAGTTGGGTGTGGTTGACAACCACTGAGCGGCATCATACCATGACCATTTAGCGCCTTCCTCGTCCAGAGGCATCGTGACAGGCGATCAATCCGATAAAACGACTGAACAAGGCAGTATCCAGCACCTTGTGGGCTGGGAGTATCGAGGGAGAAATGAGTTGCCGTCTGCTCACCTCACGACACTAACCAAAACTTGAGCAAAACGGAGGCTACTCCACCGCGACCAATGCCGTCAGATCTTAGCCTTGGCCTCCACCAACGATTATTCTTAGAAATTAGTCAAGGACCGGATAGGGGATAGACTTGAGTTTCATCAAAGAGCGGTTATGCTGCAAAAGGACCGATCCCTCAACAGACAAAACTCGAGGAGTTGTACTCGGAGTCGGAGTCGATAAGAGACGCATGAGTCTACTATGACAATAAGCTCAGCAAGCGGACCAATCGGTGTTTCACTCCGCGGAGTGAAGAATAATGGTATGATTGATGATGCGTTGACACAGAGGGGAAGGCAGAAGAGATGCTTCACCTACTCAAGCCGATTAATAACAAATACGGCCTGTATGGCTTCCCAGTAGTTCTCGCATCCATGCCCCTCCGGAAAGCAACATGCAGTGCGGGGAGAAAAATGCATGTATTTCAGTTGAGGAATGTGAGCATTGCTTTAGTAATCACATAGGCCTCAGGCAGAATGATCCTTGACACCTGGACACCTGGACACTTGAACTCGTGTTGCCTGTCTGCCTGAGGCTTGGCACCGTCGAATGTGGAAATCGACATCCACATGCAACGCCGCAGTGCTTCATCAATCACCTCCTTCGTCCGCTGTTCGTCGGCGTCTGACACGTGTCTCCGTCCGTGGTCCTTCCCAGCCACCTTCTCTCTTCGTCTCGCATTTCAATGGCCGCTGAAGGCTGTGATCCCTCCGGCCAGGCGCCGGAAAATGGGACGGTCTCGCACACCCGCGACTATTTCTCCATCCCTGCTCCGATTAAGCGCATCTTCGATCGATTTCCTCTCGTCACATACCCCTCTAATGACGTCCCTCAACGTCCAGCGACGGCCCGTCGCGAAAATGGGCTCTTTGTATTTACGGATGCTCCAGGGGCCCGTCACGGAAGACCGTCCTTCAATCCGCAATGTCTTAAGTGGCAGGTATGTCATTCGGATCGCGACAACCCACATTGACCGAGTCCCTGTTGCTTATCGGACTCTCTTTCGACAGGCATACTTAAAATTCGTTGGAATTGGCTTTAACCTCATTCCGTCAAACAACCATGCATCCCCTACCGGTGCCCTTCCTTTTCTTCTCCCCGCTCATCCCATCCAAACCAGTGCCCCAATACCGTCCAGCAAACTACAAAAATGGGCCATAGAGCAGGTACACTGCGAGGAGGAACAGCAGCTCGATGTGCGCTTTGAAGTCTATGCATCATTGCTGGACCACCGGATACGGAATGCTTGGGTGCGTGGGATAGTGCTGATGATAATTTTGCGGGACGTTTACTGACCTCCGTCGCAGTTGTATCAACTCTATCTGGACCTAGAAAACTTCAGCGCCGTAGCCCGGAGACTTTATGTGGATCCCACGACATCAAATCCATTGGTACGGGTGGCACTCTCGAACCAACTACAGCAGGCGGCGCGCGACGAGCTCTTGAAATCATCGCAATACATCGATGTCGGTGCCTTGGAGGCCGAGGCGGCAGACGCTTTCGAGGCACTCTCGACGCTCCTTGGAGATCAACTCCACTTCTTCGGTCGATCGCAACCCGGGCTTTTCGATGCTAGCGTGTTTGCATATACTCATCTAATTTTGGATAAGGAAATGGGGTGGAAACGGAACCGACTGCAACAACTCTTGCAGCAACATGAGAACCTTGTACAACATCGTGAACGACTCCTCGAATTCTTCTAGACGAAGGCGGGATAGATGGCCGCAGATATCCTACTCTGTTTGCTCGAATAATTTACTCCTGTACAGTTCTGGACTTCATTATTGCCTGACCTCCAGGATCCGAACTTAGGCCTTGAAAATCTGACAAAGTCACTCATTCATCACGCCGCATTCTTTCTAAAACAGATCCCAAACCACACCGTGACCCCAATCCATTTCCTCGCTCTCTTCCCCAGCGTCTCCGCCACATTCTCATCCACTGTCCTCTCACGCACCCGCTCCCCATTTATCTCTTCAACCATGAACCCGGCCTTCTGCGCCGCGACAACCACCTCCTCCACCGTATGAAAGTAACTGGTGGGCCGAATCTTCGTCCCCGTCGCTGTATCCACAAACCCGGCCTGGCTGATCGCTCCCATATCGGAATGCATATTCGTGACCAGCAGGTACCCCCCGTGCACCAATAACGCCGCGGCCCCTTCAAAGAACTGCTGTAGGGGAATGTGTTCCAGCACCAACGTCGAGATCACTCCCGCCGCACCCAGAGCACACTCCGGCGGCGCAGGAGGTGATTTCAACAGATCAAAAGTTTCCAGCGAAACGGAAACGTTGTCTACACTCGTCGCCGCCTTCCGGATCGACTCCCGCGCCACCTCCATCATCCCCGGCGACGCATCCAAGCCCACAATTTCGGTTCCCCGAGACGCGTGCTTAACTAGTTGCACGGTATTCCTCCCCGTACCACAGCCCAGATCGACCAGTTTCGTAGCATTTACCGAGACGACTCGATCGAGGAAGTGTGGAAGAAGTTGGCGCATCTCGATGGTATCCAGGGCTTGTAAAAAGTTGCCATCTGTATCGTAGACCTGGTTTTGATTGTTAGAATATATGATCTTCCCTTACTTATTGATAGATATCGATATAGATATAGACTATAATATCTTACCTCCGCCCACCGATTATACGCCTCCACCGTCTCCATATACTGCACCGGTCTTGACTCGGATGTATCACGAGTCATTGTAGTAATACCTAGGTAGTATTAGGTATCTGCTGTACTCACCACAAGTCCTATCTTCAGACACGGTAAATTAGTTCAAGCTCACGAGTTTCTCATGCACTAAATGATCGAGGGAGGAGGTGCGCTAATACATACTATACGAAGCTATGGTTCTTGTGGACTTTATCTAGTCAATTAGGGAAATAACACCCGATGAGTCACATCAGCATGGACACAAATATCCCGACCTGCACCGATTTACGTGTAATCAGTTATGTACCCTTGGATGATGAATCACAGTCCATTTTATGGGACGTGCATGCATTGATAATTTATTTTCCTTTATTAATGCGAACTGTAGATTTGATGTCCGCCGGGTTGCATTGTACATGTACATGTACTACTTAAGGAGTATTTCTTGCAGTAATGTAAACGGTGGGAAGGCCATTCAGTCGCGCTATTGTCGCAATTCTGGGACACCAGGAAACATAGTATAAGTGTTGAAGGTTGATTCCATTCTACATGATCGGTCGATATTGGAGGTCATTCTCTCAGACGGTCAGAAACATGGGACATGAGACATCAAGGGACTCGTAAGTCATATGAAAGAAAGACATGAGAACAGGGTAAGAACTACAATGCCAAAAGCCGTACCAGACGGTAGAAGAATAACAAGTAAAAGAAAAGAAAAGAAAAAAAAAAAAAAAAAAAAAAAAAAAAAAAAAAAAAAAAAAAAAAAAAAACAACTCGAGAGAGGCGAAGGAGACAATCACACAAGGGAATCACGGGAATCAAGTGAATCAGAACCATAGGTAAAGACATAGGCAACCCAGCCAACAATCCATACAACACTCCATCGCTGAATATGCAGAAATCAGACAAGACACAAATCAATCGACGAGACACGGTCTTGCTAGCAGACCGTCGCTCCAAAGGGCGCAGTTTCCTTGAGATCCTCCACTAGGTCCTCCACATTGTTTAGGTATCTCCCTAACAAGGTTTGCTTCTCATCTGTCGTGCGCGTATCTCGGTGCCCCTTCCCATGGGTCTGGGAAGAAGTGTGGACGCTTCTCGACGCCGGGGCCGCAAGCTTCGTTGGACTGCGCTGATGGCCCGCCATCGCAGTATTAGGCGCACTGACCACCGCGCCAGTCAGAATCAGCGGTGTTTCCGGCATCAGATAGAAGTATAAAAATTCCACCAATTTGAGCTTCACTTCGCGCGAGGTTGCGCGCTGTTTGAAGAGCGACGTCACAGTGAGTAGCCCATCAAGTTCCTCAAACGTGCGGGTATTCGCCGGATGGTCCAACAGGGCAGTTACCAGAGTGAGGAGGGTCGCGGACTGGATGGCTGGGCAGTTGATCGGATCCAGGAGGTCAAGCAGCAGATTCATGTAGATTTCTCGCGCAAATAGTGTCCTCGACGGAGGGTGGAGAAGAAGTGCGCCCTGGATTAAGTCGAGGGTGGAGACAATGAGTAGGTCGTTGGTGCCATTACTTCCTCGGCCAAGGAGGTGCTCCAGGCACGCTACCAGGCGCATTGCCACTATTTCAAGCTCGTCAACATCGGAAGCGTTGGGTAACCCACCAAGATTCTCGAGCGCTCAGGTAACACTTACCATTCCATTGGAACCCTTCTTGTAGTTTGAAAAATTCTCTGAAAGCGGGGTCGTCTTTAAGCTCTACCAGGGCCTTGGGAATTGGTTGTGGAGCTCCGAAGGATAGTAGCGACCTCCGTTTGTCAGACGGCGGCTGTTTCGACTTGGATAAACATATCTGTGCGAGAAGACCTTCGACCTGGCGTAATCCCTTGCGAACTTTGCTTGGCTCGTACGAGGAGAGGTAGTCAAACGAATGCGCCAGCAAAGTCTCCATTTGGGGGGGGGGGGGAGGGAAATCTAAATATGGACGGGGAAGCAGTGATAAATGGAGATGTGATGGGTAAGAATGCGAAGATGAAAGGTAAAAGGGACGGAAAAAGAAAAAGAGACCTATGAAGCTTGGCCCCTTTGCCAAGAGGAAATGACGGTGTTTGTTATTCGAAGAGAGAAAATTAAAAAATAGAACACGGTCCAGGTCCAGCCAGCCCTGGGATTCTCAGGGTCCTCATTTAATTGCAATTTATTCACGATACGCAATAACCGAGTTGAATAAATAACCCTTTGACCGGAGCCGGAGTACTCATCTTCCACTGGATCATGCTAGCAGACGAACTAGTGGGCGATTAGTGTTTCGATTCCCCACATCCAGCAGGGACACATGCGATTGTTGCCTGGGAAACGACCGGCTATCCTCGTAGGGACGCGATTCGAAACAACGGATTCGTTTAGAGGCACAGGCTGGTGCTGTCAGAGTCTGCCGCGCCACATTCTCCAGGCCCAAAAGCGTCCAGGTGATATCGTCCGTAGTCTGTAGTTTATTATCCCACCATCAAGCGCTGAGTGTGACGCCGGCCCGGAGACTGCACCCTTAGACCCGGTGTGACCTTGCAGATTCGCTTATCTGTGGCACTGTGGAAGCTCGATGTTCCATCCCGGCTGAACTCGTCGGAGTCCGGAGTATATCTAAAATTCTAGATGGGTTGGGGGTGGATCGATGCAACCGTCATCATCCATAGCGTCTTGTCTTTGTGATGTCCTCACGTGATCGGCATGAGACCAAAGAGCCCCGCATGAAGCCTGGGAATGCTGAAGGACGTTATTTAACCGTCGCTTGTTTTCTCTAGCTGTCTCTGACTGTCCCAAGGACCTAGGTCGTGATTGATACCAGACTGTCTGTTTCCTCCCTGCTCCGATCCGAAGGAAGGAACGGCTGATAGAACTCGTCATGTCGTCTTCGGAATCGTCCGCTTTCCAACCCCCCACATCGATCCCTCCACGCACGAGCTCAGCTAGTATGACCAACATCGTTAATGCGCATCCATATGTAGCGAAAAAAATTAATGGTCTGATGTCGATTCCGGAAACAGGTCGACAGTCGCCCTCCGGCGACCCTCTTCGCACCAACATGGACGTCTCGCGCGGACATACGCGCAACCTGTCTAGCGTGGATGGAACGAAGTACAAGGATGGCCAGTGGTCCCAAGAGAACGAGAGAATCTTGATGGGGCCATACGACTATTTGGTGCAGCATCCGGGAAAGGACATCCGACGGCAACTCGTCAATGCTTTTGATGCATGGCTCAAAGTTCCCTCAGAGAGTCTTGCAATCATTAATAAGGTGGTGGCGATGCTCCACACAGCTTCGTTGCTGTACGTTTACGTCCCCATTTGACAGTGTTTTGCACAGTGGATGATGCTAATACAATACGCTGAATGGGTAGGATTGACGACGTCGAAGACTCTTCTATTCTCCGCCGTGGAATACCCGTGGCACATAATATATTCGGCACCGCTCAAACTATCAACTCGGCAAATTATGTTTATTTCTTAGCTCTACAGGAAGTGCAGAAACTGAATAATCCTAACGCGATCAATATTTATGTACAAGAATTGTTGAATCTGCATCGTGGTCAAGGGATGGATCTCTTTTGGCGGGATACGCTGACATGCCCCAGCGAAGAGGAGTACCTTGAGATGGTGGGGAATAAAACCGGAGGTCTGTTTCGACTAGCAGTGAAGTTGATGCAAGCCGAGAGTAGCACCGGTAGGGATTGTGTGAACCTCGTCAACGTGATGGGGTTGATATTTCAGATCTGTGATGACTATCTCAATCTATCCAATACCACTTACACCAAGAATAAGGGCCTTTGTGAGGACCTGACCGAGGGAAAATTCTCGTTCCCCATCATACATAGTATCCGCTCAAACCCAAGAAATCATCAGCTCATCAACATTCTCAAGCAGCGGACAAAGGATGAAGAAGTCAAGTTGTATGCGATAAGCTATATGGAGGGCACGGGTAGCTTCGCGCACACGCAGGATGTGATCCGGGACCTGCGCCAGAAGGCGTTGGTGCTCATTGACGAGATCGAAGCTAGCGGGACTGGCAAGCGCCCCGAGGGCCACGACGACGGTGCAATGGTGCGAGCGATTCTCACCAAAATCACGGATTCCGCGTTAAACCCCCATGGGTCCGGCAAATAAACTGGGCCCTGTTCTCTCGATTTCGTCAACGAACCAAGTATAGAAAGAGACCCTGCCTTGTCCCTTTTTGGTATGCTTTAGACTGACGATGACGATGCTGATGACCGCGATGATTGTTTTGTTGCAACTTTTGGTAATTTGTTTAGGGAATACACTATGAAGCCAAATGTGATTTTAGTAATAGTTGCAGTCCATTCCATATCTAACAAGTTGTATCGAGCCTTTATTTTGCAGAACCGCAGGGAAAATAGACAAAATGATAGGGCAAGGTCAAGCGCCATAGGTATAATGATCCAAAACAGTACACGAATAATCCATTCATACTCCAGAAAGGCAAGGATATAGTATCATCTACATGCAATACACCACTAGTCGACCCGTCAACACCCCCCAAAAAATAGACATATACAATCAAACTACATGACCACGCAGCAGGCCTTTTCCAGCTTGCGTAAGACACGCGGAAGGATCGCGTTGACCATCTGCTCCACAGGATCTTGTTGCTGTTGCTGTTGCTGTTGTTGCTGCTGGTGATGTGGTTGGTGATGGGGCTGTTGGCCGGGATACTGCTGATGAGACGGGGTATAACCACTCTGGGCCATATCGGCCGGTCCACCAGTAAGGTTGACGTGGATCCGGCCGGCGTTCTCTTCGGTGGCATATTGGAGGCCAAGTTCGCGACAGACTTGTTCGACACGGGGTTTGATCTTTTGGACGTGGTTGGCAGAGTGATTCCCTTTTCCGACGATTCTGGAGACAAGTAACCAAAGTCAGTCAGTCTCTAAACATCCCACCCAAACAGGTCCTCAGTAGTACCTGGGTACCAAGGAGTATTGGGCCCGACTCACACGTGAAGATGCGTCTGTCCATGTTCCCGAGCATACTTGATTCGCTGTTCCAGGATCTCCTCCGCTTCCTCCACGAACTGACCATGCAGATCGATAGTATCGGGTTCTACGCGCCCGTTGGCGTTGTTCTCTCGGAAGATAAATTCGGATGCCTGGCGATTGAATTCCTCCATTTTGCGACCGTGAGCTTTGCCCTGCTCCGACAGTTCCTTGGCCAATGCGCCATCGCCATTGCTATATGCTTCTTGCGACTATTAATTAAGAGAGGGAACCCCGTTAGCCCTCTGATATTGTCTAGTTCTTTTCTTTTCTTGAGGAGAAAAGGAGGATGAACGAGCGGCGCCGGTGACTGGCGAGGATGGGGAAAACCGCACCCGTTGGAAACATGAATTGCGCTTGGAGGCTTCCTGTCTGGCCTGATCACGGAGACGATCATATTCTGCTTCCGCATCGCTGCTTTGCTCATGGTTGAAGGCTGTGGTTGGAAAACCGTAGAGTTAGAGAGGAGAGGGATGGGGATGAAGGATTGATTGAGTTCGCACCCCGAGGACCCATGTATGACATCTCGTGCATTTTGGTCGACTAATCCAACGAGGAAAATATATGATACATATAAAGGAATAATACTGGCCGGTCTTATAAGAGGGAGGGCCGAATGGTACAATGTAATCAAATTAATCGTATTAGGAAGAAAAAATGTATGGAAAGGAAGAAATATCGGATCGGCGATCGGAGGCGGCCTGCGCTAAATTTGATGGGACCTGGTTCATACTTAATTTCACCATCGACCATCCGCGGTTCGCGCAGCGATCCGTCGATGATTTTCTCCTTGACATTAACACGGATTTGATAGCTCGTAGATATACACCTGTCATTTCGAGATGTTTTCCTGGGTGATGAGAAGTTGCGAGGCTTACATCAACAGTTGACCCATGTTGTGAATTTTATCTGACTGTTCCACCTCGATTGCAGAAGGAAATCGATAGTGCCCCAAGGGAATGGATAAGACAGTTCCACTACGAGCCATGGGCTTGATCCTTGCAAATCCCCTTCCTCTAGTGCATCCTGAATAGCAATCTTCAACTGTAGTACATAAGAGACTAGCAGTGATACTACTCTCATATGGAGGCGGATTTCTACCTCATGATCGTTGAAATTGGCTCTTTGTTTCCGAGAAGCACTATATCTATGTCTCTCCAGATGAAGTGCTAGTGATAAGAAAGCCGCCAGAATAACCCAGCATAACAGGCTCGTTAGAGATAATTTGATTAGCTGGATTAGTTCCGCACATTCGATCCAATCTGGATTGCGTAGTCGTATTCTTTTGAGTGATCGGCCAGCGTAATTCATCTACATCCAGTCGCATCGTATACTAAACCTGCCCGACTGTATTCGATTCTCAGTCCCAGAAAGACAGATATAGGGAATGTAACAGGAAGAGATTGGAGCAATAGATGGAATTGGGGGGGTTATGAAATATGTGTTAAGAAAGCTGAGTAAACTGCCTCGGCAAGGATGTAGAAGCGTTCTGCAGCGTAGATGAAGTGTTGCCGACATCTCGGCAAAAGAAAACCCTGAAATGACACGCACTCATAATATGGCACATGCCAATACTTAACAATGTTCAACGATCATGTAACTAACCGATCGTTATGACAAGCAGTTCGAATGACGATAGCGCCAGTGTATGCTCAATAGTCGTATTCAGGACCCATAACGGGGAAGAATCTGATTTGAGATGACATACAGGCCGTATGATGGGGCTACTCCGTATTTCTAAGATTAATATCCACGAGGCCCAGGGGAAGACAAAAAGGAGATGCAGACTAAAAACACTAGACGGTGGAGAGGTCTGTCTCTAGCTCCATCGCAGAGCCATGAACGATGCATTCAATGGTACGATCGCGCGAAGCGTCCATGGAAGAAAAGAAGCACAATGGAACCCCGATGGAACACTAGCCCGAGATTCTGCGGGAATCATTGTTTCCTTGTGGGGTAGTTTGAATTCAACAGTTGCAGAGTAAGTCCAGTTGGACTTTGAGACAATGCCATGCATCGTCTCAGCCTTCCGCGTCTTGGATCGGAACATTCACATTTCTTTTACCTGGCTGTAGGGCCTTTTTATTGTGCGGAGAGATCGACGACGGTTTCGTGGAGATATCCAGTTGACCAGACGGAGAACAGAAGTACAGGAATCGAACACTCCCAGTGTCCAAATAATTTTATCTACTCCGTACACAGAGTAACTTAAGACGGAGAGTAAGGACAGCACTGAACGATACAAAACGACGGTACTACCTACCATGCACGTGGGAAAAGCAACCGGATGGATAGATGTCATATCCATCATCTCCCATTTTCTTAGTTCTTCTGGAATTCACATGGAACCTACCACCACCAAGGGGAAAAATGCACTGCTTTTGACGACGCCAAGTAAGTACATACTTGCCAGGTGCCTGGCGATCAGACGCTGAGCGTACTGTTCAATCTCCACTAGTGGCGGCACTTGAAACTGGAGATGTTGAATTGTTAAATTGCTTCCTTGCAGACCAATGGCATTTTGGTAGCCTTGTGTCACTGACGTAAAAAAAAAAAAAACGGAGAAAATTATTTGACAGTCCACGTTCCAATGCTTAAGGTACGTACGGAGTATTCTACTAGGCTTACTCTGTACTTATTTACTGTTAAGATAGAAGGCATGACTTCATCTGGCCTAAGCAAGGTAGCCCAGTACTATGACTTTGTCGATCAGTAGATCTGCATGATCCGGAAATTAAACCATGCCAATGAGCATTAATCATCAGACATTTGCAGAGAGTTCCCTGTCAACTCATCACCTGGCGCTAAACGCTCGCTCCCCGTTTGTCCCTGACGTCTCGTATCGAGACTGTATCTGTCATCAATAGCCTAGTAACTATAGCCTCAACGGATTACAGTAGGTACGGAATAGAAGAGTTGGAGTACATAGGCATAACGATCCCTCTTGGCCTGGCTGGAGAAGGATCTATTCCCCTGGCACGTGTAGGAAATATCGTTACATGCTACCCCATACCTAGGTAGCACTTACCTTAGTCTCCAGGTAGTAACTCCCTAAAGACCTACTGGTACATGAACCAGGATGCTTTAATAGAAATAATAAGCTCAGGGCCACTCATCGAAAAGGGGATGGCCGTTGGAATATTGTCATTGGACCACCCAGCGGGACCGGCCCACCATCACCCCTTACCATACCACCAATTAGGTAACATAAGTGGCCTAGTTAGACCCATTCCCGAGCCAGCACCCCACCACCCCCCTATTGACGATCCAGTAGGAATATGGTTATCGTTCCAGAAAAGAAGGACGACGGACGAGTCCCCTCTCGTCACTTTTTTCCCATTTCCAATCACTTGGCTGCTGGTTGAGTTCCCGGCTATTTCTCTCTCCCCTCCCATTAGCTTTTCTGGCCTCCCAAGTCCAGCGTGGTTTCGTTACTGACGGACAGGCTTCTATCACGCCCCTCTTTCCCAGTCCTTCGCCCCTTGCTAAGCTTATCCTGGTCACTCAGCCTCTCGCTTTCTCTTCATCTTTCCCTCCCACTCCTGTCTCTTCCTCATCTCTCCCTCCCTCCCTTTCCTTCTCACCCCCGAACTCTTTTTTCTTCAGGCAATCCATCTATTCTCGTGGATTGCGCTGGTCAGACGCCTAATCGGAGTCTCTATACATCTTTTTTTCCTTCCTTCGTTTTTTAAATTTCTTGTTCTTTTCGGTTTTCGTCTTCCCGCACTTCCGTGTTTCTGGAGGTGTATTACTGTTTCACCTTCGCCTCCTTTCCGCCCAGCCTACTTACGCGCCTGTATTTCATTTTTTTACTCCTTACCTCCTCCCCGTTTTCCTGACGGTCGCTTGGCCTTTCTGTAATATCATCCGCCATTGCGTTCGATTCCCAAAATTCCTTCTTTCGTATCCAAGTAGGTAATTGATCGTGTCCTACGTGGAAGAAGACTCTGTGTCCAGTAAGTCATCCTTCTCTCTGTACCTCTTTTCGATGTTCTTTTGCCGCCCGTCTCCCTGTCCATCCAACGAGGCTGGATGGGTCGGCTGAACCTCCTTGCTTCCGCACGATCATTTGGTTTGGAGACAAGGCTGTCAGCTTTCATTTTTGGTTGTCGCTTTTACATCCGTGGCTCTCCCGTGTTGTGTCACGTTCAGAGATGCCAAGTGCATACTGTGGGAGATCGCAGTCCACGGAGAATTCCTTTTGGCTGACATCTTCACCCTTGGCAGGCTTGTATCCAACTGAGAGACATTCTCATCGACCACCGTTCCTCGAATCTTTTGTCACCACCTTTCGAATACTTTCATTGAACTACCGCCAAGATGGGTTGTGGAATGAGCACTGAGGATAAGGAGGGCAAGGCCCGCAATGAAGAGATTGAGAATCAGCTCAAGCGGGACAAGATGATGCAGCGAAATGAAATCAAGATGCTTTTACTCGGTATGCATTCCCACTTGGCTTTCAGGAAGGGGACAGATGAACAATAAAATAAAATAAAAGAACGTTTTATGAACTGGTTGGTTAACTGAATACCCATAGGAGCTGGAGAGTCGGGCAAATCGACCATTCTCAAGCAGATGAAGCTGATTAACGAGGGTGGATATTCGCGCGATGAACGGGAATCCTTCAAGGAAATCATCTACAGCAACACGGTTCAGTCGATGCGTGTCATCTTAGAGGCAATGGAGTCGCTGGAACTTCCGTTGGAGGATGCCCGTCATGAATACCACGTGCAGACCATCTTCATGCAGCCTGCCCAGATCGAAGGTGACAGCCTACCCCCTGAGGTTGGTAATGCTATTGGGGCACTTTGGCGTGATACGGGTGTGCAGGAGTGCTTCAAGCGTTCCCGCGAATATCAACTGAACGACTCGGCGAAATAGTGAGTGTGGTCGATCATCTTGTCGTGGATCGTCGTATTGGCTAACTGGCTTCCAGCTTTTTCGATGCCATCGAACGAATTGCTCAGCCCGATTATCTTCCCACGGACCAGGATGTTCTCCGCTCCCGTGTCAAGACGACGGGTATCACGGAGACCACCTTCCTTATTGGTGATCTGACATACCGGATGTTCGATGTCGGTGGCCAACGCTCTGAACGTAAGAAGTGGATCCACTGTTTCGAGAATGTGACGACCATCCTTTTCTTGGTTGCCATCTCGGAGTATGACCAGCTTCTGTTCGAAGATGAAACGGTCAACCGTATGCAGGAAGCGCTCACCCTGTTCGACTCTATCTGCAACTCGCGGTGGTTCGTGAAAACTTCGATTATCCTTTTCCTGAACAAGATCGATCGGTTCAAGGAGAAGCTCCCCGTCAGCCCCATGAAGAATTACTTCCCCGACTACGAGGGTGGTGCCGACTATGCCGCTGCCTGTGATTATATCCTCAACCGCTTTGTGTCTCTCAACCAGGCGGAGCAAAAACAGATCTACACGCACTTCACTTGTGCCACCGATACCACACAAATTCGGTTCGTCATGGCCGCAGTAAATGGTAAACTTCTCATCTCTTGCACTTGATTTCTTAGCCCACATGAAACTAACATACTATTTCAGATATTATTATCCAGGAGAACCTCCGACTGTGTGGTTTGATCTAATGATTGGTAACAATGCGGATGTCTCGACATTTAGACCGGATGCTACATGGCTTTGTAATCTTTTTGGTTGGATGTGTTCGCCATATATGGTCGCATTTTCCTTTTTCTATTTCTTTTTCTCTCTTAAAGATACCGGCGTTCAGACATTCACTTGTCTATTTTACTAATTGTTTTTTATTTCCTTTGTCTTGAAATGATATCTAGCCAGCTCTTTGTTATCAGCATTACCGATATCCATCTATGACACAGAGCAGGAGTTTTCCTTTTCATTCCTCGTTTCATCCGATTCTGTTCCGTCAGGACAGCCGGTTGTCTGTGGACTTAAGCAGGCCCTTCAGGCCCTGTGTTTTATGCCCCCGCCCCCCCCCCCCCCTTTTTTTTTCCCCCTCCTGCGTGGTCCTTTGAAATGCTTATGTTGTTTGGTTCCTTTCTGTGTCCCGATTACCCAACTCTCTCATTCTGGCCTTTGCTTTTGCCGTTTTCTTACGGTTTTGCTTTTCAAGCTGGATATCCCATCACCTCTTGGTACCCTCGCCACCAAACTTGTGTAGTCCTACATCACGCATCTTTCCTTGGTCTGATGTGCAGCGGGTACCATGTCCGACGACGGGGCCATGGGCACGGGGAACGACAGGGTACATGGATTATCATGTCTTTCTCATGTGTCATGCCGGGTCATCATCAAAGTTTAAGGACTTTGAAATATTTACATCTGCTTGCTTATAGCCATCGCATCGCCTTTTCTAGATATCAAATGCCGTAAGGCCTTATTTGTAACTTTGTAAAACACATTGGTATCTCGGTAACAAGCGCGCTGTCGGCTGTCAAACGCCAAAAACTCCGACGGCATCCTGGCCGACATACGTTGATCTAGAATCTCAGCTTGGGTCCCAGGAACACAATGAGCACCGCTACAAGCCACAAGCCTAGAATCCATGTAAACAGTATCATCCGCCCCCACCATCCTTTCCCCTCCGTCATACGCCGTAGCATGCCCATCCTCCGTTCCGCCGCCTCCATATTGGCCGTGGTGCGATCCAGTCCGTCCACCGCCCGCGCCAAAACTGACTTCTCCGACTCCAGAGACGCTTGAAACGCCTGCGAGGAGGATTTCAGCTGGCTAGCCAGTGACAACAGCGAGCTGGTCAGATCTTCTTGCTCAGCGCGATGTGTCGACAACGTCTGCTCGGTTTCTCGAACTTTGGAGCCACTCGGGGAAGACATATGCTCCGATCCGGTTGCTATTGCTGTTGCTGTTGCTGTCGCAGTTGATTCGCGGTCCGTGCCGGTATGACGGTTCCGTAACGTAGCTGGGGGCGAAGGTGCTGTCGATTCGGGACCTGTTGTTGAGGGCGGAGATGTATTAGTCAACATGGGTGCTATCGATGACACATTTAGTCCAGCTCTCCCCTCCTCCACATCCTCTTCTTCTCTTCCTTCTTCCCGTCGCTCCTCTCCCGTGCTACTCTCCGCAGGCGTACCGAGGAGACCCTCCCCATCGAGGGATAAAGACTCAACGTCATCGTAGTCGTCCGTCTCTTGCTGTAGAGGGTGAACAGTGGCCCGCACGTCCGCCTCGGCATTGATCTCCTCCAGAATATTCTGTAGACGTTTCAGCGTCTGTCGGTTCCGCGATAGTTCGGTCTGGAGGTCGTGGCGTCGATCCAGCGGTTTGAGGTGTGGGATGCTGCGCTCAAGAGATTGGAGGTGGGTGCGGGCGTATTCAAGATTCTGGTAGTCCATTTGTTAACACTCTAGTTATCTTTTCTTTTATCTACCGATGAGTAGAGTAGAATCGAATTGAGTAATGATGGATAACATATAGTCTCCCAGATATGAAAGAAAACGGACAAGTCAAGCACATACCGCACCAACCCTCAGTCGCTGATATTCTGACTGACGGAGCGAAGAAAGGTCCGCGGCCGACGAGATGAGATTATGTTCCAGACGGGCGAAGAGACGGGAGAGACTGAGGACAGCGAGGTCGGAGTCGCTACTTGGAGATAACGAGGGATACGTTGTTATCGTCATTCTGATCTGGGTCAATTTGGGGAGGAAGGGAGGTGAGGGGGATGAGTGGTCAGTTAGGCATGAATGAATGAATGAATGGATGGATGGTGGAATGCATGTATGCCATGTTGGAACCGTTGGAGTACCTGATGAGTCAGCAGCCACCTTCCTTGCACAACTACGTAATTCAAACAGTTAACAATTGTACGTAGATATCTTCAGTTGGTCACACGTCAGAGCCTCAATCTCACGGTGCATGATCACTTCGATACGACTCAGATGACGATGCAGCGTGACTACTAAATCAAGAGGATCAATACCGTAATGAGACATTCTCGTGGATTGATGAGGCGTTGATTTGCCACTGTTAATAAAAGAAACCGTACTGGGCAATGGCTCAAGGCTTCTTCGATCTTCTACTAGGTAACAGCACTTACTAAGTACGTCGATTCTTGCTATTGGAGGGGTCTCTTAGACACTGGGCAAAAAGGATGAGGCTTATGCTGACCCAGAATTCCAGATATACTACTAAGCAAGTGGCCGGGGGGAAGACCTCGCCACTAGAAAAAGCCTTATTCGCTAGGCGAATTTCCATATCATAAACAGCCAATATCATCAATCGTCAACCCAAGCCAGGAGGAGTAAGTATGTATATCGTCCTCGGTTAAAAAGTAAACAGTCCGCCACCTAGTTTTAGGCATCATCATTCATAGCATGCGCCCTCTTGCTCGCCCGAAAAAATAATAAAAAAATAAAATTCAAAGACAGGATCATAGTGGCAGTTCACCATGTCAGCCTCAGAGGTTGGATGTATAAGCAAAAAGGAAAGCAGACACGCACAAAAGAATAATAAAAATGGAATATAATAGAAAATATCCATCAGTGGTACTCAACCATCATTCGTTTCCATGTTCGTACACGCTCGTCATCTACATCGTAGAGATATTGGACTGTCTGACTTCGCTTCTGGACCGATTGGACCCCCTCTGAACCGGACAGGCCGGTAAACTCTTCTGGATCGCCTTCTATACGCCACCCTGTCGGTGAGAGGGCAATTTGCTGCGGATCTTCGGACCCGCGACGAGATGCATCAGATCCTCCGGAGATCGAGCCTGAGCGATAGGAGCTCTCATTCGTGTCCGAAGTAGCTGGACGACTAGTACCGCCCGAGCTAGTGGCAGACGAGCCAAGGTAGGCTGTAGGGGTCTGGTCCTCTGGATATGATTGCTTGTTGCCATCACGGCGCTCCCGGCCTAGAACTGCAGCGAGATAGCCACTTGATGGCAAAGGAGCCAACTGAGACAAAGGCTGCAGGATATCACAGGCTGAAGGGAATTTGGTAGTAGCATTGTAGGATGGGTCTCTGAAATAGGGCGCCTCTTTGCCCACTGGCTGCTGCTCTTTGCCACCAGACATGTCTGGCGAAGAAGGCGATGGATCCATTTGCCTCTGTGACGGAGCGAACCTGCCCTGCGGTTGTCGTCGGATGCGCTGGACAAGGACTAGGATACAAAGGATGCAGGTGACAGGAAAGGTGATTCCAAACGAAAGGGTTTGAAGATTTTGGGAAACGGCCAAATCGTCATTCTCAAGGCCCATCGCCTATGTCTCTAGCCCCCTACTGGAAGGAGGACCTCAGTTCCCCGTTCTCCAGTCTGTAAATACTGGATTCTCAGTTCGACTGAATGCCGACTTGGGTTCGTATAGAGCTGTGCGCTGCTATGGCCGTTGATTCGGTATTGATGGCCAGTTGGAGATACAAATATTCAAGCCTGGAGGGGGGAAGTGAGAGAGAGAAGAAAGGGAGAGAGATAAGACGTATAGTGGAATAAAATAAAACCCAAAGGATCAAGAGGATGGTACGTATAGAGATTAAGGTGGTATGGTTGAATGGGTCTGGTGATAAGGGAAGAAATGGCAGGGGATCTTTATAAACCACCAGACAAGGCCCAGAATCGAAAGAAATAACCTCGCGTCTCAAGAATCAGTCAGGCAGAGAAGGACTTCACCTTCGCGTCTCCACCATGCAGGGACACATTGTACACAAACCCGGTGGGTTGGAGTCATTTTTTGTAGCACACCGGCCATCCCTGCTAGAGGTCAGAGAGGGCGAGGGGAGGTCAGTCCAGCTGCGTCATGATCAGCCACGAGAGCTTATACAGTGGGCGAGAGCCCACGAGAATCAATCCCAACCGTAAAAGCATCGCGATCATAGGACCAGGGTGGGCGAAGAATTCGGGAAGGACGTCTCCAGACCAGGCGAGTTCAGCTCAAGCTGGTGCGCCACCACTAACTAAAGAGCTAGCAGGAGTTCGTTAGGGCATACCAAGTAGAGGCACCCGTATGTACCGTACCGTCCATACCATACAGAAACATCGTATTATTCGATCTCAGGTGACTAGCATCAATTATTCTCTCATTCTCTCTCCCCCTCAAAACTTTTTATCTATCGTGCATATCAATTGTCCATTCCCATCTCAGCTCAGCCATTCCCAGATCGACTCCTCCGTCCGCGTCCATGTAGATCCCTCTCCTCCACTGTTCGCATGGACCCGACAGGATTACCCGGTGGAGCATCAGCTCGCCATGCCATGGGTTCGTTAATAATGGTATTTTAGGCCCTAGCAACCGTTGTGACACTTAATCTACCCTGTACCCCATCCCCTCTTCTATTCCCTCGAGACATCAACTCTGACGAGATCCGGTGTTTCTAGTTCCCAGTCTAGCGATTGTATGTGCCGCCGTTGGCTTGGGGTTTGCTCTTCTTTATTGGACCTCTTCATCGGGTTGATTTGTCTAATAGGTCTTCTCAGTGCAAATCCGCAGCCTAATAATCTAAGAGACTAAGAGGACTATATCTCTTGTCGCCTCTCGACCCAACAACCGGGTCCCTCCAACGCATGCCGTCGATCGAAAAGAAGTTTATGTCAATTCCCAATACAAGAAAGAACGACCCGCCAATGTCCTCCGTAGGGCTTGAAATTGGACGGGATCCAGTCGAGAGATTTATGAGGCCAGAAGCATCAGAAAAGCCGATAAGCTCATACAGAGAAAAAAAGAAATGAAAATTTCTACAGAATGTGACCTATAGCTTGGCGGTGATTCCATCCGTCTGCAGTTCCTTTTTGGCCCGCTCTCGAAGCTCCTTTCGTAAGATCTTGCCAGATGGATTCTTGGGGATCGCGTCGATGAAGACCACCCCTCCGGTAATCCGTTTGATTGCTGACACTTTCCCCTTCATGAACCCCACAATATCGGCTGCCGTGGCAGTTTGATCAGGCTTCAATACAATATATGCCCGAGGACGTTCATCGCCATTCCTATTCCACCACGCCCAATGCATTAGCCGGTTTTCCAGTCGACGACGTCTTCTAGAAGGGAAATGTTTGGCGACTTACACTAGCGCACCGATCACTGCAGCGTCCGAAACTGCAGGGTGCTCCAATAGAAGGGCCTCTAGCTCGGCGGGCGCAACTTGGTTGCCCTTCACTTTGATCAATTCCTGACAAGGACTGTCAGCGTACGCACAAACCACACCACTCATTTTTATCTTCTGTATATCCATGTAACAAGGGTGCTCGCCTCACCTTCTTCCGGTCAACTACATGGAATCTGCCCTGATCATCTACCACAGCAATATCTCCCGTTTTGAGCCAACCATCCGCGGTTTTGATCTCCTTAGTTGCTTCTGGGTTCCGCCAGTAGCCCTTCATGACATTCTGCCCGCGAACCCAAAGCTCGCCGCGCTGGTTCCGTCCTAGCTCCGTGACTCCATCTTCGGCCATGATCTTTGCCTCGCAGTTGGCGTTCGGTTCTCCAACCGATGCCGAATGGCATTTTTCCATCGGATTCCAACCGAGCAGTGAGCAGGTAGTCCTACGAAAGAGATCTCGCACGTTAGCTTGCGTCTTCTTTGCCGCCGGGCGAGTCCTGGCGTGCAAGGAAAGACAAAACATACTCCGTCATCCCATATCCCTGTTTGATATTTATGCGTCCCGGCTCCCATAGGGCCTCGACCTCGTCGCAGACCTCTCTGCCCAAGGGTGCTGCGCCGCTAGAAACCGTCTCGACGCTACTCAGGTCGTATTTACCACTTCTGACTGCAGGGTGTTTGGCCAACGCCACAACCACGGGTGGCACCAGAATGAGGTCCGTAATTCGAAATTTCTCGGTGTATTCGAGCATTTTGATGAAATCAAACTTGGGCATGATATACACTGGCACCCCTCGTTTCAACGCACCCGCGATGAAAATGTTCTGGGCCATCGCGTGATACATTGGCAGGAAACAGAGCCATCGCGCCCTGGCCGCCTTCGATTTCCACTCCGGATTAAGATAGAAAAGATAGTTGTACTGCAAGACGTTGGAAACATAATTCTTGTGTGTGATCTCCACCCCTTTGGGCTTTCCCGTGGTACCACTCGAATAGTTGAGAGCCATAGTGCGGTTGGTCTCTTCGGGCGTTGACAGATCATCCCAGGCATATCGACTTCCCTCGTCAACGGACGCTATGAGCTCTCCCCAGTAGCGACAGCCGTTCTTGGCTTCGCCCTTCCCATCAAAGACAGCGTTATTGAACACGAAAACACGGTCCCGGGTCATCCCTGCCAGCTGGGCCGCTTCGATACCCGTGTCGAAACTCCCCTCGGCGCAAATCAGGTATGTTGCCCCACTATCTTGTAATTGAAACGCCAGCTCTCTGGCCACGTAGGTGGGATTGGCCCCGGAGAAGATCCCTCCTGCCATAACGACGCCCAAGAAGACGACGGGAAAGAACAAATCATTGCCGGAGTATAGAACGACGCGGTCACCCGGTTGGAGGCCGGATTTCCTCAACCCAACCGCAAACCTTTGACACCATAATCGGAGATCATGTGTCGTAAAGTAATGAGTGTCTGGCCTCGCAGCCTCGGAATAACACCGATGGGTCTTGGAGAGAGGATGAGTAGGCGAGTTGAACACGAGAGACGCCAGATGAGTATCAGGAATATCAATCTGCCAACGGGATTTGAATATCATTGTGACAAGGACTATCCAATATCAAACTGGACAGGAAATTGAATCCCAATGGACGGTCTGGAGGCGAGATAGATATATATACTTTTGCAGAATTGACGTAATAATCGCCCGGAAAACAGGGAAACTAATATATGAAGTCGTCCGGATGCATAAATCCGTCGTAAAATCAAAAGGGCGAATTGAAGAAGCTTTCTAATCTTTCGAATCTTAGTGATGCTCTCCCCCGCAATCCTGCGGCTATTGCATGCCAATCATCCGAGGGCCAACCAACAGCCGACCTCGGGATTAACCCATTGGTGCTTGTCCATTCCATAGCTCGACGTTTGGTAAATATAAATCTGCCGGGGGATAGAGAGGGGAATCAGGTCATGGTTTCTTTTTGGTCACAGGATCATCTCATCTCCTAAACTAGGATCCTACTCATCTGCTTTCGGTAATGTAACGGGCTCGATAGGTTTACTCGGAAGTATGAGATACAAAGATTGGAAGCATAGACAGAGTAAGAGTGCACTGGTTATATTCTCTTGTCTTTAAAATTAATTTTCTACATCCGTCCCATCCGCAAATCCATGCGACGTATTGAAAAATAGGGGAAAAAAGTAAATACTCTGAACTTGGTAGCATTATTATCATCATTATTCGGCCTCCTCTCCCCCCAGACAGACAAGCACTGCCTGTAATTCACCCACGATTTTCTCTTCGAGCCGGTTCTCCGCTCCCGAGGTAGCATGTACCGGCTTCTGTCGTACCAACTCCACCTCCTTATCGCCGATTGCCACGATGCGGGCACGGAGATTCGATCGGCGCTCGAGCAGCTCCTCAATGTCTTCCTTGACTTGACCCTTATCCCACTTCAGTTCCTGGATCGCTTCCCCATCCACCCCCATGCTGGCTCCTGCCTTCCGGAACTGGTTTATGATGAAGGAAATCAAGGCAAGCGAGTATGCTTCCGAAGCCATGCTCAAACATATCTTCTGGCCGGTTGTCCCAGTCGGAATGGACGTGCGTCCGGTGGCAAAGCACTCGGCTGCCCGCGTGAGCTGGCCTTCGAATTGGTTGAGGAAAGCCGCGACTTCCGGTGCAGTGCGAATAACATGGTAAAGCAGATTCAGGCACAGGGGGAGAATGCCGTTCGTCCAGATCGCATACATCCGGGGAACAGGGTCAAATGGCCCGAATCCCTTCGGTTGTCGTAGAGCATCCGTCAGTCGGCACGTGGCGAGCCTCGCCAAGACCGCCTCGACGGCGAGATGTTCGGCGAGCATTGGTATGGTAGATAGTTTTACAAGGAAGGAAATGCTCAGATCACCGTAGACGGGGTCGCCTGCTATGGCCAGTTGGTCGGCCCACGAAAACAGCGAAGCGGCATGTCGAGCTGTGTCGTTGTCGGCAATGTGATAAACCATGTGCTCGTACAAACGGTCGACATTCTTCACTTGCAAACAGCTTTGGAGTATGGCCGTGAGAATGGCAAAGTCTTTCGGCGTGCACTTCTCAGGCTGCTCATGTAAGTAAGTGGTCAAAGATTTGAACCCTTGAGCGACCACGGTTTTCACAATCTCGACGACGAACGTTAGATCGGACGATATCTCTGCCTTCTTGCTGATAGTTTCAGGCACCGTTCGTGAGGGGGAGTCAAGATGGAACTGAAGAGCGAGGAACAGGACATTGAGTAGTGATCGGTAATAGTCAGTGTCATCATTGATCAGCGCATCCTCATACGTTGCGCGGCGAGTGCGCAACGTGTCCCATACAACCCCAAGCAGGCTAAAAACTTCAGCGCCTTTCGATCTAATCTCGACAAGTCGTTGCAGCAGAGCCTGACTAAATTCTACCCGTGTCTGCTGAACCCTGTCAAATATCGCCTCTTGGGGAACGCCGTTGGTATTTGCTTCTAAACACCTCCGGACAACCAGCGCCATTGACTTCTGAACTTCGCGATCCGTCATGAAGTCCGAACAGTGTTCAATAGCAAAGAACTTCCAGCTGTGAAGAAGGCCCTGTAATGAAGAGAGAGAAGACCATTAGATATCATCCATAAGAATATTTTGTAGGTACATACCACTTGCGCCTCAACTAGAGACAGGTTCAAGTTCGCTCGTTCAAACTCTTGAGCAAACCCTTGATTTCGGGTACCTGCCCAAGCGAAATCATACGCTAGAAGCTTCTCGCCCAGATAGAGATCGTAGCAGTAATCTCGTCCCAAAGAGCGAGGCTGCAAGACTGTCCTTTTGAAGTCTACAAGTTTGCACCCGGGATACCTCATCTCAAAATTTCTTCTCAGATTGGCGTGCAAAGAGGCGTTATATCCGGAAACATCAACAGCATCCTTTGCATACCAAGACACTAGTGGAATCAGCATCTTGTAGAAAGTCTGGTCGTGCATTTCCTTGGCAGAATGCAGATAGACAGTGCAAATATCGGCGACAACTGATGCGATCCGTGTCCCATAAATCTGGTCAACTACAGACATAGATGAGATCTTCAACTTGGAGACATAATTCACGATACTGGTAAAAAATTGGGGATGCTTTTTCAGCTCAGGCGTTGCCCAAGGCCAATTTTCCTGCGCATGAGAAATGAACTCCAATAATGGGAGAGAGGCTTGGGGCTCAATTTGCCCGATATTGGAGAGCACGTCAAGAGCTATCTTCAAAAACGGTGCACCTCTCATCGCCGGTGCTTTCTGGTCACCAGTCTTTAGCGTCTGGCGAGGGGAGGACCCTGTGAGAATATAGACTGCAAGCCATTGTTGGCGCTTGCTGACCAAGGTTGATAGCATATGCCATACTGCCAAGTGCAAGCGACGATCACTTAAAGGCTTATCAAACTGGGACAAGACATCAAGGAAGAGGCAAGACGATTCGGCCCCTAAGTGGCCAACCAAGGACGGTGGTTCATTCGCTGGATCTAGAGCAGCTCCGCATACCAAAGTGTCAAGAAGTGAGATAACTGGTAGGCGGTAGGCGTGATGCAATGCATATAATTTAACAAGAACTGGGGCTGCTTTGAACAATTGTTCTTCTAACAATGACGGCGAGCTATCGAGAAGCTGGGCCGCTTGCAAAAGCCTAGTTGAGAACTCCAACGTTGACTTCACTTGATTTTCCACCAATGTCAAATGCCGAAGGTATAGAGTGGGAGGCGTTTGAAGGCCGTCGGCAATGAGCCTAAGAATCGGGTTGAACGGCAAGTCGGCTGCCGATTGCGGCCGTAGGACGTCCAGTAGGTAAGTTGCTGATGAAGAGAATACCCCAGTTACTTTGCCATCTAGCTTCACAGTGTCGTTAGCACCATAGGTGTAGTAAAGAATTCTTTCGAATGTCTTAGCAAGGCCGGTGTTCAGCTCGATTCTCTGCTCCGGGGTATTAAATCGCCAGTTGATACTGCTGTTGTAGACCTCGATCATTGCCCGAACAAAACTTAACAAAGTACCTCTCATCATATGGGACGGGACACCGGCAGTCCAGCCAGAAACAGATATTATCTTCCCAGCAGGGGGATTCGGACTTTTTCTTAGTACTGCACGGGAAGCAGCATCGTCCACAACGGCCTCGAAGAGACGGACACAGGCGAGAAGGAATGGATATTCACCCGATGTTACTTCCATAGCTGAAATAATCGCAGTCATTAGGACTCCTTTTCCATCGGACCCAAGCAGGTTACTCCGAGAAAGCAATGGCCACACCCTGCCAGGCAATACAGCAATAAGAGCGCAAATAAAACGCAGACAGGCAATAGTCGATTCTAGCACACAGTCTGAGCCTGTTTTAGGGCCAAGGCTTGAGATGTTGCGTTCAAATATCTCGAATATAACCGAAATGATATCGCTTTGACGAGCTAATCCATCGCTTGCCATTTCCAGAATTCGCTTGGCGCTAGATCCATCGTCCTTTTGAATTTGCACATCCTTAGTAGCAGTGAGAAGATCCGCTAGTAGCCCAATTATTTCTGCGTTCGAATCTTGACCCCATCCTGCCGAATATCCTCCGCTCTCATTCCATTCCTCCAGCCAGCTCCCAAGATAGCTCAAACAAGAGTATCTATGGTGCCACATGACCACCGCAGGTTTGCTCTCAGATACAACTTGGCCAATCGTGGCAGATGGTACTTGAGATGAGCCTGTGACAACAAGGGCATTTCTTGGTTGGCTGTCTGGTATTTGCGGAGAGGCTGAGCCTATCATTGGAAGAGACTGAGCAAGGGTAACAAGGTTCGCATTTTCATCTTCTCGAATTGTCTCGTAACCTTGGAAGTCGCCAGGAACCATTTGTGTAAAGGTTTCCATGTTCTCCAGTTCGCTGACTATTTCAGGGAGACCCTCCTCATTAATCATATCCTTGTTGACGAGAGCTCTGCAAAATCGTAAAAACGGTATCGTCTCATATGGAAAACGTGATCGTGCTATACGGAAAATGTTGTTCATTAGGAGGTCATCCTTTGTGAAGTTATACCGTGGATCACTGGGATAAGCTGACGGGGTACTGGAGGGCCCTGCACATTGAGTAGCAGACCCTGAAAGAATTGCCAACACCGACTCCACGACCTCGGGGGAATACTCCAAATAGATCATGGCAACCCGAATGAGGTCTAAAAGTGCTGTGCGAGTCCAATGATCTGTCAGAGGATCATCAATAGCCGATGTCGATCCGACATTGGTTGCCAAAGAAATGATAGCGTCAAAGGCAGAATATTTTATTGCATCGGAAGTCAAGACGGCAATAGACTCATCAGCCGTAAATTTGGGTGTCTGCGCGCATTCCAGTAGCTCTTCGTATAAAGAAACCTCGGAAGCTTCTGTGTTTGAATGCGGCGTGTTTGATTGGAACGAGTCGACTGCACTGTGGAACTGCTGCAGTTCTCGAGCCTCCTTCTCGACAATAGCAAGCTCCCTCATCGTGTGCAGAATCAGACCCCAAGAAAAGGCTGCAGGGTTGGCGACTTTTGAATCTATTCCCTGAGTAACAAATATCTCATTTATCTGGCCAATTTCCTCCTTCGAGAGAAAGTACGGCAACTTAGAGGAGTCGTGGACCGAGGCTTTGTCAATGATAAATGGCACAGTAAGATGTAGCTTCAAAAAAGCAACTGTTATCAGGCATACGAAGGACTGAACCGGCATCAGGATCTCTATCGAGTTCTGACATGGCTTTTTGAGGTTAGCTAGAGAAATACTGAAATCATAGGAGAACTTACAACTTGGAGCGGCTCTAGAAAGCTGTAGTCAACCATCAGTCGAAGCCAACTTAATTGAAGATCTGCCGCCAGAATCTCCGTAGATGCCTGGAGCTGTAGGAACAGCATTTGCAAAATGTGCAGAATTTCTTCAACTAAGGTCGTTCTCCACATGTCTTCCATGCTTTCGTCGCTCTCCGCAGCTCCGAGCCAACCACCGTCACCCTTCAAAGCAGAGAGTCGACTTTGGATGTTCTTGATACATTCTTGGATGAAGCTGCGCCTGCCCTCCCCAGAAAGTTTATTTTTGAAAATAGCTGCCCCCAACTCACACAACATGTGAAATCGACCAATATCGTTTTGCTGTGGAAAGTTTCCATTGCTCTTGCTGGTTAGGAAAAGTGCTAGAAGCTTTCGAGCTGTTTTAATAATATGGCTTCTCTCCAACAGATAAAGGTTGCGCAACCGTAAACGCCGAGCTACCTCGGAGGCAAAAGAGGCGTCATTCTCAGAGCGCGGATATTGGCCTAAAACTTCCGGAAAGCTGGGACCGGATACCGTTCTACGGAAGTTTTCAACTCCCGTTGCAGCCTGTAAGCTTGCAGTTTCCCCCTCCGCGATTCTTGTAACTAGCCGTGTGGCTGGGCGGTTCTGCCATTCGAGCACTGTGATGCGAAGGGCGCTGGTCTCGTCTATACCAGCTTTTTGACTAAGCCATAGAGCATCCGCTTTTATTTCCTTCAAATCATATGATGCTTGCGCAGTTGTTTCAGCATGGATCGCGGCGGTCTTCGATTCGAAGTCTGACTTGGATTTGGCAGAGGGAGACGGAAAAGAATTCAAACAATTCGAAAGAAGTTGGACGCTTTCTGGATGCGACAAAAATGTGTGCAGGCTGCCCGTATCGTCAACATCGTCGTCTGGGTGGCATGTGTAGAGAAAAGCTCTACTCCAGGATCTAAAAACACATAATATTAGCCAAAATTCTAGACGCAGATGTAATGCGCGTACAGAAGCTGGACGTCCCCGGAGAAGCATTTGTCCAGGGACGGGAAATAGGCTTCCGGAACGGGAGCCATTGAAGGAACAGCTATATCATTATAAATTCTCGACAATCACTGCAGAAAAAGACGGGCACCAGGGGCCAAAAGGTATCACAATTGGAGCACCAAGAGAGTGAGAACACAGCGTTGGAGCTGAAGGCGGGAACTCCAGAATATTCAAGGAGCACTTTTAGCTAGAGATCAACAATAAATTCCTATCCGAGTTTAGTTCTAGGCGGTAAGGCCACAGTTTGCGCTGTTTGACTAACAGCCGGTTTCGGAAGGCAACTCTCCATCGCGTGTCTGCAGTTGACTCAAACCTACATCTAGCACTCAACACCACCAATTCGACCACTGGGAAAGCAGATTTCGTTCATCGACCCTTCGATATTTGAGCCATCTTTACCCTGATCACTTCAAAAACTCAAACTAAACCCTCCTCTCCTGGACTCAGCTTCCAGACATGGCGGGCTCCGATCTTATTGACCATTCCCCCCACCATCCCACCATAGCTGCGCAGAGGGATAGCGCTTCAAATGTCATCCTCATTGACAACTACGACTCTTTTACCTGGAATGTTTATCAGTACTTGGTACTGGAGGGTGCTACGGTGAATGTTATTCGTAATGACGAAATCTCGCTGGAGGAACTGATCGCCAAAAAGCCGACTCACCTGGTGGTCAGCCCTGGTCCGGGCCACCCGGAGTCTGATGCTGGCATCAGTAACGCTGCAATCCAACATTTCAGTGGTAAAATCCCGGTCTTTGGTGTATGTATGGGACAACAATGTATGATCTACTCTTTTGGCGGGAAGGTCGATGTGACAGGAGAGATTTTACATGGGAAGACATCCCTCTTGAAACATGACGGCAAAGGTGTCTACGAAGGATTACCGTCGTCTCTCAATGTTACCAGATATCATTCGCTGGCTGGAACCCACTCGACTGTCCCAGACTGTTTGGAGGTGTCATCCTGCGTGGAGCTGCACGACAACAGTGGTAAAACCGTTATAATGGGGGTTAGACACAAGCAGCTGGCCGTTGAAGGCGTTCAGTTCCACCCTGAGAGTATCCTGACAGAGCATGGGCGGACAATGTTTAGGAACTTCCTCTCCCTTACAGCAGGAACCTGGGAAGGCAATGGGAAGCCATATGGCAAACAGAACAGTGTGACTGCCCCGATCGGCACTCCAAAGGCGGACAAGAAAGTCTCGATCCTAGAAAAGATTTATGATCACCGCAAAGCTGCCGTTGATATCCAGAAAAGGACCCCCTCGCAACGTCCAGCTGATCTCCAAGCTGCATACAACCTCAACATTGCACCTCCGCAGGTCTCGTTCCCTGATCGGCTAAGGCAATCATCTTATCCTTTATCCCTCATGGCCGAGATAAAGCGTGCTTCTCCTTCGAAGGGCATGATTGCTGAGACAGCCTGCGCCCCTGCACAGGCTCGACAATATGCTAAGGCCGGAGCCAGCGTCATCTCTGTTCTTACAGAACCAGAGTGGTTCAAAGGTAGCATCGATGACCTACGTGCCGTTCGTCAGAGCCTGGAAGGGGTGACAAATCGACCCGCCATCCTGCGAAAGGAATTTATTTTTGACGAATATCAAATTCTAGAGGCGCGACTGGCCGGTGCTGATACTGTTTTGCTCATTGTGAAAATGCTTGATGTTGAACTTCTCACTAGACTATACCATTACTCCAAGAGCCTTGGAATGGAGCCACTCGTTGAAGTCAATACACCTGAAGAGATGAAGATTGCGGTTCAGCTTGGCGCCGAGGTCATTGGTGTTAATAATAGAGACCTGACTAGCTTCGAAGTTGACCTTAGTACCACGACCCGGTTGATGGATCAGGTGCCTGAAAGTACTATTGTCTGCGCTTTGAGTGGAATATCTGGACCCAAAGATGTAGAGGCTTACAAGAAAGATGGCGTTAAAGCCATTCTTGTTGGTGAAGCCCTCATGCGGGCCCCAGACACATCCGCCTTCGTCGCAGAGATTCTCGGAGGAAGCACGGAGAAACTCCTAAAGGCATCACAAGGCCCACCATTAGTCAAGATATGCGGCACTAGATCTGAAGATGGTGCCCGAGCTGCAGTCGAAGCCGGTGCAGATCTGGTGGGTATCATTTTGGTTCAAGGGCGGAAACGACTTGTTCCAGATGATGTTGCCTTGCGTATCTCTCGGGTAATCAAATCGACACAGCGACCCGCCGTGCAAGCGGGTGCTGCATCGCAGGGAGTATCAAGTGCGACATCCATTGACTACTTCGATTACTCGGCCAACACCTTGCGTCATCCTGCTCGTGCCTTGCTCGTGGGTGTGTTCCAAAATCAGCCGTTGTCGTACATCTTGGCTCAGCAACAAAAGTTGGAACTTGATGTTGTTCAGCTGCACGGCTCCGAGCCCCTAGAATGGGCCAGGATAATTCCAGTGCCTGTGATTCGCAAATTTGGCCTCGACGACTTCGGGATCGCTCGGAGAGCTTACCACAGTTTGCCTCTATTAGACTCTGGGGCTGGAGGGTCTGGTGAATTACTCGATCAGTCGCGCGTCCAACAAGTTCTTGAAAGAGACAGTGGCCTGCGCGTTATCCTTGCCGGTGGATTAGATCCTAGCAATGTTACCACTACGATCAAGGCGTTGGGAGAATCAGGCCACAAAGTAGTCGGAGTGGACGTTAGCTCTGGTGTCGAGTCGAACGGAGCCCAGGATCTGGATAAGATCCGTGCTTTTGTGAAGGCAGTGAAAGCTCTTTAAAATTGACATATATTTTCGTTATGATCTTTGGAGGATTGACATGTTCCCATGTATCTGTTATGATGCTTTTACGAGTTTCGTCTTCATTTTGCAAACATGCTGATATGCTTTGAACTATCACTTTCGGGCTTCTATGTATCAAATTTCATCTCACATATACTTTGGATCTTCTATAGAACATCAGACAACTAATATATTTCAGGTCACCTTGTGATCACTTCCTTCAATAGCACCTACATCTCTCTTTTTATTTTCTTATCTCATCATCCTTCAGTTACCTCATCGTGTTCCTCACAGCTCTCCACCCTCTCAACCCATCTACCGCTTACGATTTTCAGCAATCTATACTACTTCATGAGTACATCGGACTACAATGGGATATTCATTCCAGAAGGTCTGCGCCTGCTCTGTTGGCAGCTTTAGTGGCAATGGAGACAAGATTCCCCAGTAGATACGGGAAGATTCATTAAAGTGGAAAAGTAAAGCTCCAAAACGCGAAAGGCCCTATCGCCTAGACACAGTTTAAAGAATGAAAAGTAAAGGCAGAATGGACAAAGAAAGCTCCGAACCAACAGTCGAAGCCTTAAAGCAGGCGAGCAGGTACAGTAGTACTGCATCGATCTCTGTCTACTTACTACGGTGGGAAAGGGATATATTGATAGCATTTCAAGCTAACAAAAGACCCATTTGTCGTTGGTTCGGGCATTCCAAAGGTAAGTTCGGTTGCATGTATGTCTCAATGCTCTTGGAGTTGGAAACCCAGTGCTAATTCAGCCAGGTAGCTGACTCTCATATGTACACGGATGTAGAGGGTGTGACATACAATGCAACACTCACTCGCAAGGCAATCCATATGACCAGAGAGAAGTTTGAGCTCAAGATATGTAAATTACTGTCCCTATTCCTTGGGCCTAGATATATATCTGTTCCTATATGCCCTGGTTTCCAAGCAACGTGCTCAAAGCAGACAGATACGCGAATCAAATCACAATCCGCCCGTCAACGCCACTGGCGTCCGGTACACTCGTATCGGCAAGTCAAGCACTCAGCTTCTCACGTGGCCGGAAAGTGAGCTGAGACTGCGCTGCATCCTTCAAGAAGTTTTTCGAGGATCATACGGGGAAAAGATGGGATGAGAGCCGAGTTGGGATGGCAACTCCTCCTACGAGAAACGTGATGGCTGCCTTGTTCCAATTCATGGGGGCTGGTATTTCTACGAGTACAATAGAAGCCTATTGTCCGAATTTCTTCGAGAAGAACCCTAAGCACACGGCCATTCACAGTGCCGTGTTGATGACGAAGGTACGGCCAATCTTGCGGAGGACAAAAGCGAAGAGACGGGATCATCACTTTGACTTCGACACAAATGACAGGGGCAACTGATTATGCTTCCTCTGGTTGCTTTATGGGCACTGTGTCGTATCGCTGAAGACGACATTAGGCTTCTCTGCTGAACAATATGCTCGGTGGACGGATACGATCCACCCGGGGATGTGAAATACGCTTAGAATTCGATTTTGAATCAGGAAGGATTTCTGTGAGTTATAATAGTCTGGATGAATACCAATATGATGCATTCGCTACTCATGGCGCCGACATTGCTCATTACCCAATTGCATGGTTCAGTTGTACATACAATACACTTATAATGTTCCATTTCTTCCATTTGGGTATACTATAGTAAATAGGAATGCTGAAATGCCAAATGCTAGCCTTTTAGTCACCTCAAACACCGCATGCGCCAAAGAGACTTTTACTTTGCCGTCGTGAAACATACCGTACACTGCATCCAAGCCAACACAACAGTTCTGGGACACAGGGCTGTTTAAAGGTAATCCTTCTTCTTGCTTGTCCGGGTGTACTGAGTAAGAGCCCATTCAACATCACCGCTAGAGCCTTTCTCTAGCGAACCTCCCCGAATTTCAAAGAGCCTCATTGTCATTCGCGGCCCGACTTCGGCTAACTCAACATCGCGATGCCCTGTTTTCACGAAAACGTGGTGTCGCACCTCGATGCTGTCCTCTTTGTTCACAAAGCTGACAACACGGTTGCCGACCTTTCCAGCCTCACGAGGAGGGAAAAGATGCTTCAAGATTTGGACGACACGAGCACCCAATTTCGTCGTGAATCCTTCGAAGATGAGATGAGGGTAGCTTTCTGACACCGTCCCACGGGCAGCGTTGGGAATGTCGGCACGGAGTACAACGTTGTGCAACGAAAAACTCGCGGTGGGGCCGTGAGGGAGATGTGAAATGGTCATCGCAGTGGGAGTTCCACGGTGCTCATGTAAAAGAATCATGTCGGTTAGCGCCGCAGCATTTGCGCTGGACACAAGGTCGGGTAGAACAGTATTTCCACGGTTTAGTCGAATGGACGTAGGAAGAAGCAGACGAATTTCTTTCGCGAATGCCCCCAGACGAACAGAAGGGGATCGGGACGTTGTGACAATGGGACGAGGATCGACAATACCAGACGTGAGGGCGTATTCATCATCGAGATCCAAAAGGTCCGCATCTTTATTGTCCTTATCCGCTGTGGGTAACGACTCGTCATACTTAAAGTCTTCACGAAGTTGTTTGTCATCTGCTATGGAAGGATCAAGTGGCTTCCCAGAGGCTAATGAAGCCTTTAGTTGGGCTCGCTTCTCTGCGATGGAGGCATCGCGGAGAAGCAAAGCTCTCCGATAGAGGTAGTCTCGACGCTCACGGGCTTGACGGCGCTAAAAAAAAAAAAATTAACAAACGGGGAGATGTGAGTAAGTGTTGTCCCTCCATAGAAAACAAGTGCGAGAATGAAAAAACTGTAGCTACATACCAGCATCTTTTCTTCTGAGTGGAAGTGATGAATAGTGATGTCTGAGATCTCTTTTCATAGAAAAAAGCGGGCAACATTTTTTTTAATTGCGCTGATGGTCCGTATCGACCGCCGGATAGTGTGGGATTTGGCGGCGAAGCGTCTGATAAAAGGTGAGCCGATCGCAAATCAGTCTACCGTTGTCTCCGTGTGTGAATTCCATATCCTGCCATCCTGGAGGAGCTCATTCACCTTCCTTAGGCACTGCAGTGACGGATAATCTCACGTGGATTAGGATATTGGCTGACCTTGTGAGCATTCTTGGATGATCAAGGTACATTAGGGTGACCCTATTGTCGCTGACTTTGAACTTAGTCGTTCATTCCTTTTGCCCCTCTGTTGTGCACGCTGGGTCTTGAAGGAAAGCAGCTTTTGATTTCAGCTAAGCAGGACGACTGGCTTGTCCCTTACACTCTTTTCTTTTTCTGCGATTTACCCAAGCCGACTGTGTGTGCCAACCTCCATTTGTACGTCGTTCTAGACTTCGGCTTCTAACTTCGCCCTGCTAATTGAATCTTACAATAGTGTACTTTGAAATAACAACATACATGAACGTGTCTCATCTAGAGCACTGTGCCATACCAGCACCCAAATCAACGATGGCGACAACAAATGATGGCATGACACCGGCTGATTTTGATGAGACTACTTTTGACTTGACAGGAGGGCACCGTCCACGCAGACATGACGATGACGATGAGGGATCTGATAATGGTGATGATGATGTAGAAAGTACAACCAGTGCTCCAGTTGCTGGGAATACAAAGACACAAGGGGATGCGGATGAGGAAAAGGAACTCCCCCCACATGCATGCGCGTGAGTACTGTGGATCTCAGAGTATCCCAAGACTGCAGTTTTTGCTAATGGTGGCCTATGTGAAAGGTACTGTGGCATTCATAACCCAAGCAGCGTTGTCAAGTGTCTTGCTTGTAGCAAATGGTTTTGCAGCGCTCGTGGAAACACTTCTTCCTCTCATATTGTCAACCACCTCGTCCGAGCCCGACACAAGGAAGTACAGCTACACCCAGCTTCGTCGCTAGGCGATACAATCTTAGAATGCTATAACTGCGGAACTAAAAATGTTTTCCTGCTTGGCTTCATTCCAGCGAAGTCCGATACGGTAGTTGTACTGCTATGTCGTCAACCTTGTGCCTCCATGCCTTCTTCGAAGGATATGAACTGGGATACTTCGCGCTGGCAGCCTCTAATTGAGGATCGCTCGTTTCTATCATGGCTTGTGGCTGCTCCCTCGGACCAGGAACAGCTCCGCGCCCGTCATCTCAGCCCACAACTGATAGCAAAGCTGGAGGAGATGTGGAAAGAAAATTCACAGGCAACCTTTTCGGATCTAGAGAAAGCTACAGCTGTAGATGATGAGCCCGCTCCAGTCCTTCTACGTTACGATGATGCTTTCCAGTATCAGAATATCTTTGGACCGCTGGTCAAGATCGAAGCCGACTACGACCGCAAATTGAAGGAGTCCCAGTCGCAGGATGGCCTGATTGTGCGGTGGGATCTCGGCCTTAACAATAAACATTTGGCCAGCTTTATTCTACCAAAACTGGAGCTTGGAGATGTGAAACTGGCTGTGGGAGATGAGATGCGCCTCAAATACGCTGGCGAGCTGCGCCCCAAGTGGGAAGGAGTAGGATACGTCATTAAGATCCCCAACAATCAGTCGGATGAGGTGACTATTGAGTTGCGAGCGAAAGGTGACCATAAGTCGGTGCCCACGGAATGCACGCACAATTTCACTGCTGACTATGTGTGGAAATCTACATCTTTCGACCGCATGCAACTTGCCATGAAGACATTTGCGGTGGATGAGTTGAGTGTGTCTGGCTATATCTTCCACCGTCTCCTTGGGCACGAGGTCGCAGCGGCACCAATGAAGACACAGATGCCCAAGAAGTTCAGTGTCCCAGGACTTCCGGAACTAAATGGTAGCCAGATAAATGCGGTCAAGAGCGTCCTGCAGAGGCCTTTAAGCCTAATCCAAGGTCCACCTGGAACGGGAAAGACTGTTACTTCTGCTACTATCATCTACCACCTCGCCAAGCTCAATGGAGGCCAGGTCTTGGTTTGTGCTCCTTCTAACGTTGCTGTTGATCAACTTTGCGAGCGAATCCACAGAACTGGTCTTAAGACAGTGCGTGTGACCGCAAAATCTCGGGAGGATGTGGAATCCCCCGTTGGTTTCTTGTCCTTGCACGAGCAAGTTCGCCTGAATGACACCAACATTGAACTTGTGAAGCTTAATCAACTTAAATCTGAACTTGGAGAGCTGTCAAGTCAGGATGAGAAACGACTGAAGCAGCTTACTCGCTCAGCAGAGCGTGAAATTTTGAATAATGCCGATGTCATCTGCTGCACATGCGTTGGTGCAGGCGACCCTCGTCTGGCGAAACTAAAATTCCGCACAGTTTTGATTGATGAGTCCACCCAATCTGCCGAGCCCGAGTGTATGATCCCGTTGGTTCTGGGCTGCAAGCAAGTTGTTCTGGTCGGCGATCACCAGCAACTTGGCCCTGTCATCATGAATAAAAAAGCTGCAAAAGCGGGTCTCAACCAGTCTCTTTTCGAACGACTGGTCATTTTAGGCTGCTCCCCTATTCGGCTGAACGTCCAGTATCGTATGCATCCATGTCTTTCGGAATTCCCGTCGAATATGTTTTACGAGGGATCCTTGCAGAACGGTATTTCCGCTCTCGATCGTCTCCGTCGTGATATCGACTTCCCCTGGCCCATCGGAGACAATCCTATGATGTTTTGGTCAAATCTGGGAAATGAGGAAATTTCCGCCTCTGGAACGTCTTATCTCAATCGTACTGAAGCAACCAACGTGGAGAAAATTGTCACTCGATTTTTCAAAGCTGGTGTGCAGCCGCAAGGTATCGGCATTATCACCCCTTACGAAGGTCAGCGCAGCTATATTGTCAGCTCCATGCAAGCCAATGGCACCTTTAAGAAAGAACACTACAAGGAAATTGAAGTTGCTTCGGTCGATGCTTTCCAAGGAAGAGAAAAGGACTTCATTATACTCTCCTGTGTACGATCCAACGATCATCAAGGCATTGGTTTCCTCAGCGATCCACGGCGTCTGAACGTTGCGCTTACACGAGCCAAGTACGGGTTAGCTATTCTCGGAAATCCGAAGGTCCTGTCCAAACATCCTTTGTGGAACTGTCTCCTCCAGCATTTCAAAGAACGGCACTGCTTGGTTGAGGGACCTTTGTCAAACCTTCAGGAATCTTTGATCCAGTTCAGCCGACCCAAGCAGGCATACCGAGGACCACAGCGTTTCCAGATGGCCTACAACCACGCATCAAATGTTACTAACGGGGCGATAAATGGAAGGAATGGCAACCGCAACGACTTCCAGGACACTGGATCCGTGGTTGGTTACATTCCAGATGATGTTTCATCCGTTCACTCATCGGCACTTGGAGGAGGTGTCGGTATCCCTTCAGGTTATCCTCCCATGTTCCAAAACTTTACGGATTCGTGGCCTGCTCTCCCTGGGGCCCGCCGACCCAATGGCAACAGAGGAAGAGGCGCACCCAGTGTTGCCGGTGAATCTGTCGCAGCCACGGAATCCGATATTACGGGAAGCGTGATCGATGGGAGAAGCGTGGACCAAGGCGGTGTTAGTCTCTCTGGGTTGACCATTCACGATATGAGCAAGCAACCTAGTCTTAGCCAGTCCGATCGGTTGAAACGCTATGTGGAATCTGGAGGGCGTGAGCCTTATAAACCTGGAGTCACTGATAACGGCAGCATCTTTGGGGGAAGCTCTGCTAGCATTCGTGTCACGCGTGGCGTTCCAGGTCAATTCCACGATGACGACGATACGCGCAGTGTTTCTACTGCTTTTGCAAGCCAGGTGGGGGGAAATTATGATTGATTTGGTCACGCTATACCCTGCGCCATATCGAGTGGCACCACAAACATGCCTGCTACTGTTCCCTTGGTTAGGGAGACAACTGTTGCAGAATCATTGGGCCACTCCAAATTGGCTCGATGTCCTGGGAGACCACCCAGCCTGTCAGTTGTCTGACTGGACCTGACAGCTGTACCTTTCAGGGCAGTGTCAACGAGCGCAACGCCTCAGCCGTATGGTGGGAAATGGAAGGTATTCTCCAAATGACTTTCTTCCGCAGTACTTTATCTATATCAACACGTTTCCGTTGGCAATCCACTGCCGTCGGCGGCGATCTGGTTTGTGGTGGCGCCATTTTTCCGGTATTGTTTAGCAGCGATATGATGCTTGCAGAATGAGCAGCGGCCTTCCAGCATACCTTTTGTTGTGATGGAATGGCAATGACCATGGTTGGTGATGTCAACTGATTTTTAGGGAATTGTCCCGGCCTTACCAATCTAGTTGCATCTGCACTCATCTCTTGACCTGTCTCGAGGCTGTGGCGAAGTTTAACGTTCCCGCAGAAATGGATGGAAATGAGCTTATCGTTTGCAGGTACTATGAATGGCCCTCACCCTTATTACTTCGTCTTTTTTTTCACAATTTGATTGACACCTTAGACTTGCTTGTGCCATTGTTTTGGCGGGTTGCTAAAACCAAATCAAGCCCTGTCCATGCTAAGCCTTGCTTGTTTCCCGGTTTGATTTTAAAGGACCTGTCCAGCAATGTCGCTTCATATTTAAATCTGCCCTTAGTATGCTCTAGCCAGTGAAATCCAACTACCTTCACTCTTTCTAATGCCTTCCTATCGCCTAGGCCATTGTAGGGACAATCCATCCCGGCACTGTAGACGTACTTGTGGCCTTCGGTGTTTAACGTCGGTCGACCCATTCCCTGAAGATGGCGCATCCCGATCGTAGGCAACGGGAATTCTTGCATCCTTGGCAGCTGCGAAATTACACGTACTCTGTTTATATATAGATTCGCAGCAGAATCTCATCACGAGCCATTCTAGTACCGAGTAGCAGTGTATCGACTCAGCCACTATACTAACAAGCATTCCGTGTACGATCGAATCTAGTACTCTTGGGTTATTGGTTCAAAACATCCGGAATGCCTCCCGAACTTGGTATCGCATTGCTGCGCCACCATGTCTGAAGGATGAATTACCTTTAGTGATTCTCGGAGATCACTTCTCAGTTCTCATGCATCTGATTCTAATATTAAATAATTAAGGTGCCTGTTTGACAGTTGATATCATTTGTTATCCTATCTCATCTACAGTTCATTTTTATCTCAGTTGCAGAGTAGGTACCTAATTCCATGTGACCTTAGGAGTCCAAACGGACTGTAAAATTTCATTGTTCGCTATATATGATCTGCACCTAAGTAAAAGCAATGAAAAAATGGGGCATATCAGATAACATGTCAAACGAAGCAGAGTTTTGACGACTGAATATGATCTAAAGACCTCCAAAGAAGAGGTTCAAATTCAGGTATCAAAATAAAATGTACTATTCAGAAGCCGACACACAATAGGCAGAAGATTTCGCTTTCTGCCCAAAAATAGCCCCTCATAAAATTTATACCCACCAGGAACTTGAGGCTGCAGATCTCACCAACTCAACAAGATTTGGGTTTGAGGTTTGAGATACCTCTCCTCCGTAGTCCTTGCCTTCTTTGAGCCACTATTGCGAGCCAGATCCTAACCAAATCTGCCACTGATTCATTTACCTGATCCTTCCAGGTGATATCCTTCCAGGTGGCGATAGTGAGCAGTAACCGTCCAATTGGGCAAGAAGTGTTAGCCTTCTACACCGACGACGGGTATTTTGGTACCTTAGGCACCCATCAGACGGAGGCAATGCTGGCCTCGATGTGACCTGGCAGCTGCAGAAGACACCCCTTGAGAATCTTTAGTTGTAGTCACCGGAATAGACTCTGGATAAGCCTCCAGAATTACGAGTCGAGAATCTTAATTATAGAAGGCATCTGTCATGCTATCATTAGTAGTAGTAGGTCAATATGCATGATCGATCAGCAAGTGGTGTGGCTGAAGAACCACCCTAGCCACATGCCAGGGCTCTCATTGGCCGACAACTTGAGGCGTGGCGCCTGCCAAAACAGGCGCATCTGGCAGAGTCCTGAATCTTCAGGCCCATGCCTCACCTCTTATACCTAATTTTTGTCTGGTTGCCTGATACCGCCCCCTCCCAGTGACTCATTCCTGGCCGGGGCCTAAAAGAGACAGCGTGAAATACGCCCATCACTACCAGGTAGTACCGCCGACTTCGTAGCTTAGATCATGATGGATTCGCCGCCCTAATGAGCCATCGCCTAGTTACAAATACAACGCAACTCCGTCAGACCACACCATCCCACGTATACAGACATATGGACACTGGATTTGCTTGTCGAGGTACTACGTACTATATTATGTTTTGTTAGACCCGCCAACCTTCCGCCTCCGGCTTTTCCCACCGTTGTACCCACGAGCAAACCACTTATTATCTTCCCAGTTCCCACCCAACATCACCCGCTTACATAACAAGTCGGGTGGCGTGCCAAGACCCCATCCATTAGTCACTGGCGCCTTAATGCCTTGTTTCCTTAAAAAATCGGCACCCCCCGTATTCCAAGTAAGGAACCAGACACTCATCGGAGGCAACTCAACGGACGCGACCGACGAGTTTGTACCACCGCTTTTGTTTTCCAGTTTGTATTTCTGTGCAGTTCCATTGTTTCTGAGGACGACCGGGATTGATTTTACTCCTTCCTGCGCGTCTCTCCGTCTCCCAGAAAGCCGCCTCATCTCAATTGACGGCGGGGTTGCAACTGCGATATGGGTGACGGTTCTGAATACCCAAGTCCACGAAGCGAAGGCACCGGTGGACCGACCTCTATTCTTATCGCTGCTCAACAATCTCTCTCTCCAGCCACGAGAATGAACGACCAACTCCCTCCTAACTTCATGGAAGGGGCTCGTCCTCGACTGTCGGTGAGACGCGCGCGAGATCCGCCCAAGAATGCCGCCGGTCAGATCTACTGTGATCATCCCGAGTGTCAGCAGGCCCCTCCAACATTTCGCCGTCCGTGTGAATGGAAGTGAGTAGTACTATCTCAGAGTTCCCCTTTCAATTGAGATCTCAGCAGCTAACCCAATGCCATCAATAGTAAACATATGGACAAACATGATCGTCCCTATAAATGCCTAGAGCCTGGATGCGATAAGATCCAAGGTTTCACGTATTCGGGTGGTTTGCTGAGGCACCAGCGCGAGGTGCATAAGAAGAACATTAATGCAAAAAAACCTCTGATGTGTCCGTATGCCGACTGCAATCGCAGTACGGGCAATGGTTTTACGCGTCAAGAGAACTTGAAGGAGCATCTCCGCCGCCGCCATATGCACCCCGAGAATGGCCATGCGTCCGATCTCCCAATCGTGCCAACTTCTGAGTTGGATGGTGCACCTTCTCTCCCCCCTGCTCCTCCTGCCATCAAGCGGAAGCGCGATTCGCTCGACGAAGATCCTGCAGTCGAGTTACCGGAGGACGATGAAGAAGTGGAGCACCAGAATAGTGTTAACTTGCGAAACGAACTGAAGAGACTTCGTCGCGAGGTTCAAGAGAAGGATCGACGTCTAGAGGAATTGGAGAGGATCGTCTCTGGATTGCAGCAAGCTATCCCACAGACAGCACAGGGCTAGATATGTTTAGTATTTTTTAGCCCCTTCCTCCCCCTAGTTTTATATTTTATGAGAGGTATCGGTGTTGAGTTCTGTTTGTGAGTGTGCTATGTTTTGCATTCTATGGGCGTTTCATATGCAGAGTCCGGGCCTTGGGTTTTGCGTTCATTGCTGCAACATCAGTGGGAGGTTATATGGATCGGTCTACATCTGAGGTCGCATGGATTTGCAAGGCAGCTCTGAAGAGTATGGCGTTTTGCTTCAGGTCAACAATATGGACCAGTGGTGTTATTTTCTTTTACGGCTTTCTCCCTTCTATTACCTGAATTATACCCAGGCGTTTTTTCCACCTCCGTCTCCTTTGCCCACTCTCTCCCTTGCTATCCTTCGCACTCATCTCTGCATCATGTTCCAGTATAGTTCTTTAAAGGGTGTGCTTTTTAACAGTTTACTGTACGGTGAAGATTGTAATATTGTCTTAGCCCCAGGATTCTAGCCTATCAAGGCATAATATGCTATTTACATACGCTCAAAATGACGCGAAGCTTGTTTCCAAGTATCTATCCTAGATGCAGAAAGAACCCGTCTAGCCTTGTGCAACAGGAAAACACGCATGTAGAACCGGTATATCCGCGTGATGGTTTAACACAAAGGAACCGGGATCATACACATGTATCTATTAATATAGCGCACCAGTTAATTGGCCACATCCAGCATCCGATTATTACCGCCAGCAGGAAGATTCCATATGTTTCTAGGCGCTAATTATCGTGATGTGAGCGAGGATCAGCAGGTCTCGGGCAGATACCACAAATTGTACGCTGGCTAGGTAAATTTCTGTCCCCTTCTCGGAACCAAGAAAGTTCCGTGGCACCACTACCCTACCATAACAAGGAAGACAGCTGCTAGATAGATAGATAGTAACTAGTAGATTCTATCAAACTAAGCGCCGTGTTCCCGGAAAGGTGGCAACCTATCAAGGCTCTAAGAATCCAACCAAGAACACAGACCCAGTCACGAATGTGTCGTAAATGACTCATAGTAGAGAGACTGAGTCAACGTAAGAGCTAGCCGCTAGCCGCTAACCACGCCTTTGTCCTTGTTGTAGGTACTGATATTGGAGGAAACTAATTTGATAGGTAGTCCCAACTTGGAAGGTCCTAGTCATGTGAACTGCAGGCCTGAGGCAATCCATGGTCTGGCTAACACTATAACAATCTAAGAGACCAGATTAGTGCCTAAGCACTAACTATTAACCCTAGTTAACTAAGTTAATTAGATGCATATGCTGAGTCATCCACTTGCCTGCAGTGACATCAAGTCTACTACGGAATGGAATGGCCAGTGACAGGACAGACATAAAGTGACTTTAGGTTGGGTAGATCACCAACCAGCTATGCCCCCACTTAAGGAGGAACTGAAGAGAAATGTGTTGCATGCCTGTTGTGGGTCAATTACTCTTTTTTGACTATCTGGACTACTGCTGGCAGTGAATGCTGGGTTTACATCTTCTTGCTGTCATATTATGCAGAGCTTAATCCAATCTCCTCATTTTTTTTTTTTTTTTAAATCTCCTCTACTCTTTGGACTGGCCATTGGTCTGCCAAATTTTCACAAGCTACCACTATTATCTTCTGGAAAGCTGTGGCCCTTTACACCCTGCAGAAAGGCAGTAGCTCTAACGAAAATGGCCGTTCCCTATCAGTGCACAGAGGCGCCAATGTCCCAGCAGCCAGATTCCCAATATGTACGAACTCATCAGTACGCTGCTGGGGCTGGTCGAATTCTACAGCCAAATCTTTATTCTATGCGTGTGGGTGATGACGAGATTATTACGGAGTCAGAAGCTGTCAGCCCAGCCTCTCATTGTTTCCCAGAGGGCGAATTCGTCCCACCGGGCTTTTTTGAAAGGGTCCATTCGGATATGTTTAGATTGCCCGCGTGCCAGATTGATTGGAAATACAGTATGCGCAGGGAGGCCCAAATGATCTTGCCATTTCTTTATTTGGGCCCATGGGGGTGTTTGAAAGACAGAGACTGGCTTGCTAGAGAAGGGTTTACTCTACTCCTAGCCATCCGCGACAAGCGACTAGCGCATGCACGATTGATTTCCGGCGAGAAAATGGCTGCGGAAATGGGCATTGAGGCTGATGCCGTGGATACCTTGGATAACCAAGAACTTATAGCGACATTGCCTCGTGCAATCCGTCTTATCAATGACCATATCTCCACTCCAGCAAATGCACAACATATGAATTCGTCTCGCAGAAAAATCCTCCTATTTTGTGAGACTGGAAACGGTCATTCAGCCCTGGTTATTATAGCGTATCTGATGGTGATGTTCAATCTGGGCTTTCCCGATGCTTTACAGGTCGCCCATATGCAGCGTTTTTGTATTGATATGGACGAGTCATCGAAGCAGATGCTAGCATCATTTGAATCAATTATCGAGGCGAAGAGAGATGTCGAACATGCAAAAAGAATTTCATCGATAAATTCGAAACTTGCGATTCCTACAAAGGTCAACAAGAAAAGAGACTTTGAGGGCCAACATGACATGACAAACACAATGGATATGGACATAGATGAAGGTCCTTTTCTTGGTAGACGGGGTGTAGCCCCTTTTCAGGATCGCTCGAAATAAACTGTTCGTCTGCAACATGGAGATTTCGAGCAATTTTCATGGAGTAGTATGGTGATAGTGAAGCTAGTGACTTCCTACCTGGTTTCTGGTGTTCTGGTGTTCTCACTTTTTTACCCTGTAAAATATTTCTTATTTCTCTCCTTCGTCTACTAAAAGAGACGGTCAATCAATGACAAGGCACATGGTCATTAATCTACTTCGTTTTAGCTTGGCAACGGAGCGCTATTAAGTATAGAGAAAGGTCATATTTAGCATGTTACTTTCACTCCTCATTCACTCTTAGTCTGGGAGCTTCTGCTGGTCTTTTGGTATCGCACTAATCTTTCTTTCCCAAAATGGCAGGCCATTCTCAGCACCCTTAACGGCCTTCTCTTTTCCACCATCTCCTATGTTCTGTTCTCTATTTACTGACCCTTATTTATTTACTTCGTTTTATTCATTTATTTCTTATTGTCATTTTTGAACTCGCCTTGTGCTCTCTATCCTCCACGGATACAGGGGCGAAATCACCATGAAGCTTCGCAACAATATTCGTCCACCTAAACGGCTCAATTCTGAGCAGTTTGACAGTCCTTACTCACAAGTATCGCTACGTCGAACTAAGAACTCCGCATCTCATTCATATGTCCCCTATGACCCCGATTTACCCCCAGCCGCATTTCCTACGCTGGAGCAACCGCGAGCACCTGGGCAACGCAATTGTGATGAGGAAGATAATGAGCTACATTCAGAAACGTTGAAAGCATCACAAAGCCAGCAAGACAAATGGAGTACCCGTCTTGGGTTGGGCCAGGAGGATAATGATGGACAAGTGGATTTCGAGGATATCCCCCTCGGTCAGATTGAGAATTACATTGCGAGCAATGGAGATATGAACCCAGTTTACAAAAGGAACATGGCTGTTATGGCAAATACAGAACAATATTTACTACCAGTGGACAGTGACAGTATCGACAGTGAGCCTGACGGAGTAATTGAGGATAATCTTGACAGAAGGTTGTCTAAGGTACGCTAAGTTTTACTAAGTTTTGTTCTTATTTCCTACCCTTGACAACATTCTTTAGCACACAGAGTTTTTGCTGATTCTAAGCAAGGCGTCATCTGCCATTGATGATCCTAAGTGGAGTGATATATCCCCATCAATACAGCTGGAAATCATCAATAACCTCCTTCAGTCTCACAGCTGGTCCAGCGCCTGCAACATATTAGGATTAACACAACACGACCAAGAAGAAATTCAAAAGCTGTGGCCCGAACGTGATGGTCAGATTAGATCAGAAGACACACAGTTGAAAAGAATGCGGCAAAAGCAATTGAGCGTTCTCATGAAAATGGACAATAGTATGGGGGCAAAACATCCAACTTCGCATCAGGACGTTTTTAGTAAAATCTCTAAACGGTCCATTCGGAAGCTGAAAGGAGCCATTCAAACTGATTACTTCTTGTGCAATGCCAAATATGTCTCTACAGCTAGAAAATTCCTGCACAAGCGGGGTATAAGTCCGAAGTCTGTCGGAAACTGGAGCAACAGCGTCATTACTATTATACAAGGTGTTGACGATGACTCAGGATCAGAAATTTCTGAAATGGGGGAGCACCAGTCTGACTCTCTAGAAATTGGCTCAACGCCAAGTTGTGACTATGTTAGCTATTATGTGACTGGAGATAAGCCGATGTCTGCTACGCTGCCCCAAGAATCATGCATCAACTCCATTGGGACATGTTTGCCCAGCACAGAAACCACGTTCCAGCAAGAAAGTATTCTCAACCCACATTCAAAGCCACTTAACCTTCTCCCACGGAAAAATCCCTCCCAACCTTCTCAGCTCAATGGCTTGGTTTGTCTCAAGATTGGCGTGGAGCGGGCTGCTCAAATTCAAGCTTCTGAACGACCTGAGCATATTGCACCTTCCCAATTAGTCCTTGAACAACCACCACTGGATAGTTTCTTCCACGAGCCAATCGAAGCTGGTGTCAGTGGCACCTTTCATCTAGCTTCGAGTCCAGATATTTCCTCAGTATACGGGTCAGCCTTTTCTAACCTTGCGCAGCCAGTGCGGCGAATCTTGGGTGGGAGCTGGTCCTATGCTTCTGTCCGGCCCAGTGAATATCCTGCATCTACTTCCTCCGCACGGCTATGGCAAAGGCTGGAAGAAGCAAGATTGGAAGCACGAAGAGAAAGGCGTGAGGGTGATAGTAATAGAGAAAGAGGAGAACATAATTTCTTTTCTGAACCAGAACGACCCAGCTCCGTGTCTGAAATCCAATCACAATCAAGAGCGCCTACAAAAGTTCTATCCTCTACGAGTGCAGAGGAAGTGAGCTGCCCAGAGATCGATACACAATTGCTTCCAGAAAGCACAGATGTATCTGGTGCACCTTCCCCTGCACTACCAGACGACACTATTGAAGAGACGGATAATATGTCGATAACTCCCCCTACTTCAGATAGCCATTCAGGTTGCACAGTTCAGCCCGACCCAACCAACTCTACTCATATAGGGGATGAAACCAACGACAATGACGAATATGATTGCGAGATCGATGAAATGGTTCTTCTACCTGTCCGTTCTACGGGATAATTCCATGCAGAAGGCAACGAAGGCATTGATATATCTTTCTGATCATGAATTAAGCTTCATAATGGCAGACATAAACAATTAGCATTGGTTTTCAACGCCAAATGCAATAACCACTGCATACTAGCGAGCTTGATACCTTCTCCTCCCCACTCTCTCTGTGTGTGATAGAGCCCCTGATAATAGTTCGAGAATCAGATCTTCTGGCAGAATTCCAGGTAGATCTAAATGATGGACTGAATGTGAAATTGCGGCATATGTATGATGAAATCAATAAAAAGTTGTCTTTGCATCTCTTCAACTTATCTAGGGATTCAGCTCTAGATGAACGTCCACTGAATAGCGTTCAAACCATTTTAGGCTTTGAAAACGTCCTGATAACCAGGCCATTATTCTTAACAGCCATAGTATCCACCACATCAATAAAGAACAGTACAATCAATCTGACATCCCAAGGAATTTCCCTGGTGATCAGACACTAACAGCTAGTTCTCACACCCAGCTGCACGAACAAGGAGAGACGATACATTTAAAGCCAAAATTTATGAGATATCGCTAAAACTTACATAAACGATAAAGTTAACACAATTTCGTCTGCTATGCTCAGAAGGGTCGCCTGTTCAAGTAATAAGGGAGAATAAACCATGTTCCGTAAGAGTAGTGTATGCATATTGGACGGGTGCATGTTGCAGAGACACCAGGGTGCTTACAGCAACGTTACTAGAATATTTACATACATCTCCAGAAATGCCTCCAGAATTAAATAGCATACCCGAAAAAAGACAACCAAGCACCATCTGAATATTCAACCAGCCCACTTGGCCGACCCTCCCTGAACCTCTATCTTGGCGATACGGTGTCAAAGGCCTTTTGAGGTCCGTGACAAGTGCTGGAGCCTCTTGGCTTTTGAGTCCGCATATATGCATGAATGGGCTTCGATTCTGTCAATATTTCAGAGAAATACGCCGTTAAATATAAACTTTGGTTGTTTTTAATCCAGGGGAATTTTATTGAATGATTCATAATAGCCACAGTGGATCAGTGGATTGGAATGAATGTGAGGTAGAAAGAGAGGCTAATGAGGGATATGTGGTGTTATTTAGAAAGAAAAGCATGGGAAAGAAGAGTAAGGGTATATCTAGGTATCGTACATACTACGCAATCACCTGAGCCATTTATACCTGGTCCGTGCACAGACGCGAAAAGCCGCGTCGGGAAGACAAAGACGCGGACACGGTGGAATCCATGCCTCTGTCTCAAGCTTCATCCACGGTGCTTTCAGGGACGCTTCCCTCCTTAGTATGAGCCCCATATACTCTGCTTTGTCTGCGGAAACATCTTGAACTTCTTTGTGCGGGGGGGAAAAATTGGGAACCTTCCGCCCCACGAAGAACAGACTTTCTTCTTTCGTGCTGCTTCTTTTTTTTTTTTTTTTTTTTTTTTTTTTTAAACTGCATTGCTATTGTGACCTTTATGATACTCTCCGTATATCGAAATCATGTTTAACCCGGACACTCCAATCACTCTGGCGGAGTCTCAAGGGGAAAGTGCCGTGCGACAGGACTCCACGCAACCATCGTCTCCGATGACGGATGCAGGTGATCAAGAACCAAAACCTACGACGGAGGATAAAATGGATATAGTTGAAGACATAGAAGGAATGGATACTAAAGCTAAAGCGCTCATGCATCTTTTGAATACAAGCGAGGTGGGTTCCTGTTCACAGGGTTGGTTCACAGAGACTATATGGCTGATATCTCTTTTCTTCTGGCGAATATCTTAGGTCTTCGTGGCTATTATGGCTGACAGGATGAAAAAGCAACAAGAGGAAGCGAAACGCGAGGCAGCCAAACAGGAGCAGCAGAAGAAAGAGTCCGAGACAAAAAAGAAGCCTACTGTACCGATGGTAAAGCGAGAGACGCGCACGAGTGCGAGGCAGAGCGCAGTGAAAGAGCCAGTTGCTGTCATAAAGCCAGAGACAAATGAGCAAGCAGAAGAGAAGTCGAAGAAAGGTCGGGGTAAAAAGGCTGGCGCAAATGGTAAAGCAATTTCGAGCTATTTCAAGAAGGCTGATGTAAAAGTGTCCGAGGATAACCCCACGGTCAAGGAAGCTCTGGAACATGCTGCGGACGAGTATGAAGCTAATCCGACTGCCCTTGGGGGTCAAGAACTTGTTGCCACGCAGCAGCCGCAATTAGTTACCGGTGGTCAAATGCGGAAGTATCAATTGGAGGGCCTGGAATGGCTTAAATCTCTTTGGATGAATGGGTTGTGCGGAATTTTGGCCGACGAGATGGGTCTTGGGAAAACCATTCAGGCGATCTCATTGATTGCATTCTTCAAGGAGAACAAAATATCCGGACCTTTTTTGATCTCGGCTCCGCTGAGTACGGTGAGCAATTGGGTGGACGAATTTGCAAGATGGACACCAAGTATCAAGACAGTGCTATATCATGGCTCCAAAGACGAGCGTACCTCGATCAGGAAAAAGTTCATGAACATTAAAAACCAAAAAGACATGGATTTCCCGGTAGTTTGTACCTCTTATGAGATATCCATGAACGATCGGAAGTTCCTTGCGCAATACCAATGGAGATACATCATTGTGGTATGTATTGTGAAGCACGCTGGGAGACTCCGATGCTAAGGAAGGAAACAGGATGAAGGACATCGCTTGAAGAATATGAACTGCCGACTCATCAAAGAACTGCTCACGTACAACTCCGCAAACCGACTGCTTATCACCGGTACACCTTTGCAGAACAACATAACGGAGCTGTGGTCCTTATTGCATTTCTTGCTGCCTGAGATCTTCAACGACCTCAACAGCTTCCAGAGCTGGTTTGACTTTTCGTCAATGCTGGATAATAGTGGCCAGACAGATGTGATCGAGCGTCGGAAGCGTAACCTTGTTTCTACGATGCACTCTATTCTGAAGCCCTTCCTACTACGGCGCGTGAAAACGGATGTTGAACATTCCCTTCCCAAGAAACGTGAGTACATTCTCTATGCACCTCTGACAGCAGAGCAAAAGGACCTGTACCGTGAGATTTTGAATGGCACGGGCCGCCAATATCTTGAGGAAAAAGCGAGGGAAAGGCTGTTTACGCGAAATGAGAAGCTGTCACTCTCTGGTAGCCTAAAACGAAGCGCCGATAGCAGCGAATTGTCCACCCCCAACAAGAGTCTGAAATCAAGCCGCGGTTCTACTCCTGCCAGTACAACTGGGTCTATTCGCAGATGCAGAGGACTGCAGAGTTATAAGGAATTGAGTGACCGTGAATTTAATGCGAAGCTACGGAGGCTTGAGCAAGGTATTGAGGAGGACTTGGATATTGAAGGTGAAGGTCCTGGGGAGACGGAGGAAGAAGAGTTAGAAAGAGCAAAGACTATTAATCTTGCAAGTAAGTCTCATTCTCTTCCCTGTGCCCCTGTAATCTTGACACTGACACTCATGCACTCAAAACAGAGAAGGAAATAGCCCAGAAGAAGATGCAAAACCCTGTCATGCAGGCTCGATTAGCTTGCAATTCCCCGCACAATTTCTACTGGCCCTGGGGCGATGGACCCATCGATCAATCTCTTGTCACTGCGTCGGGAAAAATGCTTCTCTTGGACCGTCTTGTCCCCTGCCTTCTACAGAAGAAACATAAAATACTAATATTCTCCCAATTCAAGACCCAGCTAGATCTCCTTCAGGATTGGGCCACACAGCTTCGTTCCTGGCACTGTTGCCGGATCGATGGCGCTATTAGCCAGGCAGATCGCCAGGCCCAGATCAAGGCTTTCAATTCTGACCCCAAATACAAGCTTTTTCTCCTCAGCACGCGAGCAGGAGGGCAAGGCATTAACCTCACAGCTGCAGACACGGTAATCTTATACGACTCCGACTGGAACCCACAGCAGGACCTACAGGCACAAGACCGGGCCCATCGCATTGGTCAAACCAGACCCGTGATTGTATATCGCCTAGCTACAAAAGGAACCGTTGAGCAAACCCTTCTTGAGAAAGCGGACTCAAAGCGTCGGCTGGAGAGATTGGTCATCCAGAAGGGTAAATTCAAGAACCTTCTGGACAGTGGCTCGGGGGCGACTCATAACGACGTTGAAGATCTCAGAAAAGCCCTTGGAGAAGATGAATATGAGCTCTTTGAGACTGGAGCAGACCCCACTGCGCTCCTCTCTCAGAAAGACCTCAATATTCTCACAGACCGCTCTGAGGAGGCATACGCCCGTGCTGAGAAAGGTTTAGACCAGAGTGGGCCGGCATTCTTGGCAGTGGAGACGAAACAAAATGGCAGCGGTTTGATGGCCCAGATCGCTGGTAAATGACGTGGATGCTTTTCACTTTGATTTACGCTATACAAACTTCCTGTGATAATATGGGTGGTTACCAGTTGGAACTATTATTAATAGAGACGACGGCGCACATTCTCTGCAATGGATTTCGGCCCGGACGAGACTTTTTTTTTTCTTTTTGAGGATATTAAGTACTGTACATTAGACATGGTCGTACCTGATATGTAATACAACAGGAGTAGGTGAATCCTCTATGGAACTTTAATCGTTTAAAAACAAGAAACATCCATTTAGCGCCTGAAGCTCCTCGCCAAAGAAATGGCTGTACATCGAAGAGACAAGTGTTGTGGGTAGAAATCGCCACGAAACAAAACTGAAAGTGAAATAACGGATGCAAATGCCAAAAGGAAGAGAAAAATGTAAGGAGGGAAAGAAAAGAGATAATCAACAGTCCTCTACCGAGGTAGTCGTGCTTCTTCAATCTGTCTTCGTACATCGGCAAGAGTATCATTCCGCTGTGCAAGATGGCTTTTCAACCCTTCAACCTGCTCACCGACGGCTTTAACATCTTCATTGAGTCGTTGCAAATCCTGACCTTCTTTGGACCGGCCTGTGCCCTCCCTTAGTTCTCGGAGCTCACGCTCTTTATACTCCAGAAGCTGAAGGGCTTCCTTTTTGATCAAGACCCAGTTGGGCCTGCCGTCGTTCCTGGGTTGGTCTCTTCGCCCTTCGGAAGCCTTTCGAGCAGAATCCAGCTTGGATTCTAACTCCGCTAGTTCGCGCCTCAAACGGACCCTCTCCCACTCCTCATCCTGGATGGTTTCACTGAAGTCTGTTCCCTTTGGAGTGTAGGAAGTTTTACTCCCTGCACCTAGCCGACTCAGGTATGTGTCGCCAAATTTGGCTTTTCGGCCACTAGGAGTCTCTGTGTCGCCATTCGCCCATCTCTGCGACGGACGGGTATTGTCAAGCTGGTAGTCAATCTTGTTGTTTTCGAACGAAGCGCGTAGGGAGGCAGGGATTGTGCGTGGAATGCGGAATCCTTCATGTCGGTAGTTCAGGATATGCAGAAACGCAAGAGTAGCATCTTTGTTAATTGCTGATGAAGCGGAGGGGTTCACCAGGTTCCATGCAGAGCGGATGTCGGTGTCGGGAACATCCAGGGAATCGTATAGCGGTTGTAAAGATTCAACTAGACAAAAATAACATCAGCGATGAGCAAGGCGATAGGGCTTTTGGCTGTCCCACACTACAACTTGGAGTGAACGTACAGGCAATTTCACCGCGGTGGTTCTTGTTGGCGGAGTAGATCTCTTCGTACTTGGTCTTATCGGATGGGTTCATGTACCAGTCAAAGCCATCTTTCAGACCGGGCGTGTCGTCTTCATCTTCTATCCGTTCAAATTGCTCTTGACTACCCAAAGCCCGAGTTGCATGGACTAGATGGGACTTGGACTCAGGGACGAGCCAATCGGGCAAGACAGTGGGGACACTTCGAAGTTCCTTACACGCTGTCAGTACTCATAAACGTGGACCAGCGGTCGTGGGGTATCTTGCAAGCCATCACAAGAGGAATCGCCGGGATGTCGAAGAGGGACGGGAGCCTAGGTAGAAAGGAGGTAACATACACCATTAACTATATCGAATACCAATCGCATAGCAACACAAAATTCCTCAAAATCCAATTCACCGTCCCCATCGACGTCGGCCAAATCCCAGACCTTCTCCAGCTGTTCATCGCGAAGCCGACTGTTCCTGAGCACTGAAGCCGCTTGTGAGTTGTTCAGACGCGGCTGGCCATTAGCTAATGATGCAAAGATCTCCCAGTAACGTTCGATTTCCCACTGCTCGATTTTCTTACTTGACATCGTGGAAATGACGTGGCGTCTGCTGCTAGTGGTGGAACAAGGACTCGAGCAATGGGAAACGGGGAGAATGGCTCTAGTGGGTGTCTGTATGGATGGATGATGGAGGTAGTCAGGTACGTAGTTAACCGCTTTGGGCATTCCGCAGTGGTGTCCGACGGATCAACAAATGTCCGACCCGGGGCTTATACAGGACGGTGTACATACGGATATAGCATCAAGCGAACATTCCCCGGAAGGTAGATTGATCTCTGACGGTAGTAGGAGAGGTAGTATAGTACATGGATCAACAAGAAAGATCTATAGATGCATGGGTGAAAGAACGCTTTAGAAGTTATGACGTCTACGGCAGTCACCAAGTGATTAGAACAAGACTGCCCCCTTGTTGCTTCTAGTTCTGTACAGGAGACGTATGGCAGTTCGATCACTCATACGTGCTTCTTCTGGGGCGCGTTCTTCTCCTGCTCTTCTTTCTTCTGCGCCTGCAGCTGTTCTTCAGCCTGTACAATTGCCCGTTCTGCTTCTAAAGCCAGCTCCGGCGCATCGAGTATTGTAGCCAGTTTTTTAGCATCGGTCATGCGAAGCAATAATGTGTCTTTGCTGTTTTCCACGTCCTCTGCCATCTGCGAAATGGGCTTTTCAACGTGGCTATGTTCCAATGCACGGGGTACCCGCTTTGCGTACAATTGTTCGAGCCCTGGATATGATACAGGCTTTAATAAGTCCTTCTCAACTAGAAACTCTAAGTGTTTAGAGCCATTTAATGCTTCCATCTGTCAGCACCCATCGTCATAGTGGAAATGAAAGAGCAACAAACTCACCTCGCCAATGTGACCACCCTCGGTACACAAGGTACAAGAAAGGAATATTAGGGACTCTATGGTTACATCCATCGTTCAGCCAAACAGCTTCATAATATCCGACAATCGGCGTTGCGATGCAAGACTGGGGATGGAAAAGCAACACATACACTGGAATCAATGCCATAGGCCCCGTTAACGGAGTTGCAAGAAAGCTCCACCACATCCTCCTGCGGTGTAAATCTTGCCTCTCAGTGGCAATTCTCCGTAACAATGCCTGTAGCTTCTCCTCTCTGATTGCATTTCCTGGGAATAGCACATCCACCTTCGCCGATCCATGCGACTCATCTAGTCGCCGTTGGGAATTGAGGGAAGGGATACTCTTGAGTCCCCATTCTTCAAATGGGATTCGTTGTTGAACCCGATTGCCCCAGTCAACGAGTTTTTTCTTCCAGCCTTTATCAGCTTCCTCCCATTTTGCCCAGGTTTCAGCTGCCTTGCCTGTGATACGATCAATCACTGAAGTTTCGTTCGAAGTTCCCGTGCGGAGAGGCCGGCAATAGATCAGAGCTCGTCTTGTCGAGATCGGAATGATGAATAGTCGCATAGCCACCAAAGACCCCCCTTTTGGTCTTTTCTTTCTTCTTTAGGTTGAAGTCGATAACCGGTAGAAGGTAGGTAGGGATTTCTGACTGGGAGAACTATCGATCGACTAGACAAAACAACTGATTAAAGGGTGCCTGTAAAAGTAGCATTCCTCCTCCGTTGTAGTGAACAAGCCCAGGGTCCTAATGGTGGCTTATCTGTGCTCTTTTTGTTTTATTTTTATCCTTGGTAATGTGGATGTGGACGTTGGTGACTGTGGTTCGTCTGTGAGTAGAGAGACGTCATTCCGCACGATGCGATAGCTCGTACTGTATAATAGACTAGTGCATGTATGTAAAAAGTATGTAAATTACCAGATTGCCTAGGTTAGATAATACTGCCTGGTAACTAACTAGTTAACTTAACACTAGGTTAACTATTTTTACTTTCTCGAAAGCAGCCCTTGTACCAGTACTACCAAGACATACTACCTACCTACAATGTAGGTAGCTAACATCTTCTCAAGCTCAAGCTTTGTTATAGTCCGCCTCTCCTCGCCCATATGGGTGTGTCTGTTGTTGTGCCTTGCCTTGTGTTTCAATTTGCGTTACGCCATTCTCAGAAAGTCCCTAACCTGCGCCCAGTCTCCAGAAACTTTCTTCTCCCTACCCCCAAACCTGGAAGGGAAATGAGGCGATGCAGACTAAATCCGACCATCTTCCTACAACCCCCGACCCGAAAGCCCGACGGAATCTCACCCGGAACTATCACTGAATTGAGAGGCAATGGCACAGGATGTGGACCATTCGCTTCTTCAGTCTCCAAATCAGCAGCATTTTTTAGATAATCCTTCAAATATCTCGTCTCCTGCGAAATGTACCTCGGAACAGTCCACCTCCGCACCCGCCGAACAAAACGGCGATAGGAAGTCTTCTGAGCCCGTTCCCAATGATACTATAGACCAGGCGCTTAGTATGTTGCGCTCGCCGGAGGATCAGGCGATCGATGGTAGAGACAGTCGACTTGTACAGGGGAAAGTATTACGAAGTCTTCCCGGTATTTAGAACTCGAGGTTTAAAAATTACATGGTATGCGATGCTGACATCAATTCCCTGCAGCATGGATTAGGTCTTTCGAGTATCCAGAAGAAGGGACGGAGGATTCTATCACATCGCGGTTGTTGCCTCCGCATCCCAATGATGCCGTTGTTGCTCAGCATAATCACTCACCTCATGCGACTTCGAGACCGGAGCTTATCTCTTCAAATCAAGGAAGTTTGGATTATGGACGTGAGATATCTCCACTTCGTGAGTCGCGCTGGAAGAATTTTTCAAAGGCGATAGCATACCCACAAGAGCCTGGCGTGGAAAAGAAGTCCGTGACGCTGGACTGGATGAATGAAAATCATGGTAATTACTCGCAGCCGTGGCGTGGACAGCGCGAATCATGGGAATACGAGGATACAGAGGATCCGCTTCGAATGAAACGACGCAGGGAGATCTGGTTCAAGCGCTTCCATAACACTCTTCTGAAAAGTCCTATGGTGCCGCTTATTTTCCGGCTAACTGTATGGTGTTTCTCCCTCACTGCTCTAGCCCTTGGAGGTTCCATCCAGCATCTGTCGCAAGAATATGTCCACCCCCAGGGACCTTCGGCTCTGATGGCTATTATTGTTGATGCTGTCGCTCTGGTTTATCTGATTTATATCACTTGGGATGAGTATACATCCAAGCCACTGGGCCTCCGCTCTCCGACAGCTAAGGCACGGCTTGTTCTGTTGGATATCTTTTTCATTGTTTTTGATTCTGCTAATCTTAGCCTGGCTTTTGAATCCTTGTCCACTGTAAGCGGCGCATGCACAGTTGGAGAGATCAATCAAGAGGTCACTCCAAAGGACGATCGAATATGCGACCGGCAAAAGGCCCTCGCATCTGTTCTGCTAATTGCTTTAATAGCTTGGCTTACAACATTCTCCATTAGCGTTCTCAGGTAAACACTTTCCACCTTTTTTTTTTTTTTTTGCGACTTTTATGCTGACGGGCTTGATTCAATCTAGACTTGTAGAGCGAGCGGCTAATTAGATGATGACTTTGATATTTGTCTTCTACTGCTCTTCTGCCTTCCTCTCCGGGAGCATGATCAGGCCTATTTCTTGGCTTTTCTTCATATACTTTTATTCTGTGATACCTATACTGTACTCTTTCTTTCCTCTCCTTTCTCACTTGACAGTGTTTTGGTTCTACGTTGTCCGCAGTTGGATATTTCCTTCCTTTCTCTCTCTCTCTTTATATTTATAATGATCCCCTTGGTTAAAGATGTACAAATTATGTTGGATAAACATTGAAATGATAACACGGTTGGCTCCGATAAGACTATCCTATCCTACATGCATTACTGGGCCATCTGCTCCAAACAACGGATCTCCATGGAACCACTCCAACTCTTCAATATGCCGAATTTTTCTTTCCTCTCCTGGCTTCCCATAGCACATATCCCATTGTTTTCCCCGTGGGTAGGCACCAACCATTTCGAAGTTCTCCCCTTTATCAAGATCCTCTAAAAGTCGATGACCTACACCGGCAGGAATGATGATCAAGTCCCCCTTTTCAACTGTTGGCTCGAAGCGATAAGGATTCTTCTCCCCTCCAAAACAGAGACGAGCACGACCAGAGACGACGCCAAGGACTTCGTGCGTTGTGCTATGGAAGTGTGTTTCGCTGTACATGGTATAGACCCACTGTGGAATGACTTCACCGACCTCCTCAAAATGTGCCGCGAGGTCATCTGGCGATGCATCAAACGCTTTATGATATATCATGAGAGGCTTTGACTGGATGGATGTGTTAGGTATATGGCCCCATTTAGGAATCTGACGAGATGTAGTTCTGACATCTATTGGTGATCTGAGCATGGCTGGTTTCGTTGGATTGGCCCCTTTGACCTTCTTGAAACTAATGTGGAAATGGTGGTAGTAGGAAGTAAGCTATAGCTTTGTCCTTCCATAACGCGACAAATGGTAGGCGTGGTATTTATAAGACGGAGGGCAACCTCCGGGGGGAAAATATGAATGACGTCATATGACTGTCAAAGCCCATAATCATACTGCTATATACTTCTTTTCAAAAATAACCGTTGTCTATTTTTGATCAACATATTTATAATACTATAAGAAGCAGAAATCGTAGCATGAACTTGAAGCTAGTAGATTTTGTCGTGGACTGTTGCAAACCAACCACAGTTATTCGTCACGTTGTCGGGTTGTCAACTTGATATGGAGCTGTTTCAGGAGGAAAAGGGAACAACCGCCCCCTAGTAGCAAATAGGCACGGCTGTCTTCACCAAAGGAGGAAAAGGAAAAGAGAGAGCAAGCATCAATCGGAACAAGTCCTAATTCCCTATATATAAAACCTGAGAATTCCCCGAGATTCCAGCGAGGCGATCATCTAGATCAAACCAACAAGGCTGTCTAGCTTCCCGACCGCTTGCCACAAAGGGATAAATCTCCCCCACAGCGAACGCCCAACGCCACGCCTTTTTCGCTCGCCGTCTCTCTCTCTTCCTTACGCCCTCTTTTGACTCGGAACTAACTCGGGTGCGCTTTGGCTTTTTCTGTCCTGGGTCTTGCGTTTGGCTTGTTGTCCGGCGGCCTCCCATCTTTCCGTGGTTGTCTGTTTTAAGCGCGCGACTCCTTCCTAAGCGAACGACAGCAAGGTAGCCTTGGGAGGTTCATCGCTGCCGCTGCCTTAATCGCCCTGCGCCAAAACTGGGATTATATTAGTCGATTCCAACACCAAATGTACGAAACTCCCTATCGTATAAACCTAGTTCTCCTGTCCTTCTCAATTTTCCCTATTCTTCTTTTCTTGCTGTCTACGTTCTTCTCCCGAAACATGTTCAAATCTGCCCTTGGTGTACCTTCCCAAGGCTAACATCGTGCTGGTTGACAGCTGTGCATTCGTTTCCAGTACCAATATTAGAAAAAGATATGCCTCCTTTGGTTCCTCAGACACCTCACAAGGACGACCTTGATGAAACGTGGGTTTCTTTGACTCTAGCAGTACTGTGATTTGGGTGGTGCTGTTACATCGCGAATAGAAGGCTAATCCGTGTAGATGGACGTTCTTGGAAAAGGGTATCGACAGCGTGATGCTGAAGTTGGAGGAAGGGGTGGATATGAAAACAGTATGACTTTCAACCCCCGTTAGCTACTTTAGCGGATACGCAATTTTTACTAATTATGCTGACACTGCTACCTGTCCTACTTAGTACATGGCCCTTTATACGTACGTTAATGGTTGATGGATAATTGAAATTGCTTACAACTAACTTTTTGAACAAAGTGCGGTTCATAACTTTTGCACATCGCAAAAAGCCGTTGGAAATGGCCAGGGTTTACAGGCACACCGCGGGGGTTCGTTCCTATTCATTTCCACTTTCGTTTGCTACGTCATTGCCTGGGTAGCCTAAACTGATAGTCGTGCAGCACACCTTCTAGGGGAGGAATTATACAAACTGCTCGGAGAATACCTTTCGCGCCATCTCGATGCAGTGTATAGTGAGTCGAAGGGACATACCGAAGAAGCACTTTTAGGGTTCTACATTCGCGAATGGCTTCGTTACACCACTGCAGCCAAGTACATCAACCATCTTTTCAGATACTTGAATCGCCATTGGGTCAAACGGGAAATTGACGAGGGCAAAAAGAATGTATACGACGTGTATACCTTGCACTTGGTCAAGTGGAAGGATGATTTCTTCATGAAGGTCCATGAGAAAGTCATGGATGCAGTCTTAAACCTCGTTGAAAAGCAAAGAAACGGTGAGACAATTGAGCAGTCACAAATCAAGAGTATCGTCGATTCTTTCGTCTCGTTAGGCCTGGATGAGAGTGACAGTACCAAGTCAACACTAGAAGTATACCGCTTCTATTTCGAAAAGCCCTTTATCGCTGCCACTCGTGTTTATTACGAAAACGAGTCGCGTCAGTTTGTGACAGAAAACAGTGTTGTTGAATACATGAAAAAAGCGGAAGCCCGTCTTGACGAAGAGAAAGCCCGTGTTGGCTTGTACTTGCACCCGGACATTTCCAGGAATCTCACTGAGACATGTCTGGATGTACTTGTTACCACTCATTCCGAACTTCTCCGTGATGAGTTCCAGGTACTCTTGGACAATGAACGGCAGGACGACTTGGCTCGTATGTACCGACTCTTGTCGCGAATCAAAGATGGCCTGGATCCTCTGCGAACAAAATTCGAGACCCATGTCAGAAAAGCTGGTCTTGCTGCGGTCGAGAAAGTTGCTGCGGAAGGCGAATCGTTCGAACCCAAGATGTACGTGGACGCATTGCTTCAAGTGCACACCAGATATCAGAGTCTGGTTAATGAGGCCTTCAATGGTGAGTCTGAATTTGTCCGGTCTTTGGACAATGCTTGTCGCGAGTTTGTGAATCGCAATAAAATCTGCGCGTCTAGCTCGACGAAGTCACCAGAGCTGCTGGCCAAATACACGGATTCGTTGCTAAAAAAGGGGTCAAGGGCTGCTGAAGAATCGGAATTGGAGGAGATTTTGGTGCAAATTATGACTGTTTTCAAGTACATTGAAGACAAGGACGTCTTCCAGAAATTCTATTCAAAAATGCTGGCCAAGCGACTGGTGCACGTCAGCTCAGTGTCTGACGACGCGGAAACTAGTATGATCAGCAAACTCAAGGAGGCTTGTGGCTTTGAATATACAAACAAACTACAACGAATGTTCCAGGACATCCAAATTTCGAAGGATCTGAACGCAAGCTATAAAGACTGGCAAGACAGAGCTCTGGATGACGATGATCGGAAGAAGCTGGTTGACACCCATTTCCAAATCTTGGGTACCGGATTCTGGCCCCTTCAAGCACCCTCTACAGACTTCCTCGCACCACCAGAAATTGTCAAAACTGCGGAACGTTTTCAGAGTTTCTATTTTGATAAGCACAACGGCCGGAAGCTGACTTGGCTGTGGCAATTATGCAAGGGCGAGATCAAAACGAACTATATCAAGAACACCAAGGTTCCCTACACTTTTCAAGTATCGACCTTCCAAATGGGTATTCTGTTGCTGTTCAACGAAAACGACACTCTAGAGTATTCAGATATTCAAAAGGCCACATCGCTTGCGCCAGAAATCCTTGATCCAAACTTGGGCATCCTACTCAAAGCAAAAGTGCTTATTGTAAGCCCTGAGGGTGCAAAACCAGGCTCTGGAACAACGTATTCTTTGAACTACAATTTTAAGCACAAGAAAATAAAAGTTAATCTGAACATCCAAATCAAGTCTGAGCAGAAGGTTGAGTCAGATGACACACATAAGACGATAGAGGAGGATCGTAAGCTGTTGCTTCAGGTACGTTTCCAAATCCCCAGACGCCCCGAATATGCCATAGGTACCCGTGCTAATGTGCTCTTAAACAGTCTGCCATTGTTCGCATCATGAAATCGCGTAAGAAGATGAAGCACGTACAGCTAGTCCAAGAAGTCATTCAGCAGGTTAAATCCCGCTTCCCTCCAAAGGTCCCGGATATCAAAAAGAATATTGAGGCTCTGATGGAAAAGGATTATATAGAGCGTTTGGATGGTGACGAAATCTCTTACATTGCATGATTCGTATACACTTTCCCTGACCTTTTATTTCTCATGGATTGCACTTTGCCGGATTTCATGGTTATTCCACTTTACCATTCAGTTTGGCACTTTTTTCCTCTCTTCTACCCTACACGTACCCAATTCCTTTCCTAAGTGGAAAGCCATGTTTCGTGTCACTTTCTTAGCGCTAATGTCGACAAATGAAAGCCAATTTTACCACTCGAAAAAGGGAGTGAAAAAAAAAAAAAAAAAAAAAAAAAAAAGTAAAATCGATCATTCTCGTATCTCTGCTAGTCTATGGAGAAATCCTCAATTATCTTATCATCGATAAATTTGATTGTCCATAAGTTCGATTACAAGAATCAGTTGTGAATATGATATGGGTGGGCTTTGTATTGAACAATACAATACAAAGCACGCTATACCAAATGAAAGAAGAGTCCAAATGCCAGTGATATCCATTATGTAGCACAATAGTATCAGGTTTATATATAATTCATTGCAGGGGCAAAATAAAAGGAGGGGAAAGAAAACGGGGAGTAAAAAGGTGTACTCCCACAAGTTCTATCTTCCCCTTGGTGTATCAAAGCTCAAAGATGCAACAAGAGACACAAGAGCTTGTCATCCACCATAATCGAATAGAATGTATGCAAAAATTAAAACCGAATTTAGTCTTGCATCAAAGGCACCATCATGTCGTGTTCAACCAGAAAGATTGGGCTGTGTTCATAATAGATTATCTAGTTTGATTGCTAAATGCGACTTTTGAGTTTTTATTGTTGTTGCTGTTGTTATTATTTGTTTGATAAACTGGATGTTTCAGGGGTTGGTTCATTGATATCATACTGCGGCTTGGGCGGCGGCAATTCATCGGTCTTGCCGGAATCCTTAGCTGGGGTTCTGGTTGTAATATCTTCTCTTTCATCGTCTGAAGTTGGCTTGGGTTCCTTCTCAAAGCTATGGGTTTCTCTGGTATCTCCATATCCAGTCTTAGAATGAGCTGTAGACTCGGTAAACGGCAGATCGGCTGGCTCCGGGTCATTGTCCCCGAGGATAGAGGCTTCTCGCGACAAAGGCGACCTTGAATAGGCAGTTTCATGCTCAGTATTGTCACTACCTCGATCATCTCTTTTCTGGGAGGCCCCAAATTCTCCACTCTCACGCCTGAGAAGGATATTGCTCCATCTCTTTCTTCTACTTCCACTGCGTGACAGTGAAGTGGAATCTTCGCTGCGACGAACTTGTATCGAGTCTCGTCTACCTCTTTCCGTATCCCCGGTCTCTGTAGTGCCTGCTAATGTCGTTGACGGAGACGTAATCGAGGCTGGAGAGCACGAAGAAGATGGAGACGGTTTCTTCTCTTGCCACTCTTTTCGCTTCTCGCTGGCCCATGTGGTCCACGAGCTGAGATAGGCACCTGCTCTCTGGCCAACTGCGCTAACGGATGCTTGGGCTTGCGCAACGTCCACAGTGGGAGCTTTGCGGGCAGCAAACCAAGATGAGCCACCAGAGGAAGCAACGGATGCCGAATCAGACCGTGAGAACGGCGGCGGGGAACCCTTGTCCATTGATGATCGCTCCGATTGGGACACCTTTTCTTCATTCTTCTTTCGTTGTGCTTCACGCATCGACTCGACATCGGCCCAGAAGCTGTTAAATGCAGCGCTCACTTTCTTTTGGCCCGCGCCGATATGTCTGTTCAGTGCCTCACGGCCTTCCCGTACTTTTTCGTCTAGATGAAGATCAGTAACTTGCTGCGTTAGCCTTCGCTGAATGTCGTCAATCGTCAGGCCTCCTGCACACGGGTGACGAGGTTCAACAATTGAGAATAAAAGTGCGTCAGAAGTCAAATTCTTAAATAGAGCATAGTTTGAGGTGTTTTGCCACTGTTTTAAGAACTCCGAGTTGAACTCTAATGCCGGATCGCCCTCGATATTGAACGCCTCCAGCTGTGCTCTGGTCTTACGACCTGGTTCCCCAGCATTGAAAGAATTGAGATCTTCGTGATACTTCATGCAAGAAAGCAATGCAAGTAGATATTCCTCAAACTGAAGTCGAATAAACTCCTCCGATCCCATATATCCGTGAGTTTTGGGCTGCTGCGGATGTGCTTCATCCCACGTATCGTTGATAATTTGAGTAAGAAGGTCAATCCAACGCCTGTCCGCAACTGAGAGAGTCAATGCACTCCGAAGAGAAGGATTCGGGATAGAAATAGTGCCTTCATCAAGCTAGGGGACCGTTAGAATAGTATAGAAACGGGCAAAGTACATAAATCATTCTCACGTTGATTAAAACGTCACTGTAGCGATCCTTTTGCTGCAGAAGAAGCGAATTCGTAGACCCGACAACATATGACTTTGTTCCACAATCTGCCAGCAGATCCAGCTGTTGCAGAGGCGTATAAGGTCCAAACATACTTCCCTACAAGAAATTAAGAGCTGTCCGAGCGTCTTCAAAAAATATTTTACTTTTATACGCACTTTTCCAAAAATTTGCAAGGGTAAACCCATATATGCAAGTACTAAAACAATCAGCATCAGTATAAGGCGGAAGCACCACATTCATAAGCGTACATGAGTTTCTATCGCTTGTCTTTAGAGAAGTTGGTTTCTCGACAGTCTGTGCATACCTATCGGAAGCGGGATCTGCACAGTCTTCTAAGTGATTCATGAGGCTCGGTATCAAAGAAATTAGGGAGAATTGGATCATGCATAGGCGCTCGCATCTCGAGCCAAAGAAAAGCATCTACCAGACGTTAGAGTATTGCAGTATAATAAAATGTGTAGCAAGAGCCTATATACCTTGGGCTGTAAAAGCAAAGCTTTGAAAAGAACCAGTGTCTGGTACTTGAACTCATGGATCATTTCTCGCAGAGATAGTCCTTCAAACAAATAAGTAATATGTTCAACGCTGATGACATACTTTTCGGCCCTACCCAGGTTCTGGTCTTTTGATCCTTCACTCTGCACGTTGATCACTAGGTTCTCCCGAAATTTCTAGGGGTTCCTTGTCAGTATGGCCCAAGATCAAGAGCAGCAACCAAAAAGCACACCTTTAAAATATCGATATCTGAGAAATCCCTATAGCCACAGATTGCATCAGCCCATGCCCACCATAACACCATGTTATCAATTGGCAACATACCGTTGCGCAAACCAAGCCGACGTCACTATCGATAGTTTCTCCCTCAGCTGCCCAAGAGACTGCGGGCTATCTGTCACAACAACAACTGCCTTTTGTACTGTAGATCTCGTGACATCTGACGGGCGGTATATAAGGAGACTGGAGTCAAACTGCCTCGAGCAGGAAATGCCAAAGAGGGATGTTGCTGGTTCCGTGGCGGTCTCCTTGCGGCGGAGGGTAAAATACGAGAATTCCTCGGTCGACCTGGGAGATCAATCTCGCGTCAATAACCCCAGGAGTCATCTTTCGGTGGGAGGAATGTGTAGTCAAAGAGCGGATCGTACATATGAGCCCCATCTGATAGCGCCATGAATGGTAACAGGGACCAGTCGTTCTCCGCCGCAGGATCAGTTCCATCTTGTCCAATGCATAATTCAATTTCCGGACCCCTGTCCGAGATATAAATAGTGCGTTAGCCATTGTTCAAGTCATGCGACAGGGTGCGCAATCCTTTTGATCTCGTCTTTCGAAGGGTATGAGTGTGAAGGAGCCAGGAAAGTATGGTGGATGTCGGTGAGGAATGCGCGAGCATGCTCATTCTTTCCCTGCAACCTCCCTCGGCTGCTGCAGCCACGTACCTCGCATGGTGAAAATCTATGACCATGACAATGGGCTCCTGGCTGGTTGGAATGCGAGACATGGCGTAGATTCCGGGCGCTATATAGTATACGATCGTCTTCAAGGAAGAAAGAAAAAAATGACACGTCCTAGGCCAATTCCTCCGGGAATTACCCTTCCGAGCCAAAGAAGGAAGACACGAAGAAAACAGGTGTGACCTCACGTGCAAGACCAAACGGCCATCAGTCAACACCAGAGAAAGGGAACAGATCCATGCCTTGAAACCAGGGGAAACGAGGTGCAGTAGATTGGTTTCTCGGCGGGCGGTGACCGACACGGCGATTGATTGACGATGCTTTCGCCCCGCCGCCCAATAGTCCTGGATATGGGGCCGACGATAGATGGTTGAAGGACCAGTTGGCCGTTTACATTTCTCATTTAAGCATTGGCTACAGGGCACCCGATCAATGCATTACGCCACAATAGATATTCAGTGACCATTAGATATCAACTATCTATCAAGGCTTTATTCAATCAATCAAAAGGCTAACACAAAAACACTTGTTCATCAGTCGTGAACCAGATACAATATATGTATAAGAAATAGGGGGAGGGGAAGAAAAAAAGAGAGAAAAATTGATCATGTTACAGGCGCATTATTCCATCTTCAATAATCCAACTCTAGCCATGCCAACAGATTTAAAGGTAAATATCCCCGATGGCACATTGACGCTTCAACAGGAACCACCCAAAAGAACAAGGGAGGAGAATAATAAATAATGAGAACCTTCTCATTATGTTGCACTACTATGCCTTGCTTGTGGCCTCTCATGCGAATGCACGGCCGTCGCTAGCTCCCTCAGCAAGAACTTGACCGGCTTCATTGCCCTGTTCAATGTTGTGGAAATCAAGAATCTCCGAATACCTGAGAATGCAAAGTCAATAAAGCGGCCGGGATAGCCAGGCATCAATAAACACGTACATCATAATCTTCCAAGTGTCCACTGGTAGCTCAGCATCGTTGAATGACCAATCGAACTTCTCCTCCGCCTCGGGTTCATCTGTCGGGTCGTGGTAAGGGGCGAGATACTCGTGGGCAAGCGCTTCCCCAGCGCGAACTCTCTTCTTCGGGTCAAATACAAGCATTCGCTCAAGGAGATCAACCGCTACGATATGTCAGTTCCTCATAGATGTTCAAATCGGTAGGCGTAATATATCAAAAACATACCTTCCGGGTCGGCGTTTTTGAATTTATTGGAGAGAGGCTGGCGTTCTCGCTTGGGTAATGACTTCACAAATCGCAAGGTCTAAGACAAACGTTAGCGAGCTACACGAAGTTTAGATAGCAGAAGGTGCATGGTACTGACATTTTCGCTACAAATAGTCTGGATCACATCATCGGGTGGTGTGCCCAAGAGTTCTGTGATGATGGAGAACTGGTTGACATGATCTTTGCCAGGAAACAGGGGCTTTCCTTCCAGCATCTCAGCGAAAATACAGGCAGCACTCCATATGTCCACTTCCACATCATACTTCTGCCACGTGAGCATAATCTCGGGGGCGCGGTAATATCTCGTCGACACATAACCAGTCATCTGTGGGTCTTGGATGCGGGCAAGGCCGAAGTCGCAAATCTTCAGATCACAGTTTTCGTTGATGAGAATATTGCTGGGTTTAAGGTCCCTATGAACAACACCTGCTGAATGGACAAATTTCAGTCCCCGCTGAAAACAGTTAGCAATGGGTCGTACGAGAGGTAAAGAAGGGCGGGTAAATTCGCCAACACGCACCAGTATCTGATATAAGAAATATTGAATAAACTGCTTTTCCAATGGCCTGGATGTCAAGAGCCTGTGAAGGTCGGTTCCCAGCAGCTCAGTTACGAAGTAGCTATTGCGAGCAGTTAGTAAAAATTCGGGGCTCCCGGCAAGCAACAGGGCGAGACTAAACAGCATACATATCCTCGAGCGGCGAAATGAAGATATCGCTCAAACTAATTATCTAGTCACAGTTAGCACACAGGCACGACAGGAGGCCATTTGAATGCAGTGGCCAACCAACATTTTCATGACGTAGATGCTTCAACAATTTCAGCTCGCGATATGTTCGTTTCGACAAAACCGGTGTACTGAAAGGTTTCATTATCTTTTTGACTGCGACCGGTTGCCCTGTCAATTGATCCTTTGCTGAACTGGTTCCTCCGAATATCGTGTCAGCCCGCGATGCCTGACGAGGGGCGCAGGGAAGCAAATGAGGGGTTCTTAGCAATACCAGACAAGTCCAAACGCGCCCATTCCTACGGGTTGCAGATCGGTATACCTACCAGAAAGTTAGAGTCCGATAGAGAGATTGCGATCGAAGAATATCTATAGGAGCAAATACCTGCTAGTGATCTCGAAAGTGGTGCCGAAGATCTGGGCACGCACGAATTCTGCCATTTTGGATGAGGGATGGGAACACCAGAGGAAAAATGTTCCCAGGGCGTCTGTATTAGGTTTTCGGAGATTTTTCGACTTTTATTTTTTTTTCCCCTTCGCCTCGATGCAAAATAATTTTCGGGTAGAGTAGGTAGGAGGGTAAACGATAGTGGGATGAAACAGTGATTCCGGAAATCTCGAGGCAAGAAGATAGATAGGTAGGTAGGTAATAACGCTGGTGGCAGAAAGAGGAAGCAAAAGCCGTAAGCGGTGCCCAGCAGGGTATGTGGGGAAACGACCTCTTAGTCCACTCAGTTCGTGTCTCCGGCTCGTCAAAGACAAGGCCGATGACGTCCGCGACCAGAGAGCAGGCGTTCGAAAAGGGCCAGGCTGTGTGGACACTGGTGCTGCAAATTCGTCGGCCACGCGGATTATGAGCGGTTCCGCTAGTAGTTAACTAGCAGCCGACTGACATTGGGTGGAAGATAAGATAGTTCCTTAATCCAGGGTTTCTTTCGATGGTGCCTTTTTGTCTTTTGGTTTTCGCTCATGTTGCTTATATGGCAAACAGCTCTTTTTCTACACTCCGTCCCCCTTCACTCTCGCTATGATCCTCACCTCTACAGATTGATTTATGCAGTGAGTATATGTAATCTTCAGTTAGTGTCTGTCAGTGGGATGGTCTACAGCTTTCAGGATAACCAATATCCCCAGTGACACTTTTGAGAATGCTTGCCTATCAAAACCGTATCCGTAAATTTTCCACGATAATCGAATGTTCTGCCTGAGGTAAATATATATGCCATTGCCCATCTCTCGACCTGTCGATTTAACCAAATTCGGCAACTAATCCATGATATCACAGATCGCCCTGAGAGACGAAAGAAAGAGACAGAAGCAAAGCTCCAGCATATTTTGGCACTCTGTAGTTTGTCAAGGTAATCAATTAGCTAATAGATACTTGCGCGATGACTGCCAATCATTCATTTTGTAAACAATTTTTGCTTATTTCTTGTACCCTCCAAATGAGCTGTTCTATGCGGCGCTGTGCTGATCATGAAGCCCTTTACACCAGGGTTACCCTGATTTCCCGGGTTGTCTCCACAATCATAAGTGTGTTACCACAATGTTTAATCATTGGGTTATTGTCCATACAAAATGGTCCGCATTGGGAATTGACTCCAGACAAGTTATCATCAAAAAGATTCCCACCCACAACATATCTGGACATAGGTAAGAGTTATATAGTATTAACTAGCTGAAAGGACATCGATCACCCAGCCAATAACATTCACTCCACTAGACCAAAGTCTTCTTGAATCTTTTTTAAGAGGACATTGACCAACTAATTGTCATGGCCTACCCGATTGGGAACATTCGATCGAGAAAACCGCTGCGCCAGGAGCAAAAGACTAGCATCCAAGGACAATATCTTTGAACGGTACTCGCTTTATATAGTCAGGTTGTACAGCGCTGTAACACTAATATCATATACCACCGACATAGTTACGATTAGGTAAACGGAAGAACCTAGATAAATGTAATAATTGGAACGGATAAGACATTCTTGCTACATGATTTTAAAAATAAAGTGAGGACCCGTGAATTCCCTGATATGGTGGGAGCTGTAGTTGGGGGGTAAGAGAGAGTAAATAAGGACAAAATATTGCACCGATGGTAAGAAAGTGGTTACTATTATATATGATATTTCTTAATAAAGGAATATCTGATATAATATTATCTTCAAGACGACTTGATAAAACGCAATAAGCTGTTAAAAGGAATCATTTATTTCCTTAACAGAACCTGCTGGGACCTAAAGAATAAGAAACTAAGCTTAAAAGGAGAGTTAACAATGCTGACTTCCAAAAGCAGCAGAGTAATAGCCTTATAGGAAGGAAGGAAGTAGTTATTAAAACTCTTCTATTGCTTTTTCTAGCCCAGCAGTTAATTTAAAGGCAAATTTCTGCTTACTGAAATACTATGTATCAGTAAGCTTAATACAAATAGCAATATAGTTACTCCCGATATAATATAGTAACTATTAAATCTGACCGAAAGATAGAGGGCAGATCCATACATTTATATTATAATTATAAATATAGACTGCATCGGTGGTTATGTTCGAGGTGTGGGATTCAATTGTTTTCTGAGCGTATGTTCTGGATGTATTCCTGACCGGTATGTTGAATATCAGGATGATGAGGTTGTGCTTTAAACTTCTAACAGGGAGAATGCGGACAGTAATAAAAGGTCAATAAACAGATTTCTGCTGAAACAAATAAACAACAATTGGCATTTAAACTTTTAAGTTGAGCTTTTGTTAATTACCAAGACTGGGTGCAGCAGTCCTGATCCGAGGAAGACGGATATAGGAAAGGGGTTTACTATACAGTATACGAAAGGTGATTTGGTCAAACCTGTTCGAAATCAAGGCTTTAAATGACTTAATATACTTACAGTAACTATCAGCTGCATGAAAGTCATTACATATAGTCTGCCAAGTATGTGATTTGACAGCTTGATTTGTCTGGATTGTCTTGGAAAAGCCCCGACACTACCATAAACCGTGGTCCCACGGCGCATCCCTTAATCCCAGTTTTAGAGTCTCTTTCTCCCTGCCTCCATAATACCGAGGCTTAATATCCTTTAGTCCCCTCATCTTCTCGCCGTCCACTCACCCATCTAGTGTAACGACATTGATACGCATCCATGAGAATACAACACCCATGTAGTTAGATTGGCCTCAGAAAACATTTGAATCCCACACCTCGGACATAACCACCGATGCAAGTCATCATGTGCGTATTTGTATTCTTTTAGCGCGCTGCGGCCACCCGCTGGTGACATGAGAGCAAATGAGTCGCAGGCGCAAGCGCTATAGAGAGAAGCCCAACTTTGACACAGACTGCGCAATTGCAACGAGTGGCTATCACTCCAGTCGTGGGATGTGGATTATAAGGATCAAGATCGACCTTGTAGGAGACAAGTCCACAGTGACAGGAGCCATGATATGTTAGGTTCTCAAAAGTTAAGATGGGATGGTCACATCTTGAGCTGGTGCCACGATATTGGTAAAAAAAATTCTTGTTCGGTAATTGACTCCGAGGTCATGTAGTGAGATGTTGTTTTTCTTACACCTAAAAGCTTCGATTAACTTATTCATGCAGATAATGTCCATGAATTGCTATTGTACGCAGAAAGGTGGTATAGCCCAAAGTGAGAGGATGTAGCTTAATTATACATGTCTTCTAGCTAACTTTGTGCATGTGATGCCCCCTTAGTGCTGAACTGAGCTGCGGAATTAAGAGTGGGGTAGGCTTAAATCCCTAGCTTGTGTTACATAGACTTCTAAAGATGGCTGAAAGTTGCCTAAATTAATAAATAATACATTCAGGCTCCAGGCAGTAAATTTTACCAAAAGGGTACATGTTAACTGTGCTTGCACTCCACCTTGAAGTTCTAATTCCTTATTACCACATTATTTTCCAATCACTGGTATCGAACCCCTTATAATTCCTAATATTGGTTGTCCTAGTGTAGCTACCATGAATGTTAATAACAGCACATAAGGGTATAGTTGCTAAGATTAAACACCTGCATCACCTTAGGACAGCAACTAAATTATGCTTAGCGAATATAGAATAATAGTGTAAATAATGTGGTGGAGCGCAAAAGCAGAAGTTATTTTTAATATTAATATCACAGGTCCTCGCATTCTGTATTTAACTTGGATATGCCTAGCAATGAACATTGTTGGGCTTACCCCCAAGGTTAAGGGGTCTTTGTATATAGTCTAACTTTGTCTATTTCTAAATAATCTGTAGACTGAACCCAATCTACTGTATTGCCAGTGGGAGATTCCTTCCTGTGCACTGCATAACTCAACACAGAATTCTGGCAAGATAGTTTGTTTCCAAAAGAACCATCTTATACTAGAAGGTTCCTTGGTCCATGTACAGAATCACCTTCGAGGAAATGGCTTTTGTACGGAGTACACAGTATAGAATATAGAAGAAATGGCTTCCACAGCTGCCTGAATAATTTTCTTACTTAAACACAGTAGGTACTGTCTAACTCTCCTGTGTATATTTTATCATGCATTTGTTATTTCAGTCAAAAATACCTCTGCATAGCTGGCAGTATGGTAAGGCTAGGCCCTTCTGTTTAACTAACCACTACAAAAATAATCCATATATCCAGCAGATACTTCTCTGGCATACTAATTATCCTGGGGTACGTCAATGTCATCATATTCTGTGGGGCGGATCTGGTTCTAGCCAATTCCATCCACTTCGTGTCATGTACAGAGTAAAAATCGTCCTCCATGGAAATAAAGTGTCTTGTTAACTCTAACATAACCACTATTAAATTAGTAATATTTTTAACCAGATCAGATCTGGTCTATGTTCTACAGTGTCTTAGACTTCAAAGGTCTAACTCTCTAAGATAGTAAAGGTAATCTTTTTTTAAACTTTCCCCTCCTTCACTAGGCCCGCATTGGGTCAAAGCGCCCGCACTCCATGTTTTGGAGCCAACAAATACGGATACTACTATATCAAAGGCTTGAAATGAGGTGTCAATTTAATTATTATCCATTCTTTCTCTCTCCCACTCCTCTCCTTTATCTAGAGAAATTTGATGATCTCCCCACCGGGCCCCCCTTTTCCTTCGAGTTAGTACTTCATATGTCCTTGTTGCCTCTTGGCTTGGACAAAAATTGAGGTAGAAGCTAGAAACTCTTAGGCTCATCATCTCTACAGGGTACATTAATGGAAGCCTAATATATGACTTTCTGTTTTTAAGAGCGATCAATTTCTTTGTAGTATTGGGTACTTTCGGAAGGGCAATCCGGCTCCATTCAAAGCACATGAAACTCTTGTGTCACACCCCTACTGAAGCTCACCTCAGCTTTTGTGATGTGATTGATTTCCCTTGCTGTACAGAGCATTTATGTACCCTCCCTCCTTTTTTTAAAGTTTTTGTATGTACAGTGGGCGTTGTTATTTTGGGGGACAATAACTATGCCCCAAACTCTGAATAATTTTAGTTACGACGCTATCGCCCTGGGCTCCAATTCCCCAATCAGGGGGCAGTGGGACATAGCCCCAGCCTCGACATTCCCCAAAAGGCGCATCTGCGCCCAGTCCAGGAAAGAGAAATGTGCTGAGTACCCCAAGCCGTCCAGTGTCTAGTGTATTGCTTGTTCCTTGTGCGTATGTAGTACAAGTGCAAAACTCTTGTTAGAAGTTTGAGTACACCCGATATGCATAAAATGATGTTACCTGACTCTATTGCTTTCTGTCCACAGTGGCCTCAATTATGATTGTTGTTATCTGAATCAGATCGTCTCGAACGGCAGGGGGGTGAAAGAAATTTAAACCTATGGACTGTGGCGTCCGCTAATCCCTACCTAGATCTCCCCATGGTTACCTACCATTGTCAAAGGAAAGTGTAATTATTGTCATCAAAAATACATCCGGGGAGACACACACTGCCTAGAAAGCCGATTGGTAAACTGCATTGATGGAATGACTCGATTCTCTGTCTATATTAAAAATCAGCAGAATAGCAGGCTATTTTGTCCTAGTATTGTCTAGGTGACAAAGAAATTGGTGCCCATCTACCTTCCTGTATGACCCCTATATGAATTCCCCATACTTACTGTCACAGTGTTTCATCATTTCATGGTATGAATCGCTGGTCCACGTTTTCCAGATACCCACCTAGTCCAGTAGCAGTTAGTGCCAAGTTGTACCGTACTGTAGGTAGGATGTACTAGTACGTACATAGGCCAGGTCACAAGTATGTAATCCTCGCCTTTTCTACCATCTCCACTTCCATCTGTTCTAATAACTACTCCGTATGTATGACGATTAAGAACATCCACTATTGGGTCATAATAATAAATTCCACACTCTCTTCTTAAATCACCTTCTGACACGAACCCATATCTCATCTTCACTTACTACCAGCATCACTTCTGCCTCCCTGACAGACTTCCGACCTACCTTACTAGGGACTCTCTCTACTTAACTAGCTAACTACTCACTTCCCATTGCTTACATTATCTCACTCGAGATCCGCTCTCCCATCCACTCTCCCACATCATCCCCCCCGATCGACCTGCTACCCTTTTTTAGCGTCGGCTCATCACTCTCGCTCAACTCTTCTTGCTCCGCCGTCGTATCGTGTCGCCCCTCTTTTTCAATCAACCTCCTTGGGAAGGCCATACACCAGAAACCGCGCAGGCTCCTTTCCTACCGTCGTTTGTCTCCCTAGCTTCGTCTCCTGCGTCACGAGCCATCATTTCCGTCCGGGAGCTTGCAGTTGTCGCTTAGGCCTTCATCCAAACGGTCCAGAGCCGTTCCCGACGTGACCCTATTTCTGACCGCTGTACGCCAATTTTGCTTCCTGCCTAGCCACGTTTAATCATCGAGAGCTAAAGGAACGCCTCCTTTACTTCCATCCTTTCATCCTCCTGCTTCTAGACTGCGCCATTGCTCATTTACCTGCTGTGATTCCGAACGCTAGGAGAATAGCTGTCACCTATCCCCCGGAAGCTTAAGGTGTCGGTGTCTTGATAGGTTGATGACGCTCCCTTCCGCGGGCAGCTTATGATTTCTATCTTCATTGGATATAGCCAAGAAGATGGGTTCGTGTATTAGTTCAGAGTCGGCAGAATATGCGGACCAGAAAAAGAAAAGCCAGGCAATCGACCGCAAATTAGATGAGGATTCTAGAAAGCTACGGAGGGAATGCAAGATCTTACTCCTAGGTACGTTTGCGATTCTACGACGGCGGTATCTCGCATTGCCTAACAAAGGATTCTCTATACTAGGGTCCGGTGAAAGCGGTAAATCGACGATAGTCAAACAAATGAAAATCATCCATCAAAACGGCTATTCGCCTCAGGAGCTGTCTTTGTATCGCCTAACCGTTTATAAGAATCTTATGGAATGCGCCAAGTCCTTAATAGGAGCCTACGATCAATTCTCCGTCGAACCATCAAGTCAAAAAGTCCGAGATTATATTCAGTTCATTTCCGATTACAATATCGACCCCGATCCGAATACACCGCTAGACCCCAAAGTTGGAGATGCGATAACATACATTTGGAATGACCCATGTACTGCGACAGTCCTGGATCATCAAAATGAGTTCTATTTGATGGACTCTGCGCCATAGTGAGCATAGACAAACTCGATTACTTTGAGGGGCTGCGTACTGATTGACGTTTGGCTAGTTTCTTCGAGGAAGCGAAGCGAATCTCATCTCGAAATTACGCACCTAACGTAAATGACGTGCTTCGTGCGAGAACGAAGACAACAGGTATATACGAAACCAGATTTTCAATGGGTCAACTAAGTATACAGTACGTCATAGCCTTGTTGTTTGTAAACACATTTATGCTGACAACCCCATAGCATGTTCGACGTGGGCGGTCAACGCAGCGAAAGAAAGAAATGGATTCACTGTTTCGAGAATGTTACATCCATCATATTCTGTGTGGCGCTTAGCGAATACGACCAAGTACTACTAGAAGAAAGTAATCAGGTAGGTGCTACCAATATTATGGCTAGCATGTATCGAAACTGATTTGTAGTGAAGAATCGAATGATGGAGAGCTTGGTACTGTTCGATTCGGTCGTTAATTCTCGGTGGTTTATGCGAACAAGCATCATTCTCTTCCTAAACAAAGTGGATCTCTTTCGGCAAAAACTCCCTCGTTCACCTCTAAGCAATTACTTTCCGGATTACTCTGGCGGCAACGATGTGAATCGCGCAGCGAAATACCTTCTGTGGAGATTCAACCAAGTAAACCGGGCTCATCTAAACCTCTATCCTCAGTAAGTGCTACTTTTCAGTGAACCTTCCACGTGGTTATCAAATTCTCAAGGTCTAACTTGATTCTTCGTGAAGTCTTACACAAGCGACCGACACCACAAATATCCGACTAGTATTCGCTGCCGTTAAAGAGACGATCCTACAAAATGCCTTGAAAGATTCGGGTATTTTGTAGTTTTGATCCTTATCTTGCATCTACGTATCCCTATACTTTCTATGAAATGGTCCCTAGCCTTTTGAGGTTTACCATGTTCCAATCACGGCTTTACGTTCTTTTTACCTTATTTTTTTCTGTCCTCCCTACGTCTATAACTCTCTTATGTTCAGTGAATAGGCATCGGCGTTTCGGTGCTTATTTCATATCAGTTCGACATGCTAGGCGCTGGGTTGGATCTATTGGTGTTACTTCAAAGGGTCTTTCTCGTCTAGTATTTCCATTTTTCCTAACTTGCCCTTGTTTCCCCCCCCCCCCCTCTCCAATTCTTCAGACGATTATAAACCTGGTGGCTACTTTCTGCAAACCCCCCCTTTTTTTTATTGTCTTTCTTCTTGGGCCTGGGATATGACGAGCATATTTTGTGAAATTAAAAGTTACTGGCCTCGGCACACTTTGCATACAGCCTGTACGAGGATTTTTGATATCCTTTCTCATGCACACAGTGGTGTTTTCTGTCTCAGCTTGTCTTTATCTGTTTGTGTCTTTTTCATATTTACGTTTTGCATTTACTGGCAATTTCTCTGGTGACAGCTGCTTAGCACAGCGCGAATTATACCATTCCATTTTAGCGTGCCTGTGCCATCCATATATATTTTGTGTTTAATCATTTCTCTCCAATTTCCCGACTCACCTGGTTAGTATCCTCGTCTTACAGGCTTAGTTTTTGCAAGGGTCTAGACGGCTCAACGCAAGCAGTTGTCCATCACGGATTATGGGAGCTAGAGCCAACTAACACTAGCCGCCCGTGCAAGAAAATAGCGTGGTAGAAATGGGGATCCTGAATCTCCCTCCGAATTTACTTGGCTGCTGGATCAGAGACCGAATCGTCTCAATGGGTCAGTGGTTTGTATAGTATCCCTTGGGACAACTAACCCTGCGGGGGAAGCGCGTTGAGCCTGTCTAACAGTAGCATAAGTTTAAAATAATGATAAATTATAAGCATGACTGACATACAGAAAAAAATAGAAAGGGAGAGAGAGATATATATATAGTCTTCTATATAAAAGAAGAAGATACAAAAACAGAAAAATTGTTCTCCGATACGGGGAATCGAACCCCGAGCTGCCGCGGATCTTCTTCCAGTTAATGAAAGGCGGCGATGTTAGCCGTTACACCATATCGGACTAATTGCGATGGTTTTTTCACTTTTTGTTAGAAAACAGAGGCTTACCTCTATAAGAAAATGAATTTCTAGGCGACTGAAAATACCTCTCCACCTAGAATACCATCATGCCCTCGGTGAGACACTGCTTTGCTTAGAACAAATAAAAATAGAATCGGTTCCACCAGCACACCTCATAGTCCATTACGCACCAAGGCCTGCAGCATGTTAGTGAAGTATCTATCCTATTTCGAGGATGAGTAAACCGGATAGAGGAGATACTAGTTGGTCGGTACGGAGTAACAACAGTGTTAAGGGCAGACAAAATATGTATATAAATAAGGTGGTTTTAGATATGGGATGTGGAGATCTCCATCCACTGTTTGCCAGTTTGCATTTCCAAGTCTTTACCAACGAGAAAGCACTCTGGTTGTGAGAGCAAAAAAGAAACACCGTTTGCAATTGATACAGGGTCTCCATACCTTTCGGTTCAGACCACGCGTAGATAGTTGTGTTCGTAGGCTAGCTTTCCAGGATTGACTGTCAGACTGGGTTTGACTAGGACAGACTATGTTTGGAATGGTGGCTTAGTTTGGATCTAATCATAAACTAATTAATGTATAGGAGGAGTGTGGTGAATTCCCAATAGTGTGAACGGTTGGACTGAGGGATATACTCTGAAAGGATACTTTGGTTCGAGCGAGCTACGACCCTGCAAAACAGGATTGAATGCCATCAGTGGTAGGTAAGGTAATGAATGAATGATAAAAAGATCTGGGAAAAAAAAGAAGTATAATTTCTCCGATACGGGGAATCGAACCCCGAGCTGCCGCGGATCTTCTTTCAGTAGTGAAAGGCGGCGATGTTAGCCGTTACACCATATCGGATGGCTTGCGGAAATTATGGAATAATTTAGCATTTTGTGGGAGAACCCTCACCTTATCTAGATATCACTGTTGACTTTGGGCTTTCTATACCCCTAGTGAGGTAGACATTTTGCTCTTTTCCTGGGCCAAGGCATATCATCTCCTTTATCTAGACAGATATGATTTTTTGAAATACAACTGGAAGATACCCAAGCGGTAATTGCGGGGAAACGGGTAGATGGATGTGGCAAACCTGGAGCTTTGACATTATCGGAAGGGACCTGGTGAGAGCTTGTGGAACTGGGCGGAGGATGGGTTTCGGGGAGGGGTTTGCATGGAGATCACGTAGGGTGGATATGGCAGTGCATTGGCTGCTGGCAAAGAGCACTGGGCAGATCACAGAGGTTGTGGAGTTTTCTCATGTACTGCACGGACGACAATGGCTGTTAATCGCATGGTTTGTGTGTCCCACTAGGATACTTGGATGTCTGGACTGGTGGACATGGACCTGGCATTCCCCGCTCTATGGAAAGACCGGCTGACATAGAGGATCGTATGTAGACGGTGGTGGTCCTCTAGGATAGATATATATATATATATAGATATAAATTAACGTTGCGATTAAACTGGTGGTCCATGCCCAACATACAATATTAACTGTTGACAGGCATCAAACGGTAAATACCCAGAGACACTTGTCGTAGGTACAGAAGTATACTACCTAGGTAGTAGTAGTACGTATCTGCTCCGGCAGTCCCAACTAAGAGATTCCGGACAAGCCCCGCCAATCAGTCCGGATGGGCAGAGCAAGCATCCCAGTCGACCAGGGCCTAGGCATCTGTCATGTAGGAAAGATTGAAACACGGACGTCAGAGCCTGTTTTGCACTGCCTTTGTTCTGTTATCCCTCTTAGACCCCGCCCAATTCAGTCACGGGATACAGTATGCTCTCAATCGCACATAAAATGTTTCCCTCCCGCCATACCTCTTTGTCTTCCACACCCTCTTTCCTTTGTTGTCTTGACGACACTGGAGTGAGCTTTCCCTTGATTTGCACTATTTCCAGTAGCCTACTATTCCAGCCTGTTCACATCTGAGGCACTACTGCCCAGTACCCTATAATTTCCCAATCCATCTCATACAGAAATAGACCCCAAACTTGCCTGTGCCTATCAAACATGTCCGAAGATAATCGTGAAAGGAGACCTTCTGTCGGTGCCCCGGTTTCAGAGCTCCAGGGCCCTGTTGGCCCTGGGTTTAGTCGCCCCAAACACAAGAGAACCTACACGGGCTTTGGACCCGCAGAGACCAAGAGCGTCGAGGCCAGCATCCCAGAGCCATTGAGGGAGCTGTAAGTCTATAGCCACTGCCCCTGAACGCTAAACGTCACCCCAAATAGCGAAGTAGCACTATGAATCTAGCTAACCTGGAACTGTCCTCAGATGGAGGGCCCATGTAAGATAGATCCATATACATCTCAGCCCTGGGATGCGTTGAAATATACTAAAAAGAAGTAAAATGACAGTCTGTTAAAGGGTTCGCAAATAAGGAGGAGTTTGAGGTATGTGAACACGAATGTTCGAACACAGAAGATTCTAATGGCCGGGCTAGAAAGAGCTGGTACGCCATGTGGAAACCACACTGGCTCGCTCGCTTTACAATTGTGATGAGCTGTATGCCCTCTCCATAGCACAAAATCCCGGTTAGAAGCATACCCATCCCAACAGAGACCTAGAGCCGCATACGCAGGAACCGCACTTGCCTTTCGAGATCGTTTGATCATCGACTGGAACAAAACTCAGCAACGCCAGTCCTTCAAAGACCAGAAAAGGGTATACTGTAGGTTTGGTTGATCATTTCTTCTGATGTGTGATACTGGCAAGGAATGGTGTTGATCACTTCCTCAGATCTTTCTCTCGAGTTCCTGATGGGCAGGGCGCTGGACAACGCTATGCTTAACATTAAGATGAAGGATGTCGCTAGAGGTAAGGTCTGAATAGGCTAAAACCACACAACACTCGCACTGATAGAATGATCAAGAGGGCCTGAAAGATCTGGGATTTCGTATCGAGGATGTTATCAATCAAGAGCATGATGCTGCCCTTGGCAACGGAGGCTTAGGTCGACTGGCAGCGTGCTTGCTCGACAGTCTGGCGACATTGAACTACCCTGCTTGGGGTTACGGCCTGCGTTACCGCTACGGAATTTTTAAGCAAGACATTGTGGATGGTTATCAAGTGGAAGTCCCGGACTATTGGCTTGATTTTAACCCCTGGGAATTTCCTCGACATGAAATCACGGTCGATATTCAGTTCTACGGGTGGGTGAGGAAATACCAGGATGAGAATGGCAGAACTGTCCACTCGTGGCAGGATGGTGAAACCGTTCAAGCAGTGGCATATGACATGCCTATCCCTGGTTATGGGACCGACACAACAAACAACCTTCGGCTATGGTCGAGTAAAGCAAGTAGTGGAGAGTTTGATTTCCAGAAGTTCAATGCCGGTGACTATGAAAGTGCAGTCGCAGAACAACAGCGCGCGGAAACAATCTCAGCCGTCCTATACCCGAACGACAACCTCGAGAGAGGAAAAGAACTCCGACTAAAACAGCAGTACTTCTGGTGTGCTGCTTCATTGCATGATATTGTTCGGAGGTTCAAGAAAACAAAGAGAGCATGGGGCGAATTTCCCGACCAAGTTGCCATCCAGCTTAACGATACTCACCCAACGCTGGCTATAGTAGAGCTACAGCGCATCTTAGTTGACCAGGAAGGCCTAGAATGGGATGACGCGTGGAAAATAGTAACCAATACTTTTGGCTATACCAATCATACGGTCTTGCCAGAGGCATTAGAGAAATGGTCTGTTCCTTTGATGCAGAACCTCTTGCCACGACACATGCAGATTATCTTCGACATCAATTTGTTTTTCCTTCATGCCGTGGAGAGGAAGTTCCCAGATGACAGGGATTTGTTGTCTCGGGTGTCAATTATCGAAGAATCGCATCCCAAGATGATCCGAATGGCTTACATAGCGATTGTTGGTTCCCACAAGGTCAATGGAGTTGCAGAGTTACATTCCGATTTACTCAAGACAACACTATTCAAGGATTTTGTTGAAATTTATGGTCCTGACCGATTCACAAATGTCACAAATGGCATTACTCCTCGACGTTGGCTACACCAGGCCAACCCACGGCTCTCAGATTTGATTGCTTCCAAGCTTGGGGGCCACCAGTTTCTGACAGATCTGACACTACTTGATGGGTTAGAAGCTTTTGTTGATGACAAGGAGTTCCGCAATGAATGGGCAGAGATCAAAACTGCGAACAAAGTACGACTTGCTAAACACATCAAAGATACTACTGGCTATACCGTCAACCCGACCGCTCTATTTGACGTTCAAGTGAAGCGCATCCATGAATATAAGCGCCAGCAGCTTAACATCTTTGGGGTCATCCATCGATACTTGACTATCAAGTCCATGACTCCCAAGGAAAGGAAGCAAGTCTTGCCAAGGGTGTCCATAATTGGTGGCAAGGCAGCCCCAGGGTACTGGATGGCCAAAACAGTTATTCATCTAGTCAACAACGTTGCATCCGTTGTAAATAATGACCCGGACATTGGTGATCTTCTGAAAGTGATCTTTGTTCAAGACTACAACGTCAGCAAGGCCGAAATGATTTGCCCTGCTTCGGACATCAGCGAGCACATCTCGACGGCTGGCACTGAAGGAAGCGGGACCAGCAACATGAAGTTTGTGCTTAATGGTGGTTTGATTATTGGGACATGTGATGGTGCTAATGTACTTCTAACCCCTTTCCTTATATGTGCGATTGCTTTTCTGAGTTTGACATCATACTGACTGCAAGACCGCGTAGATCGAGATCACCCGGGAGATCGGTGAACAGAATATATTCCTATTCGGAAACCTCGCCGAAGATGTTGAAGAAATCCGCCATCGACACCTTTACGGTAATTTCCGCCTCGATTCTGACTTATCGAAAGTCTTCGATGCCATCCGAAGCGGCATGTTCGGTGATGGGGGTGATTTTGCCCCGCTTATTGGATCTATCGCAGAGCATGGTGATTATTACCTCGTGTCAGACGATTTCAACTCGTACATCACTGCCCAGAAAATAGTAGACGAGGCTTTCAGAGACCAAGATGAATGGATAGCCAAATCGATTACCAGTGTGGCTCGTATGGGTTTCTTCTCCACTGACCGAGTCATCAGCGAGTATGCAGACAGTATATGGAACGTGGAGCCATTGGCAACGAAAGATTAAGCCTATTCCGACAGTTCTTGTTCCTTTCAATACCTGTCCTGGCCCTAGCCCTGAAGTGATAGTGACTACCAGCACAGATGATCAGCCATGCAACATATTTTTACCTAACTCGCTTCATTATTAATTTCCAAGAAAACATGTTGCAGAGAAAATATCTATGTAACCAACCAGTCCCAGAATACCAATGCCCAACTACTCTAAAGGTACAATTGTTGATTCGATAACATGCCTTATATAGTGCAACAAGGGGGAAAAAGGACGCCGTAGGTACAATATGGTCTTGATAAGGGATATTGAAAATAATGCCCTCTATTGCCACCGGTAAGAAATTGGCAACAAAAACAGTAAAAGTGTCATCCTAGGCACTCAGTTCCGCCACACGTTTCTGCAGTTCCGGCACAGCACGTAGATGAAGGTCAAGTTCTTCTTTCTCACTGTCATCTAGTACGTTAGCATTGGTAACTTAAGTATAAAGAAAGAAAGGGGGGAGGAAGGGCACTGAGAGAGCCAGCAATGGTAAACATACTCTTCTAATTTCAATCTCTTTTCCCAGTCCAAGCCGGTGAAAATATAGCTTCCTTGGCCGTCAAACTGCAAAATCGTCTTGTGATACTTCCAGAGACTACGGCGGTGGGATACAGTCATCAGAGTGGTGCCTAGTTTTTTGGCCGTCTCGTACATGACTCGTTCGATTTCCAGGGTGACAGATGAGGTACACTCGTCTAGGATGGCGAACTTGGGTCGGTGATAGAATAGTCTCGCCATGGCTATACGCTGCTGAAGTCCACCCGAAAGCACATCACGCCATTCCTCCTCGGCGTCCCAGCCATCGGGGCGGTCTACAACCGAGGCGATTTCCACGATGGAAAGGATCTCGTAGAGATCTGCATCGGTGATACCCTTGGCTCGCATCTCGCGAAGACCATCTGGATAGATCACCTGTTGGCGTAGGGTTCCTCGGGAGAGGTATGGTCGTTGGGGGATATAAAAGATCTCGTCGAATCGGGGTTTCTTGACTCTACCCCCGTAGACTGGCCATAGACCGCCGAGAATCCGGAATAGAGAAGATTTCCCGCACCCATTTGGACCGACAATCAGTAAATGATCCCCCGGATGGACAGTGAATGACAGCTTTCGTACCAAAACGTCTCCGTTGGGTGAAACGATCGGCACGTCGGTAAATTCGATGAAGTCACTTTCCTCGACAACGCCTCGTCCGGACAAAACAGCAGCGTTCTCCTCGGTCGAAGCGGACGAAACTAGCTTCTTCTCAAAGCGTCCAGCTAAAAGGTCATCCATGACATCCAGAAGGGAAGAAACGCGAGCCGTGTGGCCGGCTAGTTCGGAGATTTCCTTGTAAGAGAACATTAAGCGACCGAAGGCGTCTGAAGACGAAAGGAGCATCCGCCTGTTTGTGACAAAACCTATTTCATTTTTCATTAATCCAGGCTTCATCACCAATGGCAAAAATTGTGGGATGGTGATTAACTTACTTTCGGTACGATCTCCCATGGTCTGGCTGAGCTGACCTGGAATTCTGAAGAAAACGGGGATACTGCACAAGATCAAACCAAGAGCACCCCAGAAATATTTGATGACAAAATCCTCCATGAATCCATGGTACAACCGTCGCCGCAGGATGCGATTGACATGCTTGATCAGCGTGAAATACCCTTTATCTAGAGTATCTTTCTCGGCATCGTGGCCGTGATAGAGAGCTATCTCCTCGCTGTAGTCTATCAGTCTCGAGTGAAGGAATCGGAATTCTCCTTCTAAGCGAGCCTCATCAGCTACATATTTGCCGAATGGGGGTGTTAGTGCACGCATGACGTTGGCCGATAATTGCACCAGGAGGCCCATAATGAACAGGCTCTCCCCGCCTACGCTTTTCGAAAGGGAGTAATTGTAGATGGTCATGTCCAGTATGGGCTTAGCCAAATTAGAGTAAAGCTCTGCCAGACTGTCGGAAAAACGAGAAACGTCTACCGTGATTAACTGATCGGGATTTTTCACTCGGTCATCTAGCGCCGAAATCGCGTAGAACGTCATATTGGAAAGGTACTTGTCATGGATGTGGTCCGTGAGGCGTTTTCGATAACTGAGAGCAAGCCGGCATTGGTGATAGGAGAGCTAGCAAGGAGATCAGTACATCTCGGTCACTACAGAGCTAGGTGCTTGCTTGACATACCATGGAATTTGTAAACGTTGCCGGCACTGCAACAATCATCCACCACACCAGACCCAAGAGGAAATCTTTCCCTCGCCCTCTCACCAAATTACTGACGAGTTTCCCATCTAGCTCGGCCACGTACAGGCTGAGCAATGTCCGGAGCACTAGGAAAACACTGTGACCCACGAGTAGTCGTAGTTCCTTGCTTCGCCAACCCGGAATCACAATTTTTAGTAACCGGAGGAGATTTCTGAAAAATTCACGGTTGACTCCAACCCTTTTCCGCGGTCGGTCGTCGCCATCACCAAGGCTGCTGGTTCCTGGCCGTTTCCGCAAATCCACCTGGTGCTGGGAAGCTGCTTTTTGCTCAGAAATAGCGTTATGGATGCGTTTCGCCAAAGCTGCAAAGAACGCTAGATAAGCTGTACGGGTTATATTTTTGCGGTGGCGGAGATACAGGGCACTTAGGCTGGATAAGGTCCGGCGAATAGAGCGGTCGGGGGGAAGCAGTTTCGACTGAGCAGCCATAGCGATGGGTGGTGGCGGCCGCGCATAGATGACACAGAACGAATCTTAGCCAGAGTCAACGAAGGCAATCATGACCGTGAGGGCAGGAGGGAGGTATATGGTAGAGTGAGTGAGAAGGAAGAGATGGTGGTGATGATGATGATGGGGAGAATTGAATGGAGGAGAGGGAGAGATGACATGTGGGCCAAGAGTTAGGTTAGGCGGTTGCATGTGAACACATCTCCCCGGCTTTCTGGGGAACTAAGAGAGCCGAGGATGATACTAAGTGATTAGGCGGGAGATCATCCACCAGAGAGTGGGTTTGTGTCGATTTATTATGAACTCGGGTCATTCTTCCTCTGCGCGTTTTTTCTCCGCTAGAAATTCTTTGTTTCTTCCACTCTTTTGGGGATGCCTGCACGTGCTGGTCACATTACTGTCTTGTATGCCGCAATTTCACCGCATACAACCCCCCAAAAAAAAAAAAAAAAAAGGGCTAGTATCAGATATATTTCGTAAGGCGTTCAAAGGACAGTTATGTACAGGTAAACGCTCCCTCTGCAGAACAAAGCAGAAGATACCAAGAACGAGGCCAAGTTAGATTACATATGGAATGACATGGACGCGCCCGCCGTTGTTTAACGGCGAAAGCAATTATGGATACCATGCAGCAAATTTGACAGCGAGGTAATAGTCGCTGAAGTATACTTTATCCTCATGAAGGGGGTGATCCCCCTGATTCAGCCTTCCGAGTTTGATTGGCGGGATTGGGCATTGGAGGCGTAGATCTCTTCCCGCTGTTGATTTGAGCAGCAATCTGGCTTTGCTTAAACTTTTCGAAGGCTTCGGTATCTTGCTTTTGAATGGCCCACAGTTCTTCCACGGTCGACCCTAGCTCCTCGAATGCTTTGTCCGCTCCAACGCTTTCGAAATCCGACCGGGTCTGGTCCTCATGTAGACGATCGAGTTTCTCACGAAGGGCGGCCAGATGGGCATCGTCAAACGACGAAGGTGAATCATGATCTGTCGGGCCAAATGTTGGGCTGAGGAAATCTCGGCGGATATTCTGTCCAAGACGGTGAATATGGCCTTCCTCGGAGGTTAACGCCCGTGAATGAAGTGAGGTGATCGAGCTGGATCGAGATAATCGGACGGCATATTTATCGGTTTCTTCGTCATCAATAGCGACCTCATCAGCAGGATTGGCCATGGATTGGATGCCAAAGACTGGCGGTCCGTTTCCATCGTCACCGGAGTTCTGTGAGCCTGTTTCTGCATGGACAGATACAACGGGCTGTGACACAATGCGCGTCTCTGGGTATTCATCTTCAAATCGTCGGATCATCCTATCTAGTGTCAAATCAAGGAATTGAAGACGTCCTGTTGAAGAAGTAATGTTAGTACTAAAATCCACAAACACATACGTTTACGAAACATACTATAATTGACGTCATTGCCGGCTTTGTCTTCGCGAACAAGGGCTGACTGAATTCGGACCCGAATGTTGCGGGCCGATTCTAACAGATTCTTTGACATATCACGAGGCCGCTTGGCAACGTAGGACCTAGATTTCCTGTGGCTAGGGGTTGTCGTGCCACTAGGGGGGCCAGATTGGTCTCCTGGCAAGTGATAGTCGAGGTTACCAAGACAAACACCGAGAGCTTTGACGACGCCGGTACCTCCGATAACGTAGTCTTCATCAGCGGTGGGTTCATCATCCTCTTCGTATAGGTCATCCCTGCCATTGTGTCCAACAATATGCTGTAGAATTTCGGGGACTGGAACAGCTGCCCGTGTAGCTGTCATATCTGCCGGGTCCGAAAGCTCTGCCTCAATCGCGCCTCGTTCCAGGTTTTTAAAGCAATAAGCTACGATTTGGGATGCGAGAGCCTTGACCACTTCGTTGTTTTCTGCGCTGGGTACTTCAATATCCACAGCTATGATTGCCCGAGACACCTGCACCGCCGCCATCAAGGACGCATATACGGCACACGCCTCCTCCTGGACAGTGGGGTCTGTTGCGGAGGCGAGCACCTTAATCAAAGGGTTCTCCAATATGTTCAGGTGGCATAGACTTGGACAATCAGGAAGCACTTCCGCAAGAGCAATGGCATGGTCCGCCGAAAGATTGACATCGGCCAGATGAATACGCTTTAATAAAGGCATCTTTGGCAGGAAACGCCTGAATGTTGCCAGTGCATCTGGCTGGCATGAAAATAGTTTGGGGTTATGCGAAAAGTCAATGAAGCGAAGGTCGGAAAAGCGTGTCAATCCTTGAAGTAAAGGATACATGGCGGAGGGTGTAAGATCGCAATCCGCCAGGCTCAATGCGTAGAGTGGATGGTCTTTCCCAACTGCGGAAGTAATCAAATCCAAATGATCACAGATAGGATTCCCACCCAAATCTAAACCCTCGCATTTTCCGGACTCCAAGTACCGAACAACATGTCCCAGACCTTCCCTTGTCAGCTCGTTGTTAGCAAACCCAAGCCGTCTCAAACCAACAGTGGTAGCTGCATCACAGATCTTCTTTACATCCTCCGTCGAGGGCTTGCTTTCGCTTAACAATAGTTCCTCCAGATGGTCGCCACCAAAGCGCTCTCCTAAGGAATTTGCAAAGATAGTTGCAATGTCGACAATGTTATCGGTAGAATTCGAGTCATTGGGGAATGATGGAAATGGGATACCGGACAGGTCAATGGCCTTCAAAGATTTCGAAAGATGAATAAAAAGGCAGATGTGACGCCATCCCTCTTTTCCGATTTTTGGGTTGTCCTTTAAAGACAACTTCTCTACAGCGCTGAATCTTTCCTGCTTTCCCAAAGACTGAGGTTCGAGTTTCCGAGCTCTGCGACGCCTGTATTTCATTTGTTCCGCCGTCTTAGTTGAAAGTAGAGCGGCAAGAATAGTTCGCACCGAATCATCCGTCAAAGCACATTTTTCAAGAATAAGTTTGCGGACTGGGACCACAGCTAACCAATCACTGAAGGTAGCAATATCCTGAGAGTTCATGGGGAAGTTAGTCAGATCGAGGACACCAACAGTGCCCGGAGATTCTGCTAATATAGACGAAGGCGAAGAAATCTCGTCAACGATCCTTTTGAGCACAGGGGTTTCTCGCAACTGACAGCAACGCCGGTAAATCCGGACGGGATCTGTTGTCGGATGGCTTTGTGTTTTAGAGCGAGTGGCTCCAGGGGCCGCCGGTCGAACCTCGTCCTCGTTGTCGTCAGCTGTTAATTGCATTGGTATGGAACCATTTGCCTCCGCTTGTCTCCGCTTGCGCTCCCTTCGCTCCCTCCTTTCCTCCTCTGACCGCTTTTTCTTCTCCTGTTTCCTTGTGGGCTCCTTGCTTTCACCGTTAGGTTTGGCCTCATTTGAAGAGGTGTCTGATGCCGTGGCGGGCTTTGACGGTTCTTCTCTACCCTGAACATTTCCCTCTTTCTCAGCCGTGGCAGCTTGTGAGTGTTTTGAAGAAGCTTCGTCGCGATCTTTGGATTTGGAGCTTGACCTTTTGACCTTTTGACCATTCATATCAGGGATTAGTCGTCGCTTGCTACTATTAGCAGAAGGGCTTTCCTCATCAGATTCCCGGCGAGAGATGCCAGCAATTTCAACGTCGACAGAAAAAGCAACGCGCCGTAATTTTGCCTGATCCAAATCTGCAATCTTGCATCTGTCCCGGTCGTGGTCAACGTTCATTACGCGACGCTCACAAATAGCGCCATTCTGTGCTAACCTGCCCGACCCGCTGGAGCCAGACGATAGTTTTCGAAAAGCGCTCTGAAGGAAAGAAGGGCCCTTGGGTGACGCTGAAATAATGGGAATGGGCTCATCCTTCTTGTCATCTTCCTTGTCCTTGGGAGAATAGGCCGCTCCAAACGGGTTGTGCATATCGAGCTTTGAGGTCGGTGAGCTCGCTTTCGTACCCGGCTGTACCTTTAGACTAGGTTGTGACGGAGGTGTCGACCCAGAAGAAAATTTGGAGCTTATACTTGAAATCCATGAATTTCTCCTCCCAGCAACCGGCCTCGGTGCACTCTTCTGGACTGCTGGAGTTGTCACACTGGGTTTTGCGTCCGCTGACGTGTCATCATTCTTCGTTTCATTCTCCGCTCGAGAGACACAATTGGTCTCAATGGCGGGGGCCAGTGGTTCTTGAAGCAATTGGGGAGATCTTCGATCGACGGATGGTGTCCTCTCGGGGCTAGTATTCGATGCGACTGTGGTTTCGGTATCGGGATTCGATTTGTCGCTAATAGTAGACGAGGCCGATTTGCGTCGGGACAAATTATCTGACGTTAACATAATGTTAGGTTAAATCCATAGACGTGTATACATGATGCGACAAGGGAAAGGCGGCGACCGAGCCGGAATTCAATCTCACCTTTCTGCGTGTGGTGAAGCCAGCTGACATCCACAGTCTCAACTCCTTCCATATTGATATTTCAGTGTACAATCTTCCCGGATCTAGGTTATTGGGATGCTCGGGGAGCCGAGTAAAGCATATACGTTCGGACGCGTGGGATAAGGGTGAAGTTCAGCCAAAGCGCATACTCCGGTAGATTCGAAGAGCTTGAGATAGAAGTCGGAGCGCTTTAGAGACAATAATGGGACGAATATTCCCACCGAATGCGATAAGGTGTCTCCTAGTAAAGTTTAGAAATTCTCACGGGGGAATGGTTCCATCATGGCATGGCGATGGAGCATGATGGACATGATGGGGAAGTATTTAAGATAGGACACCGATATCGAAGGTTGAAGGTTGCAAAGCCAAATGCGAAGAGGATATGAAGGATTTATTTTTAATAAGAATAAAAAAAAAAAAAGAAAAGAAAAGTGAAACCAAGTGGTGAAGCGAAAAGGGGAATTTTTAGTTTAGGAAGTAATGGGGGACTGCGGAGATAGCACTGAGTTAAAGAGGTTAGTTAGGCTTTGGGCTCAGGCTCTACAGTGAATTCCTGGTGGAGGTCTGGAAAAAGGGCGGGCGCAAGGGAACAGCAATGTACACTACTCTGACTGGTGTCCTTCGGTAAATCTTTACATAAAACCAGCAGAAGTATCTACATGAGTGCGTTCTCTTCCTGGAGATTTGGAGAATGCTACGTAGTCAATATTTTACTTTTTTTCTATACAGAACGGAGTGCATCAAACAACTGTTGCAAGAGTCACACCGGAGGACTTGCCACCAACTCCGTCCTGGTAACTCACACGACATATTGCCAAGACCACACACAACCAGCAACGAAATTATCTTAAATCGGGCAGTTTAGATACATCCAGTGATACAGCATCGAGTCGAACATTCCTGAGAATTTTGCCCCACCGATCTATCTACCACGCTCCGTACGGAGTAGTAGTTTCGTTGAGATGGTCGGTGGTACTCCGTAGTGGCCAACTATCTATATAGACCTATGTACACTCAACAGGTCCTCCAGTCCCTTACTCCTTTCTCATGCTGGAAAAGGGGATTGGTGGTTGAGAATAATTGTTTATCAATACCAGTGTACATACGTATTGACACCTGTTCATTTGCGCTGCATTGCTTTCCTCTGATCTCTACCTATTAGGTATCCATTTGAGACATACTGGCTGCCCCCAATTGTTTTCTATCACCGAAGTTGTAGAGGAGTCATATAGCACCATTATATCGCTTAGGGTTAAACAGGACTTGATATGACGTATTTTCTTTAATTTGTGATCATTGTGAGATCATCTTTATTGAACCTTCCCCCAATCACAATACGGGCATTAGACCTGTCTAATCAGGAGTAATACTTTTTGTCCTTCCGTGTCAAATTAACTTTTTAGGAAGAACTGAATATATAAGACAACGTACTCGAAGCATTGTTAATACCCATTTATTTTCCTACTCTCCCCCTCTGATCCACATATGAACCATACTCCAGAGCACAGAGCAGCGGTACTGTTCGTTGATCGTAAGGTAGATTGCTAGATGTGGAAGTGTGCACAATATCTCTGGCCTAGACAATCCCAACAACTCACTTGGTACAGACATCCAGCGGTATATTGACTTCTTCCCCCCGCCAGCTGGGAATTTCCAATGCTTTGGTTTGACTAATAGTATGTGACTACCAGAACAATGTTAACTCCACCCTGTAGGTAGTCGAAGGCGTAATTCATTCTCGCCCAGGATCGTAGAGACCAGGTGAGAGGTGGATCGAAAAAGACTAAAAAAATTAGTCTAGACATTCTAACGGGACTGGGTCTAGTCCACAGGCTCCAGATTCCAATACATGCTCTTTACCAGTTGGAACGAACTACGGAGTAATACTTCAAACATACGGGGTAGTGTGTAGGCACCATGAATGGTAAGGGGTGTTGAATCGGTGTTTCTGCTAGTTGGTGGGTAGCACTATCTCGTATTTTCATTAGAGAGTAAGGTATGAGTGTTGCTGGTCTTTCTAAAAGGAAATGTCTAAGGCAAGGATCCTTGTTTGGGAAAGATGTTCCGAATGTGTGTTCCCCTCGATGGTTGTTGCCCGAAACGGCAGCGGTGGTAAGGCGAGCATGGTTAAGAAAAAAAAAAAAAAAAAAAAAAAAACGCTCTTGCAAATCGCTTAGCTTGAGATACTATTGTATTTTCCACTTAAATCGAAGACCAGGGGTTATGATCTATAGTTTAAATGATTACCGGAGCAATTTTGAATGATTAATTATATTTCCCTCAGTACGTCAATTAATTGCTCCGAATTAAGAAAAAACAAATAGCCCTAGATATAACAAATGTGGTCGTAACGATTCATCAAATCTACAAGAGAATCCCTTTGGCAAGGAAAGCCCCAGATATTGTTTTGGTCAGAAGTAAACTTTTGTTTTGACTATCGTACCCATTAACGTATCAAGCACGATTGGCCACTTAAGCGGCAAGCTCACGGATCTTCTGCTCAACACGGGCCTTCTTCTCCGCGCGGTTCAGTTTGTTGGCGCGGTACTTCTTGCTCTCGGCCTTCCACTCCTCCTTGGACTTCTTCGGACCGGCCTCCTCATCCTTCTTGAATGGGTCCTCACGGATGGCCTTGTGGGCCTCAGTGTAGAGCTCCTCAATGTCACCAGCATCAATACCAGCCTCAGTGTATTTGTGGAACTGGCCACGGAAGCGCTCCTCGTCGTCATCAGCAAGACCCTCCATGTATTCGGCGACGTGGCCACCGAAGATGTAATTGCGGAGAGTCTCAGCGTCGAGCTCCTCAGACTCAATGTCGAAGCCGGGGAAACGGTTCTCGGAGTGGGGGATGAAGATACCACCATCCGAGGCACCCTTCATAGCACCGAAAACACGGGCACCAGTGGAAGTGCGGGCAAGACCGACATCAAGGAAAGCCTTGAAGGGGCGGCGAGTGCCCTCGTCGGTCTCGACGGCCTCAGTCATGGTGAACTCGCCATCGGCCTCCTCAACACCGGTGAACTCCTCGTCGAGACCAAGCTTCTTCAGGGTACGACGAGCAAGGAGCAGACCGGTGGCATAAGCGGCAGACCAGTTGGTCAGACCGTTGGTGATTCCATAGCGCTTGAGCTCGTGAGAGTAGGCGCTGGCGAAGACCTTGTCACCGGAGATCTCAGAGTAGACAATCTGGGTGATGATGTCGCGGTTGGTGAAGCGCACAACGAGGCGGTACTTGGGGGCATTGTACTTGTTCTTGGCCTGGGTGATCAGGCGCTTACGAGCATAGTAGTCGGTCTTTCCCTCTCTGCGACGGCGGTACTTGGTCTGGTAGCGGCTGTGGGAAATGTTAGTATGGGTGATCTGCGTCGTAGCGGAAATTTTTTGTCGTTTCTACTCACCTGAAGTACGCGCTGTTCTTGTAGAGCTTGCTGTAGGCCTACAAAACAGACATCGGAGTCAGCAATTTGCGCTTCAGAATTTTGAAAATTTCCGAAGCATCTTGCAAAGACCCGCCATCCAGTCCCAGAGAACACTACTCGAAGGACTGGAATTCTTTTGGAAAACGGCGCTATATGACACCGTATAGGTCGTCACCAGTATGTGCTATTGATCTAACTTACCATTTTGACTGTTGTCGTGGGCTGACGAGCGAGATGTCGAGTTGGCTGGGGAGGAAAAAGTAGAACATTCGTGGGCTGCTTTTGTGGAAGGCTTCGCTTAGCGTGGCTGCATCCCGTCACAGAACCGGGGTCGGCGACGACTTGAGTGCGCGGGCTGAAGGACTAACCTGGAGTACATGCTCCCCTCCCAAAGGAAATTATGGAAGGGGAATAATGTCCATAATACTACATGAGAGCAGCTCGTCATTAACTGTTCAAAGCATCCAACTGCCCTTGGTGTGAGGGATTGATTATCTGTGGAATTACTCTGCAGCCAACGGCTGATCTTAGTGTGACTGTGGCCTCAGGCAACTGAATATACTAGGTGGACTCAACAGTGGATACCGATACAACATGGAAAAGACATTCATCAGTAGTAGTAGTATGCTATCTAAGGCTGAGTTCTGCTACAAGATTGACACGACCGTGCAGAAATTAGAATGTTGGAAGGCTACGTTTAGTTAATCGCTGCCTACTAATAGCTTACATAAAATTGTGGAATAATGTCTGTTACCCTCTAAGGAATTAGGCACCTAAACAATCAATTAGGACAACCACGGTACTTATATTGCTATGCTTGGTTCTATGGTCATGGCGATGCGCCCTTCATTTGATTCGGGACCGAGGTGTGCCCGGTTTGATTGGCATTGGTATTGGATATGATGGATCTTTTGATAAGGCAATGGGCGAATTGAATCCCCTCTATAGTCTAGCCTTGCCCTCATAATCCAATAACTGAAGACCGGTGATTCTCTCTAATTCCTTGACTGCATCTTGCGTCCGGCCAAGGGTGACCTTGACCGTTCTCATCCCGGCATTCTTTGCCCCCTTTAGATTCTCCCCGATGTCGTCAAAGAAAACTACATCGGAAGAACGGAAACCGTATATGCCTCTTTTCTTCGCCAGCGTATTCATTTCTTCTAGTGCAACATTGTATATTTTCGGGTCTGGTTTTCTCAGACCTGTATGCGCGGATGAAATGAAAAAGTCAAAGGGTGCTCTGATACTGTTGGCATCCTTGTTGTATGGGTGACCTTCTGGAAATGGAACCGTATTTGATAGAGCTCCTAAAATAAATTCACCCGATTCCTTCAATTTCCGTAGTGCAGGAAACATATAGGGGTCTGGTTCCCGGGATGTCCGCATCATTTCCCAAAAAAGCCATTCTGCATCTAGCTCAGGCAATGGAGGAAGCGCTGAACTAGCGGTAGTCTGCATCTTTTGATGCCTTTCATGGAATTGCTTCCATAGGTCTGGGTTTTTTAGGTCTCGGTTAAATGCAGTGAAAAAGTCGGCGTCCACTTTTATTTCACCTCGCTCGAGTTTGTGCCAGCTACCATTGGGCGACGTGCGCGAAATGCTGAAATTCACCCACCCAGTAGGAATCTTGTTGGCTATCTCATAATCCAAAATGGCTTGAAATGGGGACACAACCTATGGTATTATTAGCAATAGATCCGAGATTCCTCTTCCGTGAATGGGAGAGCATTACACACACGCCCCCGATATCAAAGAGTAGGCCTACAGGCCTTTGGCTCTTTACCATGACAGTGTTGCACTGGCTTAGGGAGACTAATCTGGAGATAATTCGGGAATAAAGGAATATAAGCTTCACAGGACAGGCATAATACCAAGTATTTTGTGGAGGACGAGGTCAGTCTTTGCTGAGGGCTGCGGTTCTGTGGAGTAATAGGAGCACCTTGCAAGGGAGAGGATTGCCGAGGTTAGATATTGATATTATCTAAGGCCGAGGATCGCAGACAACATTCTGCGAAGCAACGACTCAGATATTCCTCTATTACGACAAGCCTCGCAGATCCCCCCCTGATGCAGTTAACCATGAAGGATTGGCAACAAGTGATTGTGTGCGAAATGTGCCCTGCCATTGCGAGGCGCGAGCGCGGAGAAGTTGAGGACGGTCACGTGCAAGTGTTATCGATAGAGTATCGCGGACGACAATCTTCTGGTCTCTTCGAGGGCGCGATGCTGTCGCGATGGGGAAATGGACTCGACTCGTACAATATCCGAACTGAAATCAAATTTCCTCAGGGCGCAGGTGCGCATCCTATCAGAAATTCTCGAGGCGCCCGAGGGTTGGAGACAGTACGCGACCAATTCGGAAAATGACGAACTGAGTGATAAAGTGGTGGGGGATGTCTTACAGAAACGTACGGCTGTCCATTGATGATGCCTAGGCTACTCTTTGCGAGAAATAGGATTCTGACTCCTAACTGGCCTCTAGTGAATGCCGTTTTGAAGCAGCATAATCGGATTGTTTACTCCTCCCAGGCGGTTCATCATGTGGCACAGCAAATAGCCAGTCTCTACTGGACCTCCATCACCCAGGCCTCACGCAGTGAGCATTCACTTGAGAGGGGGGTTGAGAAAACGGTAGATTTGTCGAGCCATGTGTGAGTTCAACCGTCACGGCGTGTCCCTTGCCTATGGTGATCTTTTTTGTTTACCCATGCCGACGCGTCTAGGAATATTTCTCAACTTCCTGTGGAATTGCAAGACCCATCCGCAAGTGAGGAAGAACGTTTTAGGTCTGGTATACATTCAAATGGATTTAGTTCACCCTCCTCTGACGATTACGGTGATGCAGGTATCAGCAACTACGTGAGCATCTCATTAGCCTCGACAACCGGCGACAACAGCGACAGCGGCGTCTGGACCAACTGCGACAATTGAAACGTCTACTGGAACCGTTCCAAGCACCTCAGGAGAACATACAACCGAACCTTGTCACTCGCGATGGGGAGCTGATGCAAGAACTGGAAAAAATGAGAATGTTGGTTGCGCGAGTGGGAGGTCGGATCAATCAAAGCCAGCGGGCAAGCAGCCATGAGAGCAATGCTTCGTACCCACTAGGAGCCGACCAGAAGCTTGAAGCCTTATTCGATATGATGTAATAAAGTACACTTTAAAGAGGGAGAATATGAGGGCAGATAGTGTGAGAGGAGAAAGAATGGTAACAACAACAACAATAATAAAAGGTGAATAAGGAAAAGATTTCGGGCGACTACATAGCAGTATCGTTGGAATAGGAGCACAGAGTAGCCTCGTGTCTCTGGCAGACCATGTATACAGCCGAAGTTGCCTGGCTAGACCAGTAGCACAAATGCATGCATGGGATGGCCTGATCTTCAGTAGATAAACTTTTCCACAATGCACTGTATTCCTCTCACACAACCTTTTGTTTTCTTTCCAGATGCAAGGGGGTAAAATTGGCGCAGCTGATTGTAGGTGTAGCATTCAAATAAGCAAATGTGGAAGAAAGGAGGAAGGGATTATAAACATGAAAATAAAAATAAAATGAAATTATAATAGCAACGGAAAATAATGATAAAACAAAAAAAAAAAAATTGGCAAGAAAACCCAAACCGACTTGCTGTGTGCGGCGGTTCCTTTCATTTGCGACTTCTGCCTCGCATCAGGTATAGAGAAGAGAGAGAGAGACACCCCCTCATCCCCGATCACCCTTCTCATCCACATGTTCATCTGTGTCTGGGAATCTGCTATCGCCTTCAATCTTTTCTTCTGCGATGATGGAGATTCGCGCAGTCGATGAGACGCGGAGATCCACTTCCGAGACTCCGACGCTTCCCAGCCAATCCTCGAGCGACTGTCGCCCTCTGCCATTCCCAGCTCTAGCGCCTGAGACTACGACTCCTTTAAATAATCCCTCTCTTACCACGACTACGACTATTACTGCCACTAGCAATAGTAATATTACTACCGCTATTGATACGGCTTCTCACACTACTCCTCCTACCAATCACCTTCTAGAAACTGAGACCCCACGTGAATCCGGCACCATCGACGCGTCTACTCCATCTCCCACTTCCAAGGCACCTTTTGTGCGTGGGCACCGCCGCCGCTCCACCCACGTTACTCGTCGTGAGCTAGAGAAATTCCGCAAAGACATTTTGGGCTTGGAACCTCCTGAATTTGACTTTGAGCACGACAAGAGTACTGGTGCTCGGAACCCTTCTCTTGACCCTCAGCTCGAGTCTCTGAACCGCGCCTTTGACGACGCGGCCATGTCTCTGAACAACAGCGGTGGCATGACCAACAGTAGTCCTGGATCAAGCATGTTTGGTAGCTATGTTGAGAGCTCCCCGGGCCCTCGACAGCCCATGCCCCCATCAATGTCGCACGCTCCTGGTCAAGCCAATGGCGCTGGAATGGCTGGCATGAATGCTGGAATTCCCATGAATGCAGGTCATCAAATGGATCTTCATCAGCTCTATGATATGGTGCTTGAATTAAGTGAGGTACTGAAGAATAACCGTGAGATGACTAAGAGTATTGTATCCAGCGCCGATGAGATTATGGTATGTCATCGGACACTTTTTTTGCATGGACTTCATCTGACTACTGCATAGAGACGTTCTTCTTCGGAGGGGGCTAGTCCAAACCTTCAACAAGTGAATGGCGAAATCACTGGTGGGTTACGGTGCCCGTATACTCGTCATTTCCCCCGACGTTAACAAATCCTCTAGCTTCACGCATAGCGGAACTCGAGCGTGCCCTTGCCAAAGAAAGACGTACCGTCGAAGTTCTGAAGAATGAACAGCTTGAGAACACCAAACTGATCGGGGAGTACGAGGCTGCTGTCGGTACTATGGTTGAGCAGATTCGAAATTATTGTCAGAACAACAATATGAATTACCTGGCCCAGAAGCGCCACTATAACAACCTTCTTCAAGCGGAACGCGATGCTCATTTGGAAAGCCGCTTGGACCGTGATTATTGGCACGCGCAGACAATGAGATGCGCGGAGATGATTCGCACGGCCTACCGTCTTCGCTGCGAAGAGGAGGAACTGCCTATTCATGTGATTGCGGGCCTACAGAATGAAGTCCGCGCTTATCGCAACGCTCTTGGCATGGAGCCAGAAAAGCCCGAGGAAGAGTACGGATGGGAGATTTTGAAAGATGTGCCGGGAAACCTCGAGTGAGGCATGCGACGGCTGTGTATCCTGCCAGAATGTATGAGATATGACCTTTTGACGTATCCTTTTTGTTTTGATGACAAGGCGTTTTGGTGTGACTTATTGGCGAGCATGAGCTTGTTTCAGGTGAAGATACCCATCTTTGCATTATCTGTATGATATTTATATATTGCCCGTGTTTATCTCGTTCTCTTTTTTCGTTCCTTTCTAACTGGCAGGATTCCAACTTGGCTATCGTTCTTGGCATCTGTCTGTGTGGGAACTGGATGCGAGTCCATTTCTGTTGGTATTTCTTTTACAAGGAAAATGGATGTTTTGGCCCATTATTCCTAGATGTATACTATAGCTGAAACACAACTTGTCCTCTATACCCTGATCCCATGGATCGGTAGGTAGTATAATATTGTCTTCACGCCGTGTAAAACACTTCATCTAACGCTTTCCACCATCCCGGCCCTTCAGCACTGCTCACAGCGCCGGGAATCGGGCTCTCCTAACCCAAGTTAGCATGGTTTTTTAAACACGAAGCAAAATTGTTTATCCCACCTGCATCCCATCAGTCATAACCCACCACTCCCTCACTTTAGGATTTGCCTTTCATGCGTTGCATATCGCCTTCGAAATCCTCCCCTACATACTTAAACGTTGCAAACAACGTCCGGTCATTATCAAAGAAAATTGAATCTTAGTATCATTAACTATTTAATATAGTTTAAGTAGAAAAAAAGGTTCGGAGAGAGAGAGAGAGAGACAAAGCATACAATCAACAATATTGCACTCCTTGATCTGCTGCAGGACCTCGGGCCAAATATTAGCATGACATTCTTTGTAGGCGCTCACTGCGCTGGGTTTCAAGTGGACAATCTGAGCGATGCGTTTGATTGGTATTGGCATTGTATTGTATTGACTTGGTACCCTAGGTATGTACTGGGATTGATTCTGATAGAATGACAGTGTTTTCTGCGGAGTTGAATTGTAGGTTATTTAGACTTCTTCCCCTCATTGAGAGAGATGTCCACTTTCGGGAGGATTTAACCCGAAGTGATCTTCCTGCAGTGGGTTGGTTGATTGGTCTATTAATCTATGGGGTTACGATAGATATGTTTATGGGCATGGATGTTTTATTTTTTGGAGAGATTGGTAGGTAATAAGGATTGAAAGATGTACTAGATTACTTAATTGGATATTGAATTCGACCCTTGACTCACTGAAATATCGCAAACGTAATGAATGATTGGTATCGCGCTCTGTTATGACTCCAATTGAACCAATATCATACCACAAGTATCATAAATCAAGGATAACATTAACACATGGCCTCGACCCTATCGCACCATTTAGTTCTTCGGCACCGGTCGAATCCACGTAACTGCGAGATTGGCAACAATGACAACTACTCCAATGATCCAGAGGGACCGGGCATAGTGGGAACCATTGTATCGGAATATAATGGCGCAGATGATCCCGCCTAGGTTGCCCATGCCTCCTACGGCGCCGGAGACGATTCCTGCAACGCATATTAGTACGGTTTTCAGTATAATCAAAAACATGAGTGAGTTAAAGCCAGGGTCACTCACCGTTGGCGAAAGGATAAACGTGGGGAACAACGGCAAAATTGGCCCCGTTGCACGCTTCCAGAAAGAACCCCAGTCCCGCTGTAAGTCCGAACATGGTGGCTTCGCTCTTGGGATTAGAGAGACCCATGGCCAGCTGGAAAGCCCCCATGACGATGCCCAGGAAGGAAAGGAAGAGTTTCTTCGACCATACCGACTGTGTGTAGTGGTATAGGATATCAGCGATGAATCCCCCTGCGGGTCGGAAGACGACGTTGAGAAGACCGAACATGGCTGCCCATTTTCCAGACTCGGTCTGGCCTAGCTGAGGAAAGTTCTCGGAATAGAACTCGCCTAGGATGGAGTTGATGGCCAGCTCAGCCCCGAAGGAGCAGGCGTAGGGGATAGCAACAGCAGCGGTGGAGAGGCTGAAGATGACACTCATGGCTTCCTTGTGGGAGAGAGACACCACGGTATCATTGCTTAGAGCGTCCAGCTGTCCGATCATTTGGCTGTCGTGATCCACCGGGTTGGGGGATTGGGTGCCTTTCTTCTCCACGTCCGCTACAACATTGATGATAGATGGTGGTCCGGAGGGTCGGGTAGACGGGTTGCCCGAACTGAGGTCGACAATGTTGTTTCCTGGCCCGTTGTTTTCCCGGTCCCAGATATGGCGTTCCGACCATTTTCCTGTTGGCGTGTCTTCGCAAGTGAAAAACATACCGATGGCCACACCCACGATGATGATGAATGGAACTATATAGGAAACGCGCCATGCTTTATGTGGTGGAAGGCCCTGGCCGATGAGAGAATCGTAGACAGCAGGCATGATGAAACTGGGACCCCGGAGCGTTATTCTAATGACTCTGAGTAGTCTTAATAGGGCATACAACTTACTATGTAATCCCGCCACCAGCGTTTCCCCAACCAGCCGCCAAGGAGTTGGCGGTTCCAACAATCTTTTTGTCGAAGAAACCGGTGCACCAGACCTGACAGGGAACGAAAGTACCACCGAGGATTCCGACGAAGAAGCGCAGAGCAATCAAGCCCTGAGCATTCGTGACAAGACCTGCCATGGCGGTGGGGATCGAGCCACATAAAAGGAGCGCAATGAATACCAGTCGCGGACCAAACCGGTCACAAAGAGGTCCACAAATAAACCTCACAAGCAACCTGGACAACGTTGATCAGCATGAGTTTTCAGGGACTTTCAAGTACGACCGCAGAGTTCTTACGTCGCTAGAAGAGCCACAATGTTCGAATTTGCGACTTGCGCCTGACTCATGTGTAGATCTTCTCTGATTGTGACAGTCAACTATGCGGTGACAGTTAGAACCTTTGGTCTATTATCTTCGATATACCAGAATGTGGATAGACAACTTACTAGTGGTGGGAATGCATACCACGACAGGAAAGCCACCATGAACCCGAACCATGAAAAAAAGAAAACCCTTCCATATTGGTCAAAGGGGTTGAGAATGGGAATTGATAAGGCTTTTCGATTCCTGGGGTTGACCTCCGGAGAGACGAAGAGCTGTTTGACGAAACCCATCTCTAAGTTGCTTCTGATATCTAGTATTATGGTAATGGAAGGGATATTGCTGAGTTAGAAGAACCTATGGCTCATATATAATAAAGCCGTATTTGCTTAGGATTTGACATCAACTGCCTCTCAATCCCCCACGTGGAATGAAATATCCTCTATCTCCTAGGAGTGTCACTGCCTACGTGCGGTGTCACAGCTCGAGATTAGAATTAATTGTACATGTTGATGCCTCTTTGTATTCGTAACGAGAACCCAAAAGAACTCTCTATCTTGAGGGTCTGATTCGACGACCCACCAGGAACTTAATCTGACAGATGAATCATGGCGTTGGATTTAGCTCTATCAGGTCATGCCTCACTCTCGCGGTGTGTTGGAGTGAATTGGACGAGGAACGATATTGCGGCTAGCCTTTTGAGATAAGGCATTCTTTGCACCAGCCAACTCCGCGGTGTCCAAAGTCAACCCAGTTTCCTGGCAGGCATCCAAGGGGCAGAAAACTGCCTAGAGATCGGCATTCCCAAGATCTTCGTGTCCGCGATAACTCGAGCTCATCCCATTGGATCCTTATCGGAAGCTCGAGTGATGGGTGAGATGAGCCACATGCTGTGTAGACCGTATCGATATCTCGGGTCAACCAGGGAACGATGAAAGTTAGATGCTGACAAAGAGTTTAAAATTGGTTTCCGCGGAAATGCGGATGGCTGAACCTTCCTTTAAATAGAAGAAGATAGAGATAAGGGTTTCATTGTAGCTCCACTGCTATCTCGTCTTATCTCGTGGATTGCGGGAAGAAGAGGTTGACTCTGTTTTCGTCCGCGGAAGATCAGAAATAAGCCCTAGCAGTAACGTGATGGTCGTAGCCCTGAGCCAGTCACGCGGATGGACATATTTCTTTGGGTTGAATGGATTACAATGTTAACATGGTGGAGTGTATAGGCAATCATCATCATCATCATCAGGGCTTATCTCTGGGCTAGACCTTACACCTCTCCTGTACTGGAAGTATCTCAAACCACATTGTGGAATTCTATCCAACTAAACTACCAGTCAATTACATTGGATGATGTTTTGCACTGAGTGGCCTCGTTTCTGGATTTCTTGCCTCTCATCCCCTTGTACTTCTTGTCAAATCGCTGGAACGGATCCGACGCTTCCCCCTTCTTCACCTTCCACTTTTCCGTCCCTAGAACAGAGTCCAGCTCTTCAATGGGAGGTAGCCTCACGTAGATCCAACCATCTTCCCGCTCTTCAACTGGGAACGTAGCAATATTCATACTTTCATCATTGGAGCATCGCCCTGCCTGCTCGCCGTTGAGTTCGAAGTTGCGTTTGTGGTAGGGACATGAAACCCAGAACTTGCCCGCATCGTCATCGCCAATGAGTCCGTCAGACAGAACAAAGGCACGCTTATGAGGACACATTTGTTGTGTTGCGTAGTATTTGCCCTTAACCTTGAAGATAGCCAACTGAGTATCCCCACGCTTAACATTGGCGGATGAGATGGCGGGAGGCCCATCTGAAAAATAATCCGACTTGATCATAGGCTGCCATGAGAGACTGGACCACTGATGGTTTTTGAAGTCCTCAGATGCCACGCCGTCTTTCGGCCAGTAGGTGGGGCGTTGTTGTCCTCGCTCCTCGACGACTTCGACTGTTTCAACGGTCTCGTCCGTGTTGGCGAATTGCTGGAAGAATTTGCGCCGCTTGGGATTCCTGACCGTCTCAGTCCATTCGCAGAAATAGCTACTCACTAATTCCTCCATCTGTTGCTCCATTTCGGCACCTATTCCCAGCTTATCATCAACGACGACCTCTCTCAAGTAATTGATTCCTCCAGGGAGGTTCTCAATCCAGCGAGCAGTCCGCTGTAGCTTATCAGCTGTCCGGATATAGAAAATCAGATACCGATCAATAATCTGCGTAACTTTTTCTGGGGGCACATCCTTCGCAAGCAGATCAGAGTGTCGGGGTTTGGCACCCCCGTTGCCGCCCACAAAGATGTTGAAGCCCTTTTCAGTCGAAATCAAACCAAAGCTGACAGTGTTTAGCTTTTTGAAAAGCACCAACGGGCATGGAAAGGCTCACTCTTTGTTTTGTGCCTCGGCGCATTCTCTCACGCAGCCAGACACAGCACCTTTGAGCTTGTGCGGGGCACGAATACTCTTGTAACGTTCTTCAAGTCGAATTGCCATTCCGACACTATCGCCAATACCAAAACGGCACCATGTAGTCCCAACACAGCTCTGGCAAGCGAAGAATATCAGCATTTCACATTCAAACTACCAACCGAGGCACAGGGCAGACCTTGATTGTCCGGAGTGACTTGGCATATGCATGGCCACTTTCCATACCGGCATTGACCAGTTCCGTCCAAATGTCAAGTAAATCCTGCTTCCTTGCTCCAAACATATCAATGCGCTGGGCGCCTGTAATTTTGCAGTAGAGACCGAATTTTTTAGCCACTTGACCAATGACAATTAACTTGTCCGCCGTGATTTCGCCGCCGGGGACTCGAGGAACAACGGAAAAGGTTCCATTCCTCTGGATGTTGGCGAGGAACCTGTCATTAGTATCTTGCAGTTCATGGTACTCCTTGTCCATGACGTGATCATTGAAAAGGCTTGAAAGGATCGACGCTATAGCTGGTTTACATAATTCACAACCTAGAGAGTCAGGAATTTTCCCGACAGCTTTCATGACATCCCCAAAGGTCCTCAACCTCTTGATCGCGATGATGTTATAAAGATCGGCTCGCGCATATGGTATGTGAATGCATACTGAGTGCATGTTGGCAAGAGCTCATAAACAGACGAATCAGTACTTACGGTTGTTCGATACTTCTTGACCCATGTCCAGCATGGTTTTGTTGAAAATCGACTGCACTAAAGGCATGCAGCCGCCACATCCAGTTCCGGCTTTGGTACATGATTTGACTTCACCGATTGATTTACACGTGCCATTCTTGACGCTTGAAACAACATCGCCTTTGGAGACATTATGGCACGAGCAAATTTGAGTATCATCATCTCTGGTTGTTTGGGTCATTAGCATGTTATTCGCACACATAGGAGGCCAGAACTAACAGGTCGTCCGCATTATCCTCTCCGTCCGTCTGTGCTCCAAGGATAAACTGGCTTGGTGGTACCTCGAGCAGTTTCTGGGCCTTCACCATCTGATTCAGTTTGATGTAGTCCTTGGTATCCCCAATCATCATCCCTCCGAGCAGGTATTTTCCATCCATAGTAAACAGGTACTTCTTGTATATACCACCAAATGGATCTTTATACGTCAGTGCTTTCACCGGTGGCTCTTTTTCATCTTCGCCTGATGCCGGTATATCCGTGGCCGTTGACGGACGTTGGCCGGGAAGAAACTTAGGCCCATCTCTATCTGCGAAGAAGTCGCCAAAGCTGGCAACGTCAACTCCCAAAAGCTTTAGTTTTGTGCTCAAGTCTGGTCTTTTGAAGCTCTTGGGCTCCTTGTCTGGATTGGTTAAGTTGAATGACAATACATCAGCCATTTCAATCCCCGGAGCGATAATCCCGAATGTCTGATTCTCCCAGCTAGCACATTCTCCAACGGCGTAGATATCGGGAACTGAGGTTTGAAGACTGTCAATCTTAATTAGATGGCACGCTCAGGGGACGAAATACAAAGTTATAATACCTTTCGTTGACCACAAAACCTCCTCGTTTAGACAAATGAATACCTGCAGCAACTCCTAGTTCATCCCTAGGACGTACGCCAATCTATATAATGGGTCAACAAATCGGCACCACAAGGGAGATGTCATGGTAGTATACCGCAAAACAGATACAGCAGCAATCGATCTCTTCGCCGTCTTCAAAGCGAATACCAGTGACATTTTTGTCGTCATCGGTCATAATTTTAGCCACCCGCCTTTCGTGCAACACATCCAAGCCAAGCTCTCTGATCTTTCGAGTCACTAGAGACCCAGCATCACCATCTAGTTGTCTAGCCAATACCCATTTGTTGCGGTCAACGAGCTTTACGTTTCCAAAGTCTTGCAAGTCAGTCATGGCCTTGGCGGCTTCAAGGCCTAACAATCCGCCTCCAACAGTGACTGCAGTCTTCCCCTTGTGCATAGACGCGAACTCGATAAGCCGCTCGAGGTCCGAAATTGTCCTGTAGACGAAAATTCCCTTGGCATCGTGGCCAGGAGTGTGGATGGGAAGAACCGCATCAGAACCAGTTGCAAGAACCAGAATATCATATGCGATCGTGTCACCGATTGATGTCTTGACCGACTTGCGCTCGGGATAGATATCGGTCACCCTGGTGTTGAGATGATAATCGAACGAGCGGTCTTGAAACGATCCATACTACTAAGATTTAGTAAATAGCCAAAAAAAAAAAAAAAAGAAGTCCTCACGAAGAGTATATGGCGCGAAGTTGTGAAACACGTACCCATTCTTTCGGATTGAGGTATAGGTCCTCGATCCTTCTATGTTCGAAGAAAGAAGAAAGACCGACACGATTGTAAGCAACGTGAGATTCTTCTCCAATCACGACGATGTCATAGTTTCTCCTTTCAGCATCTTGCTTGACTACCTTTTCACTGGAACCACGAACTGCAGTCAGCAACAGAAACAGGAATTCAACATCGCGTTTGTTCTCTATGACTTGTCCACCTACATGAATGAGATGGCTACCATTCCTAATCCCACCACCACAATCTTCTGGCGCCTATTTGCATTATTACCCCGGGTTTCCGTGTCTGGAATGTCCTGGGAGGCTTGAACATATGAAATACCACTGTGAACCCCACCATTGACAGCTTCTCTATTGCTAAGCCCATCCAAAAGGGGCATTGTGTAAGGAGTTTGGATCAGGTATGTTCAAGACCCAGTGTGAAAGAATGGTGGACCTTCTGCCAGCTATGTATATACTTTGAAAACTAATCATTTTCGCCGAGTTGTCTCTCCGAGTGGTAGGTAATTATCGGTTTTCCATAACGTCATGTTGGCAAGGATCAGTTTGCATCCGCCAATCCAATAGACGATAACACTGAGTGCATTACATTTGTATGGGGGTTCACAGAATGTGAATGGAAACCAAGGAGAACCAGACAATGTGAATGGACTGATAAGACGATCCGGAGAGGCTGTATAGAGGGACACAGCATCTCCGCGGGGGAAATTGGGTCCCGAATTAGTCATGGCGATCGACATGGGCTTATCTCCCTCCCTTTTTACTTTTGCATCTCACGATAAAGAACTTAAAACGATGTCGTGGCTTATCATCGAGTGTCACGTTCCAATTGGAGTCCGTTAATTCTCAAGTTCCTTGCCTCCCTTGCAAGATTTACACAAGGAATGCAGCGTTGGTGAGGGAATTAATTCTTCTATCATCCCATGCATCGGACAGGTGCATACTGTGTACATATCGCTTGGCTTCTTGTGAAACCTGAAGACTATGGAATGCTTTCAATTTTTTGGGTCTAGATGGTCGTCAAGAAAATATACCATAGGCACCCACTGAGCCATGATTGCAATGGGACGGGGGGGGACTGTAGCTACCCTAAGCTTTTGCGGGTCTCTCATTGAAAGCAACCTGCGTCCCAGAACTCCCATTTGGGGTCTTCAAACAGACTAATCTCTTTCCTAACTCCTGGACTCCGTCATCCGCGGAGATCCAGGAGGCATTGCGTGGGTAATGGCTCCGCCTACCCAGAAAACCGCCTTTCTCCGAGGCTTTTTATTGTTCAAAGTCTAGTTAGCAAGCCGCTGAGCTAATCTAATTACCGATCCATCTTGCTACAATGCGTTCATGAGACGCCGTCATGTACATATCTCTTTTAGTGCTGTAGACTCCCCCCCAGGCCATGAATAAGATAGTACCTTCACCTCGCTCGATATGCTCGTCTAGTCCTCTATCCCCTCTCATTTCACTCTTATCAACCCCCCCAAGACCATGACGACCGTTACTGAGGTCCGGGCGAAGGCGTTTGTCTCCAATGACTTTCCTTTCAAGTCGACTGCAATCAAAATTGAAGAGGAAGAGACTTCGAGGCTCGATCTGCAAGATATTCCTCTGCCACCTCCGTCGAAACGACCAACTGAGGTGCTGAGTATAGATAAGGGGACACCAGATCACCACGTTGCTCGTGACCCTCGACTTCTCAGACTGACGGGTATTCATCCATTCAACGTCGAGCCGCCTCTTACAGATCTTTATAAGGAAGGTACTTATATCATCTTCTTCCTTGTTTATCCTGTGGTGTGAAGAAATACACCCTATTCTCTGAGACTGTAGGCCTGACCTTCTCACGGATCGACAGGGTTCTTGACATCCCCGGAACTTTTTTACGTCAGAAACCACGGACCCGTGCCACACGTTAAGAATGAAGATATTCCCAATTGGGAACTCAGCATCGAGGGGTAGGTATTCTCCTTCCAATGGTGTATATTCAGAACTAAAAAGCCATCAGACTCGTTGAAAGGCCGATAGTCTTGAATTTTCGACAAATACTGCAACAATTTGATCAGATCACGGCACCTATTACTCTTGTCTGTGCTGGGAACAGGCGAAAGGAACAGAATATCATTCGAAAATCAAAAGGCTTCTCATGGGGCTCGGCCGCGCTGTCGACCGCTCTCTTCACTGGGCCGTTATTGTCAGATATTCTCCGGAGTGCGAAACCATTGCGTAAAGCCAAGTATGTATGCATGGAGGGGGCAGACAAGCTCGTACGTTGGCATCGCAACCATACCGAGCTTGGATTATTGACTGTCTTCTAGCCCAACGGATACTATGGGACCTCTGTAAAACTGAATTGGGCCATGGACCATAATAGGGGGATTATGCTTGCCCATAAGATGAACGGGGAATCTCTTCGTCCGGACCACGGTCGTCCACTGAGAGCTGTTGTGCCAGGGCAAATAGGAGGTCGAAGTGTCAAGTGGTTGACGAAATTGATCTTGACAGACGCACCTAGCGATAATTGGTATCATATCAATGATAACCGTGTATTGCCGTGAGTGTCATGACACGTGCATTTAGCTACCTGATCTAACCGCAGCCCAGAACAATGGTTTCCCCTGAGATGGCATCGAATGACCCGAAATGGTGGCGTGACGACCGATATGCAATCTATGACCTCAACGTCAACTCTTCTGTTGTATATCCAGAAAACAATGAAGTGTTGGACATCTCATTGGCTGGACCATCGTATACGGTCAGAGGTTATGCATATGCCGGGGGTGGTCGAAGAGTCACAAGGGTGGAAATTTCATTGGATAAGGGGAAATGTACGAACTCTGCCCTTCAGACCTTATGCTTTGGCTAACGAGTCTCTTTTATATCGTTTGTTCGTCTAGGCTGGCGTCTGGCTGATATCCATTATGCAGAAGACAAGTACCGTGACTTCGAAGGCTATCTCTATGGAGGGAGGGTCGACATGTCCTGGCGTGAGACATGCTTTTGTTGGTGCTTCTGGTCTCTCTCAATCGCTATGTCCGAACTCGAAAACAGCGATGCTATTCTTGTGAGAGCCATGGACGAATCCCTAAGTATCCAACCGCGCGACATGTACTGGTCTGTTTTGGGGATGATGAACAACCCCTGGTTTCGGGTCACAATCACAAAAGAAAATGGAACCCTCAAGTTCGAACACCCAACGCATCCCACCTTGCCTGGTGGGTGGATGGAACGTGTCAAAAAATCTGGGGGAAATTTGTTAAATGGTAACTGGGGCGAGATACAAGAGGGCGAAGAACCGGTGATACCGGAGCCAATTAAAGAAATTAACATGAAGAAAGATGGATTGAAGAGATGGATTAACCTCCAGGAATTTCAAAATCATGCGAGTGACCAAAGCCCTTGGTTCGTCGTCAATGGCGAAGTCTATGATGGCACGGCATTCCTCGAGGGCCATCCTGGAGGAGCACAGAGTATCATATCTTCTGCTGGCCTTGATGTGTCTCAAGATTTCCTTACAATTCGTGAGTGACCTAGATAGACGTGCGAAAGAGAAGCCCAGCGCTAATACATCGACACAGATAGCGAGACAGCAAAAGCAATGATGCCAGACTACCACCTTGGGACAATGGACAAAGCATCTTTGAAGGCACTCAACACCAACACCTCGTCAACATCTGACGAGCAGCGTTCAACGTTTCTTCAGTCCCGGTCATGGACGAAAGCGAGATTTGTGAAGAAGACTAGCATATCATGGGACACGCGCATTTTCACATTCCAATTAGAACATGAACGTCAAACACTGGGACTGCCAATTGGCCAGCATCTTATGCTGAAAGTTTCAGATACATCATCTAAGGAAGCCATAATCCGTTCCTACACCCCGATATCCGAATCGAGCAAGGAAGGCTCTATGGATTTACTTGTCAAAATATACTTTGAATCTCAGGCGACTCAAGGCGGAAAGATGACCACAGCCCTTGATAGACTCCCCTTGGGTTCCACGGTTGAGTGCAAGGGCCCGACAGGAAGGTTTGAATATCTCGGAAATGGCAAAGTTCTCATAAGCGGCAAGGAAAGACGTGTCCGTTCATTCATCATGATATGTGGAGGGACCGGGATCACGCCAATTTTCCAGGTTTTGCGTGCGGTAATACAGGACCAAGAAGACCCTACATCGTGCGTTGTTCTCAACGGAAATAGGCAAGAAGAGGACATTCTCTGCAAGAATGAGCTCGACGCATTTGAAGCCTCTGACAACAACAAATGCAAGGTGGTACACACACTGACTAAAGCGTCAGTGTCTTGGACAGGCCACCGAGGACGCATATCTGAAGATATTCTTGAGGAATATGTAGTACCCAGTGAGGAAAATATGGTGCTTGTGTGCGGTCCTGAGACCATGGAAAACTCTGTACGACAGATCCTCCTATCACGAGGGTGGAGGGAACAAGACCTTCATTTCTTTTAGAATTGGCCCAACCCAGAAAAAGGGCTCGAAGGAGTCGCAGGCCGGATATTTTGAAGACAAGCATAGACATACCTATTGAAAGAATGAATCTTCCTGGCGTACAGTATTTGAACATGAAAGCACTCACAGAGCCATGGCAAGATTTGAATGTGGCCACTAAGATCTTTAGTATTTTATGAGTAAACCATGAATGAGACATTGCCGACATTCGCGATCTTACAAAAGGCTGCACCTAATGCTAGAATCCAAGGGTACGAAAGCACAATCATATTACTCATGTAGGGTCGTCCCTCGAGAACGCTTAGGTATATGTGTTATCCATTCCATTCCATGTTCATATTATTCAGTAATATGTCTTGATATCCAATCGTGATAGAAGATGATTAAAAACGCTTGTAGGTTCTCTTGATGAGAATGTCGTGCCGAATCGACCAAAAGACTTTGAAGAGGCCTTGACGCCATCCAATTTACGCAGATATCCCACGAAAGCGGAGGTTTGTTTTCGGAAAACTGCATACAGTCGACGCACTGTTATTTCACTTTCACGGCGTACGCCACGCATTCCATCCAATTTTGACAGCGGGGCAAAATTGAGAATCGTAGTGAAAATGTTTTCAAGCAGCCTCGCAGCGTCAGTGTGGCTTTTACTCAGGAAAAGAGCGAAGAGCATCTGGTCTAAGACGTCCTCATGGTAGTCCCTAAGTCGGGGAAGGGAATGGGCGACTTCTATCGTCCCATCAACATCGTCACGTTCAAGGCAAGATTCAATCTTGGATAGCGTCTCCTGAAATCGCTGCCATGTAGCTCCCACTCCAATGTGAAAGCAGTAGTCACTCAACGCAAGAACGAAATGTTGACTATCAACGCGAAATTTTTGGAACTCGTTTCTTGTATCCCTGGAGAGAGAACCCCTTGCAGTGGTATCGCGAATGAGACCTTTAACAACAGAAACCATTCGAAGAAGCCGAAGCAGGTGTTTGAAGAGACGATCATACTTGTTCAACGACTGTTGAGTTATTATCGCTTTCAGCACATCCGATGGTTTGTATTGTAGACGAAGGAAATCCAAGGCTTCGATGGCATTTGGATCCTTGCATTTAATAATCTCTTCAGTACTGAGCTCTCTGATAGAAAAGCTAAGTCCGCCTGGTAATTCCGTATCTTTACGAAATTCAGCGGCGCTCGCAGTATCTGAGTGATCGTCTGCATTACGGCATTCATTGAGGAGACCTATGAGCACCAATCGTAATTCTGAGCTTGCTGGAGGCCACGTATCACGGCTTCCCAGGCGCAAACCAGTGTGAACACCGCTTCGCATCACACCGGCTTTTCGCTCACCACTCTCCATTTCCGGATCAAATAGAGAGTGGGAAAGACGAGATGTAAAAAATCCATCTCCAAGAAGCTGAAACCGCCACTGCAGTGTAAGGTGATACCGGACTTTATGCTCTTTGAAGAGAAGGTGAAGACACGAGAAATCGATCAGCTGCGCTTGTGAAGAAAGAAAGGGTGCAAGCGACAGGTAAAGAGAGGACGTCAATTCCGGCCCAAAGTAATTCGTGTGATCCTTAGACAGCTTAGAGCCCGACGTGTTCGCTTCGTTGAGCAGTCCGCCAAGCTTGTCCTTCTCCATAGAAGCAGGGCATGAAAGTAAGCCGGTCAAATTCTGTTTATCGTCGATGTCAAATATATCAAAAGTTTCTTCAAGTAGCTTCTCGTCATCGTAGTTTGTATTCTGGGAGATATTTTGTGTATTTGGGTTTCTGAAATCGCCACGGCAGTTATACCTTAGTATCTCGGAACGGAGTTTCTTCTCATATTCATAAGCTCTCTTCTGTATCCTTTCAATATCATTCCAGGAGCCCGCGCATTCGAGTTTAGGGGAATAGGTATTGAGAATCAGATCATTTGCGATCGGATGCTGCGGGTGAAAGCGTTTAAGAAGTCGAAGACTTCGTCCACTCTCGAAAATCAGCTGAGCTTGATCCCGGGGAAGAAAAGATGGTATTTGATCAGGCTGATATTTAAAGTCAACTCTTGATGCTTTTGCCTTTGAGATAGACTTGGCACTTTCTTCATGGAAGTCCAGAGCAACAAAGCTTTTGCCTTTACTTGCCAACTCCAATGACAAACTCTCCTGACGGAACCCAATCCAACTTTCCACATGTAATAAAAAAGGTTCAACTATTCGAATGACGACCTCACGAAAAAGATCTTCTAGCTGACCAAACGTTTGGGAGTAATGGGCGGCCCTTTCGATAATAGTGGATATTACCTGGGCATCCGATACAGCCCCCTCAGCAGCCTCGACCAGATCCGCCAAAGCAGCAAGAAGCTCGCCACTGCGATGGAATAAAGACTTGATTTGTATGAGTGACACAAAATTCTTTGAATATTTCAGGAGTTGTTGTTCGAGCGTATATATCATTATAGCAACAACACTAGAGAGAGTGGATAGAGCAGAGAGATCAGCAAACCTAGAGGGCACCTTATTGAGGAAGATTCGAACCCTCTGCATATCTGATCCACACCTCAACAGTTCGTCCATAATACTGCTCACAACTGGAACGCTGACGCCAGAGATACGTATGTTGTTAAATATCGGCTCGAACTTACGCTCGGCTTGATTATAACGGAAGAACGTGGAACCCCAACCCAACCCAAGTCGGAATAGAGCTTGGAAAAAGACATCATTTCGGGCAATACACTGGGAAGTCCCAATGCCCTTTTGTGAGAACTGGTGCGTCAATGCTCCATCGAAGCCTTTCGTCCCAGATTCGCTGAAGTATGCGGAGACGGGTTCGCAATACGATCGATCCTTATAGTTCTCCCATGATCTCAACGTTTTTCGGTCGTCAATTTTTGAGTTCAAGTTATCCAGTGCCCAAATATCGCTTGATTCGCCTTCATTGTCTTGCTGGTCAATATTAATATCAGATTGGCTATCACTCGACGGACCGGTCGTCGACTCTGGCTGTTGAGAGAAATCGAAGAGGGCGGTCACAGAGGCAGTTGACTCAGGTAGCTTAGGCCAAGTTTCGTCGAATAAATGAAGAGGGGTTTGGAAGAAGTCCCCAGAAAGATCTACCAGAAAGGACCGTCAGCTCTCACACTGAAGTTCTCTGAAATACGGATTTGGGTACGTACCAGGTAAGTCACCATTCCATGACAAGGGTTCCAGCGGCTGGAGGGACTGCAACGTGAACTCGGAAATCCTCCACAGACTGTCACCTGAAAATGGATTTACGTCATAGTCCTCCCGATCCATAATTATCGGTGCATGGCACATGCCTACCCATAACCACGACAAGAGATTTGACGATTCACGACGCGTGGGCAGCGCGAGATCACGTATTACTAACCGGAAATAAGTTAGCGCTTCCTCCCCAGTCTACGCCCGGACCACCGCTTGTTCGGGAAAGCCGAATCAGAAGACCCCAGTCTCAGTTCGTTCAAGTTACCACTGCTGTATTTGCCTCTCCAGAATTCGCGACGATAGAGATTCTTCGGCTACATTATTAGCCACGATGCCTCCGAGAAAGAAGCCCAAGTTGACGACTCAGCCGGAACCCTCTAACACCGGCACAAGTGAAGGCACAACGCAGAATAGCGTGGGTTACGACCCAGTCACAGACCCGTGGACCGATGAGCAGGAGACCGCGTTGTTAAAAGGCATAATTAAATGGAAACCAGTCGGTTCGTTGTTTTTCTGGTTTATGGTCGGAAGGGAATTTGGGCTAATCTAACTGCTGTCGGGCAGGCATGCACAAACATTTTCGCATGATTGCTATCTCAGAGTTTATGAAGAGTCAAGGTTATGCACCTTCCAACGCTGAGCATACTCGAATACCTGGAATTTGGAAGAAGTTACAAACGCTTTATAATCTCTCTGGCCTTGATGAACGGGTACGCGGTTTTTATTCTAAAGACATACCGTCGCGTTTGTCACTGACTTTCCCTCTCGGTGTTCCAGGAAGACTCCCTGATAACAGACTCGTCCGAAGACGTCGAAAACTCCAAAGAACTCTATTGCCCATTTGACCTTCCCGATGATGAATACCGTGATTTAAAGTTTGCAAGGAGATTTGCAAAGGACGGCTCCGTGTCCCCCGTTCATAGTACCCATGCAGAGTCCAGGAGAGGCAGCACGGTGGCTGATACAGATGGTTGGTGACACTCTTATGCTTTCGATCTTTCTATCGTCTGACTGCTTGTTTTTTTCACTCTACGCTGTCATAGAACCTCGCTCTTCTCCAGCCCCATCTCGAGGAAGAAAACCAGGCCGTAGCAGTCGTCCGTCGACGCGAGGCACACGATCCTCGCGGCTCCATGTTGAAGTCGAACCTCCGGGGAAGGCATCGGACACTGGAGAGGAAGACGGAGACTCCGATGAAACCGGCGCAAATGATGTCGGCGATGAGGAAGGCACGGACGGCGCGAAAGATTATAGCGAAGGTGAAGATGATGCCGAAGTAGAGGCCGGAGGTTCACCAACTACACGAAGCACACGTGCTAAGACGTCACGCTCGAAACAGAAGGAGAAGAGAGGTGCACCAACTGGGCCAAGAAGAGGTGCCCGACGGCGCTAGCAGCGATGTTTTCCCTCCAGCTTGATTCTTCCACGTCTTGATGATAACTTAGCGAACTTAGGATCGGCGTTTTGTATATTACTATGTAAGAAATTGACAATAATAGTGAACTTCCCTTGCATTGCATTTTTCATAGTCCTGGCTCAAAATCTCGAAGCCTACCAAAATTCTGAGATAGTCAATATGGTGTGACAGGTTCCGCAAATTTCATCCGGAGTAATATCAACAGAATGGACGAGATACTCTAAGGTATATATAAAAAGACACGTTGGTAATGGTAACACACTGGTGATGGTAGCATCCAAATAAATACATTTAAAATACGTAGAATAGATCACGTAATTTGGTCTAGAGTTATTCACAGGCTAATAAGAAACAATTAAGGGAAATAGTACAGTGTTCAGATCCTATCCCTTAAAGACGCTTCATGATGGCCTCAGCATACTCGTACGTCTTAGCCTTGCCACCCAAGTCACCAGTGAGGGCCTGTGCGTGGAGTCAGTCAGTGCACTTGTCAAACTTACGTGGAACCGATTTTCAAATATCTTACCTTGCCGTCGGCGAGAGTGTCAAAAGTAGCCTTCTGGATACGGGCAGCATGCTCGTTAAGACCCATGTGCTGCAGCATCATAATACTGCTCAGAAGCAGAGCGGTAGGGTTGGCAAGACCCTTGCCGGCAATGTCGGGGGCGGAACCGTGGACAGCCTCGAAGATCGAGCACTCATCACCGATGTTACCAGAAGGAGTAAGACCGAGGCCACCGATCAAGCCGGCGCACATGTCCGACAAAATGTCACCATACAGGTTAGGCATGACCAGAACCTTGTCGTTGTAAGGAGTAGGGTCGGTGACGATCTTCAGGCAAGAGTTGTCCAGCAGCTCAGCGTCGAATTCGACATCAGGAAACTCCTTAGCGATCTCGCGAGCGAGGTTCAAGAAAAGTCCATCAGACATTTTCATGATGGTGGCCTTGTGCACAACGCGCACCTTCTTCTTGTTGATGGAACGAGCATACTGGAACGCGAAACGCAGCACGCGCTCCGAGGCTTCACGGGTGATAAGCTTAATGCTCTGCACAACACCATCGACAACCACGTGTTCGATACCGGAGTATTCGCCCTCGGTGTTCTCACGAATGAGGACGGTGTCGACGTTATCGTAGGGGGTCTTGAAGCCAGCAACGGACCGGCAGGGACGAACGTTGGCGAAAAGATTGAAGGTACGGCGGAGAGTGAGATTCAGAGATACATGTCCTTTGCCAACAGGGGTCTAAAAGATTGAAAGAGGTTCAGCAAAGGGTGTCTCACAGAGTGCAATGCAACAACCATAGTAAAAACCTACAGCAAGCGGACCCTTGAGGGCAACGTAGTTCTTCTGCACACTCTTAATTGCTTCGTCAGGGATGGCGGTCTTTCCATCCTTCAAGATGGGGGTCACATCAACGGGCTCCCACTTGACGGGGGCCTGTATAAATTTAGTATTCGACTTCCGTATCATAGCCGGTTAGGAGCGGGTAGAAGCGTTACTTTTGCGGCAGCGAAGATATCCTTAACTGACTGGGCGATCTCGGGGCCAATGCCGTCACCCTCAATCAAAGTCACAGTATATTTTCCCTACAGAACCAAGAATGGTGTCAGAAATCATATAAAATCATATTTGAATGTGGGTTGCAACGCTGTAGATATGGTGGAAGCCCCCCGGACCAAGGGAGGAAAATCCAGAACGGAAAAAAAAAAAAAAGGTAAAATGTTGGCTGGGCGACATACATCAGTATCCTTCTGACCTTTGAACTTGGCGACACGCTCATCGGCGGCAGCATAACCACGGAGCTAGCAATTAGGATTAGCACGAATATTGTCCTCATTCGGCGAGGCATGAAGTCGCTCGTTACCTGCGAAAAGGGCGAAGCAATTCTAGGAGACACCCGGGTGGTCCGCAAGCATTGGCGGGTGGGGGCAACGAAGTTCCTAGCAGCAATCATTGTGAGAAGTCCCCCGCAAAAGCAGTAAATAACAGGGCAGGGAAACAGGAGGAGTGAATAAAAGAATGAACGAAGGGTAGGAGGGTGGAAGAGGAAAGGCGGCGGCGCGGGCTGCTTGTGCGGGAAGTAAAAGAAGTTCCTCCCATCGGCGCCCGGTCCGACCGGGAATGGATACTTACCGTGTTCGGACTGCAATCCACTTGGTGTCTCCCTAGATAGATCAGATAACGCCGGCATCAACAACTCTTGTTGGCGTCGCTGTGATACCCAGTACTGTGGCAGGCCGACTTAGCTTCTCCACCTCGACAGCAGTTGCGTGTTTCCTGCATCACGTCCTCGGCTGCTTGACGCCGTTGATCAATCACGTCCTGCCCTGGCCAAACGCCAAACAATGGCTGACACCGACGTGGCCAATTTCTATAACCTCCCATCGGAATATCCCACGGAGTGGCCGGTGGAGCTCGATGAAAGCGACAATTCCGAGGATGAGGCTCTTGATCGCCGTGGTTCGCGATCCCGATATTTCGCCCTTGGCCGCAGCAGCAGCGGTCGGAAAGGGCTCACTCTGGGTTCGTTCAACGGGAACAATGGGAGGGACAATCTTGTGAAAATGGATGAGCCCGATCCCCTAGGATCAGGCGATACTGTCTTCAAGATTTTGAAGCAAAGAGGATTATCATTGGATGAAGACAGCCGCTTGCGCAATCGGTTCTTGCTCTCGTCTACCTCATTTTCGCCGGCTCTCTTTCTCTCACAAGCACACTCGGATGCATCCATCCAATCACTCCTAAAAGGACTTGATTTCCTTTCGCGATCGATTGACCAGAAATCAGCCTCGCTGAAGGTTCTCGTGGAAGCCAATTTCGAACGCTTTGTTCGAGCCAAGGCGACAATCGATAACGTTTATACAGAGATGAGAAACCAAGGGAGGGAGCAGAGTTTGTCCGTTCAGCAGGCTCGTCGCAGGTCGGGACAGTTTCGAGCCTATTCGGGAGGTGCCTCCCCTACACCTACAGCAGAAATGAGCCCGGGTAAAAACTCCCTGACCAAGGAAAGTGAATATGGCATGAAGGGCATCCGTGTTCCCTTGGTGGAAGCCTCTGTCAAAGCTGAAGAAGTTTGGGGCCCCGCATTGGGCGGCCGAGAAAGAGAACAGGCCCTGAAATCGGTAGTCGAGGCAATGGAAAAGCACCGCGATGTCTATGAAATAGGCGGAATGCTTTCGAAGTCCATTAAGCAGAGAGACTATGGCTCCGTCTTTGAACAGTACACCAAAGCCAGAACTCTCGCCAAAGACGCCAAGAATATTGCAGACACGGCGATAAGTAAGCGCCAACCATTGACCGACGAAGAGACGCATTTGATCCTGGCTATGGGAAGGATGTGGATGGACGTCGACCAGCAGTTACGGGCGTTTAAACGTGACATTTGGAGGCGACTCAGTGATGCACCCACCACTTCGACAACCGTAACAGTATCTGGACCTGTTGACGAGCATATGGAACTGATAGGCGCCTTGCTGGAGTTGGGTGTAGATGAGAACCCGATCTGGGTCTGGCTACTCAGTCGATACAATTTCCTCAAAACCAAAATCACGTCATTCTGCGAACGCTGCAAAGTCGAAATAGAAATTCTAAGACGCAGGCTTGCCAGCGGTGAGAAACCGACTCCTCAAGCACTGGCATCATACCTCCGACTGGCGCCACGCGATAGTTCCAAGGAGGTACAAGCTATCCTAGACACCGATCAAGTTATTGAGCTCTGGGACTGCATTCATACCTATTTGAACCGGCTCTTGTCATCACAGGGAGGGATCCTTGGTGAAGTACTTGATTTTTGGGAAGTAGCACAATCCTTTATTGATGGGAGCAAACAGAAGCTTCTCCCTATAGGATTTGAAGGGGAAAGCCGCAGGCATCACCAACTCTCAGCCACAGACATGAGCGACCTACAAAATGGGATCATTGAGCTTGTCAATCTGATCCGCGAAAGCGTATTATCGTTATTTGCCGACCCGCCGATGGAGGATGCCTCCCTCCTCACCTCCCCCATTTCACCATCGAGTCCTCATAGCCCTTTAAACAGAGGAGTGACACCCACGGAATCCCGCTTCAAGCTTGATCCGAAAAACATGAATTTTCCCACTCCCAAGAGCGGCGAACACTGGGAAGACTATGCGTTCTGGCCACCATTTTCCAACTCCCTAAGTGGCATCCATTATTTGGGCCAGTTTTTGGTCATCATTGGAACAGCAGCCAGTGAAATGGCTGCGCTAAGACCGGTGTCAGACAATGGCAGTGCGCATGGTCTCCTCAAGACTCTTGTTAGCGTCGCCCGTGAACGTTCGGTGCGTGTGGCATGCTCTGCCTGGGGCAAAGATGCAGAAATCTGCAAGTTCATGGAGGACTGGACAAGAGACTCAGAGAGTCGGGATCTGACTAAAATGCCTGGTCTCTTTGTAGCATTTGAGAACTCGATCCTCGGCGGCATGCAGAAGATCCTTTATATTTCTGAGGCCATGGTAAAACCCGGCGACGTGGATGTTGTGACGCAACCTCCTACTAAGCTCCTTCAAATGGTGCGTACGCAGTTTGTCTCCAGTGTCTACAAGGCCCTCAGTGGTCTTGTCGAGAATGCAGAACATCCTGCATCTCCGGGTGGGGACAACGAATGGGTTCTTTCTGAATCTGTGGCGCATAATCAGTCCGACATATCTGCCATGTTTGTGACAGACGCTGTGGATTCGCAGAACAGGGTAAGACATCCCATCTCAACGTAACCTGATTCCGACTAACGATGTTCCAGAACGTGCGCATACTTCTCACCCTTTCGAATATCAAAGCCCTGCAGACCGATCTAGTACCTCAGCTAGTCGCAAATTTCGAGAACTCATTTTCCGTGAAGTTGACTGAAGAGGCCAAAACCATCCGTGATGTGCTCAACCAGATCGATGACCGGTTGTTCCAGTCATACACCAAGCCCACAATAAACGCATTGAACACGATCATTTTCGGTGGAATTACTGCCGCCGATTGGGAGCCACCCACCTCTCGCCCCGACCAAGTCCGCCCCTACGTGTACAACGCGTTGCTGACCCTTGTGCTTGTCCATACGGAAATCTCGACTACCATCCCTTCGAGTGCCACCGTGTCGACTCGCCCGCCCCCGACATCCACGCAGTCTCCACTGCTCTCTGTTGTCCTTACGCACCTGCTGACTCAGGTCTCTTCGTCTCTCCTGAATTCTTTCAGCTCGCGGTCCATATACACACTCCCGGCACTAATGCAGGCCACACTCGACACGGAGTATATTGCGCAGACCATGTCACAGTATTCGACCGAGGAGGCATCGGCTCTGCAAAGTCAGATCTATGTTGAACTGGACCGTCGGACCTCGCATGAAGCCCGAGCTCGACTTCAGTCAGAGTTGGGCGAAATGAGGGGCATTCTGAAAAGGCTGCGGGAGAGAACGAAAGGGGAGTTTGCTTGTTTTAGGAAACCCAGAAGTGGTCAGAAACCACCGGCGTAAGATGCTGCCTGTCAGTCAACGTTTTGTATATACTACTGAACTCGTGCCTTGATGAGTGATTCCATCCCGGCTATATTGGGAACGCTTTAATCTGTTAAGTTTCTTATGTATGCAGCATACGTAGAAGCATCGAGCAATGTATTTACTTTTGAAGCGTGAACATTATCTAGAAGGGTATCACATTTGAAAATATTGTTTTCTCCATCGCAACCAAATCTCTACGCTTGACCAACCATTCTTTGCACGCGGTCAAGGAGCACCTTGCTTTCACGACCCAGCCTTCTCTTCCCATTCCGATCCGGCCGTCTAGCCCGGGTCATTGCCTCTCGATTCTTCTGCTTAAACTCACGCTCCTCTCTCCGCTTCTCTGCTTCCTGCCGACGCTTCTCCGCAATTTCCATCTCCTTGGAGAATGCCGACCGCTTCGGCTTCCGCACTCGACGGCCCTGGTCACCATCATGCCTTTGCGCACGCTCCGGTTTGGGGGTTCGCTCGGGTTCGGGTTCATCCAACATGGCTTGTCGATCCGGATGGAGATCTAAAGTAGCCGGTTCTGCTTGCAGAGACTTGTCATCGCCTTTATCCTTCTCATTTCCATCGTCTTCCTCAGCAACGGCGTATGTAGGTCTGCGGGGTGTGGTGACGAGCTGTTCGGCTTTGACTTTGGCATAGGCTTTCTTGACCTTGGCCTTTTGGATCAGATCAGACTTGATCTTCTGAGCTGAATTTTTTTTTTTTTTGTAGTTAGCCAGTTGAACTGCGGGATGTAGATTTAGGCGCCAACCGGGATTAGAGAGGGATGGGAAGAAAAAAATAAATAAAATACAAAAAAGAACGAAAGAAAGAAAGGCAGAACGAACTCTTGCGACGATAGGTCCCATCGGGTAAATTTGCAGGCCCAACTGAAAAGCCTTTCCTCTTCTTGACCGGAGCTTCTGTAGTCCGCATTTCCGCTGGATTTGCATCGAAACTCCGGGTGCGTTTGGTGGCCATGATGCAATTAGACGGGGATAAAAGAAATCAATTCCAACGACAATATACAGCTAGTTTCAATAGCAATAAAGTCTCTGAGCGGTGAGTTGGGCCACAATCGTCGAAGTCAATGTGGCGAGGGATTTTTTTATTGACTCGGAAGAGAGTAGAGGGCAAAAAGAGAAAAAGAGGATATCTGGACCGGGAAGGTTTGGCGCAAAATCAGGATCTTGATTTAGTGTTGGTTCCAGGAGAATGATCGACCAAGACGAACTAATGATCTATGAATGACCTCGTCCAACCGATGAAGAATGGAGATGCTTGAGAGAACGTCTACATCGTCAGTATGATGATGAAGATTATTTAAATAATACAGACGTCGTACGGCAAAATTACAGCAATCGAATGCGGACCCGTTCTTACAAGTGGAGCCCGTCGTTTCATCTCCTCATGCCGACATGATCATACAATATCATTCTTTCATAATTAATCCCTCTTAGTATAATATATCATCGTTGTCTTTTTTGACTCATTCCTTCCCCTCCGAGCCGTTCCCTCCTCCCGTCTACGTTATTTCTCTCCTTCAGGTCCCCCTCCAAGTCGTACAAATCCGACTCCCTCCTGGCACTCTGAGTGACCTCCGCCACTTCGGCTCTGCGTGCTACCTTTTACTTCTTGACTTACTTAATTCTCTTCGGGTTATTATATATTCCTCACCTTGTCGGGGTTGTTACGGGTGATCGACCCTATTCTTCGGCTGCGATGGTGGAGTTCTCATCCACCGATTCCATCCATCCCAGCAACCGGTGATCATGCCTATCTTTCAGGATCCGGATTGCCGTCAGTTTTATGACCTATGGTCTGATGACCCCTGCGATTCTAGTGAGGATGTTCGGCAACAGTGGAAACGGTGTCATGACAGTCACGCCAGTCTGGAGCCTTCGGAAAGGACGGATATTTTTACAGAAGAAAATGCTTTGTCGGATCTTCCTCTGTCAGGACTGCATGCTAGTGACCGAGAGGAACTGATACAGTATATCAAAAGTGCCGACCCTTCTTTATGGGCGCCGCATAGTTCGGTATGCCCCTTTCTTCTTCATCTCCTTTGGAAGGAGACTCTTTCGACCCTACATTCATACATTTGCTAATTCATGCATCCCAGCAGTTCGAGGACACAAGTACCGGTCACTATATCTCTAACAAACCCATATGCATAAACGATAAGCCATTTGACCAAAAACCGCCGAACGATGACACACACCAGAATAATCAGGAACTAGGATCGGCAGCCGATATTGAACGTCCTCGGTCGGCGTTGCATTCGGGTGATTTTCGAGAAGGAAGCAAACAACATGATGGTCACCAACAATTACCGCAATCTCCTTTGTCTGGACCCAGTGCTGGCTCTCATTTCCCGCCCCTGAGCTCTTCTCCCACCACTCCTTGGTTTACGGTGCCAGTTCTTCCATCTCGAGAGAATGCAATACCAACAACTCGTTCCCGAGCACCCTCCCTAGGATCCTTCTCCTCCAGTTACGTCTTGAAAGCCCCGACAAGTCCGTTGGTCTACCAAGCAAATAATACAGACTTGGACTTCTCTCCAAGAACCGAGTCTGCCGACCAGTCCGAATACATAGAGAAAGCGAGTCGTCGCCGAACGCTCCCCACAGAGACGCTTTGGAATCTCCAGTCATCTCCTACAGCTTACCGAGGGACTTTTCAATCCGCCCATTCCCCTGTGAAGTTCAATGGTTCACCTTCCCACCGCAGCTATCATCCTCGGAGGTCTTTAACATCGGGATACAGCCTTCAACTTGCGTCATCGGTCCAAACCCCGCTTCCAAGAATTAGGAGACCCTCGATTCCTTCGGAGGTTTCATCCAGGTCCCATGCCTCGCTAGTCGGTTCTTATGAAGAATCTATTCTTCGCGGAAGAATGTCCATGAATCCATCTAAGCCTCTCGACTTCACGGCGCAAATTGGAGTATTGGGGAAAAGTAAATGCAAACCAAGCCTCAAGTGTCCTCCACATGTCACAATTCCCTTTCCAGCAGTCTTCTACAGCTATCCAACTTCCGGTTGTGGCCGGTCAATATCGGATGACAATCCAAGCCCCTACGTGGGTCTAATCGATCTCGATAACTCTCTTCCTAGGGACACGTCAACCTCTAGTCGGCGTCGCCGACGACATCAGAGTCCTGCAAGACCCTACGGTGACCAATCTGTGGGAAATAGCTTGTCATCGAGATCCAACGACCAAGACACTTTGCGTAGGCGTGAAAAGAGACATAGGAGAGCCGAGTCGCCAAAATGCCCTCCAGGCGGCTGTTATAGGATACCACAGCAGGGTCAGCTACAGATCATAATCAAGAATCCGAACAAGACAGCTGTAAAATTGTTTCTTGTTCCCTACGATCTCAGCGACATGGAACCTGGGACCAAGACATTCATCCGGCAGCGGAGCTATTCCGCAGGTCCCGTCATTGACATGCCACTGAGTGCTAGAAAGAACTATGGCACTGATAGGCCAGAAGCGTCCTTAATTACCTCGGAGGATCTTAAGGACAAGCCCATATTAAGGTACTTGATTCATCTTAACATTTGCTGTCCCTCGAGGGGCCGTTTTTACCTCTATTCAAGCATTCGAGTTGTCTTTGCCAACCGCGTCCCAGATGGGAAGGAGCAGCTGCGAAATGAGATCCAACATCCAGACCCCCGATATACGCCTTACAAGCCTGCCCGAGACGTCAGCCATTCACAAATGGCCACAAGGAGTGCAATGGAAAGGGAACTTCAACCACCTACGGCGAATCATGAACCGATCTCGGGGTTGTACCCGGACCATCACGCTGTCGATATTCGAGACAAGTTGTTAAGTATGCCGACGTCAACGCGTGGCACGATAAAATTGGATTCTCATTCAACTAACTTAGCTCCACATCCTTTCCAACCTATACCGTCCCTAAGAAAAGAAGTACTCCCGTTGCATGAATCCGACCCAGTCCCACGAGAGCATGCCGAAGGTGGGACATATCATAAGCTCAGTAAAGGCGACATCGGCTACGGTGGTTATCGATCTGCAGCTGGATTTGAAGCGGGAGAAAGCCTTCTAGCCAAAAGATTAAGAGGGCTAGAGGTTCAAAAGAATGATTCCCCAGATATCAACTAACGTTCGAAAACGGCCACCATACCAATAACTTACCCTCTCTATTTATCGGCTGTGTATCGCTTCGTATAATTTTTTTTCTCGTTTATAACCTTTTCCCCCCTCCTCCCTCGGTATTTTTTTTCACGAAGCACATTTTCATGCAGGACATAGCTGGCACGACTAATAACACAGTATCTATTCTTCTGATGCAGGCTCATCCTTCGGACAATTGTCCATCACTCTGCAGTTTCTGTTTGTTCGTATAGGCCAGGCGTACCGGACATACAATACCCCATCTTCTGTTCATGGAATATCATCATATCATTATCTTCGCACTTCAGCCTCCGTTCCATCATTTCGGGTCATAAAGACGCCCTTACTTTTTTTATTGGGTTAATGGCGAAGGCAGTTGCTTTGGATCCCGATTATTGGACATAGTACCTATTCAGACCGCTATATATCTGCTACTCAAGCGAAAGAGCTCTTTTATCAGTAGTAGTAGTAGTAGTGGTGGTGGTAATACAAGAAATTGGCCAGTAATAGAGACTGCGTAAGATGTAATGGTTAAAGTAGATTTATCTACATAGTATTCTAAATAGAAATACAGTAAAGGTGGAGGATATTTTTCTATTTTTAAAAAAAAAGCCAATATTTGAAAGGATTGTCGGTAGAATCCTTCTTCCCATCGCTATCCAAGCTCGCTCAAATTATTTGTTGCGCTATAGTGATATAGATTTGACATACGCCAATTGCCAAATCAAGTATCAGATAACCACAATCTAGCCGGCGTGCTCGACGATTTCACTCACAAGGACACCGTCCTTAACGTACGTCTTGATCTGTTCCGGAAGAGGGCACTCCTTAGTGTCTTCATCGGTGCCTTCCTTCGGAGGAAGCATGACATTAATGGCGGAGCATTTACTGGTGAAGACCTCCGTGCCGAGACTCTGCTGGCCCAGATACACCACAGCACCATCCACCTGATCCAGCAGCAGAGTGGGAACCACTCCGTCGATCTGGAGGGCGAACTTGGGAGATTTGATAACATCCAGGCTGCTAACGAGAGAATCGACGATGAGGGAGAGCCCGGTACAGTTGTCGATGGAGATGGCGTTTGCCTTGCTAGACACCTTGACAATGGTCTTGTTGCACCGCGAGATGAGTATAGACTGGTTTTGCTGCGCAGGGATCTCAACAATTTCGCCTGGATTGTCGAAGTTCTCGACGAGCCACTTGTTTCCCTCGAGATCCTTGCGAGGCGGTTTGCGAGCGCGCATGCTCTCGGGCTTAGGCTTCTTGCTTGGGGCTGGTGACTTCGACCGAGAGACACTGCTCTGACCGGCTGCGCCATCAGGAACGGTTGAACCAGCGCGGAGGGAGGGATTTTTGTGCGTCATCTCGGACTTGTCAACCTTGCGAAGACTCGAGGTGATCGCATCTCCTTGGTTAAGCTGGGCAAAGACGGCAGACATATCTGACGAGGGAGCTGCAGCAGGAGCAATACCAGGCGGTGGAGGAGGAGGAGGAGGAGGAGGAGGAACTCCTCCGGGTACGTTCAATGTCGGCACAGGAGGGGGCGGAGGAGGAGCAGCGCTGCCGGAGCCAGGGCCAGACCCAGATCCGGCCTTAACCTGCCTAAGAGCTTCGTGCGCTTCGATGCCGCTTTGATCATTCCATGTCAACCCTTTTGGATAGTGTTGTTTTAGATATGCGGCAAGTGACTTAAAGATTTGGTAATAAGCTTGGATGTACTGGATATGTGTACGATCCCTAGTGATAGATCAGCATTCACCATGGGCCACATCAAACACGCCGGAACTCACTTGTCTTTGTAATCCTTCAGAACCTTGTTACCATAGTACTCAATGCCCCCGACAATCTCACTGACAAAAGCGGCGGGCTTTTTCTCGAAAAACCAACCCAGGGCAACGATACCTTCAGCGACTGCACTAAGGTGATTGAAAAGGGGAGACGGCCTGTTGGATTCGCGGATCATGTTGATATTATCGGAAGCATTGTGGAGCTCCGTCATGAGCTCTGGGGGCTGCGGTTCTGGCTTCCTCGCCTTTGTTGAGACATAAAGATAGGTCCGCTCCGCCTTGAAGGCCTGCAGGACCGCTTTCGACTATAGGACAGTCAGAGGGATGTTCATGTCCGTAACTTGTACTACCATTCTCAGCTGTCTCACCTGTTCAGCAACAAGTCCTCCGATATTATCCCCAAGATCCACGAAGTTCTGGACGTCTTTGTTGATCAGTGTGTCGAAGTCTTGGATCTGCGGTGGCAGAGGAGGGGCGGCAGGGGCGGCAGGGGCAGCTGGTTTAGGCGCCTCAGTAGCCACTGGTTCTGGCGCAGCGGTGGTGCCCACGGCCTTTGGCGAATGAGGATCATCCAGAGACATCGCCATATCCTCCAGGCGGGAGGTCGCAGCTTCCAACCTGTTGGCAAATATCGGCATTAGCACACGGGCAAAACAGAGATACCTCGAAGTTTGACGCCTCTTGGCTGCCAACAAGAGATGTAGATACATTGCTGATGCTCCACGGCAGCTTCAGATCCGAAGAACTTACCGCTTGATAAGGGTAGTGAGATTGTGCATGTGGCTGCCAGTCGCCATCTTGAAAGGCTCCCGTCAACGCAAGGAGGTAGTCCTCAACAGATATCAATGCAGGAAAACAGGTACAAATACTATCCAAAATGCAGAGACGAATGGATATAAACGAAATGCCCGAGAAATCAACCGAAGCTTCCACAGAGCGATGTCCAAGGTCTCGAGCGATGCATTCCAGGAGTTGCAACGGTGTCGGTTCAAACGGCGACGATGCTCCTGATACCTGCCTGAGGCCATCAAGCTCCACCAGTGGGCCCATACCGTACCGTACGCCCCAATTCCTGGGTCTCCGCCAAGTGGTATGACGTTATGCGTATCAGGTGGTAACCACGCATATTTGGTCTTTTAGCATAATAAGAACCGTACACAACCCCGCTATATGGCAAAGGCTTCAATTGCTCCGTGTCGAGACATACGTCAATTAGAACTGGTCCTCGCTGCTGAAAAATGGCAGGAGAACTTGACCTCAGTTCCCGGCCCAGTAGCCATGTCGAGTTCTGCACGATGGGCATGTTCATCCTCGGTATGCTATCTCTTGCCCACCTGGGATGAACAGTCGCATGACAAGGTATACTTACGGCATTCCTTTGCTTGGAATAGATGATATCGACTTTGGAGGAACCAGTCCCAATGTGAAGAACGTCATTGGCGGAGCAGCCTCCTTTGCGGTCGTTGGTGCACGTCTCGTAGCTGGAAAGGATCATTCTCGGTCCGTGAGCTGGATTGTTGACGTTGGTTCCGACTTCCCTCGGGAGATTTTAGATGTCATTCGTGCATGGGACACCGACTGTGTGATCAGAGAAGACCAGAGGAGATTGACGACCAGAGCATGGAATGGCTATGGCCCAAATGAGAAACGAGGTTAGTGTCCTGGTGCAGTTATCTCTCTGTAGAAAAAGGTACGAGGGAAAATAACAGACAACAGAGTTTCAATACTTAACACCGAAGCTACGATTGGAACCTTCTATGTTGTCGGACTCCCAAATTCTCTCCAAGACATTCCACATGGTTTGCTCAGCGTCCCGTTGCATCCTCATTGTGAAAGATATACTACGACGCTGGGATGAGTTGCAACATGAAGGTCAATATTCTACTGTCCCAGAACGACCTATCTTTGTCTGGGAACCTGTTCCTGATCTCTGCACTCCCGAAGAACAAGAAAGATTCTTCACTGCAATCAAAGTTGTGGACGTGGTGAGCCCTAACGAACTAGAGCTAGGAATGATGTTCGGCCAGCCCGGTTGGAACGAAGAGAGTCGATTTGGCCGAGACATAGTGAAAAATATCGTTGAATCTGGCATCGGGCCCGAAGGCAACGGACACCTAGTCATCAGAGCAGGAAAGGATGGAAGCTATTCGTATTCCAGAACACAGAGAATCTGGCTACCCGCTTATCATCAGGCCAACGCTTCCGGGGCTTCAGCGGTAGTTGATCCCACTGGTGCTGGGAACTCTTTTCTGGGAGCATTAACTCAAGGTATGGTAAGTGCTGGTAGAGCACCGGCGAAGGTCATAGACTCGGTTTTCGCATCATCGGTGCATTGGCAAAACACGAAGGCAGGGGGGCGGTATAACAACATTCTGGAAGCCTTGGTATTTGCTACAGTTGCAGCCGGTTTCGTGGTGGAGCAAATTGGAGTGCCTGTGATGTCTACTTCTACTGAAGGGAGAGAGCTTTGGAACAAAACTGAATTTACGGAACGGGTCCGTCTGTACACCCAGCGGTTGTATGAAACAGTCGAAGAGTCCCCACAGAAGCACTTCCAGATCAATTGACAGATTGAAGAACGCCCTTCTATTGTCGTACAGCCCACAAGAACATGAAACAAAAACCTATCATTGCCATAGTATCCTTCCACGATTGCCTCTCGTCTTTATATTCCGTATATCACTTTATGATTCTTGCTTTGAGGCTCTCTCGTGCTCAATAATCTGCCTGCTCCAACTACATAGAGAGAAAAAAAAAAAAAAAAGAAGAGAGGTGAGCATACAGGAAGTGGCAGAGACCGAACAGACAAACTCACTAGCGGCTTGGGAAGAATCTGCCCGGCTCTGGCATCTTTTCCCGGCGCTCACGGTCAGCGCTGATGCTCCAGGTCACAGCGACAACACCAAGCATAGCTGCACCAATAATAGCAGTATTGACCCTCCAGTTCGCGGGTTGAGCGTACCAGCCTCCAGCGGGAGACCAGACTTCCTTGGGATAACTAGGCGCCAGGTCAATTAGTTCCCACGCGACAAGAGATCACAAGGGATAGGAAATCACATACGGGATCTTGCCGCCTCCACCCATCTTGTTGACACAAACTAAGACAATGGAGAGAGATGAACGTTGGCAATGGCTTGCTGGAAAAGCGCTGTTCTGGCGGGTTGAAGCCGAAATGGCTGTCGTCGTCCCTCGTCCTAGAAGCCGCGCCCGCTAGCCCAATGTAGTTTAGCGCAAACGCTGCCCTTCTCAGTTCTCACACGAGCAGCAGATCCCGTGACTTCCGCCGAGCTCAACTTTTCTCCAGCGGCCAAAAGTAACAAAAGGTCGATCAAATTGGACTCTCGCCCTCCACGCCACGCCCTGGGCAAACTCACTACTCTTCTTTCCCAAGTCGACTTCCCACCTCACGGTTTTCAATTACACCGCTGTCCAGATGAAGAGGCTGCAGCTCCTACGATGGAGCAGTTCGGCTCTCACGCCGGGGGCCCGAACTGGAGGCCGCCTGCAGCAACATCTCTATTACGGTCTTCGACATCAGTCGACCGCTTCTCCTGTTTCTCAGGCCGAGAGCGATCAATGGATGGATGAGCAATCGCTGGAAGCGCCCTTCTCTCCTGTTCAATCTCAACAAACCAAGTACCTCTTGCCTTCTCCGCCGGTCGAAGCCGCACGCGAGTCAGCAAAGCTTGCTGCGCTTCATGCACGACTTTACCTTCCTTCACGACTACCCCTCGAGACATTAGCACGTTCCCTTGTGGACCCGTCGGCAGACCCCAATCCCAACTTCAATAATGAATCACTGGCTACACTGGGCCATGACCTCCTCACCCACTACACTTCCGAACACCTCATTTGCACATATCCTCGGCTACCGCTCACTGTTATCTTCGCAGCGATGTATGCATATGTTGGTCCTAAGACGCTAGCAGCGATGGCAAGGGAATGGGGTGTTGAAATGGCGGCCGTACCAGGGGGAGAGGTGGATCCCGGCTTTTTGCAGTTCAAGAGAGTCCTCCCTGGCACCGATTTGAACGCGGGGCCTGTCTCCGGCACAGCGAGGCCTAATGAGCACCGGGCGTCGTGGAGAAAATCGGTTTCATCCAGGATTGTGTACGACAATGAATTTGGTGATCCGTCCAAGGTAGTTCCCGAAGAAACTTCGAATACCCAGGGCGTCACAGCCGAGCAGGCCAGTGCAACTTTCGTGCGGGCTGTGATGGGATCTATCTATTTGCATGCGGGCAGACCCGCGGCCAAGCGTTTCTTTGAGCAGCATTTCCTCTCGCGACACCTGAGTATCTCCGAACTGTTTAGTTTCTCCCAGCCAGCTCGCGACCTTTCTCGGTTGTGTGCACGGGAGAATTTCGAGCCGCCTGTTGCGAAAATCATCAGCGAAACTGGCCGTAAGAGCAGACATCCCGTCTTTGTCGTCGGTATCTATTCTGGTCAGGATAAATTAGGCGAGGGCGCTGGCGCCAGTCTACTTGAGGCTCGCTCCAGGGCTGCCGTCGCTGCCCTCAAGGGGTGGTATTTGTATAGCCCTTTGAACGTGCGTGTCCCTAGTTCCATGGAAGAAGAGGGTGCCGCGCCTTGGAAAGCTGTCCACGTCGACCTGGGCGAGGTTATTGTCTAGGGAAGATGAGCACGTTTGAATGTGGAAAAGATGTTATATTACTAGACTTGGTTGCTGTCGGTTGAGCAGCAGCGAGAAACACATATTGCTGATTCACATTTACATTTGCAAGATCGGGTTTTGTACAGTATGGGAAATCTATTTTATTCTACAGATGTCTTCTTGGTTGATTCATTTTTCTTTTGTCCTTGTTCTTTAGTTATTTTCCTTGTGGGTTCTTGGGGTTAATCTCGCTTGCTCCTACTTTTTCCGCACGCTTCTATGACAGGTCTTTTACAACCAAAAGTGATGAAGCGACAGTATGATGTATAAATGAGTGAGTGTATGGGTCCATACATATTTTGAATGGGGACATTTTGGACGTTAGTAATTTTCCAAGTAGCGCCTTATTGTGTTTAGCCCCTATATGATTAGCCTCGTTCGTGATAAACTAGAAAGAGACGACGGTCACCGTCAAATTGATGTAGGGGATATTATTCAGGATTAACTATTTCATCCTCCCAAGTGCCACTATTTCTGTCTATATCCATCTTACCACTAAGGGTATCAAGATAGCTGCCATATTCATCCCAAAGCATGTCCACGCTCGCTCCAAACAATCCCTCCCAAAATTCCTTTCCTGCTGCAGTATTTGGCTCGTCCTTGTCATGTTGACCTATGTAACCCACGCGCAATAATCGATCATTCAACATGCCGATCGCGCCGTTGCCCACTCGAACATCCTCTAGCCACGCTAAGAAGTATGCCGTATGCTGATATCCTTGGTCCCATTTTTGTGGTCGATCTTTGGCAGACGTAGGTCGCTTCCAATGCGGCGGTACCAGGCCAGCCTTAAGACGGACAAAATCCGCAATCCCTTCAATCAAACCTCCTGGGGGTCGAAGGTCACTGCTGGCCCAAGGGGACGCAGTATGTTGATAACAGTGGACTAGCTCATGGGTAAGGACACCAACCAGCTCAGCCGTCGGGTCCGCATAGCCTGTACATTTACGGATATACGCGAGAGAGAGGTGGATCTCCTTATGGTCATCGTCCAACTCGATCCCGGTTGTGTATGCGACGCCATCGATATCGCGGAGGAGAACCGTAACGGACCGGGTATGAGGCACACATGGTGTGAAGTTGGGTCTTGGTCCGCTCTTCGTCGATGATCCGTCGCGTGATGTTTGTCGGGGAGGGGTGTAAAGGTGCTGGATGATGATGGCTAAGGCGTTCTCAAGGACAGACGTGACATCGGGGATTAGCGAAATGAAGGATTTGGACGCGGAATGACGGATATCATTGATATGAAGACGAAGTTTGGGCTGGGGAAGATTGGAGGGGAGGAATGGAGGCTCCTTGACTTCGTTCGAGTTAGTTTTATCGGATGCACGCGTCGGAGTCTGCGAGATCGAAGAAGGTTGCGGGTGTGTTTTGGAGGATTCGGACATGGCTATTAGGTGAAGTAGGTAACGGTTCAGTAGATGATAATAAAATGGCTATGGCAGGTCATGAGGAAATTGAGGGATGATGAACCCAGAATAATAGCCCAGCCTACGCCGCCATCTACACCGCATGTATTCTGTACATACAGAGTGCATCACCTATGCATGCCGGGGCTTCATTTATGGCCTGGGGACGATGCGTATATATTTAGAATTATCAATCAACCAATCACCAAGCCAACCCCAATTCCTGAAACCCCTGCATACTCCATCTGTCATCTGTATGCAGTGGACTCGTGGCTCCTTTGACGTGAGGCTGGTCCTGGTCCAAGTGTCTCGAGAAAGAGCTCCACTTGACGATCGTGTGGAGTTTCCAATAAACAAGAAAAAATAGAGTAGGCTCGTGAACGTTGAAATGGATCTAGATGATGCAGTCTAATTTAGTTCGTTGGATGGGACTGATTAACAGGTCTATCTGCCTTTTGTTTTCTGTCCACAATGTATGCAATGTGGCGAAAGGGACGATGACGGATGGCGTTAAAAATATTTCCAAAAACACGATGGCTTTGCATCAGTGCGGCAGAAACATACGGAAATAGCCCTTTTCTGTCATCTATAATATACTAGTTATGGATTTGAGGGCAGAAACACCCCTTTATCTATCATAACACATTTTTGGACAGTCAATCCAACCTATCCATGTTCCTACAGTTCGTTTCACCGTGGAATAGACGGAGACTAAACCAAATATGTGGACTTAAGTACTTCCCAGGTACTCCCTGGTCCCACTTACAGACTTGGGACATTCGGTACCTGACTGGTACCAATTGATTAGCTAAATAATACTGCAGAATCAGGGGGCCTTAGGCTCACATCTCCCCGCTCAATCGGCCCAATGCTTGGTAACCATGGAGGCTCGCCGGTAAACAAAAAAAAAAAAGCCCTCCCATACAACAACACACCCCATCCCTCCTTCCTCACTTATTCCCTCTATGACGTCGTTTGTTTATTTACAACATCTCAACTCTCCAACTAGTTTACAAGTGATTTTCGATTGCCTGTCTCAATTGACAGAACAGTCTCCCTTAGGAGACACATGCGAAGTGCGAAGCGCTTATCGCAGCGTTTATTCGCTTATCAGGAGTTGTTGCGTCAAGCTACTTTAACTTTCTCTCCTCCTTCGTCCCTCCTCGCCAACGACGACGTCGCTTCCTTCCTCTTCGCCATATCCATCTCGTCCGTGGATTCGTCGGCGTAGTTGCGCTCTGCTCCGAATCGTGGTTGAAGCCCGAATCCTTTCCTAAGACGTCGCAGTTGCCAGCTATCCCTTCTCGTCGCTGTCCTGCGGCTCAAATCGAGGCCTCGCCTACCCATTCTGCCTGCCGAATCCGTGATCGCGACTGCTTCAATATACCAGGTATGTTACTTCCTTGTCGGTTTGTTTTGGGGGGCTTACTATCTCCCTCTGTTCCCTTCTCTCTTCTCTTTTTCTTCCTCTTCAATCACCCCTCTGTTGGTAAAGCGACCTCCCGTACAAGTTCACTGTGCTTTTTAGCGATTCCCTGCTCTCCAACCCTCAAGTTTCTGTATCTTCTCTCTACGTTTTCTGTTTTTGGCTGTCTGCATTTTGCCTTTTGCCTTCTGCTCAGTGTCTTTTGCTGTCTGGCATTGGACAAGGAAAAGAGAAAAGATCCCAAAAAATTGTTGCCAATGTTTGGTTTTTGCTATCTGTTTCTTTTTGGATCCCCTTGTTTGGATCTGAGTGCTCTACGTTACTTTTTGTTTTGGCATTTACTGCTTTGGACTAATTGTTGATCATGGCTCAGGACATACGCCAGGTCTCCGCATGGGGCTTTGCCTCTGTCTTCCTCTACGTTGTCATTTTTCTGCAGGCGTTTATAACAAAGCACTTTTTGGGTCTTATTGAGTTGATTTTCGTTCGTGTCACCTTGTTGCTTGTCAAAATTCAACTGAACATCGCTCGGACTATACCCGATATCCCCGAAGTCCACGTCGACATTGGCTCTGTTGTCCTATACCTTTGCACTTGTGTTTTGTGCCTTCTCCTTCTTCTGGAAGTGTTTCTGTTGAGGAAAGCAGCGAAACTTCTTCGCTCAATCTTTTTTTATACCGTTCTCTTTCTGGTTAAGTTTCACTGGAAAAGCGCGTGGAAAATGGAAGCCAAGGCAGATGAGCTGCGCGAGGTTCTGGAAAACACCAATTTGGCAATTGAGGCGAAGGTCCGACATCTACTGGGTGTAAAATCGGACATCAAGCAGAAAAATGTCCCCAGAGAAGCAGTCCCCACTCTTTTTGAATCGATACGCCTTGCGATAGCATCGCAATACCAGGCTATTTTCTCCGCTGGGATCTCTGCCCTGGGACATCTGGTTAAACGGCTGTCAATCCAAGGGCAAAGACAATTGGTAGCGCTACAGGCGCGTATGCTTTACCCGATACTTCTTGAGCGTATAGGATCACACAGGGGAGCCATTCGTGCTCAGGCTGCTCAGGCACTTGAAGATCTTTGGCATTCGTCGCAGGAAGAGGTCGAGCGCTATGTGCAAGAAGCTCTTGGGGGAGGAAACCCCAAAGCTAAGGAAATGGCCATGATATGGACTCTGAATGTTAGTTCACATACGTCTTGCATATTCCCCCACCCCAACCCCCTATTTTTTAATTATTTAACAGCTAACTTTCCTCATAGATGTCGAAAAAGCATGAGCTTCAATATGCCCTCTTTGTTCCCACCATACTCCTCCATCTGGAAGATGCTGATGGCTCCGTTCGAGAAACGGCCAAGTCAACAATCATTGAATTATATCGGTATGCTCACCTTTCATGAATCTGCCTTGGGATCTCCTCTTTTCACTTTTCTTCTTCAGTAGAGGTTTGGATACCCTGTAACTAAACTGGTTTTAGGGATGTTAATTTGAAGAACAAGACTCTCCTGAAGCAGACATTGGAACAAAAGGGTGTGCGGAAGAGCATCAGGAATGCAATTCTGGAATCCATTGGGGTCGATGTTACGGAGAACAGTTCGGGTTGGTCTCCTGGTCGACAGCGACGGCCAGCTACCCGGGCTGAGAGCCACTCCCGCCCTGTTGTCCGCGCTGCCGATGCTCTGCAGCCACGGCCTGCTACGCGAACCGAGACTCGTACTGCCGCTGCAGATCGTGTCGCCGCTGCAGACACGATTACAAGACTTGGCCGCCAATTGAAGGTAACGCGTGTGCCTGCACGAAACGCTACTCCGGGCCCATCGATTTCCAGAATCCAACCGCAAAGCCCATCGCCCAAGTCTGAAACTTCTCTACCTGTGCGCAGCCCATCTCCTCGCGTAATGACGAAGCTCGAGCCAACGCGTTCTCAGAAACCTACAAAGACACCCGCTTTTGTTCATCAACCTCCCGGCCTGGACGAAACCGATGCTGTCCCACTCCTTGTGCGGTCGACTCGCGAAATTGACGACTATGCGAAGGAAATGCTTTTTCATTTTGAAGGACGTGAGTCAGAAAATAACTGGCTGTTCCGCGAGAGAAGCGTTATCACTCTTCGACGACTCGTCATTGGCAACGCACCTCGCGACTTTCCTGACTCGTTTTTCCCAAACATGAGGACTCTTCTTGACGGTGTCTTTAAGACCGTTCATTCACTCCGAACAACATTAACGACGAACGGATGTCTCTGTATCCAGGATCTTGCGAGGTGGTGTGGCCCGCAAATCGATTCAATGGTAGAGATCATTATGCAGAATCTCATTAAACTTTGCAGCGTTCCGAAGAAGATCGCGGCTCATCACGGTGACAACGCAGTCCAAGCCGTTATCATGAACGTTACTATTACTGCCCGTGTCTTGTACCACGTGTCGTCGGCGTGCGAGGATAAAAGGGTCCAGGTGCGCCTATTTGCCGCAGGGTGGGTCCGTGCGATCATTGATTGCCAGAGTACGAATCGAACTGTCGTTGAGCACGGAGGGGGTGTCGACATGATTGTAAAATCTATCACGAAGGGGCTTGGGGATGCCAACCCGGAAGTGAGGGCGGCGATGCGTCACACTTTTTGGCGGTTTGATGCGGTTTGGCCCGCCAGGGCCAAGATGTGAGCTTGTTTCTTCTCTTTTGATGGCTATGCATCATTATTTGCTAATGCTTTAATAGTCTTCTATCCGACCTGGATGCCAAGTCGCGAACGTTGTTAGAGAAGGACTCGAACAACCCGAATCTCAACAAACCAGCGTCTCCCGCGCGGCCATCATCAGCTAAAAGCGCTAAAGCCAGCAAGCCTGCCGCTCCAGGCCGCACTGCTCTGAGGGAGGCAATTGCAGCGCAGAAGAAGGCCCATCTGTCGTTGGAGAAATCTGCTCCGTCTACCGAATCTACTGCGTCGCGCGCTGTCCCTACTGAAACGTCTCTTACATCTCTGTCATCGGCACCCCTTCGCCCGAATTTGAAATCTCGAACTCTTCCCCCAACTGCTGAACTACATGCTTCTCGCACTCCAGCATCGGATGTGAAATCTAACTCCTCTAAGCCCTCTGATCGGCTTGAGACCTCTCGAACTTCCAACCTAAAGCAGCCAACACCGGCGAAATCCATCGTTCCTGTCCAGGCAAAGAAGAATCTGGAGCCGAAAAATAAGCCAGAGATAAAGCCTGCTGCAACTAGGCCGAAGAAGCTCGACCTCTCTGCTGCGATATTCAAGGCACCCAACACCAGTGGAAGTGAGTCGCAGAGGAACGCCAAGGAGATCCTTACAAAATTGAGCGATGAATCCTGTTCGGATTCCGAAGAAGAGCCAGCTCTGCTTGGATCATTCCCGATGACTGAGAGCTTACCCCAAAACATTGACGACAATCGACGCGACGCGGCGGTTGTCGTAACTCCGTCCATATTCAGAACAGCGGAGCCGGAAAAGAAGCATAATGCGAACGATAGGTCAGACGACGAGGAGAGTATTGCGAGCTGTGTTTTGACAGAGGATCTTCCGGATCGTGGCTCGGAGGCATCCGAATGGATAAGGAGGGCCTCTCTTCTTCCTGAAGATTTTCTGTGGCGCGATCTTCCATCATACGATGATGACGAAGCGGAGGACGAGGCCCCAAAGGTGGGTGTTCTGGCGGAATTACCTGAGACGAACCTGCCATTTGAGCGTCCGGAGGATCGGCAGACTAGGCGTAGTAGTCCTGTGAAGGAGATGCCGAAGGGGAATTCATCGGTAAGCCCCCAACCCAAAGACCCCGCCAAGTCGCAGCATTTGCTCGATAGGGGCATCCAGTTGATTCGTAGCAACAGCATGGACGCCAATGGTCTCCGCAAGCTACGACAACTGATAGCGCAGAATGGGTCTTCGGTGAACACATGCCAGTTCCGCGACCTCGTCGCATCTCTCCTGGGTGCTTTAGAGTTCGAAGGCGGCGATCACCAACCGGCGAAGATATCGCAGGGGCGTATCGCATCTCTGAGGCTCCCTATCCTAGAGACCATTGAGGAGGCAATCAATGGACGGATAGGTGAGCAATTACGATCATCACCACATCTTTACTCTCAAGCAATCGCCTCACTTCTGAGAACAAGGCGATGCTCCGATACATCATGCTATTTCTCCCTCCGGGTCGACGAAGTTGCAATGGGGATCATTCGATCTGAGCTGGGGGAGGGTACACATAACTCGGTGCACGCTCTCGTTGATACCATCGTCGCTGAGGAGAGGGGTAAAGAAGGGGACAATGTTATTATTATGGGCCTATCACTGTTAGCATGTGTACTCAGGCATGGAAACAAGGAGGGTACGCGTCTCCCGGAGGATCTTATGGAGAAGGTTGGCTCGCTGGCCGCCAATCATCTCATGGACGAACACCCAGAAATCAGACGACAAGTGATGCAGTTGTCTGTGCATTTGCATTCGATGGTCGCCGACGATGACCAATTCTGGCGGGTCGTTGGGCGGCCACAAGACGGATCTCGGAACCTTTTGACCTACTATATCGCCAGAAACTAGTTAGACGGGTTTCGTGTTACATAAATATGATTAATATTATATTATTACCATTGCTTTCCTCTGATACTCAATTCATTCACTCCGCAACGGTTTGGCTATATATATAGCCGTCAGTCAGTTAGGAATAAACCCCTGACGGGAAGCGATTTAGGTTCTATCGTAGGGCTGACGGGCTCGCATGAAAGCGACAAGGTCATTTTGATACTGTGTAGTTCTTCCATTCTTTCTCATCCGCGAGGAATGTGAATGTGAGCCCCTCTCTCTCCCTTTCTCTCTCTCTGACCAGTCCTCATTGCCTAGGCAGGCTGGTCCTGACCAGAGCCGCGGATTGACCGGATTTGTCCATCTCTCTCCCTTTCCTTCTCTCTCTCTGTCTTTTTTGACCCCGTCTGAGAAATTGGTCTTGTGCCAATTGTTTTCCTAACCCGATTTTCTTCCTTCCTCCCCCTTGGTCCCTCTCGATTCTGATTTCCCCTCTGTTTTGTCTGTTCCCGGTCAGCCGTGGTGAATGTGCTGAACCTATGTCATAGACTATGCAATTCTAACACAACTCAGCATTTGGTCCTTGAGCCATCCTCCATCCTGTTTCTCACCTCCTGATCAGCCTCCGACAGGATCTTCTTTCCTTATACCTGTCTCCCTGTCATACTTTTCCGTATTTCCGTTCATTCTATCCTCCGCCCCTTCTTCCATTAGTCCAGTTCATTCCAGAATGCCAGCCGAGGGATGGTCATATACACCACAAAGTCTTCACTACATCCGATTACCACTACTTGAGACCCCCACAACGGCCGTGGCAATGATCTCGCGGAGCCTTTTGATCTGCGTCTGTGCGGCCCGGTCAGCGCTGGCCACCGCATATCCCGGTCCGTTCGAGGCAAGCGCCGAGCGTGGAAATCCTCAGGAGGAGGATTTCTTGTGGAAGGAGTACGGACTCAACAAGTCCGCCGAGTTCAAGTATTTCCATGAACCGGGACGCGACGACATTCTTGGTCATTACGATACACGGTTTTTCACCGAGCCCGTCTCAGCTAAGGCGCGGTCACAGACCTTGACACACATGGTTCGCGCGTATTTGAAATTCTTCGACGACAATGGCATGGATACATGGATCGCACACGGCACCCTGTTGGGGTGGTGGTGGAATGGCAAGGTAAGGGACCCCGGTGTAGTGCTTGTATCGCCGGCGTCAGCTCACCCGACAATTCCCACTGTAGATCATGCCGTGGGATTGGGATATCGATACCCAAGTAACCGATACCATGCTGCTCCATCTCGCCGATCAGTATAACCAGACGATTGTCCACTACAGACCTAGACTCCGCGATCCGGAGCTCAGCTACCTGCTCGACGTTAATCCCTGGGCTCGGCAACGGGACCGGGGGCAGGGGTTGAACATTATCGATGCACGATGGATTGATATGCAGACTGGTCTCTATATCGATATCACCGGCCTGAGTCATCTGGACCCGGAGAACCCGGACGTGTGGCAATGTAAGAACAACCACAAGTATCACACCAAGGATATATACCCCTTGCGGAGGACAACCTTCGAAGGGGTGTCGGCGAAGGTGCCATTCCAATACAAGTCAGTCTTGACCGATGAATACCAAACACAAGCCTTGACATCAACGCATTTCCATAAGTGAGACCTCCTTGTGATTATTTTTAGCGCATGGAATAAGGACGCTGCTGACACTGTTTTCCCAGTTATACCTGGCATCCGAATCTAGAGGAATGGGTTCCCGACACAACCCTTGGCGATCAGGAGAGCAAGGAAGGCCGTCAATATGAATAATGTGAGGGATTGGCCACAGTACCTACCCCCTTGAGTTGATTTTGGACGATCCCATTTACAGACCCTACTCTATTCATCCCCAGGAGCATTTGCATTCGGGATATATATTGAGTTTTAGCTTGGAGTTGGACTTGGGGGATGGGAAGTTTTATTTGGACGGCGTTATTGGAGAAACATACTGGTTCGATTTCCGTCTGCGCTACGTACGCATGCCATTGTCCGTATTGCGATCAGCTGCATTTATTCCACAATCAACTGGATATCTTCATTTTCCCCGTACCATATCAGGATACGGCTTGACTAGGGCTGCATCTGTCCTCTTTTATAACTCACCGCAACTCACACTAGGCAATTCCTACATGGCCTCTACTAGTGAGGGGCTCCCAAGAAATTAGATTAGCCTTAATGTCATCCTATCTTTTTGCCACGCGAATCGCCTATGGCTGCGACGACGATCATTTCAGGGATGGGTGCCACACGATTGTTGTCAGGGCATATATATACACGTGACCGGTCTTATCGTTATCTCCGGCTGACAAACCCAATCGCCGTGGAAGTCGATCGAAAGGGTCCCTCCGCATATACGATCCATCTCCCTCTCTTGTAGACAGTCCCATCTTCAGCTAAAACGACGACAAATATGGATGACGACGACTCTTCTCCGCTCTCCCTCACCATCCACCACAGTGGCATTCCGCATACTTTCGATCTCCCGGCCACTGCGACCCTCCACGATCTTACCACACTCCTCGCATCCGCTCTTCATATCCCCATCGAGAACCAGAAACTCCTCATCTCTCCAAAACCGGGACTCCAGAAGCCGCCATTTGCGGCAACACGCCTCAACGCTCTCCTTCCTGTCGACTCACCCCGTCTCAAAATTACCCTCCTCGGCACCCCTGCTAAGGACATCGCCGCGCTGAACGCCCAAGCCGACGAGACCAAACGGCGCGCCGAAGCCCGCACCGCGGCGCTCGCTGCATCCGCAAAACAGAAATCCTCCGTTCGTCGCACCGCTAGCGGCATCCACACCCTCTCCTCCAGTTCCAACTCGTACACCTTCCATCGCCTCCTCCCGCTCACGCACCTGCCCAACCCGGACCGCTCGCTGCAGTTTCTGGCACGTCTGCGCGACGATCCAGGCATCCGCGCCGCCATGGCGAAGCACCGCTTCTCGGTGCCCACCCTGACGGAGATGGATCCAGCCGAGCATACGACGAGCGAGTCACGCACGCTGGGCCTAAACCGGAACAAAGGCGAGGTGATCGAGCTGCGGCTGCGCACAGACGCCTACGACGGATACCGCGACTACCGCACGATTCGCAAGACGCTGTGCCATGAGCTGGCCCACTGCGTGTTCAGCGAACATGATCGCGATTTCTGGGATCTGACGGCGCAGATCGAGCGGGAGGTGGAGCGGGCGGATTGGAAGCACGGGGGTAGAAGGCTGACGGAGCAGGACTTTTATAATCCCGATGATTGGGAGGCGTTGCGCGAAGGGGGAGAGATGATGGATGAGCGCGGTTGGACCGGGGGGGAGTTTGTTCTCGGTGGTGTGAGAGATGATAATGGGGAGGGACTGGACAGGAGGGAAATCATGGCGAGGGCGGCGGAGGAGAGAATGCGGAAGGATAGGGAAAAGAACTCTTGATGGGTTAGGATGGGATGGGATGGGAGGAAATATAGATATCCGGTCCTACATATTGATTCTGTCCACGAGGTAACGATGTATGATATATAGCATGACATAACTTCAGAATTGACTTTTCTAATGTCTGTCTGTACGTATGTATATACAACCTGCATACTGCCTAGATCATAGAAAACTTACACCTGCTCATTGACCAACAACCCAGCCATCCCTTGTCCCGTGCCAATACACATACTCGTCACGAGGATCTTCTTCTTGGTGCGTCGCGCCTCACTCAAAATCGTACAGATCTGACGAGCCCCCGTGGCGCCCAGCGGATGACCCAAAGCGATGGCACCTCCGCGCGGGTTCACCTTGGCGTGGTCCAGACCCAGATGGTCCAGACAGTACACAGCCATGGAGGCAAATGCCTCGTTGATCTCGTAAATGTCAATGTCTTCCTTGTTCAGGTTGAACTTGGCCAGTAGCTTGGGAATGGCCACCGAGGGTCCGATGCCCATAATGCGCGGCGGCACACCGGCAACGGTGGCACCGCAGAATTTGGCCAGGATGGGCTGGTTCAGTTCGATGGCCTTGGAACGACGCATGAGAAGGACGGCGGCAGCTATTGTATATTAGCAAGAGAGCAAAAAACAATAGATGAAATTAGAATAAATAAAGACATACCTCCATCCGTCACCTGACTGGAATTTCCACCGGTGCTCCGGTTTCCGAACTGAGGAAACGCCGGCCGAATCTTACTCAACGACTCGGCGGTGGTTCCGTAGCGAATGCCCTCATCCTTGGTCAACGTGACCTGTTTCACCTCACCGGTCTTCGGATCCTTGACCTTAGTAGTAATAGGGACGATCTCATCGTCGAACCAGCCCGCCTTCTGCGCCGCCTCGGCCCGACGGTACGACTCCGCCGCATACTTATCCTGCGCTTCGCGGGAGATGTTGAAGTCGGCGCCGACGTTCTCTGACGTCTGACCCATGGGCTGCATACAGTCCGCGGCCTCCTGGTTCTGGAGCACCTCTTCGTTGAACGGCTTGGAGAGTCTATCTCCCGGAGCGGACATGAGTTCCGCACCGACCGCGATACCGACGTCGATCGCGCCCAGCGTGATTTGGTTCGCGATATCCTGCACGGCTTTCAGTCCAGACGAGCAGAACCTGTTCACTGATGATCCGCCGGCCGTGTGCGGGATGCCTGCTGCGAGGGAGGCGGCGCGCACGAGATAGGCGGCTTTGCCGTCGTTGACCTAGGTTTCATTTTATCAGCTATTTTTCTCTGTGTGGATTTTGGTGATGCAGAATGTGAGTGGTGGATAGAATGACGTACATTGCCCAAGCAAACATCTTCGATCGAAGCAGGATCCACCTTGGACTTGGAGAGAACTTCCTTCAGCAGAGCGTAGACGATGTAATCGAGATCGGTGTCTTTGAATCCACCCTTAACGGCCTTGGTCAGGGGTGTTCGTAGAGCGAGGGTGATGACGACATCGTCGGGATTCCTCTGAGTTCTACACGGAGATAGTTAGAAATAGACGATGATGAGACAGATGGTTGAGTTTGATTCTACATACATGGTAGAGAGGCCGTTGCCACCGCCCTTAAGGTGGCTGAGAAGTGAGCTCAAACGTTCTGTAGCCATGGTGGACAGGTGCTAATGAATGTTATGTCAACAGGGTTCAGTGCGGGGAGATACAGACAGTACTTACTTGTTCAGACGAATGGTATAGAAATCAGGAGAAAAGTCCAGGAGGATGGAGGACGAGAAAAATGAGAGGAAAAATACGGCGTGCAAGAGCAGTCATCGTCCAAGTCAAGTGATGTCAGGCAAAGCCGACAGCCGAGGCTCATCTGCTTTCCGCCAGGAGTACCTTCTACCTGCGCCTGTTGCTATTATGGCTGGCCAATTAAGTACCCGTGACTTGTTCTGTGCCACTAATTAACTGGATTGATTACGAGGTGAGTTTATTTTAATAAAGTCCTCGGTATATGGAAGAAACTAGTTTTCCCAGCCAGGCAGCGGACGTCAAATCCAGAATAGTCTCTACAAATACCTACAAAGCAGCAACGGTGTTGCGATATCTTGGCAAAAACAAAAATGTCAAGGATGAAGGGAGAAGGAAATGAAAACTCCATAGATTCCTTCCAAAAAAAAAAAAAAAAAAAAAGGAAGAAAGAAAGAAAGAAAGACAGAAAGAAAATCCTGCGCCCATCCTCACTTACTAAACAATACCCAAGCATTCCATTATTCTATACAGACCTCTCCTCACATGTTTACGATCCGTGGTGGCTAGCATTGAAGTCATCGTTGCTGATGACACTACCAACCTCCGACCAGCTAACTGGGGTGGCAACACTCGTCGATCGACCTAAGTCACTTAACGTGCCGTCCGACGACTCATCCACCGCGGATTCATAGATCTGGCTGAAACTCCCGGTCGAGGATGGTGTGGTCGGACGTTCCCGGTCAGCAAAGCTGACAGAATCCAAGTCTGACTGGTTTGAGAACGGGGTTGTGAGGTCCCGACTGGTGTCATTGGCTGGAAAATCGGAGTGAGCAAAGAGGATTTGTGAACCACCCTCGGGGTGGCCGGATGATCGCGATCGACTTTGCACGGCATCTTCCGACTGGTCTAGCGTCGGCATCGAAAAATCCATACCTGAAGTCTCTGAAGTAGGGGTGTAGTTAATCAGCGTGGCGGATTGAAGTTGAGAAGACGATGGAATGGCAACGTGCAGTCTATCTTTCTCGGCCGCTGCGTTCGCCGGCTCACCTTCACCTAACGGCGTCGAAGAACCGGTCTGTTTGCCGCTCCGCTGAACGACCTGCGATGTAGACAGTTCGACGGCGGTTGAGTTCGCCAGGGAACCATTGGATACTTCTGGAGTATCTGTTCGTAGCAAGCGGCCTTCGTCGTCCACTAGCGCATCAAACGAACCGAGCCCGGCGCTCTGCCGTCGTTTCTGATGTTCCTCTATCATAGCACGTCGGTTCTGGATCTCTTCCCGAATGAGTCGCCGTCGCTCTTCGGCTTCAGGGCCCATTTCTTCGGTCATGGAGATATCCTGACTCGGAGATGACGTAGAGGTTCGCGGTTGGATCTCATCACCAAGATGGTGTAACGCAAGTGCGATCTTCCGTCGAGAATTATCGATCCAGTTTCGAAACTGCGGGGATTCATAAACAGCTATACCCGCCGCCACGAGGGCTGACACGGTGATGATAAGTCCTGGTTGTGTCAGCAGGTCTATCCGGAGTACTCCACCGGATTGTACCCGGAGGTATGGTATGGGTATACTGATAAGCACATCGCCTGATATCATTATCGAAGCAAGGACTGAGCGAAGAAAAAAACAGACAGCCAAATGACTCACCTTTTGCAACTGGCGTCGGCATCGTCAACCTCTCCAGGCAGCAGCAAGGAGGGAGAAGAGAGTGTCAGCGTCATGTCAAAAGGGCTTCCCCGCTGGTCCCACGTGATGTACAAGCCCTTATCCGGAAGCCCTAATCATCCGCTTTGGGTATTCCGTTGTTTTCTCCGCGTTTCCCGTCAACAGTCAGCATCAACATCAACAACATAAACAACAACATCAGCATTATCATCAAAATCGGATCGCCATGTCTCGTCCGTCTTCAATGGCCCAGCGTCCCTTGACGCTGACGGAGGAACTGGAGAAACTCGAACAATCAATTACCCTCACGCTGCAAGGTACCGTCGTATTCGACCCCCCAATGAATCCCGGTCAGGTACTAAAACACCTCCATAGAGATTGACCACAATTTCAGCCAGGCCCATCGGATCGTCACCACCAGCATCCTTCCCATCGTCGAACAATACGCAGATCACTCGAAAGATGTCTGGGAAGGGGCCAAAGTATGTATCAACCCTATGAACTACCTGCCACCTAATTTGACGGTGGTTTTGTCAGTTTTGGAAACAGTTCTTCGAAGCAAGCGCCAATGTCTCCCTATCCGGTTACGAGGAGAAACCCGACGAAGATACGATGCAGGAACCGACCGTGACGGAAGAGGACTCCACAACTAACATCACCCAAAGCAGCTACAGCGAAAGCGCTTCCTACGAAACCCCGTCTTCTGAGCGGGCTGACAGGAACCATCAAGCCGACGACCTAGAGCTCACATCGCTCAGCCTCTCATCTCACAGCACCCCTCGTACGTTTCATGAAAGGGGACATCCAGATAACGATACCACCGTTACCTCGTCCATCGCGCATCCCTCCCCGTATAAGGAAACCGAGCCAACCTTTGAGGGAGACGACGCCGTACTACCCTCCACACCAGGCAGGACTCCGTCCAGGCCACAGCACGAATATTCGCGTCACAACCCCTCGCTTGATACCCCCATGTCATCTTCTCCCTTCGTTCCGCCCGTCTCCCATAAATCGGAATCCGATCCTGTGATGCACCGTCTGCAAGACAAGACATATCGTATCCAGGCCACCCCTCTCAGCAAACCCTACAGCGGGGCTAGTCGCTCCAAATTCACAGTCACCCCGAAGCAGTCAGCGTCTAAGTTTGCATTCGACGACTCTCCGATTTCCAGCCCCGAGCCCGAAGCCCCTCAGCTGCACGCGGAGATCTTCTCCTCGCCCCTCAAGGCCGCAACCCCGGGCACGAACCGAAGGAGACGCACAAGCAGCCATCTGCGCATCACGCCACAGCCCGGAACAAGCGTGTTGACCCCAGTGAAAAGCGGAGGCAGGAACCGACGCGTCTGGGACAGTGATGATGAATATGATGACGACGAAGTCCTAGGCCCAAGTCCCCCGAAAACCATGCAGTTTCATATTCCGCAGAGCCGTCTGATGAGGACTCCTGGTTGGTCTTACCCTGATCTATTGTATATATACAGCGACTAGAAGCACTAACATCTATCCAAACAGCCAAGGAAGCATCAAAGCGGATCGTCGAGGATCTCCTATTCACTGCAGGTGCAAACGACACCACGGATGACCTGCCCGACGAGCAAAGTCCCAGTGTCATTCGGCGCGTGGAGCGACTGGAAGATGAAACCTTTTAATCTTATAATTCTCGAGTTGCGATATCTGTTGCACACATCTTTTCTCTCTCTCTCTTTTTTTTTTTTTTTTTTTTTGAAACAAGCGAATGATCACGAACAAGGTTCTGTTATTGTATCCATCATACAGTATCTACAATGGACGTCTTTAAGTGTATGTACATAGAAAACCATGAAACACCTTAAAATCACAAGCTAATCCAGCCCAGCTTGGTGGTCTGGTTCACTCATTCATTAGAACAGTACCATTGGATCCTCAGCTCAGGCCGATCCCTAAACTCACTTCAGTGATCACGGATCGTGCATTCATTATACTCTGTCATTCCATGGAAAGACTACAGGGTGACTTTATAACACCTGATTTCAAGTCAATGACGCATTGATCTCCTGCTTTAGTTATATTGTATAAAGTCGTCCTCAACAATCTACCCACTATCTAAAACAAAGTCAACTATCCATCACCACTATCCATCACCTACTATACAAATGGCTAAATCAATCAGTCTCATCGGCCTCGGCGCCATGGGCGCAGCACTTGCCTCGCAATACATCACACACAATTATCAAACCACGGTATGGAACCGCACCGTAACAAAGGCAACACCATTGGTACAGAAAGGCGCCCGACTCGCGTCTAGCGTATCCGAAGCGATCCTCGCCACGAACCTGATCGCCATATGTCTTCTTGACAAATCCGCCGTGCAAGAAACCCTCTCCCCGGTATTATCATCTTCGCCATCGTCACTGGCTGGTAAAACCATCATCGATGTCACCAGCTGCACACCAAATGAAGCGCGCGAATTATCCGCCCTAATTATCCCCTCCGGCGCACGATACATTCATGGTGGAATCATGGCCGTCCCAGATATGATAGGCTCCGCGTATTCAACTCTGCTCTGCAGCGGGGGCGAATCAGAGGACACCTTCACTGCTATCCGGGGGGATTTATCTCTTATCGGAACACCTCGGTATCTCGGGACGGATGCCGGGAGGGCCTCATTGTATGATCTGGCGCTTCTGTCGGGGTTATATGGACTTTGCTGTGGGTGTTTGCATGCCGCTGCGCTGGTCAGGTCTGAAGGGGGGGACATCTATAACTGGGTTCTTGGAGCTGCTGAAACCGTGGCTTACGGTTATGATGGGGTATTTGGATGTCATGGCTAAACAGATTGATGAGGGGGAGTATGCGACTCAGGGGGCGAATTTGGGGATGCAGATGGCGCTTACGCAAAGTATCTTGAAGGTCGGAGAGGAACAGGGCGTTTCGTCTGATTTGGTTCTTCCGCTTCGAAGGTTGGTAGAGAGGGCAGTGGCTGATGGTCGGGGTGGAGAGGATCTGGCGGCGATCAATGAGTATCTGAAAAGATAGTTCGCATTGCGGTTTGTATATCATGTGTCTATTCCTTTTGAATTTTGTATATCATTCGGTGTGGAGTTTCTTCAGTGATGTCCTTGATCATCGCCTTTCCTACTAGAGAGTTAGTTGTCTGTAACCACGTGTTTTGAAATCAAGTACATACAACTACATAGGTAGTAGTCTCCAATCATATCAACTTTTCTCATTCCCGTAGCTTCACGCCTTGGAGAAGTATATTCATTGAGCCAATATTACTAGGATTCAATCACTATGTCACGTCAAGCACTGGAAGTTCATGATGTTTGTGTAGAGCTCAAAAACCAGAGTGCTTAAAACTTAGGGAATTCGCCAGATGGCTGAAGAAACAATAGACTTTTTAAATATCGGATAACCGCATCTTTGGATGATTTGGAAAACATAAGATAAACTAGCTTTGAGCCAGCGGAATCGAGACGTAAAGACAAAATTACATGATCGCCTTGGAAAGGACAAAAGGGTATCGAGTGTGAGCTGTAGATATCAGGAGAGGGTCAGGGGAGGGGACAATGGATGATAAGATGAGTGCATAATTGGAAGGAAAAAGAGCCAACCACACGGTCAAGATATATGTATGTACAAACTGTCCAATAGACCAGGTGTAAGGGGTATTCTAACGCCGAACATTTTCTCCAAAATCCAACAGGGTTGGCCAAATATGAGAAGGGCATAAAAAAGAAAGGAAAAAAAAAAAAGAGAAACCTTGAATTCCTGATTCCAGACCAGGGAAACCAGGTCAAACGGCCCAAACTAGCCCTGCATCCCCATAAACACCTCTTGACAGTTTTCCACCAAAAATTTTAGGACCTCGTTCTTTTTCTGTACATCTGTCATCTCACGAGCCAGACTCTGGGGTCTCATGATGGTCGGGGCAAACACGACAGCGACGTTCTGGCTGGTCATCAGGTTCTCCTTTTCACGCTCCACGACCCGTTTTAAGTGGAATATTAGGAACTCCAGTACGTCTTGATGGACACGCGGTAGCTCCCGAAGGCTCTTCTGCAGGTTCTCGATCCGGGCCGCATGCGAGGTGATCTCGCCCGAGTCGATCACCTTCTCATAGACGTCGTATGTGATGAGGGGCATGGGCAGTTTCCGGAAGTACTGCTTCAGCGCCGACGTCACGGCATGAATATCGAGGTCTGGATCCGAAATATCATAATCCTGAGGAGATCGTTCGAAGCCTTCACGAATAGTCTGAATCGCCGAACTAGCACCGGATTTACGATAGATACCTTCCATGTCCATGCCTGCAACGGTTGGAGTCATCCAGTTAGCCTACTTCTCCAGAGATTAGCCTCGACGAGAACATACCTCGTAATTCAACCTCTTGGATACAGCGGGTGATGATGGCAGGGATGATACTCTTCTCATGCTCCATGCGCTGTTCCAAGTCGGTACCGAACAGTCCTGAGGTATCATCAGTAAAGTAATCTCAAGAAATACCGGTCCTGGCTGTGAATATAATGCAAGACTTACCACCCGGAGTGGTTTCAGCCAGAACTGGAAAACTGTCCGTCTGGGGCATCCTAGTGCCTGTCTGCTTGTTGCGTTGATTTCCAAAGAACCCAAATCCTTGGCGACTAGGGTCCTGGGTTTGAGAGCGTGGCAGACCGGGTCCACCCTCGGCTTGGGTTGCATTTTCGCTAGACATAAAGGCCCCTTTGAGACCCTTAGTCACTCCCTTGGCCACATTCTGACCACCCTTCTTCCAGTTGAATTTGCGAGGCTGACCCTTGCGAATACTGACAACCTGGGGACCGGGAACGATCGTTGCGGGTTCGGCCTCTTCTGATACGTTGGCAGTCGACACCGACGGAACCAGATCATTATTGGCAGCCTTCAATGCATCGATGGAAGACAACGACCTCTCCTTTCCGTGAGAATAGATGCCGAGACCATTTGCACCCCGGTTGCCGTCCGTAGAGCTCGCTTTGTACAGCTCCTGAATCTGATGTACCAACTGGTTGTTCAGCTCGGCCAGCTGGGCATTCTTCGAGGACAGCTGTTCAAACTCCTGGAAACTCTTGTCTTTCATCCGATTTAAGTGGGCAAGCTCCTCGGCCGCATCATTGCGCTTTTGGACCAGCTCCTCGATCTGCGGTGTGAATGTATCCTTCAACTTCTGGATCGACTCGACAAACTCCCGCAGTACGTGATTGGTCAACTTTCCTAGATCTAGAGGACCGCTGGCACCACGCCTTTCGGCCTCCAGGTGATCCGTCAGGACGGAGAGTTCTCGCATGACGATCTCCTTTTGAGCATCCAGCACAACCATGGTGGATCGCTTCTCATTTAGTTCTGTGTTGACCTGCTTGACATCGGCGGTCGCATTCAACATCGCCTCCATTTCCACAATTTTTTGCTCGCGTTCGAGGACACGCTGGCGCTCCTTGCGTAACTCACTGCGCAACCACGCCACTTCCTCGGAGCTGCCGTACTCGGGCGATTCTGCAGAGGGGCTGTGAGCTTCCTGGAACGTGGTCCCATTCACTGGTGACTTGGGCCACTTGGCATCGCGAGCCAGGCGCGAACCTTTGTCGCTGAAGCTTCGGCCATGGCGCACCGAATTGGACACCCGACGCAAGAACGATTCGTTGGTCTGGGCTGAGTTGGAGTCGTCGGTACCGACCATCCGTGCCACATCGTCGTCCATGGAGAGATTACCATCGCCACCATAGCGTAGTAATGACGGTGATCCCGCGCGGTCCACTTGATGGATGGTGTTGATGGAATTCGGGCGGGTCGGTCTGGGCTGTTCATGATTGGGCTCGTTGCGCGGAGTGCGAGACTCGCCCACTCCCGGTTTGCTCCTGCTCCGTTCATGCCACTGCTCTGTCGGGCTAGCCGCCCGGGGACGGGGTGACACTCCCACATCCTTTCGGTGGAACTGATGCAAAGAATCTCCTCGTTTTGGCAGGTTCTGAATACTGTTGGAGGAAAGGAAAGACCGTGCCGAGTCCAGTGATCCTCCGTGGTCGTGTAGTCGATGAAGTTCATGCGATGGCCGGCTCGGGAGGGTCGTTGCGCTCTCCGCCGTCAAGCCGTCCCGCTGGAGGGTGGTCGATGACTTGATGCTCCCGGGGCTTGGGGTGGAAAAAGAGCTTGTCTCCTTGGAGCCTGAGGGCAAGTCAGATCGAGAGCTTCGAGCAGAACCATTTGCACCCGCAGCAGTTTCCTGGGGCCAGCGAGCAGCGTCCGCATCGGGGTGCTCGCGGCCCTTCTCCTGATACGCGATGTGAGGGGACGAACCTTCCGAAATCGTCGGTTCATATCCCTCCCTCGGAGACTTGCCGGTGTGATCTTGGGGGGACGGTGCGTGGGAACGCTGTTCTTCCGATGGATCAAAGGCAACCGGTATAAGGAATTCTCCCGCGCTATCTGCTTCAGCCTCTCGAGGGACCACGGAATGACGGTTACTGCGGTAGGTGCTTGAGGGAAGAATTAGGTTTTCTGTAGCCGAGCGCACAGGTCAGCCACCAGCCATCAGACATGCCCGATAAGGGATCACCTGGAGTTCTCACCTTGATTATTATCGCGAATGGTAGACAGGGGGCGAGTCCTTCCCGCGTCCGGCGCAGACCCCGCCCTCCGCGATGCCACTTCGGTGGTCGCGCCCGCATAGGCGTCGACCAGGGGATCATCCGTGGAATGTGACAGCGACTCGGCCTCCTCCGGGGGTAACGAAGGGAGCGACTTGTCCAGTTTCACATTGGGGGCCTGCTTCTTGGTAGGGGGGGCTGCTCGGTTTCTTTTTCGACGGCGCTGCATCAGCGACTCGTGGCAGTCCATGCAGAAAATACCCTGAGAGGTCCGCGCATAGCGCAGGTTCTCGATTTTCTTTTTGCAGTTGCGGCATCGAAAGCACTGGGAGCAGAAAGCTTGTTCTCCGGTCAAAATTGCCAGGTCCTCGATCTTGTTGCCGCATGAGCTGCAACTATAGGTACAATTGCTACAGATCAACGACCCATCGCCGAGAAGCAACAGATGGGCGTCCGAGTCGAGGAGCGTGCCGCACGTACTGCAGCAAAAACATTCGATATGCCATCGATTTCCCGCTGGAGAGATATAAAAAGAATCAGCACTTAATTCTCCGCCATTAGACAACAATACAAGTCTTCGATCCACTTACCTAGTTCGAATGCCTTGCCCTCTTCCAGGATCTACAGGCCATATAACAAGGCACGGGTCAGTCACGTCCACGCGGAATCAGGGTCGTCGACAGGACAAGCGTACCTCTCCACACCCCTTGCAAGGAACCGGGACATCATCCTGTTCCATCGGAGAGTCGGGAAAGGCGGCAGGAGACTCCATAACGAGGAAGGTGGGATGTTAAGATGGCGGCCAGGGGAGTCGTAATAAAAGGGACAGACGAGAAGGAAGAACGACGACGCCTAGGGCGCGTCTACAGAAACGATAGACCCGACGATTTCGGAGGAAGATCTTTGGATACGGTGGTTCAGACGAAGGCCAGGGATAGAAGCACGGGGCCGCTAGCTACTAACACAGAGTCTTCGACAGACAGTAGCAGTGGTAGATGAACGCGGGTGAGAGCTGGAGGGGGAAGTCTGGCTAAGGCAAATGAAACAGGACGGCGCGCGGGAGGAGAGCGAGCAAATTTCCACCCGAGAATCCACGTAGCGAATTGATGGCGGTAGTTATCGAGCCTGTTGCAAGTCCCGAGGGGGGAGGTCCACATCAGTATCACGATCGACAAAGTTACCATTATTATGGAGACTGGAGGACGACAGGGAATAATAATAGTTTGCAGGGACTAGGGAATTAGGAGGGGGAGGGGAGAAAGGGAGACGGCTCAATACCCCAGGATATACCAGAGAGAGAGAGAGGGAAAAAAAAAAAAAAAAAAAAAAAAAAAAAAAAAAAAAAAAAAAGAGAGACAGGCTGGAATAGACTGGGTCCAGGCACATGGGGAAATAATTAAAATAAAATAAAAAAAGAGACTATACCATGCAAGCGATGAAAGTCGATCGGATGGGGAAGAAACGAAGACTAAGAATAATCGGAGCGAGACAAATTGGAGGTCAGGAGAAATCCAACGAACGGATTGCGATCAACCACCAGAGATCCAATCAAGGAGAGAATGAATTAAATTCCTAGGGGAAGAAAAGACGAATGATGAAACAGATGAGATGAGAACGACAAGGACGGAGAGAGAGAGAAAGTAAGATGAGAAAGTGAGAAAGAGAGGAAGAGAGACGGAAATGAAACGGTGAGCGATGTTTCAGATAGACTCGGCGGAACGCTAATTATTCTATTATTATTATTATTATTATTATTATTACTATTATTATTACTATTATTATTAGAATGTTATTCTGTTTATACTATACTCTGTTTATTCTTTCTTTCCAACTCGATTAGATTATTCATGTTTATTCTGTTTAGTTATTAATTCTACTCTATTCTCTACTCTCTATTCTCTCTTCCCTATATTCTATAGATCGATGTAGATGATGAATCTAAACTGTATTCCTGTATTCCGCGTAGAAGAACCATCTGTCGTTTCCTCTATTTTTATCTGTTTGTTATTTAATTTATTTCTTATTTTCAGTTTTAGTTTTTATTAATTGTTATTTCTTATTTATTTTTATCTCTTAAATTCTATGTGCTCTATAGATGGATATCTAATTAAAAGTGTCACAACGACTGGTGTATCACACTGGTACGGTACGTCTCACTACGCTGGATCAGCTCCTGGTGCGTCCCCTGCTCCACACAGCGTCCCTCGTCAATCAAGAAGATCTGATCCGCGCGGTGGATGGTATTCAACCGATGCGCAATCGCCACGATCGTCGTGCGCCCTGCCAACGTCGCCAATGCCTCCTGGATCCGTTTCTCCGATTCCACGTCCAGCGCGCTGGTCGATTCGTCCAGCAGCAACAACCGCGGCTGCCGCACCAACGCCCGTGCAATCGACAGTCGCTGGCGTTGACCTCCCGAGAACTGCTTCCCGTCGTGGCTACACATCGTCTCGTACCCTTGCGGCAAGCCCATGATCACATCGTGGATGTTGGCCATCCGACACGCCGTCTCGATTTCCGTCTGCGTGGGCTCGTGTCCCGGACACGCGCCCAGCCCGATGTTGAACGCTACACTGCCCTCGAACAGCACATTTTCCTGCGGGACCAGCGCAATGTCGTCTCGGAACTCCGTCCCCAGCTGTTGTGTCACGTCCACCCCGTCGATGATCACCGATCCCGTTGTCGGTCGGTAGAACCGCTCAAGCATGGCGAACGTGGTCGATTTGCCCGACCCGCTGGGCCCGACCAGCGCGCAGAACTGCCCCGGTTTGATGTTGATGTCGAGTCCTCTCAGGATCGGCTGTTCGGGTCGATTCGGGTACGTGAAATGCACGCTGCGTAGCTGGGCCCCAATGGCACTCTTCGCCGTGCGTGCCCGTGTCGTACGCGCTCCGTCCGAGGCCTCCAGGTCCTGCGCCGCCGCCTTTTCCTCAAGCAGACTGTTAGAGGACTGCGTGCCGTGCAACGAGCTCGGCATCATCATCTCCTCCTCGGCAGAACGCGTGGTCAGCAGATCGACGATATTGGACGAGGCAACCTTGGCTTTGGAGATATCCGGGGCGAGTGCGAACATCTGCCCGCAGGACTGCGTGCTGAATAACAACGCGGGCAGGACAATGAAGAACTGCGTCTGCGAGTAGAGCCCCGACGCAATCTGCCGCGACCCCCACCAGTACGCGAGTGCATACACCAGGTTGCTGATACTGAATGCTAGCGCCAGCCAGACGTTCCCGTGAGCGATGGCCTTCATGGTACTGCGGTAGGGATGTTGCAGGGCTCGGCCAAAGACCTCGTAGGACTGCTTCTCCAAGGAAAAAGCAGAGACGGCTCGGATGTTGTCAACCGCCTCCACCGTGATCGCGGTGGCCTCCGCGAACGCCTTTTGATGTCGCTCGGCGAACTTGGCCTGGACACGGAGCTTCATCATACCTGCCACCAGGAGCACCGGGATGGTTGGGAACAAAACGATGGTAATCTTCCAGGCGATCGCGAAGGAGATCACCAGGCCGGCCACCAGGTTCACGGCCGTGGCCAGGAGGAGACCGATCGTGGAGCCAGTGATTCCACTGAGAGCCGACGCGTCGCCAGTAATGTGGGTGATGAGCGTTCCTGGGGTGCGATCCTCCATGCCATGCCACTGCATCGTCTGGCTCAACAGTGAGCGCAATGACAACACGCGGATGCGGTATAGGATTTTGTCGGCGGCCCAGCCAAATGCAGCACCACCCACCACGTTGGCGGACAACTCGACCAAGGCAAGGATGAAGAAGAGTAACCCATAGAGATTACCGCTATCGCTGATGGCTCCAGGCGACCGGCATGGACTCAAGCTTCCCACGGTATGGCCAAAGACGACTGCCTCCGCCGAGTAGCTGCCGCCGATAATGCATGACATCGCGAGGCCAAGCAGGATCAAGGGCATATTCGCCCGCATGAGAGAGAAAGTATACTTGGCCATGAACCATCCCGACCGTTTCTTCTGCTTCAGCTTTTTCTCCTTGTCTTCCTCTTTGCCAGCCTTAGACTCGGGAGGCGCCTCATTAACCACGGTATCTTCCGTCACGTCGGATGCGCTGATCCCGACCAGGCCTTCCTTCTCATCAGTGCGCCTGGTAGCCCCTGATATGGACTGGTTATCACCAGGAATATCGTGGATCGTATCCTCCGAAAGGGACAAATCCTCAGTACTCAGCTTCCCCAGGTTCTGGAGCCGTACCATATCGGCATAGGCGCCTCCTCGCGCGACCAATTCGGCATGAGGACCTTCTTCCATAACCCGACCTCCGTGGATGACCACAATCTTATGGGCGTCCTTGGCCGTTGCGAGTCTATGAGCGATGGACACCGTGGTCACATGTTCAGAAACCTTGGACAACGCCGCCTGGATCAGCTGTTCGCTGGTCGAATCCAAGGCGGCTGTCGCTTCGTCGAGGATGAGGATAGCAGGCTCTCGCACGAGGGCTCGAGCGAGCGCGATCCGTTGCTTCTGGCCACCACTGAGCTGGTTTCCCGCCGTTCCGACGTTGGTCGCCAGTCCATGGGGCAGAGCTTCAACGAAGTTCAACGCATTGGACGAAGCCGCCGCCTGTTTCACCAGCTCGACGATTTCCGCAACCGACGGATCGTAACGAGAGAGAGCGTCCTTCTCCGACACACCGTCCCGTATTTCTGCTGCCAGGTCTGGCAGACTGGTGTCCAGAATGAAAGGGGCCAGACGTTGGTGCTTTTCTGCGGCCGAAGACACCATCCCATACGCAATATTTTCCAGGATGGACCGGTCCAGTAGCGACGGTTCTTGCTGGACAAAACCAATGTTTCCACGTAGATACCGAACGTTGATATCACGAAAGTCCTTGCCACCGATTGTAACCTTACCCAGTTTAGGGTCGTAGAATCGTTCCAGGAGCGATACAACTGTCGACTTGCCACCGCCGGATGGCCCAACGATGGCCGTATGCTTCTTTGGTGGGACGACGAAGCTCGTTCCCTGCAGCACAGGGGCATCCGGGCGCGAAGGGTACGTGAAATGGACATCGTGGAACTCGATATCCTCCTCACCAAAAGCGGCCGACTTGTCTCCTTCGTCCGACGTTCCATCGATGGCAGATGGTCGGTTGATCACTGCCAGGAGTCTCTCGGAGGCGCCAGCGGCCGAGGCGAAAACATGGATAAAAGGCGCCACCTGACTCAGGATGAAAGAGGCATCGATAAGGACGAAGATCACCGTGTAGACCGCACCCACGGAGACACCGTTATTATCATTGGCAACGGTTCTGGAAATCATCTGAGCACCTTGCCAGAAGGCCAGGGCGTTGGCGGAGTAGGCCACGAAGTACAGGAAACCCAGCTGCGCCGCATGCGTACAGGCCTTCTTGAGGGCGTCTTTATGGGACTGAGACAGATACGTGGCGAATCGCGACTCCAGGCGATCGTTGGCGTTGAAGGCATGGACTAATGTCAGATGGGACAAACTGGACGAAGCAATCGAAGTGGCGGCGTTGACATTCTCCGAAATGCGTCCACCATACTTCTTAATGTAGTGACCACCAACCAGCGACATGAGCATGAAGCAAGGTACCACCGAAACCAACATACCAGCAATCTGGGGGACTTTGATGAAGGCCACAATGTAGGATGCCACGAAATAAGAGATGGTGGTGATGACGAGTCCCACCTTTTCCGACGTTCCTGACTGCACCACCTCGATGTCGCTGACCAGACGAGAGATGATATCCCCAGAAGGAAGAGATTCGATGAAGTTCGCATCTTGTTTGATGATACTCTCGAAATACCGTCTGCGGTACCGACGAGCCAGCCGTTCACTCACGGTGCACCAGCACGACGTGTGGATATAAATAAAGCAAAAGTTCGCAATCGTAATGTAGACGACATACAGCACCTTGGTGCGCACATTGGATGACAACTGGCTCGCTGCGCTGTCCGAGCTGGAGCAGGTGGTCGTGTTCAGATCGTTGATGAGGTCGCCAAAGACAATTCCGAGCAATGGGAAAGGTACACCCCCAGCGATTGCGAAGATCACACCCGCAATTATGAGAAAGACATCGGTCATGGTGTAGTCCAGGGAAAAAAGCATTCGAATATAGGAGAAACACTTGCCGACATCCGCCTTTGTCGGTATGAATCCCTTCAGTTGTTTCTTCTTTAAACAACCTCCTTGTCAGTCAATGCTAGCGTCGACGAGCGCGCGCATCTTCCTGGGGTAAAACGTACCACACTTGAATCTTGGCCATTGCCAGTATCATTGGGGCCATTCTGCCCATTGTCGGACGGTGTTTCCTTGGACATGGCGGGTGCAGACATGTTATCCTGCGGATGGTTTTGGATGTTTTCATGCGACAACCCAAAAGGGGCCAAAAAAAAGGTGCTAAAAGTCTATATCCCAAAGGTACATATATAGATCAAGAGATCAATGCAATATACAAAAAATAAACCAATAAGACTTATTCGGCCCGGGTTACCAGCGAACGGACACCGGCCCCTTTCCGACCTCGGCCTAGAAAGCAGCCCCTCGTCAATCACGTTGCGTTACTGGAGATGTTGAGGAATCGTCGCAACATCCCAATTATAGTTGGTCGTCAATGGCAACAACTGGCAACTGGGAATGATCGAGTGAAGTTGTTCACTCAGCAAATAACCTCAAGAAGCATGCCTCGTCGAGGAAAGACGATGGTCAAGTATGGCGGCTGTGAAAGTCTAACGCGAAGAAATTGGGAGCATGAGCCAGCCAACCGATAAGGGATGATCAGGAAACCAAAAAGGAAACGAAAGAAAGGAAAGAGAGCCAGGAGAAGAGAGGAGGGGGAGAGACACAGTGTTTGAAAAAAAGGGGAAAAAAAAAAGGAACCCCCGTAACTCGGACATTTATCGAGGCATGCACCTCTCTCTCCACGCTAACGAAGAGGGGAGAGAGAGTGAGAGGGGGGGGAACGTGCTTCTCCCATCAGATCGGCTTTGGTTGCGGGCCTAGTGAAGATAGGTAATGACAAGAGAAAGAAAGGTCCCGCACTGGCACTACTACATAGTAGTAGACGAGGAAGCAAGCCGAAGGAAGAAAAGAGGTATGATTTTCGCTTGGCAGGAGGCAGCTGAAGGATTAGTGGCCTTGTAAGTCCCTCTCGGTGGGCTAGATGGAGAATGGCAGTCTCTTCTCAGTCCAGTCCACTCTTTCTGCACGACATGGGCAATGATATCATTGGGTGCATCAACCGATATCCCCACTGTTCAACCCATCGCTACCGGAAGCGCGGAACTGAGGTATTTTTTTTAATTTTTTTTCTGATTCCGATATTTTAGTAGTACTCTAGGGTGTAGTCTTTTTCTAATTCTGATATTATATAATAAAATAAGAAGAATCTTAAATATTATATTAGTATATAGGATAAAACAATAGATTCATCCTTCAAACAGGACAAGGCAAAAAAAAAAAAAAAAAAACGCCGATCTGTCTCGGCATAGATGTGTGCGGTCGGAAATTTCCATCTGATAAGTAACTCGCGGGCCAACCACAGCCTCCCATCCCTGATGGCTTTTTTCCGGCTTTTCCGTCCTGGTCTGTCAGGTAGACAACATCCCAAATGGATCTTCCGCGACGCCGACCTTAGCTGCCACCGACTAGCGCAGGGCAATTACTGTGTAATTGCTAGCTATCTCCCGCCGATGAGGATGTCACGGAGAATCCGAGTGGGTTACGAGGAGAACCCTGATTCAACGGACTGGAAATTGAAAAGGAAAATACCCGAAACGTTTATCTAATCTGATCAACTGATAAGTGACATAGCCGTACCCGAAGCTCCAACGGAAGAGTGGAGTGGGGATAGGACGGAAAAAAAGGGATGGAACGAAATGAATCGTTCGAGAATACTTGGAGTGGCTCTCTTGCCTTCTAGCTCTTCCGTGTAGCGTGATGTCTCAATGCTAGACTTCTGGTGCAGTATGTACAATAGACTATGTAGTCGGTTGAAAAGGGGCGTGGATCTAATCTGATCAGCATCTAATCAGATTCGCGAGTCGAACGCCATTGGACGCCGCCAATGGTCTTGCAGTCTACAACTGGAAGAACAGAGTGAGAGACCCATAGTAATGCGTAAACCCATGAATGTTGAGGGTCTGGGCCATTCTCGGTGGGGAAAAGGAACTTGGAGGCCACTTACGTGTTCGCCACATGATTAAACAGGAGTGAAATTCAATCCATCGGCATCCTCTTGTATCAGCCCAAACACGCCAAGTGTACGAGTTCAGTCAAGGCGGGATACGCAGTATGTCTTCTTCTCCATCTTTGAGTCGTCTTGACGATGGGTTCAATGTGAGTAAATCTGCGTTCCATATCGGTGTCATCGATTCCCAAATACTACTCCCATCAGCATGCAAATTAGACCATGCCCTCGGGCAATGTCCGGATTACTCGGATGGGACGCGTTAAGTAGAACTAGGAGGTGAGGATGAACAGTTTGTTTTCTGTTTCCAACCCGGCTGGTGGATGACGAACTAGAAAGACTGGTATCCACCCATAGACTGGTAGGTCCCAGTTTTCTATCCTTCCTTAAAGACTGTTGACGACGGAAGTGACTGGGCCACTGAGATCGGAACTTGGTCCGTACAGACAATATATTTATTTAGTACATCCCTAGCAAGCCCAAAAGTTGCTACTCATTGTCCTCCCTCCTCATCTCGTATTGAAAGGCATCATATTCGAATCCAGTGTGCACATGCCCTAAATTCTACTTATCCTACCCACTTTCCACTGCAGAATAATAGCAGCTTTCACAGTCCCATTTCCGCCGGCAAGATAGTGAGTATCCATGTCATTGTCACTCGCATTCCCATTTTTCAGTTCTTCTATCTTGGTGAAGATTTTAGTGGCCTTCCTGTCCACTAGATGTTTATAACAGTAGTTATCGATTCGCTTGGGGTCTGGCCTCCTCCAGAGGCACTTTGCATTGGTCCTTTCGTCGTGTCGCATCGTATAAATCCGGTCTTAACACACCCGCAGGGGTATTCGGCTCTTTTGAAGTAGCACCTTCAAAAAATAAAATGAGGCTGCGTTAGCGTGCGGCCTGGTTGGTGACTTACCACTTTTCCTTTGTAATTCATATCCCTTCGGAGAGTTATTCTGGGGGGTCATTTGTCGCGTACTCACCTGGTGGATTGCCTGAAAAAGGTAATTCTGGATCCGTGAGGTGACATGAGGATATGACAGTCCAAAGGGCTGGCCATTCGAACAAAGGAAAAATAAAAAAAGATTATAAATTAAATAAATGGTAATAATAAACATCAACAGGGTTAATTGCTCTTGGCTCTATTACATGCTGAAGCTCTCGTTCTGTGCGCCTGCGCCGCCTGCACTTGATACAACAGAGTACACCACTGATAACAATTACTAACCCAATAATAGGTATGCCAATTACCATAAAGCCAAATAAGAGGGGCCATTCTTTATTAGGGAGTTCACCACAGAAGGATCCACCACGCTTCGATTTCGACCCGGGCTTCCACTCGTCATAAATTACAAACGATGTGAGTTTTGGAGATGGAGACTTAGGGCTCGTGTCTGAGTCTGCCCACGAGATATGCCAAGGGTGATGTACCAGGATCCCCTTGGTAAATATTCCAGTTGCGTACATGCCTGCCAACGACGCGCTGGTAGTGGTCGTTTTTATATGGGTTACCAACGGGCAGTAATAGTAGACTTGCCAGTTTTAATCGAGCAGGTGCAAGCATGCTCTTCACCAAGTAGAGAAAAGTCGCGTTCCCATCTGTATTCTAATTTAAAACCACTATAAAGCCACAATTAGTATGCAAAATAATAGACAGAAGTTTGGGGGAAATAAATAATAAAACATACTTCGCGCAGCACAACGCAGTGGAATAGTCACTGGTTGATAGCGTACAGCTGTACCTATCTGACGCTATATTATAGTACGTCCATCTACTAGGGCAAGCAGCTGGGCTAAATGAGTAGTTACTGCCACCACTATCCTGTCCAAGCGAAAGACAGGACGTAAATCCCGGGGCTATTGGATTCGATACCAGCACGGTGGCCGTCAGTGTTTGTTTATCTGTAGCACGAGTGGAGGTATAAAAAGAGGCTAGGTACATAGTGGAGACACATACACTTTGTTGGACAAATGGTGTAGTAAGCGCTGTGGATGTTGTATTCCGTGCCATAAATGTTGTTATAGTTAGAAAAGCCATATTCACCACTGACGCTCGCTTATTAGATTAGTATAATACTAAACTTTTTGACATTATGATATTGCGGTGCTCAGTCTGGTATATTGCGTGAGTGGGTAACTATGAAAGGACCAAAAGCAACATTCTGATACAAAAGAAATTCTCTCAGGGGCCCAAAAAGCTGATGAGAGGGCTTAAAGGACCAAAGAAATGTATCATTCCCCCTGTATTAATTCACAAGGGCCATCTGAGAGGCGACGCGTTTGCCAAGGGATTATTAGTGCTAAGGCATGTCTTACTTCCACGGTTATAGCTGATACACAGACTCAGGATTTTATACCTATTTATTTATATGGAATGGCGCTGGCACAGTTACATTAACTTAATCAGGTTGCCTTAGATTAAACTTAATGGCGATCGAAATCAGCTTGTGGAGTCTTCACATGGCTAGATTGATATAACTATGGGTGCATCTACGTAGACTGATGGGAATCTATAAGCTTCACTCCGACTGTGTATGCAGAGATAGTGAAAGTCTACAAGAAATGCTTGAGGTAATCATCAATCCTTATATTCACACTCAGTACTTTTTTGCCGGTCTATCCACAGGTCATATCTAGTTAAGTCTTTCAGGGCTTCGTTTCGTACAGTTCTTTCCCTTTAACCACCGTCTTCGGTGAATCATGCAGGGGATGGACGCAGAAAGTGAACAGGACTTGTCAATCTTCATGCGCCAAAATATTAACGGGAAACCCAGGTGTATTCGGTTCTACATCGCGTCACCATATCATCATGGTCGCAAAATGTGGAAGCAACGAAAGAAAAAGAAAAAGAAAAAGAAAAAAGTGGAGGGAAGATGGGGGGGGGATTAACAAACAACGAAAGGGAGGGTAATGTAAAATTGAAAATATTCATGTCCATTGTCATCCAGCTTCATATGTGAGAGCTGCGCTTCACATTATAGATAATGAAAGCTTGCGATCACGGAGTGGCTTTCTCTCCTTTACTGCTTCTCTTCGGACTCCCCTGAGGCGGCGTCAGGGGCATCTTTCATATCCGTGTCGGCCTTCTCATCCTCGGACTTCTTCGCGGCCTCTTCGGCCTTCTTGGCCTCTTCCTCAGCCTTGCGCTGGGCCTCTTGCTCTGCGCGCTTCTTGGCGGCCGCTTCTTCCTGGGCCTTCAGAGCGGCCTCGCGTTCGGCATCCAACTTCTCGCGGTGGCGCTGGATGATGGGACCCGCAATGAAGCGGATTTCGTCCAGCTTGGACACGTACACGGACTTGGTCGTGTCCTCACCTTCCTCGTACAGCCAATCCTGCAGATGATTCGATCAGCACGGTGGTCCCATTTCCCTAAAATATAAAAGGACTATCTTACCTCCATATCAGTAAGCTTGGCCCGCAGCTTGTCCTTCTCCTCCTCACTGGCGAATTCGGCGTACACTCCGTCGATCTTGTCCCGCAGCTCGTAGATGGTGGACTCAAGCTCGTTTTTCTTCTCGTCGGTCTCCGCAACCAACTTGTCTTCCATGTACATGGTGTTTTCGCGTTCAATCCAAGCCTCCTTGACGGACTGATCGGCGGAAGAGGTGCCAGAGGAGATAGGCAGGTCGCCCTTGCGAACCTGCTTCTTAACCTTGCGGGTCTTCTTGGGTTGCTCGTCGCCATTGGCTGCATCGGTGTCCATAGCCTAGTTCCCAAATGTCAGGGACAGAGATCTTTGGGTTGGCGGGGAGGGGTCACTTACATCACCATCCTTCTCGGGGACGGGCTCCTCAACTTCCATATCCTCGACATAGTACCCGGACTCGAGGTTCAGGATACCGTGCAGGTTTAGTCTAGCCTTGAGCTTGCAGATCATGAAATCATCATTGGGATCAGCCTTGACGCCCTTGACGGAGAATCGGCCAACCCAGGGGTTGACCTTGCCCGGGAGCAACTCGGGCTTCGCGTAGCGTGCTTCGAGGTCGAAGGGCTGCTTGCGGTAGAAGGTGAGAATCTTGGTCGACGGCATGACATTGCCCCTGTTGAAAACAGTCAAGCTGGTGTCCTCATCTGGGATGTCGGCCGACTGTTCCCAGGTGAACTCAATGGGGTAGTTCACAATGTCGTGCACGGAGAAGTCGCGCACCCGGAAAACAGGGGAAAGAATGGCGCAGCTGAAAGCGCAGCCACGGGCGATAGCCTCATCTTGGTTGAGAGTGAAAGAAAGGCTCTTGCCAAAGAATTTGGAGATAGCTTCCTTAATGGCTGGGACGCGAGTGCAGCCACCAACCATCTCGACAAAGTCGATATCTTCGGGCTTGAGCTTGGCTTCGGCGAGAGCCTCTTCGATGGGTGCGGTGACGCGTTCCAGGAGCGGCTGGACCATAGCCTCCAATTCTTCACGCTTGACAATGGCACGGACGTCCACATCCTCCATCAGCGATTCAATGCTGATCGGAGCGACCGGGTTAGCTGAGAGCACTTTCTTCATCTTCTCAGCGCTGGCAAGAGTACGGGCCCAGGCCTTGGGGTTAGTGCGGACGTCGATCTTGTACTTCTCCTTGAACTCGTCGGCGAAGTGCTCCGTCAGGGCCTTGTCGAAGTCACGTCCACCGAAGTGGCGATCGCAGGCGGTGGCCTTGACGTTGAGCTCACCCTTCCGGAACTCAACAATCGAGGCGGTGTAGTCGCTGTGTCCGATGTCGACAAACATGACTCTCCGGGGCTTCTCCTCGGGGCCCGGGAGATCAAGCTTGGTTATACCATACCCAAGGGCGGTGGCGGTGGTGTCGTTGACCAGACGCAACACCTTCAGGCCGGCAATCTCACCGGCGTCGAGCATAGCCCGGCGCTGAACATCTGTGAACCAGGCGGGAACGCTAATGGTGACATCTGAGACGGGGAGCTTCAGCTCCTTGGCGGTGATATCCCTGATCTTGGTCAGGTACATGGCCACCAACTGAATGGCGGTGAACTTTTCCTTCTTTCCAAGGTAGTTGACTTCGACACCAGCCTGGCCATTGACGTCACAGATGGCAGCGGTGCTGTAGTCCTTCTCAAGCTGAACATCGGGGTCGCTGAATGAGCGGCCAATCAACCGCTTAAGGTTGCCGACCGTGTTCTTCAGGTTGGAAGTCTCTTGCGTCTTTGCGGCTTCACCAAGGGCTCGGCTTCGAGAATTGAATCCGACCAGGGAACTATCCGGAAGACCAAGTTAGTTCGTGATAACAGAAATAGGGGGGTTCATGGGGGAAAATATCACATACGGAGTAGATCTGTTGGAAACTTCATTGGTGATCTAATTGCAATAAAAGAGGTCAGCATAAGCAGTCATACAAGGAGGTAAGGATGGTTTTTCGAAAATAAAGAAAAAAGAAGCCAACACAAAACGGGGGGGTGAAGGGGCGTATACGCACAATATCGATACCCTTATTGCGGGCAACACCGATTTTGGTGCTCTGGGCACCGAAATCGATTCCGACAACACTCATTGTCTATAGGAAAATCTATTGTAGGCGGGTAAAAGGTGGAAGGAGGAAGACACGTGGTGAGCAGAAAGGGGAGAGAAAGTGGTTATCCAGAAAAGATAAAAAAAAAAAAAAGAGATCGGGCAGGTCCTGAGTAAGAAAAGAGCGAGCGGTCGTGGAGGGGAGAATTTGCAAACTGGAACGCCACTATAGGGCAGTGTTCCAACAGGTGTGGCTAGGGCCCACGTTATTGATCAGTCACACTGGAAATCACGCAGAATCAAGGTTGATTCACGCCAGACAGACTGTACAGATTTCCAAATAGATAGATAGATAGATAGATATCAGCACGAATGGAATACAGCAGCAGCCTTACAACAAAGTAGCAGAAACATGCTGGACAAGCACGGCATAAATGGTACAGCTAACAGCATCGCCTGGAACCTTCTGGCTTCTACTGGATTCTTCCCACCACTCACCGCCTGTCGTATCCCCCAGCAGAACCCTCCTTACCGCCTTAGCGGGGTTGTGCGGCGCTTATCGATACTCGCAGAGTTTTATATCGCATTATGTCATCGGGATATCCATTGGATGCCTAACCCTGAATGCCCAGCCCTGTTACCTAATGCTTCCCCAGTGCAAATCCCGCCGGGGGTCAATAGTATGGTCGGGCATGGCCTCTTCCATGATTCCATTATTAACATACAACTCTCTTAACATAGTCAGCTGATTTCCTACTCCTCAATACATCAATGTTAAAGATAGCGGCTGCCAAAGGACAACCGCTATGAGAGATAACACAAAGTGCATTCTCCTGGAACTCGGAAGTAAAGTGCTACAGTTTACCTGGCTCATCATGTAGTTTATAGCTCCCGTTGGATCAATGTGGTAGGTTGCTAGTTTACGTGTCGACCGTTAAATCCTTCCGGGTTCCCCCCCCAAACCCCCCTGTCTGTCGTTTCAAACCATACGCTCAGGATCCCTTGGCATCTTGGTCCGAATTGGTAGCCGTCTCAGACGCCGCGGCCGAGGTCGCTGCAATTCCTCGGCCTCGACATGAGGTTGAAGTGTACGTCCAGAAGTCTCCGTCCGGCTCGGTGACACAGGGCCAACGCTATGCACCTCGTTAACCCCAATCCTCGTGGCATCCGGTAGCTGCGACCCTTGGTAGGGATCCGAGTGTGTCTCAGATACTTCGCAGTGCTCATTAGTTTGCAAGCATGTTGTATTATGGTGGCACATATTTGTACTTTGAAGAGACACGGAGGATTCTCCCGTATGGGATCTCCATGGGTGCTTTGTTGGACTTTCTTCCCCATCCAGCCCCCCCACGGCGAGTGGTAGACATACAGAGTTTGAATCAGAATCCGACGTAAACACTGATTCAGATGAACAATGCGGATGCAGAGTGATCCGTGGGACTCCCGGTAGAGGTGTTAGGCTTATGGCCAAAGGGATCCCGAATTCGTCAACAGCGGACCCATGGTGACTATCGGGGTCGGGTGAAGCAGAGAAGCGCCCTCCGATCCTCTGTGAGGGATGAACCGGCACTGTTCTTTTGGAGGAATTCGATCGAAACGTATGTACCATGACGTTGAATTCATCACCTTGGGCTCTAGCCTGTGCAACGGCTTCCTCCGGTGTAGTGTGTTCGTCGGCTTTTGCTGCGTCGGCCCTAGGGCCTCCCCATGTACGCTGCCCCGCGGTGAAAATGCCATATACCATGTAGAGCCAGTTGAAGAAAGGAATCAGGATAAACATCAGCGGATATAGCCAGGCTTTCAGTCTCCTGAGCTTGATACCGAGGTAGAACATCAGCAAGTAGTTGAGCCCTAGTGATATCGCAATGAACGTGGTCGGTATATTCTTGATCCTACCTGATGTCGCTATAAGCGCTGTGACCTGGATGAGAAAGAGCAGAGAGGTGGTGCGCATTGTATTGTGCATAAAACGAACGATGCACAGAAGTGGATAGCGCTTCCACAGCCTGAAATCTGTCAGCAGGCATGCCTCATTGGTAATAAAGCCAAGGAACCATCGTCGTCGTTGTTTCAAGAGACCGCGAAATGTCTGAACTGCTTCTGTTTTGCAAAATGCGCCTGTACACAGTTGAATCTGGTAGCGCCCTCTCGCCCCGATCATGAATAGGTGTGTCAGCCAGCGATCCTCGCCCAAATGGCACTTCGCGTAATCGAAGATATCCTCGCATCGCTCAGCTTTATCTGCAAAGTAGTACTTGGCCATCTTGCGAAAAGCGGAGAATCGAAGCATTGTCAATGCGCCAGGAAGGCATGTTACAGCACCGCAACCCGACTCGACGGTCCGCTCGAAAAGCTGCCCATGAATATATTCTATGTCTTGCAGTACAGTCAGGAGGGTATTTTTCTCCGTGGTTGACGTGATGATGCCGGTCATTGCCAGCATGTTACGCTTGCATCCTGGCTTCAGCTCCATGTCGTACATAAAGTTCTGCAAACAGAGCTGGTGTAGAACACAGTCGGAGTCTATGAACAATATAAACAGGTCATCATGGCACTTGTTGTACTCAAAGTACACTTTGTCTACCAGTTTGAATGTTTGCTTCTGGCAATATCGCTTACCACCGTGCTTGAAGCGAGATACTGTAACAGTAGCTCCGTTGTATATCACGTCTATGCTTTGTGGGTAAGTTTCCACTGAAGTTGAAATGCCAATGTGGCGGAGGACTTGGAGGTACGATTCGTCTATAGAACCCCCATCGTATGAAACAAATAGGTGGATGCAGCATTTCGGGTAGTCACTTGCGATCACAGAGTCAATGGCCTTGATCAAGACTGCAGGACTTTCTTTATATATTGGCATAATGATGACAATTTTTGGCGCAGTGTTGTCCTCAAGGATCTGCTTTATTCTCTTCGATCGTCCGATTGAGCTTGTGAATAGCTGGTAGACACAAAAAAGCCATGGCACAACAAGCAGCACAGAGAAGGTCCAAAATGCAAGCCACTGAAGGAATTTAACAAACCGAGGAGGGTAATGTCGCGTGATTTGATTCGGTAAGGGAACAGTTACCACCATGACGGGAAGGAATATGCCTCTGGAGGTTATGAGATTAGTACTATATTGTTCGGCTCCTTTCCCGTTTTGACTTTACTCACCTCAGTAGTGTGAGAAGGATCATCATAAGCCCTGCAAGAAGTCGGCTACTCCAGCGGTCCGCTTTTCGATAAACCTTTGTAAGGCAATATAGGAATGCAACAAGTAGAAGCAGCAACTCAAACGCAGCTGCTAACATCACAGGTCCAACTGCCGCGACATATATTATCTGTGACACTCGTTAGGATTTGGCTTTCGTATGTGATTAAGTCTCACTCACATCCGGAGTAGACCATGGCTCTCCGTCACTCGGTGCCATCCTGGAATGCACCTGAGAGCCCGGGTATTGTATAGGAATTCCTGAAGAGATGTCTAATTGTAACAGATAAAATCATATAGAAGCCGTCCAAAAGCCGGCGTATGACGCCTACCAGCCAATATAAGCCCACCCTGCAATGGACAGCCGAGGAATATTTAAAAGGCAGGATCTTTGTGTCCAATTTGCTACCCAGGTGTACTCATTTTCGAGGTATGACAATCACTCAAGACTTTTCAGCACTAAAGAATATTAACCGCTAGTTCAACTTGCTCGGGGTTGAAGGCTGGCAACAACATAGCCAGGCATACCTGAAAAGGCTGATTGGGCATAGAACTTCTTCAACCAGAGAGTAGAAATCCTGGTATTGATTTAATTTCCCGCAGTATGATATGAAGCTAGAGATCGATGCAATCTAAATATGGAGTCTAACCGACAGAAGATGTTGTTCGATGGTAGTAAGGTAGTGGTCGTTCCGCCTGTTGGGAGAAGTTCATATTGTGCCAAAAGAGGTAGGCACCCTGCGTTGCGCGGCAGCATGTTTACAGTGATGATAGCTTCCTCGTCGCTGCCATAAAAATTCATCCAGGCTTGCGGATCATACAAACTAAGATGAAATTAGATATCATCTAGCTTGTTGCCCAACTCCACAAAGCCTCTGAATGATTTTTATTAATACCAGAAATCATTTCATGACATGATGAAAGTCCCAAAGTTTGGAGCACGGAATCGGTTGGTTAGGCTGAGGGTGTAGTTGACATAATCCACCAAACCATCTGCATTGTATCAGTATACACAACATCCTGCTGTTATTTCATCAGGGTAGTAGCCTTGAGTATCAGCTTAGTTGGTTTGATGGGCGAATATGTCCAAATGTGTATCGGGATTCTGTCTCATCATCTGGAGTGGACTGAAGAAAACCGATCATCTCTTAGCAATTGCGGCCTGTGATACCTGGCACATAAAGAAAGAACGATGAGACATGCGAATCTGTAAAAATATTTGAGGGCTAATTTATGATTAACCGTCCAGTCTAGGCAGAGAAAAACAGTTTGGCTCGAAAAGTTGTTCTTAGACCTCTTTCCTGGGGGCATGATTTCAGCAACTTTCCTTTGCGACTTCGATCCCAAATTATAGGGATGGACGAGCTAAATAGTAGCCATACAAGATGTGGGAATGCATGTAGAGAGATAAAAAAGGGGTTTGGATACCGAATTAACTGTGAACGTTTTGAGTTATGGAGCGCCGTGAGGTCGTCGAATTTTCTAATCGAGTGACATAAGAGCTGATTACCAACCACATTCCACTATTCCCCAAAGATAGAGCCTCTGGTCCCTTAATCCCGTGACAAATGAGCAGTTTTAACATACCTGGATCTGAGTGATAGGTACAGTGTACTACTGAACTCCATAACATAATAGGTCAGCTTCAATGTCCACAATCTTACAAAAAACAGTCCTGTTGTCTGCATATCCTTCTTCACGTCTCAACGAGTTGGCAGGACATTTTAATTATTTCTTAAACTCGACTCCCACTCATTCTTTGACTGCGTTCTGTACAGGAGTATAGAAGTGGATCCCAGAGCGCCTAACCCAACTCGGTTGCATTACGTAATTAGCCAAATTTGCCGCTGAGCTGCCTCAGGCGCTGATGAAGCTCCGCATCCCTCAGAAAATTTCCCACGCCGCGCATTATTATTGTTTCTAGGATCTTTTTCTTTTCCTTTTGCTTCAGAGAAAAGAACGACATTTGCTTGCAAGTGTCACTGCCTCGCCAGCTCTTCTTGTTCCTTACTTAGGTATAAAAGCCCCTTGTTTCCCTACAGTCTCTCCATCCTTCGTACTGTTAGCTCAACGGACATTGGCAATGTCTACCGCACAGAGATTCTGCACTGCATATCTATTTGTTGCATGCGAATTTGCTCTTTTATTTTCGGCCCTTATACTGTGGAGTCGTTTTTAATGTATGGATAAAGGTGAATCCCTGCTAATTATTTGGGAAGTTAGGGTTTTGTGCCTGTTTTTTTTTTTCCCTCCCCCTCGCAAAAATGTCGGACGAACAGAAGACCGCCAATGCGAACGCCGAGGCTGCGCAGGACGTTCAGAACGTGTTGGCAGAGCTGAAGGGCGAAAGCGAAGCCCCTATCAATGGCACAGAGAAGAAGGATGATACCCCTCCAGAGGATGCCGAAGAGGCTCGGATTGTCGCTGAGGCAGCAAAACTGGGAGAGAAGTCGGAGCAGGCTGAGGAGCAAAAAGGGAAGACACAGGAGCGCGAGACCCACGACAAGCACCGGGGCCGCGGCGATCGATTTAGCCGCCGGAACAATGCCAAGTTCGATCCCAGCTCCCAGCAGGAGACAGATGATCCCGTTGAGATTCGCAAGCAGGTGGAGTTTTACTTCTCCGACTCTAACCTGCCAATGGACAAGTTCCTGCTGTCCAAGGTCGGTGGAAGCAGCAACCGGGCTGTGCCTCTCGAGCTCTTGCATTCGTTCAAGCGCATGCGTCGCTTCCAGCCGTTCAGTGCCATCGTCGAGGCTCTCAAGTCGTCCGAGACTCTGGATTTGACCGACAATGATACCGCGGTGCGCCGTAAGACCCCTCTTCCGGAGTCGGTGTCTGACTCGCACGATCCCAGCGTTGCCAAGGTGTTCGAGGACAAGGCCATGACCCGCAGCATCTACGCCAAAGGTTTCGGTGAGGAAGAACCCTCGACCCAGCTGGATATCGAGGCTTTCTTTGCTCCCTATGGACCGACGAACGCCATCCGCCTTCGTCGCACGCACGATAAGACCTTCAAGGGAAGTGTCTTCGTTGAATTCGCATCAGAAGACAAGCAGAAGGAGTTCCTTTCTCTCGACCCTAAGCCCCAGTGGAAGGGCCAGGACCTGTTGATCAAGAGCAAGAAGGAGTATTGCGAAGAGAAGGTTCGTGATATCGAAGCCGGCCGCATCAAGCCCAGCAACTTCCGCGGACGTGGACGTGGTGGTTTCCGAGGACGTGGACGAGGACGAGGCCGTGGCGGAGATGACAAGCGTGACTGGAGGGAGCGTCGGACTGAGGATCAGAAGAGGGGCTTCGAGAATGGCAAGGGCGAGAACGAGCGCAAGGAGATCCAAAAGGACTCTCGGTAAGTAACAGCCGACTAATCTATCCTCTGCAATTGACTCTACAGGCACAATGCTAACCCCAATCTAGCGGTGTCCCCGTGGTGCAGAGCACAACCGAGTCTAGCCAGAAGCGTGTCCGTGAGGAAGACTCTGCTGCCAATGGCGACCACCCGGCCAAGAAGGTTGACGCGAAGGAGTAATGATATCCAGTGTTTCTCTTATTCATTTTGCTGTTATCTATTTCCTCTTTGTTTTATTTGGAAGGAACACTTCATATTTGATGAGATGGATGTAAAGCATATCGCATTTTGGCTCAATTCACCGTGGTATGAAAGAAAAAAAGGATTTTGACGTGGGACCCTAATGGCGTTTTATGTGTCATTTTGGAGGATTTTACTCCAGTCTCTTTATTTCTTTAATAGACCAAAAGTCAATGATAGATGGTATCAACCCTCATCTCTGTTCCAATCTCAGAACTCCAAATCATACGCCAGCGTATCCTCACACAATTCCTCCCTCACCTTCTGAACCCTATCATATTATATTATCAACACCGATATTCCGTCAAAGACGCCTCGTAGAGGAGCTACAAATGGAAGGCTCCCAAAAAAAGTGAGACAGAAGGAGAGGTGGGGGAACATACTCCAAATGCGCCGGATGAACCGCATACTCCTCCACATGCTTGGGCGACTCCAGAACGGCGACAAGTCCCATATCAAAACCCTTGGCTCGAGGGACACAGATCGGCAACGGTGCATTTGTCTTCAGCGACAAGAGGCCTGGGATTTTTCCGACCATTCCGCGGGAGGCTGTGTACCAGGTTTCAAGTTGGGCGGGGGTGACGCCTTGTTTGAGACGGAAGAGCACTACACATGATCAATATAGAATGAGGGAGATAGATACTTTAAAAAAGAGACTAACCGATGTGGTAGACGGTCATTGTTAGCAATCTGTTTGTGTTCCTTGAATTGCTAGTGATGGTATTTGAACAGAGGGAGAAAGGGAAATGCTGTGGAGGAATGTTGCGGAGGGGAATCGGAGTCGCTCCGTAGTTCGGCCTTCTGGTCGGGGACTGCCACTCTTTGGGCCATTTTGTGGATTAGGACTATTTCAACAGTCAAGGTCTTGCTACGTGGGAATTATGTTTGTTATCAATGCATCAGAAGCACCTAATCCTTGTCTTTTGGGCCACGTATTGAATGATTACAGTTCGGCCCAAAATGGGATATTTGCTAAGTCTGAATAGAACTGTTCCGATGTCAAACCAATGGATATCATACCTGACGATATCTCTGTGACTGATGGTACGATTCCGAAGATTTATTTTTTCTTCTTAGTCTTGTCCGCCACTTCAATCCATTGTGTCTTCACACCCCGTCGCGCCAGCGCCGTCTCCAATGCGCGCCGCTGGTCACCCTGAACAAGAACTTCCATGATCCCCTTAGCTGCACCGGTAGCTTGAGCTACACTGGTGCTGCTGGCACACTTCTTCTGCAGTTCCTCCGCCAGCAAGCTGGGGATAATGCCAAAGACCTCCAGATTGGACACCTTGGTGATAGTCTTCGAACCCGTTCGACGCTCAATAGTTACATTGACCTTGGGGGCTGCCCCAGGCCTGGGCTTCACGTCCAACAGCGTCTGACCGGTGCGGAGGATAACGTAATGTCCAGTCATGAGGGAGTGGTCTTCTAGAACCCGTTTCAAGAGACCATCGCGTGTTGTTTTTCCTCGAGCAACGGTGCTTTTGTCGTCGGCAGCAGACGATGTGAAGATGGCGTTGGCGAGGAATGGATTGAGATTAATGATCCGGCGGTTCTCCTTGCTGATAATCGGAGGATCTTGAGACTGAAGATATTGGTCCAGGTGGTTGGAGACGTCAGTATGCTTATAGAAGTTATTTGGGTCGCTGCTGGACAAAGGTGGGAAGATAGTTGGTACGAGCTTTGGTGTTGGCCGGTAGAGCGTCTGGACAGTAAGAACTTGGCCAACAGAAGGGTCACCTTCACTAGCTGCAGGCTTCTTGCTTCCAGACTTTCCAGTGCCTTCAACAGCATTCTTGTTGGGTAGCTTATAAGGAACGAACTGTTCAACTCGGCGATCGTCAAAATCCACATCTAAGATAACCGTTTCCTGACCATTGCGATCTTTCGATTTGACTAGGCGCTGTTTGTCCAAGTACTTGATGAACTTTTTGACGTTCTTCCAGCTCGTCTTTTTGATCTGGTAGAATTGCGCCTGTTGCGTAGTATATATAGGCAGGTATGGCGTGATCATATTCGAGACTAGAGCAGAAGGTTGCACGGGTAGGGATAGTCCATGGTTTGGGGAAGAGGGATTATCTTGCTTAAGCTTGTATAAGGAATAGAGAAATGCTTTTTCAAACGCCTCGTCGATTTCTGCAGGTAGTTAATAGCCGTACAGCACGGACTCATACGGAGAGAAATATGCTTACCTTTCATCGAAGGTTCCTTTTCAGCTAGAGTTTCTTCCTCTACTTCTTCAGGCTGATTCTCCCGGACCTCACCTACGGGCTCTTCTTGCCCTTCTGTTTGAGAAGTCTCCTTTTCAGCTAATGCTAGTTCATCAACGCCTTCTGCGATGTCCCCCACCTGTTCGCCCCTATCTGAAGCGTCCTCATCCCAGCCCTCAAGGTACTCTGGGGCTGGCTGTCCCGGCCGGGACGACGAACTCCATGCCCAGAGCTCATCGCCCTCCCAGTGCAAGCCCCGAACGGCATGTCCTTTTGTGCCCTGGACTTCGCCAAGAGCAGAAATATCAATCTCGCAGATTCCAAGAAATAATGGCACGGTATGTCGATCCAAACCAGCGACAGCCACCACTGCTCCCTTAACTGCGCGCTGCGGGAAGGGCGGCTCGTTCGCAAGACCAGGTGTCATCAAATCCGCTCCTCCTCGAAGCTTACCCATCACTAGCTCCGGAGTATACAGCAGCGGGACCACATTTGGATTATTCCACAAAGTGTAGACGGTAGGGTAAAGGCGCCCATCAGCACCAGGACCGTGATCTAGCTTAAACCACAGGATGCGTTCCTCAGCCCCGGGATGTGTCCCAACGTACACTGTCCCTTGGACTTCTTGGAGCCGAGGGCCAGCAGTCGTTGTGAAGCGCGCTGAGAGCGAATTCTCGGGGAGCAGAGCATTTCGGATGGAGGTGAGGTTCGGCAATGTATGGTTCGATGCGCTGGGGGTGGTTGAATCTTCCGCTTGGGTAGTTGGCGGAATCTCGATTTTGTAGTCATTGATAATCTGGTCGGCAATTTTCCGACGGTCCGAAGACCGCAAGGGAGAAAGATTTTTAATCTATCATTCAGTTAGTAAAACACGGTTGACCCCGAGGATATAGCGTCAATCTACTCCTGCGCAGCATGCATGGTCTTTCTATTGGAGAAGCAATGCGGGGGAGGGGCATCATACCGTAGGCTTCTTTTTGAACATGGCGAAAGGAAGGCACAGAAGTCTCAATCAACCGATGAGTGAGATGAAAACCAAAATTCCACTCGGTCTGCGCGACCAAAGAGTCCTGCGGACGAACAAACCAAAGACGTGGGAGGAGAGGATTTCAATTCTTACTCAAAATGTGCCGCAATAACAATGAGCCGCACTTCCCCGCTTCCCGAGAGCTTCGGATGATTCTAGTCAGCGCTTGCAAACATCAGAATAGACAGTTCATGCTTGACAGCTAGCTCTTTGGACAAGAAACGAAAATTATGAAATAAAAACACGTGTTCTGCTTGCCAGCAGATGTTTTCTTACACGGCTAACTATCTTACAAGGTACTCAGGATAACACCAAATATACAAAAGTATGCCACAGGGCAATAAAGGATTATATTTTTCTAGTTACACATACGGATCTTCGATCCAAATGAGAAAAAATATTCAACAATTAATGCTGAATATATGAAATCAACGTCTATTTGGTCTGAAACCCATTTTCCATAAGCAAATTTACGCAGAGAAATCACGAGCGTGCTTCTTTTTGGTAACCAGCCAAGAGACCGTCTCGCTGAGAAGGTTGAGGAACTGCTTGGGAGAGAGTGAGTTGAAGTACTCGGTCCAACTGCCGCCAGTGGGAGCAGGGGCGCTGGAGCTGTCACTGGAGCTATCACTGGAAAGGACAGGGGCAGGAGGGGCAGAGGCGGTGGAGCTCTGCTGGACAGGGGAACCAGTGATAGTTGCGCTGGCGACAGTAGTGGAGGCCTGGTAACCTGTGGTAGTGCTAGTCTGGACGGAACTAGCAGCCTTAGTAGAGGAAGGAGCAGGAGTGTAAGAGAGAACAGCGATAGAGCTAGCAGAGATAGGGCCAGGACCAGACGAGCTGCCGGAGTACAGAGCGGGTCCGGGGATCTCGTACGAGTCCAGGTTCTGGTAGATGCTGACCAGGATGCCAGGGTCGGTGTCATTGTAGAGCTTAGTACCGAGAGTGCCCTTGGGCTTGTCGCTGCCACCGCCAGTGACCTTCAGGTTGAAGCACTGAGGGTAGTTCTGGGCACCGTCCTTGTTGCCAGCGGAGTGAAGGCCAATGATTTCGTGACGCAGGACGTAGTTTCCGGAGGCGATGTTGCTGGGGATAGTCACGGTCCAGCTGTTGTTGCTCTTGATCAGCTGGTCGGAGGCCCAGGTTCCAGGGGCCTTGCTGCCATCGACGAGACCCTTTTCATCGATCTTGAAGAACTCAAGAGAGGATTTGTCCACGCTAGAGCAGTCGCCATTGCAGTTGGCCAGGTAGGTAAGGACAGGGCCGTGGTGGCTCTCAGGCCACTCAGTCCACTGCAGCTCAATCTTACCACCAGCCGGAATCTCGGCAGAGATAGCACCAGGCTTTGCGCTCTTGTGACAGATGATATCGGGGTCCGAGTACGAGCTGCCATCAACAAATCCCAGGTCCTTGGCTTCAGTCGACCATCCAATGGTGTCGGGAGGATTGTCGGAGTAGGCGTAAGAGGTGACGATGTATCCTCCGTAGTATTTCCCATCAACTACGGCGCCCGAAACGTACCCGTGACCGGCGACCAAAGCGGCCGATCCAAGGAAGACTCCAGCAAGCTTAGCGATGGACATGTTGGAATATAGTATGAGACTGATTAACGCACAGCGTAATCGAGATCCAAAAGATCAACTGAGGTGGAAGACAAAGAATGACGAAAAGAATGGTCTTCAATCAATGAAGCCGAACAGAAAAAACTGAGAGAATGGAAAGGTCTTACGGCCCTGAGGAAGACCTGAATGGAATGATGATGGGGGAAAAAGAAGTGTGTCCACCATCGTAGAGGAGATGCTTTTTATATTGCTGCCGGCCATCATCCATCATCATACACCCTCGCCAATTCTCCGACTGAAGTGCTTCGAACGATAAATGAAAGGCTCATTGCAGATGAAAGTGCGGCACTTTGATAGATTACCTGACAGCTCATTAGTAGACCCCCCAGGTGGAATACGTCTCTCATAGGTGGAGATTTGCCGAAGTATGGCCGAGGGGTTGAGATTGATGAAAGACAAGCACCAGAGTCCTTGTCCAAAGAGGTATCGGGAAGTCCCAGTTCTGAAGGACGAGCCAGCCCACCAGAGAACTGGATTTTCAGAAACCAGTAATATAGCCTAAATTGGTCAGAGCTGAACGCATACATCCATAGATAGACCATACTGAGTCAGAAGTGGAGCTCCTCTGGCGCGCGTCAAATGACAGTTTAGGTGCCAACCTTGGCCATTCTCCGCCTTGCCCAGGATTGATAGTACTAAACCCCCTTCCTCATGGTTCGGGGCAACTTCCCTTTTCTTCAAATCCGGTTCAGGATATGGTAGGGTACGTCAGAGATTTAGTAGCCAAGTCGTTGGTGGTCGGCAAATCGAGTCAGGATGTTGCTAACAGCGGTCTGACAGTCGCCTTGGCACCGGTTAAATTCCTCCACGTGCCTTTCTGAGCTTTACTGAGGAGGAGCTTGCTGTCAAGCTACACCGGAGGTCCTACAACGGAACTTTTTAATATCACCTTTCATGAAACTGGTAAACCACCATTGACTAATGCAGTTCTATTTATCAGGACGGTCAAGCTGCAGAGGTGGTTATTCCACGTACCTTCAGAACAATTGCGCCATCTCACCTGTGTAGCATTACTAACAACTGCCATATATAGTGCCCTCGATAATTAAGCGAAAACTAGAAGGCATTAAATTGCAGGAGGACTTATCTAATGAGTTTACTGATCTGCTTACCATCTAGGTCCTTTTAGCGCTTCTATAGTTTTACAGTAGTGCCTAACAGCCCGAGTTATACGAATCCTCGTCTGTTAAAATATCCCCAGTGAGGCAAGATAGTCACAATATGGCTTTTCTTGATTAGTTTTATTCTTCAAAATGCAGGAAGACTTATCCTATGCGTGTTTGTTGACTCCCTGGCCATTGCCTAGAGAGCTTTCGGGCTTCCTCTCGTGGACGAATAGTATTTCCTTAGGATTTCAGTGCTATTTATCTGAGGTATCACCACAGGCTATATGCTGGCGTCGCCTATCTTATTTAATTAAATGCGGTGGGATGGGACTGTGATCCAAGCTGCATACTACATCATGCGTTCACTCTGAAACATCTAGTGGCTGACTATCACCTTGTCTATCCCTCTAGTCTGCGTAGTCGGTCTGTTGGAACTTTTGTTCTTAGGACAATTCCGGATCCCTTTCGAAATTTGAAATCACTGAGCTATCCTTGGTCTTGTGTAGCTGCTCTGGACCTTGCTCTGTAGTGGGGGGTCAGCCCATCATCTCTACTTTCAGATCCGGAGTAAGTACGCCTACATGCTATCTAACAGTGCCGTCTGCTGCAACGTGGACCGGAATCAATACTTAGGCTCTAGACACATAGTCGCCGATAATAAACCCAGCAAAGTTACCCATTTCTGATCGTTTGCAATATGACACCTTGAAGGAATATATCTGAGGTTGATATAAGCATTAGGGGCTGGAATTATCGCACGCTGGGGGTATGGAATACATTGTCGAAATAGACATTTTATTTGGGCAGAAAGTGTATTTATTTTATTTTATTTTTTTAGCTATATGTGCTACAAACAGGTATAAGATGTATATCTAGAATCGGGACCTAAGTAGTAGTAAAACTGTGTACATGGGGCGAAATTATTGTTCAAGAATGAAAACTCGTCTTCATGTACTCAGAATTCTCGAGGATAGACTGTCCACCCATCTTGAACTTATTATTAATGTTGGACGAACTTCTTGGTTACAGTCTAGGAGGGATACACATGCAAGGGAAATATGGCAGGGTCGAATGTATATACTACGTCCAAACGTATGCGATGATGTCACCTCTAGAGTTGCTCTATTTTAGGTATTCAGTTTAAACCTTTCCTTTAAAATTTCATTCCTATGTACCTATCGATGTCGTCGCTCTCTTTTTATTTTGTTCTGTTCTTGCCTCCCATTTTGTATATCGCTTTTGCTTTCTATCCTCTGATGGAACGAATGTGGAAGCTGATCAACTCTAGGTAATCTGAAAATCACAAGATAAGTATTACTATCTTCCCACTAGAGTGTTATATGGAGTACTTATGCAAGGACTTGATAGCGCCATCTACCGAATAACATCTGATTATGACCCTTGGCTCAGTTGCCGGGAGTAAAACCTGGGTCCCTGTGCCGGCCAGGGGACTTTCAGAGCGAGCGAACCAACATTTGACGGTAGTCCCCTCCGCCGACATCGACCGATAAACAGGCGCGACGGAGTGGCTAACCCAGTCGGCACGATCTCCCTGCAACTAAGCTGTCAGTCTATATAGTTACCTAGGTAAATCGGAGTGCTAATAATTCGTTGTAGTCTGCAGGTAGGCACTTTCTAGGTGCAGTATTAGGAGCTAAACCTATGGCCGTTCAGTACATCCGGCCATATGCCTATCATAACAATCATGACGAAGATAAAGAGGAAGACAAATAGGAACTAAGGAATGAGACATTGTGTATAGGAGCCTGGTATCGGTATCTATGCTCAAGTTGAACCGAGGAACACATGCGCGTTCGTCATTTATAGGTGGGAAGTTGTAACCCTGTACATGCTACTTTGCTGAAGTAATATGCATAATTAGTACATATCTAGGAAGGAGCCACTACCTGGATCTAGGGACAAGAGGATTAATCTTGTAAGTTGTCCCCGTCTGACAGGGACTTGATTGAATATGACGTGTTGTGGCTGATGTTCGTATTCATCAGCCTCTGGAGATGATGGATTTTGTTGAGATCCGACGGAACGGAATTGTAATCATTCTTGCTTTCCATACCAGTTAGGTTAAGCTAAATTACTCCGGTCAATAACTTCGTTTCTTACTAAGCCTCCCCCGTCCTCCCCGGCCAATTATCGCCTGTGTTTTCGTCCATTAGAATTCGGCAGCCTAGTTACTCCGGCCGCCATGTGTGGCAGCACCCCCAATTGAGTTTAGTGCCAGCCCTTCCCACTCTCACCCTCTGATTCACGACGATAATCCAGCAAGTCGAGACCCCCTTTCCCATTCCCAGCGTTGGCTTCTCTCGACTGTCGCTGCACTTTTTTTGCCTTTTTTTTTTTTTTTTTTTTCCTAGGAATAAACAACATTCCTTTCCTTCAGACTAAGAGGTGTCGGTGTGTCTCTTTTCCCAGGGTCGAGAACCCCGTACTGCACTCCCCCATCAAATCTTTTTACGTCTCGGATCCTCGCCGCTCTAGTTTTTCCATCCTTTCCCCTTTCCCACATCTCCCGCGCCACGTCTCCGCCCTTACACTGGACATACCAAACCCAACGCTTCTCTTCCCCAGAGTATAACTCTCCCCCCCTCGTCTCTTAAACTGTCGATCTGTCAGATCTTCCGACCTCCTTACGAAATATTCCGATGGATGAGGGGCCCTGTTAGTCTCAAAGATTGGACCTGTGCGCCGCAAGAGACCGCTGTGACTAAGCCGGTCAATTCTTTGTCCTGACCATATCTTTCCCGGTTGTACGAACGGTGTTGGGACGCGGTGGTTTAAGACTGGGAGCAGGCCAGGCGAAGTTTATCTGGTGCTGCAGGTCGCCCATTTGGTCGCCTGTTTCGTTTTCCTGGGCGCTCAAGCATGGGACCGGATGAGGCTGCTTCTTCGCCTACCTTCCCTTCGCTAGACCCTATTGTCATCGACGACGAAATGGAAGGTCCCTATCAGGACACCAACATCGATTACCTTAATTCTGCGAGTCTACAGATGTCCTCTGAGAACGCTGGCCGGGATTTCGACGATCTTTTTTCCCATTCCACTTCTTCCCATACTGTCACCGATCCAGAATCTGCGTGTTTATCGCCTTCAGAGCTGTCCATTAAGAGACCGTACCGGGAACAGAACGTACTACAACAGCCTAGCATTGTGAAATCGGATTCGCCTGCTGAGTCCCCGGATGATTCCAGTCGGAGTTCGTCGTCGGAATCGCCACGACACCATATTCGGAACCCCTCGGTCGCTTCCACCACATCCGGGATTCATAGCGAACATATGATCATGCCTTTCGGGTATACATCAGAGGATTGGATGAACCCGGACCTTATGTCAGTGAAAGAGGAGCCAATTTTTGGTTTCGATCCCTCGTTGCCAACTATGGATGGCGCATTTGCCACCGATCTGGAGTCCAGTAACAAGGCAATGGACGCTGCGTTCGATTTTGAAAGTGCTGCCAGTAGCCCTAGTCCCTTGAAAACTGAGCCTACACCGCAGCCGACCCCCAGAAGGAGCTCCAAACCCCATTTTCGCAGTGCGTCCAATTCTGCTGCTAGACTAACGTCGTCTCCGGTAAGTTTAACATTTGTGAATGTATGGTTGTGAACCCCTGTCGCTGATACATCTTCAGATGGTTCACACAGGTTCCTCTCACTTCTCACATAGAAGCAAGGAAAACTCTCCTTTTTCAGCGTCAGGATTCTCCGCCAAAGCAAAGTCCTCCACAAGTCAATGGGCGGGCCAGTCTCCCTCGTCTCTTTTGGAAGAAAGCTTTGGAGGAATCAATATGAATGGTGGTTCTCCATTGAACCCTGGGTTTAATTTTGGGTTAGATAGCTTTAATCTCGGTCCCAGCTTCGCGCCACCTTCGCAAAACAGCGTGAAACCAGAGACAACACAGTGCCATGTCTTGACGGTTCATCCTACCTCCCTGAAGTCTCGCGTGGAAACACAAATCCCCATCAGATTGACGCTTTTCCCGTTACCTACCGGAGTTACTAAGATACGATTGCCGAGTCATACGATTTCGAAACCGAAATTTCTCGCGCCATCGTCTACCGAACGCTCTCCAGATGTCGTCGAGCTGCACACCAGTCTGGTCTGTACGAGTGCAATGCAGGACCAGGTAAAACTCAAGAAGGCTTTTGCGAAAGCCCGAAGCGAGAAGCACTTCCGGTCATCTAGCACGAGTCCTCAGTCGCCAAATGGCATGGAGGAAGACGATAAACCTTTGGATGGCGGAGAAGTGAAAATCTGTGCCGGATGCATACAGCGTGAGCGGAAGCGGGCGTTCCGGAAGAAACAGAGGAAACCGGAGGAAGACGAACTTTTCCAAAAAGACGAAGACAAACGGGTCATTGTTTTCAATACAAATGAAATCAAAGAGTGGACCGAGCCGTCTAAAAATACCTTGCCAGGCTATGGTGACGTTCCAGTGCCGATCGTCCCGGCTGGCGCAATGCAAGTTGAGTTGCCCATGCGGATAGCATGCTATTGTCGACACCAAAATGAGAAGCTTGGGTTTCAGTATGTCCTTCGCTCTACCTTCCTGGCTGTGTAGTGCTATCGCTAATACATCTTCTTATAGGGTCATTTTTACTGTGAAGGACTATAAAGACAATGTTATCGCCCAAGCCATAACAAATTCGATCATGATCACAGACGATCATAAGACACATGCACCTCCAGCGCCTCCCGTTCCTGGCCCTTCTCCTTCTTTGCCAGATGGGACACAGTTACCTGGTGTCGGTGTCTTCCCGTCAGGCCCCGGCATTGACCAAGGAAAGTCATCCCAGCAATCGCAATCGTCGTCAACAACAGATCTGCAGGGCCTCCAGCAGAGACTCAACTCTCAATACCAACTAAGCCCCGACTCGTTTTCTGCCTCTCAAAACCAGACAAACGGGGCTGGACTGTCCAACCCGCAACCTCCACGAAGTCTTTCGCGCCAGGCATCGCCAAACGACTTCCAGGGGCCGATGAGCAAGAGACGCAAGCACAGTAACTCTGGAAGACTTTCGTCGGAACTGACGATGACCAAGCTCGAAAACGTAACCAGCTCTTCAGGGGTCTCCAGCGCGCCAGGTCTTAGCAATGACTCGCAGTTCTCTGCATCTCGTGGATTTGCATCCCCGGTCGAAAGACCTTACGTAACATCATCGGCCATGTCAAGTCAATTCACTAACGGTCCGCCAACTCCTGGGAGCGGTGATAATAACCCATTCTTTAATGCTACCGCGCAGCAGAGTCTGGATAATTTTATTCAGCAGCAATTGATGTCTGCACCGAACTCGGCTCAGCCGAGTCGGCCAGCATCACCTGGGGGGTCTTCTCGAAATGCTTTCCAAGACCAGACTCTCAATCTTTCGTTAGGCCCCACCCCTTCGACGTCCATGTGGCCTTTAACGAGTGCCGGAAACCGATTGCCCTCTGTCATCCACAAATTAGTCCCCGCAGAGGGGTCCATTACTGGAGGGACGGAAGTGACACTATTGGGAAGTGGCTTTTACCCTGGAATGGAAATCGTCTTTGGTGATACCCTTGCGACTACCACTACTTTTTGGGGCGACAAGTGCCTTAATTGCTTGACCCCGCCTGCACTCCAGCCTGGCATGGTGGCAGTTGTTTTCAAGCATGAACACCCAACTTTTGGTCAGGTACAGCAAACTCAAACCCTGATACCGAAACAGCATCATTTTTTCCGTTACGTAGACGACCGTGAGCTGCAAATGTATCGCCTTGCACTAGGAATTCTCGGACAGAAACTCGGCAGCCAGGCCGATGCATTTCAAACGGCTCAACAGATAATGGGTAGCGATCCGAAATCTATATTCGGCCTCTCAAAGGATTTCCAAGGCGGGTCTAGTGGCCATCAACGCCAGGTCCCTGGACTAGAGTCGCAGGGTAAACTGAGCGACTTGGACTCTAAGATGCTAACTTATCTCGAGTTTATTGACCTTGATGACAGCCCACGCCCACCCAAATATAACTTCCGTGGTGGAACAGGCCAGACCCTCCTTCATTTTGCGTCATCTTTGGGCCTGACCCGGTTTGTTGCCGGGCTCCTCGCTAGGGGTGCCAGTCCAGATGTGCAAGATAGAACAGGGAACACTCCCATGCATTTGGCGGCTCTGAATGGCCACGCGCACATTGTTAATAGGCTCCGTCTCGCTGGTGCCAATGTTAACTCCCGCAGTATTAGGGGATTTGTCCCAGCGGACCTTGCTACCACGTTACAAGCACATCAGGCGGCTTTGATACCCGCACAGCATTATCGCTCCCGTAGTACTGGGTCGTTGACTTCTTTGCGACGCAGGCAAAGCAGCTCTGCTTCGCTCCATTTACTTTGGGAATCTTCTTCTGGCTCCTTCGATAGTGCCATTGATGATTCCGAGGAAGAAGACGAGAGTGAAGAGGATGGTATTGGTTTTACACCATCCCGACGGCCAAGCATTCATCAGGATACCTCAGCATCAATTCCTGCTCCCGAGCAATCTGCGTCAGAAGAAGAGCCTCGACCGTTTTCTCCACCTGCAGCTCTTGTTGCCTGGCGTAATCAACTCCAAGCTCAAATCAACCAATTCCAGCAGAGTGTTGCCAATGCGTTTCCCAACCTTCCTGCTTTACCGCCTATGCCGGCTTTGCCCGATTACCAGGCCCATCCAATGATGCGCCGTATTACAAACCTTGTTCCACACAGGCCAACGGCGTCGTGGCCGGCCAAGGAAGGCTGGTGGGACTTGTTGACGGGCAACTCTGCGCCAAGTGCTACCGAGTTACCGTCTTACGAAGAACTATACCCACGCAAAGAAGAGGAGGCTGAGGAAGATGCGGCACGTGCAAAGAAAGCTAGTATGCTGCAAGCAGCTACTGATGCTGCTTTGGACCGGCATTTCGAAGCTCAGGCTAGCGAACAAGCCAGCTCGTCTCAAAACGTCGCAGCTAAACAAGAGAAAGAGGATCTTAAGGATATCCGCATTGGCCGCAAAGTGATCTCTCGTGAACAGCAGAAGCACCTCCGCGAGCACCAAGCACAGAGAATGAAGGGACTAGGCAGTGATCGGAACTTGTATTTCATTTGGGTGAGTTTTTCCGTGGATACTTGGATACTGGTTGCCCTTTACTGATCTGTACCAGATCCCCCTCTTGATTCTAGTCATCGGTGCATGGATGCGCAGCTATGCTCCAGGCATTTGGCAAGGGTTTACCAGCGGTTATGTGTTTATTAAGTCCCGTTATGCGCAGCGCGCCCTGGACATTGTGACCTGAGTTCTATTCCCTTCCCTTTTTTCTTCTTTTTTGCTCCCTTCTATTATTATGATTCTCCTTCCGTCCGATTTTTTTTTTTTCAGATCTTTGTATGGGTGTTGTTTTGAGCTAGGGCGTTCACGTCCCCTGGACGGGGTGATACAGTGGGCTTGTTCTTTTTCCTTTGTTTTACTATATACTTGCATAATGATGGGATATGACACTTTCATTTTCACTGGATTACATCCCTTTTGCTTTGAAAGATCTGTACAGCGTCGTTGATTTTGGGAAGACTAGTACAAAAGGGAATTGATTGCTAGGCCAAATGCATCAACCGGTGCATGAGGATCTCTGTGTGTACATAATTCCAATTTAATTGCGATATGAACTTGTCAAGTGCTGCCTGATCCGTTAGTCTTTCTGGTCCGTAGATAGATATGTATATCAGTCTGCCAAGACCGATGGAGAGCCGCAGTCCGTCGCCCGCCGTTAAGCAACCTACATGGGGTCGGACCTCCTCCTATTCCTCTATTTAACATTCTTGCGCGTCCTTCCACATTAGCATCCACTTTGAATTAATTGTTCAAGCGGCATGCTCCTTGGGAGTCGCTCCATATATCCCGAATAGTGTTCGGGGAAAATGGACCCATCACCGCAGGCGGGCTCCAGCAGTGTCACCGGTAGGACCGTCAGTCATTATTGCAAATAAGATGAACCCAGCTTTGCTCACTTTTTGCGCTTATTTGAATCCTTCCAGTTGAATATACCGATCCATCGGGATTATTCCCGCTTGTGCAGCCCGTCATCGCAGACAAGCTACCGCTGAAGAACCTCCACTGGAAATCACCCACGCGTCCTGTTCGATCCATCGAGTCGCTTCGTATTGGCTTCGTCCCTGCCCAAAATGAGACCGACGACCGCAAATCCTCCAGCGATACCGCTAGAGGCATGGTGACGCACCGGCGACATCAAATACCAGGTCTCCGCCAGACACCTTATCTGAAGATTTACCTCCTCCACTGCGATGATAATGATACCTACAAGAACACGGCAAGGAAGGCCTTGCGCGAGTGGATCAAATCGCACGCATCGATGTCGCATTCCTCGATTCCGACCACTAGCCAAGAGAAACACGATGCGTTCGAATGGCTTATTCTACACGTGGTTCAGGATGACGGTACGGAGAAGGCCGTTCCAGCCTCCAAATGGGGTCGCACCACAACAACGGTCCTGGAGAAGGTTAAGGCAGACTTTAATGGGGCTTCGAAAACAGCAGTAGATCGTGTGGCTCAGCTGCGTTTACCCAAGGCTGGAGCTACACAAAAGGTGCCGGAGCTGGCCGATCAGCTGGAAGACTTTGTGGAGAAGATAAAAAATGCGATTCTGACATCCTTCGATCTCCGGGTGGCTCAATATGAGGAGGACATCAAGGAGAAAGATTCACAGCGCAGTCTGCCCGGTTGGAACTTTTGCACATTCTTTATATTGAAGGAAGGGCTTGCGAGGGGTTTTGAGAATGTCGGCTTGTTCGAAGACGCTTTGCTCGGATACGATGAACTTTCGGTCGGCCTGGACACAGCGATCAACGAACAACTCGAGGGTAGTGGTGAACAGCATGGCAGTGCTTTCCTGACATATAGCAAGGATTGGCAGGACAAGGCCAAGGCGGTGCTGGATTCGAAGGAATCAGTCCAGCTGAATGAGAATGATGACGAGCAAATTCCAATTCCAGACCTCGATCCGGGCGATTTTCCTATCGACCCAAGCAAGAAGTCCTATCGAGAGATGATCTTGTCCAGCAATATCTCCATTTTTGACTTCCGTACATATGTCTTCTCTCGGCAAGTCATGCTCCTCCTCAGAGCAGCGAGAGCACCGTCTTTAGTCAACAAGGAGCTGGACGCGAGCCAAAAGTCGGCCAAAACACTAAAGAAGCCGGAGGACCTACTTCTCCTTTCCGAGGTCTGCGAGAGATCTGCAGAATTCATTAGTCTTGGAGCGCGAACTTTGAGATATGATTTGGAGTGCGGACTCAGCGGTGTGGACAATGCCGCCAAAACGCAAGTAATAAACAACTTGGTGGCGTCTTGGGCCTATTCTGCCACCTTACAGATCTTATCCCAGACATACACAGCATCACTCACTCTTCCCGAACCATCCTTACGTTCTATCGGCAAAGCTATGGATGTTGCTTCTTCTGCCGAGGCCATTCCGAAACGTTCCAGTTCATTGGTGTCGCCACATACTACTCGTCCCGCCAGGTCAAACACAGAGATTCTAACCCCAGGTATGTTGTCTTCGATCCCCTCCCGCTCCGGCCGTGATGTACCTAAATCCGCACCACCAATATCCCCCAAAACTGGATCGGAGCAATTGGCATCCGGGCGAGGTGAGCTGTACCTAATGGCGCGACGGGAGCTTGAGGAAATCGCTGGTCGTTGCGGGTGGAATGAGAAGTGGAACAATCTTGGTCTTCTCTTTGGCGATAAAAATACGGTTGAAGATGAATTGGCTGAGGTGTCACTCGACGAGCACCCCAAATCTGTTGAAGAGTCTCCGACCCCTAACGCTCTTCTGGGAATCGAGCTACCTAGCTTGACTGCCGCTCTCCGGTCAAGTAAATCGTTTCGTTCGCATTTCGAGGAACTTACCGACCTCGTGTATCGAAATCATATCACAGCGAATCGCACCTACACGGCTCACATGGCCCTTGCAGACATGGCTCTCTTGCGATTCCGGCAGGGTAATTATAGCGTTGCCGCTTCGTATTTCCACCAGATCACACCGTTTTATGGTAATAAAGGCTGGATTATTCTAGAGGGTGTCATGTTGGAATTATATGCACGGTGTCTCCGCGAGTTGCAACGGACCGAAGAATATGTTCGAGTGATCCTCCGCCTCCTTGCGAAGTTCGCCATTCATACCCAGTCGGGATTGTCACCGCGGCAAAAGACGCTGGATGCTTCGGCAATCTTTGCGGAGAAGGCGCAGGCGTCTCAGTATGTTGAGGAATTATTCGAGGCTGCTAAGACATTACAGAAAGAGCTATCCGCTCCTTTATCCGATTTCTTCGCAGATTTCGAGGTCAACCCTGTTATTCTACACTACGAGACTAAGGATGGGTTCCAGATGCAGCTGTCTCTACGGTTCCTTTTAGGCAAAAGTATCGATATCGATTCGATCAAGATTCGCCTCGTCAGCTCTAGCCGCGGTCAGAGCAGTGAGCATTGGATCGAGACATCAGCCAAAACTACCATCAAATCATCCCCAACGAAAATTCAGGTCGACTCCTCGGTAAGTCTCTCTCTCTCTTGTCACTGAGGATGTTCTTACATACTGATGCTCGTAGACAACGCTACAAGGGAGGTACTTCATTGACCGAGTCGAGGTGCGAGCGGGCAACATCTTATTCACGTTCGGCGGAGGGAAGTATTCGGCTCTCCCTGTAGGATTCCGGGAATCCGTGGATAATGAAGAGGACAACCTGCCGTACATCTATTGTTATCCGCCGCCTCTAGGGCTTCAAGCTAGGATTGGGTCACCTCACCAAATCAATTTGGAGGAAATGCGAACGCTCGAGCTGGAGCTCAATAGCGGATGGAACGATATCAAGACTGGCACTATTCGAGTAAGACCCGCCACCGCTGGCCTACGACTACGCATTACGGAAGTCGAGGTGATGGAAGGGGATATAAATATTGTTGTCAATACTGAGGCCGGCAATATTGAGTTCACTCATCTGGCACCAAATTCTTTCGTTCGGATCAGGATACCCTACACCGTGGAGGAACACCACGCGACGTTATCAGCCCGAGCCGAAATTGGTTATGAAACAGCCAACGGACGGTTCTCATACTCTTCGACTCACAGCATTGCGTCGGCCTTACCGATCAGCGTCAACGTGCAGGACACCTTTAAGGACCGGGTCCTTTTCTCTAGATTTACCATCAGCCCAGCAATGATGACCCCACTCCGGATTTTGAAATGCAACATTCCCAGCTCTGACGTATACCAAGTGCAATCGAACACGGCCGACTCGGTTGCCATGAACGTGTTTCCCAAGCAGCCCGCCTCCCTGCTGTACAAGATCCAACAACGGGAAGAGAACGTGAAGTCCCCGGGGTTGAGGCGGTCCCTTCGGCTGAGCGTAGACTTCACGTGTGTGGACGACGAGTGTATAGACGCCCTTGAAAAAACATTCCGAACCAGCATTTCAGCCAGCGAGTTCCGGCAATATACCACGTTACTTACGGCGCATATTGTGGAGGCCTTCCGAACACGCCTATCGCCGACGGAAATGGAGACTGTTGGGCTGGTGCGAGAGGTGGAAACGCTGTCCTATGAGAGTGTGCGATGGGAGGGATTTCTGAGTGTGCTGAAGGCGCCCATGGAGGGATTGAAACGGTGGCTTCAGGAATGGCATCAGGTGAGTGGTCCTCCCCCCTCTACAAATCTTCCTAGATTGGCGACTGATACTTGCGAGCCAGAATCACCCCGTCCTAAGCCTTCCCCAACAGCCATCGATCCCCCGTCGACACATCGTCATCCCCGTAGACATTCCAGAGGTCCAAGTGGTGCACACGGCAGAGCTACGACTTACGAATCTATTTGACCAGCCGCCGCACGCGGCCGTGGGGCAAATGATCACCGCGGAGCTCAGTCTCCGCCATACACGGCGATGGTGCTCCCCCCAGCATCGCGAGAATGCGGGGGGGCCGTTAGAGTTCTCCTATGAGATCCACCCCAACCCGGAGCTGTGGCTGGTGGGTGGACGACGCCGGGGGAACTTCACGGCGGACGAAGGAGAGAGTAAGACATTTGCGATGACGCTGCTTCCACAGAAGGCTGGCCACCTGCTCCTCCCGGGGTTGGAGATCCGTACGTTCGTACCTCCATCGTCTACCACGTCGGCGCCACCACCAGGGGGTGCTGGGGTGGACAACACAACCCTCGTGCTGCAACGACGGCAGGTAGCCTGCGAGGTGGACTACCGCAACCACGGCGAGACGGTACTGGTGTTGCCAGATCTGCGGGCGACGACGGTGAGTTTGAGTCTCTCGGGGGGGAATCACGGGGGGGCATGGTTGATTGACTCGGAGCGACGGGAAGTCTGATAGATCTGTATAATTTTGTATGGACATACTCTGAGTACCCCGTACCAAAGTATCTTCGAACAGGGAGTACATAGTACAGAGTAATGAGTACACCGTACACCATAGTAGACAATACCTTACTGGCTGGCCCGCTGAAATATTTCACGTGGTAATTTCCACTGGATTTTTGTTTAGCGCCCGCCTTGTTGACATCCCGATTGGAGCGCCCCACTTTGGTGGATCCCATCTCAACAAAAATGGCGTGAGTTTTCCCAACAGATGCACAGAATTTCCAGATTCATACAGCCCTCCCTCTAGGTACTCCGTATCGTCGCTTGTTCTTGCCCCTTTCTTGCCATCAGTAGGTAGGTAGTAGTTATTTACCTAGGAAGAGAGATAAATCCTAGGTCTTAAGAAACTTGGAACTAATTATGCTCTGGACAGAATATGGTAGATTATACCCAGTATTTAAAGAGGGTCCTCGTTGAACAAGTTGACATGGATAATAAAGGCAAAAAAAAATCACATGCCAGCAACACCAACATCATCTCTGATCTCTACTCCGCTATGCGGGATATTATATTAGCCACATACAGAGTCTGGAGAGAATAATCAAGACCAATTGAATCCAACTCGACTCTCGTGCAGCATGTAATGTAACGCGAGCAGTGATGGATGCGTGATCACCCTTCGGGAAAAGAAGGGTAGGACTTTCGCTGACACTACAAGAATCTGGGGAGAGACAGGAAATGTGAAGGAAGTACGAAGTATGGAAGATAAGATCCAATCCGAATCATCGCCGAGCAGTATTCCTGCTTCCTACGTACAACCAAATCACTTTTAGGTTGAGTAAGAGGTTCCAGTGGTAAGAGACATATGATACCTCGGAATGAAAAAATTTATTTATTTATTTATTTATAAAAAAAAAAAAAAAAAAAAAACCTAATAAATAATAACAAATACTTGATTCGTTTGTCTGCTCAAATGTGGCAATTGTTGAGAAGCCAAGATTGTCCAAGGTTTAATTGTCAGCGAGTGGAGTCTACGCGACCCGCTGATTGGAGCACGAGATCCCCAGGTTCGGGTCCCTGGCACTAACTCGAAAGTAGGCAAGTATTTAAGTATGGATACTCTGTAGATACTACTCTGTAATATTGGTGTATCCATTCGAGGATGGGACATGAGTTGAATAAAAGAACGGACAAGATCCTTCCGGATGCGAGGACATGGGGTGATGGTAGAACTGTAAGGGCTGGGCTCCAAAGTTGAATTTCCAGGAATCGGGCAGAGAAGACAGGCACAAACTCTAACTCAGCTCCATCGAACCGTGGATCACCAGCCATCCAGTCAAGGCGGGTGGCGTGGTCCGCGATCGTCTGCGAGCCTGCAGAAAGAATCGCTGCACCAGTCACCGTGGCGGCAATTGCAGCGAAGCCCGCATTCCTCTGTCGCTCCGCAAAACCCTAGAGTGTTGCGGGCTGCGCCGGTGTGGTCTGACCGACTTGACCATCAGGAAAGTCCTCTGTACTCTGTATTTGTAGCCTGTAAGGTATAGGTACACGGGAGGTGGTAGATGGTACGGAGGATGATCAATGGCCCAATCAGGTTGCCCCAACGGTTCACGGATTTCCTCCCAAAACGAAAATTACGGCTTCAGTGGATGTTCTGGCCGATTGCCCTTCTAGGCATGCATGTGAGTGTTGTTCCCTTTCAGCTTCGCCTTTTGTTTCCTTTTTTTTTTCCTGTTTTTTTGCCCCTTCTCGTCTTCTCTCCGTGGTTTGACCTCTGTCTTGGTTTTCTTGCTTTTCTTTTCCCGACCCACTCCTTTCTTTGTTATTACTCCCTCCAGACGCAGATCCTAGTCTGTCTATTCCTTCTTTTTCTTCCCCTCTTTCCTCTTCTTCAGCTCTCTTCTATCTCTCTCTCTGTTTTTCTCCCTTCTGTCCTCGGAACTTCTCTCGCGACCACTCGCTGTTATCTCCTGATCTCCGTGCGACCAGGAACCTGGACATCACCGATCCCCTCTGTCCATTGATCCAGTGGTAAGTTCTCCAACATGTCTTTAATCGCCTCCCCCCACACATCTTCTGCCGTGGGATCGAATATAAAAGAGCTCTCCAGAATTGCCAATCCCCTCTAGCGTCCTCGCTCGGAGCTGTCCGTCGCATAAATCTTCCCAAAGAGCTGGCGCTGACTCACTCTCAGAGACTAAATAGTCCCGTTGGTCTCGATCAACATCGCCCAAGATGTCTTCCACCGCACTCCCCAAGCGCGTTGCGCTGCATCGTAATCCAACCACGGATTCCTCCGTGCCGAGCTCAGTCTCCGTCTCTCCCCTGGGGAGCCCTCGCCAGTCCCCCTCCTCCACCTCCCTATCCTCGATGGCCTCTGAGGTGGAGAACGCCAGCAAGATGCTGGACACATATGGCAACGAATTCAAGATCCCCGACTTCACCATCAAGCAGATTCGCGACGCCATTCCAGCCCACTGCTTTGAGCGCTCCGCTGCCACCAGTCTATACTATGTGTTCCGGGACGTGGCTATGTTGGCGTCCATCTTCTATGTCTTCCACAACTATGTGACCCCCGAGACTGTCCCATCCACACCGGCCCGGGTGGTTCTATGGACCCTGTACACGGTCGTCCAGGGAATGATCGGTACTGGCGTCTGGGTGTTGGCTCATGAGTGTGGCCATCAGGCATTTTCTCCGTCTAAGGTTCTCAACGATACCGTCGGCTGGATCTGCCACTCGGCCCTCCTGGTGCCATATTTCTCCTGGAAGATCTCCCATGGAAAGCATCACAAGGCCACCGGTAACCTTGCCCGGGACATGGTGTTTGTCCCCAAGACTAGGGATGAATATGCCTCTCGCGTGGGCAAGACTATCCATGAATTGAATGAATTGATCGAGGAGACCCCCGTTGCAACAGCCTCCCACCTCATCCTCCAGCAGCTGTTCGGATGGCCCATGTACCTCTTGACCAATGTCACCGGCCACAACAACCACGAGCGCCAGCCCGAGGGCCGCGGCAAGGGCAAGAGGAATGGGTACTTTGGTGGCGTCAACCATTTCAACCCATCCAGCCCTCTGTACGAAGCCAAGGATGCTAAGCTAATTGCTCTGAGCGACTTGGGTCTCGCCATCACCGGCAGCGTCCTTTACTATGTTGGATCGACCTATGGCTGGCTCAACCTTCTTGTGTGGTACGGAATCCCCTATCTCTGGGTGAACCACTGGCTCGGTAAGTTCCTTGATCCTCGTCGGCCTATCTGTTTGCCTTCGGGTCAGACATGCTAACACCCCACTAGTTGCTATCACCTACCTCCAGCACACCGACCCCAGCCTCCCTCACTACAAGCCCGAGGTGTGGAGTTTCACCCGTGGTGCTGCTGCTACCATTGACCGTGATTTCGGTTTCGTGGGCCGTCACATCTTCCACGGAATCATCGAGACCCACGTTCTCCACCACTATGTTAGCAACATCCCCTTCTACAATGCCGACGAGGCCAGCGAGGCCATCCAGAAAGTCATGGGTAAGCACTATCGGACGGAGGCCCAGACCGGCTGGATCGGATTTTTCAAGGCGCTGTGGACCAGCGCCCGTGTGTGCCAGTGGGTGGAGCCCACGGAGGGCTCTAAGGGCGAAGCCGAGGGAGTGCTGTTCTACCGAAACACGAATGGGGTTGGAGTCCCTCCCGCGAAGTTGGCCAAATAGAGATGTGTTTTTATCCATAGAAGGAGTGGTTCCTCGTGGTGCTCTCGCAGGATCGAAATAGGCCACGATATGGACACTCATTGTGATGTCATAGAGCAGCGACTGCGAGTTGATCGACCCGGAGGCATGAATTGCTGGTGTATCGTATGTCTTCATTATCATTAATCTGGGAGTGTTGTGCGGTGGGCATGGTCAAAGGCCATATCCAGATCTATAATTCACGGCATATATTTGTTGTCATATTTTAGCAGCGAAAGAGAAGAGTGTTTTTTGCCTTTCTAGACCTGTTCATTATTCTGTAGGAGTCCGTTGAAGGAATTATAAGGGCCGTACGTTATCGCACGAGTTCAGCGTGATAGTCTTTCTGCATAGATAGAAGCACTGTACACTGCAGAAATGAAAGACCGGACAAGGGCAGAAAGGAGAGATCAAAAAGAAGAGAAAGAAAAGAAATAAGTTCAATGCAAAAGACCAAGTGCTAAGTATGGCCAACTGATGGGTGCCCCGTGTGGCATCCACAAGCACGAGGCCCAATCGGCTCAGCGCGGCACAGCGTCATAAGGACTAGTTAGAGAGAAAGGTTACTAGCAGCAACTGTCAGGATCCGTGTTGGATAGTATCCGTATATGGATTGATGGATAACCGGCCCTTCCCGGAAGCCAACGGCCTCCAGGACCGCACATAGTTTCGATGTATATATTCTGTACGTTGTTTTTTTCTGATATGATCTCAGTTCGTATTTCTTTTTTCCCTTTTTTTCATGTCCGTTGTGAATTAGTCTTCACATCCCTTTAATCCCCCTTTCCAGATAATAAATGCTGCTTCGTCTTGGATTGAGCCATGTTCTGTTACGGAGCCGGCAGTCCAGGGTGCTAAGACCAGTTTCATGGTTCTACGCAAGGGTAGTTCGGTCGGTGGTGGTGGGGGGATCTGCGAGCCTGCAGTGACAGTCACCGTTGTAGTCTTGTGTAGAGGAGTCGAGGTGAAGTCACGACCTCCAGCAGGATCCGTGAGAGGAGACGGTCCCGGCTCGTCTTGTGCAGTAGTATTGGTGGGAAGACTGGTTGTAGATCCTGGATCCCAATTATTTTGCGGAGTTGACTCTCTGGTCTCATTTGCTGAAAGGTGCGATGGGAGCGACACGAGAGGATTCTCCTCCAGAGAGGGATCCAGCAGCATCGGCTGCACTTCTTTCTTCAGGGCGATTCTACAGGCGATCTGGGTTAACCAGACAAGGCCCAGAGCAGGGGTTTTATGGGCTTGTTTCTGGAATCCAGGATAGGGGCTCGCAGTGAGAGAGGAAGGCGAGTCGCCCCAGCCAGTGAAAAAACGTTGTTGATGGAGTAGACTGAAGATTTCGTTGCGAACGGGATTACCGACGAGATATGAGCCGTCGAATGCCTGTTGTTGCTGTTGCTGCTGCTGCTGCTGATCGTCGTCGGCGGTATATGGTGATGATTGGAAGGTAGGTGGCGACGAAGGGAAGACTATATTATGCTGAGAGAGTTCAACGTTGCGTGACTCGGGGGGTCGGTCTCCGGCTAAAGGGGAGGCAATAGTCGAGTCGCGATTCGACGACCGTGGCGGTTGTAGGTACTGTTGCTGCTGAGTCGAAGGGGACGACGTCACAGCAGGAGTCACATTTCCTGCATAAACCCGGGACGAGGGAAGGGAAAGACCTTCTGGGCCATCGAACCGGTCCGAGACTTGGTTTGCGACAACAATGGCGATATCCTCTTTCACGGCGAGATTGCGCAGCATTTGGCCCAGTTTGGCAAGCTCCCAGGATCGAGTCGACAGACCAAGGACGCTGGTAGAGGTATGCTCGGCCCGATAATTGGAGGTGATTGAGTCAACGATGACCAGGCCGACGTTGTATCGGGAGACCGCGACGGGGAGTTGGTAGTTGAGGATGTGGTCCTGGGCTTCGAGGTCCATCGCGTTGATGGACAGGATGTTCTGTAGGGAGGGTGCCTCATCGTGCGGCAGGGTAGAGAGATACGGATGGAAATCCAGGAGCTGCGAGAGTCGCGGCGTGGACAAGGGAGCTTCGGTCGATATGTAGATGGCGGTCTTTGCGAGGCCGCGGGGAGGACGCAGTTGCACGGCGAGGAGGAGAGTGAGGAGGAACTGGGTCTTGCCGCTCCCACTGATCCACCATTGTCAGTTCAGCCCGCAGGGGAGTGATGGAGCCCGAGACGGACAAACAGACACGTACCTTTCACCAGTCACTTCGGTCACATATCCCGTGGGAATTCCTCCGCCGGCCAACAAGGCATCCAGGGTGGGGTCGAGAGTGCTGATTGCGCTCCATTGGGATAGGTCGAGCCGAGTCGAGGGGCCAGGAGTCACGGGCGTGTCGATATCGACGCTGGAACTGGGCTCTGCGGTGTCCTCGAAACCGACATCGTGGTGGAGGGCCTTGACAACACGCGATGCCAAACGGCGGACGTCAGCTGGAGGCACGTGGGCGCGCTTGGCGATTTCCAACGGATCGAGTGTGATCAAATCGACGGTGTTGATATTGGCTCTCTCTAGCGGAGAGAGGATATGGGAATATGATTTGGTCGAGAAGTCCGGCAGGACTGATAGCAGATCCATAGGAGGAAAGAATCGGAAGGAGGCAAGGTGAGGTCATTCAATTCAATCCATCATTTTGAGTGAAAACACGTTGGGGCGGGACAGCCAATCACAGCCCGGTATTTACATTCAGGTTGATCAATCAATCAATCATCACAATTTACTCTTCCTGCTCACAGCGGATATCCCCTCGGGATTACGTCCCAAAACACAACTCTCTCTCCAGAAGACATGAACTGATCCACTGTATCGTTCGACATCCTCTTGAATCAGCGCACAATGTGGACTGCGCTGAAACATCGTCCCTTCCACCTGATATCCCTCTTTCCTCGCTGCTTCCATATGCGCCAGGACCTCCTGCCCGGCTTGTCCGCAGCAGAGTAGAGGTACAGTCGCGGGACTGGCCGAAACACTGTGCGACTGTTCAATTCCAAACGCATGTGGTCCACCGATCTCATGAGTCCGACATGCTGGAGGCGGGATAGTTGCAATAGCCGGGTAGAGCAACGTGCTCCCAATGACCCGCACGGGGAACGCCTAAGTTGGAAGTGATACAGCGGCGGTGTTGCACATACGGAAGAAGGAGGAACCCCCCCCCCGACCCCCGGGACAGCAGTCGAAGATGACTCCTTTATCGGCCGGATGCTGTAACCCATGCTTGGTTTCATCATCTCCCTTCATGGAAAGAGCCAGTTGGATCGCCGTGATGCATTCCCCGTACGAGAAGACGTGGAGTAAAGCTCGAGACCCGGATCGTCCGGCAACTGGGGGGCTTACGATGCGACGGATGGCATCTCGTACGGGCTTCAACTTTGCTTGGATTGCGCTGAAGGAATGCACGCTAGTATCTAGAAACTGCGTAACAATCAGAAGAAGACATGGCTGCGGGTATAAACAACGATTGGCACTGATGTAATTTTTAATGCACCGTGGGGTTGCGCCTCCCAGCCATGTGCACAGACCGAATAATCAGAGACGGTTCGTCGCCCTGGAGGTTGCTGTCGACCTGAGGCTCGTGCAGGAAGATATTCGATACCAGTGGCCGGAGGGGTTCGAATGGGGTCAGGACAGTGATGCTATAATAGTGAAACAATGGGGGCCTTTCCCAATGTAATCTGCCAGGTGAAGCGAAGGGAACAATAGTACCAACATACTAACATTGTTGTTGGGCAAAATGTTGGGGCATGTCCAACTTCACTCTTTGAGATACTTGGAAGGAGACATTGACAGCAAATAAGTACTCGTTTCATCCCAGTCTCATGTCCAGCCACGGGGACATTGACTATGCCATCATTACCATGATACGCAGTGGAGGCCTTTATGCACAGGAATCATGCATCTGTGGAGCATTCAACTGAATCGTACCTTGCCTTTGCCTACCTCCAGGATGTGGATAGAGATACACACACTATGGGTGATTGGACATCGGTACGTGCTTATACAATTATCTATACAGGCATAGTACCTGCTAGGAGGATGAGTAGCTATACCTAAAGCTTGTGTTATCTGAAACTGTTCATGTTTGGTCAACCTTGAACCTGCTCTTTAATGACTGGTTTTCTCAATTGCCCCTTGGGACTTCCTATATCACAAAGATATGAAGATTCTTGTAGGAGTCTATACCAGAATTTAGTACTATAAGCTGGCATATGGAAATAGGCAGTATCCATATGACTAGGAGTACCTACTCCGTACTACAAAGCCCTTACACATGTTGGTATAACGGTGAATAGCAGTGAGAATAGATTGACAATTTTTCATGCCCGCAAATACATAAATTAAGACTTATTCATAGAATCTACGATAGCAGTGGATGTTTTCAATTACATTAAGGAAAACAGCTAAGATACACAATCGTATTTGTTGTTTTTCTGGAGCACTTGCCAGCAAGACGTATCCATCTTGGTTGACGGGACTGTACAGGATTTTTTTTATTTGATTTGTTGTTTATTTTATTTTTTGCCCCTTCGGAAGGAGTCTGCTCGATCTCGGCGCTGAAGCATTACAAATAGACCGAGTTGGTAATATTGTTGGGTCTTGTATTGCAATGGCTTTATTTGGGGAAAAAAAAAAAAAAAAAAAAAAAGCATAAAATTAAAAGTAAGAGAAAAAATAAAGAACACAAGATGAAGAGAGAAAAAGAAAGGTGAATAGTCTAAATAATATATATTTTTGTACTATAAGTACAGATTTGGTTGTTGGCTGCTAGAAGTAATTACGGAGCTAGGGAAACTGGCGTAAGGACTAGGCAAGACTTACATGTAACTGGTAAAGACTTTTATCCTTTACTTGTTGACCTCGGACTACTTCTGCCATTTGGCTATCGACGCCCTAGAGCCCGTAAGTATTCTGCAATCTCACCACCTCTGGCTATAGTTCATATGCGTGTAAGCGAGGGGGAAAAGGTACTGTAACATCTGCTTACAGCAATATCTCAGCAATTGAGGACAAAGCGGTGAAAGAAATATACATGATTCATGATTGTAGACATGATGAATATGCAGATAGCTGGGTGTGCACCTTGCATCCTGAATGGGCTATTTCCAAGACACCATGCAGGAACCGTGACATCATGATCGGCCGTCGGTTGGCCTGTTAAAGACACAGGTCGAGGTACCGTATATACGTATGTAGTTTCAGCCCCTCATTGTGGAATAATCATAGCTTTTTTACACTCTCAAGGGGTACGAGAATAAGTTGACGTATCACAGTTCAGCAGCATCACTGGACTATCGACGGCCGGGAGTGACCCCAGATAAATAACGGTCTGCTAGAGCCCATACAGTTTAGCGAGTGGATAAACAAGGACAGTACTTCTGCACTTGCATCAGGATCAGCACGCCCAGTTCGATTTATTTGCTGACGGCCATATTTGGAGATGATCGATAACATTCCAATTAGGACAAAGGTGCTCCGTATGTATGTACGTATAATTACTTTCTTTGTCCGGACTTGATCTCAGCCACTGTTCTGTGGTTAGCCGAGATACCTTATGTAATGCCTAAGCAGGAGGAATAATTTACCTTACCCTCGCTTGCATGGCGGAGGCTGCACTTGTCTTTCGTCACAAGACTAATGCGGAGTACGAAGGTAGCAGTGCACAAATCGGTGGCGGGTTACGAGTGCCTCGCTACTAAGAACTGGCAGGGAGTCTTGCCGGAGTACGGAGTAGCTAGCTAACGCTGCTTGCACTAGCCACGTTGTAGGAATCCTAGAGATGCCTGGTCAGTGCATGGTAGCCACGAACGATAAAGCCTCTCGCCAATGGATTCCTCAGGTGTAGACTCAGCTGACAAATTTTAGCTATGGAAACCACTGGAGATAGTCGAGGAATGTAACACAAACATTATATACCCACTGACGAGTTAAAGTATGGAGATAGTATGTTTATAGTAAATACTCTCCATACTTGCGCATTGCTCAACTCGAGCTAGTCAGAAGTGTAGCTCTCGTAGAGTATTACCTACGTAGAAGCCTCGTAGTTAGTTACAATAACATACTCCACGGTGAAGTTGCGCATGCAGTCAAGCTGCGCACTTGTATCCTCATACAAAATAGCGCCTTTGTAACTTAGGATATCTTAACCAGTCTGCCTCATTATTAAGAGATATTTAACCTAAGGGATCCTTAGGTATTAAATAGATAGTACTACCAATTACTTCGATATTATAAATTACCCTATTTTCAAGTCTGGTATATGTATTTTAGAATAAAAACAAAATTCTTTTATAAAATATTTACAATAACTATTTATATACTCATATCGAATAAATTTTCTAATATGAACCACAATAATGGGAAAATGGTTGAGATATTCCAAGTTAAATAAGTACAGTTTTGTACGAGAATACAGGTCCGCAGCTTGACCGTATGTGTGGCTTGACTGTGGAGTACGATATATCAAACGTTACAATAGCTAACTAAACCCTGCTCTCGTTTCTCCATTAGGGCGAAACAGAAGGGTGGTATGTGTGACAAGGCGCCCGCAAAGTATAGCCGACATTGCCAGCATGCGTGAAAATCCCCCGTCCAGTGGTGGTGGCATCGTAGCTTTTTTCGTGGAATGAGAAATCATCGGGCGCCCACTGTCATACCTCCTCCATCAGGGGCCACTATGTGGTGCCTACTCATTCCACAAGGCTGCAAGTACGGTAAGACGCCAATACCAGGGGCAGTCACGCCCATGTGATAGAATTGCCCAACGCGGCTGACCTCACTCTCGCCAAATGGAGCAGAAATATCGCGGTGTAGGTACCATGACCCGTGCAACCCGATGGTAGAGGTCCATGCGGGTAGATCCGACAGTTTGGTTATTGGATGAGAATGATAGATAGTACGGTTCTGCGAGGGATATATGCCAAGTATTTCTACTTATCAGCCGTGAGAAAGGGACAGAAGAATGGGTGGGAATTGTCTATCAATGCCAGCCATCTACCTATACGGGTCATAATACAGGGACGGAATTCCAAATTAGTTACGGAGAACCGGGAGAACGATACGTACGAGTGCGGAATAGTCCCATCACCGCAGGGCTCTCGACCCAGCTCAGCTATTATTTACAGAGTACTGACATTAATTGTGTCCGCCCCATTATCATCGCCAGTGACCTTTCTGGAAGAGTGGCTGCACTCCAGCCGACTGCTAGCCGAAGTAGTCTGTACATACTCCGTACAGAGTGCGGACCTACGGAATAGTAGGGGGTCGCACGGTCGTGGGACCGTCGCAAATTGCAAATGCATCGCAGTGGGCCTAGGATCTTCAGGACTCTCGCCGTTAGATAGCTGCAACCATCCCTGGTTCGTGAGTCAAGTCACGATGCAGGATCAGATGCCATCTGAGCAAAAGAGTAGCGTCTCCGAGATGGTGGTGAGCTCAGTGCATCATTTGGCGCCAGCTGCTTGATCATCTCCCTCCCCCTTCTCCTTATTATTACGATACTGCGGAGGATCGACGACCGAAGCAACGAAATGTAAAGTCTGGTTGGAAGAATGGGGCCGCTCAGTCCATCCGGTGCGGACCGCCCTAGTGGGGCTCGTTAAAACCCTTCCCGTGTTGAATGACAGCGAGGGGCGAACACTGAACAGACCAGCTGGCGCCTGACCGGCACTGTGTCCGGTTTCTGGAACTATTTCGGCGGATTAGGGAAGTGGTGACTAGTTATTTGTTAGCCATCAAACAAATAAGTTTAACTGTGGTTACCATTATGCTTCGGTTACTGTGGCTAGGTGGTACTTTAGGAAATGAAGTAGTAACGCTGGATACTGCATGTCCAATCACATGCGTCTGTGGGTACCGCCTGGAAACTCCTGGCGAGAAGATCCCTGAATCAGTTTCTTGGCGGTGGGCCTGGTGCTCGAGGGCCGCTGTCGATCCAATCGATTCTCCTGAGAGAAGGGATCTGGTCCAAACCCCGGGTCCTACTTAGTTTGGTAATGATTGTCCTGGCCCTGGGTCCCGCATCGGGTGTCAGATTTGCTTTTTTTCTTTGTTGTTCTTGAATAGAGTGAACTCCGTGCTGATCGAGGCTGTCTTTCATTCCTTCTTCCCACCCCCCACCATTTGTAGTATCCTGTATGTAGCAAACAGTACGGAGTACGCTGGGGTGTCTCCTAAGTCAAGAGGGAAAAAAGAAATAAAATTATTACGTGTTTAATTTGGAGTGCGATTCTCAAATTCCGTACACACTGGTACCATTAAAGTATTCCGTGCATTTTATCAGGTCTCGACAGCTTCGACTATGGATTATTGATTGGTTCGTAGGATGTGGATAGAATTTTATAGAAAGTGATTGGCTCACAGAACAGTAACCAAGCATTTGGACAATGTTGTGCTTTACCAACCTTACTCCATAGTATCTTGATCTGCTTGACTGGCCAAGCCTGAGGTATCCAGGCAAACAAAGTGGAGGTACGAAATAGCGGTCGGAGTCACCAATCACCCAGTATCCTTAGTCCGATATGGTGCAGAACACAATCTGCAGGATGGCGGGCCCCTGGAAAGAGGACAAAACAAGCTTGGCCTAGCCTGGCGTGTTTTCCAATCCTTTTCCTCATCCTTCCCGGGTTGCTGGTCTTGGGTGATCCGTTGGGCTGGGTATGGCAAAACCCGGAGAATAATTTCAAATTAAATGAGGTCTTTGGAGCGGATGGTTACATGAAGTGGTTACCTTTGATGAACACCCGTTTCATGGGAACCTTTATACAACCACACCTCAGTAACTAACTCCGAAAGCTTGAGACACAGAGCACAAGTCTAAAACGTTGTTATTATAATTTTTTGTTAAGTATCTACTCGGAGTACTCGTGAGGTTGACAATGTATCACTAAACTCAGCAATTGGGGGGAACGATGGAAGCTTTGTACTTCCTACCAGACGTTACCCTTCTTCCGGTGTACTAGTCCAACCAGACTATACAGCGACCGTCTGTGCAGCTGCTTACCCACCTGGCCATGTCTTCAATAAGTACGGAGTACCTGCTGTAAACCAGGGGTCTCTGCCATATAGATACCGAACTGGCAGTGTTGTCATCCTAAATATAGAAGATTAACACCCAGCGCTAGGTACCTAGGTCAATTTGTCATTAGCTACCTGCTAGCTAGGTACTGCCAAGGCACAATGATTCCGGGGACAAGGCAAGGCGTCTGGGAATATTTACAATTGGCCTTGGAAAATCGCCTAATCTTAGGTAGGAAAAGCTAACGGCGAAAAAGCCTATTTACTGTCTTCCGATTAGAGGACCCATCGTGATCAATCCTCCGTCCAGCCAGAAGGGCAATCGATTGACTTCAAGTGCAGGAAAGCTAATCCTGTTCTAGTTTGGCCCTAAAGGTTACTTTCTTTGCCCTGTGTAATAATACCTGTACAGAGGACTAGTATGTGCTATGTGGGATGAAAGGCGGGTCCCGGCGACAACCCCCCCGAAGTGGGTCGATAAGGGAAGTCAGTCCGGTTGGCTTCAGTACCTGCCCTTTTAGGGCTTTTCCTTTTACCGACGAATTTTGAATTTCGACTCCCCCCTCCCAAACTAAAACCAAAAACCCAACTGGAACTGGAACTTGCCCATCGCCAAGTGGACCGCAGCCCTCACAACCAATGAGCGTCGAGGGACGGGCTGCCTTCGCCTAGAGCATGGGCTGCCTTTCAACTCGATCGGCTGTTCTTCTTTCCCCTCTGCAACCCACTCTGCTGTTAGTTCGTATCCGTGCTGACCCAATACCCACCCCTTTGGCTCAGTAGCGCAGATTTAGTGCGTAGGACGAGCCCGCATTATTTGAACAGTAAAAGAGTGCCTACGTACAGCCGATACGCAGGGCATACCTACCTACATACCGCAGTGCGCTTCTTATGGATAAGGCATTCGGTAATGAGCATTCTACCAAGAAGGAAAAAAAAACCCTCGGTCGGTCAGTTTGTACGCCTGTCTCTCGATGCATCTAATTGAGTAATACTCAGGTATGCGATAGAATTCCAGGAGCGGATTTGACATCCCGTCCCGTAAGACAGGAACCCAGATGTGGACCACAGTAATTTTACCTTAACTTACCACCAGTATAGCTAGCTAGTCGCTATAATGGCTACGGCTGATTCTTCTCTCTCTCTCTCTCTCTCTTCTTTTCCCTCTTCTCTCTGCCCATCAACTCAACTCTCCCTTGTCTCCTCTCCTCCGACCTGATTCTTTTCGAAGGCCAAACGGGTCAATCATTGGGGATATCTATTGTCTTGTCTATCGACAACTGACCCGGCGGGTTTGTTTTTCCTCTTTTTCTTTAGTGTTACTTCTATTTTGCACATTCTCAACTTGGATCCCTCTTCCTCTTGCCGCCTACGCCAGAGACCGGACGTTGAATTCCTCAGTCACCTGTTTCTACTGTGGTTCCATGAACTGGTTGGTCGGCGGTTAATCTGGAAATCTTCAACACCTAAAAGAGGAGGTAATAGAAGAGGCCATCTTACCTGCAGCAACCTGAATGTACTCGATATCTGTTTGAATTATCGCTCTGTCATTGGTGTATAAAGTAAGCTGTCAACCATGATTGAATTTCCCGTTATTATTTTCTTCTTTTTCTTTTTTTTGCCTTTAATTTCCTCCCGGCTTCGCCTGTTTACCCAACGACATCGTTCTATAGGCTCGAGTATACTGACGCTCGTTAGTAATCTTGCCAGATTAGAACGTGTTCAAAATGGCAACCAGACCCCCCTTGTCACCTCCGGTGAACGAGACGGAGCATACCGTCTCCAGGATCACGCGTGAGGGCAAGAAGCTTACATACAGGTTAAGCGTCATGCAACAACCAGAACGTGCAAGAGCCTGCGGCGCAGGCGCCAAGTGTATGTGCCAATTTTACAAGTACGCAAGACATAGCCCTGAGACTAACTGTTGTGTCCCTGAATAGCGTCAGCAGACCGTCGGCCTGTTGATCCTCCACCGGTTGTTGAGTTACGAATTTTCGAATCAGACCCCAGTGACGATCACCATAAAACCGATATCACGTTCGCATATAATGCCAATTTTTTCCTGTTTGCGACGTTAGATACCGCTCGCCCTATGGCACAAGGCAGACTTGCTCCGAACCCGACATTTCCAGTATTGACTGGTGTTCCTGTGGCCGGCGTGGCATACTTGGACCGCCCATCGCAAGCGGGATACTTTATTTTCCCGGATCTCTCGGTGCGACATGAAGGTGTATACCGCTTGAATTTCCACCTATACGAGGAAACCAAAGACAGTAAGGATATAACCGAGGGTACTCCAATGTCTAAGCCGATTCCCGCCTCGAACCCAACGAAGCCGTCAGCGCCCAAATCATGCCTGGATTTCCGTCTCGAGGTTGTCACGGTACCGTTTACGGTGTTTAGCGCGAAGAAATTCCCAGGACTCACCACGAGCACCTCTTTGAGTCGTATCATCGCGGAGCAAGGTTGCCGTGTTCGTATTAGACGTGATGTTCGGATGAGACGTCGCGGGGACAAGCGGCCAGACGACTACGATTTTGATGAAAAGAGGGCTTATCGATCTGTTGACCGGTTTTCCACCCCTGATACGTATGTCGCGAATCCGATCGAGCGTCCTCGATCGACCAGCATCGGCACAGTGGACCCTGCGTTCCCTTACGGCCCCGAAGCTCAGCGACGACCTTCTGCAACAGAGTACCACTTCCAGGCTACACAGCCCTACCAGCGCCCCATTCCCCCTACTCCTACGCAATCTTGCACCCCAGCACCGACCGGTCCCCCACATCCATCCCATACTCCCTCATACTCGTCGCACCTGTCATTCGGTTCGACACAGACTCAATACTCAGCTCCTCAACTACCTCGAACTCCACAGTCTGCAACACCACCAGCGAGTGTATATTCTCCTCGTCCATCCATCTCGCACGCAAGGAACCCATCGATCTGTACCGAGTACGAATCGACTCACGCAGGGTATCCGTGTCCTTCCGATCGGTTACAAGCTGAGCGCTCTTCATATCTGCCGCCTCTCCGCCTAGAGCCTCCCAAGGGCCTCAATATGCAGCAGTCTGCTGATCCGCGTTCGTCTGATCCAACTGCGTGCCACTCTATGGTCCAACCTCCGGCAGCTCGGACTCAAAATCCCCACCTCGTGCCGTCGCTCCCGCCACTCAAGTCTCTTTCCGGAGAATACTCTAATAATCCACAGCCAATGAACGGCTTCACGCACAGCCCCAGTCATGATCTGAACTCAGGGAAGAAGCTTTTCTGGGAGACCGGCTCCAGCGTGTCCAAACGAAACTACGAGGACAGCTTTGGCCACGACGAGCGTCCACTTTACAACGGTATGCGACCTGATTCTGAAGCCTATACTCCAGGAAGTCGCCGATCATCCGAGGCAAGCCGGTTATCATTCTACAGCGAAACTCGCGATGAGATGGCCTATAAAAGAGCCAACGGGAGGATGGCCACGAAAATATCTCCTGCCATTCAATAGTATTGACCCGATGGGAATTCTCTCGTCATTTGCATATTTTTTTCTCGCTCTCATTACATGGATGGCGTCTTGGCGAAAGGACGTCGCCTATATCGGTTTTTCTTGGTTGATTTTTACCTTTCCCCGACTTATCTAGTCTTGAGGACTACATTGATGAAACCAGACCTACGTTTATAACATTACCTTCTATTCTACCTTCTATTCTACCTTCTGTATATGACCTCTGCTTTATTTTTCATATGCTTGGCGAAATATTCCCCGTATAGTTTCTGTCTTCGGTTTGCACAGTGACAGATTTTTTTTTTTTTGTGTTTTTTATAAGTATCTCTTTCATGTTTGCGTCCCAATCCTTTACTCGACTATACGAATCGGCCCAGCCTCGCAATAGCCTTGCGGGCTTTTACTCTTAACATCTTGCATTCCGTGGCCGTTTCTCATTCTATACCGATAGATGTGTGTTCCATACACCTGCATCCCTTCTCACAGCATGATTTGTTTCAGCGACACTCTTCTCCAAGGGACTTATATCTTATCTGATGCATTTGGGCGTATCGCAAAGGAATTAATTATTCTATGATCTTCTGCGGCTGGCATTCATGGCAACCCGAGATTTTTGAAGATATTTATATTTTATTTTCTTCCCATCTTTTCTTCCTACGTTTCGTCTTTTGACGTGTAATAATAATAATCTGGCCATGTGCCGTATGGAGACAGAAGGATAAATCCTACATGAACTAGCATTCAGCTTCTATACATACATACACAGATGTGCCTGTACGTACCGGATTCTCTAGAACGCAGGGATGTAGAATATCATCCTTGTTAGGTGGGGTTTCAGGCAGACATGTCCACCACGTAAGACACAAGGCACCTTAACTGACTTTTGGCGGAATATTATAGTAATAACTCGTCTAAATTCAAGGCCACTACAGAGTACTGACGTCTTCTGTGTTTGGAGTCCACCATGACTAGTCCCGAGTTGCTCTCTGCAACTCAAACCAAAGCACTCCAGTCCAGCCTTGAAGAGCTGGCTCTGGAATTCAACCCTGATGGCCGGTTTATTTGCTTGTCTGCCTCACACTGGCGTCACCCTCGCAACTGGCATCGACTGCGCAAAATTCACGACACCTCTGTCTGATCATTGTTTGAATCTATTCACTACTGGGCTGATCTTATTCCAGGTGGATTCTCTGACAATGACATGGCTATCTCTACCCAGCACCGGAGTGAGCACGGCTGGAGTGAGTTAGGTCTTCTAGACAGCATAGTTGACGCTAACAACAATATACTATATGTCTTCAGAGCTGTCCCGCAAATAGAGCCCAGTAGGAGTTTGGTACTGGACACACCTTGTTCATATTTTTATTTGTCTCTATGTATGTATGTCTTACCTTCTGGTAGTCTGGGTTGCCAAGTATTTATCACACTCGTCATAGATATCCTCTCGGACAGTGAGTTGGTTGAGCCATCCTCCCACATTATTCAGAAGCCTCTGTCCGCAAGAAGCTGTGTATTCTACATTGCAGCGATCATCGTAGGCGTCACAACCAGCGTTCTAATTGGCCTTTGTGAATGCCGCCCTTCATTGCTCCATTACAAAAATAAATAAGAGAAATGAAGTATCAAAAAAAAAAAAAAAATTACATTCAATATATACAAGTCATGCATCAAGTTAATTAAAAATCCTTTAATTGGAGACTTGAGTGCAGCAATCGTCCTAAATTAGGAAACAAGGAAGGCATTTCAATATAGAAGATCCACAAATCGCACTGACAGAGCCCCTCAAAAGCCTGAGGCACCGATGGTAAATAATTACTAAATTCAAGCTAATACTCCATCAACCAAGAAGGACGAACTTGACAAACCACTATAGCACTACCGGATAATGCTTCCACCCCCAAACCATCTCCACCATTCTCATCCCATCTATATATAGTGTTATCCTTTTCTCCTGTCAGATTCCAATCCATTCCGCTGATCGTCATATTCTACGCCCTTCATGACCTCATTGGTGTCCTAAACCCTCTGCATTGGAATGTTGCCGAAATGTGCATCAACCCGTGTAAGGGGCAGTCTGGTCATCCCACTGAGATCAAGACGAGGGTGCAAAACTTGCAAGTGGGTGCTTGCCTTCATTTTCATAGAAAAGTTATAATACTAAGCGCCTTCTAGAATACGAAGAGTCAAATGCGGGGAAGAAAAGCCAAACTGCGTCCGATGCACCAGTACAGGACGCAAGTGTGAGTACGAAGGCACAATTTCTCGCACATTTTCTTCTGCGCCTTCCACGATCTCCATCTTCGACAATCCCCTTTCATTATTACCGAACACAGTGTGGCGAGAGCGTCGCGCTTTTGCTTACTATTTTCAACACGCCGCACCGTTCGTTGGTGGTGATCTGGATGTTGGTTTCTGGAGCACCATCGTCCCGCAGGTTTGCCGGAGTGAACCTGCCGTGTGGGATGCCATCATCTCCATTAGTGCACTGTTTGAGAGCCCCGAGCCGTGGCCGAAACTCTTCTTCCCGCGCCTGGAGGATCCGCGCACTCTTAACCAAAACCACCGAGACGCGTTAAGCTGGTATTCCCGCTCGGTATCTGCTGTTCGTCAGCGAATTAAGCGTGGTGATGTGGACATATTTGTCGGACTGATTAGTTGTGTACTGTTTATATGCATTGAGTGTCTCCAGGGAGCTTCAAAAGAGGCCTTGCAGCTTTATAGACAGGGTGTGCATCTTATCCTCGCGTTGCGGACCAAAATAGCTTGCGGTGTCGTTCCAGCATTTAAAGCTTCGTTGTTAGAGGATACGATCGTCCCAATCTTCGTCCGCCTGGGTGCAATCGCTATCAGCGTTTCTGCAGTTCCAGTGAGAGATTTACTCCGAGACACTGGACATGCATTGACGCATAAATTTGTCTCACTCAAGACAGCTCGGGAGACCATCGTTCTCCTAGCCACGGAGGCTCAGCTCTTTGACATACTTGCTCTGAGCATCTACTAAATCCTCACACCTCTCGTGTAACCCAGGATTTGCTAAATCAACAAATAACCCTGCTAGCCAGGCTTAAGAGCTGGCACAATGCCTTTCGTAACTTGATGGAAGCTCTACACAGAAAAGGCATTTTATCACCGCAAGAGACTAGCACCGGTGCCATTCTTTTCTCTTATCACGAAATGCTATTTATATTACTGGCGATTTGCGTATCACCCTTGCAGATCATAACTGACGCTTATCTACCAAACTTCCAAAATATAGTGGAACAGTCTAGCATCGCTCTAGATGCTTCAGCGCAATCAGACGGCACACAGCCACCATTTACATTTGGTATCAGCGTCGGCCTTCCGCTTTGGTTCACTTGCCTTAGGTGTCGCGAACCCAGGATCCGACGTACGGCACTAGCTCTGCTTAACCGAGCGCCTCAGGTGCAGGGGTTCTACATGAGCGATACAACGGTAACCTTGTGCGAAAAAGTCATAATGTTAGAAGAAACGAATGGAATGGCAAGGAATGCAGCCCAAGGGACGACAAATTCTATGGCGCCAGAATCAATGCATATATCCGGTGATTGCGAATCTTATAGACGAGGTAACAGTAAGGACATTTACAAATTCGACCGTAGCAGTCCCCTCAGTATCCCGAACTCTGCATCAACCGCAAGCCCATATTCCGTGCTTACAGACATGGAAACCAGAACACCAATAGCAGTGCTCGTCCCAGAAGAGGCACGCATTGCACCCATAGGTGTATTTCGGCCAGGAGATGGCTTTCCTCCAGGAACAAGGGAGGAAGACATAGCGAAATGGAACCGAAGCCCTGATCAAGACTTTTTGCGATTTTGGCGGAACGAGCGCGATGTGTCTAACGACACTTGGTGGAGGGTCTACGGATACGTTCCTATTGATTTTTGAGCATTAATTGGCCTGATATAAATTCAGTAATATCGACATGGTAACTCGGCACAACCAGCAAATTCCAACATCAATGTCTCTCCCAGACGCATCTCCTCCTATATTCATCATAGAACATTTCTCATACGTTTTGCCCACTCGATCACTCAGGAGACACAGGTGCGAGAATAACGGCCGGAGAACAATTCTTTGTGATGCCGTGGCCAGTCGAGAGACCTTCTGGTGAACTACATGGAGATGGCATCAGAATAAGTTCACTGTTCCCATGAGATTGCTTTTCCAGCAACGAAGTCCGATATAGGCTAGAATGGGGCCCGTTTTAAGCATCCTAAACGCCATGAACACTAGCTGACGGAAGAGGTGTTCTAAGGAATGAACTAAGAACCACCTATCAGTATGAATATCGGAGCTCGACTGTGCTGGAGTAACTGATATATATTCGCTCGCTGGTGTTTCGTCTAGTGACAATCACCAATGATTACTGATAAACTGCCCCGGACATTTGATAAGAATGTGAGTTTGCGCGAGTGACTCTATCAACAACTATATTCATCACGATCTGTTATCTTCAGCTTTGTATTATTCCAATCTATCCCAGGTGATGATTCGTGCCAGTTATGCGGAGTTACTGAGTACTCTATCAGGCGCAGAAGATGAGCTTCCGCACATTTCCGCTCTTGTAGCGTTTCTATAGTTCGAGCAATATCTACTACATTTCTCCGTTTTCTAAGTCAATCGGCCCCCAAAATGGGCTTATACTCCACAATTGGTCAGGAAACTGCATTGGTCAGACACACCAGAGATCGACGTATGAACAGTGTGGGACATGCCCCTCGAGCGATAACTGTCACGACCCATCCTGACCAGCCTGTATCGGCATGAAATTGGTTGCCGTGTTTGACTGGTCGAAAGTAGCAGGCAGTATAAGAGGGCAGACCAACGGGGATATGGAGTTCTCCATCGATCTTCAATGAATCTCTTTCTCTCCCTCACGCTTAGAATTTCGTTCAACTAGGTGCCTTATAGTTGAATACTAATCACTATTTTGCATGGCTGTCACACAAAGCAGGCAAGAATCGGGGCGTAAATAAAGAGTTCCTTTAGTCATTCTGACAGTCGTGGGTCTATATAAAAGCAGCATTTTTCTTGGTAAGACTAATAAGCGGTACGGCCCGCTCAGAGAAGACGGGTATAAAAGATTAATAAATGTTGGCGAATCCCACAAAACTTCATACGTCCTTGGGGCTCTTCCGTCTCTCCCAGGATCCGATAGCCTCTACCTTTACCTTTGTACGTAGTATCGACACGCACGCCTTTGCCGGTCCGGATAATGAATCCGAGATATTTCACAGTATGTTGTTCAAATTCTAACTTATCAATATCGCACTGCAGTCCTGCACCTTTGAGTCGGTTAAGCACCTCTGCAACCGTTTTACAATGGTCCTCAATCGAGCCACTTGACTAGATAGTTGTTATGTCATCAATGTAGCGTGACACAAAATCATCAAGGTATTCTCGTAGAACTCGGTTAATATAGCGTTGGAATGTGGCAGGGGCAATAGTAAGACTAAATAAAGTAATATTTTGTTTAAAAAGGCTATAACAGGTCTTAAAGGCAGTTTTCCAGTCCTTACTAGGCGACATATGGATCTTGTGGAATGCAGCGATCATATCTAGCTTTGTAAACCACCGGGCTCGGGACATATTCCGAAGAGTAAGGGGGAATGGGTAATAATCCTTTACTGTAAGTTCATTCAGGTGTCGGTAGCCCACACAGAAAGAGATTCCCCCGCTGGGCTTTCTCACTAATAGGATTAGGGGAGCCGCAGGATACTTGCTGACGCGGATGTAATTCTTTCCCAGTAGGTCGGTAAGAGTCTTCCGTAAGACTAGTAGCTCTTCTTTATTCATGCTATATATTAGTGAGCTGGGTGGAAGCGATAGTTTCTTGCCGTTGGCATCCTTCTCAAGCGGAATTCGGTGGTCGATACCGAGTCAGTGTGGGGGTATCTGGTCTGCTAGTTGTTGGCTAAATACATCTAGCCACAGCCAATATTGCTGGGGGAGTTTCATTCTTGGATCAATGACAACTTTGGGTCTAAGGGCCTTCTTGATATCGGGCACTGTGACGTTTTTAATAATTAGTCGTGGGTCCTGGAGGCTTCCGCGTATTGTCTCGTGGAGTTCTCTAGCGGTGGCAGCCACCACGCGAAGGGGCGTTATATCTGTGGTGGAGATTGAGGAGTTGGAACGATTAAAGCAACGGGGTTTGCTCCCGTCTGAGGAATATATATCAAGATATCCTTTTCGTACGGAGTATTTTACGTCCATTCTTCCATCCATGGGTTTCCGAGGATTATTGCATCAGTCTGGTTTGGGATAACATATGCGAAAGTTTGCTGCTGCCGGTGACCGTGGATATCTGCGTCGAAGCAGGTAACATGTTGTATAGTTCCCTGATTAGCCACGACACCATCTAGTGTGCGATGCTATCTTATAGAATGGCAGAACCTGCGCGCGGATAATATTTTGCTATGATTCAGGCGAAGTAGATATCAGTCAAATTAGGATGGACGCATCTACCTTACGTAGACTACCACCAAGACAGCCCTATAGTTCTATCTGAGGGATCCTGGCCTCCTGTTTCAAAGTACGCCTTGAATCACTTCTGAACTTTGTCAACCGAAAGTATAAACAATGCAAATCTAGCATGGTAGAGGCTTGAAGGAGGAATTCTATGGAGCCCTGACATATTCAAGCTTTCAGTTTTAGTCTGAGGTTTGGGTTCGATGCATTACTGAGGTTGCGGTTGAAACCCTGAAGACGTGCGGGTCAGTTCTGTTTTGCTTCGATTGCAGCGGAATTCAGGTAGATAAAATGCATTCTAGGTTATAGTACCGTGAGACTGTAGAGCTTTGAGGGATCTGCCATGCAACCCAAGTCGTACATTGTTTGTTTCAGTTGGTTTGATTGTGGAGCATCGGAGTATTAATTCGAAAGGGGTCGTGCATAATTCTAGATTTGGAGTTGGATTAGGGTATAGGGTATAAGGTAATTGTTACATGCCTTAGGCTACCACATCTCTAGTGATTGAACTGAACAATGGAATAATATTGCAGGCTTTGAAGGATACAGGTTGTAAGCCTTTGTACAGAACTACAGAGTACAGAGTGAAGCATTAATGAGATTGATTCTCTTGTACGGAGTATATGGATAGCTTCATGCTTCCTGCATTCTCACGTGGCGATCGGCGATCGAGAAAGGGGGATCGAATGAAGTTCAAAGACGGCATCATTGTCTAGGACATTCATTCCTCGGATGGAATGAGTTCATTCCCTGTGAGTCGGAGAATGATAGAATTGCTATTTATTTTTTCAAAGGAAGACCGTTTTTCTTGGCGCATAGCTCCGGCATCCTCAAATAGGAAACCAACAATGTAAACAATCAACAATTCAACTCCAGGACTCTCCCCTCTTTTCTCTCCTCACCGCCCCTCTCACAGGACTCGTCCATCCTCTTTTCTGCTTCTTCTTCGATCAGTCTCCCTGTCCATCTACTTGGAATATCTATTGTTCTACGGTGGAAGTGGAAGGGGAAGAGCAGGAAGCAAGAAAGAAAGAAAGAAAGCAATAGGCAATACGAGGGATGACGGAGTGCAGAGCTGCTGCCGAGGTTCGTCAACCCTACCCGTGGCCTTTTCACCTCCTTGCGCTCATCATTGTCTCCGACTCACACCTGCTTACCACCTCTCCCACGCCAATCCAGATGTCATCCAACGTGGACGAGGTCGACCCAAGCCACCAGCTGCAGCAATCGCTTGCACAGACCTGCAGTCACGACGAGTCCCCGTATTCTTATTCCCAGAAGCACTCGCGCAGCAGTAGCGGTGTCTACTACGACGAGTTCGACCTATCGTCCGAAGAGGAGTCCGGCCAGTTCGATGACGCCATAGAGGAGCTTGCCTCTCCACAACAGCCGACGAAGGCCCGCTCGGTATCCAGTCACTCGACAAAGCGACGACGGTCCAACGATTGGCCCCTTGATCATGGCGAGGATACTTCGCGTAAGGAACCCACAACCAGCCATCGCTGGCCGTTCTATAGCCCCGGCAGAATTTCAGGCTCCCACGGCGGCTCGCCGCGCACGATTGGACGACGGCTGGGAAACCGGGGTCGTCGCTCCCGCTTCGTCGAGGGCACCATGAATGACAGCGTAAGCGAGAAGCCACCGAGTATCTTCATGCGGGACGCCAACAGCAAATCCGTGAACGATGGGAGTGGTCCCAGCCAGAAATCTTCGGGGATTTTTCGGTTCGGAAAAGCCATTGCATCCGCATTCAATCCATTTGGTGTGCTTGGGAATGTCTCCGATATCTGGAAGGGCTCGGAGACACAGAAGCCGGCGGACGATACGCTTGCGCGGGCGGAGAAGGCCTACGCGGAGCTGAAGAAAGCGGGATACAAAGGTACGGTGAAGGGAAGCTATATGCAAAGCATGCAAGTGGGGCCCAACAACCTTGCAGATACGACATGGAAGTCGATTCAGGAGAAGATGGATTACAAACAGGTGGGACGTCACTCACGACAAAGTTCCGGCGAAGGAATTGGATCGGGGGTTTCGCTCAGGAGTTCGTTCCAAGAGCTTCGAAAAGCCAAGTCGTCCCTCGGGATTCCGTCGATGTCTCTTCTTACAAATAGACGGTCAGATGATACTGGATATCCGGAAGTGCGACGGCAGATGTCGCGGAAGGAGCTTCAGAGGCAAGCCAAGCTGTTAAAGCGAGTTAGCGACCTCGAGGAGAAGCTTGAACGAGCCCGGCAGGAGCTTCAAGAGCTCATGAGCGAGGACGAATTTCTATCGCAGACCTGCGTGGCTAAGCCGTACCATCGAAAATTTATTCCCGGAGAGCTCCCTTGTCTTCCGTCGGAGAGACTCCTGCATAATAATTCTACGCCTCCTGTACCTGCAGCTGGAACAACTTTAGTGCGTTCACCACGGCGGAATGTTCGACAGATATTAGAGACTCATGAGATGGGTGAGCGCCATCAGACAGCCGAGAAATCTACCACCACCCAGAGGCCCAAACCACCAGACGAATCCCAACCACAGTCCTTGGCCGTGGATAGTCCTTCTCGCAAACGAAAGTCGCCAGATCCTCAATCAATGAGACCAAGCAATAGCAGCCATCCAAACCAAGACGATATGCCGAACCACGGTAAAGAGGTCGACATCTCCCAACGTGGCGAGGAGGCCACACCTTCTCGAAAGCCCAAATTAGCAAAGATGGATCGGCGAGACAGCCCCGGGTCCGTGGAACGGAAGCAGCCGCGGGACCAAGAGAAGCAACAAGAGACGGACGGACGCTCTCCAGGGGAGGAGCGAGGGCGACGATCGGCCCAACCTCTCCGATCAGCAAGCAAACGGTCACCATCCGTAAAAAGACGGGCGTCGAGCTCGAGAAACCGAGCCACGCCATCTCTTCGCATGAAAAGGGGCCATGTGAACCTCCGCTCGGAGGATGCCAACGATAATTCCATAGTCCATGATTCAGAAGACAAGGAGAATCAGCAGCATGATGGCTTGAAGGGTACATGTTACCTTGATGACGAGTCTCTCCTCAATCCTGACCAGATCGCCCCCAGTCCATGCTCCAGCAGGAGAAAAGACCCGTCCAAATGTAGCTACAGCTATAGCTATATCCCGCCGGTGCCTCCTATCCCCAAAGATCTTGCCGCGACAGCCGCCAAAGTCGACCGACGGCTGGCGATGGAGATGGGCAGGAAGCGAGAGACACACAGTCTGAGACAGGCGCAACGGACGGTGCAGGAAAAGGCAGAGTCATTCAGGTGGCCAGATGACATATTTTGATCTGGATTTTGCTTCTATGGCTGTCACAGACGGCCGGGCAGGTACTGCTTTTCCTATGTCATATTATGAATGTAACGACATGATGACACTAGCAATGATTCTTGGATGTCTACTTGATTCGGGTATACTGTGCATAGTCTAATTACTGATTGACTCTGCATGGCACTAGAGAGTTCATTAAATCGGATACTAGACATAGTAACATCTGCAAAGTAAATGTAACCAGCTATGCTACACAAATCCTATCAAGTACGAGGAAACTATAGGATTGCCGTTGCATTGGCGTGGGAACCAACACCGCCTGTACCACCCGTCAGCTAGAAGAAAAAAGAGAGAGAGAGCGAGAAAGAAAGAGAGAACATACCTGCAACATTCGCCGGCGCACTTGTAACAAAAAACGTCCACTTCCCCAACCTCCGACATCTCCTCGCCAGATCCTCTAGATCCCACATCTCCCCCAGCGGCATCCCCCAAAGCGCCAGGATATATTGATGCAAGTACCCCAATTCCCCACGAACAGACGGCCAACACTCAAACGTCGGCGAATCCCCACACAGCGCAGCAAAATAGCAATCATGCAGCCAATCCAGCATGGGGTCTTCCTGTTTCAGCCCGGCCCACTGCAGATTCGCGGCGCGGGAGTTCCGCTCCGTCGAGCTACTGAACTCGTGATACCGCTGCACGAACCCCGACCGTATCATCAGGATATCTCCGACTTTGACGTCGCCGCCTTGCGACTCGGGTCGGAGATCGAGGCCCTGTGCGGCGGCGCAGGCTTGGAGTTCTGAGAGGGATATGGCATGTGCGCTATACGCATCGTACGGGATGGAATGCGTCTCTGCGTAGTGGCGGTAGTCGAGGAGGATGCCTCGGCCGGCGATGCCGTGTTGAGCCCAGTGGTGGATGCTGCCGCGGTGGTTGGCGGTTGGGCCTTCGATGTCGGTGGATTTGGTCTGACTAGTTAGTTTTTTCTTTTTCTCTTTTTTTCCCCCTTTCTTTTTGTTCTCTGGTGAGAAGATGGATAGAGAGGATGTACGTACCCCGTTATAGAAAGTCTGGCTACTCAAATGTGCAAACTAGATAAGTGTTAGCTTATATGGAATAGAATTAATCTACCATCGAAAATATATGTCATATAGCAAGGAGAAGGGAAGGATACATGTCGAAACCCATCCCATTGCGTCCCACTCTGCGTGTTCAATGTATAAGTATCATCGTAGGCGACGTTGGGAACCAGACATTTGATATTATGTTGGAAGGATTCTCTTCCAAAGGCTGGGGTCTCTGGGACGTTTAACGGGAGACTATTCATAAATTATTATCCAATTCTGTCGTAGAGTGGGAGTCTAGATGTACTCACTCCAGCCGAACCATTTCCCCCGTGCGTATCTCCCCCGCGGCGGCTTTCACTCGCTGGGGAGTGAGAAGGTTCAAACGACCGAGCTGATGCCGATACCGTCAGTTAAGCTACGATTCTCTTGATATGGAGGGAGAGACCTCGTCATCTTTTCCCCAGACCCAGGCTGCGTCGTCCGGGGCATTGGGGATCTTGGGGAGTTCTGCACGCGAGGGAAATCGTGTGCAATTGGGGTCCCATGGTAGTTGATTGGGATCCTGGACGGACATGGTTGTATGGCGCGTAGAAACGGTTTCGGAGAGTTGTGTCGGAGAGTTGTGTCGGAGAGTTGTGTGCAGAGAGTTGGCGGAGACGGTCAGAAAAGGCCATATTTCAGAGCTAGGTGGAGAGTAGTAGATTTAAAATACGGGATAGACGTCATAATCATATATATTATGGAGAATGCGGAGAAACTTTAGTAACTCAATTGGTTTCCTGGTTCAACCGAGGGATCAACCAGACCGAGGACAGGAGCGGATTTCTAATCATGAATGTTAATGGCTGACAGATGCCTTTACGTGATGGATGATGATAGCCAGACGGCTCCTTTTGGTTTTCATTCAGGTCGAATCGAGATTCTCGTTATGATACACAACTGAAGGCATGGAGAAAATTATGCAGATGGATAGAGTCCCGGATGGGCTCCGAATGCGCCGGAAGTTTCAATGACCAACACCATCGTCCATAGGATGCAATCGAGGCCCGCCATACAGATCGGATGATTCAAAGACAAACGCCAGGAAGTCGATACCATGTCCGTGTTCCCTAATGGATTGTTGCTCCCAAATACAAGCAAAAAGCAAGCTGGTCACCGAGCATGTCAACAAGCATCCGTAGCCAGTTACCACCGACGCCAGAGATGTCACGGAAGAAAGAGATAAAAAAAAAAAAAAAAAAAACAAAAAAAAAACAAAACGTGGAACTCGTTCACTTCCAAGGGGGAATGTTCATCGCTAAGTGCATCATGAAATACGTTCAAAAGGTGGGGGGAAATAAAACAAACTATGTCTGTGTAGGCACACCGGTCGACTGTGAGACATTGCGACCTCCGCGAATGCCACCCCGACCTCGAGAGCCATAGCCACGACCATAGCCACCCCGGCCATAGCCTCGGCCACGGTTTCGACCGCGACCCCGGTAGCCGCCACGGTAGCCATCGACGCTACCCTGTCCGAAGGTTTCGATGTTTCTCTTCTCCTCCTCACCACGCCACTCGCGACCCCCCCGGCCCCCGCGGCCCCCAGCACCTTCCTCGCGATCACGAGCCTCACTCGAGATGTTATCGAAGAACGAGCTGGCCTTGTTATAGGCAGTAACGGTGCTGGTACTATCAGCGCCGGGATCAGCGGACTCGGATACATCACCATCCGGGTGAGGTTCGGTCTCTTGGACGGGGGCGCCACTGGTAATGGCCTCCTTGAGCAAGTCCTGCTTGTTGAATCGGGCATTGGCCGTCTGGAAATCGTAGTCTGTGTCCGGAACCTCGACCTTCTTGCTCTGTCCCTGGTGTTGGCTGCGGTGGTTACCACGCCCGCCGCGCGCATGCTGGTGACCGCCTCGCAGAGGACGGCTACCTTCATAGGGCTTCATCTCCGCGATCTGCTTCGTCAAATGCTCCACAGGGCCATCTCCCGGTTGCTTCTTCTGGGGGGTGGGCTGTGGCAACTTGGCCATCGCCGCTGCGACAGCCGCTGTGGCTGCCCGAGAGGCTTCGGTGATCGCCGCCTGAGCCGAACCTGGAGGCACGTTGCTTCCCGACGCACCTGGTGCACTCGGAACAGGAGGCTTCGTGGGGGCCGCAATGGGGATGGCTGGCTGCACACGTCCCCTCGGCCCGGTTGGTGGGACCTTAGACAGCCCAGGCGGTGCACCCTGAACGGACCCGGTCGACGGTTGAATGGCCTCTGCCACGGACGGCTTGGATTCCACGGGGGGGATAGGACCGACCTGTGCCGGAGCAGGTGTAGCATCTCGACTGGCAGGTTTGTCTCCAACGGGAAGCTCTGACGTGGTCTTGGGCCCATTCTCCGTGCCTGTGGGGGCAGGACCTGGTCGCTGCTGAGGGGGCGTCTGATGATGACCAGGAGGGCCAATGGGCACTTGAGGTGGGAACTGGCCTGGTCCCGGAGGAAAACCTTGGCCTGGTGGGGGAAACCATCCCGGTGGAGCACCGTACGGCATATTGGGGAATCCCGGTCCACCGGGTGGGAAGCCAGGTCCTCCAAACCGTTGGCCATAAGGAGGATAGAAACCTTGGAATTGTGGGGGTTGAGGATAACTAGGAGGAGCAGGATGAGGAGCCTGGGATTGTTGGGGAGGAGGTTGAGATTGAGGGGGAGGTGGTCCCTGAGGGCCAGGTCCAGGACGCGACATGCTCTGTTTCGCAAGTGGTCAGCAAAAACTCTGTTCATATGCAGTGTAATTTTTTTTTTTTTTTTTTGAGAGTTGGCAGACACGCTTTCGAGGTCCATGATCATATCAGAAGGAAGGCAACGGAAATATCCACATGGTTTTGCGCTATTCAGAACAGGTCTGTGAAGTTTACATCCGAATATATTTCATCATCAGATCAACGGACCTACCGTGGGCCGGTCGGCGGACTCTCGAGCAATGGGACTCCAAAGGATACAGCAATCAATGGTTTCACTTACCCCTAGAATAGCAGGATCATCTGGCACCTGGGGCTGCTCAGACTGTGTGGATTCCTTCTCCTCCGCGACACTGATGTCTTTTACATCACTGCCACGGAACACAATGTACTCGTAGACACTGGTGGAGGGCGCAATTTCCTCCGCGGGGTTCCCGCGTCGGCCTTCTGTGCCGAAGGAAACAACATTCTCGAGGGCAATTGTTGAGGCTTCAGGGTTGATCTCATGCAAGGTACCAACGTAGCTGGCAAGGGAGAGTCAGCAAGTTGAAGGGGAGGATGGACAGACAGCGATTGAACATACCGAATGTCACTCTTAGAGATCAGATTGAAGCGCTGACTGCCAGGTGTTAACTCCAGCCAAGCCGCACAAACCCTGGTTGAGACCAGTGTGGGCAGAAGACTGACCCTATTAAATGGTTCATATCCATACTGACAGGGGGAAGTATGCGCGAGAGACGCGCAGAAAGAGAGGGGAGGGGACGGGAGGGGAGTCACTGAGAGAGAGAAGAAAAGAGAAAAAAGAAAAATAGAGAAATAGAGAAGAAGAATTGGGTTAAATAGAGAGAGAAAGGGAGAGAAGAGAAGAGAAGGAGAACAAGCGAGAAGTTCGTTTTTGTGGCGGAAAAGCTTGCGGGATACGGCGGACTGCAGGAGCTCCGTGTGCACTTGTTGCTCTCTGTTTCTTCCGTGCGGTCTATGCAGTCATCTCGTGCAATTTATCTCATGGAATTCATTTCGTGGATTATCTCTAGATCCTAAATCATGTCGCGCTCCTCTCACACAGATGACTTCTTCCAGACCACGTTCGTTGTCCCCGTTCCTTCCCCGTCCCTCGCTGATCTCTCTCTCGGACTCCAGGGCGGCCCTTGACGAGCAGAAGCGAAAAGACGCCAAATCTCGAAATACCAATGGATCCCCTATCAAGCTACAGAGTAAAATACTGGCGATCCAAGCCGACCCAGTGGACGCAGGTGCAGTGTTTGTGGCTCAGAGTGGTGGCACCGTGAGGAGGATCATACCCGAAGTAGGTGCACGGTATCCTTGCTTTGTATCCAGGATGCCTCTCGCGGAGGACCCGTAACTAAGCTAGCGATGGTTTTCTGGGGGGGTGTAGACAGGGGAAACTACCGCCGTTTATACGGGACCATCGGCTCCCATCACGAGCCTCTGCTTCAGCCCCGATGGCCGGTCCTTGTTTGCTGGGAGTTGGGATAAACTCGTGTGGAGCTGGGATGTGGCCTCAAGGGAGCCAAAATTGAAATACGAGGGTCATACAGACTTTGTGAGATCGGTCGTGAGCACCAGATTTCGTGGCCAGGATGTTCTGATTTCAGGAGGGGCCGATGCCCAAATCTTGGTCTTCGATATCGCCAGTGGGCAGAGGATCGCGGTCATGAAAGGCCACGCGAAGGGCATTCAGGACCTGGCTATCGACCCCGTCTCGCTGGACTCAGAGGACCAGGGACCGGTCGTGTTTAGCGCTGGCAGTGACCGCGAAATCCGACAATTCCACCTTTCCCAGGGCACTACCGACCTCACCGGTACCGAAGCTCTGTTAGCCCACGATACGAACGTTTACAAACTGTTCTTCGATCGAGATGCCGACCTATGGACTGCATCCGCGGACAAAACCACCAAATGCCTCGTGAGAGAAGACGGGTGGAAGCCCAACCTGACACTGAGCCATCCGGATTTTGTCCGAGATGTCGTGGTATACGAACAGGGCGGGTGGATCGTCACTGCATGTAGAGATGAGGAGGTTCGAGTTTGGAATAGATCAGTGAGTGATTTCTTTTTTTTTTTTTTTAAGCTTGGTGACATGGTGTTTGCTGACGTCTTGATCAGACCGGCCAACTCTACCATACCTTTTCGGGTCATTACGAGGAGGTCACTGGGCTTGCTCTTGTAGGGTCGACGGTCGTCAGCGTCAGTATCGATAGCACCATTCGACAGTGGTCGTTGAAGCCCGATGACCTCCAGAGCGCTGTGGAAAGGGCGAAGAAGACCTCATCGGAGGAGGACGAGCAACAGCCGAACCCAGACTCCATGCTAACGGAGGATGAAGAGCGAGAACTGGCCGAGTTGATGGGGGAGGACTGACGAGTTCTAGGATGAATGTATATAGTAGGAACTTTGTGATACGCCTCTGTCAGCGTCGCTTGCTATCTCGACCCAAGCGAGGGCTTCCCTTGTACCACGCATGGTCTCATTGATAGCAGGATCCACGATTGGAATGAATGTCGTACAGCTAGCTCAACCTCAAACGCGGTAACACCGGCAGACAAGCCCTGGCAAATAAAATGGTCTCCTATAACTACTTCCGAACAACAACTTCGAATCTTTCCAACCCCTGGATTAGATGATCTATCCCCCATCCATCCTATACCATGGCTCCAGCCAAGACCATTCTCATCACCGGTTGTTCTGCCCACGGCATCGGAGCAGCTCTGGCTCTTACCCTGGCGCAGAAGGGCCATCATATCTTCGCCACAGCGCGCAACCCTTCCAAGATCCCATTGTGTCTGTCCTCTCACCCCAACGTCACTCCGCTTCAATTGGACGTGACCTCGACCACATCCGCCACCGAGGCCGCCAACGCCATCGAGGACCACGGCTCCGGTCTAGATATACTGGTCAATAACGCAGGCGCAGGCTACACCATACCACTACTGGACGCAGACCTCGACCAAGCCCAGCAAGTCTACGAGACGAATCTCTGGGGCGTCATGAGGATCGTGCAGGTATTGTCGGGTCTCTTGATCGCCAATCGCGGCCGCGTCGTGAACGTCAGTAGTGCACATTCCGTCCTGAATACGCCGTGGGCTGGTATGTCCCAATCCCCCTTCTCCCCGATTTGGTGTTACTTATGTGGTGGACCACTCATCCAAGAGCCCTCCATGGCCCTGTGCTGTGTATGTAGGTATCTCATCCTCGTCCAAGTCGGCCTTGTCCATCCTCTCCGAGACTCTACGTCTGGAGCTCGCCCCGCTGGGTGTATCCGTCGTCACTCTGATGGTGGGTATGGTCCTGACTTCACTTCATGGCAACGAGCCCGTCTTCGTTTTACCGGCTTCTTCGCGCTATGTCCTCATCAAGGATATTATCGCGCGCTGGGCAGCGGGGATGGCAGGACCGAAGGGCTGTTCGACGGGGGTGTTTGCCGAGTCGATTGTTGACGCCGTGCTTGGGGATGCTCACATCAAAGGAGGACGGGTTTGGAAGGGTCCTCATAGCTGGGTCGTTCGGTTCGGTTCAATGTTTGCGCCCAGATGGTTGTCGGTGGGTTATCGATACGTTTTATTTATTGTCTGGTAGATTTCTATTTGCTTGGCAGGTTACTGATGTTGCGTAGGATCGGATGGTGGGTCGTGGACAGGGGCTGGATGCGTTGGCTCATCGTATTCAGAAGTGATGGAATTACTGGTCTTATGGTCTCTGGTCAGGTAATAGAAGGAATGTCAAGAGTCGAAGTTCGTATGAATTAAGGGGCTGCATAAGTGTGATGCTAAGAACAGCCAAATTACTGTTCACTGCTAAGACAAGGACTAGAACAGAGAACTATTATTTGCCATACAATGACCAGATCATAATTTACTATTCGATTTTTGTTCACACCCTAAACCTATACTGCTTCATGCAATCGAAGACATGTGAAGCTGTACCTGACCACTGGCTCAGTCCACCACACGGAGCTCCTCGTAGTCCACCATTACATGCTCGCGAAAGGCGGGTCTAGCCGTGAGTGCATCATAATAGCGACGTAAACAAGGACGATCCTGACGGGTTATTGGGATATCGAAGTATCGGAACAGGACGTGACCGAATTGAATGTCTGCGAGCGTGAACGTATCTCCGGAGATATACGACCCCCGCGACAGCTGCACTTCAGCGATATCGAGAAAGTGATCCAGGTGGGCGATCGCCGCCTGGATTGCGGCTGGGTCCTGTTTGGACGGCGCGGTGCGTACGACTTTCCAGAAGATCGGCTGCGTAAAGGCCATGGCGATGTTCAATTTCGACCATTCTGCCCATTTGTCAACCCTGGCACGAGCCACACTGTCCTTGGGCCAGAACGCAGGGGTTCCATATCGATCAGCCAGATACCGAAGTATGGCCCCCGTTTCCCATAGCGGCTCGTAGTCGCCGTCTCGAAGAACAGGGACGGTTCCGTTGGGATTCATCACGAGAAATTCGGGAGTGTCGTTGCCGCCGTAAATGTGTCCGACGTCGTGGCGCTTATATGGCAGTCCCAGCTCGCCAATACACCACATGAGCGCTTGAACATTGGAGGATGTTCGTCGTCCCCATATCTCGAGCATGGTTGCCTGTATTCTCATCCATTAGGATAAGCTATGAAGTTCTGAGGACAGTTCAGAGGATCACAGTGGATGCAAAAAGTGTTAAGCCCCCCAGTCTGCCTACATACTCCGCCTACCTAGCTCGTCAAATTCTGCCGGTCAAAACCTTTAAGTTTGTATACCAACCATTTGCTTCAATAACTTCCTTTACACGGTGAGACATTGTCTCACATAATGTAATTGATTTATATATAGAGAGATTCATATACGCGTCTGCATGTTTTGGTATGGAGGTAGAATAGGTAGGCGGTAGGGTGGAACCGGCGGTCAGGATTGAGGGGGCTAACACTTTTTGCATCCCACTGTAATATTCTAGCGTTGAACTAGTATAGCCGGGGGCCGATTCAACTAGGTGGCGAGGCCACATTTGCTTAGCGATAGACATGAATATCCACGTCAACCCAAGGGACATGATAATCAGGACACAGGTCCGCCATTTGCTAAGCGGTTTAAGACCACTGTGATGTCTACAGTACGAGACATTGCAAACGAGTCCCCGATAGCCATGGAGTTGAAGTTCTATACGTCATTAATCATCACTGACTCAGCATGCCAACCACGTGATGCTGCCGAATCGATGACGCCAGCGGGGACGATCAGCCGGGTGCGGGCCTCAATCAAAGGCTTCCCCCACGATCCTTTTTATCCCACTTGTTGTCTGACGCTGTATTTGGAATCGTGCTGTCGGTCTGCAGCTGAATTTGCCTTCCCCGCTTCTTGCCTCTAGTTGGCTGCACATCGTTGCGTCGCCTCTTAGTATCGCCTTGCCCTAGCTAACTCAGCGGCGACCCTCGGACCTGGACCGAGCGTTCTTACCAGCAATCAATCACTTCCAGTGACTTAGATCCTAGCCTTTAATCCTGTGCAGGATGGCCGCTCCGTTGGACGCGCATTTGCGTGCCGGTGGGACCGACCCAGAGCCCAAGCTGGTCAACCGCCTGCGCGATAGTAGATCGCCCTACGTAAGTTCGAGCTTCGAGTCATCTATGAAAATAAAGCCCACTGATCGATGGGAAGGTTAGGGGTCACATGGACAACCCAGTGGCCTGGCAGCTATGGGATGCAGAGGCGATTGACTTGGCCCGGAGACATAACCGGTTGATCTTCCTCAGCATCGGTTATTCCGCATGCCATTGTACGTACGTCCTCATCCACGCGGGAGAGACAGGGCTAATTGACCGCAGGGTGTCATGTTATGGAAAAGGAATCTTTTATGTCGCAAGAGGTAGCTTCGATTTTAAATGAATCATTTATTCCAATTAAGGTGGACCGGGAGGAGCGACCGGATATTGACGATGTCTACATGAACTATGTTCAAGCAACCACTGGCTCCGGCGGTTGGCCCTTGAGTGTATTCCTCACCCCAGACCTGGAGCCGGTGTTTGGTGGTACGTATTGGCCGGGTCCTAACTCCTCCAGTTTACCGGGGAGTGAGACCATTGGATTCGTTGAAATCCTGGAGAAGCTGCGAGACGTCTGGAATACTCAACAGCAACGATGTCGCGACAGCGCAAAGGAGATCACAAAGCAACTGAGAGAATTTGCTGAGGAAGGGACGCACACGTACCAAGCGGACCGACAATCCGATGAAGAGCTGGACATTGAACTGTTGGAGGAAGCCTACCAACACTTTGTTTCCCGATACGACACTGTTCATGGGGGTTTCTCCAGGGCACCGAAATTCCCTACTCCGGCTAATCTGAGTTTTCTGCTTCGTCTGGGAACGTATCCGAATGCTGTTTCGGATGTTGTTGGTCAAAAAGAGTGCGAGAACGCCACCGCCATGGCAGTCAACACACTTATCAGTATGGCCCGAGGAGGCATTCGAGACCATATAGGCCATGGTTTTGCACGGTATAGCGTCACGTCGGACTGGCGCCTGCCTCACTTCGAAAAAATGCTGTACGATCAGGCCCAGCTCTTGGATGTCTACTTGGATGCATTCAAAATCACCCACAACCCCGAGCTGCTGGGTGCTGTCTACGACCTAGCCACCTACTTAACGACTAGCCCGATACAATCATCGACAGGCGCTTTTCATTCCTCCGAAGATGCGGATAGTCTTCCGACACCAAATGATACGGAGAAGCGAGAGGGCGCCTTCTACGTTTGGACCCTGAAGGAACTAACGCAGGTGCTCGGTCACCGGGATGCAGGAGTGTGTGCCCGTCACTGGGGAGTTCTCTCGGATGGGAATATTGCGCCGGAACATGATCCCCACGACGAATTCATGGATCAGAATGTCCTTTCGGTCAAGGTCACGCCGAGCAAACTGGCTCGGGAATTCGGTCTGGGAGAGGATGAGGTGGTCAAGATTATCCGATCCGCCAAGCAGAAATTACGGGACTATCGGGAGAGGACGCGAGTGCGCCCGGATCTGGATGACAAGATCATTGTTGCTTGGAACGGCCTCGCTATCGGGGCACTGGCCAAATGTAGTGCACTGTTTGAGGATATCGAAAGCTCCAAAGCAGTGCAATGTAGGGAGGCAGCAGCAAAAGCGGCGGCTTTCATTAAAGAAAATCTCTTTGACAAGTCAACCGGGAAGCTATGGCGGGTCTATCGTGATGGGGCGAGGGGAGATACTCCTGGATTTGCCGATGACTATGCCTACCTCATTAGTGGATTGCTGGATATGTACGAGGCCACCTTTGATGACAGCTACTTGCAATTTGCCGAACAACTGCAAAGTATGTCCTTCCCCTCCGGGAGCGCCTTTTCTGGGCTAGCTGGTGCTAATGGATATGCTTTCAGAATACTTAAATGGACAGTTCCTTGCCTATGCGGGATCAACTCCAGCAGGGTATTACAGCACGCCTTCTACGATGACCGCAGGCATGCCCGGTCCTCTCCTCCGTTTGAAGACGGGGACCGAATCAGCCACACCGTCCGTAAACGGTGTCATCGCCCGCAATCTGCTCCGTCTCGCAAACCTGCTCGAAGATGAGGAGTACCGAACACTTTGTCGCCAGACGTGCCATTCCTTCGCCGTGGAGATCCTGCAGCACCCATTCCTGTTCGTCGGACTGCTCGATGCGATCGTCGGCCTCGAAGCGGGAGCCCGCAACATTACAGGCGTGTTCACCACCGCAACGATCACGGCCGGCCCCGAACCTTCCAGTGGTCTCCTCAGCCGTGTGGACGAGCCGACATCTATGCGGGATCTGCTCGTGCAAAAGATCCGGACCGAAGTTTCCCCGGGGGGTTCGACGTGCACCACCACAGCTTCGCTGGTGGATATTCGCCCTTCGCACGTGGGTGATTTCGTTGGAAACCAGTCCTTCTGGTTGCGAACGCGAAATAAGCTGTTCAAGGACCTCAAGCCGTCCGAGCCTGCAAAGAATTACCTCTTAATTTGTGAGAAAGGCAGTTGCCGGATGGTTGATATTTAGTCTCATATTTATTTTTGGCCTTGAACAAATAAGCGATCTACCTCTTTAAGGTGTGGGTTGAATAAGCTAATGGCCAGCTTCATATCTGAACTGTAGATTGTATGTACGTTGAATTTAGGATGCCTCATCTACTTGGCAGAATGAACAAATAGCAATGCAGTTACTTCGCATGAAATTACTGTGTGGTGTCTCAATAAACTAATACAAGCAACCCAACATTACATACACCCATCCCGAGAAACTGCATATACCTTACCAGCTAAATAATCATATAAACCTGCTCACGCATTGTCAGAGGATTCCCCCTCCCCCCTAACCACTGGAACCGTATCATCTGTTTCCTCCGGATACTGGGTATTCTCCCAGGGTTCCCAGATCTTGGCGTCGCGACGCAGCGAAGTGACGTTTTCCCAGATCAAGCAGAATGCCACCAGAGCCATGATCACCGACATCATGGAGGTGATATCGAGCGAATGAGCCAGACCTAGAAGAACGATGATCAAGCTGGTGATGGGACGCATGATGATTCGGAGATGCTGTTAGAATCAAATCAGATTAGACGTGTCTTTTTTTTTTTTTTCTTTCTTTCTTTCTGTTCTTTGTTTTATTGGAATATAAATAAAAACAAGGCAACGTACCTTTCCCAGTATCAATACCCCTCGTTCATCTTTCGACTCGAACAGCAAAGCCAACACATACAGACAGAACATGCCGATTCCCAGACTCCCACAGAGAAGCCAGCGTTCGCCATCTCCGAAACGATCCTCTTTGGCGCTGGCGGCCGCCACATGCCCTGCCGCCAGCAGACTGCCACTCAGGGGCAGATGCAGGGTAATCCAAGTGAACGCCGTGTAGACGGAATACCGCATGGGGTGGGTGCTTTCCAAGGCGCCGTCGTTGTGGACATACATCCAGTTGAGACAGAAAGCGATGATGAGGGTCCACACGGCGCGGAGAAGACCCAGATTCAACCCGATAGCGGCGGGCGAACCCACCACGATCTGGTACAGGAATTCGCCAAGCACGATGATATAGAAGGCAGCGAAGCGGTCGATCTCATGGGCGATGTCCACGGCGGTCGTGTAGCGCGCCTTGAGGACCTTCTTCGCCGCGGGCGAATAGCAGAACACCCAGACGCACTGCTCCGCCACCACCCCGACGGCGGCGACGGCGATCTTGCTGCGGATCGAGATGGATCCAACGTACAGCGGAATGTAGATACACAGGGCCATTGAGGCCAGGAGAGCCCAGAGACGTTGCTGCGCACGGTGGTGGTAGCTGGCGAATGAGTAAAATAAGTGCGCTGCGTTGCAGGACACTCGTGCCACCATGTATGCGGCGACAGTGGCGCGCATGGCGCCGAGGTCCTTGTCGACCAGGGTGGCATTGTTGCCGTAGACTACCAATACCGCCATCACCCAGAGAATGAGCACGCGTTGCAGCAGGTCGTCGTTGTAGAAGGAATTCATCAGTTCGCGGAGATCGCTCCATACGTGCCAGGAGGGAGCCAGGATGAGCTAAATTAAGTCTGCTGTCAGCAACACATGAAGGAATAAAAATACTCGATGCCGCATCGGCGTACAATGTACATAACCAATCTCGCACCCGTGATATGCTCCGCCAGAGCCTCGGCGAAGTTTGCCAGAATCGCAACATAGAGAAGGTCCAGGAACAGTTCGAATCGTCCTGCGTGATGTCATGAATGAGTTTCCACGCAGGTCAATAGCTTAGATACACTCACCGGCCTGACGTTCCTCCTCCTGACGCTTCACCAACTTCCCATTATCGAACCACTGCAGCGCCAAGGGTTGGCGGAACAGATATCGCGGGTTCGGCGGGACATCGATGTCCGAAACACCAGGCATTATGAGACGAAAACAGACAATTAGGATGCGACGATGAAGTGGATCAGTAGGTATAGGAGGGAGGGAGTAAAAAGGGAAGAAAGAGAGAGAAAAAAAAAAAAAAAAGAAAAAGCAAAACGAGAAGGAGAATCAATATGTGATCGCCGGATTAGGGTTGATGTGGATTGGCGGGACCCATCGGTCAATGCTTAGCTTGCTTGATTTGTCCAGAGAGATATAAGGACTACCTAAGGAGATGAGATACCGAAACAGTGCCTCCTCTTGTGTTTGTCTCGTTCAAGAATCATGGAGGTTGGATCGAAACCCCCGGCGTGTCTCAATGCCGCCGAGGATCTTCGAGAAGAGGCTTCTTGTGAATGGCAGACTGTACATTGGGTTTGGGACTAGTCCCGGAGAGGAAACAAGGTATCCTGTTAGGATATCACAAGCATTGGGTGGGTTGAGTTCTGGTGCTCTGTGCACCAATCATCTTTGTGACTTTGCTTTTGATTCAAGCACTTCATCCACTAGAAATACATGTTCCAGATATATATATATACGAAAATAAAATTTACAACCTAGGCAATACGGATTATCCAGCCCCAGAGGTAAAACGGATAAATTATGGATTCGCCCGAGGAGAAATTATAAGTGTCGGAAAGCGGCACCTGGAGAATACAGAGGAACCTCTGCAGTTGAAAACGCTCAAGTCAATCACCGTTCATAGGGACATGTCCCAAGCCGGGTATACTTACGGTGTCCTGCCATATCCACCGTGCTGAGGGGGACGCTTAGTGTGCACGAGGCCCAGGAACCCGGATCCGGCAATGTGGGTCGAAGGGGGAGGATCGGAGCTGTTCTCACCAACGAATTCTGCATATTTGGGATGATAGGGTGCGAATAGCGGCTCCGTCGGCAGTTTTTGGAACCCCTGTGCTCCGTTCCATGTCATGTTCTGGATGGCAGCGAGGGTGCCGTTCGTCATCAAGATGAAATCCAACATTCCGTGTCCGATAATGGTGTTTGGTACGGTGGATGACGCTCGGTAGGGTGTCCCATGCTGCTGGGTTTGGACTGATCGCGGTGGTCTTTGCCTTGGAAGATTTCATCCGGCGTGCAGACAATGTAGCTAGTGGGCTGGATGTTGATGGCTTTCTGAACGTCGCTGCGGTTAAAGTAATTACTGGGACCTGCGTCGGAGGACAGGAAGCCCATGATATTCCAGAGAATGGGACAGTAGTCCGTGAGGTGGCATATGTTAAAGCACGGATTCACATATGTGGCAGCTTCCACGATATCACCCCATAAGTCACATCCTGGCCGGTCAGATTAGAACAAAACGGGAGAAATGCCACCACAGGGACATGCCTTACCCTGCATCTTGAGGTCAAATGTATTGGTCAACGGATTATACATCAGGGCACCCTAAACGTTAAAATATTCGGCCTCCTTGTCAAGCATCTTCGAGGCAATATAAGAAACGTACATCCCTCTCCAGTAACATAGACCTTCCCGCCGTGCAGATCAAACGTATCCACAAATCGTTTCCAGAAATCAATGAACTGGTGCGCAACGTCTTCCTCGTTGGAAACCGTGGAAGGTCCCAACGACATCCCCTTCCCGGCGGACTGGTCCACATATACGGAGTTTATTCCACGGAGGTTCCAGGCTGCCAAAGAAATGGCTCGTGTTCCTGGATTAGTCCGCCGAGAGATGAACATCCCGGACCGCCGTTGGGCCAGATCATGATCTGCTGAAGCTTCAGCGCAATCCCCATCAGACTCAGCCAGGATTCTAGAAAATCCAGTTACCTCGTCCTGAGCATGGGGATTTGTCGATGAGAAAACCAGAAGTAAAAATTTGAATCTCCCGATGGGGAGTTGGCCAATTACGCAGCATAAGACTCTCCGATATCAAAATCAAAATCCGGGATATGGTTGCCACTGACGGCAAATTCTAGATCAATGAGCACTCGAGCGTCGACTAACTGGCAACTTTTTTGCGCTTACTCTTGGTCTTTGGATTAAGGTATGTGCTATACACCCGCTATTGAACCTAGCGTAGAAGGAGCTAGTCAACATATTTAGTCTCTCGCTAACACACTATTTGATAAACCCTGCTAGTACATGCAACTATGGACAAAATTGCTCCTGTAGCTGGAGGATGATTTATTTCTCTCTATGGGCCCAACTCAGGTTACATTCGGCGTCCCCGGCCATGGGCCGCATGTGGCGGGACGTCTGAGTCTCGGGGATAAACCAATATTACAATATACTAGATTCATTCTTTGGGTCAATTGCGCCTTACATTGGAAGTCGAATTCACTCTGTAGAAAAACATAATTGGTTGAATACGTCCGACTGTACAGGTCGGAGAATTCACAAGGGATATGTTAGGACCGAAAACAGCAGGAAAGCTGTATATCTAGGCTTCTAAGATGACTAAAGCCGTGGCTGGAAGCCCAACCAAGTGTATGTTTGGGCTCAAGCTTTAAGGTAGGGATAACCACCCGTCGATTTTGGTTTCTTTCTTCTCCAGTCACTTTGTTATACCTTCCCAGGGCCTCCTGAGTGCGTCTATTCTATCATGTCTTACACTGTGTCTCTCATACTCGGTAACTTAAGCGAAATATAAGACGCATGACGCATGTTCTAGGCACTATACCCACGCATTTGTGGTAGCTATACCGAATAATTAATTTCCGGAAAGTGGACTGCTTTGATCTACTCCATCGATTATGGTGTATACCAAGCGGTGAGTACAAAGTCGAAATGACATACACAACTCATTGGGGTTGAATCTTATCTGCTTGTATGCATTCAAGGACAAAAGTCGTCTTTCTCTAAATCTCGTCCCAGAATGATAGACTCCGTACAGTAAAACACTGCACTCAAGGATTACCCATCCGAGTAATCAATCTGGAACCTTCCACTTAGTAATGATGTAGAAATGAGCCCAGAAGAATGAATAGTAACTTTAGATTCGGGGTTTTTAGACGATCAAAGGACTTCTCTGTACTCCGTACTCCATAGTCTGCCTAAAATTGATCGGCCCATTGGTTGGCTTCCAGACATCCTAAATGACTTCAATTCCATGCTCAATTGGCAAGGATCACGCAGGGATTACACAATGAATGCATAGCTTTTCATCTATTAGAGTTTTCGTTGTCTGGTTGCCTTGGACGAATATTGAATGGCTCTCTCAGAGCCACTGGTCCGAGTGGACAGGAGGCGCTTAACAGGAAATTAACGCCGCTTCATTTATTTCGTACATTCTGCGTTTGGTCTTCGCTGCACATGTCCGTAGCAATATACACTCCTCACTAGAACGGTCTTGAAGTGATCGGCCTCTGGAATTGTGTACGGAGACAAATTGAACTGACAATGACTGAGAGCTGGTAAATACCTCGTGATATCGAAGTCTCTAAGACAGGAGAGGAGCAACTAGTAATGAGGTCAAGTATATGCCTAGCTAATGCACGCACATCTGTCAAATCATAAGCTCCTAATTTTCTCGCGCCGTTACATTGTACGTTCCTGGACATCAAAAAGTACTTACTCTGTACTATCCCTGTTTGTCAATCCAGACTACGCGATAGCACCGGGAGTTGGGTATGTCAACAGTTAGGCCAAGAAAATAGTTAAGTTATCAAATAAAATAACCGGCCGAGATTCGGTAATAGACCAAGCTCCCACACGACTGACTGCCCAAGTTGATCCAACGTAGTCAAATCAATCTATAATCATTCCGCCTAGAGGCTGCGGTCTGGACTTTCGAGGAACCCGCAGACGGGACAGCGCCGAGGCCCCACGGTCCTATGAAGGCGACGACGTTGGCAAACAGAAAAAGAAAAAGAAAAACAACTACGCCGCTTAGTTAGCTAAAGGGATCCATTGCAGTATGGGTCAAATCTCCGAGTGACAAAGGAGGCATGGAAAGCTGAAACAGTAGTGGACGCCATACGACTCCAGAGTGACCTGCCGAATTGCCAAGTTTTGGTGGTTAATCGTCTCTCAGCCCCTGGATGTGGCCCGTTCATTTGCCCCTCTCCTCGTGGCAGGTCAGTGATTGGCCCCGAGGGTCCTGGCGGGTAGACCGAGATTTCTTCCGTGGTTCCAGGTTGAAGACATTGATGCCTTCAATATCAAACATGGTGGTGCAGGACGGGTGCTGACAGGTTTTTTTTGTATGCTCTGTTTTATTGTGCTTTTGTTGTCCTTCCTCCCTTCCACTACCATAATTACTACCCAAGTGCGGGTCGAGGTACTCTGTATGGACTATGTCAGGAAAATCATAGGAAGTACGGAGTGTTCCGGACTAGCCACGTTCCTCACGTGAATATTCCCCTAAGGCCAGTAGTATCGGTACGGTGCATACACGGCGTAGGTGCTAAGTACTCCGCATTCCATACAGCTATCTGTCTTAGCGTCGCCCACAATGGTAGACAAGCAGAATGACGTTATAGATTACTCTGACCCTGGTGATTACCACCTATGTAGGCAAGTTACCTACTGGGCTTAGGCAGGTACCTATCCAATATGCTCAGGATCTTACCTAGTAAGATATTTAGTAAGTACTCCGCAGTTTTTTAGTTACACTTCAGGAGTACTGTACCAATGAATGGTACTAGAGAAACCCGTCAATTTGATTAGGAGTCTTCGGGGTGGGGCCGGCTGGCTGTTGACCTTCTGATTCGCCCGATGTCCGGCTGTTCCTGAAACGAGCCAAAAGGTGGCTTGTCCCAGCTTGGTTTAGCGTTTTCAGGGGTAAGGTCAGAGTCGACTGCTGTGGCTTCCCCTCTCCAATGATAATAAACCGTTAGATGAAGGGCGGGATCGGAATCATTCGACCCTCTCGGTGAGAGAATTCTCTCTCGACGTAATTCTGGATCTGCTCCAGCATGCTTCCACTTCTAAGGCTGGGGATTCCTTCAAGAGGTCGTTGTGACGAGGAAGGGAGGAAAGGAATGTAATGAGTGTATGATGGAGGGCGGATTCCGTAGCGACTACCTTAGTTACCCACTTTTTGTAGCTTAAGACAATCTCAGACGATCCCTGGTACCTCCTGAAAGGCATTCAGGGGAACAACAAACAGCCTCTTTAATGCGTCAGCGCCAACGATCTCTCTTTCTTTGGCTGGATGATAGTTTGTTGATGATGATAATGATGAAAGAGACAGACAGCGTCCCACGCGCCATACGAAAGAGCTTCTAGAGCACCACCAATATCCCCGTTGACATCTGTGATCCATCCAAGATCCTCCCACCTGCCGAAATTAAATTGCCTTTAATTATTCCAGATCGCATGGGCCCCACCGAGTCCACGCCTCTCTCTCCTTTCCCGTGATCAAGGGGATCACGTAGCTCTGGGCTATATTATCAGTCAACTTTCCCGCCATCTCCCCCTCTTCCCTTTCTGTGGCTTCCAAGTTTCCATCCCTCAATATCGTCATTGGAGCACTTTTTTTCACTCCTTCAAAAAGTGTCCCCAACGGCTGTCATTCTTTTGTCTATATTGGAAACCCACGTACATACACTCCTCCCATCTACCTCTTACCCCTGACCGGCAAGTCCAGTCCAGTCGCAGTCGATCTGCCCAATTATCAGAAATTCGTTCTCCAAGTCTTCTTGCAACTTCACTCCTTTGCGTTGCATCGATCAGTTCACTTCCCGGTGAAGCATTTCTACCCATCGATCAGACACAGTTGACCTGTGAAGACATCTTTTGTACACCCAAGACAGGTACTGTCTGCAATCATGCGGTCTTCAATGCTTCTGGGCGCTCTCTGCGTCGCTGGTGCCATGGCCTCTCCCTTGGAAAAGCGTGCCTACGTGACGGAATGGTCCGTTGTCACCGTGACCACCACTATCACTGCTTTCCCTCCCGCGGATCCTACGCCTCCTCCCGTCGAGAGGGTGGATGATTCCACAACAAGCTGTTCTAAAACCCGCAAGGCTAAGGCCACTGCTGAACCAGCCCCGGCTCCGCCCAACTACCCTCCAGCCCCTCCGCCCCCTCCGCCCCCTCCGCCAAAGGAACCCGCTACCAATCCTGAACCAGCCCCGGCTCCGCCCAAAAACCCTCCAGCCCCTCCGCCCCCTCCACCAGAGGAACCCGCTACCAATCCTGAACCAGTCCCGGCTTCGCCCAACGTCCCTCCGCCGCCGCCGGCGGAGGAGCCCGCTACCACCGCTGCACCCGCGACGACTTATTATGAAAGTGGTGGGACTGGAGATGAACAGGGCTGGACCTCTTATTGGACCTCCTCGTGGTCTTCTTCTTGGGCGGGTTCCACCATAACCATTCCCGCGCCAGAGCCGACAACTACCAACCCGGGCCCCGCGGAGCCTGCCCCCACAGGCGTCTTCCAGAAGACTATCCTGAAGAGCCATAACGTCCATCGTAGCAACCACTCCTCCAGCGAACTTAACTATTCGAAAGAGCTGCAGGAGAGTGCCAACACGCTTGCTTCAAGCTGCGTTTATGGGCATAACACGTAAGGATCCTTGTCCAACTCGATGTATCTTGGGTTCTAACTCTTTCATAGAGAAATTGGTGGTGGAAACTATGGCCAGAACATTGGATATGGTGTCGAGAAGGATAACGTTGCATCCTTGATCACTGACATGATGTACAACGATGAAATGGGCTACTTTGAGGACCTGTACGGCCAAGCTAATCCTGATATGACCAACTTCATGAAGTGGGGTCACTTCACTCAGATTGTCTGGAAGAGCACCACCCATGTCGGCTGTGCTACTGTAATGTGCAACAAACTTACAAGCGATGATGGCAGCTATTTGGGAGACAACTTGCCCTACACGGTTTGCAACTACAGCCCCCCTGGTAAGCGCAGCATCCATCATCCCTCTAGGAGTCGATGCCTTTCCTGACACACCTCTCCATTTAGGCAACTTTGGTGGTGAATATGCCAATAACGTGCTCCGTCCTCTTGGACAAAGTGTTGTTACTGCCTAAGCATGAATAGCTGTTTTCGCTTCGACTGTGTGCCATATGTGAGCACCGCAAATGAAAGGAAATATGGAGAAATTATCTGGCAATTGTCAGTCACATCTGGACCTTTCGGTTCTTTGTTTTTTTTTTTTTTGATCTCTTCTCTGTCCATGTATTTGGTATTCTTTCCCGGGCTTGCCTCGTGTTTGTCTACCCCAAGACTCGATGACGGTTCTCCGGAGATCTGCATGGAGTCTCCGCCGACGTTCCCAGGCCCAAACCATGCCAGACACACAGTAGACGTGATCCCCTTTTTTTGCTTCTTTTGTGGATATTTATCTTCACCTTTTGACCGAATGACAACGGCATCGTTGATTTGGATATACCTTTTTTTTTTTTTGATTTCAGTCCAGTGCTTTCGAGCGTGTTGGTATCCAGAAACGAGTACCTATGACAAGTATGGTCAGAAGAACCAATGACGAACATGAAATCCATGAGACACTCCATATAGTCGCATCGTAAACGGGAGTGAAGAAGTGCCCGTCGGTGTTCCAACGTCCGTACTATCTGCATGTACTGTAAGCGTCTATGTCAAGTGACGATGCGACGTGGTGCGGTACCCACGTGACATCGCCCCCGCAACCACACAATCGAATCGCCGTAACTGCATTGAACATTCCTCCCTTCGCCCGAAACGTCATTGCCGCCTAGCTGGATCGGCTTTGTGCTAGTGACAGCGGCATCGCGCGCCTAATTCAGGCTATACGGGTTGCATCGATCGCTCCCTCTCGGCGTTGCCACTCTGCATGTAATGCGACGTCAAAACCCCGTCCTGGAGCACGATCACCTACTAATCCACCTCCATAGCTGCTAGGTACATACTGACTAGTTGCACGTTCCGCCACTGATGGACGGATTGGTGTATGCCATCTAGCTCTCCATTTGTATGCATGTATGTACGCACAGCCCTCTAGATCTCTCTATTGCCGTCTTCTATAGACCTTGCTTTGGGAGTGCCTCCTATTTCTGCCGTTGTACGTCCTTTGGTGGCTACTCCATCTCGGAAAAAACAGGGGAACAGAACACCACCACATGCCACGCATCTCAAGGGACTGATTGATCTATCTGAGCTGAAGGCTTTTCATCTCCTTCCAGCTCGCCATAACCTTCGACTCTCTATTGTGCGGTCCACTTCCTTGCCTGTGTTACCCTGGCATCTCTTGGCAGTCGCATAGCTTCCTCCCTTACTATACCTAGTTTAATCTCGTTCTAACAAGCAAGCTTCATCCGTTCCCCCGATAACTAAAATTTACACTACACCCTGAATCAACAAGCCACGGACGCTTTCTCCCATTCCGGCGATCCACTGGGGCTCTAGGAGGCACTGCAGACTTTCTATTTTCCTACTGTTTCATTCCCTGTAAGCGTCCCTTCCTCCGTTCGCCAATCCCATTTTTCCCTTTGTCCCGAAGCAAGCATGCAACTGTTCCTACTGCCATTGCAAATGCTCCACCCCGCTCTCTCCAGTCGCTCCCGCAGGCATGGAGGCGTACCCTCATATCCTCTGCCCATGTTTATATAAACAACACGAACTCCCGGTGTCTGCGGTCTCCTGGATTTTTCTATTTTGATTTTACTTTCGAACATTCTCGTCTGTGTGCTTTTTGGTTACCATCCCGTGATTCAGGCCGGTCATGAGATAAACCCCCATGCCATCATACTGCCTACAAGATTGTCACTATTTCTACCGTAGCGCCTTACGCCTCCTCTCTATCCCCACGTTTCTCTCCTGTCACTACGCCTAGTGGACCTGAACTTGGGACTTGGATACCTTTCACTAACACCATGTCTTACTCGACCATGGCAGTTCGCCATTTCACGGCTCCAAAGCCGCTGGGGGACGCGATGGCTTCTCAGTCTCAATCGTTGCCTGAGACTAAGACCAAACCTAGAACCCTGGACGCCACGCCTCATACCGATGAGCCATCAAAGAAGAAAGGCCTGACGTTCGCCAACCAAGACTCCCTCCCCAAGCTACCAGTCCCGGACCTTGAGAGTACCTGTCAGAAATACCTCGAGGCATTGTCGGCATTGCAAACCCCAAGGGAGCAGGAGGAGTCAAGGGCAGCTGTGCATGATTTTCTTAGATCGGATGGGCCGGTCCTTCAAGAGAAGTTAAAGAACTATGCGTCGTCCAAAACGAGCTACATTGAACAATTCTGTAAGTGCATCATCAATGATAGCCGGCTGTTGGCTCTCAATTAACTGTCCTCTTCATCAGGGTATGACTCTTACCTCAATTACGATAGCCGTGAGTGCTACACTATATTCCCGAAAAGGCTGCCGACAGACCATTCCTCGTGCTGACTTTAGAATAGCGGTTGTCTTGAACCTTAACCCATTCTTCTTATTGGAAGATGACCCTACTCCCGCGCGGAACCACCAGGTCACCAGAGCAGCATCGCTTGCTGTCTCAGCCCTGTCCTTTGTAAGAGCTGTGAGGCGGGAAGAGCTACCGCCTGACACTGCTCGAGGAACACCGCTCTGCATGTATCAATACTCCCGCCTATTTGGGACAGCTCGTTTACCCACGGAAAATGGATGTGTCATCAGTCAGGAACCTAACGCCAAACATATTGTCGTCCTGTGTCGCGGCCAGTTTTATTGGTTCGACGTCCTCGACGAGAACAACGATCTGATTATGAATGAGAAGGATATCGCAGTGAATCTGCAAGTAATCATTGGAGATGCGGAACAAACCCCGATACAAGACGCTGCCAAGGGCGCGCTGGGTGTCCTCAGCACAGAGAACCGCAAAGTTTGGTCGGGGCTAAGAGATATCTTGACCAAAGATGAGGGTTCAAACAATGCAGAATGCCTGAACATTGTCGATACCGCCCTGTTTGTTCTCTGCCTGGATTACACTGAACCCGGCAACATATCCCAGCTCTGTGCCAATATGCTCTGCGGTACGAGTGAAGTGGTCAAGGGCGTGCAAGTTGGTACGTGCACAAACCGTTGGTATGACAAGCTTCAGATCATCGTGTGTCAAAATGGAAGTGCCGGGATCAACTTCGAACACACCGGTGTCGATGGCCACACGGTGTTACGATTCGCCAGCGACGTTTACACCGACACCATACTTCGTTTTGCGAGGACCATCAACGGCCAGGCCCCGAGCCTGTGGGCGACCACCGGCCCCGATCCGACCAAGCGTGACCCCCGAAGCTTTGGCAATGTTAGCACGACTCCGCGGAAGCTCGAGTGGGACATGATTCCGGAGGTTAGTATCGCCTTACGTTTTGCCGAGTCCCACCTTTCCGATCTTTTGCAGCAGCACGAGTTCCATGTGCTAGACTTTGCGGGGTATGGAAAGAATTTTATCACTTCGATGGGGTTCTCGCCCGATGCATTTGTGCAGATGGCATTTCAAGCGGCATACTACGGTCTCTACGGCCGGATTGAGAACACCTACGAGCCAGCCATGACTAAGGTCTTCCTCCATGGACGAACTGAGGCTGTTCGGACCGTCACCAGTGAGTGTGTGGATTTCGTCAAGACCTTCTGGGGGGAGATCCCGCCCGAGCAGAAAGTGAACGCCCTGCGGAAAGCGACTGAGAAACATACGGCGATCACCAAGGAATGCTCCAAGGGCCAGGGTCAGGACCGCCACCTCTATGCTCTGTACTGCCTCTGGCAGAGATCGTTCGATGAAGGCGTTTCTTCCGCAAGCAACAGCGTGCAGGGGAGTTCTAACGGCTACTCCAGCCCCGTCGAGAACGGTTCAATTATTGACTCGCCTAAACTGTCTGCCTCGATGTCGGAGGATGGGATGTCCTCGGGCAGCTACGGACTTCGCGCCATACGCCCGGCGCCGCCTACACCGGCGATCTTCAGCGACCCTGGTTGGGATAAAATCAACAACACGGTGCTATCGACCTCGAACTGTGGTAACCCATGCTTACGACACTTTGGGTTTGGGCCGACATCTGCGGATGGCTTCGGGATCGGCTACATCATCAAGGACGACTCAATTTCAATCTGCGCCTCGTCCAAGCACCGGCAGACGGCTCGATTGATGCATACTTTGGAGACCTACTTGCTTGAGATCCGTAAGATGCTGCGGATGACCAGCCACAAGACCATAAGCCCCCGCACAAGTCGGGCTCGCGAGATGGAGATCATCACCGAGCGGTTCCAGGGAGAGCCCCGGCGGGGTCGGATTGTTCGGGGCGACCCGACCCAGAACCGGGGAGCCGAGACGCCAACGACCGACAGCGGAGAATTGGAGGACGATGGCATGGGCGGATGTAAGTGTTTTCTCGGCAGTGTTTTGTTGTCTGCGCCATGTGGCGATACTCGACCCCGGCTAACGAGCAAATAAGATGGGTTCTTCGACGCAGGGATGCTCTTCCACGCCCTCAAAGGGCTGAATGCAGACCGGGAACGGCCCGGGGAGAAGCCTGAGAAGCGTCGGTTTGTCGGGAAGAAGCTCCGACTGAATGAATATTGAGCGATGATGACGAATTTTTCTGGGATATCTCTTGTTTGTTGGCACGCTATTCAGCCTATCCAGTACTCCGTAGAGCGATACCGATTGCAATTTTGAATATAATAACCTTAACTATAAGATACCTCCCAACAGGAGTAATCTCTGAAACTCAATGGAAGCTGCTGGCTGCCGGTGGAGCAATGCTATCACACCATATTCCCTGAGTCGTGGATTATGTATGGATGCTTGGACTCTCGGAATTCGAGGATTGGCGATCCAGAACCGTCAAATAGTCATGCCATGCGATCCGTCCGTTCACGCCACTATGATGCCCAACGACAGGGAACCCTGTCTTTCCCTTTTTTCACTTTTTAAAATTTATTGCGGTTATTATATTTGTACGGAGTATTATCTTTGTATATTCCAATATTCCTACCCAGCGATACGAAAACTCACGCACAGCCGTGATTACGGAGTGTTCCATACGACAGAATCATAGAAGGAGCTCCAATGTGACACGTCCCAGATAGCCACCGGTCACCACCGCTAGAAGGGATATTAAAAACTTACCCCATCCTGGTGTACATGCAGGTATTCCATCCGGGCAATCATCGACATAGATGCTTCGCATATACCCGGATCTTGTGCCAATGATCTAATAGCCACGCGTGCACGCAACGACTCGTGTGCGCAAGACAAGCACATATATCTATGTATGCAGGTGTGGTTGGAGCCACATGAGGGGTAGATAACAAGTAGTACCTACATACTCTGTATATGCGCTCTCCGGTTTTTATTTTTATTTTTATTTTTTTTGGTCTGCAACGATGACTTGTTCTGTTGATCGGAATGATCTCATTGGTCTAGGGGTAAAGTAAGTATCTCACTGAATTATGTATTGACGAGCCAATTCTCAGTCGGCCGACACTAAAGAACTAGATACATCCAACTACACCAGAGTCGGTAGGTCATATGTTGGTGAGTAATGAATATGCATGCAAGTTGTTGTACATAGGGATGGAGCACAGCAAGCGTGATTTTGTTAGTGGTTTCAGATTGGATGATGTACATGTACTTACGGAGTATTACATTCCCCCTTTGTAATTTCCATTGTCGTGCCTCAGGCTATCTACGGAGTTCCACCGAAGTCCATGTCGAGCCATATTTTGGTATCCATACCTTTTCCACGCTTTCGAGATATGTAGCATAGACTGGATTGGTCTAGACTAGACTACCTAAGAAATCCTGTAATATGTTCGATGACCAAAATTGAAAAGATGGACAGAAATTAATGAGGGCTTGCCGCTATTACCACCGGCTAATTGGCCTATCGCCAATCAAGTGGCTTCGTGATGAGATCATATCGATCAGACCTCCTTTCACTATTATCTGTTCTTTCCCTATTCTTTGCCGGTCCGCCGGTATCCGAGCTGTACGTAAAGTATGAGCCGTGCTGATAGCTACGGGGCGTGGTATTTGGAGTCCTAGTAGTCCTAGGATATCTTACCGCCTTACCCATTGGGACACCGTAGCCTGGTTTCAGGAGTCATTTGAACCACGTGACTTTCATGACAACGACCGATTCCTCCGTCCTACCGGAGTATTCATCGTAGCAGTCAACGTTGCTCGATTGGATGGATGTACAGGTACAGGCAGTGTCAACAATTCTTTCCTTGAGTGGTGACCTGGTTCTGGTCAAAGAATTGCATCGACTCTTCGGAATTGCATCGGTAGCTAACCCTGGCTACTTTTTTTGTTCTAGGTGAGTGAATGCTTATCATTTTCTTTGTCTGAGCTTGTGTTATTCCCGACACCGGAGGTGTGCTGTGATCTGCTCGTGGCTGGATAAAAAGAAAATAATTTTTTAAACTAAGAGAAAGATTATCCTCCTATCTTTTTTTTTGTTTTCTTCCAATGAACAATTATTACCTCAGGCCACCCTAGCTTGGTGCCTTAAGGTCCTTTTCAGGCGCTTAGGCTCTCACTGCAACCTCTATCCTGCTTGTCTTCCAATCACGTTTTTCTCTCTGCATTCCCTACATTATTGCTACATTCTGCCTCTTTATTTTTTACCTACTCAATACACATTACACACTACACACTACACTGTATACACATACTACACAGCACGGTCAGGCCATCTCTGATCGGGTCCACCGACGTGCCCCTGGGATTGGTTCTGCCGCCCCTGCCCTTCTGCTTCCTCCTGCCTCTAGCGTCCCACCATTTCCCACTAGGAAATCCTGCCTCTGGTCCTCTGCACCGGCCTGGCGAACTAGCGCCCTCGTTGCTGAGCATCTGCTGCTGCTTGGTCCTGCAATATAGGCAAATCCTCTCGCTCCAATCTCTCATCTCAAACTGGAGGAGGGGCGATACGTTGATGGACGCTTGCCAAATGCTAGCGATATCGATCCCATCTACCTATCTATCTATCCTGACTTAATCTGTCCATCGTCCGCCTTGTGACGCTTTTAGCCTTCCTCCCATCATTTGTTGTCATTTCTGCCAATTCGCTCGAAGAAAAAGTTGCCGATCATCCAAACACCTCACGCCCGCTTCAAGTTCTTCCGCTCCTCCGCGATCCCCTTTTCCTCCTTATCGTCGTGTTCCAAGGTCTCTACCACACAGAGAAGCCAAAGAACTTTTTTAATAAAAGAAGAAGCTTACACCGGAACAATACTGTATAGGACAAGTCGCCCTTTTGCTTGAAACGCCCCGTTCCCCGACCGCTGGGAAAGTCCTCTCTCGCCGTCGATCAGCGGTCGCATTTTCCGACGACGGCGCACTTGTTGAGATCCGAACAGTCTCCTATTCGTCTTTCACATCTTACTTGAGATGATGGCGGCAGCGCTTGATCAACCACTTTTCAACTCAATCGCGGGCCCTTCCACGACTGATGCGACCTCGATTACGCCTCCCCACAGCGCCAACGGCAAGAAGGAGGTCCCCGATGGTGTTCCATCTGAGCTGTCGGATCTTGAATTGGACTCCAATGTTGTCGTAGCCTCGGACATGCCTTCAGTAAAGGGAGAGGATGAGGAAATTGAACCGGACCATTATTATGGCGGCGGCAAGATCCCCGTGTTCAAGCCGGTAAGTTTCGGCGTGTTCGGCCAGAGTCTGGTTTACCTGGTGGCACTGGCTGACAGTGGTGTAAAAGACAATGGATCAATTCCGCGACTTCCAGTATTTCATCAACAAGGTTGAAAGCTACGGTATGCGGTCAGGCATCATCAAGGTCATCCCTCCCAAAGAATGGTATGCCACCTGTCCGACGGAAGATCGCCTATTCTATGACTTTGTGCTAATCATTCGCCTTTCTAGGGCCGATTCCCTTCCTCCTCTCGACGAAGCAGTTAAAAGGATCCGAGTGAAAAATCCGATCATGCAAGAGTTCCATGGATCGCATGGAACCTACACTCAGGCGAACATTGAGCGACAAAGATCCTACAATCTGCCTCAGTGGAAGAGTTTGTGCGAGGAAAGCAGCCATCAGCCTCCGGCCCGGAGAGGCGAGAGACGCCGCAACCAGGAAAAGGTCAACCGTGCTCCGGCAGCCCCCAAGGTACAAACTACACGGTCCGACTCTCAAAAGCGGCGCCCGGGCCCAGGACGTCCCCCGAAGCGATCCAACCAGGTGAAGGTGAAAGAAGAGCCCCCGGCGGAGGAAGGTCTTGAGAAGACCAAGTCCGAAGGTCCGCCAACCCCAGTCTCTCCCGAATCCAACCCTGTCGAGACCAAAACGGAGGAATTGAGTGATGGAGAGTCCTTGCCCGTTCCGAAGCCCAAGGGACGGCAACCAAAGTCAGTGACAGCGCGAAGGAAGCATAACAAGGGCGACGCGATCGACTTTGTGGATGAAGAAGCTTTCAACGACTTCGACTATCGTATCCATAACAATGAGGAGTACACACAAGAACGATGCGAGGAGCTCGAAACCGCCTACTGGAAATCGCTGATGTTTAACAATCCGATGTATGGTGCTGATATGCCCGGATCCCTCTTTGATGACAACATCACGACCTCTTGGAACGTGGCCAAGCTGCCTAACCTGCTCGATGTCCTGGGGCAGAAAGTACCTGGTGTTAACACCGCATACCTCTACTTGGGTATGTGGAAGGCGACCTTCGCCTGGCATTTGGAGGATGTGGATCTGTACAGCATCAACTACATCCACTTTGGGGCACCGAAGCAATGGTATAGCATCTCACAGGAGGATGCCCCTCGATTTGAGCAGGCTATGAAGAGTAAGTATTGTCATTGGAATGTGGTTCTTTCGAAGTAAGCGTCAACGCTGACCCCACTCTGTAGGCATTTGGACCAGCGATGCAAAGAATTGTGACCAGTTCCTTCGCCACAAGACCTACCTCGTGTCGCCCACCCTCCTCAAGTCCCAGTACGGTATCACGGTCAACCGACTAGTTCACTACGAGGGAGAGTTTGTCATCACCTATCCGTATGGGTACCACTCCGGATATAATTTAGGATATAACTGTGCCGAGTCAGTCAATTTTGCCACGGAAAAGTGGCTGGAGTACGGTCGCGTGGCTAAGAAGTGTAACTGCGAAGCCGATAGTGTCTGGATTGACGTTGATGAAATCGAGCGCAAGCTGCGGGGGGAATCGACACCGGAATACTATGGCGACTTCGAAAGTGATTTGGACGAGATGGAGGGCGCTTCCGATCTCCTCACCCCGCCACGCAGTGTTCCCGAGAAGACTCGTGGTCGCAAACGGAAACACGACGGTGAAACCACCAAGGCGAAACGCACCAGGGTCAATGTGGAGAGCCCGAGAAAGATCCCCTGCGTTCTCTGTCCCAACAATCTGGACTACGAGGATCTACTGCCGACCGAAGATGGAAAATCCCATGCCCACCGACGCTGCGCGCTGTACATCGAAGAGACCAGCGTTCTCCAGGATGAATCTGGCCGGGAGGTAGTGTGCGACGTGGATAAGATTCCCAAAGCACGGATGGGACTCAAGTGCCTGTTCTGTCGCGAAGTACGGGGTGCTTGCTTCCAGTGCAACTTTGGCAAATGTACTCGGTCCTACCACGCCACCTGTGCGCTCCTGGCTGGAGTGCAAGTGGAGCAGGGGTTGTCCGCTGTCATCGCCGACGATGGCAATCAGTACTCGGTGCCCAGCGTCGATCTGAAGTGCAAATACCACCGCCAGAAGAAGCCCAACTGGATGAACAACTGCGAGTCGCCCGACCAAGACCGCAAGCTGATCGAGACGGCCCAGCGGCTGGTGGCTGGGGAACTGGTGCAGTTCCAAGCTGACAAGGAGATCAACGGGGCGGTGGTTCTGGAGAACCGGCCGCAGGAGCGGACGTTGATGGTGAAAGTACTGCCACGAGGGTGAGTTTTTTGTGTGTCCGCTAGGGGGAATTTGTTTGGGGTTTTCCTAATTGGGAAGGATGAAGCTGACACGAAGACCACAGCGATGTCATCGAGTTACCATACCGTTGGATGCTCGTCGTCCGACGGAGCAACTTCTCGCCTCTTGCAGCAGGTACCAAGCCCCTTCCTGCCCACCTGGCTCGGAAGCCCGAGGGCCGGAAGGAATTGGAATCGGCGGTGCCGGTGGCAGGGAATCCGTTTGGCGATGGACGATCTCCGTATCAGTGGGCCGAGTTTGAGACGGTCGACACCGCTAATCCGCGCGCCCCACCACCGTGCAAGGTGGATTTGGACAGGAACGATCAGATCTGGTATTACCTGGGCTCCTCGTCCACCGAATGTAGGGCTCAGTATACGCATAACCCTAGCGTGCGTGTGCACAACCCTCGGTCGAATTTCCTGGACAGCGTTAAGTCCCTTGGCGGCGTGATGGCTCGGCTCCCCTCCTACCCCCACCATCTGCCTCATTATGCAGTCGCTACCCCTCCTCCTCATCGACTCTCCTCTGTCACCGCCACTATTCCCACCGTCACCGCCGCCACTGCTGCTGCTGCTGCCGCCGCCGTTGCCTCCCGGCCTTCCCTGTTGCAGCGCCCTCTTGCCCCTCCTCCTCGTCCTCTTCCTTCTGCTTCTCGAACTTCCGCCCCGTCTGCTGCTGCTGCTGCTACTGCGATGCCGTCGGCCTATCGATCCCTGCCAACTCAGTCCGCCCGTCATGCACCGTACCCTCACTTTGCCAAGTCTCATCAATCGTCCCCCCACCACCACCAGCACCATACCACCAGCACCGCCACCAATAGTCACCACCTTCATCCGCAACAGCAGCAGCAGCAGAAGAAGAACTCCCACTTCCCCGCCAATACCTTTGCCAACGTCCGTGAGCTGGTGGCCCGTCGTCGACTATCTCAGATCACCGATCATGCCAATATCTTCGCCGGGTACACCATCGTTAGCCCGGAGTTGGTGGTTGAGTCATTGATGGGCCCGATGGGCTCTGTGCCACCGCCCAATGGATTGGAAAAATTGGAACTTTCTATGGCTCAACAACGAGTGCAGCCGCGGGCACCGGACGGTACGTTGCAACCGGTGCAGCAGCTGAACATGCGTTCCGAGGAGGTGAACCGGCTGTTGCAGATGTTACGGTTCTCCCTCGTCAGTTATCTGGAGCGCCTGGATGTGCTGCAGAAGAAAGAGTCGGAGAATAGCAAACCCGCGACGGCCAATGGAGTCGGTGTGCCCAAGCTGCCCCGAAAGTATACGTACCTGGAGCAGCAGCAGGACCAGACCCCGACTGTGTACCGGTCGCCGTACGACATGCCGTCCGGGTTTACCGAGTACGCGCAGCAGACTTTTGGCCTGACCCCCTGCGAGCCCGAGCTGCCGAAACCATCGCTAGCGAACGACTACTTCGCCAGCCTGTCGCCCGAGGACCAAGAGAAGATTCTAAAGACGTGTGGCAGCTTTGTGCAACGGGCTATCGAGCGGACCACCAACCACAGCCGGCAAAGCTCTGCCTCCAACCTCCGACTGGCGTCGGCGCTGGCTCAGCAGACGGAGAACCCCACCATCGACATCACGACGGTCGAGGATCTGCCCCTCTCGGGGCTAGACCTCCCCCTACACGCGGACTCGCCGTGCTCGAGTTTCAGCCGGTCGCACCTGCGGTTCCAGTCCCCTAATGAATTCGGGGGACAAGGGGCGGAAGTCCAGCACGACCACCACGACCTGTTTGGCGACCAGCAAGCGAACACGCGGTTCTGGCAACATGGGCCATGGGCGGCCGGCGATGGCCAGACGCCTAACGAAGAGACACGACCGTTCTTCGGACCGCATGAACGGCTAAAGCACGACTATGCCTCGTCAGATATCTCGCTGGGTCGTGGACCGGGCTCGCTGCATTCCGTGGACATGGCCGGGTTTGGTCTCGATGGGACGGACGACATGTGCAACGTACTCAGCCCGTGACTGTTCTCTGTCTCGCTCTCTTTCTTCTCCGATCGCAAAAGTTTTCTGTACTTGCATGGCGGTATAACTGCATCATCTTCATGTAACGATTTAACTGGATTGACGACTGCATGACTGGGCGTTTTTTTATTATTTTTTTTATTATTTATTCTTTTTTTCCCGCACCCCCGTGATATTTCTGGATGTGATCCCCTCTCTATTTTTCCCTCACGATGGAGTGGATGCTTAACTGGTGACTCGATGAGGGAAAGATCCAGTCCGTCGACTCGCTCTCTCCAGGGGCGTTTCTCTTCTCTCTCATGGACCTGATGTGACAGTTGGCCGACCGGCGATAATGGAAGCTGGGCTGGCCCACTGCGACCCAAGTTTTCTACGGTCGGGGTCTACGAAAGGCTGCCACAGCACGCCAGAAAAGAAAAGGAAGAATCGCCAGGCTATCAAATTCCCCGTCGACTTTTGACCCCACCATGATGCGTTCCCCCTGTATTTTGCCCATCTTGACCTTTGATACCCCCCAAACCCAAACCAAACCCAAAATCCTCTGTGTCCATCCTCTCTGGCAACCCAACTGTCTCCTACTCTCCTTGTCCCGGATCGTGTTGTACTCAGACCGATCATTCTGTCACTTTCTGGATGATCGAGGCGCTCATCGTGGTCTCCATTGACGCACCGATGTGGCAGCCGTCACTTTGCGGAGTGACCGTGTGTCGTTAGTAGCAATGAATATGAATTCAAGAATTTGGATGAAGATTTTAAGAAAAAAAACTATTAAGTAAGAGAAATGGGCCGAGTGGTTCCTCCCCGCATCCCCAGATTGAACTATCCAAATGATCTGGATCGTTTAGTTTATCGCGGGGATTGGCTAATAGCGCCAGTCAACTGTGGTAGACTCTTAGCTAACTCCAGGATAAGTTGATAGTTAGTCACTGCGCGGTCCGAGACCGCGGGTCTTATCTTGCGGGATTCGTATAGCTTCCTCCTTCCGTTCACTGCTCTCCACCTTATTATCTCTCTGTCCCTCGTCGGTACTTCCCCCCATCGCGACATGTCGCTCGTTGACTCTCTACCTGTTTCTCCCGTTGATTGATAGATTGATAGATTGATAGAGTGACTCATCTTCTGACTGACTACATTCCCCCGTTTCCACCATGCGTCGATCTTCCGAGACCAACGCTGAGGAGGCGTTGGCACGAATGGGCTACAAGAGTGAACTACCACGCAATCTGAGCATGTTGAGTATTCTGGGACTGTACGCTTCGTCATCACCATCATTTTCATCATTTGGCTCGCTCGTTCGTTGCATCCTGCTGATGGCCCATCCTCACATAGCTCGTTTGCCATCATGGCCGCACCCTTCGGTCTGAGCACCACCATGTCCATCACCCTCACCGACGGTCAATCCGTCAGCGTCATTTGGGGATGGGTGCTTGTCACCCTCATCTCCATCGCCATCGCCGCCTCGCTCGCCGAGATCTGTGCCGTGTATCCGACCGCCGGGGGCGTCTACTACTGGAGCGCCATGCTCTCCACCAAGGAATGGGCCCCCATGATGTCCTTCATCGATGGCTGGTTGACCCTCGTCGGCAATTGGACCGTTACGCTGAGTATCACCTTTTCCGGCGGCCAGTTGATCCTCAGCGCCATCTCCCTGTGGAAGGAGGACTTCGTCGCCAACGCCTGGCAGACCATCCTCATGTTCTGGGCCGTCATCCTGTTCTGTGCCCTGGTCAATATCTTTGGCTCTCGCTATCTGGATTTAATCAATAAGGTGTGCATCTTTTGGACCGGAGCCAGTGTCATCATCATCCTGGTGACACTCCTGACGATGGCCGACCATCGTCGCGATGGTGCCTTTGTCTTTGCCCATTACGATGCCTCGGCTAGTGGATGGTAGGCTCCTCTTCTTTCTCAGACTACGAAGTATATTGACGTGCTCAGGCCATCGGGATGGGCCTTTTTTGTCGGCCTCCTGCAGGCCGCCTACACCCTGACCGGGTATGGCATGGTGGCTGCCATGTGCGAGGAGGTGCAGAACCCACATCGCGAGGTCCCCAAAGCTATCGTTTTATCTGTCGTTGCCGCCGGTGTCACCGGTCTGGCCTACCTGATCCCCATCTTATTTGTGCTCCCCGACGTGAAGATGCTGCTGAGCGTCGCCAGCGGCCAGCCCATCGGGCTCTTGTTCAAGACGGTGACCGGATCTGCGGGTGGTGGATTCGGGCTACTGTTCCTGGTCCTGGGCATCCTCATGTTTGCCGGTATCGGCGCGCTGACGGCCGCCAGCCGCTGCACCTACGCCTTTGCCCGCGACGGGGCCATTCCGGGATTTCGCCTATGGCGTAAGGTCCACTCGACCCTGGATGTGCCCGTGTGGGCGATCCTGCTGTCAACCGGCATCGACTGCCTGCTGGGGCTGATCTACTTCGGATCCACCGCCGCCTTCAACTCGTTCACGGGCGTAGCGACCATCTGTCTGTCGACCTCGTATGGCGTGCCGATTCTGATCTCCGTGCTGCGCGGTCGGCAGGCCGTCAAGGAGTCCACCTTCTCGCTGGGACGCTTCGGGTACGCGATCAACATCTTGACCATCTGCTGGATCGCGCTGGCCGTGGTGCTGTTCTGCATGCCCACGTCGCTGCCCGTCACCGCGGCTTCAATGAACTACGCCAGCGTCGTGTTTGCGGGGTTTGGGGCCATCAGTGTGGCGTGGTACGTCGTGTATGCACGCAAGCACTTCACGGGGCCGCCGGTCAGCAGCGATGAGGTGATGAATCTGTCGCAGGTGATGACAGGGAAGGCGATTGCGGACGTCGAAAATGGCGACGAGATGGAGAAGAAACAGTGAGGGGAGGTAATGATTCTGTATATAGCGTGATAATTTGTAGATATTGATTCTTATTGTTTTAAGTACTCTGTACTGCTATATATAATCTGTAGATAAAGGCTTGGCGGCAATCACAGGGCAGGAGACCTCCGAGAACCGCGGTCCAAACTCACCTCGTCTTTCATTCGAATTCTCCCCTCGATCAGTCCAACCCAGGTCCCTTCCATTTGCATTGCCATTGTATTCAATCCAATTCATCCCCCAACTGAACCCAACCGCAGCTGACATCATTGTGTAAATCCAACCAGACCTCGGTCCAGAATCCGGGGCAGTGTCACGTTGATTCATTCCCTCCCTGTGAATGCCGTGATCGATCGACCCCTTTGGTGCCAACTCGTAGTTCTCTCTTCCTGCTCTTTGTTATTGCTGCCACTATTGTCGCTGCTACTATCTGCCTCACTCGGTGATGAAGACGCCCCGCGCATGTCGCCCAATCCTGCTCTGATGAGGCACGTGCTCCGTTGTCTTCTGATCTCACCATGTCGGACTCTGTGGGTATGTTTGCCTTTGCTGGATTGAATTTTTTTTTTTTTTTTTTATGATTTGATGATGATATCTAATGTTTTGACGTCTGTTTAGATCGTGTCTTCGTCCACGCTCTGAATACCGTCAAACGCATCCCGCGAACCGGCACCGCTAGGCCCCCGGCGTCGGAGAGGTTGAAACTCTATGGCTTGTATAAACAGAGCATGGGTATTTTCTTTCCTTCCCCCTAGACTCGTCATCATATTGTAAAGACATGGGGAAAGGAGATGCTAATGTTTGCAGAGGGGGACGTCGAAGGGGTGATGGATCGACCGGTCGGAAACACGGCGGATGTATACGCAGAGTGTGAGAAATGGTACGTTGGAATGGAGTCCGCCGGGGTCAGGGATCAACGCTGATTTTATTTTATTCTATTCTACCAGGGATGCATGGTTCGCCCAACGAGGTCTATCTCGAACCGAAGCAAAACGACGATACATTTCCACATTGATCGAGACCATGCACCGCTATGCATCGCAGACGCCCGAGGCGCGCGAACTCGCCTCAGAGCTCGAGTTTGTCTGGGACCAGATCAAATCTAATACCTCCGCGTCGGTAGCCTCGTCGTCGATGTCGTCCTCCTCATCTAATTCCGCTAAAAACCCCGTGGGTGTGCTGCCTCTGTCGCAGTCGCAGACGCAGTCGAGATACGGTAGTATCGGTGGTCGGTTGGCCCGGTCCGAGTACGATCATTTGGTGGCCACCGCCCGGGGGAATTCCAAACTCCGTGTTCTCAGTCCAGTGAGTCAACCGGAGGAGGTGTATCGTCGAGGGTCCCATGGACATCTCGGGTCACGGCCAATGCGGGATGATATGGAGGATGCGGAGGAGGAGGAAGAGGAGGAAGAAGAATATGCGGAAGCGCAAGACAATCTCTCCGAGGACAACGATGACAACGATGATGATACCCACGACGATCACCACGAAGCCGACGTCAATCGTTCACGGGGCTCGCACGCAATCTCCGAAAGCAGTGACGCGAGGGAGTCGTCGCCACAACACAGCTCGCCCGGTAGGCAGAATCGACGATGGCGACGGCGAGTCGAGCAGGCCTTGACGAAGATGACGGCCGAGATCGCGGCAGTGCGTGAACAGATGGAGGCGCGGGCGCTGGCGCATCGACGTCGAACCAGCGTGTGGGCGTGGCTGAAGTGGTTGGTGTGGGGGGCATTTCGACAGATCCTCTGGGATCTGACGCTGTTGGGGATGATGTTGATCTGGATGCGGATGCGAGGGGATCGACGATTGGAAGAGAAGCTGAGGATGGGATGGTCGGAGTTGAAAAGTCGATTGGCGAGGTGGAGGGGGTTACGAATTACTTTTCCTTAATCCTTCCAACTTTCATTTGTTTCCATTCTTTTCTTCTCTTCCGAGTATATATTTCATTTGTGATACATTATCTTGCATGGTTGGGTTAGATGGATGGATGGATAGATCTTGTAGACAAGTCACCATACTATACAAGCCATAACTCATTACAGAACATACTACATAGCCACTACATAGCCACTACTCAATGGACAGTGATGGGGAGGGAAAGAGACATCCTATGCTCATATGTACAAACAAGACCAGACCCAACGACAATAACAACATACACAGTCTAATACTGAGGACCGGGATATTTGGAGTAGATCTGGGTAGGACGCAAATGGACGGGGGTCTGGTTTTCGGGAGCACCGGGGATGGTTTTTTTGAGGCCCTACATATATTAATTTAACGGCGCTGAGAGATAGCAAAGCAGGGAAGGGCCTACCAGTTTCTCAAAAACACACCCATTCAGATCCATCTCCTGCTTCCGACAATCCCACAGATGATGATTATGATTCTCGAGACATTCCCAATGAGCAGTGAACTGCTTCAAACAGTGGGTGTTGATGTCCTTGATCCTAGTATGTGTTAGCTCTCTCTCCTCTTGGAGATGAAGATAGATGAATGGATGATAACATACACACTCGCCGCACACCTCGTCACCTTTCTCCCCTCCTTCAAACACTCCATCTCACCCTTTCCATTGGCTTCCACTTTACATTTCATGTAATCATCATTATACGCCTTGCATCGATCACCGATGAAATACGCCGCGCTGGTCAGGGGTGCCGATGTTGCTCCGATTTCGTCCACCTTGGGGATATGCGACGGCATAGGCGTCGTATCGACCAGGTTTTGCTGGTTGAATCTGAATACCAATTAGCCACTGCCGTTTTTTTCTCTCCTCCCTTCGGACCGCGGGAATGGAATGATGGGGAATCATAGGAGACAGAGGGATTCTGGCAATGGGTGGAGTGCTGCAGCGAAGGTCAATGGGTTCATCGGTTCATCCTACCGGGTGTCTCGGGTCGCCATCTTGAATCGTAGTTTGAATTGAGCGGTGGAACCTTGAGGACGGCTGGAAGATAGGCACTGTAGGAGGTGAGTCGAATGAATTGAGGAAGTTGGGGTTTTTGGCGGGCTTGTGATTGGTTGGCCTCCGTTGTTATGTAAGTTTATGCCTGAGGTGTGATGACCCTGCTCTTCTGGCTCTCTCGTTAAAGTTATGTGTGTATAATATGACTAAGCATTAATATTATGCAGCTATCTATGGGTATGCACGCTAAGCCGTTCCGGCAACTAACTGTTCATCACGTGACAGCAAAAAACAAAGGCTAGCCAGCAAAACACTGGCAGTGCGACAGCTGCATTGCAATCCGAAGGACCACGACTTCTCGGTCCCATCATGTCGCGCTGAGCCATTGGACTCCATTGATATTTTGAACTAGTGTCGAGCAACCAATCCGACTTTGTGACACTGTCTTTGCAGATTCAACACGAGTGTCACCAACGAAGTCTCTCATCCGTTCGTTGCCTTTACTTCTAGGCCATACTCGGTCGTTGTTTGGAATATCTTCCTTCTCTATTATAATGGCTCTCTTTGGAGCTCAGCCTCAGACTGGTGGGCTGTTCGGCGCGTCGTCCACCGCGAATAAGCCTAGCCCCTTTGGTGGCGCCGGTGCCAGTGGAGGTCTCCTGGGAATGGGACAGAATCAGCAGAGCTCGACGGGGGGTCTTTTCAGTTCCACGACGGCGCAAAACCAGCAACAGACCGGGGGGGGTCTTTTCACTTCCTCAGCCCAACAGAAACCTCAAACAGGACTTTTATCCGGGTTGGGCCAGACGCAACAGCAGCAACAACCTCAACAGCAGCAAGCCGGTAGTGGTAGCCTCTTTGGGTCGACGTTGGGCCAGCAAAAGCCCCAGGGGAGTCTGTTCGGTGGTCTCGGACAACAACAACAACCGGCGCAGCAACAGGCCGGAAGTCTCTTTGGGGGACTGGGTCAAGCGCAACCACAACAACAGCAACCGCAGCAACCGCAGCAACAACAGCAGAGCTTGTTCGGCGGGTCTCTCCTTGGCGGTCAACAACAAGCAGGTCAACAACAGCCTCAACTGGGCCAGACAACAGCGCAGCAACAGGGGTCGAGTCTCTGGTCCCCCGGTCGAGCGGTTACTGGGGGTAAGTGGAGTGCTCTTGTTACCGTCCATACTTCCATGAGAGTACAGACATGCTGACTCTAGTAGTACATCGAACCGTTCCGATGCAGATGCAGATCGTCAAAGAGAAGTGGGATGCTAGCAACCGTTCCTCTCCGTTCCGAACCTACCTGTATAATAATGTCGGCGAGGACGCGGCGCCTTTTTACCAACCTAGCGCAGAGGATGATGAAACGAAATGGGAGGATGCTTTGCGACAGAGACCCTCGGCGGGTTATGTACCCGTTCTCGTGAAAGGCTTCTTCGAGCTAGGCAAGAGAGCCCAGCGACAGAAGGATTTCCTCACCATGATGCAGACTCGGCTTCACGAGATCAACAATTGTCTCTCTGACCTTTTGTCTCGCCACGACCTGAAGATCTCGGTGAAGATCGCTGACTGCCGTCGCAAACATCTGGTGCTGAGCAAGCGCTGCCTGGCACTCGCGGCCAAAACCCAGGTCTTAAGGAACAGGGGCTACGCAATGGACGATGCTGAGGAGGAGCTGAAGAAAAAACTCTCCCAGCTGGAACGGTCGGTGTTCGACCCGTCCGTGAATGGGCGTGCCGAGGAAATCTGGGCGAGGATGCTCGCCATTCGGGAGAGGTCAAAACGCTTACAGGTGGAAATCGAGAAAGCCGGCTCCAGTGCGGCCGCCCAGGCGGATGACGAGCTAGACGAGAATGCGATGAAGGCCGCTAAGAAGGTAATGCTTGACTACGTTCAATACAATCCTTTCTACTTAGATGGGTGCTGACCAGACCTAGATATTGGATGACTACCATGCTCAGATTCAGCACCTGCAGAAGGAAATGGAGTCGGTGAAAAAGGACCTGGAAGAAGCACAGAAACTTCAAGAGCGGGGAGGCCCCTAGTAGCCCACAGAAGGAGTTTAATTCTTTCTTTGGCTTATGGTTGACGTCAGGAGCAAGGAGTTAATGGAGCTGGTATCTACAAATTCTCCCGAATTGAAGGCATCATTCTTAGAGTAGAAGAGAAATCACGAGGGGCAGTGTCACGTCACTCTGTCACTATTTTCCCCATTGGTATTCTAAAATATGAAATGTACAATAATAATACATCTGCCGTGGCCTGGGCACGAGAACAGACAAAGCGATTCCACCAGCTTCCGTCATGATGTATTGAAGTCGTTATATGGCGCGATTACAGGAACTTTTTGATGAAGTCGATGGCGAAGGGTGCTATGGGATCCCGTTAGTCCAGTGATAATAATAATCATCAACCACAACTAGCAGAGTTGCATGCGCCCGACTTACAGAGATATAGAAGAACGCCGCCCGTGATAGCCATGTTGATAGTCTGGGCTGCCTGGATTTCACCGGCCTAGTTCAGTTAGTATATGTCCTATCCAGTGCTCCTCCCACCAACAAGAAATAACCAGGCACCGGGAAAGGTCATGAAGAGGGTGTAAATACTTTAATTTCCTCCTTGGAGAGCTGTTCTTGGCCTGAGAGGGAAAGAGTCAGTTTATCGTCCAACATGATCGTATAGAGAGCACGGGTAAGTCTTCCAACAGACTACCCTGATAGCTGAGTAACTCACCTGGAGCGAACATTGTGAAGTATATTCAGAGGGGGTGATAAGAGGACGATACACAAAGAGACGAGATCAGTTGAAGTGTCTGAGAACGAATCTTTCAGAGGCTGAGATTCTGCCGGGCACGGACCACCGCGGAGGCGGAATTTCTGCTTGCATGTTCCTGCCAACCACCATCTATCTCTCTCCTTCTCTTCTCTGCTTCCTCCTCCAGCCTTGTGTTTTAATTGGAGAGACTATCGGGAGAAGCAATATTACTCTATTTCCTTTCACTTTTCCTATTCTCTGGTTTATTTCTCCCTGCTCCGGTGTTTGCGCAAACACGTGGAGCGCCCTCTAGCGCCCATAGTTGCTTTTATCTGAATAGGACGGTATCTTTTTCCAAGAAAAGAAAAGAGAAGGACAATGTCCGCTAGTCCTGAAGTCAAGCCCGGGTCTCCGAATGCTGCCCCTAGTCCCGGGCCCGAAGATGATCTATCTGAACCAGTCGCCAAGGCCCCGACACCTCTGGCTGGCGATGACGACGACGAGGAGGAGGAGCCATCGGCTGCACCCGCAGAGACCGCGTCCCCGGATGCAGACGATCTTGCGAATGACAAGAGTGACGATGCCCATTATGCAGAAGAAGAAGAGAAGGCGGATGTGGATGGAGGATCAGACGATGAGTCGATTCTCTCCGAAGTCGATGAGGCACAGTTTGAAGACTTCGACCCGGAAAACGTCCATATTGAAGACCGTCCCCAGCTGGCGATTGACGAAGATAACTTGAAGCTTATCGGACGGCACAAGCGGAAGCGTGATGTAGAGGGTGATGGCGAGAGGTCTCGACGGAAGAGGGAAGGGCGCAGAGAGAAGAAGAGTCGGCGCATGAGGGAGCTCGAGGAAGGCAGTGATGGCGAGGGAGCTTCTCGGAGGAGGGATCGGAAGAAGAAAGAGGCGATTGTTGAGGATGAGGAACATTTGGACCCTGCAACCCGTACGTTTTGCTCTTGTATCTGTGTGTTTGCTCAGAGGGACGAGATCTAACGATTCTAGGTCGCCGACGAGCTCTTGATCGTGCTATGGACGAGGCCCTGAAGAAGCCAACAAAGCGACGATTTCGGAAGGCGGATGGGATTGTGGGTTTTTTTTTTTTTTCCCTTTCATTTTTTCTACGACTAGAGGGAGAAGATCAGGGCTAACAGTCTTCTAGGATTTGGAGCAGATGGCCGACGCAGAGATCGAAGACATGCGCAGGCGGATGACCCATGCTGCTCAGATGGATGCGGCTAGCCGACGCGAAGGAAATCCAGCCATGCACAAGCTGAAGATGCTTCCTGAGGTGGTATCGCTTCTCGGCCGCAACCAATATGTCAACAGTCTAGTCGATCCGGAAATCAACTTGCTCGAGGCCGTCAAGTTCTTCCTGGAACCTCTGGACGATGGCTCTCTACCAGCCTACAACATTCAGCGAGATTTAATGAATTCCCTCACCAAACTACCTATCAACAAGGAAGCTCTGATTGCCAGTGGCATTGGAAAGGTGATTGTGTTCTATACCAAGAGCAAACGTGCGGAGCCTGGTATCAAGCGTATGGCCGAGAAATTGCTTGCGGAATGGACGCGTCCGATCCTTCAGCGCAGCGATGACTACTCCAAGCGAGTGTACCAGGAAGCCGCGTTCGACCCTAGGTCTGTATAGACCCTCCGTCCTCTGGATATGCCCTGTCTGGATGCTAACCTTGGCCAGAAAACTTACTACCCGGACCCCATCTGCGCATGCCACCGCCGCAGAAGCACGAGCACGAGAACTGCTTCCGCCTCGTCTGGCGAACCGTGCCCGAGCCGACATGACCCATACCAGTTATACCGTGGTTCCTCGTCCCACTGTGGTCCAAGAGAGCAAGTTTGCACGTCCTCTGGGAGCCAGCGGAGAGGATCGATTCCGGAAGATGCGGGCACGCCAGATCGCAGCAGCGAAGGGAACGCGGAGGTAAACTGGTTTGGATGGTTTTTTTTTTTTTGGTTTTTTTTTTCATTTCCCATTAGTACACTTTCAGTTTTACTTTTTTTTTCCTTTGTTCTGTTCTTCTATTGTATTACGAAGGCGCACCGGGGTATTTCTGTGGATAGTATCGATCTTTTTTTCAGGCAGTTAGGCATCCAATAGTTAACTAGACATGAGTTAATACCGGATGAGTCAGCTTCTCGTGCGAGATGTTAGTCAGCGGGCCACGCCGAGACTCTGCCGACTCTCGCCGAACGGGGAATCCCGTACATCGTACGTCACCGGGGTTTGCTCGCCTTTTAAGTTCCGAATATATCCCTCCTCGAGATTTTTTTCTCTTCCTTCCGGCCATCATTTCTTCCTACATCTCCCTGCTTTCACTTCCTGGTATTTTCCTTGCAATTGCCTATTTCCAGTCTCTACTCCCTCCCGTGTTTGACCGAAAAGTTCACCACACTCAAGATTCGCCATGAAAATTTTAACCAAGGAAGAGGAGGATGCCCACTACAGGTTTGTCCAGCTATTCTCAACTCAATCCCAACCCACACAACTAACCATTTACCCATTAGCACCGTTGTCAAGGGCGGCACTTTGGGAACCGTTCTCGGTCTTGCCGCCGGAGTCGCAGGTGTCATGTTGGCATCGCGCCGTTCTCAGACCATCCGAAACCTCACCCTCCCCATGAAGACCTTCCTGGTCACCTCATCCGGTACATTTGTCGGTATCATTGCAGCCGATCACGCCTCGCGCTCCTTTGAAGCCGAGCACAACGAACAGCGCCAATGGTATGCGAACCGCGAGGAACGTCTCCGCAGCGAAGAATTGGCGCAGATGACCTTCGTCGACCGGGCGCTGACCTGGGCCCGCCGCGAGAAGTACAAGATCGTCGGTGTGACATGGGCTGCTTCCATGATCGGGTCGTTTGCACTGGTCGGTCGGAACCCATATCTATCGGGTGCTCAGAAGATTGTGCAGGCGCGTGTATATGCGCAGGGTCTGACGCTCGCGGTGTTGGTGGCCTCCGCGGCATTTGAGATTTCCGACCAGAGGAAAGGAAAGGGGATTGTGGAAGCATCCAAGGCACAGAAGAAGGATCAGACCACTGCTGCTGCTGCTGCTGCTGCTTCCCCTGCTCCTGCTAAATCCGAGTCCGAGGAGGGTGGTGACCTGTGGAAGGACATGGTTGCCGCGGAGGAAGAGCGTTTGAAGAAGAAACGTCAGTCGCTGTATGAGAAGCATGGCCATTATGGTCATGATCATACTAACCATCGTGCCCCTCCGGTTGAAGATTCTCAGTCTACACCGATTGAGAAGAAAGAAAATTAGATTTTTTTTTTCCCTTATTCTTCCTTTTTTTTTTTTTTTTGTGCCCTTTTTATTGATTATTTTCATGTCCGGATGGTGGCTAAGAACTCCATCCTGTTTGTTTATTGTCTGATTGTACGAAAAGGTACTCATTCTCCATTTAAGATATAAACCGTGGCATTTGCGTGGCGAAGGGTGTTTTGTTCATTTTGTGGATTTTTTTTCCCTTTTTTTTGATGTTATATATAATGTTGCTGTACAGATTTATACGTACCTGGGTGTACGATGTACATTGATTTCCCTAACTGTCTTCTCTGAAACGAATGATTGGTTTATGATATATAGAACATCCCTACCTACCTTTTTAGATTCCTCAGTGGTAGTTGTCCGTGCTAGAGCATACCAAACTATGTAATTAGAGAAATACATAGGAGTTTACATCTCACTGCCTGTTCTTGGTGGATGACTTGGCTACTCCCATGCATAAGGACTTTGGTTCTATAAATAAGTATACTAGTACCACATCACCAAGAACCGTTGATGCCGGAGATTATTCTGTCATAATGATCCTCCTTGCAGATCTTATTTTCTTTTGGTAGCACCAACGAGTCACGATAAAAGACAGCCGTCGGGGATGATACGTTAGATACCCGTACGAAAAACAATTATTAAGAGAATTATTTATCGGAGCTCGATTATGCTTGTGGTTTAAACATAGTAAGAATGAATGAAAAGTGCTCACATAGATATGCGAGCAGCATTCCATGCAACTCCACATGGTTATGGAGGGGAGGGAAATGCACTAGCCTGTCACGGTTAGACTCTTAAATTAAAGTTCACATACGGGCCGAACATAGAGCTTATCTGGTGCCGCTCGATCCAAGCAGTTTCCGCCTAAGGCCATTACAATACCGAGGTATAAAAAACATGGAGAGCAGACCCCAATCCAGCCAAACTAGCTTTCTACCCGGTCAGACAAATTTCATTTTTATCAAGCACCCCACTCTGAGCTTTCACAATGCTCCTCACTCACTTCTTCCCCCGAAACGAAACATTCAGCTACGAAGCCCTGCGCGCCGCCGGGTATTCCAACTATGCCGGGGCGGATCTCAGCGAAGTGATTGTGATCTGCTCGCGTATCCGCGCAGGAAACGAGGGTGACTGGGTCCGAGAGTGGCAAACAGCCGCAGACCGAGCGGTGCGTAACGCTCAGGAATGCGTAACCGAAGGGAATACCGTCAGCGCTCACGAGGCATACCTCCGAGCTTCAAACTACTATCGTACTGCAGAGTTTTTCCGTCGTCAGGATCCATTTAATGACGAGATTTCACGCACTCTGTCTGAGAGGTCTGTGGATGCGTTTATCAAGGCGATGCAGTACAGCTCTTCTTCCACTTGTGAGGCGATTACCATCCCCTATGAAGACACAACCCTCCCCGGGTACTTTATGCAGCCCTTGACCCAGGAAGAGCAACGGCCGCGGAAGACTCTCGTGTTCAATGGGGGGTTCGACTCGACGAAGGAAGAGGCATGGTTTGCTATTGCGGCAGCTGCTTTAGCAAGAGGATATAACGTGCTGGCGTTCGATGGCCCGGGGCAGGGAACGGCGCTGAGATCCCAGCGTCTATTCTTTCGCGCAGACTGGGAGAACGTCCTGACACCTGTCATGGACTATGTGTACAGCCGCAGAGAAGTGGACATCAACGCCGTGGTGATCTTTGGCTGGAGTATGGGCGGATACTTGGTTGCGCGAGCTGCCACGTCTGAGCATCGCGCGCGCGCTCTGATCCTCAATGATGGTGTATATGACTTCGGGGCAGTGTTTACCAAGGATCAGCCATGGATTTTGCAGAAGCTTTTGGACATGGGATATGACTCTGCTGTGAATATGTTGGTCCGGGCAGCAACGAATGCAACAACGGGTATGCGGTGGGGCATACTCAATGGAAAATGGACGCTTGGTGCGGAATCAGAAGCTGATCTTATGAGGAAGGTCACAGAGTACACGTTAGAAGGGAGGATTGAGAAGATTACCACTCCATGTCTCGTTCTGGAGGCCCAGAATGATCATTTTTTTAAAGGACAACCCCAGATGGTTCGGGATAGGCTTCGTTGTGAGATGGAATATGTCTCCCTTGGGCCTGAGGAGGGCGCGGATTCTCATTGTCACCAGGGGGCATTTGGAAGATTGAATCAGGTTATGTTTAACTATCTTGAACAACGCCTTCACACTGAATGATCCAATGGTTTGGCCGATCAGATATATCGGTACTCATATCGGTATTGGTCCATGTGGAATGTGTCGTCCGCTTCAATGTGCCATAGTAATCCAAAAATTGGACAACTTCTCCTGATTGCCGTATATCCGACTTCCACTTAAATGTTTTCGTGTAGCCTAAGAGAGAAATAATACTCTCGACTCCAGTTATGGATGTTTACCACGATAAACAGTTTGTTGCAGGAATATATTTCACTATTGCGCTCAGTCCACCCCTATACATATGAAAAGTCGTGTAATTTTTCAAGTTCTGGTGGACAACTTGTTAAGCACGAGTCAGCTACCTCACAGGGTCTACTAGAAAGGAATGTGCCTGAAGATTTAGTGTCATACGCAAAGTGTAAGTCGCGGCGATCACTGATATCTCCTAATGAGATGTTGGCACTTTCCAGAAAATCAAGCAACCTTCGCATCTAAGTCAAATCAAGAGAGATATTAGAAAACATTATTAGAAAACACTGACAGATATAAGCCTTGTAGTTCGGTTCAGAGCTTACCAGCCTGTACAGAGGTGTCCAGTGTCGCCCCAAATTATCCAAGAGACGAAGACATAGTTTCAGTTTTCCTCTAGTAGATGACGAGTCATTGGTACTATCGCAATAGATTATGCTAGCGTAAATTGATCCCACAAAGAAAGCACAATACCCTATGAAAGGCGGTAATATTGATATGTTTGTCTGACCAAGGAACAAGACATCAATCATACTAGTAAAGTGGTCAGCATGTTGAATAGTTATATGAGCGCATTGTCGAATATTTTCGATAGAAATGGCGGAATCATATGGAATGTGCGCGAATAGTGGCACAAAATGAGAATGTAAATAAATGTTGGAGTGGTGGTACAATGTATGAAGAAGGAATATTAATCCCAGGCTTTGTACCGGGATTTCTTCAAATGTGCCTACATATTGCAGACTTGACGGAAGCTCTTCATGGAGTACAGTCAGACACTGGTGGAGCTCAGAGATGGGACTAATTTGGTCATTCTTTAAGCATGGATTCTGTTTCAAGAATATTTGGATTTTATGGCTGAATCTCTAGTTAGTGCCTAGGCTAAGGCCCCAATACTGTCACTTACTATATAGCAAAGGACTTCAACAGCCCAAGTTTCATGTCGTCTGAGAACGGTGTATCAGCAAGTGAATCGCCTTGACGGGACAAAGCAAATTTTTGAACAATGTCCTCGGCTCCCGACAAGATTGAGAAGTTCTCATTGAATGGTGCCGCAAGAAAGCCATCGTAAAAAATGACGAAGCTAACAATCCAGCAGTTCCAGAAGCACATTCGTCCTGTTTCTTGATCTGAGGGACGAGTATGGCTCGGCAGCCGATCTCCTATGTTGTGATATCCAAGAGTCCGCGCAGCAATATATGCAGCATCTGAGTACTTGTCAGCGACGAAGTAATATCTCGAGTCATCATGCGTACGTAAATGCATCTTTGCTTTGGCCACTTGGCCTACAGCAAACCAATAAGTTGCAAGTATCTCGCAGGTCTGTACCGTCCTTAGCGAGGGAAGATGCGCCCACATCAATGTTAACTCATCAGCCAAGTGAGCCCATGTATCAGCCCGCGAGCAGACTATCTTCAACTGTGTCATGGGACCTGTAAGAGTCCCACTATTGCTGACATCCTGCGCATCGTCTAAAAGCCTGGCTCAAAGCTGACGTCAGTAATGGAAATGAGGAAGCGTTTATCTAGCTTACCTGGTAGCTAGGGCAAATATTGCTGCAGTGAGGGCATACGGAAGCTTGCCTTCTGTGTAATCCTGCAGAGTCTCACTTTCATTCAAGATCAAGGAGGCAGGTCGGTAATGAGAAAACAGGGTATTAAAAAGGTAGTGCCCAAGGTGTTGAGGAGGGAGCGGCGCTGAATCATGAGATTCCTTTCTAATTTCAGCAGCTGAAGAAAGAGGTAGTGTGGGATTTAAAGAATAAAGATGGGCACCCCTTAAAATGCTTCCTTGATGGACCCCCTTTTTATGAATGTCAAACCTACCTCATCTATATTCATATCGTCCGTCTCGGTTAGAAGCATTGTGGGCCACTGCGATGCTGTACTAGGAGCGAAAAAGCCCACGTGGTCTGAGATGTCTCTATCGTCCTGGGCGATATTGGAGATCGCATCTGTGGGAGCCTTGTTTCCGTATGGGGTCTGAACATCGCCTCTCTGACAATTTTCAGGCCGGGAAGCCTGACTTCCGGAGGCTATAGTGAATCCTAACAAGGAGTTGACCCTCCTCCGCCGAGTCAAAGCTCTGGTTTGGGCAAGACGCTTGCGATCCGGTGGAATGGGATAATAGCAATCAGTCTGAAGTCGATCACAGCGAGCACAACCTGGTAATTCGCGAGAACATTTGAGCTTGTTGACGTTAGTTATGAATGTTCATATCCTAGAGCAAGTAGAGACCGCAGTAAATTATCTGTAAGACCTTTTACCTTCTGTGAGCGACACCTCTTACAAGCAGTTCGTGATAGCTCCGACATCCTTTAAAACGATGGCTCTCAGAGACAGGCACTGGATGTTACTGTTGAAAGAATACCCGACAGATTCAAACCATCAAGCTTGAACCTGTGAGTTCTCAGGTAAGAAAGATTCCTCGAGGCTGAGTAATCACAAGATCTGGCACTTCTTTATTACATTGCCTTGGCGTGGCGTGTAACTGTTAACAACAGCCCGACAAGGTAAGGCTCATTGGTAGGATGACTTATCATTCTCGGATTAGTGCTCTCATTGGATTAGAAGTGCCAATTCTTCCTTTTTTTCTCTCCTCGGAATGCAATTCAGATGGTACAGGGTTTTGAGGTATCAGCATGATGTATCAGTACCTTTTTCTCAACATATATATATCTTGGAGCAGCTCCAAAGAATGGTCTTGAAGTGAAATACACCCCTGAACAAAGCTAATTTAAATCTTCGGAAGCATCTTGGGCAGGGCCAGGATTGATCAGATATTGATGTGCTCTACTTCTTTTATTCGTACCAGTAAAAGGATTCAGGGTTGCATACAAGTAACCTAGTTACTCCTTTAACTTGGCCCTGTTCTGCATACCCGGAAGCCCTGTTGGGTCGTACAATTGCCATGATTCAACCAACTGCATTCTCTTGTTGAGATGCTATCCAATACGGGTGAGGAGTTCCTGGGATACGTGATTCCATAAAAATAGATATGTAGACAATCTACCCTTTTTGTATCGGCCATCAGAAGACCAACAAACATTCCAAATCGTCCAACATCCGAGCGGATTCCAACGACCACGTAAGAGCGAACTGAGGATGCATAAATTCCGGCAGGTCTCCGTGATCTGGCTGAGAATCCACCGAGCCGTCAACCGCGTCAAGTTGGTCGATGGACGGTAGACTTCGTGGATCATCATCTGTGTTAGGACACGACTCCGCTGCTGGGATTAAGATTCCATTGACTTGGTCTGAGCTGTTGTCGCCGTCATAGCCGTTGTCATTGTTGTCTTTGATATTCTGAAGAATATCACTGGGAAAGTTCCCTAGTAGTCGTTGTATTTCGTTCAGCATGGGCTGGAGAGGATGCCATCGTGGTATCAGTCTCATGTCAGAGAAATCTGTCCCGTCTTAATTTTCTCTGTCCATTCAATGCCCACCATTCCGGAAGGTGTTTATACATACCCAAGGGAGTACGATGTTTCCCCTCGAAATGACAGTCCGAAGCAGGTTCTGGTTCTAATTCAAATTCCGATCGCTCCTGTACATGGCGGTGTTGTCGCTGTCGCTTGCTAGGACGATCCCATTTGGTGGTGACGTTCTTCGTCTCGGTACATTTTTTATTCCTGCATCATGATTAATTAATCAAATTGAACACGAAAGGTTATAGATGATAGATGAACCGTACACCTTATTCCCCTCCCTAGGCCTTTTCTTGTTGACACTCCGTCCTCCACAAACGCTGCCATTTGTGCGGACAGGCGTGTTTCGCTGGGCGGGAGATGGTCTGTTCTCCATCACATCTGGTGGGATGGGATAAAAAAAGATTCATCCGGAGATATCCTTCCCTTATAGCTGGGGGTTCCGCGGGTCTCCACAAGCTTTTCTTCTAGACAGCTTTGAAATGATTGATGGCTCCATTGTCCGTGCTCCATCAAAGCCGAGGTTATGGGGTCCAACCGGAATATGTAGGGTCTATATACACAGTAAATTATAAAGTTCAGTTGACTATACCAATTCTCCACATACGGAGCAGTGTAGAGGCTCAAGAACGCTCACTGGAGTTAATTGTGTAGATAAATAGTACTACTCTGTAGTTTGGTAGTATGTATGTGATATCGACTCAAGCCACTATAGACACATTTCTCCACAGTTTTCTCGTTAATAACTGCGGCTCACGACGGAAATTCCTCGAGCTAGTTTAGCTTATCTTCCTATTAATCTAACTTGTAACGTGCAAAATAGAAGAGGTCCCAACGACAAAGGCCAGGGCAGCAACAAATCCATAGTTCCAGATGAAAAGAGGATCGATATACAATGCGACAAGACCCTGCTGAATGGCAGACGAATGAGCAAGTAGAGATATTAAACTGTAGGCCAGGTTAACCTGCTTTCTTTCTTACAAGATGAACCCAGCGAGACAAAAGGTAGGATAATACCTAAATTCATCAGGTTCTTCGGTGGCTTAGTATATGCATATTCATAGCTAGTGAGGAAGTCAAAATCTCCGAAAAAGCAATCAGCAAGTAGGGAACGGCCTGCACCAGACATTGATCGGAGAAGAGGAGAGGCAAACAACAACGATTGGAGGCCTAAGGCGGCCACGTCACTTGATTGATCAGATTACAATCAATGTTATCCCTCCCCTTCTCTCTCTTTTACGTTTCTTAATTTTTTTATATTTATTTATTTTTAGTTGATAGCTACATGTCAAAAATGGCTATATACCCTAAAATGCGCGGCCCTAATAGCCCACAGCCACAGCCAATATCTAATTCCCCAAATACCAACACGAACTTCCCCACTCCCACAACTCACCAAGATGGCCTCAACCTCAACCGCTCGCACATTTCTCGCCTACCAGCACAATGCCAACCTGCACCGTCTACAGACCGTGGTAACGGGCATTCAGCCGTTCGCAAAACTCGAGGACTCCAACCGTCAGCTCTTTAAACAAGCCAGCGACGACTACGATCATGTGGTCGTGACGCAGCAGACCATTTTCCATCCGCAAGGGGGCGGCCAGCCCTCCGACGTCGGGAAAATGGTCAGTCCGTCCTCGGGGACGGTCTTCGAGGTGACTGCCGTGCGCATGGATGCCGTTCACGACGGACAGGTCCTGCATCTGGGACGATTTCACCCCTCTCCGACTCCGACTCCATCTCCCGGTGAATTCACCGCCGATGAGACCGTTGAACAGACCATTGACGTCGACCAACGACTGCTCTTCTCGCGCTTGCACACAGCGGGACATGTCCTCGGAGCGGCGGTCAATCATCTGCTGGGGAAGGAAGTACCGGATTTCGAGGAGTTGAAGGCGTCGCATTTCCCAGACTCGGCGTCGTGTGAGTTCCGGGGTCTCATCGAGGGGAAGTGGAAGGAGTCGATTCAGAAGAAAGTGGATGAGTTGATCGCAGCTAAATTGCCCGTGCGGGTGGAATGGTGGGATGAAGATGATTTCCGCGTCCGCGGCCTGCAGCGGTTGATTCCCGATCGCAGTCTGGTAGCGCCCGGGGAGAAGTTTCGTGTCGTCAATATCGTGGGCGCCGAGGTGTATCCCTGTGGTGGAACGCATGTCGAGACCACGGATCGTTGTGGCGAGACCACTGTGAAGAAGATCTCGCGGAAGATGGGTATATCGCGGGTGAGCTATACAGTGCGTAAATAGGTATCTATCCATCTATCTATACATGTATATAACTCTAGACACCCATGAAATACTACCTACATCATAGATCTCGTTGGGAGTACTGGGATAACAGCTTCCGAATCGGCCTTCCATACTGCCAAAGGATTAATCACTTCTGAAATCTCTCCTGAACTATGTAATAACTTTCTAGGTAATTACCATCGGGAGTGGAATGAAGCCAGTGGAGATCAACACCAAAGGGAACTACCCCAGTGGATGCCAAATCGCCTGCAGATTGTTGACGCAGAGAGCGGGAATCCGGGCCGCAGAGAGGGACCTAAGCAGGTCATTTCCAGCATTGATTGAGGCCATGGAATCCCGATATACATCACTGAATTAATTGAGAATCACATTAAATGCGAAGATCATAGGCTATCTGCATCGGGTTATACTATGATACGAAGCCTCAAAGTGACCAATTCCTACATCCTGGCCAACCAACACCATTAGGCAGATCCCAGAATATTCTTCCCGTAAACGCTCGTCAAGCGGCCTGTATTCTGGATCTCCTGGTCCCAATACTTTCAGACGTAGGGGAACTCCAGGCCTGACCGTTGAGCAATCCATGTTAATAGCACTAAACTTAGGGATCTATCTAGTTCTTGGTCGACTTGCCTCCGACAGGCTTGTAACGAACTGCCTCGCCGTTCTAGTACTGTGACATTTTGACACTTGGTTGTTCAGTCTTTGCTAATTAATGGGTGCTCTGTCGAGCTTGAGAATTAGTTGTAGGGGATTCTAGAGGGGGCTATTTATAGCTGAGCTGGGTCTATGCAGGAATGGATGATCTACGACATATTTTCAAGTCATTCCCTGTTGGTTGTTTCGACTTTGGCATCAGCAGGAGGAAAATGACGTGTTACTCTTCCAGAAGATTCTGTAGTTGCCCTTGGTCGCCTAGGATAGCAATTGGTTCAGAAGGTATAACAACATGATTATAGAAACAGTTCTCTATAAGTAGTTAGAATGTTCCTATTGCATTACCCCGACGTAATTGTACTAAATTAATTCATGGACCACTGGTGACATCTCGTACATAGTTAAAGACTACCAAAACCCTAACCGTTAGGTCAGATTAGACTTAGAGATTACTTATTCTATTTAAGAACGCAATAGGTACAACAGACAGTGTATACTAAATGCAGTTAGAAAATATAACGATACTATTCATGCCCAAAAGGGAATAACCAGGCAGATCCCTGAGCGAGGCTGACAAGGCTGACGCTGACAGAAGGATCACAACTTGAACCCCAAGGGCCAAGCAGAGAACTCCACGATGTCAAGTAACATTGGCTAAGAACTTTAAATGCTCGTTAGTCCAGAGCGATCCAGCTGATGCACTTGCAACGGACCCATCTCGACCGGGCTCAATCCCTCCGGCAGCAGCGCAATCTCCCCGCGAACATCACCGACAACGCGGGTCGAACTGTGCGCTCCTGGATCGCTTCGTCGGGGCTCATGAAACTGCCCACTGGCAGGGACCGTGTCCAGCGATTTGAGCAATTTCTGCTAGATCGGGGCATCGATCCCAACCTCACTTCGGGTGAGACTCCGTTGCATTGGGCGGCCAATATCGGGGACCATGCGATGGTAGAAAGTCTCTTGCAGAACGACATCGTTCCGCCGGATGCGCCAGATCTTCGAAACCGCACGCCTTTGTCACGAGCTGCAGCGGGAGGCCATTGCCAGATTGCGAAGTGTTTGCTGGCGACGGACAAGGTCGATCCAGACCGGAAGGATGGACGCGGGAGAACGCCGCTCTCATGGGCAGCTGAACACGGACATCTGACGACGGTGGAAGTGTTGATTCGATACGAGGCCAATGTGGACATCCACGACGACGAGGGCCAAACTCCGCTGTGGTGGTTCATCACCAACGGGTCGAAACGACGTCCCGAGTCGTCTCCAGTTGACTTTCCGCACTGGTTGAAATTGCTGGGTCCCACGAACGGCTCGGAGCCGGTGCCCAAGACGCGACGCACGCCGCTATCCTGGGCTTGCGAAAGGGGAGATCTCCCTCTGGTCGGGCATCTGCTGCAGACGACGTGGGCTGATCCGAACTCGGTGGATCGGTATCGTAAAACGCCCCTGATCTACGCCATGGAGCGGAATCACCACGAGATCGTCGAGCTGCTGATCTCAGGACGCCACGAGAAACGCGACATTGTGTCGCTGCGCATGATGATCCAGGAGAGCCGGTCTCGTCTGTTGAAGCCGTTCCTGGAACGGTTCCAGCCCAGTCTGGAGAGAGAGGACGACTCCAGCTCGGTGCCCTTGATGCGAATCGCCCTGCAGCAAAGTGACCGGGCCACGGTCCTGGTGCTGCTGGAGCACAAGGCCAGCATCAAGGGCCTCGACAACGGGGACTGGTTCGGGCCCTGCAGTACGGAGACACTGAGCAACGAGCTACAGTGGACGAGTACGACCCCCGATCAACCGTGGACGAGCCCCAAACTACCAGTGAGGTTGGCCAATGAGCCCACCGCGGTAGGCTCCAGTTCCATCCCGGTGATGCGAATGGCAATTCAGGACGGCGACCGCGCCGTGGTGACGGCTCTGCTGCACCAACGGGCCCGCATCATGGATCTAGAAGAGGACGAGGAGAACTTTAACCAGTACAATAACAACAGCAAGCCCAGCGTAGCGGTGGATATCATGGCTCTGCGCGACGGACGGCACAAGGTGCGATGGATCCTCGACGAGGAGCTGGACGAGGAGTTGCGTAAGCTTCCCAAGACCAGCACGGAGGAAATTCACCTGATGTAAGTCGAGACTGACTGGTTATATCGACGAATACTCATATACAAGGCCAGGCTCTTCCGTGAAAACTACGCCTGGCGCACCTATCATCGAATGAGCCATGTACCCAACGAGCTCTGGTTCTCACTGGGCAGCAAAGGACCCTGTCGGACGTTCACTCTGTCCATCCAGATGAATCTCAAGCTGGAAGACGATCCCAGCAGCGTCGAGGGCGACGACGACGACGACGACTACACCGTGCGCACCATCCAATGGACCGTTCTGGAGGCACCACCCAAGTCAATCTGCTACTTCAGCAACCTGCCGTATGGCTACATCCCGCAGAACGACCTGGAGCTGGTGCAACAGTTCATGCGGATATTTCGCAAGGACTGGATGGCCTATTGTCACGCTGCGAGGCGACATCTTGGCCAGCTGGTGGGTTGCCCTTGAATCCAGGAGTATATCCTTCCATTAATGCAATCAGCGATCCCATCAACTGACGGCGCGCGGCAAAGACGACCGACTGATAGACACGGTGGCCGAGAAGATGCTCATCTGGACGCATATCCAAGGCACGCTGGCTAACCAGCTCAACCAGGCACGGAACTTCGTCATGCAGTATCAACACTTCAGCGAGACACGGCACTTCAGCGACCAGATGAGCCACACCATCGATACGTTCGACCGCGACGTGTCCAGTCAGATCGAGAAGCTGGAACAGATGTTTCGTGATCTCCTCCAAATCGTCAGTCCATACGATCGATGTCGAAGACGAGAGCTGACGGATGCGCGGGATAGGAATTCGCATGGACCACGATCAACGAGGCGCATCGATCCACCAGTCTCGCTACCAGTATGAACCGACTCAGCTGGATCACGGTGCGTTCTGGATATCAAGATATATTATTATATGACATGGTCGCTAACTCCGTCGAGTTCATCTTTCTGCCGCTGACCTTTGCCTCGGTACGTCCTGTGTCCCCCGTCTTGACGGATTGTAAGGGTCTAACGAACGTCGCAGAGTCTGTTTGGCATGAACGTAGACATCCTGGCTGATAACCCGACCTGGCTCTGGTATCCCCTGGTGGGGGGGTCTCTATTGCTGATGACAGTGGCGACCTGGCTGGCCTTCAAGCTCAACAGCGTGGGCGGACTGCGCAATGGCCATTCCAGGCTGACAGGCAGATGGACTGGGCGTCAGCCATGGCGGTGATCTGTAATACATGATTGGATAGAGATATAAACTTCAAAGAAGTCTAATGGATATACTCACCGCTACTCTGGTATGTAGGGGGTACAGGATATGTCATATCGACTTGATTAAATGTGACGACTGTATAATATCCATATCTAGTGATATCTACCAAGTCCTCCATTCAGTGACATCCTAGTTCAAATACACAAGTAGCATATAAACTAGGTGCAAGATGTATAGACATACAACTCTAACCACATCAACGAGAACAAAACTAAGCATAGAGAATGGAATGGAACATGAAACAAACACCCTTACGTCTGTCCAACACACCCACCCCAGCAACACACGCACGGTGACGACACCATCCCTCCAGAAGACAATATATAAAGCCTCATCTCGCACTGGTTCTGATTCTTTCGTCAGAACCTACGGAGTCTATAACTGTTAACAATCAACCAGATCCAGATCAGAATGAAGTTCGTTTTTCCCCTACTCACTCTCGCTGCAATGGTCACAGCGGACTGTCTGGTAAGTATACGTACATATCTATCCTATCCTAACCTCTATCCGTATCCCCATCTATCTCCACCCCACAAGTATACATATCTATTACATATAAACATTAACCGTGGTAGGAAACCTGCATCTCCAAAACCGGTCTGTGTACCGCACCGGCCGATATCAAGTGCTACTGCTCCAACCCAGACTTCCAAGCCAAGATGGTCAATTGTATTAAATCGGATTGCCCCGATCAGTATAATAGTATGCTCGCTCTCCTGTTTTATTTTATTTTATTCTACTAATGATACTGATTGTATAGATGCGCTGGGTTTGCAGAACAGTGTTTGCTAATCTCTCCACTAAGTAGTCTTGTCAATGAAGTCTTGATTTATTCCTTATGTAATGAGCCCAGGTTGTCGTTGGATCTAGTCGGATATCCATTGTAGTATCTGCAACCCGGATGAGTATGTTAAATTGTATGTAATGGGACGATAGGATCGTCTCGTGCCTTTCTAGTCTTTAGAGAGTTCTTGATAACAGTTAATTAGATAGTTCAGATAAGTATAGTGCTTGAAATATCTAGTTAAGCTACGTGGCAAGAATTCACGGCTATGGCTTTTATCTGTATACTGCAGATGGAAGAAATAAAAATAATGTTCTATTAATATAATCCTAGCCTCTATTCACTGCTCCCATTCATCAAGGAGTATCGCATCCATGCTCGCATACCCCTCCACCACCTTCAGCCCACGCAGTCTCTCCTGCTCAATCCGTTCCCAAGGCCACTCTGTTGCGTCCCACGAGTCGGCATTGGCCTTCCGTTCCGCCTCCAGTGTATCTCGTGCCGTTGACTCGTCCTCGAGCTTCAGCACCTCCCGCACCAACGATCCATCCACGGACGCCATGGCTGTGATACCCTCGCTCGCTGGGGTTCCCGCCCCCGAAGTTCCAGGCATCTCCGTCGACGTCGCCGCATCGGAGCCCTCCGGACGCGGCGGGAGGAAGCCACTGGCGCGCATGACCCGCTCCGGCGGCACCGTAAGCCGACCTTTCTTGATCACGTATTTACTCAGCGCCGTAGCGAAGAGGGTACGCTTGCCACCCTTGCGCGGTGCGGGACGCAAGAAAAAGGTAAGAATGTACATCCATTTCTGGTCCCAGGCGATGAGTTTGGACTCGATCTCATATCGCTCGAAAGGCTTGATTTCGCGTTTGAAGGCGCAGTACACGGAGCCCAGGGCGATGTATATGGACTTGCGAGGGGGTGCCGGCTTCCCTTCCCTACGACTTGCGGCAAGAAACTCTGCGTCCAGCTCCTTACTCACAATAGAGGATCCCGGGGAGTAGAGACGGGTAGCGAGTGCGGTTCGCGCGACGTCCAGGTCAGAGAAGTAGGTGCTGTTGGACTTGTGGAAGTTGTAGTCGGTCTCTAGAATCGGAGCGCGAGAGGTAATGCCATAGGGAACGAAGACTGGGTGAGTGGGTTTGCCGGTATGGCTGACGATGGGGTGTCCTTTAGGAAAATGGGGGTACTCAGGCTTCCAGCGGATATTCGAGACGAGGTGGTGCAAGATACGTAACTGTATCTGGGTTAGTAGATGCTCTCCATGGAATGAGGAAGGAGCATGTGACAGGGAGAGAACCTACATGCCAGACAAAAGGGAGGTTTTTCAAATTGATGAGCGCCAGCACCAACGCCAACGTCTTCCAGGAGAAAACCGGTAGTAAGCTTGACAGCAGCTCGTAGATGCTGTCCAGCCGGACAGAGCCAGGGAAGCCCATTATCAGTGTATAGCCAGCAGAATTATAAAATCAGTCTACACAGAATACGAGAAAGGGGGAACAATAGTGTAATTAATAATATCCATAGATTAGGGGAACGAATGGAAAGAACAAGCAAGTCCCTGGGGTCGGTCTCCGCTGCGATTCCCCGCTTAGTTCAGTCTCAACAACAAAAACAACCACAAAGAATCCAACAGCGACGCGACCCGCGATGGACCGCGGAAGAAAGAGCCGAAGAGGAGGTAGTAGAGTGAGAGCGAGAGTGAGAGACGAAAGAAAGCGTTGGGGAAATCCATAAAACAAGCCGAGGCCCGCCCCTCACGTGCCGATAGCTTATCGGGTATGGTATTATTGTTCAATTTGTCAATTTGTCTACATACGTCGACACATAGGAAGGAAGAAGCAGCCAAGGAATACAACCGGGGAAGAAGAATACGACCAAAGAATGCGACCTGACTAGACATCCGTCCTCGGTCTCAAAACAGTGACATTCAAAACATTGCTATGCAGTTAGGTGGACGCGAAACCCGGGCGCCTGATTCAATGGACTGCTGGATATGAAGAACGTCCACCTCCTCAACTGCTGGCACACTTCTGCCAGGCCGTCGAGGTCGAACATCCCACCGATCGGCACTCCACAACCGGCCAGCAGGTACTGGTGCAGATCAAATTGCGGGTGGGAGCACCTCAAAGCTGACCACATCCGAAGCCACAGCCGCGAAGTGACTATCCCACATGAACCGCCCCACATGCTCACTCTGTTCTATGCCGGAATGGTTGGGCATAGACTGCTGCTGGCTGTATGCTAACCTCTGCCCCTCATACATCGCGTTCCAGGGCTGGGGCAGTCCGACGCGGAGGAAAGAGATGTCCCCACGCTGGAGCTCGATCTTGACATTCACATGCGATAGCCAGCAACGTCATCCCGTCGCACGTGATGCCTTGCTTCTCCGCTCACGAGAGATAATCAATCAGCACGCCTCGACCGGCAACACACTTGGTCCAGTATCCAATGCCAATGCGCGTCGAGTTAGTGTCCAGTATCTCGTCCGCCGTAGTCCCCTCGTAGAACACTCGACGGTTCTGGTCCTCGGACGTCAGGCGCTGGGCAGTGTAATGACGCAGACCATTCCACAGGGATGAGTGCTGGGAATGAAGTAGTATTCATCATCAAAAGCCACATCGGGCAGTACCCATTTAATGCGATGTTCGAACGGCTTGCAGCCGATCCTAGGCAACGGGTGAATAGACAACAGACTGGCAAAGCAAAATACCTACCCGGTGGAATTCAATTCCGAAGATCCCAATTCATACACACCGGCTCCGCCGACCCTGCTGGTGTGGGCCAGTAACGCCGTTTGTCAGGGAGGTCGTCATACTTCTTTTGCAGGTCGTAAACTCCCGACATGATCGCAACCTATAAGTGTAGGGGCAAGAGACAACCGTGGGCAAGATACGTGAAGAGAAGCTGGAGAACGGAAAACAGCAGCGGTTGAAGTTGGGTGGGGAAGCATTCGGAGCCTCCATGCAAGTCTGATATATCCAATAGAAGCTGAGTATTCTGACGTGCACGACATCTAGGCGATTGGGGCAACATATCCCTATTCCTAACTAGACTAAAATGCAATGACAAGACCAAGTCGCACCGATATAGTCATATACGGTCAGCAGTCGGACAGACAGGTAGTCAGCGTAATTCAATTTCTATTAACTAGTCTGGTTAGGAAATGGATGTTGGCTTTTATTGTATTTAGAAGTAGATAGACCCTGCAGAGTTGACCTTCTATTATATTAAACAAGGTATATATCCATGTCAATACACAGCTTCTACGAAGTATATCTACACATAACAAGACACCTGAAATATCTTCTTACACTCGGAGAATGCATCGCTCTAATAATCATATATTCCAACAGCGTGAACAATACACAGGCAGAGAGGACTCCGTCCCGTCATACAGACACAGGATAGCCTACAAGTCGTCCTCATCCGTCACTTTGCCCTGTTTGTTGAGGTGCGACATTTCGTGCTGCTCCCCCGTGCGCCCTGAGCTGGCTCCCGGAGTCGACATAGCGATGGCTTGTCGCCCTGTATCGGAGGACTCAAGAAATTCGCGTAGTCGCTTCTTGCCCTCGACCAAAGCTTGGTTCGAAGCAGCTTCGGTCATCTTTATGATAGGTCCCCATAGGTTAAGCTGGTATGTCACATACGCCGCTACCGCGCAAACAAAGAGGAGGACGAAATAGGCGGGGTTACGGAGAACTAGTGGAACTCAGTGAGGAATACATTCCAAATAGGCCCCAATACAACAGATGATGGAGGGACAATACTCACCAGTAAGAATCTCGTTCCAGCCAAGTGCAAGGAGGATACCATAAAAGTAGAGGGGTACCTGGGTCATGCCACCGATGGCGCTCCGTTTCGCTTCGACGTACACTCCATCCGCAGCCTTCTTGAACCGCACAATAAGCTCTTGTCGCTTGGCATCGCTAAGAATAGTCATCTCTTCCTCCAAACTCTTGCCTTCCTCCTCGTCCACTCCGCCAATCGGGGCCAGATCTTCCTCGTCGGCCGGGGTGGCAGAGCTAGGGGTGTGTCCGATCCAGCGATCTAGCGGGGGCGGAGCGGACGTCTCAGCCAGACGGAACTTAGACAGAAGTGGTATCAGGGTCAGAGTCGACTCGCGCGCACGAGTGTAGATGCCTTCAATGTCATCGGTTGGGCGCCAGATCCTGGGAACACCAGCTTCGTCATAGCGGAACTTGTCCTCGAAGTTCTCACGAAGCTTCAGTAATAAGTTACCCTCCATCATCTCCTCCTCGACCTTAGTACGCAGGACACCCCAGGACTTTCTCCGAAGCCTCCACAGCCCAACATCAACCTCTTCCAGGCTGGCATCAAAGCTGCTGGCACGGTCCGTAAATCTGCGCTCAGCGTCAAGAACTATCTCGACAAATACATTCCATACCCGATCCCAGAAAACCTTTTCGGACAGCTTTTCACCCTCTTCGGGAGCACCGCCCCCGGCCCGTCCAGATCCAAGAGCATTGAACTCGACGCCCACGGATTCACCTAGGCGTGACTGAACCCATCGCTCAACCCGGGTGGCCAAACGTCGCATCTCATCCCTTCTCAACCTCGCGCTGACTTCTGCAAGCTCCTTCTCATACAGGGTCATCTCCTGCCCGTAGTCACTCCAGGATGTGCCCTCCACTACAGTGGCACGAGCAACTTCCTCGAACTTCTGCAAAGCTTTCTGCGTCTCCTCCTTCACGATCTCGGCAAAGTCGTACCCAGTTCCCTTCTTCTGTCCCGCTTTGACGGCCGCTGAGACCGCCTCGCTAAACTCACTGATTCCAAGCTTGTGGGTTGCATTAAGTTGGCAATGGAGAAGAGCTTTCAGGCGGGTATCAATCTTGCCTCCAAGCTCTGCCCATTTGCGCTGGTAGACGCCCTTGTGATACCGGCTGGCTGCGGTCTCAAAATTCTTCAGAGCCTTGGTCCGCGATGAGCGCATCGCAGCTCCCAGCCCTCCGAGAATCTCAGGCTCGCCCAGGCGAGAGGCTTGTGACTGCTTATCTTCGAACGGTATAATTGCTTCGTCGAAACTAACCATAACTTCTCTCAGGATTTCATCACAGCGGAATTGCGCAAGCAGCTCTTGCTGAGTGGGGAGATCCAGGTCCTTGTTATTGACAATTTGGTCCCAGATGCTGTCTGCATATGCCGAGAATCCATCCGCTGGGATCCGTCGATGGTATTCGGGGAGGAAGACGCCTCCTTCGGAGAACTCACCCTTGAGCGCATTCAGATTAGCATCCTTCTGACCATCGCGGAAGCGCTGGCTGAGTTTCTTTGTCTCGGCCACGAATTGCTCTGCCTGGTAGGCCTTATGCGGAAGCCCGTAGAACTGGAAGTCAAAGTATTCGTGTACCGTCGAGTTTTCTAAGCCGGGGGGCTTCGATATCGAGTCCCACAAGCGACACATATCTTCCATCAGGGTCTTCTGTAGATTCTTCAGCGGCGTGTTCCCGACAAAATCGCGAATGACGAAGAACAGCAGGGACCGATGAGTGGTGCTGAAGTCATGGTGTCAGTAGAGCACAAAGTAAAGTCCAGTATTATCCAAAGTGGCACGGAGGCAGACATACTTCTTGTCCTTCAGGAACAATTGCAAGTTGACTTCAAAAACAGTTTTGAGCAGACCCATATTTGCGCCTTGGTACAGTCCCACCTGATGTTCCCAGATATTGACAATGAGGACCTCACTGGTCGCCAGCGCAAAGAGAGCAGACTTGCGCTCAAAGTCCTGGTCCTCTCCTCTCTCACGACCATCTGTACCCTCGACATCCATTACTAGGATGTTGTCCGCCATCGAAGCGTCTTCATTCTTATTTTTGGACATCCAAATACCCTTTGTTGTCTGTCGTCTCTCCGATTCGGACATAACAGAGAAGTGGGTTCCGAAGAGATGATTGAGCAGTGTGGATTTACCAGTCGACTGCGAACCGAAGACGGAGATGAGATGATAATTGAAGCCGGCATGTGTGACGTTTTCAATGCCCAGGTACTTAGACAGGTTCGGACTGGGATATGATTATTAGCTCTCGGGAAAAACAAATGCCACAGAAAGTCACGGATGCAAGCGCATCATGGCGCCACATAGAAAGCACCCGGGCAAGATCACAGTGATAGATAGTAATTCGGGTATAGATGTAGAGCATACTTGAATTCCTTATTCTCATCAATCACCTGCACTCCATGTTCATATGCTGTCTTATTGCTCTCGACGCCAATCGAGGCAAAGTGGCCATTGGTAGCCATGGCGAGAGGGGCGGAGTCGGGCTTCTACCCGATCCTAACAAATTCAATGCCACGGGTAAGATTGCGCTTAGACACTCGGGGTGTCCGTTTCGTGGGTGTCGGGAACAAATGCAGTGTCCGCGGCTGAGGGGAACGTTGTCAGCTAGGAATAACGTCAGGAATGGGTGCGGAGCGGTGGCGAAGCAAAGACATACACAGTACAGGGCAAATGCAAGGGGGAAATAATTATGAGGTGTAGGCTATAAGCCGATCACTTGGAGAACTCGGTAGAAATCACAAGACTCCGTCCTGTGCGCTTGTGTCCGAGGTTGGGAGTAGTCTTGTGGACAGGAGGTCGTTGGTTGCATGGGGCACCCTCGACGCCTGAGCATCCAGGCCGCTGCGGCCGAATCCACCATGCGCCTAGGTAGCCCCTTCCAGTTTAGCGTTCTCGTGACCATATCAGCTGCTGAGTGCTCTTTCCAGATAGATCTCCATTGTCTTCACTATGAATGGGCTTGTATGGCGTTAAGGGGAATATTGTGTTATTTATTACTGAGATTTTTCTGTACGCCGGTAGGTTTGAGAATCTGAATTATCACATTCATTGGTTAGAGAGCAGCATGGATATATGCACTGTCTATATATATATCCCACTAATGTCCTAAAACAACCTACCAAAAAAAAGACTAAAAAAAAAAATTAAAAATTAAAAAACAAGGCCGGTAGCAAACAAGACAGAACATTGTCGACAAGTCTAACTGATTCAAAAACGCCCAGACCAAGTCAGCCAATAGCGTCGCAATATGTACAGAATCCCCAACAGCCATGAAACCACAGCAGTTGATAGTAGATTGGCATAGAAAATGAGGGTACAAATATATAATGACATGTGATGCTATACAGATATGCGCTTTCCGGAAACCGGTGTCACCTCCTTATACAGTAAACCTGGATAAATGCAAAGATTCTAGAAAGCTTTCCCGCTTGCATTTAGCAGAGTATTGCATTTGAGTAGGGCCGTAGACCTGGCTACGTCCATCTCTGTACCAAAACCTTTTCCTTCCCCGGTCTAAACCATGTGAATTTTTGGAATGTCCGTAACGTGTCGTTTACTTGGAGATCTCAACACCATTGGTGGCACCTAATGGTACAAAGTCAGCCCTAGCCAGGGGAATCAAGAAAACAAACAGACTTACCAAGAGCCTTCTTGATGTCACCGTAGATGGCGAATTGACCAGCAGTAAGACCACCAATCATGAACAGACGAGTAGGAAGACCAGCAAAGGAACCACGAAGGCCAAGCTCACCAGCAATCTTGACGAGACGGGAGACGGTGCTCTCACCAGGTAGACCCTTGGTCTTGTTGATCTTGGACAGCATGGTATCAGCGGGTTGAGAGATGATGGCAGCAGCGAAACCAGCAATGAGACCAGATCCCAAGTTGACACCGGTTTGGGCACCATCCGACAGCTTGGACTTGTCAAGGCGAGCGAAAAAAGCCTCGGCAACCTTTTCGAAAACGACAAACTTAGTCACTGTATAGGGAACCCTGTATAGTCATGTCAACTTTGTTACTTGCGTCGAGCTTTTCATCGAGATCAACGTACTGCTTAAAGAGGATAGGACCAAAACCACGGTAGAAAGCACCAATGCCTTCGTTCTTGAGAATCTTGCCGAAACCACCAATCAGACCGTTGGCGAACCCAGGTTCAGAGACGAGGCGGATACGGGTAGCCTCGAGAGGGCAGAGAGCAATGGAGGCGAAGAACTCAGCGCAGGCGGCAGAGACAGAGTAAACGGCAGTGCGGTTCTGGCGAGCCTTTTCGAGACCGAGAATGTTGATGGATTGCTGCTTGAAAAACTCATAACCGCCGAATTTGAAGGCTCCCTGCATGAAGTAACCAGCAAAGGTTGGGCCGACGCCAGTCAAGAGAGCACCGGCGCCCTCTTTTTGGATGACTTGGCGGAAACCGCCAATCATACCACGGTTGTAGGTGACGGGGTCGAGCTGGATCCTGGTCTTGACGCTATGGGGTTGTCAGTAATTTGCGAACACTCGATAGTGGAGCTGGAGCTGGAGCTGATGGACAACATACACATCGACCGGAGTGAAGGCACCGTGAGTGACGGAACAGCAGACGGCTCCAGCAAAAGCGAACCGAGAGTAGAGGTCAAGGCCCTCAGGCTTCTTCTGGGTGGCGGCCTGGGCCAAAGCAGTGGGGGAGACAGCCATTGCGACGGTGATGAATGCGCGCGACACAACGTACGGGGAATGGAAAAGAAACAGAGTGAAGTTGTGAGGTGAGGTGTGTTGGTGATCTGGAAGATAAAAGAGTGAAAATTTGAGAGCAAGGGTTGTTTGCTAGGGTTGCTACTACATTTGGGGGCCAAAAATAGCAGCTATTTGGTAGACTCAGCTGTTTAATAGTGCAATTATATTTACTGCTTTGTTAATTGTATAAATTGTTGGTAGTATATTAACAAGGCTATTATCCTGCCATCCAAAGTATAAAACCTTATCCACTAACTTTTCATAAGTTTATAGTACGCTGTTTTGGCCGGTCCTACCATACATACAAGATGCTAGATATGCCAATATCACAAGGATATATATAAGCTGTACGGACTGGCTGATCGAGGCTATATCTAGTAGTTTGTGTGGTCCAGCAGACAAGTGGGTATTGCTGAGATTAAAAAGGAAGGTTTAATAACATGATTTATGGATGGGGGAGAGACTAGAAAAAAATAGTAAATATATGTATAGCAGAAGTTCATAATAATTAGTGGCATATTGTCTATTCCCTGTTAAACCCAGGCCTTGCCCCTCCATACTGCACAGGCCCACTCCATGAAGTTCAATTTCGCAAGTCGTTTTCACATTATGAAACTCTTTTTACTAATAGCTTTATTGGATACAACACCATCACTGATAACCCGAGACCCAAACTACCCGGGCTGGAAAGAAATCGGCCTTCTGGAACGGGAATACTGAGAATACAGAGGATAAGCAACAAGTTGAGCTCGCATCAGGTACCAAAATTCGTGGCCCACTGGTAGTGGAGTTTAAGAGGTGTTTTCTGGCCTATTAGGAGTACCACTTTTTTGGGTTGCTCATCCAATAATATGTGTTCCCCATTTATCAGAATATGAAACGTGGAGGATGTTTGATCCGCTGTATAATACAAAATTTACTAGAACCTTAATTTTAAGCTATTACCATGGCTTAGGGTTCGAAAAAAATCCCAAGAGAATAAATGGGTGACACTGATTTCCGGAAAGTGTATATTTCAACAGGGTAGTATCAGTATTTAAGCAAAGGAACTAAAAATGGTTAATTCAAAGCAATGATTTCATCTCAAAAGGTACTGTAAGTATGCAGTGGCCATCCGGAAAGAATGTTTTAGGCTAATAATGTCATATCTGAGGTAGCCTCTCAAGAAATAGGGGATGTGGTTTAGTGGTATAACGTTCGCTTAGCATGCGAAAGGTCCGGGGTTCGATTCCCCGCCTCTCCATCCCTCTTTTTGTTTCTGAAACATACGTTTTGTTTATTTTTTCTTCTTATCTTCCTCCTGAGCAGACTACTATATCCCCAGTGATAACCAGCGTCGCATAAACTACGTGTATTTTAATCACCAGTCTCACAAGTCTATGGTATGCGTCATCTTGTTTGTCGGTAGCAATTTGATTCATATTCAATGACGTAGCTAGAATGTAGAAGAGGGGAGATAAAGAAAAGAAATTTTACACATTTTTAATACAATACAGACGGACATGACCCAAGAACTCCCGTACAACCACAATCGTGGTGTATCAACTTCCCTGGATTTCCTCGCTGATCCTCACGCTGCAAAAAAGTGTCATTACAAAGAAACAGAGAGGAAGGGTTGTTGTTTTTCATATTACAAAGCAGCCAATTAGTCGATAATTCCAAGGGTGTTGGTAGCTTAGTCCATGACACGGGTGACCAGACCAGTGGCAACAGTGCGACCACCCTCACGGATGTTGAAACGCTGGCCAGCCTCAGCAGCAATGGGGTGGTGAGTCTTGAGGACCATCTCAACATTGTCACCGGGCATCACCCTCCGGGATTCGTCACCGTCGGGGAAGCTGAAGTCAGCAGCCTCATCTGGTTTGGCTAGTTAGACAACGACTTCTTATTTAGATACTGAGGTAGAAAGACTTACCAGCGGTACGAATGAACACCTGAGGGCGGTAGTTGACACCGAATCCAGTTCGGCGACCACCCTCGGCCTCAGTCAGGACATACATGGAGACCATGAACTTGTCGTGGGCCTTGGTGGAGTTGGGAGCAGCAACAATCATACCACGCTTGATATCCTCACGGCGGACACCACGGAGAAGGAGGCCGGAGTTGTCACCAGCACGGGACTCGTCACAAGACTTCTTGAAGGTCTCAATGTCGGTAACCTTGGTCTTCTTGGCTTCGAATGCTCCTCCGATGAGCTCGACATCGCTATCCTTCTTCAGGATACCGCGCTCAACACGGCCGGAAGCGACGGTACCACGGCCGGGGATGGAGAAGACTTCTTCAATAGACATGAGGAAAGGCTTGTCAAGGTCACGTTGAGGAGTAGGGATCCAGGTGTCGACGGCCTCAAGAAGGGCATCAATACGCTCGGTACCGATTTCGGGGCGACGGTCCTCCAGAGCGCACAGAGCAGAGCCGAAGATGATAGGGGTCTCTTCACCCTCGAAGCCGTAGCTGCTGAGCAGCTCGCGCATTTCCAGCTCAACGAGCTCCAACATTTCGGGATCGTCAATGGTATCGACCTTGTTGACGAACACGACAATCTTCTGGACACCAACCTGACGGGCAAGCAGCAAGTGTTCGCGGGTCTGGGGCCTGTTTGTAGAATGTGTAAGCATGGATTTTGTTAATAGGTCGTATACTTTGACCGTACATCTGACCGTCAGAGGCGGCAACGACAACAATGGCACCGTCCATGTTGGCAGCACCAGTGATCATGTTCTTAATGTAATCAGCGTGACCAGGGCAGTCGACATGGGCATAGTGCCTATCGTTGGTAGAGAACTCGATGTGGGCGGTCGAGATGGTGATACCACGCTTACGCTCCTCGGGAGCTTTGTCAATGGCACCGTACTCGAGGAAGGTAGCCAGACCCTTCGAGGCCTGGTGCTTGGTGATGGCGGCAGTCAAGGTGGTCTAACAGGAACTGCGTTAAAATAAAGGAATTCGGCATATTTCGAGAAGGGAGAGCAAAAGGAACCAAGAGGACCTTACCTTGCCGTGATCGACGTGACCAATGGTACCTATCAAAATCCATGTTAGCAACTCGGATGAGATGTAAATCCCAAGACGGACGATTGCCTACCAATGTTGACGTGAGGCTTGGAGCGCTCGAAAGCACTCGCCATACCGCGGGCAGCCAGCCTGTCTTTGCAGAAAACATGCTGAACAGGGTTGACAGCACGAGGGCGCAGAAGGGAGGCCCTGCTGGAGCGCAGAAGAAGGTTGGCTGTTCGGGAGATGCTCGACATATTGGCTGCCTTGCAATGGATGACAGACGACCAAAAAAAAAAAAAAAAAAAAAAAACCAAAGGAAACGCGATGAGGTGGAAGAAACGGAGCTGGACTGAAGTAGAGAAGCCGAAAAATTTAGGGGCGGTGCTGAGTCATCAAAGCGCCAATCAGGCTCGTGGAATTGCGGAGCAGCGCGTGTACCTGACAATTGCATTGACGAAGTACGGAGTAGTAATTAATGAATAGGTACTAGTAGGTAGTAGTATGTATGTTTGCATATATTGCATGAAAATTTATTGGTCTGATGAAATCCAAGCAATGGATCGACAAACGAGCATATGGGGTAGGTCTCGATAAGGAATTACTCTGGTTGTGCCGTAGAAGGCCGTGCATGGCTGACCATGAGGACGACTGACCAGTTGTACTGTTTACAAAGCGTTTCTGTTCCAATCCATTACATCTGAAATAAATATGTGTTGACCAAAACCATGCTCAGTCAAGAGCATCATTCTTTTTTTACAATGAGCACAACATGCTTGCCCGGTTCTCCTTCAATGGGCCGAATTTGCATGGCGTTCGCTTCCTTGATGGTTGAAATGACACTATCCATCAGATGTTTAATTTCTTCCACGGTGGGTGCCCTCTTTCCCCTCTTTCTGGTCAGAACAACCTCAACCTTACGGCCCTTCTCCAAAAAGGTCGTTAGTTGCTTTAGACGATGGTCGAGGTCATGTGCATCAATGGCCCAGTTCAATTCAATTTGCTTGTTTGCGGCCTTGGCCGCATGAGCTGCTTTGGCCTTGGACCGTTCGAGTTCTCGCATTGCAACTCGGTTCACGATCTTGCAAACTGGAGGCTTGCCAGGAAGGGTAGGAGATACCTGCTGCAGGTAATTCTCGGAGCGGTTAAAGGTATGCAAGACATCTCGAAGACGTATCGGGGGGTCCAGACTGTTGTTTTCATTCACAACCTGGACAAATTCTGCTCGGATCTCTTCATCTCTGGGCTGACTCCCAGTGCCGGTCGACTGCGCTGGCGACAGCCGGCGCTTGACGTGGAGAAAACGAGATTGGTTTAGAGTGGGAAGTGTGGTAGAACGGAAAAGCTGAAATCGAATGAATTGAGAAGGAGAGACAAAGACGTGGCGGAGAGCCTGAGTTGTCGAGATGAGGTTGCATATGTGCTTCATGTTGGATCACGGAAGCTTGCCTGGTCGGGTAAAAGGGAGGGCACGTTGAGGATGTGGGGGATTAGATACTGATCAGAGGGTGATATGATAAGGCTGAGATTGGATTGTAAAGGGGCCTGCAGTTCTGCCCAAGTAAGCGTGGAGGGAGCTGTCATGAATGAATAACAAATGATCTCTCGAGTCAGGACTATGAATCGTCGTGGTTGGAATGTGGAAACGACGTATGTGGGTCAGCCACAGCGCCCACGCCACAGGGGATCCAGCCAGATCTGGCGCAACATTTGTAATTTGTTCGTTCCCTGACCCTCTTCTCTTTGTCCCCCGTTTCATCCTCCTGTTCCCCGTTGGCCTGGTCCGGAGGCTCGTGCAGGATCAATGACCCTGCTCTATTTCGATCGTTAATTCATTTTCCCACGCTCTTTGTCTCCTCGGTCGAGTCCAAAAAACAAAAAGAAAAAAGGGAGAAAAAAAAAAATAATTAAAACTTGATTTCCGCAAAGGGCGTTTCTCCCCAACGAAACGCCATAGTTGCCTCCTGTATCGTCTGGCTCGTATGTCGACTGGCGTTGACGGCCGACTTCTTCAAAACACTCATTCTTATCCAAATCCCGGTTCCAGTGCTAGCAGACGCCCTGCATCGCGGGCTCCTGAACCTGCGAGTTCCCCGACAATTCGACTGTCCACCGATCTCCCCCAGAGCTCGATAAGAGTGACCATGCTTCAAAGCCAGAGATCTCGCTTCCTGAAGACCGGGGCTATTGTTGGCACTCTATTGCTGTTGATCTTCTGGCTCACGCCCTCGAGATCGGTAACGACGAGCGTCCCGCACCGTAAGTAATGTAAGACCGGATCATTGTTCAAGAGTTGTGCCAATTAACGAGGGTTATTATAGAGCAACCGTCCACGGGTGCCGGCCCTTCAACGGAAAAGTGCTCCAAGCCTTACGACTCATCGAAACCACTAATCCAATATGCACTTATGATTGATGCCGGAAGTCAAGGCTCCCGCATTCACGTCTACCGATTCAACAACTGCGGCCCTACCCCCGAACTCGAGCATGAGGAATTCGAGCAGACAGAGAAGAAAGAGGGTGGCTCTGGGTTAAGTGCGTACAAGGACGATGCGGAGGGTGCCGCTAAAAGCCTTGATCCTCTTATGCAGGTGGCCATGAGGACTGTTCCCGATGAATATAAGTCTTGCTCTCCGGTTGCTGTGAAGGCCACTGCTGGATTGCGTGTGCTTGGACCGGAGATGAGCCAGAAAATTTTGGAAGCCGTTAGAACCCGTCTGGAGACGATCTACCCCTTCCCAGTCGTTTCACGGGAGAAGGGTGGCGTTGAAATCATGGATGGCTCGGACGAGGGTGTTTACGCCTGGATCACCACCAATTACCTGCTTGGAAAGATTGGCGGCCCCGATGAGACCCCCACCGCTGCGGTCTTTGATCTGGGTGGCGGCTCGACTCAAATCGTCTTCCAGCCCACATTCGAGAAGAGCCAGTCGGGTGGTATGCCCGAGCGCCTGGCTGAGGGGGATCACAAGTACGACCTTCAGTTCGGTGGGCGGCACTTTGAGCTGTACCAGCACTCCCATCTTGGATATGGTCTCATGGCTGCTCGTCAATCGGTTCACAGATCTATTGTTGAGTCGATGCTGGCTGCCAGCCCCAAGGACTTGACCTGGTTGAAGCAGCCCATTGCCAATCCCTGCATTGGGCCAGGAATGGAACGCGAAGTGAAGATCAAATTTCCCGATGAGCATGCCCTTGGACCGGAGCAGACTGTCAAGATGATGGGCCCCAAGGAGGGAGTGTCTTCGGCTGCGCAGTGCCGCGGTCTGACGGAGAAGCTACTAAAGAAGGAAGCCGAGTGCAAGCTTGCACCCTGCTCTTTTAACGGTGTCCACCAACCGTCGCTTGCCAAGACGTTCGCCAGGGAAGATGTGTACATTTTCTCCTACTTTTTCGATCGCACAAAGCCACTGGGGATGCCCAACTCTTTCACATTGGAAGAGTTGCATCAGCTCACGTCAACCGTCTGTGGTGGTGAGCCGCATTGGAAGATCTTCGAAGGAATCGAGGATGCCCTGCATCAGCTGCGCGACCGGCCTGAGTGGTGCTTGGATCTGAACTTCATGTTGGGTTTGCTCCACACGGGCTACGAAATGCCTCTGTCGCGCGAAGTTAAGATCGCCAAGAAGATCAAGAACAGCGAACTCGGCTGGTGTCTTGGTGCAAGGTAAGACCATTCATGTTGCGTATGTGATATGTTCTTTGCTGATGAATTGTAACAGTTTACCCCTGTTGAGCAAGGAATCTGGCTGGACCTGCCGCATCAAAGAGGTTTCGTAAGAGGTTAAATGGCCGATACGGTGATGTATAGCTATTTAATTACATTTAGATGGGGCCCACCTTTCTTCTCTCATGCGAATAAGGCTAGACCATTAGCATGTTTAGCATTCTTTTTTTCTTTCTTTTCTTCTTGTTGTGTACTAGACTTTGTCCCGATTACTCGGTGTATGGTACTGAATGAATGTGAATGTTACTGGGGATTACGGAGAATGATCTAAAATCATGTCATCAATTGGGAAAATATAGAAAGAGAAACTTTTGGCACAGTATAAACCAGGCAAAGAGTTATATAATACAATGAAATGAATCCATTATCCATGAGCGCCGTCCATGCATTCAAGACTTCAGTTCCAGAGATATAGGAGGTGACAGGACTATAGCTCTTCGATGGTAGGTATATTCGACGGGGACGCTTCCTCGTTCTTCCCCATCAATTTCTCCAGATTGTTCGAGTCGTTCTGTTTCGAGCTCGATTCCGAGTGATTTGTATGACCTCCATCCGATTTATCGACGTGGTCGTCGGAGTGTTGCTCTTCCAATACACCTAGACCTAAATTCTACACACCCATTAGAGTTAGCCACACCATCCTTGAACAAATTCGAAAACAAACAAAGCAATAAAAGAAAACGACAGGGCAAAAAGAAAGAAAGAAAGAAAGAAAGAAAGAAAGAAAAGAAGATAAAAAAAATTACCATCTCAATATACCGCCCCTCATGAAGTTCATCCACCTCATCCAGTCTCAGATTCTTTCCTCTCCCGGCGTCAATTTCACGCTGCAAATCCTCGTTGGCGCTTCTTATCTGTGGCAAAAAGGCCGATAACCGAGCCATGAGACCAGGATCTTTGTCGACGCGGCGGATTAGCGGTTTCGAGCACCCCGATATATGTGGCAGTGAGCCATCGTCGCTTTTGACGTCACCATCACCGGACTGGGCTTGCTCGTCGTTATCTTCATCACTTTCATCTTCGCTAGTATTACTGCCCGACGAGGAGGTGAAATCGTCCTCATCTCGGTCGTCGTCGTCGCTAGCGATCACTGGGGGCGCGCCATTGGCGACGGAGCCGGCGCGGGGAGGCGAAATTTGGCGCCGGGCGTGCTCCAGGTCGCTCTGGGCGCGAGGTTGTTGGGTGGGGGAAGTCGCGGAAGATGGTGGTAAGCGATCGACGGACTGTGGGCGCTTACGCTGCGCATCGACCATGATGGGCGTGGCCTGAACTGGACTGGATTGGTGCGAACTGTCGTGCAGACTGGAAGGATTCAACGTATGGGAGGTGGTTGGGCTTTAAGTGACGCGCAGAGTAGCGGGGCTTGCAGGGTAAGGAAGAGACGGATGGATGTGACGCCGGTAGCGAAGTCGGAGAAAACAGGTTCAATTGGGCGGAGAGTTGTCAGCAAAGGAGAACGGCATGAAACAGATTTCTGAGGCTGCTTTTGGTGGTGGAACTATGGGTTGTGATTCGAGATGAGTTCGCATCAACCCCGCCGCCTAGAGAAAGAGAAAGAGGGAGAGACAAAAAAATGATGGATTACGAGTGAGGGAGGTTTTCATGCACGTTCTGCTACGCTTCTCGACTTTTCTTTCTAGACACTCAAACGTAAAGAGTGTTGTTGTCCATTTTTAGGTCTGTGTTCTGCCATTGTTTGGTTGTTTCTAGTATCCGATTGTTGCGTGATTCTATACTTCGTTCGTCCTTGACAGGCAGGTCTAGTCGAGAAGACTTGGTGTCTCTTTGTCGCTTTGTTACTTTGTCTCTTCTCATATAAATAAATGGAAGACTTCCTACTGACTTCGAGACAGATTCCCATCATTCTTCAATTTTCAATCGAGGCAGTCATTCCAATATCCAGCCGGCAAACATTGCATTGACATTAGAGAAGACCATCCTTTCTGAACTTCCCATTCTGATATCTCAAATCAGTACTATATTACCAAATCATCATCATCATCATGATGGCCCTTCCCAAGCTCCAAGTCAACGACAAAAGCCCCAAATGCGACGGCACCACTAGCCCCGACGAGACCACCACCTCGCCAGTGACACGCAAATCCCTACACCAGAACATCTTCGGAAAGCTACGACCAGTCCCACTCCAGTACCACTGGACAGTCTGGCACGACAAGCACTCGGATTCGACCAACTACGATAGCCGGCTGTTCGTGCTGCACGAAGACTTGGCGGACATCGCGACCTTCTACCGGGTCTACAACAACTACCCCTGGGGAAAAGTCCGACTGCGAGACACAGTTCACATCTTCCGTAAGGGTGTGCGACCGGTCTGGGAAGACCCGGAGAACCTCAAGGGAGGATGTTGGAAGTTCCGCGTGCCGAAGGAGAAGGCCCAGGAGTTCTTCCACGAGATTGCTATCTTGTGTATGGCGAATGAGTTCCAGGCAGCTCTGGAGGAAGGTAAGTGATTCTGTATCTGCGTGTGTTTCAGTTCTTCTTTTGATATGTTTCTTTCTTTCTGATGATCCTTAGAACATGACCATGTCTTGGGTATATCGACCTCTATGCGGTTCAACTCGCATATAATCTCGGTCTGGAACAAACTCGGCGACAATGAACGTTCAATTCAGTTGCTCGAGCGTACGATTCTCGACCGCTTGTCGCCAGATCTGCGGCCCACCGGGTCCAAAACGTACTTTTATAAGCGTCACGAGGAGAATGAGGGATATCGGGAAGCTGTGGAACGGGCGGCATTGCAGAATTGACGTGATTTTCGTGAGTGGTTTCGGTTTCGTTTGGCTTGGTTAGGTACATTATCGAGGACTTGATGGCTGTGCTTTTCTTTTACCTGTTGTCAAGTATCAGCAGAATTATCTTGCCTAACTAGGGCCGGTACCCTTTTTAGTGTAGTGGAATTCTATTGATATCGGTTTGTCCTTCCAGCACCTTATATTCCTGCGCGTTACCGGCAACTTCTCCATAAAGAACGAGGTACAAAGATTGCGAGATAAAAGCTGCATTAAATTAGGTAGTTACTTGCCCTATGATACAAATGCTAGGACTAACTAGTGTACATAACATGATGCAGAAATGTCGACCGCAGTGTAGCCTACCGGCTTCGACTCCTGCGACGACTGGGACTTGGCCTCCGTACCTGCCGATCGTCACCGTCGCGACTGCGTTCTGGTTCCTCTGGTTTTCGGTCTCGCTCTCCGGCGCGCTCCCCGCCGGGGATATATCTGTCTACTTCTCCAAAGCGAGGCCGGTCGTCGCGGTCTCGCTCTCGCTCCGGCGACCGGACTCGACGGCGGGGGGGATCGGCTTCGATTGCTGGTGGGCGGGACGTAACGGTCGATGTCCAGAGTGCTGGGAGATCGCCTTCGGGAACGCGATCGGCGGCGCGATCGAGATCGTCGTCGGGGTGAGACAGATGGCCGGGGGGATGTATCGGGGTACCTGTCCCGGTCATCTCTATCTCTGCCTCTATCTCGGCCCCGATCTCGGTGGCTGGAGCGGGAGCGGGTCCGTGAGTAATGGCTGCGTCGTCGACGATAATCGTCGCGGTCACGGTCGCGGTCACGGTCCCCATCTCTCCTATCCCTATCGCGGTCTCGACTGCGATCTCGACGGACATCGTGCCTCCGGTCACGGTCTCGACTGCGGTCACGGCGTGAATCAAGGTCCCGGCCCCCCGTTCGTCTCGACCACGATCTGGGTCACGCTCTCTATCTCGATCATGCCCTCGAGTGGTGGATCTGCTGCGGCTGCGTCGACCTGGGCGATAGCTGCGGTCGCCATATCGGTCCTCACGGAAATCGCGGATCGCAAGTCTATCATTGGCGTCACGGTCCCGTGGTCGGTCGGAAGTATCTCGCGAGTCTCGACGGTCATCATCAAATCGAGATGTATATATTCTCCGGGATTGGCTTCGAGTGTCGTCTCCTCTTCGGGTACGCGGACGGTCTTCTGTCGCCGAGCCGCGCCTTCGATAATCACCAGATTCAACTATTGGGCTTGCGGCTTTCATTGATTGGTTGGAATACTTTGCGTCTGAGGTGCTTTTGGGCCGTGACGGAGGTGGCTTTAATCCATTTTCGATCGCTTCAGCTTCCTCAAAATCGAATTCAGGTTTTTGACGGGCCTTAGCTGCAAGTTCTTCGCCTTCTTTCAGTAGAAGTTGTAGCGCTGCTTCTTCCAAGGACTTTTCATCCACGGGAGGAGCAGGGACAGGGACAGGGCCAGGGGGAGGTGCCAGTGCCGGTGTGGCTTCTTTCGATGTCACAGAGGTGCCTTTTCGGGAGTCGCGATGGCGGGGAGAAAGACCACGATCAGATCGATGGTCGGATGAACGATCGCGATACCGATAGCGGTCTCGTTCTCGATCTGTGTCCCTGTCTCTGGTCCGGCTGCGATCACTGTCCCTATATCGATCATAGTCACGGAACCTCTCGCGTTCCTCCATTCGTCGCCGTTCATATCGCTCCTGGCGTTCCTTTTCTCGCTGTTCATCAAGTGCTCGTTGCTCGGCACGTCGCTGTTCCTCACGCTCTCTTCTTCGAGCTCTCTCTTCTTCCTCCTTCTGGCGCTTGAGCTCACGTTGTTTACGCTCCTCTTCTGCTTTCCGCCGCGCTTCCTCCTCCTCAACTTCTTTCTGCTTGCGCAACTGCTCCTGCCACGCTCTTTCGCGCTCCTCTCGTTTAGCTTTGACATGGGTAGCGTAATCTTCATCTGTTTTGTTCCCAGCTTGCTCCTCTCGAATGGCGGCTTCGTCGCCGATTTCCTGGCGACGAATCTCCCGGACTGAATCTAAAATCGTAGGAAGGTGTTTTGAGGCTAGCGCATCAAGGGACTCCTCGACAGTTTTGTAGACGTCACTGCGGTCAACAGCTCCTTCAATCAGCGTCGCAGCTTTCCCACGCTCACGGGAAAGTAGCTCGGGTTCGCGCTCAATCTCCGTCTCTGCTAATTCCACTAACAATTTAGTAAACTCCGCCTTTCCCTCCTATATGCAAAGAAGGGTATTAGAGTAATGCTATTCATTTTATTCTTCTTCCTAGAGGCTTACCCCGTCTTCAAATTCCGCCCATAGCTTCTTGCGAACAGTGTCAAAACCGCCCTTCTTCTTGAAAGCGTGTAAAAGGTGGTCAATGGCCGCATGTTGTCCCGCGGACAATGGCAGCTCCTCCGCCTTGAACTTCTTGCGCTGTAGACTATCCAGATCCACGGACGGCCGTTTGACGCCGGCGGACTGAACATCCGGCATCTCCTCTGGACCAGCCATGTCGAGAAGCCAGACAAACGGATACCTGTAAAGCTGGCGCGTCGTGTGAGGGTTGGGTCTGCAATCGCATCCCAGAAATTCATTCCGTTACGGCAGGAACCCTGCGGCCGGCGGAATGATAATCCGGAGGCGGGCGGATTGGGAACTGCAACCCCGTGATTCGACGGGGAGAAACAACGGATCTCGAATCTGAACGTCAACGAAGCCTGCCCTGCTCGCCGACCGACCGACCTCGTTCATTGCGTCGCTGGCTCGAGTTCTGACCGGATTTCTGACCGGATTTTTGCAGCGGTCTTGAACTCAATTGATCTCGTCACTTAACGATTTGCCCGCGTGATCCCGCGTTCTCCCGTCATCATGGTCCACAAAGTCCTCTTCTGGGGCGGTTTCGGTAAGTCGATACAATTCCGTGGATTTTGATGTTACTGGCTACGCGATGGGCTGAATAGTTTCTATCCTACCGTGTCATCAAAGTCTCGAAATTACTTTCCTCAATGTTAACCCGCATCCAGGCATCGCCGTCCGACTGTGGCAACTCGGTATCGAAATGCGTCCTATCCTTGCCAAAGAATCCCTCTGGGTATATCCTCTTTTTGCCGGAGTTGGCGGCAGCTTCGGATACTGGCTCCAGGGTGTCGAAAGCCGGCAGCTTAAAATCCTCGCACAGCGCCGGGAAGCGATCTTGGAGAAGCGCCGGAGAAGGGACGAGGCCACATTGAGCAAGGTAGAAGAGGCGGGTACACTGGCTGCGACATCGTGAAGATATCCACGAAGTGTGATTTTGGAATCAGGGGTGTGTGATACTGTGTCTTGTCTTATACCATGTACTGGGTGCGATATGGGGAAATCGGAATCCAGCACCACAAGAACTCGTACTAAAATTCGGAAGGTCAATGCTTGATCTCTGTGATGGAAGATAATAGAGTGTGAGGGACTCTGGCTCTAGCTTATGCCTGAGAGCATGGGTCTTAGGTTATGTTTTGTTGGTCGCATTGAATGGCAATTTTTTTTTCTCTTCTTTCGACCCATGTAAAAATAGATTATGTGAAAGTGGTTACTGTCACTCATTAAGCTCCTGATGATCCATTGACAAAGCCTGTGTTAATTTCATGAATACTACCGAGTCAGCTTCTGATGAACACCCCGAATCACATCGTCATATCGATCCAATTCCCCTGCATCCACGGCCCTCTCTTTATCATACAGATCACCTGTGCAGGGTCCTGGATAAAACCGCTGCTCACCAAAGATCCTAGAAATGGCCTCTTTCTCACGACTCGAAGCTCCTCGCACCAGAACCTGTGCCGGCATTCCATGGACCCAAACATGAAACCATCCCCAACGAAGCACCTCCCCAGCAAGACGACAGCACCCACCACTGCAGGTACAGCGTCTCAGATCGACTTGCAGCTGGGAGAGCCGAAACATTTGACGAATGAACGTCAACGTACGACCCCACAGATACTCCTTCATGTTCTCAATGTGGGAGTCATGCAGCGGGGATGACGGGCTCGACATTGAGACCATCGAAGTTGAATGAGAGTGACGAGTCCCAGACAAGGGGAAACGAGCATGCATTTCATCCAGCACCTGCAAGGCGCTAAGTTTACCGATGGAATCGTCAGCCGTATCTTCAATGACTTCGGAAATAGTCGGGAGTTGCTGCGAGAGGAACTGCGCCAGGTAGATGTAGTCGCGGCTGTCGAAGATGAGTTCGAGATGACGGATTTTCTTCAGGTTTTGGGCGAGGCCCGGGAATTTTCTGCTTGCAGCTGCGAGGATGTCGATTTGGACGACGGAGAAGATGTTTTCGCCGAGATAGATGGGGTTGGCTTCTTTATGGATTTGTCTGGAGGCGCAGAGTAGAGAGAGGGTTGGGATGCCGTAGCTGTTGGCGCGGTTGGCATCGAAAACATACTCCATTGAGATGAAGGGACGCACGAAGATGCGGGTTTTGACCAGGGCGTATCGGTAAATCTGCTCCCTGATAGGCAAAGGAAGATCGAAGAAGCATACCATATTGCTGTATCGGTCTTTTGATGTCGGGATGTAATGGAAGGTGGAGGGAATGGAAGGGAGGAGAGTCAGCTGAAGGCTAATATTAAACTTGAAGCTCGAGTAGTGAATACAACACTGGTATAAGCAACAGAAAGAGAAAGCACTGGCATGGTCAACGGTGAAAGGACTTCCCCGGGAAGTTCACACGTCTCATCACCGAGAGGATCTAGAGGGACAGTCCAAGTGTGAGAATGATATGTACTTCAGTAAATGAATAATAGATACATGGTTTATAGATGTACATATATTATTGATCATATCGTATCAGCAAGCCTCAGTTATGCCTTCTCTATTGTGAATTGCAAGGACACTTCCCATTTCTGGCCACCGGACCCGTATCCTCCCCCTAGCCGGTTCCTGATCAAGCTGGAGATACGCTCCCGAAGTCGGGTGAGATTCTCCTCAGTGCCAGATACCCGGAGTTTCAGGTTTGCCATGCAGAGGCCATAGTGAACCTGCCAGAATCTAGCGTCGTCGATACCGAAGACACACGGATCCGCTTCGATGTCCCTAATGACATCACTCACTCCTTGACCGGAGTAGGACATCAGTAGCATTAACCCAATGTCTTAACCAAGTGCACGCCAATGACGCACATACAAATGGAGATCGTTGCAGACAATAGTACATCAAGCCAATTATACAGCCGGATGGACACCAATGGAAGCAGCAAGAGAAGTGCAGAGCAAGAAAGGGTCAGGAAATGCGACGGATTGCTCAGCACTGACGGCAGAGAGTCAATGTATCCAAAACGCATTGCCTTCCCTATCCGCCCATGGTTCTTCAAGCCAATGGCAGAGACCAGGGTAGATGAGATGGCGAGCACCGCCGTAAGGTCCACGCTGCCTACGGTGACCCGATCGTGGGGATGAGGATGGTGTGGCTCATGGCCAGAGGATTCAAGAAAGTGCTGCAAATTATGGGAAATGAGATCCATTCCCATGAATAGCAGGAGTACACACATGGCGAATCCAGCAAGAACCTCTGCCCGCTCCAGGCCGAACGGATGTCGCACGCTCGATCGTTTCCATACTTCAAAGTTGCCCAGTACATCCACTGCCACACAAAGCATTGCGCCAAGTGAGTCAAACAATATCAAATGGGATAGGGCAGTCATAGCCAATGACCCGTGAGCACTCCAGAGTGTGTAGGCAGCAACAAACATATGGCACACACTCCACCAGAACCGTGTCTTTTGATCTTTCGACATACTCGCCCGACATTCCTTCAGCGTTGGTATAGGCAGTGAATTTGGCAGGGCCAGGGGAGCTCTTGGGGGAGGCTCCAAAAAAAAATTTGATGCGATATACTACTGTGCTTGTACTTGTGCCCACGTCGTTGGCCAATATTCTACGTCCGGAGGCAATTAGCACTAACGCTGACTAAAGAGCCACAGTGACCAAGACGGAATAAATCAAATAAAAAGGAACTGGACGTACCGATTTCACCACTGGACCCTTTGCCATCGTCACCGTCTGGAAATTGAACGGTCCGGATGACCCAGCGTCGCTCTGCCCATTCTGCCCTGAAGGGTCGGAGGAATTGAGATTGAAGGCAGCCCGCGTGGGACTCAAACGGGTTCGATCCTCGCTATTCAGGCCATTCCGCGACTGAGCAAACGTATCTACCAACGGCGACAGGGAGTCCTGCGTGAGAGTTCCTGGATCCAAGACATGATTGGGGGGGCTTGGAGGGTCATCGAGAGGTGGAGTAGGCGTGCGTGGAGGGATAGGAATGGGGAGATTCGACGCCATGGAGGGCGTCGGAGGAGACTGTAACGGACGCCTGCGCCGTTAGAGGGGGATTGACGAGGTATGCGATCGTGGAGAGTCAGGAATGAAGGAGTGTTAAGAGGAAGTCAAGCTGACATTCAAAGCCAAAATGACAAGCCGACAAAACGGGAGGCGGGAAACGATGCGGCCTCAGGCCTCGACTCACTGGTGGCATCATCGACTCCGCCTCTCAGTCGCTCTTCCGTTCCATCCATCTCCCTCGAGCTATCCACCCGATCATCCAGCCATTCATTCATTAAGGAACGTTCCTCCCGCATCGGCATCCATCTGCCATTGAGATTCAACCTCGAATGGCAATGCGACTCGCAACTTAGCCGGTGTTATTCTTAGGAGGCCCCCAAATTCCGATGCCTACACTATCTTGGCATCGATGGATCACCGTGGTTCCTTCTTCTTCCTCCTGGTCATATTCTATCTTCTCCTTAGCTCCCAATCTCATCCGCCCCTGATTATTCAGGATCGAGAACACCAGCGGGAGCTTGCAAGGGAACGCGATGCCCTGGGCTTGCTGAATGAGTCCAAGTACGGGGACTTTGACCCGCAAGCTGACCAATGGCTTCCCTTCCGTGGAGTAAGGAAGAATGATAGTTATGCCTGGGACCTCCTCATAGATGTCCAGGATAGGGCCCGTTATCAACTGCAGACCGCCATTTCGAATGCGGGACTGGAGCCTCCGAGGGGCCTCCTAGACCCAAAGCTCCAGGACTCAAACGCGCCTCCCACCCTGAATCTGTCACAGCTGCTACTGCCCGTTTATCGCAATTCGACAGGCAAACTGCGAGGGGACTGGGTGCGCCGTAAGCAGAATACGCTGCACCTCCCACTCAATACGACGGCTATTGCATTAGAAAATGAATACTTTACACATGAATTTAGTCACAATGTTACCGGACAGAGTGGGACTTTCTATCTAGACCTACGGGAGGGAGGTGGTGAGGAGCTTCGCCTTCGCTCTGGCCATGTACGAGAGATGCGGGCGTCATTAGCGGTGGAAAGTGGTGATTTCTGGGGGAATACCTGGTACCTGTCCTTATTTGGGGTGCACTTCCCGGAAACAGGAGGCATTATTTTGACTACGACAAGTGAAAAATTTGGTGGCTTGTTTTCATTGCCGCATTTGACGCTCTCTTCCGACTCTTACGACCTCGCTCACAAGCTACTCGTTAAGTCACTCAGCGATACCCTATCCGAAAGACACAACCGGCCCCGTACTCTCTTCCCTTGGTCCTCGCTAGTAGGCACTGAGCAGGTGGAATTCCCTGCACCAAAATGCGAGCACATCGTCTACCTGCAGCAGCATCCTGTTGCCGTTCACGACTACCTTGCGGATAGACTAGTCATTGAACAGATAGAGCAGGAGCTCAGATTTCCCATGGGAGCCCCCATCCCATCCCCTCCACCTATGGTCATGTCGGCCGTAGTGTTCTCTCCCGACTGCGGGTACATCCTCGAGACCAAGGGGGCGCCGGATTACCCTCCCACTGAAGCACTGTACCTTTCAGGGCCAAAGTTAGAGGAATTTGGTAAATATTCTTCGCGCATAATTTTTATACTGGCTGGCGTCTCGGTCGCGCAGATTGCGCTCCTCTTGCGGCAGGTCAAGGAAGCTTCTACACCCTCTACCAGGAGTCGCATCAGCTTCTTTACGATTGCTCTGATGGCATTCGGCGATGCGTTTGTGCTCGTCTTCATTCTTCTAGAGCTGTACCCGGCAGTATCGTTCCTAGTAATGACTACTGCATCGTTCCTCACTTTCCTCTCGGTCAGTTACATCGGAATGAAATTCATGATGGAGATCTGGGCTGTCCAGGCCCCCGAACGGAGAGAGCAAGATCGTCGGTCAATTCCCCAGGCGAATGGACGCCCCGGGAGTTTACCGCCCCCTGTCACGGCAGGACGCATTGAGGACATAGGTGCAACGCCAGTTATTCTGACGCCAGATCAGGACCCTCCTGACGACGAAGAGGATACGCCTCCAACCCGCGGTGCGACACCTACTGCGCGGGAAACCCGCAGTGACGTCGGAGCCATGTACGCACGGTTCTATTTCATTTTGTTCGTGATGCTCATTATCTCCATTTGGTCGTTCCTTTGGCCAAATCGACTTGGAAAGCTATACGCCCGAACTCTTGGATTTATTTACCTATCATTCTGGACCCCCCAGATTTATCGCAATGCCATGCGCAACTGCCGCAAGGCCCTGCGATGGGAGTTTGTGGTCTGTCAGAGCTTCCTTCGACTGTTCCCATTTATGTATTTCTTGACCGTGCCGGGCAACGTGTTGTTTGTTCGGCCGGACACCACGGCTGCTCTTGCTCTGGCTGGATGGGTGTGGATACAAGTCTGGGTCTTGGCCAGCCAGGACTTTCTCGGTCCGCGTTTCTTTGTTCCTCGGGGCTGGGCACCCCCTGCGTACGACTATCATCCTGTTATGCGCGATGCTTCTGAATCCGGAGAGGACTTGGAATCCGGCGGAGTCTTACCGGTTGGGGCTTTACGAGCCGACGAGAGGGACTCTCCCAGCGATAGCAAAGATCATGACAAGCAGCGACCAAAAGATAAAAAGAAAGCGATTTTCGACTGTGCCATTTGCATGCAGGACATCGAAGTACCCCTCCTGCCGGCTCCGGGGGCTGCGGGAAGCAATAGCGTGGCAGACGGGGCTGCCAACATCCTCAGTCGCCGAGCATACATGGTGACCCCCTGCCGACATATCTTCCACAGTACTTGTCTGGAGAGCTGGATGAGGCTAAGGCTGCAATGCCCTATCTGTCGAGAGTCCATACCTCCTGTATAGATCGGAAGTGTTTGATTCACTGGGCACCATATACGAATTATAGCCTGATGTACATGCTATGCTAGATTGTAAGATTTATCACGATGATTATTGGCCGTTTAAAAGTGAGGACGATTCCGTCCAAGAACCTGGCTGAAAGTATTTACCTCAATAACCCATATTACATCATACATCGAGAGTGATACTCAGACACGAACCAGTAACTGATCATGTCATTGTATGTATAATTGAGGGCCTTCCCTGTTGAACAGAAGGCCTGGCCATTAACGGCGTAACGCAAGTCTAGCATTTTTCCACAGATAAAAAAAAAAAAAAATTACCCCATTCCTCAGAGCAAATAAACAGGATTAAAAAGACATCAACCCAGCGTATCCAAAAACAAAAAGAAGGCAGGCCCTTTAGCGCCGCTCTATTTCAATAAATTCGTGCTACTCATGCTCTCACCGTGTCTCCGCCAGGAACATTTATTCATCGATGGTCGCCTTGTAAGCCTCGGCATCCAACAAGCCATCCAGCTCCGCAGCATCGTTGACCTCGATCTGGGCAATCCAGCCGTCAGCCTCGGGGCTCTTGTTGATCATGTTGGCCTTGTCCTCAAGGACAGCGTTGCCCTTCACAACCTTCCCGGACACCGGGGAGAGGACGTCGGAGGCGGACTTCACCGACTCGACGGCGCCGACGGGCTCTTCGGCGCTGACCTCCAGATCCTCCTGGGGCAGTTCGACGTAGACGACGTCACCTAAGGACTTGGCGGCGTACTCTGTGATACCGATCTTGGCTGTTGGGGGTTGACTCATCAGTTAGAGTGCGATTGATGTTTTCTTCTTCTTCTTTATGTCAAGATAAAAAAATACAAGGAAGTAAAACTCACCAGTTTTACCGTCGGCGGCCAACTCGATCCATTCATGGGTTTCAGTGTACTTCTTAACCTCCCCTAGAACATTGAAACAAGGCAATTAGCATTAGGAGAGCCTGGGAAAGACTTCAATGCCCTTCCGAACCGAGAGTTGAGGGAATTCCTACAGAATGGGCTCTGCGAGAAGCTCCTGGCACTTCCCCGCGGGAAACCCACGGCGGGCGAAACCCTGCGGGCAGCGGGAAGAGGGAGCTTTTGAGAGAGCACGCGCGAGGCGAAGGGGCGGACGGAGCGGGCGACGGCAGACATGATGACAAAAATGGGATGGGAGAAAAGGAAGTAAAAGGGAATTGGAATGAAATGAAGTGTAGGAAGGGAGAGAAAGAAAGAAAGAAATAGGTCGGCAGTACGGAGTAGAAGATGGAATGGATAATGAACGAACGGACCCGCGCTAGCGAATTGCATGATAGCGAGTGCCAAGACCGCGCGCCGATAAGCCATCTAAGTCCATTCGGGAAAATCTCATCCTCCCCATCCCATTCGTGTTGTTCTTTCCTCGACCCCAGTTCCATACCCACTTCTGTCCCTATGTTGTACGAATTGATTGCGATTGTGTGTGAATTTGGTAATCCGTTCTCTGTTCTGTGCGAATGTGCTAAGTTCTTTCAGGTCCGTCCGGGCAGTCTCCACGAGGTCCGAGAGTATGTATCTAGGCATCCTGGCGATTGATCAATCGCTCCATTTACGCCCTGATTCATGGTCGAATTCTTAACCATGACAAGACGATGAGAGATGGATAAAAACTGACAAGGTACAGCATCGCCCGTAATGCTGGTCTCCAGGTCCTCCGGTCAGGCGGTGTGATCCGTGGATACAACAACTGGGGTACATTCAAACTGCCCAAGCCGACTACGAAACATCAAGCCCGGTACACCGAAGGGCACCACTTTATCATGCGCTTCGATGCTTCCGGACCGGTACAAATGTCGGTGCGAAGAACGCTCGGCCTTGATCCCCGGATGATTCGGTTCTCGGTGGTGAAGGTGGGCGACAAACTGGAAGAGATCAAGGATGTGGAGGGCAAGATCGAGTGGAACAAAACCCGGAACATCAGTGAATCGATTTAAGCATGGTGTTGACAAGGGCTATGGGCTGATGACGACTTTGGGAGAGTTGTGGTCGAATTCTGGTAGAGGTTGGATTTGACTTTTTGAGCGTGGACAAAATATTATTCAGTGTATTCTTTGGGAAAGGGGAACTGTCATTCTGTACTATCATACCAGCATCGCAGGCGCACATATTTATATATTGAACTTTTGTTTTGGCTTGATCCTCAGTCTTCGTTATCCGGAGGTCAGTTTTCCTAACCGGTACTCAACTGTCTGTCCTGCGTCAGAAGGCTACCGGACTCTCGATCGGTACGCCTTTCTGTTAGTTCTCTACATGGACTACGAAATTGAGCTCGGTGCTAGAAGGTCAGTTTGTATCATGGCTCACAAGAGCTGTTCTGCCGCTCTGAATGCGCATTGTACATGTATCGGCAGCATCGACGGTTTGGACAGAATCTGCCACAGGATAACATGTACGATGAGCGACCAGACCGTGGAGGGACTGGTCAACCTGTGCTAGCATGCAAATTGCGCCTCAGCCTGCTTGGGGTTGGCATATTCCATCAGAAACGAAGGACTCCACATGAACCGAGGCTTGTCGGCTACCATCAATACCGCCTAAACTGAGCTGGGGTGAGTTAGTTAACTATCAACTATGTGCTTAATCACACAGCCCATATGATAATAATCCAAACTAGAGACTCCTTTAAGTACAGTATCGCATCCACTCTCGATACTCTCCAAGACTTCCCCCTATTTCTTGATTTAATATGGCACCCAAACGGGACGGAAATCTGCTTATCTCACAGGACTTTGCCGGGCTGATGGCCCTGAAACGACTCGACAGCCCTACAAATTCAAAGAACAATACATCAAACGAGCCTGAAAAAGTTGAGCGATTCCAATCGATTTCTGGTCCTCACCCACCGGGCGAGCGCGAGGTAGCATTTGGAGGACATGTCTTTGCACAGTCAGCGTATGCTGCGTCGAAGACAGTCGAGAAAGGGTTTTTGATCCATGTGGGTTTGAACAATTAGAACAGAACAGAATAAGAGCTATAGAATTGACTGACTCTCATCCAGGATATGACGGGTACATTCATCATACCCGGTCGGCTGGACGTTCCATACGTGTACACGGTGCGCCATCTCCGCGACGGCCGGATGTACTGTGCGCGAGCCGTCGATGTGCGACAGGGCGGTAACATCTGCTTCTCCTGTCTGTGTTCATTCAAACGCGACGAGAGGCAGGAGACGATTGGTCATCAGCCGGTATCTGCGCAGGAGCGGTTCAAGTCCATTCTCGCTGCGAAACGCCCGGAGGAGCAACCTATCAGTCCCGGTGTAGATGCGGACTTCTGGATCTCACTATTAGAATCGGGAGAAGTCGTCGATACTGAGTTTCCTGGCCTGGATGTGCGAAAAGTCGATATGCAGGGGTACAATCTCACAGAAGAGGTGAAGCAGAGTCCTGAGAAATACCGTCAGCTCACACTGTACCGTCTTAAGGGGTCACCCGAGGAACCAGAAGTGACTATCAACAAGGAGGAGCTGAAGAAGAGGGAGGAATCCGCAGAATATGATAACCTCTATGCCTGTGCACATATGTACTCCAGCGACAAGAATTCTCTGCTGTTGATTCCGCGCTCCCTGGGACACTCCGACTGGGACGCAATGGCGAGTTTGACTCTAACGGTTGTTATCCATCAGCACGGCGATGCGTTAAGAATGATCGATTGGGATGCTGCAGCAGACGAGGGGGAGTTACCGAAGAAATGGTTCATCCAGGAGGGCTGGACTCCGCGATCTGGGGAGAACAGGGCAATCCATGAAAGTTGGCTGTGGAGTCCGGATGGACAGTTGCTGGCGACGAGTTATCAGGACAGTTTGTTAAAGTTTTCGAAGCAAGAGCACCGGGGGAAGCTATGATGCTATAGGGACGGTCAATTATTAGACAATAGAGGATAGAGGATGTACTCTATCCATACACTTGTGATATATAATATACACATAAATTTACAATAGTTATATCAACACCCTAAGTATATATTACTGATACAGCCCGTGATTCTAAGAAAGAACTGCATCCAAGGAGAGTGTGTATGTGTAGATATGTGAACTACAGTTTCGATCTACCATCAAAGCCACCAATCAACCCAGCAGTCTTGATCTCCGGTGGCGCAGCTAGAGAGCCCCCGATTGTCTTGGAGAACTGCTTGAAAGCCACAGACGAAACATGGGCCTTCAGACTATCTTGATCCTTGTACCTGTGGTGTATTCATCAGCTACTGCATCGCCTCTCCAGGCCATGTGCAGATGCTTACTTCTCGACAAAAACAAGCTCCTTGGAGTTGTTTGGTTGCACGGCAAAGTAAATCTGCGTGTTAGGCTCTTCGCCTTCGATGTATTGGACCAGTGTCTTGAAGGCTTCGACAACCTGGAATTGGGCTCAGCTCTGCTATTCTGCGGATATATTGGGTCGAAACTGGTTAATATACCTGGTCGAATTTGCCCGGCTGAGGCACCAGCTTTACAATGTTGTAGATTTCACCAGGCATTGTGATGTAGCCTTGCTCTGAGGGAATCGATATAGATAGATTGTTAAGGAAATTTATTCAAATCTATATTAGACAAGGAGCTTGTTGTTGCTCTACAGGAGGTATATGTCCACTCTCGGTAAAGTTGGGCCGATGGATGTGGAGACCGGAGATGCCGAGGATATAAAGTTGATTAGATGAGATCACCAACCATGAAATTAGCTCTGCAAGGAGTACATACATAGACTGTTGGCTGTGCATTTATCTATGTCGTAAATAGCTCATTGTTTATGTAATGCCTGTATACTCTTATGCTTAGCAATATTTCGGGGTATGCACGAAGTACCGAGTAGCATGTGGTTCTGCGAAGTAGAATCCTACGACAGTTCAGCTGCAACCGACGACTATGTCCATATTGACTAATATGAATGAGGATATCATTCGAGAACATCTATCGCCTTTAATAAATTATCTCGCCCTGCTTAGCTCGTCGATCTGTCCACGCCTCAGCCCTAGGGCTCCCCGTGCAGAATTGGAGTCAACAGATCAACAAGCCACGGTCCTCTGTAGCTCCATTCACTCACCATGCCTGAATAGTACCCTTGTTTATACCTCTATAATATTAATCCCTGATTTGTCTCAGTACAGTACAGTTACATGCCAGGAAGTCATCACGTGTGGATGACGTAACCATTACTGGATTGGGACCAAACACCTCGCCCAGCTTTCGCTCTCTCCCAAGTCGATCGGGTCCTCGCGAAATGTATCTATATTGACTTGGCTCTGCAAGATGAAAAAGACGCTTCTTATTTGTTTCATCCATGGCTTTAAGGTTCATCTCCCCTCCTTTGCCTTCTATTACGTGGCCCTTCTGTCAACATCGAAACCATGGAAGGAGCAGTCTCCCGCCGCCAATGTCATCAAAGCTAACTCTTATCAATAAATATTTAGGGTGACAATGATACATTTGGTAACTTCCCAGAGTACTTGTGTGCACTGGTCAGCCGCGCCCTTCCCTCCGTGAAGGTTGCAATGGTGGTATACCCCAAGTACGAGACTCGGGGGAACCTTAAAGATTCTGTGTGCATGTTCCGCGAATGGTACGTTTCGGGGCTGGCTTCTTATAGAGCAGGAGGCTCTCTTTCTGACTAGTCGATCAAAAATGCTAATATTTCAAACTTGGATAGGCTGCAGAACCAGGTCATTGATCTGGAAGTTGCGAACCGAACCGCATCACCGACAGTTGACCCCTCAGTCCACGTTTTCTTAGTCGGTCACTCCATGGGGGGCATTGTTGCTGCAGAAACGCTTCTCCTACTTGCTTCTGAACAACCGATCCCTCCAAAGCCTTCGCATACAGCGGACCTGCTGCATTCAGGCACTGCAGATAACTCGCATACCATAGAACCCGGCTCTTTCATGTTCCCTCACATTCAAGGAGTGCTGGCTTTCGACACTCCATTTCTGGGCATCGCCCCGGGGGTCGTGTCGTATGGTGCCGAAGGGCACTACAGAAGTGCAACATCAGCATACAATACGCTCTCGGAAGTAGCGGGGTTGTTCGGCATTGGAGGGGGAAATTCTTCATCTGGCACAGGTGTGGGCCAACAGAGGGAGGCCAGGGAAGCTTCGTCCTCTCAGTCGGCTAGCAACAATTCCTCTACCGACGCTGCAGCGACACCATCCTGGCAGCGTTGGGGTCGATATGCCATGTTTGCAGGGGCTGCAGGCGCGGTAGCTGCAGGAGGGGCAGCCGCAATGTATTCTCAACGAGAGCGTCTTACAGACGGATGGGGCTGGGTGTCCTCTCATATTGCATTTGTTGGGTGTCTAGTACATCCTTCAGAGTTGCGCCAGCGCCTTGGCCTCTTGTCCAAGGTGCACGAGGAGCGAGGGATTGGCTGTATAAACTTCTTTACGTGCTTGGGCCAGGGTGCAACGTCGTTGATAGAGAACCCTGACCAAGCGAATATGTCATTCAGCCAGAAGATTATTCGATCCAAACATCGCACCTTCTGCACCCTTCCACCCGAAATTGAAGGACAGGACATGAAGATCTTCCCGGCGGCGGGACTGACATGGGTCCGAGCCTCGAATGATAAGGCCGGAGATGAGGTTAAGGCACACGTTACTATGTTTTCACCGAAAGACAACCCTGCCTTTGATGAACTTGCCAATGATACATGCAAGGCCCTTGTCAAATCGATCGACAAGGCCTGGTACAGCAGCGCTACTACAAGTCCGGTAGAGGAAATGGTCATGGAAATGCCGCGGACCGACGACGGCAAGTCTCCATCTGCCGCTGATAGCAGATTTATGGACGGAGATGACGTCGTCGTTGTGGATTGAAAATCTCTTTATTCGGCCACATCTCGTACAAAATCTACAGACCTTTTGAGGGGGATACATATTGAAAAATAGTTCTTCGGTTTACTGTTCCTCCCCCACCCCCCAGCACTCCCTTTAGCCTTGAGCTAATGCGCCCCCGTTGGCGCGGTCGATGCACCTCTCTCTCAGAATGCCTGTCAATCGTTCCACGTATTCCGAGGTTACATCTCTACGGAGTAGGATCAGTAGGGGTGGTATATCTAGCGTGTGGCTTGACGGCCAGGAAGGGCCCGATCACCTCAGATTAGCCGTGAGGGGTGGAAATTCGGCGTTGGACCGTTTGCTGGACGGATTGTCCGACATCACAAGGGTTTTGGCCCTTGGTCACTAAATTAAAGCGCTAGGACCTGCATGCATTGTCCGGACACTTTCCCCTGTAAAGATGTGGTCTGAATGCCGTCGGATTCTTGACTCGTCCGGCTAGATGGGAAAAGTAATTTCGGAATCCTTTTCCTCCCTGACATTTACGATGGAGTACTTAGTGTTAGATTTAGATCTAGTCTGCTTTTCTCTTCCCCTCTTTTCCCTTCCCCACGACTAGAATAGCGATTGGAGTATGCAACATAAGACAGTGACAGGAAATTTTGTAAGGCAGCTTTACATTGATCCTTCAGCATAATGCCTAACACCAATCTAGATATAACTAATAACCACAATGCGAATACACAATGTAATGTGAAACATTTATCACAATAAGAACTCCACAAAACCGGATGACCGATGACAATGTGACTGACGGAAAGAAAAATGGGGGAGAAACCTAGAGACCACCCTTCCTCCCAAAAAACTCATGCAAGACTAAAAGCGTCGTACATGCACGCTGGGGCAGATTGAGAGTATATTTAACATCGACTAAATAAATGACAACCACCAAAATACATATTATATTACCCATAGGAATTCGAAGGAAAAAAAGAGAGAAAAAAAAAAAGGCTAGCTAGCTAGTATAATAACAAGTACATTTGTCATGAGCACGTCACTGAATGGTGGAATAAGCCCTTATTGGTAATTTTGGGCGTTGAAGGTAGATGCCCGGTGGTGGTTGTGGTGGTGGTAGACACTACCGGCGTACTCCGAATTCGCATCCTGGTAGGTTGCACGGCGTTCTTCCTCGGGCAGCAGTTCCTTGACTTCCCAAGTATTGGGCTTGATGCCTACGGAGAACTCGAGGTCTTCTTTGGTGATGTAATCCCAGAACTGAAGAGCAATTAGACATGTTGGTTGGGAGAAAGAGAAGTGATGAAGGACATACTTTGTAAACCATCATGACGGCCAAAAGATTGCAAAAAGTGGCAAAGAACAGACCATCCAAGTAATGCTGGACATTGTCGCAGATAGTGTCACCGAATGCATAAAGAAGCACCTGACCACAGATGAAGACGAGAAGACCGAAAGCAATGTGACCCAGGGGCCAGCGGTCCTCGAGAGTATTCATGACCAACAGTAACTGCATGACGAGGTATACCGCGATGCAGATCGCGTTTAGGATGTACAGGACCACGAACAGGCCGATGGTGTTGGTGGGGCTGAGACCCCCCCAGGACTTGAAAGTCAAAAGAGATACAACGAACGAAACGGCGAACATCGCTACAGATGTTAACCGGATGAGCCAGACCGACAGGGCGGTTCCATCCTCGTAGAGCTGGAAACCGACGAAGCCGTTGACGAGCAAAGAGGTACACAGCGCAGAGGCCAATCCGTTTTGAACAGCGACGAAGTATGGGAAAGGGCCGCTTCTCGGAGGCACAACACCGGCATCGATAACCAAAGAACACATAGTCAGAAGCATGTAGATATAAAAGAACGTAATGATTTCTTTGCGGCCTGCACAAGAAGTCAATGGTTAACTTTTGTTTTGTCTCTTTGGGGGATTCAGGAGGATTGTCCTCAGGGGTGACGTACCGACAGCGGTGAACTTGGACCTGATATGCAGAATCATAATTACTGTCATCGCCAGCGCAATGATGTGCAAGAAAGAAGCTGCTCCCTCAAAAATGATCGTGTTTGCTAATTCGATATTGCGGGCATAGCAGTTGGGGATAATGCCAGTATCGCCTGATATCGGGGATGCCGGGCCCACCAAGGAGCACAGTGGTAGTGCTGCCTTGGAGCAGATCGAGTCGAAATCACCAAATCCCATCCTGTCGACTTGTTGAATACGAGGAGCTGGATATGTAGGATGACTGTTTGAATCGCTCGGATATCACAGGAGCGAACCGAGCTCCGTCTCCCAGTGAACCAAATAGAACCCTGACCGGTTCACTGAGCGAATACCACAGCAAATGACCAGTGCACGGTCCAGTTAACCAGAAAAAGCGAGCGTAGGGAAGGTTGCGACAGCACTGATGGCAGGCCGACAACCGACAGAGCGTGTCAACCAACGTTGGAGGGGGCTTTGCACGGAGCCTGAGGCCTCTCAACTTAGGATCACGGGGAACACTAAAACCATATCGGGACTGGCCTGCCAGAGGACAATATGGCTATTTTGGGAATAGTGAATCTCCCGAGAAACAGTAGGGCGCTAACCAATCTGGGAAGGCTGTTTATATAAGTCACACAAAGCCAAATAACTAAAGTTAATTCATCCATTGGACCGAAGGGAAAGATCAATAGGAATCCCAATATGGACTGCGACAATTTCCACACCAATTAAATAATCTCAGGATTCATAGGATAGAAACGTAAATATGCTCAATGACTCGGTAGGGCAGTATTGAATTCACAAAAGCCCCATACAGATGCATGGTTATGCAAGAGTGGCAGCACTCCAGGTAAAAATACCGTCCTTTTTGTTCTTTGTCTAACCGTCAGCAACTCCACTTATCTGACAGCCTACTCCGACCATGCGTATGTAGGTGCTCCCTTCTCCGTACTTAAGTTCAACCTGTCATAGAATCCCACTAGTGAACAGGCTATGCTGCGCTATTAGAACAGTACGGAAATGTTCTCTTCAGGGCCCACTTCCTCCGATCGAGTCCGGTGCTAGAAAGCCAGAGGTTTTGTGCTGCAACTAACTTGGGCAAAACCGAGCCTGACACATTGTCCGCCAGGATCGTACTCCCTGGCCATTCAATAGTATGAGTCTTGGGTGTTCATTATTGACCGCGGTTATAAGTCACCAGTCTCATGAAGAGGGGCATATCACTATTATCACGAGAAAGTGTGGAGACGTTGTCGGCTAGAAATTCTAAGATTGCTTTACCCCTTTATCTTCCTTCCATTTCCTCGCGAAGCCTCCTATGCTCCTAGCTGTCTTGAATTTATTCGTAATCTGTAGTCGAATATGATACACCTGCAGGTTGAGATCAAAAATCTAATCTGTATTCTTGAATGGTAACCCTTCGTAATTTAAGTAGTATTCCTCATGAAGCCCTGAGAACAGAGATTACACAATTCCAAGCAGCTAACTCGTGCTTCATTAATTTAATTTATTTTTTGCTTTTCGATATAAACTTCCCGAATTTGCAATAACCGATCCAAGGCGACCGGGAACTGAAGCCTTCCCTGATATCGCACCACCATGTTAGAGGACACGTGGTACTATTGCATGGTTTTTGGTATCACTGGACTCTGAAAACCACTCCGTACTCTACTAAGTTTGAGAGGTCTCCATCACATTCTTAGCACTGTCTCCCCTGGTTTTCTTAGCATTACGTATACGATATCAAGGTTCCAATGCGAGCGATGACACCGTTTCAACCGTCAGCAGTTTATTTTCAGGGGAAAAAGTGAAAGAAAAAGGAAAAGGAAAGAACATCGAGCCAAGCCTACTTTGACAGTTGATAAAGTTAACTACTAGGTGACAGATGACAAATGTAAAATAGATCCCTTCCGCATTCCAATAGCAAAAGTGTATCTATTCTCTCTAGCGTAGGACTCCCAAAAAATACCCCTTGTCACATCCTAAAGTTTGGGGCCATACATATTCTCTCCACAAGGTGCTGCAATAATGCTCAATATTAATCGGGCGGAACAGGAAAACAAGGGTTTATGGCCTAGGCAACCAATGAGGAATTTTCGTCCATTGTCCTTTTCTATTCCCCTTCTGCTTCGATGTCATTTCAATCTCTTGCCATCGGCCCTATATATCCAGGGTCAAGCCAATCACTGACAATGGCATCTCAGGACCTTACATTAGCCTTCCAGGAAATTAAATCATGATCTCTCGGCTCCGAGTTAGTCAGGATGGAAAAGGGCTTCGAAGAAGTGACGTTACATGCTGGTTTGCAAGACATGATGGAAACCATCACCCTCCCATTGCGCTTATTATTTCTCATGTTGGCCCGATGTATTGGGTGACAACCTGTGGTTTTGCAGTGCAACTAACAGAACTAAGGAATTTTACTCCATACGAGTCCCTGTAGCCTAACGATGGCTTAAATGTATCGCATATAGGTGCACTCGTCGGGACGATCAAGATTGATGACATTGGCCAATAATCGGACCAGCTCGGGAACTATCTCCAACCAGGCGCAGAGCAGCCGTTTCGCACATCTCCATGTCGGTTACATCGGCAGTGGCTAGCCTCCACGGAACTTTTTTGCTTTAGACTCGCTCTTCTCTCGATCTGTTGACTCCCTGAAGATGACCCTGGAGCTGAACCTCCATGGAATCATCATTTCCTCCTGCATGTAGATCCTAGTTAGCGCCACGTGTAAGTAAAGCATCAACGGCTGCGAGGGACCGCGTCGATCTCCCATTGAACGGATCAGTTCAGCGTTAACAATGGTGGAACACTCACACTTCCCGTCGGTACTCCTTCAAGCTTAGCAGCCGCGGGATTGATTAACTGATTGATTACGGAGTATTCTCCCTCTTCGTCTTTTAGGTTTTTTTTTTTTGTCCCTCTCTCTCTCTCTTTCTTTTTTTCCAGGCAGTAGCGGTAGAAGTAACGTCTGATGACACCAGACCCGCATATCTACAGGGTTATTCAGCAATGAAGTCAGGAATGGTTTGTAGACCGCCGTCGAATTTTCTTTTCTTCCTTCTATTTTTAATTGTTTCAAAGGACAGAAAAAAAAAAAAAAACAAAAAGGGGGGGGGGAAAAAAAAAAAAAAAAAAAAAAAAAACCAAATGAAAAAAGAATAAAACTAAAATTAATAATTCCCTGAACTTTCTTCTTCCTGTCTCCCCTGTCTAACCTTGCTGCAACCGGCTTGTGATGGGCCCCATACCCTGGTGCTCCCAGCTGGCAAACACCATTCTGTAACAGCCCGCTATGACGGCATACATATATTATTCATGAGTCTTCCTCCTGCTTGATCTGGGTCGAGTCAACGGTCCTTGACTTGCAGATATCTTCTTCAAATTCTTCATACGTTTCTCTTATCCTTGATCCCGACCCATTCGTACCTTGATGAGGGGGGGGACGTAACTCTATTCCCACCCACGAACACGCCACTCTATTCCTCGAACTTTGATACCTTCTATCCGCCAATAGTTCGACCGTCGAATGCACCAAGAATGTGCAATTACTTTAAGAACTATTACATCTACAGCACCTGCCGAGAGCCCAGCGTGCATTTCATTCGAACATCCATAGATGGGTCCAAGGACAGCCGATGCCCCGATAGTCCACACGATCGATTCATAGTTGTCGTTGGCAAATGTCGTCTATGTCGCTAGATGGCGAATCTTCATCAACAAAGCCCCAAGCTTTCTTCTCTTCTCTTCTTCAGGGGAGAGGAAATCCTCCTAATCCTTTCCTGCGGCTTGGACCGACTATGTTCACCTAATCTAGCAGGTGTATCGGGTCCATCATCAATTATCTTTACGACGGAATTAACGAATTCGGAACGACTCTCTGGCAATACCCCGTTGAAAATTGCGCGATATGCTTTTTTCTTTTCCCAGTTTATTTCATATTTTGGATGGTTTTTTTTCCCTGCACTCGTCGTATTTTGCGGGCTCAAGCTACCCCTCTTAATTTCTATTCCATTCTTGGCTGTCTTAATTTCTATCTATTCATTTCCTTCGTATTTATTTATTTATTTTCTTCAGTTGACCTTATTATTATTATTATATTTTACTGTCTCCCATTTTTTTCTCCCCCCCGCTTATTATCACATTCACAGCAAAACGTGAATTGGGCCTGTCTAGTTTATACATCCGAGTGGGATATGCTATGCGTACGGAAGGCGTTGGCCCGGGCGTCTAAAAAGATCTTTATTTTATTCTTTTTTTTTTTTTTCCTCTCTCTCTAGAGCGCAAGGATAACAAATGTACGGAGTAGACAGCTGTGTTTGAGAAGAGGGGAACAACCACTCCCGTTTGTAGCCGACGTCCCGGACCACATCGCTTTAGACTTTAAAAACCAGCGCATCACATGTCTGGGTTGATGTGAACAGCTGGCAATGAAGTGAGAGGGAGAGAGAAAGATGCAGGGCGAATTGAATCCTCAGGTAGGGGGGGGGGGAGGGAAGGACCAAGAGACATGGTACACAGAACAACACAAGCAGCGCGCCTTGACCCCTGTACCGAGATATGCTTGAGGGATGTCGGCATACCTATACTAGTAGGTAGGTAGCAGGTAGGGTTGTTACTAGTTCGCTAGCTAGTGAGTTGTAGACAGTGTGAGGTTGTTAAGGTCCGGGTTGACGCAATGGGCTGCAGGCCCGTTGCCTGCCAAGAACATCTCATGCTGCTTCGATGGAGGCCCAGATGAAGTCTGTGCTCCTCCGACCGGCCGAACTATAGCCTGGCTTTGGCCTGTGAGAGCCGGAGTGGTGCCTACTAGCACTGGAGAACGGCGAGGGTCACATGGGAATCCAACAAGATAGAGCAAGGATTCGATATGGGTTTATTTCGGTGCTCTATTTTGATTTCTTTCATATACAGAATAATTTTCTTTTTTATTTTTAGCATGTATTTAATAGTGCCTACTATTATTTTATTTCTCTAGTCTTTCCTGTCCTTTCCCTTTTTATCCGGACTAAGTTCGAATGTTGTGTCAGGTTTTCAGTTAAACTTCACTAGGGTTCCCTGGATCAATTGGCCATTGTCCGCGCCCTACCCGTTGCTTTTATCTCTTCCCACTGGATAGACAAAAAACCAATTCAATAATCAATCAATCAATCAATAAAAAGATCACCTCTACCAAATTGAATACATCGTCAGATACAATCCATCCGCTCCCCATGTGGCTCCCATCCTGACCATGCCGTGGTTACACATAAGGAACTTGGAAGCATCCCAGACCGAAAGCCTATCAGACACCAACGAGTTAAAAGAGCCAAATGGAGTGGGGTTCGACAGCGACACAGAGAGAAGGGGGGATGGCCCCACTCCCGTTCCGGGTGGAGATCGAGTATTTTTCGGATGGCCAGCCAGTCTAAATTAGTCTCTCAGACTGACCACCGCTTTATGCTTCTGCCCCGCGACAACGGCGTCTTCTCATTGCTCGTATTGTCGTTTGTACCTACAGGGTACTGTGTACGAAGTACTAGTAGTAGTATTAGTTGCTGTTGTTGTTGTTGTTATTGTTGTTATTCTTTCTTTCTTTCTTTTGGTCCAACCCACTCTCGGGCCGAATCTGCATGTGTGAGCCTACAGGCCAAGGATTTAATAACGTCTGTCGGTCCACTCTGTCGCTCATTATGTACCTTGCTTAACCCAGGTAGGACCTAGAAATCGATGGGATGTTGTCGTTTCTTGGAACGTGTGGTTCGATTGCAATGACGACGCTGCATTAGGAACTACTCTATACGGCCGCTACAACGGGAAGATCACGATTAACAAATCAACACAGACACGGCGAGACGATATTTTTGCCGCTTGTACAGACTACCATCTTATCACTTATTGCTACTCACTCTCCCACTTGACCGATATCATACTTACGTCATCCGCGGAGTGCAATGCAACAACAACAAACGGTTAGTTGTCGATCTTCGTCCTGGACAATGATTCCTATCGCTTTTCGGATAGAATAGGCGACTCATAATTTTTCTTTTGTAGACCGTAGACCGTCCCTACCTTCCCTCTTGATTCTCGTCCCGGCGCTACCTATCAGGATTAAGATCCTGGAAGATCGACAGCCCGGTTGATGAACAAAACCAACCGGCATAAATTTGTCATATGGCAAGCAGGGTAACCCTGCAGACTAGTCTCGAGTATTTGCCGTCGAATATCGGAGTAAAATTACAGATCTATACATAGGGCGTGACACCCGGGACCGGGCCGGGATATAGGTTCTACGATGTCAACAGGAAGAACATCCGTACGACATGCATGATATACAGAAGAATATGATGCAAGAATGACAGCATTATTTAAGCATCAGCAAAGTATTGTATTCTTTCATCCAGTCCGGTCTATTGTATGTTCTCGGCCAGAGGGATATATACGTTATGATATGAGCGGCTATTACTACCGACCGCTGACCCTGCCGGTAAGAATTTAGTTGACAGGGAAGAGACCTGGTGCAGAATATCTGCATAAGTGTGTGGTGTAATCTGATGCATCTTCTTATCAATGGTCCTTGACAATCTACCAGATCGTACATTAGATAGCAGTGCAGTGGGTAAGGTACGTACCTAATAATTAATTTATTAACCCGCACATTCTATATACATCACACAGTGCTTTCTGCCGAGAACTACAATAAATGATCCTACCTGGGCACGGTATTACCCGAGCAATCCTTTGAAAGACCTATCAAATGTATAGATACTCCGTATATATTAAGTCCAAAAAAAGCCCAACAAGGGTAAAGATAGCTTAGATGACGGAATCCCGATCAAACAATCAAAGCAAAGCAACAGATAGACACCCGATGCAAATGCAGCTGCAGGAACAACATCTCCCGACCTGTCAAAATGCAATGCATGATTGCTGATAGTAAGGCGGCTCACCACCCAACCAACCAGGGCAAAAAAAAAATAAAAAAAATAAGAAGAAGCTAAATCAGCACGAGCAATTTCATTACCTATCTTAGTACCATCCAAATAACATGTCTACCGAGGTCAGTCATCCTGCATGATAATTTAACTAGGTACCTTGGTAGGTATGTAGCTAGGTAAGCACGGGAATCATGATAACCTATCTTGCCTTATCTTTCTGGCTGCGTACATAAATTAAATACCCTACATAAATACTTGCCAGGTACCCTGTTATGCATGTACTATGGGAGAGGTATGAGGAGTACTGTGTACTTATGTGCTGTACTGTACTTTGGCAGTCTCAAGGGTACCGGAGTGGACGGATATCAGCTAGCAGGGATGTTAGATTGTCATTTCGTGGTGGGTGAAATAGGATGGGAGGTGTAAGGAATCGTTTGTTATTCAGGGGTTGGAAATTGAATGTCGTGTTTGGTTGAGCTGTCCTTACTACTATTTGAGACAATGTTCAGATTGATCTAAAGAGTATAGAGCAGGGCTTCCCTTATATCATCTGTGATTCCTAGTGGGTATATACTGAGGTTTATTAAATACAGGGGTATCATATTATAATACGAAAGCAATCACGCAAGGTCATCCCTTGTGTATCCCAATTAACAGCGCCGACGGCAGCGCGGTAGACGACCTTGTACTTGTCGTGATGCCACTCACCGCAGGACTCGGGGGAAGGAGGAACGGCTCTTTGAGTTTCCCGCGAGACACTGCATAAGCAGAGACAGGCACGGAGATGACTGTATCAACGTCTTTTCGAGGTATCGGAGGCCTCTGCTGTTTCGGCGGCCTCGGCGGTCTCGGTGGCCTCGTTGGCCTTGTCCCTTGGGGGCCTTCCTTCAAGCCCAATTCCTTGTCCCAGACTGGTGGTTTGCGGGCCTTGGGCTTGGTGTTGATTCTGGCGAGACCCTCCTTTTCGGGGGGATCAACCCTCGCCCTTGGAGTTTGTCGTCGTCTATCAGGAGCAGCGCGGCGCCGGGGGATGAATGATCGGAGGGTGAAACTCGGGCCGCGTTTCATTCGAAGGACTATGAAGACGACGACGAGGACGATCAACGTCACGCCGCCTAGGTGGCTGTTAGGTAGGGTTGCATGCTCAGGGTGGGGATAACGTGCCTATTATGCCCAGGATCAGACCGAGTTTGTCCGCGAGAGAGAGAGAAGAAGGGGAGGAATTCGGGCTGAAGGAGGCATCGGAGTGGAATTGGGGATTGTCGAGCGGTTGGTCGTTTTCGGTCATCGTCAGGCTAAAACATGGTGAAGTGGGTTTTGGTGGCGAGGATTTAAATTAAGGATAGCCGGAAGGATGTATGTATTAAACACTAGACAATCAACAGTAGTAATAAGAATAAGAATAAAAATAAGTATAATAGATGGGAGCGGGAAGTATTAACTTAAGAACTGAGCTGAGGACGGGATCCCGACAATTTATGCACTGGCTGTCACCAGAAGTAAGAACCAAAAACGACAGAGCCAAAATTCAGGCCCGTTTCAACCTGTCAGAATATCTGTGTGAGGAGTCTCCTGAACTGGTGAATCCACGACAAGCGCGACAATCTCACAAACACCTGACCGGCCTATCTTTGGGACGAGCCAAACTCGCATGAACGGTCGACACTATGAAACAACGATGCTCGAGTCATAGCGTTTCCCGTTCGCACTAACGAGAAACTTACCTCGACTTGGAAACCCATTACGAAGGAAGAGTTGCGACTGTTGACGTTCCAGCGTGATATGGGTCATCTATAGTGGGAACTCCCTAAGGATCGTCAGCATTCCTAAGTATACTGGAAGAGCTATGATACTCAACAATAATCAATCCCGTCGATTCCTTCGCGTAAAAAGAAAACTACAAACAGTCGGTTGACCCAGTGGATCCAGGACCTTACCCCGGGTTTCAGGAGATCGTTCCGAAATTATACGAACGAACCATCAGCGATTTTCGGTTTGGACAAGATCCTGAAACGTCAAAAACCGACGGTGTCTGGCATGATCCGTTGGTTCCTAAGTTTGTGTGCGGTTTCTTCTCTCACAACTTCTTTAGTCCACTTCTTTTTATAGGAAACTCAATTCTCTTACAAGAAAAAAATAAAAAAAAAACATTCATTCTAACTAAGCATAAATTCTGATGCACAGCGAATGACAATTCCAGTCAGCACAGTCCCAACCGATTAGTTATTAAATGCCGCAATTTCGCAATTATTTAAAACACCGTTCAGTCTCACCCTTCTCACGTCCGAGTCTTTGGCTCACGAACCATGCAATATAGCTGTACCCATTAGCACCAGAATTAGATCCTGAAAAGCATAAAATAAGATAAAAAAAAAAAAAATAAAAAAAACCTACCATACAGATATCATCCCCGTCTCGACATTCCATTTCCATTTTCATCTCAAACCCCATTTTCTCATAGATCTGCACGTTGGGCACGTTCCGCGAACTCTCCAGATATGATTTCACCCCCTCGCGATCGGCTCGGTCAGTAACTACCTCAAACAGCTTCCTTCCAATACCTCGGCCCTGTGCATCCGGCTTGACTGCCACAATATTGCAGAAATAGTACCCCTTGGAATCATCCCAGATGGCACTCTGAGCTTCCCCTTGTTTCTCCTTCCAGATCCAATACCGCCGCGAGATGAGACCCCCTCGACCCCAATGGTACAGGTTATTCAAACCCTGGCGGAAAGACAACACCCAGCCTTGGTACCAGCTGGACCAGCTTTCTGGCTCCGAGGGTGCATGGGGTGGCAACCAGCAAGAGACGCCCACGATACGAGACGATCCCGAGGCCATACTACGTCGATCTGCGGAGCTCACTCCATTGCTCTCGATGAACTCCTTTGCGACGTAAAACAGGGCGTTGTTGATACCCCACAGGCAACGGGCGGCGAGAGAGCCATGGTTTCTTTGCTTATTAAACTATATCTTCTCAGCCTCAAGACAGTCATCAACGCAGGTCGATTTTGTCTCGACCGGCGTTATGAGAGGGCTGATCATGTTAGCATGGTTGTGCTTCGATTTATGGTCTCGCTTAAAATCGAAGGTTCATGACTCACGTTAGCAGAATCAAAGACCCATTTGAAATATGGGTCATCTTCGAATGCTTGCTGGATGACTTCGATCGCTTCAGGAATGTCTGCCTCTGTGAGCGGAACCACCTCGATAGCCATTTTGAACTTCACTCTAGCTCTCTGGGGATGTTGAACATGCAAACAGTGGTTTGTACTTGAACCCGGGGTCATCGAACCTTGAATAATTCGAATACTAGGCGGGAATGGGCGGTGAATGTCTTTTGCGGTTGCGAGAATGATGTAAATGTAAGGAACTGGATGACTATTTGTCACGTGAGTTTTAATCACGGAGACTGTTCCCCAAGCTAACAATACTTAGCTCCACTTGCCATGATGGATGCAACTACTCCTACCTAGGATTATTATATGTTATGTATGGGCTCTGTCTTGGATGTGGTTTAAATAGTGAGAACCAAATTCTCTTCAAAATGGGTTATGATGCTGCTTCGGAGGGACCAGGACCAACAGCTTAGACTTCTTGTATAGCAATGACCTGCTCACCGCGCTGAACGGCAACAAGACTACTAGAGATAGGTGCTCAAACAATGCTATTATGGTCTCCAAATCCAACAGAATCAAGCTAGTCATGCCTTCATCCTTCTCGCCACCAAGGTGTCAATATTTTAGAGAACTACGCTGGCTAACATGTACCTTTTTAGTGCAGCTGAATTTTATTGAAGTAGGCTATTTATTAATACGCTAAGTACGCTACACACCGTCCACAATTCAACATGCCCTGAATTAGTTTGAGCACTTTTCTTGAGGATTACTCAGGCTATCCAGCATGCTATCGAAGGCCGAGTAGGTCGATTCGAAACTGGCCGAGGCTCTTTGAAGGTCATTAGCATCAAGGTCGCAATCTCTCTTAAATCTATCCTCCGCGACCTAGAAGGAACAGTCAATCATCTAATCGGCAAGCAAGCAAGCAAGCAAATAGCTAAGTAGGTGTCACCAACCTGGAGAACATGAGGGTGGTCAACGATCAAGTCTGCAAACTGCTGGACCTTGGACTGAAAATCCGCGTCACAGAGAACCTGTGGTCGCTGCACGTTGTCAAACAGATCATGGAGGTCTTTCGATAACTTCGGCCACTGTTAGCAACAGCTCCATCTCATCTAGACCCAGGGACTTTCTTACTTTGATTGATAGGGTCAAAAGGCTTCTACATTCAGAATCCTATCGTCCAGACATTTCATGTTAGTCTATCAGGTGTGCTCACTGCGTAACGTGATAGGGTCTGGGACCAATTACAATGTTTGTAGTCTGTTCATTCAGCTTATTCACGATTTTCGATGGGTCCTCCAGGTCCCTAGCCTTGGAAACCATGTAATCGCCCACTGCGTGGCTGCCATGGTTACCGTTGGTCAGGTCAATATTCCACTGGTTGAGCTTGTTGGTGTTGTATATAATGTCTTCGAGAACTGAAGGGTTAAATGCTAGACAATACCCTGCTAAGACAGAGGTTGAGAGGAACAGAGAGAGCTTCATGATTGCGGTAGGTAATATGGTATGATACAGATATTTGTTGAAGCTATCAAATCACAACAACATATAGATAAACAAAAACGAGAGCGAGGAAAGCTCAGTAATAGGTACCTTATATATATGTACACAATGTTAAGATCGACGTCCGATTCGCTAAATCCAGATCAGTAAGGAGAAACCCGCATACCCAATCGCAGAATATTGAGACATTTCAGCTCCGCAGTAGGAATGCATACATCGATAGGTTATTTTATTGATTATTAGCGCCGAACAATTTCAATAGTATCATGAGCCATCTATATATTCCCCTCGGATGTTGCGTACCATACGGAGTTCCTAAGCAGATAACGGGAAATGCTGCAATTTACATAGATGTTCTTAAAGAAATTTTTTGAACTGAATAGACGTTCTCTGTATGCCTGTAGAGTTGTACTCAGCTTGGTAGATCATGCATGGATGGATCTCAGGACCGGCTGAAATAGAATTTTAAGCTGAACTAAGACAGTAGCTATTCATTTACTGGGGAGTGGAATAGAATAGAATAAGGTGTAATAAGATATGTAGGACAAAATAATAAAATATGAGTTAATTCTCCACCTTCCAATACTTAGTTAAGTAGATACTTCATTTAATCCGAACTCTCGACTACCTTGTGAATACAGTCCAAAGCTGAAGATCGACAAGCCCTTGAGTACGGAGTATACTCCACCGTTGTCCAAGGCTCAGCTGTGGCGTTCAGCCGAGATTGATTCCAATGGACCTATCAACTAAGCCCAGTACCGGATGCACCGACTGCAGATAATCACAAACATGCATTAAATCACATATGTAGGCACTTGAGTGGCATGGATCGGCTATATCGAACAAAGGAAGAACTGGACTCTATACTCCGTAGAATTTCGAGGAAAGTACAGTACAGTACATATTTGATAATGGTACTGAGAAACATCAAAGACAGTATAAGACAGAATCCCAATATGTATGACGTATGTATAGATCAAAAGATGCTCATCGAATGCCATCCAATCCAGCGCCGTCGATCCTTCCCACGCCCCGTGAAAACCGAAACCATCATGAACAAAAATATACGGTGTCCCTAGTAAATCTAACATACAGCGCTATCGTAAATCCCATCCAAATGTATGCCGAGTGTATGGAACTCTCAACTCCCATGGTCCCTTCTTTAAACCAAAAAGAAAATGTTTTTTAAAAGAAAAAGAAAAAAAATCACTAAATCCGATACCTTCATTACTTCGTAATCGAGCCACACCGTGACGCCATATACACGAGTTACGCCGTTGGCTCATCCAAACGTATCCATTCTCGAGGAACGTCCATGCTGCGATTGACCCGCCCGCCGGGTGTCAGAGGGACATCGACACGTCCTCGACCCCGTTCGTCATCCGCATGATCCTCGTATGTCGACAACCGCGAGAAATAATCCTCGAGGACCGCCTCTCGGCCGATGTCACCGACAATGGTGGTGTACTCCGGTGGAGGGGTCACAAGAGGAGGCGGAGGGGGAACATCCTCAAATGCGGGAGGAGCAAAGGATGGAGCCCGCAGGAGATGCATGGGCCGTGGTGCATTCTCTTGCCCCCGCTCATCCGGTTCGTGCGCCAGGTGTGCCTGAGGGGGTCGAGCCAACCCGCCAGAACCGCTGGTGAAACTCCGAGTAACAGATGAACCGGTAGGCTCCTCTCGATCATTGGAGGCCGGTGCAGGACCGGCGGGATTGTCTAGGTAGAGCAAGGGCGCACCGGGGCACCCGCATTCGTATTCCTGCGCTGGGGCTACTGGCTCCGAATTAGGCGACGTATACGCTGGGAGATAAATGTTGGCTTGAGTCGCCTTGCAAGAGAGGAGGTGGAACGGAGAGTCGATGGAGATCTCGAAATGTCGACGTTTGTTAGGATCTCTTTCGTCGGGCTTCGAGAGGCGGAGAACAATCTAAGGTAAAGTCACGTCAGCTCATTTTTCTTGAGAGCGTGGTGGACCAGCGTCCTCATACCTTGATCCAGTGGTTGATTTGTATGTTGTCGTAAGTCGTGTCGAAGTGCAGTCGCTGAGTTTCTTCTCGGGCCCTCATCTCATGGCAACTCGGCAGTTGGACGCTGAACTCCATCTCGGTCGGCCCAACGCCCGCATCGCTCGAAAGGTCTCCCAGAAGATTCGTCCGATTTCGATCCACAATTTCGTCCCCTCTGGCAGCAGCCGTACGGTGATCCCAGTCAATGCCACCACCCGCCATGACTCGCATCGAGCTGCCGGGATACGTACTTGTACTGGCGGAGTCTGCTCGCTTCTCAAACAGGAGCACCTTCTTGGCTGGCTGGTATCGGTGAACGCTCTTGTCTGCGGTCCAGTGCTGGATATTCTCTGTCACGTAGACTTTGATCCTGTGGCATTCAACCTTCGCCAAGGGGGTCAGTTTAAAAGCAATGGGAACCTGACTGCCCAATGGGAACGATTTGCCCGAAATGACAATGTCATAATGCAACTGATCTTCCCAGTTGCGAGAGATGGCGATCGGTTCGACTTGCTCCAGCGAGCCCTCCGCCGGAGTACGAATCACAGGGACCTCCAGGGTTCCCAGCAGGTTGGGCCGGAAAGCACCAGACCGTTCCACGATGGCCTCAAGATCATACCGAACAAAACCGAGGTCCGTCTTGATCGTCTCCGGGAGAGAGCCATCGATTGGAAATTCAAAACTATACAGGTAATCCCCCACTGGAAACATTCGATAGCTACGCTGTGGTGCGGGTGCGACGGAGGGGGCATCATTTTTCCCGAAACTGCACGACTGATTGGACTGCAGTGAGAGCCGTTTGACTTCCCTGCTCGAGGTGTGGCCACTATGCAGCGAGAGAGAGGACCCGGTCATGGAAACAATTTCGCGAGTGACAGTTGTTGGACCGTCCTTACCCGACATAGTGGTCACTGGCTTCGCATGTTGGAAAAAGTGAGCTCCATAGTCATTCTGCATTAAGGCCGTGTCGCCGTGATTGAAATACATGACCCCGTGGGTAACCAAATCTTTCTTGTCATGGTAATGGATCTTCCGTGGTGGAATCCCTGGAGAATTGAGAGCCGGTCAGCATTCACAGAAGGGTTGAATCAGTAAAGGCAACACGCTTACCCTCTGGCCAGTCGGTTTGCGCTTGACCACGGAAGCAAATCGAGATTTTCTTGATTTTGACACTCTTGGTGACTTTGAGATGCAGCTGCCCTCGGAGGATCGCGGGTTTCTTCGTGCTGGGGTCATTCGGGTCGTATCCTTGAAGATATAGGACCGGCTCTGTTAGGGCAATCCCCACCGAGATACCACTGCCCGTCGCCACGATCTTCTCGTTGCTCAGTGCGGGAAATGGCAGCGTCGGGTCTCCAGTCGCGGAGCCAGTTTGCACAGACACTGAGGAGGATTGCGAGACCGATGTCGTCGGCGAGGAGCCGGCGCGCATTCTTCCCGTTCCTAAATTAGCGGAGGCGAGCATTTGCGCATCGTCGGGAGACAATACAATCTCCGAAACAGGACGCGGACGGCGTGTTCGGCGCATGGAACGGACAGGTGGTAAGGACGGAGAAGACGGCGAATGGATGGGGACCCCCAAGCGGAGCAAGCGCTTTGCGTTCTCCCGCGGTCCCGCCAGCTTTCTGAATATCGAATCCCGCCAATTGTTCTGCTTAGGAAATTGTTCGGCCTCGGATTCGGCGGTCGCGATGGTTGTGGATGGTGTTGAGCGGTGGTGGGGAGGTCTGGAGGGTTCAAGACCAGCGGACCGAGAGAAAGATTCAGATGAAGCGCAGGGAAATTGAGTGACAGGGTTTGTAGGAGTCGTGACTGATCTCGAAGGATGCTCCTGCAAAGGGGGCATGTGAGCGGTGGTCATCGTGCGCAACCCCAATTCCGAAGCATCATTTGTGGGGAAGACAGTATCTCCTTTACATATAATAGAAGACGAGGAGGAAAATGGAGGGAAATAGAAGATAGGAAAGGAGGGGGAAAATAAAAAAATAAAAATAAAAAAAATCAAACACAGCCTTGTGGGCAGTGAAACGGATATCTGAAACCACAGATGGAATCAGGTAGGGGTTGAAGGTCTAGACAAAGACCTAAGGAGAGACCGAAAAAAATCGAATCGAACGAGATGAAAAGAAAGGAAAAGGGGGGGAATAAAGCGATGCGACAAGATCAAAGGTACGTACTCACCTAGTTACTGCGTGCTGTATAGGCGATGATCGATGAGCGTCTGGCGGACCAGTTGGAGATGCCCGTATTGCTTTTGCCTGGTTTACCGTGTTGGGCAGCTGATCGACAGACCAACGCAAGGAGTAACACACGGTGTGGCGGAGAGATAGTTGAAGTGGAAATGAAATAAATGGACGAAGTAGATCGTTGTCGAATGATGAATGGAAATACACGTAGAGTAGTAGGATTAAAGGGCCTACACTGTGGGGAGAGAAACCTCAATCATCCGGGTCGAGCAGAGAAGAACGACAACCGTTAAGCATGAGGAAAATCAATTATTAGCCGGAAAGAGATTGGATGATGACACGGAGTGAGGCGAAGTAGAAAGAAGGGGTTTTGGGTGCGGAAAAGAATAAGCCAAACAGTAGAAACTTTTTTAACTCGCCATCTTCATGATGACGCAGAAAGGTTCATCTCATCCGGCGATCCGGACTAGACTTTTTTTTTTTTTTTTTGTTGCTCGCTAAATCTAAGATTATTATTACCCTGGTACTCCGTATATTACTACTATTAAAATAAACTATTAAAATAATATTATTCACAAATCCTATCCATCCTGATGATAGTCTCTTGGGGATCGTTCGTAGCGAGGTCTTCTGAATGGAATCCACTCGGATCTACTGGTTTTCTACAGTCCACCTCGAGGACTACGAATCCATCCCCGACCATGTGATTGCAGTGCATGCACCCCCTCCTTCACCACCTGTCGCTGATGATGAAGACTGTTGGCGGTGGTATAGTTACATATGGCGAGGTCCAAGTTCAATCATTGGACATGTGACTGTCTGATCTGCCTAAGAGGTTGACCTGATGCGGATATCCCGGCAGCACTAGACACCCGGGAAGCTGATTTCCTAGCTAAAGCTGTTCTGATTCTCCTTAGTGTGCGGGGATCAGACAGTGTGTCAGGTCTCGGCCGTTCTGGTGATGGCCTAGAGTGGTGATATCATCGACCGTCTATGTAAAAGTACCTCTTCCAGTCCGGTTGTATATCTCCGATCCCAGCCGAGGTATCTTCTAAAATCGAAGGGAAACCCTTAGATTTGTATCTTGAAATTCTGAGGAGAATACAGCCACAGTTATGGCGTGTGAGGTTCCACCTTGTCTGATCCAGTGGGCATCTATCTCAACCGTGAAATGGATATGCATATCCTATCGTATCCTATCCTGTTCTAATTTCTTTTCTTTCCTTTTCTTTCTTTTTATTTTTTATTTTTTCTTTGTTTTTCTTCTCAGCCGTAGATAAATCAATGGCATTGCCTAACTAACAATAGACAATAAAAATGGAATCTCGGCAATTGTATCCCGAGATAGATCGAACAATCTCCGTACTTCAGCCGAAATCTTACAGACGTCGATGACTTCATCGTCCCTCACGCCTGTACCTGATGGTAGCCTAATTTATTCTTATTGAGCCTGAAGAAGACGCCGACTCCACAGTTCGAAAAAAATCGACGGATGCTAAGTCTCGACGGCAACTACGCTGTTGAACTTTAATAGAACCCCAGTAGCAAGGTACTTCCGCTAACCATGAATGACGTACATTACTATGTAGTTATGGGTGGATGTACATATACTGTCTACACCGATTGATCGATTTCTGTTGTATTCGGATTGTCACAACACCATTAAGTGCTTCCTTCTTTTCGTAAGTTTAAAGTTGAAATATCCTCCGCATGTGGAATTGTGCCTACCTTGCGTCATTTGGACACTCAGACACGCTGTCACCTTACATTAGCCTTGTCTTGGACCAAGGCTTGGGGGAGCGTGTCTGGGTGGTTGGTTGCCTGGAAAGTATTTGGCAGATCCGGTTCAACCGAAGTCAACATCATTTTGAGTCCCAGGGATTCTTCACTCATATCACGCCCAGGTAAGTCACGCCTAGGTATACGCCCAGGAACTCAGCTCTGTAGAAAGACGAACATGCTAACCGAGAATCAATCACTACCTTAGATGAAGAAAACAAATCAAGTGAACCAGCTATCATCAAGCTCATTAATATTCATCAACCCATCTCCTTCCAGTAAATTCGGATCACCAACCCCACCGCTGCCAAAGTTCTCGCTTTCCATGAACAGATCGTCGAAACTAGATTCTCCCGGTGCCATGATATCCTCCGTATTGCCGCCAAATAAGTCGTCTTGTGTACCATCAATACCGGAGAATCCCTCTGCCTTTTGTAACTCCAAGTCAAACGCATCGCCCCCTGTCGGCATGCTGGTGTCTTGATTCTCCATCCCGGGGAAATCTGATGCTTGATTCGCCAACGACTCGCCTCCTTTCCCTCCCTGGTCCGTAATGCCGGTGTTGGCGCCGTCCACGTTAGATCCCGATAAGAAGTTTTCGTTGCCGAGGTCATCGTTCCCGAAATCCAGGTTCAGATCGAATTCGTTCGCGCCAGCTCCGGTATCGTTTAATACAGAGTCAAAATTGATTTCTGTTGGTCCAGAGAGGACAAGTTCCGGAGCGGTAGCGGTCTCGTCTGGTTTCTCAGCTTTGACAGCAGTTTCAGCGGATCCTTGCTCGGTGATATTCGCGCCTGTCAGTGGTTGTGCAGAAGTGATATCCTCCGCTGATTTGGATTCAATCTGGCTTGCATCAACTGCTGTTCCCTCCGGCTCGGGCGCAGCCTCGGGCTCTTGCTTCATGCTCGATTCACCCCTGACAGCTTCTTGCACTGGCTGCAGTGCAGCCTTTCTAGCCTTGATGGCATCGTAGTCTCTCTCGAGAAATGCTTTGGCAATGAACTTATGATACGTCAGTACCGGTGGCTATCCAGAGCAAATTTGATCCAATCAGATGTTTACATACTATCTGCTCCGAGAGACTGTCTAGCGCGCACTGGAACTGTTCATGAGCGGCCGGGATAGAGCGTTTCAACTGCGCCCTGGATTGCATGGAGCCTTGTGACCGGAAAAACCGACCAGTCTCGATCAGCTGCGAAGAGTCAGAAATTCTTAGCTGCAAAAAAAATGCTGTTCGCTGGAGCATTTACCGTCTGGTTCACCATAGCTGTGAGAATATCTAGAGATTCGGGATTGGAATAGTCTGAATTAGCCATGGTTGTGACTGTTTTCGACCCCGAACCGAGAGTTTGGTTGGGTGCTGTGATTGATGGATATGGGTTAATACCCAGCTGTAGGAGGATTCTAAATAGATCGACAATGAGACGGTTCAAATGAGCAGCAGAGCAGTTTGGTCGGGATGTTCCTCAGTCAAAGGTAGAAAAACCAGTAGACGCAACTACCCCGATGGACCAACCAGTTGAGGGAAAAGTAGAAACGTGAACACAGGCATTCATAAAACGTCTTCGGCGCTTCCGTCTCCAATGATAGGCCCTGGAACGAAGAGGACTGTGAGGCAAGTTGAGGAAGTTGGAAATAAGCGCTCAGCTTTCGATGAACGAAGGCGGGCAGGAGAGCACTAACGCCAAGCTGGGCTAGCGCTCTCCCCACCCCAGGCGGCTCTTGACCATCCAAACTCCTCGTTCTTTTCTCCATTCAATCCATTCCATTCTCCTGTCAACTAAGTCAGATCATCGCAGCTTTTCCCTTTTCCCCTGTTTCTTCCATTCCATTTATTTCATTTTGTCTCCTCTCTTGCGCTGCTGTCCCTACTTCTCCTGGCTGGTGACTAGATCTGAGTGGTGTTTCTTCTCTCTGTTTTCTCTTCTTTCGTCTTTCTTCTACCTTTTCCTCGTCCGTTCTTCGTGTTCTTTCCACCATTTCCACACCTTTTCGATTGTTGGGGTCGTGGTTGAGACTGTTTGAGTCGCCTGAGTCCTAGCGCCTTTTAATCACCAAGCTACCTATTTTCTTCACCGTTCGTCCCTTTTCGTTTTTTCTTCATTTTCTTTTTGAACACCCTCCCTTAACTGTCGGACAGTTTATTATTCTGCTTTACTGTATGATCTAGCGCCTTTCTTTGTTTTCCCCCGTTCCTCTCTTTTTCTGTTCCGATCCCCGCGTCGCTTTCCGCCTTTCGACTTCAGCCAATTCTGTGACTGCGTAACGCCCTGCATCGTCCCGTTTTTCCCCTCAAAAAAAGAACTGACATTTCACTCTGAAGTACCCGTCAAACGCTGCCAGCATCTATTGACCTGTTCATCTCTTCGCTCCAGTGATTTGTTCTTCTGTATATTGCAGCTTGCGATCTTTCGATAATGGCCGATAACGTACCTGCTTCGACCTCCACCCTCCCACCTCCTCCGCAAACTTCTGCTGCCGCCTCAGGTCAGCAGTACGATGCGTCTCAGGGCAATGGTCAGGGCAATCCTTCCCACATGCCGCCACCGCCTCGCCCCCCCGTCGTGATTCCACAGAACACCAATCCGATCCCGACGGCGATCACTTCTCCAATGTCTGGAAACATGATGTCCCCGACCAGCGCGGGTGGATATGTTCGTCGGGCTGCCCCAGAACCAAACAAGAGAGCCCTCTACGTTGGTGGCCTTGACCAGAGGGTAACTGAGGATATTTTGAAGCAAATTTTCGAGACTACTGGCCATGTCATTAGCGTGAAGATCATCCCGGATAAAAACGTGAGTTCTGTCTTAGCCTCTGTCCTCGAACTGCTCTCTCGATGGCCAAATGATTGATTGGCTTTTCGTGCTGACCCTCACAGAAGTTTAACAGCAAAGGATACAACTACGGTTTTGTGGAGTTCGATGATCCCGGTGCCGCTGAAAGGGCCATGCAGACTCTGAACGGGCGCCGAATCCACCAGTCGGTATGCGTCTACATGTTAGTTTTCTATTGCATCGTTCTGATAGCTGCTCCAGGAGATCCGTGTCAACTGGGCCTACCAGTCTACCACTACGACCAAGGAGGATACTTCGGGCCACTTCCATATTTTCGTCGGCGATTTGAGCAATGAGGTCAACGATGAGATTTTGCAGCAGGCCTTCTCTGCTTTTGGCTCAGTTTCCGAAGCCCGGGTCATGTGGGACATGAAAACTGGCCGCTCTCGTGGCTATGGCTTTGTTGCTTTCCGTGACCGTACAGATGCCGAGAAAGCTTTAACCTCCATGGATGGCGAATGGCTTGGCTCTCGTGCGATCCGCTGCAACTGGGCGAACCAGAAAGGACAGCCTTCGATTTCTCAGCAGCAAGCAATGGCGGCCATGGGAATGACGCCTACCACCCCTTTCGGTCATCATCATTTTCCCACCCATGGTATCCAGAGCTACGACATGGTTGTTCAACAGACCCCGCAGTGGCAGACCACGTGCTACGTGGGCAACTTAACCCCTTACACTACGCAGAACGATCTTGTCCCACTCTTCCAGAATTTTGGGTATGTTCTGGAGACTCGCCTCCAGGCAGATCGTGGCTTTGCTTTCATCAAGATGGATACCCACGAAAACGCTGCCATGGCCATCTGCCAGCTCAATGGGTACAACGTCAATGGGCGTCCCCTGAAGTGCAGTGTACGTCCTGTGTCTAGACCTCTGGTGCCACTTGCATGATTTACTGAATTTGTATATGTAGTGGGGTAAAGATCGTCCTCCGACTGGCCAGTTTGACAACTTCTCCGGCCAGCAGGGTAACGCTCCTCCCGCCTTCAACAATAGCCCGGCGCCTTATTTCCCTCAGTACGGCGGCCCAGGGGGTCCCATGAATCCTCAAGGTAAACCCTTCCATCACTCCCGTTTCCTCGTTGCTCGTATCTAACTTATCTGACCTACAGGTCCAAACCCAGCTGGAAGGGGTTGGGACCAGCCCGGAATGGCCGGTCAGGGCTACGGCCAGGTTCCCGGAAACACTGGCTACGGCCGTGGACAGGCTACCCCTAATTCTGGCTGGAACCAGGGAAACAATGCGAATTTCGGCAACGGGTTCGGTGGCTACCAAGCGTAATTAGTCTGCCGATGTACGCTGCTGCTTGCCATGTTCTACCAACTTCCCTCAAATGCATCTTTGAGTGTAAGTACGGCTACCTGCAGCTGTCACAGTGATGAGGGGCCTTTTCCTTCTCTTTTCGTTTCCTTCTTTAATAACTCCAAACTTTCGTACTTTCCCGTTTCCATTTTGCTTTGCATTTATTTTTTATTTTATTTTTTTTTTTTTCTCCTGTCCCTTTCTTATGATTGCCCTGAAGTGGATTTTTCTAAGCGCATCTCCCATTCTCCAATGCCTTCTTTTTGAAATGAAATTTTGTGTGTTATCGTACACCCAATACCCCCAAGTCCACCTTGTTGTCAAACTTTCCCTGCTCTTTTCTTTCAAGTGCGCGACTTTGCTCAAGAGCTTCTTGGACTTCCGATTCAAGCGTTCTGCCGGAATAAACTAAAAGTTTTCGTTCGCTTCTTGACCCCTCGTTGGACCATTATTTCATAAAATACCTTTTGCCGAGTCTGTATCGTATCTTCTTAAAATGTGTATCTGTGGCTGTTATCTTAGGATCGGATCTGTCGCCTTGGCCCTTGGCCAAAATATTTGCCCTCTTCTGTCTGATAGCAGTCTTCCTTTCGTCATTTTCACGGAATATCTCGGCAGCCCTGCCTCTTCGCGTTGAGTATGCTTCAAGATTCTTTCTAGTATTTTCTTTTCATCTCATGATACCGAATGTTCGTGGCGTTTCGTCGCGACTTATGACCTCATGCCCTGGCGTTTCGGATAATACTATATACCTATTTTGCTTTTGGTGTCCCGAACAGTCTGTCTTGAATGAGTTGCATCAGCTAGCATAATCCATGGTAGCTTTATAGAAACCGCAAGACTATCTCGGACCAGTCTGTCGAGAAAACTCCAGTAGTCGTGATTAGCAATGTCCAAAAGAGAACAGTCCAGTAGGCGTTACCGCTTTCGGATTGGCCGGCGCTTGGCATGTTCTGGGCGCCAACCTTCGCTCCATCGAATTCCGCGATGGAAATCCGTCCGGACGGCGCAATCCTGAGAGTGGACCTTCACGGTGGGCATGCTAACTAACGACCAACTGAGCTAGTCGTTTCCAGCTTACACCAATGGAAGATGCAAGCACCAGTAAAAACGTGGCTCTGTCGCTAGACAATGACAATCCTCTCACTCGGCGCACGCGCTCCGGAAGCGCAAGCAGTGGACACAAACGCAATACATCCGGCTCCTTACTATCGAGACTCTCCTTTCTTCGGATGATCCAGACGACCCAAAATACCCCTGAGAGAGACCACTCAGGCCTCGACCCGCCCGATGGCGACGATTTAGGCACCAGCTTACGGGGCGGAAGGACGATGTCCAGTGCATTACAACAACGAAAGACACGAAGACGGAGAGGCTCACTGAGGAAGGCAGCCTTGTTGAGTACGCGACTTGACTTTCGCGACAAGAAAGCCAACAGGGCCCCGTCCGACGTCTTGCGTACAGAACCCTCCGAGCAGCTCCAACATCTTCATCACCTGCCTCCGCAACCGCTGCGACCGTTGGCTGGCCCAGTTTCGCCAGATCGCGGCATAGCACCTCATGAGGACTCGTATCGCGACACTCAGGGGGGAAATACCAAATGGGAAATGTTGAATGCACCACAGCGATCGCTTGCCACCTCTGCCTCCGGTCCGCGCCATCAGCAGAGCCAGTCAAAGGATAGCTTACTTGGTGACGAAATAACAACCGACGATGAAGAAGTCGTGTCCTTCCCCCGTGTCAAAAATACCAATGCTGCTGTTGCTGCTGCTGCTGCTGCCGGCCTCCACCTTCCAACTGGGTCTTCAAGCTCGGATTCATATTTTACATTGCAGGCAGACCCGAAATATAGAGCCATGCATCGTGCTACATCGCCCCTTGCGACGGCCGACATGACGAGTAGTCAAGAGATGGATTGGGATTATTCCGAAACAGAGTGGTGGGGATGGATTATCTTGATCGTGACCTGGCTTGTTTTTGTCGTGGGGATGGGCAGTTGCTTTGGTGTGTGGAGTTGGGCTTGGGATGTAGGGGAAACTCCTTATGCGCCTCCAGAACTGGAAAACGACAGTACCCTTCCTATCATAGGTTATTACCCTGCTCTCATTGTCTTGACGGCAGTGATGTCCTGGGTATGGGTGATCATTGCGTGGGTAGGGATGAAATATTTCAAACATGCCAACATATCAGGGGAAGCTGTATGAATCGTCATCCATCCCATTAGCTTGGACGCTTGACCTGTCACACTATGTATATACTTTTCAACGCCAGGATGTATAATTTCTAATGTCAAACTGACGCCCAACAGCCCCCTTTAAGAGGGGTATATTAAATCGTGTATATTGTATGTAAAACCAGAATTTAAAAGGAAATGGCCCATACGACTCCAATCCATAGACTCCGTGTGTCAAATCTGGACAAACAATAGTACAGCCTTTGATCAGATTCCGTGTCAATGTGATACAGCACACTGATTCCCTCCCAATTGGTGCCGTGCCATCCTTTGATTGGGATCATCTACCCTGAACCCTTCAACGGCAATAGTATGGTCCTTGGGACAGTCGTTTGTTGTTGCTTGATTGGGTCCATCCGCTGTCTGAGGTTGTACGGTTGTCCCCGGCGCAGTGCTGACAAGACCTTTGGATACGGCGTAACAGGAGGAGCGGTCCTGATTCAAGTCTTCGCTATAGAACTCATCCAAGATAGGATGTAAGAGCACTGTCTGTTTGTGAATTGTGACGATGGAGTTTGCAGGGACAGAGACCCAATTATCTAGACTGATATTAGCCCATGGCCGTGTCGGGGAAAAAACAAAATAAGGATAATCTCACGTCTCTCGAAGGTAATCGGCTCGCTGGCTACCAGAACAATATCTGCGCCTTTATCATGTCGTTCCATTTTAAAGTGGCCTCTATCTTTCCCTTCCTTCCATTTGGTACCCGACGAGAAATATAAACTAGCCGGCTCGTCAGTCTTGCTACTGATATACCGGGTGCAAATGACCGTATGGCCATCCGTGACCGCGAAATTCAGTAGACTTCGAGTTTCCACGCCAGAGACATTATGTCTTTTTGGGATATCTCGGATGAACTCGTTAATCTTGGCAATAGTTTTCACCATGACGCGTCGCAGCAGCGCCTGTCCAAACCCCTCCGGTCCCGGATCAGAACTAGGATCAACCCCTTCTTTCTCCAGGAGGTCGAGAAAGAGCGCAAATGCCCACTCACTATCCGTGCCGCCTTTCACGCCGAGATACCAGCGGTCCGCCAGCGAGTCCGCCAGCGTCCGCTTGATGTAGTGCCATCCGCCGATACCGCCGTTGTGCATCCACATCAGGGTCTGATGCTGGAATGGATGGCAGTTGTTGTCGGAGAGAGCTCCCTCGGTGGTGGCGCGCACGTGCGCAAAGATTAGATTCGAACAAGTCTTGGAGGCGAGTCGTTCGAGGTTTTCACAGTTCCAGGCTGGAAGCGTTGAAGTGAAAATACATGGTTCGGGGCCTAGTTTGGGGTCTGTGTAGAAGCCTACTCCGAACCCATCTCCATTGACTGGACGGCGGTTGTCCTGTTAAGGGGGGTCAGGTATAAGGAATAGATACATTTGGTCGACTACTCTGGACTATTGAAGAGCTCAGTCGTACTTACTAGTCTTAAGCGGGAATCATAGGATTGAGTCAAGATTGAATGGCTTGGTTCAGTCACTAATTTGCTGAGACGGATCTCATGTCTGCCTTTGTATACCTGTCGAAGAAGCGGTCAGATGCATGACATCAGGATCAATGATATGTTGATGAACTTACCAAGAATCGACACATAATGTGTGAAAGGAGCTCGGAAAAACAGGGGCTATTCCCCAGGACAGAGGAAGCCGACTGCAATGGGGTTTGGTCCAGCAGAATCTCCTAAGAAGAGTAGCTGTTCGGCAGCCGAAATCGCAAGCTGTAACGAGGCAAAGAGAGCTCTTTGCTCTCTACCAAAGCGGCACAACGACTGACCACCACTTTCTATCAGAGTCAGGATAATCAATGCAATCACAATCGCAGAACAATGCTAATTCATGAAGATATATTTTGAAAATGAAATAAACAGGACTTGTCCAATGCTCAATGTCGCCATCTGACCACACGTGACTCACTCACATATACGGGTAGCTCAGCGGCCATCCGCGCAGGTCACGGGATCTCCGCCCGCCTGAAGATTGACTGATGCCATTCATTATTCGCCCCAAGGCCCAGCATTATTCATTCTTCATCCCAAACCTGCAACTCCGTGGCTGAGAGAGCCCCGGAGATGACCGCCCCCCTCTCGTTGAGTGACTTGCGGTGCATGAGATTTCTAGAACCATGAGCGGGAGAATCCTCTCCCACCGTCTTGTTCCGCTTCTGCGGACAGGTCGTTTAGCCCGCCATGTTCATAACGCTGGAACCAGGACTGGCGGTCTTCTCCGTTCTAATGGCAGTGCTGCACTACGGGGCCGAGCCTGGCCAGTAGGTGCCAATTCGATTCACAATGTTCCCGCCGTGAGAAACATCTCTTTTGCAAGAATTCTTCCCAAGTTAGCGTTAAAGCTAGCTAGGGTACCGGCTATATTTGGAGGGGCGATGATTGCCGGTCTAGCTTATTTACAATACCAGGCTACACGTGCGTTTACATTTGACATTTGACATGTTGAATCCGAATGAAGCTAATGATTTCTATTTTCTTTCGGCTACAGAGGCGGGGAACTATGCTATGGACGTTTTAAAGCGCGCGGGGGAGACAGCGGGTGATACAGCTTCAGCTCTTTTCCAAGGACTCCAGGGTGTGGCTGAGCAGACACAGCGTGGTTGGCAAAAAACTACGGAGGATGTGGAAGTGCCAGAGTGGCTCCATAAGATTCTTCGTCGTGATGAGAAGTCGCAATCTGGTGACGGTGGCTCGTCAGGAGACGGCAAATCTCCGAAGGAGAGCAGAGTGGGTGTCGGTGCGGCCGGGGTTGCTACCGGCTCGGCATTCGCATATGATGCAGAGGAGGATGAACACCGTTCCAACAGAGAAGCTGCCGAGGATGACCAGATGATGCTTCTTACACGGAAAATGATCGAGATCCGAAACATTTTGCAGTCGGTTGGCCAATCCAATACGCTCACACTTCCATCGATCGTGGTTATTGGCTCGCAATCCTCAGGTAAAAGCTCTGTTCTCGAGGCTATCGTTGGCCACGAATTCCTTCCGAAGGGCTCGAATATGGTCACCCGTCGACCGATCGAACTTACTTTGGTCAACACCCCGAACGCACAGGCAGAGTATGGAGAATTTCCAGCCCTCGGACTCGGAAAGATCACCGACTTCTCTCAGATTCAACGCACTCTGACCGACCTCAACTTGGCCGTCCCAGAAAGGGACTGCGTCACGGACGACCCGATTCAGCTTTCGATTTACTCCCCTAACGTCCCTGACCTCTCTCTTATTGATCTTCCCGGTTACATCCAGGTAGCTGGACAAGACCAGCCGCCAGAATTGAAGCAGAAAATATCGGATCTCTGTGATAAGTATATCCAGGCTCCGAATGTAATCCTAGCCATATCTGCGGCCGATGTTGATCTTGCCAACTCGACCGCCTTAAGAGCTAGTCGCAGGGTGGACCCCCGTGGTGAAAGGACGATTGGCGTCATTACCAAGATGGATCTTGTCGACCCAGACCGAGGTGTCAATGTCCTATCAGATAAGAAATACCCTCTGCGCCTGGGATATGTAGGTGTTGTCTGCCGAATCCCCCAAACAACCACCTTATTCTCCAGAGGAAGTGGGAATATAACAAGTGCGATCCTAAAAAATGAGAATGCTTACTTTTCGGCTCATCCTTCGGAGTTTGGCTCTCAGTCTGACGTATCGGTTGGTGTTCCCACATTGCGCAACAAGCTCATGCATGTTCTTGAGCAGACAATGGCATCGAGCCTAGCTGGTACTAGGGATTCCATCAGTCAAGAACTTGAAGAAGCGACATACGAGTTCAAGGTTCAATATAACGACCGGCCTTTGAGCGCCGAGTCCTACCTTGCCGAGAGCTTGGATGGGTTCAAGCACTCTTTCAAGGCCTTCGCAGAAAACTTCGGTCGGCCTCAGGTTCGCGAAATGTTGAAGAACGAATTGGATCAGCGAGTATTGGATATTCTGGCGCAGCGGTATTGGAACAAGCCGGTTGATGACTTGTCTCTCTTGTTGCCTGAGCTGGATCCCCTCAGTGACCTTCCCAAGGCGGATTCAGAATCGCAGTATTGGCGACGTAAACTTGACGCCTCAACCTCCTCGCTTACGAAGCTTGGTATTGGGCGGCTTGCCACGACTGTGGTCGCTAATGCAATCCAAAGTCATGTTGATCGTTTACTAACCAACTCCACATTCGCAACCCACCCCTACGCTCAAAAGCAGATTGTGGAGGCCTGCAACAGCATACTGAATGACCGGTTTTTCAGTACGAGCGATCAAGTCGAGAACTGCATCAAACCGTACAAATTCGAAATCGAAGTCGAAGATCCTGAATGGGTCAAGGGCAGAGAAAATGTCAGCAAAGTACTAAAGGAGGAACTTCGAGCATGCGAGGCCGCTTTGAGACGGATCGAAGACTCCGTTGGTAAGAGAAAAATCAAGGATGTAATGGCATTCGTGGACAAAGTCCGCAAGGGAGAAGCCATATTGGAAGGCGATGTTGCCAGCACCTCTGGTGCCGGTGGTTTTAGCGCTGCTCTCCTCGCCACTGGTATGCTACTGTCCTCCCAGAGATATATCTACACCCAAGAATTGAAGGCTCATTTCTGCTCCAGGTCGTGAAAGTGTCTTCCTACGGGATCGAGCCGATCTCCTCAAAATGAGGCTCCTTGCCATCCGCTCGAAGCAGTGTGCCAACAAGAAAAACAAATACTACTGCCCGGAAGTATTCCTTGATGTCGTCGCCGATAAGCTCACCTCAACCGCTGTTCTTTTCCTCAACGTCGAACTCCTCTCGGAGTTCTACTACAACTTCCCCCGTGAACTGGACATGAGATTAGGCCGTCACCTCTCCGACGCCGAGGTCGAGCGATTCGCACGTGAAGATCCTCGTATCCGGAAACACCTCGACGTGATCAAGAAGAAGGAGCTGCTGGAGTTGGCGCTAGAGAAAATCGAAAGCATCCGACAACTCGACGGACGTAGTGGCGTGCATAGGAGATCCGACCATCCGTTGGCCAACAAGGAACAGAGAAATAGTGGGTGGAACCTATTCAGTTAGATTGTCTCTATTGTCCAATTAATCTCAAAGGGCTTGTTTGCTTCTTGTTTGCTTCTACTTCTTCCCGCGTTTTGCACATGAACATACTGTGTATACACTCTCTCATCTTCTCCGTCTTTGTTGGTCCAGTTTACCCCTCCTTTGTGTATAGATCAGGATTGGCGTTAACACAGCGGGTACTCTTTTCTCTTCTGACTAGCTTCTACTCCTCTTAATGTGAATTGTTAGATAGTGACTGATTAGATCACATAGAATAAGTCCTAGATACGTGTTTCCATAAACACGATGTATTGAATCAAAATGTCTAGGACTTGGGACAACACTTGTAGGTCATTTTCCAGGCCAAGACTTGACTATTTTCACACCCACTATCTATTAAGATAGAATATAAGAGACACTTCCAACCAGATATGTAGTAAGAAAATTATTATTCCACATTCAAAGCTAAAGAGTCATCAGAGAAAGACATGAAAGAAAAAATAATAAAATAAAATAAGAATGAGAAGAAAAGTATTCTATACACCAAGGAAAAAAGAAAAAGAAAAACTAAAGCTAAATCTAACATGTCTAAACCCGCACCGGTCTATCTAATCCATACACAAGAAACCAAGAGAGAAAACGGAAATGAGGGAGGGCGAGAGAAATGGACTAATAATGCACGCTTTTAGTATCCACTTCCGAGGGTGTCTCGAAGTATATATATCATATGATCGATATAATATCCCTTCGGAAAATCATGGACATGGCGGAAGAATGTGGATCGAATGATTATAATCACCACAGGCAAGACAGTCGGGGAAAGCCCATGTTGCAGGATATACAACAGTAAAGAAAAGAGATCGAAGGGGTGGGGTAGGTCATAGAAATGGCGTCATGGAGAAAGGGATCAAGGGGGAGGTACAGTAATTAGCAGTTCAAAGGACAAGGCTCTCGCTCCGAATTTCATAGGCATCGAATATCTTGCTGCTGGTGGTGGTACAGAGGTCCCCGATTCTATCCACATTGGGATTTTACTCCCGAGAAACGTCACGGCCAAACAGCTTGGCCTTGATCCAGTCGACAGCGACCAGGACACGGTTCCGAGCTGATAAAATGTTAGATATATAAAAAGTATTCTTCTCTATATCGTTAAAGAATCACTTACTGCTGAAGCACATGCTCAGATAAGCGCTACGCCAGAAGAGATAGGTCATAGTTCCACCACTTGCGATGTTGCCACTCAGCCAGCTGATGTCTGCAACCGCACGTTCCTTGCCAATGTAGGCCAGACTTCCCTGGTGCGAGTACTGGAAGGGACCAATCTGCTTTGTTCTCCGCAGCTGTCTCTGGCGTTCACGGATCTCATCAAAGATTGCATCGCGCTCTTCTCCCTTGGCTTGCGATTGAGCCTCAGACAGCCTCTTTAGCTCCTTCTCAATCTCCTCTGTCTTAGCCATGGTGTTGAAAAGGCGGGCAAGGAAGGCACCCTCCTGGCTGGCAACCTGGGCAGTTGGGGCATAGTTGGTGATAGCGCAATCTCCGACAGCCCAAACGTTTTCCGTTCCGTTCACGACGAGATATTCGTTGACAGCAAGACCGCGACGCGAGTTCTTCTGAGCCGGGAGCTGGCTAATAAGGTCCCGGACCACGCTGCGAACCGCATTACCAGTAGCCCAGACGAGCAGACCATATGGAATGATTTCCGTTTCCTTGGAGCCATCGGGCTTAGTGACTTCGGCCTCGATGTACTTATCGGTAACATTCTTGACCATGGTCTTGGTTCTAATGGAAATAGCCTCCTCCTTGAAGGTCGATTCGGTGTAGTCAATAAGTTGCTTGGAGAACATGGGAAGCACATTGGGCAGAGCCTCGACCAGAGTCACATGGAAGTTCTTCTGGATGTCGGGGATCCATTTCTTCAAGTCTTCCTCGAAGAAATCCTGCAGTTCACCGGCGAATTCAACACCGGTGGGACCACCGCCGACGACAACCATATGCAACAGTCGCTTCACCTCCTCTTCGGACTGGTCCTTGAACATGGCGGTTTCTACGCAGTCCATGATACGCTTACGAATCTTCTGGGCATCGCCAACTTCCTTCAAGAAGCAGGAGTTTTCCTTGACACCCTTGATTCCTGTATTTATGGTCAGTCAGACAACACGGAATGGCGCGAATAGGCTTTCACATACCGAAGGTTGCGTTCTCAGCGCCGACACCAACCACAAGCATGTCGAAGGGCACCTCAGTTTGCGACGTGTCACCCTTGATCTCAGAGTCGTCACTGATATACACAACACGCTTCTCGTAGTCGATCTTCGTGGCCTCGGCTTCGTAAAACTTCACATTGGCCTGTTTCTGGCGGAGGATATTGCGGATGGGCTCCATGATGGAACGGTGTTCAATCAGACCGGTGGTGCAGGAGGGCAGCAGTGGGGTGAAGAGGAAGTAGTTGCGGGGCGAGACCACAACGACGTTGTAATTCTCGGTATCAAGCTTTTTCAGGAGGGAAATAGAGCCCCATCCAGTACCTGACGGATGGCGACGGGCATTAGCAGGCGCGCTGCGGCTAGATTGCGACGACACTCAGTCACGCAAAGTGGGAATAGATTGACCTACCCAAGACAACCAGGGTCTTCTTCTCCGGGTCCGGTTCCTGCTGGTCGATGGGGTGGCGCAATTCGTAAATGCTGTAAGCCAAAGCACCGGTCATACCGAGGCCGGTCAACAAAGTCAAGCGCCAAGTCCATCGCAGAAACCTGAATCGCTTCTTGGGCTTCGGAGCGGGAGTGGCGTCGGCGTATGTACGGCGAGCAGTGCGCTGAAAGGATTGTTGGGAGAAACCGCTGGATCTCACGGCGAGTGCGGAGTGAAGATGGGATCGCGTCGAAAGCGACCTGCGCGACAGTGACGACAACTGCATGGTTGATGGAGATACCATCTTAGAGCGGATGGCTAGCGTACTTCCAACCATTGTCGGTCGTTTGTCGCCCAAGGAGAGGGAGGAGGGGAGACGGTGATGAAGAGAAGAGAAAGGAAAAGGGAAAGGAAAGGAAAAAAGGGATAAAAGATGAGTCAACAGAACAGGAAGAAAGTTAGTAAACCGAGGACAAGTATTATTGTTTGACGTCGGGAAAAAAAAAAAAAAAATTGGAGATGGCAAAGGAGGGCTGTTCTTGTTAGCTGTTTTGGGCGAATCGGTGTGCCTTTTTTTTCTCTCCGAATTTTCCGCGGTGGTGCCCCGCGATTGGCCCGTGGTATTGATAATTCGATTGGGAATGACAAGAATAAGAATAATATTAATATTAATTATATATATATATATATATATAATATTCAAAGACTTGGAGAATGAGGAGTGAGGGGATACGTTCAGTAGGAAAATTAAGCGCCGGTGGATTGATTTGTGAGGGGAAAGTGTCGGTTCAAGGTTAATTTATTTTTATTTATTTCCTTTTTACCTCCAGAGTCCAGGCGGCGGAGTAGAATCAGGAGAGTGGATCCTCGTGAGGAGAAGAGAAGAGCTCATCACTCTTATCTCTCAGTCTCAGGTTAGAGGCATCGTGCCATCGTCCTTTACATACCTCCTCCCCTTTATACTCCGATCTTCGTGTCGTCATCTTCCCAGCCCAATGTATCTTTGCCCCTTCATCCCTTCCCGTTTCGGTAAACCCGGTCTCGCCCGCTGACTCACTCCCTGCCCTACGGTCCCTCCCGAGATCTTTCCGAATTTGCCCGCATCTAGACCTGCTCCATCGCAAGTTGTCTGTCCCTGTTGTTGCAATGGAATTATGGAAGACACGATGAGAATCCGGGGAACTAAGCTCCACTCTTGTGCTTGTCCCTTGCCATTTCGCTATACCTCGGCTCACTAGATGCCCTCGGTGGGTAAGGATAAGTGTATGTCTCTCCAAGCTGTGATTTCCTTTTCTTTCACTCATCGAGTATTCCATTGTAGTGGTAAGATAAGGAACATTGAATGGTTCTCAACAGTGGGATTGAGAAGCAATTTCTGCGCTAAGATCAGGTGAATAAATATTGTAGTTGTTTTTGGCTAATTCAAGGTATGTTTGGCCAGTTCTATATAACTATTGCGGTTTAGAACGGTTACTATATTAGTTGTATCTTGGAACTTCCAGAGCATGTTCTACTATAAGACGATCATGAGTACTCAAGTAGTATATGACATTAAAATCTTTAAATAATAAAGGGCGCCTGAGAGACTTTCTATAATAGAGCAATTGTACACAGTGGTCTATCATCAAGCGCCCCTTCCGCGGTAAGAGAGATATATTCATCGCATACTATCGCTCGAGCTGGAAGGCAAGTCGTGTGGATCCTCTTGTGATACAGATAGGGCACAGGTTGGCCTCCGGACGTTCTGAGTCAACCTGTTTGAGAATTGAATTTATATCAAGGTTGTGATCATGATCTTCGGCCATCACTACATCGTTGGTACTACCCACAAGTAATGTTGACCGTTGGTCAACGGGAGTACGAGTGTATCCACTTGGATCATATTCACCTTCCTCCAGGTCCGAGTTATCATTGGTGTCAGAGTCATACGTCTCTTCAAGATCACTATCTTCCTCGGGATCGTCCACTTCGTTTTTAGGCCAATGAATATCCCTGGACTCGTCCGGGTACATTCAGCAAACCTATCGTCTGTTTGATCGAACCAGTGTTGTCGTCATTCCTTGGTCTTAGCGAGATCGAGCACCAAAGAGTCAAGCAAGATGGCATGGCCCAACCATCAGGCGAAGACCATTGTTACCCTGTGCTGCTTATATTTCTGGGTGAGATTCAACGACTTTTGTCGGCACCTCTGTAGAGGAGACAAGTAAGAGTCAGGAGGAGGACTTGAGTTGGCCATAGGTGCAGGTATAGACACCATGAAGCAGTCTTCTGATGTTGATGGGTCGATATCACCCCTCAGTTCTCTCAGAAAAGGCAACTTTAAGGGTGTAAATTCTTAATTGTGTACATACGTATGTCTTAGGAGCAATACATGTACTCCTCAAATATCTAATAAGACCAAAAATAGTTGTTGTGGTAAACGTCACGTGGTGAATAGTCCCTAGCATATATGGAACAAATTATAACCATAAGCAACAATGGTGAAATGTCAACACTAAATGGGACGTCATAGATTTCGATATACCAACTCTGTCGGATTAAGTTTAGTATAACACTCACTAGGTCGATACTCATCAATCTTAAAAGAAAGTAAGATACAGTTCTTATGTTGCCGCAGACTTCGCAAACCGGCTGCGATCCGAGGGGAAGTAAACCCCGTGATAAGAGAGTCAGGGTGTTGGAGTAATAAACCTGCAAGTATATCGGGATATCGGCCATGATTGATGTTATCGGTTTGGGTTTGCTAGAACTTATACAGAGCATTCAACTGGAGGGTCCGTAGAGATCTTGCCGGTGGGATCAGACACTCATGTCGGGAATTCCCTTGCAATCAGTACCAATTCTAGAGCGTTCACTGATTGATAGTAGATGGCTTTGTACACCTAGAAATATCGGACCGATTTCAGTCTCTTCCATCCTACTTAGCCTCGAGGACTGGATTAGACCATCATTCGGAGACCCATCTCTCGTGTTGTATAGAGAATAGTAGTTGCCTATGTATCACTGGCCTGGCTCGGAGTACATCCTCCACTTGTACCTAACCTATTTCGGCTAGTCCATTACGCCAAACGAGGCTCTAGAGAGTGTCCCGTGGGAGCGGCGCCTGAGGCTTTCACCCAGCAGATCACGCCCCCATCGCCAAGTCGTGGCGGAAACAAATAAGTCAACCGTCTCTCATCCTCAGCTATATAAATCAAGCCAAATGGAACACTGACTCCAATGCGGACCCCGAAACACCGAGACCCCGCAAAAAACTGCGAAGAGTGAAACTAAAAAAGGAAGTCCGAAAGAATCTTGACCAAACATTCTAATTTTTATACTGGGGGGCCAAGGCTGGTTTTTTTAGGGGAATGGCACATCGAAAGGACAAGTGGAGGTATAAGAAACCCCTGGTCAGCGGGGAAGGTCTGAGTTCTCATAGTCCCTAATACACTTGGTCATGGTATATCCTAAACAATGATCCCACTTCGGACAATGCCGAATTCCCGATCGGGGACAGCCGATCAAGGAAACAGCATCCCAACAACACCGGGGACACTTCAACCCACCGACGATAATTCAAGCGAAACAACCAATGCCTACGAATAAGGTACCGATGAGGAAGTTCGCGCGCTAGCACGGAAGCTGACGGCTCAATCCGTGAATTTCGATGGTCAGAGTCGACTTCAAACAGGTCATGGGGCATATTAAATTCCCAGAGCAAGGAATTTAACTACAGAGCATGGGTCCAAGCTTACTACAACATATTGAGGCACCCAGTCCATGGCTCGCCGCCGAGGACTGCCGGACTGGCATTGGAGAATGTCCATGCGCATGGCTCCGCCGCTGACATTGAATTCCAGAAAACATTAGGCAATATCTTCTTACCGCTGTTTCTCTGATCAGGGCCCTGTTTGGCTCCTCGCAAAAAGCCAAAAGTCAACATCCTCCATTGTTTGGATGGCATCCTGCACAGCGGCGAAATGCTGATGGCTCTGGGCTCTCCTGGATCAGGGTGTTCAACCTTTCTACGAGGGATTTCTGGCGAGATGCACGGATTCCGCGTGATGAAGACTCATACATCAATTATGAGGGCGTCCGGCATCCCCGCTATGCACTTTATTATCCCAGTGCAGATGCAGTGGCAGCAATAATCGCCAACCTGCCATATAAACTTTTGAATGGCCTATTTATAAATATCACCATATATTCCATAAGCAGCCTGCGCTGAGACGCTGGTCCATTTTTCTTCTTTCTCTTGTTTACCTTTGTTATTAACTTCGCGATGTCAATGTTTTTCCGTCTGGCCGGCTCCTTAACGAAAACCATTGAGCAGGCCCTTGCACTGGCAGCAATTCCCGTGCTGACAGTTGTTACTTATACTGGCTTTGCAATACCCAAACGGTATATGCTTGGATGGTTTGATTGGGTTCTTCATTAATCCCTATTGCATATGGATTTGGAAGTATTATGCTGAATGAGTTCCACAGTCGTGAATATTCGTGCGCAGATTTTGTTCCCTGGGTCCTGGATATGACAGCGTTGCGCCTGACCAGCACGTATGTGCAGCAAAGGGTCCCACTCCTTGACCCAGGGTAGTTGCCGGCGCGGCCTATCTTCAGGATTCCTATGATTACCGGAACGGACACAGGTGGTGAAATCTGGGGATCATTACTGCTATCACCATTGGACTCATGCTTGGATATCTGACCGCTATCGAATACATCTCTTCTGAATTATCGAAGGGTGAGGTTCTCATTTTCCGTAGAGCCAACACGGGAAGAGGTTTCTTTAAGAAGGGTGGCCATGATCTGGAGAACTTGAACATTTCAACACCCACGCGGGAGAAGCAAGGGCGTCAAGTACGGAAGCAGGGCGACAGAAGGAGAACCGCACTGATGTCTTCCACTGGCAAGAAGTATGCTACGATATCACAATCAAAGGCGAGGCTAGGCGACTATTGGATCACGTTGGCAGCTGTGTCAAACCTGGGACGCTCACAGTACTACACCAGTCTAAATAGGGCGTATCCGGCACCGGTAAGACCACTCTCCTGGACGTCCTTGCGAGTAGAGTCTCCATGGGCGTTGTGACAGGAGAAATATTGGTCAACTGCGCACAGCGTGGTGACTCCTTTCAGAGAAAGACTGGTTATGTTCAACAAGATCTGCACCTCGCAACTTCTACTATTCGTGAGGCGTTGAGGCTCAGCGCCCTTCAGCCAAGATATATCCCGAAGCAGGTAAAGCTTAACTGCGTTAATACCGTGATCGATGGCTTGACATGCATGCATATGCTGATGCGGTGGTTAGTGTTCCTGACGAAAGATTAAATGTGGAGCAACGCAAAAGACTCACAATCGGCATTAAACCGGCTACGAGACCTCAACTTCTTTTCCTTGACGAAACTACTTCCGGCCTGGATAGCCGGACATCGTGGTCCATCAGCTCTTTGGTGAAGAAATCACACAATGGCCAGGCCATTCTGTGTTCTATACACCAACCTCTGTTACTTTGTTTCAACGTTTCGATCGGCTGCACTTGCAAAGGAGGAAGGGGGGTTAAAACTGTCTATTTTGGTGACATTGGCGACGGTGCACAAACCCTGTTGGATTATTTGCTCACAACGGTGCGACACCATGTCCCGAAGGGCAAATACCGCTGAATACATGTTGAATCTCATTACTGGAGCTCACAATTCTGGCTCCAGTTTGGACTGGCCGGAAATGTGGAATAGCAGTCCCGAGTCTAAGGGTGTACCGGATCATCTCCAAGAGCTGAAGCAAGGCACATCTGCACCCAGTGGAAAACTCGGCAAGTAACGAGGAATTTGTGGTACCTTTCACCGAGCAACTCTGGCAGGTCACGAAGCGTGTGCTCCAGCAGTACTGGCGAAACCCTGCGTATATATACTAAAAGCTCTGCTAACTGCTGGAGTGGTAACCTTCCTCTGCTGAAAATTGCCCTTTGACTTTGCTGGTTATTTCTTCTAGGCTACGTTCGTCGGATTTCCTTCAAAACCAAATCCATCCAACAAGGCCTTCAGAATTAGATGTTTGGTGTCTTTATCGTCCTGGCGGTCTCTTTGGAGATGATCACACAAATTATTTTTGTGTTGTTTTGTGCAGCGTACATTGTACGAAGCACGCGAACGACCCTCTAAAACATACAGCTGGAAGGAATTCATGCTGGCAAAATATATTTGTCAAGCTGGCTTAGAACTTGGTAAGTTGCTGATTTGACATGATAGGATCTGAATTACTTTCTGACGAGGCATCCTCAGATAATGGGCATTCTCTGCTTCTTGTGCTGGTATTACCCAATTGGACTCTGGCACAACGCAGAGACAAGCAGCCAGGTGCACTCTCGAGGAACTGTGACATGCTTATGTATTTGGTTGTGCATGCTCTGGTCAAGCGGTCTCGCACATTTACTTATCGCAGGTTTGAAGACCGCGGATGCTGCTTTTGACCTTGCGACAATCATATTCGAACTCCTCTTGCTCTTTTGCGGGTACGTGTTACATGATTCTCCACCCTGATCATCCGATCCGATTCTAACATCATCCCTTGAGTCGTTGCCACTCCAAAACCCTTCCTGATTTCTGGATCTTCATGTACCAAGTCAATTCCTTGATGTACCTCATCAGCGACATCCTATCAACCTCACTGGCCAATGCGCCGACGAAATGCGCGTCAAATGAGTACCTGTTATTCAATGCCCTAGACAGCCTTAGGTGTGCAGAATATCTGAAGCCGTACATGTCCATGGCAGGCGGATACTTGCTCGACGGGGGAGCCCAGAAGTGCCAGTACTGCCAATTTGCAAACACGAAGTGGTTTCTACATCATTCTAGCGCGGACTTTACGTTGAGGTGGAGGAATTTTGGAATTCTCTGGGCCTTTGCTGCGTTAAGTATATTGGAGCGTTGGTGCTCTACTGGGTGGCGAAAGTGCCGAAGAATCGGAAGAGTATTTAATATGTAATAACAGTTTTGTATTAATAGAGATAGAGACGGATATTTAGATATGGATTTTGTTCTGGATGATTTTTACAGATCAAGAAATCTGACTGTATAATAACGATTGATTCGCTTTTGACCCTGTCTTCCTAAATACGTACAACTCACTAGAGTTACAATTTGTATATTAGACTCTATACAACTGTGGCCACATAACTTGTATCTTTCCTCACTTCGTCATTCATACTACGATGGAACTAAGAATAATACTGTTGTTGCCTATTTATTATACTAGAAGAGTATCCTTACACCTGAAATAGAACAGTCATTATTGGTATGTAGGGTTACATAGAAACACAGCCATAAATAATCACTATTAAGTCTATTAGTTTATTATGCACATGTAATCCATTAAATCCATTTATCGTTCGTACTGAGTACTCTCTACTATATCAAGTCCAGGATATCAAGACCATCTTCGCAAGGATCAATCGCAATGGTTTCTTCGGCCATGCAAATATGAAAATATATTCTATAAATACCCGATTAACTACTTACCTAGTCCAGAAATTCGATTTGGATGTACTCCGTCTCTTATTGCATGAAGTATAGTTGCCGCATCAATCTCATTCAATCATGCACGCAGCGGGTTTTCCTTTTCTTCGTACGGATACAATCAATAAAAGCCAGTCTGAATCCCAAAGTCCTACCTACCTACCTACTCCATAAATTCCGTTACGACCCTACTTGCGCTGCTGCTTACGGTTGGTGTCGGTTGGCCGGTCATGTTTATGCGGTGCGGTTGGAAATCGTCCTGCTGTTACATCTTCTAGTCTAGAATTGGATGTATCACGATGGAGTCGAAGAAATCCGCATGCTGCATGGAGTAGGTACTTTTCCCCTCTCCCTTCTCAAAAGTACATGTGCCTTACCATCCGGTCGACGACCGATTTCCTTTTCGGTCAGACATACCCCAACCCTGGGCTAACTAAAAAGTAGATCCTGTGTAAGGTGACACTCTGTATTTACTCTATATGCCCGTTCTTCTAAATCATCCATCTAGATGGCGTACTCCGTACATATATCGCCACACGAATGCAGCCGACCGTCAGTATGACTCGCTAGGCGGTTAGCAGCCAAAGCAATTTCGTTGCTACCGCAGTCCATGTCTTGTCATTCAATGCGGTATATCAGTCAATGGAATAATCAAGTGGATCTTATTGCTGTGGTTTGTGGTTCAGGTCGCTTTCAAGGCCCAGCCACGCTGGACGCCCTTTGTGGGACGAGATTTCGTGGGGGACTGCGGATGAGATGGTCACAGTAATGTACTTTTGGACCGTGGAGGCTGGCCATCATCCTACCGTGCATATATTGCAGAAGTCTTGTTTATGAATGCAGAAATGTTAGCGCTGCTTTCCTGTATCGAACCACAAAGGGGAGGAATCTAAGTATAGATGACGATTATTCTGTGACTAAAGATGGGGCAGTCGTTCTAGATTGTCTTTTCTGGATATGTTATAAATAAGTACAGCTGATAGTTGCGTTTGAAGCCTGTATAACGGTAGACAATCAATATCTAGTATGCCAGCGTAATGTATTTTGAATTCCTGTAGTCTAACAATGCAAATCAATGGTAAAAAGTCAGATCAATATATCGAGATCCTGGCTCATGCATATGCTTATTCCCTGGTTATTTTTCTTTTTATTTATTGCTCTCGTTTCTTTTCTTTATTCTCGTTGTGTGACTGTCTGATCCACTCTAGATATGACCTATATCATAAGCTGACAGATTGTCGGCGAGGCTGAGTATGTCCGTGGGCGTTCTTTGGGTCTCGTGTCGTACATCAAAGGCAAATATGTGGCTTGCAGGCGACATGCTTTATACCCAAATCGGATGTGAGGAACCCGGTTAATTGAACGAAGCATATTTAATGACGATTGATCATTGAACAGGGCAATCATAAGGTGTAACCTTTTAAGAAGAGTAACAGGGAAAAGAGATCAGCCGTTAAGAATGAGTGAGCGTTAATCGCCCTAACGCTATATTGTTCAGAAAGCAGGTAGGCGCTACACAGGCGTCGTTTCACACCATAGATGGAAGAATGCAAGTCAGTATCCATGAGGATGGTAGATAGAGATGGAAGGCAAGTTGGATGAATTGGGCACTTCGAGTTCGCGCTAATCTCGAACAGGCTATTTTGAAATATATACTCCATACCTCAGGCTCTTTGCTCGTGTCGTCGGAGGCGGGGCTGACAAAAAGATGGCCATCGCGACCATAAGGCCAAATGCAGTAGTAGGTAAATATAGAAGTATTAGCATCGGCCCTCCTGACGGGGAAATGGTAATTTTGAATGAATCTGCAGAGTAGAGTTCCGGTGATGGTGTTGACCTGCTGTCTTGAACCCAAATGGCTCGAGACCACATGCTTGCCGGGGTTCTACGCGTCGCTCGATCACACTGGTGTGTATCGATGCAATCTACAAGCACCCATGCGTGTGACTTAAAAAGTGATCTCGTTTTGGTTACCGCCAGAACTGCGGCGAGCGACAAGGTAGTTGGTAGCTGGCAGGGTGCATACGAGAACTTTGCTCTGACCTGGTTCGATTTGTGTACAATTAATACTATTCAGCCAGGATAACCAATATCCTCAAGTTCTTTTGATATACAGACTGGGATAGGGTAAGTGGCTTCGCTTGGATCCTGGCGTCCTTCTGAGGAGTTAGTAGGAGGATCCGATTGCGTCCTCGAGAGATAATAATAATGGTTGACTATGGTAGCATTCCGGCGATGTTGAGATAAGTCAACATGGGCTAAACTTCTTGAGCATTGAGAGAATTAATTATTTGCTCCGCGTGAAGCCACTTACTCGCGTCCCGGTTGATTACTATTTATTACACTGTCGTGGCCGGTCATCCGTTTGCATCATTTCAGACGTTTCGATTCTATCATGGACCCCCCCTCCTAAAAAGCCGCCGTTCCATCGTCATCACAGATATCCACAATTTCACCCCCTCCATGGAGACGACCCGTCCGGTGAGAAAGGTTGACAAGGCAAAAATGTCTCGGTGATCCTTGCCGGGGGGCAAGGGACGAAAATCGTCGCTCCCAGAAGATGCATGTCCAGCTTGTTGGCTTCTGCCCCCATGTCGTCCACAATTTGAGACCGAATCTAGATTGTTGCCCGTCCGAAATGGCGGTGATAGTCAATGAATGAGAGGAGGATGAGAGGAGAGAATGGAGATTAAATTGTGACTAACGACACCAGCTCGGACCTTACGTGTTGGCGATCCACACAGCCGCTTGGAGCCTTGGGCAAGACTAAGTGACGACAACGCTTGTACCCGGTCCACGGCGGCTGTACATTCGGTTGTTGGACGATGGACTGACAACGGAGTACATACGAGGTACATACGAGATACACCACTATACTGTACATGCATCGACTCCTGTGAATATGTATGGTATTAAGGCGAGTGCTTGGCGATAAAGCATGGGATGCTGTTGGTTGGACTATCCACCAAGACTTGAGCGACATCCATACATCCCTCCCCTGTGTCCATTCTTTGGTGACTCTGGACGGAGTGTCTACCTATTACGGAGTATTTAAGATTCACGTAGATCAGTCGTTACTATGTATAGGAATATGGCTTGGAAGTGAGACAGGATTCGTATGCAGTAAGGGTTTTCCAGAATTCTTAGGTGACTGACTGTCCTTAGGTAAGATGACTTCGAAATGTACTGGTCTTGTATCTATAGACAGACAGACTCTCGACTTTGGACTCGAGTCGAACATCATCCTGAAATCATACCTCGGAGGTTCTCAATACGCTGGGCGGGGAGACGGTTTCACAATGCCGGGGCTTCTCTATAGGGCGCGGATATGCTTGTATCAAAAAAAGAAATAATAGAAATAAAACACCCAAGGAAAATAAAACATCAAGAAATAAAATGAACGCGCACGGTGTCTGGTAAATTCTCGGACATATCTTGAAATAGAATCAGGAGAAGGTCCAAGCATGCGAGCCGCCGTACTCCATGTTTATGCTCTAGCCTTTATGCATTCTTTATTGATTTCATTTTACTCCGTATACTACGCCATGATGGCTTGCAGTATTCGCGATGATACTATATCCCGTATCCTCCTGATGGTCAAGACGTAACGATGATATTAATCGGCCTTGATCAGCAAATGATGACGGGCCAGCAATATCGTCGAGTGCTTGATCATCATTACAAAGTAACTACTAACTACTATGATCTATTGACGACTCGACTCTCCTAATGTGCCGGCCCCCCACAGTTACAACTGAAATTCTGGGTCATTCATACTTACCTTGTTGTGATAATAACGGACTACTAACTATCCGGGGACACGAATCCCACCGAGCAATCCAGGTTCTGCCTCCCAGCCGCACTCAAGGGATATTCGTGTCTCCCCTGGATTACAGTTTACACAGTATGGCGAAAGGCACGGTACAAAGAGTACTATGTAGTGGTTAGTTACCATGATCAGTAGCAGCAGCAAGGCAATAGGACGATCTCATGAAGCTCGGACACCCACAGGTCTGCTTTAATCCGTATGTGGTGGATTTTAAACCTGCAGTATTAAATTTGCATGACCTGTGATGTATCGTTCTCATCTTTGTTCAGTGTTCACAACACAAAACTGTTTGTTTGGCTGCTTATGAAGCATCAGGCCGCAAGGATTAGCTAGATAGGTGCGAAGAAAGAAATGCAAGGAGCCTGAAAAGGCAGTAAGGTGGGAAACATACATAGCAAACCATTCATTCACTATGAAACAGCCCAAAAAGAAAAAAAATATATAAATATAAAGTGGAATAGAACGTTGGTCCTTGCATATATAGGTCGATGGGGATGTTTCTTTTCTTTTCTTTTTTCTGTTTTACTTTTCTTTTTCTGGCAGTCTGGTGACGCGATCATTTGAAGACACTGCAATGTACGTCGCCGGTACGCTGGGATGACAACCCACGCGCAGAAGGGGCACCACATTGATAGGGAAAATTCTCCGAGTATCGCTTCCGCCTGCTGGAAGGGTTTCTCTCCGCTATGCAGTGAGCCCTGAAAAGGTGCACTAATTGGTGCCTCAGGTAAAATGAATAATACCCAGAAGAAGCATGAAAGAAACAAGGGTAAAATAAAATACTGTATTGAAACACTAAAAACTTGCTAAATAGCTCGCAAAAAAAGGAAAAAAAAAGAAACGAAAATTTAAGTCGGAGATAATAAGGATGGGACTCAAGCTGTACAATCTCCAGTAAGACCGATTATCAATTCTGATTGATGAGCCTGGATATTGATCTACCTCGTCTCACAGGAGGGGGTAAAAACCCATGGCTAAGAGTACGAACAACGCATGATGAGATGTTGGGAAAGTCCGCTGGCCCAATGAGGCGCAGTCGCGCTCTCCACGGCGGAGAGAAAGGAACACTCGAGCCTGCCTAGGATGGAATATGGATATTGCGTGTCCAAGTCCCAAGATGCGGCCGATATGGAGATGATAATGGGCGACACCGCCAAGCGTGATTTGTTATCTTTAGGCGGTCGGTTGCCCAGGTCCATCGATGGCAAGTAATTCGTTCCTTCAGTTCCTGCATGGGGCAAAGGAGAGACCAAACACGACTGGAACTGGACAATGTGGGGTGATTTAGATCGGTATGAGTGTCTGGTTTCAAATAATTACAGATAATAATGGCCAGGTCAAACTATGGGGTACTTCGGTCTCAGCATAGTACATTTTTGGTGGGCTAATTAGAATAAACGGGGCAATGAGCAGGCAACATTTAGCCTCTACATGATGGCGACGAACCATTAGCTGCATTATAGTAATTTCCATGCGAACAGAAGGGAAGTGAGTGGCGGTGACCAAAAAGGATCTGAAGCCTTGGCCGTGCCGCACCAGGATATTGGTTTGTGGCAATTCAATTTCTTATCCTTTTTTTTTTTTTTATTATTTTGTAGCCACCCCGACCGTCCGGGAGACACGACTCAATGATACCGACAGTCTCGCTATTATTGGTTTGTGCCTTATGGTCATGATTGGATATGGCAGTGTTCGACCCAACGAGAAGATCTTCCTAAGAAAGAAGACCCAACAACTCAAAAAGCCCAAGGGTTCCAAGAAGTACGGAGTACGGCGAAGGCACTGTAAGGAAGGCAAAAGAAACGAAAAGAGTTTGTGACCAGCGGGAGTTGGTCGGCAACACGATATTCCATAGAATGACTGACAATCTTAACAGTCCCATCAAAGATGCCACTTCATTGGCGTTTTTGTCCCATCGCCGACCCGGAGATGAAGTGTGGTATTCATATTGCCTAAATGACCGAAGCGTCTTCGATTGCTGAGCAACAACGAACTTACTAGTACCATTGTCGCCTGTGTCCGACGCGGCGCCGAGTGCCGGATTATGGATGACAAAGGAACCAAGGATTCCTTCAGCCCCGTTGTTGGATCGTGATGGGTCACTCAAGACTTCGGCGTAAAGGCAAAGAATGAAAGCACTAAACATAAATAATAATGAATGATGCCGATGACGATGATATTATTGATGATGCCTATTCCTCAGCTAGGAAGTGGCACACGCGCTCCACTTGGACATTTTGCATCCTTCTAGAGTTCTGGAACACCAAATTCAAAAAAACAAAAAACCAAATTCAAAAAATAAAAAAAAAAAATAAAAAAAAGAAGCGGCCTACCGTGTCGATTTGTTACACCATTTGTGGTGGCTCAAAACCAACCAAAATTATACTTGGGAAGAAAGGAAACACGACCTTGTGATTTGCTCAAATTTCATAATTTCCACATCTACTGGCCTTCACGGTGATAATCGGCCGCAATACCAATTTTCAAGACTCGCACACATCCACTCTGATAACTAATTCTGTCACCCCGAGTAATTAATAGGGACTACGAAGGTAACCGATTGCATCAAAGATTGAAGAAGTAACCTCGAAGAAGGCGCCGAGATAAAAAAAAGAGCAAGCTGTAGGCCCATACTCCCTGTGAAGTGAGCATCCACTTAGTTAGTGTATCGACACTGAACTTCCGGATATGGCATATAGCTCAGATTTTGCTTTTTGCTTGGGTTGGATTGACATGGAAGCTTCAGCGGTGCCGCATCCACCAGCGAATTGGTCATTGTTTTCATCCATCGTCATTAAGGTTCCAGCAGTTCGCCCCGATCGCCGGCCAACGTTACTCGAATAGTTGATCTGACGGTGCTCTTAACAACCAATATGGATTACTGAGTACAGCCTCATCAAATGGACGAGACTCTGGATGTCAGTACCTATTATTTGTATCCGTTCGATATCATTCGGTAACGGAAAAGCAACGAGCATGGAGGAAGCCCGTGTCGATGCCAATCGGCCTGGACGGATATCGCTCAATTCAGTAGTGTTCCGTGACGAGAAGATTATTATGCATCATGCTGGTCTTGCCAATTAAAGAGGCACATTTCCGTAGAAGTCCACAGACAGACCAAGTTGGTAAAAATAGTAATTATAGATGAAATCAAAGTCAGTTGAGGGGGCAAAGGGGCTATCCTTTAGCCCGGCCTAAGTGAAGAACAGTAGCAGTAGTAGAACTAGGAGAGCTGATCATCGTCACGTTGCTGAGATTATTGTGTATCGATGATGCTAGTACTCCATACACGTTGCCTATTTTCTATCTCCCTATTTTTGCCCCTTCTTTGTTCTCGGAAGAACCCTCTTTTTGCTTCTCCTTTAGTTGCTTTTGTTAAGGGCTCCAATTTCCAGGGGGTAAAAGTAATAAAAAGTACTAGCCGCCCTTTGACCGGCCGAACGAATGAGAGGTCGTATTGATCTGTCTTTCTGGGCGACTTGATCAGCTTCGCCTAAGTACTACAGACTCCATCAGTGTAATATTAAATGACTGTTATGCTCTTGGGCTATCAGAATTGATCACTTCTGTGAACTTATGAGTTGCCTAAATGGTGGTGAGCTCCGAAAGTCCGTTGTAATAACATCTTCCACATGGAATACGGAGGTCATGCTCATCACAAGTAACAGGGAAGTATATCCGAATCCGAAAGCAACTTGAGAGCTAAATCGGCTATCAACATTCTGCGTGCTACTTCCCTGGGAAGCCTTCTACTCCGAAGGATATTCAGACTTTCATAGACCTTGGGGGCGGCACCACCAGGTCTGTCTATTCCGGCATCTAGCTACGAAATCAGAACCACTATTGTTGACGATCAAAACCTATCAACTTCGATTCTGGAATGAGATGCAATAGGAAATGAGGAGCTCGTATACTTCGTAGTGCTATTATTGTCGGAATTTGAATCCTTTGATCGTCCCAAAGTGAATGACCCATTCTTCGACCGGAAAGATGAACCGTCCCGACTTGCATCTCCTTGTATGGAGTCGTACTGTGTACATACTTTTTTACACTGGTGTAAGCACTGTGCACTATGATAGTACTATTAAGCTGGCCATCTATATGAATATCCCTAGTGTTACTAACAAAGCACTCTGTTTTTCTTTATTTCTTTCTCTTTTTTCTTTTCTTTTCTTTTTTTTTTTTTTTTTTTCCTTGGCTGTTGTCTCAACGCTAGAAAGCAGGCACCTGCATTGAAAATTTTTTTTCAAATTCTCTGATGCAAATGTCATGATCATGGTATGCCTTATCTAGTCCTTATCCCATGCTAGGGGCCTCTGGATGACGATTGTCTTGGATTAGTCCATTAGTTTCACTACTATTATCTGCTGCGGAGTGCGGCGCAACCGGACAAGACTAATAAAAATAATAGTGATAGCAAACCATGGAACTAAGTATGCGCATTTATTTATTATTCGCAGCATATTCTATTTGATTTTCTCCGGATGATAAAAATATTAATCAACGGACACACAGATAAGTACCAAACCAGCATCTGTCTAAGCCATCATATGTCCTTGGCTTGGGTGGGTGTTTCCCATTCCATTCCTACAGTCACTCAGCGGCACGGCGTCCTACCATCTCGAATATCGAAACCGGATCAACAGGATGTACAAAGGGCCTTAGGGGCGGGATGATGAATGCTATGTATTAATTAAATTGAACTCGAGATTTGAGCTCATGTCCGGCCATACGCCGTGGAATAGCACAGTATTGGTACACATCAGTTGATGGTTCGGATTTTATACATGGAACGTTACGACTGGGCGGAGTAAGACAGTGTGGTAGGGGAGGCGAAATGAGAAACCTGGAAAGGCGCAGACGAGAGCGGCGGCTGTTGGATGGGACGGATGGGCTGGATGTGGGTAAGACTAAGCCAAAACCACCTAATCATGACTCGGCGGTGGATTTCCTAAGGCATGTAAGAAGGTAGCACCTGTGAGTGAGAAAGGTAAGTACAGTACGACTAGTCGGAGTCACAAGGAGAGAGGGGCGCTTACCTAGCATACCTCTAGCAGCTAACTAGGTACTTCGTAGGTCAGTCTCAGTCAATAATTTTGCTAGATACCGTTGATACCAACCGAGTACGGGTAATGGTGTTGTGCACAGATACCTAGGTAGAAAAGGAATGGTACAGAGGTGCCCCGTACGTACCATGGTGTAATGAAAGACAGTCCAGCTGAGTCGGGGCCGCAGTGATGGTCCGCCTCCATCAAATGGATGGGATGGAAACAGGGTCCAACGTTGCGATTCGATTGTTGTCCGTTGGAGTCATCCATTCTGGACTAGTGAGCCGTGATTGGCTGATCATGTCTCTACGCCCCATATCTAGGCCTTTTTGTTCATTAATCCATCCATCCAATACGACCAGGCAGGCAAATGGTACCTTCACGCATACTACCTTACATACGCATTACATAGGCATCATGCTGCCTCGGTTCCCCTCATTCTCAGCTAGTGTGCAAATGGGTAGCAAGAGGAGTACAGAATAGAATAGATTGGCCAAACTTTCATCACTGGGGTGATAGGTAATTAATTACATGAAGTATCCTGAAAGGTGGTGGTAATATTATTGCAGGATGTTTTTTTGATTCTTACGCAGTGCTGCCAATGGACTAGTCTACTTTTAGTTTAGTCCTTCCTACCTGGTTTGTCCAACCGCCAGCCTCATGCCTCCTGGCCTATCCAGAGTAGTTCCATACCTCCTGTGGGCGGTAAATTCGTAATGAATCTTGTACATATTTTCCCCCTCCCATGACAACGCGATCCATAACTTGCCATCCATCCTACCCACCGCAGAGGGGAAAGAAGTACCAGATTTTTGCGTTGCCTAAAAACTTTACCCATGTATGTGGTAAAATTACAGTAGGTTGGCCACCACCACCTGTGACCAGTTACATACCTAGTAGTGACTTGGGATGGTTCCATTCCTCCCCGCCTCCCCCCCTTCCCTTTCACTGGTGTCTTCCCAACTAACGTACTAGTTAGTCTAGCTAGGTAGTAAACAAGATTTTGTGTGTTGTATTATGTCTATTACATCCTAATTAGAAGCCAATATTATTCTCCCGTACCCAGATTTCTCATTCCTTTGCCTTCCGCCTGGTTGAACTAGAATTGGCGATCAACCACACACAAGTGCACAAACCCCTTCATCCACTTTTTCCCGTGCCTCCCCGACTGCTGAGCAATGGACGTCCCCCTTTGCCTTTTCTCTCCCTTTGCGGGTAATTTTTTTTTTTTTGTTTTCTTTTTCGCTTTTCTTGTCCCTTCCTTTTCTCCATCCGTCTTTTTACACACGATGGTAAGAGCCTAAATCACACCATACTCCCATGGGAATAAGACAAAAAAAAAAAAAGTCCTGCCGCACACGTTAACGACGGTTGCAATGCGACGCTAAACCCGACTTATTATTGGATCTGATATGGGTCCGTACAAAGTCAATAAGATTCAATCAATCAACATTGCGAGCGAGACCTTGTCCGAACTTCCACCCCTCTTCCTCTCCCTCTATCTAGTTCTCTATCCCATCCCCCTCTCTTAGCCCCTTCTCGTCCTGGATTGGTCCATTGATGACCAGTAGACTGACCTAGAGTGTTACTAATGGCAGCTAGGCCTCTTTACTAGGATGGGTCTAGGGGCTGCTGACCTTGTTAATCGTTACCCTTCCACTACTTACTCCGTAGCATGCATCCACTCGTCCCCCCGGTGGCTCTGACATCAACCGGTATTTCCAATTTTCTCCAAGACAAAGCATGAGACAATCAAACTTGGAGGACCAAACCGGAACCGACCCAAACGAGTCCAGAAAGGAGGATCAACCCTTTGGACCTGCGTCTGGGTCAAACTCTGTCTATCCTCGATGGATAAGAACTAACCTACCCTGGCTCTTCTAGCGGAGTTGTATGAGATTTAGTTATTTGCTGAGGGATGAATGTCTTGACCTCATCCTTCACTGTTAGAAAGAAAAAAAAAAATTAAAAAAAAATATCCATTTTGAATTATTTTAATGCATTTTATTTTTTTTGACCTATTCAATTTTAAATTCAATTCTTCTTATATGGTTTGATTTCCAGAGGGGGTCTGGGTCATTTGGCTTTTTTTTAATCTTTTGATTTCCTTCATTTTTATTGGGCTCTATTTTTCATTTCCTTTCTTGGATAATATTCATTTTCAACTTCTATAACTGGATCTACTTGCGACTTCTCTTCGGCAGTCGCAGGCATAAACCCAACTAAACTCTCTCTTTCCATTCTCTAAAAGTATTTCACTACGTTGTCTACCATGAATATTACTATGTGATCTTCCTTGCCCCTCTTTCCTGCCTTTCTTTCAATCCTCCGTACCCCCTTCAGTGCCTTCATTCCATCGGACCAGGCACGTTCAACATTCACCGGGTCTGCCGTTGTTGCTATCCTACCACAATTTTCTTAGATATTTGATATTAACAGCTTCCTCGCCAACTTCCGCGGTACTCTGCCACACTTCAATTTGGAGCAGTCTCTGGTTTCACTTCTCATTTCCTACATATATCGCCGGTGTCTAGTTCTAGACCACACAGTCTGGAGAGTGATATTGCATTGCTCTCGTTCTGGCCTGGTGTGATCAATCCCGATGGGAATACAGTGATTGCCTACTTTATATCCTCTGTCTCCCCAAAGATATTCTCGCATCTCATTCACACCCCACCATATGTCTCTCCCGATTCTCTCCTCGCAGCCGTTCCCTCATCCGACCACCCCCGCCATCCCTCTCTACTCGCGGACAGGAGGTTCGACGTGTGCAAGGAAATCACAACGACAGGCTATTCCGGAGCTCTCTGATCGTAACTGGACTGCTCCTCTTCGGGACGGTCTACCTACTCCCCCTAGCGACATGAACGGGGTGGCCTACAACAGCATTCCACCTGCCAACTATGGAATTACACTTCCTTCGTACGCAAAACCGCCTGCATACTCCCGTATCAATTCTGGCTCCTCGACTGGCATAGTCCCTTCAGCCTCAGCAAACCATTCGAAGAGCCAGCCGCTGCTGCACGATGCTCCCGCCTCTGAACCCAGTTACCAGAAGAAAGACTATACCAATTCCGTGGCTTCCTACTTAACAGTCCCGCCATCTATCAACAATAGCAAAGGGAGTCTGACTGAATTCGCTGCTCAGGTTAGAGCCCCTTCAGCATATCCTTCGTTTCTTAAATTTGACCATTTGAACAGATGACATGTCTATTCTGGTTCGAAAGCACTGCGAAGTTGCGGGCCATTGAGGAACACCTGAATCCTGTCCTCTCCCTTGTTCCCGAAGCAATCCCCTCCGCCGGTTTCCAAAAATGGGTGACGAATATTCTCTCGACGACGCAAGTCAGCCACAATGTGATCCTCCTAGCGCTGCTATTCGTTTATCGATTGAAGAAGTTCAATTCCGGTGTCCGAGGGAAGAAAGGCAGTGAATATAGACTGGTGACTATCGCACTAATGTTGGGGAACAAATGTTTGTGTTATGAAACCCTTATGGGTTCGAACTGGATCTGGAAGATTAGGCTAATCCGGCTTGCAGTTCTTGATGATAATACATACACGAATAAAACATGGGCTGAAGTTTCCGGGATTTCCGTGCAAGAAATACATATTATGGAAGTGGAGTTTCTTAGCAACGTTCGATATAATCTCTTTGTTTCCGAAGAGGAATGGACTCAGTGGCATGTCAAACTCGGACTCTTCGCGGATTTCAACAATGCACTCGTTGCCCCGGAAAAGAACGGTTCACCTACCCCAGTGCTTCGTATCTCGCCCAGTGTGGGCCCATCACCTCGAATGCAAGCGTCGCCTACCTCCAAACTACCTTCTCCACCTGCTGTGGATTCTCTACATGCTTCCACTTGGAACTTACCAGTGAACCTTTCGGCCTACTCGAATGCCCCTCAGTTTAGCAATGAAATCCCTCAGGTAAACTCTCGGAAGCGCTCTCGGGACGAGCAAGTTGGAGAAACCCCGTCAAAGAGGATGGCAATTCCGAATGCCATTCCTACTCCCACGTCGACGCTACCTCCATCGTCGGCCCTAACTGGGCTGTCGGCTTTGCCTCCTGTCCTAACGCCAGTGTCGGCACCCTCCACAGCTTCAGCAGTGGCTGTTTCTCGACTTCCGCGTCCCAGTTTCCCTTCCTTCTCTCACAACCTGAACCCGAGCATTCCGGCATCCGTGCCTCAAATCACCCCTTCTACCAGCCGAGCTATACCGCCACTCTACAACCCCAACTGGGCTTCTCAAGTCTCCCCATCGACGGGCATGCCTCCTGTAACCTGTGGTTTGTACAACAACTCGCTCTCGCTGCCAGACCCTGCCAGGCAGCACAATAGCCCGTTCGGCGTATCGTCAGCCACCGTCTCACCAGCCATATCTGCGTATTCCATGCATACGCCCCAGACGAATCTGTCACCGTCGTTCTTCCTGGCGAACCGGAACTCGCCGTACAGGCCAGTGCGTAATGTCAACACTCTTCTGATCCCGCCCCCGTCAACTTTCCAACAACAGCGCAGTGTTCCATTTGATCATATGCACTACCAGCCGCTAGGGAAGACTGCGGCAGAGCGAAAGACTGGTTTATTGCCTTATCTTCACAGTGAAGCTTGGCCACAGGGGTCTTTTCTTCCTGCATTTCATGTTACCCCGAACTACTCGAATTGAGAGTGAAACAAAAACATTTTTTTACGATATTGTTCATGACCTTTTATACGAGCCTGATGTGTACTCCTTCGCTTCATTTTGTTGCCTTCCTACCTTGTATTATGTACTTCCTTTTTTGTCCCCTTTTGACGACCTAGCATTTTCTACGGAGTTTAAACATCATAGATGGATTGGGTCATTTGAAGACGATTGGCATTTTCCCCGGCAATGAGTGGATAGCTGTTCTCACCGGTCTTCTGGAGCATAGCTATGGCGTTGTTTTGAGTGTGTGGTGGCTCTTCATCGATATACTTACATTTCCATCTTGTACTAGCATATGCATGTCTGGGCATCGAATAGCATCCTACAAAATCAAAGAATGATAGATTTCCTTTCCAGTATACGGGATAGATCACATGCATTGACATTCTTACCGCTTCCGTCCTGCACATTTCTGCTGCATCTATCAGGCGGTGAGTATAAACCAGTACGTGTAATCATGCCTTAGGCAGAAATTCGGTCCGATATTTTCCCGCCCGCGCATCAGAACCAAACAGAAAGATCCTGTCCGGTAGGTAATCGCTTCAAGCGTCTAATCCCCATCAACAGGACCGCCCACCATGTCCCCCAGGCTCCATATACTACCCGCACAGTGGCAGGGGATTTTCTCTAAATCGATTTCTGCAGCTTCGCCCCTGTCATTCCTCCTGCCTCAACTCCAACAGCAGAGCCGCAATGCTCACATCTTAGCCTCTCTCTCCGATAACCCGGGCGCCTACAACAAGAGGATCAGAAGAGGTCGTGGACCCGCCTCAGGAAAGGGCAAGACCTCCGGAAGAGGTCATAAGGGCCAAAAGCAGCATGGTAAAGTACCCATGGGGTTCAATGGTGGTCAGACGCCGGATATTATTGTGCACGGAGAACGGGGATTCAATAATGTGTATGTCCTTTCCTTTTCTTTCACCTTATGTCAATGTGACAAGAACCAATACATGAGTCACAAAAAAAAGAAAAAAAAATTTTAAACAAAAATGAAAAGGAAATCTGACATTCCATCTGTCTAGTTTCGCCACTGACCTCACCACCGTCAACCTGGACCGTATCCAAGAATGGATTGACCAGGGTCGTATCGACCCAGCCCAACCCATCACCATCCGAGAACTGGCTCAATCGCGCTGCATCCACCAGACCAAGGAAGGCGTGAAACTACTTGGTCGCGGGGCCTCCACCGCCCTCAAGCAACCCATTCACATTGTTGTTTCCCGGGCATCGGCCAGCGCCATTGCCGCCGTCGAAGCCGCGGGAGGCTCCGTGACCACCCGGTTCTACACGAAATCCGCGATTGCGCGCATCATGAGACGCGAGATGCACCCGTTTGTGTCCCTGGCGTGGACCGCGCAGAGTGGTTCGGGGGGCGTTGTTGCAGCAGGCCGCTGAGGAGGTGACCGAGTCGAAGATCATGAAGGAGATGGGGTTCCGGTATAGGTTGCCTGATCCGACCAAGCGTCGTGATATCGAGTATTATCGTGACCCGGAGCATAGGGGGTACTTGAGTCATTTGTTGAAGCCTATGGAAGGACCTAGTTTGTTCTTCCGTTCGCCGATCGAGAGGAAGTCTGCGGCTGGTGTCAAGAAGGAGAAGGTTCTTCCCGAGAACAGACTCTGGTAGTGAGTGAGTGGGTTGGGGTGTTTTGATTTATGTATTTATCTCTAGTTGTTTTCCTCGTTGTGAACCTGTATAATATTGTTTGCTAACTATTTGAATGAATGAATCCTGTTACGTTGATATTTGTGTTGTATAGAATTGTCTGCTCCCATATCCCAGCACTTAGAGATTACTGGAACTTGAAGGGAAACTTGTTGATAAATTATAATTTCATCATTAATAAACCATAAAACACATTCATTAAAACGAAGTGTATGCCAAAAGCCAGGAAACGCTCAAGAGCCATTAGTATAAATACAAACGTGAAAAGCCAAACAAGCCCATTTAAACGCCACGCTATAACAACTCCGCATACTGCCCTTTTATCATCAAAAAGTCCTTAGATTCGCCGATTTTCTCTGGGAAAAGGGGAGAGAGAAAGAGAACAACCAAGAACAAAACAAAAAAGAAAAAACATTCTGAAAAACAATACACAGAAATCTTGAGAGGGAGATCCCATTAAATCAAATCAGAAGAGGGTATAAGAGGGGTATCATAGATGACCAACAATCCCGAACACCAAGCGCTCATTCAGGTCATTATAGCGCCAGTCGTGATCATTGCAGAGCCCTAATAGGCCCGAAACATTCATCTCGCGAGGTATACCATGGCCCAACATAACAGCAGGAAAAGAAATAAAAAACAAAAAGAAAAAAAAATTAAAAAAGTCATAGCTTCCAGGCAGTATCCGATGCAGCATCGTTCAAAGGCTCAGCAAAGTCTCGAAGCCAAGCGGACGATAGGACGTCGCTGATAGTCCAGCGTTTTTCAACGTCCATGTTCAAGCAACCAGCAATAAGTTCTAAGGCAGCTTCTCTATCCTTGCGGCGTTGGGGGTCTGCCTCTTTTTCGTCCAACACCGACTCTCTATCCCAAGTTCCACTGATGATGCGTGATTGAATTCGGGGCGCAAAGGGGTCCTGGAACGGTCGTGACCCGACGATGACAGCGAACACAATCACGCCGAATGCCCAAATGTCCACTGAAGGATCAATCACCCCGTTGGTTGAGAGAAGTAACTCTGGAGAGGCATATTCCAGGCTACCAGCAATACTGGTACTGGACCCAGCAGGACCAATTGTTTTAGGCGGTGGACGGTCTGCCGCGTCGTCGTAAGGATCGGGTGAGGCGCCTCCGTTGTCTGTTGTCATCCATTCTGCCATTCCGAAATCGCAAAGCACGAGATTGGACGTCCTCGTACCATCTGGCAATTGAACCGGGTCTAAAAGGCAATTTTCTAGCTTAATGTCTCGATGTACTACCCTGGCGTCCTCGTGTAGATATCGCAAGGCACATGCTAATTGGTAGGTGTATTTCCTTGCAAGACCGTGGTCCAGACCATGCCGGTTCTGGCGAATGAGATCAAAAAGGGTGCCACCTATAGCCAGCTTGGTAAAACAAAAGGTGGCGTAGTCGGTCTCGTAGACAGCATCCAGAGTTAAAACGTGTGGGTGACTAAGATACCGCCAGACTCGAACTTCATGATCAAATTCCGCTTGGACTTCATCGTTCTCTTTCTCGGTCTTTCCAGATACTTGTTTTCGGACAATTTTCACCGCAAGTCGCCTGGTTGCACCGCTTTCGTCGACTTTATATGCTTCTTTTACCGTACTGAATCCTCCAAAACCGATCTGCTTTCCAAGCACATAGTCAGTTCCAACCATCTGACCCTCGTCATCTGGCTGTGGAGCCGGCTCTTCGGTACCACCCCCACATCGAAAGAAACATGCTGGCTGGGGATTTACCACTGGAGGCGGTAGACCGACGGGAAGTTTGGCGCGCTGAGCCTCGCGGCCCTCTGGCTTTGTTTCCAAAGGGGGTTATGGCACTGCCAGACCAGGAACTGCGGTCGTACAGTGATGCGAACGGCTGCACGGGTGAGGTCACGCAAAAAGGTGATGGCAAAGCCCCCTTGGAGCCTTCCGGGGGCGTTCGTAATTCTTCAGTAACGGGAGACGCAGTTGACACAGATGTTAAGGATATTGGACGTTCAAGCTCAGTAGTCATACGCAATTCCTCCTCAGGGGTGGTGGGAAAGCCGGCACGGGTAGAAAATCCTCGTTGGTTTTGGCACCTCCCGGGGCTGTAGTCAAATTCGATCGCTGTCGTATCATGGTCCTCATCATCGTCCGGAGACAATGAATTTTTTTTAGGCTTGACCCTTTGGCCTGGAATCGCTGGAAGCGGCCCCTTGATTCTGGCCTTGAAAGCGATTCCTCTAGCGCCCGAGGTCGGCCGGAGTCAAGGGTAACGGTAGGATCGAAGCTGACGGAGGGGCGGCGGTTTTGAAGAAAGCTATCAAGCGGAGATGCTTGGGCATCTTCGGGCTTGTGAGGATAGGCAACATCTTCTTTTGGACGCTCATCATGTCGAGGCACAGAGATAGGGGGGTGTTGCTGAATGCAAGCCACTCAATACACTGTTGTCTTCATCAGTACCGCAACGGGGTGCGCCATAATCGTGAAAGATGTTTGTACGGTCGCCCTCGATACCATCTCTATCAAAAGCCGTTCCCCTGCGTCCATCCTCATCCCGCCACCGGGGTCTGTGTCGGTTCTCAAAAGACGTCTCGATCTTCAACCCTGCCAACGCGCTGTTTCTCTCTGGAGCCATGCCCTCACAAAGTGCACGACGTACTACTAAGTGGAGATGGCGGAATGTTCACGATCTCAAGTAGAGGTCGACAAGCTGACGCACAAACATGGAGAAAGGGCGAAGGAAGGAGGTGGTAAAAGAGGCCGTGGTGATGATACGGCGGAGATGGAAGTGCGACGAAGGTGATGTTGGAATATAGATGGTAAAAGGGATTATATCGCACCCAAAGTGATTTCAGGTTTGGGTAGTGATCGAAAAGGTCACTGTGGATGGATGGAGAGGAAGAAAACTCGTCAAAGCAGGACGAAAATGAGCCAGGACCAGCTATCGGGAGATCACGGAGGCAGGCATGAGTGAGGAATCGGAAGACAGTCGGGCGGGGAAGGGCAGATCCACATCATCTCTGACTAATAGACGCTGTAAAAATGGAGTCATGATGATAGCACTTTTCCTAATAGGGAATGATGCGAGGGGGTATGACGGAGTAGCCCCTCAATGTCACCTGATCAACTGGCCCTCAACCCTCAACCCTGAGCCCTAAGGAGGAGACAAGAAACGCTAGGCCAGGTGTGGCTAGTGTGCGGGGCCTCATTTTCAGGCACGAGCCGTTTTAGGAATGGCTTAGACAAGCGCGCGCAAGGGGCGCTTGTTTTGGAGATTCTGGAGACCTCCTTTTTTGGATGTCCCATAAGTCTGGGGAACTCGTTCACTCCTCAGCTCAGTGACACGGTTTCGGGCGATATCTTTTCTCCTTTCCGCTTTTACTTTTTTTTCCTTCTTATTCCTGTCCTTTTTCGTTTTATTCCATCTTTGAAATTGCTCTGAGAGTATTCCGTTCGTCTTTCTTCCCGAGGTACCTTAATACGCCTGGTACTTGGATGTCCCCGCCATTTCCTTCCTTTGTTAGCTGTCTCCATATCCACTCGCTCCAGGTTTCTCGCAAAATTCCGCTCCTTTGATCTTGATAGAACATATTCGTTCCTTACAACCCTATCTGGGCTCTGAAGGCGTTGTCTGGTTACCACATATTCCTTGCGACTTCAGCGCCTCGGTTTCATAACTTGTTCATTGGCACAGGGTCTTGTGCCATCTGCTCTATCCCCGACTACGGTAACCTGAGAATTTCAATATGACCCGGCCCCGATTTGTGCGAGCCGGTATGTACACTCAGTTTACCGACTTTGTTCGTTATGAATTATTTCATTTGGATGCTGATGTGGAATCGGTAGATACCCTCGACCTCCAAGGCCACAAAACCACTTCCGCGAAAGGTCATTCAAAGAATGCTGGCCACCAGGAGCAAAATATTCGCCACGCTGATGAAGACTCGCGATCGGAGACAATGCATGCGCCTGGGCCGGAAGGACAGCGCCGGGAAGCCGACGACCACCCTGATGGCATCGACATATATGACGATGACGATGACGATGACGATGACGATGATCTAGACGGTGAATTGGGACAACACCGTGGCGACTCAGAAGGTGAATTGGCTGATGGAGAGAGCGATGATCTACTGGATGATGATTTAATGGACAAGATATCGAGCTCTCCATCGATTGATGACGGTTCGTCCTGTCTTTGCTTCTCTTCGATGCTTTCGATCCTCGTTGCTATCCCGGCACCGCCCAATTTGAATGGTTGAAACCGGGGTCTTGAGATGCCGTCGCTAACACCCTCTAGAGGATATTGACTTCGAGTTTGTTTACGCGCTTCACAAATTCGTCGCAACCGTTGATGGCCAAGCCAATGCAGCAAAAGGCGACACAATGGTTTTGCTGGACGATAGCAATAGCTACTGGTGGCTGGTCCGAATTGTTAAAGACGGAAGCATCGGTAAGTTACCATTTTGATGGTGAACAGCATGGAAACTAACAACATACAGGATATTTGCCTGCCGAGCATATTGAAACCCCAACTGAAAGACTTGCTAGATTGAATAAACATAGAAATGTCGATGTACGTAGCTCCATTTTGTTCAGTGGATCAATCTAATGAGAACAGCTTTCTGCAACCATGCTAGGGGACAACTCGGAGAAATCGATGAACCCGCTAAAGAAAGCCATGCGCCGCAAAAACGCCAAAACTGTTACCTTTACTAGCCCGACCTACATCGAAGCTTCCGATCTTGAGTATTCTACTGACGATGATCTGGATGATGCGGCTTCCTTCAATGATGAAGATGTATCGCGGGGCGATGTGGATGAATCACAAGATGGTCAAAGTGAAGAGATTGTGGTTGAGCCTCTTAGACCGAAGTCCCAACGGGACAAGGACTCGGATGAGGTCGAGGAAACAGACGAAGCGCAAGAGCCTGGACGGACTAGTCCGGAAAAACAGCCGTCTAGTCAGGAGTTACCTGATTCTGAAAGTAAGTGCCTATCAGATACCGCCTCCGAATGAGGGAGTTCTAATCTCTTCCAGGCGAGAACAACGTCAGCCGATCGAGGAACGGTACCGTCCGAAACACAGATTCATTTTTCAAAGATGACACCGTCGAGACGAAGAAAATATCCCTTACACCAAATCTTCTCCGCGACGAAGTTAATAACGGTGCTGTGGTGACCGATATAAAGGAGGTAATACTTAGCCTAGATTCTGTGGGGCTGTTTTGACTGGAACGCTGACATTTATATCTAAAGGGCCGCGGAAGCTTAGAAACTATCGACAAAGGGCTCACCGCAACCGACCGAGGTAAAGAGGATAAAAAGCGTAAGGATAAAAAGCCTGGGATGCTCAGCGGTTTGTTTAAGAGAAAGGATAAGAAAACCAGGGCAACTGAAGATGACGGCGAAGACTCTGAAAAGGTATCTGGTGATATATCTCGAACCTCACCTCAACCAAAGACGTCATCAGAGTCCTTGTCCTCTCCAGATTCCCGGGCACCCAAGCCACTGGCTGTACAGAGACAGTCTAGCAAGCTTCAGAAGCAGCCCCCGACAGTCACGTCTCCCACAAAGCCAAGTTTTAAGCATGATCCAGCCATGCAAGAGCCTGCTGAAGACGCCAAAGAATCAGCACCAGTGGAGAAACAAAAGGGAGATCAGACAATACGACAAGTGGTACCTGAAGATGATGCCGCACAGTCTCCTGTCACACAGTCTTATCAAGAAAACATTAGGGCAGTGTCGCCCCCCACTGGCCCATCAAGTCCTGTCAAGAAACCTAGTTCCAGCCAACCCAACTTTGTGGATGTTGTGGAATCACCGATTGAACTTTCTGGACCAAGGCAGGATTTGTCTATCCGGGTAGCGGATGTACCTCATTCTGTGACCTCTCCACCACAAAAATTTTCACCCGGACAGAACACGGGTCTCCGAGACCAGCGTTCGGATTCACCGGCTGCCGTGTCCCCATTGGAAGGCCAAGCTTTGTCTAATGCACCAGCATTGACAACAGATCTACCGTCACCCGAGGGACATTCATACTCTCCGGTGTCTCCTCCTGTGTCTCCTGGCCCGAATGGCAGCAAATCTATGGACGCATTTTCCCCCTCGCCATTTGAGATGTTGTCTGGTGGGACCCCATCCTGGAGTGATGCCAATTTGCGATCGTACCTCGATGATGACAATGATATCCGCGATCTGTTCTACATTGTCCATGATAACTCTAACGTTCCACCTGCTGGCCCTGATCACCCTATAACCGGGAGTTTGTTTAAGGAAGAGAGCAAGAGGCTAAAGGAGATGAGGGCCCAGCTGGATACAATGTTAACGGAATGGGTCGGTCGGAGGATACAGAGTTCGGTTAGCAAATAACAGGGCTGTTTTTCTCTGGGAATTTCATTCATCTGGTGCATAGTGTCGTTCTTGCCTGACTTTCGATATCAGTTGGAAATGACCGGAATCTCTACTTATATTAGCCGGGCGCTAATAGTATGTGTGCTGGACGCATGATATTTCCTGCACCATGGGTTGCTTTACCTTCATTTTCCTGATATTATTTGTATCAACATCTGCATATGTCTTTCCTGTCTGTCTTTCTTTTTTTTAAGTTCTCCCCCTTGTTTTTCAGAGTTCGCTTCATTTGCACCTGCATTTACCATACTTTCACTTGTGCGTGAAGCAATGGCATTAATTTGTCAGCGATCTACAATTTAACGTTGTCCTTTGTTGCTCAAACACTTGAAGTGATTGTTCATAGGACTTCTTTAGTCTTTGCAGGCTGTTTTCGTTTTCTCATTTCACATATACACATACTGGTATACCCCTAGCTACAGATAGCTCCAGTCACTGTTTTTTTTTATTTCATTTTACCTTTTCATTTTCTTTTCCTCTATGAAGACATGCTAAATTCTTGTGAGTACTATTCGTTTCACATAAGCAGAAATCAAGGATGGTTTTCTGTGTGAATTCCTTGGCTGCCCAGAAGGATCTATCTTCGAAGCACGTCTAAAATTAGCTATTTCTAGCATCTCCCTTAAGCCAGAACAAACAAGGAACAACTAGCCATCGGATATACTTTGGAAGGTGTCGTGCGGGAGGGTCAGCTGCTGGCAACACAGTCACGCAGGAAGTCATTAGACAGGCGATCCATGCAAGCCCAATACCAAGACTCTACCATCACCACCAGAGTATAAATCTACAACGTACACTACAGACGATTCCTTTCCTTCTCAACACATCCAACCATCCTGAGACCTCTTCCACTCAGCATGTCTGACCCATATACTCAATCTGCGCCCTTCCAGCCTCCAACAGGCGGGGAGGCTACATACTACGCTCCCCCAGATAGTGTATATCAGAACCCTCCCTACGATTACGATCCACATCACCAGCCTTATGACCAACAGATTCCTTCAAATCACGAGCCCCCACAGGGCTATTCCCAGTACGATTTCACCCAGGCACCGGGGGCTTCTCTGTCTCAGGAGCCACTACCTCCAGTGCCTCCTCCTCAGACGGAGTATCTCAGCCCAGCCTCAGCAGAAGGGCGATTCCCACTGGTCCTCCCTCGTCGAGGAAGTAACTCAGAATATTAGTACGTATTATTCTACTTCTTTCACCTGGATCATATATCCCACTCCAGAGTAGTTATTAATTAACCTCCCTCTAGTGAGCAGTATCCCACGCAACGCTACGAATCCGAGAAACTTCCCCCAAGTCCACAGCCATCTTGCACCTCCCATCGGGATGAAGACATGGAAGGAGGGGACTCGCAGGACCCGGGCAGCGAACGCAGTCTAGGCGGCGCTGTTCTGGGTGGAGCTACCGGGTACTACCTGGGACATAAACAGAGTCACGGGCTGTTGGGGGCTGTGGGTGGTGCGTTGCTGGGGAATTATCTCGGAGATAAGATGAAAGAGGATGGAGAGGAAGATGATCGTCGTCATCATAATCATCATCATGGTCATCGTTATAGACATCACCATGCACATGCACATGCACATGATCATGGACATGGACACCACCACCATCATCACCATCACCATCACCACCGCCGTCATAGTAGCCATTCCAGACATAGTGGCCACAGTGGCAGTTTATGATGTGCCTGATGGTTTACACTGAGAAATTGACGGGTGGTTTTTAGGGCGCTAATTTGGTCTATATTACGATGGTTTATGGTCATGAAGTGATGATAGTTTTATTAAATGGTTTCTCTGATGATTATTTTTGGCGTTTGTTACCTGAATTGCTTCTGTACTTCCATGGTAGTTGTAGAAATGGTACATCTGTTGACTCATTTCAACATGTGAACGAAGTAAACGATAATACCAAACCCCTCCAAACCAATGGAACCTGAAACCAAAGGTGCCAGGCCTGAGCGGGAAGATGGGTTCCCGCTCCCTAACGCCGATTGCAGCACTTTAGGCCCAGACTGTCCAAACATGGGAGTAATCACTGGCATTGATTCCTCCATAGAGGCCTCATCTTTCCTCCCGCTGAGAGACCGGATATAGTGCATTGAAGAGACCATCCTGTAACAGTATCCACGACAAGCCTTCGACACATACACAAGGCACACTGGGTGACGATTATTGAGATGGTTGAACATAGGAGAGGGACAACCGAGTCGGCCACGCCATCTAAAATTTGTTTCCATTTAGGGGCTATGCATCATAATGTATGATCGAGGCACTCGTACCTTATTATCTCAAGCCTTTGTAGTTTCTCCTCGAGATGCTCGAGTAGGTCCGCATCTTGCTCTGGTTTATATGCGATATGCGACTATTGCCACTTGAAACTACCAAACAATTATTACCCGACAATATGACTAATAATAGTGTCAGCCAGAGAGAATGTCACCATGCTTATCCATTAATCTGGTACCGCAATCGGAACCAAGATTGTAACCGCTTCCATGACCAGACAACTGCTTATCCAGATTTGATCCATAACCAACGAAGGTTGTGGAAGTGTCTCTCTAGCTGCAGTGACTGGGGTATCCAAGCAGGTACGACGAACGGGTGCCGTTCCCCCAGATACATGATACAGCCGACAATCGGAGGGGGTGGGTCTGGACCAATCAGGGAGCCAGGACGGGGATGATAGGCTTATCATGCCCATTAATCAGTTATTGAACTTATCGGTCCCGGTGACTTATCGACACGATCATGACTACTCGGCTCGTGACCCAATCCAAGCATGGAGTGTGACTCCTTTCTCTTCTCTGTTAATCACCTCTGTCCTATCCCCACCTCTTTCTCTTCTTTCCTCTATCCTATCTTTCTTCTCGTTCCATTGTCCCCTACTTCTAGAGAGAGAAAGAGTTTCTGTGCCATTACTTTCCCTATTAGATCGTCCTCTCCGGCTGCACACGACTCAGCCGCACTTCGCCCCTCCCACATTGGCTATACATACTAGATCCTCAGGGTGGGAAACACCGTTTCAAAGAATATATCGATAAATATGCCCCCGCCTTTACTAGATCAGATGTTCTATGCATCTCTACCTCAACATTGCGAGCCGTCATCCGCATTCTTGGCCTCTCTGTCTTCGTATCTGCATATTTGCCTGCCTACGCCTCTTGCCCTCGTGTCCTCCGTGCTTGGGACCCTCAGCATCGTTTCATGGCTTTTCGCACAGCTACCCCAAATATACAAAAACTACCAGCTACAGTCGACGTCAGGGTTATCTCTGTTCTTCCTGGTAGAATGGTGTCTGGGCGACACGAGTAACCTCTTGGGTGCCCTGCTCACACGCCAGGCCGGTTGGCAAGTAGTCATTGCCGCATACTACGTATGTGTCGACGTGACCCTCGTCTTCCAATATTTCTGGTACACACATTACAAAGGGCGTGGGGATGATTATTGCCATCTGTCTTACTCTCATCATCATGATGACGAGACTGGGAGCGTCTTAGAAGGAGTGTCTTTCAGTGAGAATAATACCTTTACCTGTGAACCTGCCTCAGCGGCACCGCCCCGGTCCGATACCAAGGACATGACAGATTTGAAGAGCTCGTCCCTTAGTTTGACAGACGGCGAGTCACAGTCTTACTCCAACGAGAAACTGAGGACCTCCCGTCGATCGGTGACCCGAACTAGCCGCGGCCACAGTTTCCTCCCAGCATCGGCCACTCGCACTGTGTTATTAGCGTCAATGCTTTGTGCTGTTGTAGCCAATGCATCTCCGACAGGGTTGGACTCCGAGTCCCCGACCAACGAAAATACAACTGAAATCTTCGGCCGGATCATCTCGTGGATGTCAACGGTGCTCTATCTCGGCTCCCGGCCGCCTCAGCTATACAAAAACTACCGCCGCAAGAGCACATCGGGACTATCACCACTCCTCTTCATGGCTGCATTCGGCGGCAACTTCTTCTACTCCGCGTCTCTTCTGACAAACCCGAACGCTTGGTACGATTTCCCCCCCTATGGAGGGGGCGGATGGGCCGATGCCGATGGCAACAGCCGTCTCGAATGGGTCGGCCTTGCCATTCCTTTCTTCCTCGGCGCATTTGGTGTGCTCGGCCTCGACGGTTTCATGGGCGTTCAATTCCTCATGTATGGATCCGACGACGGAGAATCCATTATAGAAGTGGAAGATCCAAAAGGCGGACGCAGTCACTTGGCCCGCGTCCGTGGCTGGATGAGGGGCTGGATCCCCTCTGTTTCCCCCGAACGGGAAATCACATCGGAAGAACGACGAGCCCTTCTCAACGAAGAGCGAGAAAGATACGGCTCAGTTTGATGATACAATTTTGTCTTCTTTTAGGTTGCGATTGGTACCTGCATCTAGCAGGATTTGAAACGAAATATAATGACCTGATGACTATATCATTCCCTATTGATGGGTTGTCTTTTTTTTTTTTTTTGGATGTTTGGGCTTCCTATCATATTTACTCTTGTACTTGATTTCGGTGATTATCGAATATGTCCCATTGATTGGAAGTGGCCAATCAAGAATTATGCATAGAATAGTGGGCCATTCTCAAGACCACAGTCATGGTAGTGGTATTTGCATATCGGTCACGGGCGTATTGGGTGTTGTATCCTTTTTTTGAGTTATCATTTTTGGATTCCTTCCTCGAGCTACTTCCGTCTCGTTTACAAGGCTATTGCATAGCACTTGCGTTGTTACTTCCGGGGAGAAGATACCTTTATGTGATTTGTTGGTAGATTTAGAGTCGTCCTATACAAGGTGTGGTATATCACTCCGATTAGAATTGGGAACATCACTACCTACCAAGCAAGCAGTTACATAGCCGGGATCCTATGGGTTAAAATTATATTGTTCATGGTAGATTAACCATAACTGGAGTAATAAATATTATAGAAAATCTATATATGCTATAGCGGACGATGTTGGGATTACGTGCTATCTTTTGGTGTATTTAGGAAGAAGTTGCTCTAGAAGTAGTATGTAACATTATCTATTTACTATTTAATATATTAGGCGGGAAATTGCATTGAGGGGGACCTCTCTAGTTTTCCTACTATTTTTTCCAAGAAACTGTAGCAGCAATCACAAGTACCAATCACATCAACTTGTTTAACATTAAGTCAGTGGCAATGATGAGTAAAAAGCTATTTACAGCCAGGCCTTCCCCTCGTCTATCGTTAGTGAGAGCAAGGTTGTTAAGATTGTTTGGGCCCCCATGGCCAGCATAGTGAATAATCGCAATGCTTCGGCCTGTAATGGTAATTGCGCGCCACAGAAGGCTCATAATTCGAGTACTCGACTCGAAAGCTGGTAGTGGTTCATCTGAGGGGATGATGTAGGCCTCTGAGGAAGGAACCCCCAGGAACTGAGCAATTCAAAGGACACCTCGTCACGATCAGCATTTACATCATCATCCTCCCATGTGAAAATGGAAGGAGTAGAAGTTGCGGTACACGAATTCCCTTCTCGATATGGCTGCTTCAAGAGCACTATCGAAGTCATCCTTCGAAACAGTGACCATTTTATTCTAAAGACTTCTTAGTGTTAGAAAACCCATATATATTGAGCATCACTAGAATCTCCTTGTGCGTACTATTAGTGCAGCTTCGACTCACGAGGAGAGAGTGAGTACAGGCGCGAGCTTCTGCTCTACACCTTTCCGAAACGGCGACAGACGGTGGGTGCAGGCGAGATCTTCTGCTCTACGTCTTCTCATCCCATAAAAGAGTGACCAGGAAGATTGTAGAACTCCAATAAATCGGACGGCAAACAGTGGGTACAAGCGAGAGCTCCTGTTCTACGCTTTTCTCTGGAGATGAGGAAGACTGAAGTGCCTAGACAGTTTCTGACAGCCCAAGATAACATAAAGATCAGATGGAATCAATGGCCGAAGATTTTGAGGAGCGAACGTGTTGAAGGATAATTTGTGTAGGTAGGAATGAGATAGGTAAGAGTGAGAGGAGTGAAGGAATAGTTACATAGTATCAGCATTTTGAGCTCGGGGATACTAATAGAATAAAACTGTGATTTAGAAAGACAAAAACAAAGACACAATGCTTGTGTAATATCTATAAAATAAAAAGTCTACGCATAGTACTTGATGGAATGCCTGATACAAAAAAAGCAATTTACAAGATACTAAAGACCTTGTATGGTACAGCCAATGTATAGATTTGTTTTATTTTATATTTTGTTATTCCTACTGTATCTACATTACATCACTTTCCCTCTTGCTTACTCACTGTTTCATTATTCACAGCTGTTGTTTTCCGAGCTGTTAGAGCCTACTATATATTGTATGAATAATATCAGAATTTACCAGGACCTTGCTAATCACCCATAGGCTTATATTTTACTAGAATACATAAGATCTATAGAAAGTGATGTGCCTAGGGAGGTTAAAGATCTTCTGTCGGAGAATGGAAAAGGTAATATAGACTATAGCGTATTTCCCTGCAGATATCTTATAGAAATTTCGGCCGAGGCAGGATTTTAATACCTGTCTATATATCGTATAAGAATTAATAATATGACAGAATGAGAATCAAATTAACAGTCATCTGATTATAAGCATTTTAATAGTTCTGACCACCATGCGCCGTCAGATGGCACTCCGTCCATTCCCACCCTTATCATCAAACTCATTAACATACAATCAGGAGCCTCGGGATTTAAACAGAAAGACCAGCTCTAGTCACAGCGCTCCAGCACTTGGTGGGTCGAATAGCCAACAATAGGTGTCTATCTGCCGATAGCGAGGGCCGGACATCTGGAGTTGAAGAACAAGAAGTGATGGGGAAAAACGAGTCACCGTTGCAATCCGGCTGTACACAACTAGGAGTAGCCGAAACTTGGAGAAGAGAGAATAGACCAATTCGGAGCGACACTCTCATATGCATTGATCTAATGTTCAACGATCCGTGATTGTTTTATTCGAATCGGACCTTTTCTCTCATGATGTGTGTGAAATTAAAATAAAAAGATATAAAATGGCGAAGAAATGGAAAATCAGACACGGCATGACCAGCATCAACCGAGTCCATGAAAAACCGAGTATGAACTCCTTCCAAATATATGCAAAAGCACCGAATGTACTGATAATGTGCTAGTATAGGGGCGACTTGGCATCTTGAACGCCACGCCTGACGACATCTTCAAGCCGCCAGCGGGGAGGGATCATATTGGGGCTCTGCTGGCGATGGGACTCCTTGTCCATCTCCGGAGGCGGGGTCATCTCGTCATTCGCCGGCAGAGCACCACCAGCAACCCCGGTGGAGAATTTGAGCTGCAGGACATTTCCAATTTCGTCGCACGCGGCGAGGATGCGGTCGAGATCTTCCTTCGTATGCGCTGCGGAGACACAGAACCGGGCTCGGGAGGAAACCAGTGGTGTAGCCGGATAGCCAACGACAACGACGGAAATCTTCCGCCTCAGCATCTCGTGGGAGAAGGCAGGCATCTTTGCTGGATTAAAGAGGAGAATGGGTATAATGGGGGAATCATCATGCCCGTACACAATAAAGCCAAGGCGCTTCAGGCCCAGACGAAGATATCGGGAGTTGAAGGCCAAACGCTGCAGTCTCTCTTCACCCTGGCCTGGAATAAGCTCCCCATTGATGATCCGAAGGGCTGAAGAGATCTGCTCTAAGACAGCGGGGCAGGGGGATTCGCCGTAGATGACGCCAGAATTAGTCGAACGGAGTGTGTCAATCATCATCTTGTCGGCAGCAATATATCCACCATTGGCGCCAAAGGATTTTGTGAGCGTGCCCATGAGAATATCGACCTCTTTCGTATCAATACCAAAGTAATCACAGACACCTCGTCCCCTGGGTCCAATGGCCCCGATCGAGTGTGCCTCATCAACAAATAGATGGAACTTGTAGCGTCGCTTCAAGGCAATCAACCCGGGCAAATTACACATCGACCCTTCCATGGAATAGAGGCCCTCCACCACAACCAAGATCTTCTTCCAAGGCCGATGGGTGCGTGGCTGTCCCTGGCTGATGGCCTCTCGGAGTTTGGTTTCTAGATCCTTCATATCATTGTGCTTGAACATGCCGATAGAAGCTCCAGAAAGGCGCGACCCAAAGCGAATAGATGCATGGTTCAGTTCGTCAGAAATGATTAGACAGCCTTTGCTGACCAAAGCTGGAAAGACGTTTGCATTGGTACCGAAACCCATGGAGAAGACCATTGAAGCCTCTTTACCGACGAACCTGGCGATCAGATCCTCAAGTTCCACGTGAAGGTCCTGCGTTCCGGCCTCAGCACGAGTGCTGGGTGCAACGATGCCGTACTTTCTCACAGCCTCTTCGGCGATATCTGCGCACGGGCCTTCCGACTGAGCGAATCCTAGGTAATTGTACGAGCTGAGGTTCAACGTGTCGGTTGTGGTTCCGGTTAAGTAGAAACTCTTGTTGTGGTCATCCGTGCCGCGATCAATCAGTGTGATATATCTTCCGGGGACACCAGTAACCGGACGTTCAAAGCAATCGTTGATCCGCAGCTTCAGACGGCGGACGTAGAAGTTGTCAAAGTCACTGTTGAGTGCACCGTACCCATTGCGAGGTTTCAGATGACGGTAATTTTCCTCGCGGAAACGTTTCCCAAAGAAGTCACGGACGTGCCCAAACGCAATTAAGATGAGGTAACTGATATAGGTGGTGAGAAGGTAGTAGTATGGAGGCTCGTCCATAATGGGCTCGGGAAATTCACCGCCGGGGTGCTGGCTTGAATACCGGTGGCTCGGATGACCGATGGGTCCAAATTGGGCATGCTGCTTCGCCAGTCGGCGGGCTTCCTCGGGCGAAGGAGGCTGAAAGAGCGTGGTCGGTGGCTCGTCCATATTGGGGTTATCCGCGGTCGCGGTAGAGAGAGAGATGGTCGGTAGCGATAGGGAGGCCGAACTGATGGGAGGGGTGGCAGTGGCCCCACTGACTGCCTGTAGAGCCGCTTGAGCAACCGGCGGTTCGGACTTCGACTTGGGAGAGGTCGAGAAGAACTGGGTCAGACGATTGGGTTTCGCGGGAGGCGCTTTGATGGGTATGCTGCTACCCTTTCCAGGGGCAGGAGAAGTGATGGAAGGGTCGCTGGTAGAAGATGAATTGGCAGATCTGCGAGGCATCGCAAGAGTACGGCGCGACAGACAGACAGGTAAGGTCCTCGAGATGGGAGAATCGTGTTACTGAAGTTAGTGATCCGGTCCTCCACTCAATGGCGTTGGATCAACGGGAGTCGGAACGAGGGACAAGGAATGAGACCGCGAAAGTCAGTCACACAGTTACGAGGAGCATAAGGAGTAGGACCAATGTGGTTGAAGCAGCAAATACAAGGTGTGGGTGGTGGGATGGACGAAGAGAGGAAAGAGCGAAGGGAGTGAAGTCGAAGTTGGAAGAGCGCCAGGAGAGACTCCGAGCAATCCGGATGACTGTGGAAAACTGTGCATTTCCCCTTGCGGTCCTTGCCTATTCGGGTATGGCGCCTTACAGTATACTACCTCACTGTACTCCATTAGTAATAACACGGCGTTTTACAGTACTTAGCCAGACTAATAAACAATTAATACCACTTTGTGTGCATACTAAGTATGTGCAGTACTATGTGCACTTGTAGAAAGGGGAAAAGGTACTTCTGTAAAGGGGCCTGCGGACAAGTATCATCTCTTACGCACATCTCAACCAGGATAACACATTAGATACATAAAAAAGTCGACTATTCTCACGCTATTTACTTGATTGCACGGTTATAGTTTGTATTCTGTACTCGACCTTAAACTCGTTCCTTATAAATAGGAGTATTGTATGGAGTTTTACTGGCCTTAAAAAATTCAGATGTCCATCACAAACAAATCAAAAATACAGGAGACAATACTGGTAGAGACTTCGATACCTAGTTATGACAAATTTTTAATTGTATATAGCCACCTGCAGTCTAATAGAAGTGAAACAAAAAACTAGCACTCGGCACCTACAGAGTACATAAATAGGGACAAAAAATAAATATAAAAAGAAAATAAGAAGTTCTCATACTTCCACTCTTTTAAGCCTGAAAGAAGAGAGAATAACCGCTGAATTTTACTAATATACGTACTTAGTTACTACCCTGCCGACATGTAGTAAATGTTCTGTGTACCTCCAAATGTTGACTGATACTTAACACATTGATGGGACACGTAGATACTACATATAGTCCAGTACTCAACCACAGTGACGCAGATCCAAGCGCCTTCCTAATCCTTATGACTGAAAGAAAAGTACTCCGTTTAGACATATTGCATCGCATATTACTTACCCTTTATCTGCTCGGTTTCGTCTTTGGATGCCTCGGTCTTCTTGTGCTATTTGGTAATCCTTTGGTGGGGACCTCTTAAGTGTCTGTTCGCTACCATTCCCGGCCACACTTGCTTATATTGCTCCAAGCCGGTATGTTGACAGAGGCTAACAGTTCTTTCTATGTATATCAAGCATCTTGCAGGCTAGAAGAGTGGGAGAAACATGCATATGTGGTCACTTCTAATTTCCATTTTTCTCTCTTTCAGAGTGAAGAGGTTGAACCGAGAGACGGAGATTTCCATGGATTATTTAGTCATACTAATTACCTCCAGTGCTGGTTAATTAGGGTAGCAGGGATCACATTTATTAGCGGTAATAGTCCCTCTCCTTTCCAGTCTGTCTCTCGCTTAAACCATTCTCTTTCTTTCTGTTGTTGGAACTGAATTCTTATTGTATAGTTTATACTATCTCTAGCTCATATGCCAATGCTACAGTCTAGAAAGTCGTCGTCACTCGAACCTGATACTCTATCACCAGTTGTGTACACCTTCGCCGCCAAACTAGCAAATCCACGAGGCAAACCATCATACATATAGAATAGAACTCCGTCTAGATTCAAGCCTGCACAAACCGGTACACATGCTTGAGGATATCAGGGGCAGAACAACTGTCCACAGTCTATATACATATCCGGCAATGTCCTTAGATCTTAGATATGCCCGGCGAAAAAGTCGACCGACTATGAACGTAACTGATCTGCTGCAAACTACGACTCATCTCTCCCCGGAGTTCCGATCCCAACAGTCCATAAACACTGTGAAAAATTAACATCAGTAAAATAAAATAAACAACCATAAAACAAAAAAGAGACGAACCCAGCCTTTGCCTTAGGCGCCCATTTCCTCGCCAACTCCACCGCCACAAGCAGCATATCCTCCGGCTCCGCAATCGCATCAACCAATCCATCCTGCAAAGCCTCTTTGCCGCTGAATCGGTGTCCCTCGAGAAGCACCTTACGTGCTACCTGCGGATGCAGTTTCAGACGAGGAAGCACACCCACCCCCGGGAAATACATCCCAGGTCCACAGGCGGCATGCACATGAATCCGCGCCGCGAGTTCATGATGCGGTAGTCGTGCGCAAAGGCGAGTGGACAGCCGGCCCCAAAGGTGTGGCCTGTTACGAGGGCGATGGTGGGAAGGGGGAAGTCGAGAATCGTGTGGAGTAACTATCATCCCGGGAATCAATCATGGATTCATCTGTCTGTATGTTTGGATATTTGGGACAGACAGGGTAGAATCCATCTGCATTGGCGTTAGGATTTCGTTCACATTCCTCGAGGTCAAGCCCCTAATATGATTAGTATTTACCATTATGCCCAAAATATTTGTAGTAGGGTATGTATACCGTGCAGAAGAACTTGGAGTCTTGGCCGCGCGTGATAACAGCACCCTCCGAATTGGGCCCTAGAGTCTCACAGATGCTGTTGAAAGCGCGAATTATTTCCTGGCAGAATTGTTGGTCCAGTCGATTTTCAGGGCTTTTCTGCATCGCGATGATGAAAATATTTCCCTGTCGTTCGAGGGCGAGGTTTTGGAATACGGTAGTTATGATGATATTGGATATTATAATGGATAATGTAATAAGTATTATAGATGATAGATATAACAAATGATAGAATAATGCAGGTTAAAGAGTTGGTTGTACTCATAGGTACTGAGTTTACCGATCCCGAGGCACGTCTAACCGACAGCCGCTTACACAGACATACGGATATAAGTACTAGAGCAGTAATTCAAGCATTCAATATAAACATTCTAATCCGTCTGCCGAAAATCCTTCATCTCCTGAGCATCATCCTGATCACTGAACGCTTAATAAGAAGTTCCACCAAGTCAACAATCTGCGACACTAACCCCCTGATACTTGATATTGCGTACTCAAACATTGCCTGCGTCGACTCGAAACTGGATTATAATTAACAGAGGAATATTCACTCTAGTGATTATGTATCAACCTTTCAATGACAATGTATTGTTCTGCTTCCTTCGCCCAGAAATGATACACAATCCTTACACCTGGCACAATGTCTCCGATATCATTTGGTATTTGGAGAGGAATTTTTCTACCTGTATAGCATAATGGGCATGTTAATGATATGTGCACGGCTTCAGTGCTCAGACTAGCCAAGTGGTAGTTATTATACGGCTCAGGCGTGAGACAGACAGCGTACTGCTATCCAAACGGCCTTGCTCTTGAGTTTCTTCAATTCCAGCACCGAAGGTAATTGCAATTCGACCTAGCCCGCCGAGGCCATTCATCATGCGCACGAGACAAACGCACATCAATGCAGCTCCTTGCCTCCCTCCCGTCGGCACGATCAGCGAAAACTGAAAAGACTCTGGTGGCCTGCATCCTTCGACGGGTGATCCCCCTGGGCATGCATCGTCCAATTCAATTTGTCCTAGATCGGGTTCGTGCACCAGCACTGTCGCTATCATTCGAGGACTTGTAGGAAGACGACTGTGATGCAGTGGTCTATACACCCCATGTCAAGTCTGCTCTGAAACGGATTCTCATCTGGCAATGCGAGTTTGCAATTGCCATGACCGACCCGTTCGTGATTGTCTATCCGGGTTCTGATGACTTCTCCCAGGGAAAGATGGTCCGTTCCGGTGACAGCCGTTGGAGAAACTGGAGCAAGTCAGAATTTGTCCCTGTGGTACATTGGCTTCGTGGCTTCGATCGAACATGAGGGTTCCTCCTTACATTGTTCTGTCAGACTCTTTGTCTCCTTGACGTCAGTTTACTACTAGTATGTCTACGTGACCCATATTCTTATCTGAAACTAACATGATCCTCAGAGCTGCGCGTTTGGCCTTATGCAACCATGCCTGCTGTTTATCTGCTAATCTTGAAGCATCGAGCTGCAGTGAAAGACCCTCGAGATGGCCAAATACCTCCCTGTCATCGTGTATGTTCATGTTCCAGTCCCTCCCCCAGGGCATAATCTTCCCTGTTTAACATGGTCGCAACTAGAATGGCACTGACCGTACTCCCGATGATCCTCTGGGGAATAAACGTCGTGTCGAGAACTATCTGATACAGAAAAGCTTAGGAACTGTCTCTATTTCGACAGATAAACTGCCTATAGTCTTCGATTCGGCGTCAAGAGGGTTTCAGAGCTCGTCTGAAGAACCTTTTAATCCATCCAACCGGATATCGTAAACATCACACTCGGTCCGAAGGACGTTCTGATGATATTCTTTTCGGATATATTCGAGAGAGAACCGCAGATTTATAGGATCTGTGCCTCTATCAGGATACTTTACTTTCCGATGATGCCAAGGTCGTGCATGATGACGAGTAGGACTCTTCTATAGTCCAGCAACGATGTCAATATCATCGATCGTCCGATGGGTACGCTCTTTGATCCAAATCTCCGGGTGTCTGATAACGGTATGCCCGGATTCTGGGAAGTGGTCTCCTTTCCTTCCGTGGTGGATTTATCTCCTATCTCTTCCCTACCGGCACAGACGGGGTGAGAGAAGATTGGGAGTCCCACGCGACGTCCTGCGATGTATCTGTATCTGACCAGGGATATGGGGATTCTCCAACCCGGAGAGTGACGGAAGTGTAGGATGCTGTGTAGTTTCTTTACAGCATGCCACTCTTTGGGGAATGAATTTGTATATTTAAAGTGGATATTCTAGATACAGCCCTTAATTAAATTTCTTAAATTTATCACGCTTTTGAAGGGTTGGTTAATAAAAAATAGCGTGCAGCTTCCGGGTAATGTACTAACAAATCTACTAATGCAGTGCACTAACCAATAATAAAACTCATTTCAGCTCTATATCTTAGGATTTGGAATTTAGGTTTGGCTAAGATTTCCTGAGACTGCTATTTTCTATAGAATATTATATAGAGTACTATGACCATGGAATAGTCGTGGACTATATAGTTCTTAGTAAAGGCTTATCATTTGCTCAAAAGCCCTAATCAGTGTATGCCAAGCATTATTTCATTCTGACCTATGGTAAGAAAATTTAGAATTTTCAACACGAAAAAGTATAATAAGAAATTCTGGTGGATAGAATCAAAAGACCCAATAAATCAGAACTATTCATAAATGCTATTGAATACTTCTTTACTTACATTTAGATCCACTCAAATCAATTCAGTGAGATGACAAAAGCACCCGATTGCCCCTGCCTCTATTGTTATTTCCTGTAAAGAGAGTCATTCCACTGCCTAAACAGTCAGGCAGATTCCATACTATAAAATAAAATGTGACGCTACGCTCGGCAATAAGCATCACAACATTTTCTTCAGTTATCAGTGAGATTACCCCTCCTTCATATGCTCTGGGTCAACAAATCATCCCAATCACGTTCTGGCGGGTCTTTTCTCCCCAACCCACAGTTTCTCCGGAAATTTCCGCCCCAGATACGGGTTGCTGAGCGGGTGAGCGGGCCTCTCTTCCGCCTGGCTATCCACGGCGCATTCCCTGATTCTTCTCATATAGACTGCTCAAGGGGATGACTATTCTCTATTCACTCCCTTCGGTCTGCTCGCCCAGTATTTGAACGCGTGATTCGGAATTCTCCAACAAAGGTGTATCTAGCATTGAGTCACTCATAGCCAGTCACTTGTTCGGCACGTATACTGGAGATCCTGTGGGAAGAGGGCCGGCAATCGCAATCATGTCCTTGAATGGTTTGAACGGCACCTCCTCCGGTTCGAAAGAGCTATGGCGTCACTCCTCTCCCACCAATACGCAAATATATGACTTTATGAGGAAAACAAACCAATGTTATGGCACCTCGCTGAATAGCTACAATGATCTCTGGCAGTGGAGTATCTCCGAGCCGGCCAAATTCTGGGAGCATCTGTGGCACTATACCGACATCAAAGCGCATGTCCCATATAGTACGGTATGCTGTCCTACAAACGAATGTATGCCAGGATTTTCTAATGTTATGTAGGTTTTAAACTCGGACAAGCTTCTCTTTCCTAGACCCAACTTCTTTGAGGGATGTAAGCTCAATTTTGCCGAGAATCTGCTCTACCCAGCTGCTGCGCCGGATGAAAATACCGTCGCGATCATCGCCGCTACGGAGGCTGATCGGGAGTATATCTCATGGAAGGAGCTGCGAAATCGTGTCCGAAAGTGCGCCAATGCGCTGAAAGAAGCCGGATTGCAGCCTGGCGATCGAGTGGCAGGATTCTTGGGAAACCATGCAAATACCGTGGTTGCGATGCTAGCGACAACCTCGATAGGCGCTTTCTGGACGGGCGTCTCCCCCGATACCGGCGTGCATGCGGTATTGGAGCGTCTGAGCCAGATAGAGCCGAAGATCCTATTCGCCGATAATGCCTCTCTATACAATGGTAAAGTGCATGGTACAAACGCCAAACTCCGTGAAATTATCCCCGCTCTGCCAAAGCTCGAAAAGTTGGTTATATTCGAGACCATCAAGTCGCACGATTTCAGCCTCGAGGAAGTGTCTCCCATTCAGGGGAACGTGTCTAGCTATGAAGTATTCCTCGCTTCAGCCAGGAACCAGTCAGCGCCCCTTGAATTTGCGAGTCTACCGCCTGAACATCCGGTGTATATCTTGTACTCCTCGGGTACTACCGGGGCGCCGAAGCCCATTGTGCATGGCTCTCTTGGAACGTTGTTGCAGCATAAGAAAGAACACGTGCTTCATTGCGATATACGCCCCGGGGACCGTCTGTTCTATTTCACCACTGTTACTTGGATGATGTGGCACTGGTTGGTCTCCGGTCTTGCGAGCGGTGCGACCATTATTTTGTATGACGGCTCACCATTCCGACCCTTCGACGCGGAAGGGGGGAGCGGAGAGATGGCAATGCCGCGCCTGATTGATGAACTGCAGATAACTCACTTCGGGACCTCGGCGAAATACCTCTCGGTCCTTGAACAGGCATCCCTCAACCCTACGACGCATCCTCACCGACCGGTGACCCTTCGATCGCTGAAGGCCATCTTCAGTACTGGATCTCCCCTGGCGCCTTCCACCTTCGAATACGTCTACTCCTCCATCCATCCCGATATTATGCTGGGCTCCATCACCGGTGGTACCGATATCTTGTCTTTGTTCTGTAGCTGCTGTCCCATTCTTCCCGTCTACAGGGGCGAGATTCAGTGCCGCTCTCTTGCGATGGCTGTTTCTGTGTTTGACTACGCCGGTAACGATATTAGTTCCTCCAATGAGCCCGGCGACCTAGTTTGCACCAAGCCGTTCCCCGCACAGCCAGTCATGTTTTGGCCTCCTGGACCCGTGGGAGCCGAAAAATACCGTAAAAGTTATTTTGACGTCTTCGGATCGGCCATCTGGCATCATGGCGATTTTGTGCGGTTGAACCCCGAAACGGGAGGCGTGATGATGCTGGGTCGCAGTGACGGCGTTCTGAAGCCCGCTGGTGTGCGATTTGGAAGCGCGGAGATCTATAATATCCTCCTGAAGCATTTTGCAGACGAGGTTGAGGATTCTCTCTGTGTGGGACGCAGACGAGAAGGAATAGACACGGACGAAACCGTCGTTCTGTTTGTGAAACTGGGCTCGCAGAATGGATTTTCAAGTATACCGTCTGACCTGGCAGCACGGATCCAGGCGACTATCCGCAAGGAGCTGAGCCCTCGTCATGTCCCTGGTGTTGTAGATGCTTGCCCAGATATCCCCGTCACATCCAATGGCAAGAAGGTTGAGAATGCTGTGAAGCAGATACTGTGCGGACTCAATATTAAGATTGGCGCGAGTGTTGCCAATGCGTCTTGCCTCGATTGGTATCGCACTTGGGCACAAGAACATTCATAGACGTTTAATGTCCATATTTGGACAAAAGAAAAGTGGATACACTGTGAGAACGATTATTAGCCTCATTCTAGATGCCATAGACTGCTTTGTGATTTAGAAGCTGCAGATACCTTCTATTAGTCAATGGGATTCTAGACCTGCTGTAGAAGAACACCTTCTTTTGCCACCGTTGAGTAATCGACTCTGATTTCTGGATTTCTGGGAGATATTCTCTCCTATTTCCTTTTAATTTGAATTTTCTGCAAAATATGCCATCGCCCTCAATGTGTCAAGATGCTAACTGGTGATTGCTGGTGCCTGATTAGATAAGCATCTCCGAATCTCCGCCAAATCCTTGCAACCAAAACCTTCGAGCAACGGCTTCAAGAAGCCCGACGGGGAAGACCAATTCGATCGAGGTGCAACCCCAACAGTCCATCTGCTGATCATGACGATGCGTCGCTCCGTGTTGCGGGCCGTGGAGTCTGCAAAGCCACTTGCCCGCGTACCTCGTTCAGTCTCCAGAGGCTTTTCTACCGCCAACGAAGCCACTGCCAAGGTAAAAATTTCCCAGACCTTCCTCCCAAATATCCATGATATCGTGTTTGATTCTGATCTGACGACTGCTTTGTTCTCTACAGGACCCTGTAGAGCTAGACCAGATTACCACGCTGTCAAATGGTATCCGTGTCGCGACCGAATCCCTGCCAGGCCCGTTTTCCGGCGTTGGCGTCTACGTCGATGCTGGCTCTCGATATGAGGATGATAGTTTACGGGGTGTAAGTCACATTATGGATCGATTGGCTTTTAAATCTACAAAGTCTCGCTCCAGTGACGACATGCTGGAGACCCTCGAGAACTTGGGAGGTAATATCCAGTGCGCCTCGTCTCGAGAGTCGTTGATGTACCAGTCCGCCAGCTTTAACTCGGCAGTCCCTACGACTCTCAGCCTCTTGGCGGAAACGATCCGTGATCCGCTCATCACAGAGGAGGAGGTCCATCAACAGTTGGCCACGGCGGAATACGAAATCGGCGAGATTTGGGCGAAACCGGAGCTCATCCTACCTGAGTTGGTTCATACAGCTGCTTACAAGAATAACACGTTGGGCAACCCTTTACTATGTCCGGCGGAGAGATTGGGGGAGATTAATAAGGCTGTGGTGGAAAAATACCGAGAGACTTTCTTCAACCCCGAGCGCATGGTCGTTGCGTTTGCTGGTGTGCCGCATGTGTTGGCTGTCCAGCTCACGGAGAAGCTGTTCGGTGATATGAAGAGCAAAGGGTTGAATAAAGGTCCTGCTTTGTCAGGTGCCGGTGTCGACACGACCCTTGCAAACTCGAACGCGACCGTCTCTGAGGGACTGATGCCGGCCTCACAGAAGGCGCAGTCTGGTCTTCTCTCCAAGTTACCGTTCTTAAAGAACCTCTCAGGTTCCAATGAAGCTGTGACACCAACGGATCCCGCATTCTCGTCTTTGGACTTGTCACGCCCTTCTCACTACACCGGTGGCTTCCTTTCTCTTCCACCGATTCCTCCGCCCGCGAACCCCATGCTTCCCCGGCTGAGCTATATTCACCTCGCTTTCGAGGCCCTGCCTATTTCGAATCCCGATATCTATGCCCTTGCAACTCTCCAGACACTTCTCGGAGGGGGTGGGTCCTTCTCCGCTGGCGGTCCGGGCAAGGGAATGTATTCCCGCCTCTACACAAACGTCCTCAACCAACATGGGTGGGTTGAGAGTTGCATTGCATTCAACCATAGCTACACCGATAGCGGTATTTTCGGAATCTCCGCATCATGCAGCCCGACCCGGACAACCGAGATGCTGGAGGTGATGTGTCGTGAGCTGCAATCACTGACGATCGATACGGGATTCACAGCCTTGCAGCCGCAGGAGGTTAACCGCGCGAAGAATCAGCTCCGCTCTTCGCTACTCATGAACCTGGAGTCGCGTATGGTTGAGCTGGAAGACCTCGGTCGTCAGGTCCAAGTGCACGGCCGTAAGGTCGGAGTGAAGGAGATGTGCGAACGTATCGAAGCACTGACCGTGGAGGATCTGCGACGCGTTGCGCGACAAGTCTTTGGCGGCAATGTCCAGAACAAGGGACAGGGTACCGGTAAACCCACTGTGGTGCTGCAGGAGGGCGAGCTGGAAGGATATAAGCTTCGTTCATTCCCGTGGGAGGAGATCCAGGAACGGATCGCACGATGGAAACTGGGACGGAGGTAAATATTCGATTCACCGGTGTCGGCGGCAGTTAGAAAGCATTATCTTTTGATGAAGTGTATGCTATAGAATTGTAGGACGGGTGGCCTGAAATTTCTTCACTCTGTGTAATTAGGAGGATAGGTTTCATTAGATGTACTATATCTCGAAGACCAAGTATATAAATAGTAGATATTTGGTACGGAGTTGATAGAGTATTCGGGTGAAGCTCCTTGCCGCTTTAGGCTCCCGGGAAAAAGTTGGAACGAACTTCGAATCCGCCATCCACCATCCTCCGTCACTTTCTCTCACCTTCATCTTCCATCCACGACCTTTGCCGCACGACCCATTTCCCGCCGGTCTTCACGTCCTTTAAATTTCACGTCACAATGGTCAAGCTCACCGAAGTCGAGGATGAGCACTTTGCTCAGGAAAAGCCCCAATCCAGCAAGCACAATGTCCTTTTGGCCGAGGACGACGAGGACGACTACACTGATACCGGTTAGTACTCTGGCATTTTGCATCGAATGAATTGTCCCAGAGCAATCGATCATCATTATTGCAGGCGACTCAGGCTCAACCCTGTCCCTTCGCGATATTTCTTTCATTTCAACCCACCCAACACCGACCACCAAGCTATATCCAGCATGGCGAAAAAAATCTAACACTAATTCTAAACTGCAGAGTCCGAAATTTCGAACGATTCCGACCTTGACGAATTCGAGAGCGAGGGCCTGTACGAACGTTTGTCGGCCTTGAAAGATATGATTCCCCCTTCTACCCGTCGCCACGTCTCCAGTACTGTTTCCTCCGTTACCTCGTTTACAAAGTCCAGCATTGCCTTCAGCGGCAAGGCGTTGTGGATCATCAGCACCAGCGCTTTCCTTCTGGGTGTTCCATGGGCCCTTGCCTATGCCGAGGAGGAGCAGTATATCCAGATGGAGCGTGAGCAGGGTATGATTAAGGGTGCCAACGAGGTATGTGAATAGACGGCGTTTTCTTTTATTTGCATAGCGTTGGTGTTTTGGGTTCTACCTATTTTATTGCCATTGTTTTCTGTTGTTTTTGATCTCCCGTCCGGTGAATCGCGCAGATGTGAAAATTCTTCCGTCATCCGGATTGCACGCCAAGAAGCTGAAAATGCGTCGCTTTGCCTTCCACTTGCCTTACTTCCATTGGTTTTTTTTTTTTTTTTTTTTTTTTTTTTTTTTTTTTTTTTTTTTTTTTTTTTTATTTCAATCAGGTGAATTGTGACGTAGTACTGATAAATGTTTTTGCAGATGCTCACGCCAGGTGCTTCTTCGGATGAGAAGACGGCTCAACCTTCCTTGTAAATAAATCCTACCGCCAAAGGTGAAGACCACAACAGGTGGAAAGAATCAACCATGACAATGACCATTACCTTGTCTCTGTCCGAAGCTTGCTGTTTCGTGATATACCGTACATGACCGTCTGCCTGGGGCGGAAATCAATGTCGGCTCTGTAGTACGGAATAAATTGTGGTTCACCAAACAAAAAAACATTATACGACCATGACCATGATAAAATGTGTGCATTTCTGGGTTGGAACACAAAATGGATGTACAAGAAACATGGGTGGGATTTTACTTTAAGGTGATATCAGAGGTTCAGTTCTGATGGTTATGGACGTGGTATTCGTCCACCTGTTAATTTCGGAGCCTTTGGTCTCTTCGACTATTTTTTCTTCCCTCATGCCTTTTGGTCTGGAGTGCTGGATCTCGGGCATTGGCTGTATCTGTATTTGTATAACTGGGTTTATATTTCATTTGCTTTTCTTTTTTGTCCTGGTTCGTTTCGTCATGTCCATTGCTACTTTGATCGACTCCTTTTCTAGATAATGGAATATGAACGTGAATTATTCTAGTGTAGCTACATATTCCTATCCTGAGTGCTCTATTAACCACTGTTGTTATTCATGGCCATCTACATTCAAATGTAGAGGCTATGGTTCATTTTATGGCTAAATGGGAAACTTTGGAGACGTTGAGACTGTGGAAGCATTGAATGTGTTTTGTACGGGTTGTGTTTGGAAAGATTTGAAGTTGGGTCTTGTAGATATGTGTTGCAAATAGTTCAAAGGAGCTAGGTATGTTATTCACATAGTCCCCCTAGCTAACAGGTATGTGCAAAAAACGTCTGAAATATGAACATGAAACAAATGAGATGGGTATCACAAAAAAGATTCAATAGGTTATCCGAGTGTCTAGAGAACGTCAGTATTGGCACCAGATCATCGAAAGTAGTAGACCTACCGTGGATTCTCTGGCTGTTCTCAATGTCACATGGAAGTCATGCCAGAGTTTCTTGACTTCGCCGGTTTCAATCATCGTACCTACTGCCTCGGCGGCATATTTCTCCTTCCGTCTCTGGCGCCAGTGGCTGCGTTCAAGGATATTTTCATCAGACAAATAGCCCATGCGCTGAAGGTGGTCGACGACCCATTCATTGAGATGGAATCGCCAGTGTGTTAGCGTGTGGGCCATTGTAGCTTTATTCTTGCAATGTCTAAAGACAGATCAATAATGCAATTCATGCAGAAGCACTGACGGTAGGATTTCATACCTTCCTAGGTAGTATCTTATATCTTCATCAGGCAAAATATGGCCATCCCGATCCCTTTCGAGGTCATCCTCTGCTGATTGCTCCTCATCACTATCTTCGTTTGCAAGCGGCTCAAGAGTTTCGAATGAATAGGGTTTTCCGTAAATTTTTATATCGAACGATGCCGGGTGGCCAGATCGATTGCATGCATCACATGGATGATTCTCGGCTGTAGGATAGGCTGTTTCCTCTACATACGGACGTGCCAGGAGTGCCCTGCGGAAATTGGTATTCCATACCGAGGAAAGGAGTTGAGATCCGGTGCGCCCCTGAACTTCGACTTCCAACTTTTCGAAAGCGACTCTGTATATGGGACTCGACCGAGGAAACGAAGGATTGAGCTGGTTGAATACCATCCACTCCACAGCATCCTGGAAATAATCCTTGAGCTGTTTATACGAATGCCGAGAAAATTCAATAGGCATGTCTTCCATACCCACGGGCACGCCAAGTCTGTCGTTTTCGTCTTCGAGCACAAAGTCCTTTTCATAACGATCCAAATCCTCATCACTTGCAATGCTAGACTCAACGTCACTTTCCTCCCTCATTAAATGGAATCGGGGCTGTTTGATGGCACTTTCACCGTCGCTATCCGCTTCATCAGAACTCTCCTCTGCGGATTCTAACTGGGCAGACTCTGACCCCGATTGTACATCATCATCTTCGTCTTGTTTCTCTTTGGCCCTACGACGACGCAATCTATCCAAATGTATTTGTCGCTGGGCCCGGGCCGAATTCGCTAGCCGTCCTCGAGTCCGCGTTTCCCTGACCACTTCGAAAAGTTAGTCATATAAACATAGTGGCTTTAGAGAGAATACCAGACATACCGGAGTCTTGAAGATCTTGAAGATCTTCCTGGAGATCAAGTTCATCTTGATCTAAATTTCGCCGCGGAGTTTGAGGTATCACGGGACTTGTTTTGTGACGTAGTCGTTTTACAGGAGATGAGGGGATTGGACTTTCCGACTCTTCTGAGCTATCGTCGAGAACTATAGTCTTTGGAGGGGCTGTTCCTCTTCTCAATTTCCTACGAGGTCGCGATATAACGTCTTCTTCGTCACTTTCCTCTGAGGCAGCGGGGGCTGAGATCTCTGGGGACGGATGATTTGATTCATCTGGATTAGGCGATCTTTTCCGTTTCAAAGCTCGACGTGTCGCATTCTTGCGCACACTAGATTGAATATCCATCTCGCTTTCGCTACTCTCATCGGCCACAGCTGCAATCTCTTGATTTAGGGTTTCGGGAGTTGGCGGAGGCGGAGAGGTGCCTGTTTATGGTCGACGAGTTAGCAACTGACAGCACAAAGTATAGCGTGGCATACATACGATTCTTCTTCTTCTTTTCCATTTTATCTTTCTTACTCTTCTTCTTCCCTGTGTTCTCTTCCTTCTTTCTTTTCCTGTCCTTATCCTTCTTCTCTTCTTTCTTGCGCCGGGATTTTCGAGAGGTGTCTTTCAGCTCTGCAGACAAAGTATTCTCCTCCAGTGCGGACTTGGTCACCACGAAGGGCTTAAGTGATGTTTCCCTGTCTGCTGCTCTGCCAGATTTAGGTTGAGTAGTCCGGGTTGGCTTTGAGGGGTGCCCATAACGTAGGGTAGCTTGATGCCGCATCTCCTCGTCCAGTTCCAGATCGTTGTCATCGGACGGCAAGGCTATCGGAGCGAAGGATAGTCGGGTTTGTTTCGCTTTGCCATATGTGCGCGGCATCTGCAGTACAGTTTGTATGACCAGTTGTATTGATATGTGGGATACTGTCCGTTTGAAAGGAGAATGTGAGGGGTTTGGAAGGACGCGGTAAAGATCGGATCGCGATAAGATCGCGTTGCTGGTGTCACGAGAGCACGTGATACCTATGTACTTTCTGAGCGGAAAGTGAGCTGAAAATGAACTGCCAGTTAATTAAAGATAGTACTTACCGGAAGAATGAGTGGTCTGTTATATTTGCCTACGGTGATGTTACAAGTCACTGTAATATACTTAATGTTACCTTGAATTGGATGTAGTATTCTCTTCCTTATTGTCCCACTGCAGTGGTTTGTATAATGAGTGGATAGCATTAGATGAAAGAATAAAGTCAAGTGAAGTATATCTTAATTACTGAATAATTTCTATTACTGAGCTCAAAGCACTCTACATTATAGGTCACTAATAGTTCACTTCTACCAGTAAGACAAGAAGAGACTTATCAAAAGTAATGGTCTTTACTGTATGGTATAGTATATTGTATAGTGGATGTAGACTAGTTTATGATTTGATATCAGCTGAGTATTGGAAATTAGAAAGAAGAGCCAGTGTTGGTGTAAAAGATACCCCAGCACTGAGAAGAGAAAGTAGGGTTATTAGAAGAGACCCCCACCTTTTATATTATGCATGGAGATTTACCCATAGTATTTCTATGTATGCTCGTGCAGTTAAGGGATATAGGCAAGAATTTTATATATCATTATGCTATCAGATCCGTAAGACAATAATCTAGTAGTTCTGTTTCGTGAGACCAAGTACACCGACCCAGGCCTCCCCTTACGAATCAAGTGCTATCGCGAAGGTTACAGTGAGCATAGTCACCCTACAAGCCCTGAGAGACGTAACCATATCGCGGATAAGGTATAGAGCAGCAACCTCAGGTAGCAGGCAATAGGAAGAAGAGGAAGGAGTGAAAGGCGACAAGCGAATGCCGCGCTCAGAGACTTAGATCCAAATATCCAAGCTACCATTCTAAAGGACGACCATAACCAAAAAGACAATTAGAGGAAGAGGGTTTGACATGAGGTGTATGCTAGTCGTCAGGTGCGAAGATATTTACAGACGGATCATTTGTTAGAGCACTAATGTCTCTTAGGTAAGGTCCTGAGAGGACGTCCTTCTGAACCTCCTTGAGATTAAACTCTCAACTTCACCAAGTTTCATCAACACCTTTTTAATGAGATCAGGAGCAGCAAATTCGACTTGTCTGCCCGGCCTTGTATGTTATTGAACCATTGCGCACAAGCTGTTCTGCTAGTGCCGTGATATAAAACGTCGCTAACTTCGTGGTATGGACTGAATTGTATCATATTCCAAAGGACTACCAAATACGCAGATTAAGAGAACGGAAAAAAGACAGATTCAGAGAGCAGTACTGGAAGAGGGCCTCAAGATCAGCTGAAGGACTACGTCTAGCCTTAATAATCGTCTTTATATCTTCAGTATATACCTCCATCATGCGATCTGTCTCTAGCCAGCTATCAGGTCGTCCACGAAAGTTGACAAGACTATTTGCCAATATCGATCACTGAAGTACTGGACGCGCCAGAGGATAGCAGTCATTGAAAGTATAATATTTCGTATGCATATCTGTGTTGACCAGTACCGTGAAATAGAATGCAAGAACGCGCAACGACTCTTTGAATGAGAGCAAGGTCGGCATGCTTGACAGCATACTTCAGGACAAGGTATGCCTGCGTATGTTGGAGAAACAAGATAAGGTTACAAAGTTCTTGGTTGTCTAGGAAACAAGCCTCTTTACTGAAATAGTCTTGCTGGAGTTGTGCAACAAACGACAATGAAGTCTTCATTGTTTGCGAGTAATTACCACTTCAATGTCTTCGCACGTCTTACTAGGATTGCCAGCTTGATTACTGTATGGATTAAGCATTTGAATTAGTGTCGTATAGTTACCGAGACCCGTACGGGTTAGCTTTTGCTAACGTAATGCCATAATGCCTGGAAGCTATGCATGACAAGCTCCAAAAGTTAGAATAAGGGTCTCGTACTAAAATGGCCTCAGATTGTAGCCTCCATGGTGTGGGGAGCATTAAAACCTGGGGGGCCGACCGACATGGTCTTATATCATACTGACATCAATGAAGACGTAACCAAAACGGGCCATTTGTTCCCTACCAATGATTGCTGGACTACATATTATTGTATATGCCAAAATAAAAATATATATCACATTCCATCACAGGAATCATAGAGTCTATATATTATTTATGCAACAGTTTTGGAAGAGTCAGTAGACATTGGTTGCTAAATATGTGGCATGCAAACATAGCACTTCTCACTTGTTACATCCTGTCCATGACCTTTCTTGCAGTTCATGCAATTCATACTGAAGGTAGCAAAAATCAATCAGCTGAAGATGAATATGATTTTATCATCTGTGGAGGTAGTACTCATTTCTATTTCTATGCATGCCAAACTGACCAATATCTAGGGGGCACAGCAGGCTTGGTTTTGGCCAATCGCCTATCAGAGTCTGGAAACCAACGAATCCTTGTTCTGGAAGCAGGACCGGAGCCGTCTGTTGTAGCTGCATATGAAGCACCGGGCGGTAATCAATTTTTAGGTGGTACGTTAAAACACCCTCATGATTAAGCCTTAATTGCTAACTAGAAAATTAAGGAACTGCAATTGATTGGAACTTTTTCACAGTACCGCAGGAGAAAATGGACGGACGCATTCTGCCATATCACCGTATGCCTTCATGCCTTCCCCTTTCTTTATTATGAACATTAGAGAACCCATGATTCAGTCGCCATACCTTTCCTCCTCTCCTTTCCTCTTTTTTCTTTTTCTTTTTCTTGTCTTTTGCCCTTTCAGTACCACTGAAAGTAAACCAGGTGGAAAAGCCCTTGGTGGAAGCAGCGTCACGAATGGCTTATATTATGCGCGGGGTAGTGCCAGTATCTATGACCGTTGGGTTACACTTGGAAATCCAGGATGGGGTTGGACAGATATATACCCTTTCTTCGTCAAGGAAAGTCATGCATATAGGCTAGCACTCAAGGTTTCTAACTCAAAGTAGAGTACTCACTTTAATCCACCAAGACCAGAGAGTCCAGTTGATCAAAGTTTCCAAACCTGGGATCCCGGCGCCTATTCAGACGGACCTCTGGAGATCGGATTCCAGGGATTCGTACCAGAAACAAGTGTAGCCTTCATTCGTGCCTGTGAAGCGGCAAACATACCCATCGTTAATGAATTGAATACCGGAAATGGCACCGGAATCAGGCAAGGAACAGCCAGTCTGGATAACAGATATAGACGCAGCTCAAGTTACGATGGCTTCTATAAAAAGGCCGCAAATCGCTCGAATCTCAATGTCATCTACTATGCAAGTGTCACAAAGATTGTTATAGATGATGCCATTGCGAGAGGGGTAATTTACATTGATCAGAGGACGAGCTTGATTCGTTCTGTTACGGCAAGAAAAGAAGTTATAGTCAGCATGGGCGCTGTCCACTCACCTCAGCTATTGATAGTATCTGTATTGTTAACCAAATTCCTTGGTATGTACGGTTTCTAACCGGGCCCAGGGCATAGGTCCTTCCGCAGAGATGGCAAAATTTGGAATTGACCCCGTGGTAGTCAATGAAAATGTTGGGCAGCAGTGAGTGAATACGTAAAATTTACACTCAAAGAGACCTTGATGCTGACTCCTTGACTCAGCCTAAATGATCACTCTGTCTTTAGTATAATGGCAACTGTCCAGCCGCAATACTCAACATCGCAGATGACGTCCGTATTCTCAACACTTGCAGAGGCGCAGGCTCAATTTTACAGCAACCTTACTGGCCCCTACGCAGCACCATCTGGAATCACCAACGGGTTTCAAAAGCTATCCGAAAATGAACTTGCGTCCATAGGCGCCTACGACGTGATTGAACAGGGTCTACAGAATCAATCACATGTGGAGTACCTGTATGAATCGATCTTCTATCCTAGCGGACCAACACCATTTCATACGCCCCAGACTAGCAGATCTTACATTTCGTTGACCGCATCTAGCCTTGTAGCTTTATCCCGAGGTAATGTAGCTCTAAAATCAAGCTCAATGAGTGACCCTCCGGATATTAATCCAAATGTACGTGTACAGTTCCCCACTGGTCAAATTTAACTGATAAAGAGTCAAAGTATTATAGCCATGAAGCTGATCGCATAATTGCGATTGAATCATTTAAATATTTACGAAAGATATTAGCTCACCCAGAGCTCGCTCGATTCACTGTTGGCCCTAATAACGGAGAAGTTAGTCCGGGGCCTTCGGTTGATGATGCAGACGACGAGGCCATCTTTAAGTATATCAAAGCAAATACTATTCCAAATTGGCACGCCTCTGGAACTAATCGAATGCTGCCATTTGAGGATGGTGGTGTAGTTGATCCGAGATTACGACTTTACAATACTTCTCGCCTGAGGGTAATTGATTGTAGTATCATTCCTCACTTACCCGACGTAAACATCCAAGGTCCTGTTTTTATGATAGGAGAGAAAGGGGCACATATGATCAGGGAAGATTGGGGGGACTTATGAACTAGGGCGGACGGCGGACTAGTTAAATTTATTGTAAATCCGAGAAAGATTGTTTTTTATTCTCATTTGAAAACTCGGTTTATGTACAAGTGGAAAATCAGATTGCTTCCTAATGAATCTAATTCTAGAATCTATTCCCCCTATGAAGGTCTTCTGTCCGGTCAATTGAGCCTCGATTTGCAACATTTTAATATCCACAATGGAGGCTGCATCGGATATATAGGCATCAAATTCTTCACGTCATCCCCACTCCAAGGTTAGCAGGTTTAGCAACTATGTTTCGAGGGTCTCGGTGTCTCAGGCGACCAAGGGATTTACCGAATGCTTTAACAGAATTTGGATTTAAGCCGGACAGCATTGGAGACGGCATGCCAGAGATGGCATGCTACTCCCTGTCCTGCCTCAAGCAGATATGGTTCTCATTCTGTCCCGACTCGCGATATGACGAAACACAGTTGCGTCAGACACAGTAGGTCATGAGAATCGGCAAATACGTGAAAAATAGGGGCAAATAACCAGAATATTCAATAGTATTTCGAGATCACAAAAAGCTTCTTTAAACTTGTATATATCACAGAACCTTGTATCGAGCTGTCAAGTTTTATACCCTGGACCAATTTCTTCCCCCTCTTCTCTCCGCAGGTTGTTTGTATGGTACGTTATTCAAAGACCAATAAGAGGTCCCTCTGCCACTGTCTCGTCTGTGCGATTGTCAGAGGGCCATACCAGCTGTCAAGCTGCTCTAGCGACTACTCCGCAGGCTTTTGCAGCTGAAACTTGTATATGCAGGCCGAGTATTCAACAAACGGGTTACAGTCTTGTCCGCTGTATTTTGAGAACTGATACTAGCATTCGATTGGAGAAACCGTAGCTCTTGCAGATTTAGCTCGTTCTGTACCAAGACACTGATATAGTACTCCACTTCCTTTCGATTGCCACAGGCCAACGATCGAGTGTATCTGGAATGGGTGGGCTGCGGATGCCCAGCGATCTCCAGCTGACGGTCGAAATGACGGTACTCAGACCGGCCTGTGAACCCTGGCTGGGGTCCCTCGGCTAATTCGGCAGCATCGAAGAGTCCGAATTGGAAGCTGAGATTGTCTTTTCCCAGCGCTTTGTGCTAGATCTCTGGGGGATTGTCGTAAGTGGATTCAACTTTATGTTGATACGAATCGGCGCGGTCCGTTTCAATGATGCTGTTCTTGTTAATAGCTGGCATTGTTTCGCGGTAGAATGGGGGTTCCCATGTATAGATGTTCTGACTGGGATATTTGACGGCATTCTTTGTTTTTTATTTTTTTATTTTTTTTAAAAAAAAATTGACTAGGTATCTGGTCGAGAAGAGAGAGCCTTCATATACGCAAGGTTTAAAACTCCAAAAAACCAACACTCCGGGGCCATCTCTCCGGTTCAGCCGTGTGACAATCTGCGCACTCTGTCCCCGATCTTAATTTCTATCACGCTATTTTTGAAAGTACTCTGCAGCTACCATCCCATGGTTGCCCTGATCTTGTGGATAGGAAGTTAAGTTTATTGATTGCCATGCATTTCAAATCCGTTGTCTCACCAACTCGGTAATGAAAACCAATTGATACATCTCTCGAATAATCTACTGAGCCCTTCAGATGAGTCACTCAAGTACAATACAGCCCCATTAGCTCAGAGCAGTCAGCAGAAATAGGCCATCATAGAATGGGGTTGAATTACCCATATCGCTCTGATTGGTCATGAGGCTAAATACAGCCCTAGTAAGCTTTCTTTTTCCTCGCGTGACCATCCAGTCGGCTCATTTTATAGCCCAGATATAATTTAGCTGCTAACCACTGCAGGAGTTGCAGGAAGCTGGTCCCCTACTGGCGATTGGTTTCTAGTTTCATTGTCGAGGGCAGAAAAACCCCCACAGAGTATACAACCGCCGATTCAACAGACAATGATACAACACTAGCACTACTTGATGTTACATTACAGCGTTCCGAGCCGGCTAGGACCCTATGAATGTTGCGTACAGAGCGCGGGGCGGGCTGTTTTCAAGATAGCTAAACTAGACAGAGCCCTGTGCTACTGGTTTAGCCACGTATGAAAAAAAATTGTGAAGGCTTTTTGAATGGGAACGGGCAATGGCAGCTCGTCCGAGGCCTTAACTAATAAAACTCCCAACTTCGTTACATGGAATCACTTTCGGCGTGTCACATTCAGATAACTGGAATCGAGGCAACCCGTGGAGAGGAAATGAGCTTTGAATGGAAGTATTGGTATCTCTCAGCATCTCTGGTCCACAGAGGAAAACAAGGCCCTTGTATATGTAACATATTTAACTGTTCTTTCTGCTATGGTTTCCAGAGACTCGCGCAAAATATTAGCATTTCTATACAATTATGCAGCCAAACATATTTATTCCTACTTGTACCAGTCATAATATGAAATTGTATGATTGAGCCGAATCAAAGTCAACACAGAGCACTCTACTGTACTGTCTTGCCCCTGTAAAAGTACCATCATATTCCGGGGCATCGGATCTCCGTCGAGAACGTTTGTGTTGTGAATTATGTCGAGAATTAGGTGGAGCCTGGCCAGACGTTCTTCTGAAAAAGGTTGATAGATCTACCTGATTCCGTCTATACATGAGCCACTAGGTTTGGTTGCAGTCAAGTTCTGCGGTAGGGGTGCTCTGGGAATCAGTTCTCGCATTGGAGGTCCAGGTCAGATGCCCGATTGGTGGCATATTGTGGAATCCGAACCAACCCACTTGGTCAGCTAGATATGTGAAACAGCAACTAACTTGTACGTTATCGTGGTGACTTACTGTGTCTCTTGTATCTGTCGGAGGTTCATTTTCAGCCTCTTCCCGTCAGTGATCATCCTCACCCTCCCCTGGTACATATACCCCATGGCATTCCTCATTATTGGCGTGTCACCATCTGGACTTACACCTCTCAGTCGAGCATGGGCCCAGAACGTGTCTATTCCGCCGCGTCGTCTAGTGGTTCGTTATTCTTCGCCCTCAACTTTGGAGGCCAGGGCGCCTTCCATATAAAGGATTGGATGTCCCATGCTAGTCTCGTCTAGGGAACTCAGCGGATCTACACTGTCGCGCTGTGGTATTGGAGTTCAAAAGTCACCATAGCTGAAGTTGGAGGCGTATCCACCGCTATATTGAGTTCGTGGAGAGTCGCAGCCTTGGTGATGCTCATTGCCACAGTATGCTCTGCCATCGGCGTCCTTGTTGCCCTGAGTCTGGCAGGTACCACCGCCAATCTCCCGGTAGGTCTTCTTCTATAGACCCCTTGCACGTCGACGTATCGTCCCCTGCTTCTTCGTGGTTGTTGTTCAGAACTGTTTCCACGCTGCAGTGATATTTTTCTTCATCGTACCATTTTCTTGCAGTTGCATTTCATAGGCAGGCATATTATGTGAAGGGATGATTATTGGACGAAGTAAAGTCTTGTATGATCACGTCAAGCAAGGCTGCTTTGGAGATATGAATTGCTAGATTATGCATCGATCAGTTTTACATCTAACCAGAATACAGTACATTTATTCCGCTAAACGGCCTGCTGATTCCAGAAACACCCTCTCTAAGGTCTCAGTATGCAGAGAGACAGTGTCATGATCCGACCCAAGGACAGTTCTGGTCTCGAAATCCAGTACATCAAGGAACTCGCCATTAACTTTTCCCTTCCAACACTCCTCGACATATAGCTGTCCCCTCTTCCCAATCATAGCATCACTCTCTGCAAAGTACGCCCGCACCACTAACTTCCCCCTCACACTCTCCCTGATGCATCTGCCTCCCCGCCTTTCTAACTCAACCAACTCTCTCACAAACTCCCTGTAATCCTCACACTTCCCCCATGAACCTGGTGGCCCTTTCTGTAAACATTGCAGAGCTTCTAAATTTGCTCCTTCAGTGCTCTCCTCAAATAAAAACTGATATATTAATGGTTCCAACTCCGTCTGCACGGAATATTCCAACCCGTGCTTTTCTTCTATTCGACGTCGATTCTTCTCTACCCACGACTCACTACGAAATATTTCGCTAGATACTAGTCCCGACACCTTGGCAATCACAGCCCCGCTGGACGCCATTACCGGCGCGGCCTTAAGGAGCATGAATCGTGGAACCCGGTTCCATACGCTGAATGCCTTGGCAGGTAGGAACTGTGCTAGTTGCATGGATATGACGTGCGAATGGGATGGGTTGACCCAAGGAGCTAATAGTTGGATTTTCCATTGGTAGTCTTAGTCGTCATCGCTGAAAATTAAAAGAGAGAGACATACCAAAGAGAGCAACATATGGTCGTTTGGGATGCAGTACTCCCCGACAATAATATAGTGTGTTTAGCAAATAAATTGTCCCCGAACTATGAGATACCAACGCGACGTGATCAATATGAAGATGGTCCAGTAGTCGAGGAACTAAATCCAACCAGGCAGAGACTCTTTTTTCAATAGGCACGTTGGTGGAGTTGCCCATTCCAAAGCTACACTATATCAGAATTAATCCTTAATACTATCTATGTGGGAAGAGAATACCGATCAACAAGAAGGACGCGCACTCCCAGATTCTCTGCAATCGCATGCATCGGAATAGCGAGATATCGAGACGCGAACATCCCCGGCATGAATAATATGGTGGTGTCGCCGGCGCGCCCGATGTCCGCGTATGTGATAGTGAGATCGCCATAGTGAAAACGGCGGTGGAAGCGCATATGGGAGATGTAACGTAGGGCTTTAGAATAGGGGGTGTTAAGATCGGACATGATATTTTACTTTTTTTGGTATTTATTTATTAATTAATGGATCATGGATGAGGCCCAGCATTAATAGTGTCGAACAGGTCGATAGATTTATATGTGTAATTCTATAAGAGCTCCAATATCCTCTGTGTTCATTGTTGTCTTGACTCCTCTTCTTTGGATCAGCCACGTCACTTGACTATTTCACATGATGTCCCAATATAGACTAGCTTTATTCTGACAATAGACTGAAACATTATCAACCTGACAAACACTGCGGATTGATAGGGTGGCCCGCCAGACAGTAGTGACCTTTTGCTGCAAACCGCGTAGAGCTCTGAATAACTTGGTTGCCAGGAAGCCCGTCCATACAAACATTATATTATATTGATCTGAATGTTTTATATGCAATATAAATGGTAAAAAATCATAAAAATATGCAAACAAACCAGAAAGATTGCCTAGTGTTTTGTGTACCAATATTTTGCCTCCATAACTGCTCTAAGGTCGGTCTACTATAAAACTTCCTCCCTACGTTCGATCCCTTGTAGTTTTCAATAGCCGGATTCAGGTCATAGACGCCCTTTAAGTGGAGACCATACGTGTTGAATGGGGTCCACATCAGGCGAGTATGTGGTAATTCCATGCAGTTTATCCTATTATCCTGCAACCATTTGGTAAACTTTTTGGCTGATTGAATAGGAGCGTTGTCGTGCATAAAATGTAGCCTGGGTTTGAACTCTTTAAATAGCAGGTAAGACTGCACTGAGCATTTCTTTCTAGTTACTAGGGAAAAATGCCACCGCGGAAGAGATTAAGAGACTTGTCAATAATATTGCTTTTAGCACCTGGCAGTCTCCTAGGACGTGGATTATGATTTCTTTAGTAGCTATGACTCGGGAATGGTAGCAGCTGCAATGTGTTGTGAGAAATGAGGACACTTCAAACAAGCAAATCACCTTCGATATTTAGATAGATAATCAGGCTGCTTTGAAAAGGCTATAAACGCACATAAATAATAATTCTTGTAATATGTCACTGAAGTAGGTAACAAACATAAAGATAGAAAAGCTAGATGATTCAACCGGATCTCAATAGCTTTCTTCATTCCGAATCTATCAGCGTCTATACTATTGGTTTCCTCTACAGATTTACCACCCATCCTTGAACACATATTTGGAGATGGCAGAGGCGTAATGGCAGCGTGCCGTCTTTTCCTGGTGTGCGGTGCTCATGAGGTGAAATAAAGAAACTCGCGAGGTAGAGCCACTTGTTATCCCAGGCCAAGATACGTGAGAGGATCTGATAATTCGCGTATAGCTTAATTTCACGACGGAATGAACAGGCCATGCTACCCAGAAGGATATGCAGCCAGGGAGGATCGGAAGATCTAAAGAGCAGCACAAGGAGGTTCAATAGATTGATATCTAGATCGGAGAAAAAGGTACTGTTGGACTTATGGCCGCTGATGTCGCATTCAGCTAGCGGAACTGCGAGTTTGCGTGACGACGGGCCTAAACAATGCTTGGGCGCCGTGGGTGTCGGCCCGGACGACGGTGGCCTTCCGGAAGTGGTTGTGGTACAGGAGGGTTGCGAACAGACATGCCTGGTTGATGTCTTTAGTGAGTGGGCGATTGAATAGTAGTAGATGAAAGACCATACGTACCATACGAGAGGGGGACCTTTCAGGTTGAAAATGGCGATGACCAAGAGCCCCAGTGCCCACGAATGGGACCAGAGAAGGGCAATTATAGTGCTAAGCAGAATCGTTCTCACAATGACAATGGATCAGGACTCATTCTCACCTCGAAGTTGGTTGCTACAACGGTGAAGATATCTAATTTACGTTAAATTACGACGACTGCAGTCGGAATTCAAGATTGCACAAGTTCGGAATTCGTAAGTTTCAACAATCTGGCGAGTAATTTCCATACATTTCACGTAAGGTACTCTGTGTTGACTTGATACTACAGTGTAAATTCGTATTCGTCTGCCTCAATTGAGCAAGTGATCTTGGTTCTCGCAACTAGTTAACAATCTGATTCTATATAGCAATCTGGGAAGATCTAAAGTTAAATAACTATCAGATAAAATTCATATATTAAACAACGTGGTCACTGGTTCTATGATCTACAACTCATCTAGAATGCAGAACCAAATGCGGGTTAGCATTAGGTCTACTCTAACCAAGTCTCCCACTATCTACAAGTCAGTACGGTATGATCCCGACAAAGGGAAATAACTAACTTTTTGCAGAATGTTCTCGATTCGCGGACTGCCAGTCAGTTCGTAGACCATCTGGAAATACTCCCGGGACAATTCGAATGGCCTCGCCGTCAGGTTGGGAATGTATTTCCCTATCAACTTTTCGGGAACAACCACATCGCATGTTCAAGAAACCGACGGAATCCGACCACGCGGTTTCTCAGTAGGCTGCTATGGAACGGGACATTGCATATAGGGGCACAGTGGCTTTACCCCGCGCGAGGATGAGCGGTTTTGCCGCTGCCTCTATTCGTCGCCGATGGGTCTCAATGAGCTCATTCAGCTGGCCCGGAGACTTTATGACCTTGACGGCATTGGGATCGATTGTAAGATCATCCAGCACGCCAGTTAAGCAGGCAAGGCTTGGTAACTGGGTCACATCTTTAGTCAAACCAATTGTTCGTGACTCAAGGGTGGGACACCTCGTTCATCTCCCGCACAGACATATTGCACATTGGAGATATTGTAATTAACCACTTCGAGGAATCCATTTGTTGCACCTGCAATCGCTGCGATGCATCGCTGAAGGTCCTGCTCTGTAAAATCTGTCGATTCGTAAGTGTCATTGGCACGCCGTGATATTAGATCACTCGCATCATTTGCACGTACCGTTCGATGCCCGTTTCGGATCCACTGCGCACATGGAATATCCATCGTTAGCTCCCCCCTGTGCCGCCATGACCCCGGCGTGGGCCTCGAGTCGCGTCGAAAGACCATCGCCGCCCATAGATCAATGGAGAATATATCTTCCATAGAGACCAAGGCCGCGTATTCGCCCAGCGAGTGGCCCGCAAAGTCACTGCGCGGTTCGATCAATCCCCGGGACCGGAGGTCGTGGACCTGTGCGATTTCCATTAGACCGAGTGCAGGCTGGGTAAATTGAGTTTCATGCAGGAGACCTCTGGAGGAACGGAAAGTGTACGAGCGACTGAAGTGGGTGATTTCCTCAAAGTACGGATATTGAATAGCCTGGCCTTGTTTGTTATACGTGTCGTCGGTGGTCCCACACTTGGCGGGCTGCCGGACTGGTCCGGTACAGATCCATGCCCATTTCCTGGACCTGGCTTCCCTGGCCGGTGAAAACATAGATGGTTGGAGAGGTTGCAACCTCCGCAGTAGCCGAAATAACTCGGAGTTTTGTAAGGCCTTTCCTGTAAGCATGCACCGCAATTGGCGCACCGATATTTTGTGGATACTTATGGTTGCTCTGCTTCTCAAATTAAATGGAAGCCTTGACACTAATACCTTGCAGGATTCTCTATTCTCGACGTTATCCAAAACAATCCGACCGAATTGACTGTTTTCTTCTCGGGGCCTCGTGGGAAGGCGGTCCGTAACAATTGCATCCGCCACGCATGCCCACGTGGTGAATATCCACCCCGAGGGAATCCCCCGGGAACACTTTGGCCTCGAAGGAACACTCCCAGGTGCGCATGCGGCGCGGGTCATTGCTGGCCAGATGCCATTCGACGAGTCCCCGGATGAGGCCGCTCGTGTACATCCCATGCGTAATGGGCTGTTGGTGGCCAGCATACAGGGCGAATAATGTGTTGTAATGAATGGGGTTACAGTCCCCTCACGCTTGCGCGTATTCGACACTCGACGAAGACACCTGACCGGTGAGGTCAGTCCGGAGAACCCGCGGAGTGTCAAAGAAATGAGCGCGGTGGCCCACCACACCGTGTCGGCGCAGGTAATCCTGCACGGGGTTCCGGGAATAACCCTGGCCGCAGAAGTCGACGGACCTAATCCGTATTTTCTCACTCCCAGAGAGACAGTAAACATGGCCCGTTGTTCGCATCTCCCGGTTACTTGATTTGTCCTGGAAGGTAGAGTGGCTCGTCAAAACAAAGACCAACTCCTTGCCCTGAAACTGCTCCAGCTGGACGTCTTGATCCAACCGGAGTCATGCCCGAGAGGCGAGCAAGGCCACATCAATTGGCGAATTCAGGTGGATTTGAACGGGGTCTTCCTGTCGATCTTCAAACTCTATGGAATCATTCGTGTGTGGTCTCGGGAAAAGGAAGGCTGTGGCCACTTGCACGATGGCCTCGCCATCTCGTGCGATGGTCACCGCCACTTCCATCGCTTCCATCGCGAGGGAGAGTAACCGGGACCGTTTCAGGTTTCATTTCTCGCCCACGATACCTAGGTAACACTGGACGAATACTGGATATATAGAAGACAGGTATCCCTAAGAACGGAATATACATAATCAAGACCCGTCAAACACATCGGGCCAATGGATCAAGCAGAAAGTTCCTCTCCTGCTCTCCCCGGTAAGGGGGCTTGTCTTTGGTCTCCAGCAGCGAATTATACAAAAACCCCCGATAGTAATAACGATCAGCCTGCTTTTGGCGGACCCTTCGTTTCGCGAGATACAACCCGTACGCCTCCTGCGAGATCGTAGCAAACAGATACCGTGGATGCACGCACAGCGCCTGGGCGTTCTTCTGTCCGAAGCCAAACGAACTCACCGAAACCGCCTTGAGTCCGGTGGTCTGGATCGGTTGGTTCAGGAAGGCTATCAGATCAGCCTCTTGCATCTGCGGATCGATGTTATCCGGGTTGAGATTCCCTAACACCAGCCCCGTGTCCAGCATCTGCAAGGCCCCGTTGACCATCCACCCGCCGGCCGCCCCAGGGGGTGTCCTGTTAGACTCTTCTGGTAGAACCCCAAGATGGGCCTTCGTCGCGATCGACCTAGATGACGGAGTTGGGTGTTGATCACCCAGGCTTCGTTGATGTCGTTGAGCACGGTCGAAGTGCCGTGAAGGAGGCTACATCCAGGTCATCGATGGAGAGGCCCCAGGTGGCCAAGGATCCACGCAGGGGAGCCACATGCGGATCGTTGTTCCAGAAGGCGTTTCCCAGCGCAAAGGTCGCGTCCCGCTCCTCCTTTTAGAACTCCTCACGGATCAATTGCTGCCTTTTTCCCGGTAGCGTGGCGGAAGCTGCTGGCCCTCAAGCTCGAGCTCGAGCTCCTCGAGCGCGACTCGATACGACTCGGCAATCTGGCGTTTGCGAAACAGAGGCCGCTTCCTTCGGTTGTCCAGGCTGAGCAGAGGAGAGGGCATGGAGCCGGGGATTTGCCGCGCGTGCACCAGCATCCCCTGGCCGGGAGCCGGCACGGACCGACCCGCTTTGTCGCTGGCGGTGCCCGCGAAGGCAATGATGCCGCAAATGGGCAGACCAAGATCGAGGGCGAGGCGGGTCATAGTCAGGACCTCGCAGCGCCGGGTCTTAACGTTGTCATTAGCCTTCTCCTCCTGATGTGGGAGGTTCCCGGATGTCTGCCTTGTCCCCGAGCTCAAGTTGGATCTGGCGAGCCTCACTCTCCGTCACGACCAGCGGCCCCAAGTCTTCTTGCGCGATCAGCTCATGGAGAAATGGTTTTTTCTCCGGGCTGTAGCCATCGCACACCTCCGGCTCGATCAGACGGATGCCGGACTGGGCCAGAATCCGCTCTTCGTAGACTTCTTTGATCGCGACGTCGGCCACTAATTCGCCGGTTCGCGCGTCCACCCAGCCTGAGAACGACTGCCCATCGCCGGTTGTCTGTTCTGTGTATCGAACCAAACCCATCATCCAGGCCATCTCAATGCATCCCTGGTGCGAAAGCCCGCCGTAGGCCTCCATCTCCCATCTGGCCCTCGAACTGCCCCAGGGCCCGACTTCACCAAATCCCGTCACCACCACCACCCGGTCGAGATCCACCATGCCATCCATTTGCGGTGAGAATGAGGCAATCTCAGACTGGTGGCTCAGCTCGCGAGGGAAGTCCAGCCACACATGAGGCATCCACTTCGCCGTCAAGGGGGACCCCTCTGCGATGGGGATGCCGGCGCCATCGGCCTCCAAGCACGACTCCAATGCGAGGGATTTCGGACGTCCTGAACCCTTTGCAACCCCCCTCTGATCCGCTGGACCCTGCGAGGCAATTCCTCCGCCACCTGCTCCAACCCCCCGCCCAGATCCGCATAAACGGCTCATCGTGGCAAAACTCCAGCATGGATCCGGCCATGAGACCGAGCAATCCGTGCGCCATTTCCTCCGTGGAGAAGGTCCTCACGCTATGCCGCTCGATGCCCTCGGCAACCAAGTCGTTGTGGTTCATGAGTGAAGTACTGCGTGTCCATCCGATCACGGCGCCGCAGATGGATAGATAGTCGGCCCACCCTTCGGAAGACCAGCGGTGGAACACTGTCTCCAGCGCTCGCTTTAATAGTCCATCTCCGGTGGTAAAGCCCGCCAAATACTTTCCGGCTTTGTAGCTCCTTGTGACGCGCGAAATAGGCATGCTTTTGCACTTGTGGAGAGCTCGGTCAATATCATAATCTGTCGGCTGAAAAGACTTCGCCTTTCCTGCTACACATTTATACAAAAGACTGCTCAGAAGGGCAGCGTCTTCAATGGCAGAGTTGGCACCTTGACCAATATTAGGATGTACCTAGACAAAATACGGTCAGTTTTCGGTGGCATCGCATCGCAATTTTAACAGATCCTAAAATAGGCTTCAGGCTGCTAACTTGCGTTATGTATGCTATCACCGATGCAAACAATACGGCCCCACTAAGGTCTTAAGGGAACGCGTTGCGCACAGGCTAGGAAGGTCTTGTAAGCTAGATAAGGTTGTTAAGCTTATTACTAGCAGCCCGGGCTTATAACCTATGTTGTGGATTCAGAGAAAGATAGCATTTAAAAGAAGACAAGACGTAGATTGAGCAGTATCTTGCCTAAATAGATACAAGAAAAGGGAGAAGATTCAGGGGTTAAAAACCCCGCATGCTTGCCAAGGCGCTAGCTATATACTAGTTATACACCATATCCTCAACAGGCTTGACCCATATAGATTGTAACACACAGAGTCGTCCATAGAATCGAGTATCTATCGAATGGCATCCGGTCCTCAGTAGGCTACGTACGTGTAGCTGATATAGCTTCATTCTGTCCTTCTTCCCCTGAAATCACAACAGACATATATAAGCGAGGACTACGCTGATCCTTCGGATAGTCCTTCGGGCCGAACTTATATTCATAACACTACTAAATGCGCTCTGCGGTAATGAAGGCGTACCCGAGCTCTTTAAGTGTTGACATACTTTGCGCAATTTCAAGAATCTTTTCGCCAACTTCACCCTCGAGGGAGAGCCCAGGGAATTTGTAGATAGGCCGGATGTTATCTCGAATGTCGGTGAATTCAATGACCTTGAAGCCCGTCTCGTGCAGGAAATCTTTGAGGTCACCGCCGGAGGGCATGGGTGGGACCTGAAAGAATTCGCGGAAGCGCGCTATCACCTCGGGATTGGGGCAGCCAGCATCGAGAAATAGGTCTGCAATAGCTAGTCGGCCACCAGGACGAAGCACCCTTGCGATATTCGCAAGGGCAGCGCGTCTATCGTCCATATGCACCAGAGACTCGATGGCGTAAGCGCCGTCAAAGGAGGCATCGGCAAACGGGAGGTCCATGGCATTGGCGAACTGGAAATGGACTTGTCCAGCTTTCGTGTTGCTTTTGTACTGAGATTGAGCAAGTTCAATTTGGTGGTTGCTGACAGTTATGCCGGTAATGTGAACATCGTGGGCTGTGGCGATTTGTACCGCCGATTTACCAGTGCCGCAACCGACGTCGAGAATGCGCTGACCTCGGGCAGAGGAGAGTCGCTCGCCGATTTCACGAGTCAACCGCTCAGTTGCTACCTCTATTGTGTCCTGTCTTCCAGGGTCATCCCAATAACCAGCATGGATATATCCTCCCAGCACAGCTGTGAAGTGGCTGGTATATTGGTCGTACATGGTACCAACCTCAGTCGACGTTGGTTGAAGAGACATTGTTATGTTGTTTTGAAAGAAAAAGGAGTATAAGCAGCGCAGAACTAGAGTAAAATTGGCCTTGAGAAAAATTAGGATACCGTTCTATAGTTGGTTTTGTCCTATTATAGGCTGTATATGTTACAGATAAGTCATAAATTCACGGATAATAGTGCATGCGAGCTAAGAAACTCGAACAAGATTTAGCTACAAAGCCTACAATGAACATCTGGCGTAGTTGTGTCGTCATATATTATTAAGCTCGGAAGTCACTCAATCTTCATATTTTACCGTATCATGGTTGTTATTCTTCAATATGTATATTTAGGTATAAGAAGCTTTCTTGAAAATTCTTTTACCTATGATTATTCAATACTTTGGGAATAGTTGTTAACATAAAAATTGGTCGTATTCTTTTCAGCCAATCGTATTCATAATATGACTATCTAATCGACATAGTATATTATGCATATTTTGCCTACTTATATGTGTGGGAGCTTGGTTGAACTGCTGAACAATTGCCACACGGATCAAGCGGGAAGGGTGACTGTTTAGGTAAACGGGGATGGCCAGTTAATTAAATCGTTCCGTAAAAAAAGGTTAGCACCCATAAACAGTGACTTAATGGAGGCCTAGAGACCCCTGTAAAGATAAACTACAATGCTCAGCTTACCTTTTCTATTTCTCCATTTCAAACTACTCTGATTATCACTATCTGTAGTGTACGTACAGCATGAGTCTCGTTGGAAAAATTGCCATCGTCACCGGGGCCTCCCGTGGCATCGGGGCTAGCATAGCGCTGGAGCTAGCACGACAAGGAGCAAAAGTATGTGTTTCACTTCATCCCCACCTCCGCCCCCCAGCCTTCAAATGCTATATTCTAGTAGAAGCTAGAACTAATACATCAAGCAGGTCGCCTTGACCTATTCCAGCCCAGAGAGTGAAAGTGCCGTGGACGAAGTTCTCTCCCAGATTGCATCGTTGTGCCACGGACAGGGAGCGATCAAAGTCCTCGCCGATCTGCGAGACTCTAAGGCGGCGGACAAAATCCTATACGCGACGCTTCGGGCCTTCCCAACCGCAGACACCAAGATCAATATTCTGGTGAATAATGCAGGGGTTTCCCACTCCGAGGCACTCGTCAACACCAGCCCCGACGAAATCTCCTCCGTGTTTAATATCAACGTCCACGGCACCATACTTATGGCCAAGTCTGTGATTCCGCATCTACGCTCACCAGGTCGTATCATAAATATCAGCTCGATTGCGGCGCGTCGCGGCGCCCCGGGTTATTCGATCTACATTGCGTCGAAGGCCGCCGTGGAGGGTTTCACCAGAGCGTTGGCTTGTGAGCTGGGTCCTGAGGGACATACGGTTAATGCAATTGAGCCGGGATTGGTGGAAACCCGTATGCTGACAGACACTGTGCCGAAGGGTTTGCTGGAGTATGTGAAGATGAGCACGCCCCTGGGGCAATCGCTCCGCTCTGCCTGAGGAGATTGCCCGCGTAGCTGTTTTCTTAGCTGGGGCGGATTCAGGATGGGTAACGGGCCAGTCAATTAGCGTTAGTGGAGGATTGCACATGATTTAAGGTGCGTTTGGTCTGGATGTAGATTGTTGGATGGTGGCCAAGGACTTGTTCTACTATATTATAACAGAATCATAATGGATCCACCGCAGTCACGTGTGTGCGGGTGGAATCAGAAATACGGCCAGTATGGAGCCTACATTTCGCAACTACGGCCCCATAGGGCCGGGCCGTCTTTTGGCCACAACTCGTGGTTCCATCCCGCCCCTTTCCGGCCGTAAACATGGAATCGGTTGTTGTTTATAATTCTGCTATACATATAGTCTGCGCTTACATCCATGCCTAGACGCAAGCGGTCCGTCGTCGAACCTGTTCCTGACGATTACCAATATTGCTCTCGCTGTAAAACAATGATTGGAGGATGTGCACTCCTATCCAAATATTGATTTGGTTATATACAACAAATATCCGCTTTGGGGTTTCAAACCTCTAGTTTCTTAATTTTTAATGAAGACATTCAGTCTCCCACTTCAGTTATTTTCAGACTCTTGAAATCTTTCGTTCGTGCACTATCTGGTGGAGAAACAAACAGATAATAAAGCATGCACTGTCCTCAACTTTCTAGCTAGAAACCTGCTCTATGTTTTCATGGGAGCGACTGTTATACCTGTCCCAAATTTGGGAAGATTATAAATCCTGGGAAGAAGGCCATTCATGACCCATACGATCATCGGTAATATTCCATCCACACGGAAATCATACATTAATTGAATGTAACACAAGCATTACCGAACCTAATGCCCCAGAGAAGTAGGAATCCTTCGCCAGCACTTGATAGATAAATCCTTTTCCATGTAAAAGCTAAGCAAGGCTTTGTTCCCCCTATTCTTGAATGGGTTTTATAATACAGGTAACTAAGTGTAGTTATTTACTGTATCTCTCCCCTAATCCTAGGTAATCACCCAAATATACACCAAACTATGGGCTTATGTCTGCTTGCGGAATGTAGGATAGTTATGTAACCCAGTCAAGGCCGACAGGACTGACATGGAAGCACCACTGCTCCACTAATTAATAATTAGTCCCGGACGCTTTAAGTGGAGAGGAATGGCAGCTAAATAGCGAACTGCATAAAGTAATTCTCTATTTTATTAGTATCCGATAGTTTTTGACGCTGCTTTAGTATAAATAATTTGGCAATCTTGTTGTATAGAAAGATCAAATATACGCGTTGTCCAGAGTAATCCATAAGAAGCATTACTTGAATAGCAGATACTGTGTTCAGGCTGCAGAAGAGGGAGCCTATCAGCGAGTTGGAACTAAATTATTATTCTAAGAATGTACTTATGTCATCGACAACCCTCTGATTCATAGAACCTTGGTATCGCCTGGAATATGTTCTCCAATGCGGTTACAGAAAATTCTTCTTGTTTCTCCCATATATTGCGAAACTGGACATTTTCCCGGATTTTTATGTCGGCTAGTTCCCGGCATCTGGTCATTGCATCCTCCATGGAGAATCGTGGAGCACTTCCATATATGTATTCCCGGTCAAGCTTCTGGATGAGAAACCAGTGAAGGCGCCCGTCCCTTCCTGAAATTGTCCAAATGTTCCCTCCATCGCCGATGCGAATAATTTGCTCGCCAGCCCTCATCTCCGGAATAGAAGAAATACCAAATACGCAAACATACTTTACCATCATGCCTGTACATAGTAGATAATCCGTTAAATCTTTTTTTTGCCTTATAAGGCTAGTGAGATACTAACTGTTCTTTTCGCTCTCTGTGATCATACCATGCAGCAGTAAGTCGACTATTTGCCACATTTCTCCCGTACTCGGCTATGGACTCCATCGGCGCCCACGACAAGGTCTCCCTCATAGAAGCTGCCATCCTTTGTGTGGACACGCATTCGGCTCTCTTGTTGATAGTCGATTCAAACAATGGCTTTATTAATCATGGATATTGGATCGATCTGGAAGAGAGGTATACGGAATTTGGGGTAATTTTTGTCTATCCAGAAAGGCAACGGGATATCCGGATCTAAAAGAAGGATTAAAGGAGAACAATAACCTATGATACTTGATTGCATACCGTTGGTGGATACTTTTTGAGAGGCTGCTTTTGAAGTGAAAGCCATCAGAATAACAGAAGTGAGTTGTGTCCATCGGTTCGATCAGCATTTTATGGCATAATAAATACTCAACTGTTCCAATATAAGTGCTCCGTTTGGCATAAACCCAACAGAACCACCCTCCTGGCGAGCTATTTATTTCCTTTCGTTTCTCGAGTAATAAGTATTCGATCCCTGCTTTGTGCAGGCAATGAGCCAGTGATAGGCCAGCAATTGATAACCCCACAAGGATAAACTTGGAATCCAGGATTTTTGGAAGGCATTTTTGAAATTCTTAGAGCTTATTGCAATATAGGGAATAAAAAAGCGAAGAAATTTGCTAAGAATTGACTGTCGTTGGTCACGATTTAAGTAAACTGCTGAAGAATCTACATTTTATAGTTTAGCCTTGAAGGAGGTTGGCTATATCGCTCTTTGTGCAATGAGCTTGTCACCAGTGACGTACTGATAATGTAGCTCACTGTATGCTACCATGTAACACACTAATTTTGACAATTCGGGGTTTTTAGTTGAAAATGTTCCGGAGCCTGCAAAAATCAATAAAACTGTGTTAAATATTACGTGATAATACAGATATATACTTCTATCTACCAGAGAGAGCGTAGACGAACGCTTCCTCATGTCTAAGTGTCCCTTAGCCCCTGAATATGATATATCACATCGCTGCGGGACTAGGATATACGAAGGTGCCTTAGGCACCCTGATTTCCAACAGTACACATAAACTCCTAAGTCCCGCGGAATAAATATCGTTTCACACTGTATATATGTTTTAAATTTTATTATTTTTTCCCACTCTATAATACGGAAATATGATAAATACAATTGTATGTACTGTAATATAAAGAACCAGAAAAAATATAGGCTTTCCAGTCCACTATATGTATATTTAGTATAATAATAGTGTATATATATATTTAAGACCCTCTCGATATGTTATGGTTGAGATATTAGGTCCTAAAAAGCCCTATATTATATGCAATACGAGGTGGCCGACTCGCTTTCATGGCCGGCTCGCTTACCGAATACGTTAACTAAGTTAGTTACCTAACTAGTTAACTAACTGTCAAATAATATGGCCGTTGGTGGACCAGAATCATGTGACTGGATCGGGGTAAAACCCCCGTGGAGCACACAACAAAATAATCAATCAAGAATAACCAAGAATAATCAACATAATCAAGAAGAGCCCAACCAGCTCAATTCATTCAAATAAGACCTTTTCACCAATCGTACTCTATTTCCTCTTCGGGACTAGCCGTATATCTGACACTAACTAGTTAATGATTTTATATGATTACCTAATAAGCGGAGTCACGCCCGAGTCTATTCCTGTATCCTGGGATTCCTCGTGAAGCGACCGTGGCTCTACCTCGGAGAATTAACAGACTTAACAATACTGAGATACAAGGTTCAGTCAGAGACAAGAGTTGACAAGAGTTTTTTAAGTCACTAGAGTTTATCCATAGTATAGATTCTTTATTATATAAACCTTAAATGGTGCGGGCTGGCGAGGTTATGCTTTTTTAATCCACAGCTGATTTATGCTAATAAAGAACGGCTGGAACTTAATAAAATAAAAATTTACTGTACTGGAGGATGCAGATATCGTGTGACCTATCTAAATGGGATATGAGGGATTATCCAAATTAGTGTCCTTAAAAAACATTGCGATGTAAACTCTAAATCAAATTCGCAAATGTTGCTAGGATCATATAGCTAGCCTTATAATTTTTTTTTGGGAGCATGCACGACTTGCCTCCGGTGGACCAGTAAGGGGGCGAGAAACTGGAGCACAGGTACGTTTACATTCTTGTGCAATAAATGATGTACATACAAGATTAACTGGTTTGCAAAGTCCTGATCCGTGTTCAACCCTACTTTTTCCAGCACAAGGGAGGTGTGTATGCTTATAATATCGTTCCTCAAGATAAAAACCCCCGAGTTATAATGTCATAGGCTCGATCATGGGCACACCAACAATCATTCTGTCCCGTCGCCTCCATGTATGTCATACGGGCCGAGTGGGCCAGATCAGTAAGTGTATAATTATGTGGAAATTCCTTCGCTTTGCCACAGTTGCATCTGCGCCAAGTAGACAATTCTTCACTTAGCGGCTTTGCCGCAAATGCTTCCTTTATATCAACATTATGGCGTCGCACGTGGCGAAAATCATGGTTTTGTCTGCACGTCTTCCAGCGTTGCCCAACCATAGTAGCAAAGGACCAACCAACACAAATTCTTTTCACGCCGTAATGCAACATATCACTGGACAACAATGCAGCATACGCTGTCTCGCTGTTGCAACGCATCAGTCGACTAACTGCCGGGGCGACGTTAGGTGCATCACCAGACATTATATCGCTTGTTTCCTCAAATACATCATGTGCGAGTATTATAGCTATCGCCTGAAGTAGCCGCGACCCACTGTCCAGAGATACTCCATGCCGGACTAGTTCTGCGCCAGCAGTGGGATATCCACCTCCGTGCAGCGCCCTCGCTGCGCACCAAGAAATGGGCTCTTCATCTGCTGAAACAGAAATGTATGGTTTCCGGCCCATAGCTTTCCGTACAGTGATACCAAGAAGTGTTGGAACGTATACCTCTCGGATCCACTGAGGATTGCAGGCCTCCACGCTTAACTCTTTTAAAGCATATGCCCATGCATATTGGATGTCATGAATGGGTATATTGGCATAGTCCGCTCCAATTTCACATAGGGCATAATTGGTCCATGTACAAGCGTAACTGTAAATGAGGGTTTTCGGCATGGAGATGAATCCCAATGCCGCATAGTTTAGTGTGGCGTCACCCACGTCAGTTACAAATATGGAATCCAGTATCGCGTTAGAACCCTGGTACATTGTCTGCGGATAGCGAGAGCGAGAGTGGTTTTTGAATCTGCTCTTGTCGTTGGCATACTTCACCGATGCATCATTATTTCTCTTTTGCAGGATACTCCACCAGCCATTAGGCAGCCCGGTATGTTGACTCAGAGTCTCAAGTTTCCGCATGCTTTTATCAGTTAAATGCCAGCACTCGGCAGTATGTTCGATCCACGGCTTGTCGGCGTATCCTCCATGCCATACCCATTTATCGAAAGAATCAATGTCGTGAGATTGTCCTGTAACATGTTCCAAAAATTTTTCACTGTCGTCGATGTCATTGCAGCAGCTGTACAAGGCCTTGTCACAACTGTTGGAAAGCATGTTTAACTTATGGCCTGCCCAGTCGCTTATGGAGGTTTCCCATGTAGCATCTGCGGCTTTCTCTTCCAGATTATTGAGATCCATGACTCTAAATACCTGTAATAAGGTTCCGAGTCTCCTCAGGCTTAGAACACAGCAGATTTTTGTAAACTGAAGATGCAAAGAGACGTGTTGATGATTTCAGATAACCACGAGTACAATCTTTTTCCTCTCGCAATGATGTTAGCTATTCAGCTAGGAGACGCTTGATCTATACAGGGCAAAAGAACGTACTGTCCTTTTGAGCAGCGAGGCACAGGCTCTTTTGAACAAGATGAGCTCAATAATATGTTAGTGACCTCTAGCTGCTACGTCTCACTGCTGACGTAGAGACTCTTTTGCCCTTTTGAGATATTGTTTGAGACTCAAGCACGTAATTAATCAAGGTAAACCAATTTATACTTGCTTTTCAGCGTCTATATATATAGTATTCGAATACTTCCCTATATATAGAGCTGAGTAAGCTAATATACACAATTCAAAATATATTATAAGGTGTCTGATTCTCAATAAATACAACTATTGAGCTTTCTTCAATTTATCTACTATTGGTGGCAATAGATGATTGTAAGCACATCAACCCAGATGCTTCTCATGGGTTCATGGATATATTAACTTTTCAGCATTATTAAACATAAATAATGTCATTTTTTGCCTTTTGCAACGAATATATGGCAATATAGTTGATTTCTAATTTCTAGAACCATTCAATTCACTGAACGTTGTGGATACCACAAGAGTCCAACATAATAGAACAAGCTTCATAATAGAACCTGTGAGAACCGCAGTTAACCAGCACCACAATTAGACCAAGTTTACATGTATTCTATGTATTTGGGCGGTTTATGCTGGGCAGTGTTCCCATGGGCGGCCAAAAAAGTAATATTACGAAGTCTAATCGCACTGCAAGAGGGGCTGTTTGAACGAGAGGTTTTACAGAAAGTATAAATATAGGAAGCCCTATGATATGTATATTTTATATTGATTCGAGCTATGTTTTGAGGTATTTCGTGGGGGTAAGCGCCAGCGGGGAGCATATATCCACAAGCACATAGAGACGTGGACCCAAACTCCTCTCCACACTTCGTATTTAGTCAATGGGAACAACTATTATTGGATGACTGACCCAACAGACAGGTGCTAGTCCTTTAAAAGAGCTTTGAATTGAGTTCACAGGTCAGTGTCGAGCTGAACTGTATCCTGCTTCGAATTAACCTACTTTGATTCCATAACTATTACCAATCCGCAGTACCCTATATTAAAAATCCCTAGGCCTTTAAACATTTAAAGTGCTTTAGTCCCAAGAGTCCTTTAAAAGAGCTTTGAACTAAGTTCATAGGTCAGTGGTCGAGCTGAACTCTATCCTGTTCGAATTAACCTACTTTGATTCCATAACTATTACCAATCCGCAGTACTATATTAAAAATCCCTAGGCCTTTAAACAATTAAAGTGCTTTAGTCCCAAGAGTCCTTTAAAAAGAGCTTTGAACTAAGTTCACAGGTCAGTGGCTGAACTGCATCCAGTTTCGAATTACCTTGTTCGATTCCATAACTATTACCAATCCGCAGTACCCTATATTAAAATTCCTATTTAGGCATAGCTAAAAATTCTGACAGACTATACGTGCTTTGTCCAACAGAACTGATTGCTAAATTGAGTTAGTGCTATTAAATTAAGAAGGCGGTAAACAACTCTCTCGGATTCGGACCGAGATTTCCAATCCGAATCCTCACCGAATGTAATTAACTCTGATTGGCGGCCACTGAAGTATTAGCAAAGCTAAGATTTATAGTTTTAATACTCAACATCTTATATACTCCAGATGATCGCAGTAATTTCCCTAGTTCGTTCCACTATAAGCACTAAATATTCTGCCAATTTTTGGCTTAGATAATTAATTTGGCTAACTATTCTAGATGCCAAGATATCTTTATATTCCTTGAAAAAGAAGGCTGAAGATTGATCCTCGCTCGCTACTTCAAAGAGGATTAAGACTTAACTATAATGTATAAGGGAGATTCGTGGCAAAATTATGCAATTGCATAGGTTTTAAACTGCAATGGAACCGCAGAACCGCGAGGTTCGGTTCAAGGCTCTAGATGTTGGAACTGGAACTGTACAATTTTCAGGCCTACATTAGTCTTTAAAGGCAACGTAATCTTCCTCCTGTATATTAGCTTTCGTTTGACCTTTTCTCTCATTTGATCCAGGGATATAGAAACATACATTCCAATCTGGTTCCATGGGATAGTTGATCAGTTCGGCGATTTCGGCCTGGGAGTGCCAGGCATTCAGGTTAAAAGCATTGCACCAGTGAATCGACCACTACATAATAACATAGCGCAAAGTTGATCATTCGACGCATATTGTCCTCTCTAAAGCATTAGAAGAGCTAGTAACGAAGCTCCATTTTCTTTCATATCGTAAATGCTGTATAAGAAAGGGGTGAAATATGTGTGAAAAAGAAGTTAAAGAAAGCGAGGTATGTTTTGCTTATCACACACAATATTATCCCTCTACTTATAACACCATATATTTGCTGATACTCTATAGTTGGGGACACATATTCTGGACGTTGAGATTATTCCCAAACCCGCGGCCGGGCAATTCAAATGCCATTCACAATTGAAGAGCGATGGCTTAATTCATGAAATCGACTCGAAAAATAATCATCTATACGAAAGTAGGGAGCGCAGTTTGACACTGAAAAATGTGGGTACAAATGCAGGATCCCCAGCGGAGGCTGTTGAGATGCGGCGAGAATTCTTAGAAAAGTGCGTTTATAAATTAAGAAGAGCAAACTTCTTGGCGTGCCTGCCATTTAAAAACTATGATTATTTTGGGGCCCGTGGGTGCTGCGAGAATGTGATCGGATACATGCCAATCCCAGTCGGGATTGCTGGGCCACTTTCTGTCGACTGTGAAAATCTCTATATTCCTATGGCCACTACCGAAGGAGCTCTGGTTGCAAGCGTTTCACGCGGATGCAAAGCAATAAATGAGTCTGGAGGGGCAGTCACAATCCTAACTGCAGATGCCATGACAAGAGCACCCTGTTTACAATTTCCAAACGTCAACCGCGCATATGCAGCGAAGTTGTGGCTCGAGTCGTCAACAGGAATACATGAAATAGAGAAAACTTTTTTGGCGACCAGCAACTTTGCAAAACTTAAGAATATACAACCAATCCTCATTGGAGAGCATTTATACGTCCGATTCGCCGCTACCACTGGAGATGCAATGGGTATGAATATAATGTCAAAATGTGTTGAAAGTGCAGTGTCGACTATAAAATTGCATGGCTTCCATGACATGAGAGTTGTGGCTCTCTCCGGCAATGTATGCACCGACAAAAAACCATCTGCTTTGAATTGGGTTGAGGGCCGTGGGAAGAGCGTCGTGGCACAAGCTTATATCACTCACGCCACTATTAAGCGTGTCCTTAAAACTGAAGTCCCAGATATTGTGGCATTGAACGTATCTAAAAATTTAGTTGGGAGTGCTGTGGCTGGCTCTATTGGAGGCTGCAATGCACATGCGAGCAATGTTATATCGGCAATTTTCGCAGCGACTGGACAAGACATCGCGCAAGTCGTCGATAGCTGTCACTGCATTACAACCATGAATGAGTGAGCTTCGTTTTCCAATTCTACAAATATAAATTTTAACAGGCATATAGACATTGCGGCGGACTACTGATATCAGTGTCTCTTCCCTGCCTCGAGGTCGGAACTGTTGGAGGTGGAACCACTCTTCAACCACAACAGGCAATGCTTCACCTTCTCGGTGTTGATGGTTGCAGCCCGGGAAATACCTGTAGCAACTCCCAAAAACTCGCAAAAATCGTGGCAGCGGCTGTGCTAGCTGGAGAACTGAGCCTTTGCTCGGCACTTGCATCTGGTGACTTAGTTCGTGCTCATATGCAATTGAACAGGAAATCAGGATAAAAATTACAATTTCGAATCAACCAGCGACTTGGTTTGAAATCTAACGACTGTATATTCATTTCTTAATAAAATAAATATCATGTACTTGTTAAAAGATATTGTAGAATAAAATTTGATAGATTATCTTGTTATTTGCATACTATTGCTATACCAAAGAATCCGCGCTTGGTGTAATCCTCTGTAGATAGTAGTATGTCCATACTCCACGGCTCCGCACTTCGACCAATAGTGAAAGTAATCACTACTTGCACTTTCAGCTTCCTCTCTTTACTTTGGAGTTGATGTGACTCAGGGGGGGAAGAAGGCAGTAAGCCCATCGAACAGCTGCACGCAACCAGTTGCCTAGTATAGAGAACGATATATTGATATCCTAGACCACGATAACTACCATATTTCCTTGGATGGTTGTCTCGCGCGTCTCTCTAGAACACAGGAAAGGGGCGAAGTACTCTGGGGTGTGAACCCCGCACATTAGGCAGCCGCTTAAGATGCAGATATTATCACTCTCCTTCCTGCAATATCCCAAAACAGATAAAATGAAGCGAAAGTAATTAGGAAGCCGAAACAGAAAATGAATGTGTAGCTTTGAATTACCAATCTGAGGTTCTAGATGTTGTATTGTAGAAACATTATTCTAACCTCAGTGCCTTGACCATGCGCTTTAAGACATCTGCTTTAGTTGCCTTTGTAAGCCCGTCGGCGAGCATCTCGGAGGTAGGGTAGTCTTTCACTTTTTTTGAATCACTCCCCGCCCCCGGCAAAAGCTTTTTTCCTTGCTACGGCCAACATAATTATGGTTGCTCCTTATTTTCCACCAGAAATTATTGCCCAGATTCTTTCCTATGTTACACCTGAGTCACTCGCCCCTTACGCCTGCATCAACGCACTATGGCAGGTGATCGTCGAACGTCAGACTTTCTCCGCCCTTAACATCACTACCGCTGGACTTTCCGATCTCCGACATATCGTTACCCCACAGAGATACCCTCTTGTTCGCAAAATATATCTAAAGTCAACGGTAGCAGAATATAGTGTCGCCGAGCGTGTTCAAGTTGAGACCGACAAAGACCCAGCTGTAATAATCAAGCATTCACAGAGAGAATCTGCACCCTTTTTAATATCTTAAGCTCATGGTCTACAAATGGCGAATACGAACCTAGTATCCAACTAACTATTAGCAATGTCTCGCCTAGCGACTTTAATAAGGATTCAAATTGCAGCTATAGACGCTTACTTGTATGAAACAGCCAGGCGTGGATATACTTCACTGGCGGTACATGTCGTCTTACGTGGAGTTGCTTAAACCAACGTAGGAACTTCCTAACCTCGGTGTTATTTCTTATCTTGTGGTTGATAGAGGGATAGAGAGAAATATTGCGCCGGCTACGGTATCGAAACTAATATCTCGATTACCTAGGCTCCGTATATTAACGGCGAGGTTGTCCGATAATGAGAGAAAAGGTAAAAAACTTCGGGATAGGTTAAGAAATGGTAACCTGCTTCTTTAAACCTAACGCTCTGGTTGTTCCTTCTTGGTTGTAGCATTAACATAGAACTCGCTATTTGTCTTGCCCAGTGGCCTTTATCTCTAAAATGCTTTTACCTTTACTATCCCGGCGAGGCCCCGAGAGACGCAGACTTTCCTCCATTGAAGCGCTCCAAACAAGGAGCAGATGCATTCTGTATAACATTTAAACAACTAAGCCAGCAGCTCACTATCATATATCTGGATGGCATCATGGTCGGCCCCGAGCTGTTTTGGCCGCAGGACGATAATAAACAACTGTACTGGCCGAATCTCACATACTTCTACCTGACCTATGCTGCTTCCACTCTGTCTGGCGAATGGCTCTTTGAACGAGACCCGCGATGTCCAAAATACAATTTTAACCATAATTCAGAGAATTTGTACATGCCCACCACCTATGAATGACGCACCACAGCACAAATTTCCCGATGACTACCGCACTGCGCCATTACCTATTATAAATAGGTTTATATAGCTGCTGCGTATGCTGCGCGACACATGCCGAAATTGGAGACAATGTCTCTTGTCGCGCAGGTCCAGGTGGGGATAAATGGCCTACTAGGACATGACATACTCCACTGCGAAATAAAGCATGAATTTCACTACGAAGGTGAACAAGGCCGGGTGAGCTGGGTGGGTACGTCTGAATTTCCACTTTTATCTGGACCCGGGAGGCTTGGTAGATAGTTGCAAACACACATGATCATTCTTGTTTAATCGTTGAAGTAATATAATTCTCCTTTGTTTTATCGTTGTGAACTAACAGGTTTATAGAATATTGTCGAGAGCGGCTCCACTCTCTCCAACATAGCTCCAAACACTGGATAAAGAATGGTTATATCTATCTATTTATACTGCTATGTAGTTTCTACCTAACCCGGACTAAGTCTACTTTCTCTGTTAAACAAGATATTCTAGCTACACTTTAATCATCATTTCTGCTAGGCACGGGTAGTGATTTTTTTGGGTAGAACTACTCCAATAATATGTATATTTATGGGGAGAATGATAACAAGTAAATTTTGAGGACTTAAAGTATCGTGATGATCACACGTGGTCAAAAGGCCCGTCAGTTGCAAGGCCCACATGTGTGTTTCTCGTCTCAACTAGTATATTTGTCTCCTTTTCTAACTTTCTTGTTTTAGAGAAGGTGAAGCATGAGACGATGGGAGTTTTCTAGTGGGAAGGACCTGGAATTTTGTTTGTGATGGAGAGTTGCAGCAATGAAATAACAGATGCTGGAACGTCTTCGTATATAAGAAAATGTAATTGATTGAGAACGAAGTATCGATCGCAGAAACTTGTGAACCATGCTGGCGAGCGTCACAGAGCCCCTGGGGCCCGCCCAAACGTAGGCGCGGGGCTGTGACTACAAGGCGGCATTAGGCATCTGACAAGGCTGCACGGACTCGCGTGCGATGCCATGGTCGGTGACGTGGTGGTTACCGTCACCTCTATCCAGGTCATCTACATCAGCCGTGTACCTAGCTAAAACTGGCCGGCCGCAACCGTCAGGAAGCCTAGTAACCGTGGAGAGAAACAAAATGTTTTTTTTCCCGGAAACGTGTGCAGTAAGCAACTTAGCCTTGCCAATAGAGGAATCTGTTTATCATGTTTTATACATTTAAATGTTTGATTTCGGGGTTAGATCGTTTTTCAGCAGATGCTCGTTGACTTATAAATCGGCAATAATAATCATAGGTGCTGAAGAAACAAAAAAGAGCCAGTCGGATTACTCCCTACCGAAGTTTGGCCTCGAAGTTGGAGCAGAAGAAACGATGACTATAATTGCCCATTCCATTGATAATGTCATTCTTTTATTTAGTGGGTAAAGGGGGATGGTAAAAGGACGCTATAAGGAATGTAATCGCTGGTGACGCTAGCGTGGTGCATTTTATTAAGGCTACCTTGCTCAGGCTACTTACCCCTCTGCTCAACCCCTACCCAGTGATCAACTTAGGCCGCTCAGGGCGTGCTCAGATCTGCTCAGTGAGCGAAAAGTGGCGAGGGGTGAGCACTACAACGGAAAACGAAAGACATAGAGCTATCTAGAAAATCAAGTGCGTATGTGCTCAGGGCTTTGCAGACTTAGTCACCTCCCGGTTACTTTGCATGCTTTCTTGCTTGTCGGTTCATTATTGGCATCAGTCCGAGTATCGTGTTGAATATGCCTTTCAGATTCTGAATCACAATTTGAAAACCCCAAACTAAAGGCGTAACACGTGCAGCTTCGGGGCCGATTTATATAGGAAAACTGGTACCAGCCAAAATTTATGGAAAGATAATGACGTTTTGGCAAAAGTTCTACTTTGTTGGATCATTTGTTTGCTTCTGGGTGATTATGGTTGTACTGAACATAAGGAGGATCTGGGAGAATGGACTGGGAGACGATCGTCATATTTCAGCTTCTCATTCCTAGAATAATTCTTGGTCTCGTGCCAATTATCTCTGGCTCTCCACAATAGTAGCGTTCGGCAATAAATTCTGGTAATTAAAATCTCTAATAGCTGTGTCTAGGTACATCCAGCGAGGTGATAATGTCGAAAAAACGCGTGCTGCCTTGCAAAAAGTCCGCGAAACCGTGAAGATCCGCGAAGCTACTGAGTATGAGAAAAGGAGCCATCTCCAGGGGCTATTCTGCTCCCTGGAAGAATAAATCTCTCCGGAAGCGGATGGCACTGGCTCTTATTGTCAACTGTTCGGCAAATTACTTGACAGGGAGCCGTGAATACTTGACCAAAATCTACCAAAAGTGTTTCCCAGCGCCGATCAGATTGTTTTGATCAATGCTCTCAATACTACTTTCGGTATCCTTTTCACTCTGAATGAATGGTATCAAAACCCTACTTGTCGGCATATCGATTGTTTCCTGCTTTTCCTACTTATTTTCTTCTGTAACTCCCGCTAATTTACCTGACTGGTGATCAGGTTTGCCTTCTAACATCACTCACAGAAAGACCTTCCTGGGGCGCTACGGTGTGGATCTGGACCTCAGAAATCTTCTCGATGTATGCCCGAGCCGAAGCGATGGGAATGGCATCGCAAACTCAAAATTTTTCTGATGCTATTTTCCAGCAGTTTTGTCCCCTCTGCTCGATAACGAAGGGTCTTACGCCTTCTGTATGTTTGCCCTTATCAACTTTCTGCTCGCGGTAATTGTGTTCTTCTTCATTCCTGAAACAAAGAAGGTTTCTCTTGAAGAAATAGATGCACTGTTCGGTGGTGCCAATCAGGTCATGCAAGGACAGGATCTCATCATGCATGAAAAGCAAACGTCTGTGAGGAAAAGCCAGACATGGTCAATTTGAGGATGCGTCTCGACGGTACAAGTGAGGTATGAATTGTCGTACTGTATTAATGGTAGCTAAGCTATGTTAGCAGTAGCTGATATAACAATTACCAGTACTATATGGTTTAATTTAGATATGCACCTTTAGTTGTATGAACATATGTAATACATAATATACGAGTAGGTGTACATCAACCCCGGAAAGTTTATCGACTTTGCGGGGAAGCGGGGACGCAGGAGTTCAACTGCCGAGCTGACGTCCCGGAATTTGAGAACTACCGGCTCCTTCCCACTGTATGTGTATCTACGCAACCTAATGCGCAAAAAAAAAAAAAAAAAAAAACAAAGACAAAATCGAGGCAAAAAAACATAAAGAATTAGGAAAAAAGAGTCAGGCTTTCGTAACATTTGGCGTCATCCCTCGAAATGCTTTTGAATCGATACTACTGTATCCTAGAGAGGTATACTCCAATGTCAATTCATCATTATTTCATATCGAAACAAACCCCGTTCTCCATATAAATGTCCATCTCAGCGGAATCGGATTCCGTCTGGCAAAGGGAGGGCTGCCTCACCAGCACCATGCAGTCACAGGCGTGGCCGTTTGATTCCCATTGTTCCGACATAACTAGTGTGGAATTACTCCGCACCAGATCTTCATATGGGCATCCACCGTAGTATCAGCTTTGAATTTATTTAAATTCAATGATTTGTATTGCCCACAGCATACGAACCATGATAATGTCCGCATCTTCATAGTTCCACTACACTACAGATCTGACAGATCAGCATTGATTTCGGACTACCATATGGACAATCCATCCATCTGGTAAACGCAGTCCAAAACGAGGTGAACAATCCGAGCAGATATTAAGGTTTTGTTTACACCCACAGAAAGTTTAGCGTACACATGTCCCACCAACGAACCAGTCAGTCAATTCTTCATGATTTCGCACGAGACAGGGCGGAAATGCCGGCACCAACAGCGGAACGAAGATCGCTGGTTTGTCTTGATTCAGGAATTGCGGGGGATCCTAGCCGGGCCAGGGGTCCTTGCATAAAGCCATGAACGATGTAGCAGACGAAACATGGCTATAAAGACCCAGCTGGACCCATGCGGGGTTTCTAATTGATCTTCTGTCCACTTTATTACTACAGAGTATATATTATGGAGAAAGCCACCCAAGAGACCATCGAAGATGTTAAATCCCCGGATCCGCGAACCCTCCTCGATGCAAAATTTGAAAAACATCTGCTATGGAAATGCGACCTGCATGTCGTTCCTATTCTCACATTGCTCTTCATGCTCGCGTTCCTAGACCGGATTAATATCGGAAATGCACGACTTATGGGTCTTGAGGATGACCTGAAGATGAGCGGACATCAGTATAATATCGCACTGTTTGTGTTTTTCATTCCGTATATTCTATTTGAGGTGCCGAGTAATATGCTCTTGAAGAAAATGCGGCCCTCGTGGTGGTTAAGTGGGATTATCTCCGGATGGGGTATTTGATTCTCCCCCCTTTTCCCCTAGAATTGATGAGAATATTGCATCGCTGACCAGTTCAGGGATTATTACTATCTGTCAAGGAGTCACGAAGAGTTTCACCGGGTTGGTGGTCTGTCGCGTATTGATTGGATTATTTGAGGCTGGATTCATGCCTGGTACATACCCCTCTTCATTCCTCTCTCTCCTCTGAATCCCCCGATTTAATCAATCCAGGATGCGTTTACTTGATCAACATGTACTATCGCCGACATGAGCTTCAATGGCGTCTAAATGTCTTCTTCAGCGCCAGTATCTTGGCCGGTGCTGTGAGTGGAGTATGCTCTCCTCGCCCCCTCTCTAATATCCACCGGCATAACATGAATCATATAGCTCCTTGCCTACGCCATCAACAACATGGACGGTCTCGCCGGATACAGCGGCTGGCGTTGGATTTTTATTATCGAGGGTCTAGCCACCATTGTCGCTGCCGTCATTTCCAAGTTTATTATCGTCGATTGGCCAGAAACAGCCTCCTTCTTGACGGAAGACGAACGCGCGCTGCTCCTCCGTCGACTATCTGAAGATCAAGGCGAGGCTAAAATGAACAGACTGGATAAGAGATCCGTGGCGTGGATCTTCACAGATCCGAAAATCTACCTTGGGTGAATACTGCATTATTTCTGTTAAATGCATATATACTAACCAGCCAGTCCAATCATGTACTTCGGCATTGTGAACACCGGCTACGCCGTCTCATTCTTCACTCCGACCATTCTAAACCAGCTCGGATGGACGGCCGTCCGTGCCCAAGTTATGAGCATCCCCATATACGCCATCGCCATGGTAGTCTCACTGTCGATGGCATTCCTCAGCGACCGTCTGAAACATCGCTATGGATTCACCCTTGCGGGCTGTCTGATCGCCACAACTGGCTACGTGCTCCTGATCTGTCAAACGGCGATACCCGTCGGCGCTCGGTATTTCGCTCTCGTCGCCATCACGAGCGGCGGGTACCTGACGCAGCCGATCCTGATGGGTTGGTTGAGCAATAACATGGGCGGACATTATAAGCAGTCTGTTGCGTCTGCGATGCAGATCGGGTTCGGGAATTGTGGCGGCCTGGTCGCCAGTAATATCTTCTATCAGAAGGAGGCTCCAGGCTACCATACTGGGTATAGGGTGAGTTTGGCAATGACGTGGATCTGTGGCGCGGCTTGTCTTTTGTTTTTGGGCTTTTTGGTCAGAGAGAATAGGATTCGGAGACGAGGGGGGAGGGATTATCGATTTGGGTTGGATAGAGAGGCGTTGGAGAATTTGGGGGATGCCCATCCTGGGTTTCGATTTACTTATTAGTAGGGTTGATTCTGTATGGTATATGTAGACGTTTGGATTCTGTATGGACTAGATATATTTTATTGACTACTGAGGATTAACTATCGTGTCGAGTGTAGATGCTCCTTATGGAAGAACCGTCCTTGTTGAACACAGTACGCTCCCAGGATGAGATTGTCACACCGTCGAAGTGGAACACATACTCATGTCCATTGCCATGGTCATCCACATCTGCAGTGGCGTGTACCACAAATGTCACATTACTTTCTTCACTTGCATGCGTTGACGAGATGCAGAATCCGTGCGAGAATTGAGACGCCACATTTGGGTCTTGAGTCGAATCCACCTGCCAGATAAGAATATGCGATGAGCTGTCGTTTCCGGCAAGTCGATAGATTGTTCTGGTATACGTATTGGTGAATCCATGTGTCTTCTCCTCGCAGACGTATTCTTTTACATATTCGAGGTTTGAGGGATATCGCGGATGGAATGTCGTTGTCCCGGGTACGATTTCCTTACTACTGGTGGAAGTTTGAACAAACTTCCAGGTCCCATGTAGAGCTCTGAATGTTGCAGTCGCCATGGCCAAGCTGGGAGATGAAACAGAGGGGAAGAGTGTTTTTCGCAGGGAGTCCATCATGCTCTTTGTCTCAGCATTCTTTCTATGTTCAGCCCCATTGTTCGTATACCGAGCAGGAACAACGGGGCCAGCCCAGTCCTCAGCCTCTCGAAGGGACGAACGACATATCCCCAAATCCTGGGCAAAGGTCTCCATCAACCCTACATAATCGCCCATCGGGAACTGAACATTAGATCCGGCACGTCGAAACTCACGAACCGCCTGTCTTTCAAGGGCCCTTTTCTCCATCTCCTCCGCTGACAATGACACTTCTTTCTTTGACAGGAATTGAAACCATCTCTCTGCAACATTCCGCGCCTGCATCTCCATCACACCCCAGTACGGGCCCCTGTAAAACCCTACAAAGCCTAGATCCGGCACCTGGGCATGCATGCTCCCTTTACCATCAAGGACAAGGGGAAAGAAAGAGTCATTTGCCGAGTATTCCAACGTGGAAAGAACGTCCCTGGGTAGGAATGAAAGAGAAGAGAACGGTGTAAAGCCTGTAGCTGATACAATGCAGATGACGTTATCCAAGCTCGCTGCTTCTCCACTAGCTAGTCTGATATCGATTCTGACTCCGTCTTTCTCATGCGCATGGACTGCGCTGACCCGACCGATGGTAGTCTTGATTAACTCTGATCGCGCAAATTCTGCATAATCATCCCCTATACCTATCCATGAAGGCTGTATTCCTTCTCCTTGTTCTTTGTCCATAGTATATACTTTTTCTCCCGCATCTATGTAATCAGACCCTAGCAAAGAGCGGAAATATTGGTTTAGTTTGATCGCTTGCTGTGGCGACGCAGGGCCGAATCCATATTCAACCGGTCCAGGAGGACGACGCGCCAGGTCGTAGAAGACTAGATCCAGTGGTAGAATTTGAACTCTGTCGGGGTGCGCATGGCCCTGCGGTGTTCGGTGTGGCAGATAGTACGGCACAGTCCAGAAAGGCCGTGAGCAAATATGATACACTTGGTATGGTCTCCCGGGTTGAGCCAATGACCCGGGTTTAAAATTCATCGACGATAAATGAAGTGCCAGTGCAGAAGCAGTCTCAACGCCGGACATACTACCTCCGATAACGACAAGTTTACCTCCTTGAGAGCCAGACCTCTCAAGCAGCCGACGCATGTCCTCTTCGTCGTGCAGGTCTGAACTATGGATCGTCCTGTCGGATAATCCAGACAAACCTGGAATATCCGGGACATACGGACGCGAGAAGTATCCAGAAGCGACAAGAAGGAAATCGAACTGCTCCGAATGCACCTCCTGATCATCAGAGTTCTCCAAGAGTCTTTCTCCATCATCTTCGATATTCCTATTAGACACAATCAACAAACATTCCTACCCACAAGAACAAAACACCATCTTACCCTTCAGAAACCCACTGCACCGTCCACCGAACATCTGAATCCACATTCTTCTCACGAACCGTACCCACCACTTTCCGTCCGAATCTCAACACCTCCCTCGGCACATACAGTTCTGCATATTTCTCCAGATACCTACCCACCTGCCAAGCCTGCGGAAACATCGGAACGTCCGAGCCTTCAATGACAGACTCCCATGCCAGGTCAGAGAACCCCACCGTGAACCGACTCAGGTTGGTCCGCATAGCGGGATCGATGAATCCCCGACGATCCCGTTGAGAACGCACACTACGGTCATAGTCGTTACTGGTAGGCCAGAGTCCGCCGACATTGCGGCATTTTTCAAATATAGTTGGAGAAAATGTTCCCTCGGGGAAGTTGTGAAGAAGGGTTTTGGCGGCCACCAGGCCAGATGGGCCTGCGCCTGGAGGATGTCAATTCTATGCATAGTAAGTAGATTAAAAGTGTGCTACTGACCAATTATGGCGACCTTTTTGGGCCGTATCATTCTATCAAAATCGTATCCTTTGACTGGTAGGGAGAGAGTTTTGAGGGGTTGTTTGGCTTGGTTGGTTACCCCTCATTAGGCCAAGAAATAACCCTGCAGCGTTAGCGGGATAACCGGATCAGGGGTTTGTTTTCGATGCTAAGTAGTATACATTAGAGATATCAAATGAATGTGTTGAGATTTATTGAAACCCCTATAATGTAATTAAAATACTACCAGTGTTTTACTTGGGGTGAGTTGCTTTGCTTAGGTTCAGTGGGGAGGATATATATTTTCTTCTTTTTGTGTCAGAAAGCATTTAGAAAAATGAAAAAACGCCTCATCCATTATGTTTCGCTCAACGAACACTAAAAAATCAATAGCATTTAGTCAAATTAAACGACAATAATGTTCTAATAATAATAGATAGATAGATCCAAAAAAAATAAAAACAAACGGCCCGAGCCGCGGATCGAACGCGGGACCTCTCGCAGATATGCTTGGGTTATCCCTAAGCGAGAATCATACCACTAGACCACCCGGGCGTTGTAGTTCTGGTCCATTTAGAAATATTGATTCATAGGGGGATGGTAGAATAGGAGATAGTTCGTTCAATCGAATCTGCCTTCTGGCTGCATGCAACTTGCATGATGCGGCGGCCGTGCTTAGCACGATGACGTTCATGCCAAGAACATCCCGTACATCCAATCCATGTCGGTGAGAATATCTTGTAATGATTCGGTATGCGCGAGTGGACGTCGTTAACGGATCGTACGGATCGACGTGGATTGAACAGGACAGGAGGACTCCGTAGTGACGCTGTGAGCAAAGATAGGATCTTCTACTTGGGATGGAACGTCTCGGGCAGAAATTGGCGTCGGAATTAGTTCGACACTCGCTCAAGCCAGGCAGACACTTGTAACTCCCGACTGTGCAGGTTTGGGTAACAGGCTTCCGTGAACTCCTGCTCGGTAACGAGGGTGTCCACATTTCGCTCGGTTAATGGGATCTTGTATCTGTTCTTCTGCTTGAGCAGCTCCCGCTCGGCGCGTGCGGATGGTGACAGCTTCGACAGAGTATTGCGGATGCGTCGAATCCCACGGCCTGGGAAATAGGAGATACGGGGAGGACCAAATGGGGTCTCGACTTTCCACGGGTCCTCGGAGTCGATGGACCGTGCATTCTTCTTGCGTTGCTGGGAGCGGACCTTCGAGGACATACTGGTTCCTGGATTGGGTTCAGGGGTCGAAGATTCATAGGAAGAGGATAGGTGTCACGGCGTTTCCGTAAAAGAAAGAGGAAGGAGGAGAGATAAGAGGGGGAATATATACTACGTCAGACGTCGGAGCGGGTCAACCAGACCCAGATGAACGACGTGCGGGGCCTTCTAGAGACACTACCAACTTTAGGGTCGAAACCTCTGTGATCTGAGAGGCTTCCACGGGACGACCATGCCGAGAAGGGGAGACGGGAGGCTACCTATCGCAAACTTCTTGGCGCTCCCGGGGTAAGGCGTACGCGTCGATCTCCGCGGGGGGCCTAAGCACTAAGTACTCTGCGATGCAGAGATGACTTGGTGGTTGATTGACGCTAGCCTGTGAAGTAACAATGCTATCAAGTCACCACCGTGGTTGTCTACAAAGAAAGAGAAAGTGAAGCAAGAGTTGAAAGGATGGGGGAACCTTACGTCATTGACTTATTTGGGTAATTTCCAAATGGCTAGCTCCTTTTTTGAGGCGTCGATCATTAATTCAACCAAACCAAAGTTGATGATCTGGTTCGAAAGAAAGGAGACAGAATGTGGGGTTTGGCACAGCCAGTCCCTGGATAGTCAAGAAAGGAAAGTATGGCTACTTTCTTTCTTTTTGATTAGGGTTAGCGTGCCTGACTCCTTTCCGTTTGCAGGTTACACAACCACCAGAATGCCGAGCATTTAGGACGTATGCTTAGCAATGTTGGCTTAAATTGACTTTGATTCATTCGCAGCAAGGTTTCAGCACCTGCAACCTTGGTGATGCTTTTGTCTGCCTACTGGGTAGTTAGCTGCTGCCTTCTTCTTTCCTCTTCCAAGTAGAGCTGATAGGAGGCTGTACGGAGTATTGATGACGGAGAATAATGGGAGGCGCAGCCGCACAATAAGTAACAAACAACCTGTACTCTGAATTCCCATTACAACAATGAATGTATAATCGCATAGAAGCCACTCATCCAACCAACCACAACCAGAACCTCCTTATCAATCTCACGCTAAGCTATCCACAAGCCTGGCCGGAAGGTGTCTAGAAGAATAGAAGGCCTCCAACCTGCGGGGTATATGCTTGCCCAGGCCCTTTATTGGCCCATGCATGCAGCCTAAGGATGCAATCCCTGTTCACTCTTGTCCAGGCAGATTGCAGCTGACATCAGATGGTCACGGGCTAGATGACGCATGATCCGTGGACTATTGGATCATTTGGCTGTCTTGGCCTTGGGTATGAAATTAAGTGAGGTAGTACAGGAGACTTAGGTTCCTTTACATTTTGAACATAAATGCTACTTTACCATAGCTTTTAGTGTTTTGGTTACAGCGTGGGCGATGGTAGTAAAAAAGAAGAAAAAAAAGCAAGAAAAGAAAAGAAAAGGGCATCAAAAAGAAGATGTAATAGTAATTATTTCGCAAAGCTTTACAATAAAGCACTGAGCAGGTAGGTGCGTTTGGGTGCAATCTAGAAATTACTCTTCAATGAACATGGGCATGAAAAAACACGCTGAGCAATAGCTATTATTAGAAGGTCTGTATGAGAAACCGCCCAAATCAATATAGGCCAATCGACGAAACGCATACACAGTATATTCGTTAACATGACTCATTCAATCCAACCCCTTGGAGGGTGACATACAGTCTTAAAAGATGATAAGAAAGTGCATGGTCCCCAGAAAAAATTCCTCCCAAGTGTCGTGCGCACCGGCACGGATACCTTTTATTAATTAAGAGATCAGCAAGTCTTTTACACTCATTCCCATCCTTTTTTGGGTGTCGTGTATGGAATATGCTCGACCGCCCAGTGGGCCGGAAATAGGATCAGCACACTCGTCATAGCCCACTCCCACACTTCGTCGGCAATCCCGATTCAGCATGAGTAGCGCAGCCGACGCCTCATGGTCAATATCCGCGGCAGAAGAATTGCGAAACTGTGGCTCAATCGATGGCGACGTCTGCGTCGGACCTAGTGTAGGGCTAGGGAGGACGGATGGTGCAACCTCAGAGGTCATGCCGGCCGAAGGCATGTGATCCTGAGGGGAGAATACCGGCGATGTCCTAATACTTTGGTAACCAGCAGGAGGGAGACCTGGAGATACCGAAGATGAATAGGTGCTGCCTGCAATTTCCGGGAGAAATTCGGGAGACGTTGGAGAGGGAGGAGCCGGCGGCATGCGCTTCGAAATCGCCGACTGCTGACCCGCAGCAGTTTTGAGATCTTGGATGCACTGTTCTAGATAATTGACATATTCAATACTAGCCTAGTACAGGAAAGACATCAGCACTCTGTTCGTAGAGAATGGGACAGATGTATCCAACAAACCTGTAATATGGATAGCTTGTGCATGTCCTGGCCTTTGCAAGCAGGAATCATGTCTTTCAGAGTCGCAAATTCTTCATTCATCTTGGACCTCCGTCGCCGTTCAATCAGACTGTGAGCTGTCTTTCTAGCAATCTTGCGACCGGCGGCGCTGGTGGCACTTGGCTGTTTCTTTTTGGATGTGGCAGGTGAGGCGTTTGCGGCATTCTTGTTGTTTTCTTTGGAGGACGATTTGTTAGATGTTGCTGTTGCCTTGGTCGCGCTCTGGGTCTTGGGCTTCATCTGAATGATCTTGCGGGTGCGGGTGGGAGGAGGAGGGAGGTCAAAACTGTCGAGGGCTCTCTTAACCCCAGTCTGAGAGGGCAGCTGTATAGTAGGTCCCGGACCAAAGTCTGGCGAAGTTGGCGAAGTGGGAAGAGAGGCGCAGGAATCAGCCTTAGATGACCTTCTGCTGGTACCGTACGGTACTTTTGACGGGCTCATTGCAGCCGGCGGCAAAGAAAATGAGTCTGCACCATCCACAGACAATTGTTCCTTGATGATGAACCCCCCCGACATTGCAGGAGTTGGTGGTAGACAGGAGCGTGACATGGTCTGGCGAGAGTGTGACAGCGATTGATTCCAGGTCGATGTCTTCAGACCAAAAAAAGGGAAGAATGACTATCACGGGATAGAGACTGATGCCCAATGAGACAAGGACGTAGGACAAACCAGCGGGAACGTTGTGCAGGGCTATCTGGGAGAGGCGGTGGCAAAGAACTAGCGGTGATCAATGCGTGAAGAAACAGGGGGAAGATAAGAGGTGAAATGCAGCAGATGGACCAGCTATAAGGGCCTGGCAAGAGGAAGAAGACCGAAACAGGGCCTGGCAAGGGGAGGTCCTAGTTAAAGGGGATCTATGGAACGGAAACGACATGGTGGAGAGGGCGAGAAAGAGTCGGGAGGAGATGAAGGTGCAGAAGTGGATGATCGACGGACTGGAGCTAGCGGTAGCAGATAAGAATACAATGGACTATGGACTATAGCAGGTACCTGGGAGAGCTGCCCTCCGACAGTGCAACTCCAGGTACTCTCGATGTGTCGCGTGCTGGGAGAGCCCACGCGGCGGGTCCTTGGGCGCTGATTGGCCGGGAGCTCTGGGCACGAGACCGACCAACAATTGGGGCTCGTGCTCGGCACGGCAAATCTTACAGGCAGCACGAAATTCCTCTGTGGTTCATGGCGGGTTGGGGGACGCTGATTGGCACCGTTATACTAAGCAAGGAACCATGGAACCAATGTCTATCCAAGTGACGCCTTTCCTGCGGGTATTGTGAGTTCCATGGGTTTAGGCTCTCATTTGTATCGTATTCCGACTAAAGGTCCAATTCTCGGATTCGCATATGAAATTGGGGGGAAAAAAAGAAAAAAGACAAAAAAAAAAAAAAAATTTACCAAATCGATAGCAATCGCTCGAGAATTGTTAGTATAACACATGAACGCCGCACTTTTCACTCCAGTAAAATCATTATCAACTCATTCCTCCGCTCTCTTTGATCCGTTGTGTGTATGGCCCGTCTAGACAGGCATCCAGGCACGTGCCCGTCTATCCTTCCGATACTGGACTCCTACTCAGTCCAGTCCAGTAGGCATGTAGTCGCTAGCCGGACATTACTACCTACTACTAGTAGGCAGGTCAGGGCTAGTTCCTCTGGTCTAGAAGCTTGTCATCCTCGAAATTAGCATCGACGACTGCACGCAACGTATGTGTCCCAGCTGTTACAATGTTAGCAGCAAAATTCTGACATAGGCCGGGACGTAAACACCAACCAAAAGTCTTCATCGTCAGGGACAGCCACGACGCACGCCTGGGCTGCCACAGCACAGATGGCTGGACAGCGGTCTACTTTCGGGTCGAGGTTTTGATTGTTATTGTTATTGGTGCTATGCTTGGTAGCAGGTTTTGCCTCCGATTCCTCGTCTGGGGTTACAATCTTAGGCCATTGTGTGAATTTGGGACTATTAAATCGAGTGCCGTTTGTCGGTGCCGGGGTCATGGATTCGTGAAGGGGGCCGGCGTGTGGTAAAGCAACGCTGGAGCCTGCAAGAGCGGCGATAATTGCAACGACAGCGCTGTTCATTTGCATCGTTGCTTCTCTGGGTTGATACCACGGAATAATTTGACACGATTCAAAAAAAAACAGTTCCCCGAACAGAGATGGAAAGGTCGTTGCGATGAGCTTTCTGAATTGATCGTTCACAAACAGCGCTCACAACTACAATATTACAGCTGCTACAGCCGCACTTATATAGGCATCTCTATGTACACAGTGTTAGATATGATCCCTTCGAATCAAGGTGATCTCAAATCCAGCCCCGCGTTGGCCTTTCAGCATTCCACGTTTCGATCTCCACTATGCCAGACACAACCTCAATTATTTATGCAGCATTCTCTTCGCGCTTCTCGTGTTTCAAGGATACTGAATCATTGGCTCGACAACATTCCATAGGAACAACAAATGGAACTACAATTCTATCTACTTTTTACATTCATCATCGTCGAGGGCTGGGCATTCCATCTGGGTTTTATTATCATGATGTCGTTACAAAAAATACCCTTGTTCTCTACTGTTCGACATCATGATAACCGTACGTAGAATTACACAATGCGGTGGTTTATGTCAGGATCCTAATTAATGGGCTCCGTGTATCGGAAGGTCACTCCTAGAGTTAGGTACCTGTCTTCTCGGCCGTGTCTCAATTTCATCAAACAATGTTTCAGCCTTTACCAAACGAAGGGATGGCTTTGCAGGTCACCTTGCTAGTGACCTATCCCGCCGATCGTCTCTAATTATGCTTGCTCCAGGACTCCTGAGGAATGATTCCCATCTCTTTTTATCAGGTTGGTCGATATTAAACACAAATATATAGCATCATATGTAATGCAACCTGCAGTTCATTCCAGCTATGCGATTCAAGACGTCTATATAATAAACTCTATAATGAGCTTCGAATTCCCAAATGTGGCGGTATCCCTTCCCGAGATTTCGTTCTCAAGGGATGGAGACCAAGTACAGGAACTTAATACGCCCCCAATTCAAGATCTAGGTGAAGAGTTTTTCCAGAAGGATATCCCCAAAGTTGTTTTCCACGGGTGAGCCATCCATTCTCCAGATGCGGTTACCAGCTCTTTGGCTCAACCAGAGGCCGTGGTCACTGGAGTGTTCCTCGTCTCCTTCAATACGATGCCGGTCCCGACGATCGACCACACAGTGACCCCGAGTCCACTGGCCGGTGGTCTCAACCCGGATATCCTCTGGCGAAGTAAGAGATGGCTTCCACCCCTCGTACTCCGCGGTCAGAGCGTACCACACGCACACGGGATCATGCAAACTGAGCTCGACATCGTCTCCCACCTGGCTCTGATGCTGTTTCTCTATAGTATGGAAGGTATGAGCCATGAAAGCCGCCACCCACTCCGCTAACGGTGAGCCACTTTCCAAGAGGGGTGTGATGGCTTTCCGGAACTGGCCACGCTTGAGGCCATGGCGATGGGTGATATCCAACGGGAATAAGCGGACCGTGAGCTGCTTGCTAAGATTTGGGGGATAGTTGGCTAGGCTAGTGCTTGCGATCGGAATCGTGGTCCTGGGAGATGGAGATGTAAGAGAGTAGACTCTGGCCGCGGCGAATGCATCGGCATATGTATTGAACTCGGCGACCGGAGTGACCTAAGTGGCGTCAACAACTACTACTAACGAAAAAACGAAGAAGTGAAAGCAACATACATTTCCAGGCTGGTTCACCGCGCCTCCCATGACAACGACTTCTTTCACACGCAGGAAGGCTTCTGGGTCGGCGGCAGAAGCCAATGCGAGGTTCGTCAGAGGGCCCACTGCTACCAGCGTGACGGTTCCGGGTTCATTCTCGCGTAGAACACGAAGGATCTCGTCGTGCGCCGGGTGTTTCGAGGGAATGAATGATCGGTGCGAACCATCACCCGTTGGGGCGGGATCAATGGCGGAGACCTCAGTCGATGGGTCAAAGAGATGTTCCCAGGTCTCTTTGGGAGTCAAGTGTGGATGCTGATAGTGTGCGAGTCAGCCAGATGCATTGAGTGAGCAAAGCCCATGTGAAACATACGCTGGCATGGATCCCTCCCAGGCCATCCGTTCCATCTGGCGGTCATTAATCAGTATATAGACAACAGCATGGACAAAGTAGGTAAACTATAACCTACGAAAGTAGTCGGCCAGCATTTTCTGGTCTTCTAAAGGACCCTCGGCGCCCACCGCCACGATCGGTGGGTGGGCGCGGAGAGCTCCGAACCCCCCTGGACGACCTTGTTCACGTCGCCACTGCATCTCGCGTTCAAGGATGTGAAACATGGAGACGGCATTGCGAAGACAGCTTTCGATTCATGGGGTCAGGATCCATGGTACATCACTGGGCATGTGTCGGCCTTCCTATCTCACCTTTTTACTTCGATGTTCCCAAACGTCAATGAGATCAGTAGCACCTCGACCTCATCCGGCGTTGCAGAGAGCGCTAACAAAAGCCCGAGAATATCATCGACCCCCTTGGCGTGCTACATGTCAGTTGCTGTTTGTGCCTGAACCAGGTTCTGTATAGAGGATAGTAGGCGGGAAGATCTATGGTGGAGGTCAGGGAAAGTATCTTCAACATACGGGATCAGTATCGATGATTATCTTCTTGGGTGCCATATTCAATTGTCAGATAGCCAGAGATTCTCGATCGGGTGTTGTACTATGCGAGTTGCATGCGAGAGGGAAAAAGAGTGCAAGGAGGGGGAAAAAACAATAAGCAGATCACGATGCATTTATTCCTCAATTGGGATGTCTTAGCGTTCGTGATAAGCGCTGAGTCATCTACCATGTATTAGTTAAGTTACCCTAACTATTCCTTCCACCTGCTTCGTAACCTGGTTCAGCTCCATCGACGAGGATCGGCATAGGATCTTCTAACAGCTCTTGCATTGTTCATAGTGAATGCTGCATTCTGCGTTTATCCTAAGTTTTATGAATTGCTTATTCTTATGTCCATGAGCCTGTAATTAAATGTACTGTATTTAACAAAGATGATACAGAACTCAGTTGAGTTGATTTTGCGAGTAGCATAGCTTCAAACGAGGATTTCACGTCTATAGGATCGAATCTTTCTGGAACGGTAGTAGTAGAATTACATATCCTCAACACATTCTATTGATGATAGTTATAGAATTCGAACTTAACTTTAATTAGGCAGTCAAACATATTGATCAGACAGAACCAATAGGGTAGTTTCGGGAATTTATGATCCTTCGTATGTATTGTTGGGCGGTGATTACTTCGCGGCCTTAGGCCGTAATGGCCCAAAAAGGAAGGTATCTGATCTGGAAGGCGTGACATGCCCTCTTCTTCCTTCTTCTTCCTCCACGCTTACATTTTTCCACCTACCTCTTGACAAGCTCGTCTTGACTTCCTGTTTTGGTCTTACGAAGGGGGTATTGTCTCAGAGACATGTAGACGATATTTAGATTGGTTGCTTTCTAGATGTTCTCTATTAAACTGCATAGGAAGGCATTTAAACACAAAGTGCAATCTGGAAAGTTAATGAACACTCCCAACTCTTTGCTGAACGAGTCCAATAGTCTCTCAGAATCACGAGAGGAGAACACTCCACTGGGCAACCGGTTAAGCATGAGGAATTTATCCTTATCAGGAAACGTGGCAAGATTCACCGCATCATCCAGATGAAGGGAGAATACCGGCGGTCGGACGAGATTACTACCACCAAGATCTATCTCTCGTTCAAAATGCCCATGCAGCACCACCGAGCTCAGCACCGTATCTGCAGACCAGTCCGTACTATTTGTCACGATATCCTGCCACCCAAGAGTTTTGTAATCCATATTGGGTCTGGATGCTTTGCATCACGCCCCGCGGGGTCGGCGATGATGAATGTGTATGATATCTTACCCGAACCAGGTTGACGTTCAGACAGGGCCCGATGATCTCAGACACCAATGGCAGCGCTAGACTCCGGGAATTAATGAACTGGTCGAACACGAGGTCGGTATCGCCGGCTTCACAGTGCAGAACGTATGGCCAGGTGGCCTTGACTAAGGTGGCCATAGTGATGGCCGATGGAGCCGTTATAGTCGATAGTTCTCGCGGGTAATATGCCGCTACCGTTTCTTGCCCCTCGAGCGTCTGCGAAACTAGCGGTACTCGATGGACCTTCGCTCCTGTCAAACAGGCCCCGCCAGTAGCGGAATACGGTGGGAGGGCGAAGACGAGCGCAGTGGAGTGTAAAACTTCCAAAGTCAGCCTCGATGCGATGGGGCTGGGACTCGTAAGCCTGGATTCAGCCCCCCGGTTACCCCGAACAAGCGAGGAGAGGTTCGATTTCTTAAAAACATCGACCAGAGCCAGATGTAACGCTTTGTTGCGTGCGACAGCCACGAGTTATCGCGCGGTTAACGAGTCGCCGCCCAGATCAAAGAAATTATCCCCCATTCACTATATCCCAGTTGAGCGACAGTATTTGGGCACAGATATGCTCCAGCGCCCTCTCCGGGTCCGTCGCGGGCGCTCGATACTCGGACAGAGATGAAGAAGCGACTGGTGACAACAGATTCCGCATTCAATTTCCGAATTTGGCAGTCCAATTCGTTCAAAATATTCCCTGCCGATATTGAGTCATCGCGCTCAGAAGTCTTTCCACTGTCTCATCTTCTGCATCTTCAAGCGGAACGGAATGACGGCAAGTTCACCAGTGTCAATGTATCTGCCGTCTGGGGGCAGACCAAAAGCATACCGTACAAGCCAGTATAAATTGCGAGGACCGTTGCCCACACGAGCGGAAGAGCAGTCGCCAGTGACTCTGGTGAGGTCTCATGAGAGATAACATGCTTGATCGTACTCGTGTTCCATGGAGTGTATGATTCGCAAGTGTAAGGGAAAATGCCCCAGTAAAGTCTATGTAATTGTGGCTTTCCTTGTTAGCAGACATTGTGGAGATAATCCGTTTGAAATCAGGTGCAGAACTACTCTTCCGCAAGGACTGAAAGCAATGTACTAACAATAGTACTAATATATATACTACTTAGGCTTTATCACACTGCATAACGAACCCCATCTGTCCTTCATGTCTATTTCAGCGGTGAGACCTACGTCAATTGTAGATCGTCTCGTCACTATATAAATATGTGGAACTAGTGAGTAGTGGCCTGCATGTTGGACATTTTCAGTACAGATGTACAACAGCCATTTTCAATAGGTTTAATATCAACTGCGTTTTATAAATTTTTACAGTATTTAACAATATATTTATATAGGCACTATGTTACTCCATACATGCCTGAGAAATAGTTATTTAATTACAGACTGGTGGCTTAGAACTAGTTGCGAATAGCTGCATTGTGATTTCAGAGGTATACAGGCCAGAGACTGTAAGAGACGTAATCTGGCTTACCACTGTTGATAAGGAAGACTGATTTTCCTTTTAATCCATGGAAAGCGTAGTATATGCCTTGGATGCAATTCTCCGGGCCTTACCGCATTGCCCTGCTTTATCAAGTCTTTTACCATGTGTTTTGCTTTAAATAAGCCTTTTAATGCGAGGAGGCAGTCCTCGAGGAGAGTCTGCAGGAGAGCTATGTAACCTGCAGCCTTTAGTGCATAATGAAGTAACTTTCTATTCTGAAGTCATGTCAAGTCCTAATCTATCGTGGTATAGATTAATATATAAAAATCTATACTAAACTACATACAGTTAGATTATCTAGTGCTTTAAATATGATTGGACTAGTAAGGTTATATTCAGACCAATAGGGCAATTTCGGGAATTTCGATCCTCCGCATAGAACTAGTTACTAGGTATTAGTAAAGTATGCATACATCTGATGGCGGGGCAAACAAATAAATACAGCAGAAACCTCCAAATCAACCCCAGACACAACTCTATCATGCATCTCCGACTGCCGCCTATTATCCTCGGTGGCGCTGGATTCAGCAACCAACTCCATCCCGACCCCCAACAGATCCCTATCGCTGACATCCTACGACGCGCCTTCGACGTAGGTATCAGAGCCATTGATACCTCACCATACTATGAACCCTCCGAACAACTCCTAGGGCACGCGCTGGCCAGCCCGCAAATAACGACCAAGTACGTGCGTAGTGACTACATCCTAATGACTAAGGTGGGCCGTATTTCCGCCGACAAATTCGATTACTCGCCGGGGTGGATTCGGCAATCCGTCCAGACATCCCTGCATCGACTCGGCGCCTCGTACCTGGACGTGGTGTTCTGCCACGACGTTGAATTCGTCTCCGTCCACGAGGCCATCGACGCAGTCGGCGTCTTACTGGAATTATCCCGATCCAACCAGGTCCGATTCGTCGGTATTTCCGGCTACTCGATTGATCGTCTGGTGCAGATCGCGCACGCAGTCCGGGAGAAATACCATCGTCCGTTAGATATCGTGCAGAATTGGGCGCAGATGACGCTGCAGAATACCAGGCTAGAAACTTACGGTATCCCGGCATTGCGTGAGGCTGGAGTCCGCGTGGTCTGTAATTCAAGTCCGTTGGCGTCGGGACTGTTGCGATCGGGCGACGTGCCTTCTGGGAAACTGGGAGATTGGCATCCTGCGCCGGAGGGCTTGCGTACCGCTGTGAGGAGGGCATCGGATTCGGTGGAAGCACAGGGATCGACTCTGGCGGGTCTGGCGCTTCGGTTTTCTCTGGCGAGAGCCATGCGAGCGTCGAGCAATGATGGTGGTGGTGGCATCTCGGTGCATACGATCGTGGGTATCTGCTCGCTCAATGATATTGATCAGAATGTACACGCCGCCCAGACCATTCTCCGTCCGAGACAGGAGTCCAAGACACTTGATATCTCCCGGTTGAGGGATGTCGACGCGGATGTTGAAGATGTCGACCTCGCGATGTATCACCAGGTCCGGGGGATCCTGGGCGAATGGGCGGAATACGACTTTGAAACAGGCAAGAAAGTGGATAGAGCGCCTTTGCTCTGGCGTCGCATCTCAATCGGATTGGTACTGCTGCTGCCATTGCTGGTTTGGTCCACTGATCTCGTTCCTTCGATTGAACTATGACCTATGATTCCATTGAGGCGACTTTAGATATACATATATTGAATGATGCTGTATATATTTAGCGTTGATGTTTATAATATAGTGGATCGTTTGTATAAAGACGTCCCAGGGCTGCCTCAAGCAGTTGATTCACGTTGACTGTCTCCATCCAAACAATCCGAGTATCTAGACAGTATCTAAATGCCCTTCATCCTCCTCTTGGATTAGTCTCCAAAGTACCGTGCCACACATTAGACCATTCAATGGCTTCTTTTATATTGATTTTTCATCCGTTTAACAGTGCGCCCCATCCCCGATGAATTGCGCTAAGATCGACTGTGCGGGGTACGTACGTACTCCGTACATATGTATGTGGGGAACGGCGCCATTATGTATTTCTATAGTTAAGTACTCAGATCATTATATTGCCCGACTTCATCAAAATCATCCATCAATCATCTGATTCTTACTCGATATATCTCTGTAACCTCGGCTAGTCCGGGGAGATGGACACATTCTCATTACCAAGCAACAATAATCGCAGTCGAACAAGAATTGCGCGAGCCTGCGACCAATGTAATCTCTCACGGACTCGCTGCAATGGCAAGACGCCCTGGTAGGCTTGCTTCTCTTCATCGCGTAAATACTCACTGACTTCCATGCATCCACAGTGGACGCTGTCTGGGTAAGCATTTATCGACCTCGATCCAATGTCTACTCTTGCTAATTCTGCTAGCCTTAAATTTGACGTGCCAATACGACCGTGAAATCAAAAAACGAGGTCGCAGAAGTAATGCATCCAAACAAAATCTCCGTCCTCTTAGATCGGTAACTGCCAGAGGATCTTCCGAACCGAACGACAACGAGGACAGTGACACGACGAGACCGTCTCGCTCGACATCAGTTAATGCGATGGGGGGATCCCAGTTGCGACGGGGTCTGGTCGCCTCCCAAGAAGGCGACCAATATGATCGCCTGCAACTGTCGCCGAGCACGCTGAGATCCCCGCACGATGAGCGAGCAGGTCTTGCTGTCGTGGCCGAACCACACCAGACGCTTCATTCTGCTCGAACGGATTCGTCCTCTTCCATCGCGTTCCCATTCTCCCCCCGTGTGACAGCCAGCCAGGGGATTCTCCTGCAGTATCCTTCATGTCGCTATCCATGTCTTGAAACGATTTTACCAGGGCTGAAAGGCTTCATGTCGCCCAATGAGGCCTGCAATCTCCTCGATATCTTCTTCACCGAGCCTGGAAATTCCCTCTCAAGCTCCCATTGTCCGTACGCTCTCACCACGATCCTGCGAAAAAGCTCGCTGCTCCATCAGTCCCGACCACGGAGCACGTCGCCTGCACTGTTGGCCACGATCCTCTGGTGCGTGGCCCAAACCGCCGACCGTCGGATCTACTACGTGCCTGGGGCTCGAGAACGCATCACTAGCCACTTGTATTCCCTTGCCATGTCATACCTGCGCTTGAGGGATATGGACAACTGGCACCGCGTGGCAGGTGGCTGGCAGTTGGAAGACGACTGCACTGTGAATGTTGATGGGTGCCAGTCGGATCAAGCACGGCGGACCTTCAGCGCGGGTCCGCAACCGACTGTGGATGACGTGCTGACGTTCACTCTTCTTGCCATCGTGATATCCGGCGGCGTCTTCAAGGCCGACTGCCTCAAGTGGTGGAACAAGGCAGTTTGCCTGGTCAAGTATCTTGGATACCACACTGAGTCGGGACTAATGGACAATACGGGCGTCTCGAACCAGCCCCTTGCCGCCATCGAAGTGCATGAAGAACGGCGGAGGGCATTTTGGCTGGTATATGTTCTGGACAGACATTTGGCGCTCTCATTTAATCGACCGTTGGATATTCTGGATGCCGAGTGTCAAGTTCTTAGTCCACTACCCGAGGATATCTGGCAGAACCTGGATATGATTTCCCCTGATGCCATACCACGCCCTGTTTATGGACCGCCCACCACCATATCCGGCCCTGGACTATTCGAATACTTCCTCCCTCTGATGGCCATCCTGGGGGATATCATCGACCTTCGACTACGGCGCCACCACCCTCGACTCCCCGTAGACGATGGTTCTTCATGTCTCGACACCATCCGACAAGCTCTAGCCCACTGCGAAACGAGCCTGGGGGAGTTCGCAGCCGCCGCAATGTCACCGACAGATCCCCCACCGGGAACCCTAACAAAGACTCAAGCGCAGCTGGTAGTGGCCTACGGGGCGTACATTATCAAGGTTCTCTACGTCCTCCTGCACGGTGAGTGGGACGCCGTCTCGATGCTGGAGGACCACGGGAACTGGATCGCATCGCCCAGTTTCTCCGAGTGTGCCTCAAACTCCATTGCGGCCGCTCAGTCCATCACCGACATTCTGAGTGTTGATCCGGAACTTTCATTCATGCCGTATTTGTTCGGCATCTATCTATTTCACGGCAGTTTCGTCCTGCTACTCTTTGCCGAACGAATGCCGCAGATTGGACCCAACGAATCCGTGGAACAGGCCTGCGAGGTGATCATCCGCGCACACGAGGTCTCGATCGTCACCCTGAGCACGGATTTTCAGGTTCGTCCACGTCTTTGTCGACAGGCCATTGTGGTCGGAGACTGACCGATCTCTTAGAAAACTTTCCGTAAGGCCTTCCGGTCAATCCTGTACAGCGTTCGACGCCCGGATTCGGTCGATCCGGAGTTTCCAGTGCTCCGGAAGGAGGTGTTGTCCATGTATCGGTGGACGATGGGATATCGGGGGCTCTGTCTCTGATATGTATAATATGGAATTAGAATATCCAGTAATTACTGAATTACATTATTATGTACGATAATTACCCAGTGTTTAAACAGCGATCATAGCCACGTGTCTACACAGATAGATATCAGCGAATACACCAATAGGACAATGCATGAAAGCTCATTGTCCAGTTCCGTAGTACTTCATACCATCGCGTCACACAGAAAGTCCACACGACCTGGACGTACATATTAGGTAAGTGACTCAGGTCCAGCCAGATTACACTCCAAGACACCCTGTCGAGTCTTCGCGGCACCGTGCATGACGCGATCTGCCATGTATCCCAGGCCCACAAGGGACGATCGGTATTTGGGACTATTGGACACCCGGTCTTGGTCGTTATCACTTGCAGATCGATAAAATAATATACTGAGTAGTGAGTAATCTATAGGAAATCTACAGATACAGAGTCTACTCCGTAGGTCCTGAGACCTGAAGATATTCATTGTTGATCTCTACGTAAATATCTGTAGACATGGATGTACTCTGGAGTACCTATTGGCGGATCCGAGACGTGGCCTGTTCGGATGGTACGTCCCGGTACCCGAAGACATGCATATCGTACTATGGAAGACTATGTACAGGACACAGGTCAGTCGCACGTGGGGCAAACCTCGCGCAACAAGCCTAACCGCCTTTGGAGGTCAGCTGACCTCCCGCCAAGAGCTCCGTATTTAATCCATGTTGCGCGACCTAAATTTTTTATTACCTTACCATATCCCTACACCGCTTTAACTAGCTACTTCACAGCAACACCAAATACTATAGTTATTATTTTATAGCGAAAGCAGGAAGGTGTTTATAAAGGAGAGAACTAAAAGCCTTCGGGGCTGTAGTAAAATATATAGGGTTCCCGACAGATAAGCAGAGATAACAAGAAGAAGGTGTATAGCGGTCGGAAGATATATATATATATTAACACAGGAAGCTACAATTCGGAACAGAACACTAATAGAAAGGGATAATTTATAACTTTAAATTATATAATTCAGCAGTTATTCAAAGAACCTATAGAATTCTCAGTCTAATTAGGACTATCAGGACTATCGTATTCAAAAAAAAATGCGGCGGTAGAGAGGGAGAACTAGTTAATAACTGGTTATTAACCAGTTCGGTCCCAGTTCCTGACGGCATGCTAGTCACTGGAGGTGGAATAATACCCTGAGAAAGTGACAGCTGTGTAATTGCTTCATATCTTGCTAACTGAGCTTCCCGCCATCGAATGTTTAAATCTAATTGTCGTTGATGGTAGCGCTGATTTATGCTGTTTTCAGAAGCAACCTGGCGAAGCGATGAGCCTCTCCGTCTAGGTAACTGGTTAGTAACTGGTTACAAGCTAGTTTCTAACTGATTTAAGCTTACCTTGAGCCTCGTTGCCTAGATGGAGTTTGACCTCTTGACCTTGAACTAGACCGTGAACTAGACCTTGAACTAGATCTTGAACTCGATCTAGATCTGGATCTAGATGTAGATCTTGTATGAGATAAAATGGAGAACCTGAAGAGGTATAAGGCTGTATAGGTTCCTCGATGGTATCAATCGGGGCCTGTAATGAGGAATTCGATGATTGTCGACGGCGTTTTCGCTCTAAATAACTATTTAGTAACTGGTTACAAACTGGTTTGGAACTAATTACTAATACTTACGTTCTCTGATCAGGCTATTTGCATACCGCTGGGCAATAGTGTCCGTACGATAGGAATGATGAATATTATAATTATTTCGGCTTAGATACTGATCCACATCTCGGGAATCAAGTTGGTAAGCCCTATTTAACTAGTTAGTAACTAGTCAAAAAGCAGTTAATAACTAGTAAAAACATACCTTTCCACAGCTTTAACTAAAGAAAGTTTTTTCCCCCACATATATCCCTTTTGATGTGACTGTTCTCCAGCATTGGTATGAGGTATAGCCTTTTGAAAAATACTAGAATCCATTCTAGAACAGAATCTATTAAGACCAGCTGCAATAACTGGGTCAGCTTTATGAGCTGCCCATTGTTGGATCTTCTCATCATTATTTTCGTAAACTGGTTATGAATCAGTTAGCAACTAGTTTATAAGTACTTGGAAATTAGTTAGATATACTTAAAAGTTGCTGAATCAGATCATAGTAATCTGATTGACTTTGACAATCTAATAAAGATGCCATGCGATTAAAAAGCTCTGTTCCACGCTTCTGGCGGCCGATAGTTTGATCAATTCCTCTTAAAAAAGTGCACTCGACAGAATATTAGTATATTCATTAAATGAAACTCAGCTGGGCGGTGATCTGGGTCAACAGAAGTAAGATATTGACCAAGTCCTTATTAATAACCAGTTAGCAAGCAGTATTTAATTAGTTATAAGGTGCTTAAACTAAAAAATTACCTTTTATCTGTCCGTCATCCATATCAACTACAAGGCTCTCAATCCCAGATCCATGAAGATACTTAAATTGTACTTCAGATCCAGAAACATCTTGAATAACATCAAAACAGTCTGAAATAAAAGCTTATAGCCTTCAGCATCTTCACGATTTGTAAGAGCACGAAGCAGGGTAATAACTATAAAGTAGTTAATAACTAGTTAGTAACTGGTTAAAAACTACTTTAGAACTACTTACTTTTCCCATGCTCAGGAAGAAATGCAGCAAATATTACTTCCTTTAGCTTGTTTGCACGTATTCTTTTATAACTCATATCAATTTCAAACGAGGTAAGTGACTTAAGAAGCATAATTTGCTCTTTTAGTCCACATATAATTATTGTGGTTTCTTCTGTATTAAGAATACGGTGAACATACTCCTAGCAATTAAAATTAGTTAGTAACTGTTTTAAAACTAGTTAAGAACTAGTATATAGATATCTTACCTTCAGCTGAGAATTCCGCTCCATTTGAAATTGAAGTCCGTTTAGGTACTGTCCTTGAGGGTATAAGGCCAGTCGCTCCTTATAAATCAAAAGTGAAAAACGATCCATATTTGCAAAACTTGGATGAATCTCTGTTAAACTATTACAATTATAGTTTTGACAGAGGTCTTGCAGCTGAGGGCTTCGTAGAAACGTAGCTAAGTAGGTATTAGTAACTAGTTTATAAGTACTTTGTAAGTAGTTAAAAACTAGTTAGCAACTAGTAAAATATTGAACGTACTTAATTTCAGCTCAGGATCTTTAAGGTCCTGGATCAGCTTTCGAATATCACTCATAATTTCAGGTGGTGCTTTAGAAGGTGGAGGAGGTGGAGGATGTATATGCTTTCCATGTGATGTAAAAGCATAAAAGGACATTCAAGTATATCCTTTGGTATAAGAATATTAAATACAACATCACAAGGCATAATCTTCAGATCTTGTACACCGTTAGGATGGTCAAATCCTATAAGCATTTATAAAGTGGTTAGCAAGTGGTTAATAACTAGTTAAAAGCAGTTCTTACCACAATGTCCTCGACGTGTGTGAACTCCCTCAATTACTCCACAACTTCCAGATACAGGAGTAATATTCTGAGTAAAAAATATTGGACAGAAAATTGAGATCAGTATCTGTTCGAAATGCTAAAGATTGAAAAAAATGATCCTTATAGTTGGTAGGAGTGGAATTGCTGCAAGTAATATAAGGATGATAGACACCTGCAACAGTCTGTAATTAGTTAATAACTAGTTTGGTAGCAGTTCTTAAGCGGTTTATAACCAGTTACTAACCTGCTGAGCTGGCCATTTGAAAACAGGAGAGCAACTCTCCAGCCATGAATGACATGCTGAGTGCCTTTTTAAAGGCACGCTGAATACCATTATAAAGCCTAGTAATTAACTAGTTAGCAGCTAGTTAACAACTAGTTAGCAACAAGTATTACCCATATGCCTTTCGCTTTCTGATATCCTCTTCACTTGACTCAAGTACTTTTCTTATATCTCGAATTGAATGCCATGTTGCATCATCAATTTTGTAGTGATCAAGATGCAATAATGTAGGATGAAGGTTAGAACAAATCTTAACTCCACTACATTTATATTGACTTCGAAAGACTCCTACTTGTAGGAAAGGACAAATAGACGAGTGTTTTTGATATCGTTGCCTAGAGGAATATTGAATCTTAATTAGTTAATAACTAGTTATTAAGCAGTTAGAAACTAATTCAAGAGTAATTACCCCCTTTATAATATTCTGAACTTCAGGCGGCCTCCTTGGGCTAAGTGGTATAATATAGGTATGCCCACCCTCACCTGACTCCGGATATTCAGGAAGAGTAAGAGAATATTCAATTTTATGAGTAATCAATCGTGTTTGCATGCCATTTGTTAGAACAGTAGGAATTACTTCCTAATAACTAGTTAGTAACTAGTTATCAACTAATTATAATCACAAATGTAATATAATAATGGCAAACCTGATCGATTTCATTAAAATTCTCAGCATCTGAGCCCTCATCCTGGCTGAGGTAGGCAACATCACTCGTAGTACTCATCTTTGTATAATGGAAACTAGTATATAACTAGTTATGAAGCACTTAGAAACTGGTTGTGTTTTTTCGAAATTCTGCCGCGGACGGAAATGGAATAGGGAGATGGTAAAGTAATGAAAAATTTAGGTCGCGCAACATGGATTAAATACAAAGCTGTTGGCGGGAGGTCAGCTGACCTCCAAAGGCGGTTAGGCTTGTTGCGCGAGGTTTGCCCCACGTGCGACTGACCTGTAGTCACGACTATGTAACCTAAGGATATGGACCTAGTTACCTAGGGCTCTTTTGCCGCTATTAGGTTAGCTCCCAGGTGACTGTCCAGGTCCTGTCATGGTATCGGTATTACAACTCCTCTCTTCGCCAAGAATGGGATTTATTGCTGAGGTTTCGTCTATGTAGTTCTATGTGCGGAGTAGTAGAAAGTACATTACTATCAACGGGGGGAAAAGACGGGGTTACCGGCGAATAGAATCCCGAGGACACATAGATCTTCCCCGCGAGGAATCGAGTTTTGTATTGATTTCTACTCGTAGGTTCTTAGGTAAGTGCCTATGTAGCTAGTTAGTTATGTATAGCTTCACTTTAGGTGATTCCGGTAGCTATAAGCATTCAATACTTAAGATTTACCATGATTCAAATGGATAATCGATCTATGATAGTTTATTAGAGAACTCTGGAACAAGTACTGTTATAATAAATTCACAGTGGAGACGCTAGTGTATCGTAACTAATACTCATCATGAATACCGCTGACTACGCCCCTTCATCTCAAGCCCTCGACCGTGTCCTCTTCTGGCTGCCTCTTCCACTCTCTTCGCCCACCATCTGCTTCCTTCATTTTTCTCCCTCCTTCATCTCGCCTTTTTCTTGCTCCTCCGCTCCCCTTCCCTCTTGAGGTGATTGGCCGCTTCGATGCTCCTTCGGTGACCTCGCTTCTTTCGCCTTCTATCCCGTGCTCGTCTCCCGCCCTCGAGACACTTTCAAAGCGCTCATCTCCGACCAGCGAGCGCATCGACGATCCTGTCACCTCTTCCTGCTTACTTGTTACAATAGCCCGACCTTGTGCGAGCTCAAGTTTCGAACTCAGCAGATAAGTCCCCGGCATCGCTGTCCAATTCGTCGGTGTCCGAGGACCGCGAACGCAATCTGGCCTTTGCAACCTTCGCTTCTGTCGCCCACCGTCGCCTGATGTTTTGAAGCTGGATTAAACGCGCGCGAGAGATCGCTTGATATTCCCTCTTCTCAATTGGTGTTTTATTTTCCCTTGTTTTCCTTTTTCTTTCTCCCCCCCCCCTCAGTGGTCACCCATCATTGACTTCCGGCGCCATCGGTGGCTTTGTCATTGTGCCTTTTACGACCCTTGCTACGTCACAGTAAGAATAAACAGCGAAAGTGGGTTTCTTTGGTGACATCCTCTTGCTCGTGTGCATGAGCTGATAGTGAATGTATAGTATTTAATGACGATGAATCCGTATCTCAGCTGGGCGATCCTGCTGGTTGTGGCAGGTGGCCTGGGCTGGTATTACAATGGCCCCACTCCCAAGATTAATGCCCCTTTCAAACCTGTCGTGGAGAAGACAGAAATTACATCGGCTGTGAAGAAGCCAAAACGCAAGGCGAGGAAGTCTCCCGAGCCCTCGTCTTCTCCCGCTCCAAAGATCGAGCAGAAGTCTACATATGAGCCTGCGGCTCAGGAATCTGACAAGCCGGATGAGGAGATCGATCAGAAGGAAATGGCCAAGCGCTTCACGGCAGTGAAGAACGGAACCATTGCTCAATCCAGCGACAGCGGCAGTAAGTCCCAGAAGAAGAAGAACAATAAGAGGGCCACCCTCAATCAGCCGGAGAATGGCAACAGCGAGCGGTCCGCCTCGCGTGTTTCTACCCGCACTTCGTCTACCACGGGAGCTGATGCGGATGATGACCTCTCCCCTGCTGGTTCCCCCTCCGTCAATGCCACCGTTCCTTCCACTGGTTATGTCTCGGATATGCTCGAAGCACCTGCTCCTGGAGCATCGGTCCTCCGCGTCACAGGCTCTATGGATCAAGAATCCCAGAAGAAGAAACAGAAGCCTCAGTCTTTCAAGCAGGTCGAAACCAAGAAGCAGCGTCAGCAGCGCCTGAAGAATGAAGCCCGGAAGCAGCAGGTCCAGGAGGCCGAGGAGCAGCGACGTAAGCTGCTGGAGAAGCAGCGCCATACGGCTCGTGAAGCGGAGCGCCAGGAAACTCCCCAGGCTAAGCCGGCGTCTCAGACCAGCGCCTGGCAAACCAAGATCGCCAGCAACAGCTCCAACGGTGCCTCCCAGGCGGCCGCCAAGGTGGATTTGCTGGACACCTTCGAGCCGGAGAGCAAGTCGAGCCAGCCGGCACCCTCTGGCGAATGGGATCAAGGTCTCCCCTCCGAGGAGGAGCAGATGCGCATCCTCGGTGCTGGTGATGACCAGTGGACCACCGTCTCTAGCAAGAAGATTAAGAAGAAGGGTGGCAAAGATGAGAGTGAAGCCAGTGCTCCGGAGACCCAGCCCACTGCCACCTCTGCCCCTGCCCCCGTTGAACCTAAGGTGAAGGTGACCCCTACCTATCTTCCCGACATCCTTCGCTCCAAGCAGAAGGGTCACCCTCTCGACTCCGACTGGGCTGCTTAAATGAAAACTTGGCCTGGTCTAGCGCACGTGCGCCTATTTTTATTTTTGCCTTGGTTTTCTCCTACGTACCCATTTCACCTTGAGTTGTATTTATTACTTTTACGGCTTTGGCGTTTGGGGTCTTTCTATTATACCACAAAGGCACCATGCCGTTCGGCGAAGTGTTTTTTGCGTGTCGCCGATTTAGCGAAACCGACAAAAATATAAAAGAAAAAAAAAGCCTCGATTTCGAAACCACTCGCGACCAGGAAGACAAGCCCCATCCAAAACAAAAACAAAAAAAAAAGGTTATCTATTATTCCACTTTTTTCATCTTCTGTCTTACATAGAGTCATGTACTTTTTCTTTTTTTTTTTTTTTTGGCCTTTTTTATCATCGATTTTCCCTTTTTTTTTTTTTTTTTTTTTTTTAAAAAAAAAAAAAAAAAAAAAGAAGAGACATATTATTTGCTCCGATATAATTCATGAGAGAGGACGTTTCTGCCAAGGGCCCGACGTTGGACCGGGCGAATACCATGCATCTGTTGTTGCTATGTGCATTGATATTTCCATTGATATTATTATTATTCCCATGTATTTTAGCTGAATCACTAGCGATGGGGGGACATGAGCCCGGCAGGGATGCAGTTGGGGATGGAACGTTTCAGCCAGAAACCGACACCTGGCAAGTTCTCCCCCTTGGCTGGTCCGGTTCCTTGTTTCTTGGGATTGATTGTTCTTGCTCCGTAGGTCATCCACCAAAATTTTTAATCTCCTGCACCTGGAACTGTCAGTCTGGTCTTTCCTCCAGAGGGGATCACGCTCTTCCGCCGGACGTAAAGTAAAATCTATTTTTATCGATCTCAATGCAGTCCACATAGACCGATCACGGGACCAAATGCCATAGACGATGTTACGAGCCTGAAATATCAGGACACTCATTGCATAATGTCGTCATTGGCTGGTGTGATCTTGGCAATCATACCATACAGGGACTAGCGCCACCCTTTCGGTCATCGTGGCCTGAACTGTAAAGGGAAGTCACGGCGAGTCGGCGGAGAAGCTTCCATTCGTTTGTTGCTGTCCTCTTCTCTTCGCCCTCTCCCTTGGTTCGACTATTATCGTCCTGCTCAATCGTCCTATTCTTCCTCACCTTTCGTTCTGACTTCTCCGCTTTCCCGTCTTCTTACTTAGATACCTCCGCGTCCCCAGTTTGTTCTGCCTCCTCCCCGAGCGGCCGAAGGATACGAGAAACCAACCGTCTACACCTCTCTGGCTAGCCTTCTCAGTCCTCTCCCACCTCGCCCACCTCGTCCACTCTCATCCCGCCATGGCGCAAATTCGCGGCACTGCGGGCTACAATCTCGGTCATCAGAATCCGTTCCAGGGACCCAGCCGAGCAGATGCAACGAGTGACCCGAGCCCCTTGGATGCCATTCGGCAGCAAACCAGCAAGATCGAGGATTGGCTGGACACCGTGTCGGATCCTATCAAGCCGTAGGTTGCCATTTGAGATCTCCCTCTACCCTCCTTTCTTCCCCTCTCTGGTTGTGTTCGACGATCCAACCGCAAGCAAGTCCCACGAATGAGAGAGTTTCGGTTAGTCTCGCTGACACGGTGTCTTTTGTTACCCCTCAGGTACCTACCAGCCATTGGACGTTTCTTAATCGTGGTCACCTTCATTGAAGACAGTCTGCGGATCATTACACAATGGAGCGACCAACTTCTGTATCTTCGTGACTACCGGAAAAGTAAGCCTTGCTTCGTGCGCTCTCTCTCGCCCGCTGGAGTGGTCAATGGGGTCTAACTGCCGAGGTGCTTGCAGTTCCCTGGGGTATCACCCACACCTTCCTGATCGTGAACGTCATTGCGATGTCGATATGTTCTTTCCTCGTCGTGGCTCGCAGACACACCGAGATTGCGGTCGCCGGTTTGTTGGGCGTCGTCGTCACCCAGGGCCTTGGATACGGACTCATCTTCGACCTCAACTTCTTCCTGCGGAACCTCAGCGTCGTCGGCGGTCTTCTCATGGTTCTGTCCGACTCGTGGGTACGCAAGAAGTTTGTGCCCGCCGGACTACCCCAGCTCGATGAAAAGGACCGCAAGATGTACGTTCAGTTCGCCGGGCGCGTGCTGTTAATCTTCCTCTTCGTTGGGTTCGTCTTCTCCGGCCAGTGGACCTTGTGGCGAGTGATTGTCAGCCTGGTCGGCTTCGTCGCCTGCGTCATGGTCATTGTAGGCTTCAAGGCCAAGTGGAGCGCCATCATGCTCGTCGTCTTGCTGAGTGTGTTCAATGTGCTAGTCAACAACTTCTGGACTGTACGTTTGCTTGCATGAATGAGCGTGGCCCCGTCTCCTAGGACTAACCTATGGTTCTTTGCAGCTCCACCCTCACCACCCCCACAAAGATTTCGCCAAGTACGATTTTTTCCAGATCTTGTCTATTGTGTAGGTGTCCCACGAGCTTCCCCGCTTGTTCCAGTCGCCGGTGCCGTTCACTAACGATTTTTTTCTCTCTCAGCGGAGGATTGCTGCTTTTGATCAACATGGGGCCGGGCCAATTGAGTATGGATGAGAAGAAGAAAGTCTACTAAGGTAGACGACGACATCAATGGGGAATGAATGATAAAATGCGAAAACACCCTTCGTGTTGTCGTGATATTTTTTATGGGATATTCATAACTAACCCCCCCCAACGGAGTATTTATACGATCCCTTCCACGTGTTTCCCTTTCCTGCGTTTCATTTAGGTTTCATTTTCTTCGGTTCTATTTTGGAGATTCCGCTCTCAAGGAGTTCCACGACCATTTGTTGGCTATCTTCGCTGCAACAAATCCATACATCTCTGCAGCACTAAGCATGCAAGTCAAACAGTTAAAAATGCACTTCCGGATTTATACATATTGATGTATGAATGTATGCATTATATTTATCATCTGCATGTCGTAGACCATGTCCACCCGTTTGAGTGGATGGGCGATGGAGAAATTCTGGAAGTCGCTGGATATACTCTGTACAAACCGAATATAATACACAACTTTCATTAATTGATTGATTGGTAAGTTGATGGTTATAAGCAAACATTGAACGGTCTATATTAAAGAATAGAAAGTCAAGGACAAAGAAAGAAACTCAAGACTAGACATATGTTCATTAAAAGTATTATACACGAAAGTAAGAGATATAAAACAAAAAGGAAACGGACAAGGGGGAAAACTCAGATAAAGGATGGTAATCTGTGCTGTCACGATGCAGGAAGAAAGTAAGGAGAGGATGTGCATGCAGGCTTGCTTAGCTAGAAACAGACAAAAGTAGACCAGAAAGAGGAAATAGTTTACCACAAGGAAAGGAAGAATACACGAAGGTAACTGGCTAGGGCGTGTACTGGGCCGGCCACGTACATATGCACTGTGGATCTTGGACTGGAGTTTATGCTCTTTTCCAATGCGAGGGTAGATCGAGAGGTTGGAAGGAAATCAAAATGGAACCCCCCCCCCCCCCACCAAAAAAAGAGAAACACAGTCAATTGAGGCAATAGAAAGGGACCAAATGCTTTTATCCGCTGCCAACGCCGAGCAAAATCGCAAGGATGAAAATGCATCACAATGGATATTCTAAGGACAAGAGTGAGAAAGAAAAACGAGTAACCGAAAAAATCTGGGCGGGATCAGATGTCCATGCTCCATCGCCAAGGCCGTATGGGTTTGAATTGACCCAGTCCCACTTCTTCATGTGGTTCGTTGATCTCCAGGTGTAGCAACTGAACCTTTTGATTGTCGCGTGGTCCAGTAGAGAGGGTCTTCGAGATTGCGGGGCGGAAATGCTTTGCGTAGCCTTCGGTGTCCTTGGAACCGGGCCGTGAGATCGGCGTCTGCGGGGAATGCATCGAGGCTCTTGGAGACTCCAACTCAGAATCGGTGGATAAAATGGACGAATCGCATTGGAATTGAACAGAAGTCGATATAACAAAATTAGACTCATCACATCCATAGGAGGACACAGCTTGGGATGGTGGCTGAATAAGTTGGTCCTCCATTTTTGTTTTACCAGTAGTTGAGGGTTCGGGATCAATGGAGGATGTCAATGTCGGAGAGGGATTTAATGTCTTCCTTTCCGTATTCTGAGCTGATATAGGTGGCAGCTGGTAGTTTCTTTCCCCCGCTGGAGAGAACTTCTGGTAGCAACTAGTCCGAACAGACGCACTAGTACGTTCTTTTCCGGCCATAACCTTAGCACTTGGTGGTGGTTGCAACATCCATCGAGTTTCAGCCCTACTCTTCGGTCCACTAACAATGGGAGGGTGGAGGTCATTAACCGGGGGTACCCGAGCGATATAATACTTGCTGGGTTCCTTCACATCCGTTCGACCGCGTCCCGAGAGACCAACCGAAGACCCTTTGACCTCCACTTCCTGTCCCCATAGTGGTTCGTCTTCACGCTGATATCGCATGCGATTCCACCGGTCACTGACAGGCTGCATCAGACTGCCTTTGTCCTTCTTCTGTGCCGAACCTCCGGTGCGTGGTACGTCGTTCGCTGAATTCGCAGACTGTGCATCCGTGTTCCAGCTGTCCGTCCGGCGGTGAGTGTTCCGAAGACCGCCCCTTCGTGCCGGAGGGCCCGGTCCCAGAGTAATCTCTTCCATCCATCCCTGGTTGGTACTAAACGGCGTAGGCTGTGGAAACGGTCGAGGCTGATCGGTAACAATGGCATCGAGTTTCTCCTTTTCACGCTGCGATCGGGCGGCATCCTTCCTGCGTTTTCGACGGTCGACGGAACTCGCACATGGAGTGCACGTGGCATAGTAGAAGACAGCCGACTGAGCACCTCGATAGAGCCACATAGCGCAGGATCGGAAGCGGTGAGGAAGAGATGAGAAGTCTCAGTCAAGTTAACAATCAGGCGCTCACGAGGCCAAAATGGCCCGAGGACACAATCGAGTAAAACCTGACACTTTTCGCGACGGTGATAGCAACATGAAGGGCGTACGGGAATTCAGGCTTGATATCAAGCGGCAAATGGTGGGAAGCAAGGAATGGAGGTCGCCCAGCGACCTACAACGTCTCGAAGGGGGGAAAGAATCCGATAGGGAGAAATCAGGGGTCTAGGAGGGAAAATCAAAGGAGGAGGACGATAAATAGAGGCGAAGAGAGGGAAAGAAAGTGGAAAAGGAACAAAACAGAACAACGGAGAGAAAAGAGAGAGAGCGAGAGTGAGAGAAAGAGAGTGAGACCGTCAGGGGAAGAGGATGAGGACGGTTGGCTCAACTTGGCAAGGGCGGGGCGCGCGGCAGAGAAACGGCGCTACGGTCACGCGGCTGGTCACTACAACTAAATTGTCTCTCATACAATATGGTACTCCGTCTAGTACAGAACGGCGTATGCGGTCGATATTTATTTCTGACCATTTCTGACCATCTCTCAAGAACTGCCACTGAGAGAGGCCTATATGAGCTGGGCACCAAGGGTTGTCTGGGCCAATGCGCTCGTCTCTAATCCCCTTCGTTAGTCGCTATTAATTAACTCTGACGTAGGATGGTCTAGAGTGCTTCCGATCCTGGTGCCAAGCTGACCATCCCCAAAGGTCCTAATGGCTGATACTGGTTCAAACGTCCTATGTATCAGATATCGTATTGAAATTACATGGAAATGCTCTCAGAAATGCTAGCTAGACGTGCAAAAAAAGAAAGAAAAAAAAAAGAGAAACAAATCGGTGTGCAATTGCCCTAGTATCCAAACTAAGCGACCAAAAAAAGGCTGTAGAAATCAAAGGGCGAAAATGAAAAGTGTTGCCTACTGCTCGCTTCCCTAAGTACACTTCTCCCTTGCACCCATCAACGAATAATCATGGAACAACGAAGCACCATGTGTATTAAATCCTTGTTCCATTCCCTGTTCTGTGGCTCCGGCTATCACCAATCAAAATCCCAGTGTATATTCGTAGCATCATTTGTCGATTCCAAGGTCGCCCAAGAGCACGTCACCGTCCACTCCCAGGCCACAGCTATTATATGATGTATGTCATGATATCGGTCGAGATATCAATTACCATGCAAGTCATTGCTCTGCATAGTGGCTGAGAAGCGAGAACACTCCCCGCCTCATGGCAACAAGTGCAGAGAGGAAGCGCACTACCTGCGCAATACCTGACTGCTACCTTCTCCATGGGAAATACAAAATCACCAAAGCCACATTATCACGTTTCGATCGTCCACATCAATCGTGTAAAAATAGAGTCCCGTTTCTCCCTTCTCCCTCCCTTCCTCTCTCTCGCCTCCCCCCAACGGAATCGTCGCTCCGAGATATAAGGTTAGCATCATGTCTCATGCATTCTTGGTGCTCCGGACCACCTCGCCCTTAACTTTGCTCCAATCAACATCATTATCAATGCCCTCGTCCACTTCACCGCATAGCACCACATTATCGCCTCGAATGAGGTACAGGCCATGTTCAATCTGCGAGCTCGGCTCCGGGTCGTCCGGGGTCCGAATAATCCGTTCAATGGTATCCATGAGGACCAGGTTCGTCAGCTGATCGGTAGAGAGGAGGGTCCCGAGAAGGGTCCGCCCATCGACCGTCAGAATCAGGACCTTTTCTACAAGTTGAATCAATATGTTAGTATTGCTCCGGGGGAGGGACAGTCGGTTTCCATTGGCGATAAAGGGAGAGCAAAGGAGACACTTACTGTTGATATAGGAATGAAGCGACATGGCGAGGAGTTAGGAGCAACTGAAAGGAGGAAACGAAAGTAGAGAACGAGACGTGCGTAAACCAAGCCCCCAACAAGACCCGAGGCACCACCCGGCGCAGGGTTCGAGCTGTCGCTCTTTCTCACAAACCAAGATATCCCCAATTCGCTCAATCTTCTGCTGTGTTTTGGGATCTTGTAGTAGAAAGTGAAGTCGATAGCTTGTCAAATAGTTGAAAGTCAGCCGATATAGAGCAAAATGCTAGAGGCTGCCGTCGAGAGTTGACGCGTTGTGAGATCGCGTGTAGTGCCAAATTTTCTTTTTTTTCTTCTGTATTTTTTGCCCACGCAGAACACGGCGCTGTATACCACCTTTTTGAAGATCAATATAATAGCGGAGTCTCAAAATGATCGGCAGGCCTCTGTTTGAGCGGTTCAGTTGCACGCCGCAGCAACGATGTCTTGCTTCACAACGGCAATATGCCGTATCGTCACGTGATTGGATCTTTGACCTGGCTTGCCCAAACTACAGCCAGCTACTCCGTACCAATGGATTAGATATCCTCGGTGTCCTTCAAGCCCACCTAGAATGTACTAGATCTCCATACAGGAAGGCAGAAGGGAGAATCATAAGGAGGAAGTGGAGGAAGGGGCTCTTAAATTGCTAATTTGTACATGAAAAAATGCGGCTTCGTTCCTAGTGTTTACTAGCTATCCTTGTAATAACAATACGCAAGTCGTGCTGCAGACCGTTAATCTGCAAGCTTGCCGTTGTCCGTGATGGCGGTCTCAGCCACTTAAAGCGCTCAAACTCAATGGCACACTGCTGCCACGACCAGCCCGATACCGACGGGAACCTCCAGTGAATGGGCGGGGCTTAGGAAGTAATCCTTCGCTTTGGAATTTAAACCGATTGTCATCTATCATAATCATCCCGTGCGCACCTGCGTTTCGCGGATTTGATCCCGGCGACGGCCCGCCGTTGCTGAGGGTATAAGCGCTCGGATCCAGAGTAGAACGGTCGGCGAGATGAGTGGCCTGAGGTTCGTGCGAGGCTGGGCGCGGAGGTGGCTCACTTGGAGGTGCAGTGGGAGGAGGTGGAGGAGGCACTGATGGGGCAGACGCAGCTGGAGGGGGCGGCGGCGGAGCCGATGGGGTCGGCTGGTTATGACCAAGCGCATTCCTCGCAGCTTGGATTGCTATCGAGGCAGCCCCCGTGCTGTTCGGCGGTTGCGGTGCGGATGCTGCAGGTGGTGGGGGAGTAGATCGTGCCGGCGCTGGAGGTGGTGGCCGGGGCGGAGCGGAAGCCGTAGGCGGAGGCGGAGGTGGCGCCGCTGGACTGGTAGAAGGGGGCGGAGGTGGTGGCATGGGAGCCGATGTTTTCCTTAAGGACACAGGGGGCGGTGGGGGTTGCTTTGCTGCCCCCGGGGGTGGAGGGGGTGCGCGGGGAGGCGGTGCATCTTGGGTAGCTTTGGCCGAATGAGCCGAAACAGTCGACGATGGTCTCGGTGCTGGTCGTGGGGGAGGCTTGCGCAAGTTATTAACTAGAGGATTAATCGGAGGAGCAGGAGGGGATTCTGTAGAATGTGGACGTGGAGGTGGACGTGCCCCTGGCAGTTTCGGGGCAGGCGCAGCAGGAGGGTTGGGTAAATGCGAGGCATCGGAATCTGATAAATATGGAGAGTCCTTGTTGGCCCCAGTATCCACACCCCCTCCTCGGCTGCGCAGTTTGGGCATGCCTCCGGCGAAGAGGCCGCCAAGTTGAGGAGCTGTCGGAGCAGCTGAGCTACTATCGACCCCTGAGCCAGTGTCACTATTACTTCTGAGTCTGTTCGCAGCCCCGGCAGGAGGGGCGGGGGGTGCAAGTCCACTGGGAGGCTTTGCCATCACAGGAACAGGTGGTGCTCCCCCAACTGGAGGCCCAGAGGCTTTGGCACCTCCGCCTGCGATCAATGGCGCGGATCTATCATTGGTTACTGTCTTCTTTAACCGGGTGCCTTTGGAGATATCTGAAAGTAGTGCACTCTAGCAAAGTAGTCAGCCAATTGAAAACACTCATGCTTCCAACCCACTAAGCTCACCCTATCCTTCACTTCTGACTTCGCTGGTCTATTGGGTAAACCCCCGGGAGGGGGTGGGGGAGGAGGAGGACCTCCCATCCCGCCGGGCGGCGGCGGCGGAGGAGGCGGAGGAGGCATTCTTTGAGGCGAGATACAGAGAGGTTATCAAGAGTAAGCTGTTGCGATCACGAAGGGATCAACTGCCTGAGATCGGGCAGAACATTTGTAGTTTGCCTTGGTAAGAGGGTGGGAGTAATCAAGGCAGCCTAGGTGATGGGAGGTGTAGGAAGGTTACCTAAGCATGGCGCCGGCAGTATCTCTCCGCCTTGTTATTCGGGTTTCTCTTGACGGCTATGCTTGTACCTGCATCTCCCATGCGCACTCGCTGTTCAGCATGAAAGGCATTGCTTTAAGAGGACAAAGGGCTTCAAGATCCCAGGCTCTCGTCTGCCAATTATGCCAAGTATCAACACCCGCAACTCCCCGATCTCGAACACAACTCCCCCGATCTTTTACACCATTCATTCCAATCTCTCCCAGAATTGAGCTCGGACAATGGAGACCTAAGAAAGCCTTGCGGAGCAATTGGGGCTCTATCAGTATCAGTGCTAGACGATATACTTCCAACCCCTCTCAGACAGCGGTTCTTAATCCAGAAAAGACATTGGAACAAATAGAGCGTGACTCTGTCAAACTCCGCGCATCGGATTCAGTGCCGTCTGACGAGTCGGTTTTACGGCTACTTCGGAGTTGTCAGGACGTCGCAGAGATTCTTGTGTCTTCAAACCCAGAGGGATTAGAATTATCGTCCAAGCAAAATGGAGATAACGCAGTGTCGTCTCTATTGGACCTAGAGGAAAAGAAAAGCAGCGGGAAGCAGTCTAAAGCCCCCAGGCTACAGCAGTCACAGTTAGCTGATTCACTTTCACGGATCACCTACGACCTGTTAACCGACAAGAAAGTATTCATTTCACCCGAAGTACTGGCCAGTTACACCAAAATCCAAACTTTGCTCAAACAAGGCCAGAGTTTCCCCGAGATCTTCTACCTTTACGCACACAAGCCGGTCCCGGAAGAGAACAGTTCGCCTATTAGATATCATAAGTCCAACCCCAAGAATGTCAATAGTGCAGTACCTACGGAACTGGCCCACCTGGCTCTGGATATTGCTATCGAGCAGCGCAATCTCTCTCTCGTTCTCGCCATTATCGATAACACTTTCTGCGCCCCCGCATTTCATCGAGCAAAGCTCTTTAAAAAGGCAGTTGTTCCACTTGGGGGCTTGGCTGCCACACCAGCTGCCTGCTATGCAATTGCCTCCTGGGCCTCGACTTTGCAAAATACAATGGACCCGAGCATGGCGACGGGTATCGCGTTCGCAGCGAGTCTTGCGTACGTCGGAGGAGTGTCTTCAGTTGGTCTATTGGCTATCACGACTGCCAATGATCAAATGCAGCGCGTGACGTGGCTGCCTGGAATCCCGCTGCGGCATCGCTGGCTGCGAGAAGAAGAACGCGCCGCGCTGGATAAGGTCGCCGTTGCATGGGGCTTTAAGAACGTCACATTCTGGGGCGAAGAAGAGGGGGAAGAATGGGAGAACCTGCGGGAGTTTATCGGTATGAGGGGCATGATTTTGGATAAGACAGATTTGATGCCAGGAATGCAATGAGCGAAGTATTAGCGAAGTCCTCATTATGTATACTACACTTTTTTCCTTTTCTCTGTGGCATAATTTTTCTTCATGTATCCTATTCAGCGAACCAGGCTTCTCATGCTCGGGCAAGTTAACTAGTTGAGTGACACTGCTACGATGGATTTGGAAACATAAATAGAAACCAAGGTGAGTTATATTTCCATTTTTATTAATACTATGGCACACATAAGCCCACTTTTCAGCTCCTAGAATTCCCACACGCAACCCTAAATGCGTCAAACATCTAGTACAGGCGCTTGGGGGGAGACATAGTAGCCTTGAGGACAAGGCTACCAACGTTCTGCCAGCCCTTTTTCAGCAGGGAGACGAGGTAGTTGATGGCCAACATGACATTGGCAACCAGCTCATCCTCGGTCATGCCAACGTTGCCGACGGCAACACCAAGACAGAGCACCTTCTTAAGCTGGAACTTGATGGTGGACTTGACGTCGGTGACCTTACTGGCCATATCCTCGTTGTGGGAGACGGGGGTAGGGAATTTACCAGCTGCGACAGGCGTTAACTTTACGGCGGATACGGCCGAGTGGACAGCTAATGACTTACCCTTGGAAAGACCGGGACCCAAGAGACGAGGAATCTGCTTGATGAGAGTTTCGGAAGCAAGGAAAGCATCGTACTTGCGAGCGAGCTTCTTGATGAGCTTCTTGTTCTTGTTCAGCTTCTTGAGGTCATCAGTAGACATAGCGTCAATGCCGTGGTGCTTAGCACGGTCAAGATCGTGCTGGTCACCAAGAACACTAAATCCATCCACCCGTTAGCACATTCTGAATCATTCCGCGTCCGTCATCCCATCTAATCCACGTTCGGTATCATCCAAAACAGTGGCTGCTTCCACTTACCAGAGGCTCATGTTGGGGCGGGGAACGGTAGGCAGCTTGATGGTGCCAGAGAAACGCTTGTCACGCTGGGGGTCATAGTTCTTCAGACCGATCTGAAGCTCAACAGTCTCGATGAAGTTTCTCTTCTTCTCATTCTGAGAGTAGTCGAGCAGCTGCTGGACATTCTGGCGCACTCCGGCTAGAAATGGCGATGAACATTAGCAAAGCGTCGTGGTGCGGTAGACGCGGACAGAAATCGACATACCGACTGTAATCTTAGACATGATGGCGACAGTCTTCCAAAAGAATCGTTTTCAAATCCTTATGGTGTGGCTCTGCGTTGAATATCGGTGCAAGGACGAGAGAAAAAGAGCCTTGGGCGGTAGCCACCGTAAGAAAATCACGTCTCCGCTTGTGGGTGTCGCATTAAGCTAGCTGTGTTAGGACTAGCTTTGCCCTAAGTCACTACAATTGTCTGACTAATCAATGTGTTGAGGCCTAGGATATCAGGCCACAATCTGGCACTACTCCTGGTCTACATAATCCCATTGTAAGGCATCAAGATAGAATAATGCGTCAAGGAGCAAGAGGCTCAATTTTGAGTAAGCCGGTTCCAGTATTCCAATTCTTAGCACTTGATGGCCTCTCCAGTATTATGAACAGCCTTGCTGGTACTCACTATGGCTGCAGTTTTCAGTCAACCTGTTAGCGCTGTCGTAAACTACCTTATAGAAAAAAAGCTCCTGGGATTTGGTTACATAGGATTTGTGTATGTGTTATTTTCTTCAAGTTGCCTATAGAGATTTTTTTTTTTTTTCCTAGAATTCTAGTACTATGGAGACTGACAATCCTGCGATCTGGTGGTGGAGTACGCTAACCCCACGTGCTAAAATATATACTTTTGCGTGGGATAAATTGGCAATCTAACAATGTACATTTGAGAAACCATAGCATTGCATCAACGGAAAAAATATCCTGGCTACTAGGCAGGCAAAAGTGTAGGAAGATGAATTAAGACCAAGGGATTGTCACCTCTCGTGTGTTTCGCCCTAGTCATCTGCAGCACTCCCGGCGGCTAAGCTTCCCTCTCAACGCTCAAATGACCGCTGTCACTAGCCTAGGGGAAGCACGAGGCTGATCGGGGCGATGAGCTAGCTGCCTATATTTAACTGCTTACTCCGTACACTAGGACACTGATCCCTTGATTGTCCTTTCGCTCCGTCGTTGCATTCGTCGCCCTCGAAATATTTCTTGGTTTACCCTCGTGTTTACAGTGCTGGAGCTTCGCCTTGTTTCTTAATTTCCTAGGATACGACCACACAGTTGCAAGTTACCCAGGTGATAGGACCATGACCGATTCTTCGCAACTACCATATCCACAGACTCCGCACGACTACTATTCCAGTTTCACTGGCTGTCCGACCATCCAAAACGGATTCCACGACATCGATGATGAAACTCATTTCCGAATCTACCTAGGACAGCTTCAATCGTCACAAACGCAGAATTTCATCTTGGATTTTGGTAACGATGATGCCTGGTGCGCAGTGAATCTCAACAAAAATGACATAGCGCTGTTATTGCGGAAACCTGTATGTGAATAGGGAAACCCTTTTGTTATATGAACGTACCAGCTAACTTGTGTTTACTTCTAGAAACCAAAATGCTTTGGGACAAGATGGATGTGAGATGCATAGCCAATCGCTGGGGCATGACTAGAGTCCGTGCCGCTGACAAGATTCAGTAACATTTGGAACCCAGAAGTGCAGAAGGAATCCATCAAGGTCGGATGAAACTCTGTTTCCTGCTATCGTAAACTGACGACCGATGCAGGCTATCACCGGACACTATGGCGTCTCAGAACGGTTGCAAGGAATGATGTGTACTGACCCTGTGGAACGTCAAAAAAAAGAGACTACCTCTCAGCCTTCAGAAAACTTGCCGAAAAGTCCGAGCACCAATCGATTGCCTCATGTCTCCCGCATGGACGATCTTGAGGAAGCACCCGGTTTGAAGGACGTGATGGATCCGGAAAAGATACAGACGGTAGCATCCTTCAGGGGACTTACATTTGCGCATGTGGTAAATCAAATATGGCACTTTTGCTCCGTCGACCATGGCCAGAGATGTACTAGCCCCCTTATTCTCTTGTCTTTATTGATTGTACTGACCCACGACAAAGACACTTGTGTTGGATACAATTCCCTTTATGTATTGTCTAATTACGATTCAACTAATGGGAAAGGCCTTCCTGATGGAAGACGACTATGGTCATGGCTTATCTTGTGCGATGATGGTGAGATCGCGCTGAGCACCCTCAAAGACTCAACACTGACTTTTCTAGGTACGGTCGTTTCGATCCAGGAGAATCCGTTTCCGGGCCTTTATGGACCACCACCGAAAGAGTTGAAGTCTGTACTAGGGGTAATCCGCAGAAATGTCCAATTCATATTTTCAGGGGTGTCAAAACAGCATTCTGCCGCATCTGAGAGTGACTCTTTGGTAACAATCAGGGTGCGGCCTTCTCACGGCAGTGACCCCGATCAGGCGAGTATCAAACAAGAGGATGGCCCTAGTCTGCTCTTTTATTATATCTTTGACGACTGGATATCAACCTATGCACTGGTGGCAAAACGCGAGCATGCCTATGGAGTAGAACTTGATGAACTGGTGAGAGCCACCGTTCAATGCCCCAATCTCTCGTTCTGACACATTGTAGAGAGAACGAATGCTAAAAAGGCCGGATGTCGACCTGGTGAACGAGCTACACTGGCTGGGCAGACGCTTGGCTGTTCTAAAGCGACTGTATCAGAGTTACGAACTTATTATGATGCGTATTTTGCAACGACAGCGCCTCCTCCGCGATGAAAACCGCTCACATCGCCCTCCACTACCGATTACACACATGGTCGGAGACCATGACATGGTGGACCTGCGACAGCTGACGCTCCAAAGCAGTCTCAGTCTCTCAAGCATTCCTGACACGCCCGTTGGCGTTCACCTGAGTTCTTCTGCAGTAGCTCGCTTTGAGAGACTGCTTGACCGCATAAAACTTTACTGTTTGTCTGAAATTGATACCTGTCTCACGGAGAAGGAGTCGTTGACATTTCTAGTACTGTGTCCTACCGCATCCGAATTGACATTACCAGCTAACCCTAGATTATAGAATTTCAACCTTATTGCTCTCAAGGACTCCCAGGCGGTCGAGAAACTGACGAGAATCACGGTCCTCCTCGCCAAAGTGACGATCCTGTTCCTGCCGGTCAGTCTCATGACCGGGTATTTTTCCACCGAGCTCAAAGGCGTGAAGCATGTGTATACAACCGTCGAATATTGGGCTAGCTTTGGAGTGATCATGTTTCTATCTATCGTGATGCTCACACTGTTCGGGTATCTCAGCGACACTATTGAAGGCAAGACCATTTACCAGTCACTGTCTCGAACCTTTTTCCGCAGTTCGAGGGAGAGGCTATCACATAGGAAGGAAATTCCCGAGCATCCGGGCGTCCGTTCGTGAGATAGAGGTGGAAGAGCTAGCGAGATAGGATATGAACTTAGGTGAGCATCAGCATTTGGACATGTAGATTAGTATATGTATTCGAAAGTACACGTGACAGGACTGATGCCAGAATACGAATCCATAATGCTGAGATTACCACCTACTCAGTAATGTAGTATCTACAGTAACCTTAAACGGGCGCTGTGTAGAGTGCGTATCATTCCCATCAGAAAACGTGGCAACGATTGTCACATGGGCATGAAGTCGGGTGGCTTATCTGGCTCGAAAAAGGATGAATAATACTAATGACGCGTAGGTTTTAAGTGGTCCCTCGGTAGATTCCAATTTTTTTTTTTTTAATTTGGTACATTTTTCGGGAGTACATCGATGACTTTCGAGCGCTCCGAACGATAGGAATATATTATCCTCCTACATGAATCGGTAGGTTTCTAGGGGTCTGGACAAGTGGCCAGAGATAGCCATGAAAATGAAGAGTGATCGATGTTTCGACAGACAGTGGCCCCGAGCTTCCAACCACCTCTAGATCCACTGGAACGGGGACACTTCCAAGCGTATCGGGGGCCTATCATGGGCGGGAGGATCGGGTGGAATCTGGTTCCTCTGGGCCTTTCTGGTTTGGCCTTGGAAGGGGCGAGAGAAAGGAACAGAAGAGGGACCCTATGCATGGGACTAACTAGTAGACACTGCCGAGGAACTACATACAGGGAGGAAATGGCTTGTTCACGTAGAACTCCGGAAGTAGACACAACGACAAACTTTGTAGAAAGGGTACCTAGTATCTACCTTAAATTAGTGGTTGTCATCGCAGGTGGACTAACTAATTAGTCGCCATCCTGACTAAGGAAAGGCCAAAGGTACGGGAAACACCGTGTCCTCTTTGTGGGCGAAATCAGGCATCGGCCATTGCACTGTTATAAGGGGACAAACGGTACGCTGGGATTGCACTGTTTAATGGTCCTTTTTTCCTGACTGATATCCGGACCTCACCCTAATTACTTCCATATTGCTCTGGACAAGTAAACCCATCGAACTGGATACCTCAATATAGATCGATCTGAAACTTACCGTACTCCTGTATTCCGCCCGTTTTATTTGTTGTGGTTTCGTTAGTGACGGAAGCTACGCCGGCGGCTGAATTTCTCGACCTGGCATTTTTACGCCCAAAAATTCCAACAGCGACAAAAACAGTGTCTCTGCTCCATACGACCTCCTGTTTGATTACTCTCCCGCTATCTCTATCAACGACTCTCTCTCTCCCATCGGCTTCATTTCCTTGGTAAGTCGGCATTGTCGCTTTTATTCTTTGCTTGCCGTTGGTGACCCTCCTTCTCTTTCCTCCTCCCTCGTCGTATTGCCTTGTCTCCGGTGTACGGGTTCAACCCTTTCCCACTAGTCCCCCCTGATTGTTCTTCCCCGGCGTGATCACGCTTCTTTTTCCACCTCAATCAAATCTGCCCACTTGCCCCCCATCTCACCATCACCACCCAAGTTACACCACTGTTGGTCTCCGATCCCCCCAGGATCAGTGTGCTTTGTTAGACGGTCCACCGAGGGGCTCGTTACTAGCACCATTATTTGTTTGACTGATCATATCTAACATCGCATCTTCTCAAGACCTCGACTCGATTTCGCCACCGCCAACATGGGTCTCACCTTCTCGAAGCTGTTCGACCGGCTATGGGGTAGAAAGGAGATGCGTATTCTGATGGTCGGTCTCGACGCTGCAGGAAAGACCACTATTCTGTATAAGTTGAAGTTGGGTGAAATCGTCACCACGATCCCCACAATCGGTCAGTCATCCTTCCCCCGTTGTTTTCGGCCCGCTGGATTGGTGCCTATTCGTCGCGCGAGGAGCTATCCCGATATACATATAACATATAGAGGCTGACGAGTATCTTCGGAAAAGGATTCAACGTGGAGACTGTCGAATACAAGAACATTCAATTTACCGTGTGGGACGTCGGTGGTCAGGACAAGATCCGTCCTCTCTGGAGACACTACTTCCAGAACACCCAGGGTATCATTTTCGTCGTCGATAGCAACGATCGTGACCGTATTGTCGAAGCACGGGAAGAGTTGCAGCGCATGTTGAACGAAGATGAACTCCGTGATGCTCTCCTCCTTGTTTTCGCCAACAAGCAAGATTTGCCGGTAGGAGGCTTCCCCCCTCCCCTCTCCTCACATCGGCTGTGCGACTTTATGGATACTGACGCGTCTTTTTCTGCTCTTTAGAACGCTATGAGCCCTGCCGAGATCACCCAGCAGCTTGGTCTGCAAAGCCTCACCCGCCGTCCTTGGGTAAGTTTTTGTATTTCCGTTATGGCCAGGATTCCGGACAGCAGTTTAATACAATTGATTTTAGTACATCCAATCCACCTGCGCCACCACCGGAGATGGTCTGTACGAAGGTCTGGAGTGGCTCGCCGAAACCTTGCGGAAGGTCAACCGCGACTAAACTGTTCTAATGTGATGAGTGGAAGAATACCTGGATTGTTGACTGGGAGTTCGGGATGATGGATGGGGAAACCGGGGCCGGCAGAGACAGACCCCTCGCATAGGGAAGGGATATATGCTACTTGGTGGTGCTTGTATGTTCTCTAACGGCTCTTCATTCCTCTATGCTATTAGCCTTTATTTTTCTCTTTCATCCCGGTGTCGATCCGAACGAATACTCCTTTGTGCTCTCAAAACCCCCCATCTCTTTTTCATTTCTATTTGTGTTCTCTTACAGTCAAGACGTGATATTTATGATCCACCGAAGCCGGGTTACGTTCGAAGCTTCCATGTATTTTGGTGCATTTGATTTGTTTCCCTGAAAATGTAGACTGTGCATGTGATTTTCCATTATCGTTCAATGACCCCCGTCCAGCGAGAGGCCCGGAAGATACTACTGTATTCATAGTGGACGGAGTAGCCTTCTTCCATCTCTACTAGCCCATGCATTTAAATCGTACTACCTACACTCTTTCTGCATCCTACCCCCGGACCCTTGTAATTCCGCTCCGCTCACCCACCATGCAGCAGCACGAATAATCTCCAACACTGTCTCCAGCTCATCCGCATCCCGCGGCGCATACACCATGACGAAACCTGACGGTACAAACCGCACCCAGCACCACCAATCCGCCCAGGCCAACGGATGGCGCTGGCCCCATCCCCGTTCCAGAATAACCTTCACATCTGCCGGATGAAGCGTCAGATGCAAGCTGCCATCAATAGGATGCGTATGGCACACCTCCCCATCGCAGGTGATCCGACTCCGTTGTTGCTGCTGCGCGATAGTACTCCTCCTGCAGAATATACCCGTGCTATGTTTTTCAAAACATGAGGTACCTGCGCATAGGGTGTCGCGGTTCCCGTTAACGAGATGGTGGATTCCAGTCGTCAACGCTTGATATATGAGCTTGTCGCTTCGCTGAGTGATCTGGCGCTGGGGTGCGATCCCCGCTATAGTTGGACGGGGTCCAATCCGCTGGGCGAGCCGGCTGCGATGGAGATATCCAGTTTGAGGAAGGAGAGTATGTGGGAGAGATGGTGGTATAAATGGGTTTCGGAGGGCTAGGATACGAAGCACGCATATTCGCAGGTAGCCTGTTAGTGTGGGGGGTGTGCCACCTGGTCCGAGAGCGAGGAAGGCATGGTAGTCTTTGCGGACGTGGTGGAAGGTGAGCGGGATGAGGATCACTAGGAGACAGAGGACGTCGACTCGGAATTGGAAAGGGGTGGTGGGTATGGTGGTCCCTGTATCACAGTTGAATGATGTCTGCTGTTCCTTCTGTTAGTTCTACCTATCTTATGCCTAGGCATGTAGTGGTTGGATATGATACTGGGGAGGTACCATGTTTGCTCCTTAAATGGTCGTACTTTTACAGCTTTCGAAGGGAGAGGTAGGGATCAGAGTGAACAGACCTAGGACAATCAGACGCAGTCCATGGATTCCTTTTCAATTCTCTTTGATAGGGTCACACGATGTGACACCTCTACGGGTCTGAGTGTTCTCGGGTCCGCCTTTGATAGCCCTGCTTTTGTGGATGGAATGTGTAGCCAATCAACGGGCGATTCGGAGAATAAAAGTAACCGAATGACCCTGCATAGACCTGCAATGTTTCATCCCAATTAGGATGGAATATGTATGTTCTGTAAAGCTTTCACGGTGGGATTGAATTGTAGACAAGAGATACTCGGATTCCGTCATTGTGATGTCAACGTCTTGGATGGTTATCTCCCTTGTTAAGTCTCAAATTGTGGGGCTATTATTATCCGACTCTTGAGGCCTAACGATCGTGTTCGTATAATCTGGCTTATGTCACTAAAGTAGAGGGTCTATGACAGATCATATGCATGTGTAGTACTTTAGTCGGGAGAAGACTGTCCACCAGGATGCAACGGGCCTCTCCATAGAATACATGACCCTATTCTCAGAACCAACTAATAAAAAGATGCCCTCATCATCCTTGCAGTCTCCCATTGAATCCAAATATCTCCCTGCAGCCTGTTATACTCCTACAGATTAACTAGTGGGGCATTGGAAATGGTTCATTTCTCCACCCAGTCCTGGATGGCACTGGTTTTCCATATCGGGTATGGTTAGCCAGTGGGATACTTATTTGGGAATAGCGGAAAGAGCATCTCTAACACATCTCTTCTATCACCTATCACTAACGAGGACAGAGAATTGTTTGGATAGAACAATGAAAAACAAAGTTGAAAGCCTCCAGTCAATAGTGGTTGGCTACGTTAGGATTATAAGATATAAAGATATTGTTATAGCAAAGAACCAGAGAGAAAGAGGTGGCTGAAAGTCTAAAGGCGACCATGCCTTGAAATACAAGAGTATTCACAAAGTAAAGAACGGGAGAGAGAAAATTTAATCTTGGGATAGCTGGGTTTGCTCTGTCCTTGGCCTCTAAAAGCACAGATCTTTCTCTTATTCTTTCCCTGCACCAATCGCGTCTGAACCAGGTGGCGCACGACAAATAATATAGTGGTTGATAGATCACATTTTGTATGATTCTAAGAATTATTATTTCACTTTTCTTTTAACTTTTTGTGCTATAAGCACCTACCATACTTCTATGCTTTCTACAGCAGTTATGTGCTGGCATATATAATATACAGCTAAAAGCAGATTCTCTGGCACACAGAGCTGACCAGCCCAAAGTTGCTGCATTAAGCAGATGGATCTCCGGGTGGCCATGCATCAGTGCTATATGCGATCACCTTATTGCCTATTGCATACTGAGGAATTTGACACTTTTTCTCTTAAGCTTCTCTAAGGAACATTTGCAGCGTTGAAGGGTGTTATGTGGGAACACACTGTAAAGACATGGTGCTGATATACAACAACGATACCACGATTACTCTTGGGAAATGATGTGAAGATATGTTCTCTTGGGGATTTAAGGTCTACGCACCCAACTTTATGTACCAGAAAGTCCTGTGGTTTTTTTGTGTGCCTGAAGATGGATACTTGGTTTTAAGCCAGATTGAATCTGTGCTTAGGAATTCTGGTGTTGTGCCGAATGGAGGTGTTGTAGATATTGAATATAGTGTATGTTTATCATATCTCTTAAGCATAGTGGATGGAAAAAGGATGGAATTGTATAGTTATTCTCGGAATGTTCTGAAAAGATGTTTTCCATGAGAATTTAGCAAGTACGTACTGACAGTACAGGCTCCTTGAAGTTTACTGGCTTATATGAGATTTTTTTTCTTAACTTACAGGCCACTAGTTGGCTTTCCTCTTGTATGGAATTGCAAGCAATTTTGTTTTTGATACACAAAAGAGCCATGTGGACGAGACGCTGCTGATATATTGCCGTTTCATCCCGCTGACAGGCTCACATGAATTAGATATAATTAAATTCAACCCTTAAATTTATACTATCCGGGATCATTTGCGTTGAATAGTATTGTTGATAACATTGCTGTAGTTATACTAACAGGGAAAAGAGGCATGTCTGAAAACAGTTAGTCTAATAGTCTTGGCAGCTAATCCAGATTTGGTGTACTAAGGATGTTTACCTGATTGGGATTTAGTACTTCGATGGAAACTGCGATGCTTCCTACCCATAACGACTTTTATTCCTCAGCTTAGTACATTGTTTCTTTTTCTTTTATTGTATATGCTCCAACCGTTCTACTTTGCCTCTGGAGTAAATGCTTTTCTATCTCTGCTCACTCTTCGACTCGTCTCTCTTCATGCCAAGACGGCCCGGTTCCCTCTAGTGCTTAGTGCCGGCCATCTCTTGGGCAACGCCTGGGTATACTAATCGATAGTTGCCAGGGTTATTGTTGCGGCTATATTGCTTTCATCATCGCTTTGAGTGTCTCATCCAACAATCCACTTCAAATCGCTGTTTGCGGACCTGTATTAGCCGTGGAAGTCTCGGTGAATCGGGGGTATTGAGGGTGAGAAGTCTCCCTTTCTTTTTGGAGCTCCACCTCTATTGTTTGTTGCGTCCACCAGATCTATTCTCGACGTCGCATTTCAAGGTCGAGAGAATTCTAACATAACTTGGGTAATCAGTGTGCTTTGGACTTGTCTACTCTCTCCGCTTAAGATTATTTCTATATCCTTTGGCATCGGACTATCTGAAACATTGATGCTGCTCCACTGAACATTCCTCGTGCCGCACACATACTTTGTGACGTCTTTTTTCGCCTTTCGATGCTTATATTATACATCATTAAACTATGACTGCTCAGAAGGGGAGGTATTCCCACACCTATAATAGTCACGATGCTACAATAGATGTTGAGAAGCAACCGTCACGCTATAAGCATCATTACCGCCAATATAGTCACACCTCGTTTGACTCGGACAGTGGAGATGACTCCATTGCTTCTTCCTCCGCCACATCTACGTCCGCCGCCTCCTATCGTCCCATGCTTGGTGGCCCGACAATAAGACGCAATCGGGTCGGCGTGGGCTTCTATCGTATCCCTAACCGGATCATGAGACGGCTCTGTCTTGCGTTATTTTTAGCATTAATAATATTCATTATTATACTCTTCCGATTCACCTTGACTTCAACCGTTAAGCAGGTGGATGTTGGACTTCCCAAGCCTGTCTCGAAGCCGCCGCAATGGGAGAGTTTCCCTTTCTTAACACGATACCACGGCGGCCTTCGATCCTTGGTTTCACGCAAGGATAACGTGCCTGAATTCCCAAGCAATAACATGGAGGAAGTGGCACTGGGTTTAAATACTGGTGCGAATGACACTGGCGTTGAAGCTCGAGATGAAAACCTGTTGTCGTTCTCTAGTTCAGTGTTCAACCCTTACCCGGATTACTCGTCACCAGAATACATCGCAAAGTACGGAGAAAAACGAGATTGTTTTTTGGATGAGGAAGGAACCTTGCAAATCCCTATGGTGCATCATTATCCAGGCATTCCTCGTGGGTTCCCCGATGCTGCCATGGGCTCCAACGAAATGATAGGAATTCAGGATGATGTTTGCTTTGATCGGTTTGGTCGCCTCGGCCCATATGGCTTGGGGTATACTGCAAGAAAGGGGGGTATTGGCGCCGGTTTGGAGGGGCATCGTGAGGGCGCAGAGAGAGTCTGGGAAGATTTCCCACCTGTTGATTTCCGCCGGGTGGACTGGGCCGCTGCTCAGAATCGTTGTCAGGCTATCAACAACCATCGATTTCGGGATCTTCCTGAACCGCGACCTGAGCGATTCCTCTCCATGCCAATTGGATCTCAGAAGGACAGCAATAAACTTGCAGCGACATTAGATGATCAACAGAAACCGCCTTCCAACGATACGGATCGTTTGCCTCGTACGGCGGTGGTAATTCGAACATGGTTTGACTACCATTATACCCCAGATGATATAATGTACATGCGCTCTTTGATTTCAGAGCTTTCTATGCTTTCAGGATGTGAATATAGAGTTTATTTCTTGATTCATGTGAAAGATGAGAACCTGCAAATTTGGTCTGATGATGAAACCTACGAGCGCGTGCTGACTGACGCTCTTCCGGAGGAATTCCGTGGCATGGGTATATTGTGGTCGGAACGACAGATGGCCCTTCTGTACCCCGGATTGGAGGAGACGATGACCCGCGGTTTGCCTGTCCATGGAGTGTATCGCAGCACCTATATGCCCATGCAGTACTTTGCCTATCAGCACCCTGAGTACGACTATTACTGGAACTGGGAAATGGATGCCCGGTACACGGGTCATTGGTATCACCTTTTTGATAAGGTTGTTAGTTGGGCGCGGGAACAACCGCGAAAGGGTCTCTGGGAAAGGAACGCTCGTTTCTACGTCCCATCTGTCCATGGGTCCTGGGAGGACTTCCGGCAAATGGTGCGGGTACAGACTGAAATTGGCACCAACAGCCCGAACAACATGTGGAGCGTTGTCAAACCCGGTCCAGGCTTGTCACCCGGCGACAAGAAAGCCCCTCACCAACAGGGCGACAAACCTATATGGGGCCCGGAGCGACCTGATGAGCGTGACATCTTTGAGACAGAGGGAGACGGGATTCCCCCGACAACGGTAGACAAGGATCGGTATCAGTGGGGGGTGGGTGAGGAGGCAGACTTGATTGTCTTCAATCCCCTCTACGACCCTGAGGGGACAACTTGGCTTCTTCGAGATGACGTTACAGGGTATAGCAAGGAGAAAGGCATGCCGCCACGTCGTGCGGCCATTATCACGTCTTCCAGGTTGTCCCGCAAGCTTCTACATACGATGCACAAAGAGACCATTGCCAAGCGTCATACTATGTTCTCGGAAATGTGGCCAGCGTCTACGGCACTACATCACGGGTTTAAAGCTGTGTATGTTCCACACTCGGTATATATAGATCGCCAGTGGCCTACCCAGTATCTGGAAGGTGTGTTCAACGCTGGCCGTAACGGGGCCTCGGGGGGTGCTCGGACAGCCGTTTTCGGGGACCGCGAACACAACTTTCGAGGCACAACTTGGTTTTATTCTGCTGGCTTCTCGCCGAATCTTTGGAAACGGTGGCTAGGCTACAAGGTCGATAACGATGGAGGTGAACAAGAAGAACTAGCAGGAGAGGGCAGAATGTGCCTACCACCGATGCTCCTTCATCCTATCAAAGGTGTGGAGATGATTATCGATGATGGGGCAATGGGAAGTGATGAAAGCGAGTAAGGAACCGGCGCCGCCCATAAAAGACAAGCCAAAAAAAAAAAAAAAAAGGCATGACGAAAGTAATACTTTCATATGTGATGATTGAAAGATTTATGCCTATGACTGCCTTTGAAGAGATTTAACGGTCTTACTCTCTGTATGTACATGTGACGCATATCAGGACTTGGGGCGAAATGGCGTTGGGACTTAGAAGGGAAGAAGATATTTTTACTCTGCCTATATTTTTATACAAATAAAGTATTGCTATTATGACTGCAAATTATTCGAAGACACTTCTGGCCTTTCTGTATGTAAGTCAATATAGCACAACCTACTGCTCGATGTATGCTTTTGTCACCTTTGAAGGAGTGCAAACATTGCAAAATACTGCTCTAGCTCTGAAGTATTGTCCTCCGAGGAAGGCCCAAGAAAATATTGTAGATTGCGAAGGAACGAAGGATGGAGGGATGCTGGTATAGTTAGATTGACTATTTGGATATACTACTAAGTACTATATAAGTAGGCTTGCCATCTTCTTTGCGTCCTAGCGTTTACTAGATTCCCTTGTCATATGGATGCGCCAATCTCAGAGAAGGTGCTGCAGTAGCTTTACGAAGAGTATTGAATGTTATGCGAAGCTATTCACGCATCATTCATGTCCTCTGAATTCCTTGGTTGCTACAAGCTACCAAATGCATTTATTAAATGGGCATACTCAAAACGTAATCTACTATCTGAGAGTTTGCAGAGCCCTCTTTTCCTGTTGATGTACATAACGGGGACTGTACAATGTACGTCCGACGGTGATTACTCGTATTACTTATTAAATATATCCTTAAGGTTAATAAGCCAACCTCGAGTACGTGTAATGTATATCCATAGCCAATAAAGTATAAAAGTATGGAGCGTGACCAGAATTACTTATTCCGGCCTAAATCCCGCAAGTTCTATCCATAAGGATTATTCTTCCCAAATAATAGTAGCAGATACAAACCATTTCCTCCTTGTGGACATTCGGAAGACAGTTGAGGTCTCGGGCGCGAGTGAAAGATAAATGTTGACATCATCCGTTATACTCGATCTTCAACTCAGCGGAGACCACACTATTACACTGTAAAAGGGAGGCCGCAAATTGAGCTGTGGTTTTTACCCCAGTCCTGGTGTTTTATTCTAGGCCAAACCCATCTCTGCTTTGCTATCTCCTTCCTACTTAAAGATGTCCTGTTGTCCGCTGCTCTGTTTGCTGCTATCCCTACTAGATAACCATAGTTCAACGAACGTAGATCACACTATTCGGGTACTCTTGGTCAAGCCTGGGAAATCCAAGTTTCAAACCATATGCATCCTGATGTATCCAAATGCTTGCGGTGAAGATATAAGCATAGGGCTGCCTCCCAACATGCATTTGGTCTTACATGCAGATACTGTCTTCCTATACCTTTTGAGTGGGTTTCACAGAAATACTGAGTATAGACAACAACCCGGTGCAGCGCGTTTAAACATCATCGATGTAATGGCTGAGGCTAATTAAAGCAAATTGGGGCGGAAGGCAAGCTTTAATCGGCAATTAACCTGAAAACCGGGTCTGGGCCCTTGCACGACTAACTCTACGGCCTTTCGAAACAGGTCTTCCCAACTTGCTTGGGTCGACATTCAGCAGCGGACGTCGGCTCTTCTCTCCTTTGCATGTTTCTCATCCACGTTTCCTGTAGCTGTTATCAATCTGCAGCCTATATTCATGCTCGTAATATTCTTCGCTATCAAATCAAGGTCGTACTGATATTCCAATGCTCCTTCCGCTTTTCGGTCATAATAATCTGCAGAGTGCAAATCTCTGGAAATTTCATTTCGACACTTGACGAGTGCGCCAGATAGCACCATTCGAGATACCGAAATGTAATGTTCAATAGTCCAAACCGTAAGTAGGACGTAGTGGAGCTTGGGCTAAGACGTAACCAGAACCATGGAGAGAGGGCCACCTGGTTTAAACTGACAAGCCGAACTAAATGACTACCTATCACATATTCCACCGTCTCAAATTTCAGCTGTGAAATGTGGTTGCTAATAATCCAGCCCTCTTCTGTACGGTTCACGTGGAAGCCGCTATGTATTTTTTTTGTCTGTTGTATAAGATGATCCATCTTTGTCGTGAAGAATGCCCACCGAAAGTCTATACTTTCAATGCTAACATATAGCTACGAAGACTTATGCGAATAGCAAGCACTCAAAAATCATGAGCAATTACATGCTCGAAACTTCGTAGGTTCACAACTGTCGTTTCTTGGACTACCATACATTTGCTGCTTGGTTCAGTGGTTTCACCCGATATAAGGTTGACAAAAATGAATACATAGGATAAACGTAAGATTGTGCTGGTACACGAGCTCCGCTCCACTTATAGGGCTCTCGGCTTTACCAAAGCCCAATGCCAAAAATTCTTTGTAGGTTCAGCAGCAGAACATATCGCAAGTGCGTTGAGGGGCTATGGTCACGAGGTATTACTCATCCCTGACTACAAGTCACTTGTAGCTAGGCTCGCTGCTGGCGACGGTGAAACATGGACGTGGTGTTCAATACTGCTGAGAGAGTGCATGACATGGCTCGAGAAGCACAGGTGCCTGCGCTCCTTGAAATACCAGATCCCGTTTACTTTTACGTGAGGGGCAATAATGGCGTTGTGTCTTGACAAAGACAAAACAAAGGCTAATTCCCACATTTACTTCCTTTCCTTGCCCTAACATAATCTACTGGTTGGAATTTTTGCTGAACTGGTCAATAGATGGTTCTCGAATACTACGGCATGCCAACGGCACCATTTGCGGTTATCCAACCTTTCGAGAAAGGGGTGAACTGACGCCGAACTGAGTACAGACGCAACTGCAGCGCTCTCCACATGCTAAATCGCTAAACTATCCGTTGTTTGCAAAACTAGTTGCCGAAGGCTCATTAGATGGAATTATGGGAGCTAATCAAGCAAACAATGCAATCGAGTTGTGTACTACCATCTCCAAGACATGTGCTGACTCCCCAATGTGTCCGGATATTTTTGTTGGAAGGTTCATTTCCAGGGAAGGAGTTTACTGTGGCAATTATGGGCACCGGAGATGATGCCTGGGTTCTTGGAACAGATGAGTTTGTGTCGCGATTATATACATTGTCTTGAGGGTGACGTCTTGCCAGAAAACCTCCTTCGACCTGCCCTTCAGATTGTCCTTATTGCGCTAGTAAGAAATTTACGCCACTCGTGCGATGCCTCTGACAAGCGGCGAATCAATACTCGCCGATCTTGGAGAGGCCTGACTAGCTGAAGGGGACCAAACCAGCCTCATCATGCCAAGTATATATAGGGCGCTAGAAGCAATGCTGGACATGTACTGGGATAATAAGATCGATATATGGGCTTTGGGTTAGATAGTAAAACCATTTATTGGGCGTTATAATATCTACTAATCTTGTACATGGTAGGCATGGATATTGTTCGAGCAGTACATATTTTTCAGGAATCGAACTCTTGAGAATAACATCAACACGCCCAGCGCCTTGGGAAATTATTTCTCTTCTGGGAGCACCCCCAGTTGAGTTCTAGACGAAATGAAAAGTGCCTGAAGTTTTGGGACAAGAACGGCAAGTGAACTTCGACTTTCTCGGGGAAAATTATTAGACAGTCCTTAATATATCTGCAGGTAATTGGAGGGCCCAATAGATATCCCAGAGCGACCTCTAGAGAGCCGTGAATCTCGACTTGAGGCCGATAGCAAGATGCTTTTCCTCCTGTGTTAGTTGCCTGAGGAAAGGCTGACTGCGAAGAAGCTCTTCTTAGACGAGTGGTGAAGAGGAGACGTTTATTAAATTATGATACATTTCTTATTCATTCATTACAATGTTATCATAGCGTAGTAATAATTTTTGCTGTATACTTGATGTGGATATGTACTGTTACCAACAGGGGACGATAAGCCTCGGGTTAACGTGCGTGGCCATGGGCAGTTACAATTGCGGCCGCTACAAAAGCATTGCCCGGGCGTACTGCTGTGACACTGCATTATATACTGAGGTCGAAGCTCCATCGGCACGCCTACAGGTTTTTTCCAAGGCGACTAAGAATTGGCCGTCGACCCGATCATGCGCCGAAGAACCCATGCTCAAGGGCTCGCTGGAGAAGCGGGCAGTAGGCTATTTGTTAAACGTATTGTATATACTAATCCATGACCTTACAGAGCTGTTGGAACTATATTCAATTAGCAAGACCGAGCACTACAAGGCGTATGCTGGTGCATGGGATGTCGTGAAGAATATTTAATCTACGTGCGGACGACCCGTTGCCCTGGATTCACTCGAATATTACCCATCCAGAACATAAACCCAATGGCCCGAGGAAAACCGCCAAATACATTGTTGAGTTCCCAGCCATGTGGAACGAAATGGTAGGTGGTACTAACAGAACTATCTGGTGTCTAGAAGAACCCTATGACCAGGTAGAGTTCTGTAATGGCGATGCTGCAGAGCAAGATCCTGTCTTGACTCGGCGCAAGGTCCAATGCAACGAGCAGGTGAGCCCAAGCTTTCAGCCCTTTACTAACTGTATTCTCACTGACTCTTTATGCGAAAACAGCGAGATGTTTCGTTCGTCTTGAGAAACGCACCAAAGCGAAAATGCTGACGTTCCAATGTAAGGATTAAAATAGCACGGTATATAAGATCACATACACCCACTCAGTATACCCTGGGGATACTCAATAGGCCCTGTTGGCCGCCGCTGCTAGGCGGGCTGGTGATCTTGGCCGAAGAGAGACATGTGTAAACTCGCGAGCTCGCGAGACGTTGTTATGGGAAGGCGAGAATATCCCTGACAGCACACACTTGAAACAGTAAGTCAGTCGACTTCCCTTTTACATTAGTGCTGTGTCTTACGTGTCTTGTCTCAACTAGCGGAACATGTTATAGAAATCAAGTTAATTAATAAATTCCTGGAATGGCGGCAGAACGACCCCAAATGCGATGTGGATTGTGACCTTATTCGCACTCTGTGCCGCGAGGAACGAATCCTATATGCCGCTGAACTGCATTATGGAAGAGCTTGGTAGCATGAATAATAGAGATGCTTTCCTACTCTTAAGTAGAACAAACTCTCTACCCCAATGCACAGAGACAGGTAATAAAATCCTTATATAGCTCTGGGGACTTAACCCCTCCCCCCCCCGGGTCCAGACTCGGAATGTCCTGTCTCCTGGGATAGAATGATATCGAGAGAAGGTTACCGCTGTATATTACAAATGTTGCGAAATATACAGCGTCTTTCACTATCTATCCGCCTTTAGGTCTTTACTGACAATATCATGCGCAGAATTATCGTTGTGTTCCACTACCAGAACAATTCCAATATCTGGAGACGGTTCTAGATTGTTTTTAATAGCATTACAACCAAGCTCCGCCGAACTTCTGAAGCGTACAAGGCGGTTACCGGAAAGGACGTTAAATTAGAGGATTGCTGGCGTAGGTTTTTTAGGAACGTATTAATTAGACTGTAAGAAATGCCCGGGATATCGTTGGAGCGGGTATCCATGAGATGAGGCAGAGGCAGCTTTCGTCGAGGAATCCTAATAACGAGAACAAGGTGAATCTCTGTGTCCAGCTGATCGAGCATTTACGTTCGTTGCAGATGGATTCGCTTGGGTATATCTTTATGGGGGGTTTGGGTACGGGGATATTCTCCGAGTTGATAGAGTGCTTGATTGATTATCTAGCCAGCTACATGGCTTTTACAGAGACACCTCCTTCTTGCTCTTGGGATCTGCTTACAGCAAATATTTAAACCCTCGTCCGTTTGCTACGATTGATAGATGTAAGTTAATAAAATCTTATCATGTCAGAAGACACTCCACCTACTTCCACTATACCTTCCTCTCCGGACAATAATGGCTTTTTATTCCACCACAAATCATGGCTCGCGCCATGGACGCACCACCCTGAATTCCCACCTGATGAGTGGCGCGGGGATCGAGAAAACGATTTAAACAGAAGGAGCTGGTAGGGTCTACATCTATTTCACAATTCCCCAGGCGATATGCATTGGGATTCCGTGATCGGGAGTAGCCCAGGTGCTATTTTGTTTACTGGACCACCGACAAATCTAAGGAAGATTGTACAGCAGCCCTGGCCGAGCCTAATTGTTATTTCTATCACGAAGTCAAGCCGCGTAACCGGGAATTACTGCCAGAGCAGTTGGATGCATGCAAGCTTATCTATGAAGGTAACCGCAATGTTACTACTAAGGATCCTGAGCTAGAAGGTGTCGGTGCCTATGTCATCCTTAAAAAGCACCGAGAGTGGACAACAAGGCACGGACTAGATACTTCAGTCAGCGATTCGGCGCCGCACGGTTTGATGATTGATGAGCAATGTCTTCGATCTATCTTGGCATCCAAAGAGCACGGAACCGCTGAGACGACCGGCTATGATCAGTGGACAGGACCGCACGGAGATAAAAATATCTTGGATGTTGTGGACCACAATCCCGAGACCCAGAATACGATGAGGAGCCGTTTTATAATGGGTGTATGTGGCTAGAACTTGATGCTCCTTTTTTTTGTTTTGCTTATCACTGAGAGGACAGCATGCTTTCTGACCAATATTGTGGTGTCGGTAGTCTAGAACGTGTTTTGTATACCGATGGAAGAAGCGCGAGTGGCGGGCCTAGGGACATAATAATTATCACCGGAAACGGGGCATAAATATCAGTCGGTATGAACGAGAAGCCTATTTATAGCAATTTTCATTCCCACAATCAAGCGGCGTAAAGACCAGCAGATACAGTGACCGGGAATGAGGAAATATAGGCCGGTTAAAGGCGTAGCCGATAGAATCTTTTACACATATGAGGCTCCTTAAAACGGGCAAAAAGACCATTTTCAAACACTATTCACTTATTTCGAGCTCCCGTACACCTTGATGGAATTCACCTCTTGCTTCTCCCAGGAAATTGCTCCGCGAAGCATCTAGCAACTCCGATCAAAGTAGATTCCACTCTTGTTTTTCAACACTCTCAAAAACTCTTCTTCCCCTTCTAGGCATGGCAACCAACAGTCCCTCACAAACCATTCTCATCAAAGCTACTTGCAATCTCAAAGTCACCGAGGCCAATATCCACTTCGTGCTCGCCAGTGTTAATATGCCTTCGAACACCCTATCAGGGAGAATTCACAGGACCTTTATTCAAATATATTAGAACTCAGAACTTAAGTAAGCAGTTGATCAGCTACATATAAATCCTATGACGTTTAATAAACATAAAGCTTCTTGGATGTGTGACTGCAGTTGTTCACTCTATGTAGCCAAAGAGATAAGTACATTATTCTTTTTAACCTGTGCCCTGTGTAATGTTACTCTAAATTATCTTTTAAGGGTCGTAACTCCAGTATACTTGGATTGAACTAAGGCCTCTTCCCGGATATTGTTCCGAGAATAACCTTGTCACCTCTGACCAAGTCGTATCTCGTCCCTTCCTGGAGTTCTAGTCCTCGCTGTAATCACGCCGAGTCCGCCAAGTCCAATGCGGTTCGTCGAGCGACTGGTTGACCACACATCTCTGTCCTCACACGTTGTAGACAAAGAGTCAGACATACAACGTTGCAGTGCACCTTCAAACAGCCTAGAAAGGAATTGCAAATGTTTATCAAGTGGCACAGACATGAAGTGCGAACAAAGGGTGGTGAAGGTATTTTTATTTAAAGGGGATATAGAGGTAGCTTGAAGCCGTTTCGAAGGCCGTAGGGCTGATGGCTGTGTTTGCTTGCGGGGCATTGGCTATTTTCCGCGGTAAAATTCTTGCCCTGAACATCAGAGAATAACGTGCTAGTTTCGCTACTGTAATAAGAGGAGTGATATCTTCGATGGACCTGGCTGTGAGAGCGATCGATTTTTTGAATATTACCATCCTGGCGGCCTGGGTCTTTAGTGGAACCTCGGTAGTGTTCAGGTCCGTCGCTAAGCGTGGGTGTAGGTTCAGGATATGGACAAATTGTCCCTGGGATAACAAGGCTACTATCTTGTTGAACAGGTTGGTGCAGATTTTTAGCCTCCCAGAGCCCATCGTCGGCGAGGATTACTGGGTCAATTGGAATATTATTCTCTACATCTAGCAGCTGGAAGAACTCTTCCAAGCTAATTGTCCGAGCTTGATATACTGGGCGATAATAGTCATCCCTGGGTCATCTCCGAAAGAAGGGTAGCTCAGTCGGAACATTGGGGATATCTCTGAAGTCATGGTGGAAGTCACGGTGGAATTGGAGACCAATTCGACATGCGATATGCCGAATCGTGTGGGATATTGTCCTTGCTTAAAGTTCTCCGAACGTGGTGTACATGGTCGAGTGTTTGTACTAGCGATATACACGTACGCAACCCTCGGCCAGTTGCCGCGCTGATAGGTGATTCTTGGGAAATGGTTGTCACGGCCCACCCAATCGGGAATATTCGATTGAGAAAACCACTGAATTAGGAGTAAAAGACTAGTATTCAAGGACAACGTCCTTGGGAACTGTTCTCGCTTTATATAGTCAGGTTGTACAGCGCCGTAATAATGGTGAGGTAGGCAAGTACTTGGGAGGCAGTCATGCCAAGTTTTGGGGGAGGAGTGTTGGGAATTGGATTGCCGGAATTTAGGGATTTGTGTGGTGGTAGTAAGCTGGTTTGAGGAGGGATCCACGGCTTGAAGATGTTTAGGTGAAATGTAGGAAACGTCTTGCAGGAAATAGAGTATTTCAAGGTATATTTAATATAGAGCTGATTGGGAAACGGGAACGGGAAGGGCGAGACTTTGTAAGATGCCCTAATGTGCAGGTTCGATAGGCCTTCTTATACTTTTCCCTTAAAGTGTTGACTCCATAATTCCGGCTTTTCTATCAGGAGCGTTTATCAGATTGTTAAAGCCAATTGGAATATTATAATCTAATTTAGCAACTTCTTAAGTGTTTAATTAATTTGTAAGTACTTGCGAACTAGTTGCTAACTGGGTTTTAACTAGTTTATGAAAATAATGAAGAGATTCAAACAATGGGCAGCTCATAAAGCTAAACTAGCTATTATAGCTGGTCTTAATAGATTCTGTTCTAGAATGGATTCTAATATATTTTAAAAGACCATATCTTATATTAATGCTGGAAAATGGTTGCATCAGAAGGGATATATGTGGGAGAAACAACTTTCTTTACATCTGTAGAAAGGTATGTCTTTAACTACTTGTTAACTAGTTACGAACTAGTTAAATAGAGATTAGCAGCTTGATTCATGAAATGAGGATTAGTATCTAAGCCGAAATAAATATAATATTTATCATTCCTATTATGCTGACACTATTGCCCAGCGGTATGCAAATAGCCTGATCAGAGAATATAAGTATAATTGGTTCAAAACCGGTTTTTAACCAGTTGCTGAGTAGTTATATAGAGCAAAAACGCCATCGACAATCATCGAATTTCTTATTACAAGCTCCGATTGATACTATCGAAAAACCTATACAGCTTTATACCGCTTCAGGTTCTCTGTTTTCGTCTCATATAGGATCTACATCTAGATCCAAGTCTAGTTCAAGGTCGCAAGGCCAATCCACACTAGGCAACGACGTACAAGGTAAGCTTAAAGTAGTTATAAACCTGCGTATATTCAGTTACTAACCAGTTATCTAGACGGAGAGGCTCTTCACTTCTTCAGGTTGCTTCTAAAATCAGCATAAATTAGCGCCATCATCAACGGCAATTAGATTTACAACTTTGATGGTAGGAAGCTTGCAAGACATGAAGCAATTACACTGCTGTCACTTTCTTAGGGTGCTATTCCACCTCCAGTGAATAGCTTGCCCTTAGGAACTGGAACAGAATTAGTTAATAACCAGTTACCAACTAATTCTCTGTTTCTCCCGCCTCCATTTTTTGAATAAATTTAGAAAAACTACTTATAGTTAGGAAATGCAATACTGAATACATTACATATCGTAATTTCCTACAAATCCTTGAAATGACAGCTTGATCATATGATAAAAGATATTCCTTATTACTGATGTTCTTTTTGGAATTGTTGTTTCCAGCGTTGTTAAATATATAACCGATCCCTGGGCTAGGTCTCCGGGGTCGGTTAGTCTCCAATCCTCGAGGGTTAATTGATCCTTATTATCAAGTCGTTTTCTTAGCATCTCTTTCCTTCTTATTGCGAATAATAAAGAGGAGAATGCGGTCTTTCATCGCAAGTGCCTATATTTAATTATTAAATAGATTGAATTCTAATGTGTTAAGCTATTCTTAATAAGTTGGAGGCTTGGTTTGACAACTAACTTCAATCCTTGCTATATCTCGCGCTACTATGGACTCCATGATAAAGAAAACAAGGCTATAACTTTTCAGCAGGACTTGTTTCCGCGAGGAAGGCAGCTCTGCCTGTTCCCTTGTAAGTGTATTATTAATAAGTATCTCAGTCTCAAAGGATTCAGCTTCGTGTCCGCAAAGATAGGCATTAGCACACAGGTTCAGGGCATGGCCCCAGCAACGAAGATGGTAATAAGAGTGTTGATTAGATATTATATTTGGTATTAATATTTCAACGACGCAGTTAATTGCTACATTATTTGACTCGGCATTAACTAGCACACTTTCCCTCCTTCTGAGACTACTCTTTGACTCTTTAGGTGCCGCTCTTCCCTGATCCTGTAGTATTTGCCACTGGTCACTGAAGGAAACTGTTAACATGAAGAGTGCACTAAAATAATCTATCCAGTTTAGCAGAACTTAGAATTCCCTTTACAGATAGGTTTGCTGAAACAGGAAAGAGACTTATGGCAGCATATTTAGCTGCTTGGAGAATGTTTCCCCCCTACGTATCGTGTCCACGCTTTTTCATAGGGCCTTATAATAACAGTGGTCTTGGCAGCGGCTATATCTTGTCAGAATAAAGCTAGTCCATATTGGGACATCATGCGAATATATATACCCAATACTCCTCATAGAGGGGTTGGGTAGAAAAATCCTTCTGAATACATTCAATTCTCACCTCCATACCAATATCCCATATAATCAGACATATCTCTTGATCTACGAATTTACTTAGTGACGCCCTCGTTCCTGCCAAGCATCTCCGCAGTCATAAATAGGCCTTCATTGGTTAATTGTACTTGTCAAGAAGGGAAGTGGGGTCTCACATTGCGGGATGTGGGTACAAAAGCCACCTCCCAATCTAATTTGCCGTATTATGTCTTACTAGAATGTAACACAACAAATCTTGCCAGCTCTGAATGCATCAACAGGTTACAATGCTGGCATGCATGTCATTACTGGAATGTAACACAATATGCATTACCCTACACCCTATTCCTGACGGACCTCCCAGCCTGGTTATACCATGGTGTGTTACGTGGATTGTCGAGCTTGCGTATGATCTGTACTTGACTATTCCCGTCATAATGCCATCTTTTATTCCCATAGATGTTGCAATTTATGGTTAAATAGAAGATGTGATATGTAACAGTAGCATATAATTGACCACACCATCACCACTAGTTAACTATCCTATATTACGTAAGTATAGATTAAGTTCAACTTAAAGTGATTAATTCCAACCCTCCCAATTTCAACACGTCAAATTATTTGAAGCAATTCAACCAACTATCATGCCATCGAATGTGTGTACAAATGCAAACAATTTAGAAAAGTAGGAGATAAGGCCCAATGTTGAAATTGGGTGGGGTGGAATATTCATTTTGTATGGAACGCTCGCTTGTGAATACGTCAAAACCCAATTTAAGCAACTTGAGCGCCTCCGGTAGATAAAAATCTTCTTTTCACAATACGAATAGGCAGAATCCCCGAATAATCTACACATGTGCTTTCAATGTCCCCAGCATTGGTCGACTGCAATCAGCGCCTAGCTGGATTAGATCGTCAGGAAGAGGTAACGTGATGCAAAAGCTCCATTCATATGACATCTCTTGGCCATTTTCCCATAATTGCCCATACAAACTGCGTCTCCGGTTACCGGAGGCAGTCAGTGGCCGTGAAGTGCGGATCTGGATCGGAAAATGTTGCCAAAGGCACCAAAGGCCAGACAATCGTCTTAATTTCCAGACTGGTCTACCTGACGGCTACATACATTCGATCCTATCATGAATGAGCTCAGCATACTTGCGATGGCGCATCGCCGACACTTCTCGAAACATGCAAGCCTGGTTCTCGCCGCATCATCTATTGCGGGTGTCTCTGGAGAAAGAAGATGCTTCACAAAGCTCATATTTCAGACGAAGCACTTCCGTGATGCTACAAAGAGAAAACTAAGTGGTCCAATATCCGGTGTGCGGAACTGCATGTCATTCAGGGAGCCTTCTAGAGCTTCTTCAAAGCTACCATACACTAAATGCTGTTCCCACAGGCACAATTTAAAGGACCGGGGCCATATGAACATTGTCGATGGCAGATCCGACAATTTCTGGGAGCAAAAGCGGAGTTGACATGTTTCGATGAGAATGGGAAATGGCGGCTATCATGTATGGGGGAGAAAGGAAGGGTAGAGCCAACAGTGATGTTCAGTCAAAGAACAGATAATTTTTAAGTCTTTCAGGGGTAAATTTTGCATGGCTTCAAGCGGGGCACTTGGTGGGCAATGTTTTTAATGTCATATTAGTAAATCCTGTAGCTAGGGACGAAACAGTAATATACAAAAGAGTCAGCATAAATAACGTGGAAAGAGGGGGAAAGATACATAGCTCACGTACCAAAAGAGATGTTGTTTAGAGCATTTCCTGAGTGAGAAGACTGTACTTTCTGTTTAGAGAAACTTTCTCTCATTATATACCCTGAACCAATATCAGCTATCAGCTCAGGCGGACGAGAGACGGTATAGAGGTGTGTGTGGAGAGCAAAATCTTGTCCTTTCTGGGTTTTAAATCAGTTATACTACAAGCCCTGCGGCTACGCCACGACCTGTCGAAGCATATTCGGAATTTTTGAGCCAGTAGGACTGCTCTTTTCCCTTTGTATTTTAAAAAAATGGCTCAAAGCTCTTACTAGAACCTATCAGCGGTCTTAGCAGCGGCTATATCCCTTGATCTACAAATCTATCGTCTGGTTTGATTTGGCGAGGCGCTAGCGCCTCAGGCTTGCCACCAGGCAGGGATGATAACTACTGGGCAGACTATCCTTACAGTGGCGCAAAAAATGTCTGAACTCACCCAGCCTGACCGCCCGCTCTACCCTCCTACCGCCTACCATATCTACCATACCTACCTACCCAAGCTGCCTTACCTACATACCAACACATTCTTGCTTTGACCGGCAGAATTTGACTGGTTAGGTAGGCGGAGTATGGAGACAGGTGAGCGGGAGTTAAAAACATTTCTCGTCGTACTCCGGAGTACTGTACTGCTGCAGGTGTTCTTGCCAAGCAAAACCTCAGTCAGAAATTGGCTTTCATTGGTTCATTGTACTCCAATCTGTATTTAGGCACCGCAGTGAACTGCTGCGAGGGTTTGTGCCATTGTCAGTGTAATCTTAATTCTCGCAATGACTGGCGAAACGTTCCTTCGGCTGTTTACACGTGGTTTATGATTGAATTGGGTGTGAGATGCCTGTTGTGAAAAGTACAACTATCTGTGAGCAATTTCATATGATCTATTTTCTCTCATTTAGGTTTTCGTCACAAGAGGACTCCTTACAGGACTCTTACACAAGGTTAGAACAGGCTGCTTGAAAGAAGTCTCGAGTGGCTGCAAGACAAAATTCTTTGACTTGCAGCTGTTCCTTGCTTTCGATGAACGAGGAAAGGCAAAGTAGACAGTTTGCTTAGTAAGAATTTACCCTCGTCTAAGCCATATCGATTGATGCATGCAGCCACCGACGCGTGGATGCCAGACGGCTGCCCAGTCAGATTCTCTGGTAAATAAGAGTCGGCTGATGGCCTGTACATTGGGGTTGGGCAGTACGTTTAGCTAAACGTTAAACAAGAACGTTCAGGGGAAGAAGAATGCCGGCATGCCAGGCATGTGGGTGAACTCCTGTATGACGAGCTGGCCTTCCGATAGGTAGGATAATCATCACGGCCTGCGTCGCTTGGCCTGATCGACCACGTCTAGTACTGCTTTCCCCTTACACCGCTCATGGCACGTCGACAGATCTCGCTGGCGGTGAGAAGAATGTAAGCTGACGAGCCCTCCTTGCTGGGTGTGGCCACAGTCCTCGGCCTCTGACCGATGCATCCATATCCGCCGTTAAAATACCATGCACGCCGTCAGTCAGTAGCGCCTAGCGAGGGTTATTCGAGGGATACTCGTCGGAGCGGCAGAGTAGTAGTATCCATTGATTGTCTTCTCTGTGCCTGTCGCTTTCGCAATATCGATATGATTCTCAACCTCCTCACGCTGTTAGTCGGCCTGGCATTGGTCTACCTGGGGCTGACCTCACGATGGCATCACAGCGCCATTCCCACCGTACCTTTCTGGATTACTCTCTACGACATGTGCCGTGGTGTGGGCCGCACCGAGTTCTACGAGACCCGATTGCGGCCGCGACTGGATGAACATGGCGCCGTGTGGATGTGGAACGCTGGCCGTTGGGTGGTGCTCGTCACCAAGCCCGAGTACCTGGCGCACGTCTTCCGCCATGAGAAGACAGTGTCCAAGGCGGGTTTCGTGCGTAAGGTCCCCTGGGGAGTGCTGGCCCGGCTGTTTGGCGAGAATATCATCGATTCGCACGGAGCCACCTGGCATCGTTTCGCCGCCATCATGCGTCCGGGCATCCAGAAACCACGCGATATTCGCTCCCTGTGCGACCGGTCCGCCCGTCTAGCATCCCTGTTGCTACAGACGCAGCAGTCCGTCACTCTCTCCTCCTTCTCCTCGGCATCCACGGCGTCCGATGAGCCCAGCGGCGTCGTCATCGAACCGCTGCTGCAACGATGGGCACTGTCTGTCTATGGCGACTACTTCCTCCATACGGAGCTGGGCTGTCTAGAGACGCCGGGTACTACTATCGACCGACTCGTCACGGCCGTCAAGCGGTCCATTCCGCTACCGCTGGTAGGCGAGTTCCCCGTGTTGGAGCGTTTCCGGTGGCTGCTCCCGCATACGCGGCGCGGGTTTGCAGCCGTGCAGCAGTTCGAGGAGCATCTGATCGAGCAGGTCGACCAGGTGTCACCCAGTCCTGCTTACACGTCGCTGTCCCCGGGAAACAACAAGCTCATCCACCGACTGAAACGTGCGCGTGAGCAGGGCCTACTGTGCGAGTACCACTACCGGTCGAACCTGAAGATGATGACGGTGGCAGGGCACGAGAACGTCAATCTGGCACTGACATCTGCCCTCTGGGAGCTGGGCCGTCACCCCCACGTCCAGGAGGAGCTGCGTCAGGAGATGGCGACTCTACCGGCCGTGTACACCGTCGAGGAGATCGAGCGTCTACCTCTCCTAACCGCTGTGATCTACGAGACGCTCCGTCTCTACCCCCCGCTGAGCCAGCTAGTCAACCGCGTAGCTCGGGAGCCTTTCCCTCTGACTAAGGACGTGTGGATTCCTGAAGGCACCTGGGTGGGTTGGAACTCGTACGGGGTGCACACTAACCCGGCGATTTGGGGGCCCACAGCGCGTAGTTTCCAACCGGCACGCTGGGGGATTAGTCTCGCTAGCATCAATGATCATTTCCGGTTGTATCAGGCCCGTGGGTACTTTATCCCGTTCAGTGCCTACTCGCGTCGGTGTCTGGGGATTGGGTTCGCCATCTTGCAGATGCGTATTGCATTGGTGGAGATCCTGCGACGGGTGTCGTGTCGACAGGATCCGACTTATAATTTTTCTCCTACGTTGGTAAGTCTATTTCACAGAGATATATTGTACTGTGTGCTGACGATGTAGCCTGCGACGTTGGCCCCTAGAGGGTGTCGACTAATTTTCTCACCTTGCAATGAGGTGGAGGAGACGTTACATAGTAATCTATAATTAGCAGTTAAAATACATGAAGCATACGAGCAGGAAGACGGACACGCTTGACTACCGAGATAGAATGATGGCAACAATCGTTGACCATTTCTCTGGAATGTTCCGCCACCCCCTTGCTTCAACTTGTTGAGACGAATACAACAAGGTTATACGCTCATTATGACAGTTTGAATGGAAAATTATCCAAGTGGTATTACGTTGAGTTCAATGATTGCGTACCTTACCAACGATATTATATCCATAGTAGAGAGAAAAAAAAAAAAAAACTAAAAAAATTCTTATGTTCGTAGGCGGAGTTTGTTCAGGCATGCCCTCCGTCAATGCATCTCGTGGTCGAGCGGTGCATTGCAGGAGTTGCAATTAAAGCCATCATTGTATCTGCATGTCACAAGTTAAGAGTTCTTTACATCTTGTATAGGCAGCTTCGCCTTCTATAGTGCGGTTGCGTGCCGGGAAACAGGGACTTACATAGCTGTCAAGAAGGGTATTAAACCATCGTATACAAAAGTTATTTACAGACAGTCTACTTTCTGTTTCAGAACAGAACAGATAAATAATAATTAGTTGGTATTGTTAAATAACGATTAACGATGGTTTTAAAATAGGTACAGTGTATTACACAGCGGAACGGTTGTGGAACGGTTCTGCCTCGGTTTGTGGAACGTATTGTTTGGTAGGGCATAGATTATTTCACATTAAAAACCTCAGAATAGTTAGAGAGTACCAACAACCAAAAGGTTTTAAAGCATATAAATATATATTTACTATTTACAAAGCGTTACAAATCCTTTTACTAATAGTTATGCCTCGCAAGGTTAATGCTGTTGTTCTCAAAGGTTGCACTTTATTAGCTCTCAGAAAACGTGAAAATTCAAGTTTATACTACTGTATCCATCCGTTTCGGGGTAATTCCACTAAATAGCTCTTTGCAGAGCACATCCTTACTCAAGCTCCATCTAAACGCTTGACTGAATGTCAGGTGCTGAGCCCGTCAAAACCTATATAATAGGCTACTTACAAAAAGCAATCGTTGAAGGGAAGAAAGAAAGAGGAAAATGAGAATCACGTCTCGTGGGTCGAGGGCCAATAGAGACAATAGGGACAATAGGGAAGGTAGGGACAATAGGGATAATAGGGTCAACGGGGTTAATTAGGAGCCATCGCTTCCCTTAGATTGCCGGTCATAGAATACCGTGAGGACACTAGTTATTCCAAGTAAAGATGGAGTGTTGCTTAATCAATACCCACTATCAGCATCCGATCCTTTCTCCAAGAGCAGCTTACAATATCCTGGTCGCCTCGAGCAGAAGCTGCCAGGAAACGGACCATCTCATCGGAGTCCAAGATCGATTGCCAGCTTTGCACATGTCAACGCCGATATGCTTACAATACCTGCCAGGGAGCCAGTAAGCTTCCGACATAGCCCGAGGGTCAATTGGTTTACATACCTATTCCAGTACACGCAGTTCTCATCTAGTTTTACTGCGTGCCGTTGCTATACCGCTTCCACCGAGGCTGACAGACATCCAGGCCCTCTGCGTCGGCCAAGCAGTGTTCAGGAGGCAGCTGGCCCCCACCATGGAAGAATTCAGTCTTCACTGCCGAGTTCCAGTTCGCAGTTGAAATCACTATCAGATCATTTGTCCGAAAAGATCTCGCTCACGGCGGAGCTGGAATCGCTTTCGTTCTGACTCTCTTTCTTGCCGGGAGCGGGGCACCATGGTCGAGACAACCCATGGGAAACTTGACAACGTCATATTCCACCACTCTAGAAGTGTAGCGTGCAATTTTCTGGAAGTTTCTCGAAGAATCTTGCCGGCAAGATGAGATCATTAAATTTACCACGCCTCCCAAGCCCTCCTACTGAACAGTGATTAGAGAATATAAGAGATGGATTGGTAGGATACTTTCTGTATAGTCACTACAGAAGCCCTCTGCCTCAAGCACAGGGAAATGAGAATATAGCAAGAACAAAGTATATATTCCTAGGAGAAGCTTGGACACTACTTCCTCTCTGCGGGGTTTAACGCGTTTCATGCTTTTGAGTGTCTTTTTATTGCCTGCTAGAGCTCGCTGGTAAACCTGCTTTGCCTCCTTGAGTTTGCCCTGATCTCTATAGAGAACCCCAAGATTCTTGACTGTATCCAAGGTGGATGTGTGATCCGCTACTAGTGCCTTCTTATAGCCTTCCAGAGCTCGCTGAAACATCTGCTCTGCCTCGTTCAGTTTGCCATGATATGGTAGAGAATCGCAAGATTGTTGACTGAATGGAGGGTGGATGTGTACTCGGGCCCTAGTGCCTTCTCCCGGCCTTCCAGAACCCGCGTGCTGGAAAATAGCTTCTCGCCATCCTTCATCAGGAGGACCGAGGTATACTCCGCTCCATTGTCGATGCGCGATGTGAACTTCGTATAGGAGAGGGAGTATGGGCCTGCCGTCATGCGCACCGCGTTCATCGCCTTTAGACACGTGAACCAATTACCCAGTGGAAATGCCGTGCAATGTCCGTGACTACGGTCTCCGACGGCCGGGTCTGCGCGTAGGCGTAGCGGGGCAGCGTCTTGGATGTGATCATGATATTGCCTTTGAGGTCCGGGGTGTCTATCCCCAATCTCACGCGGCTCATGTCCTTCGAAATCTCAAACGTATAGCTGAAGCCCTTTCCCTTCCAGAACCCACGGGTGCCGTCCGCGCAAGACGTCAATATGGATTCAGAGGCATAGTCGACCCGTCCGAAGCGAGTGCCATTCGCATATGCCAGCTCGGCCGAGATACGCAGGTTCCCCGACCCCATCAGAGACAGATCAGGGTCCCGATAGAATCCGAAAATAAAGGCATTCATTCCATCGGCGGAGACACCATCGAACTCCCACTGTTCGCCGGAGCTGGCATTCAATGGCAGTATCTTGGGGGCTTCAAAATCGTCCATGGGGCTGGTGAACAGCCAGATCGGCACGTTCGATTTGGCGACTTCGTAGGCTTGTCGTGCAGTCTTCCATGCCGCCAAGACCGACTTGGGCTTCATGCGGCCAGTAGGCTTCCCAATGGCCGGGGAAGTCGTAGTCCCAACATGCTGCCAAGTGGGAGACGCTGAGGATTGCGGGATAGAAGAGGTTCTTCATGGCCTGAATGTGTCAATGTGAATGTGGTTGGGAATTCAAAAGAAAGAGGACGCTTATTTGGCAAGACGTTCTTGATCATAGTTCACCAGCTGTCCTATATGAACCGGTCATTCCCTGCCCGCAGTGCCGAGACCGAATCCCCGAAATCGACTGATAGTCGGCGTTGATGATCAATCCGAACAGACGACCAATCCTATGTACACCAAGCATATCAGCTTCCGTGAGAATCAGGCCGTTTCACCCTTCATTTTTATTGTGTATGTTCCCCAGCACAGAGACACATGCCCTACAATGTCTCCCATACTGGAAACACACATCCCTGCCTCCATCCCAAAAACCCAGACCGCCATCCTCCAAGGCGACGATGGTGTTCTCGAGATCACCGAGGGCGTTCCACTACCGCATGTCCCACCCCGACCGGACGCTTGTCCGTGTTATTGCCGTAGCGCTGAACCCATGCGACTGGAAAATGCCGGGGCAGTTTCCGTGCAAAGGCGTCGTGAACGGTACCGACTACGCTGGCGTCATCGTCGTCATTGGGCCCAAGGTTGCCGACCTTGCAAGTAGGCCGCGATGGAAAGTCGGAGACGCTGTGTTTGGCGCTTGTCATGGCGCCAATTCGATTGATCCGGAAGCGGGATCGTTTGCTCAGTACATCCGAGCGGACCCGGAGTTGCTGTTCAAAAAGCCGGACTATATGTCTTGGGAGACAGCAGGCGCATTTGGGGCAAGCGGTCTTGCAATGCTGGGTCTGTCGTTGTTCTGGGAGGGGGGCATGGGTCTTTCCGGGTCGCCAGATGAGCCGGCAGAGGAGCCGGAGCAGGTTCTGGTTTACGCTGGAAGCACTTCAGTTGGGACGTTGGCGATCCAGCTCCTGCGGATGTTTGTCTTACTCTCTTACTCTCTGTCGTTCACAGAGGACATCATCGTTGATTCTTAAAGAGCTAACCGCGACCACGATCTAGTTACGGACACATTCCCATAACGACCTGCTCGCCGAAGAACTTCGGCCTCGTCAAGTCATATGGCGCCGAAGCAGTTTATGATTACCACTCTGCGACCTGCGCTCAGGAAATTAAGGAACACACCGGAAACAACCTGGAGTTTGTGCTGGATCCCATGACAGAGGCCAAGACCCAGCGTCTCTGCTATCAAGCCATTGGACGCGGCGGTGGACGATATATTGCGCTGGAAGTATGGCAGCCCATGAACCACACTCGGCCCACAATCGACCCGACCTTTATCATGAGGTCATCCATCATCGGGAGCCGGATTCCCTTGGATAATGGGTATGACAGTGAGGCGAATCCCGAAAAGAGAAGGTTCGGTATACAGTACTACCGGGACGTTCAGAAGCTGTTCGATGCACGTAGATTGAGACCCCATCCGGTGAAAGTTATTCCAGGGGGCTGGCAGGGCATTTTAGACGGACTGCAGCTGCTGAAAGCTCGGGCAGTGTCGGCACAGAAGCTGGTTGTGTTTATAGGGACGCTTTGAGTGGCCCGGGGCCAGTAACACAGCTTGTCGTTGACTATTGATAATGTGACCGGTGGCAGTAGTTAAGACGGCAGAAGATGTTTATACAATCAATCGAACGTATATGGATTCGCCTCAATTCTACTGGCACGTAAACCGAAAATACATCGGGGTTCGTACAGCCGGGCCGAGGTCGGAGTCGGCCCAGTTGATGGGCACGCCGAATACCCCGAATATATATCCACTAAAACGCCTGCAGGCAATAACGTAACAGCACCACATTTCAGTTCTTGATTGCAAGCCTCCTAGCGAGAACCAAATACAGAGATGGCTTGGATTACTTATATTAGCGTCCTTACAGTGATAGGCATTGTCGTCCGTGCTCTTATTACGGAACAAGAAGGCCGCAGGCTCGCCCATATCCCCCTAGTCAAATTCGACGAAAATGACACGCAGGAAAGATATATCACGAGCACGAAGGATATTCTATATTAAGGATACCTGAAGGTTCGCATTATGAGTTTCATGCCAAATTCTGCCCTGCGACTAACGCTGAACTTCGCCATTCCTAGTATGGCAAGGATGGCAAGGCATTCAGGATGAGAAACCCGGTCGACGAGGGACATCCCCAAGTAATCATGGCAAAGCGCTACCTAGACGATGTGAAGAACGCCTCGGAGTCCCTGCTCAGCTTTCCGCTTTATTCAATCCAGGTAGGGATTCGCAGCGGATATCGAAGAGAAAGCCGGTTAATGGGATATTTTCAGTCGTTCCTCCTGAAATACAGTGGCTCTGTGATTCCATCTTCTATCGCAACGCAGGTCACCCGAATTGATCTCAATAAGAATTTGGGTAAGTGGGCCTGCTCCTCGCACATTCGACTCTAGTATGCTCAACTACATTGCGTGTACAGGGGAACTGGTTGCGCCGATGAGAGAGGAGTGCATCGACACGTTTAAAACAGTAATGCCAGAATGCAAAGGTAATTTCCACGTCAAAAGCTTGCTCATTTCCAACCACAACCACTGACACTGCCCAGATTGGGCACCTTTGAAATTGTGGGACGTGTTTCTACCGATGATCTCCCGCATCACCGGCCGAGTGCTCGTGGGCGAGGAACTCTGCCAGAACCCCGAATGGATCCAACTAACAATCGCTAACACACAAGGGATTATGAAGTCCTCGATGGGTATCGGGCGATGTACCCGGCCCGTTGGCAGTGGTTGGCCCCTTGGACGTATCCAGGCCGAAAGGACCTGATTAACCTCCGCAAGCGAGCGGCACGGCTAATCGAGCCCGTTTACTTGCAGAGATTGGCGGCGTACCAGGCAGGATCTTCTCATCGACATCGAGATTCGATGCAGTGGTTCATAGAAAATTCCCATGAGAAACCCCTGTCGCCGGCCGAGGTCGCCGATGCGCTACTATTTCTCTATATGGCCGGGATTCACAGCACCAGCGCGACGATCGTGTCTATAGTCTATGATTTGATTGCGCATTCCAAGTACGTCCCGGAGCTGATTGAGGACATCCGACAAACGCTGGCCGAGTCTCCCGAGTGGTCAAAGCGGAGTTTGTCCAAACTCCGCAAGATGGACAGCTTCATGAAAGAAAGCCAGCAATTGAATCCAGTGGGATGTGGTAAGTCATCGGCCGTTTGTCAATCTGCTAGACTTCGATGACTCAAGGTTTCAATCTGTTAGTGACCGTCCAACGCTCAACTGTCCGTCCCTACACTTTCTCGGATGGCCTATACCTTCCGGCCAACACCTTCCTGTCCTTCCCGACCTATGAGTTTACCCACGACGAAGAGACGTATCCAAAGCCATTTGACGGCCTTCGATTCTACCGGATGCGCGAGGAAGGAGATCCTAGCAAGTTTTATTTCGCGACGGTGTCGAACGACTCGACGAATTTCGGCGCAGGGTTCCACGCGTGTCCGGGTCGGTTCTTTGTGGCCCACGAACTCAAGATTATCATTTCAGAGCTCTTGACGAGCTATGAGTTGAAATTTGCGAGCGGCACGGAGAGACCGCCTGATTATTGCCATGATTTTATGATTATGCCGAACATGCAGACTGAGGTTCTCGTCCGGCAGAAGCAGGGTGTCTTTTGATAGAGGTGTAGACGGGCTGAAACTATAACTTACCTCGAGTTCTCGTTGGAGAGTATAGCCTACACCAAGTATCATGATGCTTTATTCAAACTAGATATAAATAATGCCAGCTAGAGTAGGAAGACAATGAAATAATAAGCAATGCTATGATAAAGCCACCTTAACTGTGAGCACGCATGTGTTGAGACTGCGTAATAATGTCGGAGCCACAGGCTCCCGAGTTGCCTCTTTAAGTAGGCCTAGCGCCTACTTGCCCTTCTTTCAGATAGAGTCATCGCCCTCGATGACTTTCACACCCGTTGGCTGTCAAATTGATCATGGTGGCCCTCTTGATGAGGTACAGGCATAATGACTTTAATATGGGGCGCCGTCGAGAAGCAAAGATCACATTGCGGAGGAGACAGTCAATGGAGACTGCGATCAGCTGGGGAGGCCGTATACTTCATGTGGCCGAGATAGTAAGACAGTACTCGAAGCAATACAGATTTTTCTAGCGTCCCGATCCCCGAAGCCCCGGAACATCTCCTATCGGACGAAATTGGGCAAAATGCTTCATAAAATTGTCTGCCTGCATGAAGTGGCTGGGATGACGACAGGGATGTCCCCGACTCACCATATATAAAACCCGCCATTACCATCATTCTTTGTCTTCAGCAACAACCTTCCTTCTCCCGGCACTCACCACACAATGACCGTCATTGAAATCGACATAGTCTTTGACTTTATTTGCGCCGTAAGTAGCACCCCTTCAGAGCCCCATCCGTTCCCGCTAACCCAAACCCAGTGGTGCTACATCGGCAAACGCAGCCTCGACCGCGCCATCGCTCTGTACCGCAAAACCTACCCGGGCGGCCGCAACGACACCATCACCATCAAATGGTACCCGTTCTATCTCAACCCCAACCGGCACGGGCACAGCGTGCCAAAGTCTGTTCTCTTCAATGAACGGCTTAAGGACAAGTCGCCCGAACAGCGTGCCGCGCTGGTCAAGCGTCTGGATAAGATCGCCCAGTCGGTAGGGGTCTGCATTAACTACGGGGGGATGATTGGGTCGGACACGCGCGATGCTCATCGCCTGGTTTATTTGAGTCGGAAGGATCCTACGATTAGTTCGGAGGTTCATGGAGAGCTTGTGGAGAAGCTGCTTGAGGCGTACCATGAACGCGAGATGGATATCTCTCGGCCGGAGGTGCTGAAGGAGGCGGCGGTAGCGGCAGGGATCGAGGCTGCGGTGGTGGAGAAGTGGCTGGCGGAGGATGTTGGTAATGTGGTTGACGAGGAGGCAAGGAAGTATAGAGAGATCGAAGGGATTAGGGGGGTTCCGAGGTTTCTTTTCCAAGGCAAGTATGAGTGGGATGGAGAAGATCTGCAAGAGTTTATGGAGATCATGGGGAAGGTGAAGGCAGACGAGTGAAGCGAACGGGGTCCTTGGCAACCATGTAAGGACTATTGGGCATGTTGATCGTTGTTATGTACAGATGGTAGTCTACCATATTCCCACAGCCGATTGCTAACGTACACGAACGGAGCTTTTTTAGTCTCGGATTGTTCATGATCCTGTGAGGTATCTGTGCTGGCTCCAGGATTCACAAGTTCACCAGCCTCTATCAGAGAGCTAGACCCATCCATCTTTTAGTGGGCTCTTCCGAAGGAATTAAATATGGCGTCTCTGGATCACAGCCGGGAAGTTGATTGCTGACTGAATTTGGAAGCAAATCTTCGTGCATATTATACCTATTCGCATTCATCAGTAACGTGAAAAATAATCGTCCTCTATGGCAGACGTACGCGTTCATTTCCCTGATCGTTAGCTTGTTGGCTTCATCCTTGACCGTATACAACGGGTCGTCGGTGTTACCAGAGAATCCTGGACAGTGTTAGCAGCGTAGATTTTGCTTTCGAGCAAGGAACCAACCAATGCATTTCGTGGGTATTCTCCCGCGCCCGAGCGGATGCCGCTTGAAGTTTCGTTGCCCGAGGCTTTCTCACGGCTTGGGAAACTCACTGGATGCGCGGCATCACCCATGATACAGACCACCTCCTTTTGCTAATAGTCGTAGGGCTGGTGAACCCACAGCCTCCACGGACGGACCTCTGTTCCAGTGTTGAAAGGTTCGAGAAGCTGAGGGTCGAGATCTGGGAAGCGGGCGAATAACTCTTCGACAGTGGACTCACTTGCCCAGTGCTGCGCACTGTAGTCTGCTTCTCACGGGGGAAGAAGCAACAGTAAGATAACAGACTGCCTCCGTGGTATGGCGAAAGGACAATCTTATGGACGTTGTTATGGCCGCCCCAGTACTCGAGGGCACTGTTCTTAGAGTAATCCATAAGGCCGAGATTTACCGCCGCTGCAGTATCGACACTGGCATGTAGACAACTCGAGTTGGCCGGCTTCTTCTCGGGGTGAATACTGTTAGATTAGTCAGTACTTGGATAGGCCTACTTAGACTGGTCGTGGATTGGATATGGGTCGATCCACATGATGTTTCCAATCCATGTGAATTATGGTTGATCCACCACCTATCCAACCCACACTTATAACCCATGTGGATTGGGTTATGGATAATAGGATATGCTAGGGAAGGTCCGAGTGAAATTTCACTTTCAATGATATTGTTGAAATGAAATGTAATTTGAAATGTAATTTGAAATGTCCTCTGAAATTTGAAATTGGGCTAATCCATATCAGGCAATATTGATATTATAATTTTCTGAATTTGTCCATACCACTCCGTTGCTGCGCGGGTTGCTCGCTCTGCAGCCCTTGAGACTTGCGCTTTAATCCACTATTACCAGCTGTGCCAGCTCTATTCTGTATCCCAATTACCCCAGTGGTTGAAGGAGGGGAAGGAATGACTGAACTCAACATGGATATTAATGGGTTAGGGCTTGAATCTTGTTGGCTTAAAGGCGAATTGAGGACTGAATTAAGCCTTAAATTGAGAGCAGATATGAGCGCAGGGCTTGCAGTAGTTGAAGCTGAATTCAACGCTGAGCTAAGAGCTGAAATAAGCGCTGGATTGGATGTTGGATTCGACGCTGGATTCGACGCATCTGACTCTGAGACCGGCTCCGATACTGGCTCTGATACTGGCTCTGACAGAGTATCTAGTGCAGGGTTTGGTGTATCAAGCACCTCAGACAAATATTCTTGGACTTGGTTGCGTCGCAGAATTCTCTCTATCTCTTCATCTTCCTCCTCAAGAAGCATCTCCTGTGTGATTGTGGTTGGTAACTCTGCCCGAATCTGTCGTTTATTGATCTGTATATAGAGTAGCTTCTCAACACGGTCTGTTTTAAGTTGATTTCGGACCTTTGTATGCTGTAAATTCATCTGTGAGAATGCCCTCTCTGCTGCTGCAGAGTTAGCAACAGTATTGCAAAGCCGACGTGCAAAGGGAGCAAGGATGGGAGCAAATTCTGCCTATTTAAGCACACATATTAGCAAGTCCGTTTAAATTAGGGCACTGACTTACTGCTTCAAGCCAAAAGAGTGGAGACTTGGCTTCCCAACAAGAAGAATTATAGAAAGCACCAGTTTTTTGTCGGAATGCAAGGAATTCATGCCAGGCAGAGGAGCTTCTGTCTTCGCTTTGAAGTGGTCGTAGAGCACCTTCTATATGGCGTTGTAAACTTTCATCCAGCTTGCCAGGGACTCTTGCTGGATCAAGATGATATGCCACCCAGTGGAGTGGTTCTAGTTGACGTAGTATTCGACTCTGCCAACCAGTACCCTCCAGGTAGGAATAAAAATCATCCTTAAAGGATGTCTGGCTAGACAGCGTTTGTAGACTTTCATGAAGAGCTAACCACCGTTCTGTCACCTCCATTATTGAAGAATTCTGGGCTTCAGATTCCTTCTGCGCAATATGCAAAGGCTTAAGAATCTTTATTAACTCCTTTAACTCCCACCAAAATGCATGAGACTTGGCAGTCTTTACTACTTCTCTTGCCTTGATAGCAGAAGATGTAGGAGTAATAAGAGCCCATTCACAGATTGCTTCCTGGCTCTCAAAGAGAGAAGTAAGCATACTATATTGAGTCCCCCATCGGGTAATAACAGAGGCAATCAAGGCCTTTCTATGACCCCATTTCTCATTCTGCTTGGCTTGCATTCTTGCATATTCAAGAGGAGATTGATGAAAGAAGACCACATTTTCAAGAGCTGATTTGAAGACGGCTTTTACATTTGGGATCTTCGAAGAATTTGGATCAAGAATATCCTTCATGAACAGCTGCAGACCGTGGGAGTCACATGGAACCATAAAGGCATGTTTGAGTTCTGGTTTCTCCGACAAGATTCGCCATACTGCTTTCATCACACCGCAAGTATCTTCACTTTATAGAGATAAGTGTATCAAACTGAGAAAGTTAGAATTGTTAACCTCTCTTTTTATTATTTGGTGAGATAGGTGTCATTGGATTGTGACGGGTGGTTTGGGTAGCGGATTACGATTTACACATTCTGTAACACCATATTTTGTTATATGAAGCTTTTGTGATATTGACGAATAAAAATATATCTTTCAAATAACTCTATAAACAGGTCATGTTAGATACTATATCACTCATTCGTCATCTAGTAGCCGTGATCTATCCTCCTTGAAATTGTTACGTTGTTGCCAATATCTCCAATCCAGTCTAGAGATTATCCTCTAACAAATATCACTCACATAATCCCCCATAAACTCTCCTTCTATTATCTCTAGTTACCGGTTATAACCCCCCAATCACCCTCCGCCCAAGAAGACTGCATCTTAAAATTCTTGATCTTCCACAGTTCCTCCCCTTCGTCCTTAACCAAATCAACCCAATACAGCCCCCCCCCGCCAACAGCCGAGTCTGGTCGGGCTGCAGTCCCTTCCCGCCGCGGTAGTGCTGCCCCAGCGCCGAGGCGGTCATGGAGGCCTTGGCGCCGCCGTCGGCGATATTGATCCGGATGTTGGTGACGAAGTGGGTTGTGTCCAGCTTGGCGATCACATCGAAGCAGTCGGCGTGGATTGCGGGGAGGCCCTCGGATACTCTGCCATTCATGCTGAGGGTGGCGGTGGAGGTGAAGGCAGAGTCGAAGAGGGCTGAGTCCCCAGTGTCTAGGCCTAGGACGCAGCGGTAGAGGGCGTCGGCAATGGCGTCGCGGCCGCTGAGGGCGGGGGGAGAGAGTTGGGGGAGGGTGGCAATGGACGCCATGGTGAGGTTGAGATTAATTTGACTTGGTTGGCAAGAAGCTTGGATGGAGAGTAGTGGGGTTGGCTGGAAAGCTTGACTTTGGGTACTTGAGAGTATGTATGTATGTATGTAGTGGTTGATGTGCACTCTTTTATCGGTCTTGATCGGGGTTGATGTTGCGTATCACCGGCTCCGGCGTCGGAGTTAGAACTTAATATCGCGCCACCTGTCGTGTAGGGAGTAAACACAGGTGCATGATGGTACTTAGCCTGGCACATAGGCAGGGATAAAGCCTGATCAAATCTCTCCTACACCTGAGCAACTTAACTCCAACCAAGCAACTAATCACAGTGGCAGCCTCCCACCGCGTGCCGATCCACTACATTTCGACAGCCGGGTGTTAGCCCCTGGGAATAGTGCGGCGGCGACATCAGTTGCAGCACGGCCCCCTGCGACCTACGGTTCCAATGGCTACGTAGCGAGCCGATGGGCCTGGGAGCAGTCCTCGAGCGGGCGACATCCTCACTAGGTGTCCCCGTCTCAATCCATCGCTTCGTACCGGCCCCCACACCAACTCCCGAAGCTACAGTAACAGCGGCATTAGAACACCTTGTCGGGTTTGTAGATGAGCTTTCGCTGATGCTCGACTTTCGCAGGGACGACTTCGAGATGGCGCCAGTCGAGATTGCGGCTGGGCATCTAGCTGCTATCATTATTGACCGCTTAATAGGGCCGCTCTTTGTATTGAATTGCAAAGAGAGTGTCTATATGCTTCGTTCACAGGTGACAGCGAGCACGATCACAGGAGATTACAGACGATCCATCGGCAGGCCACGGAATTCGCATGCTCGGCGCGTCAGAGTGCTTTGTGTTCAAAGAGGCAGCTATCTGTAGCCTATAGAATCATGTTAGTTGTTAAACTCGCTAATGAGAGCTTTGTATTAGACCTGATTAGCCCATGAGATCCAGTCGAATGTGTCGTCAATGAAGTCAATGAAGGAGTTGCCTGTCCACGTAAACAGATCATCCAGCCTGGAGTCAAAATTGTCGCCCGTTGAATTATTCGATAGTGCAAGCGCTATTGACGTATTTGAGTTCTGGTCCAAGTTCTCACTGACGGATTGTTGCGATTCAGGCATTCGCTGAGTCGGAATGCTTGGGTTCGGTGCTTCTTGATCTGCTTCGTCTTTCAAAGACATATATGTCAGGCACAGCCACTGTGGTTCTCTAATAAACACTTGCCTTGAGAGTAGAGTATTGATTTTGCGTGCTGAACCATTCTCTCTGTGATACTTTCCAGCTTTGTGGCGAGAGGATTTCGCGAGCGCAACTTGCCTAAAAAGGCCGGAAGATGCTCTATAGCTTCCAGGGATTGCTCGCTCTGCTCAAAATGGGCCCTGCCCTTAATCACAATTTCGCCCCAGAGAATGCCAAACGCGGCTAATGGACAGTGCAGACGCTGCCATAGGAGGCAGGTATATGGTTCCTTGAGACCTGGCAGCATGGCACCAAGGCCTGGTAATAAACCGAGCATTTGCTGCGACGGATAAGTAGACTGCGTCCGCAACTGCCTGTAGGATACAGTGAGCAAGACCAAAAGGGAATAGTAATGGAAGTGCAGAGTCTGTAGTCCGAGATCAACCGAGGCTGTGCCGCTCGCGGTGAGGAGAGGTTTCTCTGCAAGCGCAGCAGCCTCAAGAACCTGGAACGGATATCAGCTGCTGGTTCAAAAGGTGCAATGGAATTCCTGCTACCTCCGTTGCCTGGAGATGCCATGACTCTAAGTTCTCTTTAATTGTGTGGACGTCGTCAGAGTCTTGTCCATAAAGGCAGTGCCAGACGTCAGCCATGACGCGCGATAATAGGTGCATCTGATACATGTAATGCGCTTCGAACAATGCGGGCGCGCCACTGGAGGGATGGTATGGCTGGGAATGCAGGAGTTGTTCCAGCGTCGGTAAGGCAATCCCAGTTGCCATTTCGCGGTGGAAAGTTGGCGGTCTACACAAAATGAGCGCAAGCGACTTGTCCAGGGTATTCAAACGCCAGAAAAGCATGGTGCGCCGCTCACGGGTCGGAGAGTCAAGACGCCAGTGAGTGACCCCTAATGCTTGCAACATTACACAAGCTTTGGTAACCAGTACCCAGCAAAGAGAAGGCGTCATATACTCCTCTACGTGGCAGGCCAAGATGACCAACGCCTGAATACTCGAAACGTTCGGTTCGAGCAGCAGCCTCACATCATTGAATGCGAGCCAGAGATTGCTTCTTAGATTGGCCTTTGTTGATTCGTCCGACGGGTTAGTGGAGGACACGACGCTCAGCGTGACACTATAAAACATGACCAGCCAAGCTCGATCGTGTACTTGATGTGGACGTGATGCGACCAAGTGGTCGAGTACTTCCGAAGGTGCGGAAGTGAGCACCAACCTTTCTTTCTGGAGGGTGGTGACAAATACTGTAGGCTGGAGCGTTAGAAGAGCCCGGTACACTACAGAGAAACACTAACCGTCCACCCAGGCACGAACTTGATCCTCCTCAAATAGAAAGAAATCAGCCTCAGCACCTTCGGCCAGTTTGTCGAATGCAGAAGAGCCTTGCCAAGCCGCTGCGTATTCTTCCAATAGCGACGCAAGTGCCCTTAGAGAACGATGGTCCTTGCCGACAAGCCGCTGGAGCCGCTCATATGTTGTGCCACCAACATTGTCGGATGCAGGTAGAGGGGGTTGTCGTAAGCCGGTGCGTTCCGTGCCTGTTGGAGTCTCACAATTATGAGTCGGTAGTCTATTCTTCTCCTTCTGCTTTCTGCTGCGACGGATCACTCCAGAGCGGGAATAGGAGCAGGCAATCCCTTGGGCTTTGCAGCGTTGGCATCCGGGGCGATCGCGTGAGCACGCAACCTGCAACACATGGTCAAAACAACTCTGCAATAAAGAGGGGGGGGGAAAGGATAATGGGACCTTGCGGGAGCGGCATTTATCGCACTTGGAACCGTTTTGATTAGCATACGGCTGGTTGCGAAGTGCGCAAAAGGGCAGGGACGTACAGCATACGGTGCAAGGGCGTCGGCCATTCTTCCAAACAGTGGATGGTTAGAACAGAGACAAAATGGGCCCGACGGGGGGTAGTTATTCCCGACGCGGACCTTCATCGGACGGAGACGGGCAAGATCTCGGACTTTACAGAGGCAAGAAACGCTGGAGCGGAAGTTACAACCAAGCTCCGAGCTGACGGAAGTTATCGCACTTGCGTCGCAACACCACCGAATGCGCTGCCTGGGAACTGTCCATATAAAGATGGGCAGACCTACGCACACTCCCATTCATACATCTACTTTCAAACTCAAACAACATGTCATCCATACGTTACTACAACCAACCCTCTCCCTTCTGGGACTTTGTGACCAACATGGAAGAGCAAGGCTCTTCTCATCCTTTCTTCACTGGTACCAACAACAACTGCAGCCAAGCCAGTGAAGGCGATGACCAGTGGGCGGGTGCATGGGGCTTCCGATTCGGTGGGCCATTTGCTTCCCGCAGCCGCCCTGGTGCGCCACTCCACCACCATGTGCCAGTATCCGGGGAACGAGAACCTGGCCATGAAGGCGACCCGGTAAAAGAACAGGATTACGATAAAGGCCCCTCAGCGCCTCGTGGACCACCACCTCCCTTCTCTCAGCATCCTTGCCATTTCCCAGGAGCTCATGGAGGATGCGGTGATGCTCGTCCAAGAGGATGGGGCGCTGGTGGCCCCAGCTGCTGTGGTTTTGGACCTATGAGTAGCTTTCCACCCTGGGGAGGCTTTGGACCTAATGTTGGCTTTGGAACCTGGGGCGGCTTTGGACCTAACGCTGGTTTTAGACCCTGGGGCGGCTTTGGACCTAACGCTGGTTTTAGACCCTGGGGAGGCTTTGGACCCTTGGGTGGTTTTGGATTCGAGGACGGTGCGACAAGGTACAAGCACGAGAATTTCAAGCCCGATGTTGATGTATATGACACACCCGATACGTTTGTCATCAACGTTTCGCTGTCTGGTGCTAAGAAAGAGGATGTAGGAGTCAACTGGGACTCTGAGAAGTTCGAGTTCAGCATTACCGGAGCTATACACCGACCTGGAGATGAAGAATTCCGGAAGACGCTCGCGCTAGATGAACGTAAGGTCGGTAGATTTGAACGAAAGGTGCGCTTAGGCGGCCGTGCCAATCCGGCACAGATTGATATCGATGCTGTTACTGCTAGGATGGAGGATGGCATTCTTACTATTGACGTTCCGAAGCTGGACTCTGGTTACGCTGAGATCAAGAAGGTCGACATTCAGTAGTCTGGAAAGCTCACCGAAGACATTCTGATAGCAAGAAGAAGCGGGAAAATTCTGTAATAGTAAATAGATAGGTTAAGAGAAACAAGCACGTTAGTCACGTTCTGGGTTTCAACTCGTCTCTGTTGCAGATATATAAAGGACTATAATAAAGAAGCCTGTGTTGCCTCTGAAATTAAGAAAGCTTGGGTATTTCTTTGTAAATTTACTGTTAATGAGAAAGCGATTCTTTTTTTACATATATTTAATCTTAATGTACCAAGCTTTTCTTTACAGATTTCTATTATTCAGGATCCTGCAAATGCTGTCAACTAAAGGATCTCCAGTTACATAAAACACAGAGTAGGAAAGTTCCGGATGTGTGTTGGGTTAAAAGCAAAAAAAAAAAAATTGTTAACTGGCAGCAATTGTTTCTCCATGCTTTTTTTAGATCAATAGCGTAGCAAGCTTTGGAGTTCCTATTCTTGGAGCGTGCTTACGCACCTAGAGCAGTGTCATTGGGGGAATACAAAGTTTATAATGTGCAATTAATTTCACGACTTGGTCTCTGTGATGTTTCATCTCCTGCTTTGCTCAGCTTTACTCTGTTTTATCTCTTGTTTCAAGGCCAAGTTTTACGCAGGGGGAGGACTTGTTAGATGGTTTCATAACCCTTTTCCTCTGATTTTTGTGGATTATATTAATACTCTATTTTGCTGTTAAAGGCCAGCACAAAGGAATACCACATAATGAAATAAAAATTTTTTTATCTAACAAACCACTTTTATGTGACTTAAAGATTAATATGCTTGAATATTAAAAACCTATCGTATCCTACAATTACGCTAATAGCTTATAATATTTTTGCAATATTCTTTACAGGTGTCGCTATCAAATGCAATTTTAATATGAGTAATGATATCTGCCAATACTGCCATGGGAAATTTTAGGGTTTAATAATAAAAAATTATAATCCTTAAAAATGCCAATCCAGCTTTTATTAATCAAGATCTTGCTAATAAGTATTGTAGTGGAGGAACCAGGGGGATTGGCACGTAACAGTTATATGGATAACTATTATCTTGAGTCCTCGTTCAAAGAGGGAATAGACAATCAACAACCTTGTTGCAGACCACGGAGCGCAGTTGAGTAAAGTGAATGTTGTCTTCTCTCCTACCAGGATCGTGGGCTCAGGGCCCACAGCTTCCGAACTGTCTAAGAGTGTCTGTCTCCATGACCTACTGGAGTCCTACCATTTCCTATCTGTTGAATAGGAAATTAAAAAGGGTATATAAAAGTAAAAGAGTATTATTACTTGCCAGGTAATAACCAAGAAGAGACTTGTATAATTATTAATATTTAATTACTCCAGTGTAGAATCAGCTAATTAGCTACCAGCAGTAAGAACTCGGCATTTTAAGACTTGTTGACAGCTATTCAGCCATTAACTGTTATATTGAGGTTAGGAGTGCTCGGAAGCGCGATAGCCACATCCTTAGCTATAAGATGCTTAGTCAAGTACGAACATATAGTTAGTTATTCGCATCTCCTGACCTGAACACTCGAAGGTCAGTGATTAGTTCTGCAATATACGTGGTCCTATCTTCCCTCCAATATAGATACTCCCATTCGCACCATAGCGCACCATTCAGTTCGTCACCGACCCCACGCATAACAATTAATCTGTCATAGCTCACCTAATTGAAAACATTCAATTGAGATAACCGCTGCGCCAGGAGCAAAAGACTAGGATTCAAGGACAGAGTCCTTGTACTGTTCTCGCTTTATATAGGAAGGCTGTACAGCGCCGTCGCACTTTGCTTTGTTTTTAACTATTTTTTTTTTTTAATAATAATTCCTCTCCTGTCAAGGGTAGAACCCAATGTATTGCTCAGGCATGGCCTTATATAGGACGCTACATGCAACTAATCTTCGATCAGTCAGTCGTCTTGTACCTTTTTATATGGCCAAGTGGTTTTATCTCTACTAGCGCAGAGGCAACCAAACCATCACATCTCCCCTATTTAAATTAGTCAAGTATTGTTACCTGGATCTATTCTGATAGAAAGTGTATTTATTAAAAAAAAAAACTATTTCCTATTATCCCACTTCCTATAATTGCATGGGAATTTCTTTTTCTAATCCTAATTCCAAGGCAAATTCCTCTATGGGAAATGGACAGGAAACGGGACTTGATTTTTAAGATAAGAGGAAATAGGAATATGCCTTCCCAAATCCCATATAATTGGTATCCCTTCCCGAACGGCTTTGCATGGGATGGGAATCAAAATGTAATTCCCATTGGGATTATGGGACGGGACATGAGCCCTCCCAACGGTCAGCCTAAATTTTATTTATATAACAGGAAGGTAGATGAACTAAAGTACTAGTACTGTAACCTAAATACTACTAGTTTTATAATTATATACAAGTGTTTCAAAATATCAAAGAGTAAAATTATCTATACCTTTTGAAGACAAATATCACTATTATAGCCAAGCTCAAGATCTTAACTATTCCACTGGACCAAGATATTCCTGAGCACCTTATATAGTAGCGACCTGGGTAGCGCACTGTAATGTTAGGTGACGCACCCACACCTAACAATCACTTCCAGTTAAAGGGTCTGCAGTTTTTGCCTTTTAATAATTATATAATAAAGCTGCTTTGGCAACCATTTACTACAGGGAGATATTATCTTTTGTAGCGTGGTTAGTAATGCAGTAGAACAGTAACAACATTTATAAATAGTTGGGATCTATAAGATGTAATAGGAATTAGATATCCTTCGGTAATACGCCATTCAGCCTTATCCTTCACGACTTCGAGGAATTCCATGGTGTTACAAATCAGGCCCTCATGTTCTTGGTTGGAAGCCTTCTCATGGATCAAGACGGGCTCATGGACTCTTTTTATTCTGGTTCCGTCGACAAAACCTCGCACGGCAGAAGGGATATGACTGGAATACACGAACAGCCTCCGAAAAACGCCATGAACCCTCGAGCGCGTGACCAGGGTGAGAATCATCGCCCACTCCCATGGAACAAGCCAACCTAGGAGACAAGCTAAACCATCCATTTCCTTGATTGCGATCAACTTGCTGACGGCGAATAGTACATCCGCGCAGGACAGGGTGCCAATCAAGGCGATGAGCACGACCGCCACTACCAACCCAGAAGCCCCTAGGCCCAGTTAAGGTATTTGAGCAAGACGCGGATCGGTTTGTTCCAGCGATATCGAGCATTCTGCAGCTGTCGATATTTCTGCCCCTGCCCCCTGTCCACTATCGACCGCGATAACGGCTTCCATAAGTTAATGGTATAAATCGCCGGCCGGGCTAAGGCTCCTTTCTTCATTGACGAAACGCAGAAAGGTTTTTTGCACCCTTTCCAGACTATACCGGAGTTAAATATCCGTTGAATACTGGTTTGGAGAATTAAGGGTGGGAGGGGAAGACTAAGGAGTCGGACAGAAGTGTCTCCAATCAAGTGGCTTGTCGCCACGGCCACGATGATCACGGTGTCTCTACAACGGCCAGCTCGAGATGCCAATCGACAGCACTGGTTTCCCTGAAGGCGATTGACGATGACAGCATCAGCGAAATCCCCACCATCAGCCCTAAATACAACACTAGGAAAACGCGCCATGTCTAAAATGTTGTGGACCGGAGAAGGGTAGTGAGCCAGTAAATTCCAACACGGATTATGATGCAGTACCTAGCTCGCTATTTCGCAAACCCCAGCCCGCTACTTGCATAAAATTGCTTGCTAGATTGGGCCCGGGTGTAGTATCTGGAAAGAACAGGGATGTAACAGCCAACGCACTGTGATTCAGCCTAATCAGGGACCAATAGACAACGGCATCCAGCTCTCATACCAGCCAGAGCGATATACATGATAAAACTACGGATAGGGATCTCCCGATGCATCGTTATAAAGAGTCTCCTGTAAACTGGTACCATATCATAACTCATGTAGGTATGATCAATTAGAAACACCTGCAGAAATTGCCCTCCAAAACACCGCAACACAATAGTCGCCTTCTGGATACTCTCCTAGCAAGGTAAACCCCGCCTGCATGTAGAAATACCGCAACTTGTCATTCCCAGCCCAGCAGTCAAGAAACACAGTCCCCCTGCCTTCCCGGACGTACAGAAACTTCATTATCAGGCGGATAAAATGCAGCCCGATCCCTCTTCCCTGCCACTCGGGACGCAGCACTAGTGATTGGAGGTAAAAGCACGGCTGTGTGAAGTTTGCTTCACTCCACCCGGTCGAGGAAGGATGAAAATTCTGATTAATTGGTTTGACCACGACGCTACCAATGCGTTGAGAATGGTATTCAAGAACAAAGCAATGACGCTGAGCAATATGCTGAATGGGACTTGTTGGTGGGTCCAACTGTTGTCTGCTGCCAGCAGATTCTAAGACCCTCTGAGTGGTAGTAAGAAGCTCACTCGCCCAAGGGATATCATTATCTTCTGCGAAACGTATGTATAGATTGCATGTGTCCTCCATGTTTGGTAATGTGTTGCTGGTTTCTGGAGTAGAGTGACTCATATTGCTATGACTGCCTTAACTACCGTACCTGATCACCTGACGAACGCTACCTACTCAGCCCTAGCGACCGAACACCCGACAACCTTCAGTACCATTTTCTAAAAAAATAGCATTTTCATTACACCATCACTGGCCACCACCATGCCTAAACCTTCTTCTGATATCGAAATCCATATTTCAGGTGTCCTTGAAGCCTACTGCACGAGCGACAGGCCAAATATTAAAGGGTTAGCACGGAAATTTGGCATTTTATATAGCACGCCGCTTGCAGGATTAATGGTCACGTCTCACGCTCAGGTCATCCTGGCCCAACAAGGAATTAAATCATGGGCAAGTAGAAGCATTCATTAAGTGGATTACCTTACTGGATAATGTTTATGCGTCTCCTACCACTGCAATGGTGCAGCAGTGTGCAAATCAAATTTTTCGTTGTCATGATCCTCGGCGTCCGTTGCTGAACAAGAACTAGGCCTATAAATTTATTAACCGACTTCCTCCACATCTTAGCTTTAAGTTTATTAAGTAAACACGCGTATCCTCCTATTGCCCAGCATCTATTTCCAAGGAGCCAGGCAATCCCCATAAGGTTTAAGCACCACATATGCCCCGGGCCTGGGCACCGGCAGCGGCGGCCGTGGATATTCCGGTATGTCCACGGGCCCTTCAATACCATCAAATCCATACACTATTCGGAGATTTGTCCCTAGTTGCAGCTTCTTCGAGAGTCTTTCGCAGATATTCCCTCTTCGGTGTTGTCGAAATGCAGACAGCACCGGATTTTCGTCAGGCCGCCTTCAGAGATAGGAATTCGAATTAAATCGCGAGTAAGACGATTCGTGAAATCTAAAAGCAACCATGGAAGGAAACGAATTGCTTCGGATCGACTGAACGTTTGGAGCACCTCCGTCAACTGACTGCTGGCACTAATCCCGTACTGGAGATCACTTTGCAGTATGGAAATTGCATTCACTAAGAAATTAGGAATATCATCGGCATACAGGATCAGAAGCCGCTGAGAATCATGGTCAATACCTGACACTGCATGATGATAGGTAATTTTACAGCTTCTCATCCGCATATAAATCAACCACTGATCCCCCCAACAGCCTCTCCGCCGGCGACTGCACCCTCACCCACTCCAGAATGCTCTCCACACAGTGTTTCTGATGGTGTTCGCTGTCGTATCGACTTTCCATTGTCAATTTCGTATACCGAGTGCGATACAGCTTCCTCCACAGATACAGGCAATGCGTGTGATGCCAATCCACCGTCGTGCTGACTGCGGACCGATTCTTCATGCCCACCACGTCTGCCGCCATCGACACTTCTAGGAGGGACATTTTTTGCTCGGGGTCGGGCCAGGTATAAAATTCCCATGAATGGTTGTATGCCCTGCCTAGGTCTTCAAACTCGTGGATGAGATCGTCATCGCGACAGGCATCTGGCAGCCAGGCCAGTGCAAACTGATCGAACCTACAGCCTCGTTTGATGGCTTCATCTGGAGTTTGGCCGCAGGAACAGGTATGTCCTGATTTCTGGAGAGGTAGATAGGACCAGGCAAGCAGACTGAGACTGATCAGGCCGTAGATTGCGAGGAGGGATATTAATCCATTTCCAATGCATTGTAGCCAGGAGGAGGCCGGATTCTTCGGCCTGGGGTGTTCGGGATCGATTTGATCTAATGGCTGATATTGGGTCATGACTTGTGATGGAGGTGTGAGGAAGAACGGAGCAGCAAGTGATTTAGTTCAGCTCTGCTGGCAGGGCCCTCCTCTCGATGCATCCGATGATAAGCACTACCACACACTACGACAGAGGTAGCATACATTAATATGGCCATCATCGCAATAGGAATAATCATGCCAGCCAAGCCTCGTATTTGATCTTACTTGCATAAAGACTTCTCAATTTCCCAGCCCTCTTATCTCCAGCCCAGGACTATATTAGTAATATACCAAGCCACGGATCTAAGATTGGGAGGTATCACAAGTGCATCCTGCAGGATTGTCATTACTCCATAAATGTATCTTGTGATTTCGGGGATGATATGGGGCAATTTCTTGTTTGGATGGTGAGTGAATAGCCTATACCTCCCCTGGATATCAATGCAATATGGGTTTGTTCTACTGAAATACAGGTATGATATCATAAACCAAACGGCCTGGACCTCCCCTCTCCAGGCAGCTCGCGAATCCCTTCGGGGATCCTGTTAATCAATGCCCACTGCTCATCCGTGACATTTACTTGGTGGTCTAACTTCCACTGCAGGATCTGATCAAAATCGCGACATTTATGATCGATGCTGAAATCCGCCATGGGACCTCGCACACCCTCGACCTTATTGAACGTGATGACACCGACATCGGCATGGCATAGAATAAACTGCAACAGAATATACTGGCAATGTAGGTCGTGACCGCGGCGCGTAAAGTGCACCTTCCCTGGCTGCGAACGCGCATCCAACTGCGCGTGGGTGTGGTTGTGGTCGAAATAATACTCCGGATGGGCCGCCTGTCGCATCGCATTCAGACAGTGCAGATGATGGAACACATCTAAAAGACCCATGTACGCATCGTCCCCGTAGCCGTACTCCAGGGGGAACCGCCAATGCTCGGCTGGGTCGCGGCCCATCTTGAGGATCTCCTCTCGCGTTAGGGCTATGGCATGCGTATCGGAGATACGGTCCCATGCGGCATCTACCTCAGGACTGGGAGGGAGTTGGAAGATAGAAGGGGGATCTTCAGCAAAGAAAGCGCCATGTGTTTGGACTTCTTGGAGAGAGATGGGAAATTTGTCCAAGATGGGTGCTGTATTTCTGTTAGAGTTATCCAATGCGGGATGGCAGGGACGTACAGTATGAGGAGGTCTTCTTTAGAAGACTATTGTCCACATTGTAGGATAACCTTTGCACGTGGAGGATGGACCACAGCAGCATCAACAACGAGCAACAAAAAAGAATCAAATTAAACAGGACGAAACCACCTGGCACAGAGAATATGTGAATACCGCATATTGTGGTTGCTCGTTCAGCCGGCCTAGCTGGATGAAGAGGTTCGGATTCTTCCGCATCGACGTCTTCTTTGGCATCCAGATGTTGGTATATAGATTGTAATCGCATGTTGAGATGAACTGGGAGCAAAATGAGAATTAGTATTAAGGGCTCACAAAGCTGAGAATCGACTAAGAGTGATATGGTCCGACTGCATGGTAACTAACCGACACAAATCTCCACTAATGGACCATTTGGGGGCGATTACTGTTGGGCTGCAGGGAAGTCTGCATCAGGACCAGTGAAAGAACGCCAAGCTCGTATTCCTGGGCTTACTGCATGAAGGATCCCTTCTGTTCTGGGAAAAAACTGCAACATTGCTACTGACAGGCCATGGCACCAATATCTACAAGGGACTAACCACGAGAAACCCTGTAGTTATATTTGAAAGTCCATCTGTCTATACTAACTTGGACGTTCCTTCGTCGGCCTGTGTGTACTAAATTGGATATTACTCCTCGACCAAGTGCTTGTCCTTTACACAAGCTATGCTCCCGTTGGGGGCGCATAAATAGTCTCTCGACTCCCTGCATCATTACTACATTTCTCGCAGTCAATTGCATCTCCCATCAGTATCAGATTAATTCCACTCCAGTGTCACATACACCATCCTAGGTTTCGGTCAAAATGAAATACTCCCTTCTGATCTGCCTTGCTGCCCTTGTTGGCTCCTCCGTTGCTCTTCCCACTGGAAGCGATGATGTCCACACCGAGGGCTATGTCGGTGCCGGGGGTAAGAATCATTCTAGACAGTCAGACAGATTCTGTGCTAATGGGTATTACAGGGGTTGCAATCCTGAATGGCATTGACATTCCGGCCTCCAAGCGGGATGACGTCCATCCTGAAGGCTATACAGGTGCTGGGGGTAAGGATAACTCCGGTACAGATCATTGTCTCTTGTTAATGTTATATGCAGGTGTTGCCATCCTGAATGGCGTGGACCTTCCGGCTTCTAAACGGGATCAAGTGGATACCCAGGGATACACCGGTGCTGGAGGTGAGAATGATCCGGAATATTCGTAATATATCTTCTTTCTAATAAGTGTTTTCCAGGTGTTGCTATCCTCAATGGTATTGACCTTTCAGCCGAGGAGTAGTATAGATGTACGGTTTATGTCAATCCAAGGGTAGGCACTGCATGAGAATGGGTTTTATGATGAAATCTATTTGACGGTCCCGGACATGTGGCGTAGTAGTTGTTTATACCCTCGTCTGTAATCCATGCACTTGCTTATCCGACTTTATTTTCTCTGCGGTACTGTAGTGTGTACTTCTCCCTCCTCGTAGTTTGATGTTACTGAACCATGTTTCTGTCACTCGAGCAACTGCATAACATTTCACATACGTCATATTGTTGACAAGCAGCGTGAATATTCTCAATTATACTCGATCCTGGTAATAAGCCACGGAGGACCTGAGGCATAATTGATAATACCAACTCTGTTATCAAGTGAAGATTTTATACTTCCTCGTCACCATTCTAAACGAAACGACCAATTTAAAATTGCATGTTCCTATCACTCTCTTGAAGCCGAAGATTCAGCGGTTGAATGACTTCCATATCAGTCGATTCCACCGCAGTATGTCAGTCTATCATCGTTAACCTTGGTGGTACACTCACATTTGAGGAATAATAGCATTATTGCATTACCGGAGTACTATAACAATCCGCTTGGTTCACACGTCTAGGTATTCACAGGTACATGTACTATCGACGTGGCTTTTAGCTCGCTAATAAAAGGACCAAGATATCCCCATATCAAGCAGCCTACAATTATATTAAAGGGGGTTTGGTGCTACCAGTCCAGCCTCAGTTGCTTTTATTTGCAACGCCAGGAATTTGGAATAAATGCGACAAAGAGCAAGGTTTCCACCCATGTACCAGAACCCCGGATGACCACTAGGTCGCCACATCTATCATATCATTAGCATTCTGCGGCCAAGGACACAGTGATATTGAAAACTTACCGCATTCACTTCACCCTCCTCATCCAAATCCCAGACATCCTTGCACCGATCGGCCACTTGATCTCCTAGTGCCTTGCGGACAGTGGTGCGCATGTTGTCATATCCTGTAGCCAGTACGACTATGTCTGCTTCCAATGTACTGCCGTCTTTAAGGACCAGCCCATGCTCGTTGAAGGAGGAGATCCCCTCGGGACTACGCTTGATTTTGATTTTGCCACCGGCGATTAATGCACTGCAACCGACATCAATATAATAGCCTCCGCCCCGTGTTATGTATGCACGGGTGATGCCGGCACCATCTACACCGAAGTCAAGCTCGAATCCTGCTTTTCGCAGACCTTCTAGAATATCTTTCTCCGCTTCATATACTCTATTTGTGAAGTGGGTTGCAAGTGCAAATTGTACGGGGAAAGGTAGGCTCTCAGCTATGATATCTGCTTCCTCGGTAGGAGGGCTGGAATTGGTACAAGTCAGTGACGGGCACATGTTTGGTATCATAAGGGATTCATACCCATTTTCTTCATGAAGGCCTTCATGCATCATGAAAACACCTTTGTTGGCTGTGATGACGTATGTTCCACGGCGCTGGAGCATAGTCACTTCGGCCCCATTTTCATAGAAATTTTGGGCAATATCATGGCCGCTGTTTCCGGTACCAACAACGACTACTTTTTTGCCTTTCACATCATGCTCAGAAGCATCATTGTGTTGGCTGGCATGGTAGACGGTTCCCTTGAACTGTACCTGACCAGGAAATGTAGGAATCTTGGGTTCGCCAGAGTGACCAGTGCACCAGACTAAATGACGCGGGCGAATTGTGCGCTCAGAGCCGTCACCTCGTCTGACGATTACTGTCCATTCCGACTTTACATCATCATACACTGCAGACTTGATACTTGTGCGAAGCCATACGTTTAGCTCCATTATGCTAGCATATGCTTCGAACCAATCGGCGAGCTTGTCTTTTGAGGTAAATTGAGGCCAATTCTTTGGGAAAGGGAGATAGGCCATATGAGTAAACTCTGCCGGGTCGTGCGTCACAAGGGTCTGAGAAATATTAGCACGACTGTTCAAATAATTAACCACGGATCGGTGGCGAAATTAACCCTGTAACGTTTTCTCCAGTTGTCACCAATCCTCTCATTGCGGTCAATGATAAGACACGAAACACCGAGGGACTCTAGTCGAGCACCCATATTGAGACCAGCTTGGCCTACAATCTAGCGTCAGCGGGTCACCTTCCTAGTGAGGATAAATTAAAAAAAGAATACTCACCAGCACCGATGACCAATGCGGTTGGTTCCTCGTCTAAAAATTCGATCTCCCTTTGACGTCGTTCAACCCAATTCCCTTTACTCAAGCCCCCTGGCATTGATTCGATTGTTCCGTTCACTCTTCTCGAACCAAGAGGCTCCTCAAAGTTTTTCAACTCTTGCAAAGACGTATACACTGAATAGGCTTTCCATGCACCGGCATCGTCCTGGGTTAAACGAATGACACCCGCCCCTCGTCCAACCTGAGTTTCAAAGAAAAACATCGATGATATCCAGTTCAAGTTTTCCAGCGGCTTTTCAAGCTGAGGCTGTAACTTGCCCTCGTGCTGCAGTCGAAATGCCGAAAGCTGAGCGTGAGGCTGGCTGCGATGAAGAAAATCCTGGATCGAACTACAATTTTGGATTGTATGAAAGTCCCAGTCCAAGGCCAGCATATCCCGCCACCAAGACTCTTCATGGAAAAGCTCTGAGAGCCGGGAAAATTTCCCGCTATGCAAGAGGGCCTCGAGGTTTGTGATCCATCGCTGGGTGACTGACCGAGGTTTTAATTCCCAAGTCGTCGACGGGGTCACGGGAAGTTTTACAACGTAGTGGCTCTGAGCAAGAGACATAATAATAGTGGATTATCCTCCAGTGAGATCAAAGGCGTTCTCCCTACGTTATATATAAGAAGCTTGTGGTGAACAAAAGCTCGTGTGAACCGGGGAACATCCTTTTAAACGACATAGCTCCATGAGCGTGCAATTCGGCCAAATGGAATTAACCGAATCACTTCATAGCCAGATGTCCTCGGGTAAATGGGAATGGGATGCCTACAACAGAGAGTTGATAGGCACAGTGGACCTCCACAGTGGAGTTGTGGGGTAAACGAGATCGTATCCGGGGTAAAGCATTCCGCTGTGACCCTGAGTAGATCTGCCGACGATGGGTCTAGATTCAAACAGGATAGAAATAGCAAGGGATTCCTGGTTCAGTAGTCATTAGCGGATGGCGCTTTCCCTGTAGTATGGGAGAAATGACGAAAGACGTCATCGTCTCTGGTGGAGGTGCCAGGATATGCCGTTGTCCACACCAGGTATGATAGAACGTCCGGAACTGGTACGTATTCACAAGACCAAAAAGGGAGTACTATCCTGTTACTTCCCAATGAATCGCGTTGTTGTTATGGCCTTACAGCTCCATACACAGCGAGTGTATCCAGGATGTGCGGTATTCATTCAGAGTTCATTAGTTCAAGCCAGGAGAACCTCGGTGCCTGAGGCCTGAGTCATCTGGGCAGGTGACATGGCCAAACTAGTATCTTGCTCATTCCTGGCCTCTTGGTGAATAGTGAATAGTGAATCGATCTCTATCCTACGGAGTAGGTGGGACTCTTCCAGCTCCCCAACTGCATCCTCCGTTGATATTTTCTTACTAGCGAAGGTCTTGCTCCTTTCCTACGGGCCCTGCTTCAATACTCGTCAGAATTATCTAGAATACTATCTTATCGATAGAAAGATAGCACTAAAATCGTGCTTGCAAAGAGATGTTGATGCTTTTAATGGTTGAACGGTATGTTCATACTGACACATCCAAAAAGTGCTAATCACACAAGCCGTTCCCTTAAGCATGAGAAGAACTTCAGAGAAGCCATCAAAGACATCAATTTGGCCGTAAAGAAGTCCCTGATCTCGATAAAAATCATGACAGAGCTCTGTGCTATCACTGCGATGGGACACTGATGATGGGTTTCGGCTCTATTGAGAGAGAGCTACTAGATATTTTTAGAATACCCTTAAGGTGATTCGACACTGTTAATAAAAATATGCATGATAATGCCAAAACAATGCTCACATAGAGGCTATGGTGCTTCCTATAGCCCCACGGTTTCTTTCATGCTAATAGACACTAGTTCCATCCATGTCACGGCGAAGGCGATGCTGGCTATACACTGAAGGGTACTTGTCGGCCCAGCTTTAGTGTCTTACACAGCCTCTGCATATTCAGTAAATTTCCTTTGATAGAAAACTAGGAATTGTATGGACTGACTGGATGACGGTGGCTCATTAGGTCCTGGGGTAGTATCTATCCCCCGGAGTTGAAGAAGCAGATATAATTGCTGTCAGGAAATATAAGTGATACACATGATACTACAAAGTTAGAGCTCACTTAGAGTCCACGGTATTATTTATGTTTGTTAATTACTATCTCTTGTTTCACAACTGTGCTGCGATGGGGCCCGGGGATCATGAATATGTCGTGTCGATAAAATCTCACTGGACTAAAAAAGGCACGGGGGCTGAATTTAGCCAGGTACATTTCTGAAATATCGGCACATTTCTGCGTCAGTATTGTCACCGACCACGGGCTGGATTCAGAAAAGTTTTACTCAAGACTAATTAAACATATATAGTATCATTCGGCTACTAAAAACTTCGGGTTCGCCATAATAGCGAGTCATAGAGACATATAGCTCATGTTTATATCTGGGACTTGAATACTTAGTGCTAGTACTTTAGATTAGTAATTAGAGAAAGTGAACTCCACGTTTTAAAGTAAAACGACCTAGGCTTATATCTATTACTACTAAAACCCTGTGCTCAAAATACTCCGTATAACTTGGTGCTATCACGGAAAGCCGGAGAGGATTCCACGGAATGCTTGAAAGTGGAGCCGGAAATCCCAACTTGGCGAGCCAGAAAATCTCCGGACATCTCTGTTGACCTCCGCAATCACTTACGTGGTGTGATGGAGTATATTGGTTATTTATGAAAAAAGAATCACACTACTACTTTAATCTAAGTGTTACGTTCATTTAAAAGAGCGAGAAATGAAGGATGGCCGACCGCTGCTTGAAGTCATGTGGGGGCAGGTGACTGCCGGGGCCAACAAGTGAGACTGCAATCTGCGCCGCCCATCACACGCCGATCAAGCGCCGACTCAGCCTTGTTCTCATAAACTGCCAACCAACAAAGAAAAAAAAGGAAAAGAAAAGAAAAAAAAAAAAGAAAGCAACAAAATTAGATGCTCAGCTCATCCCTCCCACTTTTGACTTTCCTACAGTCATGATTGGCAATTGGGCAGCATCCCAGCCCCCTGACATTTCTCGGCGCATTCCACCACTACAAAAGGGCAGCTGCACATAACATACTAGGAATGGCAGTACTTTAGGACAAATGGAAGGAGCAGGTTCTAACATGGTTTCTCTCGTTGGTCTCGGGGGCCTTACTGGGGTCCGATCTGGCAAGCGCAGTCGATCGCGACATCTTCTAGGGGAAACTCAGAACAACATAAAACCTGCCAAGGGACCCCTTTGTCCCGTCCATCTGTCCCTTCGTTTCATCTCATTCCACCCCTTCTTCCTGACAGTATCGTTCACTCATTGCTTACTGTACATTATATACAGCCTATTACCTCTTACTGCTTAATCTATCCACCTTTTTTTGCTTTTTGAACGCTCTTGCGTCGGTGTAACGATGCTGTCCAAGACCCTTCTCGCTGGTGCCCTCTTGGGCATTTCACTTGCGTCTGGAGTTGCCGCCAAGCCAGTGCCTCCCAATGCGCCCGTCGTTGAGGACAACAAACCCGAGATCATTTACCAGGCGAAACTGTTAGAAAAGGATAACTCCACTGTTCGTGGTCACTTCACTGCCTGGACCAGCAATGAAGGCGTTGGCATCAAGTTCCATACGGAGGTCTGGGGTCTTCCCAACGGAGATCTCCACTACCGTACGTTGATCCTCCCCAGCCTGACTCTGTTTTTTCCCTCACTCTCAGCGACGCGTACTAATGCGAAATGGAAATCATATAGCATATCACATTCACGCAAAGCCTGTGCCAGAAGATGGTAACTGTTATGCGACCGGCGCCCATCTCGACCCCTACAAACGCGGCGATGAGATTCCTTGCGATATCAACTCTCCCCAGACTTGCCAGGTCGGCGACCTAGCGGGAAAGCATGGCCCCATCTTTGCCCCAGAGGATCAAACCTTTGAGGTCTATTACTCTGACTACTATCTATCGAATGTGAAGGATACTACCTCCTTCTTTGGCAACCTTTCCGTTGTTGTTCACGCCCCCGATAACAAGAGGCTCAACTGTGGAAACTTCGTGCCTCTGGAACTTTCGAAGAGCAACTGAGTTGTTTAGATTGGGTTTCGATTGTGTTCTGAGCGATAGTTCTTCTGTCTTTCTTTCTTCTTGCTACACCTGTATGTTCTTCATTGTATACATACAAATTCTTCGTCATGGTCGTTCCATGGTTCGTCGCGGGGGACAACTCCATCGATGTTGACAGGAACAGAACCAGACATATTTTTACGTGGCAAAAGCCTGATACCCTTTAATAATTCAATGGTCAGTTCGTGCTCAATTTGGGCGCCGGATTGCCTTTTACACTGTCACTATCAATACTTATATCAGTTGATTGTAGCTCATGACATATAGGCCCAGAAAGATGTATCTTAATCTCGATGATTTTTGAGAATATTTTTCGTGGACGAAGATAACAAATGGGAGTTTCTATGTACATGGTCATTTTGTTCAGTCGCTTGTTACTGCCGCACAATGAAGCTTCAAAACTCCCTCAAGCCCCGATCGGCAATGGCTCGAGCATCAAGCCTTGCTGATAGTGGATCTAGACGTACTCCCTTCTCTTGGAGAGAGGGCAATTTTACCGAGTCGCCGGACATATCCCGCTTGCGAACCTGGTCATTTCTACGCGGATAAGTAAAAGTATGTCTCTTGCTACATTGTATACCCAACATCAAGTTGGCTGCCCATCCAGGTGCTCCAAACGGCTCTGGATGGCACTAGGATCATACTGGCCTTCTTCGCCTCTGTATTCTTGCAATACGACGGTGCGCATCAGTCGTCGGGGGGCACGACGGCCGGTAAAGAGTTCGAATTGGGCGAATCCCTGCTCGGGGAGGACGTCTAGACCATCGAGGGCGACCCAGCCGCGGTGGGAGAGTGATCGGATCTGTTTTATGAGTGGTGTGTTCAGGGGTTTGTAGGCTAGCTAGTCTGTATTAGCTTCTTTCTCTCTCTCTCTTTTTTTCTTTTTTTCTTTTGGTTTTTGCAGATCCATAGCAGGAGTAGGGGGGAGGGGTAGACAGAGGACATAGTATACGTACATCAACCACAACACCCCCTGTAGAACTCTCAAGCCACTGCAAAGGCATCTCCGTATTAGGTGCGGGTTGACCACCGATACTATGTGCTGGGATACAAGAACAAATCACGGTGGGCTGTTTATACGCGATTGGCCAAGGGTCGTGCGAGGATTTCAGGATGTGGAACTTTGGTCGCCGGCCATCAGGGGAGTCACTGCCATGGACGTGGAGATTCTGACGGTTGTAATGGTAAGCAAGCCTCTCGGCATTGGAAACGGTGCGATTGTAAATAAAGATATTCTCGACACCGATGTGAATCATCGAGTAAATGGCGGCACGCGCCATACCACCTGCCCCAATGACCAGTCCAGTCGAGGAAGGACGAATTGCGTTGGCTGGTGACAGTCCACGACGAAAGCAATTGGTGATTCCGATCCAGTCAGTGTTATCCCCGTGCAGGGCTTTGACGGGGCCAGCTCGGCTTTTCTCGATGTAAAGGGTGGAATCTTCCGCATTTAAGGCCTTGCTGGCTAGATCTCGGATGGGAATCAATGTGTTCACAGCGCCAATGGCGCGCGCATGCGGGGACATTGAATGAAGGAGAGGTATGCATTCCGTCTTGTACGGTAGACTGACACTGGTTCCACCGAAGTGAGGGTTCTCGACTAGTTCGTTGAGCCCTCTAAGCGACGACGACTGATGGATTTTATATACGTGAGGGAGGCCGCATTGTCGATACGCGGAATTATGCATGGCCGGCGACAGGCTGTAGGTCGCGTTGGCGCCAAACACAAAATATTGCATGGGATCGAGGGTGAAGGAGGAATAGAGAGCTCCTTGTGCTTCGCGTAATGTGATGCATGATAGATTCTTGGTATGGGTGTCTGGCATCAACGATTGATGGACTACGGGCGACAAGATCTCATTGAAACAACAGGATAATCGGCCCAAAGGTCCAGAGTTATAGGCTATGAGAGGCACGTCTCCTCCTGGGAGAGACCGGATATGATGTCGGAAGCGTTGGACAGCGAAGTTGTCTTCGATTGATTCTGCCGGCTGTATCAATCTGACCATGTCGCAGTCTAGCTTTCTCGCTCGTTCGTATAATGCCTGATACTTGTGGTCATCCCAGCCTTCCGAGGGTCGTTGCAGGGCTTCAAAATGCCCTATGATCTTGCTTGCTCCCTTGGAGGCAATGATCTGTGACAGTATAGAATCGTCATAAGACAGATCCACAGTTAAAAACCCAGGAGACAGCCGTAGTCCATGCTGTACTAGATTGAGATATGCGGTATCAGAGCGACGCAACTGCTTATTCTGCGGTGCAGTCGAGGCATTCGAGGCTATACTACTGTCCACATGGTAGATCAACTGGATAATAATGCTTCGTCGGATGGTACCCACAGTCTGGCTGATCCTATCTAAGAGGGTAGGGTCAACGCCTAGTTGAGAAGAAGAGCCATCCGTCACGTCTACTTTTAGTTCAAATGCATCTGCGGCTGACTCTAGGTCCTCGATATCGAAATTTCTCTCCATAAGGGAAGACAATGGTGCAATAGCAGCATAGGTATACATGCGTTTCTGGACCGGCTGCATTGATAAGGGGAATGATTGGTGTTGCTTGCGCAGATACGTGGCATCTCCTATTGCGAAGGCAATAAAACGAAGAAAGTCGCGCTGCAGCCTTTTCAGAGTCAAGAACGGCGTGAATGTCTCCGAACGCTGGTCCATTTCAAGCCCTATTGGAGAGTTTTGGTGGCTCTCCTTGGAAAGTGTCGGGTTTCCCGTACCCTTTTCGGAGACGTTGAAGAACTCCAGGTTTGAGCACGTCCGATAGATTGGCCCCGATAACTCCAGAAAATGTCGAACTTTATCTATATCCCATGCATTCAGGTAAGACTGGATGCTCTGAGAATCCCGAATGATATGGATGACAGGATGTGTTTTTGCATATTCTCGAAGTAGCATCTGCCCCCGGCGCTCCATTGAACCTGGGCCGCACGCGATGACCCAGCCCTCCTTATGTTCTTCGAGCATCGACTCCATAATCCTCACCTCCTGCTGACGGTATTCAGCAAGACCGAAGTCCCTCTTATATTCGGCTCGGGAGCGACCTGTTAATTGTTGGAAAACTTGGCCCGCATCTATGAGGCGCCTTCCAGAGGCTGCAGCTAAAATAACGGCGAGGCTGGACTTGCCAGTACCGCGAATGCCAATCAACACAATGGAGGCGTTCGGAAGGAATTTCCTCTGCGTCTGGACTGGGCCTTCAAAACAAGCCGGTATCCCCGGACCGGATCGTGATTCGTGCAAGAGAAAGTGATCAGGCGTATCTGGCCGCTCCGGTGAACGACTTAAGTCGACATTTTTCTGGCGAGGTGGATCCTTCTCATGATCCAAATCGGGGGGATCAGACAGATGTGGGTGAAAGAATTGAGAGGGATTCGAATGTTGTCTGTTTAACTGTTCTGCGAGCCCCTCAATCTCGTCCAACTTGCGTTTTGAAGGCCTCACAAGAATCGACATTACGTGGTATGATCGCGATCAAACCTTCGCACTAATCGATATGATTAACATTCGGACAAATTCAGACGGCGCATAACTTGAGCGAAATCCGGACATTGAGGTTACTAATCGAGACAAAAGCGCCGAGAAGCCAGTGTCTGCGGATGAGGATCTGTTTCTCGCAGCACAATGTAAGGGAAGTCTCCGTAATTCAAGACATTCGACCTCAAGCTGAACATTGAACGGTGCCCGGAGAGTAAGAGATGAGGACGTTGTGGAGGCTCAGAGGAATACTGGGCCTTGGAGCCTGAGGAACTGCCGCCTCACTCCGGACAAATCCTCTGCCGCTACTTAACTTATGGGTCCTTACCGAACCGTACCATACATAATACTTATTGCAGCGGAGTCTCTCCGAGCTGAAGTCACTTTGGCTTTACCCCGCAGGGATTTGGTACATTTCTGGCCTATGTTCATCAGGGAATTTGTAAATGTTCTCCGCAGCCCCAGTATCCGGTATACAATGGCGTATTTGTGCTGTTTTCCCCAGTTCCCCATCATCAATTTTCATATCTCCGTTTTGAGTCCCTCTTCGCCTACGGCCACCACGATCGCATTGCCCTGGACTCACATTTTCTGTTTTATTTGATCAGGATTACATCAAGATTCCCTTTTTATTTAATTTTTATTTTTTTCTGTTTTTCGGTAACGCCTTATGTGGTGGGGGCGACTCCCATTGTCATATTCACCAATGCATAGGATCCATCTCCGCTGCAGCAGAAGATGAACGAGCTTCTAGAACAATCTAGAAGACTGTTGTACAGACGATCATGAGCAACGACGCCCGCCAAATTTCTGGGGGCACCAGCAAAGCGAAGCGACGATTGATCGATGCCAACGAAGATAGCAGACAGAATCCTGCCCAGGATGACTATGCTTCCAATCCCAAAAGACAACGTGTCTCTCGTGCTTGCGATAGCTGTCGGTCGAAGAAGGACAAATGTGATGGCGTTCAACCAGTGTGCTCGACTTGCGCGTCGCTCTGCAGACCCTGCACGTACAAGGCCAATCCCAAGAAAAGAGGACTACCAACCGGATACATCCGCACCCTCGAGATATTATGGGGTCTCGTATTCACCAAGATACAGGGTAGCGAGGAGGTGGTTCGTGCCCTGTTGAGGGCAGCAAATATGCCAAGTCATTTGGCCGCCATGGGCAAGGAAGCTGAAGGATCCGATACACTACTATCCGCGTGGAAGAGCAGCATCGTTCTTAAGGACATCGAGAGGTTGTTGGTGTCTTTAGAGCAACCGGATGATGACCAGGACAAAGGGAGTCGACCACTAGCAGACAACTATTTCCCACCCGATGCCGAAGGCAGCAGTATGCTTTCTTCAGATGCTCTCGAGTGGCAGATCCCGGATGATTTCACAGAGGGAGGAGATAATCCAGGGCTGTCCCCGGCCAAAACTCCTACGACTTCTAGAAACAGTGCAACGCGCGTTACTCGCGACTCTACTACCCAGACCTCCTCTCCCACGGAAGTACCCAGTCTCTCACTTGCGCGTCCATTGGCACAACCTCCACCGGATTCCCATTCTGTTAGCCGACCTCGACCAAAACCCTCCCTTCAACTCCCCTCGAATGCGTGGCATCTGCTTGATATCTACTTTTCCTACACACAGTGCTGGTTTCCTATTCTAGAAAAACATAGCATACTTCGTACAGCCTTTCTCTACTCCGAAAGCGACAGCCCTATTTCAATATCACCTGCAGGATCTGGGGATCATGCAGCGCTTTGCGCGGTTCTTGCTCTTGCATCCATCCAGGAAGCGTCCATTTCTGCCACTCGACAACTGCCAAAGGCTGCTGGTGAGCAGCCAGATCCTAACCAATTGTATATGACGGCTAGGAGCCTCATCCCCGGAGAGAATGGTGTGCATGAAATCGGTCATGCTCAAGCATTGCTGATTTTATCTCTTGTCAAACTGGGCCAGCAAGACTGGGCGGCAGCGTGGATACTCGTGGGTCAGGCTATACGCATATCCCAATGTCTAGGATTGGATCATCCGCCTTACTTGGCCACGGATGCAGCAGATGAAGCTCCAGCCACACGGTCCAAACACGTAATTTTGGGCTGTTTTGTATTGGAGACTTTGGTAGCCCTGCAGACAGGCCAGGTGCCTTCACTTCGTAGGAGTGACTTGGCAACTATTGGCCCGATCAATGAAGATGGGTTGGAAGAATGGCATCCTTGGGAAGATCAGACAGGCCTTCGTCCGGTAGCCCTGACACGTGGAGCCTTCTATCGAGGCCCTCTCCATGCGTTGAGCACATTCAACCGACTAATCTCTTTGATGTGTATTCTAAATGACCTGTGCTGCTTGAAACAATCTCCCGTCGATCCTGTTTCGCATCTGGAGGGATTGGAGCGACACCTGCAACTTTGGGTTTCCGCTCTTCCTAAAAGCTACCGTGTCGATCTACAGAGGAATTCGGAGCGACCAGCGTCACCACACATCTTCTGTCTTGAAATGATGTATGAAGGTGTCATCACCAGTTTGAGCCTTCGTGTTACCATTCATGGAGGCGATGGTAATATACGGTCAGTATACAGAAAGCGCGCCACAGATAGCTCGCAGAGGCTCCTTATGCTGTTGCAGGCGTACATGGAGAGCTACAGTCTTTCCGCAACCTGTCCTACTTTTGGAGTACTCCTCACGTCTGGCGTTCTCCGGGTATGTACAAACAATCATTCTGCCTCATTCGATCTTGAGGCCGGTCTCAAGCATAAACTACGCTCTTTTGCGTCCCATCTCTCCACCGTGTGGGAAACGCAAGGCAAAACAACTGCAGACCATGGCCTGCCCGAGAGATCTCCAGATGCAGGAGTGCAAGGACTACCTGAACCCCATCGACAAGGAGCTTTGCCCACCGTGGACGCAGTTGCTCCGAGTACGCCCCAGCATGCCATACCCGGCTCTGAAAGCGCTGCATATCGAGCAAGTCTACTAACTGGGACCCGTGTCGGTCTGTCTGGGTCAGATCCGTTCCTTTCAAATCCCTGGATGAGAACACCTTCCAACATCGGAGACAGCGTCGCTTTGTCCCTGCCAACGCCAGCACCTTCATTACATGTAAACCAGACAGCAAAACCCTCAAGAACAGACCCTCAACTTAACGACACCGAATCCCACAGGCCACGGACCTCCATTTCATCCTCCGCGAAAACAATGAACGGAAGAACTATGTTGTCCGACGTGACATCCCCCTTCCCAACGAGCGCGCCTCAGTATCCCCCATCGTACGGCGAGCCGAATCTCAACATTGATTCTTTGGCTGATATGGATGGATACGTGTCTCTGCGACGACCCCGGATTGCTCCGGATCTTGATTCCTTGTTTGACGAGTTAGCGTCACTTGATGGCACTGAGAAGTGAGTTCATGATGTTTTGGGCCTGAATGAGACTGGCAAATGCTTACCGTCATAGGACTGACAATCTACCTGAATTTATGCAAAACCTCGGGTTTGCCCCTGATGCAGGAGTTCCAGAGCTTTACTCGTACTCGAATCAAGTGGAACCTTTTCTCCTCGCCCAAACGCAGCCACTCCGGGCCCTACGAGAGGAATCACAGCCAGTCAACGAGATGCATTCAAACGCGAAAGAGAAGAACGGGTTCGATGACGATCATTTTACTAGCTCTTATGTTATCTAGGCCAGACCTGTCATGTTGTGGTCTTGAATCTGGTGCGGACAACCAGTACTATTCTTAGGTTCATAATTTGGAAGACCAAACTACTTCTAGGTCCATATACAGTCAATCATCTAAATTTTACCTACACTATAACAGCCATCATAAAGAACACCACAGAATAGGATCTATCTACAATACAGCCCTCTCCCTCCTCCCAAAATTCAACACCACATATTCCACCGCAACCTTATACCCAAACACCCCCAACCCCACAATCACCGCCTCCGCCTTATCACTCAAATAACTGTGTTGTCTCCAAGACTCCCGCGCATGCACATTGCTCACATGCAACTCGACGAAGGGAATCCCTACGCCCAGAAGAGCGTCCCGAATAGCGACAGAAGTATGGGTGAACGCGCCGGGATTTATGATTATCCCGTCAACATGGCCTCTCGCGGCTTGGATGCGATCCACGATGGCGCCTTCATGGTTGGATTGGAAGACGTCGAGGGTGGCGCCCAGCGAGGCGGCTTGGGACTTGCTGGATGATTCGATGTCGGCGAGGGTGGTGGTGCCGTAGATATGGGGTTCCCGGGTGCCGAGGAGGTTGAGGTTGGGGCCGTTGATGAGAAGGATGGATTTAGCCATTTGTTAGAGTTATGGTCAAGATATGCAGTATTAGGAAGAGATTCTATGGATCTGCGAGGTATCATATAGAATACTTGGTGTCAGGTTTCTATTTCTGGTATGATTACAATGATAATCTAGCTATTGGTGTTGTGTTTATTTGGGATACTTATTATTGGTATTACTAGACGCATTCATCGGTAATGTACAGTATAGATCGTGAGGCGGTTAAGGGTTTCCCGGCTAAATCCTCTACCGGAAAACCAATCTGCCACATCCGGGTAGGCAGTATGGCCCATATTGAACATCTGACTGTGTGGGTTCTACATGTCTTTGGCTTACTGATAAAGCAAAGCATCTTTCTTAAACTAAGTCCAATTGGAAGCGTATGAGTATCAGTATATTAGTTGCTCTCTATAGATGTTAGTGTCTAGATACTATATAGATATTGGTGTTCTAGACACACATAGTACCATATTCTATTTACCATCCATACGGTACAACAGAGACCATTAAAGAGTATAGCTTGTCCTGAATAATTTTTGGTTGTTGTCTTGTATAAGTACCTAGACCAGTAGAGATCGCCCCAGTACACCATACGCATCCCATAATGCTGGAAGACACTCAAGACCAACCATAAACACCGCAATCTATATACTGCAAAGCACGCCACGTGAGAGATCCACTCCATCGGGTAAAGTCACGCACGTCGATGAGTTTTATCCTGCTTGTTTCTCGATCTACTTTCTCCCTGTGTCGGATTTACACCAAGTCCTGGGCTTGAGGCAATTCCAGAAAATAGCGCACAATGGCCACCTCCGATCTCAGTCAGGGGCAGCTGGATGAGATTTACGCTTTCGCAGTCGACCTTGGTCGCCAGGCAGGCCAGCTTCTACTGAATCGTGTTGAGAAACGGATTGCAGGCGATAGTCAGTCTGTCGAGGAGAAGGACAGTGCGGTAGATATCGTGACTCAAACGGATGAAGGTATGCCATATTCCTTCTTGATAGTATCCACATACTAACACTCTACAGATGTCGAAATTTTTATCAGAACTGCTATCGAGAAGAAATACCCCTCTCATAAGTAACTCCCTCTATCTACAGTGAAATGACCCCGCTAAACCCCCAGATTCCTAGGCGAAGAATCATACGCAAAAGGCCAATCGCGCGGCTATCTCATCGACGAGCAACCGACCTGGTGTGTCGACCCTCTAGACGGTACATACAGAACCATCATCCTCAATCTACACTCATAACTGACAAACTAGGAACCGTCAATTTCACCCACATCTTCCCCATGTTCTGCGTCTCCATAGGCTTCCTCGTCAACCATCGTCCCGTCATCGGCGTCATCTACGCCCCATTCCAAGACCAGCTGTTTTCATCCTGCGTCAACCGCGGCGCATGGCTAAACGAGAAGAGTCGTCTACCACTCCTGCAGTATCCGTCTGTGCCTCCTTTACCGGCCAACGCACCGAGCCAATGTATTCTCTCCTGCGAATGGGGCAAAGACCGCCGCGACGTTCCTGACGGCAATTTACATCGCAAGATTGAGAGCTTCGTAAATCTGGCGGCCGAGGTGGGAAGCCGTGGCGGTAAGGGAGGTATGGTGCATGGGGTGCGTAGTCTAGGGAGCGCCACCTTGGATCTGGCATACGTTGCTATGGGGTCGTTTGATATCTGGTGGGAGGGGGGTTGTTGGGAATGGTTTGTCTTCTCTTTCTTCTTTCTGATATGTTCTGTTTGCTTCTGTCTATTTTCAGACGGACGGATCTGGACTGATTAATTGACTAGGGATGTCGCGGCTGGAATTGCCATTCTGCTGGAAGCAGGCGGGCTAGTCACGACAGCGAATCCACCCGAAGATCCTGATACGGCGCCGATAGAGGATGTGCGACTGGGCAGTCGGTTGTATTTGGCTATTCGGTGGGTTTCTTTATTCCTATTAATATCTTCTGGCTGAATCTTGTGCTAACTTTGGATGTCAGACCGGCGGGCCCGTCCAAGATAGAGACAGGAAGGCAATCGCAGGAGAGAACGGTCAGAGAGGTATGGCGACGCGTGAGAGAGCTAGCATATACTCGGCCTGGTGCGTGATAGCTGTGGATTCTTGGTAGATATACATCTAATATGATAGAACTAATACAAGTGCAAGTTCATTATTCTATAAATGCTATGTAGGGTATGCTCTACAAGAATCACCCAACGCACAAACGAGCAATCTACAATAGGACAGTTAGAGGTTTGATCTAGACGGTGCCCTCTCTGCAATCGCCTTTGATACCACCTCCTTCACCTTATCCACCAGGCCCGGCACCGCAACGATGTCCTGACCCGTCCAGAGACGTGCCTGTTCCAAGCCCTGCCAGATCAACGCCTCCGAGCCCAGAATCACCTTCCAACCAGCCGTCGAAGCCAGCTGGGCAATCTCCGTCCACGGCGTCGGATGGTAACACATTTCTAGGATAACACCCTTAGGCGAAGACGACTCCTCCCCTAGAAAAGCCCGCAGCACCTGACGCGCTCGAAACTCCTCAGATGTCTTAGGCGCATAATTGGGAATACCCGAGACGATAGCGACAGGAGGCTCCAGCGTTGCAGCCACCATAGGGTCCATAACATGGACGAGTGGCGCGACTGTCGCAGCATTAGGATTCCGCTGCGCATCCTCGGTCAGAATGGCGTTGACTTCGGCCGGATCCCGATTCACGATATAGATCTTGCTTGTGCGGAGCCATTTACGCAGCACGTAGATAGCGGAGCGAGCGGTTCCACCCCCTCCGACAATCAGAGCAGGTTTGTTCTGGAAGAGGTCCGTGGATGGCGAGTTCTGCAGCAAAGCCTCCCGGATTCCAATGCAGTCGGTGTTGGTGCCAACGAGGGAGCGGGTGCCATCCTGTTTCTGGCGTAGGAAGATAGTATTGCAGGCTCCGACTTGCGTGGTATCTTCGGTCAGGTCGTCCAGATGCGACATGATGCTTACTTTCCATGGCATGGTGACTGAGGAGCCGACAAATTTGGGATTCGAGCGGATGGCAGATAGGAATTTGTCGATGGGAGGAGACTGGGTGTACGGGGGTGGATAAGTCGAAGATGTACCGTAGACGCTGGAAAGAGGGATCTGGTTCCAGTTCAGTCCCAGAGCGGTGTATACCGTCTGATGTAGAGGTGGAGAGAGTGAATTGAGCAGAGGGTGGCCATAGAGGTAGGCGACTCCATCTAGATATTGGGGGGAGGTGATGAGCTCCTCGGGTGTCTCCGCCATTATAAAATAAATAAAAGATAGAGACAGACTGATAGAGGACAAATGGGGAAATTGTGAAGCTTTAGAAAGATTTGAACATCTCGATGCTGACTAAGGCGGAGAAACATTCAACCCCTCTCTTTTCCATCATCATCACTCTTCCATCTCTCTTCATCCGGCTAAGGTAATCTCTAGATGCATTGTTGATCCGGTATAATTCCGAGCTCCGTCAATCATAGATCGTCCATTTACCAATCCGGGAGAACCTTTTCCAATCCTTCGTGACCCCGTGGGGATTCCTCGTGAACGATCTAGTTCTGACTCACTTAAACTTCCCCAGTCTCGACAATCTTTCCTTTCTGCCCCACTGGAGCGGCATCGGAGGAAGCAGAAAATTCGCGAGAGAATGATTCACAGCTCCAGTTATTTGTTTCCAGTTATTTGTTTTCCCGCTTCTCCACTCTCAATGCCGCAGTTGCCCCGGATTTCATCCACGTCTCTCATTCCCCGTGCATGGCGTATTTAATCTGTCTTCCTTGCTTCTTAGCTGATAATTCCATTGTGCATCTGCTCCAACATGTCTATTCTCTCGCTCGTGGAGGATAGGCCAACTCCCAAAGAGGTCTACAATTGGAAGATTTACCTTCTAGCGGTGGTTGCCTCCTGCACGTCGTGTATGATCGGCTATGACAGTGCATTCATCGGCACCACCATCTCTCTGCAGTCCTTCAAAGATGAGTTCCACTGGGACTCCATGTCGCAGGCGACCCAGAACCTCGTGAGCGCCAATATTGTCTCTCTGTACCAGGCGGGAGCCTTCTTCGGCGCCTTCCTGGCCTATCCGATCGGCCATTTCCGGGGTCGAAAGTGGGGGTTGATGTTCGCGGCGCTGATCTTCACGCTGGGGGCGGGTCTGATGTTGGGTGCCAATGGCGACCGTGGTCTCGGATTGATCTATGGAGGTCGGGTGCTGGCCGGTCTGGGGGTGGGCGCAGGCTCTAACATCACCCCCATCTACATCTCCGAGCTGTCTCCCCCGGCTATTCGAGGGCGACTGGTCGGTGTTTACGAATTGGGATGGCAGATTGGGGGGTTGGTGGGGTTTTGGATCTGCGTGAGTATTCCCCTGGCTCCATAAATATAGGCTAATCAATGGATAGTATGGAGTCGATGAGACGTTGCCCCGGAGCCACCGGCAGTGGATCATCCCCTTTGCAGTGCAGCTGATTCCTTCGGGGCTGCTGCTTATCGGGGCCGTTTTCATCAAGGAATCTCCGCGCTGGCTGTTTCTCCGCGGGCGACGAGAAGAGGCAATCCGGAATCTATCCTGGGTGCGTCAACTCCCGGCAGATCATATCTACATGATTGAGGAGATCGGGGCCATCGACCAGTCTCTGGAGCAACAGAAGGCCACCATTGGTTTCGGGTTCCGGAAGCCATTTGTGGCGGCCTGGACGAACAAGAGGATCCTGTACCGCCTATTTCTGGGGAGTATGCTGTTCCTCTGGCAGAATGGGTCGGGGATCAATGCCATCAACTACTACAGCCCGACGGTGTTCAAAAGCATCGGGCTGCGAGGGGCCAACACCAGCCTGCTTACCACGGGGATTTTCGGCGTAGTCAAGACGGTAGTGACGTTTGTGTGGCTGCTTTGGTTGATCGACCACGTCGGCCGTCGGCTGTTGCTGCTGGTCGGCGCGGCGGGGGGGTCTGTCTGTTTGTGGATTGTGGGGGCTTATATTAAAATTACGAAACCCTCGCAGCGCGAGAACTCGCAGATAGATGGCGGCGGCATCATGGCCATGTTCTTCTTCTATCTGTGGACTGTGTTTTACACGCCATCGTGGAACGGCACGCCGTGGGTGATCAATTCGGTGAGTTTGCCCTAAATTGTATTATATTATTACCGTTAACGGTGATAGGAAATGTTCGACCCGAATGTCCGCTCCCTGGCGCAGGCGTGTGCCGCCGGATCGAATTGGCTGTGGAACTTCCTTATCTCTCGGTTTACTCCGCAGATGTTTGCAAAGATGGATTACGGGGTGTATTTCTTCTTCGCGTCGTTGATGCTGCTGTCCATTGTGTTCGTGTTCTTCCTGATCCCAGAGACCAAGGGGATTCCCCTGGAGCATATGGATGGACTGTTTGAAACGAAACCCGTCTGGCATGCGCATGGGGCAGTACTTGCGCGACTGCGTGAAGATGAGGAGCGATTCCGTCGGGATATTGAGGGATTGAAGACTGAGACGGAAGTGGAGGAGGTCGATAAAGTGTAGTATACCATAAAAATTGTCATATTTACTTTTTTGATGTCTTGAGCTCCAGAAGAACGTATGATGACCATGTGATCTATCTACTAGTAGTATACCCTCCCCTAGAACACCCGTCGAGCCGTACGAAAAAAGCTAACAATCTGCACTTGCATCTCCAGGTTCTAGACTGTCCAGTATACCTCTGCATCTAACTGATCACTTGGATGTCGGATCACCCAGGAGACCGTCCAGAATTCGACTTGTTGGCCTTCTAGCCATCCAGATTGACATCAGGATCCGTTCTCCCAGACTGAACAACAGGACTTGAATATCCGCTCCTTCCATCCCATCACTCTGAGCAGTAGCTGAACGCAACATAGCAATCTTCGGCATGCCTCTCATCCGACTAGCAGCAGCAATATCCATAGCGAGTCCCATACGAACATCTTCAATCACCCTGATCTCCTCAATAATAATACCTGAGACAGAGGATATCGGATCAGACTCCTAAACAGAAGATATAGATGCCGCATTGACGAAGATAAACGGATTAGCCGCGTCAACTAAACTCACTCGAACGGTGAACGGTGTTTTCGTGTGCGAAGACACCACGGTGAGTCGTTCCTGTTTCGCATTGCTGGGAATAATAACCACCCAATCATGCTCCCACAGGGACTCAGGATTCAGGAATACCGTCCGAACTGGACTCGCTGCGCCCGCTACCCTAGCGATGCTATACTTCCCTGTTTCGGAGAATTTCCCATCAGGAGTGACTTGCATAGCCTCAACGAGGACCTTCAGTATTGGTATTGAATATCGTCACACCCACCTAACAAACTTCTTAATATCCATCTGATGAAACAGGTATAAGGTATGAGCAATATGAATATACTAAGGTCTGACCTGGAATAAGACCCACCAACCCCTCATCCACTGCAAATGGTCCCACTCCCAATGCTATATTCCACAGTTTTCGGACATATCGACAGTAGTCTCGTTCGGGTTAATCTGGACATAGGTGTAACCGACATCGACACCGACCGGACGGATCTGCGAACGACTGCGATCTTCGAGGTGGTGGAGGAAGCTCCGCCAATGCCGTTGAGCTTGAGTTTATCTGCATCGGCAGATCCAAGTATAGAGAGGAGAATCAGAGTCGAAGGGGATGCAGGGAAGAAGTGTGAGTGGATGAAGAGGCCTTTGGATATGCCAGAGCGCGTCCATATGGCTGGTAGGTTTTAGAGATGGGCATGATATTATACATTAGGAGGTTAAGTCGAGAATATTATTGTTTGTCTTTTGAGACGTTCTATGCGTCTATTATCTAATTTATACTCAGTATAAAGATCTGCAGATTCTTCATACGGAAGCTTCATTCGTAGACGTTACCACCTGCAGAACGAATGAGCGATCTGAGCAGGGTTTGACGTACCTTTCTACTTTAGATTAGGCAGGAAATATAGTCTCAATTCATAATATCTTAAATATCCATTCTATCTATAGATCTATAGATCTACCGTCTCCTTCCATAGCCTTTCTCACAGCCTCACAAGCCATCAATGCCCGAAGAGCATCCTCCCCCGAGCAACTGGGCTCCTCCCCCTGAATGACATCCACAAAATGTTTCAGCTGCAAATCAAACGACGTCTCCTCCTCTACCGCAAACCGATCCCTCGTCAGCGGTTGATTCCAACTCTTCTCCGTGCCATCGTAATTCCACCTAGTCATATCCGGCACACTCAGCGACGCTTCCGATCCAAACACGCGATAAAAGTCCGCCCCGCCATCCATTTTCGGAATCAACGGGTTCTCTCCGGTACCGGACTCGAAGTTATACGGCGACGGCGTGGCATCACATACGAGGAACGTGCCGACAACCCCGGAGGCAAATCGGATAATTATCGCAGCGCCTTCCTCAGCGTCATGTGACGGGTCCTGGCGTTGATGCAGGGTCTTTTCCGCGTGAATGCGCACAATCGGGCCGAATAGATAATGCAGGATATCTACATCGTGTACGAAATTAATCGGGATGACTCCCCCACCGGAGGACGAGGATCGCCTCCACGGAGCTGCGGCGAAGTAGTCGTCTGGTTTGAAGAGCGTCCAGAGTCCGTTGACGGCGATAATGCGTCCCAGACTACCTGAGTCGATGATCTCCTTGGTTTTCCGTACGTACGGGTTGAATCGACGATGGTGACCCACGAGGATACGGAGATGTCGATGTTCCTGCTGCGAGGCGAATTCAAGGAGGTCGCGTCCACTGGCGACGGTGTCGCTGATGGGTTTCTCGAGAAGAACGTGCATTCCGTGCGAGAGAAGTGAGCGGGTCACTGAGACATGTGTGTTGTTCGGCGTGCAGACGATGGCGGCGTCCGGGACCGGGATCGTCTGCAGCATGGCTTCGATGCTGGGGAAGTAGTTGGTTTGCAGTCGTTCAGCGATGGATTCAGCGCTTGGAGATGGGTCGATCAATGCGACCAGCGAGGTGTTGGCGTTGGAGAGGACGGATTGTGCATGACGAGGGCCGATGAGGCCAGCGCCGACGATGACAATGCGAATCATATTATAGATCGTATATATAGATATAAGTTGGGAACTGCTGGATCCAGGATAATCAGAATAGTAGTAGAATTCATTGACCTGTCCTAGTTTTACCTATAGATGTCGCATGCAGGGTTGGGTTAATCAGGATAATCAGACAAGATGATGAATCATATAATAATCGGGTAAATGCCGGGGAAGCGCTTAGCCGGAGGAAGTATACAAGATGCATCACATTTAGAGTAGCGGTGAGATCTCTTTATTCTTTTTATTTCACACTATCTCATTTCTTCATCTTGTACATATCTAGATTATACTATATGTACAGATAATATAGAAATGCATCTAGGAATCGCCTCCATGTCCCTCGGCCTCCCCGGCCTGCACCATCTTCCCGACAAACTGCACCAAGCAGCCCAACACAACTACCAAGGCATCGAGCTCTTCTTCTCCGACCTCGAACATCTCGCGACGACTTCTTTCTCAGGGGACCTTGTTGCGGCCGCGCACTCAGTCCATCGACTTTGCCACTCACTCAATCTCTCCATCATCTGTCTCCAACCCTTCCTCTTCTACGAAGGCCTTCTTGACCGCACCGAACACAGTCGACTCCTCTCACAAAAACTCCCTCAATGGTTCCAACTCGCTCATATTCTACATACAGATCTCATTCAGATCCCATCGAACTTCCTCCCCGTTGATCCCGGCACAGGTCATCCCCGAACCACAGGTGACCGCTCGCTTATTGTCTCCGATCTCCAGCGAATTGCGGACCTCGGACTGCAACAATCCCCTCCCATCCGGTTCGTGTACGAAGCCCTCGCATGGGCGAATCACATCGATACATGGGAAGAATGCTACGCCGTAGTTTTGGCCGTTGATCGACCGAATTTCGGAATCTGTCTGGACTCGTTTAATCTCGCTGCGCGAGTCTATGCAGATCCGACTACGGTGTCTGGGAAAACTCCCGACGCGGATGCAGCTCTCTCTGCTTCGCTAGCGCGTCTTCGTAAAACGGTGGATCCTAAAAGGGTGTTTTACGTCCAGATTGTGGACGGGGAACGACTTCAAGCTCCATTGACGGAGGACCATCCGTTTCATGTCCCTTGTCAACCGGCACGGATGAGCTGGTCGCGAAATGCGAGGCTGTTCGCTTTCGAGGAGGATAGAGGAGGGTATTTACCAGTTGTCGAGGTCGCCAGGTCGTTCTTTGATATTGGGTTCGATGGGTGGGTTTCGCTTGAGTTGTTCTCGAGGACTTTGGCGGATCCGGATAAGGATACCCCTAGGGTTCATGCGAGACGGGGATATGAGTCTTGGAGGAAATTGGTCGCTGCGTTGGATTTGAATACGTCGGAGAAGTTGGTGTCTGTGCCTGAATTAGAGTCCAAGTCGGCGTTGTCGGTGCAGCATCGGTTGTAGATCCTTCGGTCACAATGTATTCTTATCTACATATCTACTGTTATTAGTTCAGTTAGAAACTGTATTCATCTACTAAGATCAAACCAGCCTCAACAGTCGTTGAAGACATGACCGTCTATCCTACTGTACCCGTAACATGTCCTCGCCAGCAGTGTCCTCTCGCCAGGATATTGTTGAAACCCAGTCGAAGGAATCCAGAGCTATGCATGCGCCATCCATCTATATACACGACCCAATCCATCCCATCTTATGCTTCCTGCCATCGCCGCTCGCGCAGCGGCATCTCCTCACCCGCTTGCGCACGACTGCCGTCCGTTTCTCGTCGCCACGCATAGTATTCCCCCAGGCGCAATTCCGCATACGACGCATAGTCGAAGTCGATTTGTGAAATCTGCGCTTGAATCAGCGCCCACGTTCCCCTGCACATCGTTAGTTTTGGTTCTTCAGCAGAAGTAAGAATGATCATACCAGTATAAGCCAGGAATACCGCGGAATCGATCAACGTCCTGGTACAGCTGGTCGACTAATTCTTGCTGCGATGACTCGACGCCTCGGTGGTGCGTATAGCTCTTGACGTATTCCGTGAGAAACTGTCGTCGCACAGAACACGACGGCATCATATTATAGTCACAGTCATATCCGGCCCATTCCGCAAAGTGGTTGGCAATGTCGAATGCAGCTGGCGAGGGTGTAGCGTATTCGTAGTCAATAAAGTGGACGGTTTGCGCCTCGTCGGACGTCATGTCTGTCGACGGCACAGTAATAACATTGGCACAGAGAAGATCGCAGTGGGCAAACACCAACTATACGCCAATTAGTAGCCCCTCTTAAAAGGCACAGCGACAAGGCGTCTACGTACCCCGTTCTCACCAAGACCTTTCCCATCGTCGAATTCCCCCACAACCCGTTCAAACTCCTTTTGCAGACTCAGTCGCCGCTGTCGTTGCTCCTCTGTTGTAGTGGGGAGAGCTCGAATCCATTTCTGCAGCACTGTCCACAGGTTGGGTCCCGGCTGTCTCGGATCGATAGGAGATAAATCATCCGCCTGCTTGGACTGCGCGACATCTACTTGGTGCATCTTGGGCACGTGGTCTCTGGGGAACTCAACTGAGACTGCAGAAGCAGCTGGAGCTCCCCCGATCGGGAGAACTGCATGCCATTGTGCAAGTCGTCGGGCAACCCCCCGCCAGATAGGGGCCTTCACAAGGTCCTCGTAGGTGGCCGGTCGACCACGAATGAACCGGTATAGGAGGCCATTCTGGAACCGAGCCAACAGAGGAGGGGCTAGGCCATGGCTGGCAAGAAGGGCGTGGGACTTCGTTTCTCCTATAGATATAGCACATCTACTCAGCAAGGTCGCAATGGGCAAGGAGGAAGGACGGTACGAGTTCCCGCATTGGGTATGGCATACTTTCACGGTCTATGAGGATCTCTGTATGGTTACCGTACGCTCTCATCAGTACTGCTTCGTGGTCTATTTGCTCCTCGGTCAAGCCGGGCTTCCGATTGATGACCTTGAGGAGCTACTCAAGACGTTAGTCTGCAGGGACGAGGGTGGCCAGCTAGACAGGGTCTCCACGCACAGTGTTGGTAATCCCGTCTGTGAACCGCACGAACTCGATCTTGTTCTCTGGGCCTTCCCAGTGGGGGTTCAACGTTAAGACCAGCCTCAACGCCGAAGCTTGCGAATCTGCATGATTGTAGGACAGCGCGATGTACCGCAACGAGTCGGACGCTTCATGTGCCGAACCCATGGTGAATAGTGAGTATGTATGGTTGTTAATATGTAGAGGTAGTAAACAATAATTTTTTGCGACAACTACCGCGGTCACGTCAAAGGTTAGTTTAACAGACATGAAAGGGGTGCATTCTCATACAAGCAAAGAATGCGCCCAACGGGGGACAGTCGGGAGGACCTTGGAAAACACACACTTTTTACAGCAAACCTGCAGAGACGAATTGGCCGGCAATCGAATCTCTGACTAAGGGGAGGAAATATGAAGTAGGAAGAAAAACCACAGAGGAGGAAAAGAGGGGACGATGTCCCTGGATGGTCTCGTGCACTACGTGGCCGTGATTGGAAGAAGGCAACGTGAAGCCCCTCCCACACCTTCCCTTCCTTGGTTGCAGTACAGCCTGAGGCATGAGCCCTGCTCTCCTGCTGGGGTAACACCAACACCGGTCAGAACTTAATTATGCCTGCATACAGGGCAGCAGATAGAATTATCCAGAGCTACCAAGCTGCAAATACACTATCGAGACCAGATATCGCGTTATGCTGCACAACTCTTACATTAACATGGCTACTAGTTGGAAATATACTGTCTAACCGGTTTAGGCCTCGTCGCCCAACATTAGCATGTGATTCCCAACCATGTGATGATCACGCTAGTCTGTATATAGAGATTACGTGATCATTATCACCTGATCAGGACAGCCCCAACCCTAAGCAGTACTTCTCTCGTTAGTCACTAGTCCCAAATACCACTAGCGCTCCACTTCCGCCGCAGTACAAAAGCCCGTCAATCGCTGCCATTTCTTCCACTTCTTTTCTTTTCTTCTTCATCATCAGTAGCGGTTTACATTGACCATATGTAAATCTTACCGCGGCTCCGTCAAAGTACGGCTCGCTGAGGGCTATCCTGCGTGGGATTTTTTCTCCATGGGTTTCCTTCCGTTCCCAGCCTCGGAGAACAATTGCGTCTTCCTTTTTCCCTTACAATATATGGCTGGGCTAGGGCTTCATTTCGAAAGAAAAGATCCCCATGCGCTTTAGCTGTGGAGGAGGCGTGAAATTCCTTCATCCTATCTGCATTATGATTGCGGTGGATTGATTTGTTTATCCTTGCTTTATTGGAGTAGAGCCAGCTATTCTGGTCCATTTCCAAGTAGATTTTAACGCATTAACATGTCATTTTTATCATTAAATTTAAGCCCTCCCTGCGCTTCCGACTTGAATCCGCTCTCCTGTCCATCTATCGTTGCTGCGCAGCACCGGCCAGCTGGTTCCATCGGCTTTGGCCAGGGTCAGCTCCAGCTTTGTGCCCAGCACGCGGAATTGGGACTTAGCCGGGTCGATCGGCGCGAACAGCTGATAGGTATCGGTGAACCGCTTGTTATCGGTGGTGGGCAGATCCAGGTCAATAGATGTGGAAGAGAACTCGACTTTGGCTTTCGACTTGTCAATCTTCTTCAAGTACAGAGAGACATTGACCGAGGACGTCGTTTGGTAGAAATCATTCCTGTTCCAAGGTCAGCTCCGTCTTGTGCCATATCACATATATCCAATCCTCGTCTTATAAGCGGACGACATCATATCACCCACCTGATCGAGTCCACCTTCTCCTCGCCCGCAGGCTTTCCCTGTCCCACAAACAAATGCTTCGTTTTTTCTTTGCATCCTTGAATCTTGAGGAACTCATCAAACTCCAGCACCCGCTTCTTGCAGCAAGACCACCCCTTGCTGCCCTCGTGGAAGATTGGATGACCCGGGTGATAGACACATTTCTCCTCCTCCCGCGGCTTAGACGCATCGTAGCTTGCATTGCACCCTTTCCGCCTGCACGTAGCATTGGCCGGGATATCCAGAGATGGATCATCTGAGAGATCCTCCTCGGGGGCGGGGGACGGCGCACTCGACGGCGGGGGAATAGCGGGCGAATGTACCGGTCTCGGCGGGGCAGGAACTGGCACTGCAGTTGGAACTGCTCCGGACAGCTCCGGAGCTGCAGCTGCAGGCTCTTTTACAGGCTCTACCGGGGTATCATCCACCGTAGAGTGTTTGCCCGTGGTGCAAGGCGGGATGTCAAGGAATTCGTCGAAGGTGAGGACGCGGGGTTTGCAACATTTCCAGCCTAATCGCGAAGATGATTAGTTAGAACCTCTCATCTGGATAGCCAAGGAAATTTGATGTGCAAGTAGATCAGTTCGGTTTGGTTAGGTTCTAGCCCCAAGGTCCTTGAACATACCTTTTTGCCCCTCGTGGAACACCGGCGGCCCAGGATGATAGACGCAGGGCTCTTCGGGGTCAGTGAACTGCTTCCCACACCCTTTATGCACACACTTGGACGACATCCTGGGATGAGGAGAGACGTGAAACCAAACTTATAGAAATAAGGATCAATCTTAATATATAGGAAAAGAACCAACACAGCTTGAAGCGGGGAAGTCTCAGAGCAGAAAAAGCACTTTTGTCACAACAGCAGAAATACTGCCGGCTATCGACCCAAACAGGTTTAGTCCGGGGAAGCTCGAAGGTTCCATCAGTCCACCACTCTTCGTAGATGCAGTGGAATCATACATCATCTTGATTCCTGCCCTCAATTAAGATCGCCATATCCTCCCTATCCAGCATGTTTCCTACCCTCCGTCTCGCTAAGGCGGCTCGCGTCACGCTCTTCACCCGCGCCGGCTGTGGTCTCTGCGACACCGCCAAACATAACGTGATGCAGCTGCAAAAGCGACGGCCCTTCGAGTACACAGAATTGGACATTATGGTTGCAGAGAACAAGTCCTGGAAGGATGTCTACGAATTCGACGTACCGGTCTTACACGTACAATCCGTCCAGGGTCAGCAGGCAGGGACTGGGGGGGCCTTGTCTGATCCTAAGAAACTATTTCACCGATTCAGCGAACAGGAGGTTGAGAATCTGGTGGACGAAGCAGAGAAGGCTTCTTGATGGCAATAATGCATACATTCCAGGTATACTAGGGACGGTCTACTACAGAGGGGAAGGATGAATCGGTAATTGAACGCTATAGACGCATGCAGTACATGTAAGAGTATCTGAGGTTATAACACATTAGTATGTGGGAACTGCAGCATCAGTCTTGGAGCCCTTGGCGGTCTCCAATTCATTGGAGAGGAAAGTAGGCAGGGCAACGGCATCAGCGACCACTGAGATCTAACTCGGACATTAGCTATACACTTCTCTGCAGAACCAGAAGAAAGAATAGGAAGAGGAGGAATAAGGCGTACCATATGGAACCCCTGTTCCGCATACTTCTTCGCAGTCTCTCCACCGACACAGTAAATACCCACTCTCTTGCCATTGGCGATGGCCGCTTGGCGAATACGCTCAATCGCAGTATTTAAATCATCATGGAATGCACCCATGACGGGACGACCGATGTTATTTCCTAGATCCCAGGGTCCGATGAACAAGACATCGATACCGGGAACTTTGGCAATCTCCTCGACCTAGTTCATAGACATTAGCAGGAAGTTGGCTACCATCCAGCTACAGCCAAACCTACATTCTCAAGTGCCTCCTTGGTCTCGATTTGCACAATGGTGACCAGCGAGTCATTCGCTTGCTGCAAATACTCCAACTGGGAGACACCGCCGGTCGAGCCCATCGCAAACGGACTCCCGAATCCCCTACGACCAACTGGGGGGAACTTGGCCGACTCGACCAGTTTCCGGGCATCATCCGCCGTATACAGCAGAGGGACGACGATTCCGTGCGCACCAGCATCCAAAGCCCCTGGTATTGTTAGTTCCATCCATTCTCGTATCGATCCCTTTCATTAGACAAGTAGATAGAGTAAAAGAAATAAAGTAAATACATACTCTTCACCATCCACCCCTCATTCGCCGCAATCCGCACAATCGGACTCGTTCCTGTCGCCGCAATCGCTGCGACCGCCTCATGCATCTGCCAATCTGCCATCCCTTGTCAGCACCCTCCCCTCCCATCAAACCAAGTAACGAAGCTCGTACCGGCGATATTCCCATGCTCTGTATCCACACAGATCCAGTCATATCCTGTTCGAGCCATGAACCTGGCATGGTTGGCGCCTGGGAGCATCTGCCAGGCGCCGAAGGATAAACCTCGCTGGGTGCTGAGGGCTTTCTGGATACGGTTTGCGGCTTGCATGGAGGAGGGAGCGAGAGGATAGGATGCAATACAGTAGAGAAAGATCAGGAGAATATAGAAAAGAGAAGAGAGACAACCGAAAAGAAGTGACAGGGGGGAGGAAATATGGTGAGGACAAGAAATCTCGTGGAACAATAACCCGAGTCACAGGCTGATTGCGGGGTGAGTTGAGGGGGGCTGACTCTAGGCGCGTCGGACCGACTCCGAAGGTGTAGCCGATCTATAGATATTTGTGATCGAGTATACGACAGCATTGCAATTCCATTGTCATTATACATCCAATACCGTACATCAGCATTGTAGAGGGAATCCATCACATAGTAAACCAACCACGAAAATATTATTCGGTCCCTGAATCCAAATCAATGGGTAAACTCCCCATCCAGCTAAAAAACTCAAGTCGACTCACGTCACCCTGGGAATTTCGGTCACGACATTTTGGATCAGGTAGGTATATGCGCATACGCTTAAGAAGTCGGCCCGGGTGATGGTCTCCAAAAACTGCGGCTTCGTCCGATCCCTCGACTATGCCGGAAAGGTTCTCTAGGGTGCGTCGACACCGCTGCGCAATATCATAGATTTGGCCACTGAGCTGCATACTCTGGTATCTTTCTAGAAGCATGAGGACGCGACTGAGGGACATTTCCATTTCCACCAGGTCCGGTTGGCCATGGGAGGTACTGGATTTAAACGGACAGGACTGGGCAGCCAAAAAGACCGTTCCACAGATGTATAGATAATCCACGCTCTCCCAGGATGGGGAAAAGAGCTCTTTCTCATGTTCGAATATATCAAGAAGCTCCAGAGCAGCCATTATGCATTTGAGAGACGAGACCCGCACCGTGCTGAGAGCAAGCGGTAAGTCGGGGGAAGACTCGTTGATTGTAATGTGAGGGCTGTCACCAGACCGGCAGCTACATTTCACACACGCTCCTAAACCCAGGATCAACAGGGGTCTATGGAGTCGCAGACGGACATACAGGTAGCGTGCGCGCAGAAGGTTCCGTTGGCGACGAATGATCGGATCTTCTTGTTGCGTGTTGGGCTTGGGCTTCTGTAGAAATGACGGAATAGACGTCTGCCATTGGTACAGATAGCTGTCCATCTGCATCAGAGGCTTGAAATCTAGAGCAAGAACTTTCTTCGCAGCACAGCTGTCCTGGCGCATTCGGGTTTCGTCCTCCCAAGCAAGAAGATCTTCAACCTGGCTGTAGAGTCTGGCACAGGCCGTCAAGAACTCAATCAAGGATGGGCGTTCGACATCCGCCGACGACGTCTGCTCAGAGATGGCATCCACGTAATCAGTGTCCAGATGGGTAGGCAATGGCACCCGAAGTGGCTGAGATGTCTGCGGCGGCAGGCCCATCTGCAATGCAAGCATCCGCTCCAGAATCATGGCGCTGTGCCAGAGTCTCCGGGAAAGTTCACGATCCCTCCTCCGACTAGCATCTCGACTTTCAGTTCTAGATTGTAGTCCAAGGGCCTGTGCGTACCGTATTGCCAAGCCAATAAATATCCAGGCCAGATGTGGCTTCCCGCTGGTATATAAGTACTGGGTCTGTAAGATGTAGGACTGAACCTGTTGTGCAGGACTTCCGTGGTCGTCTAAGTCTCGAGACAGTGATCGACCGTGGTCAAATAAAGACTTGACACCAGCCTCATCGATCTTCCCAGTGGTCAGCGCTGACAGGCTGAACATTGTAAACAGGACCCCGAGAAATGGAGAGGAGCCTGTAGCCATCCTCTGTCCCGACCTGACCATAGCGTACAACGCGCGGAACTCCGACAGGTCCAAAATTGGCAAGTAGGCATACTCCCGCGTCAGGTAGTCGGCCATGAGGCGGTCCGCCTCTTCTGGGGACAGGCGTACAGAGAACCCCTGACTCCTTGAATCGTCAATGGCAGGCAGCTGAATCTCAACCGAGCCTATGCTTTGTTGTGTAGGGGCCGCATTTACAGTGGTCGTATTTGCAATTGTGTCTTCTTCCTTCATTCGATCTATCCGGGCAGTCACTTCCCTCTCTAACCCCATTAGCTGAGGCAGCTGAGGGTCCCGGTACCCTGAAGACTCGGGTAGACCGCGGGACATAATCGCGGTATGGAAACTCTGGTCTGAGGCGACGGAGCAAACCTCGATTGCATCATCTTGATGATCACCGTGCAGCGCAATGTTGGGGAGTTTCTCCTCCCTTACCCGGAACGGGCCATCAACAGCATTAGACTCTGCACTCTGCTGGGAAAACCAGGGTGGGCTGGATTCTAGAGCAGATGACCTATCTGAATCTATGACGACCATTGGAATAGGTACGGAGTGACGCGTTTTCACGCGCTTTGCACTCCTGTGCTTACATGAGCATCTCGATCATTTGCAGCCTCAGCGACACGTACCTCTGAGGGAGGCTGGTCCTATAGGAACACACAGTGGGTTTGATTGCTCTAGCACATGTTCCGCATACTACAGGTAGATATTAGTTCTGGGGCAGTTGTAGCGGTATTCATGGAGGCGTAGCAGTACCGGGTCGTTGGCGATCGCAACGTCTCTTCTTGATGCGGCAGGCATTACAAGGCGGGCCGAACAGGCTCATTTTGGGGGTCCAGCACCAACCACAAATTAGACCATGCGGGCCGGAGTTGCCTTTTACTGATCTAGCTGGGTAGGGGGTGGGAAAAGATGCTTCGAACGGGTTGATGATGATGGCTAAAGATGGAGATGGGAAGGGATGGAACTAGCTAGATGTGGGCGGTGGGTGGTCCGTGCTCCGCATATCACTCCTATATAATCAAGATACTGGCTCTTTTTATTCAGATAGAACTATATATTTATTTTGCATAGAGATGATTTGTTAAGTATTTCTTTCTTATAATAACTTATTCCAATGATCCCTATGACGATATGTATGGGAACGCTTGTTGGGGGAGATAGGGGAGGGGGTGAAAGAAATAATAACAAATGTGTTGGTTGTCTCTGCGCTAGTAGAGATAAAAAGGTATTAAATAACAAGGCAAATGATCTGTCGATCAGTCTCATCTAGCGCCCTATAGTAGCAAAGGCCTTAGTCTGAGCTCCATACTGGGTTCAGCCCATGACAACAAATAATAAATAAAGAAAAAAAGAAAAAAAGAACAATAAGAAAATACACTTAAACATAATTCACTAACATAACTACAGTGTGCTATGGTTACGGATATATTCTTTTAATCTTTATATTCCAATAAACAATACAAGTTAATATCATAACCACTTTCTGTTTATTCCCACTCTTCTATATTTCTCATACATAGAATAAACATTTCTTCACTGTTCACGGAGACAGGCATTTCACGGGCCCTCTTCAGCAAAACATATTACAAACATCATGGCAAACCATCTAGTTATTCTATTTACTTAGAACAAAGGATACAGTATATCCATCTGAAGAACACAACTCCTCATCTCTTCCCCCAGTCATCAGCCCAATTAATCCAATAAATCAATCAGATAGAGACCTGTATTACGTATCTCCTACTGTCCAGCCCTACGACTCTTCGACATGGATCCCGGCCTCAACCTCAGTAGGTCGAGTATCTCTCATTCCACCCATTCCTTCTGTGTCCAAAACACTCACAAGACCAGTCTCCGACCCTACCAACTCCATCGAAGACCTCCAAGCCACGGAATGGTTCAACGCCGCCGTTCACATTATCCTCACTGGCAAGAAAACCGAGCTGCAACACCGTCAGACCGTGCGCGAAATGAAAGAAATGGCCGAGTCGCTAGACATGCAGGCGCCGTTTTCGTCAACCATCATGGAGGTTTCCGCTCTATTGAGGGATAATCAGCAGGATGCTCTGGGAGGGCGTTTGTGGAGGTAACGCTGCGGAGTGTGATTGAGGAATTGGTGAGGTAAATAACAATAAGATATTATTGATATCGATTGGTGGGTGAGATGAGATATGGGATATGGCATGGTATGATTTGTGGTTAGTTGAGCACAGGAGTTTTATGTTCTATTATAAGTCTAGATATGGCTTATATTCTTAGTATATTAATGAGTGGGTGTACTGTATAAATCGCCATTTGCCTCACTGCTTGGACTCGGATAAGTCTGGACTTGGACCTGAAAATCTGAATGAGCTTGTCACAGCCAAGTATCAGAGCCAGGACTGAACCATAAACTATCGACTCCAAGTCAATAATCTGTATCTTCCCCTCCCCCGAACTGAGTTGTATCGGGTTATAAGGCGCAAGGCGTAAGGCTGGCCTGTTATTACCTAAACTGGCCGTCCAGATAGACCGGGACTGCACTCAGTCTAAAGACTTCAGACCCTGTGAACGCAATATTGGGCAGATTCAGATTTATTATCCTCTCACTTCTTTCTAATACGTAAATCTGTTCTCTATAACTGATCCAGATAAAAGCACACCTCTCACTCTCCAGTGACGACCTGACAACCTCTCTCTCCTTCCATACATATACTCTATTTAAAATTAAAGTATACTCATCCGATCTGTATATCTAACCCATACATGCGCCGATCACCAACATCCTCGTCCACCTTATCGTCTCCATCATCATCTCGTTGACCCTCTACTCGAACTGTTCTCAAACCACCCAACGCTCCTTCGCCTGGATCCGAGTCACCTATAAATCCCACTCCACTCGACTCCCCAGCCCCAACGATGTGTGTCCTGTGCTGACCGAATCCGGCCCCCACCCCCGGCTCTGGTAGTCTTTCACGTCGGAACCGACGGGGATACCGCATGGCTATCGAATATGAAATCACGCTATCATCTCTGCATGTACGAAGTTGAGTAAACCACAAACAACAACAACAACAATAACAACAATAACAATCCGCGTGGAACGGAACGCGCAATAAACGAACAACAACCCCGCACTATCTCCACGTCCCCGCCAACCGCGGCCACGGAACTATCAGCTATCTGACCTTTCTAATTATCCGATATTCGGCTAGTACCGAATAGGAAAGTAGACACTATTCTTGAAAAGGTGCTTAAATGATTGCTTTAGATGGTTACTTATTATATTAATCAACATATGATCATTCTTGTGATTATTATTATGGATCATTAGGTTGCTTCTTCTGCTAGGTGTAGGGGAGTTCGTTTTTACCCCTCTTTTATGACCTTGTTTACGTCACTATTACCACCAACTTATCTGACACTAATCGACAACTACGACCGGATCCCCGTGGCAGGGGCGGTATTCATCCACGGATCGCGTCGGGCATGGCACAATGACGACCCAAGCTACGACAATGCGGCGCTGCTTCTGGCGCTGGATATCCCCTCTGTGATGTTGTGCAGCGGATACCATAATCTGCGCTGCGATTGGAGTCTACTAAGCACGTGTGCGCCGTCGGCGGGACCCCAGGGAAGTATTGAGAATACCGCGCAGGCGGTGCTGCAGCTGAGGAGTCTGCGGGCGGTGTCAGATCGGGCGTTGCCAGGGGCGTTGCAGGAGTTGTTGCCGCTGGGGTGGGAGATGGGTTGGGAAGAATGGATACGCTGCGGGCGCAGTGCTGTGCGCAGTTTGTGGTGAGTAGGGAGAGTATCTGGCGACATGGGAGGGAGGAGTATGTTGCGTTGAGGCAGTGGTTGTTGGATGGGTTGGATGGATGGCGCAGGACGACGCCGAGAGATGATCGTGTTAGGCTCCTGTCGTACGTGTGGCATATTTTGTTTCTGAGGCAGGAGGACCCCGGGTTGGATTTGGAGCAGATGAATCGTATGGCTTGGCCATCGGCGGACGAGTGTTATTGTCGTCTGTATGCCAGTGTGGGCTGAAATATCCCAATCGTGGCGGTTGTATGGGACAGTATTCCCTGCCGAAACATTCGCGATTGCCAGACGATTGGGCCGAGACGCATTCCTAGTGGATCTGTGGATGTATACAGTGGTAGAGAAGCGTGTATATAGTCAGAACAAACATTATAATAGTACTTTAGAGAGCACTGTACAGCCAGGAAAGCCGCCAGTGCGACCCGGATCAAGACCTTCCAGTATATCACCTCCGCAATCGTAAAACATAGCCACGACCGTATCAACAACCCCCATAACAGGTACATACAAAATCCAATATTACTGCACAGAACTACAATCCAGCCCGATCTCATCGGAAATGTAGCGCAGCTAAAACCACATAACTCCCGCCACCAAGGCGATTACAATAGCCATGCAACTCCCCCGCGTGTGCTCCGAATGTTGACCAAACCCGGTGTTTTTGGACTGTCCCGCAGTTGTTACAGCGGAGTTTGGCGAGCGAGTTAGTAGAGACGCGCTGGGACCAACGCTGCTGTCATTCGCCAGCAAATCGGGGGAGACAGCTTCTGGGGAGGGCTGGTTGGGGAGCAAAGAGTGAAAGGCCGTAGAATTATGAGAGGCTGATTGGGAAAATCTGGTGATTTTCTCCCTCAACGCATACTGTGTGATTATGTGTAAGTAGTCGTTCCCTGACTGGCAGACCTGCTGCCATAATCTCGGGAGGTGCTTTTCGCTGCCAGTATACATGGGAAAGAGCGAGGTGTTGAGGAAAGACGGCATTCGATTTGAGGGACACGTTGCGAAGGATGCGCTCCCCGTTGAATTTCGCGGATCCTTAAGGCTGCCTAGTTGTTTGATAAATGCTTTAAGTGCACGAGTCCCTCGTGTAAAATTTGGCGATCCCCCAACGTATGGAATCCAATCAGTATAAACCGAGGCTGTCTCAAAGGAGCTCCGGGAAGGTGTGTCCAGTACAGCACGTCGCGGACGGGGTTTTTGAGAGGAGCCATCGATCATCCACGACTGACACTGGGCATCTGTCCTCCGTAACCTCGACCACAGACCGATCGAATCATCTTTAACGTGTGGAACTTCTGCAATCGCCAATTTGTCAGTATATTATTTCGAGCACAAAAAATAGATAGTATGACGCACGCCAAACTTCCCGTCGCTGATAACCGATATACCCCACGTGCAGGCTGTATAAATCCCAGTCCCACTCCTTCGCAAGAGACGGTACGAAACTGAGCAGCGAGAAAACCAAAAGAACAAGAAACGGGATAGCGCCAGATTTATGGATCCCCGACCGACGCATCATCCACAGTCGTAGACCTCTGCCCAAGACCAATGCACAAAAGATCAAAGGTGATAGCTTGCTCTGGGGATGCAGGGAGCAGGCGAATTCATAGCTTCATGGCTAGACAAGGTGTAAGGCAGAAAAATATAGGGAGTACGGAGTAATAGAACAAAACACAATGTGGGATAAGGTAATCTGCATGCACCGTACGTATTCCGTACAGCCTCGTGCGGTTGGTTTCTGGGGCAGTCAGCGACCGTTGATCGGCTTTTTTTTTCTTTTTTTTTTAACCTTTCTCTCTCTCTCTTTCTCTTGTTACAGGCGGTAAGTGACAAAAAAAAAAAAAGAAATAACAAAAGCCCAAGTCCAGAAGGAGCGCCCGAAACCAGCAACCAGAGGTGGAGAGACGATCCAGAGGAAGGGCCCGATTTTTGTAGAGGACGAGAATATCTCGAGTGTTGTGGGTGCGAGGATGGATCAGCGTGGAATGACGTAAAAGATGAGACGCAGCAACGTAACTATCAAGTCCCAAGCGGATATTGCCAAGTCGAGGGAACAAGCAACAGCCAAGCAGTGAAGAGATGAAATATCGGTCGAATCAGTTGAGGAAGCACTCTCCAGATGCGTGCATGCATGCACGATGGATTAATGCGAACTAGTTGGTTAGTAGCTCATTAGTGGAGGGTCAGTCTAGTAATGATAATGAAGTGATTGATTATTCGTGCGAAAGATTTCGATAAGTTTTTTCTTTTTTCTTTTTTTTTTTTTTTTTTGGAGGGGAGGGTGCTGTTGCCTGGCGTCTCAGGCAGCAAGATAACATTCTCGCAAATTGCACATGAGATTGTTATGAAATTATATTTTTAGCACATCCTCATAGTCGTTTTAAGATCTCGAAGAATATAATATTAGTACAGAAATAATGGCTCACAAAAAAATTGTAATAAATATTAGAAATGCGAGTAAGAATGTCAATGTTCATCCTGAAGAAGCTCTGCAAATTGTCCAGCATACAGTCTTCTACTTCGGTCATTAATCCATACGGGGAAGGGCTCGCGCGAGGAAATGATATTATGCGATTGCAAGAATCAAAATACAGGAAGATCCATAGGTAACACCAGCTAATGCGGATCTCGTCACTCATATGTATATACATTCGTCGATCGCATCGGTCGTAAAATCAGATTCAAATGGGATTCATCATGTTCGGATCAGGTACGGCAGGAGGCAATTCACTGCTGCTCTTTTGTCGCTCCGACTTCTTACCGGGCGGCGTCCGACTATCACCGCTTCGCGAACTCTCGCCCCGGAGTGTCCCCGATGGCGTTGTGCTACTCCCTGCGCTGCTCGTTTTGCCGCCCCGTTTGACCATCTTCCCCAGGATCCCCACAATCTCCGCGGCATCCTCAAAGCTTTCATCGTCCATGCCTTCTTGCGCGTTATACACGTCGGCAATGGCTTGCTTGGCCAGTCGTCGACAGGCATTCGAATCATGCAGGCAATCATACAGATAAGCGGCGTACTCGAGCTTGATGGAGAGGCGCAACGGGTGAGATCCAGGAAGAAACCGCTCAGCTAAGAGTGCGGCGTGATTAAAGCATGCTGTAGCCGTGGGTATGTAGTCAAGAGCGGGCAGCAGAAATGAGGATGCTGACCGAGGCGGTTGGACGGGTGCTAGACCAGGGGGAGCCCGCGTAACTTTGTCGTGAGCTGCATCTTTCATCTTCAGGGCAGAAGTTTCGGAAATGGATATTATATCTATCTTCGATTTGAATGAAAACCTCGGGTTTGTTTCTTTCGTAGGCGACTCTGGATCAGAAGTCCCATTCCGCACGCCAGGGTTCTTCTGAAGGTCCACGATTCCTGGAGAGTGGATTGCCGGCTGATTGTGAAACAAGACAAATATGTGGTAGAACGAGGCCCGGAGTTTGTATGCCAGGATCTTCAATTCCATTAATCCCTCGATGAAGGGGAGGACAAATTCCTCCAGGACTAGAAGTCCCTCGCGGGATAGCCATATGATGTGGTGATACAATTGAAGGGACTTGGTTTCTCGAGTGGGATCTAGGCGCCGTAACCGTCGTGCACGAAGAAGTTTTTTGGAGAGCATAACCGATAAACCTAATATCCTGTATAGCGTTGCAGATAGGATGGGGTATTGCAGGCTTGTCAAGGCCGCGAAGTTGCCCAGGGCTTTCTGGTCTACTTCGGAGGAAGCCATCCACAAAACAAGGGATTCGGTGTCTATGATAGGGCAATTGCCATTGGAATTAGCCAACTCCATTATCAATTGAGGCTTGATGTATAAATGCCAAAACAGAAAAAGAAAGAAAGAAAAAAAGATATTCTGGCCAGCATGTGGGATCAATTCGTTCTGAACCAGGCAACAAATCTTTTAATAGAGACCAAATGCCCGCGATGAACCACATCTAAGGCACAGCAGATGACGAGACAGGCTGGGCGCCAAAGACTCCATTATCTTACCTCGGAAGCGCGCAAACGTATAGCAAGACAAGATACAACTGATCTTCAAACACTGCAGTGACCCATGCCCAATGCAAGCGCGTAAAAAGTAATTCGCCCTCTTTTGGCTAGCTCGTCTTCAACGCTGGTAATGCACAGGTCGCCTCCGTCGTTTGGCTTCCTTTCTTCTTTTCCCTGTTTTATTATATACTGCTTTCAAATCAAACCGAGGGACCAAAAAGCAATCTGCCAACAGACAAATCCAATGGGTTGAAATAACGAAGCTCACCAATTCCAACCAATACACGGGATATATTACATATGTGAGGTCCTGTCTTTCCCATCAATTGAACTGCAAATACTTTGGTGTACAGTGCACAGTCCGAAGGTAGGCGCGCATAAAAAAAGAAAGAAAAATAGACGAAAGGAAAACTCCGTTTCAGAACCTCAACGTATCACTGCCACAATTGTTTTAACGATGTGCGGAAGGAATCTAGTAATCGAAGCAACCAACTGATAGGCCAGCAAAGACTAGTAATGCAAGGCACACAAAAAGAAGTAGTCAATGATAGATTGGTGAAGGGTACAAAGCTCGTGATTGTGAAGCAGGCAATTCTGATGCATCGCGTGCAGCTGGAGTAGCAAGGCGATATTCTGCTTCTTTGGCCGCCAATAAATCAAGTGCAGTTAATGGCAATTGGTAGTATCACGATCGAGGGTCATTACTCTGGGTATTTCCACGGTGGAAACCAGGGTTAACCCAGGAAGCGATATCGGCCACGATTGACCCGACCCGAGGTGAACGATCGCTGCTGCTGTGCTCCTGGGGGATAGTAATAATAGTAGCGGCAGCAGGAGTGAGAACAGATGATGCAAGGGAAATTTGTCTGTTCGAACGGGATTTCCCCTGGCGCCAAAAAGTGGAAGGCCCCTGGGGTAGAATGTGGTCCTAATTAAAGTGATCTGAGGGCCGGCATCTCCTCAATATTACATGTGGGATTGGATCTCTGCTTAATGAGTTAGTTCATGCCGGTCAGACTGCCCTTTTTTATTTTTATTTTTATTTTTATTTTTATTTTTTTTTTTATTTTTTTTTTTTTTTTGACATCAGGCAGGAACAGCAGCGATAAACCCCCAGATCTAGATCATCATCATAAATAGAAATAGTTACAGTGAACCATAAGGGGGAAAAAAGTAAAGAAAGTGGCAATGTCCAGCTATGAGGCGGAAGGACAGCGCATCGATTAGGTCAATACGTGTCAAGGCCCTAATGCTGATTTTCGCAACCTTGCAGCTTTTGATCCAGACGAATGATAAGAAGGGGATAGCAGAGTGGATCGCCTGTCACCAGCCTCCTATTTGGCAGGAATCCGTAACATTTGGGCTCAAGAACAGTAACAGTTCCGTGCCTGACCCAGCCCGCAATTTGACACCGTCGAAGTCACTAAACCAGAAGGGTTTGGAGCTCAGCGTCCCCGCGCTTCTTAAGCATGGGGATGTCGGCACGAATTCGCTAGGCCGCACGCAACGCTGACAGCTGGCAGGTATTGCCAACGTGGCACAAGAGAAATGAGCCTAACCAGTGAGACGGAAGAATTGGCGAATCATACAACAAGCTATAGGGATTATTCTGATCATATCAGTGCCTACCGTGACGGCGTACTGCTTCTGCTCGAATGGGACAGCTTCGTCGGTGCATGTTGCAGTCAAGAAAACAGAGCGGCAGCTGTCCACCGCCTTCTCGATGTTTCCTGCTTACATACACCACGCGTAGACTCAGGTGCATGATGCGGTGTGTATGTGCAGGATATTTCTATTCTACTCCGTACTATGTTTCATTTTCTGGCTTAGAGACATCTGAAACAGATGCGGTATGGATCAATTCTAGCAGGTTCTCCTTGGCTGATGGCCCCTGCGATCCCTGGCGTTCACCGCTAGAATGATGTCCAATGTACTCGGAGAAAACCCGTCCCCTTGCGGATCGCAGGAGGGGTACGCAGACAGTGCCTGGTGCTAATGAACGGGACAAATCTACTAAGTACTAGGTCATGATTGTGAGCTACTGGATAAGGTATAGTGTTCCTATTTGGAAAAGCGCTTGGTCCCTTACAACTCGGCATCAGGTGGTATATAAAGTATAAAGCTTCCACTCTGCCCACTCAAGGTAGCGAGCGACCAACTTTTGTCGCCGTCTTTTCCCATCCTTTCCTGGTCTTCTGATCCAGAACAGATGGTAGAATAAGCCTATGGGGCGCCGTTGCAGCGATTAGGATCTAGGTCCCGCAGTATGACAAGATATTATTTAAACTTTTTTTTTTTTTTTTTTTTTTTTTTTTGATGTACATAAAAGTGCATATTCTGTTCAGGCAGAGGTACTGAAATTGCTAAAGCTCCCTGGATAGTTGCTAGCCAAACAGACGAGTTTATTGGCCGATCTTGGTCAGTTTACCGAGAGGGGTGATCTCTTACTGAAGAATTTATTATTAATAATATTATTTTCCTTTTTTAACATTAGGACTAAATTAGAGAAGAGAGATGAAAAAAGAATCAACTCGCAACCTAACAGAACTTAAAAAGCCACATGTCCATCCTCACCACATAGGCAGGAGTAAACCCCATAGCTCAAATAGCTGGCTCCGCCACTGCTCGATTATCCACTGACAGTTTATACCCATCCTTCGCATTCCGGCCAGCGAAAAACTCCGCCGGAAAAAGTAATGGGTATTGTCTGGCCTACATTGGCAGTCGGCCTAGGGAAAATTGCGTAGTCATGTTAGCCCAACAAGACAAGCTCCAATTTTATACACACCTTTGTATAAATTCCACCTGTTGACCTTAACATTTCCACGCTATATCTTCGACCAGCAAATCAAAAAAAAAAAAGTGTATAGACGAAATTCCCCCCTCTGAAGCCAAAGGTCCTTATCTATCTTAGCTGTAGCCAGCATTCTAACCAACTTACTCAAAAACAACAGTAGGAAGACTATCTGTATTGGGGCGGATACGGTTTCTTTTAATTTTTCCACCCACCTGCCGCCAAACCCACTGAAGGCTAGTAGAATACTAGTTGGATTTAACATGGGATTTAAAGCAAAGGCTAACTTGCACGTCCCAACTCTAACAGTTAAGTGGTGGTATTCTGGAAGTGTGAGAAAATTAGATATAACCATGTTCATCATTTCGACCTTTATCCCAGTCCTGATGAACGTCATAAATATCAGTGGGCATGACTCTAGCTCTTAAATCCGAGTAACAGGACTATAATGAATCCTAGGGAGGATACTGGTTAGTTGTGTTTTCCTTTCTACTTATTATTATTATAAGATCCTACCGTGGGTGTTTTCGTTCGAGGCTTCCGTTTTCACAGAACGATCTGGCAATATTGGAGCCAGCAAAGGGTGGGATGTCGGTAAATATCATGTCTATACTTTTCGTGTGTGTCAAGAATTGTCTGTCGAATGCTAGTAAACTACTTCTGATTGGATAGCATTTCTGGCTGAAGAGTAGTGTTACTCCTCAGGCCTCTTTGAACTGTGGCAGTAAAGTGGCCTTCCATCCTGATAAGAAGTTGATACTTGGATATGAAGAGGAAAAAAAACACCACAGGTATAAAGGTGACATGTGAGTATGTGGTGACTAAAAAGCTATCTAGAATAGGTTAGGAGCTCCTTATTGGGCTACCAGCTCGGCGTGGGTAGAACTTACAGAATGGAGAAATCTTCAGCATAAGTAATACCGCAAAGACAAAGTAAGAAGGTCTGACTTAGAGTCCTAAGACAGCGGTGCTAAGGCAGCGACTCGCAGCGCGGAAAGCCCACAGTTTGTGCCAAAGGCCGCGTACAACCATGGCTTTTCCGTCGTCACCCACAGTTCTTTCGTAGATTTGGCCCGTTCATTAGCACCGGGCTATGTCGTTGCCAGATAATCAGCCCACACTGCTTTTAAAATTGGCCATGGTGTCGGTCCTTCTCTAACATCATGGTTATCATAACAGAAAATACAATTAGTATCAATGCCGTATATACATACATCTATTAATATCAAATGATAAGATAATATAATTGAGGATTGGCCCATAAGGTCTTGTCCATAATATAAAAAGAGGCGTCATGTCTCAATGTCGTCAAGTTCGTCCCTGCTCAGAAATCCCACAAAAGCTCGCTTCAGAAAAGCTCTCCATACTGGATTTTTAGACTGCGTTCTCCCCCTCCCTGCAGCTTGGTTGTAGCTGTCGCTTTTGGCGGAGTAATTCTCTGCGATTCGCGTTGCCAGTTTGAAGAAGCTGCGCACAGTGAGATCTTTCATCTTGTAGATATGGTCATCTCTCGTATCGTATTCGACTTCAAAGGAAAAGACATTGTCCTTGGCTTCGGTGTCCGCCGACCACTCGGAGACCTTAGACATCTGATTATTAATTCTAGTCAGATTGGCAAAGTATTGTGTATAGCCCAACCAAGTCAACGGTTGATTCGAATATGCCGGCCCTGGTGGAGCAGACGCTGACGGAGGCTCTGGGACCTTAAACCTGTTTTTCTTCCGTTTCTTAGTCTTCGGAGAGACATCATCGTCGGCTGTATCAGAAAACATCTGGATATTAATATCCTCGTCTGAAGTATCGGTCCAAGCCACCGCATCCTCCAATCCGGTAATGTTATACTCCACAACCCGCAGCGTCGGGAAATAATTCGGAACCAGACTGGGAGACACTAACGACACACTGTATCGTTCTGCCCACGGACCGCCAATCTTCTTCAGGAAGCGTTTTTTCTTCTTCGCTGTTTGCACATCACGGCTATCCTCGTCCGGTCCGAGAGTATCTTCCTCGAGCCACTCCTCTAGGAGATCTGCACTCGGCCACCCATGACGAGGGGGAGAGGGTAATTTAGACCAGTCTTCCCTAAGACTGGATAGGTAGGCTGAGCGAGAGTAAATTGAAATCTTCCCCAAGGAGCCTCCAGGCACCGAGGATGCTGAGTACTTAGTGGTGTCGGCGATTTTCACTTTATGGCTATCCTGGAACATGAAATGATCAATATTCATATGCCCGTACGCGCTGCCAACCACAACATCCCGATACTGATGAAGCCATAGGGCGTACTTCTGCCAACACGTCTCATCCCAGCTCCGCTTCGCCCCTGACCTCGCCGGAGGAACATGCCCCATCAAGATGGCTTTCATCCGTCGAGTCCGCAGCATCTGAAGTTGTATGCGCAGCCATTCCATCTGCTCAAAGCCTGGTTCCGACTTGGACTTGCACCCATCGACAGCGGAATTCGACTCATAAAAGTACATTGTATTCAAGCTGAGAACAGCCAATTTGCCAGGTATGACTTCCGACGTGAACCATCCGCCCTCCACGAACGTATGTCGCTGAGTCTCGGGAATAAATCTGGCCCACACTTCGGAAAACTTCTTGGTCCATCTGTTTGGGCCAGCCTTGAGGATATTGTGCGGCATAATATCATTGTTTCCGATGGTAGGCACCACAGGGATCGAAAGGCCACGCGGTGAGTCTTTCTTGTAAAATACCTCGATAAAATTACCCGCAATGATTTCGTTCAAGTGTACCACTTGATCTTCTGTCCGTGGGATGGCCTCGTCGTTGTCATGGCGGGCGGAGTCCCCGGTCCAAATCACGAAATCGATTTGGTCTTTCAGGTTCTCCTCTATCCATCGAAAGGTCTCGTTGACCAGGGTGAAAGGGGAGTCGCATTCCGTACCTTGCGCTCCGAAGTAGCCCACAGTGCCTTTACCGCGGTGGCACGCCTTGTTCGCGGAGGTTCCGGGTGTGTAATAGAGATCGGGGTGCACATCTGTCGGACGGTCAGCAACTTCCTCGTCTATGAGCGAAGGTCGTACCAGTTACATGTAGAAAGCGGCCAGCGAGGCCTCTTTCGAGGCTTCCACCGCGTATACCTGCATCAAATTTGTTGGGGCCTAAAGGGCGCTGCTCGGACACCGGTACAGCGGGGGCACTGAGGATGAAAAGAAACGTAGAGAGAAAGAGGAGTGGAATCATTGGTGCTTCTGCCTCCCAGAGAAAACCCAGCAAAGTGGGAGGCCAGCTCTAACTTTACTAATTGTTACACAAGCCACGAGGAGGGAAGATGTGTAGACGTGAAAATAATTCATTCTGCACGTTCACGTCACAGGTCGACCCAAGATCCAAATTCGGTTTAGCGTAAGGACCTTGGTTCTACCTCCCCAAGTCCTTGATTACTTATCACAATGAACTAATGAAGGAGAAATATTCTGTACCACTTCAATGCGAGGTTGAAGTTTATGTTTCCATGGGGATTACACTCCATCTCCAGAGGCTGCTGGGGTTTGTTTGGTCAAATCATGTGGATATACTTTGGGCCATAATGCAGGATACTTTGTCTATTTTGCATCCCGGGACGTACGGACCAATAACGCCCCAACAGAAGAATCTTGACTGTTGTACAGCCGCTTACGGAGTATATTGTGTTGGAAGACCCGCATGGATGAGCTGGTGGACTCACGATTAACTTTCCCGGTAGACTGTGGCGCAGAACAGCGGAGAGTACTGAGTCATGCCTTTGCAGGAAAGGAATAGTTATACCTTACGATGGTAGAAATATGGATGCTTAGGGAAGAAAAAAGAAATAACAAAGAATTAAATATGCAATAAAAGGGAGAGGGATCCAATCATCGGACAATGAACAAGGAACTAGATGACAGGGCGTTTATTTCCGCAGTCTCTTTTGCCCTGGTCCGTCTTACGCTAGATCCCTGTATACTTATGGATTATGACTGCAAAGAGGATTTTTGATTTGACCATATTCGGAGTCTTCCGGAGTCTCTTGGTCTTTGTTAGTCCCCATTGATCTCTCTGTGTGACCCGCATTACCGATTGATCTACGACCTCCGTACGCAAAGTACGTAGAATTAGAAGTGGCACTATTTCAATCTAAAGGGGAAGGATAGATCAGGTACGGAGTAGGAGTTCCTATAGAGATTTTCCCGTCTGGTCACGCCAATCAGACCAGCCAGGGTGAAACACCAGATGGTGGCCATGTTCATGTTCTGGAATAATACCGTCTTATTCTCACCAACTCCTTTCGATGCGCCGGCAAAGGGACGGTTGGCCTCCATCCTTCGACCAGACCGTGCTTTGTTCTTCATCCTCCATACACAGTAGATCCAGCATATACTGTGAAACCCTATATTGAACAGTTCCAAAATCATACCCCTGTACCAGCATGAGATGTACTGAACCATATGATCATCCACATTATCCATAATCCGACCACGGAATTCTCCCACGATGAACTAGTTTCTGCAGCTCCCATATGGATGGTCTGAAGCCAAGCTCCATTAACCAATCAACCGTTGCACTTGCAAACGAACTAATATTGTAGCTCTAGGGCCAGAGCAGTCTTATCATGGGCGCATCCGTGAGACCTGCATCGTGAAAGAGAGAGAAAAAAAAAAAAAATGGAGTACAGCCTAAATGACAACCCAGCCCAGTCAATATTAAAGATGGATAAGACTATTTTCCATAGACAACCAGGTTATCTTTTTTGTTGAAAATATTAAGGACTGTGCTGTGGAGTTTTCCTTCTCTTTTTTTGGGGGGGCCAGAAGAGGAGGAGATTCTTCCCATACATTCGTTCTTTTGATTTCACTTCACGCCCTTGAGGCACAAATGGTCCCGATATATCGGCTCCAGTAGCAGGTCTCAGGATAGTGTTCGAATTCGGCTGGCCGGTTCGTGCAGGTCAACCGTGTCGCGCATCCACGACCCAAAGTCGTGCATCGACAGTTGTTGGCCCTTCTGTCCTTTCTCTACCAACACCGAGACGTCCTCTCAGACCTTCGCATTAAGCTTCGCTGGCTGGCGATACGGCGCACCAGATTCCCGTTTCGCTTTAGCTGGGGTAAGCCGCCAAAAGAAGTTCGCTTTCGACTGACTGTTGAATATAAAGTTCTAGTGGAAACCACTTGCGATCTTCAATCCCTCCCCGTGGCCGCCGGCCACACGCTCGTCCTTGATCTTGGTGGTGTGGCCCATCTCCAGATATTGCTCATCCAGCCTCGAACCAAAGTTGGTGAACTCGGAGCTTCCCTGGATTTTATTAAACCGGATGTACCCCAACACCTGCTGCGCGAGGGGCCCTTCACCCATGGGCAGGGGCCGTTTCCCTTCGACGACAATTATGACTTCGCTGTGGGTAGCCGAAATATGCGGTATAAACTCCAGCAGGCTCATTTGATACTGAAGAATAGCATCCTTCCTGTGGTCAACCATTTAGCATTATTCTTTTTTTTTTTTTTTTTTTTTTTTTTGGTTCCTTGTTTCTGCTTCTGAATACCGAATTGGTGGCTTAGTATGTTTCTGTGAGAACGAAACCAATTTTGATACAACTCCAGCAATGCATCCTGAACCGTCCAGTCGGCCGCATGGTTCCGGGTCAAACCAAGAGCAACGTTGCGCTGGACCATGACTTTGGCATTCTGGTCCTCCGTAGTTTCAGTCAAGGGCTTCTCTGGCAAAGCCAAAGGCCCCATCATCTCAGTGTAGCTAGGGTCCATGGTGGAATTCGGGTATCAGGGCTGAGGTTGACGTCTATGGCTTCTGAGAACTTGTAAGTGTGAGATGTCAATGAAAGGACACGATTAATATATCTATTGGCCGTTGAGGTCTACGTGATGGCTTTTAAACCGTTGGCATGGGATACCAGAAGGCGAGAAAATGAGGGCAGGAACCACAGCTGTAGTCAATGAGGTACCGTAGTTCACAGATTCTTAGATCACCCTTGGTGACGAAATCTCCCTCGCTCAATTGCCGATCGGCACATAGTGGCCTCCGCATAAAAATAAGGCCAGTCAATATCAAAGTAGGCATAATCAAACGGGTGGCTGAGGGCAACCACGCCTTTATCTAGTTGAGGAATGACGTCCATGGCCTCCCTTCCCGTCACCACTCCAGAGGATGGCGAAGTAAAGGGAGAAAATAGAAACGCAAACTGGTGTAGACAACAGAATACGTGCATTAGAACTTCTTCTTTAGACCCAAGAAATCTCTATCCTGTTGCAAATCGCTCGCAGCCTCAAACACCCTGAGAATTTGAGAGTTCCTCTCCTTAACATGGCCTAACATAATATCAATGGCCCTTGCAGCCTTCTCTGCAAGACACATCTCATTAGCCTGCACTGCTTCTTCAGCAATCTCATGCAACCGCTTAAGCCAGTATAGCCATCTCCAGGGACTAAATCCACCGGGTGATCGTTGACCTAGCTCTGACCTGACAAACTTAAAACCACCTTTCCCAATAGTATTTTCAGAGCAGTCGTTCCACGATACATCTGATAGGAGTATAATATTATGCCGGCCTCTTGATCCAGGCACATGCGGACGGGAGTAACGCGGCAATAGTAAGTGTATTCATTGTTCGTCGAGGTTCTTCTTCACTAGGCTCATTAGAGCTGCCAAGCCGCCGCAAGGACTCAAATGTTTCAGAGAAAAGTATTAGAGCAATCTGGCAAAGCTTATCTTTCACCACACGAGTGGATGCAAGTTTAGCAAGAAAGGACGCAACATTAAGGCGCTGGTTCGCGCTCATTGCCGCGCAGTTGTTGACCCAGAAATTTGTCATGTCCGTAGCAAGAAAGGGTAGGTCGTTCCAGACAGCACCGTCGGGGGTTCTAGCAATATCAATGCCACAACTCGGCGCTGGCCTCATTAAAGGCCCTTGTCCTCGAGTACGGAGGATGTCAAGGACCAACCGATCTTGTTCAGTGCTTTCATAGGAGATATATTTGCTGCACTGGTAATAGATGTACCAGAGAGAATGAAGAATTGGCTGGGAGGAATCTAGGGAATCACCACTCCGGCAATAGCTGTGACTAATAAACCATCTCTTGTTATGTGCCATGGATCGGAGGAGGTTAAACTGCCCCTGCCGAGCAGCCTCGTCCACATCCACCTGGTCCGTGGGACCGAGATTCACAAGGAATTGGCTAGGACTATCACGCGGTGAATCTCTTAGCAAGTCGTGCATCCTGAGTTTAGAACTGTGGATGATCTAGTAGTTGGGATAGGAGGGGAGGGTAAATCTTTGGAAATATAATAAGAGAATATATGTTTCGTTTTTAGAAATGGTAGGTTAAGGGGGAAAGCGTCCCCCTAATCTTGTGGTTGCTGACTTGTACACTAGCTATAAGGTATTGGTGACACATCACTTGTTCAGGGATATGGGATCGGCATAAGGCGAATCCATGATTAATAGTGTATCCGGCAAAATCGCCTATTGCCAGATAAACGGGGTAGCCGTTTTAGGAAGTAGTATACAATTTGGCAAAAGGCCTTATTTAGATGATTTGAGCTCGTTAAGCTCTTCTTGATTATATTGATGATTATGTTGTCTTGCCTATCGAGAGCCCTTTTTGATCCTTCTTTCGTCACAAAATCATGGACACGTATGGTCATATTATTTGACACTTATTAGTGAGAAGCAGCTGTGTATTGGAGCTACAACAGGATGCCGGGTGTGAAGATACATACAATAAGGTGCATTGGAGAAGTTGGTATGAATATCATGATTAATGCCGGTATAGTATAAAAAATGAGATAAGGTTTCTACTGGTGACAGGCAAGATACTCTGAATATAGCAACCTGTATGTATTCCTCCACATACTGAGTACAAAACCTCCCAGTTGGCCCTCAGTCAACCCAGTAGCAACAGCAGAATTACCCACTACCGTTAACGTTCTGACAGACGCACGCCTTAGAGTAAGGTTCATAATAACAAGATTTATTCTCAATGTTGTTGGTACACTATCTCTATTAGCTAGCATACTCGATTCTTTAGAGTATCGAGGTTGGGGGAAATTACCTTCTTGGAACTACACCGACAGATAGCTTTCAGGCCATTTTGTGTTTCATAATGGCATTGATTGGTGTCTGGATTGCAGTACTAGTTTAAATAAATCAGATTTTTCATCTCATATTCTAATAAATCTTATAAACTTACTCCAGGGTATTCGATCTCCACTTTGTTTTCGTTTCTCACATCTAAGCCATTGGAGGTAAGAGACTCACGGTTATCCGGGCTAGTCGATGCTCCCAGAGCAGCAGAGAAGGCAAATCCAAGAGAAGCAAGAGTAGCAACTTTCATGATAACGACGTGCAGATTTAGTTATTTGGGAAAAGTTAGTATGTTTTAGAAGTAGGGTCTGTCTTTTCATCTAATTTCTAATATGGTGAGTCAGGAGGGGTCTTATATAGATAGGATTTCAATTAAGGCACAGGAGCTATTGGGACAGGACGAAATTTAGAGGCCTACATTTGGTGTCATGTGGCCAAAACTCATGATAAAAGTACTTAGGAACTCATGGATTAGCCCGAGAGACACCAAAGAAGGACGTCAGGCTATATTCTTAGCTGATTGTTAGGACCACGAGCCTCCATCGTACTGGATTAAACAAAGAAGGGTACCAATCAGGGGTTGTCCTTGACAAATATTTGCTGTTATCAGTTGTGATATATTTGCATGGCCCTAGTCTTACTGGAGTGGTACCGCAGTCAGACTGCGCCTGATCGTCGGAGATCGTCGCCTACACTTAAGTGTTTGGGGTGCCAAGCTATGGGGAAGTATGTGTAGCTCACAATTCTCCTTAATAACTGATTTCGAACCATGGCGCACTCCTGACTCCACCCTTTAGGATATATCGTTTATAATGATGATGTTTCTAGGTCCATTTTGGGGTGATTTTGAGAGCATCGAAGGCAAGCTTGTACCTTCAAGTATAGTGCAGGAGGGCCATCACTCTCGTGTTGGAGAGCCGCTGGCAGGTAGATTTAGTTTGAAATCGCCACCGTTCTCAGTACATAATAGCATTCCAGCAAAGGATCTAAATCCATGTAAAGGGGGCTATACTAGCTGCTGAGGCACGAATCCAACGATACCTATGTAAGCACCGCACCAATTATAGGATATCCGGCTTCCGAACATGCTAGCACCAGAACTACCACTCCTGTGCCTATCCTTAATTGGATATAGTTTTGACTAATTGTTTGTAAAAATCACTAAGCATGCTGGAAGGCTAAAGCATATATTACTGCATCTGCTTGTTAGGCCAAGGGCTCAAAGTATGCTACAACTATAGTAACTATAGCACTGAAACTTTGAGAAGGGAATATTGTACGTACTCTGTAGATGGTCACTGTAGCAGAATAAAAAAGAACCCTAAGGTCGGCCTGTGAGGGCGTTTAAATATTCTCCACTTGTATGACTCCTGCTAACTACAGCATAGAAAATGTGCAAGGCCATAAACACAGACACATGCGCCCCATCGAGTCCTACCATAGTAGTATCCTATCACCCAGCAAGCATTATGACTGGAGGCTGATACCCACCCCGAAATTGATATGCAAAAGTGCCACCATTTTCGTCATATCTCCCAGCATAGCTGGCACTGTGTTCGTGAGGCATCTCCGGGCAAGGAACTCCGTGCTACGATCAGTATTCGATTGAGATAGCTCAGGCCATATAGTACTGACCACATCACTCCATCTCCGCACTCTTTCTCTACCAACTTTTGGATGGACAAGAGCAGGATCGATATCCTTGTGGAACTGCTGCATGTCTGCTGGCAGACCACGCAGCCGATGCGCGAAGAGGTCATGTGTAAGATCACGTACGGGGACAAAGAGAGCTGGTGGCTGGGCATGGAGTTGGCAGCGCAGAGTATGAGTTTTGCCAGCATTACGGGAGCATAGTCGATAGGCGGATAGGGAGGAGGACCGGTCTATGGTGTGCAGCTTTGTGATTGCCCATGTCTACGCAAAGGAACGGCTCCTGTGGTGGAATGGGAGTCTGTTAAAGAACAAGGCGGTTAGTGAAATGGCTCATGTCTAGGAAGTCCCCTCGAGCTGGATGATCGATGCGGAGTGGCGAAAGGGCGACACAAAGCAGGATATGAGCTGCATGATCAGGGGCGAGGTCAGGAGCCTATTGACACGCTGCAGCGATCCATCGACTTAGCTAGACGAGTCGGTGCGGCATTATTAACTCCGAAGTGAAGGAACTTTGGTTCATTAGATCTGTCCGATACACAGATCTTTCTACAGTATATACTATGCACAGGACTCAACTACAAGCCTGCGCTCTTCAACCTAGGTCTATCAGAAGTGTTCTACGCCGTTGTCTCGACAATCTTTGACTCGGAAGTCATCAACCTCCACACACGCGCGCTGCGAGAGAGCAGGAGACGTGTCAGGACTGTTGATCACGTCCATTGAACATGCACATATGCTGTAAATAGTGTTTATGTAGCCTGTGGCTGCCTTTCATGCTACTTGCAACGGGGCAATCATCACATCTAACGAATCAAGAACCAATAGTAGCATTGTAGGCTCCACGGAACCTGCAGGAAACTGATTTGAGAATTAGATCCGGCTTTGTCCGATTTTAAGCGTTCTGAGCCAAGGAAGTATAGAAATGCTATCCAACTACCCTACACACTGTACATATGCCGACTTGGAGATCCCCCCCCCCCCAAGAGGATACAGCGTTATATTTCTTAGTTAGATAAAGAGATGAGTTAATATAGACAGGGATACGTGATTTAGATCAGTGCATATACTTACGGTAGTAAGGGTCACGACGTAATGAAAGGTTTATAGTCCCTGGTCGACCCGGTGACAGCTCGACCATTAACCATACCTGTCTCAACTCCATCGTGCCAGACAGAACATCGACCCTTCCTCTTCTTTCCTCTCCCCTGTTTAACCCTCTTCCTAAAGATACCCCGAAAATTGAGCATCTCAAACGCGCGTATCTCCGACCAGAAGCGGTTGTCAGATATCATGGTCAGTCTAGTAATCGTCTGCATCTAGCCATATGTCCATCTAATATCAGCCAGGATTGACGGTGGACGAAGTCCTCTCTCTGTCGCCTAAGTTTTGGCGCATGCTTACAGTACTCTTCGTGATACCGTGGCCCAGATCATCGTCATGGCACAGTATAATATCGTTGCTGGGACCATTGCCACCCATGCAAAGACCCCGATGGATCTGCATGCTTTGATGACAGATGTTCTGAACTTTGACGATCCAAGTATTATTATATAGCATATGTACATTCCTCTGCTAGCCTCGTTCAGAGGCTCGTTTTTGCTCACCGAGATATATTGTGAGATACCATGGAAGGATCTCTGTTGCCTGAAAAAACAAAGTGGGAAAAAAAAGAAAAAGCTGTCGCCTGCAATTTAAGCCAATGCATGAGGATGTACCACCAACACAAGTCAGGCGATTACGATGATCGTCTCTGTCAGCAGAAAAATGGATGACGGGATGAAGATATAAAGCCTTCGACCACCACCACCACAACCACAACCAGGACAATCATCAATCCATTCTACCTAATCTCAAACTCAGATTCAAACTACGGAACCAATTATACCTTCCAGCTGATCGTCTATCTGAATCTACTCAATTTCCTGGCAATCAAAGTCAAAATGTTCAAGTCCGCAATTGCCATCGCCCTCTCCCTCCTGGCCACCTCCCACGCCCAACAGGGCTACAGCGGTAACATCACCACCGAAGGCATCGGCCAATGCCCCATGTCTTCGCATGCAGAGACTCATATCCCCTGGAAGTGGGAGCCCACGAAGGGCAATGTCTGCGTGAAACTGCCGCGTCCGTACTCGGACAGCTACCACGCCGCGCTGCTGGGCGAGGTGGACACGCCCGTGAGCGTCATGCCGCCGCATTTCGGCGGGTGCAGGGACGCCGAGTGTCGGGATTGCACGCTGGTGGATATCGAGTACGGCGACGAGCCGGGGTTGATCAAGGTGGATTGTCTTGAGTTGAAGGATGCTCCGTATTTGTTTGTGGGGGTTAAGAACAACCAGTAACGGACAAGATGGAAAGATGGAAAGATGGGATGTTAAAGAGGAGACGACATTTCGTTCGTTGTTATTCCATGAATATACGTGGTTTGGTACCTACTATATGATGTATTTAGTGTCACAACCGATTAGATCTATTGAGAATCATTAGTTAGGCCACCCCTGACCCAGTCATACCCGGCACGATCAATCTTCGTAAAGAAAATATTCCAGATCCTACTCCTAGATGATCCATCATCTTCATCATTTTCTTCACTATAAAGATATCCTGATGGCGTTCAAAACCACCCACATCCAGCGCATGTGCCGTGATCGGGATTTCCATGTGTTTCTTCATCGTCGAGATGGCCGGTTCGCCCCTATCCCCAACATGATTGGTTTCCATTGAACTAACTAGTGGCTGTCTGATTCTATACATGTTCTCTTGCCTTTGTGGCCGATGCCTTCCACTACATATCTGAGCCTTCAATGGCGCCTCATTGTTTGGCGTGTGGGTTAACGTCTTCCTGGAGTCTATTTAGCGGTTTATCTCGCTAGAGATTTCATCGTATCTGTCGATGACTAGATAGGTGTACAGAGCTATGCTGATTCGGTAGGGATCAAACAACCACAAAGTTTGGTGATGATTATGGGTTGTGTTGGTTCTGGTCTTAATATCCTTAGTATCCTGTTCTTGCATGGGGAGTTGGTCAGTTTCTCTGAATAACTCCATGAAGGTGGATTGACTGTGAGCAGAGCACGATCATGACCACAGGCATGGTCATGGTCCCGATCATAGCCTCAGTGCTGAACATGAGGCAGAACATGGTGAAATGTCCAATGTGGAACTTTCTGCCTAATGAGAAGGTGTGTCAAGCAGTCTGGTACTTCTTTTCTTTTCTTTTTTCCCTCCTCTTCTTCCTCCTCTTGTTACGTCGCTAACGATAATAGCGCCTCCCCCATAAACACTACCTAAATGTCCAACACGACAACTACTCGCAAGAGTACCTTCGATCTGGCCATGATGGGTGTCTTGATCCACATTAACGGCGACTGCGCCAATATCTAGGCGTAATCATTTCAGGTTTAGTAATTTGGCTGGCGCACTAGTACGGACGACTTTACGCTGATTCTGCAGTAAGCATGGGAATCGCCATTATGATCTTCTCGTCTTCGGTGCCCTGAGTAAGTTAGACATACGCTGGTGTTCATCTCGACCGCTGAAAAGAGACCAGTCAAGCGCATGGGTCTCATTCTACTCCAGAGTGCCCTGATGGTGTCCACCACGACGACGTTGTACACGACTTGGAACGGGCACATACATTAATTATCTACTTTCTATAATGCATGGCACAGGTCCCCGAGATTCGCACCGTCCATGAACTTGCTTTAACCAGAAAAAGGCCCTTGCCTCGGGCCATCTTGTCCCCGAGGACGACAATAATCTTGATTTTGATAACCTGGCCAAGACCGTCAACAAGTGTTTCCATGAGTATGGCATCCATTCCGTCCCGCTGCAGTCGGAAACCTCCACCGAACGGAGGAGGCGTTGGATCTTGGGAGGGAAGTGCAACAGTCAGGTCTACGGATCCGACCGAGGGGTTGAGGAAACGGACGGAAAGCAGTGCCAATTAGTTTGTGAATGGTTTGTGTGACGATTTATCTTGCTGTCAATAAATCTACGTCTACTCTGACGAGGATCTAATAGTACTCCATAGATATATAATTCTAATAATAGACAGAACATAAATTTTATACCACTACACTTAAACTGAACCTGTAATATCCCGAGTAATTCCCTATTCTATCCTGTGATATACCGGAAAGCAGCATCTGGCGCTTCACGTTGTCCCACCCCACAGAGAGCACCTCTTTCACGTGTCCGGCATGATAAATACGCCAAATCCTCTACAGTGCGGGGCATTTTCTCACTTCCCAATCTTGTATCCTCCAGCCCATCATTAATCATGTCGGGATTTCCATCTGTTCTGCCTGCCTTCACAATCAAGGTATGACTATTCTGTATTCCGTCAATATATCAAGGGTCAATGGTAGTAACTTTGTCAGGTCACGATCGACGCCCCGCTATCTGTCGGTGAGTCGGTCATCGTATTCCTAGCTACTGTGTATTCTATGCAGGATATAATACCAGATATCTAGGGAGCGCTTCGCGATCCAACCCGTTACAGGTGGTGGTAAGTCCAGCTCACCTATCTTCCTAGAATTCTTATCTAATGAAGTAGCCTATGACCGGGGGAACTGTCACGAGCGAATCATCCTTCTCTCCCGCTCTCGAGGCGGAATTCGTCGGCGTGGGAAATGATTATATCCATGCGGACGCGGATGGAAAGCATCTACGGCTGGATGCGCATAGTGTTCTGAAGTACCTCTCACTTATTTGTTGTTTTGTATTATTATTATGGATGTCTAATGAAATTGGATAGGACCCACGACGGTGCCGTACGTACATAACTTACAGGGTATATAAGCCAAACCGAAATGGATGCTGATTGTCTAGCTCATCTATGTGAACTACACCGGTGTTGTTGCCTTGAGTCCTGCAGAGAAGGCTGTTTTCGCTGGAACTGCGGGTGAGGGGTCCACGCCGTGGGGGAATGCTTGTATGTTTTCTCTCTCTATTTCATTATATATGGCTGTATGGAGGAGTGTGGCTAATGCTCTAAAGTCACACATTTTACTTTTGAGGTGAGTGAATCAATCGTTGCTTGATTTGTGGCTGCGATATGATTAATCTAAGGTATACTGCTTGTAGACCGGGGATGAACGCTACAAGGAGCTGGAACATAGTGTCTTCGTGGGACAGGGTCGGTTCAATGTTCAGAATGATAAGTCAGTTGTTGTGGAGTATCGGGTTGGACAGCTCATTCATGGTTGATTTATCGTGCATAAATGAATGCATATTTCCATTTCTCATCAATCATAATTCATACTTATGTAGACAGGCATAACCACCACGAAGATAGACAGAAAAAGAGACAGAGAGATCATCTCAACAACGCTCTCCTCTCTGGATCACCCTCCGGATCAATAGAGTTAGATGTCTGCCAACGTCGCCAAACTCTTTTCTGACCACACCAGCGCAATGTTCTCTTGGCCATCCTCACCACCAACCATCCCAAACCTATCGCCACAAGTGTGCCCACCACCGACCCCACTGCGGTCAGGAACGTGATCGTGCTCACATTACATCCGAACGGGAGGGCACGGAGCTCCCATCTCTCTTGTGCGAGCGGACAGATCTGCGATGAGCCCAAGGGGGCTAGAATAGGTAGTCGAGAGGGGTTAGGGACACAGGTTGATGTCTATATTCCATTTAACCATATATCCATGTTGGTTATTAATTGTAGGTATGTGTGTATCCAGGTAGAGAAATTAAGTGATAGAAGTAGTAAAAACTGGAAGGAAGGAGATAATACCACTGCGCACCAACTACAGGCAACATCGCCTTGTATACACCATCGACAGGATTGGCGACGCCAGCATACGTAGAAGAGGGGATCGTTAATGTAAGTGATATTCGCGGGATCGATTCTAGCAGTCATCTTCAAAGGGAGTTTATCTATTAGAGAAGGCCATTGAATAGAAGCTGTTAAGTGAGGGGAGAGATTGTAGAATGTTAAGCTGCGTCATTGTGGGTGCGGGGCTTGTTGAGCTTAAGGTAGTTGTCACGCCCGCAACTAAAGTCTAATTATCCTACGTATTATTATCCTGGTACTGAGACTAGTCCACAATACTATACTCCAGAATATTATCTAGGATATATATAGAGAATCGAATTCTAATACATAATTCATATTCATCTCATCTAGTACAATTGACCTATTCTGCTCCATGCAATATATCAATCTCCATTCAACCAGTATATTAGACAACACGCTTGACCTGCAAAATATTAGCAGAGACTTCAAATATCAAATATTCACTTACCTCGAAAAATCTCTTCAACCACCACACCTGGAAGATTCCTTCGCCGATGAGCACCGCCAGCTGGAAAATACTCCACCACTTCACACGGGCGTTAGTGCTCTCAGCCGTGTTCCGATGCACACGTTCTCTCACGACAATGTATGACTGCTCATCCTTAACTTGGGCCAATAGCTCCGAAAGATGACGCACTAGGAAGTCGCATTAGCAACTACCCCCATTCCACCATGACTTGTCTATGTATCCTACCTTCCACCTCCAACGGATCCTGCTCCATCTCCGACTCCGGCACGTACACAATCCCGTGAACATTGAACGACACTTCCTTGGAGTTGGAGGTCCATCCCTCGTTGCTAAAGCAGTAGACGTACTTCCCATCGGTTTTCGCGGTAAACGTGTAATCTTCGGACGAGACAGCTTGCTTATAATATTGACGGTTATTCGACGGGTCCTCAACCTAACATAGGCACAAAACAAAAAATAGTCAGTATAGTTTCCAACTTGGGAGTTGACAGAAAGCGTCAAAAGCATCGAATTCAAAGCATCATTAAATTCCCATCCAGCGTGGGGGGAAACATACCCAGAAATCAATCTCCAAATTTCCACTACCTCCAAACTCTCGGTCCCCAACTTGGAACGTAACCGTCATTTTATCATCTTTGTGAAGTGACTCGTGGAAGCATTCTCGCGAATGAGCCCGGAGCTGGATGTTGTGTGCGGTCACAGCGGTGATCCATCCTAACGCCGTGACTAGGAGGGTTGTCGCGGAGAATCGCATGGTAGATGTGTATCGTTTTGCCTTTTTTCCCCCGGAGATCTGTCTGTTCGACGGAGTATCCTATGATCCTCCGAATGGGCTGCCGGTGGTGGGGAGTTGGCCTGACGGTTGGTTGGATCTCTGACGCGCAAGGTGGTCTTCTCTTGTTTGGTGAGTGGGCGCTCGGACCATTTGGTGGCCTTAGGCATCTGAATTGCTCTCAGTATAATTTAGTTTATTGAAACTACAAAAAATAAAGAAATAAAATATAAAGAGAGAGACAGTTTAAAGCATTAAATAAAAGGTAAATATGCAAACAAGTTTATACTTCATAGCGTCCATGCTCACTGGATAATAAAACTAAGCACTATTAGGTGCACAAGCAGGAGTAAATCCCATATTTACACGACGCCTAGATTACAACTCTTAGTCCTGTTATATATTACAATCATGAAAAGTGTGTATTAAAACTTCACTCAGTCACAATGTAGACTTCCAGAAAGAAGAAGTCATGTGCTGGTATGCCAGGCGGCTCTTTCCTTCACCTCTATTAGGTATACAGCCAGCTCCTACCCACATCCAACCACAAACAGCTCCAAATTAATCAGTTCCAACAGTTTGGACATTCTCGCCACCATGCCAGTCTTTTTAGTCAATGGCAGACGATACCGTGTGCGCTTCTGGTCCCTGCTAAATGGCAGCGAGCCGATCTCCGAGGACCCGCCCTCCGCCAGAAAGGTCAGCAGCCCGTTTCATACTATGAATTTATGCCTTTACGACATAGGTTTCTGTGTCTCAGTCAATCCATACTAATTGTATACAGCGTACCAAGGCCACCTGGGAAGACGTAGCCGCAGATCGCACATGGACAGCCGAAGAGGATAGGCTCCTTCGAGAACTCAAGAACTGCCATATCCCCTGGAAATACGTGACGGTCGCAATGGGAAATAGGCCAGCTGCCCAGCTCAAAAGACGCTGGTACTATCTCCGGAACCGTAAGTCCAACGAAACCGAGACTGCCGACTTAGCCGACCAATCCGATGACGAACATTCGTGGGAAGACACGGAGGAAGTCGAGAGGCCCCAGCGACGAGTGTCATTCGCCAGCCCGTTGGTCACAATGCGAGAGGTAAGTCCTGTCCTGCCCGACACCAATGTACATGGGTCGTTGAACCTTTGGGTGGAATAGGAGCACAACTGACGAGTCACTTTGCAGGATGATGCAGGTGAAGATGAAGACTACGTCCCCCGTGCTCCCAGGATCAAGAAAGTGTGCTACATCGATAGCGACCTCAATCTGAAAGAAATCCTACTTCTCCATAAAATTGCAGCCAAATGGGAGAGGGATCGATGGTTAGCTATTAGCACCCGATTCAATGACAAGACCGGTCGCAGTATTACCCCAGAGCAGGCGAAATGGATCATTGATAACTAAGCCAGTTGGGACGATTGGAAGAAGGCCGAGGAAAGAATCTGGATCTCCAGACAAGCATACGGGGTATTCTCGGCACCTCGCAACCGAATCTGCGAGGGACGGGGCTAGAATCTGGATGGAACACTGGCATTGAACGGACGTCGGGGTGTCGAACATTGGCTTGGTGGGTAACTAGGGGTTGCGTGGTTTTGTCGTCCTTTTTGATTTTCTCGTTCTTTCCTTTCGATTCGCCTCGTTCTTGATCCATAGGCGCTCTTCCCAGGGTTCGCACAACCGCGACTTCCAGTGACATCATCGACTTTGGGCTCAGCGAGTAGAATTCGTTGTTGAAGAACGGAAGCCGCGGCCACAGAAAATGGACAGCATCTATCGTTTATCTTTCCATGTTCTGAATGAGTCAAAAGAATTTTCGGTGAGGCAAAACAGAGGTTAAGAAATCCGCACCGGAATTTGCCGGGAAAGTAAATTGGAGTATCGTATTATCTCATAATCAGTCTTTGCTGGGAAATAAACCTGTAGAAACTACACAGGTACTCCTAAATATAAACAACCCTAGATATACGGAGGGGGTGGATTTATTACTGTAGCTTTCGGATCCTCGCTTTAGGCCCGCCTAGTCTGACCCGGTTATATTGATCTTCGTTGATTGATGGACGTTAGACGGATGGCTCCATTGTGTCTCCATCTGCCGTCGTAGTAAGCAGTTTCAGGAGGCGACTTCCTTCACCATGCCCGAGTTCAATCCCCACACCCTCTCTTCCCTGACGTTACCGTTCGTTCATTCATTCTTTCTTATATGTTTGCTGGGTCAACCCTTCCTTTCTTTGCCTTCCCTTTCGATTATCGCAGTTTAGCAGACCACTGCAACGACGTTCTTTTGTCCAATCCTGGCATCCTTTCTCTCTCTTCACTTTCCCTCTTTCGCTTCCTTTGGTCACTATCCATCTTTTAGATATAACGAAGAGAGGGAATTCTTTCGTTCCTTGGTCTATTTCTAGCACCGACGACTTTCTCTCCTACCCTCAAAAACCACTATCACAATGCGTGTTACCACCCTGCTACCTTACGTGCTGGCGGCCATCCCCGCCGTTGCCGCTGAACGCGGACAGTTGGGACTCGCCTTGGGCAACAAGAACCCCAAAGGCGACTGCAAAACCACCAGTGACTACGAGGCCGACTTCGATGCCATCAAGGGTGTGACAACTCTGGTCCGGACCTATTCCTCCAATGATTGCGACACCGCCAAGAACATCATCCCTGCGGCTAAGAAGAAGCAATTCAAGGTCGTCTTGGGTGTGTGGTATGTTTCCCTGTGCATTACAATCGGGTGTTTCCGTCCCTATGCTGACCAGGTCTTTCTCCGCCCCACTCAGGCCTGATTATGACCAGTCTTTCAACGAGGACTTCAATGCTTTGAAGAAATACCTTCCCAACAACGAGGATGTGGTACAGGCCATTACGGTCGGATCGGAAGTCCTCTACCGCGGTAGCCTCCCCGCTGGAAAGCTCAAGGATAGGATTATCCAGGTTGTGGATGAATTCCCCAAGATCACCGTTGGTACCGTAGACAGCTGGAACAAGTTCGCCGACGGCTCCTATAACGACATCATCTCCGACCCAAAGATCAACTACTTGTAGGCCATCCTTTTGAAGGCGTTCACGGATTGTATAGGAACCTGTGCTAATTGATGGGATAGCTTAGCCAACGGCTTCTCGTACTGGCAGGGCCAGCCGATCGGCAATGCTACCAATACCTACTTCGACGATATGGCCCAGGCGAAGGCCCGCGTTGAGCAGAGCGCTGGCGGTCGGAAGGTCCGCTTCGGGAACGGCGAAACGGGCTGGCCCACTGGTGAGCATCCCTCTCATTCAGAAAATTTTCTAATGACAAACCTAAAAAAAAAAAAAAAAAAAAAAACCTAAACTGACGGAAGTCATAGATGGTGGTACGGACTACGAAGCAGCCAAGGCCAGCACTAAGTTCGCCGAAGAGTACTGGAAAAATGCTGTGTGCGGGATCCTCACCTGGGGCGTTGATGTCTTCTACTTCGAGGCCTTCGATGAGCCCTGGAAGCCAACAAGCAAGGGCGACAATGGCGAGGAAAAGGACGAGACCAAATGGGGTCTTTTCACTGCGGACCGCAAGCCCAAGTTCAACACAGATTGCCCCAAATAAATGGAGCGACGGGCTGTATTCTGATTCTCTGATTGGGGTGACTGGTGTCGATTCAATTTCTTTGTATCATATGTCAATTATGGAATAGGTGATCTGTGAATTATGACTGTTTTCGCTCGGTAGAGTAACAAATGAACAACTGAGCGATGAAAAGTACTGTATCTTATGAAGAGCCATCTCGTCCAAACTTTTTTTTTCTTTATATATATCTCTATTTGTTTTTTTACCGCTGTTTTTTCTTTATGGCAAGATATGGACTCTTCCTTTGGTTGCTGAATAACTCCGCATGGAAAAGTCGCGAATTACCAGTACCGTTCCGGGTGACCTCTCTGTCCTACTGTTGTCACAGAATGTAGAAACTGGGCCGTAATAGGTATGAAACTGTATGTATGGTAACAGCCGGCCCGGAGAACCGTGGTTCGAGGTCCGTAGCGCCATTTTACCCCTGAATGGAGACACGAACCAAGCCGAAGCGCGTCTAGTATGGATTGGATTGCATGTTATTATTTATTTGTTTGTCCGTTGTCCAGTGTTTTGTTTATCTTCCTTACGAGTAACTGATCTGTCGCGAGAATATCTACAGTGGACAGTAGATATTGGGTAAGAAGTACAATCAAACAGGGGCCTCGTACTAATGTGTAGATGGCGGTCAACAAGCGCGGAGTAGCGTCTCTGAGTTGGCATCGAGGCTGGTGTATTCTGATGTTCTATTTCAAGTACCTTTCTCGTACCTAATAGGCCATGCAGCTAAGTACGAGTACCTACGGAATACATAGCTCGAACATTGAGTGCCATGCCACGTAAAAATACTTTACCCCAACCGTCAACTTCCACCTTTCTTCCGACTATGGGATTCCTTTCGGATGAATTCTGCCTAGTTACTACTAGAGGTTAACTAACAAGCTAACACGACTTTGCTTACTTTCCTTCCGTTTGGGCTCTGCTGGCGGATCATCTCATGGCCTAAACTCATACAAAAAAAAAAAAAAAAAAAAAGGGCACACCATCTCCCTCCGTCCCCTTAGTCCCGATTTCTTCTTCATCGTCAAACTTCGATCCTGTTGTCCTCCGTGTATGCGCCATGTCCAAGTTTTCCGCATACCCTAGATGCCTCTGATCTGTTGTTTGTTTCTGTCCTCTCCCTCCTGACGTCTGTTTGGGGATCTTCATCTCAACCCCCTGAAGAACACACGGAGTCGATACACCGGCCCGCCTCACCCCTCTTCCTCACCCTCATCGGCGCGTCAACTCGTCTTGTCCTCTTTTCGAGTCCCGATTTGTGGGTGCTTGTGAGGTGGATTCTGATCTCAGTGCCCTGATTTCCATGCTTCAACATTCTGGACGATAAGGAGAGCAGCAAGCACTTGCTTGCTGCAGCAGTCGACACGGAAGGTATGTGTTTCCTGTGTGCTACCTCGTTCGCGTCCAATTTCGCTATCGAGTCGCGTAGATAGCGATTGGATTCGTGCTACGGACTCTTCCGATCGAACTAGGCTGAATTTCCAAGTGTCTCTAGATCTAGATCTGTCCGTTTCTTCCGCCAACTCGGCGCATTCTCCGCCGCCGCATTCCAAAGACCCCTCTCGCCTGCGTGACGATTCCTACTTGGCTGCCCCGTTGGCCCCATCTTCTACATCTCCAGGAGCGTCGAGTCTTTCGGCCACTGGTTCTCCTAGGCCCACAGGCCTCCCCACTCTGTCGAAATACCGGGGCGCTTGGGACTCGTCGACATCGTCTCCGGAGGACCGAAAAGCAGAGAGTAGCGTCTACTATACTACCGCTTGGGGCTCACCGTATGCTGCACCCAGTCCTCGACGGCTTTCGTGGTCATTGAGTCAACACGCCGCGGTTGATCGTGGTTCAGGCATCAGCTCCCGGGCGTCGGTGCGCAGTGGTATTGACCACGGATCTGAAGCTAATCACACCGAATTGTTGAGGCCTCCCGCTCCGGAAAGTTCGAGTACCCAGCTGCACGGTGATATACCCGATCGTTCTCCACGCCGAGATCTATTGAGTAGGAAAGAAGGAAAGTCCATTAAAGACTTCACGCAAGATTGGATCAACCAGTATCTCTCAGGCCAACCAAGGACCGAGCGCAGCAATTGGCTAAGTGACGACTCCGGCAGTGAGGCTCCCTCGTTCTTCACAGCTCAGAACCATTTCGCGGACGACTTCTCCGACGATTGGCTTGGTTTAGAACAGGGTACCCGCGACGAAGACCTCCTAAAGACCCCGACACTCGCCGACTTTGTCAAGAGGAGGACGATTGCAAGTCACGGTGAAAACGCCATCGGCCGCCAACGAACCAAAGATTATCTACACCGGAGAGCGGAGACCTTAAGGCAAGAGGATTTTTGGGGATTCGCCTACGACAAGGATCTCCAGCCCATCACCATGGCAGACACAAAGGAGGGACAACCTCCAACACAGCCGGAGCCGAGCAAGGCGCCCTTTCCGAGTGAGAAGCCGTTACCCCCTCCCCCAGCAGACGCTGTAAATGAAGACAATTCTGCAATGGGACCCTCAGAGATTCTTGATCTAAAAATTGCCAAGGAGAATGTGGTAGAGGGGAATAATACTACTAGTAACCCCGTACAGAGGCTGAGGAAGAAAATCATTTGGCGCGGGAAGGCCTGTATTATCTCATTTCCAATGGAAGATAAAAGAGGCACCAAAGAATCTGGATATCGTCTATTGACCACTGACGATGTTGAACAGAAATTGAAATCTTGGGAAGATCAAGGATATAGCATTCGTGGGTTTAATGTTGGTGTACCAGACGGTAGTTCTGTTGACGAACTAGGCGGACTTAGTCGCCCTTCTTACCCTGATACCTCGGAGGTTCAAGAGGAATGGAAGGCTGGGAACTATTCCGTCAGTTTTCCAGATAAACATGTGTGGGACTCATATGTCACGGCCCTCCAGGAAGAAAAGCTACGGGCTTTGGGTGTCTCCCTCGGCGAGGAGGAATTGCGGCAATCCGCTTCACCTGCCATGAGCCAGATGGCAGCATTTTCCGGACTAGGCACATCACCACCGATCCCGACAGCATCGGCGGCCAGTAATCCATTGTCTGTGCCTCATCCTTTCTCCCCACAATTTAACCAGTCCGCGAACGCTGGCAACGGTATAGGGAGCTTGGGGTCGCCTGTCTCGCAATTCGGCGTACAAACCCCGTTCTTGGGCCTCGAGCAGAATATGCTACCTGGCTACCCTGTCCCGTTCCAGAATACGCCCCCTGCCCAGGGCTCTCTTACTCCGCAGGGCTTCTTCAATGCACGTCATGCAGGTAACTCTACTCTTCCAGGTGCACCTCCAGACTTGGCATCTGTTTTATCACCCATCTCGCCATTGAATGGACAAGGCGCCTTCCACCCGGGACTGAATCAGCAGCCAGGCTCATCGAGGGACGTGTGCAATGATCACATGGATCCTAGTGCTCATGACAATGCTATGGGCGATCAGCTCCGGCATCCCGTCCGCACTCCTACAGAGAATCTCGACAATTTCCATGCCTCGACGGTTGAAATTGCTCAGCCTACTCCCCGAGGCCACAGCCGCGGTCATAACCTGAGTGAAACCCTTCAGAAGGGGCTTGATCAGATAGGTCAATCCGACTATCATTTGGAAAAGTCGATAGAAAGGCAGCTTGATGAAGGTGATCACGAAACGGTTCATAATTTGGGAGGCTCGGAATTGCTGCACAACCAATGGGCTTTGCCTGAGACTGAGAATCGTGACATCCAACATTTGCCTCAACATGTGCATCAATTCTACAGTGGAGGATACACGGGCAATGATAATGCTCAGGATGGTTCGGATATTGATACAAACCCTAGTCTCTCTGGAACCCCTCGACGGCATAATCCACTTGCCAGTCACATCCCGTGGCACTCATCGAAACCAAGTGGTGGGTCGTATGGTGGAGGACACCGGTCGAAGTTGTCATCCTCTACCCTAAATGTTGATGCAAAGGAGTTTGATCCAACAGCATCTACGGCGGGACAGCCCTTCCCATTCCAGAACAATTCATTCCAGTTCCCCAATGTCGGTAATGATATGTTTACCTTCGGCTCAGGGGCAGGATTTAAGTCTTCTGTCAACTCCTTCGAAATTGGGGTTCCTTCTTTTGCCCCGGCTGGAACACATAGCCATACTAGCAATATTGGATCCGGCGAATTTAATTTCTCGTCTTCGTCCTTTAATGTCACGGCCCCTGTGTTCAATCCAGCCTACAGCGTTTACTCCGCGGGATCTGAACAACCAACCGGAAGCAAAACAAAGATCTTTGAAGACATTGACATTTCTCAAGTTTCAAAACCTGCGAAGAAGTCGAAAGCTATTCCCATCATCCGGCCCGACGATAACGGACCAGACAGGGGAAGCACAGATGGAAGAGAAGCAAGTGGAAAACCAGCCGATCGTCACAAACGTGCGCGACGTGGGGGTGTGACTTCTGACGAAGAAGTTCCATTCAGCCCGGGTCATGCTCTCACAGAATCTAACGCTCAGGCATCCCAGATTCCGCATGCGCCTCACAGAGCTGCCGAGGGCAAGGAGAATACAGCCCCTTATAACGATGTGGTTGATGGAGTGGATCCCATGCCTTCTTTGGCCCAGAATGGGAAGGAGCGCAAGGATACACCCGTTAGTGAAGCCTCAACCTGGGCAGCCTCTGGTACCAAGGAATCTGCAGCTGCAGGCCCTGAGCCACCGAGACCTGAACAAGACCTGCACCCTGCCGGCGAGAAGTTTGACTCAAAGTCGACAATCGCACATGAGACAGCCACCCAACCTGACACTGAAGGGATGGAGCAACACGAACCCGTGAAGAAGACCCCCCAGGCCAGTCTGAAGCGTTCAGTCTTTAGATCAAAGAAGACTTTCACGTTCAAGCCTTCTGTTGCTGAATTCATACCATTCTCAATCGATCCAGCAACTTCTAAGCCTGAACCGCCGAGGGATGACTTGTCGGTTTCTTGTCATGCTGTCCCAAGCCCACTCTCATCCAAGCGGGAAACTGTACCTAAGGCTATCCACCCGGAGACCGAGTCCGATGTGAAGAATGAACCAGCACCGACGCCTAAGCCTGAATCCGAGTCTGAATCACCCGATGAGAATGAATTGAACGCCATTATGGAACAGCTCAATGAGGACTCGGACGTCGGTATCGAAAGATTTAATACGCCTCATCCTACAGACCGTCTCCCAGATTCGGTAGCAGGGCCGTCGAAAGAAAAACGACATGTTCCTGCAGAGGTTAGAAGTGACCCCCCAAGCCCCAGCCCAGGACGGGGACCTGTGTCTCACGCGTTAAATGTTCCCAAGCTTGACTTCGACGCCCAGTCTCATCTATCGGCCACTCCTACCAAGGGCTTCGTGTCCGGTGTTCCTTCGCCTATTCGGCAGTTGATTAACCAAAATGACCAAATCAGCGACTGGGATGACATTATAACCTCTGGCGAAGAGGAGAAGTTGGTACATAGAAGCCAGTTCTTCGATCGTCGGATTAACGACCTTGTCGGGTCTGTTGTCGATGCACGCCTGTCTCCTCTTGAGCGTGCTTTGACTGCTATCCAGCAGTCGGTCTCGGGTATTACTCTGTCGACTCAAAATAAACTATTGTGGAGCACTCCTGCCGAGATCGAAGAAAGCGATGCCGACGATGAAGATGACGAATACGTGGAAAACATGTCATACAGGGCAAGATCCCCCTTCAACCAGAGGGATCGAAAGCTTGATAGGTTGAAAAACGTCATCTTGGAGGTGCTTGCCAAGCGCGACTCTCAGGAAATCACAGAGAAACCTGCAAATTCAGAACTGATCGAACTGCAAAATAGCGTCGCCGAGCTACAGGCTATGACCACGCAGAAGTTGGCCCACGACCCTACTGCTGGTCTTCGAGAATTGATCCAGGAGGCGGTCGCCAATCAATTCAGCATCCAGAACGCTCGTCCCTCTGACGCCGATGAAATTGGTGCCGATAGTCTTCTGCTCCAAATTGATGGCCTGAAGAAGATGCTTCGGCTGACCGACGAGCGCGCAGAGCAAGAGTATAAGCTGCGCAGGGAGGCCCAGGATTCCATTGCAGAACTCCAACGATTGTTGAAGGTCGTTGAGGATGATGCCACTCGCCACAGCGTAGCTGCGGAGTCTGCCGAAGCACGCTTCCTCCAGTTTAAGGAAGAGAAGATCCCTTACTTTGAACAGGTTCAGTTTAGGGCCGATGCGCTCGAGCAAGAGCACGCCAAGCTCAAGCTGACTCTGGCTGAAATTTCTTCAAAGAACATTGAACTCGAGGGCACATTAGACGAGTACCGCGTTTCTAGTGACAACTTGAAGCGGGACAGCGAGGGGACGAAGAGCGAACTTGAGGAAGTCAAGTTAGAAAATAAGAACCTCCGTGGCTCCATCGATCACTTGAAGACACGCATTGAGGATGGTATGAGTATACGGCACAATCTTAGCGAGAAACTCGATAAGCTTCAAGATGAGATGACCACCGTGACACATGACATAACTCGCGACCAGGCCTCCTGGCGTAGACGGGAGGAGGAACACATTTTCAAGTATAACGAACTCCAAGCAGCTTACAACCGGGAAATGAAACTTCGTGAGAAGCTTGAGGTCGATATCGGTGAGCTCGAGCAGCAGGAACGAGAAGCGGCAAAATTGAAGTTCATTTTTGGGCAGTCACAGCAAGAAAACGCTCGGTTGGAAGAGCTGGTGGCGAACCTGAGGGTCGAGAATCACGATCTAGAGATCAAGGCAGCTCGTTTCGAACGTGAATTCAACGAAGCCCGTGAGAGTAGTCGGGTGGAGATCCAGCGCACCCGGACTTCAATGGAGGCAGATGTCGAGGCCGCGAATAGCCAGGTTAACATTGTCCGCGCTGAGCTGGAAGCACAGATCCTTCGCCTCCAGAGCCAAATGGACAATGTTAGACTTGACAATGACACCGGGCGCGAACGCTACGAGATGTTGCTGGAAGAGGCCAATGAAAACAAAGCCAATGCCTTGGCTGCTGTAACTGAGACGAAGGACGCTGCTCTGGAAGATCAGCGTAAGTTACATGAACGAGTCCTTAACGACCTTCGCGAGCGGCACGCTCGTGCCCTGCACAACTCTTCCGAGGACCGACAGCGTGCCGAGTCCCATCTAATGGACAGGTTAGCCTTGTCGGATGAAAAGGCTCACCACCTCGAAGATCGCGTCCGGCATCTTGAAGAGAAACTGGAAATCGCCCAGTCCGCTGCTCGTGCCGCTGCCGAAGCCGCTCAGATAGCCAAAGCAGGACCAGCTACGTCCGCTCCAGTGCCTTCCAATACCCCATCAATGTCATTCAACGGATTCATGGTTCCTGAAAAGATCTCCCCACAAGCACTGCGCGAATCCATTCTTGTTCTGCAGGACCAACTACAACAGCGTGAGGCACGCATTGAAGAGCTCGAACAAGAGGCTGCAGCTGTCGACACGGATGCCCCCAACAAGCTCAAAGAAAAGGACACTGAAATAAATTGGCTTCGCGAACTCCTTGGGGTCCGGATCGATGATCTTCAGGATATCGTCAACACTGTGTCACAGCCATCTTTTGACCACAACGCTGTTCGCGATGCGGCTATCCGTCTGAAGGCCAATCTGCAGATGCAGCAACAGGAAAAGGAAAGGGCAAGTTCCGGGCAAGGTCTCTCAAGCCTTCCTTCACTCTCCGAGCTTACAGCATCGCCACGATCTCTTCCTCTAGCTGCGGCTGCAGCATGGGGAAACTGGCGCAAGGCGAGAGAAAGTCTAACTGCCAACAACACCCCATCTAAACCAAGTACTGCATCTGCCTTCTTATCCGGACTTTTGACGCCGCCGAGCTCCAATACACGACAAGCGGCTCAGACTGGTAGTGCGCCCGCTACAGGCGCGAGGCGGTCATCCGAAAGTCGCCCTCTACAGAGCTACAATACCACGCCTATGCCGCTGTCCACGCGCGCTGCCAGAATGCGTGAGCCCCCCACCACTCCTCCTCTCCTCCGAAGGTCAAGCTATGATCATGATGCGGAGCCCACCGACTACGGAGAGAGCTCTCTAAGAGAGGAAAATGAAAGCACGGCGGATGGCCTGGTCTCGGCGTCTCCAAAAGACACGAGTGACGGACCGTTCGGACCACAAATAACATCTTCATAAACTAAACCCATCTCCTTTCTATTGTTCTGCGTTGAGAGACTGGTCCATTTGACTTGTGACATTATGCAACGCATATTTTTGTTTTTCATCCTACTCCTCTCTTTTTTTTTAATCCGGTATAGGTTCAATTGATATTCTCAGATCCTCTTTAAGAGTTCAGCCCTTTGTATGTGATGCCAGTGGGGATGGCTTTTTCTTTAATTCTTTTCTCTTTCACCTGTCTTTTTACTCTGATTTTGCTTATTTGATACCAATACCGTGTTTGATTCACTCGCGATCTTTGTACAATGTCTGGCTTATATATCGTCACTCTTTTGGCTTGGTTTTCTTTTTTTTTAACTTCCTATGTTGTCTTAGTGGTTTATCTGTCTGCACAACATTGAACAAGTTCTATTTGATTTGATCATTCATACCCCGTTATTTTTTGATCCTCTGGCACCTTTGCTACTGGCTTTTCACCAGTAGTGTATGTAGATACCTTATTAATTGGACATAATAATATCTTTGCTTAGACTGATCCTCTTATTCTCATCCTGTCGTATTCTATCATCCATCCATATAATAGTAAATACCATGTTATCGAGAGTAACAGCCGCCAGCTCCAAACAGTACCACCAAGTCTTTAACTTAATAATAGACAAGGATGGATAGATCACCTCAATAATCTCCACTCAAGAAACTCCACCCGCAAGCCCAGTAACCACATACGAACAACCACCATCAGTCACCGTCCCTCGCTCTTGTCACCTGCACCCTCTCAATATCCACATCCGTCCTATCTAGTAAAAACGGCCACGCCGGAAGAATATCCCGCGCAGGGTATCTCTCGAAACCCGACTCGAACCCCAACTCCGATCTCGATGCTGGTTCCGATTCAAGGGGTCTATACCCTGGCTGATAAACAGGGACACAGTTCGCAATTGAGCAGATACACAATGCTCCACCCTCGACGACACAGCACGAGTGATCGTACTCTTCTTATCTCCAGGAGGTGTTGGGTTCTGCTGGGGTGGAAGCGGTGGGAGCAGTGGTTAGGTGGTGTGTTGAGGTGGTGCGAGGCGTTTGTGGACTTGGATATTCTTTTGTCTACGGTATGAGGGGGATAATGTTATCTGGTCGGGAGCACAGAGATGGTAGGAGACGGGTTATTTGTGCGGAAACGAGCCCCTCAGGGTCTTCTGAGTATGTTGCTCGGCCGATGCAGTAGGTGTCTGCGAAGCCGGTTTGGAGCGCAGATACGAAGAATCGGGACGCGGGTGGGGTGTCGGTGATTGCTTCCGTTAGTGCATGTTCCTTGGAAGAAGGGAATTATGAATTAGAGGAGTAATCGCTCTGGGGAATCATGCGCACCGAGCGGGGGAGAAGTCGGAGTCCTCGGAAGTTGCAGGCGTGGTTGCGTGTGGCGGCTTCGGTATATGAGGCTGCCAGAGCGGCAGAATCTAGATATTGATAGTTGAGCGGCACGCCAGTTGGTGAGATCCGGGGGATGAGGAGCCAGGTCCGGATTGTCTAGGTATCGCACGCGAGTCGGACGATGGATGGTGGATCCCTTGCCGATGGTGATTCGGAGGAGAGTGCCATTGTCGGTGAATTCCAGAGCGTCCACGACTCCGTCGGCGTCTTCGTACTCGGTCCTGGGCGCGCGGGCGAGTCCTAGACATTTACTTCTCTGACCGAGGACGTGCTCGGCCGGAGAGGTAAGATTGTTGTCCTCGTAGGCGCCTTGTAGTCCGTAGATTTGGATGACTCGGCCAGCGCCACGGTGACGAGGTGGCCCTGCGAGGAGACAGCGATGCGATGTGTTAAGTGTCGTCGGTTGACGGTCATGAAGCCTGCAGTCCTCTGCTCTATCAGCGCACGGCAGACAGAGGTCCAGGGTGGATAGCCCGAGGAGACGAGAGGGAACTCGAATTTGCGCGGTGGATGATCCGTGTATCCCGCTGGGGGCTTATTGTTTCTGTATACGAAGACTTGGGAGCCCTTCGGGGCGACATGTGCATGGCTGTCATGCGAGGATTTACCGTGGTTAGGTGTGCACGTCTCTGGTAAGAACCGCCTGGCTGGTGATTTTGTGGACGTGGTGACGAGACACGAGCCGGTTTAGGCGGGCAGCTTGCATGAAGTAGGTACCCCATCTGCTAAGGGTCAGAAAGTCAGATGTGGGTGGTGATGAGGCCGGAACCCATCGGAAAGCTTTTCGGAACATGTAGGAGGGAGTCTAGGATGTACCACGCCAGGAGTGACAGGATTGTTGTGCAGCTAGATAGGTCTTCGCGTCTGTTCTGAGGAGGACGAATGAGCTCGATAGGAAGAGTCGCAGCCATTGGGTAGAGAGATCGTGGCTAAGTAAAGGAGACTCAGAGAACAGTCATGTATTCATAGCCGCAAGTAATTGGAGGGGACAAGAGAACTGAGAGATGTGAGAACAAATTCAACTCATTGTTTCTTTCCAAGAGGAGACTCGAATTATATATACAGCCAAGATGAGGGATTATATTCCTTGAAATGAATTGATCTACATCAGGAGTATGCATGTGAGGGTGGAAAAATGCATCCCCCTTGGTGCATGCAGCACCAGGTTTTTGCAGCAAGCCTTGCATTGTCTGGTGGAATCCAGTAACGGACCTTATTTGATCGAAGGACCTTTGCTGCGAGCAATGGTACAACAAGCCATCCGGAACTTTGTCAGGGTCTTTAACCAGTGGTTGTCCCCAAGAGCTCCAAGCCCAAGAACTTACTGCCTGGGATCCCAATCGCTTGTTTGGTGGCGATTAATTGATAGATACTCCGTAGACATCGGCTCATCTAACAACGAAAGTATATCATTCCGGTGCAACTGTATATGCTGTGACCCCACAAAAGATGAGTCGAGGACTGCCACGTTCAGCAATATACAGGAGTCCGATGGCGGACCACAAAGATAACTTGTTTTCTTACTCTGTCAGAAATAGCTACAGAGGAAGGCGTAGTGATTGGACAGAAAGTGAGGATGGGAGTGGCTTGCAATCAAAAGTCCATTCTGCACGTTTGTCTGTTCCATGCAAGGTCAAATGGTGTTTATATCCTCAAATTAGGTAGTGCTTACCCATTATGCGGATGTTTCGAAGGACATTCCAATAACAGCACAGCGTTCCGATACATACTCCGAGGGAGAAAGAGCAAGAAACCCATCAATTCAGCCCCGGATGTTTTCTTTTGCCTAGCGGTAAAGAAGACTTGACAGCTCATAAGAGATTCAGGGGTCCTCATGAGGCCCCTTGCATTGACAGAAAATTATCCGGCATCGCTCAAATGATAATGTTTTTCTCGCGTTTGTACAGATCTTTTAGGAGTTTCAGCTGGTTCACGCCCATGGTCTGGCGAGGAACACTGTTTGGTAAATCGACAATGGCCCTCCTCATCAAGGCCAACCCAATATGCCCGAAGAAACCCACAATCCTTTCGGCAGAGGATTTGAGCATTGAAGAGAGGAGGATGACATGAGTCTCTTGGATCTCAGCGGGAGGGATCGTCAAGATCTTGTGCATGGTATACCAGAACAGGTGGTTTGGGAACGGATTCTGGCGAGGTGTTTTCCCGAAATTGCGCAGAGTCAACGCAGCAAAACCGGCGCCAAGGGCGGTCATCCGGTCTGCATGGGCCTGCTCACTGATATAAGGACCATCTGGTGCTTCTCGCCACCAGCCCAGAGCACGCCTGCCACCTTCGGTTTTCTCGCTGCCGTAGAATCCCCAGAGGGCCGGGCAAATGACGCGGTATTTTGCCCACAGTATGTCAACCATCGGGCAGCCTTTATAGATGAATGCATCCGAAGAGAAGATTTGGGCTGCCACGATGCCAACCGGCTCGGCGTGGCCATGGTTGATTGAGGCTTCTGTCAGGAGGCAAGAGATCAAACTTTTGGAGAAGACATTCAGGGCATAGATAAGGAGGGCCGGCACTTTGTTATCGTCGGATTTGACAATGTGGTCTGGAGGGAATGCCAGAAATTGGCGGATGTCCACGGACGGTTCCGCGATGGAAGCAGCCTTTTCGAGGGTCGCTCGGATTTCTTGAAGCTATAAATCGGAGGTTAATAGACATTCGCCCCAACCAAACGGGGTCTATTGGTATGTCTTACCTGCTGTTTATTGGTTCCCTTTCCTTCTCGCAGCTGACCGACGCATTTTCTGATCGATCGCCGCATTTCTCCCATGTTCTGCTTGACTGCGGCGTTGTTCTTGCTTTCATCCCTCAAGTATTGGCGGAATTTCTTGAGATGCTGGTGCAATTCCACATAACGATTCTGCACGCTAATCTCTTCAGCTGTCAGTCGGGCACCGCCAACCTGCTTCCGTTTCTCGGCTTGTGCCTGCTGCTCAGCTTCGGTTTTAAGACGCGCGGCCTCTTCCTCGGCCTTCTTCTCCGCTTGGTGACGTCGGTTCTCTTCCTCCAGTCGCTCTTTTTCCTTGCGCTCCTTTTCCTTTTGTTCCTCCTGACGCTTTTTCTCAGCCTCTGCTTCCGCCTTCTTATTAGCTTCCTCGGCGGCTTTGCGTTCCGCTTCGCGCCGGGCAGCTTCCTCCTGTTCCTGGCGTAGTTTTTCTGCCTTTTCACGCTCCTTACGCTCTGCCTCTTTACGTGCCTCTTCCTCTTTTCGACGAACTTCCTCCTCTACCGCTCGCTGGTGTGACCGCAGCGTCTCTTCGGCTTCCTCCAATACCTGGACATGACGTGCAGCAACTCTATCGAGGGCCGCATTGTGCTCCGCTTCAAGCTCACTATCGATTCGATCCAGACTCTCGTAGAAAGACCGACGCTCGTAGGCTTTGGCCTTCTTCAGCTCCGTATTGTGCACCCGGAGCTGTTCTAGATCCCGGGTTAGGTCTAGCATGAGCTGTTTGGACGGACTGTCCAGCTGCGAAGGGTAGCTTAAGCGTCCCATCTTGTACTAGAAGCACAGGGGTCAAGAAAGTCTATAAGGCTCGTTGAAATTCAGCAACAGGCGGCGAGGGGTGTCATATGAAGAACATTAAGGTTCTGGTAGAAAGGGTCTATCACAATGACCGAATTGTGGTCAAAATCAGAGATTGGTGGGGAAGTCTAGAGCAATATGTACCTTCAGTATCCCGTAATTCTGTCCACTATCTCTCTGAGCGACAAATACTCCACACCAAGAACCATGCAATCGAGAGCTTAATCAACGATACGGCAGAAGTCGAGTCGTCAAGTCCGTTTTCCAATCTGAATCCGTCAAGGTAGTAGTCGAGTAGGTTCTAGTCACTTAGGCAAGCTGAATTTTGCAGTATAGAGTGAAGGGGGTAGTGATCAAGTCTGGGTAGCTGTTCTGAAAAGAAAGTGTGTTATAGTCCCAGAGCAGCGCTAAGAATAATTTGGGTATGTCTGGCCGTATCGCGGTGCGGCGTCTTCTTCTTAGACGAGACGGGACCTCGAGGACAAATGACGTTATACTTGTGACGCAAGAAATGAGTGAACACATGAAACCGTCCGAATGAAGGGCCACCCGAGGAATTGAGGGGGAAGCACCTGTCCGTAGAGATCAGAGAGACGCGGTCTTTTGTTAGCTCGGGATGTTTGGGTGATGTGCTGAGTCAGCCGGTTTAATGCCATTTCAGTCAGGCCCAACAAACCCTGCAAACGACCCGAATAGGCTTTAACTACCTTACCAGCCTTAGAGCCTTAATTAGGGCAAGAAGAGGTACGGGCCTTGCACATCGTCGGCCACCCGTTCCTCGGTCGGCACAACGGGAACGGGGCCTTTTTCATCATGATGAACATCATGAGCTCTTTTGTGAGCAGCAACTGCAGACTTAACTGTTTCCCCTACTGTCGATGATCGCTTTTCTCGGATTACCTCCCTAACCGATATCTTCAACCACCTTCAAGAATACTAGAAGGTAGTTAATATGGCTCTCACACACCAAAAAACCTCCACTCCACCATTGATACAAGAGTGGTCTTGTCAGAGTCCCGCCAATAGCTTCAGTGGGTCTCCGAGGCCCTCCAAACCGTTTTCCATTGGTCCAGTTGCATCACCAGGGAGGGGACCAGTCCCGTGATACGCCACTTCTGTAACGTACTGGCCGTATCTTACGCCCCATTACTGTCCCATCGCCACGACGGACGTTTGGAACTTGTTAGAGAACCATTTGATGACGGCGATAGGTGATGGCATGGGTAGGCAAATCGTATGGATTTTTTCGATCTACTATGGAAGAAACGGTGGATTATATTTATTCATCCAGGTTTTGCTTTTTCTCTATATTTATATATAATATGTAGGTATGCTTCAATCTTTCTCGATCAGATGAAAAGACCGGATGTTAATGACAGGCTAAGAACCAAGCACCAAGCTCAGACATGCCCGAACCAGACTCAGTTGGCGTCCAAGTTTGGTAACTTTGGCTTTGGGGAATCTAGTCCTCCCCACCGAAACTGGTCCTCAAGCTTCCCTGCGAATGAGTCTTGTCATAGTCATTCACCTGGATTTAACATCAATGGTGAAAATACAGACCACAAGAATCAACCATGGTTTTCTTTTGACATGAACCATGAGTGTCCATCCTGGGGGCTTTTGAATTATTTCTGTTACTTGAAGTCCTTCCTATAGGATCTCACCTATACAGGCGCACGAGAAGAAGGTGTCGGTATATTATAGTATTATCGATGGTACTTTGTATGGTATTTTGATTAACTTGGGCTTGTGAGGGGGGGAAAAGACTATTATGCCACGATTCTTTGTTTCTTAGTATTCTTCGTATCAGTAGAGTATTATTTGATTTTTTTCTTTTATTTCTATTATAATAATTATTATTATTATTATAATTATTATTCCCTGACTGGCAAACTCAACCTCCTCTTCTTCTTCTTCTTCTTCTTCTCTCTCTTCCCCTCGCCTATCTCTCTTCTTTCCTCCTCTTCATCTTCATTCCTCTCTCTCCTTTGAGTTTTCCCTCTTTCTCGCCCCAATCATTCCTTGATCGATTAGTCGCCTCAGTTTCGGCTTGTGTCATTCTCTCATCGTGATCAGACTCCTACCGGCTACTGCCTCTGATTTAGTGCAGGAAGGAAAGACGAAAAACGAAAAAAAATAGAAAACCAGAAATCTAAAAAAATCCACGGCATCGTCGTTGACTACCAAAGCACGTCGCTATTCAGAAACCCCTTTGGGAATGAACTCGTGGTCCTTCGACTTGATAACTTCGTTTTCATCGACTGGAGTTGCGGTGCCCCCTTTCGAATCCCACCACTGAACCGGAAATCCTCGTTGAACGGCAACGGTTCCATCACAACCCGAACCAAGAAGGAGGTAGGCAACAAGAACAAAAAGAAAGATAGTGAGAAATCCACCTCTATGCCCACTGAGGAAAGAAATTTCCCCTGAACTAGATTGGATTGAAACGAGCACACTAGTCGATGGCAGTTGGGGCATCCGCTTACTCGGTTCCCCTCTCTGCGTTCTCCCAAACCCCCCCATCCCTCCAGCTTCATCCTCTCTTTACTACGCTCTCCTGCAATCTAGCTTCGGCTTGATTCTCCTTCAGTCCTTCCCGACTACCCCCCGACCACAGTTTTCCACCTTCTCTGTCTGCCTCTTTCTCTTTTTTCTTTTCCCCGGCACAGTCCTTCTGCCCCGTCACCGCCTCCTTGCTACAAAAAGGAATTTGCCGCTCCGTGTGAGAAAGGGGGGGGAAAGAAAGGGAAATTTCAACCAAGACGTCATTCATCGAACATTCCACAGTGGACGATCATTCACAGGTAAGGCCCTGTCTATAGTCTTCCAACTGGTCTCCCTCGTGGATATGGACCACCGCTTTCTTTTTCTCCATTGTATCCTCCCCGTCGTTCCTTCCGGCCAGCTAGCCTTTGCTGTTGATGTCACTCTCACTCATATGGGGCAGTCGTAGCTTCCGCCATCTGCCTGCCATGTCTCCCTCCCCTTTCAGCTTTCTTTTCCCTCCCCAAAATGTTTTCCTGTCTTATCATCTGCCCCTAACCACCCTCTCCTCGCAAAACCTACTAATCTCTTGCCTGTCTTATCTACTAGGATACTATAAACTTCATCGGTCGTTGTCTCTAACTCGCACCGGTCGGCCTGCAACATAAAAGGCCCATCCGCCACTCTCTTAGCATCCACAGGCCATCCCCTTACAGAGATCCGAACCCCGTGTGACGATACTTCGTTCTCTTCTTGACCTGGAAGATGGATCAGCAGGACCAATCGGGCGTTCCTGGCCCCTCTGGCCGCAAGCTCCATATTGCTCATCGGAGGAGTCCATCGGAGCTTACCCCCCTCATGAGTACGTATACATTCAGTGTGCCATCTTGCTTCAACCAACTGACCACCCCTGGCTATTAGTGGAGCAACTCGCCATCCAGCAACAAATCGAGCTGCTTCAGCAGCAGCAACAACAGATCGCGGCAACACACCAACAGTATGTGAGCATGGGACTGTTACAACCACAGCAGCTGGGGCAGGTTTCGCAATTCTCTCCTTCACTGCAGGGCGGTGCGTCCGTCGGTGGCGTGTCCCCTCAGATTAATGCCTTCCAATTTCCCCAGCTTGCCCAGCAACAACTTGGTGTGCCAGTGAACACTTCAAGTCAACATTCGCACAGGCGTAACCAGTCAGCCCTCCCGGGCATTGGTATGGGGCCTCCTCCAGCTCCCTCCTCGGGGGCTTCTGGGTACTCCGACTATAATCAGCAACAACAAAGTAACCAGCCAAAGAACGACAATGGAAGTCATGGCCGTAATCGGGGGCCCCCGGGTGGCGGCCACCAACGCCGCCACTCGCTTGCGCTGCCGGAGGCTAAGAAAGCAGCAGAACTAGCTCAGCAGAAGAGGACCGCATCCGGTTTTCAGTTCCCTGGCCCGAATGCGGGTGGTGAATCCTCTGAAACTGCAGCCAGTTCAGAAGACAAGTCAACTCCGCTTACCACGCAATCGCCCCAGGGCTTAGGGTTCCAGCGGGCTGGCAACATTCGTGCTGGTGGTCATGGGCGGAGCCAATCCATGGCAGTTGGCGGCAATCGAGGAAGTCTGTCTGGCCGCGGCGCTGGTGGCTTCCAATTCCCCTCCAACGATGGTCCAGGTGGCTCGGAGAACCAGCGACGTGGGAGTCAGCCCGGTCATGCCCGGTCTTCGTCAAGAAACTTCGACGGCAACTGGCGTCAACCGAACAACCAGGGCCAGAATCAGGATCAACAGAAGGGCTTTGGACAGCAGGGCAGTGGATTCCAGCCCGGCCACCGCTCCCGTGCCTCCATGAACCAGTCGATCGGCTCGATCGGCTCGTTCCAGTATCCAAACCAACCGCAGCTCATCCAACTTCCGCAGGGTCAAGTTGTCATGGCACCGCCGCAGATGTTTGGCGGCAACCAACAGCTGAACCCGCTGCAGTTGGCTCAGCTGCAGGCTCTGCAGCAAAATGGGCAGCTTAACGGCCAAGGACTTGGCCTCCAGGCCAGTCAGCATGCTCCTCCACAAGTCTCTACCCAACAGCAACAGCAGCAGCAGCAGCAGCAGCGGAAGACGCTTTTCACTCCCTATCTGCCCCAGGCAAACCTTCCTGCCCTCTTGAGTAACGGTCAGCTGGTGGCCGGTATCCTGCGAGTCAACAAGAAAAACCGTTCCGATGCATACGTGACGACACCGGACCTAGATGCGGATATCTTTATCTGTGGAAGTAAAGACCGTAATCGCGCACTCGAGGGTGACTACGTGGCTGTGGAGCTGTTGGATGTCGATGAGGTATGGTCTCAGAAAAAGGAAAAAGAAGAAAAGAAGAAGCGCAAGGACATTACCGACGCTCGATCTGGTAGCAACGCCGGAACCGACAAGCTTTCCCGGTCAGACTCGGGGCCCAGTGGTGAACGCCAGGAAGTTGGGCCGGACGGCAGTATCCGCCGACGTGGAAGTCTTCGTCAGCGACCGACACAGAAGAAGAATGACGATGTCGAGGTAGAAGGCCAAAGCCTTCTCCTGGTCGAGGAGGACGAGATCAGCGATGAGCAAAAGCCCCTGTACGCAGGCCACATAGTGGCTGTGATCGAACGGATTGCCGGGCAAATGTTCTCGGGAACTCTTGGACTCCTCCGCCCCAGTAGCCAGGCGACGAAGGAAAAGCAGGAGGCGGAACGGCTCGCCAGAGATGGCGCCCACGGCCGCCCACAGCATGAACGTCAGCAGGAGAAACCGAAGATTGTCTGGTTCAAGCCCACTGATAAGCGTGTCCCCTTGATCGCCATCCCAACCGAACAGGCCCCACGTGATTTTGTTGAGAAGCACCAGGAGTATGCTAACCGCATCTTCGTTGCTTGCATCAAGCGGTGGCCCATCACTTCCCTGCATCCATTCGGAACCTTGGTAGAACAACTGGGTGAAATGGGCGATCTGAAGGTGGAAACCGAGGCCCTCCTTCGCGACAATAACTTTGGCTCCGATGAATTCTCTGATGCTGTTCTCAAGAGTATTGGCTGGGAAGATTGGTCCGTCTCGAGCCAAGGCGACGCTCTTCTTTCCTCCCGCCGTGATTTCCGTGATGAAGTTACCTTCACTGTGCATCCAAAGGGAACCAAGGAGTTAGAAAATGCTTACCATTTCAAGCCTCTCGCTGACGGCAAGGTCGAAATCGGAGTACACGTGGCAGATATTGCGCACTTCGTGAAGGGTAACACTCTGGTGGATCGGGAGGCCAAAAAAAGGGGTACAGCTGTCCATCTTGTTGATCGGCTCGTCAATTTGCTGCCTCCGCGGATTGCTACTGAGCTCTGCTCTCTACTACCAGGGGAGGATCGTCTAACCGTCAGCGTTGTATTCAAGGCTAACCCGGAGACCGGTGCCGTTGACGAAGATGTCTGGATCGGTAAGGGTATCGTTAAGAGCTCTGGCCGACTGAGCTACGAAGATGTTGATTCAGTGATTCGGGGCACGTCGCATGTGGCTACGTCTGAAATTAAGGCTGACACTATCCGGGCACTACACGTGAGTCAACCCGTTCAATTTAACATCCTATCTTTAGTGCTTACTTGGGCTTTAGGCTATATCCTCGAAATTCCGGGAGGCAAGATTTGGAAATCGGACCTCGCGGATACCGCCTCTTCGTCTACTGTATCAAATGGATGATGAAAATGTACCGGTTCAAAGCAACATCTTCGATGCTTCTCCTGTGCAGGATTTGGTGGAAGAGCTGAGCCACAAGGCCAACTTCTTTGTTGCTCGCAAGCTAGTGACCGCACTACCGGATAAGGCTTTTCTGCGTCGTCAGCCGTCTCCTAATACTCGCCGTCTTCAAACCCTCGTCGAACGGATGAATCGGCTTGGCTTTGGTTTGGATCCGGCGAGCAGCGGAACTCTGCAGAGCAGTCTCTGCAATGTCCAAGACGATAACCTGCGCCAGGTAAGACATCCTTCTTCCTTTGCCCTTGACCATATCCGGTATGGTTCGGCTAACAACGCGTAGGGAATGGAAACCCTCCTTGTCAAAGCGATGCAGCGTGCGAAATACTACGTCGCCGGCAACGTCCCAGATGAGCTACGCCAACACTACACTCTCAATCTTCCCGTGTATACCCACTTCACCAACCCCTCCCGCCGTTATGCCGATATCCTCGTTCACCGCCAGCTAGAGGCTGCCTTGTCTGATGGTTCTATTGAATTCTCGGATGATGTGGAATCGCTGAACAAGACCGCAGACCTGTGCAACAACAAGAAAGATTCAGCTCACAACGCCCAGGAGCAAAGCGTCCATATCGAAGCGTGCCGGAATATGGACAAAAAGAGGCAGGAAGTTGGTGGTGACCTGATCAGTGAAGGAATCGTTCTCTGTGTCTACGAATCCGCCTTCGACGTTCTTATCCCGGAATACGGCTTCGAAAAACGTGTCCATTGTGATCAGCTTCCCCTCAAGAAGGCTGAGTTCCGCAAAGACACGCGGGTTCTGGAACTTTACTGGGAAAAGGGTGTCCCCTCCTCGGCGTATATCCCCGAGGACGAACGGCCCAAGCCTACAAACTCCCGTGCCGCCCAGGCTGCCGCCGCTGCGCGTGAAGCAGAGGCTGCCCGGGAGCGTGCCCGCGAGAGAGAGGAGGCTATTCGGAAGCAGACCGAAACTGGAACTATGTCTGCCGATGACGTGGACGCTCTTTTCGACGATGATGACGATGTCTCCGAGGTGACTGAGATGGCAGCCGGTGTGTCGTTGAATTCCTCTGCCGACCGTTCGACTCAGAGCATGCCACCTTCGCCAACACGCAATGGTTACCTCCAACAAGCGCCTCATCGCACGCGGTCTGACCCCAAGATTGCATCAACCACCGGCGATGCTCCTGAAGCCAAGTTGACGAACAAGGAGAAGTACCTACGGCTGTTCAAGCTCAGGGAAGAAGACGGAGAACATATCCAGGACGTCACCGAGATGACACGCGTTCCTATTATCCTCAAGACCGATTTAAGCAAGAGTCCCCCGTAAGTATTACAAGCAATGGTTTATCTGTCTCCTTCGACTAACCCTCAATTCCAGATGTCTCACCATTCGTTCCGTGAACCCCTACGCTTTGTAGAGGAGCAGCGATTTCCACTTGCCGCATTTGGAATGAGTACATGTTGACGTATCGATTTTTGGCCCAGTTGGCAAATGGTTCGGAGGAGTCGTATAATTGCTATACATTTGCTGCCCTGCAGTGCAACCATATTTATTATCGCTGATCCCCTATCAGCTCTTGCATGTGTTGTTGCAGGTCCTTCTCCTTTATCCTGGCAATATTTATTTAATCAGTCTAGCGTGTTTTATTGTTCCGTTTTCTTTTTTGTCTTTTCCTATATTGACGGGTCTTCCGCTTTTTTTACGTGGAACCAGGTTATCTTAGGTTGTTTTAAATATCAAGTCTCACAGCGTGATATTAATCTGGACAGCAAAAAGCCTCCTGACGAGCCGTTTGATGTATTGCCGATCCCTTATGAAAAGCAAGGGCCCAAAAATGTTCCAAGGACAACGCCGAGGAAACGGGTGATGCGCAGAGGCAACTTGACAGGAAACGATGGTCGTGAGGACACACCTGGGGAAAATTTGTTTATCCATTTTAGATAGTAGCATATTTATTATTAACAGGCAGTTTCGGACAAGGTGCTTTCTGCTTTCCTTTAGCAAGTGCAGCTCGGCCAGTGAGAACTTAAAAGTCGAATGTCGAAGTGTGAGGGCTTCGTAATTAAGACTATCAACAACCACCAAAAATTCCAAGTGTCCTTGCCTGTGTAGTGAGGACATCTATCGATGTACAGTGAGTGGGTGAGTTAAGAGACAAAAACTCCTGTAAACATGCTATCAAAAACATTCCCCAGGCACCTAGTGAAATGCTCCCAACAGCCCTTCCAGAGGATGTATGAGGACGTGCCCATGCCAACCTCATCACGTTTCATTTTAACGCCAAATAGGAGAAAGAGAGGTTAACAGCCCTAAAATTCACCTCTATGTATCATAAAAGATATAATGTAAAAAGGGGCTGAAGTACAGAAATGAATGAGAATGGGAGTATGAATATGAATGCAAGGGTTGGTGATGAGTACTCTGTGGGCCTTCATGGGTTATAATCTCCGAATGCCGATACGAGGCTTTGCCTTCATCGTAGTCAAGCCAGATACTTTCCTAGATCCGGGGACGGACTTGGATGGTCTAGCGCTAGAATGCGGTGCACTCGAGGATGACGACGGTGCGAAGATGGTTGAGGGGAAGTTGGATTGGGGTTTGCGGGCTCCTAGGCCCATCAACTCTTTTGTTCCGCATCGAGATTCATGGTTTTCTTTGCCGTCTCCACTGAGTTGATGATCTGGACCCATAGATTCCGGGGCATCTTCGAAGATCTTGACCTCTTCGCGTATGCGGCCAGAGGAGTTGACGCCCTTGTTGAGAACGGATAGTTTGGGTGATTTCCTTTGTGGCGAGCCATCGCGTTCTGGAGTATCGCTGGAGTAGTTCGCGGCGATGTTCTTCACTGAAGCTGTCGTTGGGCCTCCATCGGTGTCCTCTGCTTCCGTTGCATATGGGCCGATGTCAACGGGTGCCGTTAGCACGGAGAGTGGACGTTTCCCAAGGCCGTTTTTCCGCGGACTCGGCGGGGCGAATTTCACTGGTGACGGCGACAGTGATGGGTCATTCTCTTTGCTGGCGTTAGATGGATCCTCGGGCTCGTCATCGGCGAAGATAGGGCCAGAGTCGATGTCATCATCTGGTGGTTGTTGGTAGTCCCGCTGGTTATCGGTAGCGTGGTGGTCTCGTTGGTGGGGCGACGGCTGTGTTGTTGCGGTGGTGGCTGGGTCGCGCCGACTGCTTTTCTTCATCGTCAATGACTGCTGTACCTTGACGTTTTTCCGGGATCGTAATGAGCGAACGTCTTCCTGGTCTGGTATACTTGTTCCTGCATCCTCTCCTCTCGTTTTTGCCTCGGCCACTGCGTGTTTCAATGCCGGCGGAACAGGAGCATGGATAGACGTCATCAGTTTCGCTTGACGCGCAAATGCGTCGTAGTTTTCCTGCAGAAGAGAACCAGCTGCGGAATTCAAAGCGGAGTTGGGATTTGGGTAAATGAGGAGACACGATATTGTCTGCATAGTGAAGTTTGATTTTGGTCAGATCCATCCATGTCCAAGCTATCAATACGTTCACGGCAAGGATACAGTTGCCACTCACGATCAAGACATCCTTCAACGTCAAGGTCTGCTTCCAGTCCCGTTTCAAGGTATCCACACAAACCGTCCCGGTTGACTCCTCCACATTTGGATGCCATATGCGAGTTTTAAACGTTGCCTTCGGCGGACTCTTGGGATAGTCCTCTGGCATCTTCAGATACAGTCGCCACAGGCCCTGTGCGTATGGCGTGCCCTGTGGTCCAGCCAACAGAGCCGTAAGCTGAGTCAAGTCATCGGCTGAATCGTCGGAAGGGAGAAGGTAGTTTGGAGGGAGTTCCTCGTGTAGAGCAGCATGTTCTGCCGCGAGGCGTCGTAGTCCGGATCGCTAGATAGTCCGAGATAGAATTGGTTAGTGGAGTCCTTTCTCCAAACTGAGTAGATCTTGCGAGGTCGTGTAACTGGAGCAATGACTTACCGCCATCCTGCGCCTGAATCTCGTCGGGATGTTAGGTAGCTAGTGAGTACCTAGTTAACGGTATGGTATGATCCGGCCGTGGATTCCAATCCAATCCAATCAACTCGGGAGCCGTATCTCTGACCCTGGGAGATCCCAGTAAACAAAGCTGATGTACGGAGTAAGGACTCAATCAATGCCAAATGTAGAAAGAGTCACACTGCTGCTGATCGCTAGCTTTGTCTAAATTGGTTGCCCCGACATCTGGGATCTTTCCCGCTCTTTGTTTTGATGATGTGTAGCTGATGGCACTAGGCCCGAATCGGATCCAAACAAAGAGTGTGCGCTGTCATGTGATGGATACGCGTCCGGACGCGTTTTAGGAAATGTAATTAATTGGACCTACCTGATCAGTACTAGACGCGTTCTCAATCTACAGATAAATCCTCAATCGATCGAGATAATTAAAGATAAAGGGCCGAAATACGCCTACTGTGGCCCCATATCGCAAATCATGCCCTACCCCAGAGCGCTTCCGTACAAGGCTACAACCGCGGGTGTGCAACATGGATGCTTAAAACTGTGGAGTCCTAGGGAAGGATCATATGTGCCATGACTTCATTAGGATATTATTATTAATTTACTAAAGAATAAATATAGAGTTCTTATGTGCGCCGCAATTATGCATCTTTTGTAACAGGCGGTGACTTGATCGAAAAGAAACCAAACCGCTGCCCTTTCCAGCAACGATACAGATTCCATGCGAAGAGAACGTAGAGTATATTGATATTACTTGTCTTCATCTCTCCTCTTTTGAGGTAGGCAGGATCGAAACCCATTAACAGTATCTGCTCCTTCCCACGAATATCGGATTATAGATTTGTTATCGAAAGCAGCGTCATTCAAGGCCGAAGGACGTCACGTTACAGCAAAATGGCGATGGCAGCACCAGCCACTAGGCCCATTGGGCCGGCGGTAGCCAAGGGAACACCGGCGTTCTCGGCAGAGCTGCCGGTGGCAGAGGCCTTCGAGGAAGACGCTGAGTCAGAGGCATCATTGGTAGAGGAAGGCTTGTGGTGGCTGGTCTTGGTCTTGGTGGAAGTCTCAGAGGCGCTGGCCGAGGTGCTCTTCACGGCGCTGCTCGACTTAGTAGGAGCGGCGGAGCTGGATCCGGGCTCAGAGCCGCTGGTGTGAATCACGGGCTGAGAGGTAGTGCCAGTGCCAGCAGTCTCGCTGTCAGTGCCAGTCGGGGCACTAGAGGCAGTAGTAGTAACCTCAGTGCCGACTTCCTGGGGTCGAGTTAGCGTGGTCATGATTTAATTTGGGGGTTCACTGTATACATACCACAGCCTGGGTGGACGATTGAGCTGCTGCGAGAGCCGAAAAGGCAATGAGGAAGAGAGAGGCACGCATCTTGACGTTGTTAGGGTTATCTGTTGATCACAAGTAGGCGACGGATGAAGGACTGGCTGCTGATCAGGCGATCGAACAACGATGGAAGGCTCTTCAGAAGTGACGAGAGAGTGAAATGAAGATAGAAGTCAAGATGGCGAAACGACAGTCTGGGGGGGGTTCGTGTCAGCTTATATCACTAAAAGAGAGAAAGGGGACAGAGGGTGACAGGTGCAGGGAGTACTTAAATATACCTCATTATTGGATCTTGAGCCAGCCCCAGTGATCCTACGACCCTGGGTATTATTTTTAATATTTTAGTATTTTTAGTACGATAATGTATGTACTATCAGCCCTGTGTCTTGGTCGAGTCGACTGTGTGATGTACAGTCCAAGGCACATACTCTCCCTCCTAGTGGCAATTGCAGCGGCAGGATCGAGTAAAGGGACACACACCCACCTCCATCTTGATGGCGGGACAGTGAGTCTAGGGCGTTCCAGGATGTACTAGTCTAAGCCCTGTTGGAAACAATGCTCATAAAAATAAGAAATCATGCCTGTCGAAGGGGGAGGTTTGCGTATGCTTCGTACTATTTTTGGTCCAGCCCAGCTCAGTCAGCCGGTAGCTCCACTATTATTGGCCAGTACGCTGCCATATATGCTCGATCTGCAATGGGGCATGAGTGGTTTTTTTTTATTTTTATTTTTATTTTTATTTTTTATTTTTCATCATCTTTTTTAGCCTCTCCTTACGAAAACTCGAAAAGTCTGTCATCCTCAGTACACCATTGTCCTGTTCTTCCTGTTGGCTTCGTCAACACCTTTTTTTTTATGTCTCACTAAAAACATCCAAAAATAATACCCTGAGTATCCATGACTAACATTATCATGGGATTCTATTTTAACTCTTTCCGTATTGGTAGATACGGGAGGTCAGAGATGTCCTTGGACTCTGATATGCTCCAGTTACGGAGTATAGCAGGTATTTTAATATCCAACACAACGCACCACAGATGCCCCATTGTGATGCGCATGGGCCAAAAGTAGACAGGAAGATTCAAGGCCGAATCAGAATCCTCCTTTAGAGGAGGCCGGTACTCCCTAGCAGTCAGTTGCCCATACATCGTTTGCCCCGAACGTTTAGTCCATTGCTTAGAGGCCTCCTAGGCAGGGGAATCACGCCACCGCCACAGGTAAGTCAAAGCAGACTTGGTTGGCTGTTCCATAGTAAATACAGGGTTCATAATGGTGAGATATTGTGCTCTGTAAAGTACATACACATTCCATATGCGCGCGGCTTGAGCCTCGTTCTGTCCACGTATTGCTCCTGACTTACGTACCCAATCGGTAGTTATGGGGAGCGTAGGATTAGGTAAATTCCTGCCACCATAGTTACCTCCTCGTCAAGGTAGTACCAATAAGTTAGCTGTGCTTGGGGGTGTCAGAGGACATCCTCTGGTGCTGTACCTATATATGGAGAGTTTAGTTTCTTTGCGTGTCGATTAGGTCTGGCCAGGTATATTCATTACTCTGTTTTGCTACCATTAATCTTATTGGTCAGTTTAATTTCTGAATCTTCTGAACTAACTATTGCGTCGGTATTTATAATTGGACTTAATAATTAATTCCAGTAGGACGGGATCACCCGACAACCCAACCACCATACCATCCGAGTGTCTCAGAGTACGTATGTCCATTCAATTTGACAGCCTCCCCGAGATTCCAAGACATTTAGCCCACGGTCCAGAAGAGTCTGCCGTAATGTACCATACAGGGGCTATAAACCTTAGAAAAATCAGGGGGAGAATCATCCAAAAAAGAAAGAAAATACAGGAAAAAAGTTTCAAGTAATTCCCACTCCCCTCCGACGCAAGGGAAATGAGTGATGAATGGATGAATGAACGAGTTGCATAAAAAGGACGACAACCCCCATTCATCCTCCATCAAGGAGGTTAATGGCCCTCCTTCTAGCCCCATTCTGCTCTGTAATCTACTTTCCACCAGGACTGGGTGGATCTGCGTCAATCTACGGGACAAAAATGCGATACTTGATGGCGTGGGGACAGGACAACACCACGACACGCTGGCATTGGTATGGACTAAGTTCGGAGTAGTATGTATGTAGCTGGATAGATTGATAGATGCTGTCAATAGTTCTACTTTTCCAGTCTGTTTTGTTCCAGTAATTGGATCTGCAGTATGAACAACATTCGTCGATGTGTTGACGAGGCTGTCCTTGGAATAGATGCCACATGTTTGGACATAACGTGTTTCATCAAATGATCTGTCCAACAGGTGATAGTTAAATCATTCACACAACAGTCAATATTGGCTTGCTATTTCCAGGCGACCTATCTTGTTCGATACATAAGAACGCATTAAGGAGAGGCTAAAAGTGGAAATAATATAGAAGTACTCAGTAGGATCAATTTAACTAAGTAATTAGGCCATGACTCAAATAGTCACTACTCCGTGTATATAGCCAAATTAGGGTTCTCCAAGGACTATCTACTTAATATCTCATAGGATCCCAGGGTGATTATAAATATAGACTGTGCAGACATATTAATATTCCATACAGTAAGCTCCAAAGTATACCTTAAACATTCAGTAATTAGTATACAACCTAGAAATTACCGTATTATATTCGTGACATATTACAGGGTATCTCTATCCGAAGCTCCAGTTAGATCCACATGGATGTTTTGGTAAAGCCACAGCTGTCAAGCACCTCGTGAAACTGTCAGGTCTTGTAGTTTTCTGTAAATATTTTTGAAGTTTCGCTCCCTACTCTATCCTTGTTTTCTACCATCTTATATAGGAAGTGACCATAATCTTACTGCAGTAAAAAAGTTGGTATACAATTCCTCTCAAACATTTTACAGACATTAAAATAGCAATTGACAAGCCTCCAACTCTCAACCAAGAGATTCTCGTACCAATCTCTATTCGCACGCAAATAGTCTCTGAAACCAGCAAGTTTCATATTTGGTATACACACAGATCTTCCTCAACTACACTGGACTCAAACAGTTTGCACAAACAAGTGCCTTCCTGTGCCACAGGTGACGAGAACATATAGTGAATAGGGTGATGGTGTATACTAGAATAGACGTGGTTGCAGAGCTTCACCGTGAAGTCAACCTAATCAAGAAATCCTTTGACTCCAGGCTGCCTGCCAAGATATGGTAGTCGTTTCTCCACGTGCCACCATCGTCCAAAAATGACAGTCCCGAACACCAGCACGCCATCAACACAGCAGCCAGCACCATGGCTACTATCGCGTATACGTGTCTGTGCTGTAGGTCAATATAAACGTTTCCTTTGTGGGACGGTTGGCGTTCTGATAGCACCTTGAAGAGTATTTCGGTAAAGCCATTATCGAGTATTGAGTTCTCTTTTCAGTTTTCTCATATCGGACCATCCTTCATTCTCCTATGTTCATGCCGATTTTCTCCTCCCGGATGTGAAAGGGTACTTCCTGGAATCGACGTCTTCACATGTTTCTTTTTTGCACTGCTTTGGCGCCAGAGCAGAACATAATGCTCGTGAGTCCAGATGATGTTGGTAGTCCGCGGCCGGCCATAGCTCTAGTAGAATCAGAGCGGTTCAAGCACCATGCCGTAGATATTAGGGGGAAGACATTGATAACTTAACATATTTCAGCGCTAATGGAGTGGAAAAGAGATTAAGGAAATATAATCCTAGTGAGAAAGTAGAGAGATACGCGAAAAGTGTTCAGATCAATATAGAGCTCTAATACTGAGAGAGGTAAGATACTTTCCACTCCAAGTATTTGCAGACATTGAGTAAACTCGATTTCGATTGGTATTAGTAAGAAACCCAGCACGCTGGTTTGACTACCATGTTAGCTTATGCTCGTTCGTGATTAGGAATCAAGTACATTGAATTATTAATGACTATCACAATATGTATCCATCCCTGCATTTATTCTGTATAAAATATCATCAGGAACCAGATCTTTTCTCCTGCACAATCCATTAGAGTACTTCCCAAACCAGACTGCCAGTCTGCATCACTTCTCGAGACCATCACAATGACAAATACCATATACCTGATCACCGGAGTCAATCGAGGCCTTGGACGAGGACTACTCGTAATATTCCTCTCTCGTCCCAACACCACCGTGATAGCCGGAGTCCGGGATCCCACTTCCCCAAGCTCTCAATCACTGCAGACCATGTCCAGCGGGACACCCTCCAAGCTGATTATGGTAAAAATCGACTCCGGGTCGCCTACGGATCCTGCAGTCGCTGTCCAGCACCTGCAAGTCCAAGAAATTGCCCATATCGACATTGCAATTGCAAACGTAGGCATCTCAGACCACTTTTCGCTGGCACATATAACTTTAATCCACTTGTTAAGAGAGCACGTAGATATAAACGGCTTCGGTCCCTTGTATCTATACCAAGCGATGTATCTGCTTCTCTGGAAGAGTGAGAAGCTAACTTTCGTTGGGATTGGAAGTCCTATGGCAAGTATCGGCGGCATGGAACAGAGACCGTACTCTGGTGTAACGTACGGACCAAGTAAGGCGATGTTGCACTGGATGGTGAGGAAGATCCATTTTAAGAATAAGGATTTTGTGAGCTTTGTGGCTGATCCTGGGTGAATGGGTATTCTAATTTTGTCTAGGGCTGAGATGTATTTGTTTGTTGTAGATGCTAATAAGGTGCTAGGTTCACTGCGACTGATATGGGAACCGCTCCTGCCCGTAAGGTTGGACTGGAGAAGCCGTTCCAGACGGTGGAGGCACTCTATACTCGCCGTTCCCACGGAACTCTCAGACAACGGCCCAACTTCCTCGGAGGATGAGATCTTGCCACACTGAAGCATTCATTGCATTGTGCCATAGCAATTTCAGATAGTGAATTATAGCTCGTTACCTGATTGCAGTTAGGGTGAACAGGATTAGAAGGCAGCTGAGAATTACAGCGCAGTGTTGAAAACTACTGGTTTTATTGTATAGTGCTAGAAGCGATTCTCACAGAGTCTTTGTCATTTATTAATGATTTCAGTCTCTTTATAGCGCTCTGTATTCTGATAGATATGCTACATTTGATTGTTTTTCCTGCATCCAAGTAACAGAAAGACGTATGGTCATTATTGTATATAGGAAAGATATCTTAATATCTTGTCTGTAGCCTAAGCTGGTAGGATTGCAGCCGCATAACTGGTGAGCCCATCTATAAGCATTTTACTGGATAATCAGTGATTACAGCGAGGAAGCGAGTAATGTGATATATAAAATATAGAAGAATTTAGCAGCACAGAATAGGAGAATCAGCAACTGAGTGTTAAATTGTTGTAGTATAATATTAGCATCGAAAACCCCTCGTGGATACTCCTTTGATGTCGATATTTTCTCCTGGTGGCAGAAAGCATTTAACTTTGCAAATACTTAGCTAGTTTAAAGTAGCACCTATGCTAACCGTTTAGCTGTTTATAAATTAGAATTCCGTAACTTTAGCCAACAACCATATATGACAACCCATTCCATTCAAGTACACTATACAATACCTCCCACACAGCGACAATACTCTACTTCTTGGGAATCTCCCCCTTCGCCCAATCCGCAAACTCCTTCCTCTTAGCCTAAAACCACTCGTCAGCACACCAACAGCCATGAAGCCCCTATACAAACGATTCACACTCACCCGCACATCCCAAAAACTATACCGCTCCTCCAGCATCCGGTAGGGATTCCTAACTCCACCTTCCCGTTCGATCTGACCGGCCCATTCGCTCCAGCTGATGGGCTTGAGCTTGGGAGCTCCCAATACCAGACCCACCGAGACAATCACCAGGGATACTAGGGCTTCGATGACAATGTCAAGGGGGAGGGCGCTCGAGGCAGATGAGAGACGAGCATTACTGTATAAAACGGTGTGTTCATGGGCTGAGTAGCCACTGGTTATTAAAAAATAAAGACGTTAGTATAGGTGGAATTTCAAGACAGGAGACAGGCATATTGGAAATTGGGTTATGGAAGGACGAAGACAACTTACGCGTGGGCAAGCAGGACGAGTCCGAAGAACGTGGTCAGTCTTGATATGTACCCCATTGCTGACAGCTATCGTCGAAATGAGGCAATTGAGGAGTTCTTTCGGGTTCTGGGTTGTTTCTAGCAGCTGCCAGGCAATATCGTAGCTTTTCAACCGCTATGTAATTCGCTGCGAAGCAAGACTGGATCCTACGGTGGACGTTTTGCCCATTTGTGCACTTTTGGCCAGGTTCTCCTGAACCCCGCTTGAACGAGAGCTCGGCGGCCCAAGCGGGATTCCACAGTTGGGCACTGTACTTAGCGGGGTATGTGTACAATTCATCATGAGTACCCTCATAGCATCTACAATCTACAAGGAATCCGCGAGTTCGTAACTGAAAATGGGTATTTTGTTTGTTTTTGGATCATCAAAACGACCAGAGTTCTCCAGGTCGAGTTCTAGTTGTTCAGTCTCATGACACTTATAACATCAAAAAGTTCGTCATCACACCATCGCTCTTCATAATTAGGCATTCAATTACAGCTTCTGCATAGCGGCAACATCGGTGGACTGGACGTGGTCCTCGTCCTCCTCGATCTGCTGCTGGAGCTCATCCAGAGAGATCTTCTCGTCCTCAACAACAAGGTTGATCTGGAGCTTCTTGATACCGAAACCAACAGCAACGAGCTTGGAGGCACCCCAGACAAGGCCGTCCTTCTCAATGGCACGAACGTTGGCCTCCATCTCCTTGAGGTCAGTCTCATCGTCTAGATACTAGTTAGCATGAATGCCCGGCCAAAACACTATTCAATAAAGTACGTACCCCAAGGCTTAACCTCGAGGGTCACAATGGACTTGGCAACGGGCTTAGGCTTGGCCTCCTTCTTCTTCTTGTACTCAGCAAGACGGGCCTCACGCTCCTTGACGGCCTCGGCATCCTCCTCCTCATCCTCGTCACTGCCGAAGAGGTCCATGTCGTCATCATCCTCGGCCTTGTTCTTGGGGTTGGTGGGCAGCTCGGTGGACTCGGGGCCGTAGGTAGTGTAGGCCGCAGAGGCGTCACCAGGGAGAGAGCCGAACTCGGACTCGAAAGATGCAATGTGCTTGTACCAACGAGCAACGTGAGGGTACTTCTGGGCGTCAGGAGCGCCAGAGAAGGCCTTGAAGCTCACGACATCGGCCTGAGAAGGAGCATCACTGGTGTCGTCAAGTTAGTCAAATTCAACTCCTCAACCACGTTATCTGGATGTAATGTATAACGAGTAAAAAAAGGACAGCAAAGGACAAAAGAAATTTTTTTCCTGGCAATCAGAAATGCGATTTCTCGCAATTGTGTTTTAATCTTTCAGCGGGGTCTTAAGCCGCCTCATAAACACGGACCAATTTGTTTTCATCATATACACAGGAGGCAACTGGGACATAGAACAAGAAATCATTGAAGGAAAGGGGAATAGGCAATGAGATGTCTTACCCAACAACGTAGCTTCGGGTAGTAAAGAAGTTGTTGGCAACTGAGGGGTACAATTAGCTGCTGGACAAGAGGGGGCAGGGAGGCAAGAAAACGAAAGCAGAAGACTTACGAGTCAGGCCAGCCTCAGAGACAAAGTCGGTGAAACCCATTGTGAAAGATGAAATGTATGAAGTTGGGGACGTGTGTTGTGAGGAGAAAAGGTGAGGGAGGAAAAGGAGTCAGTGCTCAATAAATAGGAGGGGAAATGTGTTCAGAGCAATTTTTTCCCGTTGACGGATTTTTTTCATCCGTGCCAAAAAAAAAAAACCCTCGACGGTGCCGCACGTGACACGGAGCTTGGTCGGCGTTGCTGGGAGCTTCCGCCACCCACCTTCCCCCGGTGGAGCATTCGAGAAGCGTCACGACGCTTGTAGTTGGCCCGGTATATAAGCATGCAAAAGCCGGGGGTCGTGCAAATCCTTACTTCCCACATCTGTTTCTCGATCACGGTGTGACCATAGCTATGGCTTCACGGCTGCAGCTCACGCGGAGTCGAGTGGTTCGAACACCAGCCCTATCGTCGCAGCGACGCATCTTCCACCCTTCCCAGAGATTACGTCTTCTACCCCAGGTACAACCACTTCTCTCCCTTCCTAGTAACGCCAGTCACTTCCCATCGGCTCTTTCAGTTCGCAGCTATGCCAATGGCCGACCACACCCACCTGGTGGCACACATCGGATGAACTTGGGAGGCGAACCGGAGAAGTCTGCCCTCGAACAATATGGCGTGGACTTAACGGCTAAGGCCAAGGCGGGAAAGCTGGATCCAGTCATTGGAAGAGATTCTGAAATCCATCGTACCATTCAGGTCTTATCGAGGCGGACCAAAAATAACCCTGTTCTAATCGGCGCAGCGGGCACTGGCAAAACGGCGGTTCTGGAGGGCCTAGCTCAGAGAATTGTGCAAGGGGATGTTCCCGAAAGTATCAAGGACAAGCGAGTCATCTCCTTGGATCTAGGCTCACTCATCGCTGGTGCCAAGTTCAGAGGTGATTTTGAAGAACGTCTCAAGTCTGTCCTCAAGGAGGTTGAAGACGCACAAGGTGGTGTGATCCTTTTCATCGACGAGCTCCATACCCTACTTGGCCTTGGAAAAGCGGAAGGTAGTATCGACGCTAGTAACCTCCTGAAACCAGCACTCTCTAGGGGGGAGCTGCAGTGCTGCGGTGCTACGACCTTGAATGAATACAGGCTTATCGAAAAGGATGTCGCCTTAGCGAGACGCTTCCAACCTATCCTGGTCGGGGAGCCCTCGGTCGCCGCGACAGTATCTATTTTGCGTGGTATTAAGAACAAATATGAGGTTCATCACGGTGTTAGAATCACGGATGGCGCTCTGGTGGCTGCGGCAACCTATAGTAACCGCTACATCACCGACCGTTTCCTCCCTGACAAAGCGATTGATCTGGTGGACGAGGCAGCTTCGGCTCTGCGTTTGCAGCAGGAATCCAAGCCTGATGTGATTAGGGAATTGGACCGTGACATCACCACCATCCAAATCGAACTTGAATCCCTCCGCAAGGAAACTGATGTGAGCAGCCGGGAGAGACGGGAGAAACTACAGGAAGATCTCAAAGCCAAACAGGACGAAGCGGCGAAGTTGACCGAAGTTTGGAACAAGGAGAAAGCCGAGATCGAGTCGCTTAAGCGTACGAAGGAAGAACTGGAACGAGCCCGTTTTGAGCTTGAACAGGCACAGCGAGAAGGGAATTTCGCCAAAGCTGGAGAGCTGAGATACTCCACAATCCCGGACCTTGAGGCTAAGTTGCCAAAGGAGGGCGAGGACCAAGGATCAGGGCCTCAGGCGGCCCTTATCCATGATTCAGTCACTGCTGACGACATCGGAAACGTTGTCTCACGGACGACCGGCATACCTGTCAATAAACTCATGGCCGGAGAGGTTGAGAAACTGATCCGAATGGAGGATACGTTGCGGCGATCTGTTCGCGGACAGGATGAGGCCCTATCTGCAGTTTCCAATGCCGTCCGGATGCAGAGAGCAGGTCTTAGTGGAGAGAACCGACCCTTGGCATCATTCATGTTCCTCGGTCCCACGGGTGTTGGAAAAACGGAGTTGTGCAAGAAAATGGCCGAGTTCTTGTTCTCTACCGAAACGGCTGTGGTGAGATTTGACATGAGTGAATTCCAAGAAAAGCACACGATCAGTCGTTTGATCGGTTCCCCCGCTGGATATGTGGGATACGATGATGCAGGGCAGCTCACTGAAGCTGTGAGACGGAAACCCTACGCTGTTCTGTTGTTTGATGAATTTGAGAAGGCTCATCGCGACATCTCTGCTCTACTACTGCAGGTCTTGGATGAGGGTTTTCTTACGGATTCACAGGGCCATAAAGTTGATTTCAGGAACACCCTCATTGTCCTGACTTCCAACCTCGGTGCCGATATTCTTGTGGCCGCCGAGCCACTGCATTCAAACAAGGATTCCGAAGATGAGCTCTCCCCCGGAATCAAAAAGGCCGTCATGGATGTTGTGCAAACCTCATATCCGCCCGAGTTCCTGAACCGAATTGATGAGTTCATCATCTTCAAGAGATTGTCTCGGGATGCTCTGAGGGATATTGTTGACATCAGAATTAAGGAGCTCCAGTCGAGGCTAGATGATCGACGAATGGTGCTACAAGTCGATAACGAGATTAAGGACTGGCTGTGCGAGAAAGGTTATGACCCCAAGTACGGTGCTCGGCCCCTCAACCGTTTGATCTCCAAGGAAATCGGCAATAGACTTGCCGACAGAATCATTCGTGGTGAAATCAGCGCTGGGCAGACGGCTCATATTTCATTCAACGCCGATAAGACAGGACTTGAAATCAAACCAGTAGCAGCGAATTCATCCGATACTGCAGATGCTCAAGCGAACGAAAAGCCATGATGCGTGTTATATGAATCAGGTTGACCATATGTTTGGCGTTATGTAAATCAGTTGGACTTGGTGGGATATTTAGATGAGGGGCTACCAAACTGATCCCTGCTCTATTGTATATTATGGAACCTCGCCTATTGTATAATAAGTGCGTTAATGTATATGATCTATGAATACCAATCAATGTGTTTGTACAGAAGGTCATAGTGTCTTGTCACGGGCTCCGTGGCATGGCCTGGAAGCCTAAGGTATACTGCAGCCTCCATCATCAGCAGCATCTGTCTCATTCCGTGCGTTGCACTATTCTCACTCTGCCACATTGATCCTCTAAGCGAAGCAGAGTTCCCACTACAGGTTGCAATGCCAGTTCAGAAGAAAAGGCGAATAACGTACAAAACACGCGTCGATCTCTGTTCTCCTAGTGCAAGACATGCTCAGGATGCCAGTGAAGGTCGCAATACACGGCGTTCTTCTGGATCACAGAGAAGTTCTGCGTCAAGACCACCCCAACCTGATATCATTGTAGACAGCAGGATCGATGATTCGTCAAATGAGCACTTTACTGATGATGTTTTTGACCAAATCATAGTTGCAATTGATACACGAGACGGCGGTACCGTGGGATGCTCATACTATTCTGCTCGAGAAGAGAGGCTCTACTTACTAGTGGATATGCAGTCACCTGGAACCGAAATCATTGACACATGTTTGTTTATATTTGTTTTTAATTTTGTAAGATGCTGAGTTGCTCTTAGTGATCCTCCAAACCAAGCCTACAGTTCTACTGGTTTCACCTCGAGTTGATTGCCTGAAAGATCAAGGAAGACCGGAACATGATCAAGACAACGCTAAAGCTATTAGCTACTATTTTTAGTGGCACTGACATCTAACACTTGTACTAGCCTCTACTTCCTATCTCCCCTACCAGATTGACGTGCGTCCATCACAAGAATTCAGCTTTGCCAACGCAATGTCCAAGCTAGTCGCTCTAGAAATCGCGTCGAAGCACGAGCAGGATATCAGGTTTCTAGTGCCTCATGCCGGGCTAGTTGATCCTGATCAACTAGACGTTGAATGTTTAGATTTCACTTTGCAAGAAGGAAGGCTCTTACACATGGCTGGCTCTATCGAGACTCAGAATTCAGTGACAGTTGGATGCGCTGGTGCCATTATCACCCATCTTCAAAGAAGGAGAGCCACAATGTCGACATCCGCTAACAGCACCTCAGAGTACTTTCCCATTAATTCTATTGATATGCTAAGCTTGAGCGGGACTATGTGAGTTCCGAATACTTTTATCTCCATCTAGAGATTAGTCCTTACAATGTAACAGGTTTGTAAATGGGAGAGTTTTATTATCACTTCAAATTATGGAATGCGAATCACACCCTTGTATAGTCAATCAGGGATCAGGAAATCCGTCATCGTCCAACAAGGAAGGTCTTTCAGTTTATAGGCTATTCCAGCGGTTCGCTTCGACTCCTCAAGGGAAGAACCTGCTCAATACTTTCTCCGTCCCAGCGTGGAGATAGATGTCATCCGCGAACGACATAGATTTATTAGCGTATATTTACAACCAGATAATTACAATTTGGCTAACAAAATTGCGAAAAGCTTGAAGCATATCAAAAATCTCCGCTATGTCATGGTCAATCTTCGGAAGGGAATCAACACTGGGAGTGGGAAGATCAGCGGCTTCAAAACGACAGTTTGGGCTACATTGTTAGCTGTATGTGGAACAGCTCAGGTCATATGTATCCAACAGTCTAACTAAGAACTGTTTAGTGCCTTCTATGGTATCGACATTCACGACGCTCTCAAGGAGACCCCTGTTGTGTGTGAATTGGCGCTGCACCGAAAGGTTGAAACAAAGACACCCATCGCTACAATAAGACTAACACAGCATTAGGCCCTTCAAGCTTTTGAAGCAGCTCAATTGTATAAGGTTGGAAGAATGATACAGGAAATAGTAGGCCAACACTATAATCTTCAAGGAATCATAACTGAATGCCCCAGGTCGACATTGATAACTCCGAGGACCAGGGTAGAACCGTGGTAAAACCAGGCCTAGATAGGGAGCTTGACAAGATGAAAGATAATTACGATGGTCTTAGTAGTCTACTAAAACAGGTCGCTATTGAAATCGCAACTATCATTCCGGAGAGCCTCGACATCGACGTAAACGTGATATATTTCCCTCAGTTTGGCTTCAACATTGCGATACCGCTAAATGATAGAGGAGAAGCAGCATACACCGGTTCTGGGGAGGACTGGGAGCTTATATTTGTCACAGAGAATCGAGCATATTTTAAGGATTTTAGGATGCGAGAAATGGACGAGAAGTTGGGCGACATTTATGGACTTATATGCGGTATGCCTGGGATTCCATGAGCTACTGTAGCCACTAACCTGTTGCTGGGTTCAAGAGAAGGAAATTGAGATTGTTTATGATCTAGCGCAAAGAGTGCTTCAGTGCGAAAAGGAGCTTCTTGAAGCATCTGATATTTGCGGCCAAATCGATAGGTAACCAACCCCCCTTCCCGCCCCCCATGCTTAAGGAAACGTCAAACTCAAACTTATGCATCATAGTATTCTTGCGATGGCACAAGCAGCGAATTTCTACAAATTAGTGCGTCCAAAAATGACAGAGGGGAACATCCTTCGAATAACGGGTGGCCGGTAAGAAATGTGAATGATAATAGTGGTCCACAAATATTGACATAACGAAGACATATCCTTCAAGAACTGACCGTTCCATCGTATGTTCCAAATGACACTTTTCTAGTTGGTGGACGATCAGAAGAATCCATCACAGAATCTTCACACCAGGTGTCAGGACATATTTCAGAAGGGTTAGGAAAGAGTAGACCAAATATACTTCTACTAACTGGTCCGAATTACTCTGGGAAAAGTGTTTACATGAAACAAGTACGAGCAAAAATAAGATCTATTTGGACTTTAGCTAAGAACAAGATAGGTCGCATTGATCATCTATTTGGCTCAAATTGGGAGGTATGCCAGGGCTAAAAGTCCACCTGAATATTGTTCAGAACTGAGAGTGGTAGTTTTATCCCAGCAGAAAGTGCAGAGATCGGTATAACTGACAAGATTCTTTTGAAATCAAATACTCAGAACAGTGTCTCTCAGGTGAAAGATGGATTGATTCTAGCTCGTTGGGGAAAGCTGCTCACTGCTGCCAGATCCAAAGCACATTTATGAACGATCTACAGCAAATAGCATTTGATTTAAAGCAAGTCTCAAGTCGTAGCTTGCTAATAATTGACGAATTTGGCAAGGGAACCAACGAGAGTGGTTAGTTTTACTGCTCTTTGCCCCGTCTCACTTTTTTCCAGCTTTGCAGGCTAACAGAGGATATTGGGTATAGATGGTATCGGGCTAGCATGCGGAATTCTCGAGTACTTATTGAAACTCGAAGACGCACCGAAAATAATCGCTGCAACACATTTCCATGAGATATTCGAGAACGAATTCATCAAGCCCGATCCTCGATTACAACTCGCTCATATGGAAATCCGAGTCTGCGAAGAGACCACAGAGTCAGAAGACCAAATCACGTACCTCTACAAGTCTGGACCCGTATGATAACATGTAGGCAACTAGCCCACCTACTAACGTGATGCGTATAGTTTCCGTCTAGGTCGAAGCAACAAAAGCTTCGGAACTGTGTATGTCCTTTCTTACTCAGAAGCAAGGCCCCTTGATCGTAGCTCTAATGCAAATGTGAGATAGTTGCGCCGCGATTAACGGAATCAGCAGATCCATCATAGACAGAGCAAATGAGCTTGCTTCTCTTGCGACGCGCGGTGAAAATCTCATTGCTGCTTGTGCTATGTTGTCAGCTGGGGAAATGAACACCTTGGAGGAAGCGGTATGGGTTTCGTATATTGTCATGCTCCATTAGAGTAGTACTCATGGATGCTAATGAGATTGCTATCATAGGATAAGTTGGCTAGAAGGTTTTTAACCCTTGATCTGTCGGAAAGAAGCAGCTCAAAAGATACAAGCAATATGCTTGATAGACTCTTTGAAGAAGTGGATGAGTAAAAGGGTTGTTTTTCCTCGTCATTCTATTGTCTTTTGCCGGGGGCATCTATCATTTTATTAACAAGATTGCAGGAATTGAACAAAGAGAACCAGTGTTTGCAGAAGTGTATATCTTAGAATTATATATGTACACGCAAAATCCATTTTGATATCACATGTGGAACGCCCCAAATATATGCATCTAGCTATCTCACCAACGCTAGAGCTTAACACTTTTAACCAGGTTCTTCTTAATACCAGTGAGTTCACCACCGTATCCTCCACGGCCTTCACCACCCTTGTAGATCTGGCGGACGCTGGCCAGCTTCTTCTTCTTATCTTCGTACCTCTTTCTCTTCTTGACACGAGGATTGCGAGAGTCCTTGTTCCGCTTGGGGGCAAGACCTTTATTCTTCTCAATCTGGTAGGTGATGGCCCGTTTACCGTCAGGTCCAATCTCCTCTTGGATTTCCACATGTCCGCCCTGACGAGCTGCAGTTACGTGGGCCTCCGCGAGAGCCTTCTTGTCTTCCTTGCGCTTGTTGGTGCGCGCAGCAACCATGTCATAGTATTCATCGTCGCCAGTTCCCGACTGCTCGCCTCGGAGCTCATTGGCAACCCGTCGATCTTCATCGTCACTGTCACCGCCCAGCTGTTCGGATCCTTTAGGTTGCTGTCGACCACGCTTCTCGGCCTCGGCATTCAACCGAGCTTGGCGGTCCCTCAATCGTTCACGGTAGGGAAGATCCGCATCTCCACCAGCATCCCGACCAGCTGCAGTGCGCTTATTTGCCTTCTGTGCCAGCTGGGAGGTATAGAAACGGAGGGAGCGTTTCTGCTTGGCTTTCTCCTCGGCTTCCTTGGTGGTCAGAGCATCTTCATCGCCGAAGTCAGAGTCATCGGCGTCCTTGGATTTCTGCGCTCTTTGAGTGGGCCGTTTCCTGCTAGGTTCAGTAATAAGTTTCGATAGATCTGCCAGGTTAGCTTCTGTCTCTCGAAGCTTGTCTGCCCTTTGAGCTTCTGCTTCTGCCAGGGCTGCCTCGGCGGCACGTTGAGCCTTGGACTGTTTCTGCTTCTTTTGCTTATTTCCTTGGGCATCCTTTGTCTTCTTGCTTTGCTTCTTTGCATGGGGTGTTACAGTTAGCTCTGTCTTGGAATCCTTCTGCTTCTTGCCACTGTCTACACCTGGAGCTTCGGGGATGTTAAGATCCTTGGCGGTTTCCCAGAGCTTTCTGAATTTGACCAGTGATCCCATAACCGGATGAGCGCGTAGTTCGGCCGGAGATAGGGCAGCTGCCTTCTCCGACGCATCGTTGGCTGGAGACGTCAAGAGCATAAAATACAGGCTGATCACACCTAGGTATGCCGAAAGAGCACGATATTTGATGACCGGAACGGGGGATGCATTTACATTTAAAATGCCTTCGTTAGCCTCCATGGTTTTGAAAGCGTTGGCAGCCTGTGCAAGTTTCTCGAGTTCGGACTGAAGGGCACCGAAATCTTTAGCCAAGGGCTCAAGCTCCGGGTATCTCGCCTTCAGAATCTTCAATTTCTCCTCCTCGCTCATATCGTCAGTTATCTCTGCCTGTGGTAGGACCTCAGTTACCACTTCCGCCTCATCCTCTTCATCTCCCTTCTCTTTACCGGATTCGATCCACTCGGTTTCATCGAATCCGAAATCCCCCTCATTCATTGCTTGCAAATGCTTTTGTTGCAGCCTCTTCGCTTCCTTTTCTTCTTCAAGGGCATCTGCCTCCGTTTCGATTTGATCGGCATTATAAAGATCCTTCTTTGAAGAGCCCCATGCGGCAATATCGTCCTCGTCCTCGTCTTCAGAGGCACCAGATGCCCCACGCCGCTTGCTTTTGGATCCTAGAATCTCTTCATCGAGATCATCCACACCATCCTCATCATATCCATCTTCGTCCAATTCTTCCTCGTCGTCCAAGTCGTCTTCATCCATAGACTCATAGCCCATGACCTCCTCATCAGACAGCTGGAACAATTCCTCTGTGAACACATCTGATTAGATACACAAAGTGACAGAAAAAGAGGAGACCTTGGAAGCAAACAAACCTTCCTCAACCAACTTGCGACGTCTCTTCGCTTCTGGCGCTTCCTCCAGCAAAATCTGATCACGGCCGGTTTGAAACTCATCCTCGGAGCCGTCGAATCTCTCCTCAAGGCCGAATTTAGTCTTCTCTGGTGCAGGCGCATTTCTGGACGCAGGGCGACCACCAGCCTTTCTCTTCTTAGCCATGGCTGCGTCTCAAATGAACAAGCAAAGAATCCGCGCACGACCAAAGCCTCTTGAGTTGATAAACTTCTCGATAAAAATTTGGGGTGGGCCTCTCACCGCCCAGAAGTCGCTAAGCCACATCAGGGATATTTGTGTTGTTTGCTGGTACATACACATTGGTACACAAAACGTGTCTTACAGGCAGCCAAAAGGCTGTTCAGTAGTGTATTACAGGTAAGAGCGGTTCCGCGGTGATTGCCAATTTCCCATCTTGCGAACATACAGAGAAGGTAAGTGCAACTGATCGTGTTAGGAAGCCTCGCCCAGCGCGTTGTCGATTCTTTTACCTTCTCCCCAGATGTTCTCTCTTTCTTTCTCCCTCATGCATTACCCATTATCCTTCAACGTGCATGACTTATCCCCCACACAGCTGGGAATTTCAGTCGCTCTCTTCGGGTTCTTCCTATATACAGTTAGCAAAATGCTTGGCTTTGGAGTTCGTAACGAGTTTGTGGTGGAGGGCAGGGTAAGTCAAAAAGCCATTCTTCTAGGAGGCAGCTTGCTAACTCTTGTTGCCTATGTAGACGGTTGTGGTCACTGGGGGCTCCGAGGGTACGGGCAAAGCTGCCGCCTGTCTGCTTGCTGAAAGGGGTGCAAATGTTGTTCTTGTTGCCCGTACCGTCCAAAAGCTGCAGGAGTCAGTGGAGGTTGTCAAGGTATGTCCTCTACTCTGCAGTAGCGGGCTGGAATAACGCTCACATCTTCTCAGGGCTCTGCTGCGGACATCAGGATACAAAGATTCCACTACGTCAGTGCCGATCTCACAGACATTGCAGAGTGTGAGCGGGTGATGGAAGAAATCACTGAATGGAATCGTGGACTTCCTCCCGATGTGGTGTGGTGCTGTGCTGGATACTGCCACCCTGGCTTCTTCGTTGACACGCCTGTTGAAACGCTCAGGGACCAAATGGACACTGTTTATTGGACTGCCGCCAACACTGCCCATGCAGTGTTGAGGAAATGGCTTTTGCCCGTCAGTCCAAGCAAACAACAGGCACTACCTCGGAGGCATCTCATTTTCACCTGTTCCACCCTAGCCTTTGTGCCTATCGCCGGTTATGCTCCCTATTCACCCGCCAAAGCAGCCATCCGTTCGTTATCCGATACACTCAGCCAGGAAATCGAAATGTACAATGGCTCTCGTATAACCAAGACACGGTGTGAAGCCACGCCAGCGGACGTTAAGATCCACACGATTTTCCCCATGGGAATCTTGAGTCCGGGCTTTGACAAAGAACAGAGGTTGAAGCCTGAGTTGACGAAGCAGCTAGAGTCAGCTGACAAACCACAAACCCCGAAGGAAGTCGCAAGACTAGCAATTGACGCTTTGGAAAGGGGCGAGTACCTGATCACTACGATGTTCGTCGGCCATGTGATGAAAGGTAGTGCTCTGGGCGGTAGCCCTAGAAACTATACTATCCGCGACACCTTGACCAGCTGGTTCAGTAGCTTGGCCTTCCTGCAAGTTACTCCTGATCTCCGGAGACAAGCTTGGAACTGGGGAGTGAAGTTTGGTCTTCCATCAAACAAGACTGACAAGGAATGAGTGACTGTATGCCGCATGTTTCGTCGTCTAGTGTTGTGCCTTAGATACCCTGGAGAGCCTTTCTCTTCTTATCCTTATACTCGTCATGCCTCATGTTTCCGAGCTATATTTATAACCTACGAATGAACTCTGGTTCTCGTTGTAAACAGTCTTGCCCATATAGGTTCTGTTGTAGATCAAGCCAGGCCACATTCCAAGTCGGTATTTTGGTCGAGTGGGATTTGATAGTAGCCTCCTTTGTGTCTCTTCTACAGTAGTCGAACATCCGTAGATGTCTTTTGGATGTCTTTGGCACAAACAAAGAACGGTCAAGCGGCTATCCATATATATGTCGTTCTATATCACGATGCACCCAGCCACCTGCTCTCAACAAACTTTGTTTCTATCGCAAACTCAGTGTAACGACTTTTTAGAAAAAGCCTTCGGAATCCCCGTAAATGGAACACACCTAGTTAATTGCAGCAGAACAACGGCGTCAAAGCTCACAAACGTCGAGCCCAAACGGGTTAGTCTAGAGTCGGCCGATCGGCGTGACGACATTATCATCGAGACTTTGCACACGACCGATTCTATCTTTGTGCTGAAGTGCTTTGTTCTAGGCGTGATCTAAAACAGACCCCGATCCAAATGAATCCAGCCGATCGGGGACTGTCATATATAAAGAAGGAACCGACCGGGGTTCTCCTGAGAAACCGATTACAATGGACACCCTCTTTTCTTTACCGGTGCTGTCCCTTTTCCTTATCCCCACCACGGCTTCCTATACCACGAGTCTGAACTTTATCTTCTTTTACATGACATGGTCGACACTCGTGTTTTCCCATTCTCCTCTTCGAGTCGAGTTGTTTGGCACCGTGGCTGTGCGGCTTCTCTTCTATGTCCTCCCGTCCCTGCTTTTCTTCCTGTTCGATATCCTCACCCCGTCAGCAGCGATGATGATAAAAGTTAATGGTGAAGGTGGCCTTCCCAGCGGAAGAAGACGGGGTAAGATCCGGCTGAAAGACATCAAGATTGCGGGATGGGGGCTGGCCAATGTTATCCTGAGTATCGTGGTGCAGGCTATCATAGAAAAGATACGGATAAGTGCCTTTGGCGCGCGAAGCAGCTTGAAAGTGTCGATTAAATTACCAATGCCCTGGGAGATGACGAAAGATTTGTTGCGTGGACTGCTAGTCCGAGAGGTGATGATTCTAGCCCTTAATAATGAAAAAAAAATAATGGAAAACCAGCTAACGTTCTCTTTTGCCCGGCTACTGCAGGGCATATCCTATGCCATACATCGCTTCGTTCTGCATTCCAAAGACAACCGACTTCGCATAGTTACCGAACAGCATCAACTCTGGTATCACTCACTGCGCACCCCGTTCCCTCTCACGGCGCACTATGACCACCCGCTCGTATATCTCCTCGCTAACTTCATCCCCACCTATATGCCCGGCATGCTCTTTCGCTTCCACATGCTCACCTACCTCCTCTACATGTCTGTCGTCTCCGTCGAAGAGACATTCGCTTTCTCCGGCTACACGGTGATGCCGACGAGTTTCTTCCTGAGTGGAATGGCGCGCAGAACGGAAATACATCTGTTTAGTGGGGCGAAAGGGAATTTCGGGCCCTGGGGCATCCTGGACTGGATCTGTGGCACCAACGTGACAGACGATGATGATGTTCTAGACGAGCCCGGTGTCCAGAGAGCGACCATGGATGACAAAGTCAAGAAAGCGGTGGAGCGTTCTACCCAGAAGAAGTTTTACGAGCGTCATCGGTTGAGAAGAGGACGTCGGGATGATTAGTCGTGGGATCTGGTTGCTATATATGATTTTGCGATGAGATATGTGTTTTTGTAGTGATGCTTTATTTGGGCATGTTTGATTAGACTAAATGAGTAATTATTATTTGATTATGTCATGGGTGTTTGGCTGTAACTTTATATGGGAGGTTAGGGCAATTGACTGCAAACATGGGGTAAATATGGTTTTTTGACCTGATAATATATAGATAGAATCTGACTTTCCGACACCTAACCTATCCCTATTTAGGAAGCCCTCCCATGTGACCATGATTCTGCCAACTTTTTAAAAAGTTCAAGAACTCTCCTACCTATACACTTAGTCTCTATTATATAATTAATTAAATATCTTGTTATATATATATCGATTTTAGCGCTCTTAAATGTTCTTCCATATAAAAAAATAAAAAAAACATTCAGATATCAATATTCACGCAGATACACAGACAGGTAGACGAGCAGCTAAGGGGTCAGGGGCCTTCCTAAATAGGAATAGGCTAGTATCAGAATAGTCGGATTCTATAGATGGATAAGAGTGGATAGCTAGTATATGTCGCATCTGGAAATATTGGAAAAAGGATATAATCTAACCAAAACTTAATTTCCCCAAATTTTAGAAATCCGCCTGAACCTGGAATTGGTGATATAATCATACTGAACATAAAAAGAATTCCCGGCCGCACGTTGAGGGGGACATGAACAGCCGGGATGGTATTCATCTTTTTTTCTTTTTCACATTTCGGCTCATATATTAAAAAAAGATCTTGCAAATCGGCCACGCGGGAGGGACTGTCCGTGAAACAAAAAAGAAAAAAAACAACCGGTATTCCGAATTGACCGCAATCCTAAGAAGCAAAAACGGACTCCGAATCGAGTTACATGTTTCATGAGCTGCTCCTCCTGCGCTGCGAAAACGCTTCCCACAATGGGAATGCCAATCTGCATTCTAGCCGCCCCTCACAGAATTCCTCCACAAGTATCACCGAACCCGCGGCCGCCGCTTCGCACATTTACCACTTCATCTCGTGGGGCTTGTCACCGTTCCGGAGGCTGAAGGTGCTGGCGAGGTAGCTGCCAAGGAAGTTCTCCTTCTTGACGCTGGCCAAGATGGACTGGTCGATGGCCTTCTGGTCGCTGGCGCGGGCGCTGGCAACCTTCTTCTTCTGTAGACACAGTCCGATGTCAGTATTTTGCCCTCACATCCCTGAGGTTTATATCCGTCGGATATGCCTCCTGGTTGATTTACAGCGCTGTTTTCACGTACCTCGGGCTTCTCTCCCTGCTTGAAGAAAGCCTCCTCGCTCTTCTTCTCCTTGCTCTTCTCCTTGGTGAAGTAGTCAGGAGTGGAGACCTTCTCGATGATCTTGGCGTCGACACCGCTGATGTCCACATGGGTGCTGGTGGCGATCACATAGCGGGAGTTCACACGGCGGAGGGGAACACCGTTGATCTTGAAGGGACCGGTAACGAGGAGAACACCCTGGTCAAGGTGCTTGAGGAGGACGACACGCTTGCCACGGAAACGACCGGCGAGGAGGATCAGGACGGCACCAGGCTTGAGGCTCTCACGGAGCTTGGTGGGACGGACAGCCTTGCGAACCTATTTGCACAAAAAGTCAATACAATGTCAGAATGCGTCTGTCCTATCTTTCCCAGATACATGTATGTAGATGCCCATATATAGATAGTTGCGAATGGATGCGATTCCGTTATTAACTCCATGTTTCCATCGCACCGGTCCTGATTCCCAACAGCAGCCAGGCTCATTGACGGGCGCAATCGTCGCACTTGGTCATAACAGACCATATCTCATTTCACACAAATTTGGGTTCATTTTTTCTGCACAGGGGTGTACTGACTTTCCGGGGTTGCGACTCGTCATCAACGGGGTACCATTTCTGGGCCTTCAGGGCCGGCACGGTCCTCTGGCCCTTTCCAAACTGCTTCGTCTGGCCAACAGTAGAGTCCGACATATTGGCTGCTGGGGACGAAGGGGAGTCGAAAAGAATGAAGGGAGGGTGGTTGTCGACGGCGGGTGGTTGTTGGAATTGATGAATGACGGTCTACTTGCGGCCCTAGGCGGGAAATCTGAGGTTTGTGGGAATCACGAGCCCTAGCCGAAATACGCTAGTGCGGATTTGGGGGACCCGATAACACCATTTATGCCTGAGGCATAAGGCAAATACAAAGGGTACCGCACAGCGACCTAAAACGCACTAAGAAGCTGACTAACCCGGCCCGATGTTGTTGCTTGAACTGACGTACCTTCTGCCCTCGAGCTGCACAGCTTCTTCCTGACCTTCCCACCCCCCAATCTTGTCCTGCGTATCATCATAAGCCATTTTAAACAGATTGGGCCTAATTTAGAGCTTTGTTCTTTTCTTTTATAACCTCTTTAACTATGTCCATCGCACCGATTATTACATTCAAAGCGGGTATCTGTGACCTTGATGTGAGTTTGTTTCCTTACAGTCCACCTTCCAGTAAGCTTCTTGCTAACTGACCGTGATGGTAGACGTCCAGTGAAAACCCCGTAGTGAAGCCAAAGACAACACCGGGATATATCTATCTCTATTCAGAGGATGATTTGGTACATTTCTGCTGGCGCCCTCGGTCTGTTCCTCACACGGAACCGGAGTTGGACCTGGTGATGGTTCCATCGGATGGAAGCTTTTTACCCTACAAACCAGCTGGCAACGATAAGCCCACAAACGGTCGCATATATGTATTGAAGTTTTCTTCTAGCTCCCAGCGGTATCTCTTCTGGTTGCAGTCCAAGTCCCAACACGAGAGCGGCGATGCTAGCTGGTTCAGCACTAGGGATCTCAAACTTGGAGAAATCGTCAACACCTTACTCCAGGGTGAGGAGGTAGATGTGGAGGATGAAATCGCCAATTTGCCGTCCGGTCCCACTGGCGGCGACGATGACGAGACCATGGAGGACGTGGAAGGCGTCGATCACGACCCGAATCATAGCCGCGGGGGTAACAGCGGAGGAGCGGGGCCCGATGCAACCGGCGGAGATATTAGGGAAGAAGGACAAGAGTCAAGAGAAGGCGGCGCTGATGGCGGAAGAGCGTAGGTACATATCTCTATGCAATTTCTTTGCCCTTAGAAATGGTGTTTTCAGGCTAAACAGGCCGGGAGATGGAAACTGCCCTCGTGGACATGGAAAATGCTTTATTTTTGTTGTTGTATTCAACTTGTACTGATGCCTTTACAGGGAAAGAGATGGCTCTGATCCGTCGTCGGTGGTGCAGAATTTCTTGCAGTCTTTACAAGGAAAATCCAGACAGTCCCAGGACCCTGATAGACCATTCACTACGCTACAAGATCTCCTTTCACCATCAGCTACTTTGCCTTTTGTTGAATCCGCGGATGCCAAGACTGTCGACAATCTCCTGAGCTTTTTACCACCAACGCTTCTCCTCCTGTCACAAGATGTAGGAGATGTGCCTTCCGAGGATAGCTCTGAACTTGCCAATGCAGTCATGGAATCTCTGGACCTCTCGCAGAAGAAGGGCATTCTTCGCAAAGTTTTACACTCGCCTCAGTTTACGCAGAGCCTTGCGAGTTTGACGATGGCTATAAGAGATGGTGGTCTACCAAGTATCAGCGAGGCGCTGAAAATCCCCGTTGAGAATGGAGGGTTTATGCGTAGGGGAGGGGTTCCCCTGGGCGGTGGTGATGCTGTTGAGACATTTCTGCAAGGCGTTCGGGATTATGTCAAGGACTCGAATGGCAATGAGATGGAGACTGATTGATTGATGATACATTGGTCGAATCTTGCCCTTTTTTTTTTTTTTCGTTCAAAATTATCTTCCGTCATTACCCTTCGATGTAATTAGGTAGACCTCCCATGTGTGTTTGATTATTCTGCTTCCTGCATTAGAAAATGACTAGCGGGTTGGGACTCCTTTGAGTAATTGAATCATTGTAAACTTGATCTAAAGAATAAATTAATATTCACAAAATAATAATAGCTAATAAAAATAGTACAATAATGAAATAAAATAACCCAAAATTGAATCAATATATTACGGCAGAACAAAAAGACTGGAAGACCAACGACAGAGTGCTGGTCTATTTTTGGTTGTGGCGGGGAACCACGGAGTTAGGCAACATGATTGTCCCTACTGGGGATGCATCCTACTGAGGCCATCCTCTGAGGAGTCGAACGCGAGGTATATACTGGACAATTAATGATGATGGTCATCAGATTGATTGATTGATAGTGTTGGATAAAGAGAGCGTGGTAAAACATCGTCAATCAGAATCTGCTCCAGCTTAGTCAGGTTGGTTCCTCGTAACTAACTATAACCAACCGCTGGTTCCTCAAGCCTAAGGCTTCCAACTGACCACACAAAAGTCCCCGGTTGCTTTTTCAGCCCCCGACTGGGCCACTTGGGGGCTCCAGCTACGCGCCTACAATTTGCGATCTAAAGGCCACCATCTGTCCATTCTCCTGTATTACAATCGGTTATTAGCCTTTATTACTGTTCTTCTTTATGCTGCCTTCATGTTTGGCTAGACTGATTGGACCCGGTTTAACGTTCCGTTCCGAACCATCTCTACCGGTCCTTCTCCGTACCGTAGTAAAAATTAAAAAAAAAAGGGAAGAAGGTCTACTTACTACAGACGGAGAATTGAACCACATCAGCAGTCAACGCCCTCCTTTCCACGTCGATCGAGTCCTCCCCAGGACCACGGTCCTCCCGACGCATCTCGTCTTGTCTCCCTATCTCTATAGCTGCGACCTGCGATGTCTGCGTTTAGTTAGCGAATCGATCCAATAATGGCTTCGAATAGCCATGACCGCCACGAAGACAGCTTCTCCCTCGATCACTCAATTCCCTTACAAGACCTCTCCGGCCCGCCAGACATCTACGGACAAGGTTATGGAGGGAACCGTCGTCCGGGGCGGTCGCTGACTCGAAGAAGCCGATCGGAGACTTATGAGAGAATCGCGGAGGATTCCCCGGTTGACAGCACGCCCGCTGCAGGACATGCGCACTCCCGCCGTCAAGCTTCGGATGCCGATGATGCATTTCCCGGCGATCCAGGGGCCTTCGCTGCTGCAATTTCGTCGGTCGGCCTCAGTTTCAATGGGCCACCGGATCATCCAGCGATGCGCAGTCGCGATGACCTCGATACCGTGCCTTTGGAGAGTTTTGGGCTGCAGGAGCCTGCGAACCTCACCCCCAGTGTTTCGCAAGTTTCGTTCAGCGACACCGCACCATTGACGAATATCAACAACATTCAACCCATAAGCGGAGCATCTCCCGATCGCAGTGAACAGAATGACCGGCGCGGCGCGCAAACGGTCCATTTCCCCGAGAGCCAGCCGGGATCGCGCTTGGGTGACGATCTGCATAATATGGAGACCGGATTCAATGGAAGGCGTCGCGGCGGAAGCAATGCTTCAGACAGAGGCCGCTCGCTGTCACCCTCAGCTTCGGGTTCTGCTCTGCAGCGCGCTAGCTCGATGATGAAGTCCATGTCTCAGCGTGTTGTCAACCTCAGTAACGAACCGGAAGTGGTTGAACAGTCGATTCTGAGGGAAGAATCCCACAAGAGTTCCCGCCTAGAAGAGCCGCCATCACTCCCTTCTCTGCCAGATTATGCTCATGATGGGCCATCAACCCCGCCAGTGGGTGGTGGGGTCTTTAGGGAGAAGTCGGCGTCAAACAAAGTGTGGAGATACCTCAATAATCCGTTGAAGGGAAAGTCGCTTGGGCTCCTAGGCCCCGAAAATGCCCTTCGCGTGTGGCTCTGTGATGTCCTGGTCCATCCATTCACCGAGCCATTCATCCTGGTAGTGATTGTAATTCAAACGATCCTACTGACAATTGAATCGGCAATGTCAGGCTGGCACAAGGCTGGAAACTGGGGCACAAGTGTCATGGATTACCCTTACTTTGCTATATTCGTTATCTATACCCTTGAACTGATTGCCAAGGTTTTAGTGTCAGGTCTTATCCTCAATCCCGCTGAGTATAGTACTATAGATAGGTCGTTAGGGTTTAGAAAGGCAATAGCAGAGAAAGGGAAGACTATCATTGCACCGCATCGGCAACCCTCAACGATAAAGAGAGCCCCAGTTCTCGCGGACCAGCCTCAAGCCTCGATTATACGCACTTTCACTGGCGGATTGAATCAGCTCGAGCAGGCAGTGACAGATGACCCCCTCCAGAAAAGCCGGGTGAGGCTTGCCCATCGAGCTTTCCTACGGCATTCATTCAATCGTCTCGACTTTGTGGCGGTTGTTGCTTTCTGGATAGCCTTTTGTCTGTCTATATTCGGCGTTGAGAGCCGCCAGCAGCTCTTCGTTTTCCGTATGCTTAGCTGCTTGCGTCTTTTGCGTCTCCTTGCCCTGACAAATGGCACATCTGTAAGTTGGTATGGAACGAATTGATTGTCCATTTACTAATTTCAAAATAGATCATCCTTCGAAGTCTTAAGAAGGCAGCCCCTCTGTTTGTCCATGTAGCCTTTCTTGTGGGTTTCTTCTGGCTTCTCTTTGCCATCGTCGGGATCCAGAGCTTCAAATCAAGTTATCGGCGAACTTGTGTCTGGCGTGGTGTTAACGGCGAAGAGGACTTTCCGCTAAATGACCCATCTGGTACTTTCCAGTTATGTGGTGGATACATCGATTCTATCACCGGAAAAAAGAAGGGATGGATGCAGAAGGATGGTACCGAGAACCCAGATACTCCAAAAGGCTACATTTGTCCGAAAGGTTCTGAGTGTGTTGAAGGGGATAATCCTTACGGTGGGACTAAGAGCTTCGATAACATCCTATACTCGCTGGAGCTTGTGTTCGTGATCATGAGCTCGAATACATTTACAGATACTCTATACCACATGACTGACAGTGATTATCTCGTGGCTGCTCTTTTCTTCGCCTTTGGCTTTGTCATTCTGAGTCTATGGATGGTGAACTTGCTGATTGCGGTTATCACCCACTCTTTCCAGGTTATTCGAGAAGAAAGTAAACGGAGTGCATTTGCTATGGAGAAGATCGACACAGTTGAACGGGGGGACCAGTCGTCTCCGAAGCTAAGCACTCTCAAGCGCTTGTATGACAAAACAGAATACTTCTGGATTGCTGTGGTTCTTTTCGGTCTCATAGTGCAGGCGTTGCGGAGCTCGTCCATGTCGAAAAGTCGAGAGAATTTTATCAACACTACGGAAACCGTGGTCACGTTCGTTTTTCTTGTTGAAATAATCTTGCGCTTCGCATCCGACTGGCGCAAATTCCACAAGAAACGTCGCAATTGGGTGGACCTGGGACTGGCTGTCATCACCTGTATAATCCAAGTCCCCGCCATCAGAAACTCCGGGAGGGCGTACTCGGTCCTTACGCTCTTCCAAATCCTTCGGGTGTACCGCGTGGTGCTGGCCTTTTCTGTCACCAGGAATATGATCCAGCTTGTCTTCCGCAACGCCAAAGGTTTACTGAATCTTATTCTATTCGTGCTTCTGATCACATATCTGGCATCGATCTTTGCAACACAGCTCTTCCGCAGCCAACTCCCTGATGACGACAATGTTGAAATCAATTTTGGCAATATCTACAACTCGTTTCTTGGAATGTATCAGATATTGTCTAGTGAGAATTGGACAGATATTCTGTTCAATGCCACAGCCTACACCAATCCTTTTAAAACGGCCTGGATTTCTGCCATTTTCTTGATCTTATGGTTCGTCGTTGCGAACTTCATCACCCTGAATATGTTCATTGCAGTTATTCAAGAGAGTTTCGATGTGTCAGAGGACGAGAAACGAGTCCAGCAAGTCAGAGCATTTCTAGAACAAAAGCATGTTAGTGGTTCTTCTCAGGGAAATTTGTCACTTTCCAAGATTCTCATGATGGGCCGAGACTCGGACCGCTACAAGGATCCGCTCGACTACGGCCCAGCAGCTCTAGAGATGCTGCTGAAAGATGCCGTTGTCCAGGATTTTCTGGACGAACAGGAAGGGGCCGCAGAGAACCGACGAAGCCGGTATATGGAAACAACAGCAGCGGCAGAAACCGCCCAACCAGGCATGTTTTCGCGCATGTGGACAGCTGTCTCGTCATTTTTTATGCGCAGAGAACCAAACCCATTCTATTCCAAACTCAAGTTCTCCCGGGCTTATGAAGAGCTGGATCCAAGGGCAATGGCGCAGGAGGTTGTGTCGGCCGCAGAACAAAGGAAGCGAGCACAGCGAGAGTATCTCATGCGGCATCCGAACTACAATAAGTCTCTGTTCATCTTCGCACCGGATAATCATGTCCGCAGGCTATGTCAGCGCATAGTGGGGCCGGGACGAGGACACCAACGAGTGGAAGGTGTTGATCCGTATAAACCTGTGTGGTATGCGTTTTCTGCCTTCGTCTACGCGGCCATTGTTGCCATGGTTTTACTTGCGTGTATAACGACTCCCATCTATCAACGCCAATATTTCCAAAACAACAGAGACTGGTATACATATACTGACATGGGATTCGCCATCCTGTTCACATGTGAGGCCCTTATCAAAGTCATTGCGGATGGGTTCTTCTGGACGCCGAACGCGTATTTCCGAGGATCTTGGGGATTCATCGATGGCGTTGTGCTCGTTACTCTTTGGATTAACGTGATCAGCTCCCTATATGAGGACTGGGGGATCTCTAGGGCTATTGGGGCATTTAAGGCCCTCAGAGCGCTAAGACTATTGAATGTGAGCGACAGTGCCAAAAATACCTTCCACTCCGTTATCATTGTTGGGGGCTGGAAAGTCATTGCTGTAAGTCCTCTTGCTCATCTCTATCACCACATATGGTGGCGACAAACTGATTCATAGCTTGACAGGCTGCTTCTGTTTCGATGAGCTTCTTGATTCCATTTGCCATATATGGCGTCAACTTGTTCAGTGGGCAGATGGTGAAGTGTAATGACGGTGACTTTTCCGGCAACCTGGACTACTGCGTCGGTGAATACCGCAATAAGATTTATAACTGGGACGTTCTTGCGCCACGAGCCGCTGCTAACCCTTTCTACGACTTTGACAATTTTGGGAATTCTCTCTTCATCTTATTTCAAATTGTCAGCCAGGAGGGTTGGACTGATGTCCAGAAAAGTGCCATGAGCATCACCGCAGTCGGCGAGCAGCCCGAGGACAATGTAGCACCGCAGAACGGGCTTTTCTTCATCGTATTCAACCTGCTAGGAGCTGTCTTCGTCCTGACTTTGTTTGTGTCTGTGTTTATGCGAAACTACACCGAACAGACTGGGGTTGCCTTCCTTACCGCCGAGCAACGATCTTGGTTGGAATTGAGAAAGCTCCTCAGACAGATCTCCCCTTCTAAGCGTACATTCGAAAATACGAGCCGCAAGTGGAAGATGTGGTGCTATCGGATCGCCGTCAAAAAGCACGGTCTATGGTCCCGATTTATCACTACTATCCTGATGCTTCATCTGCTACTGCTTGTTTTAGAATTCAACCCCGAGCCCAAGGTCTGGGATTACATCAGAGAGACGCTTTTCTTTATCTTTGACTTTTTTTACCTTGCCAATGTCGCCATCCGACTTATTGGACTGGGGTGGCACCGATTCATCCGAAGTTCCTGGGACCTCTTCTCGCTCGTTGCCATTCCAGGTGCCTTTGTAACAACGATCCTCAACTTCCTCTTGCGAAAGCAAGCTATCATGGTATTGAACAAGCTCTTTCTTGTTTCGATCACCCTCATGCTCATTCCGCGAAACAACCAACTGGACCAACTGTTCAAGACGGCAGCCGCGAGTTTGACATCCATCGGAAATCTCCTGGCCACCTGGTTTGTCCTGTTCCTGGTCTACGCTATTGCAATGAACCAAACGTTTGGTCTCACGAAATTCGGTGGAGAGGAAAACAACAATGTCAATTTCCGGGACGTTCCACGAGCCCTAATCCTGCTGTTTCGAATGAGCTGTGGGGAAGGGTGGAATGAGCTCATGGAAGACTATGCGACGATGGTGCCACCCATGTGCACGTATGGTAGCGACTTCCTGAACGATGACTGTGGGAGTGCAGCCTGGGCTCGGTCGCTCTTCATTTCCTGGAATATTATTAGCATGTACATATTCGTGGCGTTATTCGTTTCGTTGATCTACGAGAGCTTTTCCTACGTCTACCAGAGAAGCAGCGGACTCTATGCGGTCAGCCGCGAGGACATCCGTCGCTTCAAGCAGGCCTGGGCGACCTATGATCCCGACGGGACTGGATATATTTCCAAGGACCAGTTCCCGCGATTGCTGGGGGTAAGTACATTTCTCTGTTCTTTTCTTTGTTTCAACACCTGACATCAGGACTGACGGTGGAAAAGGAACTGTCGGGCGTGTTCTCGATGCGCATTTACGATGACGAATTTACAATTGGACGGATACTGGAGCAGTGTAGGGTCGACAAACGAGACTCCTTGATAGCACACCGACGAGTAGTAGAAGGGCTGGACCTGGACAAGATGTTCCGGATTCTGCGGCGCATTGATGTCGACAACGTGCGAATGCGACGCCAACGACTCAATACCTTCTACGAGGAGGTGCTGGTCTCCGCGGATCCGGTCCGGGGCATTTCGTTCCATTCCTGCCTCATGATCCTAGCGCACTACAACGTGATCAGCGACAGCAAGAGTCTGCGGTTGGAGGAGTTCCTGCGTCGACGTGCACGACTGCAGAGAGTGGACGAAGCCGTGCGCCGCAACACTGTCATCGGCTTCTTCGACACGCTCTACTGGTCGCGCGAGTTCCAGCGAAAGATGGAGCGGAAGAAGTCAGCCCGTATGAGCTTTGTGCCGCAGTTCTCGGTGCCGGAGATCTTTGTGGACGATGGATCGCATGACGACCAGCCCGGCGAGCGGCGCAGGCAGGAGCCCTTGGAGCGTGGCGGCGAACCGATCCTATCGTCCACTTCGTCGACACATGGAGGAGATCCAGGCCCATCGTCGCGGGGCGGCCATCTGCCGCCCATCGACACCGGCAGTCCGCTTGGTCAGATCTCCGCGACGAGTTCGCCCACAGAATGGTCGAGCATCAGCCCATCGCTTTCCCCGCGGCGGGACCGCGCTAATACGACTTCTTCGTACGGGACGGGACCAGATCTCCATGATGAGATGCAGGAACTGACGGAGCGCCCGCGACAGAACAGCACGGTGAGTGTACGCGACGTGATGCAGTCGTTGGACGAATCCGCCTGGGGCGAGAGTATCCGGCGGAGCTTTACGCAGCGACGATCCGATTGACGGGATCAATAGGCCTTTTTTTTTTTTTTTTTTTTTTGGACGGATTTTTTGTACTGTTGTTGGCGGAGTCCACTAGAATCTTTGGGAATTGCATAGCGGTGGCGTGTGGCGACAGACATCTAATTATGTATGATGGACATAGTATGTAGATAGTACTGAACGAATGAATAATTATTTCAAGGAATGAGTTGGCATCCAGCAAAGCAAGGTATTCATGTCCAAGGGATGGCCCGATGCGGCGAGAAGGAAGTCGACTAGTTGAACATCCCTCGCGGTGAGCGTAGGGTCGAAAGATCGGAAACGGCGACAATGGATGCATCGATAGTTCACCGATCGCCGCGTTCGTCGGGATCAATCTATCTTCTTGATTCTATTTATCTGTCTCTTTCTTTTCCTCCTTCTTACGCAGTATATTCCACGATGGGTGTCTCATGAATTAATTCATCCTGATTCAAATCTACTCCGAGAATCTCTATCCACAATACTCTATCATCAGCCGTATCGATCAAAGTATCAATCAAAATTATCAAACTATCAGATCAAAATACCAAAATGCGTCCCTCCCTCACTCACCTACACACCTCATTCAACCCTTCCGACCGAATTCCCGATCCCACACCACCACCAACGACCACTACCCCAACCTCATCATCATCTCCACTTCGCCGCTTCTACCGCGGTCGACGTCCCATCTCCGACGCCCGATCCGACCGCACCACCACAACTGGAACTGCAACCACCGAAAGTCCCCGCAGCCACAGCCAAAGTCCACTCCGACTGAGTATGTCGTCCATGTTCTTCCGTCCGGCAGTTCTGCTGCGCCAGAGACCCTCCAAGGTCGATCTAGCGCTCAGTGCCGAGCAAACTCGCGCCGATAAAGACGCTATCGAACGACAGGGTCTACAGCTCATGGAACCAAGGCCTGTGGATCCTGTCGCGGTGCTGTTGGATGTTGTCGCTCTAGGTCATGAATCTGAACCTGAACTGGAATCCTTGGGGGATCGGACAAGTCGTCTCTCGCAGGCTTCGTCGAGGTGGTCGCAGCCGAGATTTGTTATGGGGGGGATATTTGAGGTTATGGAGGGGAGGGCATAGCCGTTTTCTTTCTTTATTCTTTATTATTTATTTATTAGTATTTTGGGGTTATTTTTTTGTTTATGGGTGATTTTGGCTTTGCTTTATTTCGGAGTACATTACTAGCGACCTGGGTGGACTTCTGATTCTCGTTCTGATCTATAGTGATTGGTTGGAGTTGGTTGTGATAAAGAGGTTGATCTTTGGTATCTTCTCGTGGTGTATGTGGAATGCTCTGATGAATTATATCCTATATCTATGGTGATCGAACTGGTTGGACTGGTTGAAGATAAGACAGGTCTATTGCCTTCATTAAAATAGAATAACACGGAATGGTACTAGACAAGTCCTTAAAATTTCATAATGCTGTTCAGGGAATACATCATCATATCACAGCTCGGGTATTTCAACAAGATAAAAAAAGGAAATCAACGCATCCAACAAGATTGATCGCCAACCATGCAACGTAAAGCAGATAAGGTGACTTCATAGACAGTACAACCTAAGTATATCTACTTGGTCCCCTTGCGTTGGTTCGGCCACAACTGACCGCGACAATTCTCCTCCCCACAGAGACAACGCACCGCGCCGGGTTCGATCTTCGCCCCCCGTTCCGCATCCGGGTTATAATCAAAGGTCAGCTCCGTCATGGGCGGGATCTCCTTGAGCGAGAAGAACGCCAGGTCGTAGAGATGGAGATCCGTCGCGCCGTCGTACGACATTGGAACCATCCGACAGTTGGGGTTGCACGAATGGTTCATGAACCGCGTTGCTGACCCGAAATTCCGTCCGTCCACGACGTGGATTGCTTCCTCGAACCAGTCCAGGTCAAACAGGTACGAACTTCCGCATTGTGACGTGCACACTTCCTCGCGCGTATCCGCCACCTTTTTCGTGATCACTTCCCCCAGGTACCGGTCGATGAACTGCCCTGCGCGGATGCGATCAGGAGAGCGGAGCCCTATCTTCCATTAATCATTCATTCATTCTATATCACCTAGAGAGAGGAGAGATACCAAAGCCGCGATTGCCGGTATTAAAAATCTCCAACCGAATGGTTCGACCGGCCTGCACGACACGATTCCAGCAATTCTCCTTGCAGTTGCACTTTTCTCCACATTCAAAGATCATGTGCTTAGGAAAGTCCGGTCTCAACAGCATGAACCGCGCATCATCGGCGGCCGGGCCGTACGGGATGATGCGTCTCTCAGAGGGACCATCCGGTTCGAGACAGGAACAGCGATCGGGATCACAAAACGATTCACAGCTGCATCCACCCTTGAAGTCCTCCGGGACGGACTGGACGCCCTTCCGCAGCTTATAGCTATTGATGAACTCGAAGTTGCTCGCGAATTGGGCCAGGAGGGTCTCATCCCCAGGAGCAAAAGTCACCTTGGGTCCCTGGATGGCAGACAACTTACGCTGCAAGGCGCAACGCAACTGCTCGCCGACGTTCGGACGCACCGTGAGCACCGGACCGGGGGCACCGATCTGGAAGGGGATCTCGGCGCGTTTGACCTTCTTCTTCGCCACCGGGTAGGCACCTTTGAGGGCGCGTTTCTCGTACGCATCAGTCGGGTAGTACTCCTCGGACAGGCCGGTAGGTTTGGAAGAGATAGTAGCGATGGTCCAGTCCGCAGAGGCGATTTCTTTCTTCAGTTGGAGGGATGGAGACGGGATCACGACGCTGACCGCCTTGAGTTGCTCCTGGGCCCCCGGGCTGGGGCTGGGAGTGGACGGCTGGAAGGCTGAGAACAGTCGCCGTTCGGAAAAGGGCCGGTCATGGCGCGCGCGGCTAGACGGCCTGTCAAAAGACTCGGTGGACCAATCCGAGATGCTCGACTCCTCTTGCTTTCTTTTCAGCGGTAAAATGCTGCGGTCGGTGAGTTTGGAGAAGAAAGAGGGTGTAGTGATGAGATTGTTGTTGTAGATGTCGATGTTGTTGTTGACAGTACCATTGATAATGGGCTGTATAGATTATATCAGCTGATGTCACAAGACCAAGAGAAAGGAGACGCCAAAACAGCAGGGTAGATTATAGAACATAGAAATAAATAAAGTGCAGAAATCTTTGTATAAAAAGAGATCTAGGCTGGGGAAGATAGCTTTGCTGAGCACAGCAGTTTTTAGACATTAAGACATTAGAATATGTCCCAAAACAAATAATAAAGCGAAGAATAAAATATTTAAAACTCCCAGAAGTAGCCTCCTTTTGTGGAATTCACCTCACTTACCTTAATCTGATTCTGTGTGTCAGAATCTGAGTCCTGGGTGAGATCAATCACTGTCATTGATGCTGTAGACAGGAGAGTTTTAGACCACAAGAAACCTAGGATAGGGAGCAGTTTAAACCTCAGGGGTTTGCAGCTTTTAAGGATCAAACAAAAAGAATAGGAATCTGGAGATAAAGAGAAGTTACATGGGCACTAGAGGCTGGGACAGGCGGATGGGCTATTCCTTTTTAGGAGGAGTAGTCGCTTAGTCATAGGCTTTATATTCACTAGATTATATGGCAAGTGAATATAAAAAATTATTTCCTAAAGATTAAAAAAGGCCTATTTATAAAGGCGAATTATGTCACGATCTGGTTGTCTCTACGCGCTAGTCTAGAGGCAAGACCATTCGACCATAAAAGATACAAAGACAACTGATTGAAAGATCAGTTGCTTCTAGCACCCTATATAGAATATTATTTTATATGACCTGTCAAGTTGCCCGCCTTCCAACAGTGGAAAAAACCTTGTAATTGACAGCATTTATTTTGCTCGAAATCCTCCCGCTTTTCCACATAAATCTGCAGAAATCTGCCATCTGGGCCAAAAAGGTTAGAACCCCGCACATCTGAATTTAAATTTATCAATTAGCTAGTCCTGTCAATTCAAATGCGCTGATTCTGTTCCCTTTGTCATAATTTAATTAAATGCGTTAGTAGAGGCAGGAGAGCTGCTGAAATTTTTTTTAAGGTTTCCTTTGTTGGCAGGATATTACGCGTTGACTAAGCATTGAGGATCAGGTGACAGAATCTGCCAGCAAATAGGATTGTGGGTTAGTCTAGGCGGTAAGTAGACATAATTGCATCAGCACAGACTGCAAGTGCAGCCTTTCAGCACGGATTACTTATGATTCATGAAGTTGAAAATGAATTAAAATTTTTAAAAAATAGATATTAATCTGACTATTTAATTTATATAAAATTGACTCTAAGTCATATATAAAACCCCCACCTTCCTAATTTAGTAATATTGGAGCTAAAATTATGCTGTGGATTTTTACTCCGGTAGGCGGTGCGGGTTCTACATTATGAAAGATTGTGTAACAAACTGTTATACAAAGTATTTTAATTCTGTTATATTATATTTATTGTTTTAACCCTGTTTTAAATATATATATAGACGCGTAGGCTAATTAAATATTTAAAACATTATATTTCCAATATATGGTTACATATTTCGAATTTTACAAGCACTGTTACTGTAATTTATTGAAATATTACACTGATGCACTTGGATGTTCAGGTGCCAATTTATTAACAGCTTTGTGTTAGCCGAAATATGCTAATAGAGATATCTGCAGGGATCGGAGCCATAACAGCTCAAGTTCGAAGGCTTTTAGTGGAGCTATCTCAGCCGACACGTGACCTAAGGCTGTATAAATACCCTTGGTCAGCAATCAGCTTTGTAAGTTACATATGTTCTACCTATATTATTGAGCCAAGACGTGACATGTCACAGGTTAAACCCAGTCTGGTGCTCAGACTAAGGCCTTCACTACTATATAGGGCGTTAGATACAACTGATCGAAGATCAGTCGTCTTGCACCTTTTTATATGGTCAAGTGTCAAGTTGTTTTATCTCTCCTAGCGAAGAGACAACCAAACTATCACACAACACCGCTGTATATCTTGTACCTCCTATTATATTGACTTTTCCACTGGTGCCAGGACCGTATCTTAACAGTGGTCGACATAGTGTAGTGGAGGAACTAGAGGGATTGGCACGCGACAGTTATATGGTAATTATTATCTCAGGTCCTCGTTCAAAGAGGTAATAGACAATCAACAACCTTCTTGAGACCATGGAGCGCAGTTGAGCAAAGGGAATGTTGTCTTCTCTCCTACCAGGAACTCGCGGGCTCAGGGCCCACAACTTTCAAACTGTTTAAGAGTGTCTCCTTGACCTACTCCATTGGAGTCCTACCATTTCCCTCTCATTCAATAGTTGGCCGCACACATGACTAGGGCGACCCACAGCAGACATCACAGTATACCTGTGGATTCGACAAACCCTCAGGCTAAAGTCAAAAATACGAGGCCCTATAGGCTATAATAGCTTTAGAAGATAGTAGATCCACACCATGATATACATTTATTAAGGTATGAAATAAAACTACTCTGAGTATAGCGGGAAGAATATCAAACTGCGACCCCTAGCCAGTTGACAACTGCCCGAATGTGGTAGTGGGCCAATGGCCGCATGCTCGGGTGAACAAGTTGCAGGCCCTTAGAGTATCTTCTGCGGCGCCCATGCCCTCCGGGCTCCCTTTGGGTCCTAGGGTCTGATATGCTGTACAGCCTGTGGTTAGGGTGTTAATTATACTAAATCTCCCCTACTGGATAGTGGAATCAGGTAGGACTAGGAAGGTTATGGCATTATATTTCACGGCTCTTATAGCTAATGAAGAAAAATCAAATATTGATTTCTCCTTGCTACTGGCTAAGAAAACTATACTTGGTCTATTTATACTTCCTATTAGAAGGTAAGTATACCATTGTCAGTTGTCACAGTGCTGGCCCACCTTCTTGTACGTTTTAACCATGAGTGTTGAAGCCCGTTTGACCTCTCAGGCCTATTCTACTGGCCATTGACTTTATGGGCCCTCAATGATCCACAACACGTGACTATCCTTTCTTATCTGTTACCTGTGTGAAGGTTTGGTTGTTTCGTTGTTAGTCTGGAGGTAAACCATTCGACCATAAAAGGTACAAGACAACTGATCTTTCGAGTCACATCTAGTGCCTTATATAGTAGCGAAAGCCTATAAGCGTCTTTCACATTAATATAAGCTACATTAATTAGCTATATCTACATGTTAGTATAAATATAGTTATCAACTACTCCCGCAGAATATATATCTTTAGCTTCTACTAATTCAAGGACTATAAGAGGCTGATACCAGATAGTGATTAGATACTTAACGTAATTCCCGGTCGAGTCGGCCACCGCGGCCGAGCCGGCCACCCACGCGTTTTCTACGCGCTTTAATCCTAATTACAATTCAAATCACCACCATGCCACCAAAATCATGTGCAAAGTCTCAAAAATATGTTGAGCAAAAGGGGAGGATCTTATTAGTAATATCAGCTATTAAAAATGGGACTATATTATCTATTCGTGAAGCTGCGCAAGTTTATAATATACCTAGGACTACCCTCCAAGACCGGCTTCGTGGTATTTAAAACCGCAATGAAAAGCGCGCCAATGGATATAAATTAACCCAAAACGAAGAGAAATCGCTTATACAGTGGATATTATCTATGGACCGACATGGTGCTTCTCCCCGACCATGTCACATACAAGATATGGCCAATATTTTTTTTAAGAAGCGTGGTTTAACTAACATTTAATTTGTTAGCAAGAACTGGGTCCACAGCTTTATCCAACGCTATAATAAGATAAAAACAACTTATTCCCGCCGATATAACTACCAACGGGCTAAATGTGAGGATCCCAAGATTATCAAAGAGTGGTTTGACCGTGTACAAATAACTATTATGCAGCATGGGATTGCTCTTAAGGATATTTATAACTTTGATAAAACTGGCTTTGCAATGGGCTTAGTTGCAACTGCTAAAGTAGTAACTAGAGCAGATATATATAGTAAATGTTAGTTTGTACAGCCTGGAAACCGGGAATAGGTTACTTTAATTAAGTGCGTGAATTCTACAGGATGGGGCTCTACCACCCTGTATAATTTTTAAGGGAAAGGTCCATATTAAGGGCTGGTATAAAGGTAAAGCTCTACCACCTGACTGGAGAATTAAAGTTAGTGATAATGGTTGGACTACTAATAAGATTGGACTACGCTGGCTTAAGAAGCTTTTTATTCCTGCTATAACTGGTCGCACAACTGGGAAATATCGCCTGCTTGTTTTAGATGGCCATGGAAGCCATCTAACTCCTTAATTTAATTAGATATGTGCAGAGAATAATATTATACTAATCTGCATGCTAGCACACTCTTTAAATCTCTTACAACCTCTTGATGTTACATGCTTTTCACCACTCAAGCGGGCCTACGGGCGCTTGATTGAAAATAAGGCACAGCTTGGCTATAATTATATTAATAAATTTGACTTTCCTGAGGCATATCCACAGGCCCGCACGGAGGCATTTAAGCCAGATACTATTAAAAATAGCTTCGCAGCAACTGGCCTGGTTCCATTTAATCCAGAGAGGGTGCTTGAGCAGCTTAGTATGCAGCTTAAAATACCTACACCACTAGGCAGTCGGTTAACCTGTTCTGCACCTAAAACACCTTATAATTTCAAGCAGCTGGAAAAGCAAGTATTTATATTAAAAAAGATACTTAGGGCACGCACACAGAGCCCACCTTCTCCTGCAGAAGAGCGATTAGACAAGATTGCAAAGGGATTTGAAATGGCTTTGAATGAGACTATTCTTCTTGCTAAAGAAAACCAGGATCATCGAGCTGCAAATAAGAAAGAGGTTAAACAAAAAAAGCGATCTAAGCGTCAAAAAAAAAAAAAAAAAAAAAGAAGGCTCTTCTATCCAGGAAGCTCAGCAGAGTATTGAGAGTAGGAATCAGGTCCAGGAAGTGCACGACACTATACCAGAGGATCCAGCTTATTCTACAGCTTAACCACGCACACGGGCGCCACCACGTTGCAGTGATTGTCATGTTATTGGACATAAAAGGTTGCAATGTCCTAATCGTAATAGTAGTTAGCTTTTATATAGAAATGCATTTTCGGGGTTGAAAAGCGTGTTGTTTTCTGACTTAGGTTGGAGGTGGCCGGCTCGGCCGGGAATTACGTTAGTATATACTCCAAGTCTCTAACAAGAAGAGTGAATGGAGACCGCGACGAGTTTAGATTGGCTAATTAATATTAATTAGCAGAGAATAGATTGGTCTTGTCAGGGCGGCTGACAGGCTAATAGCGTGATGGTTTGGTTGTCTACGCTAGAGAGATAAAACCACTTGACCTTTTAAAAGCTCTAAAATGGACGTATATAATGAGATACTTAAACTATCGCTTGATGATACTGATTAAGATATTAATTCCGACATTGAGCTGCCCTCGAATCCTGAACTGCTGAGCTGGATTGACCAACTCCTCTACCACCTATTTTCGAGCCATTTGAAAAGATCTTGTTGGGTCGCTCATCCAATAAGACCGTTTCCACTGACTAAAATGCGAAGTGTGGAGAGGATATTGGATCCACGGCCCTGTGTGGACGGGGTCTGCTCACGTGTCACATGCCGAGCTGAGGTACGCTCTATTGCACAATAAAAATAAAACCTACCTGATATATACTTCAATATCAATACAAGCAACATATCACAATTTCTACAAAAAGCCAAATTATTATCGCGGCCAGGAAACAAATTAAATATACAAAACAGACCAAGAGCCATACGAAACAGGTGACGGTCGGAATCCATGATGCATCTTTTCTCGGTTCTAATATACACCATGACAAACCAGGTATAGCAGAATGAGCCAGCTCAAGTAGAAATGCAGACCGAAAGCTGACGATAATCATGGAGGTGCGAACTATGGAAGGACAGAAAAGATCGGGAATGTGCAAGAGGAGAGGGAACAAAAGGAAAGAAGAGAAAAGGAAAAACGTAATGCTCGTGCTAATGCTTCATGATATAGACTGCCCATAGCAGTAAAAACCCAAAGTTGAGGCCAGCGTTTTGTGCTGCGGTCTCAATAGATCAGAATGCTTCAGAGTCTCAGGGCATCCAGGATTTTCTTCGCCATCTCTCGGTATTGCCACATGCCTCCGGCAACTTTCTTAAACTGAATACCGTGTAAAGAGAAAAGGGGCACCTTCACAATGAGGATTTCAAACCGGAGAATTAGATTCTCCCCAGTGTCGCTCTGAACGTGCGTGGTGGTCTCTCCCACCACACGTTCTCCCACACCCACGTTGTTGTTGTCTCGAGGACCGACATATTCGTCGGAGGCGTCCGAGTTGGTCACGAAACTGCGATCTGGTGGAGCACGGGTCCGACGCGTAGTTCTGGGTGTGTGACGAGTATCCTCCTTGCCGTCGTCGTGGTTCAGAAGTCCGCCAAAACTAATTCGCCGGCGATGGTTGGAGACATTGCCTTGCCGGTCAGGGCTAGGAGGGCCAACATCGATTACTCTCCCCAGGTCAATACTTGGTGCATGGCGACAGCTAAACCCTCCCTTAATTTCAACATATTCCACAGAAAGCTGCTTGAGCACCCGGATGATATCGGCGCGGATGACGGGTAGAGGCTTGCTGCTGGTCGTTGACACGCTGAAAAGCCCCTTCAAGTAGACTGGCTTGGACAAATCTTCACCTTCATTCGCGCTCTCCAGTGCAGTCCCTCGCCCTGAGTTATCCGCATCGGTCTCCTCGGGGACATTGGCCTCCCTTGCAGCATCCCGCCGGGCCCTTCGTGCTTGTATACTCTCACGACGAGCATGACCAAGTGACATAGTTCGGGAGGTATGAGTGCGACCTGTCGATCTCGGCTCCTTCGAGGGAGTTTGATCTTTCTGCACGTTCGCGCTATAGTCAGACCCACTGGTCTGAGGTGGCTGACCTAGTGTGTCGGGGTCAATCAAACGGGCCGCTCTTCGAGAGCGATAGTCAGCCGAATTAACGCTTGTCGATCGCTCCAAGAACTTGTTAGATCGTGCGGCCGGCTCGGCCGATCCTGGTGTGAGTAGATCTTGATGCGGCTGGCTGCCTGCAGACGGGATAGCCGTCGGCGATGGGTCGGCACGTCTGCTTCTCCTCATGCTGAATCCCCTGGATAATGGAGATGCTGAGTCGGCAGGTGGCTGGACGTGCAGCGACGGTGCATGAGGGCTGCCCAATCTTCCCCGTTCCGGATCGCGGCTTCGCTCCTTGTTTCTTCGGGTGCTGAACCGTCTCAAAATGCCTACCGCAGTGCTTTCTTTCTTTGCCGGGGTCTCGAGCTGTGATGTAGGAGGAGCTGGGGATACTTGTCCGGCCGCAAGGTTAAGATTTTTGACCCCATCGGCAATTTCATCATCTCCGTGAGTTCTTGCTCGAGGGCGAGACCTTCTTCCAGTGTCCTTTTCTCCCGGTACGTGGTATTGGTTGGTGTGTGCCGCTTCTGGGGCGGGTAGATCTGGCATCTGAACCACAGCATCTCCAGCCGACTGCGGACCACCCAGAGCCCCAGGGTTGGTTTCGGCTTTCTCTTTATCTAATTTCTCCTTAACAAGGTAATAAATGGATAGCAAAGGGCTATAGGCATTTATAGGGTCGGTTCCCAGTTGGACAGCCTCCGCAGATGGTGCCGACAGAGTATCTCTGCTGGCCGAGTTGCGCCGTTTGTAGAAGTCAAACATGCCACGCTTCTTCTCGCCATGGCTAGCGGGAGGTTGTTCACGAATGCTGGCCCTCACAGCATGTTGATAATCCTCCGATTCAATGATTTTTGTAAGTTGGGCTATGATGTATTCCGGAGGCCCAAAATCAAACCCCGTCATCTTCTCAATGACCTCTGGATCCAATGGCAATTTCAATGGCTCCCGGTGGGGAAGGTTGTTGTCAGGCACCGTATTGAACCCCTTGTTCATCCATGGGTGGCTCATGATCTCTGCCAAGCTTGCGCGCTGCTTCGGGTCCGTGACCAACATGCGCGAGATTATGTGGCGGCACTCTGCAAGATTCAATGGGTTAGTGTCGCTAGCGGACACGAGTGTCAAGAGGTTGTAAAATTATCTTACCTGTCGTAAGCCCCGGGGGGTACTCAAACACGCCCTGTTTGATCTTTGCATGTAGCTTTGGCATACTTTGGTCGTCGAAGGGCACTTTTCCGCAGACCAAAACGTAGAGAACGATTCCAAAGCTCCACACATCCACCTCTGGTCCGGTATACTGTCTCGCCTGTAGCAATTCTGGAGCAGCGAAATAGAGACTGCCGCAGAAGGTCTTCAAGAGACTCCTCGGGGAGAACAAGTTGCTGAGACCAAAATCGATAATCTTGATATCGCCAGTCTTGCTGATCAGGATGTTCTCAATCTTCAGATCACGATGCACAATGCTATTGCGATGGCAATAGTCTAATGCACTGGCGATCTGACGGGCGAATTTCCTGGCCTGTTTCTCCTTCAATTTCCCGTGGGAGATGATGTAGTCCAGCATCTGACCGCCGTTGACGAGCTCGAACAGCATGTACCAGTGATAATTGGTCCGCACCACATCTCGCATGCCACATATATATGGATGGTTAACCAGGCTGACAATAGCTGCTTCGCGAGCAGTTCGGATTTCCTTCGAACGATCGGCTCTCTCCGCCTCGCGTGAGCTGCGATGTTCCTCTGTTGATTGCCTGGGGACAATCTTGACGGCGACCTAGAATGAACCAGACAACATTAGAGGAGTCTACGCAAGGAGACTTTGGAATATTCACCTGTTCTCCGGTCTCTACGTTTTTCCCCACCTTGACCTTGCCCATACTCCCTGCGCCCAATGTCTTGCCCAGTGTCCACTGGCCCGACGGAGTTGTGATCATTGTACGTCGCTTCGATTGCACCGAGTTCATAGGATGCAATCGTGACCCCGGGGCAGCCTGTGGGGGAGGCGCAGCAGCCTCGGTCACAACGGGCGCAGCAGCCGTCATGTCGATACTGTTCCGCTGATGGCCTTGAACGGAAAGGTTCCGGTGGTGTTTATTTGGAGATGAATCGGGGCGGTATGATGTTGACGGGCGTTCCTGGGAACGCTCCCTGGAACTACTCCGACGGGCGGAGATCGGCTGGACCGCTCTGGAAGCCTCGTAATCTCGACGGGCTATATTGTCAAAGACCGCCTGGTTCGAAGGGGGGCGGCGATCATGAGAATGCGACTTGGTGTGGGAATGAGAATAATAGTTTTGCGATTGATGGTGATGTTGCGAGAGGAACTGAGATGCGGTCGCGGGTCTGACTGCGACACTTCGAGTTCGGTGAGGGATATCGGAAGTAGCAGGACGATAGGAGGGAGGTCGGGATGAGGTAGACTGGCTGCGGACAACCGACGGCGACGCAGTTGAGGGAGCAGTGGTGGACATCACGATAAGAGAGAGAGACAGTGAGAGAGAGAGAAGGAAAAAAAAAAAAAAAAAAAAAAAAAAAAAAAAAAAAAAAAAAAAAAAAATAGGTATCCAAGCCGCTTCGAACACCCCGGGGGATGTCTAACCTGAGACAGAAGGAAGGGGATGCACGTTAGAGAAAACAAAGAGAACGAGTCCCGGTCGGGGTGAGCGGGGAAGATGGCGTTCGCTGACTGTCAAGAATCCGGCAGCCAGCGTCGAACCGTCCAGCAGACGATTCGAAGTTCCCCCATACACAAGCCAAACGGACGAGGGAGATAAAGGAAGGTGAGGAAAGGGGATAGGATGGAGGGGGAATGGATGGATAGGGTAGGAGGTGGGTAGACCAAAGGATGAGAGCGAGGCAGAGTTAGTCGTGGACGATGGATGGATGCGGAGAGAGAAAGGGAGAGAGGAAGAAAGGGACAACGGCCCGCAACCAGAAGAGGCGGCCGGCGACCTTTCTAAGGAGTTACGAGGTTGAGAAAGATACATACTACTACTAAGGTGCTAAGGTACGGAGTATAAGGTCCTCCGGTCGACGAAGGTTCTTCTCTGCAGGGACATCCCTACCAGATATCCAATAAGTCAGTCCCCTCAGAAGATCTTAAGCTTAAGACCTACAATCTAACAATCACGATGTCCATTCCAGCCCTAGTACGAGACGAGACCAGACGAGACAAGGCACATTCCATTCCATTTCTGGATCCGATCGGTAGAACCAAAGAATGAAGAGCCAAACCTGGGCCGGACGTTGCAACGCCAATCTTAATCTTATTCTTCAACACCACGAGTGTTTCGTTGCGCTGGAACCGATCCGATTTGAATTCCCCTCAATGGCCCAGGGGTTGATCCTTCCCCAACGAACGTTACGTCAATTAGGTAAGAGGAACAAGATAACTAACAATGGACCAAAGTCTTCTAGTGATTTAACTTGTTACGGAGTCGGTTGGGACCTGGCACCGGGGACGAATATCATGTGATTTCTTAATTTAACAAACTTGACGCCGTTGATCTTTGGGATACTGAAGACAGCCCTTTGTATAGAACATACAAGTCAATTGAGAGAGGTCTAATGTATGGTGACGACTTACTGGACAACTTAACGGTAGATTGATGTCAATTGCTAAGAGGACTCTGTAGACTAAAGGATCGCTTCCAGTCCATCATCCCATCACACAGGAACCCCTTTTCTATCTTTACGAGAATAAAAATAAAAATAAAACCAAGCCATTCTCCATGCAAACAATCCAGGCCGATCGGAAGGCAAAAAAGGCACAGCCGCTAGCAACGGACGCTAGCCCTTTTTCTCCCATTTGGGGACACGAGGTTCGTGTTGTCTGACTAAACGGCAGCTTCAATCTCCGCCACACAATTGCGGCAGTGCGTTATTGTGGCTCGTGAATTCTAATCTATCCTATCCGTACGGACTCTCCAAGCTATGTCTTCGCAAGCCACGCTTTTTGTAATACGCACGAGTCTATTGAGGTGTAACTAGCAGATCATCTGCTGGTTTCTGTTCCACTCACTGCCTTTCTTTACTCAGGTATACTTATTTGGTTTTTATTTTTCCCTCTGCTTTTCCTTCCGATCATTTGTTTCTCCAGACCTCAACCGCTGACACCATACGTCATCACCCCAGAGTCACTACAAAGATGATCACATTGTAGCCTGCATGTCAGCGTTGTGAATACCTGCAATGTCCAGCAAAAGGAATCGAGCAGCCTTCGAGGCTGACTTGCAATCACATCAGTCTCCCTACGCCTTCTTCGGAACCCCTCTTCCACCGCTAGATGACCGCGTCCGGGACGATGGATCATACAAGCCGGTCTGGAAACAGGAGGTGACCGATGACCGGGGAAGGAAACGCCTCCATGGTGCCTTCACCGGCGGATTTAGTGCCGGGTGAGCTCACGATTCGTCGATCGCGTTGGACAGCACACTAAATGTGGTGGCGTCTCCAGGTACTTCAACACTGTCGGATCGAAAGAGGGATGGACCCCTGCGACCTTTGTCTCATCTCGACAGAACCGCGCCAAACCAGCCCAAGAACAACGACCGGAGGATTTTATGGATGAAGAGGACATACATGAAGCAGAGGAGGCGAAGCGACTAGCCACCACCGATGAATTTACGGGATTTGGATCCACGAAGACTGATTCTACCCGTCGTGGAGGATTAATGGACCTTCTCAAAACTGGCGGTGAAACCATGGGCGTTAAGCTGTTGAAGAAGATGGGCTGGAAAGAAGGCCAAGGGGTTGGTCCCAAAGTCCGACGTAAAGCCAATCTCGGAGACGGATCAGGCCCCGGGGGGTCCGAGGCCAACAAGACGTACCTATTCGCACCGGAAAACCCGCCGATGGTTGCCTTTATACATAAGACAGATCATAAGGGACTTGGATTCGAGGGCGAATCGCGCCTAAAGTCCCACAACGTCGGGGATGGCGCATCGGAGGACGAGGATCACTTCTTCGGCCGGCGACTAATAGGCCAGGGCAAATCAAGGCAACCAAAACCCAAAGAACCCCGCCGCGGAGCCTTTGGCGTTGGTGTACTGAATGATACTGGATCAGATGACGAGGATCCGTACTCGTTGGGACCGCAGATTTCCTATAACCGGGTTATCGGAGGTGACAAGAAGAAGAAAAAGAAGAGCTCTGCCGAAATTGGGAAACCGTCAGTATCATCGTCAAACCCTCTTTTCAACAGCAAGCCGGTATTTATATCGAAGAAGGCTATCGCGGCCAAGAACTCGGCCGGCTTCCGGAAATGTCACGACGGCCGTTTGCCCTTAGATGGTTTTCTCCTCGCCGACGGCATATCAGGCCTCTCGATTTCATCACAGGAGAAGAAATACGCGCCTCCTGAGATTCCTAAAGACTGGAAGTCCAATAAAGCGCCGTCCAATGAGAGAGATGATTCCAACTATATTTCTACAGCGGAGGCCGCCAAAGCGTCCTCGCTGGATCCCACATCTAGGGCTGCACTTTTGGGGGAGACCCAGCTACCGGGGAAGTCTATCTTCGATTGGATGACCCCCGAGGCTCGAGAGAGGATCATGAAGCTTACGGGGAAAACCGATCTACCACCTGCTTTAGGTGAAAAGGCTCCAAAAGGCTACGAGTTAACCGATTCGCAGCGGCGGAAGGACTTATGGGATCTTGTTCCGAAGCTGGATAAGCAGCTCGCTGTTCAGGCTTTGACCAGAGCAGCTAGTGGTTGGATGCCTTATTCCGATGATCAGGATAAGCGCTCCCGCTATCGCACATTTCTCGAGGTGCATGCTGGGCTCCGAGATACATTACCAGAGCGAGTCCCTGGCTCGAGCACGGATGAATGGGCTGCAGAACTCTACGAGTTTGCGCGGGCAGCTGAGGTATTCAAACCAATGTCGGGGCTGATGGCCTCACGGTTTACCTCCGCATCCTCAGGACCCAAGGGATCATCCGAGGAGACCACCCCCTCTACTGACCCGTTACTCAGTAAACCGACCGAGAAGCCTGAAGACCCAGCTGCGGCAGCTGCAAAGATTGGGATGTTTGGACCGATGACTCGGACCAGCACTTCCTTCTACCCCTCGCGTCTCCTGTGCAAACGATTCAATGTGAAACCTCCAGACCATGTGCAACTCGACCCTGGGGCACAACTGGGACGCGCAGAGCCCGCGTCGGGTGGGCGCTTCCAGTCAGCCGGATATCAGACCGAGCCTAGAACCAAGGAATTGGTTTCTCAGGATGTAATAAACCGGCTCATGTCAGAGACTGGAGTGTCCGCTTCTACCACCACCGGAGCGCCTGTCGCACCCGAGAAACGTCAACCAACAGCAATGGAACCCGAGCGCAACGAGGCACTGGAGGCGGAGCGACCGGGAGAGGCTGTTTTCAAAGCGATCTTTGGGAGCGACGATGAGGATGAAGAGGTGTGAATTGAGCGAAGCGGAGTTGAGAGGAATTTTTTTGCCACCCAGTGTGTAAGAATAAAAATCTTGCTAGTTGTAATTGTATATAGCTGTTACACGACCTGCAGAAATGGATCTGACGGTGAGCGAGAGCGAGACAACCAGCGGTCTTCCGAGCGAGGGAGAGAGAGTGTGTGTGTGATGAGTGTAAAAAGACACAAAGATGGTGTTTCTTCAATATAAGCCGGCGATCCACGGCGCGTGACCAGTGGAGTCCAATCGGTCGTTACTTGACGATGACTTATAGCATCTTCCCCTCACGTCAATCTTCCTCATCTCTTACTTCCCCTCGTCTTCCACCTGCCCTGCGACTTTTTCGGTTCTCCTCTCCCTTCACCATGTTGCTGTTCTGGTGCAAGTGAATTCCCCCACTTCGCCGCCAGTCTTATGATTTCCGCAGGTACGGGCCATCTACATTGTGAATCTAGGTCATCCTTGCTCCCTGACCTTCCTCTCTCTACTTCTTTTTCTTACGCCAGAAAAGGGCATTGAAAGATAGATCTGATTACTGTCTTCTGGCTGATGGAGTCTCGTCGATCTGCGATCTGCACAAGATGGTAAGCCCTATGTAGTTTCAAATATCTTCCATCCTCCATGCGATCATACGTCATCGGCGCATGTATGGCAGTACTGTCCTCTCTGAGCCGTCGCAAACGTTCCTGGGCCATGGGCTATGGGCGATTTCTGCTTTTTACGTTATTTTACGTTATTTTATTCTATTCTCTTTTTTAACCTTAATCCCACATGCAGGGTTGTTGCTTTTCCTCACCTCGCGACGACACCGACTCGCAATATGCGTCCAGAGTAGCCACCGGGGAGCGCCCGGCGGAATCATCACCCCCTGTTCATTCGTCCTCCGATACCAGCGCACCTTCTGCTTCCTCGACCGTGCGTCAACGCCCGGCAAATCAGTTTGCGTTGAGCGAGCATTTCAATGCCCCCATCCGCCACCATGTCTGGTACAGTAAGCGTCGCCTTTGGAATCGCGCCCAGCTGGATCAGGAGCGCAAGGAGTTCTTCGAGACCAGGGTCACCGGTCGGCCGGAGGTCTGGGCCGCTTTATCGGCCGCACTGTCGTTTTTGCGCGACGGTGATCTCGCCACAGCCCAGAGTATGATTGATGCTGCTGGGATCACGGTGCCCACGGGGGATCCTTGTCAAGGCTGCTACGACGAACAAGGGGTCCTCTACCGACTGCCCCAGTGTATTGTGAGCGATCCGGAAAATACGATGCACTCGAATGCCACCGGGGAGGACGAACACGATGACGACGACTTGGACATCGAGGGTGGCAAACTGTCGCCCGATGAAGCTTCGGGCGATGAACTGATCGCAGAGGACCTCGAACGGCGCAGGGACGAAAAGGGCAAAATCAGCGAGCGTGACCTGATCCGCGTGAAGGCCCGACTCAGCGACAGGGATGAGCCAGACCTGGTGGTGGCTGTCGGGAATGCACAGAATGTGGGTGTTATAGCGCGCAAAGTGCAGCAAGAAGCTCGGGTACGTCATTCAGTCTACGTATGGAATCCAACTTGCTAACGTATAGCATACACGATGCAGATTCCTAGGAGTCACCGAGTTCGTATCGCCTATCTGGGCAAAATGCTCAAAGAAGATTATTCTCTTGTCGAGCAAGGGTGGACACCAGGCCACGTGGTCAACGCAATGGTTGTGTGCAGGCACCTTTCCTGACGATGCTTCGAGAAGAGAAATAGTATTCCAATTTGACTTTAACACTCTCTGTCTTACAAACGACATGTTATTGAACAGCCCAGTATATCCTGGTTTCGATATCCAATCACACTCCCAAACCCACATTCTCGACATCCACATATGCAATGCTCATCTCCTGTTTCTTGGCGTTGTCGTTCTGCATAATACCCATATGTTTTCTTCTCCGTCGTTGCTACGATTTATTGGCTTAGTTGGGACGTATCATGCACTCCTGCTATTCCTTGGCGATCTCGCCAATACGACATTGTTCTGTTCTACTTGCTTATTTATCCCCGCCATATCGATTTCTACGAATTTTCTACTTAATGTGTGATAGATATATCATGATCACGATGGCTGAATGTGCTTGCTATTTGTACTTGACAGAGTTATCCTGCTATGGAATAAATACGACTAGGTATTCAATACATCTGTGCATCTGTCTATTTGATTTAGACCTACGTAAATAAGAAACTACAAAAAGAATGCATCATCCGTGAATCGAACACGGGCCTCATCGATGGCAACGATGAATTCTACCACTAGACCAATGATGCCGGAGCTGCGGACCAGATGAGATCTGATTGGCTGCTTGATTTTAGTGTGCTAAAATCACTATATAAGCCAAGAGACAATTGATCGCCCAGAATGCCTATTCAATTTAACATCATGTAGGGACGAGTGGTATAAATTGCATGAGTATGTAGGGGGGGATAAAAATAATATAAAGAGAAAGAAGTTAATGATGTTGAAATGATGTGACTTTAACTACAGCAGTGGTAAGCTTTTCCCATACAGTATAGAGAAACTACAAGTTCTACAACTATTTCTACTAATTTATCACCAGAACCATCTGGATTAACTATCTAGTGCCTTCAATCCCAGGTGAGTGCATCACCTTATTCATCCCTAGAATTTTACCCAGGGTGGTTTGGGGTTATGTTTTTAATGTCTATGTGGGAGATATATTTCTTCGGAGGAGGATTCTATAACCTCTTCCTATTACCAAGGCTATATATATTTCTTGGCGTGCTACATTTAACAATGTACTTTCCTCTTTAGATCCATGTCTATAGAGGACCTGGTATCTGTGCCTTGCTAGTATTAAGTACCAACTAGTAGCACCACCAAGTCCATAGCCCAACATTCACAGCTGGCCTGCAGCAGGTCAATAGAAGTTGACAAACTGATTAACTAACTGAGTGATTGACTGACTGATTGATCAAGTATTCCATAATTTCACACTACGCTTAATATATTTTTTTCGACGAGTATATCTCACAGATAACTCAAAAAATATCCCGCAGGAACAAGGCCCACAGGACAATGGTGCACTAATAGAGCCTAAATAATTAGCTAGGATTTTTTGCCTAAGAGTTAAAACTCTGCTGAGCTCTTCTTTCCTCCTACCTAATCCATCTACTTTTCTACAAATATCGCAGAATTCTAGTATCAGCCATAAAGCCGAAGCCATTCTAGTTTTAACCCCAGTGCCAGGCTCACAGCAACTCAGATTTCAAATCTGGCGGATATACCAATATCTTGCACCCGAGTATACGAGGATATGTGGCCAAGGAGATCTACATCTTCAATAAGCTGAAAGACTCCATGAGACCGGCAGTGAGAGACGATGGACACTTACTGATGACACGTCAATTGACACGACTTCCCTAACTAATGTTGGCTCTTCCTTCTCTCAGGAAATAAAACGTAACTTTTGATAGGGCCCATTGAGATTGTCAATGGAATCCTGTTAATAACAATAGTTAGAGCCTACAAAGAGTTGGACCATGGTGCTCTTTTGTTGTTGAACAGTGCTTTTTCATGTTGACACACCTATTCCAAAGTGTGAACGGTGACTGGAGACACTATGTGCCTCATTGAAACCATTCGCTTCTGTGGATTCTACGTGCACTTTACATCCCTGGATGGTGGGTTGGATAGTACCTCCCTGAAGGCATTGTGTCCGGCCATATGCATTTGAGCCAGCATTCGAGGTGATGGTTCCACCCAGGTCAATTGTGAATGAGGTGGGCGTTTTGAAACAAACACGAGACTGCTCCCCAAAGACATGCATGGACGGACATCAAAGCCATTGACCTAGTGGGTTCTGTCCTTTTGTCGATGACCATATTGCCGGGGCTGCCGATTTCATAGCATGTTTTCTTTAGTATTGCAAAATAGTCCTGTTTCTGCTCCAGCTACCTGTCTATTAGATCGAATGTATAGTACCTTCGGTAAGAAGAGACATATCACTATCCCAAACTAACATTTCTCCAGGGGCATTCGAACCATCCTCGAACCAAACATTACAGCCCTCGGTTCGGTAGATATCTGTCTCATATGCCGCCAACCTGTCGACCTCCTTTGACTTGATCCGCAGACTACACCGTGAACAGTCCCATCCAGGGGTCTGTTCAGGAGTGCGAGATAGTTTCCTAAGAACATAATTTCATGGACAAAGAGACAGCCAGGGCGGAGATCAGGTGTACCAGAATGTTTCAACATAAGGGCAAGTATCTGAGGATCCATGTAGAAGAAGTACAGTCTCTCTGAATGGATGCCTAATTTTGCTGGCAGCGGCAAGCTGTTCCACGTTCTCGGCAGCGCGCATAAATTTTCGTGCCATCAATGAATTTTGTTTGGGGTCCCCGGGGGGTGCTTTTGCTCATTTATTTTTTCTATTGGATTTCTTGGCTCGATAGATGGGTTTGTTTCAATGCAACGGCGTGGTAGGGAAGCTTACAACAGATCTCGATGGAGATACTGCTGGGAGCGGCAAGAGAACTGGTAAATTAAGTCAGATGAAAATATGGTTATCTGTATACAAGCTGCTCAAACATAGAAGATAAGTATTAGCAACTTCTGATAGAGATATTTGTGATAGGGGTGATGGGAATATATGGGAGAATCTTACTTCACTATGCGGCGCATCCTATACTCATGCTTAGTCGTTTCTATATCCCCTGTGCCTCTATAGATGCGTTATACATAGGTTGCGATAGCTGCAATGTGATGTAAATGGCTCTAATCCAGATAGATAACAAATCCGACTGAAAGAGCTTAAAAACCGATTTAGTCTGCTTGAATGAGTACATCCTCGAGCTTATAGTGCGAGAAGGAATGTAGGAATAGCAATAAGAAAAATCTGCCGCCTACAATAATGCATCCCCGAGGACGGTAGCCATCATTTACTCTAGCAGTACCAAACATAGGCAGGGAAAATTATTGAATTACTACATCCACAATTATCCAAATCTTCAAACTTCCTATCTGAATGCAACCAAGCAATTTAACTATAAGAATACCCAACAGGAAATGGACATCTCACACCAATCGAACATTCTCTGCCTCCCGTCCCTTAGGGGTCGATCCAGAGCGTCTCTTGAACACGCGACACACCACTCCTCCTCCGGTGATGATCCATCGTACGAAGGTAGTGGGGTTATACTTTTTGATACGGAACGAGTAGTACAGGAGGACGGTTCCCAGGATATTGAAACCGATGTACGCAAATCCTATTCCGAAATTGCGCCAGCGTTCACCATAAACTGAAGGTAAAGGGAACAAGTTAGTCACGGACTCTTTACAATATGACACAGGACCGTTGGAGAGGGGGGGAAAACAGCAACGTACGGATCTTCGAAATAGCTAAATATTGGTCGGCGTTCCGGAACTGACAGTACTGGCACCCCTGCGTTGCATCTGGATTGTACAACTGGCCAGGGGCAGCCTGTAGATAGGAGGCCAGGTACTGGCCGCATGTTGAACCGGCGGGTGGATTGAAGACACTGAGTTCTTCACTAGAACAAGTGATTGGTCGCCCGTGTAACCCTGTCGCGGTCATACCAGCAATCAGGTACGACAGTGGCGAGACGCGGTACATGAAGATCCAGAAGCCCGGGAGGGCGGTAGGTGGCTGCATGACACCGTTGAAAATAAGAGTCATCATGAACAGGAGAGTGGCGATAGTACCACCTGTTTCGGCGTCGGGGAGGGCGGCAATCACGAATGACGCAAAAGTTGAAGTGAAGATATAGAACTGTATAATAAAGAGCAGCATGAGCCCCTGACGATTGCTTGCTTGGTTGGCTCCAAAAACAGGATAGTAATATGCCCCGAAACTGATGACACCGGCGAGAACCTGATAGGGAATCTCAACAATGACGTTGGCGATCAGGAATGCAGCCCATGAGTATGCCTTGGACGGTCTTTCGCGGACCTCGTATAGAGACCGTTGGACCACGAATTTGGGCATAATTCTGTGTTTTTGGTTAACTGCGCCCCCTAAAGGGATATGCCCTCAGAATGAGGATGGATGGGTATAGATTCCACTTACTGTTGTACCAAGGTTGAAAAGACGGATGTCAACATAAAGGCGCTGAACAAGACGTCCTGGAATCCTTGAAGGGAGCTGTTGGGTTTGAAGAATGTGAAGCCAACGAATAGGGATGATAAGGTGGCGAGAATAATCTTGGCCCAAACGTATGAGGGCTCGCGCCAGTATTGCTGGAAGACGCGATGGGTGACATACCAGAGCTGGGAGACAAAAGGCATGGCATATTCTGCATGCTTACCCTGCTGGCTGTCGTCGGTCTCATCATTGGATGCTGACGCCCGATCCTGATGGATTTGATCGACCTCTTTCAGAACACCTTGAACTTCCGGACTCTCCTTCCAAACCGCGGCCCAATCCTTAGAGGACTTTCCGGATGCGCCAGCCCCGATGATCTCCAGCATATACTCAGCCGGCTTCCTCGTGTTAGTGATGGCCAGTCAAGCAAGAAAGAAACTCACGTTTTCGTCCTCGCCACAGACTCTCGCCCCATTCCTTTCAAAGTAATCAAGCAAGGTACGGGACTGCTCTCCAATATTCCCAAAATAAACGGTTCTCCCGCCCTTTGCCAGGAAAAGTAGGCGATCAAATTGCTGGAACAAGAGGGCACTAGGTTGATGAATCGTGGATAGCACTGCCTGACCATGGTCTGCAAGCTTGCGCAAGAAGGCAACAATCGACCACGAGCTTTGAGAGTCCAGACCACTTGTTGGCTCATCAAGGAAAATCAGCAGTGCAGGCTTTGCAGCCAGCTCGACTCCAATAGTTAACAATTTTCGTTGTTCAACATTCAGCCCTTCGCCAGGTGTTCCGACAATTGCGTCAGCAAAGTCCTGCATATTAAGCATTTCTATAACCTCCTCGACAAATTGGTACTTTTCCTTCTTAGGGACTGACTTTGGTTGACGCAGGGCTGCACTAAAACGTAACGCCTCTCTCACTGTGCTCGTGGAAAGATGGAGGTCTTGCTGTTGTACGTATCCTGTTTTCCTCTGAAAGCTGTTGTCCAGGGCTTTCCCATCCACCAGCATATCGCCGGTCACGACACCAATTGAAACCCTCCTGGCTAGAACATCAAGCAGTGTTGTCTTGCCGGCCCCCGAGACACCCATCAAGGCTGTGAGGGTACCAGGTTTAACCCACCCAGTGACATTATCCAAGAGGCGTCGCTGACCCCCTTTGACAGGGATATCGTAGGAGACATTCCGCCACGTGAATATGCTATGTTGCTTAGGAATCGCAGACGTATCTTGCTCTGTCTGAGCCCCTTTCTCGGACTGATTAACCTCAGGGGATCCACCGTTGCCTTGATGCTTGCTGAGATGGCGCATTTGCGCTGGAACATGGCCTCGGCGAAAGACTAGGAATTCGGCCTTTGATGTAGTCGCGGAATTGAGTTCCGTGGTCACTAAGTATAGTCCCGTGAAAAATGCCCAGAAACCAATCAGAATGCCGAGATTCCGCCATTCATGTGTATATCTGTACCTATACTGAGATTCGATAAAAGCGTCTCCAGACACAGTCCTTTCGCCTGCCACAGCACCTCGGACTGCGCATATGAAAGAGTCTCCACTCAAACTGGGATATGCAGGCACAAACTGCGAACATGTGAAGCGTCGACCGTGGAATTCATTCGCAATCATTGATTCATATGTGTAAAATACCGGGTTGATCCATCGAATCCAGCTGAACCATGGAATGTCGTGCATTTGTGGCACGGGTATCACGAAGCCTGTGTAGACGACAATACCCAATACTATCACACCTGCCAAGGCCATTGCTTGCGCGAGAGTTTTTGTTGCCGCGGCAAGTGTCCGGAAAACAGCAGACATGGCCAGCGTGCTGAGGAAGGTGAAAAGGAAAAATATAAAGAACTGCGAGGGTTCATATCGCTGTATCCCGGCATTAGTGGCAGATATGGAGCTTATCTTGAACTATATGGAATAGCTTACCAAGCTGGCTAGGAAATAAAAAATAATATTGAACACCACGGCGGAGATAAATTTGACTGGGATATCCGAGACAATACCCCCGAAAGCTTCAGCGAAAGGATGGACGAAGGCGTATGAGGCCTGTTTTTCAACGATAGGCCGTTGGTCGTAGAGCGAATTGATCTCTGTGATACTAATAAGAGCATTCATCCTGAGGGCAGCAAGTTATTACACGAAATCAAAGGAGCAAAAGCCTTATTCTCAAGAATATGAACCTACAAGACGGCGAAGAAAAGGGCTGCCCCTTTACTGTAAAACCCAACGGAAGCATTCGGAGTCCTGCAAGGATAAGCATCCATCCCCTCCGAAGCAACTTGAAGGCCTACCCATAGTATATCGATCCAACGATAAGAGACATAACAATTCGCCCAATAACAGTTGTCAGTGTGGCAGGTTTGTCGTTCCAGATCCTGGATTGATAAGCATGGATCTAAGACAGACACAGGACAACAAAGAACACTACCTCTGATAGGCTCTTATTGTGCAGAGCTTAATTTGCATAGGAATAGAGATGATATAGGGACTCTTTTGCCGTACATGCTTTGCTTGCATGAGCCTCTTTAATTCACTAAACCGTTGTTCCGACTCGCCTCCTGCAGGGAACTCTTTTCGGTATTCCTCGATTTCCTCGCAGAGTCTAGCATATTGAGAACTGTTCTTCCAGTAAACCTCAAAGTCATCCGGAGTACGAGGAACCTGGTTTTCCATTCCCTCACGTGCTTGACGTTCTTGTGGGTTAGTCACAGAAGTCAAGAAATCACCAGTTGTTTGACGTGGAGGGCAATGCCAGCCCATATTAACAAAATAGTCCTTTGCTTCGTCGCAGGGCCCAAAGAAAATCTCCCTCCCTTCATATAGGACTATGGCTTTGTCGAAGACATCGTAGATTGCCTGTGATGCCTGATATATTGCAACAGCGTGGCTACTCTCGGCTAGATCGGCTGAAATTCGCAAAGCTTTGACGAATTCCAGCGCGCTTGCAGAGTCAAGGCCTCGGGTACTGTTGTCCCAGGCTGCAATGGGTGCTCCAGAAACTGATAGGCTGTTAATTTGAGGACGTCCGCTCCATGTGGGCTGAAGACTTACGTGCCATCTCGGCGATACTACAGAGTGTTAGAGAGGCACTCATATAAAAGGAATGGGAAGTACAGACCTGACTCGCTTTCTTTCACCTCCCGAAACGCCCCTGATATAGTCATCTCCCACTACACTTGAAGTCAGATAAACTTATATAGAGAGGGGAAGTCATCGGGATCTGCCCCTCCCGGGAACCTTGAACGTACCCTTGGTGTTGTACGTGTGGGTCAGACCAAAGATAGTCATTGCAACTTGAGTGACATGTTTGGCGTAGTGCTGCCGACCAATGCCGCTCAAGCGAACTTCAGGAGTTCTCGCTGCTGCTGCAAATTCGAGGGTTTGTCCAACAGTTAAATGGGGGAAGTGTTTGTCTACTTCTTGGTTGTATAACACTTCCCCCTTGAACTCCTTATGCATTCTCTCCATGGAAATTCCATTGTACTGGATGTCTGAGCTCTTTCCCAGCTTCAGCCCATACAGTTCTCCACACAGAGTCTTGAGTAGTGTCGAACAACCACTGCCAGGCCGACCCAGGACAATCAGCAGCTCACCACTTTGGAGAAGACCATCAAAATTGCGCAGAATATGCCTTTCCTGTGACGACCTAGCAAAACTCAGGTACTCTTGAGGGCGGAAGGGTGCCAGCAAGACCGAGCCCACATTGTTTTGATATTGCAAGGCTGATCCAGACCCTGATACATTGAGATTATGAAAGGCAACCCCCGCCGCCGCAGGACGTGGAATTCCTTCCTTGTCCAACATTCTCATTATCTTTCGAACCCATTTCAGTTGATCAAATTGATCACTGGTAGGGTCAAATGCAGGGTGCTCGATATCCATTTCGTCGACAGTATCCATCCGTTCGAGGGGTGGTCTACCAGCGCCAGCGCCAGCATCTGCTGTAGGCTGTCTGGGAAAGTTGGAAGCGATGCGGACCAACTGCGCCTTGTCTTCAGGGCTCATATTTTCAAGAACCATACTGCTCTCGCGCCTAAACTTCGACGGCCGTCGGACGCCATGCTGCACTGCCTCGATTGCATTCTCGTCTTGGTTCTGGCTTGCCCCGGGGGTGTTGTTATTCTCGTCGTCCGGAGCCATCTCTAGAATTTAACCAGACCGGCGTATGGGGTAACTTTTTCCAACAGGGGGCTTGACACAGATATCTACAAAATAGCTAGTGACGATACAGCATCCAAAAAAAAAAAAAAGAGACAGCTGCTGTAAGAAGACTCAGTGGCCGAAGATTGGAGGGAAGAAGGCAGGTCAACAGGTGTTTGATTCAGATTTGTTGTCTAATCCGCTCGTCATGTGATTCAGTCCGCTGTAATTACATGTAGATCAGGAATTGACTACAAATGAGGTGCTGGGAGAGTTTCGTGAAATATGCAAACTCAAGACCCTGGCTGTGGTTCATTATGCCTAAGTGGTGATGTCATAGCAATCAAACCGGATCTCCATTTGGTGTAACCATATTTGTGGAGTCTGAGAGGAAGGGTCCTAAATATGGAGCACTTTTCGATCAATTAGAACGAGTGAACAATGGTCCAGTTGAGATAAACCCCAAGACGCATACCGCAAGAGGAATTCTGCCATTCCAGGTACGGCCGAGAGTAAACTCAGGACGAAGATCAAGACCATCCATGATGTTCCTAAATCTTGGATCCTTGGGCCTTGTATCAAAGACCTGTGGAACAGAGCGGTATTCCCGGCCTACATAGCAATAATTCATCCATGGTTGACTGATGCAATTAAGTTCAATCCATGATTTTTGTCACGGAGAAAGAAAACAGGTGCCGATGTTGGGAAACATGACAACCTCCGCTTACATAAGTGCTTCACAAATGAAATTAAGTTAGCTAGTCAATTAACCAGCCACTTGAGAGAATTATCGGTTCAAAGCTTCGTGGGTTTATTCTAGCTCAATTATTCGAAGGGAGTGGTATTTCCAGAGGACATGGCGAAAGGGATTGCTATGATATGCGTGTACAACGCAGGTTATGTACTCCTTATAGTTTGGAGGTATATTTGGTAGATGATATCCTTATCTAGAGTAACTGACACTCCAAACAATCTGAATGTAGTATTGTACATTCTATGTAAGTTAATTGGTAGGCCGTAATAACGTAAATGCTAATTACTGGTATATAGATTGCATCTCTTCCCCTTCATTCTCGAATCCGATCTGCAATGTGTCAATTCTTATTTTGCGTGTTGCCAATTAATACCAGTACATGGATCAATTTACTTCAACTTATAGAAAATTTATCTTCTATTATTAAACACTAAATTCAATAGCGGAATAATAGAGTCCATACTTTGCTTCTTAGTCGATCAATCGATATTAGTTGACTTCTCCGAAGAGTTGGTTGTTCATTACCCAATTTCCCAATTGGGTAACTAGTTGTGCAACCGTCGGTTGGATGAGTCATCATGCCGTATATTCTAGCTCCCCACATACAGCCAATCACAGCACATATCCAGCGCCAATCAGAGTTTCAGACCAATGGAACAAACAAAGCAAACATGCTTAAAAAAAAAAAAGAATCGAACATTGCAGCATAGCTTCATGGACTGCGGTTGAACATCTAACATCATCATACTGCAAGGGTTTCAGCTAAGCCTCTCTGCTAGATGTATTAATTTCAGTACTTCTTATTCTAGTTCTCCCGTGACATAATCTCCGACCCATTCCACCATCCATTACAGTTACAGAGAAAGGAACCCAAATATACACATACCATGACCGATTTTCAAAAAACGCCCTTTGTAAGGGAACTTGCTTCAAGCGGTACAGGAGACCTCTCACACGACCTCGAATCAACAACTGACAATTGTCTATTCTAGACCGACGCACCCGTGACAAAGCAACCGAGTCACTGACTTTGTTCTTGCGCTCCAAAACCGATCTCTCACTGGTCGAACTGTTGAAGCTATGGAAGGGTCTATTTTTCTGTACGTCGCATGTCGACTCCTCCTCCCCCTCTCTTCAACAACTCTAGCCGATATATCCAGACCAGAAGAATCACTAACCTTCTTAATAAACTATAGGCTTTTACCACTCCGACCGTCCCCTCACACAGCAAGCCCTAGCCCGTAACCTGTCGTACTCACTGGTTCCAACTCTGCCTCGTTCGACGCTGCATCGCTTCCTGCGCGCATTCTGGATCACCATCGGTCGGGACTTCCATTCATTGGACCGGTTACGTCTAGACAAGTACCTGTTTCTGATCCGATGCTATGTGGGCGTCGCATTCGAGATCTTCGTGAAGGGTCCGATGCAGTCGAAGAACAACGAGACGAACAAGAAACGCAAGCGCCAGGACGCGGGCAAGAAAGAGAACAGGAATGCGAAGAAGCGTTCGAAAGGCTCGAGGCGGACTCAAGAGGATGCGGACATGGAAGAGGAGCAGAACGCCGACGGAGAGAGCAAGTGGGCAGATCTCGAGTCTTACTTGACTATTTTGGAAGAGGGACCGCTCTGTCCTGTGAACTTTGATCCGGATCAGCCTGCCGCAGACGAAAAGAATGATTACATGCCCATGCCTCATGGTCCGGACGGTCTCCGCTACCATGTTATGGATATCTGGATTGATGAGTTGGAGAAGGTGCTTGAGTTTGAAGAGGGAGATGGACAAGATGATGAGACGGAGGAGTCCAAGCCCCGGAAACCAAAGGGTGAAGTGCCCATGGACCTCTTGTTGCGGCCATTTGAGAAGTTGCGGGCGGACTGCCCGTACAAACCGGTGAGGTTGAGGGCAGCGGAAACGCTGGGTGATGATCGGTTGGTGGAATGGGGTTTCAAGTCTCGCCCCGTTAAAGAGGCTGATGACGAAGATAGTGAGCTGGAGTGGGGTGGATTTGATGATTGATTAGAGATCCTTAAACTAAAAATAGACGTGCATTGCAGATATTGATATCAATCATGTCTTGCATTTGTCGCCAAATATCCCGATATTGTAAGCTGTGAGAGACGCCAAAAGGGGTAATCCAATTCTGTATCCAAAGACAAAATACTAATTACAGCCAAGCTATTCCTGCAACTGTACATAAAGCAGGCCAGTGCTTTGTTCAAAAAGGCCATCGCGAGGGTATCATGAAGTGCGGAGGCCAGTCAGCAATCACATAACACAACCAAAAAGACATGGCGGATCTGCTCTCGGCAATTCTATCTCCGCCGCAATGCCCGGGCAGGTATATATATATCATGGCTTAGGTCCCTCTGCTTCGTAGAGATGCCCGGACTTTGACAGGACTGTACCTAGGCCCTGGTGAACTTCAACCTGGAAAGGCTCAAATGGGATCCTCTCGCCATCAACACTGATATACCCTTCTTTTTCTCGGGGAGTAAGGCGATAAGCGGTCACTTTACGGACATTGACGTCTGGCATATCGAAGAAGCTCCCTTCGGGGATCGATGTCATCATCTTGAGTGACTTGGACATACCGAGAGTTCCATCAATGGTGACAATGTCTATCATTCCATCATTCGGAAGCGAAGCTGGGAAGAAACTAGTATCCTTAGAAACAATGGCCATATTTCCTGCGTAAAAATTCCCCAATGTTTCAGCCGGAATGACTTCCCAATCCTTGGGGAGATCATCCTGCACGGTGCCATACTTTAGCTCTGGAAGGCCCCGCGGCTGTCCGGCAGCATCTTGGGGGGAGCGGAGTGGAGGCACGCTGTTCGCGTACGCATTGTAGTGGTTCTTGATCACTTTTTTGTCATTGATCTCCACCTTTACGGCGAGATCGCACGGATAGACTGTCTGCTGAATGATGCGAACGAGAAAACCGTACGTAAATCGATGTGCGCCCATCCATCGAATATTATCAGTACCCAGGTCCGCCTCCGCGATGACCCCGAAAGCCTGCGATAGGAACGACAGAGTACGTGTTGTCCCTTGCGTGATCGAGACTAAGTCCATCGGCGTCCGCAGACCTTTAACAATTGTCAGGGCCGCTACAGACACACTGCCTGTCCCACAAAGGTTCCAGGTCATGGCATTTCCAGAACCACCCGGCAACAAGGCAACAGCCAGTTTCGCCAAGGCTTCTTGAGCATTGGGCTTCTTGGCCAGGCCATTGAAGACCTCGTATGGCACGCCATCTCCGGAACAACATACGATAGCATCGTAGTTGCCAATGTCGATTTGCTCTGCAATTTCGGTGGCGTGGCCTCCATGTGTTGTTTCCTGAACGTCCACCTTGCAGTGGGCGGCGGCAAAGATCGGGGCCGCATATTTCTGGTACAACTTCACGGCGTCTCCTTTGCCACCAAAGGGATTGACGAGAACCTTGAGTCTCTTATACCGTTGTGCATTGCCATATGCAAGATGTAGCAGACGGCCCCTCCAAGCCTCGGCTTTTATTTTAGCCTCCTCGGCCATCGGATATTGGAGAGCCGCAACGGAGACGTCATGTTTGGTTGCGTGCGCCGCGTAGGTGATGGTCAAGCCAGACGGAGAAAGTTCGGCGTCAAGGATATTGTATAACGAGATAGATTGGGTCTCTTCGGTAGCTGAAGATTAGAACAGTCAACGATTTGTTTCCAACTAGAAACCGCCCGAAGAGATCACACAAGCATACACGACTTCGATAACAAACCGCAACACGCGCGTTTTGTCTTGCCCGTGGAGCGCTCGTCTAGAAGAACACACCTAGTTAGAATGGAGGTCCGCAGACAGGGCGGCAATCATTGGCCATCGTAACATACCGGAGATGAGAAGAGAGTCGCTCCCCAGGGTGAGAGAAACCGACTGTGCCACCCTCAGGATGGAGTCGTACTGCAGCAGTTGGCGTTGGGAATCCGGCTGATCCGCAATGTTGGACGGATGCGCCGCGTCATTAGAGGGGGAATTCATGATATGTTTAAGAGGAAAGAAAGCATCATATAGCCCCCGCACGAAGAGAGTCACAGGAGCGCAGCCAGTAGGGAGAAGAAGAAGAAGAAGAACAGGGAAAATAAATTGTGCGGAAGAGTGGAAGGGAGAGCGGCGGCGGAGGCCTGAATTTTGTGAATTTGCTTATGAACGCCATCCCAAGATTAATACCTCCACATTTCCCTGGAACTGGTCCACTTGTCCCGGTCTCTCGTCGTCCCCGGTTCTTTGGCATCGAATTGTTCTGTTCTTCATATTGTGATTCCTTTCGCTCAACTATAAGTCATCATCTACTACGATTTTCATCCCCTACGTTGTCGACTGCCTTTTACTTCTGCATGCATCTTCCGTCTGCGGCTTCCCGTCCAGACTGCAACCGACCCTCCAGCTAAGTGTCACCACACTTGGATTCCCAATTCTTCAATCGTCTGGCCTATGGATGTCCAACCACTACGGATTCGAATAATCTAAGACGCAGCGCCATTGGATCAACAGCAGGAGCATCACAATCTGCAGAGAGTAGGGACCTGGATCGGCATCTATCGAGAACAGCGTGTAGTATAATACAACAGAGACACAGTCTAATTGGAATGTAAATGCTTCATTTGAAAAGCGTCTCTTCTCATCCAGCAGCATAACAAAGAAAGCGTATAGTCAACAAATTCATCCATCAGAAACAGAGCAAGAACAAGCGTGGATCGGATAGAAATAAAGTAATATAAGAGAATAATATGATATAGGGTACCTGAGTGAGTCACTATTCAAGAAGAGGGCCGTCCTTCCATCACACAGTCGACGCCTTGAGGCCCTTGAGGGATCCCAGGCTCAGGGCCAGTCCTTGCGATCGGCTTCGTATCCGCACAAAACCGGTGATCGGCCCATCGTCTCCTTCCTTCTCAATACTCAGGTTCGCCAGTGCGTCCTCACCTAGTGAAGGTTAGCAAAAAGGCCATCTCTCCTCCCCCCAAAAGGAGATTAGGGAAGCCACATACCAAATACGCTCCGGGCATATAGATTCGCACTCAAGAACCGGCAGTCGCCCTTGAGCGACGCATCCGGCGTCAGACACGCCATGTTGGTGCTCTCCATGAGTTGCTTGAGGAATTCACGAAGGTCCTTCGCCTTGGAGTTGATGTTCACCTTGTTTTCCCACTCGAACTCAGTCCACATCGTCCGGAACTGGGTCTCAGTACAGTGGGCAGGCTGGATGTAGTCCATGATGTCGGCGTGGATGTCATTGAGAATAACAACGTGCGACTCCGTGGAGCTAGCGCCGTCGTAGACGATGTTACCGAAGATAACCCCAGTATCCGTCGACGACACCTTGATTGTAGCCTGCACGTTCAAGAAATCGCGGGGTCCGAGGTTGTGTGTTGCCGGTCGCTCAACGACTTTTAAGTCTCCAAGAGTGGCGAACTCGACCGAGAGGTTCTGCAGGGTCTCCAGGGTCTGGTTGACCAGAAGCACGTCCAGAACGATATCAAATTGATGGACAGTGACGTAGGCTTCGGCGTAAACGGGGTCCGAGAAGCCAGTCAGTTGCACCACCCGACTCAGTTTCGAAGAAACAGTCTCCACGGTAGAATCGCCACCGGTGGCCTTGGCTAGGTCGAGCTCAATCTCCTCAGCGCCTTCCAGATCGTTCTTCCTTGCGAATTGCCGAATTGGGATCGTATCGTCGATCTGAACAGCGCTCTTGGCCTTCTCGACAGCCTCCTTTGCCGCTCGCTTCTTATCTTCGACCTGAACCATCGCTCGGAACGCTTTCCGGGTATCCTCCAAGAAGCTAGTCTCCAGGTCCTTATTTTGCGAGAACTTGGCAAGCGAGCGCACGCAGCACATAATACGGTCCACGGAGTCTTCATCGATAGGAGCCTTGACAAATTGAGATTGGCCGACACGGATAATCGAGATCATGATCAGCATCGCTTCCGCGCGCAGGGCGTTGGTCCGGGCAGCATCGTCAGAGACCTCTGAGTGGCGCATCACGAGTTTTGTCAGAGTAGAGGAAAGGACCGTAGCGAGGTAGAAATCGCCATCCAGGATCAATTGACGGAGAGGAGGCTTTTGGGCGGCCTTGACGGCCTCGAGCTTGGCAGCAGCCGCCGACTCGCTAGTAAGAGCGCTCTCGGTCGCATAAGTCCCGTCGGCCAACACCTTCCTGGATCCCGTAGGCGCCGATGACTTAATGTGGCCGTTGACTTGCTCCTTGATTGCATTCTCATCTGGGACTTCATCAAGAAGACGCTGTTCCGAGGCTAGAATGGGGATTTCTCCTAGGCTGGCTCTGATGCGCTTCCAAGCCTCCCGGATATCCTTCTCTTCTAGAGAATACTCACCTACAACCCACAGGACCCCGCGATAAACCTTGCCGGCACGGACTTCACTCAACGTAGCAACCAAACGGTCAATGATAGAGGATCGCAGGTCAGGGAACTTCTCCACAACCTCTTTGACAAAGGAGATAACGTCCACCGCGGAGTTGTTGTTGAAGTCGGCGATGAAGTCCATCAAAAGGTCAACCACGCTAGCAGCAATTTCCGAGAACTTGATGGCGCAGGTATGTATCGATTGGATAATGAGCTGGCGGTATTCGCTGTTCTGCATGAACTGTCAGCCGAAGTTTCTTAAGCAGGACAACTTCCTGCCCACCTTTTCATATTGTTCGTCTACTGTCTTCGCAAGTTCCTTCTTCAGGAGCATGACAATCTCTTCCACATTCTTGCTCGTGACCATTTCCAAAGCAATGCTCAGGGCCTTCCGCCGGACGTCGATATCAGGACTGGAGAGGACACGGAGGATCTCCATTGTGAGGTCATCTAGGACACCCTCATTGCGAATCCGGAGTTGATCAACCCGGTCAAGGACGATGAGTTTGACGTTGTTGTCGGCCTCTCTAATGCATAGCTCGATCAGCTTGCTTGCCGCAGCCTTCACAGCCACGGGATTACTGGTAAGTGCCGTCAGAGACATCGCAGCCTCATATATCACAGTGCTTGTCGACGCATCGAGGAGATCAAAAATTAGACGCAAGTATCTCGCCTGCCGACAGTTAGCAGGCCACACGACTGGCGGATTCCTGCTCCTCAATAACATACCTTGTTCTGTGAGTTCTGGACAGCATCCTTGCGGATGAATTCAAGCTCCACCAGCTGGAGGAGTTCATCGGTGTTCGGAATACTGTCGAATGTCGAAGCAAGATACTCCAGGGCCTTCTGGTGGCTAATAGACATCAGCGCTGCAAACGCGTTGCGCTTGCAGGTTCCATCGGTTTCAGTGTCGAGGAAGGTTTGGATGAGTTCAGGGGCATCCGGGATTAGGGACTCCGAGTGCTGGAAAATAGAAGCGACGGCCCAAACTGCGTTTTTCCTCACATACGCATGGCGATGTTGCAAGCAAGAGCGTGCGGATGACAGGAGGGGTTCGATGAGTTCCGGCTCTCGGAGCTTGCACAGAAAGCGAAGTGTGTTGCCTCGAACGTATTCATTGGGGTGCTGGAGGTCATTGCGAATACCATTACTATGGAATAGGCGGGTTAGAGTAGCCAGCGGACGACGGCAGAAATGGCACAGTTCTTACCACACCAGGATCATTTCTTGTTTGAGCTTGCCATTGGAGTCATGCTTGGGGCAGATTTCGTAGTAGAAATACAGCAGTTTCTTGAGCGGCTTGCTCCGCGACGGCATGACGAATCGAATAATATGCATCAAGAGTTGAGCCAGGGGATCTCCATTGAGCATGATCATAATGATCTGCCGCATTGTGTCCAATTTCGTCTCATCGGTGCCCTTCTCCAACTGCAATTTCAGCTCCTGTAGGGTAGGCTGATCCGCAGTGTTGTCCATATGGACTAGAGTGTATGCATTTTCCAGAAACGATGCCATGGTGACTGAGGGTGGAGGGCAACAGTGACAGGGAAGAGAGTGTGCAAGGAGGGAGAGGAGAGCTAAATGTGGTCAGCACAAACAAACGGCTGCCACCAATGTCAGGGGAACGCGGGGGAGGGGTAACGGACCAGTATGACTCTCCTCAGGAACACGCAGTAAACTGAAAGGAGGCAAGTGATTTCGATTCGACTCCCCTCACCAGCCGTGCATTCATAAGTGCGAATGTTGAAGGTCACAGCCTAGCCATTTGCGCAGCGGAGCGCAAGCTGTCCGGAGTGTGTGGATGACTAAGCCCAGCCAGGACCAACCAACCCTGCAAACCTCCATCATCGCCGGCATCGTGCTCATTATTCTACGCCTCCAGGACCCTCGACGATGTCGAACCAAAATGAACCGTTTTATCTCCGTTACTAGTAAGGCCGATCTGTGCATAGCCCAGATTTCCTTCGCTGCTGACAGTCCCGCAGCTCAGGTCACTCTGGGCGGTTCGGACATGAGTTTTTAGGTTGGTCGATTCCAGTGTCCTTTTACTCCTCTGCAGCGGCTAATTCGTGATCAGAGTTTGATTTCCGGACCCTTGGCGATGGCCGTAGTGCCGCGGTCCGATATGCGAACAACTCCAATTATCGCAATGACTCCTTGATCCGCAAAGAGAGTGCGTATCCGCGACAGCGTACGGTCTGGTTTGGGTATGGTCACTGATGGGCAGAGTCTAGTGTGCGTGAGCGCTGCAATGATCCAAGAAGTTAAGCGCATTATCAAAGAGAGTGAGATCATAAAGTACGGTTTTCTGTGATTCTCCTTGAGGGGGTAGACTTGATCCCGATTGCTCACGAGTATCTAGGGAGGACGACTCCAAATGGCCGCAGAAAAACAAGGACGGACGACAGGAGCTTGAAATTAGAATCGGCAATGAGCATATCTCCTTCGAGGTGCGTGACTCGTCCTAGCAAAATCCTACGGGTGGTTTTCAACAGGAGACGAGCAGACGCTAACCATCGGGGTATTTGCGTAGACGGCGAAAATCGGCTCGTTGGTCGATGTGACCGAATCCGCAGATCCAGAAGGACTTCGGGTGTTCTACTATCTTGTACAAGATTTGAAGGCGCTTATTTTCTCTCTTATCTCTCTTCATTTTAAGGTAGGTTCGACCATACTTTTTTTACATAGACATAGTCATTCTAACCCGAGCGGCTTCGTTTCCTGGCAGATCAAACCCATCTAATGAAGCGGATTGAAATTTTGATTTAGATGCGGATTATGGACGTTGGGGGGAGGCAAGGCCAGAATGCAATGTTATGACCGACCATGTCGCCAGTGGCGATGACGCAATGCATCTCTACTATACTAGCTATGTAGCAGAGAAATCTATACCCAGATATCTGATGACGTGCCCTCAAGGTCTCACGACCGGCCACCTGATTCCTATCCTTCGTAGCGGACACGGGAGGGTACATAAATGTGTAGCATTCCCTGTCCAAGCTGGAGGTGCCCAAATAGGCAATTTGATGCCTGGGGGGAGGGCGACCTAATTCCTGAAGAGGCGATTAACCGCCTCAGGCGCCCGTTTGCCTCCCCCGCGCTCGCATGATCCACGAGCCTTAGCCATTTCGGGCAGAACATCTTCCCCCGGACTGCCTTTGCTCTGTTCTTCACCCCATCCTACTTTTGCTTCCCCTCTTCTTCTTGTTTCATTTCTCTCCTGCTGTCGTGGCTGTGGTTGCTGCCCTTGAATGTTTCTGTTCCCCCTCCTCTCTTTCTCCCCTTGCGTTGCTGTCTGTGCGTGAAACCTGTCGTTTAGTCGGATCGGATCCGATGCCCTCTCCTTCTTTGGCCTAATTCGCCTCAATGCCGACCCCGAGTGACAACACACCACGACTGGATGCCACTTCAATCGTCGATGAACTCTCTGCTCGCACCACTTGCCCACCTGAGCTCGAGCGATCATCGTCTTGGAGAGGCTCGCCGGATTCCTCCACCGCGGAGGGCGATGTTAGTGATAATGCGCTCTCCCAGGCCATTGCGTCGGCGCAGTCCGAGTTAGTTCGGTCAGACGATGATGCCGTCGGTCAATCTATCTCCGATCCATTAGGTAGTGTTGGTACACCCATGAAGGCCACGTCTAAGGCGGCCGACGAGCCGACTGTCGGGAGATTGAGTCCAACGGCCGACTCGTCACGTACCTCCAACTCCCCGCCTCCAGTCGGTGCACCTTCCACTTCTTCCCTCCTTAGTTATGAGTTTTCTAATATTCGGGTATGTTGCTGTTTGAAACTCCATCACAACTCTCAGACTGATCGCTTAAGCTTGTTCCAAATTATACCTCGTCCTTTCTACGTCCCGGGAGCAAATTCACGGGTACACAGCAGTCGGATCGTCAGGTGTACAATGTAGATGTAGAGATAAAGCATGTTGACATGGCTGAGTCCTACCTCTGCGGGTACCTTCGTATACAAGGTTCGTTGGGCCGTTCTGAATCTGCATACCCCTCAACTTGTTTCTAATGGCTCTACTTCGCACAGGACTGACAGAGGATCATCCCACTTTGACGACGTTTTTCGAGGGAGAGATCATTGGCACCAAACACACTTTCACAACCAGGAATGAAGCATGGGGTGCTACCGAGAAAACTGACATGCATCACTGGGCACGGTTTCCTGCTTGGCGACCCCTGGCTAAGCTGGTTAAGAGACCAGACTTCACCTGCCGGAATTTTGCCCAGCGCGAGCATCTCTTCATGCGGTGGAAGGAATATTTCCTTGTTCCTGACCATCGAGTGCGGTCAATCTCAGGTGCAAGCTTTGAGGGTTTCTACTATATCTGCTTCAATCAGGTAGAGGGAACTGTGACTGGAATTTACTTCCATGCAAAGAGTGAGAAGTACGTTAAGACTTCTGCAACCCTAGTTTTACTCCACGTACTAAGCAAATCTGCAGGTACCAGCAGTTGGAACTGAAACACGTCGAAGATCATGGCTGTACCCCTGCTATTGAGTTCCGCTGATGTCTCTCTCGCTTACACCATTCCGGTCTCCGACTTTTCTTGCCTTTCTTTATCTTAGGTTTAGGTTTTATTAATTGTTTTGTTTTTTTTTTTTTCTCTTTTTTTGATATCGATCGCCCTTCTCCTGGTCACGATGATTACCACGATAGGGTGTTTTGAAGTTGAAGATGACCCAATGGTGCTCTATCCCGTCGCAGACAACTACATCCAACCCTATTCCACTTAGTTATGTTTTATGATGATGTTTTACCCTCCGAAATGGCGTCTCAATTGGTTGTGGTCTCAGATTACCAGGTCCGTTTTGTTAATACGTTTGTCGTGCCATATTTTCTTTACATTTGTGTGAGCATGCGGTAGTTTCGGTCCTACATGTTTTGGCCTTGTTATCTTTCTCACACCCCCTTTCACGCCCATGACATGCAAGGGAGATGTCATTCACTCTTACCCAGCATGCTAGATAGGATTGAAGATATCTAAATCCAGTTATCACCGTCTCTTGAAGAGATTGGCTTTTATCTATCACAGCACATGGCTTGGTCCATTTCCTTTATAGTATGACCTCTTGCATGGGGTGGGTGCATTGTAATATATTCAGGCCCTAGTTACCTATACTACCTAGATATGAACACGGATAATCGAACTCTTTCATATTTCTGAGCATCGTTATATACATTTGGAAAAAAGAAAAGAAAATAAAAGAAAATAAAATAAAACAAAAGGAGATGGGGAAGCAAAGAGCTAGCCGGCCATTGAAATCAAGGTCAAAAAAAAAAAAAAAAAAAGGATGCAATATTGGGAAATATAAACAAATACATAATATTTTACGGTAGCAGTTGTAGGGTATCAAATGCAATCTTTTCGTGTATTGGAGGCGATCGCGAGGTGGGTTTTGGGGAGATGACATTGATAATGGCCGAGAAATAGAAAACCGAGAGAGAAAGAGAGGGAGAGAGAAAGAGAGGAAGAGAGAGGAAGAGAACGATTTTTATGGCGAGGAAACGCGTATAGATTCAGTATATGCGGAATTCTGACGACTAGAGGAACTAGAACTATAGCTGCTGCCGTGGTCGCTGTTTGGGGTTGCGGGCTCAAGGACAACCTGTTGTCGGATGGAGACGATCCATTCGTGTTGGAGTAATTCTGCTGCGGTCGATCTTTTCAGAGGATCGCACTCGAAGCAGCGGCGGAGGAAGTCGATTCCGAGATCGCTGAGCTGATCCCGGGTGGGCAATTGGGGCTGATTACCCTGCGCGATATTGTACATGATCGCCCATTCGTTGTCCAGGGTGGACCAGGGACGACGGCCGGTGGCCATTTCCAAGATGACACATCCCAGGGACCAGATATCGACAGCACCCTGACGGTGGATCAATTTTGAGGAGTCTCCGCGGATGACCTCCGGAGACATGTACATTGGAGTTCCGGTCATGGTCTTTTGATTTTTGCCTCGTTGTTGCGCCATCTGGGCATCCTTTGGAACAAGGGCCTCCTTGGGACCGTTGCTAGCAAAAGCATCCATGGGGGAAACCGTGCGGCCCTGACGGGCAATAATCTTCGCAGCGCCGAAATCGACATATTTGATGATGCCGTTATGGTCAAGCAGAATGTTTTCGGGCTTAATATCGCGGTGGACTATACCAGACTGGTGTAGATATGCCAATCCTTCAAGCAGTTGGAGAGCATAAACCATGATAACTGTTTCGTCTTCGACACGGCCATGTTCAAGTAAACTCGCGAGGGAACCTCCAGAGCAATATTCCATGAATATATACACCTTGTCGCGGTGAACTTCGATACCGTGATAGGACACAATGTTAGGATGGTCAAGTACCTCGAGAACGCCCATCTCATCGCGAATCTGCTGGGCAATTTTTGGAATGAGTTGCGGGTCTTGTAGCCGGATCTCTTTGACAGCCATGAGGTAGTTGCTATCCAGATTGATTGCTGCATAGACAGAGCCAAACGTTCCGCCTCCAATAAATTGTCCCTGCTGCCACCGTAGAGTAACATTGGTGGCAGAAGAAGACAGGACCGTGAGGGATCTGTCGGCTTCATTGGATCCCTCGAGCACTCTACCCAATGCTTGACGCTTCGCGTCTTCTTCCACCCTTCTGTTCTCGATATCGTGTAAGTGGGCCAGCCGCTGTTCACGAACGACTTTTGTCGCTTCCTCATCTGTTAAGATCCTGCCGGTGCCAATTTTTCTTCCTCCTACGCGCTCCTCCATTCGCTGTTTTTCAGCCTGCGCAGCACGGGAGGACCGAGCACCCATAATATCAAAGTGAGATATAAGAAGCGACATACATCCGGCGACCTTTTGTCTCAGAGAGGCAAACTGTGCATCATCAATGGAAAGCAGATGCCGGCTGGAGGTTATAGCCATCGCGAATTCAAGAGCAGACACGGCCCATTTAAATGTTTTCCGATCAGCCGCGTCACAGTCATCGCAGACGAAAGACACCCAGTCGAGCGACAGTTCTACAAGCCTTGCGCTATTCATTGCCCGTCTATTAGGGTCGACATTTGAAGAACGATTACCAAACTCTGTGGCGAAAGCATAACAGGCCTGGATCAAATCGGGGTTTTCGATGCCTCTCTCCTTGAGCTGGTCTCTAATGATAGCCACGCTGTCCATAATGGTCATGGACAATTTGAACGAGGTCTTTTTTATCTTGTTAAGTTCCACGTTGACACGTCCAAGATTAGCGCGCTGCTCAATAGCCATGTCGAGCTGAATTCCAGTCAGCTTTGCCAGCTCTTGTCTAGCACTAGCTAAGCGTTGCTGCGTTCCTTCGACAACAAGACGAAGTTTGGCGATTCGCAGGTCTGTAGGCTGGTCCAGCAATTCCACCACCATCTCCCTGCCAGCCCAGGATAGGGGTTTCTCGGGCCGGACTACCAGGAGGTATGGCACGTTAGTTGAGTCTTTAGGTAGATCCTCTTCGCGAAATGACGTTCTTAGGATGGCTTGGATGTCGGCCGAACGATCCCACAACGCAGGATGAGCAAACAGATAGACTCCCTTTTGGCCTACTGAGATGTTGGATTTGATGAGAAAATGATCCGAGATGAGTAGCGCCTCGAAAAACTCATACGCAATTTCCGTTGAAATATTGTACTCTGTCGCGTTCTCGAAAAGCTGCCGCAAGAATCTAGAGAATCGGTAGAGCTTCCGTTGGCGAATTCGAGTCGAATCCAGCACGCTCTTGTAACGCTTATCCATGTCTGCCGGGTCTTCGTTGGGAAGTATAGTCAACTCTCTCTCGAAATGGACCGTTAAACGTTGGAGGGATTTTGCCGTCAGAGCACTAATATCTAATCAGTCCACCTTTCTGTTTTTGCGACTAGTCGAAGACTTACCTAAATTGTTCGGCCACTTCGATATCTCCACCCTCAAGCTGGCGCCCAATGTGATTCGAAAATTCCCAGTCTTGCTCAAGAATTTCTGCTTCCTTGAAAGTATTTTTGTTCGCATTCAGCTTCCAATTCAAAAGTCGAAAGTAGTACTTGAGAGCGTCTAAAACCACAGAATCGAAGTTCTCGTCAATGCAAGGAGGAAGATCCCAACCCGGTTCAGGTCTGGCGATGTCTAAATATCGCTTTTTTATTTCAACTGCAACCCTCATCAAAATTTGAAATTGTGAGATCATTTGGTCGACCAAGATAGGGGATTGCTGAGCAGGATCCTTCATGTTCTTAGCGTAGGACAGTCGCACACGTATGATTTCTTGTATGAGGCGAGAGGGGAAATTGATTAAGGTGAGAAGTTCCTCGATGTACGGAGGCAGATGCCGTTTGGCAAAAAATTTTGCGTTTTCAATCAAGGTACTCTTCGCTTTTTGAATCACTTCACCGATGCCGTTTAACATATTATGTCTGCCCTGAAGTGTCCTGAGTCCGTCCTCCTTCATGATGCGGTCAAGAAAAGACGACTCATCCGAAAGATCGCTGTTGGTTGATTTGTCCCTGGTCTTGCTGAAGTCAAGCTCATCATTTCCCACCCAGTTCCGTAAGATAGCAAGCTCCGTGTTGATGAGAATTGTGGTGTTGTGCCACGCAAAAACTGCCTCGCGGCTGGAACAGAACTCCTCCGATGCAACACGAGGCTGAGCGGTTTCCAGCTCCTTGTGCGTCGAATAAAGCATCTCACACCTCTCGATCTGTTCCACAATATCCTCGACCTGCTGGATTGGTGGCTTCCCGATTTCTGTCTCCCCCTTGATCTCGAACTTGATGATATCCTCGATGATTGGCCCCAGACCAGCCCGTGCCTCCTCTATGAGTTTCTGTTGGAGAGCGACGCTCCGACCACACGTTTTGGCCCTGAGCCCCAACCATATGGCATTGTTCTGGGCCGCCGACCGCTTCGTTTCAGCGGAACCCAGGAGTCGCTGTTTCTCCTGCTTCACAACGTCTCCTTTAAGCACGGATGCTAACATTGAGTGCCATTCCAGTCTCTCCTGATTCTTTGGATTCTTAAGTTCTTCGAGAGTTGGTAGATTATCATCCGTCAGGAAAAGCTGGATGTCAGGGTCATAAGCGTCGTCTTCAAAAGGGGCCTCTGAAGATGGCGAAGGCTCCTCCAAATCCGAATCCCCAACGGCCACGCCCATATTTTGGGCTTCCTCGAAATGGCTATACCATGCCTGAGGGTCTGCGCGGATCCGTTGGACATATGCCTTCTCCTGGGCCCGGTATTGAGCATTTGGGTCCCGCCTTTGGCTTCGCTTGTTCGAAGAGGTTCTTTGGCGGTCGTCCTGGAGGCTAATGTACTGCGGTGGGCGCCGTTGGGGAGCGTAGGTGTTTGACGGCGTTCGGGCGGGAGCTGACGGGCGCTGGGGTCTGAGGTCAGATGCCGGAGCGCCATCCAGGGACGGCGCCTGGTCCAGAGAAGATGGCGTGCCAACGCTGGCACCCCGAGGACGCGAAGGTGTAGAGCTGGACCAAGAAGGAAAGCCACTAGGAAGCGACGGGGGAGGCGAGGAGGCAATGGTGGTAGCTGGGGTAGTATGGACAGGATTGTCGAAGTTCTCTGAATAGCTCGAGTTCGTAAGGGTATACGATTGCTGGAGGAGCTCGTCAGAAGACCCCGAGCCATCCGAATCATGATTGTTTATGTCAGGAAGCTCCATGATTCGGGCAACCCACGGTCCCGATGAGCTCTGTTCGATGGCAGATCACGATGTAGAGCCTTGTACGGAAAGATAGGGGATGTGGCGTTGCATTCCTATCAGTGGCTGATGGGGAATGGCCCTAGCAGGAGACGAGACGGCTCTTGAATCAAATAAGTGGTTAAATTAACGCCTAAAGAGCACACAGTTATAATTAGACGAATATTAGCATGGCAGCAACTCTGGAGATAGATTGCGCCAAACCTGAACTGTCGTTGTTGGAGCTAACTGGATGACTAAGCAATCATACTAGTTAACTAACCTACCCGGCTAACCTTAATGTGACTAGCATGAGCAATTTATATCCAATACTGTACATACATAGCATTTTCTATAATAGGTGCATGACTATAAGAGACTCAGAAGACACAAGAATGAACTGTAGGAGGAAATGAAAGCTGACCCAGGGATGAAGTACTCGCACAGCTATATTATGCTCTGGTCAAAGGTACCTTGATATATTTGATCTCTGTAGTATTTCCTGGACTACGATGGGGATACACTTCGCCATAGGTAACCACCGTATAAACCACGAACCTTGAATATATCAGGCTAAAGATTATCGAGTGCTAATATAGGATATGTTACTTCGACAGCTGCATTAGTGAAAGGTTTAGTCAGTTTATTTGATGAATCTGATGCCTAAGAGCCAAGGCCACACGCTATGGTTTCTGGCCAATGGGAGCGGGCAGTCTTATCATACCACTTCCAACCACCTACAACGTACCTTGTAGCTCCCTCTAGCTCATACATTATAGGCCCCTTGGTTGAGGTGCTCTAGCTGGAAGTACAGCTACAGTCAGTGATCACTCTTCTCTGAGTGGGGGTGAATCTGATGCAGCTGTATAGAGACTGGGCAACTAGAGCATCTACCAATGAACCTTCCTCCCGGGCTCTGACTCTCTCATTAACGCCAAGGGCTTGTCTATCGTGATGCTATTTCACTTCCTCTACAGTCAGTCTTTAGTTCGGAGGTTGTCATAACAATGTGTGGGAGGAATGGGAATGATAAGAGCCCATCGCGGGACGCTGATTGGCAGATAACAGCCCAGATAGGACCTCTCAGTGCCTTAGTGCCCAGCTATCACTCTTCCTTCTCCGCCGACTATTGAAGTAAGTGTGGTTCAGCTGAGGGTCTTGGGATGTGCTCTTCTGATGTGATCCTCAAGAATCTCAGGAAACATTGCGATCTCCCCACGTCCCGGAGATGAGTCCTGTCTGGGCGAGATTGCAGTCCGGTTGACAAGCCATTCTGATAGGCAGAGTGAGGTGAGATAACTGGCTCTGTATGATTGGCTTCTGCCTTCCTATCTAGCATCGGTCCTGTCCAATTCAGATTCCAGAAAACCTAGTAACCGACCGTCTAGTCTCTCCAAATTACTGGTTGGTGGCTCCCTTACAAACACCCGATTTCCATGGTCTGGGACTCCGAGATTCGAAGAAATAAGCGAGGTGAAGGAACGATGGATTGATTTAATGAATTAACGAAAGATATAGCGCTGAGAGCACATTACCCTATTTCGCGTGTCATGGTCCGCGTCCGTATTCCTCGCCCTTATCAACCTTTAGGCTGGATGCGCTTTGGCTCTAATATCAAATCCCAGCTGATGTGGAGCTGATGGGTTTTCGATACATTAGTACGGAGTATCCACTCTAGCATAGGGTTTACTTATCTCATGTCTTTCCCTGTCATATTTCCCCTCCGTCCTTCCTTTCGACTCCTGTATAGAGCTTTGGTAGGAGTGTTTGGACCTGTCTCCCCTTCGACAACCAGCTCAGCGTACACGCACAGACAACACTCCTTCCCCTATTGATCCCGCCAGCTGCACCGGGGCCCCGACTCTGCTCTGTGACACTCGTCATATACCATGGCGGAATACCCCATCCCCTACAATGGAACGGAGACCGGCACTGGAGGTGATTCCATGACGCAGGATCTCAATATCTTCTACAGCGTAAGCGTCCATAGTCCCCCTGAGACCAATGCGCAAGTCAGCCAATCTCTCTACTAGTCCGGTGATATTGCTTGGGTCATTGTGTCAACAGCTCTTGTTTTGTTGATGATCCCGGGTGTTGGGTATGCAATAGCTCCCCCATTTATTTACGTAGGATAACAGAGCTGTTACTGACGGCTCCATTGAACTAGCTTCTTCTACTCAGGCCTCGCCCGCCGAAAATCAGCACTTTCCCTACTGTGGCTCTCCCTCATGTCGGTCGGAGTCGTCTCTTTCCAATGGTTCTTTTGGGGCTACTCGCTGGCCTTCTCTCACACAGCTGGGAAATACATCGGTGACTTGGAGAACTTCGGGATGAAGGGTGTTCTGGCTGCACCCTCAGTGGGTAGCAGCAAGGTGCCGGATCTTCTGTTTGCCGTGTTCCAGGGCATGTTTGCTTGCATTACGTACGTTGCCATCATGGTTTCCTCCTTACGTCCTTGCCTAACAGATCACATCTAGTGTCGCTCTTGCGGTGGGCGCTGTCGCTGAACGTGGCCGTATGCTTCCCTGCATGGTCTTCAGCTTCATATGGACCACCGTCATCTACGACCCTATCGCCTGCTGGACCTGGAACACTTCTGGCTGGGTTAATAAATTGGGAGGTTTAGATTATGCTGGAGGCACACCCGTCCACATTGCCTCAGGCTGCACAGCCCTAGCTTACTCTCTGATGCTCGGTAAGCGTCGCGGACATGGAACCCATGAGCTCAACTACCGCCCGCACAACGTCACCCACGTGGTCATCGGCACGGTATTCCTCTGGGTCGGCTGGTTCGGGTTTAATGCTGGCTCCGCCCTGAGTGCCAACCTGCGAGCCGTGATGGCCGCCGTCGTGACCAATCTCGCGGCCTCGATGGGCGGCATCACCTGGTGTTTGCTCGACTACCGCCTGGAACGCAAGTGGTCCACCGTGGGCTTCTGTTCCGGCGTGATTGCCGGCCTGGTGGCCATCACTCCAGGATCGGGTTTCGTGACTCCCTGGGCATCGTTCATCTTTGGTGTCGTGGGTGCCGTTGCCTGCAACTATGCCACCAAGCTCAAATACCTCCTGCGCGTCGACGATGCTTTGGATATCTTTGCCGTCCATGCTGTTGGCGGCCTCGTGGGTAATCTGTTGACTGGTCTCTTCGCTGCGTAAGTGTTTAATTGATCCTTACCATCCATCCCTTGAAACAAGACAAGACAAGACAAAATAGCTAACCTTTTTCCTTCGACAACAGCGACTACATCGCTCGTCTGGACGGCACTACGGAAATTACAGGCGGGTGGATCAATCATCACTACGTGCAACTGGGCTACCAGCTCGCCGATTCAGTCTCTGGAATGGCATACTCGTTCTTCGGAAGTTGTATTATCCTCTTCCTCATCAACCTGATCCCTGGTCTTAGCCTGCGTGCTCCTGAGGAGGATGAAATCATGGGCATTGACGATGCCGAAATTGGTGAATTCGCCGTAAGTCTTCCCTCTCCCATTTCATCTGCAGGAAATCAAGATAAACTAGAAAATGACTCGTGGAATCCAAATACAGTATGATTATGTCGAAATCACCCGTGACGTGATCAGTGCTCCAAATAGTGAAAACGGTGATGTATCATCCAAGCGCACCGTGACGCCGACAGAAGGGCACGGAATGAGTGTCGAGAAGACAGTTTAAGCCTTACTCTTTATCTAATACCTATCTTTTTCCTTTCCCTTTCCCTTTTCTTATTCTCAATACCCCAGTTGTCTTCTTTGTTTCTTTCGTCTATTTCCTAGATTTTATCGTTGTAAATATATCAAACAAATAATACACATCATACCATATCTCCCAAAGCTTATATTTTAATCTTCACGAGAAGAAATGATACATAAAAATCTATAATAAACCTTCTAACTCATTTACTATCAATGAATCTGTACAAATCAGTCATATACTCTGTCAAGACAAAACCATTTGACCAACTAAAACCTGGGCTTCAGTGAAGCCATAATCGATAGTCACATAGGAGCCTCAAGATATTCTGTTAGCTCCTGGTTTGATGTATACGTGCTCTTTGATTGATGGAAGCTCAATAGCAGCAAATAAGAATCACGTGGCTCAAGCAATAAATAAACCTATGAGCTGTATATAATTCTTCCATCATTCTTCATACCCTCTCCATTAGGAAATTGCGCTATTCTATCTTGTTGCATATTCCGCGTCTTTAGCTCAGTATCCATTTCTTTACCTTCCTCTATATCGTATTTCCACATGACCTACCGCAGATATGGATATCCACTGAATAGCCTACGGAGTGCTATATTCCTGCTCTAGGACTGCTGTTTATTAGGACTATACTGCAATGTTAATATATCACCTCACATTGCTATTTTCACACCCAGCCTTACTCTAATATACACTTTGAAATGGAGAGGAAAGATGCTTAGCTAATGTACGTGGTTCTCTTTGTATTTCTGTCACAAGAACTACCTTGGTTATTGCATACAAGGAGCCCTATAGATCACGAAGTTTGGCAAAGTGGTGCACCGGACAAAGCTCCTAGTGTGGATGTTTGTTTCAATCTCCCTAGGGTTAATTACAAGATGTAATCCTACATGAAGTACGGACATATCCCGTGGCAGGCATGGCCAAGCATTTAATACTATGTGCTATTGGATTTCAATAGGTAGGTTAAGGGCTCTATCGGCCACTCAAAATTAACAGGAAAGAAATAAAAACGCTCCATCAAAATAATTCGGTGACAAAGACCTGTGGCCAGGCCAGAGCCATAGAACGTAGGCTTATCAGGGGTATTACGATGAGCGGATCTCAATTCACGACACTTCCAACTGAAGACATTTACTCTTCCTGGTCAAGGGGCTCCTCCTCGAGGCTGTGAGTCAGTTAGCACGGCCGTCCAAGTAGGCACTTTCACCATGTCTAAGTTACTTACTATTCCTCTTCACCCTCGGAGATGGACGCTTCCTGGTACTGCTGGTACTCGGAAACCAGATCGTTCATATTGCTCTCAGCCTCAGTGAACTCCATCTCGTCCATACCCTCACCAGTGTACCAATGCAAGAAAGCCTTGCGGCGGAACATGGCAGTGAACTGGTCGCCGACACGCTTGAAAAGCTCCTGGATGGAGGTGGAGTTTCCGATAAAGGTGGAGGACATCTTGAGACCACGGGGAGGAATGGAGCACAGAGCGGTCTGGATGTTGTTCGGGATCCACTCGACGAAGTAGCTCTGGTTCTTGCTCTGGATGTTGCGCATCTGGTCCTCGACCTCCTTCATGGAGACCTTACCGCGGCTAGACAGCGAGTCAGTATCCATTACGTACACTTCACATTCAAGAGCCAGAAGATTACGCACAAGATAGCGGAGCAAGTGAGATAGCGTCCGTTACGGAAGTCAGAAGCAGCCATCATGTTCTTGGGGTCGAACATCTGCTGGGTCAACTCGGGAACGGTGACAGCACGGAAAGAGTGAGCGCCACGGCTCGTCAGAGGAGCAAAGCCGACCATGAAGAAGTGGAGACGAGGGAAGGGAACCATATTGACGGCCAATTTGCGGAGATCGGAGTTGAGCTGACCGGGGAAACGAAGGCAGGTGGTCACACCGGACATGACGGCAGAGACCAGGTGGTTCAGATCACCGTAGGACGGGTTGGAGAGCTTGAGGGTACGCATGCAGATGTCATACAGAGCCTACATAGGTCAGCGTTCGGGAGTCCATGCGCAGTTTTCTCAATGGCCCAAAGAATTTCCAAACATACCTCATTGTCGATACAGAAGGTCTCGTCGGAGTGCTCAACAAGCTGGTGAACGGACAGGGTGGCGTTGTAAGGCTCAACAACGGTGTCGGAGACCTTGGGGGAGGGGACGACGGAGAAGGTGGCCATCATGCGGTCAGGGAACTCCTCACGGATCTTGGAGATCAGGAGGGTACCCATACCGGCACCAGTACCACCACCGAGAGAGTGGGTGATCTGGAAACCCTGGAGGCAGTCGCAAGCCTCAGCTTCACGGCGAACAACATCGACAACCTGGTCAACTAGTTCGGCACCCTCTGTGTAGTGACCCTTGGCCCAGTTGTTACCAGCGCCAGACTGGCCGAAAACGAAGTTGTCGGGACGGAAAAGCTGGCCGAAGGGACCGGCACGGACAGCGTCCATGGTGCCGGGCTCCAGGTCGACCAGAACAGCACGAGGAACATACTTGCCTCCGGAAGCCTAGGGGAGAAAAAAGAAGTCAGAACCTGTTCCTGGATGATATGGGAGACATCCGAACCTCGTTGAAGTAGACGTTCATGCGCTCCAGCTGGAGGTCTGAGGAGCCATTGTAACTATTCATTCCATCAGACACATGATCATGCTATGCGCCTCTCCTTTCACTGCCTTTTTTGCTCCTCATTTCGTAATGTAGGCGGGCTGTACTTACACACCGGAGCCGTCAAGGCCGTGCTCTCCGGAGATAGTCTGCCTATTTCCATTGTCAGTACTCATGCGTAGAAATAAACAGGTCTTGTATAGCCCAAGCTCAAAAGAATTTGGACCCAGAAGACTCCAATTGCCTATATTGACGTACCAGAACGCAGCACCGATTTGGTTGCCCTATTAATCCCAAGGCAGTTTAGTGACTGATTCCATAAAGGTCTACCCCCATTATAATTGCTTCAGACTTACACACTGGCCAGTTTGAAGATGAACCTAGTTGAAAGAAATTCGTTAGCATTCCAAGTCGGACAGAACTGGTGGGGTCCCCTGACAGGGAACCAACAGAGACGCGTCTAGAGGGGGGTTCAGGGGGAGGGCATCACGTACGATCTCACGCATTGTGGAGGAGGTTTTGACAGTATTGATGGGAAAATTCAGCTAATAACAGATGGCGTGGATAGACGAAAGATGAAAAGACCGGAAGAGCGTCCAGATGGAGAGGAGAAGAAGGAGAAAAAGAAGGAAGAAGGATGGGTTGAGCGGTGAAAGTGTGCGGGAGGATCAACAACTAAGTCAACATCCAGAACGGGTTTAGCGCATCTTTCTTTGGGCATGGAAATAGGGGCGTCCCAATGTGGTATGGCGTCGTCACAGGAACAATCACCCACAAACGCGAACCAGATTTCTTGGGCTTCGTGCTTGTTAATATTCACGTACATAGGCGGCACCAGGGAGTACTCTGTAGACAATGGTTTCTCTGCTATTATTGTACATGCATACAATCTCCATCACTCACTTAACTTCAGCATTAGAACTTTCCAGCCATGTGCCAAACTCATTCAGCCTTTGCTCCTCCTCGGAGTCCTCAGCATCAAATCCCCTCTCTGCTAGATCCTCCAATGCTGCTCGTTTATCATTGCTCTTCTTAAAGCGCTCACTGCCATCTGAGATATATGCCTCGACACGGGTCCCACCGAAGAAGCGACCGTCCATGACCTGGGCCCAGCAAACAATTAGTACCAATGACTGAAACATTTTGGGGGGGGGCGGTCAGAAACAAAAAAGCCTGATGTAAGATAAACTCACCCGGACGCAGTGCTTCGCAGCTTCGGGCTCGATGAAGCGCACGCTAACAACCCCGTCGGCCTCTTTGTCATATAACACAATATTGGTCACCTCTCCTAATTTGGAGCATTCTTCACGGATATCCTCTTTGATATCTAGGATGGCCGCCGGATCATCCTGTTCAACAGGTCAGTCTCATGCTTATAGATTACATTAGTAAATGGCTTATTCTAGGGATCCATACATCCAACTCCTTCAGGGTAAACATGTGTTTCAGAATGACAGTCTTCTCAAACTTGGAATTGGTTTCTGGTAGCGTAGATGGGTCGTCGTCATCCCAGTCGGCGAGTTTGCTGTAGATGATTAGCATGTTAACTCGTAACTCATTGCCCAAGTGGATCTATCTCTACCTATTTAACTTTTGCGTTCTCTGAATGATTTTTCTCCTGTCTTTCATACTGGTTTTGGTCGGTGCATCTTGCTGGCTCTTGAAAGAGAAGTCCGCGATTTGAACTCGCATGGGCCCCTGAGGCCCCGTGACACCGAATCTGAAGTCTGAATCATCCAGCATCTGGATTGCGAGATTAACCGACTCAGGTCGGAAGTAAACGACGAGTGCTTCACCCTTGAACTTCCCGTCATCATCCATGTACATCTTGATCCGGGGGCGGCCACTGTCAATTTCTTCGGCAATGACACCGCATTTGGAGAAGACATGCTGAATTTCTTCGAAATCCGCATCAAGAGGGATGGACGAGACGAATACGGCCGTATTTACACGCTGCTTCTTCTGTTTCTGTGTGTTGGCCTATATTGATATCCGTTAGTCTTTGCTTCCCAACCAGCGGCTCCCAAGAGCGATGAAGAGGGTCTAGAAGGGTAGCGATTTCGTTACTCACTTCATCGGCAGCTACCTGTTGCTTCCGTTTTTTCTTCAAGTGCTGTGCCGTCACTTCCTCATTCTCATCTACACCTTGGACTTTGTAGGCTTCTTGCTGTTGTCGGAGCAAGTCATCATCGACCTGGAGAACACCCACGGGCGCGCAGAGATGCGCCCACCACGGAATCAGTTTCACGAACCAGCCAAGTTCCATGCGAGTTATAGCTGATCTAGCATATCTACAGCGGAAAAAATGTCTCCTTGACGCTTTGTTGCGCACTCACAAATGAAATGAAAGGAAAATAGAAGAACACAAGAACACAGGGAAGGTTTTCAACAGCTGGGAAGCACAACAGGGGTCCCCGAGCTGGAGAGAAAGCGCACACACACCGTCGGAATCCACCGCTTCAATACCGTATTGTATTCAAACTCATGTCCGTCTTCTGTTTCCAGGATGAACTTGCCGTCCAACTTGGAGAACGAGACCCGGGGATCGCTGTCGAATTCCGAAGGATCCTGAGGGAAATTATTCGAAGGCGCAGCGTTTGAGTTGGCCTCAGGACTCGGTGACGCCATAACTCGCGAGGAGAAGGTAAAGGGGTGGCAGAGACAAATATGTAGACTATTCAACAGACATGGATTTGGAAAATCGAAAGCAAAGGTCGAGACCCGCGGGGAGAGGTCGCTTCGCCTTGCTTTCTGTGCCGCCTTAGGTGATTACGTAGCGACCGACAATTGGTATTGGGCTTGTTGCTTGAACCTATTTGGGAAAGCGGTTTTCAATTTTGCCGATTATTCACCGTGTTTGCTACCTAAGTACCGGCTTAGCTGGACTGCGATGGTTGACATAATACAAATAGTTTAGTTAACTATCACTACTGAATTTGCCAAAATGCCTTTTCAACCAACCTTCTAGGTGGTGCTATTGAAGTCTGCCGCTTGCTAGTTGTTGCGCTTTGAGAATCCAACAAAATACTCACACTTCATGTTTATAGTTTGCAATCTGTCTGGAATGTCGCTTAGCTATATAAAGAGTTTGGCCATACTAGAAGTCTCAGAAATCAATGAAAAGGGCATTGACCCGTTCGCGAACTTTTCAATTCCTCCATTGTCTCCTCTAGTGCTTTTTTACCCTTGCCTTCGAAATACTTAGGCCCAACGTCAGGAATGTAGTAACCTTGCGGGTAGTATTTGCTCCCCTCGTCCCCTGGAAGCGGGCGGCCCATCACCCACGTGAGCCACGCCGTAGGACCCCAGTGGTTCCAGAAAGTCGGCTTAACGTAGTATGGTGCGGCGTCCCATTTGGTCAAGAAGAGGCGATCATGCTCGTTTGGATGCTCCGCAACGCTGTTGTAACGAAACAGATAAGGCCGAGGAAGCGCTAGGTAGCGCATTGCAAATCGACGCATCGACAAGAGAAACGAGAACACTTTAGTATACGATGCTGGTGGATCATCATACCTGAATTGAGTCAGACGCCGACAAAATAAAATCGAAAAACTCAACAACCGATTCATCCCTTTCACTTACAGCATGGCCCTCCGTAGGCGTTCATCCATCATAAATGACACAAACTTATGCCCAATATGCTGTAATGGCCTGGGAACCATGTATAGCAGAATCGCGGCTGTGTATGTGGCTGTTTGGTGATTCGTGATATTCGGAAGCATGCAACGGACCTCGTAATCGTCGCTCCAGGCCGCGACTTCCTCGAGCCAGTGCAGGCCGTCGCGGAAGCCTGTCTTTCCTGACGGGAGAGCATCGTACTTGACCCCCAGACCATCGCCCAGGCTCTTCCAGAACGTCCCCAAAGCGCACTTTTCGACATCAGTCAGGCTGCGCCATTCATACTTCTCGATAAACCGGACTGGCTGGATGGCAAATAGGCCCAGCGTGTACAGCATGTCATCATCCAGGATTTTGCCCGAAGCGCGGTACCCACTGTGAATAAAGTTGGTACGCGCAACGGAAGAGCAAGACCGGATAGAAGATGGAGCCTGGCTTATAAACTCCTGAATGAAGACGACCGTATCGGCATAGCGTTTGAGAGACAGCTCCGGGTCGGACAACTGCTTGGTGTTGGCGAGTAGCCCTGATATAGTAGGAATGCCATACGTCTATGTATGGCGCGCGTCAGTTGTAGAACACACAGAGGAACAAAGGGCTACAGGGGGAAACAAACCCTGAAAAGCGCAAACTGCAGGGATTTGATAAATATGAAAGGGAACTCGAGCTGGGCCAAAACCTTCTGGATCGCCCAGGCGTCATCATCTGTCATACGCGACAGGGACTCGCGAGTGGGGTAGCTGTACTTTTGGTGCAGCCATCGAACTCGACGGAACCGAAGCAGAGAAACCAAGATTGGATATGCGGCTAGAATTAGTACCGCGTACTGTTGAACCTGGCGAAATGAGACATTTAGAGTGACAGAGATTGCAGGGGGAAAAGTGTTCCAGCCATCCACAAGCTGGTCCCCAGTACCATTGTCCATCACAAAGTACCTTGTACCTTGGGCTCACAACGCCGGGAATTACCACCAAGACGAGACTGAAGAAATTAGGGTAGAGGGGAGTGTTGCATGTGGCAAATAGAAGGGAATCTAATGTACGATGAAAAGTTGAAGTGCTCAAGTTCTCAGTCACATTTCCCGTTTTTCTTTTCTTTTCCCCGCACACCCAACTGGTTCAATTTGTTTATGCCTCGTGACGATCTTCATCCCCACCAACCAAGCATTTCCCATCAAACCTAAACCACAGCGGTTGTATCCATCTTGACTCATGAAGACAAATCAAAAAAAAAAAAAAAAGAGCCTTTAATTCTACAGGAATTCCTGGAGTTTCATGCGCAGTAGAAGCGCTGTTTATGGACGGTTTGTTTCATTCTAGTGAGAACTAAAAGCCAAATCCTGTCTACCTACTTCCGTAAAACCATCATTTCTGACATCCATGAGACACCTCAGGCTATGATACACAATTCAAGGAGACAATGATGATGAGTACATACAGCGTCTTCTGTCGGATGTCTCGAGATCTCCATCCTATCCGATTTAGAGATGCACAGCCTTAATGAGGCGAGATGTGGAATCATCCTATATTACCCCGTATCTCGTCAACCAGAACCAGGAAATGCGGTCCTTCAGCGGCCAATAATCCTAAGCTCTAGTATCCTCAGCAGTGGGAATATGACAGCCGTGAACCCAAATCCAAGCCAGATTCCTAAATCACAGCCACCCTCGATTGCTTGTGCAATCGGGCCGGTGTAATAGACCTGGCTCTGCAATAAGAAGTCAACAAAAAGCCGCCATTGGGGAATCGGAAGAAATAACCTACCATCCCAATGATAGCCCCTACCCACCCGACCAGGAAAGCCACACTAGCAGCCATTCCTACGGGTAGTTTCGGGCGAACATTCCATGCAGACCAGTCAAAATCTCTCTGATTGAAGAACAAATCTTGCTCTGCAACGATCGTGAACCAGATAATAACCCAGTATCCGATCAGTGGTAGAAAGTTCTTGAAAATCTCATATAAAGAATTGCGACCTCCAATCGCACAGACTGCGTAGGTAATGGTACTGAGCACGGTGAAGACAGGCCGGGGAATCTTCGCCCACATGTCTCCGATCATCTGGAAATTCATGGCCATGGAGTAACAGCCAGGGGCATTATTGGAAACGACTGTCACAACATTTATGGCAGCGCAAATCTTGCCGAAGACTCCCAGCCTCGAGTAACCCGCCATGAGCAGTCCTCCCGGAGTTCCATCGTATATGTCTGCCCACTTCGGAGTGTTGGCAACACCCGAACCAAGGCCAGCACCCAGAAGAAAGGTTATTGTCAACGATAGACAAAGCCCGATTGTGGTCATGGACCATGTCCTCCACTTCGGGGTACTCGGAGGGTAGTTCACAAAGTAGTCTGAGGATAATGGCACCCATGAAAGGGTGGCTGATAGACAAAGTGAGAAAAACGCCAGACGACTCACATTTATTTGCTCCAAGGATCCAACAGATGGACTGTGGAAATCAAAATATGGACCAGCCGAACCGGTGAGAACGCAGAGGATTATCAGTTGGGGTAGCCAGGCAAATCTGTTGCATCAAAGTCACTACAGCCACTAGGAGAGCTTCTAGTCGAACTGGATGGCAGGGTTCGCACCTTTCATAGAGTTGGAAAATACGCATTCCGAAGGTTGCCATGGCCCAACTGGCAAGCGCGACAATGACAATGCCGACAATAACGGAGACAGTGCCGCCAGATAACTTAGCCAGCAATTGCCCCCCAACCATACTGTTCATCATTCCATAACCCAAGTTTGTCAATATGTTCAATAAACAGCAGATTTTGCTGGGGTGGTAGCCCATGAAATATCTCGCCACGATCTGTCATAGAGAGAACTGAGCCGTAAGCCATTTCTGCCTTTCAATAATCATTCAAACGGATGAAGTCGGGGGAAGAGGAAATGCCAGGGAAGTTAACAGGCCGAAAGTTTGCGCAACAGATGGACCATACAAGTGTTCGATGTCCACTCCGGGGGCCCCAGGTGCTCATCCAGCCAACTGCCATGCCTCCCAGGAGGTTTCCAAAAATGGCGCAAAGGATGGCGTCGGAGAAGCTAAGCTGCATGACCAATGTCCCTAAGGATCCTACCACGATATTGTTTAGAGACATTCCCATACTAAACCATATGAGCAGCATGTGGAGTAGGCCTGCTGCGCTGGGATCGAGGCGTTCGTGCAGGGGAACAGGCTCAATACCACGGGTCTCCAGGCCTCTGATGCTTCGCGCCCATTTTTGGTATCTCGATTCGCGACTTGCAGGAGCCTGGTATTCCAATTCACCATGTGCAACACTTTGTAGAGAAGACGATCCATGGTCCTTTTCAGCGTCTGACATCATACTGGCTCATAGGGGACTGGAGGGTTCTCCGCAGGACAGGCTGATCATATGCTCCCCCTCTTCAAAACTGAAAGATGGATGGGTCGGGGAAAGTGATGAGATGTGGGCCAAAGGCGAGTATATATAGACACAAAGGACCCGGGAGCAAAGAAAGGGGAGGATACCAGGCAAGCAAGAACCCTTTGCTCGGTGGTAGTGGGTTGACATCTGCCCTCTTTCTGCGTAGCACCTGCACTACCTGAGAAATGACATTCCATGGGCAGTGCGCATCAGAGTAGAATAGGTGCACATGCATCTCCAGATTCTATGGACTGGTTTCACATCATCCAATTCTCTGGGGGGAATTGGATCGTTCACTACCGAACAAGGGCTAGGAATTCCGCGTTAAGTTGAGTACCAGCGCGAATGCAATGCACCAGTCCATTATAGTGATAGTCGTCGCTACGTTGAGCCAATCCACTATCAGCCCATTGCTATTACGTGATTTGTTCCTCATACCAGAGATACTGGGTGTCAAGCCCTCCAGTAGTCATTGGTATGCACGGGAAGCAAGGGGAAGCAAATGATTATCAGTACTCGAAAGCAGGATTCCCAGCACAGTAACTGCTGATGTCTAAATTAGAAGAAAAGTTCGACAAATATGTAAGTGATTTGTTGTCTGTACTTAAGTGCGGCTGGAGCAATCAAGGGTTCCGCTGATTTGGAGTGACAGTAAGGCTATGTACAACACCGTTATACAGGGAATGCGACTCATGTCCGTACCTTGTTTGTGTCACATTGATAATTCTGGGAGGACAGGACATACACGTTAATGGCTTCGGTGGCTTCTACCTAGAGTCTCTGATATACTCGCCTTCCGAGCTGCGGACATGCGGACAATGTCGTCAGTGTGCAACTCAAAAAGACGGACCTTGTACTCCATTCAAAACAAAACCAACCGATAGGTCTGCCATTCCCTAGATGAAATCCTCCAGCCTGTGCAATAGAACCTTAAGATCCTGTCCTGAACTGATGCTGCATGTTTCGAAGACAAATCTCTGGTGCTGTTAAATATACTACAACTTCTGGTTTTGGGTCAATAGTTATTTTCAAGGCGAAGCAAGTCATTATAATGACACTCATTTTAAGGTACTAAGCTAATGGATGATTACGATCCAGATTCGATATGCCGACAGATGATGATGAAGACTGCATATTCTAGGATCGTGCAGAAGCCTCCTCATGGTGAATCGTACCTCGTACCAACCCGAATAGAACATTGCAATCCCATGTGACAACTTCGATGCTAAAGATTTTCCTCCGCTGAAGTGAAATCCCATGCTATGTATCACTCGCTTCAATCTGATTCCACATGCATCACGTTCATCAATCATCCAATTTGATCCATTAACCACCACACCCTCATTGAATAACCCTGTCCAAATAAAGGTAAAGCAGCCGATGCAACAGATATAACATGTGAACCAGAACAAACCAAGTCAGCTCAAGTTCATTTTATTCTCTTCAACACACATACCAGAGAAGCTTCAAGGGCGGTACATATTGCGATGGCCACTCGACTTGAGAGGTAGACTCTCCAATTGACATCGTCTCTCCCATACCGGAGGCGGGGATGTCTCCACAGAAGGGTTCGCAGTTGCACACAGTGCGGAGTCATCACTAACTCCCGCGGTGCTGGACGATATGGAAGAAGTAGACGAGGTGGAATTGCTGTCGTGTCTTGGTCTGGGCGGTGGGGATGGTTCTCAATGAGCGCAATTTTTGAAGAACGCCTCCTCCTCGTAGGAGAAGATCGTATGGAAGAGACTTTTCCGACAGCCTTTTTCATCCCAGACATAATAGGCGATGTGACAACGAGGATCTAGTTCACTCTGGCGAGCGCATTGACTATGAGAGACTTAGTTCACTATCTATAAATCTACCTGTCTAGCGAATGTTTAAGGAGGACGAGAAAGGATCCTTACATCAAGGTCATCCCGCTAGCCCAGGTTGTCGCGATGCTCTGTGCTTTCAGCTTATGCGCCTGACGACGAAGACGTTGGTTTCTCCGGAGAGCTGGACATCCGGGTCGAAGTCAACATGCACCGGCATGTTGCTGGCACAAATGATGGGTTCGATTTCAGCATGATTGATACGGACTTTGGGACTGAGAAATTTCGGCGGGGATAATTGGTGGAAGGAAAGAAGTAGTAGGATCGAAATGACCATCAAAATGAATGAGCAAGCATAAGCACTGATAAATGGACAGGTGAAAAGGTCGTTGCTAAGCAGTTAATGGATACTTTACGGAGGGGGCCGATCAAGAGATGAATATGTAAAGCATCAGATATGACTCCTATTCTTTACATACTGTCAGGCTCTGATCCAGATCCAGATCCAGATCCTCAGCCAGAGTGAATCCATTCACACAGAGAGCCACAATGAAGGGGGCTGTGGCGTCCATGCAACTAAATATCTATGTAAAGATCTCCAATGACAGACCTGGATTTCAGACCAATACAGGGGTTATGTAGAACGGGGATTGGATATTGCCATAACTAATGATTGATGCTATGATCTGCAGTGATCTGGTTGGAAACAGTCTAGACTTTTTTACCTTACTTTAATTCATCTGTTACTATTAACTACCACCACAGTAAATAATACACCCAAATAAACACCTTTATATTAGGCACATGCACACACACACTGGTTAGAATTAATTAATTAGAATTTGTTTCCAAGATCAACCTTATTTCTTCCACCACCTATTGATCTGCCTTTTTGGTTCCATCCACCCATCCTTTTCCGATAGGACCGCCAGGTTACACCAAGACCGCGTGACTCGAATTTCATTGAAATTGCGTCTGATTGACGAGTCGACCACCTAGAAGAACCATCTTCCTTCCTGGTCCTAGGACTAAGCCGACGCATGTATCTACTTGGTTATCCTAGTTGCCTACATTGATGAGTTAACCACTCACTTATATCTAGTGCCACAGCTACACAAAACAAAACCAGGTAACAAAACAACACTAAGAGAGACAAGGAAAGAACAAACAACCAAAAAAAACACAAACAGGGAAAGAAAGATTAAAGAAAAATGTCTAAAGAATACATCTCCAACCCCCCGGTCCCTCCTCTCGGACCCAGTCCCTCGACCAAACCAGCAACTATTATGCCCACCCCCAGTACAACGCCCATCCAAACGATCCAAACCTGGGAGATAGACCGTACACTCTCGGGGATGCGCATCGTCTGGGCCAACGGGCAACATGCGGAGGTTGGACTCTGCGTGGATGGTCCCACCAAACAATTCGAGTTCGGACGTCAGGAACGCATCCAAATCATGTATGTGTATGTGGGCGAGCAGGTGGATGGATTCTGGTTCGTGACGAGCCATCAGAAGTCGTTTTTTCCAGGGAAGTCGAGCACGCGGTATGAGATGGTGGAGTTGGGGAATGGGGTGTTGGTGGGGTTTGAGGCTAGAGTCAAGCTGGATCAGCAAGGGAGGGAGGTTGTGTTGGAAGCGCTGGGGGCAAATTTCAGGAAGGGTAATTAATCTATCTTGTTGATATCTTATGTGGAATGGGGGTAGATATGAGAGATCACTCCTTCAATAATAATCAGAAATTACAGTGTATTTAAGACTCCCACAGCAATATGTACAGCGAAGCAACCCATCACTTGCGCCAACCCATCCCGATGCGAGACAAGAGTCTATGAACAGTAAAGTGGAAAGTGCCTTTTTCAACCACGGACGCCAACAGATCGCTAGGCATTAAAATTCAGTATTCGGCAGTCAGACTCTAAGCAGGGAAGGGAATGAAAAAACAAAAAATCGTAGACCGTTCTGAACCACAAGCGCTATCGACGAGAATCGTAAGAATACATCGTTGAAAGGCACCCAACGTATCGGATCTATTAATATCGACAAGCGAAGACGGAGAAACGCTCAATCGGCATGCATATCATGCTTAGCTCTGACTGGATCGAGATAGACGGGAAGTCGATCTCCTACTCCGGTGTGATAGGGCCCGCTCTGGCGGTGCATACTCGAAGAAAGGGAGAAGGTCGGGGTTCTGACTCGGAGGAGTGGTCGACGGTAGGTGATACTCTCCCACGATTTGGTCATCCGCCGCAGTCTCAGGATGGATTTCGATGCCTTGTTGCTTGTCCAGGCCTCCGTGCGGGCTGGTGTCGTATTTGAAGGGCTCCCCGTCCGACGGTGCCCGTTCGATGGGCGACCAGCCAGCGATGCTACCAGCAACTATACCAGCCATGGCAGCGGCGGGCCCAAATGTCGAATTCGACCGGGATCGGGTCCGTCGTCGAGACCGCGAGTCAGGGCTAGCGGGCGGCGGTGGAGTAATGGTCCCTTCGCCCTGGGGGGTCCCAGGGATCGAGTTTTCTCGCGATCGAGAGCCGCTGCGAGATCTCGGCAGGAACTCCTCGGGGTGTTGTAACTTATGCTTGAGATGCCTCAACCGTCCTCCACGGACAGTCTTGAGGAACCGCAGCTGGTCACGGATCTCTTCCAGGGCAGGATTCCACTCAAACCGTCGATCCTCGTCGGACACTAGAAGCTCCGGTCTCTTCCTACGGATCTGGAAACTGGGTAACATATTTTCAATAATCCAATCGGGGAACAGGCGGATGATCACCGCAATGGGGAGCGAGATCACCCCAAGAACTAAAGAGATTCCCCACTGAGGACCATTCAGCCAGGTAACCGAGAAGGCTTCTCCTCCGACAAAGATGATCAGGACTTGGCCACCAATAATGATAAACTGAATGCCGATAAACCATCGGTTTCTGAAGATACCGTCGAAAATATTGAGTTTGTTGTCAATCCGGCGGGAGTTCCACTGGTTGAAAATTTGCATCCATACAAATGTGTTGAAGACTAATGTCTGATGCTCTCGGCCGTCATACAAATGGACAAAGTTCAAGGCAAATGTGACGGCCAGTTGGTATATGCTCTGCCCGATGATCATTTTCCACATGGTCAGGTTAATGAGCGGGCTGGATTTCGGTTCAGGTTTGCGGTTGAGGATATCATGGGGCGGAGGATCAGTCGCTATGTCTTGTTAGAAGACCACTAGAGCCAACCAATTCGTCGGAGAAGAGTTTGTAAAGACTTACCAAGAGCAAGTGCAGCAAAGGTGTCCATGATCAGGTTGACCCACAGAAGCTGCACCGCCGTCAAGACTGATTCCTGATTGCTGCTGGCCACTGCAGAGACAAACGTAAGGAGCACGGCGGTAATATTGACGGTGATTTGGAACTATCGGATAATCAGCAACCAGTGTCCTCGCGCCTTTTACGAGACCTTCCCTACCTGCAAAAACTTTTTGACCGCATCGTTCACAGTCCGTCCCCAGGCCATGGCTTTGATAATCGAGGTGAAGTTGTCGTCCATGAGAATGATATCTGAAGCCTCCTTGGCCACTTCGGTGCCTGAAATTCCCATGGAGAAACCCACATCAGCCGTCTTGAGGGCCGGAGCGTCATTCGTGCCGTCACCGGTGACCGCAACCGTCTCTCCCAACTTCTTGAGCTGAGTGACGAGAATCTTTTTGTCATCGGGGCTGGATCGTGCCAGTACCTGAAGTCGGGGGATGATCTGGGTCATCTGGCGACTGCTGAGGTTGCGAAACGTGGGTCCTTCGATTGCAACACCCCCCGGTGTGAAGATTCCGCATTCCTGGGCGATAGCTTTGGCAGTAATGATATTATCTCCGGTGACCATTCGAACAAAGACCCCTGCGCTTTGACATTTGTGGACAGACTCCGTCACACCAGGCCGAAGGGGGTCCTGGATTCCGAATACACCAAGCATAGTCATGTCTTTAAAGATAGGGTCGAATTCCGCCAGGCTACGGTCCTCCTCCTGCGTGGGAGCCCCACGAGGTGGCCATTGCTCGAAATCGCGATACACTAGCGCAATAGGTCTCAATGATTGAGAGGCATAGTGGGCCATAATAATGTCCAATGTGGACCGGTCGTGGTCAGACAATGGAATCTCAGATGTATCCTGTGTCGGGTCGCGGATGATACGAGTGCACTTCAAGGCTAAGATTTCTGACGCACCCTTCACCAGCATTCGGTATTGCCCATTGCCCATCTTGTACACGACCGCCATACACTTGCGACCCGAATCAAACGGCACCATCTGAACCATTGTGGCATTCGACCGCGCCTCGCTGACCGATCCCAGCCCCAGATAGGTTCGAGCGAAGCCTAGCAGAGCGGTTTCAGTCTTGGACCCGATAAACGTCATCGTTCCATCCTGTTCCCCTTCAAACGCGGTGGAGTTGAGAACGATTGAGTCGAGCAATAATTCCTTGACTGGGCGCGCCAGGCTGGAGGCAAATTCCGAGGGTGAAAGAGCGTTTGATGAACCGTCAGCACGCTGATCTTCTCGTTCACCATGTGAGGATGCGTCCGACGACGATGCTTTGTGGGACTTGCTTCCAAACTTTAAAGTCGTTCCCAGAGTCGCAGCAACAGCGGTCATCATATTTTCCGTGAGGGTACCAGTTTTATCGGAACAGATTGTTGTCGCATTGCCCATAGTCTCACAGGCTCGGAGCAGTCGTACCAAGTTGTTGTCTCGGAGCATTCGTGTCGTGGCGAACGCAAGCGCTAGTGTAACAGCCAAAGGCAACCCTTCGGGGACCGCGACCACAATGACGGTCACAGAAACGATGAAGATCTGAAGGAACGACTGGCCTTTATTATCTGCACCTTCGATGTTCTTCAACTGGGCCAAGAATTTGATGAAAAGCACAATAAACAGAAGCAATCCGGCAGCCAGGCCCAGCTTTGCAATGTATTCGGCAAGAACATTCAATTTTGATTGCAGAGGGGTGGTCTGTCCCTCGTCTTGGAGCGACATCATTGTCCTTCCGTAAGACGAATTGACCCCAACCGAAGTGGCCAAAAAGGTACCGACCCCCTCTGAGACCTTAGCGCCAGACACAATAAACGGGTCCAGTTTTGAGAGACTTTCATGTTGCTCAATGGCGCGATAAACCTCATGAGCCGCTGTTTTATGGAGCAGGTCCGACTCGCCGGTTGCCGAGGACTCGTCGCACTTGACATTGTGGCCATCGATGAATATGCCATCGACGGGAATCATGTCTCCGGGTTCAAGAAGGATGACATCACCGACAAAGATGTCGTGAACCGATAATTCCATGGTAGTACCTGAACGAACCACTTTGACTAGCCGGTCTTCCTTCTTCTTGTTCAGTTTCACAAATTGGCGCTCCTTCTGCCAGTCGTTGGCTGCACCCACGACCACCACGATCACGATGGCCACTATAATGGCCACTCCTTCAACCCACTGCACTCGAGGCTCGTTGCCCTTAGCCGTAACGGATTGGTAGATACCGATCGCGAGCGAGACGACCGCCGCAATCGTCAAGAGGATTAGGACTTTGTCGTTGTATGCGATCCACGCCAGCTCAAATATGCTCTTGGGTTTCTTTTCGGGGAGCTTATTGAACCCAAAGATCCGACTTCGATCAAAGAAAGGTTTGTCTGCAGAATTCGTTTGATTTGTGGCCGTTCGTTTCAGAGTAGCCTGCGTGGAAGGGTTTGCCTGGGCCTCGGGGTGCCTCGACGTTGCATCTTCAAAGCTAACGGTGCCATGCAAACGGGTTTCATCCACGCTCAAGCCACTGCGACTGTCGGTTCGCAGGCCCTTCTCAAGGCCTTGGAGACCACCCAAAGCATGGAATGCGCCGAGGCTCTTCGGGTTCAACATTTTATTCAGCTGGCCTGGGGAAAAAGCGAACCGGCTGTCCTCCACCTGGAATTCATCTTCCCGGCCCGGGTCTGGTTTTAAAGCGTCCCCGTCATCGATGAGCGTATGCGCCAGATCCGCACGTGACCCTTGGGATGCCGTGGGCACATAGGTGTCCCCACCATAGGAAACGGTGGACTGGTTGGTCTCTTCCGACTCCAACGAATTCCCCCGAGATCTGGTGCCGGGCACCGCCAGGTAATTGGAGTTGGGCATGGACTCGGTTATCTTTGAAGTCGGAGAAGAGATGTTGTGTGGGGAAGTTGGCCTGCTATCGTGGTCCCTGGGCTCAGACGAGGTAAAGGAGCGGACTGAGCCCGGCGATCGCCCATCGGAGGGGGATACGCTGCCGTTATTTAGAAGCGCGCTGGTATCGGCTGCATCGACATTTTCAGAGGAGACGTGTAGTGAAGGCTGCAACGGGCCGGGCAAAAGCTGCGGTGGCGGATGGTCGCCCTGATCCGTGGGCGAGGTCACGGCCGAAGTATCGATGGTGATGGTGGGCGCCCGTTCCCGTCGTAGGGGAGTCGATTGCTTGGAATCTACCGCGTCCGATCTGGAATCCGACATGGTCCAAGGGGGTTTAGAACGCCCCGGAAGCGGTGGGTCTCAAGGAGCCGGGGAAGCGCGTAGTAGAAGACAGGGAGTAGTGATATCAGTAAGAATGCGGCTCCAGCAGGAGCATATCCATTGAGTCCTCTTGTACCATAAACCCGAGGCCAGTCATAGGAAGATATACAGGTTGTACGCAGAAGATGGCTGTAAATCAAGCTCCAGAGACGTTTTTGAGATCAAGAAGCCGTACACAAGATCCCATACGGCCTATTCTGGGTGGGATATCACGGACACATCTGCCCACGTCGCCGAGATATGAGGAATGCGCAAAACAGGCGTTAGTAGAGTATGGTACTAGGACATCGATCGAGAAAACCTGCGTCTCCACAGACTGGGGAAGCAAATCGGGTCGAGATCACAAAATTGAATGTCAATGTGGAGTGGGAATGAAGGGCTGTCAAAAGAAGGGGAGGCGAGGGCCAAAAGTTAATTCTGCTTAGCAGTGGCGTCCAGGAGGGTCGGAACGGCCACAAGCACATATAACAGAACTCTAAAGATATGGGAATGGAATCCCAGCCCACGATATCACAGGGGACCCTATCCGGGAGACTGGGGATTGTAGCTGCGACAAGGTCACCAATTATTCGACCAGTGGAAGTGTTCGTTCGTCCGGTATGGAAGAGGCCGAGAAGATGAACGAGAGAAAGATCGACGCGGGTGAGTATTGAGCTCAATTCTACCAACACCGAGCCAATGGGCGGAAGGAAAAGGAGGGTGAGATCGGTGGCTTGGCTAGTGATAGAGTGGGAGGAAATGAAGAAGTCGAACAGCTGTTGGGGATAAGTTATGTCGTGGTGTTCGGGCTCCTGGAGAAAGACGTAGCAGATTAAGGTGTTGGGAGCGAACCGTGGATGAAGCGGATAGTGCGTCACAGACTGTACTCTGGTAACCCGGTTACATACAATACCCGACTTGTCCAAACATCCAGACTGAGTCTGTTGGAAAATAAGTCCCTTGTCCTCCCAGTTAGGCATAGTGTCTCTGCAAGCCCGCACTGGAGGAGGGAGAGAGCCATTCAGGGGGCATAGTCCAGAGTGCATGCGGTAGGAAAATCCGTTCCCAAATCCATAGCTGCCCGGTTTGGCAGGTACCTCAGTGCTTTCCTCCCCGTCGGCCCCACTTGATCCCACCGAATTGCTTGAGAATCTCGTATGATAGCTAACGTAATCGGTAAGCGAGCGCCGCATGAAAGCGAGCGCCGCACTTCTGTACGCCATATAAAATGGCACTCTTTGAAACCTTAATATCTCAACCACCAGTAGATATAGAACATCTTTATAAGACAATAACATATATATGGATTCTAAAAGGTATTTTCATGTTTTTAAATAGCTTTCTTGGCTTTTAAATACTAGGACAACTAAAAATATAAAAAATACAGTTGTAATTTATCTTATCTGGAGAAATATTCATTCCTAAAATTTCTCTGCTTAATATATATATATACGTTATTATATTATACTGTATATTAAATTTTATGCCCTCTAGGTGCTTTATTGTTGAGATATTAGACTCTCAAAAAGTGTCATTTTATATGGAATAGAGAGGTGCAGCGCTCGCTTTCATGCGGCGCTCGCTTACCGATTACGTTAACAGGCGGCTCTTAGGTAATGCCGACAATTACCTGTTAAGGTTAATACAAGATTGATATACAATAGATTATAGAAAGTATGGACATAGAATCAGTATCATGTATTGGAACAGGTTGGGTCTAGACGATCCCTCATTGCCACCGTAGTAGAAACACTTGGTGCTTCAATGGTAGTTCTCGACCTTGGTACTGCAGAGAGCTCCGACTGTCAAACGCTGGAATGTAACTCGTCGTTGGCTTTGCACTGCCTCATTGTCCCCCCCAGTCTGGCAATTTTTTTTCCCTTCTCTCTTTTTTTTTTTTTTTAAATCCCTCCCCTTTTTTGATTACTCCAGATTACCTACCGTAGCTATGTTCGATGGATTAAATCTGTCGAAATAAAATCGCTTTTCATTTATTTAATTCCCCTACATTTTCTTGCCTCTTCATCTCTCCATCACCATATTACTGATGAAGCGGGCTTCTGTTATATCCAGTCTCCACTGCCAATCTTCCGACGGTTTCCAATATATTGACCTTCAGATAACAACTCAAGGTGACGAGCTAGGATCATCGTATTAATAGTCCTCCGAAGTATAATAATCCAACCCGAAGGGCCCACTACTTCGACATTCAGACTCAGAGACTCGTATTGTTAGTAGTTACGCCATCAAATAATCAAATTGACTATTCGATGTACCGCCGCCACTAATGCATCAGTGGTCTGTTCCCACTGGGGAACTTTAATCACTAACAGCAGCGCATATCAAAATCAGAATCAGAATCAGACCGTCTCATCGGCCTACGTACTTAAACGGGAGCAATTTGTCCTTTGTACTCCGTACCGAGTAGTTAAAAAACGGTTTGCTGTCAAAATCCCCGAATCCTCAAATAATATCGTTGTCTCTTAACAAAATCCCCGTCGAATAGAGTCTACTAACCTTGGTGAACGGGGCGGTGCAAGACCCATTCCAGTTCCAGTTCCACGTCTCTCGAAATCTTGAACTTTTTCACTGCCTCCTTTTCAGTTTATCGCCTCCTATTCTTTTTTTTTTTTTTAATTTTTTTTTTTCGCTCGTGATTAGTCCTTTTCCCATGTCTCCTGTCTCTCCGCCGGGATACCCAGACGGAGTTCACGTATTCTCTGGTGACACTACTACGTAGGTAGATACAGAATGGGACCATGATGTTGTAGCTGATGTGGCCGGGATCTAATTCTATCCGTCATTTGTGCAACGGACTTGATGACATGCCATGATATGATACTATTCTTTCCTGATTAGGGGCTGTCGCTCCGTTCGTGATACGAGCGACAGGCTATTTCCATGCGGAGCATCAGTGTTGGATTGCATACATATAGGGAGTATGGAATGACGTAGAAATATGGCTGTCAAGTTGATTCTACCACATAATTATTTGTATAATAATCTAAGGACTTAAAGAAAGCGAAATTTAAGGAATAGAAAAAGTCTAAAGGTATTTTCGAATTGGTAGACTGGTCCTATTCTAAAAAAAGAAGGTATGTACTCTTGATATCAATCAAATATCGTTATGCGTCTTCGTTACTTATCGATTTCTTCTTTTCTCACACAGCTAGTAGACACTCACATCCAGGTCGAATCGTTAACACAATGTCCCACAGATCCCTTTATTCTACCGAAGTCAAGTAATGGGATAATAGATTCAAGTAGTGGAGGGTGCAGCAAGACAGCTGGAGTATCACCCCTGCTATAGTCAGGCAAAGCACCTGCAGATGTACTACTACCAACCTACAGCTCGAGCAGGCCTCACTCTCACACGTCTACGGTAAGACTGTCGATTCAACGTCGTCGACGCATAATCCCTAGGTAGAAAATTTAAAAACGGAAGTATGCCACGAAGTATCGTCAAGTCACAGCAAACTGAGCCATAACTATTTCTTCATTGATGCAGTCGAGCGGTCCCTCCATGACAGCGCCCGAATAAATACTCCTCATAAACCTAGCCCAATGCAATCAATCCTTGTACTAATTATCTGTCGACAGTCCATATTCAGACAAAATAAGAAGATGAAGAGGGAGGGGGGAATCACAGAATGACAGGGGGTAATGTACAAGCCCCTGCACGCAGCGTACAGCTTAGAGCGCTTCTCGGATGCCGATGGATTCGTTCTCCTCCTCAGGCACGTGAACGTTCCAAATGCCCAGCGATTCGCCGCCCAGGAGCTTGATGCCAGGTTTGGCACCCGAGTAGACCATGGCTCGACTGGAGATGGCCAGCGCATCAACCAGCTCCGCCATCCGGCGAGATGCCACGAAGGTGCGGTTCAGATACTCGTTTTCGGCCACCTGCACCGCTAGGTTCATGCACTGCACCAGGTTTTCGCTCGTATGTACGTGTGCCGAGTAGTATAGAGCAGCGTGATAATCGAGGAACAGCTCCGGAATGTAGGTGTTCCGGATCTCCTCCAGCTCAGCCCGTTCGGTCTCTGTGATGTCCAATGTTTGTCAGCCCCTGATCTGGTAATCCCAAACTAAACAGCAAAACAAAGGGATCTTACCGCTCCCGGGACCAATCAACCATTCATCCAGCACCGCATCGATATGCACCGCAATATCATCCAGGGCCTCCTGTAACTCCTCCTGCAGATCCTGGATGGTACCAGAGTCGCGTCTGCGCCTATTCCTGTACCCCTTTGTCAGTGCACATGCTTGATCCCAGGAATCTTGCCAGTGACATACTTATCGAGTCTCTCAAACACAGCGGCAAACTTCTCTACCGCATCGAATGCCAGAATCAGCTGTTCCAGGTCTTGCATGGTTTGCGACTGCTGAATGAGAATGTTGGTCTCGCTGCTCGATGGAACGCCGTTCGTCGCTGACCGACTGCGTCGGTGGGACGAACCCAATATTTTTGATTTGGTCGGACTGGAGGGCTCGGGAGTAACTTGTTCGGCTCCGTCTTGAATACCAACGGAGAGTTCGGTGAGGTCAAACCCGAATAACTCGCGCGAGACCTCGGACAGTCTCATACGTCGGCTCAGCTCCCGAGCAGCAGATAGCTTACCAGCAACTATTAACAAAGGTCAGCATGGAATCTTCCTGGCAATGATCGGAAAAGGGACATACGGTAGAATTGTTTGTATAACTGAGTACCCAAATGGCAGATGCGGCCCCATTGTCCATCGACATACCGAAGCCATTCCAGGCTACGGATTATTCGGTCATCCACAACGGCAGTATCGTTGCCGATGAAGTCATTCTTGACTGGCGCTAGCTCACGGTTCCCATCCTTGCGGCTAATCACCTTGGGATACGTGACGCGGGCTCTTGAATGATCAATCGGAGAGATGCTGGCACTGATCCACTTCCACTGGTCCCGTAACACAGCCTCAATATCAAGATCTTGCTTCTCCATGAGCCTGACCAGTAGCTTTCTTACTCGTGGGTCGACGATCTCAATCAAGATCTGGCCTAGGACAGAGTGTGCCATATGGGATGGTAGAAGAGACGCATAGGATGGGATCAGGTCGACAAGGCCGGCCTCCTCCAGGTTGGCGATATATCCGATCACATTCACGGATGCAAGCTCGAAGAACTGGGAATCTGCACGTACATAGCCCAGGGAGTTGACGACGACGTAGAGATGTGTGGCAATCCGTACCGCATCGTTGTCCTCAGCCGTTATGAGTAAGGAGTCGTCGACGCCAGTCGGTGACATGTCAGGAATAAAGGTAGATTGCTCCGGTTTGTTCGCCGCCACTTGCGAGACCGCCTTGGCCAGGGAGTGAAAGAATGAATCGTACCCTTTGCCGATAATCGCCGCCTGGATGGTACGGTAAGGGTTGCGTGCCTCAACCCCGACCCGTTCGTTGCCCTTCGTATAGAGCACAAACTTATTCACATCGCCATAGCCGACCGGTTCGGGCACGAACGAAATGGGGGTTGTGGGCGAATAGCTCAGCTTCCGTTGAAATTGTTTACAGAACCCTTGGTAGCGGGAGAGCACAACGCTGTTGAAGTAGACGTAGAGATAATCATCCCAGTTCTGACAGACCTTGAAAGCTGCCTCGGTCTCTCCACAAAGGAGCGCATAGACTGCCCGTTCAAAATCCTCCGCGTTCTGGCTTCGGGCCAGCGCTGAGCAGGCGGCCCGCCATGAGGCTTGCGATCGATAATTCATCATACGTGTCGCACCATCATCGACCGGGGTGCGTTCGCCGTGAGCTTTGCTGTGCACGCTCGATCCACAAAGACTGACAGCGCGCCAGTTCTCCAGCCGTTCATGCGCCCACTCGCGAATTGCCGTCCAATTCTCCCCCTGACGTAGCATCTTCCAGCAAGCCATCCACGTAGCGCGATTGTGAAACTGGTCCTGTTTCTGGAGACTTTGCTTCTGGCGCGTAACGGCGTCGGGGTCCAATTGGGTGATCAGCGGTTCCGACTTCTCGGAGTTCAGTAGAGAGGTTGTAATCCCGGGATCATTAGGATCGAGAGGTTGTGGCCAAGCTCGAAGCCGCTTTTGGCCCTTGATAGCCTCCTTCGTGTAGAGCCAGCCATGAGTCCACAGTCCCTGTCCCCTTTCGGCCTGCTTCTCTAGCTCAGCGATAATGGAGTCAATGTCGTGGTTTGCAGATGCCGCATTGTATTCCAGCCACTTCATAATGACTACACACTCCAGCGCGAAGTGGTCAGCATCCAGGAATTGCTCCCATATCTCGCGATCTGACGAATATCGATGTAGTTTTTGGAAGGCGGTATCTTGGGCTTGCTTGGTGCTGGCTCTGCTAGGGGGATCGTTGATACTGATGAGGTTGAGAAGAAGCTGCCACGTGCTTGCTTCCAGCTGAAGACGTTGCACCTCCTCGGACTTATCGTGCGCCGTGGTTGCGCTGCTTCGATCCGACTTCCACCCCATCTTCGCTCGCTTCACGGTGTTCTCTTTTGAAATGTCGTTGATGGCATCTTGCGCAATAGTCTGGTAGCTTTTCACCAACTGGTAGGCAGCCTGGTAACTCCCAAAATCATCGGGGCGGGTTCCCTTCTGTTTGAAACGGTCTAGCTTCTCCGCAAATGCCTCGATCTGGCGTGTCACTCGGTCGGCTGTGCGGCGAAGGGGATGTAGAGCTTCCTGAGCGCCGGCCGACGTAAACAGTTCGGGGGCAGTCACGTTCAGCGCTTCTTCTGAAATCCAGTCAGCCATCACCCGATGTAGAGAGATTGACGATATGCCACGTACTGTGACCATTTGTAGCCGGAATTAGATTTAAGGGCGACTCGCTACCATTTAAGCCATTCGTCTTACCCGTGAAGTCATCCTCGTCCTCGTCCTCCTCGTTGTCGTCGTCATCGTCGTACTCCCCCATTTCTTCATCCTCGTCTTCATCTTCATTAGTGTCTAGATCTTCCTCGTCGCCCATTGGTTGATCATCGTTGTCTTCATCGTCGTCGTCTATTTCGATAATTTCCGGTCTATTTGAGGTAAATCCCTGAGCGGACTAGATAGAGACGAGACAACAAGTCAGCTAGATGTATGGAGCAACACGGCAAAAACAAATCCTCACATTGACGGACGGAAAAACAGCGGGGGCGGTAGAGCCCGCGGCCCTTGTCATGGGAGCCATGAGAGTCCAAAGCACGCAGACAGATCTGAAAGTTAACAGGCTTCAGGGACTCGCGCAGGAGTTCCACGATTCCCTTCTGGCAGCAGGGTTTTGGGGGAGAAGAAGCAGCCGCAGCGAACTTCTTCCGCGTGTTTTGGGGCCACCGGTCCACTAGCGCCAAAGGGGTTAGCGCCTACCAACACACACATTGAAAAATCTCGGATTTTCCCACCGCGGCCTTTCTTCTTTTCTTTTCTTCCATCAAATGTCTATAGGCAGTCATTAGAGTCTCGGGACGAGCAGCTTCAATCTTCGTCCAGGTCACTGGCCTCTTAGCGTGCTCACGATTGTCTTAGAGCGATCCTGGCAATTCTTACAAACTGGCTCTGTATTCATCACATGAGAGCTTAGACTGCAAAGGAATTGTCACATCTACTTCTATTTACAAGCTTCTGTACAGGATCAAGGATGATGATGATGGGTACGACACGATCATGGGCAGAAACGAAATGTAATCAAGATCCCTGCGCCCGTTGCTTCATCCTCAGCTTCAGTAGACTGGCTTTGGGACAACTGGGGGTCTTAGCCTCTTCTCCTCGCTCCTGGTAGAAGGCATTGCAACATTCATACAGGGCGTTGATTTGCGATTGGCATTTTTCTTCTTGGTAGGAATTCCTTGTTAGACAGGCTGGATTGGATTAGCATATCGACGGAGTGTTGTAGTAGTCGGCCTGGATACCTTGGATTGCACACTGAGACAGACCGGTCAGCATGGATGACATGTTAAAAAAGGCAATGAGACAGGAAATACCGCTCGTGGATGGCAAGGAGGATCGTAGGACAGATCTTCTTTTAGACCTCCCTGATAGCTGGTCATCTCTCGATCTGCTTTCTGGCTATGATGCTCTTACCATGATGTAATAAGAGAGCCTGTAACAAACATGGAAAACTGATGATTTATTCAATTCCACTCAATTCACAGATCAAACCTGACTATGCTAGATGGTGAATAGAGCAGTACAAACAAAGCACGCCAGTGATTGATAGACAGATGGGAATCCATACAGACCAACTGCCATCAAAGCAGGGCTGTATGTGTCCAGCGCCGCAAAATAGATTCTCCGGGCTTCTCGCTGGCGGGGGCCTCCATTTCGCTGCCTTTTGATTGATATTCAGTTTCTCCAACTCCTCTCTCTCTCTCTTTCTCCGGCTTTCTCCCTCCCTATCTCTCTCTCTGTTTTTTGCCTCAACCCTTCTCCAGAGCCTCTCGCAAAGCTAACGCTTTCGGATAATCGCCACAGTAAGTGATTTCATCTCGTTTCCTACATCTTCATCAATCTTATCTCTTCCTCTCATTCCGCGATGTGCATGCGACACGCACCGTATCCCAGACAGCAAGGCTGACATGTCATTTTTCCCTCCCCCCCACCACAGAATTCCTACAAACGTCCACGATGGCCGACGAAGGTGCCCCTCCTAGCGATGTCCCTGTCGAGCACCTCAACATCAAAGTCACCGACAACAACAATGAAGTCTTTTTTAAGATCAAGCGGTCGACTCAGTTGAAGAAACTCATGGACGCTTTCTGCGAACGTCAAGGAAAACAGCTCTCCACAGTGCGTTTCCTTTTCGACGGTACCCGTGTTCGTCCTGAAGATACCCCCGAATTGGTACGGATTTCCTCCCAAAAAAATGATATGATGTCATCTGGCTAATTTTTTCTGTTTCGTCTTTGAAGCTGGAAATGGCTGACGGCGATACTCTTGAGGTTCATCAGGAACAAATCGGTGGTTGAGTCGCATGTACTGGAAGTTTTGCTGATTTTCTATCTCTCATATTCATTTTTCCACTTTTCTTTTCCGTCCTTTTCTCTGGAATACAGTACACATCCACCTTGGCCTGTTTTTTTTCTGTTCTCTCTTTGTATTTGAGATGGGTGCTATGGTGTTAGCGTTATTCTCTATGAAAGAAATGGTTCTCAAGTGATATTAGAAAAAGCAAACAAAAAAAGCAAACAAAATCATTATTTTGTACCCTTGCTAAACTCTAGTAAAGACTTTGCATAACCCAAACCTAAAGTAGATTACCTTCCAAAATACCGTCAAGAACAGGAAAATGAATGCACGAATTATACGCGATTTCCAACAACACTATATAGAAACAGACAGACAGATAATATAGCTCAAACGAAGATCACTGATTCCATACAGCCGCCTTAGCCTGCTCCTCCTCCTCTCTAGCCTTGGCCGCTTCCTCTCGCTCGCGATTCCGCCGTTTTATCTCCTGCTCCTTGACCGCTCTGTCATACGCCCGCTGTTCCTCCGTCCTCTTGGGTGCCCGAATCCCCAGAGCGCCCGCGATCAAGCGACCTGCAACCGCCGTCTGCTTCTCGGGCCTCCGCGATGGAGATCGAGAGTCTGAAGGCCGCGATGATGGACCCGTGCTCATATACTCTGGGGAGTTGGCCCACTGCTGAGACGTCTGTGGCGAGATGGGCGTTGGCGGGGGATCTAACGGTCCCTCTGCGGTGACCGAGGGCGACAGGGTGGACTCTGGAGATTCGAGGTCCGGCGAGGAGTCGGTGTCAGCGTCGGCTTCATCTTCCCAGGAGTCTGCGACAGGCGCCACTTTCTTCTTATTCTTCTTCTTGGATGTGGATGTGAGTTTGGATGTGGTTGTCACCGTGGGTCGAGGGATGTCTTTCACAGGTCTTCCACCAATGGAGAGTTCGCGCAGCGATGACTGGAGCTCTGAGGTCATTGCTGAGGTCGACATTGAAGGAAGATGAGAGAGCGTCAGTGGGAGGTATCGGTTGCTAGCAAATCTAAGGAGACGGATAGAGAGGAAGGGACAAGGGAGGATTGCGGGACACTAGAGAGAAAGAAAATGGAAATCCAATAAAGAAAAAAAAGAATAACCCTAAAGACAGACAGCAGCACTCTGCCAGGTCGTTTCAGATGACGGGGTCTAGCCGGTCGAGAATCTGGGGAGGAAGATATTAATAGCGAGGACTCAACATCATGCATCCATGGCGTCAAGACCCCCGCCTCCTCTCGGCTGTCCGTCATCATTGGCCCAGGCGGTCGAACCCCCATTTATCGGCGGGTCGGTGATCTTTGCCGTGCGTGAGGCATGTTCTTATAAGTCGTGAAGAAATATCGATCTGCAGCCATAAATGCTGTCGATGGAGGTCTACAGTAGCGATGTTATGGACTTGGTCTAGTAGTTTTGATGAAGGTGGATGATCTCTTGTCTGGATTGAGGTCTCGTGGGCGATTAATAGATGTACGTCATTTCAGTCAAACCATGCAGCCTACCATCATGGAAGAATGAATAAACAGAAGTCTACATACCTACCTGTTATTCTACTATTGAGACCATATCATGACAACAGCGTCGTGAAGCAATCAAGATGAATTTCCAGCCTGGCTGCCTGATAATGCACGTGAGCCCAGATGCCAAGATAGCAGTGTTCCGAGACCTCCAATTGGAATGCGTCTCGTAACCCTAGGTGTCTCGGAAACTGTCGGTAAGGAAACTCCGAGACCGGCTGCCGTCTGTCTACTAAAAAGGCGATGGATCTCCCGAGGTCTGCCTCTGTCTCTTTTGATTTCTCCTCGATATAATTAGAGTAGACCCTCATCGCAGCTCACTATGGCCAGCTTATGTTCCCTCCCCGCTCGGACGCGCCGATCTACATTCTGTAAAGTTCCTGTGAACCGGTTGAGTAGATTCTCCACAGCAGGACCGAGGTACAGCTATGAGGATACGCTGCCTAATTTGAAGATCGGGACTCATACCCGGGTGCTGTTCCAGGGATTCACAGGTGAGTGTCTATGTAAATTTTCTGACCGATATAATACGCTAACACCCTTGTAAAGGCAGACAGGTAGACCATCGACGCAATAAACAGATCTGAAGCTGACGAGTTCAAGGCCACTACCAATGTGAAAGAGTCTCTGGCCTGGGGAACCAAAATTGTAGGCGGCGTAAAGCCAGGAGTAGAGGGGGAACATCTTGGACTTCCTGTGTTTCCCTCTGTTCGAGCGGTACGGTCTCCCGATTCCCTCCAGGTGATCTTCTGCTTAGAGACATCTAGGCCCAAGAGAAAGCGAAACCTGACGCATCCGCCATCTATGTGCCGGGTGATTATACGGCAAAGGCTGTGGAAGAAGCGATCGAAGCGGAGATTCCTCTCGTTGTTGCAGTGGCAGAGCATGTTCCCATCCATGACGTTCTCAGGGTAAGAATTTCACAACAAAATGGAAGAGCTCTTTGTTTACCCGCGTCATAGATGCAGTCCATGCTCCAGACACAGTCTAAGACAAGACTAGTTGGTGCCAACTGCCCGGGGATCATCTCGGCAATTGGAAAGTGTCGAATCGGGTTCCAACCACTGCCCTGTTTTTCTCCCGGCATGATTGGCATTGTTGCAAAGTCCGGCACCCTGAGCTACGAGACTGTCGCATCCACTTCGCGAGCAGGACTAGGCCAGAGCCTTTGCATTAGTATGGGAGGTGATGTCTTGGCAGGGACCAACTTTGTTGATGCATTGAAGATCTTCGAGAACGACCCAGATACTGAGGGGATTATCTTGGTAGGTGAGATTGGCGGAACAGCAGAAATTGATGCTGCGGAATGGATCAAGGACTATCACCGCAAGAACCCAGACCCCAAGTATGTATTTACGTTTGGTCTTTGGGTTGGAAAGCTGAAAATCTTGGCCCTAACGTGCAAATAGGCCCATTATGGCTCTTGTAGGCGGCCTGTACGCACCCCCAGGGCGTATTATGGGTCACGCCGGAGCGTGGACAGCCCCGGGGGAACCGGACGCAAGGGCCAAGTATAAAGCTCTTGAGAGCGCTGGAGTGGTCATGGTCAACCACCCAGAAGACTTCGGGGAGGGAATGAAAAAGCTCCTAAGCAGCCGGGCCCGTGACTCAGGGTCTTTGGTAGGTCTTGAAGCATGACATATCGAATTAGACGTCTAAGCCACGCTGCAGTTTACCTATCCTGCAAATCAAAAACGCGGTCTTCACACCATGAGACGCGTTTCTCCCCGAACCAGTACACCGAAGATGCCATCACAACCAAAGACCCGTTCATTCTATGTCAAACACTTCCAAGCCCTTGAAATGCTCAGACAGAAGGGCATTTCTGTCCGCGAGACAGCACCTTTAGACTCAGACTTCTTTTTGTCTCTGACTGTCGACAGAACAGAACTATCACCATGCATTATGGCTTCCTCGAAAGCGGACTTTGATCCTTCACATACCAAGCGGTTCCCATTTGCCTACGCTAGTGAGGGATTCAGCGGTGTCCTTGACCCCCTGATCAAAGCCATCGCTGCCCAGCTCCGGCTTCCGGAGACCGCACAGGAGAAATTGGCAGAGCTAGTCCAAACGCTGTGGCAGATCTTCAAGGAAAGAGAAGCCTACGTGCTTGAAGTTCGGGCGAATGCCTCTTCCGGGGGTCCCTTGGAAGTACGAGGAGCGCACTTCGGGTTTGACGACGCCGCGTTTCGAAGCTCCCGACGTCAGGAGGAGATTCACCGACTAAGGAATCCGGCAGAAGAAGTCCCCGAAGAAGTCGAGGCAGAGAAACACGGAATTGTATATGTGAAGTACTTTGTCTCACGCAAGCCACCCTGTGCAAAGATATATCCTAATTTTGACATCGAACAGACTTGACGGTGAAGGCAGCATCGGCACGCTTGGTAATCCAATCCAACTTATTCTTCCTGCGCTGTTCCCCAGTGAAGCTGACATGGATTTCTGTAGTGAATGGCGCTGGTCTAGCAATGAACACAGTTGATGCCCTCACTCTTCACGGCGGTCACTGTGCCAACTTCCTAGATACTGGTGGCAAAGCCACCTCCGAGACGGTCAAGGCATCGTTCCGGATCATCGTCTCGGACCCGCGCGTGAGGGCAATCTTCGTGAATATCTTCGGTGGATTGACACGGTGCGATATGATCGCCGAGGGAATCATCATGGCGTTTCGGGACTTGAACATGAGCGTGCCTGTCGTGGTGCGATTACGTGGAACAAACGAGGAACAAGGACAGAGGATGGTGAGTTCTCCTACTGGTTTCCTGACTCGCTTTGGGGAACTAACAGTGTCTGGGTAGATTGGTGAGAGTGGACTTCCACTTCATGCGTTTGATCGGTTTGAAGATGCAGCGAAGAAGGTGATTGAATTTGCTGGGGAGACCATTGATGCATAGTAAACGGCATTTTCTCTAGAAATAGATCTATACTTGTATGTGGCTGAACAACTGAATATCAGTATGTTATTCAATCCTTCCTCCTGTCCCTCTTTCTCTCTCCCTCTCTCTCTAGAACAAGACAAATCTCCCATGCAATAAACAAATGTCAATATTTCAGAGAATTATTCTGGTTATTTTAATACAAAATCCTCCACAATACTAATTCCGGAATACTCTGAACATTATTTCTGACGCATGACTTTCCTTTTATTTAGCTAGTTAGTAGAAATTACATTGGCCATATTCACGGCAAAAAGCTGGCAGGCACTCTAGTGTATTTATCAAGATATTAGATTCAAACGAAGTTGAATGAAGTCTCTATCATTATAGGGAATCGTATACTATGATCCAGAGACGTACGCCAAAAAGAGCCCCGATCAGAGCTTTATACTCTGTGGATCCTTTACAAGCACGCAATTCATCCCCGCAATCAGCGCCCCGCTCATCATCACGACCACGTCCAACTGACGAATTTGCTCACTATTTCCACTCTTCGTTTCAATCTCTTCAAGTACTCCTTACATTCTCCAGTATCAATCAACCCCTCATCACAAAATGGCCTCGTAAATCATTCCTTCCCATTCTTCCACTCACAACCCCACTAACAATAGCAGGAACATAACCTACCACGCCAGCGCCCTCACCCGCTCGGAGCGCAGTGCCCTACGCAACCAGCGTGGCCTGACCATCTGGCTAACGGGGCTCTCTGCATCAGGTAAATCGACATTGGCCGTGGAACTCGAGCACCAACTCCTTCACGACCGGGGCGTCCACGCCTACCGTCTCGACGGCGACAACGTCCGATTCGGACTAAACAAAGACCTCGGATTCAGCGAACAAGACCGTAACGAGAACATCCGTCGGATCGCAGAGGTCGCGAAGTTATTCGCAGACAGTGCCTCTATTGCCATCACCTCATTTATCTCCCCTTATCGTGCGGACCGGGACACCGCCCGCCAGCTACATGAGGTGCCTACCCCCGGTGAGGAGACCGGGTTGCCCTTCGTTGAGGTCTTTGTTGATGTCCCTGTTGAGGTGGCGGAGAAGAGAGATCCAAAGGGTCTGTATAAGAAGGCTAGAGAGGGGGTTATTAAGGAGTTTACGGGGATTAGTGCCCCCTATGAGGCTCCTGTTAATCCAGAGGTGCATATTAGGAATGTTGATCTGTCGGTGAAGGATGCTGTCGCGCAGATTGTTAAGTATTTGGATGAGCAGGGGTACTTACCTCCGAAGGAATAGACCGTTTCTTTTTCTTAATGTATCGCTGCTTTTCGTATAGACTCACCTTGTTGCTGTTGCTGTTGCCGTTGATATCCTTCTATAAATTTTCTACCATGTGACCTTCATGGATAGAGTTTCAGTAGGTTTGAGGTTATATAATCTGCGTAGTAAATGTATGTACTGTACGCTACCAGAAGCAAGGTATCCAATATACCAGCCAAAGACACAAAATATCCTACTAATTAAACTCGAAATCGTAATACACATACGCCGTGTACTCGCCGGCTCCGTCGCCTTGCATCTCATGAGGATCATCCCGCTTGACTCGTCCCTTCTTGTCCCGTCCAAAGGCATTGCCCGCCAGATACGAGTACTTCTCGTCCAGGTTGCGTTTTGCCTTGTCGGCCTGTTTCGGACTCGGCGCCTGCGCTGGTTAGTCTCCCAGATCAGCAACATCCATAAGGCATCTGAACGTACCCGAATGATCGTACAGGCAAAGTCCAAAGGCAATCCGTACCGCAGGACAGTCTCTACAAACACCCGCAGAACAAGCACATGCATCCAGACCATGACCGCCTCGCTCCACGCTGTCCGTCCGAGTCGTAACGTCTCCCCCCAGAGTTTGCGCTCGTCGCCGCCAACCCGTTCGAACTCCCTCTGTTCCTCTTCCTTGCCGCCTTCGACGTACTTGAAATCGCGAGGAATCCACTTGTTCTCACGAGCCTTGTGCACAAACTCCATGCTGTGCTTCTTGAACGTCGTCACCGCGTACAGCGTGAACTCATCATCTGATGCTACCAACGTCGCCGACCGGGGAACCACCATCGGGGAAATCGTCTCGTACGTCTTGAGAAACTCCTTAATCTGCTGGGCGGGCACGGCAACCAGATGGGTCTCGATGTACTCGGAATCTTGAACGATGGTGCGAGGGTCGACAACGGAGGCAAGGGACTTGGTTGATAAATTACCTCTGCATGAGATGGGTTAGAACCTACGGAAAAGCCATTAGGGGAACAATGGTAAAACGCACGCCTGCTTCCGCTGGAGGGTCGCCAGGGTACCCTTGATCTGGTTGTATTGGGAATATTTCGTCCGAATGTCGTTATCGATACTGGCTGCCTCCTTTTGAAGAAGATCAATCAGTTCCCCCAACGGCTTGTCCGCTCGATACTTAACCTTATTCCACGAGAACGTGCGCAGATACTGATCCACCGGCTCTGGTCATTCCCGTCTCAGTCAGCCGAACCCATTAACCACGACGGAGGGAATAAACATACTATCATTAACGGTCTTCATCTTATCAATCTGCGCTTCGTCGCCCTCTAGAATATTCTTTAGCGCATCCGAGACTTTGCCGACTACGCCCTGGCAGGCTGTTTCGAGTTTGGCCAACTCATCGGCCTGCTGTACGAGGGCGTCTAGCGTGCCGATTTTGAACTCCGGAATGGGGAAAGGGGCAACTGATCCGTTTTCCAGTGTGACAGTCGTGGCGATGGCATCGAGGGCATCGTCGCGATGGTGCGACGGGGTGATGGAGGTGGGGAAGGAGACGAGAAGGTACTTTGTTGTTTTGGACATAGTGATGAGAGGGTCAGGAGGGTCAAACGTTGGGGGGGAGGACGGATGGACAGAGTATTCGAAAGAAGAACCCGTTGCCACGCTCGAGAAAGCGGGCGTGAGGTAGCACAAGAGACGATGGGGGAAGTCGGGGTCGAGGCGTGAGGTGTTGTAATACTGCTATGTCGCCGGAGCTGCAGCCGGCCGGGGCGGAGGCGGTCAACTCTCTCGGACTTACGTAGATGGAGCCAACAGCGCCCACCTATTGGCATGTGAGCAAGTGAAGGATCTATTCCAGACAACATTTACGGAATAAAATGTTATTCGATTGATGCCTCTATTCTTACGCCGGGACTGATGTCGGAGGCTAATCTAGAAGCTTGTCCAACAGATAAAATATATACAAATCACACGGAAAACAAAATCTAAACCCTGTCTATACGACAAAATTATCTCTAAAAGACTTGGGATTTCGAGATGTGAGCACACAATCTCCGTTCTAGTTAGTGACCTTGTAGAGACTCGACATAGCCTGTCAATCGGTCAGTTCCACTTTGCATAACATACCGGTAATACTCAACATACCGCAGCCTGTTTGGGTTCAATAAATAGAGCCTTCGCTTCCACAAGAACGACCGGCTCCTGCCCTTCTTCGGGTAAGGTCTCGATGCGTGCTTCAACCCAGGCCTTGCGGCCCTCCACCTTAACCGTCTCTGCCCGCAGAACGGAGTAGGTATTCGCCATGGCAGGCTGACGGTAGTCGATGTTGAGATTGGCCGTCACACCCACTTTGTTCGGTAGAGCAGGGAAACAGCACCGGGCCATCGCCTCGTCCAGGAGAGTGGCCAGGAGACCACCGTGGACAATACCGGGGTGTCCACAAATGTTCGATCCCAGATAGAAAATGGAAACCAAGCTCTTCCCACCCTCTTCGCTGAATATGTAGGGCGGAACCACAATCTTGTCGGCGCCCGCAAGTGTACCTGCTGTCAGATTGCGTGTGCGGATTTTCTCCGGGATCTTGAGGTGAGGACGAGATTCGGTGAAGGCTGGGTTTTCCCGCAGCGACACCGCGAGGGGATGCTCTCGGATGAACTTGTCCACCTCAACAGAGACCCCATCGGAAGGGACAAATGCAGAGAGGGTCTCCTCATCGGTAGGCATGGTGGACGGCATCATGCGAGATATAGTATCCTGCGTCTGGTAGACCAACCCGGCGGTGAATGCAAGCGCTGCGATAGAAGTGAACCCTACAAAGCGGCGAAAACGAGACTGAGGCGGGATGGGAGAGGCGATATCTACAAGATAATCGACCGGAAGATCAGCAATCGAGAAGGGAGGGAGATAAAGACTGCAGACTAAGAAGACTTACCAGTGGAAAAGAGTCGAGGGGAGGTCAGACGGGTTAAATGCAGGAGCCATGGGGCTTTTGTAGGATGATTCGATCTGAGACCGAGCCTGGCTGTAGTGGGGACCACCCGAAAGATGGTTGACGATGGGATTTGCGGCATGGTAAGAAACGAGTGCTAACTTGAATCCCAACGGTCTGGTGTTACGGGTCCTATTGGAATCCTTAGCTGTCCGACGACTCGGAATGGTGAACGAGGATTGACTTTAGAGGGATCCGTCCTCAACACACCCGCAGCGAGTGACTGGTTGGCACAGCCTAGTCGGATTATCGCCAACTACCTAAACATACAGAAGATCTCAAAAGCCTGACTGCGAACGATTGGCGCTTTCTGATTGGAAGGCGGAGAACCCGGAGAGGCAAAAAGAACCTCGGCTTATTCTGTGATGAGTCATCCCTATGTTCTTGGTGCAGCGGCGCACTGGGAATTCCGTAAAGTGCTATACCAGGCAATATCTTGACTCGTCCATGTCGCAATGATTCCTCATTTGAGGTATTTTTTCGTTGTGATGGCGATGCAATGCACAATGTATGATCACTTGATATGGCTGGGCATGTTTGTCGTGTTTGTTGTCTAGACTTGTGGCACGTGACAAATATTGCAACGGATCTCTTTTCCACACCCAGCCTTTATGGAGTATTATGCTTAGAGTACATTCCGAGGACAGTGGGCCCAGTCTAAAGCCCCTTGACATGGTGGTTGTTGATACTATATGTGCCACATACCAACGATGGAGCCTGGATCGGACCCTTCATCGGCTATCGTCTGCAATAGAACACTTACCGGACGTAAGAGCTGTCTCCACGCTATTTATTATTGACCTTTCTCTGCTTCAGAGGTCGTGCATGCAGTCTTCTTCATGCATCGTAATATGGATTGCATGATGGACTGCGTCTGGAAATGAAAGACTGCGTTCGAGTCCGTCAAGTTTCTCCGTCTTCCGTCGCTGTCTATCCCTATGCATACCATAGCCTACGGAGTATTGTCCCCTGGATATCATAGCTTTGGATTGGATCGAATTTGCCCTAGCGTCTGCACAACTGCGAACTGATCACATCCAGAACCCGCCAAGCCAACCCCGTACATTTGCTTGTGAAACATGTGTCGATCGTCAGGGGCGCGTTACATTCCTGTCTGCGGGGTTCAGGTGTAGTATATACGGTCCATGGGATGACCTCCAATTTATACTCCCTCGTCGGACAGCTTGTTCCAAGCATGCCGGGAAGGAGCTCTCTGAGCGGTTCGCAACGACCGACCATTGCCATTCTTTACTTCAGTCTTTACTTCTGTCACTCTTTTAATTGATTATTTATCTCTTCATTCGTAATTTATTATGGCTTATCGTCTCTCGTTCGCACTTCTAGCATCTATTCCTCTTGTTCTAAGCAACCCCTTTCCTCCCGCTCTTGATGACTATGATGTGCTTCAATATGTCGATCCGCTTATTGGAAGTGCTAACGGAGGTATATACAGCTCTAGGAATTGTCTCGGCCCTGGACACTCAGGTTCTCATTTTGAATGATTTCTAATATGCCCGTCCAGGAAATGTCTTCGCAGGCGCCTCGCTCCCTTATGGTATGGCCAAAGCTGTAGCCGATACGAACTCGCAAAGCAACCAAGGTGGATTCGCGTATGACGGCAGTGATATTACCGGATTTTCCAGCTTACATGACTCGGGCACCGGTGGCCAACCTTCGCTCGGGAATTTCCCCCTTTTCCCCTACGTCAAATGCCGTGATGATGATGTCAATGGTTGTGTATATCCCAAGAAACAGCGGAAGACGAACTACATTTCGGACTCCGTCAAGGCTAGCCCCGGGTACTTTGGGTTGACTATGGGGTCGGGCATCCAGGTGGATATGACGGTCTCCCATCATACATCTCTCTTTCGCTTTCAGTTCCCAGCAGACGGCAAGTCGAGCCCGTTGATCCTCCTCGACCTCACCGACCTGTCGGATACGCGACAGGATAATGGAACCATTTCCGTAGATCCAACAACTGGGCGTATGACAGGCCACGCTCGATTCCAGCCGAGCTTTGGGAGCGGTACATACGTGCCTTATTTCTGCGTCGACTTTCACAGTGCTGCAGGCATCCGAGATAATGGGATTTTTGTCAACTCGCGGGCAAGCACGGATGTGAAACACCTTCAGATCTCGCGAAGCATAAATGGATACCCTCTTCCAGTGCGTCGACATTTCCCATCTCTTTGATGTTCCTAGCTAATAAATAGACAGGGCGGCGCATTCATTCGCTTTAATTCGGCACCGAATATCGTGGTGCAAGCCCGGATGGGCCTTAGCTTTATAAGCAGTGAACGTGCATGCAGCCACGCGGAATCCGAGATTCCCCTGTTTGACTTCAACGGGACCCATTCAACGGCTGTTGATCTATGGACGAAGAAGCTGGCCCCAGTCCGAGTATCCAGGCAGCATGTTAATTCTTCTTTCCTGACAAATTTTTACAGTGGCGTCTACCGCACCATGATTAACCCCCAGGATTATACAGGGGAGAACCCTCTTTGGAAGAGCACTGAGCCTTATTTTGATTCTTTCTACTGCCTCTGGGACTCATTCCGGTCCCAGTTACCTTTTTTGTCCATCTTTGACCCAGCCTCATTGGCTCGGATGATTCGCTCATTAATCAACACGCAACGCCATTTAGGATGGCTCCCAGATTGCCGCATGTCTCTCTGCAAAGGGTATACCCAGGGTGGTTCCAATGCAGATGTTGTTCTGGCAGATGCGTACCTCAAGGGCATCGATGAAGACATTGACTGGCAGGAGGGCTACGCAGCCGTCAGGAAAGACGCTGAGGAGGAGCCATATGACTGGTCCAACGAGGGCCGAGGGGGTTTGGCCAGCTGGAAATCGTTGCGCTACATCCCGGTTGAAGATTTTGACCATCTCGGCTTTGGGACTATGACACGGAGCATTTCACGCACTCTGGAATATTCATACAACGACTTCACAATTGCACGAATGGCGCACGGTCTTGGAAAGACCGATGACGTGGAAAAATACGAAGCCAGTTCGTGCAACTGGCAGAACTTGTTCCGGGCGGATCAAACTTCAACAATCAATGGTACCGATACAGGGTTCAAGGGCTTCTTTCAGCCGAAATATCTTAATGGTACATGGGGATACCAGGTCAGCGCCCATGCCTTTTATCGTCGCAAATTATGGTGCTTTATCTGACTAGACTTTTCAGGACCCTTTGACGTGTTCTAACATTGACCAAAGCGGACGGTCATGTTCGCTCCAGAACAATGCGGCAGAAACATTCGAGTCCAGTATCTGGGAGTACCAATTGTAGGATACATTCTATTTCTGATCATTCGTTTCACTGACACTTGGTTCAGCTTCGTCCCCCATGATATGGCCACCCTGATTGCCCGTCTAGGTGGACCGTCCCAATTCGTTCGCCGTCTCGACTACCTCCACGACAGGGGAATAACCTACATTGGCAACGAGCCCTCATTCCTCACTGTCTTTCAGTACCACTACGCCGGCCGTCCGGCAAAATCTACAGCGCGTGCCCATTTCTACATTCCGCGATATTTCAGCACCACTCCGGCAGGGTTACCCGGCAACGACGACTCGGGTGCCATGGGCTCCTTTGTCGCTATGACCATGATGGGACTCTTCCCAAACCCTGGCCAGAACGTGTACCTAATCACTTCTCCATATTTCGAGTCTGTTCGCATCACCTCGCCTCTCACGGGCCGCACAGCGACCCTGCGTGCGGTGAACTTCGATCCTACCTACAAGAACATCTACATCCAGTCCGCGACGCTGGACGGGAAACTATACACCAAGAACTGGATTGGACATGACTTCTTCACTAAGGGACGGGAGTTAGTGCTCGTCCTGGGTCGTAATGAGAGTCACTGGGGAACTAGAAATGAAGATCTTCCGCCTTCGCTGTCGACCCGTGGACCACAGCTTCAGTGATAGAGTGACTGATTTCCGAGGTCCAACTGTGATACTATTATGCTGTACTTAAGTTTAATTATATATACCGTTGGAGAATGCGCATTGGGAACGAGCGGTATAATTAACTACTGAGCACAAGTAACATACTGCAACAATTGAATTCATGAACCGTCCATTCTCACGAGATCCACATGTTGAAGACACCACTTGAATGCTTTTGATGCGCATTTGATTCGTTGAGAATCCTCCTCTCCCATCACACACTCAATCTATATAGCAAGTTGAAACAGTGAATCCGAAATGATCGGCTCAAAAAAATAAAAATAAAGAAAAACGGATATCGTAATATATACAATAATAAGCAATCCCGTGCCCAGAAGAACAAAACCATCTAGAATAGAAATCAAGCCTTAGGACGGTAGAATTTACTCTCTACCCAAGGCATACCGACGACAGAGGCCTTACGCACTTTATTACGGACCAAGATACCGACTTCGGTTCCCTTCTTATGCATGCCCTGCTTGATATAGCCCATTGCGATGTTCGTTCCACCTAACGAGGGACTGGGAAGACCGGAGGTGACGACGCCGATCTGGGTGCGGGAGTCGTCATTCAGATCGACGATGACGGCGCCCTCGCGCGCAGGAGAGCCCTTCTCGACCGTAAATCCGACGCGACGCTGAGAGAGGGTTGTAGCTGGGGAAGCGATCTGCGGGAGAATGACGGAGGAGCCGTTGAAGTTCGCGGAGGTGGGGTCCCGTCGGCCTTTGCCGACGACCCAACCGAGAGATGCGGCGGGGGGAGTCTGTGCGGTGGAGATGTCGTTGCCGTAGAGACACATGCCGGCTTCGAGACGAAGCGAGTCGCGAGCGGCGAGACCGGCGAGACGTACCTGGTCTGGGTTGGAGAGGAGGAGGTCTGTCACTTGCGTCGGAAGAGTGGGGTGGCCGCCTGATGGGATGGAGATCTCAAAGCCGTCTTCACCGGTGTAGCCGGTACGAGAGATCAGGACGGGATGCGGGGTGCGGGAGCCGTCGGGGAGAGTGAGGTAGAGAGAACGGCAGTTGCCGAAGTACAGGGTGCTAAGGTCGGTCTCAGGGCCATCGCCGTGGATGTAGGCCTGGAGGACCTGTGCGGCCAGGGGGCCCTGCAGAGCGACAAGGGCCCGGTCACTGAGGATTTCCCACTTCAAGCTATCGGGCCCGTGGGCCTTCTTGTACGCGTCGATCTCGGCTTCCAGGAAGGCTAGGTCCTCGTCGCGGCGCCCGGCATTGGTGACAAAGTAAAAAGTGTCCGCGGAGCGGCGGGTGATGACGGTGTCATCAACGATACCGCCCGTGCCTTCTTCGAGCAGACAAGACAGCGTCGATTGGTTGTCCTTGAGCTGATCGACGGAAGACGGGGTGATCTTCATCAGAAATTCCTGGACACCAGGGCCAATCAGATGATGCTGCACCCTGCGGAATCAGTTAGAGGGGTTGATTCAGGCTGGAAACGGTCCCGCAAGATGGGGATATACGTACATGTGGCTGACATCGAATAGGCTTGCCTTCTCTCTGGTCCATTTATGGCTCTCCACATGGCTGAGATCCGAATACTGCAGGGGCATAGAATACCCCGCAAAGGGCACCATCTTTGCACCCCGGGCGATATGGAGGTCGTAGAGCTGCGTCCTCTTTACTGGCCCCGAGGGAGCCGATGAGGCACAGCGAACTGTCCCGTAAGAGTTGAGCCGGGGATATGGGCGGGCAACAGCAACAAGAGGAGTGCGGAGGCCGCGCGGAGAAGCGAGCTGCCGCCGGAGCAGAGAGGAGCCATTGGCAGCGACAGGGGCGGACCGGGGGAGCGACTTCGATCCCAGGAGGTGAAGACCTCTTCTCAAGGGCCGTACAGCAGACATGATGGACTCTGAAGAAGCAGGGGGAGAATTACAGAAAGAAAGAATTCCGTCGAGGGGGATGCGAAGATGAGGAGCGGGGTCACGCTCCGATAGCGGGAAAGTCACATGGCGATAGGGCATTTCCGCGGGCAAGGTTCCGGTTCCGATCGGCGGGCCGATAATGCCTACTCTCAGAGCTTTCAAAGGTACGATGATTACGGCGACTCTCTGTCTCGGCACTGGTTGCGAGTAAGGAACAAGATGTGTCTTGTCCAAGATCCCATCACGGGCCCCATGTGGTCTCCAAGCCTCCTTATTTGCAGAACAGCCGCGGCTACTCCGCAGAGGCTTCTTACTCGCGACAGTAAATTTGCATTGGCCCATATAAGGGTGATACGTTGACTCAGTAAAGCTGCAAATCTCATCCCCGCCGCGTGAACTCAAGACAATGGGAATCCGATGCATCCGAACGATCTTGTCATCCTTCTCATTAGAATCCTCCTCCCTGGAGCAGTTTTGCTCGCATTGGGAATCTCCCTTCAGTCTGTCTCACTGGAAATGACGAAGAGTTGAACAAGAAAAGAATATCATTACAATCCGTTGCTGGCGCAGGAGAAGGGGCTCCCCACAGTACCAGCGCGATAGTTCAAGATCACACTATCAATGGAAGCCTTCTCACCATTGTCAGTCAGCCTGCGCCACGCGGGTATGGATAAGACGAGAAAGAACTCACATAGGTACCTGGCCCCAAGAAAAACAGGCCAATACCAATTAAAGTGATATTGAGCAAGAACCCGGCCCAGCCGCGAAAGCCTCGGTTTTTATAAAAACCCGGTCCGTAGTCCTCCCGCCTCATCCGGAGGTATGCCACGCCCCAGAAGATAAACCCGAAAAATGAATCAAATAGGGAACTCATTATCGAGAGCAGGTCCGAGAAGAATGGAATCACCTCGGAAATAATGAATGCTAAAACCCATAGGACAGCCAGGATGCCGGTCCAGGCAGCCCAGCCAACCACAGTATGATTACCCTTGTGACGGGTACCCTCGAACAGACGGAAAAAGATGAACCGCGCAGACACGGACGCGTACAGTACCCCCAGGAAGATCAAAGTTGGGACCATGAAGGAGAAGGACACCTTCTTGTACACCTCGTTGCCGAGCGAACCAAACGCGGGCGCGGTCATGTACTGGTTGCCAGTGTAGACATACACAATGGATCCCGCCAGGCTGAATACGATGATTTCAGCAATGGTGACAACGGTGACCGATTTCCAAAAGTCCTTGGGCTCCTTCATTTCAGCGATGAAACTAGGCAGGGTGATCTGACCGATGAATGTATAGCTGATGTTCAGAAAAGCACCGACGCCAGAAACAAAAGTTGTTCCCGGGACCGGGAGAGCTCTGACAATGGGATCGCCTTTGGCAGGGGTATAGGCCGCCGGATGATCCTCAATTCCCGAAAAGATCATGGCCAGCAGAACTGAGATGAATGTGGTCAGCGCCGAGAAGGTTGCTATTTTAGACAAGGTGCTGAAGGTGCGTGGAAGTGAAAACCAGCGATATGATGGCCGTCACCAAGGAGAAGACAATCGTGCAAGCGGAGTGGTTCGTGATTGTGTTCAGATACTCGGCGCCAACCAAGCAATGCAAGCCCTAAAGGAACATTAGTCATATCACTGATATCAATTAACTGAGAGAAGGAAATCAAGCGCACCTGGATGAACGTGTTGTTCAGAAGAAACATCGCGGCCGTCAAATACCATGCGATTTTCGAATTCCAAAAGAGATGTTGGCCGATATCACACACATCGCGGATATGTGGATGGCGCAAACAGAACTTCCTATAAAAATACAGTTAGTCTGTGCTCTCGACACGCCTCGAAAACTCACCAGACGATAAGTGAGGTATAGAGCACAATTGCAGCAATCACCACAGTTAAAATCAATCCCGGCACAAGCCCCAGGGTTGCATAGGACCCGGGGGGAACGACATGATCGCGAGACAGATGTACTCGGAGAAAAGCAGCGCCGCGGTCTAATGCGAGTCCAGCTTGTTAGTATTCTCCAATAGTCTCATACAACCAAATCATCGAGACTAAGTGTTTCAGCAGTACCTTTTGCCAGCTACATGTTCGGTATTTGATGGAGTTGCGGGCCTCTAGTTCGATTTGCCTCCCGACATCCGGACCCTCTGAGTCGGAGTTCACGGCACTCGGGCTCGGGGTCTCCAAGTCCAATTTCAGCTTGTCGGCGGATGGGTCCAGCCGGTCCGTGGTGACGGAGGGCCTGCGGCCGGCTGCCTTTGTTGCGTCGGAATCCGCCATTTTATGGAGCGGACGAACCGCAGATGGAAGGAAGCAATTGAATAGGGAAATGAAACAACGTTGAAGGGCCGCGGATGCATGTACTGCTCCTTTGTGACGTAAAAGGGGAGAGAGCTAGAAGGTGTATCTAGAGAAATCTAGGTTAATGAGGAACGAACCCGAGAAGAGAAGGTAGGCAATCGACGAGTTCTGTTTATAAGATGAGAAGAGGAAACAATGGTGAGATTTATGAAATGGAGGAAGAAGGCAGAAACAAAATTTGTCTTTTTTTAAAAGAAAAAAAAAAGTAATTAAATAATAAAATAAAACTAAATAATAAAACTCTGCATCACTAAGTGGGAGAGGGAGAGAGATTGGGCCTACCAGAAAGTCGAAGCAATAATGACCAAGACACCGGACGCGGGGCGAAAGGCTTGGGAGAAAAATCAAGAAAGGCGAAGGAAAGCGAAAAAAGCCAAGCGACGATATGAAAGGCTTAAAATGATGTGGATGGCAGACCTTTGAATAAAAATGAATATCTTACAACATATGGGATATTGAGTTTTCAGAAAGGATGTGTTGGTTGAGCGGAGGATCGAATAAGAATAAAGATAAATGAATTTCGAGATAAATTAATATAGTGAATTGAATATTATGAAAAAAAAAAATCATAAAACAGAAAAAAAAAAGAAAAGAAAAAGGAACAGTCTAAGTAAAGTGGAAAGAGATATGGATATCTCTTTTAGGGACTCCGTAGAGGCTCTCGTCCAAAACCGCTACTGTAATTCCAGATCCCGCCAGACTCGATCAATCCGGATGGCCGAACCCACCCTCCTCATTCGAACAGGAATGAGTCCATCGACTATGACGTGCTCGGCGTGGACCCCTGCACCTGAATGGAGCGGGACTCTAAACAGTAACAGTTCATTTCTTGATTGCCAACGAGGGGGCTCCTTCCAGTTCCCTTCCATGGGCCAAGGATCCTCAACAACCAAATGGAAAAGAGGCCTTTCTCGCTGTGGCCGATGAGATCGGTTCCATCTTGGAGGATTTACCCTAAGCGATCTAGCTTGAGGCCGTGATCCACGCATTCCGATGCGTTCGTTGCCCATTTCCCCAAATCCCCCACCTCCATTGGCCATCAACCATGTCCACCATCCGCCTATCACACACCGCAACGGGCGGTACGGGCGGGGCCAACCCACCTTATGGTCCCGCAAGCGTCAGTCTTTTCCCTTTTCTCATTGGGCCCGTGCGCTGACGAGCTTGCTGGAGGAGATAATGAAATCATCATATGAATTAACTACCTATTAACTACCTAGCAACGATGTACAGGATGCATAGATGGAACACTAACTTTCTTGGCGATCCTCTCGTGCAACCATGATCGGGATACTCCATACTGAAAAAACAAACAAAGAGCTTCTCAGTGTAATTCCATTCCTCGCCATCCTTCCAGCTGATCTTTACCTCCGGTTGGTTTAACCTCGAGCACGCTATGCAGTACCAGATGACGTGATTATCCTTTCCACGTGCCAGTAAATTAACAGCCTACATGCATATGAAGTAGTGACTGTTAAAGATAAGACAAAGATTATATACCCCGTGAGTACTCTGTAAAAGAGGTGACGGGTATCTTTTCCGGTACACGATAATGTTATGAAAATAATGGCCTTGAACTATATATTTATTTTGTATCAAGATTTGTATTGCCTTACAGACCAATTCCTTGACATAGATGACTTCATTAAGTTTCAGACTAGCTAGAAGTATCCAACTTAGTTTGGCATCTAGATACATCAAACTAAACAACAAACCCCCTTTACACAGGGTTTCCTTAACATTAAGCTCGCATATCTTTCCAAATAGGAAGTCAAGTAGGATGGGTGTGATCAAAGCGTAACGGATATGTTCCATGGGAAACGTTGAACTCAAATTCCGCCCTGAGACGGAGAGATTTTCTTCACAATGTGGTCATGATCCTGGCTTTGCCAGTGTACCTGTCATCTGGATGTCTCCTCATGTGATTCCTGACTTTGTCTCCAGTATCTAGGGATATTCCTATATTTGTAAGAGCATAGGCACCACGACGTTACCTCATAGAGGAGAATAGCCGGATAATCAACGATGATATACCACTCTGCTAGCCTAACTCCACACGGAGTATAGTCCACGTGGCTGCTGGCTAGGCACAAATAAGGCTGCAGGATGGAGCTGTCTTGGGATGAAACTACGGTCTCGTAGGCTCCATAATACGATATTATACTAGTTAGGGACCTGACTAGTACTGTGGCTGATGGGCTCTGCAGGGTATGATGGTATCAGATTAGTGGTGGTCGCAGCATTTGGTCTAGACCGCTGTCTTATTTGATCCTACAGGTACGGAGTAGATACCTAGACTTGAATATTCATCGATGGAATGATGAACATTGCCAACCTTACACCTCATGAGTTTGATTGTTTTTGGGTCCGCGGACATAAATAGCATGCATCGGCTTACTTCGACATTATATTGTAAATACTGTAAAAGCTGTCGGTTTCTCTGTAGGACGAAAAATCTATTGTTTGTTTTTACACTCCACCATAAGGGAAATAAAGATGATATGAACCATATGAACCTATAAATAGACTTTTGTGGTATCTGGATCTGCAGTATGCACAATTGGTGGATCTCATTACATCCCCTCGTCCTCCCCGGCCAGCAGGGCCGCATAGTCGTCTGCCGATGCGAATGTCGGCAGGTGTTTGAGCTTACGGCGCTTCTTCCGATCTGACCTCCCATCGTCCTTCGGACGTTCCACTCCGCCTTCAAGCTCCATGTCCGAGGGTAGTTCCTCGTCGCTCCCAACAAAGGCCTCCTCGTCTGAGACGTCCATGTCAAAGTCATCATCCTCATCGAAGGTCTCCTCTTCGGCCTTCTTGGACTTGGACTTGGACTTGACGGGCTGCTCTGCAGCAGCCTCGTCCTCATCCACTTCCTCGTCGGATTCGTCATTGAAGATGACCCCTTCATCATGGCTCTCTTCATCCTCATCCTTATCATACGCCGACTCGAGATCGTCCAAATCGAGATCATCATCGCTGGCGCCGGTGTCCAATTCAGGCCTCGAATCGACAAGGGCTTTCCAGATCTCAGATTCCGCGTCGCTGAGTCCTTCGACGTCCTCCTCATCTTGGTCAACAGGGTCCCTAGACTTCTTTTTGCGAGCCTTATCCTTGTCCTTTCCGACTCGGCTGAAGTACTCGTGGAAGAACACGTCCTCCGCGGCAACGTCTTCGGATTTCTTCTGCCAGAACGCTTCCGAGTTGAGTGGCAGGTTCTGGGCATGGCTGCCGGCACTGACCAGCCGATCCTTGGCGTCGCTACCGGCGAGAGGCTGCATGATGGAAGATCCACGTGTGGCTGCAGATGCCTTGGGGGTTCGGTATACAAAGCGGTCCAGGAAGTGGGTCAAAGTGTGGATGGTCAGATCCGGCTTGCCACTCATTGGCTGATGATCGAGGAGATGCGCCGCATTGACCGACACAGATGGATGAAAGTGGGCCAGATAAGGTAGCTGTCAAATTCGCAAGTTAGCTTTCTGATTGAACAGCTTCGATCTGCGCAGTGCCGGGGGCATAAAAAAAGCTCACCAGTTCCCAGAGACACGTCCGATCAGCATTGCTGTGCTCGGGGTCTCGCTTCCGGGGATCATATTGATTTTGCGGCAGGGGCTCAGTCACCGTTGGCTGATCCTCTTCCTCATCATCTTCGTCAGGGACGTCCCTAAACACCTCTTCATCGTCGCCATCATTCTCCTCAGGCTGGTCAAACAAAGACTGGAGACCAGGGAAAGTCTTCTCCAGTTCGCGAATAAGATAAAATACGCCGCAGATGAAGGCTGGCTGATGCATGCCGAGAACTTGAATAATACGCTTCACGAAGGCCTTAACACGCCTACCATTGACATCATTTTTCAATGCTTTGAAAAGCAAGTTTAGGTAAAGCGACTGCTTTGAGGATGTGGCAACCCGCGGGTCAAGTAGAGATTCATACAGGGTGCGGTAAAAGCGATCGGCCGCAACTTGATGGGTTGAGCTCAGTTGTTGAATCAGCATGAGGGCTTGGATGCTGGTGTTGAAGTTTGACGAATGCGTGATGCGGAACAGAGTTCCAATATGTTTGGAAAGTCTGGGCACCAGTTAGTAATATTTTCAGTCATGGGAATCGGCTAATGAACATACCGATCAGTATCTGAGCTCGTGAAGGGATAAGCCCGATTGACACCTGTCAGGACTCCCGAGATGAGCTTTTCGCGCATTTCCTCATTCTGAGCCTGACCCTTATGTTCTTCATCCTTTTCTTTCCCCCCCTTCTTACCGAACCTGCCTTGCTTTTTGTCTGCCTTGATGGGTTTCATGGATTTTAACAAGACAACGAAATACGAAAAGTAGATGTCGAGTAGCTTCACCGCAACGTTTTCCTCTTTCAGGCTCAGAACAGTTTGGTTCAACGTGATCAACGCATAATACTTGGCGTGCTGGCTCTGGCCTCGGCGGAAGAGGACTTCCTCGACGGAAGCGATGATTGTTGGTTTCATCATCGGATGCGCTTGTTCGAGTTGCAGCAGCAAATAGGAAGCCCGGGATGCAATCTTCTTCGCTTTATCACCAAGTTTGTTGACCAGCAAACGTAGAAGGTTGGTTTCCTGTTCAGGCTTTTCTTTAAGTAGCTCGTAGACGTAGCTTACAGCTCTGGAGCGAGAGAACTCAATTTCGTCATTGCACCACACTTCCAGGATCTTAAGCATCTCAAAATACTGATCCTTAACTATATTCTCGAAAGCCCACAGGATGAGGTGGCTGTTCTGAAGTCCACCAGGAAGAGGGTCCCCCTCCGACCATTTGCTACCTGCTCCTTGGAATGCAGCCATGAGGAATGGCTGGTTGGCAAAGGCCCTGAGCCTACGATCACTGGGGAGCAAGGTGCCCTGGGCGAACATATCCTTCAGAGACCTGAGAACCTCTACCGCCTGGGCACGACTGCGTTTCTTGCCAAGTCCAATGAGGTTCTCTAGTGATTTGGTATTATGCAAAGGTGATTCCTGCACGGCAAGCGTCAAAGCTGAGATCTTGTCGCTCAGTGTTCCGGATGTCATAATAGTAGTGTAAAACTTGTGAGAAGAAGAAGCGGAAGCCTGTTGTGCATCGGCGTATATCTTGCTCTCTTTCTCGAGCAGCGAAAGGGCATGCTTGTATACGCGGTCAACCAACTGCCGAGGCAATGCATTTGCTTGCTTCGCAGATGTCGAAGGAAGCTCGGTCATGTACCAATCAGATCGTGGTGGTATGGTCTGGTTTTAACATTAGTATCTCACAGTGGACGGGAGTTTCGGAGCACTCACAAGCTTAGAATATTCCTTGGGGAGGATGTTTTGGATTGTTTCCTTGGCTTTTGCCTTGGTTTCCGTGACAGCCGGAGCTGGCGGAACTCCCAGAGCCTCCGAAACATTGTCATCTGAAGTTTCATCCTGTTCCTCCTCATCTTCTTCCTTATCCTCGTCCTCGTCTTCAACCTCAGCTTCCTCATCATCCTGGATATCATCGGGGACAACTTGTCCGGCAGCGGCCAACATACTCGACAGTTCTTTTCTTAGTAGATCCTCATCCGATTTATTGTTCGACTTCCTAGGAGCATCTTTTGCACCCTCCACCTCGGAATCAGAACCGATATCCGCGAGTAAATCAAAATCTTCCTCAGTACCCCCTAATGCCAAAATCTCTTGCCGTAGGGCATCATTCTCATTCGTACTATTCGACTTGGATTGTTTAACCCTTTCTGTATCCTTCTTTCCTTCTCTGGCAATAACGTCACCACCGTGATCCCGCTTTTTGCCCCTGTTGCCTCTATCGGCATCAGATCCTCGCTTTGCGACTGGTGCCAGTGCATTCTCCTTAGCTTGCTTTGGCAATTCCTTCGCAGCAGCTTTCGACTTGCTGTTTTTCTTCTGCTTCGTCGCATTCTCGTTCTTCAATTTCTGTTCGATCCTCTGTCGTAGCCCGGCAAAAGCACTTTCCTCCAGCTGAGGAAAAGCATCCGCAGCCGCGTTGGAGTCATCAACAGCCGCTCCACTTTCCGGTATGATTTCATTTGCTCCAGAGGAGCGCTTACCCTTTCCTTTAGCCATGAAGGGCAGCTATGGAGCGAGGAGATGGAATTAATTGATTCTTTGATAACTTTTTTTTCTGCCGCCCGAAAATCCCAAACGAGATGGCCGCCGGAGAAATATTCGACCGCGGGTTCGGTTCCTGGTGCACGGGCCATCCGGCTCTCATGGGATTCTGAGCGTTTTATAAAGATCCTCGCAGGAAGAAGTAAAGACGGGCGATTGGAGTAATTGCGCTTGCGGGGGATTTTCATCATTGTGCAGTTTGCTTTCGGTGCTTGTGGCAACATCCAGTGTGATCTCCACGCTTCATGATATCTGGAGAACGCCCGATTGCGGGCCGCTACTCGGGGCCATCTCGAGCATGCTTCGGAGTCTTTCGATTGTATAGATTCTCAAGATGCAATTACCATGTATGGCGTCTTTTGCATCTCCCCGGATTGTTCGAGCTGCTAAGTATTATAGACTGATGGTAGGAACCGGGTCTCCAACTTCTGGATCCCGACTGGTGGCATCTCGAAGAAGAATGTCCCAGGTGGTAAAGGTACATGCGAGAACCAAAAAAAAGAAAGAAAGAAATACCTAGAAATGGTTTGAGCTGACACAAATGTGGGCCTAGAGGATTCGAACGACCTTTTAATTAGAGGTGGATTTTTTCGCCAGGTTTGTACTTTCTCCCTGTGGTCTGAGTGTGGATCTAACTATGTCCAGGTGTATTCCGGGATATTCCACATGCTTCCTCTAGGGTTGCGCGTGCAAGATAAGCTAGAGCGTCTCATTGACAAGCATATGCGGTTGCTGGGTATGTTTCTTCCTAGTTTATAGCGACCTTACCAAGGCTAAGGACCACGCAGGTGCTTCGAAAGTTTCTTTATCATCTATATCCGCTCAGGAGCTTTGGGAGCAGTCAGGACGTTTGAAAGAAGGTTCCGAGGTAAATACTGCATTCTTGAAAGTGGATGAATCTACTAAATTCGACACTGCAGGTATTCAAGTTTATTGATCGGAAAGAGTCGCGCTTCATTCTTGCCCCTACTCATGAAGAAGAAATTACTACATTAGTAGGGAGTCTCACTAAGTCATACCGAGATCTGCCTTTGCGAGTGTACCAGATATGTGAGTTGATCATACTTATAAATTTTGCGGACTGATGCTCATCCTGTCAATCCCAGCGAGAAAGTATAGAGATGAGCCAAGGCCAAGACAAGGTCTGCTTCGTGGACGCGAATTCATTATGAAGGATCTTTATACTTTCGATTATAGTGTGGAAGAGGCTTTAAAAACGTATGCCTCCGTGAAAGCCGCCTACACCCAACTCTTTAACGAACTGAAAATACCTTACCTTGTCGCTGCGGCAGACTCAGGTAATATGGGTGGAAGCTTGAGCCATGAATTCCATTTTCCTAGCTCGAAAGGCGAAGACACCGTTATCAGCTGTACCAACTGTGACAGTGTCTATAACGAAGAGCTCGCCGATGGAAAATCTCATGACTTAGAGCACGGCTACCATCTCCAAGCGAGGCAAACATCTGGGTTCAACACCGAAGGAATCCCCATCGACGCAGCACCGACTGTTTCCACAGGCCTCTGGATGGCGATCTCCAAAGACAAACAAACATTGCTACGGGTCTGGTACCCGAAATTCTCCATGCAAGGAACTAGCCAGGAACCCGTGGAACGAGAAGTCAATTCACACGCTGTCAAATCCGTCGCTGATTCAGCAGGCCTCGAGCTCGACCTTAGCGTGGAGAACCCCTTGGAACAGTGGGCGTCCCAGATCAAGTCCGCCACAGGGCCCAGTGGATCATCTCCCACCTACAGGCCCAAAGTGCTAGATCTGTACGACTCACAAGTCCGCGTCTACCAACGTCCTCCACTCAGTGACCTGCTCCAGCAGGTTGACTGTGCAGTAGACGACATTGACTACTCGATGCTTGATCGCTTCCCCGAGACCAACAGTGGACTGAACCTGGTCAAAATGCATGACGGAGACCCATGTTCGAAATGTACCCAGGGACACCTACAAACTCACAGGGCGGTCGAACTGGGCCACACATTCCATCTCGGAACCCGCTACAGCGATGTCTTCCAGGCATCCGTCATGATTGACCGGTCTGCTACCGGCTCCGAAGGCCAAACCGTCCCCATGCAGATGGGATGTCATGGAATCGGCGTCTCTCGCATGATCAGCGCAGTAGCAGACAGTCTCGCCGACTCCAAGGGCCTGAACTGGCCAAAGGCTATGGCCCCTTACGAAGTTATCGTTATCCCGGCCAAGGGTCTACACGAGGAAGCTGAGAAAGTATACGATCTTCTCACCGCAAACTCATCTTCCTCCTCTCCCATCGACATCATCCTCGATGACCGTGACAAGCAGATGGGATGGAAACTCGGCGATGCGGACCTAATCGGGTACCCGGTGATCGTGGTGGTCGGCAAAGGATGGAAGAAGAAGCAAACCCTGGAAGTGCAATGTCGCCAGATGGACAATCTCCGCGAAGATGTACCGTTATATCAACTACCGGAGTTTATTCAATCGTTGCTGGACCGGCTGTAATTTGCGTATAATAAAGCCCGATCATGAGACCTGTATACTAAGTGTTAATATACCCACCTACATCCCCTCACATTACGCACCGTACTCCTATAATTGTTTCCCAGTATTTATCTGAAATAATTAACTCCAGGGATAATCTACGATCTCGGTTTCCATGATTGGCAATTTATACATCCCCATGAAGTAAGCAGCAACCAGCACATTCTTGGCATCCCAGTTGAGTCATTCAACATCACGATCTTCCCAGTAAGCAAAAAGCTTTGCACGACAACGTCCCTTCAAATAAATCACCACAATTAACTTTCCGGGTCATTCGTTACCAAAACCACTACCACAGATAAAAAGAAAACAAACATGGGCCCCCGGATTGGCGTCGGCGTCTTCGTCCTTAACCCCCAAGGCCGAATAATAATTGGAAAGCGCCAAGGCAGTCACGGAGCTGGTATAATTCCCTTTCCTCTCGAGACAATTGGCGTAATAAATTCATTCTTTTATCGGTTATTAACTCGACATTCAGGAACATGGGGACTCCCAGGTGGGCATCTCGAATTCAACGAGACGTTTGAAGCCTGTGCCAAACGAGAAGTGTTTGAGGAGACCGGGCTCAAGATTAAGGATATCAAATTCCTCACAGCCACGAATGATATCATGCGGGCCGAGGGGAAGCACTACGTCACTGTGTTTGTGGGAGGTGTGGTTACAGAAGCAAATGCGCAGCCCAAAGTGAGTTTCCATTTGTCTTGGTTTATTTGTACGCAATCTATCTGGAACGGCATTGTGATTTGTGAGATGGTATCTCTGAGTTAACGGACTACTTATTACAGGTAATAGAACCAGAAAAATGTGCAGAGTGGCAGTGGCAGAGCTGGGAGGAGATCGGGGAGTTCGCAGCAGCGCAGAAGGTCGCAGAAGTGGAGGGATCGATGGACAGCTTTGAGGGAAAGAGGTTGTTTATGCCGCTTCTGGATCTATTTGAGCAGCGGAGAGGGTTTCATCCCTACCACTGCTTCCAAAGCCACTCTGCAGATGAAACGGCCTGATGTACTAGCGGGTAACCGTGTTTACTGTATTCAATCGTGTCGTTGCGCATTTCCGTCTGTCCATCATGATTAAAGAACATCTCTGCGCGTCTTGCACAAACAAGGGCATTTCTTTCTCCCAAGTCTCCGCCACCGCGGCCACTTATATAGCCGTGCATATGTGCCCTGATTTTGGAATAAGCTAGTCTTGGTTTAATATCTATAGATAGTGCTGGAGGGGATAGTGACCTTCTCTTTAGACTACAATGGCCCCCTCGCTGACCACTTCCGAGAAACCGTTGCTATATAAATACCAATATATCCCCACGTCCATTGAGGTCCTCATTAATAAAGCGCAGGAGTTTCGTGGGGTGCAGCTTCGAACATGACAGACTAGGCACGAAATTTCTAGTTCAGTGGGCCAGCACTTGTGTTCAGCGTGGTTGACGACATATTTGCTGAAAAGAGATTCCCTCTCCACAACAAGGCGAAGATGCAGAGGAAAGTAATGCCTCAGGATGGTCAACTAAAAGCTGTCGATTCGTTCCGGAAATTGCTGCGATGCAGGATGAACTTCATGAGATACATCTCGATCATGGGTTAAAAACAGTGAACCGCTGGAATCGTATGAATATATTAGTTACTTCTACTGTCTCTAATATTCCAGAGCAACCTGCAAGTTGAATAGCGAAAAGCAACTGCTCGGCGGTCTCCGGCGTGGGATGTGTTTTAATCTACAGCTTTTTGCTGCCAGTTTCTTAATCCTGTCCAAGTCCACGGAGTCTAAGGCAGTATAATATTTCTCTAGCAACATTAAGATCCTTCTCGGTGACCGGAAAAGATTGAAAGTCGACACGAAGGCCTCTATACAATACGTAATTAGCTTCGCACATATTCTGACATTGAGATGTCCCAGTAGCAAGTACTGGGCTAGCTTTTCATTGCTTCTCTTTCATATATTCTGCCGGAGCATAGTCCTAGTAGAGATTGGTAGCATTAAGATTAGCAACCTGACCGTGATCGAAAGGCTCAGTAGAGGACTTGTGCCTTCAGATGATAAGCAGTCAGAGGGCCTAAAAGGCCCAATAGCTCTCATTGACATTCTAGGATATCAGATGTAGACTTATCATACAGTGGATAGAGAAACAGAGAAATAGTCAGTCTTAGCAGTAACAGACATAACTCCTGCAGACCTTGCCTCCCATGCAGATTCTTTGCTGGTAGCAGAGATATATAAAGCATTAAAGTGGTAAATTCACTTCCGCAAGATCTCAACTATTTTCCTCCTCATTCTATGGATTGAGTGAAGATGAATGAAAAATGAACATGACTATTCATCTTGCTTGTGTCTTGGCATCAATATTGCTGACTCAGTATACACTAAACCCCATATAGACCCAGCCAATACCATCATCGGCGAAGTTGACTGCAAAAACACCTGCAGCAGACCAACACAATCTCGACTAGGGCGCTCTTAAATCTGCCGGGATACCATATGGTGATATTCCCAGCTAATATCAATATTTTCGTGCTTATCTAACCGATTTCCCTCCGTCACTTCCACACTTCCGACCTCTTCACTTCACCCAAAATGCCCCCTCCAAATACCCCCACATCCGACCCCCCTCCAGGTTCAGGTATGTTAAGAATAACTCCCTCCGATTTCCCGGAGAAATCAATCCCCCATGGTCTTGAGTGATCGCTGATGTGGACACCATTGCAGTGAATATCAATTCGCTTTCTGCACCGCAGCTCCGTGCCCTGCAAACCCGTCTCTCGTCGGAATTGGAGCATTTGACGTCTTCGCATGCCAAGTTGCGCGCAGCACAATCGAAATTCCGGGACTGCGTGCGTTCAATCAACGAGGGTGTTTTGGGCTCGGAGAAGAAGGGTACTGATGGAAAGGATGGGATCTTGGTTCCCCTGACGAGTTCTTTGTATGTGAAGGGAAAACTTACGGATCGCGAAAAGGTACTGGTGGATGTTGGGACAGGGTTCTATGTTGAGAAGGTATGGTTTGCACTGTATTACTCTCTCTTTTTTCTTTTTTCTTATCCACTCCCGTTCGTCTCTTCCTTGCGCAAGGCTAATGGTTTCTCCGCAGACAGCACAAAAGGCAATTGAATTTTACGATGAGAAGATCAAAACTCTGGAAGCAAATCTCCTGGAGCTGGAAAAAATTGTCCAGACAAAGAGTTCCCAACAAAGACTTTTCGAAGACGGTGAGTTATGATTCTTCCATGCAATCGGCCCCAGCTAGTGTCGTCCTGCAGACAGATAACTAACTTCCTGTTCTAGCTCTGCGGCAAAAACTGCTTAGTGAACGTTCCTCATCGTCCGGTACGGCTGCGGCGGCGGGTGGCTAGAACCTGTTCTTGATGTATGCGGCGAATTCGTGAAGGTCGACGGTTTAAATAGGATATGGGATATGTATATCGCCTTGTCTAAACCGACCAACGTCAAATTTTCTTCCTATGCCAAGGGGTATAGTGTATTTGGACGGATGCGATATCAGAGTGGCAAGAATAAATATTAGGCTCAGCATTTTTCTATTTGGAAAGCTTGCTACCAGCCCAGGTTCATGGCTGTCCTCTAGTCTTCAGCTTTCACCTAGAACATATCTCCTTGCCTCCTACAGGTAATGATAATACATGTCTTGTGTTGGAACATTCAGAAAACATTGCATTCTTCCTAGATTACATGACGAACCCACTCTATTGCCTCCCCTTTGCGTGGAAGTTGATCAGGCTCTGTGTTCAGCAGTGAGGCCGATCAATTTTAGATCCAGAGGTAGTAGGAAGCATTGTCTGCATGCAAATCGCCTCGGCGTCAACCAAGTTGAAACAAAGCGCTGAGTCCTTCTAGACTTAGTATGCCAAGTTTCTGCACTAGGAATGCTCGATTATTAAAGCAATAAACTTAACAAGCCACACAAATTCGAAAGGAAAACATTAAGAAACCCATTGCGCATGTTTTGGGCCCAAAGCAAGAGTTGTAACGGATCCAGATGCCGAAGGTGTTGCCTCGTTGAACGGGTTTGGGCAAAGTACCGCGACCAAGGGTGCGAATAGGGTAAGGCTTAGGCATAGGTAGGTGACGCCCGATGACCTGGGTACTCGGTGATTTGTACCTGAAATAATGTAAAGTTGAATTGGAAAAGGAGGCACAAATGTGACATGGCGAGAGCGCACCCCAAACCAGTTTAGTCAAGTTTGCTCCTGTCCTTGTTCCTAGAACAAAGTACCAAGATCTGTGTGCAACAGCTCAGTAAATTGTTGGACTCCCAGAGTAGGCGAAAGTTCCCTCGAAGCACTTTGAACTTTAATAGGATCTGAAACTGCTGGGGACGGCTGGACACCGGCAGTGCTCTGGGACGACATTGATGCCGGGCCAAGAAGTGCTGCCACCTGCTTCACTAGGGCTGCGAATTCCCAGAAACCTGAGCGTTTGTCTTCCGAGCCTAGACCAGTTTGAGATGGGAAGAATGTGTTTATGTCGGCATCGTATCCAGCCGAATGTCCAACGGATAGGTTAGCATGCTCCCCCAGCAAGTTGTCCCAATTAGCATCGAACACCGACGCCCCCCAGGATGTGGAGGGGACATCAGATATTTCACTTGTCATTGATGCTATGCTCTGCCCCGGAAAGGCGGGAACATTGGTACGGCTATACTCATCATATCGAGCAATCTCCAGTGTATACTTCGTGCCTTTCAGCCGATATCGAATGGCGGTCTTTTCCACGAACCTAGACACCGGGGCTGAGTTGGGAAAGACTACTTTCCTTTGAGGCTTTGCACAAATATCGCTCATGGTCCCAGTACGCCGGAAGCCAATGGAGTGCGAAAACGACCTCAACGCAGCATCAATCGAAGCCGTTTCATGAAATTCTAGAGACTTAATTTCGAGCTGCCAATCGGACCTGACATAATTCAGCGCTCCGTAGAGCTTTGCACAGTATACCACATCTTACCTTTCAAAGTCAATGACTCCGATCTGTAGCAGGGGCTGCTTGTCACTAGACTGGCCGCTCTTACGAGGCCTAAGCCATCGTCTCTGGGTAATCTCATAGTCCTGTGCGCCAGGACTTTTAGCAAATTCTGCCTCCAGGCGAAGCATCGAGTTGTTTGAACCCAGAAACTCAAAATTGACGGAGTATGCTAGTTCGGCATTTTCCAGTGAGGAAGATGTCGTTTCGTAGGGCTCAAGTAGATGCGTAGCTTTGTAGCATCTCTCAAGAAGCTCATTTTGATCGACTTTCAAACTGCGACAACCACAAGTAAATAAGAAATCCCGGGAAAAATGTGTATGACATACCCCGGAATCAGACGGCCTTTCGTCTGCTCATATAACAGCATCTCTCTGAACTCTTCGAACCCATACGATGGTTTGCCATCTCGAGGGGCACGGTAATTTTCAAGAATAAACAAACCAAGATTTACTCGCATACGCAAATGCCCGCGAACAAAAACAAGTCCTCTTAAAGATTCTTCAACCGCACTCACAAGACGAGCGTTGTTCTTGGATAGTATCAGGGCCACTCGGGTGCGCCAGTGTTCCAATTCAGCTCCATTTAGCAAATCTCCATCGAGCCGGGCTTTGTGGCAACTAGCTTTCCTTTCAACCACAACCTCTCCTTTCATAGAACAAGCTTCAGGGGGTTCTGCAATATAAACTTTGGACCTGATATTGTTTTTGGCGATCACTTCGCCCCATTTTGTCCTCAGACGATGTGCAACCTGTTTTATGGTGTCATGGTCCTGACTGACAACGCAGATGTAATTGCCGAGTTCCTTTAGAACGAACACATGGCAGAGAAAATTGGAACGGATGAGATCGAGGGCTTCAAGTTGTGGCCCAAGAGCTTCAGTGAGGGACGGTCCTTCTTTTGGCCAGAGGAAGAGCAGCTGCAGACGAGGTCAGGATGAGCATTAGAGAGGGTAAGTTTCTCGACTAACTAACCTGCTCTGGAAATTCTGTAAATGGGTCTGGGGCCTTCCTAAGCTGAATCAACATGTTTTCATGCCTCTCCTTCATATCAACAGTTGCTTCTTTGTTTAGAGAGTGAGATTTAATCTTGGGCCATTCAGGCTTTTTCGAGGAGTGTGACAGCCTCATACATCTTGCAATAAGCTTTTCAAGAAGTTCTTTGGCTGCAGCAACCTGGGCTACCTCGCCCCAGATGCAGATTGACTTGATCGTGTCAGTTGCTGCCTCCGTCTTTCCTCAATATCGACCGCAACAACTCACAAAATCGGTATATAATGGTGGTTTTATGTAGGCACCCGTGTTCTGACATATGGCCTCGAAAGCTTCATGGCGACCTTGAGATTCCGAATGGCCTCCACCTAAAAGGGACGTTCTAGCTATGCTAAAGAATCTAAACATAGCTTAGGATACAATTTCGTTCCCAAGAAATTTGTTGGTGCTTACTCATGTTTGAAAGAGCCAAAGGGGGCAGGTAATTTCAAGGAGTCTTGAGAAATTGCATGAGCTTTGCCTATAAATAAGGTGAAATTTGAACGCTACTCACATGCAGGCTCAACACCTGTTCGCCATTTTGACTTTGCCGGGGAGTCTCGAAATAGACGGCTGGTCTGGCGCGAAAATACAGCATGCGCAAAAGATGGCTTGCCTCTGAAGTCACCACGCGTTTTCATAGATCGAATTGTGCCTCTAGTGCGCCCAGTGCTCTCTGGATGTCTGGTGGTAGTTTCACCATTATTTTGTGGAGTTGAGATCTTAACAGGAGCAGGAGGCTTGGTTGGTAGCTCTCGGGGTTTGCTCGCCACCGGCCGAGGTCCAGTTTCATTGGATTTGAACACGACTCGCCCGTAACCTGGTAAGTGCCATTCTGGAAGGTAAGTTAGCAGCTTATCGAGAGTATTCATGCATATAATGGGTTAAAAGGTGTATTTCTGGTGAAAACCGGATGGTTTATGCTACCTTGGGCACCTGAGGTCTCGTGGCTGCAGTTTTGTCAATAACCATAGAAACCTGGAAGTTAGTGATTCACGTACTCCATTTTCGATAGGCTGATCTTTATGGTGCTATTGCAACAGCCATAAACTGGGGAAGTAATTCAATGTGCAACAGGCACTGCGCGTAAAATCAATCCTGTTAGGCTCTCTAATAGTCAATGGCATGCCTATAGGGGCAACAGGAAGTGGTAACCAGAAAGATATCACGCGCTGGATAGGGGGCTCGAAGTCTATAGATAGTGAGTAGAAGCCGCTCTGTTTGAAGATAGATATGCAGAGAAAACAAGACGCAGTTGGAAGAGGGGATTTTATTCAGCAGTGTGTAAAAGGGAGCCAGTGAAAGGAGGAAAAGGAAGACGGTGAATAATAGCAGGTCATAGGTACCTGGTAAATAGCATGTGCTGTTACTAAGACAGCGCACAGGAAAGGACAGGGTATCCTACCAGTGGAAATTACTGGGAAAGAGCCTGTCTGTAGGGGGTAGACACTGAGTACCTACCTAAAACATGGTGAATAACAGCCTGCTGGTGATCGGATAGATGCTTGTAGTAGGTCAGGTTACTTCCTCCACCCCTTCACCGTCAAACTTGCTAGTGACTGTCAGAGTCAACCATCAAACAATGAATAATCAGGTGGTATAACCGAACTGAAACTAGACATACTAGGTACTAAGTAGTACCTAAGGTGGTAAAATTGTTTCTTAGAAGAGGCCGTCGTATAGTTCTGGTCATGGTCTCTGATTGGCGGATGGATAGTATATTCTGCTAAACCCAAAATGGGTTAAAGTGGACTACGCGCTTCGACGCGTAGTTTCCTTTTTCGGACGCCCATCGATTTTCCATCTTCGCTTTGCCGTCCATTGCCAGCTCAACCTCCCCCGACATTGCTCCCCTCCGCTGGATCATTGTACAAAGAAAATGGCTCTAGACCCCACAGACGAAAATGAGCGTTTGCCATCTCGCAGACGAAGTCTTCGAAAGCGTGCTCAGCAATGGATGACCAAAGGGGCCCTTGTCCGGGACGACTCTGATGATGAGCTTGGCGATGAGGACCACCCATGGCACTGGATATATGACACAGATCTTGCAGAAAATATGGATGAGGATGCTAGGACTGGGTCTGTGGAAAACACACCGAAGTCAGGCACGAGACGCTCATCTCGCACTGCTGGAAAGTCCCGACGAAAAATTGTTGGAGCCCGGATGGGCGTATTCGAATGCCGATTAGGCCAGGTAGTTCTGCTCAGGTCTCCAGAGCCTGGAAAAGACTGGGTTGGGATTATCACCGAGTTCCTGGAGGAGGATGACGAAGATGTCGACGGAGAGGTCATCAAGTCGGCTAACATCATGTGGTTTGCTTCTCCGGATGAGTTCATGTCGACAAGAAACAAACGACGGGCGGACGCATTGCCCAATGAACAGTATCTGACAGCAGATTTCAACGTGAATCCTCTGACATCGATCAATGGTAAAGCGACGGTGATGTCGAAAGATGTCTTCTATGCCACATATCCAAACGGTGACCCTCCGAAGGGCAAGGATGCACTGGCGGAATATAACAAGTGCATTGTCTGCCGACGAGGGGTAAACCAGCTCCAGGGACGGTATACGGCGGAGTTTGTATGGGAACAAGTGTACCGAGAGGACCAAATTTTCACCCTCATTGATATGATCAAAAATGGGTTGAAATCAGCCAAGAAGCGCAAACACGGTGACTATGATGTGAGTTGTAAATTTCATTCCAGGTTCAGCTAAATACGAGGCTAATAGGAAATCTAGTATGTGGATGTTAATGAGGACAAAGAAGATGATGACTTTACGCCCACTACTCCACGAAAAAGGCAAAAAGTAGGTTCACAGGCTGCCACTCCACAGTCACGACGCCAGAAGCCTCTCACGACCCCAACACACAGAAGGTATGTGGAATACCCTCTCCTAATAACCAATATCGCAACTGACATCATCCCAACAGGATTGTTGTAAAGAAACCACTTGAATTTACGCCTCTTGGAACTCGCGTTCTCTCCCCTTCCCATTTCGCTTCTCCCTACCGCCAGGCACGCAATCTCCTGCATGTTTCTACAGTTCCCACGTCATTGCCATGCCGAAAGACAGAGTTTGACACTGTCTATAGTCACCTTAGCTCTGCAATTATGGAGGGAACTGGAACTTGCATCTACATCTCCGGAACACCGGGAACGGGTAAGACGGCCACAGTTCGTGAGGTGGTTGCGCAGCTGAATGCTGCGGTTCTTGCGGAGGAGATGGACGACTTCATATTCGTTGAAATCAACGGGATGAAAGTCACGGATCCTCATCAGTCATACTCATTGCTGTGGCAGGCCTTGAAAGGTGACCGCGTTTCCCCTTCTCATGCACTTGATCTCCTCGAAAGAGAATTTTCACACCCATCGCCTCGACGGGTGTCATGTGTCGTCCTCATGGATGAACTGGACCAACTGGTCACCAAGAACCAGTCTGTGATGTACAACTTCTTCAATTGGCCGGCCCTACGCCATTCCCGTCTCATCGTGCTTGCTGTCGCAAACACCATGGATTTGCCCGAGCGAACTCTAAGTAACAAGATTTCGAGCCGTCTGGGACTGACCCGCGTCACGTTTCCTGGCTACAAGCACACCGATCTTATGGAGATTATCAGCACTCGTCTGGCGAATGTCCCAGGAAACATTGTCGATGCGGACGCTATCCAGTTCGCCAGTCGAAAAGTGGCAGCCGTTAGTGGCGATGCTCGGCGCGCATTGGATATCTGTCGCCGTGCGGTCGAAATCGCAGAACAGGCCAGTGATGTCGCAGCCAAGGAATCAGATCAAGCCGACGCGGACGAGACCGAGTCCCTCCCCCCAACCCCGAGTAAGACTCCCGCGCGAAGGGAGAAGTCCACCAACAAACAAAAATCCCTCCCATCCATAGCCGAATCCCCTCAAAAAGGCTTACCCCAGAAACAATCTTCTGGACACGTCACAATTGCTACCATCAAGCAAGCCATCCAGGAGGCAACTTCAACACCGCTGCAACAGTCCCTTCGATGCCTTCCTCTCTCCGCGAAGCTGTTCCTCGCCGCCCTTCTGGCTCGTGTCAAACGGACCGGTATCTCCGAATCAACTTTCGGCGATGTCATTGATGAAGCCAAACGGATCGCTGATGCGGCCGTGGCCGTGGCAGGTGCAGCCGGCGCCGGGATCAAGGAGTTCCTCCTTGCCGGCGGGAGCAGCGCAAGGGTAAAGTCTCTCGGCCTTGCAGCCATAGAACTCATGAACTCCGGTGTCCTAGTCCTAGAATACGGAACAGGATCCAAAGGTCCTCTAGGAAGCTCTACCGTATCGAACAGAGGTGACCGAAGCGGCAAGATAAGACTCAGAGTCGCACCGGAGGATGTCAAAGCTGCATTCCGAGAAGATGTGGAAGCGAAGTCGCTAGGACTGGGGATTGATCAATAAGCGGATGACTCTAGATGGAAATATCAGGTGGAAATTCTGGAAGCACACGGGGCGTATATTGTCAGAACGAGGCCATTCGAATAGACTCTCGGTGCACGAGTTACTATTTCATGCGAGATACCCATTTATTCTTGTGTTTACATGTATCACTACGAAGACCCATAGCAGACAAATAGAATACCATAGACGTATAAATTGGGTCTAAAGTTCGTCTTACGAACCCTTTTTCATCACTCAAAAAAAGACATTCCCGTTCCCAATAGAACAAATCAAAGAACCACGACACGCTGAACGCCATATAGTGCGGGAAAGGAAACAAATACACAACCAGGAAAATGTGATTTATCCATCGGATTTGACGCGCAGGGTATAAAGGAGACAGACAACAAGATGGACGAGTCTAGTATCTCTGACGACCGAGAGTCGGCGCCCAGGTGACGGGGTGAGATTCCGGGGTGGCCTCGTCGTCGGGTTTCCAGACCTTGATAGTCTTGTCGGCTTCACCAGTGATCAGACGCAGACCGGTACGATCGAAAGTCGAGGTCATAATACCCATTTCGGCATCGAGGGAGCCCGGCTGGGCAGTGGTATCGATAGATTGGAATCGGTAACCGGTTTTCCAGTCCCAAAATGACATGGAACCATTATCACCGCCGGAGAAGAGGACGTTGTCTTCGTTCACAGCGATGGAGTTGATGACGGCGTTATGGCCGTCGAAGTTCTGCATGAAATCACCCTCGGGACACTTCCATTGCTTGACGCTACCGGTGCTGGCGCTGGCGAATGTGAATTCCCGCGGATGGATGGCCAGACTCCGGACTCCCTTCTTGTGGTGCGTCAGGACGCCCATTGATTTTCCAGCCGCGAGGTCCCAGAGTCGGACGGTGGCGTCCAACGAGCCAGTGATGATCTGTGGATCAGCTTCCTGGCATTTAACATCGGCGACGGTTCCTTTGTGGCCCGACAGAACATGCACGTTGCTTCTCGTTCGCATATCCCAGACTCGAGCGACACCGTCGCGACCACCCGTGACTAGTAGATCAAGATGGGGGTGGAGGGCAAGCGTGTACACCCCACTGAGATGACCATGGTAGTGACGGATGACCTTGTTTGTTTCCAAATCCCAGCACTTCACCATCTTATCCTCACCGCAAGAAAAAAGGTACGGGTGACGAGGAGACACCGCCAGTCCACGCACCGTCGAGATATGACCCGTAAGCGTCAAGCGTAACTGACCCGTCGCAAGGTTCCAGATTTTAATCGTGCGGTCTCCAGCACCACTAGCAAACCACTCGTTATTGGGCTCCACGGCCAAACTTCGTACCCATCCCAAGTGTCCAGATATTACTCTCATCAGCTTCCATGGAGGGTGCCAATCTGGTCTCTGTTGTCGTGTCGCCGAGGGTCGTTGGACCAGACTCTTAGGTTCGTTTTCTCCTCCAATTCCACCACCAGCCTGGAGACCCGGAGCCTTCTTTACCAGGGACATGGAGGCGCCACTCTGATCCACGGGCGCTTGCGTCTGCGTTTGAGTCTTCAGTCGCTTTGTGCGCCCCGCGGCGGCTTTGGCCTGCTTCTCTGCTAAGACGGGAGGAAGCTCTTTCACATCTTCATATTCCACTTTGCGTCGGTAAGAAACACCGATCGACCCATTCCCTGTCGAGGGGGTGACCATAAGGTAGTCGGCGCCGAAAAGTTCAGCGGTCCTTTTGGCGGACGTGCGCACGGCTTCGTCCGGCGATATAGTCGACGGCGCCACTTCCATATTCTATCTCGATTTGAGAATACTGGGAATTAAGCCGTTGGGTGTTCAGGGGAAAAATGAATTCGAGTCGAATGCGCAGAAATGTGGCGGACGCGAAGACGTGTTGTTGGCGTCCTAATGCTCGTCAAGGGCGAGGTCTTGTCCAGATCTGCAAGAAGTCAAAGGATTCTATCTCATCCGGACCATAACAGAGAGTGTCGTTGTCCGAGTGAGCGAGGGGTGGACGCAGATTGGGGTGGAAGTAAAAGATGCACAGACGGAACGAATCATCTGGATTTCCGTTTCGACTTTTGGCGGAGATCTGTTTCTGCCTGAGGCGACAAGGCATCAGTCTGGTGTCGACGTAGCTTCTCTCCTATCGCAGATGCGAAGGACCGAAGATGATGCCAGACAATCAAAGACAGACACCATGGACCCCGACCACAATGGAAAGTTCCCTCTTCACGAGGCTGCACGGGAAGGCAAGAGTATGATCATCGTCACCCTGTTTCAGGGACGAATCTAATTGTCTACAGCCCCAACGGCCGAATCCCTCTTGAACGTGAGTGCTTCGGAAGCTGCCCCGCATAATCCGGAGCTGTCTGTGATGACAGACACAGGAACATCACCGTGAGCTAAGCAGTCCCGGACTGACAGATATTATAGGCGAATCCGAAACTCGCAGTTGTCAAAGATGATGACGAGCGTTTACCGATTCACTGGGCCGTGGCATACAACCGACTTCCTATCGTGGAGCTCCTAGTATCTACCAAGCACTTTGATCCGGATGTTGAGGTTTGCGCCACCGTCGCTTATGCACTCATTACACAGGATAAGAACTCACGGGATGAGTAGGACGGATCAGGCTGGACGCCTCTCATGATCGCATCGAGTCTGAAAAATGCAGAAGGAGATCCCATCATCGATCTTTTACTACGCAAGGGCGCCGACGTAACTGTCAAGAGCGTTTCTGGCCAGGTATGTACACACACACACACACACACACATATATATATATATACACTCATATGTCCCCTATAGAGTTTATGAGGTGTACAGCTGCTAAGAAAACTAAACAACACAACCAGAATGCCCTTCACTTCGCGACTTCCAAAGGCAACATCTCCACCGTGCGCACTCTAATCGCCAATAAGTGCAGTGCCAGAGTTAAGGACAAACGGGGCCAACTACCGCTTCATCGTGCCGCAGCTATCGGGTCTACGCCGATCATCAAGGTTCTTCTCGAGGAGGGGAGAAGTCCCGTCAATGCGACGGATATCGATGGTTTAACGGCGTTGCATCATGCTATTTCCGAGGGCCATGGGGATGCGGCGATCACGTTATTGAAGGCAGGTGCTGAGACGGATAAGAGGGATTCAGATGATCGATTGGCTATTGATTTGGCTCCAGATGCAAAGGTTTGTTTTCACTTGTTCCATCGCCAACTATTGAGCTTTTTGCTGAGCTAACGTATTCCTTGCAAGGTCCGGTCGTATATCGTCCAAATGGCTGAGAGGGAAGGCATAGAGCTGTAAAATCGTAATCCACTATTTAAATGGGAAGCGCAACAAGCTTGGACACCAGCGTCTCTCAGTGCTCTCGATGACTCTATCGGTATGTACTAATAGTAATAATAAACTGCTCGTCTCACATGGCCCCCCTAGTAGAAGTCTTACACATAACATCGTCTAAATCACGCCGCCTACGTCAAGTATTATTATATACAAAGTGGCTTGTAAATGCAGGAAGTAAATGCAGGAGGAAGAATAAAAAAGATCAATAAAAAAGACATTTGAGATCCGGGTTTCATGTCATGGTGCTGTCCACCAGTTCACGGTAGATTTTCTTGAGATCCGTGATATCAGCCTGGAGCTCTTCCACCTGCTCACTCTTTTCACCCAGCATCTCCAGTGTGGTCAGATACCGCTGGTCTAGCTCTGTCAGGCGCTTTTCAAGCTCCTGAATGCGAGCGTCTGCCTCTTTCTTCTCTTCGGACTCTCGCATCAGATCGACAACTTGCTGTCGAGCCTCGTCTCGTTGAGTAGTGATCCGCGCGAGTTCGTCTTTTGACGCCGCGCGTTCGCTCTCCAGCCGGCGAACAGTCGCACTCATACGTTCGACTAACTGAACGGATGGACCAGCACCAACGGTAGACTCGGAAATTATATCGTTGATCCCGCGCGAGTGCTGGGTTTGCGCACCCCCGAGAGCAGACGGCGTGCCAACGCCCATGAAAAACTCATCTGGCTCGAATGCAAGTGACGGGGTCTCTGGGATTACGCTGTTGGCAACGGAAGTTGGGAAGGAGTTCTGTCGTGGAGGAGTGCCCAATTCCGACGAGGCCATATGCAATGCCGAGGGCCGACGACTCATAGGCCTGTGGTCCGATAGAGAACCTACGGGCTCGAGGTTACTCGATCGGCGACTGAAGCCAGCGGGTGATTCTGTCCGGAGGAGACTCATTGGGGATAGATATTGTTCCTTCCATCTAGCTCGCTCCTCTTCCAGTTTCTGCGTCCAGGTCGCATCCCACATCTTCTTCTGATCAACGAGGTCATTCTGTGCCGAATTCAGATCGTCGTTGGCTTGTTGTAGCTTCTGCTCTATTTTCTGTAGCTCCTGCGTGTGTTCCTCAAGTTTGCTCTCTAGATCACGCTCGTTCTCCCTGGAACTTTCCAGTTCTTCCTCGGTTCTCTTAGCCTTAAGGTTCTGTCCACGATGCTAGTGTTAGCGGATTACTTCTTCATAGAGGGCCAAACAAACTTTGCGTACCACTTCTCGAACCTTTCGTCGCATCTCTCCTTCTCGCCGCGCAACTTCGTCTCGCTCCTTTTCCACATTGGCTAGCCGCGCAAGTAACGAGCCCTCCAGCGTCTGCCAGTTTTCGCTGGCCACGGCATACTGTGTCTGCAAGGTCTCAATCTGCCGTAGAAGTTTGGCCTGCGCATCGCTGGCAACCCCCGAAGTAGCTTCCTCCGCTCGAGAACGAAGCGACTCCATCTTACTTTCCAGGATTGACTGCTCGCCTTTCAGTTCGGCCTCCAGCATCCGCGCTCTCTCCTTTTCTTGTGTGATAGTCTCCTTCAGATCGGCAATCTCTCGTCGCAGCTTCTCCTCGCTAATTTCGCGCTCGATCTTGGTGCTGGTCAGCTCCTCTTCCAGCTGGGAAGCATGTCGCTTTTGCTGCTCTACAACATCGGAGCGTGCCTTTTCTTCGGAGGCTTCAGCACGCGCGACGGCTCTGGCGAGTTGGCCTTTCATTTCTTGGACTGTCTGGCTCAATGCATTCCGTTCAGCCGTGACAGCATCGAGGTCTCGAGAGACTTTGGCCTGGGAAGAAAGCGACTCGTTTGCTCTTTTCTCGGCAGCCTCTGCACGTCTGGCCCGGGTATCCGAGGTGACTAGGTCCCTTTCTAATCGATCGGTCTTCTTTTTCTGTTCGGTCTGGAGCTTTGAGTTCTCCGACAACTGCTGGCGAAGCTTCTTGATTACCGTCCGATGGTCCATCTCCGTCTTCGAAAGCTTTTGTCCTTCCTCCAGTAACAATGCTATTTTCTCGTCCTTCTCCCGAAGCTGCTTTTCCAAACTTCCCGGTTCCACTATCGCTGCAGCTTTCTTGGCGGAATCCGCAGCTTCTTTAGCCAGATATTTTAACTTGGACTGCAGGGCATCGATACGCTCGATGTATCCGTACGTTTCCTCCTGCCAGTGCAATTCCGCCGCTTTATGTTCTTCCTGCAATCGCAATATCGTTTTCTCATGGTCGCTGGGAGATCCCTCCACAGTTCCTGCAGAAACATCTGTAGTTGCTTCAGTGAGCTCTCCCGATACGCACGAGGGAAAAGGCTCGTCTGCTGCTGGTTTTGTGTCAGCTGTGTCTTGCGAGTCGCCTGCTGTATCATCCACACTTGTATCTTTCTGGGCAGTATCGTCTGCAGGCGAAAGAACGATCTCTCCTGAGGTTCGTTGAGGACCGCTCGAGTCGTGGCTGGTCATAGAGTCTGCCAGGCTCCCATGCGGGGGACTAAGGCTCTGGGGAACGTTCTCTGTACTGCCACGAGGGGACCCAGAGCTCGACTCGACGTCCACACTCGATCGCGCGTCGTTGTTTGGAAGGAAACTAGACGCAGGGGAAGCGACGCGGCTTGGGGGAGAGGACGAGGAGGCATTTTCCGGAGTGTTAGACTTCACAACAGCCCGAGCGAGTCGTTCTTGAAGGCGATCATTTTTCCGCGCATTGGATGAACTCCGGGAAAGGTCTGAAACCCGTTAGCATGGTGTCAGGTTCGAAGGATGGCAGCCGTACCACCACTCTGGTAATGCTTTGCCGCCACAGGCTTAGACTGAGAAGGCTGTTGCTCGTCCTCAGCTAGGATCAGATCCAGTCTCGATTCCACACCAGCAACGGCCTGCTGTAGAAAAGATCCGACCTTCCATTTTGACTTCGACGCCTGTTGGGCCATGGCAAGGATGATCAAGGGGGGCACGCTCTGGCTAAAGAATCCCTAGCAGCAACCTTAATCGGTTCGATCCGTCATGGAAGGCAGCCGTTCCTGGCGACGATGCTGTCGGATGCAGGATGATCGCCACCGCCAGGGCAGACTGAAATCTTGCAGATTCCGTCGTGGACGATAAATGGCAAGGAATAGAACACCCAGATAAGACTAACCAGGGACAAGACCAGGTCAGAAGACGACCACGTAGTGAGATGTTGAATGGCGTGCGTGGACAAGAGCGGCGTTGAATGCAGATCGCGGCTAACGGGGCTTGGCGTTCCTGGACAACGTCAGGTGTCTATCGACTCGATCGCAGCTCTCTTCTGCTCCTTCGCCTCTCCTTCTCTCTCCCCACCCCCCGGGTCTTCTTGTCTAGCTTTCTCCTTCTCCCCAAGACCGTCATTTGGGGCAGGCTCCCGTCTTCCCCCCTTCCCTTTTCCCACCGAAACCATGTCGACTATGCCGTTGGAGCCTCCCGCCTATCTCAGCTCGCTCCAGAACAACATTCGAGCTCGTCCGATTCCATGGGAAGGAGCTGTTCGTGCGGGAAACATCACCGATGAGCATCTAAAGAAGATCAAGGCGGTGGATAAGGTTCGCAAGGAACAGCGACGTCAGACGGTGGAGGGAGACCTTCCAGGCTATGTCAGTTTGCTATCTGGCAGCTCCGACGGCAAGAGTGTGTTGGACTGTGCTTCCAGGAGAACCGATATTGTACAGTATATCTTGGTGTTGGCGGCCGATTTGATTAACGGTGGGTATCATTCCTATAATGGCCCTGGCAGTGCTAATTGAAACAGATGTCCCGTCCCTCTCGTCCGCACTGGTGGCGCATCCCGATCCCTACAAGCCATTCCTCCCCCTCCTGCGTCACTCCACGAACACGGAAGACCCTATTCCGCTTCTTACTTCCACTTTCTTAACGAATCTTGTATCGATCAGCCTGACGTCCTCCTCGAAATCATCCGCACAGGATGAGGAAGCGCTTCCACAACTGTACACCTACCTTTCCAGCCTGACCCAAAACCAAGACAGCGGACTGCAAGACATTGGAGTCCAGGAACTGTCGGCGCTCCTCCGGACATCACGATCCCGGGAAATCTTCTGGAAGCAGAGAAAAGAAACGGTGGACCCCCTAGTCGACATCATGCGAGCGGCCACGGGCGCCAAAGACAGCAGCTCCAGCACCATGGCCGGCAGCTCGCGAACGATAGAGCCTGGTCTCTCCGGTGGAGTGGGGCTTCAACTGCTATATCGTGTCCTGCTTGTTCTCTGGCAACTGAGCTACGAAGGGGGTCTGATTGGGGAGGAACTTCAAGCGTAAGAGATCCCTTCTAGACTACACGTCTAGGTGACAACTAATACTGACAGATTCAGTGACCATGAGTTTATCCAACTGTACTCCCACCTCCTTCGTCTGTCCCCTAAAGAGAAGACCACTCGGCTCCTGCTCGCAACCCTGCGGAACCTTCTTTCCACCAACCGCACGACCCTACTCCCCGTGGCGGTGTTTGTCCACCTCCCTGTCCTGCTCTCCAATCTCTCTGGTCGCCATCTGACGGACCCGGACCTCCTGGAGGACCTTAAGTACCTAACCGATATGCTGGAGGAATACACCAAGACACAGACGACCTTTGATCAGTATGCGGCCGAATTACAATCTGGTCATCTCCGGTGGTCACCGCCTCACCGGAATCCCACGTTCTGGAAAGACAACGCGCGGCGAATCCTTGACGATGCCAACGGTGCTCTGCCGAAGAAACTCGCCGAGATTATCTCCAAGGAATGGGACAATGACAAGCAGGTTCTGGCGATCGCGTGCTGCGACGTGGGACATCTGGTGAAAGAACGTCCTGAGCGACGGTACCAGCTAGAGAAACTAGGGTTGAAAGCGCGAGTGATGGAGCTAATGGCCGACAAGGACGAGACGGTACGGTGGGAGAGTCTGCGAGCTGTGGGCGAGTGGCTTCGGTATACATTTGACGACTGATTTTGTTGTGTATTTGTGACTATACTACCCAATGTGCATTTGTTTTTTTTTTTTTCGGTCGACCTCCGTACGGATTTGGACTGCCTTACATCAGGCCAAGTTTCTCGTATGCATACTCTATAGTGGTAGGGCTACATGCGATCTGGCATTTCCTCGTACAAGACAACCCTCCATTTCATCAGAGTCCATCGTCCTCAACTCTCGGAATACTCCAAACAAGGGACCCAAGCTCCAACATGGTCTGGTCTCCCAGGCCTGCGTGGAAAGAATTCATTAACTGACATCTAAATTCGATCTCGTCTGGGGCACTTCGGCAAAGGAATACGGACCCCGCATAGAGAACCCGGCACCAGCGCCAAAAAGGCAAGCCACCCATGCAATGCATGCATGTTCAATGTCCTCTTGAGCGTGCCGCATTGATCACTTCTGATCAGCGCTACCTGTAGACAATACGGAGGACATACACATACATCGAAGTGTATCGGGGATCAGCCGATATCTCGGCGCTTGTCATTGGCTCTGTTGCTTATCTCTCGAGATATTAGTCTGTCTCGCGGGGATTTAGTTTCTTGAGTCAGTCCTTTATCGGCTTTCTTTCTTCTTTGTTTCTACGGTTGTTGGAATCTGCATTGTTAGAATTCTACCGGAGCCATCAAGTACTCGAATTTGATACCGATATTGCCTAAAACACGGAGAAACAGAAAGAAGGAAGAAACCCATGTCTCGATCGTTTACCGGCTGTAAACGATGTAAAGCCCGACGGCAAAAATGTGACGAACAGCGACCGATCTGCGGACGATGCAAGACAGCCAACACGCAGTGTCGATATGCGATCCAATTGCAGTGGGGAGGGAGGGCGTTTTCACGATCGCGATTCGGCGCCTGTGTGGGAACAGGACCTGGAAGCATGCAGAAGCTGGGTGGGTTCATGTTCATTCTCTAGCATGTTGTACAACCATTAATCTCGATGTAGAATACTCACCCGGGGAATTTATCTACACGACAAACGCTTCGTCACCCACAACCCTCGAAAGCCTCCCCTTGACCCAACCGATCGATCCGTTCTCTTCGCTGGCATCGGATCAGAAGGCGTTGCTCCATCATTTCCTCAACGATGCCTCGCAGATCACGGCCTGCCATTCGGGCATGCAACGGGATATTTGCAAGATGCTCGTCCCCATGGCCCTCCAGACCCCGTCGTTACTCTATGCCACCATGGCACTGTCCGCGATCCATCTGCAGGCAGTACACAATCAATCGGAGAATGTCAAGTCGGCGCCTGATATCGCTCATCTGATGGCGCTTAGTCTGGAACAGTTTCGCAAGGAACTTCAGAACCCGCAGACCAAGGGGTCGGATGCCCTGCTGGCAACAGCACGAACCCTGTGTCTCGCCGAGGTTCACTCGGGGGCCATTCACCCCAACTCATGGAGGGCGCATATCGAGGGAGCCAAAGCCCTGATGGCGACCTCAGACCGTCAGGGAGGACTATCGCCTGGGCCGTCGGATGGATTCCGCAGATACCTAAACCGATGGTACCGATCGATTGTGTCTCTCACAGCCTTAACGGGGAATGGGCCCCCCTCTCACGGTGAACGACGAGACCGGCCTGGATATCATCGACCAACATGACGGTCCCGATTACCTCGACGATTACTGGGGGTTCACAGTGAATCTTGCGACGATTTTCCGCAGGATCGGGGTGGTCGCCTGGCGCCGTCGCCAAGGCAGACAAGGCGGCGGCGGCGATGCAACTGAAAACACAGATGTCATCACAATGGTCGTCCACGAAGCGGCAGCCCTCGAGTCATCGCTGCGACAGCTAATGGACCAGGGGGGGCCGGATCAGTCCCCACCTTTTACCCGGGGGTAGTGGAAGGCCTGTCAGCCTCGTGCATCCAGCAGTCGATCCTCTGCAACGAGGCGTTCCAACACAGTGCGCTCATCCAAATCCATCGTCGATTGCGAGACACGCCGGCCTCTGCGCCCGCAGTGCAGACGTCCGTCAAGCGGATTCTGGAATGCACGGCTCAGATCGGACCATCTCCGGGACTCAGTCCATGGGTGATGCTCACGACGCCGTTGTTCATTGCAGGGTGCGAAGCGCAGGACGAGGACCGGGAGACGGTGCGACGGTTGCTTTTGTCACTGCATGATACAATCCGCGTGCCGAATGTGCTGCAGTCGTTGAAATTCCTGGAACAGTATTGGGAGCAAGGGGCGGAGAGTTGGAATGAGTTTCTTGGTGAGTTACCTTACCTTTACATATGTAAGTCAAACCAAGAGGTCTTCTAACCAAGATAGATCGAATGCAATTCGATTTTATTCCATATTAGAGGAGGGGGGGTGGTTATCTTCACGATTATACGTATTTCCTGTGATCTATATTTGTATATAGTGTAGGTGTCTGGGTTGAGCTTAGCGTGTGATTATTCTGATTATTACTCCTACATTCGACCGATCTAGGTATGTTCAATATCGATCGTTTATTTTATCTCGATCGTGGCAATACTATATTCACAATATCGTAGACGAACAGAATAATATAGGACAAAAATTGTCAGGGGAATGCTTGGCGCCCCTTGCAGACAGAAAAATCGGAATGGAAAGCATAACGTGGCCGGTTCCACGGTATGGAGTATGGAATGGACTATAGAATAGATCTGGAATTTGCTCTCCGATGGACCCATTGAAAGTACTCCGTACTCCGTACTCCGTAAGGATATTTATTTTTATCTCCGGGTCAATCGTTTCACATTATACGTATTATATTTAGGTCTTCGCAGGCAATAGTGCAATGTCCGTCTTGCCACACCGATAGTTGGAAACTATACGGAGTAGGCGAGTTGGCATTTACAGTTAGTGAATTGTATTATCATGCTATAACATGGGAATAGATTCTGATTCTCTGTAGGAATACAGAGTATAATTGCTAGAAATAGAATCCTGGCCTCAAAATGCAGACCCAGGTAGATAGGACGGGTGTTCTATCTCCATCCTCCGCTTCATTGTAGAATGGTCCGGTGGTTACTTTAAGCTTCTTGTGTCGTACAGATGCCCGGTGAGTGGTCCTTTCTTTTCTTTTCTTTTCTTTATATTAATGTTATTTATTATTGAGCAGCCACGTTGGATGCCATCCCAGGGTAGTATCGAGGGGCCAATCCAGCCGACAGGAATTCTGACAGTAATTAAGGCAGAAACTCTATATTACAGACTACTATCTGAGCACGGAGAACCCCTGAATCTCCAGTGGGGCATCAGTTCGATCGGCCGCTCTAGTCAGCGCCAACAAGCCGTCCGCCTTATGATTCCGTTTTGTATTCTTGATTCTGTACTCTATTGATACCTTGTATATATTCGACTGTCAGGGGTGAATTTAAGAATATATCTGTACGCATATCTGTGTATATGTATATGTACAGTATAGGTAGAAGAAGGGAGAAATGCCAGTACATATACCGAGGTATATACCAACTACCAAAACGCACGTACAGGGCCCTACCAACGGCGGGTCCCCTCGGTCTCCGGCGCAGTACAAGGAGTTAAGTACCTGCAGCCGCCCCACCTGGCACCCGATTAGGCAGTGCACCTCTCCTTTCACTCGACCCCTTTTGGTCTCCTTTTCCTCTCTCACTTTTTTCTTTCCCCTAATCAACGTCAGTTCGTCACTGTGGCTGCTACTACGGCGGGTGCTATTGCTGCCACTGCTACTACACTACCGCCACTACGACTGCTGCCCCGTGCTCCAGTCCCTAGTCGCGCTTTGTCGCCATGAGGGTATGTCGATCTATCCATAGAACAACAATGATGTCTAATTCTCCAGTTTCCCTATCGTTTCATCGACTGATGCTTTTATTTATGGATTATTTTTTAGAACTCAGGACTGGCACTCTCCAATCAAAATTAATACACCGCAATGGCCCCCGGCTGGGCCTCTCCGCCAGCTCCTGGCCGTTCCTCGACCTCCACGATCATCACCGGCGCCTATCACCACCCGTCATCCCATCCAGGGACTCACCCCAGCCGGCCAAGTCCCCCTCCTCCCGTCTCCTCCTCTTCTACTCCTGCTTCCCCCCCCGTCTCTTCTCCTTCGACTTCCTCCCTCGTGCGTCGCAAACCGTTACCCCAGGATGCATCTCCTGTGATCCTCCCTCGCCGACCAAGGCTTTCCACCTTGTCCTCCATCACCTCCTTCCCCGGGGGCGATACGCCTGCAGATCCTCCAAACCCTACGACTACCCATTCCGTGACAGCCAACCATCTTCCTTTGTCTCCTTCGTCGACCTCATCTTTCCTAGCGTCGGTGCATGACGACCCATCCTTTGTTCCCAGGAACCTGGATAGGTATGGCCCCATAAGGCTCTTTGTTTCTTGGCCCCCTCTCCGCCTCCTCCGGCCCCAATTGACCACCTGGGCTTTTTCTCGCTTTTCTGCTACTTCGGTCATTCTTCCCGTAGACAAGACTAACCGTTTGCTTTGGTTCCTCTTCCCCAGATTTCCCCGTGGCCGTCTTTCCTCGTCACGTCTTCGAATAGATACCTCCACGACTTGGATTCATCTGGACAACGACGACAGCGACGACAACAACAATAGCGACAGGAACAACGGCATCATCAATAAGGCTGGGTATACCTCCCAATTCACGAATGGGACCCCGGTCCATAACCGTCTTGTCAGCGAACCGTTCATTCCAATCCTCCAATCGCCCCCGACACTCCACAAGCGGGCCGCAACCATGGCCCTCCATCCGCCCTCCAATCGTCCGCCACCCCTTCACATCGACGCCGGGGGTCGCAGCGTTTCGGCGGCGATAGATCCGAAACAGCCCAAGACCCCGGCGCACAAGATCAGCAACTTTTTCGGCTGGCGAGCCAACTCGCAGTCCCCCGGCGCAGAGTCATCTAGCACCGAAATCTCGGACACAGGTCGTTCACCGCTGCCCTCCCCGTTTCCGTCCTCACTCCCCAGCGCCTCCTACTCGATCAATCCGTCCACCACGATCCCCTTCGATACCTCCTCTAAGACCGGGCCCGCGCGAAACACGTCCCTCAGCAGTACGGGGGGTATGGAACTCGGATCCACCACGCTGGTGGCGGACCTCGAAAATGAACTGCGGGAGATCAGTTCCGAGTTGGCCGGATCTATCCGGCGGGAGATGGAGCTCGAGGACCTGGTCGAACGCCTCCAATCAGAGATGCCCCTCGACCTGCCCAACCGGCGCACGAGCGATTACTTCTCTGACTCCGGGTCTAGCTCTATCCGCTATGCCTACGATGGGCGGCCGGAGGACGTGGAGAAATTTCGGCGTACCGCCGAGCAAGAACGAGCCCAATTGAAGGTGGATCTGACCCAGAGATGGCAAGAAGAGCGATCCCGCCGTGCGGCTACCGAGGCCCATGTTCAAATTCTGGAATCACAAGTGCAACAGGTGAGATTTTTCTTTCTTTCTATCTTATTTCTTCTCGTTGACTGGTCAGCTCCGACGGGAACGAGTCGAATTCTCCGACTTGTCATCTCGGACTAAAGAGCTGGAGGGCGCGCTCGAGAGTGCCCGTCGAAAACTGGCGGAGGAACGCCAGATCAAAGATAATTTTGAGGACCTCCTCACGGCCATGCGAGTGGAACTCGAGCAGCTGCGAAATGAGCGGGATCAGCTACGGAACGATGTGGTCCCGTCCTTGCAACATGGCCAGGGCTCGGCCTCCAACCCCTCAGAGGTGCAACGCCTGCTCGAAGAAATCGAGGCCCTGAAGATCGAAAATGCATCGTTGGCCCAGCTGCAGGGTAGCCGATTCGCTTCGATTGCAGAGGAAGACGGCATGTCCCCTCAGCGGAACTCCGGGTTGGGACTGTCCCGCTCGAATTCGCTGGCTCGACTGCCGTCGAAGGCGAACGGGGCCAACGGATTGTCCCGGTCGAGCTCCCTGTCGCGGGCGAACTCGGTCGCCGGCCGGGAGCGTGACACACGGGAGTCGTTGGTTGAGCGGGTGGAAGGTGCGGAAGCTCAGCGCGACGCACTGCATCAGGCGCTCCGACGCCTGCTGGACCGGCAAGCCCACGACGGCCGCGAATCGGAGAAACGGATTCGGCTGTTAGAGTTGGAGCTGCTGCGGGCGCAGCAGGCAGGCTCCCCACGCCGGCGGGGCTACGAGCGAGAGGTTCGTAATCTGCGCGAGGAGGTCAACCACCTCCGGTATCGCGCCCAGGAGGCGCTGGACCAGAAGTGGCAATGCGAAAAGGGACTGGCGGGGCTCAAGATGGATCTGGACCGCGCGGAGCAGGAGACCAGTTCGCTGCGGGAGCTGCTGCAGGAGCACGACATCATGGTTCCCGACGAGCCGGGCTCGGAGCGGGGCGGATTCGCTGAGGTGATTGCCACCTCGTCGTCATTGGAGTCGGCGTACAAGCAGCTCCAGGTCGACCGGGCGCATGCGGAGGCGCAGTCGCCACGGGAAGCGCAGGGTGAACTGGCGGCATCGGTCAGCCGCACGGAGCTCCTGGCGCAGAATGTCCGGCGGCAACTGGATAGCAACCAGACACTGCGCAGCCGACTGGCGGAGGCGATCGGCAAGGGCGAGAAGGAACAGCATATCTCGGCAACGCGCATCAACGCGATGCAGGCCCGGCTCAAGGAGCTAGAGGAGACGCTGATGCTGGCGCAGCAGCAGTCGGAGGAGGAAATGGCGCGGCACGACGAGGAGATCCGGGGGCTTCAGGAGTGCCACCGGGCGCAGCTGATGCGTCCGAAGAACGGCGGCCGCAGCCCGTCCAGCCTCTCGCCGCTGCCGCCGTCGACGCCGTTTGGAGCGCGGTCACCGCGACTCGACAAGACGACGAGCGGCGAGGGGATTCCATTGCATCAGGCAGTGGGGTCGGCGGCGTTGGAACAGCGGGTGAAGGAGCTGGAGCGACTGCTGCGCGATGCGGACACGGAGATGCGAGAGGTGGTGAGTCGGATGAACCGGGCGCAGATCGAGGTGGGAGAGCTGCAGTCTGCCAGGTAGGTGTACTTGATTGCATTGATGAGTGATGAGACTAACGAAGTACTATATAGGGACGAGGCGTTGCGACAGACGCGGAAACTTCAAGGGGAGATTCAGGCGGAACGGGAGGCATTTCACGCGTTGATTGATTCTTGATTTCCAGCTTGGTGTTTTGGCGTATACCTATACCTGGTTGTTTATATATACGGACATGGAGTTTTCTATCCCTGTGGCAACCTATACAAGAGCATTCCTTATTCCTTATTCTTTGTATGCATGTATACACGTGACATCTCAGCTGACCGTATATTATTCAGATCCTATACTAGAAACACAAGGATATAATATAACTATATTAACTATATACTATTTATATTATTCACCATCAGTAAAATATACTGGATATCCATGTCTCTGATGCCCCCGGAGTTCAAACACGTCGAAACGCTGATATCCACCCACGACGTCGTGATACTGTTTCCCCTCCAGATCCGCGTAGAGGATGTGCTCTGTGGATTGAAGGAAGTGGGTATGTGTTGACGTGTCTTTCGTCCTCCATTAAAATGGTAGAGGTGAAAGAAGGTACATAACAGTTAGTTGTTCAGTCGTTCAATCATCGAGACTAGTTAAAGAATAGCCGAGCCGCAATACCCGCAATCGCCGCTCACCTTCGTCCATCCACCTCAATGCACAATTGTAGAAGATATATATAAACATAATATATATATTAAATATGCCCTCCAAAAGAAAACGATCCAGAATCGCTTGCATCCCCTGCCGTCAACGAAAACGAAAATGCACCGGCGAAGCCCCCTGTTCGACCTGCACCGACTGGGGATACGAATGTTCTTATGGATCAGACCTTAACCTCAGGTCTAATCCATCCGATCCCTCTATTCCTACTTCCAATCCCAGATCTGAGATTAAATCCGATCTCCCCTCGGATACCCGAGCAGAAGCAAACTCTGGCGCCGCCTTCGTGCGTCGCCTCGGCCTCAAAGTCGACCCCCCAAACGCCCCCAAATCCACCTTATTTGGCTGGAATATCGGCGAACGTCGTCTGCCCTCCGGTCTGGCCACTGTCTCTGCCCTACCCATCGTCGACATCCTGTCCCGCGACGAGATAACGTCCCTGGCCGCCGTCTACTTCGCCAAGGTCGATCCCTGCTATGGCTTCCTGGACGCGCACCGCTTCTACGACCGTCTGAATGCCCGCTGGCGCTCCCCCATGAGTCCCGGCGTGTATGATAGCGTGCTGGCTGGCGTCGCTGCGCTAGGAGGCCTGTTCTCCCATCGCATTGTCGACGTCACCGAGCTGCTGCTGGTGGAATGCGCCCGCTCAGTGCTGGACCTGCGCCATCATAGCGGCGCCCCGGGGCTGGATATGGTCATAGGATGGACCTTGCGTGTTGTTTATATGCGCATGACGGCGTCGCCCCATGCCACCTGGATCGCCAGTGCTACCTTAATGCATCTTGTTGAAGCCTTGGGATTGCACCGCGAGGACGAGACCCCGGAGAACGATTCGGAGACAGCATGCGAACCGGATCTGCGCCGACGACTGGTCGGCGTCGCCCGACATCTGAACCTGTGGGTATCATACGATCTGGGTCTCTCGCGCGTGGTCTTCTGGAACGACAAATGTCGACCTCCCGCGCCACGGCCAGGCGACTTCACCACGGAGCTGCTGAACCTCCTCCCCGTGTCCGCCAGCCTAGGGCCCGAGGAGACGCCGGACGACCGCGATCTGGTGTCGTCGCTGCTGCAGACGCTGGACGGCCGACACACTCAGCCGCCATCCGTCATGGCGCAGTGCAACCTGGTGCTCTGCATCCTGCGACGACTACTAGTGATGAACGCCAGTCTCTCGTCGGCGCTCAAGGACCGCGTGCTGGCGCTGTTCCGCAAGGCGCTGCAGGCGGCGCGCACCATGGTCCGCGACTGCACGCCGTGGCATCATGCGGCCAACGTGCCCTTTCAGATCGTTGGTGTGCTCTTGGATATGGACACGCGGCCGTCGTTGGCCCTGCTGCCGGAGGCGATGCAGACGCTGCAGTTGGTCGCTGCCACGTATGATACTGATACCATGCGCGAGGCTTATGGGACGGCGTGCTGGCTGCTGCGTCTGTATCAGCGACGTCGACATGACGATGTAGAATTGTTGAGTGGCCTCGTGAGCGCGCATCAACCGGAGCCGGATCCAACGGAGTCTACCTTCCATCAGGAGATGTCCTGGCTTGAGGATTTAATCACCGAGATGCCGAGTCTTCAGGGGATGAATCTCTGGGAGTTGGAGGGATTTCCCAATTTTCCTTTATAGATGCATTCCGTCTTCACATGCTCCGCAATAGCCGTTCGTCCCGACTATAAAGCATCGCCCCCCTCCATGTCAATTCCTAATCTACTCCTCCTAGCTAATCCCATCCCAATCATGTCCCTCCCCAAACTGGCTTCAATCTACCCATGGGTCTCCCCCCCATTCATCGTCGGCGCTCCTATGCGCGTCATGGCCGGCCCTGCTCTAGCCGTGGCCGTGACTCGTGCCGGGGGATTAGGATTCATTGGCCCTAGCATCAAAACGAAAGACATGGTCGCTGATCTGGAAGAAGCCACCACCCTAGTCCATGCCTCTCCCTCAATACCCTCCTTACCGTCATCGTCCCTCCCCGTAGGCGTGAGCTTTCAACTCTGGGGCGATGATCTCCAGATTGCCAGCGCCGCCATCAAGCAATTCCAACCGTGCGCCGCATGGCTATTTGCCCCGCGACACGGCCAAACAGATATCGACACCTGGACTCGACGCATCCGCGACGTGGCCCCGCGAACGCAGATCTGGGTGCAGGTCGGAACGCTGCTCGAAGTGCAGAGTCTCACGCAGAGCGTCGAACGACCGGACGTGATTGTGATCCAAGGCTCCGAAGCAGGCGGACACGGCCGTGCTACCGACGGCATGGGTCTCATGACGCTGCTGCCCGAGGTCGCGGACCTGGTCGCATCCTCGGGGATCCCGCTGTTCGCGGCGGGAGGGATCGTGGATGGACGAGGGGCCGCGGCGGCGCTTTGTCTCGGTGCTGTCGGGGTCGCGATTGGGACGCGATTCCTGGCATCTATGGAGGCGCGCATCAGCGCGGGATATCAGCAGGAGGTGGTGCGGGCGAACAATGGCGCCGTGTCGACGACAAGGACGTTGTTGTATAATCATCTGCGAGGGACATATGGCTGGCCGGAAGGTTATAGTCCGCGGACGATTATCAATCGGTCGTTTGAGGAGCATCAGAAGGGGAGACCGTTCGAGGAGCTGAAAGAGTTGCATGATCGGGCGCTTCAGGATGGAGATGCTGGTTGGGGACCGCAGGGGAGATTGGCGACTTATGCGGGAGCAGGTGTGGGATTAATCCATGAGGTGCAGGATGCGGCTGATATCGTGAGAGATATTCGAGAGGGAGTGCAGAGACTGGTCAGGTAGTTACATTTACATCTAAAATATTTACATAGTTTACATCTAGAATGAATACCAATACAATATGAATATAGATGAAGATATAGAGAGATGTTTGTCTGGTTTGTTCCGCTTGACCTCAATAGGGAAGGCAAAATGTAATTTCAAAAATTGAAATTTCATGAAATCTGGCCTCCTGAAATGAAATCAAAATCTGTGAAATTGAAATTGAAATTAAGCTAATCCAAAATAGGCAATATTAAAGGTCATGTGCTTTGTTACCAGAAGCTCCGATCCTCTGCTGTTGAGTAGGTTGTTGATAATGGTCCGCCACCCCATGAGACCATTCAGACTGACGCTTTACTCCGCTACCAGTACCACTACTTATTTCAATACCATGGATTTCGCCCGTTCTGATAGAAGCTGAAGGCCTGGGACATGTTAAAAGGGGATTTGGTACAGATTTTGTCTCAGTATGCGAATTCGAAAGCTGGGGGGACTTGAGGCTGAATTTAACACGGAATTCAGTCTTGAATTTAATGCAGAAACAAGTGCCGGGTTTGTTGCAGTTGAAGCTGAATTTAATGCAGAACTTAATACTGCAATAAGTGCTGGATTCGACGCTGGTTCTGGTGCTGGATTTGGTACTGGGTTCGGCACAGGGTCCGGTGGAATATCCTCCTCAGAGTCTGAAGTATCAAGCACCTCTAATAGATAGTCCTGCACCTGCTTACGCTGCAGTATTCTTTCTATCTCCTGATCTTCCTCCTCAAGAAGCATCTCTTGGGTAACGGTAGGTGGCGAGTCTGCACGAAATTGTCGTTTGTTAATCTGTATATAAAGTAGCTTCTCAACTCGGTGAGATTCAAGCCGATTCCGGATCTTTGTATGCTGCAGATTCATCTGTGAAAATGCTCTCTCAGCTGCAGCAGAATTAGCAACAGTATTACACAGACGGCGAGCAAAAGGAGCAAGAGTAGGAGCAAATTCTGCCTAAATTAATATAGGTAAGTATCTTGCTTAATAGCATATAGCTTTAACTTACTGCCTCAAGCCAAAAGAGAGCTGGTGTTCTTGCTTCCCAACAAGAGGAATTATAAAAAGCACCTGTTCTTTGCCGGAATGCCAGAAATTCATGCCATGCAGTAGATCTTCCATCTTCGCTTTGAAGTGGTCGTAAAGCACCTTCAATATGGCGTCGTGCGCTCTCATCAAGTTTGCCAGGAACTCTTGCTGGATCAAGATGATACGCTACCCAGTGAAGTGGCTCTAGTTGACGTAGCATTCGAGTCTGCCAACCAGTGCCATCTAGATAAGAATAAAAATCATCTTTAAAGGATGTCTGAGCAGCAAGCGTCCGCAGAGTCTCATGGAGGGTTAACCACCGCTGCGTTACCTCCATGATTGATGAATTTTGGGCCTCAGATTCCTTCTGAGCAATATGCAGAGGCTTAAGGATTTTTATTAACTCCTTTAGCTCCCACCAAAAGGCATGAGATTTAGTTGTTCTAATCACCTCTTTCCCTTTTATGGTAGAAGCAGCAGGAGTAATAAGAGCCCACTCACAAACTGCTTCCTGGCAATCATAAAGAGAAGTAAGCATGCCATATTGAGTACCCCATCGGGTAATAACTGCTGCAATTAAAGCCTTTCGATGGCCCCATTTCTCAATCTGCTTTGCTTGCAGCCTTGCATATTCAAGAGGAGATTGGTGAAAGAACACCACAACTTCAAGAGCTGATTTAAAAACCCTTTACTCGTTTTAGGGATCTTAGAAGCATTAGGATCAAGAATATCCTTCATAATCAGCTGTAGACCATGAGAGTCACAGGGAATCATAAAGGCATGCTTAAGCTCTGGTTTCTCTGACAAAATTTGCCATACTGCCTTCATAACACAGCAGGTATCCGTTGAAATGGAATTAATCCTCTTCCAGTCAACAACTTTATCAAGCTCCAAGAGAATATTATGGAGCCTTTCAAAATCCATTCACTAATTGTAGCAGCATCAAGCGTCTTATCTTCCATGTCATGTAGATGAAGAAACCATGATTTTGTGGGTGTTGTAATAGTCATAGCAATAACCCGTTGAGAACGTATATTTGTTGTCTCATCTACAGAGATATTTAGAAACTGACTTCTCTGTAGCTCCTTCCGAACTTTCCCTTGTATCTCGATATATGATTCCTCCAGTAAGTCATCAGCGATTCGATGGCGGGATGGGATTTGGTATACGGGATTTAGAGCATGAATAAGATCTTGCATCTCTTGTTGCTCGAAAAGGCTAAAGGGCCTGCCTCCTGTAAAACACACCTGAGCTAGTAAGCGATCAATACTTCTACTTGGTTTAGAGGTAGGGAAGCTTAATGGTTTCTGTCTCTTTCCAGGAGTATTCTCGGGGTCCATAAGAGCCTGCGCGCTGCTACATTTCTTCACGTGCTCGCACTGGCGTGTAGTGTTTTTCGCTCGAACTTTGAAGCACCCAAGGCATTTTACTTGCGGGACCTAGCCAAAATTAATAAAGCGTACGTGTGGACGTGGGTGTACAGTCACCTTTGTGCTGCCCCTTACTACTTCAAAGCACTTCTGAAGCTCGATCTCGGTGTAATGGATCTTGTCAGGAGAATCTTCAGCCATGCTGATGTTGATAATATTACTAGTTTAAAATCCTCCCCGTCAATATATATATATTGGTAATGGTTGCTACCAGTGACACTAGGCATTTTAGATAAGATAAAGAATTGGGCAGAATCTGGGCTGGATAGGCTCTTATTGGCTGCAATACTCTCACCGCATATAATGACTAATCAAAATAAGCCCCTTGAAATGTAATTGAAATCGATAAAAAGTTGAAATTTCAAGATTTCGTAATGAGCTCGCCGGTATTGTCATTACACCAACACTAATTCGAGATAGGGAAGGCAAAATGTAATTTCAAAAATTGAAATTTCATGAAATCTGGCCTCCTGAAATGAAATCAAAATCTGTGAAATTGAAATTGAAATTAAGCTAATCCAAAATAGGCAATATTAAAGGTCATGTGCTTTGTTACCAGAAGCTCCGATCCTCTGCTGTTGAGTAGGTTGTTGATAATGGTCCGCAATGAGACCATTCAGACTGACGCTTTACTCCGCTACGAGTACCACTACTTACAATACCATGGATTTCGCCCGTTCTGATAGAAGCTGAAGGCCTGGGACATGTTAAAAGGGGATTTGGTACAGATTTTGTCTCAGTATGCGAATTCGAAAGCTGGGGGGACTTGAGGCTGAATTTAACACGGAATTCAGTCTTGAATTTAATGCAGAAACAAGTGCCGGGTTTGTTGCAGTTGAAGCTGAATTTAATGCAGAACTTAATACTGCAATAAGTGCTGGATTCGACGCTGGTTCTGGTGCTGGATTTGGTACTGGGTTCGGCACAGGGTCCGGTGGAATATCCTCCTCAGAGTCTGAAGTATCAAGCACCTCTAATAGATAGTCCTGCACCTGCTTACGCTGCAGTATTCTTTCTATCTCCTGATCTTCCTCCTCAAGAAGCATCTCTTGGGTAACGGTAGGTGGCGAGTCTGCACGAAATTGTCGTTTGTTAATCTGTATATAAAGTAGCTTCTCAACTCGGTGAGATTCAAGCCGATTCCGGATCTTTGTATGCTGCAGATTCATCTGTGAAAATGCTCTCTCAGCTGCAGCAGAATTAGCAACAGTATTACACAGACGGCGAGCAAAAGGAGCAAGAGTAGGAGCAAATTCTGCCTAAATTAATATAGGTAAGTATCTTGCTTAATAGCATATAGCTTTAACTTACTGCCTCAAGCCAAAAGAGAGCTGGTGTTCTTGCTTCCCAACAAGAGGAATTATAAAAGCACCTGTTCTTTGCCGGAATGCCAGAAATTCATGCCATGCAGTAGATCTTCCATCTTCGCTTTGAAGTGGTCGTAAAGCACCTTCAATTGGCGTCGTGCGCTCTCATCAAGTTTGCCAGGAACTCTTGCTGGATCAAGATGATACGCTACCCAGTGAAGTGGCTCTAGTTGACGTAGCATTCGAGTCTGCCAACCAGTGCCATCTAGATAAGAATAAAAATCATCTTTAAAGGATGTCTGAGCAGCAAGCGTCCGCAGAGTCTCATGGAGGGTTAACCACCGCTGCGTTACCTCCATGATTGATGAATTTTGGGCCTCAGATTCCTTCTGAGCAATATGCAGAGGCTTAAGGATTTTTATTAACTCCTTTAGCTCCCACCAAAAGGCATGAGATTTAGTTGTTCTAATCACCTCTTTCCCTTTTATGGTAGAAGCAGCAGGAGTAATAAGAGCCCACTCACAAACTGCTTCCTGGCAATCATAAAGAGAAGTAAGCATGCCATATTGAGTACCCCATCGGGTAATAACTGCTGCAATTAAAGCCTTTCGATGGCCCCATTTCTCAATCTGCTTTGCTTGCAGCCTTGCATATTCAAGAGGAGATTGGTGAAAGAACACCACAACTTCAAGAGCTGATTTAAAACCCCTTTTACTTTAGGGATCTTAGAAGCATTAGGATCAAGAATATCCTTCATAATCAGCTGTAGACCATGAGAGTCACAGGGAATCATAAAGCATGCTTAAGCTCTGGTTTCTCTGACAAAATTTGCCATACTGCCTTCATAACACAGCAGGTATCCGTTGAAATGGAATTAATCCTCTTCCAGTCAACAACTTTATCAAGCTCCAAGAGAATATTATGGAGCCTTTCCAAAATCCATTCACTAATTGTAGCAGCATCAAGCGTCTTATCTTCCATGTCATGTAGATGAAGAAACCATGATTTTGTGGGTGTTGTAATAGTCATAGCAATAACCCGTTGAGAACGTATATTATTTGTTGTCTCATCTACAGAGATATTTAGAAACTGACTTCTCTGTAGCTCCTTCCGAACTTTCCCTTGTATCTCGATATATGATTCCTCCAGTAAGTCATCAGCGATTCGATGGCGGGATGGGATTTGGTATACGGGATTTAGAGCATGAATAAGATCTTGCATCTCTTGTTGCTCGAAAAGGCTAAAGGGCCTGCCTCCTGTAAAACACACCTGAGCTAGTAAGCGATCAATACTTCTACTTGGTTTAGAGGTAGGGAAGCTTAATGGTTTCTGTCTCTTTCCAGGAGTATTCTCGGGGTCCATAAGAGCCTGCGCGCTGCTACATTTCTTCACGTGCTCGCACTGGCGTGTAGTGTTTTTCGCTCGAACTTTGAAGCACCCAAGGCATTTTACTTGCGGGACCTAGCCAAAATTAATAAAGCGTACGTGTGGACGTGGGTGTACAGTCACCTTTGTGCTGCCCCTTACTACTTCAAAGCACTTCTGAAGCTCGATCTCGGTGTAATGGATCTTGTCAGGAGAATCTTCAGCCATGCTGATGTTGATAATATTACTAGTTTAAAATCCTCCCCGTCAATATATATATATTGGTAATGGTTGCTACCAGTGACACTAGGCATTTTAGATAAGATAAAGAATTGGGCAGAATCTGGGCTGGATAGGCTCTTATTGGCTGCAATACTCTCACCGCATATAATGACTAATCAAAATAAGCCCCTTGAAATGTAATTGAAATCGATAAAAAGTTGAAATTTCAAGATTTCGTAATGAGCTCGCCGGTATTGTCATTACACCAACACTAGACCTCAATAACAATGGAATCATCATTCTCTCTTTGCCGGGCTTTAAAGTGTCACTTCATCCTCTCTCTCTACATTGTCCCTCCTAGTTCCCACATCAGTCGATATGGACTATCTCGCAAGTAAGTCGTCCTTAATAATAATAACCATCACCCTCACCATCACCACCACCACCATAACGCTAACAACACCAATAAATTATGCGTAGGACTTGACACAATCCAAACAAACCCCACAATCCAACACCTCTCTCACCGCATAACTACACACCTCATGAACCTCCTCACCCAACTAGATCCCTACGTCAGCGCCCTCCGCACCGACTATCTCGAACCGTACGTAATCCGACCGCTCGCGACAATGCTCGCGTCATCTATGCCAGACCTGGTCTCCGTGCTGGCCCTGGCCTTTGTGCTCCTCATCTCGTTGAAGATCCTCGATTATGCGCGTCGTGTCATCATGTTTTGGGTTTCGCTTGTCTTGAGACTTATCTGGTGGGGTCTTGTGCTGGGTTTGGGGTGGTATGTTTATACGTTTGGGTGGGAGAGGACAAACAGGGATTTGGGGTGGGTTTGTGGGGTAGCTAAGGGGTTTGTAGAGGGTCTTCAGAATGGTTTCCAAGGTCAAGGCCATAGTGGGAAGAGTCAGGAGGGGAATCTGGGTGGGAAGGAAAGATATTCTTTTAGGGGATGAGGGGTGATTTTCATTCATTCATTCTTTTGTTGGTTGGTTGGTTTCTTCTTGTCTGCTATACGTTTGGTGTCTTGCATGTAGAGATTGGATTAGCGTTTATTACTTTATCTATAGTCATGAGGAACGAATACATATACTATGTTCATCAAGTCATCATCATATCGGTCTAACTGAGCTCTGCCTCAATCGGATGTGGCTCGACTCAGTGATATTATATTCACCACAGTTTTGGTTGCATGTTCGACGAGTTGATCAATCATCCTCATAATTCACCTCCTGCGCATCTTGCGGCTCTCTCGGCTCCTGTGCCTCGTGGTACTGAATAGCATCGTCAATATGGCTCAATACAGCCGCCACGCTATCCTCCTCCTGCACCTCCAGCTGCAAAAACGACACCATACTGAAATCATCAATCAACTGCGCCACCGTGCGATTCAACTGCTTGAACGAGCCGCCGCTCATCAACGCATCCTTGGACGTTGGATCTGCCATAGACCCGGACACATCGTTTCTGTTGTCGTCATCCTGCAACAACTGCACATCCACATTGGTAAACCGCTTGAGTTCCTTGCGACTCACCACATCCCGCACCTGGTCCATCTTCGTCAGGATATTTACATGCGGCATCTCAAGCATCAACATAGCCGACATAGCACTCAATGTGCCCGCAAAGAACTTCGCCTTATCGACCACGAAGGTACTCTCGAGGAGATACGCCGCACAAAGATTGATATTCAGCGGGCCCGCGCGCGACAGAAACTGCACCAGTGACGGCAGCAGCGGCACATGCGTATACAGCTCGATCTGACCCGGCATGTCAAAGATGATCAGATATTCCTCACTGAGCGGGTCAATCGCCTCCGAGATAAAATCCAGGTTCTGGAGGAGGAACTCAAAACAGTAGATGAGGCCGCCGTTCGGCCCCAGTCCTAACTCCTCCATCACATCTTCCAACGTGATCAGCTCGCGGATGTCCAGATCCGGCTCGTAGGTGAAGCTCTCCGCTGCTGGATCTAGGTTCACGTAGAAACAGCTCCGCCGCGTCGTCTGCAGATGCTGGATCATCGCACTGCAAAAGGTGGTTTTGCCGGCGCCTGCCGGGCCCATCACCAACACTCCGAATTTAGACATGACGGTTTACTTAGTACTAGGTAATGGTCGACGATGACGAGAGGTAAGACGAGGGATTTGTCAGCGCCGAGCAATCAGATCGATAATTTATTAAATAAATTCAGTAAGCGTAAGCAATACGAACACGTAACCGAAAGAATAGGCGGCACGACGCGAGGCCATGCATGCAGGTGGATGGATTCCTCATTGGATTGCCCGAATGAGGCATCCAACAGGGATCTTTTCTGCCGCATGCCACCGCCGGATCTGCGATGGCGCGATCGGCGGTACTTTTTCCCGGCCGGCGAGTTTCCCCCTCTTCTTTTCTCTTCTCTTCCCCTCCTTTACTCTCTATCAATTTCTCTCTCACTTTCTTTCTCTCTTTCTTTCTCTCTCTCCCTCTCTCCATTCCATCCATCTCTACTTCTTTCTTTCTTTCCCCCACCACCCCCCCCCCCAATTCCTTCCCCAATCCATCCTAATTCCATCACAATGGGTAGCGTCGCCAGCCAAAAGCCCGGAACTTTCCTCTTCACCTCCGAGTCGGTCGGAGAGGGTCACCCCGATAAGATTGCGTGCGTGACCTATACCGTCTGTCAGCTGAGTTTTTACTTTTGGACCTTTCTGACCTCTCACACAGTGATCAGGTCTCGGATGCCATCCTTGATGCCTGTCTTGCTGAGGATCCTCTCTCCAAGGTATGAAAAAAGTTCCTTATGTTCCCGGTTTCTGATTGGCTGCGGCACGTTTCCGCACAAAATTTCTGCTCCACAGCTTTTAACAAGATCAACAGGTCGCTTGTGAGACAGCTACCAAGACTGGTGTGTATTTCTTTTCTTTTCTGTTATTTATTATCATTTGTGAATAAAATATTTGCTAACTAAATAGGCATGATCATGGTCTTTGGTGAAATCACTACCAAGGCCAACTTGGATTACCAAAAGATCGTTCGTGGCGCCATCCAAGATATTGGCTACGATGCTTCCGAAAAAGGTTTCGACTTCAAGACTTGCAACGTCTTGGTCGCCATTGAGCAGCAGTCTCCCGATATCGCTCAGGGTCTCCACTACGACGAGGCCCTCGAGAAGCTCGGGGCTGGTGACCAGGGTATCATGTTCGGCTATGCCACTGACGAGACCCCTGAGTTGCTCCCATTGACCATCCTCTTCTCTCACAAGCTGAACAGCGCGATGACGGAGGCTCGCAAGGATGGCTCCATCCCGTGGCTCCGCCCCGACACCAAGACCCAGGTCACCATTGAATACGCCCACGACAACGGTGCCGTCAAACCCCTGCGCGTCGACACTGTGGTCATCTCCGCCCAGCACAGCGATGAAGTCTCTACTGAGGAACTCCGCACTGTCCTTAAGGAGAAGATCATCAAGAAGGTCATCCCCGCCGAGCTACTGGACGACCGTACCATCTACCACATCCAGCCCTCCGGCCGTTTCATCATCGGCGGTCCCCAGGGTGATGCCGGTCTCACCGGCCGTAAGATCATCGTCGACACCTATGGTGGCTGGGGTGCCCACGGGGGTGGTGCCTTCTCCGGCAAGGACTACTCCAAGGTCGACCGCTCGGCCGCCTACGTTGCCCGCTGGGTCGCCAAGTCCCTAGTCAATGCCGGCCTGGCTCGCCGAGCCCTGGTCCAGCTCTCCTACGCCATTGGCGTTGCCGAACCCCTTTCCGTCTTTGTCGAGACGTATGGTACCTCCACCAAGTCCTCCGACGAGCTGGTGCAGATCATCCGGAACAACTTCGACCTCCGTCCCGGTGTCATCGTCAAGGAGCTTGACCTGGCCAAGCCCATCTACTTCCAGACCGCCAAGAACGGTCACTTCACCAACCAGAGCTTCTCCTGGGAGAAGCCCAAAACCCTTAAGTTCTAAGCGTGTCCATATCTCTGTGGCCGCAGCGAACCTGTTCCCTTGTGACATCTTTTTATCTTTACGAATGTGATGATTTTGCTTTGTTTTCAACAACTCAAAGCATGAGCATAGACATGTGAAAAGAAAAGCTTCTTGTTCGGCTGTTTATTTAATATTTGCATGGTCGCCTGCGGGAGACGGGTTCGGCGAGGATAAATTCAACATGATACCACTTTCATCTCTTGGGAGGAAGTTTCGGCGTTTATAATTTTTTTTGGGGGGGGAGCGATGGTCTTCAACACATAGCCTCAGTGACACCTACTGGGCCGAATATCTATCTTAGCGGTCCACCATAAGTTCCGGATGCTGGTCGCAAGCTGAGCTTGGGATGAGCGTCCGCGAGGCTCTTCGTGGTTGAGTCTTGGACTCTACAACCATGGGTGTGCTAATCTAAACATTAGCACTGATAGAATAATGAACATAAGATTTGATATGACAATACAAATGAGTAGCTGTAGATATGAAATCCTGTAATTATGCCTTGTTGTGATATCTAGGAGCCTGCTTGATCTGTGGTCTTGGTGGACCGTAGTGATCATTCGAGACGCGTGACGCCAAGACCTGGAGCGCGTCCTCATCCATCTCCATCTCTTGTCCGCGGAGCCTATATCTCTCACCACTACACCTCCTTCAGTTCATGATGTATGATTAATCTACCTTCATGGCCTCTCATGGACCCCCCCTCCTCGAATCTACCACCACTGGGACCCAATCCCACGATACCGCCCGCCCACTCCACAAAAAGCGCAAAACACGCCATACAGCCGTGGACTGGGCCAACCAGACCATTAACATCCAGGTGGGTTAGGTTCGACACAACCACAGGGATATACACCTGTTTATTTATTTACTAAGTCTACTGGGTTTACTTGATAATTGATTAATTCGCACACTTGAGCAGGCCCACGCCGCATCTTTATCGGATGATCCATTCGTTCTAGAACCCATCGCGGTGGTTCCGCGTTCCCGACTACCGCTCTCGTGGATTGAGCCGTGTTCGACGCTGTCTCAGATCCAGCATGGGAGCCTATTTGTTGCTGACATCCCGGTACTAGAAGCTGAGTCGTCGAAAAGAGAACCGTCCGTGTTGGCGGTGCGGTTGATCGGTGATGGTGGACTGTATGTGGTTGAGAGAGTCAAGGCAGGGATATATGCTCTGTCGAAGCTGGTGAGGGGTATTGAGGATGGTGATATATTTGTCGTGTTGAAAGGATGGAGTCCATTGGAGACTTCACTACGATCAGTGCCTGCAACAGCAGGAGGAGACTGGTGGGAGATAGCTCGTATTGATGATCCCGGGATGGAGTCGGAGGTATCTGCTAAACGGACCAGGTTTGAGGTTTCGGTTGTGTTTGGAGTAAGTAGTGTCGTTGAGGATGTCTGTATGAAAGGTGTCTCGCCTATGGATTCGTCAGAAAGCAGGGCGCAGTCGCTGGCGCCTCGTCTGCCTCTGGAAAGAAGCGTAAGCTCGGACGCCCGGGTGTCTACGTCTGCACGGATGCAGCAGTTGAATGGCGTGTTGGTTTCGGAGGGTGTGGGCGATGGTTTGTCATTGCAGTCGCCGCAGGAGCTTCTGGATAATTTGAGAGAGCAGTACCTGCAGGCTCTCTATATATCCAAGGTATGGTTCACGCTACTACAGTACTATTTCCTGGCTATACTGACATCTCAAGACTTCGCTGGCGTATTTCGCTAAAGGACCTTTGACTCGCTACCGGGTCGCGTTCAAATCGTCCAACTCTGAGCCTGCGAAGACCAACGATCTCATTGATTTCTACCGGGAGACTATCTTGACTGCGAAGAAAATGGATCTGAAGTACCGTGAGACGCTACCGGCTGCGATTCAAGATGCTATAATTTGCGTCTCCGACGAGGAGCCGTGCAAGGCGAAGAAGTCCAAAAATAGGAAAAAGAAGTTGGGAAGGAATGGGCTCTACCCTGAGGAAGATCGGTTCGTCCGACGATGGTGGAAGGACCGTTCCCTGGCTGATCTGGGTACATCGGAGGAAACGTTCCGAGAGGTAGAGATGAAAAAACACATTGCCGATTTACGACTGCGGGAGACGCAGCTTCAGATCCTTCTTATCTTGGAGACGTTGGCTCTGGAAGCTGCTGGGGAGGCAAAGCCGGACAAAGATAATAGTGAACTGTCGCATAAAACCCAGAAGAAGACGAAGAAATTACAGGAGCTCAAGGTCATGCTCGAGCTTCATCTCGATCGCCTATGCATTTGGCATGCCGTCAGCTTTGAGGATACGAGTGTTGAGGCAGCCAAGGCGAGCGAGATGTCGGGGAAGAAGGTCGAGAGTGATGCCCTTCGTGATTTCTGTACGGAACTGATCATTCCCTTCTATGCCTCTCGTCTACCGGATAAATGCAAGTCGATCACGCGGAAACTCGGTGTTTCGAGTGCAGCCTCGTTTTCTTCGAAGCAATCACAAGCCAAGAAGGTGCCGCCGCCCGGGGAGCCTGGAGCAGCTGATGAACGGCAAGCTGTGCAGAAGCGTCCCCGTCGCGCGTTCCAGCGTGTGTTGACAGACGAACAATCCACATCTCAAAATCGTCCGCCGTCGTTGAGTCGCTCCAGCACCACCCTCTCCCATCCCGAGGCCAGACGAGATTCGATCGATCCTCTCCTGCCCACGCTGAGCGCCAGTGTACGAGGGGGAATACAGAAGGCGAAACGCGCGGAGAATCGAGAGGTCGACCTGATCGCCGTGTCGCGACAGCATGAGACCAAATTAAAAAAAGTGCAAATGCTCACAGACCAGAAGAAAGAGCTTGATGCCGCAATCAATGCTCTGCGGAAACCCAATCGAGAACTGGTAGCCAAGGACATTGCAGAAGATGCGGACAAGAGACGCGGCAGTGCCAGGAAATCCAAGAATCCGGTGCGCAATCCCCTAGGACAGGGTGTGCAGGTCGCAGCCACGCCCAGGGGAGGTCGAAGGAAGGACACAGTTATTGGTCTACCTCCCCTTCCGCGGCGCTTTACACAATCCTCAGCCCAACGCAAAGGCCAGGCACTGTTTAGTGACGAATCCCCCAAGATGTCTTCTAGTATCCGCCCCAATTCCTTCTCGGGGACACCTAGTACCAAGGACACGGGCGTGATTCAGGAAACGCCTTCTCGACGTCCCGCCCAGGGAATCGGCTCATACGACGACGCAGTAGCAAGCGTAAGCGAGTCCCCCAGTCTATCAAAGAACCAGTTCCGCGTACCTCCACAACCGAACCCTCGCTCGACTGAGATGTTGGCTCCATCCACGCCGGTCTCATCTCGACACGTCGACGCCTTCCATCGACCAGACTTCCCAGTAGGATCCAAATCATCAATAGTCACGGAAACACCACCGCCAAAACCTTCCGGCACCGTGAAAACCACACCATCTACAAAGATCTTAAGCACACCCGTGAAAGGATCCTCCGCTCAGAGGGGTACTATTCCAGTGACTCCAGAGAAATCCATATATGAGCAATTAGGCTGGGACGACGATGATCTGGTATTGTAGTGGTATATAATAAATTTGAATTAGCGGGTGTGTGACTTGTGATGTTCAAGTTAGCGTTTACAATTACGGAGTACTCCGTATTATTGATAGAATATTTTTCTTGGCATCTTAAAAATAAGAATACCTATATTAGGACAGTAGGAATAGGAATAGGAATAACGAGTAAATAATGGCACAGTTTCGGGGTATACTCTGGAGTTCAAAATAAAACAGCCGAGGTCAAAGAGTAAGAATGAGTCAGACCCCACATATTACGGCTATGAACAAACAAAACGTAAAAACAATATGTTAGTAATCTGCTTCTATTTATAGTTATTTTTTAAGGTATTGTTGATGTGTTCATTCTACCCGTATGGATATTAATAGTATAGCATGCATGGAGTATGTATGCAGTTATGGAGTACTACTGACTGATAGGGAGCCCTTAGAATTAATCATCAGGTACAATGCATATTCATTATATCCTTGTTATTATCATATCTAGTGTACAGCATACTTATAAACCCAGTACAATTGAACGAAATGTAAAAGGTTAAAAGAATAGAAAGATAAAGATAATATATACACAATGAATTTCAACACCAATCAATTAATCAATCCTGTATTAAACGAAACACCAATCAAACCATCCCCCTGTGACAGATAGATAGATAGATATAAGGAAGGGAATTCGTCTCTCGTAGCGTCGTCAGTATTATATATAGTGCCTATGTCCTGTTTGCTTTTCTCTTTTATTGGCCCTCTTGATTGTTGTGTTTTGGCAGGTATTGTGTTACCCCGCAATGCGAACAGGTATACATTGTCCATGAGCGGATGGCCAGAAGTGGGATCGTTGGACTGTCTTTTCTATACAGGTGCGGCCTTTTTCGAGTAAACCTTCGGATTCTTTTTCCTTTTCTGCCTCGGATTCGGGGTCTGTGTCTGTTTCTGTTTCTGTTTCTGTCTCTGTTTCTTTTTCCGAGTCTTTTTCTGTCTCAGTCTCGGTTTCGGTCCCAGTCTCAGTATCTGCCTCGGTCTCGGCCTCGGTCTCGCTACCCGCCTGAGAATGCATCTGCGAGTCCGATTTCGTCTGCATCTGCGTCTTCGAATCCAACTCCTCTCCCTCTTCATCCGTCTTCTCCGGCGGAGCCGGCGGCGTCGTAGTGGTCACTTCATCCAACAGATCCGCAGACCCCGGCGCCGACGGAGTCGTAGTAGAAGCCTGTTCAAACGAGACCTGGAAGCGAGCATGGGCCTTCTTCTCCTCTTCGTCCGGACCGTCTTCCTCGTCGGAGTCGTCCTCCATTTCCACCGAGTTGATGCGCGTGGTCATGTCGCGTTGCGCCCACTCCATGGACAGACAATGCAGTCGGAAATGGCCCAGACAGCGTCGGATATCTGGGTCCGGGGCCGTAGCTTCCCGGGCGAGTTTCTGCTTCGATAGCGTGCTGAGTTTATAGGGGAGGGAGGTTTTATCGGCCAGAGGGGGGAGACGTTTGTTTATTGTTGTGGAATTGGTATTGGCGTTGGTGATAGAGGGGGGGGACTTGGTGGTGGTGAGGGTTGTTGTGACAGCCATTTTCTCTTTTTCACTCTTTTTTTTATTTTTAATTTTTTGCCTCGGTTGTGGTTGTGGACAGCCTAGAAATACAAGGACGGTCGATTTGAGGACTCAAATATAAGTCATTGAGATCAATTTTATAAAGTGAAGAATCCGGGGATGGGACAAAGGAACCTTAAGAGTAGAGGGAAGAAAGAAGAAGGAATAGTCAGACTCAGGAGGAAGAGGAGAAGTGGGAGAAAAAACGAGTACAGTCACGATGCGAGTCCAGACCAGACCCAAAGGAACACCGGCACACCCGAAACAAGTAATCCGACCATGTGTCCGTCTGATCTGGCAGAGTCTGCATTGGGAGATCCCAGCGTTCTAGACCGGCACCAGCACTCCACTCTCTCTCTCTTTGGGGATTCTTTCAAGAGCGAGAACGGTAACATATACGGAGTAACTAGGTAGCATCTGCGATGATAATTTGGAGGAGTTATCAATACGGAAGATACCTCTTTTTTCCAGGATCTTTTTGCTCCCCTTTAGCTATTCCCATACCCCGTGGCCTGGGAGAAAATAGAAAGGAAAACGGGCAATGCAGACGTGGCGGCCCCACTGAAAAATAGAATCGAGCAGCTGACCTCGTTCCAGTGGGTCCGAGTCCGTCGCTAATCCATGGAATGTTCCATCTCGTTGTTCTCTGTGCGTTGAAATGGTCTGACCTTGGTATCAAGACTCTCATATTTGATCATCTACAATACACAATATGGAGTATTGTCCGGCTTCTTCATTTCTTCTTTGATTTTTTTTTTTTTTTTTTTTTTTAAAAAAAAAATTTGGTCTCAATCCCACATTATACACAGAGTATCTTGGAAAACCCTAACTAGAACTTAGGCAAGGCACTCCGTAGTCGGACCACCTCCTATTGGCCAACTTTTGCGGGGTTAACGAATCTAGATTAGCCCATTCTCCACAATTGCGCTAGCAATCGTCTAACCCTGATAAGGATCACTCTACCTTACTAGGACTCTTATTAATACCCTGTCATGACTGACTACTGAGAAGCCTACCTTGGTACGGTCGTTCGCCATCACGACGGAGTGATAATTGCAAATGATCGATGATGCTGACTGCCACATGTATCAATATCGTCAGGTGCAGATCCAGCATCACAATATGTAATGGTGATGTAATGCCGACCAGCAAGTCATGACCTCATCTGTTTCATTCGGCCGAGTCGCATGCTCCGTGCTCAGTGACTTGCCACTGGCTCCTAGTTTCCCCGGGTTATTAACTGAACAATGCAATAAGGGTTCTTATTGTCATTGATGGAACCACATCTTCAGTCCTTCCCCAGGTCGGAGCTGGCCGAGATCATTGTCTGGAGTTCAATTCCGAGGCTATGACCCTAACATATGTATCTCGATCAAACAAAAGAATATGACGAAATAGACTGGTGACGGCCAACCCACAGTTGGTTCATTCTTGGTCACGTTCAAACCTGTCTGTCTCAAATCGCATCTCTGCTCGTTGCATGTTGTGGGTGATCTCACGAACGGTAGTACTCATGCTCTGTTTAATGGTTAACATATCTTTAATCATGGGTTAAACTAAATATGGGCTTTAGCATGCCAGTGCTCTAGGTCCTCCCAACCTTGGTGAATATACCATTGGATCACAGCAATCGGCCACCGGAACCGTTGGGTGGAGGATATGTACACCCATCTCCAGGTTATATTATCACTACCTCAGGCACTGCCTATGCCACACTCCGCGTGGGCAACCTTGAAACAGTTTCGCGTCGTTTGATGCCCAACGCACCCATCTACAGTGTGCATCTGGCGAACGAAATCCTAGATCCATACATTCCCCAGCCAATGTCCAAAGCTACGGCGAACTGAGCACGCACCCCTCTTGGGATCTCTGCAGTACCAAGAGCTGCATCCAGTGATGAGGCAGAGATCCGATCTCACATACGTCCGATAATGCACAAGAAAAGCGATAGCCATAGCCATGCTGGTAATAATCCAGGCCAGTCTCGCAAGTGCCATGGGGCAAGAACCTTCGATACTGGTCGCGATCCAGCTGGCTTCACTTCTCCACACAATATGGTCGTACACAAGTTGAACGACAGACGGAGAGGTGTTGCTGTTGTCTCGGGTAATTGCATGGGGCGGGAATGAGATATTCGAGTCACTGGAAATTCCATCAGAGCACGAGAAGGGTCACCGGATGTAGGAAGATCCAGCCAGTCTACCCGTATCAAGTTAGCAGCTCGATGCAGGGTCGTGCGGACAAAGCCTGCCAGTAAAAAACTATGGGATATCCATAATTAATCGCAGCCGAAGCAGATCGACGCTACTTTCTTTATCTATCGTGGGTATGAAATGTATGGAGCAACTCTATTCTTGGATCTTCCTAGTAGGTAGCTGTCGGCGAGTCAGTTTTGCCATGGTCAGCTCATATCAGCACAGGCAATGTGGTATTCTTAGGTCGGACAGGCGATACCTTGAAGGACCAATAGCCGGTATCAACCATGAGTCACGGTAGATCAAGCCCGTCGGGGCTAGACTAGACTGTTTCTCCGTGTCTGTGTCTAATTATTGCTCTGCTGATGACTTGCATGCTCCTCTCTAGTCGCTTGGCATCATGGCTGTCTCCCAAGCCAACCCAATCAGACCATCATCCATCCTCATCGCCTCCTCCGATAAGCATGGGATTGTTACGCTGCACTGGAAGTGCAGAAAAGCTTGAACCACATTGAGGCCGGTGAGAGAGGAAAGGAGGAGAAGAGGTGTGGCGGAGGGGAAACGGGCAGAAAGAGCGCGCTTTGGTTCCGAATGGGATGTTTGGAGATTGGTGGTGTCACTGCATCACGCAGCCACGAATGGGAGGACGTGGAGTCCACGAACAGAGCGTTGATGTGCAGCAGGCGTGTTCTTACCTGGTGTTGTGCAACGGAGGCCTATCTGTCTGTTCCGTGTGGATACAGTAGCTGGCATACTTCAGCTACTCTCGTAGGAGACGTAAGGACGCACGGCCCTTGGGATCGCCGCTAGTTCCCGCTCAAGTGACCTCGTCTGAAAAAGTCAATGGCGGTCATCTGCCCCCGGAGGAATGCATTACGATTATTGTAGGTTAGAATGGTTATAATTATTATCCTCATCTCTCTTCTCGTCCAATAATGAAGCATCTTCCCTAATCCGGTCCAACGCTGGTGGTGATCTCCTCCGGAGAAAGAAGGATGCTAAATCCTAAATTTTCAGAATCTCATCGCGACGTGCTCGATAGAAGTAACCGTCGTGATGGGGCATACCGGGCAACGTTCGGTACAATTTCCGATTGTTTCTGATGGTCTTGTCCGTTCAGCTTATTCGATTCCTTCGTCGGGTACCTGGTCCAAGTCCCGCTGGACGAATAGAGGAATAGATAAACTTCCTTGGGGAGGAGAATTTAAATGCAATATCATGGATATCGACAACATTAGGAAACGATGTCCAGTTACACAAAGGTCAAATAAACTCATTGACATCGACGCCGGGGGGGGATAACCCCCCCTGATTCTGCGATCAGTCTGATGCGGCTATGTTGCATCTTGGAAGACGCGGCTTAGGTTGACTCCTCCAGAGATCATTTACTTTACGTACCTTACCTTTCCAACTAGGGGCGATCATCATCGCCACCGTTCTCGATCCAATGGAAAAACATCCCGGTCGTGACAATACTGTTACAGCTTTTTCTTCGCTGCCTGATGGATCAATCAGAAGCCAGGAGAAGCGCCTGTCTTGTGATTGGTCCTGAAGGGGAAAGGCGCGATAGTGATGGAATGGAAAGCGTAAATAGAATCGCCGTAGAAAGGGACCTTCGACGGAGTAAGTATGTACTTGGTAGTCCAACATCAGGAAAGACGGAATCAAGGAGAATGATCAATAGAAGCTCCACGGGATAGATAACTGATCATCCCAAGTATGACCGTACATAGGTAGAAATTCATTCATCTTGACAGAGAATTATCATCCTCTTGAACAGACTTTCGAAAGGTGGTATTTACTTCTAGCCCTTATCATATCACAATCCCTCCTCCCCCCACCATACCATCACTTCCCTTTTCCTTCCCCCACGGTGAGACTTGACTCGGAACGTTGAGAATCTCCCGACACATGACGGCTGATTGTCATCCTTCCCTACTAGCAGTATCGATTTGTCGTGGTAACTACTAGGTAGCCAAGAGGTAGTCTATGTACCGAGTAAGTCCCCTCAGACCAATAAGTTCTATATCTGCTGATGATTACACAGTTGGTCACCAACAACGATCGGCTAATCATCGAGTCCCTAACCAAGCAGCTCTCAAACAACTGAAACGGACTATCAATCAGCCCTTGGAAACTCCCGTCCAACCTCAAGATCGCATTACCGCCTGTCTTCCAGCGACTTTGCTGCTTATTACCGGGAAGAGGATCACATCACGGTCAGCAGAAGAACCCGCCAGAACGATTATTGGTCTGCGGGTCCTTTCGTCAGGCCATTTTGCCTTGTTTGGCTTTGGCACTATTCATGTACTAGTACTCCCCCCGTACATACAAGCCACATCTGCCCTGTCCACTCGAATCTCAGCCTCGTGCACGACAGCGCCGCACAAGCAAACAAAGGGAAGAAAGATCAGAAAGAAGGGAATAAGGTAGGGGGAAACAATTATCACACTGGAAGAAGAAATAGAAAAAGAAAAACAAAACAATAAACATAAAACTCTATTCCCTACGATTCCAAAACGGTACGAGTCACACATATCGGGGCCGCGGCTCTGTCCGTCCTGCCATCCAAGGATTGCCCCGCGGTGGTTCGGATCTCAGTCTATTTTATCTTTGCTTTTTTTCCCTGGAGGTCTCATTGAGATTCTGCCTTGTTTTTTGATCTTGTTTTTTTTTAAAAAAAAAAAAAAAAAATTCCTGCTGTGGATGGTTGCCTATTACCTATTTTTTTTTTCTTTTTTGGAAATCTCCATGCATAGCCCATCGGGTTAACCCTTCCGTTACTGCCTTAAGGCTGATCCACACAATCATAGTGGAGGAACCCCATTGTTGATCAGTTTACTACGATTGCCTATGACCGCAGCAGGATTTGGATTGCCGCCATTATCATCAACAATCTCCTTCGTCAGCTTACGGAATAATACTGGACTTTCTGTCGATCGGTGCTATCTCCACGCCCGATTTGTTTCTAACCTACCTGGTACCTTGTCACCGTCATCTGGAACCTTGCCATATCGGCGAAACAGGAAAGCAGGCCTCTGACTGGACTGCGCCAGCATCCGACAAGGTTAGTTCTCCGTGCATACGCCCGCGCTACCCGACCTCATCCGTATGCTCAAGTGGACGGGATTCGATTAGAATCTGGGAGTGCAATGCATCTCGTCTTGGATTAGGTAATTCCCAGTAAGTTCGAACCACGCTATTTTTATTTTTATTTTTTATTTTCTTTCGCTCACTTTTTTCTTGTTTTGTTTTCTGCCTTTTTTTTTCCTTCCCCTTTTTATTCCAAATATTCTCAGGAGAATCTTCTCATGATATACCATATGTTTTTCTTATGATATTATTGTATTTATTGTTCCCTGGACGATCCCATGCGGATGTATCGTGAGTGGCAGCCAATAAAATCCCCTGTGGCGCCGCCTCCCGCCCTGTGCAAGTGATCCGTCCTATCCCACCCCTCTTTGTCTCCCTCATTCCTTCCTTCCATTCATTCATTCCTTTCCTTTCTCTTCCCTCCTTCTCCTCCTCTTCCCCCCCCCCTTCCTTCCTCCTCAGTAACCTTCGTCCCCACTCCACACCTTGTCCCCCCCTCCTTTCGCTCTAATCCAATAATCCCTCTTCGACTGAACAGGACTGGGCTATCTAACGACTCACATACATCCATTTCCCTCCTGTACACACAGACTCTCTGTCCGACACACACGACAGTCACACACAACCCCAGTCGCCTGTCCCCACTGATCGGTTCCATCAGCGGCACGCTGTGAATCATCTTCAGTGTTATCTCCCCCCCTCTCTTTTCTGTTACGCTGCCGATTGCTGGGTGCTTTCTGCAATCCAGGGTTACCTTGGGAATCAAATAGGCAGCCCACCATTCTCCTGCCTAGTGCCTAGTGCCTTGGTGCCTAGCAGGTACCGCCTCCTGTGGCGGTGCTTTCCCTTTCTCTTTTTTTTTCTTTTCTCAGCCACAGTCCTCTTTAATTTTTTGCCCTTCCTTTCTGTTTCCTTCTCACCGCCTGCCCTTCTTTCACCCTGTCGAAGCTGCGACAAAGCGATTTGCTCCAACTCTCGCCCGCTGATCCGCTTCCTGCCACCTACCAGTCTAAACCACGACCTTCCCCCCTCTGCTTTCTCTGACTGCATGCGTGTCGTGGTCTGCGTTTGACTTGTCCCGAGGATCAGTGGCCTCGTTGTTGTTCCTTCTCGTGTCGCTGCAGTAGCCACCCCCCAGCTGCCATCCCTTCCCGTTTTGGCGCCCGGCCTCCTCTGGCGTTCTCTCTGACGCGCCGCGGTCTGGCGACGGCTTCTTTAGCCTCTTTCCGTCCCTCCTTGGCCCGCCATGTATGGCACCTCCCACTCCTCCGTTTCCGCCCCGATGAATGGGATCGGGGGGGATCTCGTTGATGGATCGGGGACTATCAATCCCGCTGCGTTGAACAATACTGGTATGTAGTTCCCTCCCTTACCCTTCCGCCCACATGCCTTTCGAAGGCCCTGTTCTTTTTCTTTTTCTTTTTTTCATCGCTTCCTTGCTTTCTTCCCCCAATCCCTTCTCAACACTTCACAAACGTCGGTTGCGATGCACTTCGCTTCGCCACATATGGAGGTCTTTGCGGTTCTCGATTCCTCTGTCTGGCCATCGCGACAACCTCCAAACTGACAGCCTTCTGCTAGTCGCTGTTGTTCTTCCTACCCCGTCTTTTGGAGCAACAAATTTAACCCCCGCGCCTCGTGGCGTGAAACGGAGCCGGACTCCGGACCAGCGCGGGATTACGCGCACAGATGGGGACCACGACGACGGTATGTGCGCGCCCCGAGTCTTCTTGCGGTCCGTTCTGTTCATGGCCGTGGGTGACTCGGGGGCCGCTTCGTCTCATTTGACCTGTTCTGCTGTTTGCTTGACTGTTTATGACGTATACACACTCCACTTCTCTCACGAATTTGATGGCTAACGGACGGTCTGTTCGACTGGATGGATATAGGCGATGACCACGGTCGTCGGAAACGCGGACGTCCCCCCAAGACGCCGCGCCCATCAACCACAACCACAAGTGACCAACACGGGGCTGCTCATGTACAAACTCCTCGAATGCAAAACCAGCCACTGCCTCCGCACGCCAGCGTGAACGCGTCACCTCAACAGGCTTCCCCTACCGACAAAACCACTCCCACCAAGACCACCCTCGTCAAGGCACTCCCGACCGTGCGAGATCATACTACAGACCAACTAAACGAGGCTGGCGATGAGTACATACCAAAGGAATTCGACGAGGCCGGGGAGAAAAAGGTGGATGCCATGGGTTACCCCCAGGGAGGTCGGGAATACAAGTGTCGCACATTTCGCGTGGCTCTACGTGGAAGCAAGCTCTTCATGCTGGCTACCGAATGTGCGCGGGTTCTAGGATATCGTGACTCGTACCTTTTGTTCAACAAGAATCGTTCTCTGCACAAGATCATTGCTACTCAGATCGAAAAGGATGATCTGATCCAGCAGGACATCCTTCCCTACTCGTATCGATCACGCCAGATCGCCATCGTGACGGCGAAGTCCATGTTTCGGCAGTTCGGCAGCAGAGTCATTGTGAACGGACGACGGGTGCGTGATGACTACTGGGAAAGCAAAGCCCGCAAGCAAGGCTTTACCGAGGAGGACCTAGCCGGGGAAAAGCGACCTGGTGGTTCGAAGGCGCGTGATGCGGCAGCTGCCGAAGCGGCGAGTACGGCCAACCTACTACCTGCCCTGGCCCATGGCGATGTCATCTATAGCAACGCGCTTGAAACTATACCGAACAACTTGGCTCTGGGGGCTCCATCGTCCATGTCCCTGGCACCGCTCCCGATGATCCATATGGCCACCACGTCGGATGATCCCCGATTAAGGGAGTATAATAACACACCCCGATCCCGCCAGGAGCTGACCGGTCAACCGTATCAAGACCGGTCTCAACCCAGCTCCGCTGCGGAGATCCTGAATCAGGCGTCGCAAACGGCCGACTTCAACAAGCTCCTGAGCTCGCAGCGCAACTATCGCCGCAAGGGCTTGGAGGATTTCTACGCTACGCAGCGCGACAACTCGCAGTCTGCGGCCCAAACACAACCTGGGCAGCTCGACTCCACGTCGGCGGTATCTCAACCCCTGCAGTCACCTCAAATATCATCGAGCGGGGTCATGAACTCGACCCAGCCGCAGCAGCCTATGCTCTCGCATCAGGCTCCCATGATGGCTAGCCAACAGGGATTCCAACCGCCCGCAGTCCATCATCAACAAGCCGTCGGGCAGTCTCCCATCCGGGCTATGCCACCGGTCCGGCCTGAACTGATGCATCAACGATCCAATCCTGCACTGTCAGCCGGAACACCCCAACCGCAAGGCCCCTATGGATTTTCCCCCCAACCGCAGCAGATGTGGGGTCAGCCGCCGCCACAGCCACAGCCGTCGCCGCTACCTGCCAGCGGACCACAGGGCGTAGCAATGCCGCAGTATCCCCCGCAATTACAAGCACAGCAGCAACAGTCTCCTTCTCCTCTCGCTCATCCTCTGCCGCAGCAGCAGCATCCCTCTCAGTCTCCCCGCAATCAGCCTCGTCCGTCCATGCACCAGATGCCGCAAAATTTCCCAATACATCACCAACAAACGCCTCAGCAACAGCCTATGGCGTCGATGGGATTCCCGGGCAACACGGCCGCACCCTATTCCTCAATGACTGCCGCACGAGGCATGTTCCCATCGACACAAGGCCCCGGAGGCCAACCCTTTATGGCCGGCACTCCCCAGCAGCCCGGAATGGCCATGGGGATGAACGCCAGTGGGGCCATCCCTGGTTGGTCGCCCACGCCTGGCGCTCCCATGCAACCGGGACACCCGCAGCCCGGTCAGTCTGGGGCCCCTCTTGGATGGTCGGGCTACTGAAATCGGGTAATGGCTCATACAAATATTATAGCCGGCGTTGTCCAGAACTTGGCGTTCAGGGGTCTATGGGACGTCGGGACTGCAAACACTGGATCTATGATGGATACTATAGGGATCTATTACTCATTTTTGCCCTTGAGACCCGTTATCAGTTCCCACATCCCACCCTCCATCAATATCCCATATCATGCCGTTTTTCATTCCTGCTCACATTATCCTTGACGAAGGATAATAGCTAATGATAATTTGCGCATTCTCGTTTCTATACCCTCCGTTATACCCGATGATGTTGTGATTATTTTTGTGGGATTTTTGCGCTATTTTTTTTCGCGTTTGCGAGTGTCTTGAGGGTAAATGAGACTGCCAAGGGACACGTTATGAGTATGAAAATTGCACATGTCTCCCATATCAACGATAGAAGGCCGGTCACAGTGGTGATGTGTTCTTGATTCTGCTTGTTTTGGGCAAGGCGTCAGCCGGTTCTCTTTCTCTTCACGTGTTTTAGCATGAGGATTTTTTCTTTTCTGTTTTTTTTTCTAAGCTGCACTCTACTCTGTCTATGCGCGCACCTTCTCTGCTATTTAATAGCTTGTCATGGTATCACTGCCAATTATGTTTACGGCATATCATTCAAGTTGTCATTTGAACACTGGTTGGAACATACCCCTGAACAGCATCTGGTTGTATTTATGTATGTATCTCAGTGTTTCCAGGAGGGTCGATGTGTATGACCTCCACATGTTACTTTACTCGTTGAACCCTACCATCTGCGATTCCTAGAAATATTGTAAGCCCTGATATCCAGGGCCTTTGCCACTAGACCCATGTAATGGGACAGCAGGCTACACCTTGTGTAACTGTCACCAGTGGTCAAGTCACAGGGATAACAGGTAGCACCGGACGGACACGCACAACGAGATCGAGGTAACGGGGCTCCTTGCAATACTGACCGTCCACGGCTCTGAAGGAGTCGTAGATAGGTGATCGTCTTTTATCTCAGCCCTTACCAAGACCGGTATACATGTGTCGAAACAGCAAAGTCACGATGTCATAGAACAAGCTGTATAGACCCAATTTCTCCGAATGAGACGTTAATACAGACGAAAATTAAGAAGGATATTCCATGTCAACAGAGAAAATCTCCTCAAACCTCTCCATTTCGTAAATCCAGCGCCTCGGACGATTCAGCAGTGATATGTTCCATATCATCAATCTCCGTTATCACGTCAGCAATGCACTAATCAGGAAATACGTTGGATATATGAGATAAAAAAGTACAGGTCTGAATTTTGACATTGACATGTTGATATTGATATTGATATACCCACAGAATCACTCCTAAATCAGAGGTTAGAAGCGACACTGTGCATTGTAGAGAGAGATAATTCTCTGAATGTGAAGTTCGCTATCTGTTTGCGCGTTAGTAGTCTTGAAGTAAGTAGATATCTGGCGTGTGGGCTGGATTCGTGTTGATCTATCTGGGTTTTTCAGATACCATATTCCTATCTGAAGGATTGTTTATGTTATGATTTTGTTGAGTAGGGTGGATGGGTGGACCTAAGATAGATTGTTTTTTTCTGTATGAGGGATTAGTAGCAGATAGTTATTAACTAACTAAAGTTACTGTTTATATTTATGCTTAGTAAGTGAGCATTTAGATAACTTCAAGGTGGGAGGAGGAAAGAGAGAGAGAATGGGAAGTAGAAAGTGTGAGACGAATATTCCATCCAAATCAACCATATTATTCATCAGCAACGTTATGCCAGAAGACATGGTCGAGCTAGATTGTCCTGGGAATCCCAGTTCAAATTGATATGGAGAATTAATCGATAAGAATAGATGTCGTCATTTGACGTACGGGGTTGTAAGTGGCGTTGCGTCCATTCTAGAGGGAGAAAGGTACTCAGACTTAGAATACACTATAACAATCCACACATTGATCAGATTATTTAACTTAAGACATGGGGTGCAAGCATCGCCCATCCCAGATTATATGTATTACATAGTAGATAGTGAATACGTAACAAGACCCTCCATATGTATGTCAAAAACAAGCCGCTCCAAATTCACATGCAGAATCAAAAGTATCCACGAGTTCGAATCCCAAGACCAACGGACAAAAATGGCAGACGCCGAAAGAACGACACCAATACGAATGCTTTGGGAATCATGTAGCCAGGACATGATGAAATCAACAGCAAATAATGCCAGTATGGCTGTAACACCAATCCAAAAAAAAAAAAAAAAAATATAGTATGACATAAGAAGATTAATGTGGGATATAATATGTATTAGTCAAACATGTTTTTGGCGTTTCTATATATCTTCCAATCAGAAATCATTAGGGGTTTGATTATTAAATGTGTAGGCCTTTGGTTTCTGAGGAAGTTGTTGAGCGACAAAACGATGAGCCTCTTGCTGCTCCGGGAATTCATGGATATAGAATTCGGTAGGCTTCGCTTCACCTGTCAATGACGCAGTCAACGTTGGCATATCCGTATCGCTGGCGGTATATACCAATGTTGGAGAACCAGATACACTGTCAACAGAGTGCGTATTCTGTTCAAGAGACCGCTCATACGACAGGGATGTGATGTCTCCCTGTTGTGGAATCGGACAGTGGCTCTGGAATGAGGCCTCTGGTGACGGCATCGAGGTAACATCAGTCCAGCCTCTGCCGGGCAAGGCAGCCCCATCGCAAGTAGCGTAGTCAGGAAACGATGTATAGTGGGCGGGAGCAGACATCGGCGGTGCAACACCCTGGTAAGGATAAGAGATCATATCCACCGCTAGCGGTGTCGCCGGAGGGGATGCAATATTAGTCTGCACAGGCTGCGCGGTAGGGAACAAGTGGCTGGTTGGTTGGGCAGACAGACAATATCCACCATCACTGGGAGTGGTAGGGAGCAAATGATGGAAATCCTCGGGTGTCAGAGGAGTCGGCGGTGCAAGTGCTCCTGTCGTAACAGCGGGTTGCAGCATAGATATTTCAGCCTTGGAAGAGCCCAAGGAACCCGCTTCGGCAAACGTTGAGAGGTTGAGGGGCGAACGCTGAGCTGCGGAAGCCTTCCTCACACCTGCATACCTGGAATTAAGGCACTGGGCGGATTTGGACTGTCTTACAGCATGGCCAGAGCTGTAGCTTGGAAGCCTCATCGTTGGTGAAATGGAAGACGATCCGGTCAGCATCGATGAGGACCTCGACGTGCCAATGGCAGCAGGTCTCGGCCGCTTTCTCCTGGCGGCGAGGTCAAGCTCTTTGCTAGGTTCCTTCCACGATTGGTCTGCTCGGTCAGCAAGCTGCGCCAGGCCATGAGTTCCAGCTGCATGGATCCCGACCCCTTCAAGTGTGTCAGCGAGCTCATCCGAAGATTCTCGTCCTGACAGGGATAGCTCTGGTTGCAAGTGGTAGTGAGCATCGTTGTAATGAGCTTCGGTGTCACTGGTGGAGTGGTAGCCTGAACGTGATTTCGATGGCATCTGACTCGTCCAGTCTTCGCCCTCTGAGGGGTGAAACTGTATGTTCTGCATAATATCGGCATGGGATGCACCCTGATGTTGCGAATTGTCCATGCTCGGGATACTTAACGACTCTGCCGATGAACTCAATGGTGTCGCACTCAAGCTATTATACCCAAGAGTTCCGTGAGAAACTTGTGACGAAGACCAAGACAGGGACGAATCTTTGTTATTTTCCCATCCAGAAATGGCAGTATTGAGGCCATCCTGGCAATCACCATGATTGGTGTCCTGGAAGCTGTTCCCTGCAAATGCCGTGGTCGGCGAAGCCGACCCTTCAGCACTTGTAGCACGAGGCCGCCCATCGTCATTATCATCCTGTCCGTATCCGTCGCGAGCTGCAACGGCGGCATTGAGGGCTCTCTGCAAAGAAGCAAAAGTGGCCTCTCGGGCCGCTTCACTCTTCGTTTTCTGATGCTTCGATCGTGAAGAACCAGTCTTGGTGCGGCTACTAGAGGTGGTTGCACCCGATGATTTGGGTGTATCTTTATGGGCCTCGTCTTTGGGACTCTTGGTGTCCTGACCCGACTCTGAATTGTCCGAATTCTCTTTCTTGCCCCGTGCAGCCTCCTCGGCTTCCGCTTTGGCCTTCTGCATCCTCTCAAACTCCTCCTGTCTTTTTTGCTGCTTTGCTTTTGCTCGCCGGTTTTGGAACCAATTCTATAACAACTATTAGTACACGTATGCACAGAGAAGATCTGCAAAGGGTGTAACTGACAGCAACCCGAGGCAGACTTAGGTTGGTTTGGGCGGCCAATTGCCGCTTGACATTGCTGCTGGGCTTTGGGTGCGCCTGGAATTGGGCCTCCAAGGTCTCCACTTGCTCTTTGGTGAGTCTCGGACGAGAGAGATTCTCTGCATATTCCTCGTAATCCATAATCGGCTGGTGATAGAAATCGACCATGTCAAATTGCGGGTGCGCGTAGAGATAGCCGTCCATTGGGTGCATCATGGCTGGGTGTGCCATTGACGGGTCAAAAGCGACCTGCTGATCGATTGGCACATGGCCAGCGTACGGATACGGATGGTGTATATAATTCATAATTGCGGTACGAGGTAAAAGAGAGGGTGAGAGAGAGAGAGAAGGTCGGTGAAAAGAGGGCTTCGGACGTTGCTGCTCGGGAGGCGGCAACTCGGACGAGGAACAGATCTAGATCATTGAACTGGATCCCCAAAAATAATAGGTAGATGCTAGAAATTGAACACTGAAAGGGATCTAACAATGAACAAGTAGCGAAACAAGACTGTAAAAAGAAGGAGAGAGAGTGGATGATTGCTGAAGTAGATGGGTAGGTACAATGTATACAACTCCAACAAAGCTGAAATCACAACAGAGGAGAGGGTCAATGAGGGTATAAGTCCAAAGACCGGTACTAAGGTAGATCACGAAAGAGAAAAATAAAATAAAATAAGGAACGACGAAGCTGACTGAAGGAACGTAAGTAGGTAATAAAACCACAAAAATCAAGTAAAATAATAAATAATAAAAACAATAAAATAAAAAAGAGGGGACGAAAGAGGAAAAGGGGAGGAGGAGGAGAAAAAGAGAGAAGAGAGAAAAGGGACAAAAGGGACAAAAGGGAAAATCAGAAAATCGGAAATCGAAAATCCCAAAAAAAGAAAAGGGAAAAAGAAAAGTAGGGAAAAGGGAAAGATTGACAGCCAGAGACTCAGGTGTGTGAGGTGAGGAATTGGATTTGGGGGTGGGCGGCGGCTGCCTGGGAAAAGGTGTGGAGGGGGCTGCTCTGATTGGAAGATCGCCGCCCAGAACTGCGAGGATTTGAGGCGTTCTGGTATCAAAGCGGTATTTACTGGACGACTGAGGCTTCAGCTGTATTGTTAGCACCTTAGGCCAACTTGACATCACTTTAGCTTGCACTGCTTTTTCAGCATTTGAAGGTAGGTTATCTATTTCTTATCTCCTGTACACTATCTCAGTTCCAAATTCTATTCTTAAGGACTATACCTATAATCATTATTCTCATCGACTTCAGCAGGCACTAACTATACTTCGTTGCTAGGTCAGTCAACTCTGGTACCGAGATCAAGCTTCAAACATGGTTATTGGGCATGTAACAAACAGTATCAGGTACCGTATCAAACAAAGGCATCGACCACCAAATATTGGCCGAACAGAGTGGGTTTGTGGTGCTTCCGCCCGCGCGGTTCTAGGGGGTGGCGGCCTAGCCCAACTGGCTCATACAAACTAACTCTGGGCTTAAAATAACCTACTAGATGAAATACCATGGTACCCGTAATCATAGTACAGAGTATAACAGAAGATATTATATATATTATACCACCAATTATCATTCAAGCATACTATAGGTTAAGCTGCATGCCTTGAATATAGATGCATGACCGATGGAGCTTGTGCGGGTCAGCCCCCAGTGGCGGTGACTGTACTGTGCTACCCAGGTGTTAGGGCGCTGCTGTACAACAGGTCCACGGTGTGCTCTATGCCTCACGATTGTTGCAGTCAATTGCTTTTTCCTTTCGTCCTATAATATTGATAGGCTAAAAAAAAAATTTCAGGGTGTCTTTCAAATCCATCTACCTAGTATTTTGGTATTCACCCTATCAGGTGTAGGCAGCATACTCCGGAGAAAAGTGATTGGTGGAGACATGCAAAAACATGGAGACCCTTCCCGCCATTCATGTTGTCTTGGTCCATCCAGCGAGACAGGAACTCGATCGAAGCGGATAAAAAGCTTGGGTATCAGATGCCCGCCGATGAATATTCCATACTACAAGACTACAAATCTCATGGCTTAGAGCGAAGCTGTGATGCTGAGTACTCCGTAGATCGCAACGAGTTTTCGTCAGTTCCTGCATTAGCGTGAGAAACCAGGCCAGGTTAGTTTTTTATTCTACCAGGGGGAGGGGTCCATAGTACCTAGTAGAAGATCTAATCATGGCAAAGAAAGACCAAATGATGCCAACACTACCGTTCATGATAGGCGATAGGGATAAGGAAGAAGGGGGGGGGGGGGGAGGGGTTGGATGGTAATGATGTGATACTACTGACCAAGCAAGACCTGATGAATATTATTTTTCGGGTTGCATCATACAGGAAAATCATGTCAGAGGGGAAGAAGCAAAATTGCTGGTACTGCATCCGATGTGGGTCATCAGTCAAATCCAAAGCAGCTCTCCAGACTTCGTCTTGGGGACTCCCGAGATCGCTGTTCATGTCTCCAAGAGGAGCCAATGACCTCTTTCCCCCGAGCCAAGAATCGATCACGGGGGTTATGGGTGATCGGGATCCATTCATGGATCCTGAACGGGGATCACATTGGATCCTCTCCATTCGCAATACGCGCTCTGGATCCGGTTAGCTTCAGCGGTCCCCCGTCCAACACCCAAAGTCCCGATGTTTAATTTTCCAACGACGCTTCATGCGTTTGCTTGTACCTAAGTATTAAATTATGTAGGTAGATCAATCCATCCTTCATCCGGAGACATTCCTAAGCTAGAGGTAAGTCTTTTCCCATCAGATTCGCCCTCAGCAAAGGGGTTAAAGTTATGGTTTTAGTTCCAAGCTTGCAGGTTCCGTGTATATAATCTACAGTGCAGGAGTTCAGGCGGGGAACTTCCCCCGATTAACCGAAGAGGGATTTCATTCTGTGGATATACATACGTATACGTACAGGTACTACTTACATACAATAAGTACATACATACATGGTAGGTACTGTATGTATGACGGAATAGGTGCAACGGCTAACCTATCTAGGCAAGTCAGTTTCCGGCGCTGATACATCCCAGCACGGATCTCCCAGGATCTATCATGTTTTTCCCGCAATCGCCCCAGAACCTGACGAGTCCCTGTAGGAAATCATCGCTTCTTTCCTTGGGCTCGAAGACCCCGAGAAGAAGGTCGGAAAAATATATTAAATTAAATATTATTATTATTACTATTATTTTAAAAAAAATAAAATAAAAATAATTCTCTTACACAGGGCGGCAGAAGCGTGGCAGCACCAGCCAGACCCCCTAAAATCAATAGTCGACAGATCCTGTCGATCAGACACAAGGATCTGTCGATTGTTCGAACACTTTCGCTCTTTCCCTATTCTTCGACTCCCATGGTTGAGGCTGTTCTGCTCGAGTTTGGAGCATGGCCGGTTCCTTCCAGTTCCACTATGTCAACTTCCAGATTCCGTCACTTAATTACTTAAGAAGGCGCGAATCAGGATGCAGCCAGAAGCGCCTACACCAAGTCACGAGGTTACGCAACAGCGGTTCCCAATCCATTCCCATGCAGATGGAGAGAGCCAGGCCATGTTAGGGGGTGGAGATCTTGCCGGGATTATCATATGGTCTTTTGCGCTGCTCCTAGCAACCAGTATGACATACGATGATGTAGTTACCATGGATCAATCCATGATACTTTCCGCAATGATATATGCATGCACACGCGAATTTCGATATCTCCTCCAGGAAGTCACTACATACTCGAATGATTTGCTGATTGGCAGCCCAACGTTCATGAGGGGATCCGGGTGCAGCACAACAGGTTCCGACATTTTGGAACGATCTCCCTAACCCTCTCACAATCTTCCAGTTTCGCTTGTTTCATAGCGGTATGGAGGTGTTATTGGCGGATCCAGGAGAAAGAGAGGCCAATTACATGAAGCCTCCAACATGCTATCTTAGCTCCTGCGAACCTACCGATCTTACTCCGAGTGCTTCGTAAAAACTATCCCGGTACTGTGCAGTCCTATAGAAGAACATTAGAGAGTACAAGAGAGGATCTCACTGGGTGTCGTATATTCCATTTTAGCGGAGGATAGTTACCCCCGATCTTCCAGCATGGCTCGTGACTCGTCACCTGGAAGATGTTCGCCGAACGAAGGAACCCTTGATTCACGTGTTTGATATGCAGGACTTAATATGACCATCTGGCGCGTTGTTCGGAGACATGATTGGTAGGGTATTACAACTTCACACTTCACATCCATCACAACACAAAAAAAAATGTCTAAGGAGTATTGTCATCATCACTCTCATTTTTCACCCCCTCCTTTTTCCTTTCTCTTCCCCTGTGATAGTCCAGCCCGCACGGATCTCTGCTAGGTGGTTTCGAGCGGTCTTTTCACATGCTGTTGTCGCCCAATAGACGGCGATCTCAAATATTGGACCTATGACAACAAAAATCGCCGAGGATCCCGACACACCGATGCGGTTATCCACCTGTTCGTCTGTCACTTTGTCACTGTCTGCTACTCCTGGAACAGAGACAGAACACCCCCTGAAACGCTACTTGAGGTTTGACGGGGATGATCACTAATGGCATCGTATCCCTGTTCCGGGCCTAAGCCCTCCGGGATAAGGTTGACTTGGCACACTGGAAGATCCTCTGCGACTGACTGCCTTTAAGCACACCCTGCTTTACAGGGCATCTCCATCCTTCCATCCCCTTGGGACTATGATTTGTTCCCGAACCCTTCGATCGCTGTCAATCGTTCCGTAGCTTCCAATACGTCAATCACCATAGTCTGCAGGACTCCCCCATGATGTAACGAACTGACGATCATTGCTCATATTCTCCGTATGAGATGGAGGCACTTAGAAATATCAGGGACAACGGGTATCGTCCAATCCAACGACCTACCTTCTCCTGGGTTATTTACTGTACTGTAATGCGTAACAATTCAGCACTGAGTTCAACGCCACACTTCACGTCCCAAATAGGCAGGCACCCACTGACTACTCCGTAATGAGGATCATGGCGGTGCTGTCGTTCAGCCACATCTACTCCGTACATTTCAGTTTCCTGAGAAATCGAGATCCTCCGGGATTGAATGCAGGGCCATCCATCATAGTTCCAGTTGGATCCTCTTCCTTCCTTCCATTCCGTTTGGTGTGTGCACGGATGGACCAAGGGATGATGGGTGCTCAGAATTTGTCATGCCACGACAATAGCGCCGATGTAAAGGGTCGAATAAAATCAATTCTCGGGCCCCAAGGCTGACGCCACCTGGGTCGACTTATGAGGATTCTTCCGCTGGTTTGTGCCACGGTGCTCAACGCTCAATGCGAATACGGGCCGTTTTCCAACCAACATTTGCCATGTTTCCCGCTTGGACTGTGTGATTAGACATACTGGTGGTGCCAGACCGGGGCCTGTCTGCCTACGCATTGTCCGAGATTCTTAGGGTGAAAACGCACATCGACACATTCACTTCTCTATCCATGCTGCCCCTTCGACTGGCCTAGGTATTGGGTTTCCCAAATGGGCCTGCATCAATGATAAAAACCTTGTACTTGCCGTTCGAATCGTCCAGAAACCCTCCATAAATACGGAGTATAGCGGAACACAAAGAAAAACATCCAACAGGTCATAAAAAAAAAAAAAAAAAAAAAAAAAAAAAGGTAGCCACGCCTTCGAATTCACACCATCCCTTGCATGCGACGTCAGAGACTGCCCTGAGGCCAGACAGAGCCAGCTATACCAGCGTGTCTCTGACGAGTTCGGCGAGATTACCCCGACGCGATGCAGCAGAGATCATGTCGATCCAGCCGCGTCGGGATCTCCTGCTGGAGCTTTAGTCGACACATCCGTTTTCCAGAACCCGATCGCCCCCTTCGGTCAACGAGGTGATAGCCATTGGGCTAAAGGAATCTTCGCGTGCTCCGAACGGCGGCGCCCTGAGGCTGGACAATGTAGCACAATTCGTTTGTCTGGGTTGCTAGAGATGCGGAAAGCATGGCCCTATCGATCCAAACACAATTGCCACCTTAGTCTTCAAGCTGCATGCCGCAGACACATGCCTGCATGCAACCAACCTGTTTCTTTCTCTTTGTCACCCCCTTCTCCCTCGGTTATCGTTACTGTCGGTCGAGGATGCAGGATGCTCTCCGAGTTGTCGGTGAGCCTGCCAGGAGATCTAACACTCCCGCGATTATCTCTAAAGATTAACCGTTCTATGATATGTTGCTCCTGGGATACCGACATTCGTCGGTTTATGAGACTTATCATACAACGAGAAAGCGGTGATCTCCTCGGCTAACGTCTCGGTGTAGAGGCGGCCCACTGGGACTTACGGGCATAGAGAAACTTCAAGCCAGATCTCCATAAGAAGAATGCCCCCCATGTGCATTACCGCATGGGTTTACACCGCCAGCAAGTAAAGTTCAATTATGGATCCTCTTCTTATATCTTGGGTACCGGTGTACTATAATCGGCAATCCCTCTTCTGTACTAGGTGCTACCGACCGTCGTCTAAGCTCGGTGAGCCAGCCCTGTCCACGGTCCTTCATCCATTAGTTCAGTCCCAAGTATGCGCATTACGGTGGCCACGGGTAGCTCGATGAGGATCTTTAAGAACAAATAAATACTAGCCAGTTCTCGCATCCGCTTCCACATTAGCGCCATGCAAGGCACTTCTCCTCGCACACACGGCATACTCCATATACATGTCATATCATCTAAGCAAAGCTTCCACAAGCTCCAGGGACTTGTTATTTTTCTATGAACTGATGGAGCTCCATCTAAGTAACAGAAAGAGGAAATGAGACGTTAAGAACTCCCGTAGTCTATTGGAATCAAAGTTCATAGAAAACATATCCCTAACTTCCATTTATTGATACGCATTCCGAATCTCGAGCTGGATCTGGCCATCGACAACGCCCTTGACAGAGACACTTCTCAGATCCTCCACAATCCAGTCCGCCCCAGCCTCCTGAAGCTGGACCAGCGAGTGGGTAGTGGCTAGCGCAATCACCTTAAACCCGGCTGCTTTGCCAGCGCGAATCCCGGACGGTGCATCTTCCAGAACCACTAGGGACAAGGAATTCTCCAACCCCAATCGCGCACGCCCCAGTAGATAGCATCGTGGATCAGGCTTACCCAGTTCAACATCCTCCGCGACAACGAGGACCTTCGGATGTGTGAGGTTCAGGACCTCCATCCAGCCATCAAGCAATGCGCGCGTGCCCGATGTCACCACGCCCCAGCGTGCCCGGGCATCATCCAGCGCCGAAAGGAGGCACCTCGCACCGGGGATCTCAACAGCATCAGATCCGTATTCTTTAGGAAGTTGGCCCTCAATGTAACTGACATCTAAACACCACAAAATCGTCAGAAATAGCTCATTTACCCCGAGTAGCATCCTATATCAAGATCTTGTGGGAGATGAGATGAGACCACAATCGCATCGACGACCTACATTCCCAATTGGCCTTCTTCGGGTCGTACAGGGCCAATGTGTCAATGCTTCGACGCCCATGCGACGTGGCCAGGATAGTCTCTGGATCAACACCTAATTCCGCTCCGATTCTGAGGAAAACCGTTAGGACCGTAGTGTGTTTCAACCAGCGGGGTGGAGGTTGGTTTCTAAGGGCGGGACGAACTTATGCCAGTGTTTTACAATCGCTATTTAAGGATAACTCATGCTCATTAGCTATTGTTCGTGTCGCTAAATAGAAACAATAAACAACCCACCATTAGTCGAGTCGATGATGGTCCCGTCAAAGTCTGAAAGAAGACCATCGAACGAGATGACCTGCGACGGGGCAGAGAAGGAAGTTTGTGATATAGTCATGGTTGTAGTTGTCTAGTCTAGAAAAAAAAAGAGAGATAATAAAACGCAAAAAAAAAAGAGAGAACAAGCCCAAAAAAGTAAAAGCTTAATTATGTATATGAAAGAACAAATGACAACAACGAACAATTGGTAATCAGACTGAACATTCAACAATGAAGCCATCGCGAAATCCGCCGGGATATCGGAGATCGGTACCACCATTAGTCCGGTTATCTTAGCGCGGATGAAATCTTGGCGGACTCAAGTTTGCACAAAATTGTTCGACGATCTCCGAGTGTTGACTGCCTCGATCATTTTTGGCCATCCCTTTTATTTTCAATTGTGTTTAATCAAGATGGTCAAATTAGGTATGAGTCTACTGATATATATCAGATCTGGGAATATGAGATTGAGCGTTACTGATTGATACCTATCAGGCAAGTTCTCCAAGCGGACTCCGGTCCGACTACGACATAAGATCGAAAAGGCCTCTGCGGCCAAGCAACGGAAACAGAAAAAGCTTGCGAAGAAGGTATTTCTTCTGTCTCCATCTTCTCTTTCCTATGTTGGATGTTGGATTTCTTGGGATGCAAGTCGACTTACATTCTGTCAGGATCCCACATGGCGTTCTAAGCTCAAGAAAGACCCGGGTATCCCGAATCTGTTCCCTCACAAGGACAAGATCCTTCACGAAATCGAAGAAAAGAGACGAATGAAGGCGGAAGAGCAGCAGCGTATTCGTGATGAAGCTCGTGCTCGTCGGGCCGTTCAGAAGGAGCAAGCAGCAGCAGGAGACGTGATACCCAACGCCAACAGTCAGCACGTTGTCGACGTCGATGACGTGTTAGACGAGGATATGAGTGAAGATGGCGGTGACTTGAACCCCATGGCTGCCCTGCTTGCGTCTGCGCGTGCAAGGGCTGCCGAGTACGAGGATGATGACGAGGATGAAGAAGATCATATGGACGAGGATGACGATGATGACATGGATATGGATGAAGATGAGGAAGATGGTGGTGCGGAGTTGGACGATTCGACTGTGCCTCAGCTTGTCTCACAGCCTCATTCGAAAGAGAGCTCTCGACGCCAATTCGACAAGGTGTTCAAGCAGGTTGTCGACGCTGCCGATGTGGTTCTATACGTGCTCGATGCTCGTGACCCCGAGGGTACCCGTTCCAAGGACGTAGAGCGAGAAGTCATGGCCGCATCGTCAGGGTCCAAGCGGTTGATACTTATCCTCAACAAGATCGATCTTGTTCCTCCGCCAGTGCTGAAGGGTTGGTTGATCCACCTGCGAAGATACTTCCCGACGCTACCCCTCAAGGCATCCAACGGCACCGGCAACGCACACAGTTTCGATCACAAGCAATTAACCGTCAAGGGCACGTCGGAGACGCTCTTCCGGGCCCTCAAATCCTACGCTCAAAGCAAGCAATTGAAGCGATCGGTTTCCGTCGGTGTGATCGGCTACCCGAACGTCGGCAAGTCATCAGTCATCAATGCTCTCACGGCCCGACTCAACAAGGGATCGAGCAACGCCTGCCCGACTGGCGCCGAGGCCGGAGTCACCACCAACCTGAGAGAGGTGAAGTTGGACAACAAGCTCAAGCTGATTGATTCGCCGGGTATTGTTTTCCCGAACGCGGGCGAAAAGAGCGGCAACAGGAAGGGCAAGAAGCAAAATGAGCACGCACGTCTCGTCCTGCTTAACGCTATCCCACCGAAGCAGATCGAAGACCCCATCCCCGCCGTGAAACTCCTGCTCCAACGGCTGTCCCACTCAGAGGGACTTCTCTCGAAGGTCCAGCAGCTCTACAACATCCCCGCCCTCCTCTCAACCGATGGGGATCAAACCCATGATTTTCTCATCCACGTTGCCCGCAAGCGCGGTCGTCTAGGCAAAGGCGGCGTGCCGAACATCGAAGCCGCGGCCATGACCGTGATCAACGACTGGAGAGACGGACGCATCCAGGGATGGGTCAATGCTCCTGTGTTGCCAGTGGTGACCACGGTAGAGGCTGCGTCCGGCGCGGAGGTCGGCCCCGGCGTGGACACGAGACAGATTGTCACGGAGTGGGCCAAGGAGTTCAAGATCGAAGGGCTCTGGGGAAATGATGACGAGGAAATGGCGGAATAGTCTGGTTTGATGTCGTTCTTTTTTTTTTTCTGCTGTGGATACCAAAAAGGCGTTGCCTGGTTTCTGTTAGGTAAAATGCTATAGATGATGATAATCGATCACGACTAGATGTAGATTATGGGGCTATACTATGCTGTACATAGCTGCGGATATGGTCAACTGATTGTAGCATTTATCTTGTCCTTGGGTAGCTCTAATGAAGAATTGACTGGCTGCTAAAATCTCGACTTTGTCTATACAAAACACCGCCAACTCTAATATATACATAACTAAGACAGATCCTAACTCGAGGGTATAAAAGCACTAGTTATACAAAATGCCCTCTCCATTGCTAAGACACTATCTACATTACAAGCTAAACAAAACATAAGATCATCAATGAGCAAGACAGAGACACCAGTCCAACATCACCCCTCTCCAATTCAATTCGAGGGAGCGAAAAAGTGAGAGGAAAGTAAGTCAGCGCATAGTATATATACAAACATATACACAAGAACTAAGCAAAAATATGACAAGAGTGGGATTCGAACCCACGCCATCTTACGATGAGTAGGAAACTCATTGAGTTATCCGTTAAGGTGAACCTTAACCTACCGCCTTGGACCGCTCGGCCATCTTGCCTTGATGAGGAAGGTATGTTGAAAAGTGCTACATGATGCTGGGAACATTTTCAGCGAGTACCATCTTATCCTATTTCCATGTCCATATCCTACAAATTTGTGTATACTGTTTCGTTATTCTTGGGTATGACCAGCATTATTGGCTGTGGTTCTAGGGGTACATTTATCTCTGCTTAGATGGGTATCAACTAACTAGAATCAGCATATAGAAAGCCCTTTAGAAGCTTGAATCAGACTGCGTATATTCCTACTCATACAACAGCAAGTACGAACGACCACGGGGTGTGGAAACAGGTTTCCCGTCCCCTCAGTTGTACTTAAGCCACTTGTTAAATGCGGAGGGAGAGGGGTCCAGAGAAGAGATTGCGAGTGGCCCCAGCCAGAGAATTGTCTGGACTCAGGCGTATCCAGAAATTAAAGAAATCGTCTCCAACTCCTTAGGCACCTGTTGGCCAACCGAGAACTGGGTATTCGCGTCCACTCTGCGCGGAAGAATAGGAATCGGGTCAAAAATCAACGATACCGGAAGCATGAGCGGTACACCGGTCACGCTTATTTGTCCGGGACCCGAATAGCTGATGGAAATTATGCTGGACGCACTGCGACTGAGCGACTGATACACAGACGCCGCTGTCCGCTGCCTGCGGTGATGTTTTTGTCATTGAGGCTCACGAGCACTAGCAGGACAATTCGAGTATGGCCATTTGCGGTCTCGGGCCAGATTCTAGCGTCGTTTCGCAGCTGATTATGCGACCCGGTGACCCCGATTTCAACACCATAGGTTGATATCGATAAAATTCCACTGCACTCAAAAGGGCACTGGCCCTAGATAGGCTAGTTAATTCTTCTGATGTCCTGACAATGGATAATCGGCAAGCGCGGCCCATTTAGATCCAGCTTTCATCCAGCTCTTTAGACGATTCGCCGGTCATATATTGTCTCTCCCCATCCGTAGCCATCGGCGAGTATTGGGGGATCCCAAGCGCAAGGTATTGACCCCTCACGACGTCATACACCATTCTACTCATTGTCTCATGTGGTATTCCTTTGAGCTCGATGATAAGGTAATCACGGCCCTTGAAGTGCGTAACTCTGGGCAAGGCAAGGATCGTTCAAACTCGCGCCGACGGTTGAATCCCACGAAAGTCCCAGAAATCGCATGGTATTCAACACCTTCACCCTCTTCGAAGGCCCTGCATTTGATGTCGATCTATTTCGCAGGTGAGTTGATTGTAGTGAGCCTGAATGTGTTTCCTTGCTGACCCGATAGCTATGGGGAGTAATTTCGCTCCCTTCCCAGGTCATTCGGCCGGCTCTGACTTCTCATAGTCCGAATGTGGTGTCAAAAAAAAATTCCACTGCACTAAGGGTACTTGCCCTAGGCTCAATAATTCTTGTAGTATTCTGACAGTCTCCATCCTACGATTTATGTAAGCAAGGATGGATGAAGTAGTTGTGATGCTGCGTGTTGGTAAAGAACATTCGACTACTAAAACGTGGACTCTTGGTGAACCGTAATAGTAATTCATGGAAGCCAGGGGTTTCAACAAAGCATCTGCTATGGTTCGTCCATGTATACGAATACTTGGATACTTACTATGATACTTACTAGCAAGCCTTCAAAGGCTTGTTAAAGTTGAGGAAGAAACGAAGGCCACAAGGAGATATATTTAAGCCCGGGTTGATTAGAAGAAGGGAAACCGGCCGTGGAAGCTATTATGAAGGGGAAAAGCCACGGGATAAACTGCTTCAGTGACTGAACTGACATCTCGGCCATTCTCTAGTTCAGGCTGAACTTTGGACTAGTTGTGTGGACTTTATTTGTCTAAGATGGTAGTAAGTGATATGAGTGATATTCACGAGATCTTTATAGGGGGTTGCCCAGCACTTCTAACTAGGTATGCTGTGTGCAAACTAAGCAGCAGAGAATCATCCACGGGTAGCTATCTTCGTGGTTAAATTATGTCTTGGACATAATATTTAGTCTCTTGGTCAGACAATTGTAATATCAAAGAATTATTTGCTGCGAGTTTGCGGGTATGCAAAAAATGGTAATTCCATATCATAGAGCAAGTCATTTCCCAAATAATATTTTTACACGCACGTGCTAAATAAAGGTAGAAACATATCCTGTAAGGTCCCGTGGGAGAGGGGGTGTTAAAAGTAGTAAATAACATCCACGGCTTACAAAAACAGCCAAAAAGAATGACAAGAGTGGGATTCGAACCCACGCCATCTTACGATGAGTAGGAAACTCGTGGAGTTATCCGTTAAGGTGAACCTTAACCTACCGCCTTGGACCGCTCGGCCATCTTGCCAGTGATTGAAAAACTCTTTAAATTTATGCTAATTCAAGTAGACCAAAGATTGATACCTAGGACGGACATTTGGTTATAATGTAGGTGCTGGGCACTGTAGCCGATAAGAAACTGGTCAGCCAGGTATAGATTCTAAGAACCACTATTGACGAGGCATATAATCTACTTTTAGCAGACATCGCACTCAGAAGGGCATAAGTGCGACGTATAGGATAGCGAACTATTTTGTTGCTGGAGAAACTCATGTAGGCTGGCTTTAGATTGTAATATCTCTACCAAATTTCATCGTATGCACATGCCCAAGCTAGATACATAAACAGTGTCAATTCACAGTCAACAATATTAGTAAAGGTCACCCAAGAGTTATACTAGGGCGGTTGTAGGCAATCCACCTTTCGTAGCACTGTATAAAAATGACATAGCTTAGATACAGCATGTAGACCGTGGAAATAGTTAATGCTTAGACCCGCCAGAGTAGCATATAGGATGAAATCTCTGTTTAACATACCTAGGAACTGGAAATAAAAAATACTGGTATTCACCAGTTAACTTACAAACATGCACAATACATACCTCATATGGTTAATCACAGAGCAGTCTTCTCTACATTCTCCTCCGCTCCTGAAACCACACAGATAGCTATATCCAGCCCACAATTGCAAGTCCATAGTTGCCAGGATGGCATTTTTGATTTTTGCAAGACTAACCCCGTGCTAGCCATGTGTTCTCCCAGATAGGATGGATCCTGAAGCCACAGAGCAACAGTGAAATTGGCGCTACCAATTCTGATCTAACTAGACACAAAAGAGCATGGGAATATGGGGCCTGAAAGATATCTCCCTTAAGTAGACAAGTCTCAAAAGAGGATCGTGCCTGGCTATAATACTGTATGCTTATAATATCCTCTCATATCTCCCTTTCCTGGGGACCATACAATGATATCATACCACAAGAATCGAATAAACTCTGCAAGATACATTGCACTACCGAATATCACCGGACCCGAAGAGCGTATATTTTGATATCAGTAAATCGACACTATAAGCAAGCTGTCTTACAAGACCGAGGCGCAGCCCATCCAAGACAACTTCCAAATTTATATACCCTTTCACATATGAACAAGGTCTATGAGAGAACTAAAACACTTAAACACTATAATATCTCCTTAGACCTGCACAATTACCTCAAGAAATGCATCACAAAACAGAATTAGAAATAAATCCATCTAGGGCAATAGACAGGTTGACGGAAATATGAAGTACAATAAATAAACTCGTTTGTCCTGGGTCTTGTTGATAAAAACTGGTTAGCGTTTCAAATCAACCGGCAAGATGGCCGAGCGGTCCAAGGCGGTAGGTTAAGGTTCACCTTAACGGATAACTCAATGAGTTTCCTACTCATCGTAAGATGGCGTGGGTTCGAATCCCACTCTTGTCAATTTTTTCGTACTTGAATCTATATGTCTGTCTGTTTTTTAGGTAGAGTAAATAACATTATCTTGCTGTTGCCATAGTTATTTATAAATAGCTGTAGTTATCCTTAAAGCATTGTTTGGTTATAATTGATTGGGTCCTACCAGAAGGATGGAAGCTTACCATCATAGCCACCAAATAGGTAAAGCACGCACCATCGCGTCGCGTTCAGTTCTCATCCACTTGAATTTTCGCTTTCATTCGATCAATCAGTCCACGAATCCAAAGCCGTCCGTCTTATCCTCACTTCATTAATTTAACTAATTAATTCAATTAAATAATACCATTGTCTGATTAAATAATTATCTTTTCTTACGAGTCGATATCCCAATCCATACATAGGGCGCCAACATGCCGCGGAAATCTGCCTCTACTGCAGCTGAACAAGATCCGTCGCCTCAGGTGCAGGTACAGGCTCCGGCTCAGACAGAGATGCAGTCGCAGTCGCAGTCGCAGTCACAGTCTCAGTCGCAAAATATCCAAGCAACAGAGCAGCAGCTGAAAGCTCGTGCGGAGGGTGTGAGCATCGAGGTAGCATCCTTACCACCTCCTACATTTGTATATAATATACCAATGGAATAACCTAACAATAAATATAGGACTATCTCCTCCCCCGCTCTCTCACCCTCCGGCTAGCGAAATCCGTCCTCCCCCCGAACACATCGATACAGAAAGACGCGGTGCTGGCGATTCAAAAGGCTGCGACGGTATTTGTGTCGTATTTATCGTCTCAGTATTCTCCCCTCTTTTATTTCTCTGTTATAGGTTGAAGATACTAATTGAACAGTGCTAACGAAGCAACCCTTAAACGAACCGTCGCGCCGTCAGATGTTCTGGATGCGCTTTCCGAGTTGGAAATGGAGGGTTTTCGGCCGCGATTGGAGAAGGAGTTGGATGTGTTCATGGAGTTGAAGGCCGGGAAGAGGAGGGGGAAGAAAGATGCCTCTGGGACTGGGACTGGGACTGGGACTGGAGATGGGGTAGAGGGGAAGAGGGAGGAGCAGGGACGCGTTGTGAAGAGGGTCAAAACTGGTGGTGAGACGGAAAGTGTCCCGGCGGATGGAGATGATGGGGACGAGACGCAGGATGAGCCACTGGAGGAAGGAGAGAAGGTGGATGAGAATGAGACGGAGGTAGAAGAGGAGGAGGACGATGAGGAAGGGGATGAAGAGGACGAGGATGGTGAGGAGGATGGTGATCGCGTAGAGGATTTGGATCGTGACGACAGGGTGAAACGTACGATGGATCCGGATGCCGCGGGCGATGAAACAGAAAGTGATGATGACGCTGGACCGGGATCGCAGTTGAGAGGGGATTTGGGTCTATCTTAACTGAGGCATATGGTTCAGTTTATAGAGTTGTATGAATTGACGATCCTGAGCACTTATTATGCACTTATTATGTGGACATATACAAGTCATTCGTGGAATTAAATGTAGAGTAAATGTAGTATTGATTAACATGGCTTTAGTGTATGCCTATCCCATAACAAAACGCCACCCTAACGCCAACCATGCAATGCATCCACAGTCATGGTTCCATCATACATGTACAAGTCCCGATGGGATGCTCCCGGCAATTCCTCGACAGCATAAAGCCCTGGTAACAACATTGTGGGCAAAGTGGACCATCCATGCCTCCATCGTTCCGATTATTCCAAACGCCAATTCAACAAGCGTAGTCTATCGCTGGTATCTTGACAATTCAAATGTCTGACTCCGTTTGAGGCAGTCCCACAGAGGAGAAAGATACAAAGAAAAAGAGCAAAAATGTACCACCGAGAAGAAGATAAACTAACAATGTCATCCAGTTAAATCTGACGCTCATGCCGGTTGGTTTAATAGTTCACTCATACCATGTGGCACGGACTTAGGAGAAATCGTCTCGGGCTGACGCCACTGATCGCTGCCTGGCGTGGCGTCCCCTTTCTGGACTAGGTTGGGAAACATCGGTCCATTGTTGCGCGCCGCCCCCGGGGGTAGCGGATGCATGGGCTTGAAGTCTTCTTTTTCCAGCTTGGCCGACTTGTCCGCGTCGGCGCCGACTTTCTGCGCCTTGGTGACTTTGCTGAAGGTGGTGATCTTGGAGTTGGTGGTCGGCTGGTCCTTCTTGATGCGCTTCCGCGGCACTGCCTTTCCTTTTGCGCCGCCCTTCTTCGCCATAGTTGGCTTACTTCCTTTGAGCACGTCCTGTAGTTTCGGTCCACGGCTCGCCGGGTTCGGAAGCACGTCGGTCGGGAGTTGCGACTTCTTGATATCTTCGTCCTGACTGGACGACGGCGTGAGGAAGCCCGCCGTGGTCTTCTGCTTCTTCCTCGGCGTCGAGATGACAATCGATATTTCCTGCTCCCTCTTCACCCGGTCCACCTCCGACGCATTGCACTCGTCAAACACGTCTCCCGACTGGTCATCCCACCGTTTCAGGGCGGCTAGACGGGCGACATCTTCACAGTCGCCCGTAACCATGAGATCCCAGCAATCTTCGAAATCCTTCCCGACCGGGGGCTCGTTATTGATCCACATCGTGACGCCGTTCCGGCGGCTGCGGATCACCGAGCAGAGGCTTTTGACCAGACGGCGCACCCCCGGAATCTTCAAGCTAGTGCCCACCACGATGAGCGCGTCGGGGCGGGAGCGGATGTCGGCATTCATGACGGAGGTGATGGCCTCCTCGTCCGGGTTGTGTTCGTTGTAGAGCACGATACGCGGTCGCATCTTCCCCACCCCATGACTGCGTTGGCCGGTCTGCATGCGGAGTTGATTGTTCACCGAGCATTCGGGACATTCGGGCGCATCGGGACGGTCGAACATGACGCGATCAAAGTCCCGTAGATGGCGACACTTCTGACACACCATCTTGTCGAGGCTTCCGTGCAGCTGGATGGTACGGGGCCACGGTGCTTTGACGTTCAAGGGGATCTGGGTGGCCAATGGAGGCATGGAGGTCTCGATGCCGTCAATGTTCTGCGTGTAGAGGCGGGTGAGCCGACCCTCCTGACCGAGGCGAGCGAGCATGTGGTGAAAAGCCGTGGGGGAGGTGTTGGCCGCCTCCTCGGAGAGCGACCGGACCATATCTTGGAAGGAGGCGGTTAACGTTTCATCCTGGTAGACGGCGGCATCGAAGAGCAATTTTCCGGATGTTTTGAGGTTGTGTTTCTTCTGCAGGGATTTGAACAGGCCATCGGTGGACCGAAAATCGGGAACTTAAGAAGAAAGTTAGTTCATGTAAATTCTTTTAATTATAAATGTAAAAGTGAACGTAGATATTTTTTTGGTTTTTCAATAAAAAAGAACACATACTGCCAGCCGAAGTGGAGATACCCGCACCCGCAATGACGACGATTTTGCGGTGACGCCGAATCGTCTTGGTGAGCAAATCGATCTGGGGCTGTTGGCAGGCGTGGGAAAGAGAGAGACTAGACAGATGGAGATGCTGCGTCCGGCGTTCTTTGGGGGCGGCCACCCGACGCTTCTTCCTGGCGGGCGGCACACTGTGGTCTTGGCCAACGCCCGACTCGTCCGTGTCCTGAGACGGAGGCGGCGAGGGATAGAACCCAGGAGGTGGTGACGGTGATGCCGGTGGAGAGCTCAGCTCTGATACATCCGAGTAATCATCTTCCATGACGAGAGGACTAGAAGGAGGAGGAAGAGGAGGAGTATGGGGAGGGGGAAGGTAGGTAGTGGTGATGTGGTGTGGAAAAGGAGAAAAGAGGAGAGAGAAAGAGAGGAAGAAGAGAAGAGCTTTCGCCGAAAGGAGCTGGATATCACACGCGAGCGACAATCATGGGGCTCAATTGAATCGGACCTTTTTTTTTTTTTGCTCTTTTTTCCTTTCCTGTTCTTTTCTCCTGAAATATTTTTTCGAATGGTCTGGTTGTGGGAGGAAGGAGAAAAGAAAACGAAAAAGTGGAGAGAGAAGCTGGAGAGTGATGAGGTCAAGGGGATCAGATTCTACTCTGGTTCTCTCTCGCTTGTAACCGTTGTGTTGTGTTTATTTTGACCCACGGGAATTCCCCGGAGAAGTTGGTATGGAGTGACTATACCTAGTAGGCTAGGAAGCTAGGAGGGAGTAACTCCGTAGTAACTAGTAACTTGGTATATAGTAGCAGGAGACAGATAGATAGATATTGATCAACCCATCCGAGAATATCTCATTTCCCATCGTCCGTCCAGAGTTATCAGAAGCAGCTGAAACGGAACCAGAAACAGACAGCCTGCTGGATTCTTTCTAGCTTGGACCTGATTGGCCTGATCGATCATCTGTCTTGTCCTCTCCCATAGCAGTATGCAGGAGTTATACAATTGATCAAATATTGATTATATCCAACTGAGTCCTGCAGTTCAATCCGAAGCTCTATCCCATGTTAGAATCTCCCATTCCTTCCTATTCAACATCCACGCAGTTAGTCATTCACGGTCATCTCCCTCCTACGTCGGTGGATGCCCTGCGCAGGGACCGGAGGGTTTCCACTCTTGCTCCTTTGGCCCCTTCTCCATCTCGAATCGCAGTGGATTGGTTCATACATCGTATGTCCGCTTGATCAAGACCATCTCTACCTTACAGGATATACATACAACCTTGTCTGTCGGCCAATGTACTCTCTATCACAGTGCTTCTTTGAAGTACTACACGGTCTCCTGATTGGCTGATCCGTTGTCCGGGATACGGGTCGCACCTGACCTCACATGACGCTGACTCAGCCCCTTCACGGGACCAAACTCTCCGGAAGGAAAACGGCGAGATGGTGGAAGGTACTAGCTGTTAAAGTTATTGTATGTCGAGTCGATCCCAGGAGGAGGGTCCCGGATGGCTTCTGTGGTTGATTGAGATCGTTTGGACTTCGCCGCGTGTGCGCCATTGTCCACCGTTGCGTTTGGACCCTAGCAAGGAAAGGAAGAGTACTACGATTTAATAGATCATCCCTCCCTCCAAACATGCCCATGATGATGGAGGACGGTCTCAACGTGGACGAATTGTTTGGGGAACCCACCTCACTCGAGTTGGGTCTGCCACCGCCCGCCTCCACCAAAGGGCTTGCTCAGCGTCTGGATGAATTGAGATTACTAGGGTGCTGCCAGTAAGCCTAGAGATTTATATACATCGAGCTTCTGATAAGATTCGAGTTGACATTGGTCAGGAAGATTGCCTGGTCAAGGCAGGGGTGCATCGCTTATATCACCCCGGATTCATTGCGGGTGAATCTCCGTCACTTGGAGTGCCGTCCGTCGGATGGCAAGTGGATTCTCAGCGATGAGACGCCTCTGATTCCCGTCACCGAAGCCCATGGTGGTCATCCCCTAGCCCATCTGTCCTGGAACGAGGTCGGTTCGGAATTGGCCGTGGTCGATGCGTCCGGCCGCGTCTCGATTTATAACATCGCGATTGCTCTGAATAGTCTGGCTGGGCAGCGGCAAGCGGCGTTTGATCCGGTTGACGATGGAGCCCAGATTGTCGGAATGATGTGGCTGAATGTGCAGCGCTCGGTTAGTTCTCCAGCCGTGCCGGTGTTCTCACCCCATGGTACTAATCTATTGACAAGGTGCATGCTTTCAACCAAGCGGCCAAGGTCCAAGGTCGTTGGGCTTATTCACCCTTTCGACGCCGCCCCATCGGCCCACTACATCCAGCCGGGAAAGCAGCCCTGGTCTGTATCACCAGATCGGGCATGATTCGACTTCTGTATCAGAACCCGGATGGTCGATGGGCCGAGATTTCTGCGGAATTGAAGAACGCCACCTACTCGGACCGACAGCTGACCCATGCGGCCATAGGGGCCGTTCAGGGCGGCATTCTCGTCGCTACTTATTCGGCATGCCAGAACTTTTGCTTCTACCGGGTGCAGATCAACTGGACTCCGTCACAATGGGACCCGAGTCAGCTGAAGCTAGCGCCGAATCAGTTCCCGGTCCCCAGTTTTCGTTTCATGCACGCAAAAGTCGAAACGTCCTACAGTATACCGTGCACGACCCGGTGGGCAGGACCAAATTCTGGGGCGCTCCCTCCATCCACAAACTCCTTGTATTGCCTGACCCATTTGGATATCTTTTTAGCGGCGCACGACAATTCCGCTGGGATGACGATGAATCCTTGGATCGTTGCTGTTTTCTCCATACCTCCCCATGCTGTGGCCGACCACTCTCAACAGAACCCCTCCAGTGTTATCGTTCGATGGCAATTGGATTCGGCCCCCCCAAAATTGCACCCGAAGTTTGATGAAGTGACTTCGGAGAAGAATAATCCACAGATTAAAGTATGTGAATGTGGACCCCCCCAGAAGCCCCTCACTGACTCCGACGTAGCCAAGGACGGTGCTGTGTCGACTGGATGATATCCAGTGCGATCGATACATTATATCGATAGATCAGACGGAGTTCGGAAATGTCCTTGCCGTTGTCTATGATGACAGTTCCATTGCCTTTTATGACCCAAAGACAATGACTATTATCAATGGACTGGATGACACGAATACAATAACGAGTCTGGTTCAGGGGGGTTTTCGCTACCCGCCCGATTCTCCAGGTGCCATCCCTCGACACTTATTAGTCGGTATAGAGCTGACATTTCATAATAGGGCTTCATGTTGATTTTTCGCCCAGTGGCTGCGTGGCCATGATGCTGGACAGCGACGGACAAGTGCAACTTCGAGTCATGGAGCATTCATACGGGGCGGAAGACGGGCTTCCGGATGAAAGTATGCAATGAGATTGTTCGTGTGGGATAACAATTCATCTAATTGATTTGCTAGATAAACTATCCGCCGCCATCGCCTCTTTGACGCTAGCCTTTTGCCGTGGCTGTGGGAGCGAGCTCAATACAGACGATATACTGATGATTCTAAGACGCCAAGTGTCGCCTGGTAGGTCCTGCTCTTTCCTGTTGGCAATGCGCCTAGTCTAACCTTTCTACAAGACGATCAAGCGACGTTTATCAACGAAGTATATCGCGCGCTGGCTGTCAATTGCAATTTTACCCAGGAAAATGATAAACTTATGAGCCATCAGTATCTTCCTCGTTGCCTCAGCATACAGGCTGCCTTGGGATTCAAGGATAAATACAAGGCACGAAGCTTTGCATCCAATGTTCCCTGGACTATTCTTCAACTCCGCCATGCTTCCGTACTATATGCCTTGTTTCTCCAATTCAACAAGGGAATTCAAACAGAACCTCCAGATGCCGGTATGAACCTAATAACCCATCTGTCTTTCAGCTACTGATAACATGATCTAAAACTAGACGCTTTGCGCATTTTACTCGGAAATACGAAATGGGCCCTGGATTTCCTGAATTATATTCTGAACGAACTGCTCGATCTATCAGACGAGTTTGAAACCGTGTTCTCTGACCAAGAGGCGTTTGCTCAGAAACGTAAGTTCTATTATTTATACCTGGAGTTCGGGGACACTCACAACTTCAGTAAAATCCACAAACTCCCTCCCCCTCGTCATCCTCCTATCCAGCATGTCCCGCGCTTTCCTCCGTTTCATCTGTCGCGGACTCCAAGGAATCTACGCCGGTTACGCCGCCGCCCCTGTCACCGGCGACGCCCGCGTCTACTACGCTGAAGTCTGCCAGACTCTAGACGCCTCTCCGGTGCGAATAGACGTCTACCAGAAATTCATCACCGGCGTGGACACGGCAGTCAGACATGTTTACCACGGTGCCGGGTTCGGGGACACGGAGCGTCCCGGCCCGGAAAGGGAGTTACTCGTCAACGCTCGCATCTCCCCCGTCCTCATTTCCGCCGTCGTGACGATCCTCCGCGAGACCGTGCCGGCGCTGAAACCTGAAATTGACCGCATGGCCATCTACACGGCCGATTATAGCTGGTTAGGACTCGGCACCGATCGTCGCGCTGAGTGCTATCGCAGGGCTCGAGACGTCGATATCATTAAGAAGATGCCGGTACGAGCGCCCGTTTTGCCACCCAATGGCTCGGATCATCATCAGCAGCACCAGGAACATCTCCCTGGGAAATCCACCGGCTTCGGTGCCCCGTCCAAGGGACAGGTCCGTAGGCGATGTGTTCGCTGCTGCGAGGTCTTGTGTGGTACGTATCCGCCTCGTCCGCTGCTTTCCTTCCGCATGATGTATAAATTGGGTTATGTGCGGTATTGTATTTGTGGGGGAGGTTGGGCTCTAGAGTCAGATGTTCATCGGTAGATGGGTAGCAGTAGGGGATGTTCGACCCTGGTGGTCGTGGTGCTGAATGAGGTATATGATATCAATGACTCTTTTTTTCCAGAGTAATTTTACTGTGTTAAGGGGGTACGATGTAACAGGATACCTAAATCAGGGTCCGCTGAGGATTTTAATACGGAACAAAGTAGAAGGTTAAGTGGGCATTTTCATATAGATTCCACAGCTGCACTCCGCAGAGTATGTAAATACTGTAGAACTATGCAGTGTCCAGGTACCAGGAAAAGTATACACCAAACCCATAGTTCCTAGACACTGACGGTGCAAACAAGTCATGATCATTCAAATAAAGCCTTCATTTAGATCGACCTGCATCTTCTTCTAAGATACATAATCAATTTTAAGAAACGATTTTGATGAACCTGACCCCTAAGGTCAGGTTAGGTCAACCCGTCATCTTTATAACGGCGTACCCCGTTCCCGTTTAACTCCATCCAGATCCAGACAAGACCCCGTCTTCATTTAAGCCTGTGAAACGATCAGCGCCGTCTTTTACTTTTCCTTATTACCGATTATTGGTGGATACGCTGATATTGGCTTCTAATTCATACCTTGATAGCGTACTTCCGCTGGGGGAAGTGGATCTGCTGCTTCCTCTTGCGCTCCGTCTTCACGGTGGCCTCGTGCTTGGTGAGGCGGCGGCGCAGATCGCGGGTGAGCTTGGGCCGGAGGTCAAGAGGGAGATACTTCTTGTTCTTGTAGAACAGACGAAGCTGAGCGCGCTGGTTGGCGTTGATGACGGTGAGAATGCGAGCGATCGACTTGCGAACGTCGTGGCTGTATATCTATCAGTATTTGTTCGGTATAGTCGTTTCGTAGAAATTAAAAAGCATCCGGTCGTCTTCTTTCTTTTCCCGTAGTTCTTCTTTCTTTTATATCGCATATCCAATTGTTCCTCCACTCCCGGCGCAGATATTCATGGGTTGATGTAGCAAGGGTGAAACGCACATTCTCTGAGTCTTGGACGAAGCGCCGCCAGCGATCTTCTGGACACGGAGCTGGCTCAGCTCGGTCTTCAACTCCTCCAACTGCTTGGAGAGATCATCCTTGTTCTTTCCCCAGAGCTGACCAGCCTTGACCTTGGATGTCGACTACCAACGAAAAGAAACATCATCAGTATCTGAATTCTCTCCGTACTGAAAAACCAAAAAAAAAAAACCAAAAAAAACACACAAAAATTCAAACAGGGCCATGCAGCGACCGCATGCAACATACCATGGTGGGCGGCTTCGTGTCGTAGCGTACGGTTGTCGACGTGAGGATTGAAGATGGACCCGGGTCAATTTGGATGTTCGTTGTGGGACTAGGGTTAATTTTTTCTGCTGTGGGTTGCGGCGTCTAAGCGGGCACGTGATGTGTGGCTGGTGCGGGATGACGCCGCCTCCGCCTGCCTGGCGTTGGCGATGGAGCCATGGATGGCATGTGTTGAGGTGAAACGGGAGTACGATTCATGTGATGTTGTTCTGTCTCGGTTTATTTTCTTTTTTAGATTTGCTTGCTTGCTTCTATCCTTGTGTCTAGGTTCTTTTCTGTCCTTATGGCCACCTCTACTGGTACTGGGTGGGCTCAACTGCGGCAGCAGGCCCGCTCGCTCGAAACTCAGGTATGCACCGTGTATCCATATTGGTGCAGGAGGCAGTATTCTGATGGATTATCTAGACGGAGAGTGTTTTCCACACATATGCGCAATATGCATCGATGACAAAGCTCCCCGCCACGCCTTCGGAGGAAGAGCTCCGTCTTGAATCGCAACTGAAAGACCTCCTCGATAAGGTACCGTATGAATGAATCCGAGTAGTAGCCACCAAGCAGATCAGATGTCACAAGTTAACCTCATCCCCATCATCCAGCGTGAATCCCTCGTCGCCCAACTCGCCCGTCTCCTCGACTCCGAAGCCACCTTGACCTCCTCCGCCCTGAAGCAGAACAATTTATCCCGTCATCGTGAAGTACTCCAGGACCACCGTCGCGAACTCCAGCGTCTCAAGTCCGCCATCACCGAGTCTCGCGACCGTGCGAATCTCCTCTCCAACGTCCGTTCCGATATTAACGCATACCACGCCTCTAACCCGGCCGCAGCTGAAGCTGACTACATGCTCGAGGAGCGGGGTCGCATCGACGAGAGCCATAATATGATCGATGGGGTTTTGAGCCAGGCGTATGCCATCAATGAGAACTTCGGTCTACAGCGTGAAACGCTGGCTAGTATCAATCGTCGCATTGTCGGGGCTGCGGGTCATGTCCCCGGGATGAATGCATTGATTGGGAAGATCGGATCGAAACGCAGACGGGATGCCCTGATCTTGGGAGCTTTTATCGGGTTCTGCTTGTTGATGCTCCTTTTCTTTCGATGAGTGCAAATTGTGGGGAGTGGAGCACATGATTTCTTTTTTTCTTGCTTTCTTTTGCTTGTGATGTTTGATTCTAGCCTGGTCCATCGTTCGCCGTCTATATTGCTGCGCTACCGGGAAGGCGTTTATGGTATTTGTCTCATTTCTACTGCTATACAGGAATGTTAATTACAATGGGTCTTCGGTGCTTGGTGTTTGGGTTGCTGGCATATTTTCTCATATATCCAGTCTTGATATGTATGTATGTACATAGGCCCATATGGGCTGTATATGATATCAGTCACTGTTTCATGACAACTCTGGGTTTTTGGCTTGCGGATCCATCCCGGGCTCTCGTCTCCCATTCCTGTGCGGGCAACTCGGATTCCATACTGATCTTTCTCTCCTGGAGGAGTTTGCGCAGTCCGTTGTTGAGGGCCTCCAGCTCGGTCTTCTCTGCCGGTCCGCTTCCCGCCCATCGGATACGACAGTTCTCATCCAGGAGGTAGACGTACCCCACCTTGCTATTCATCATTCCAATAGACTCCCTGAGACTATCTGTAAGACCTTTGCGTACCATGAAATACCGTTTGTGTTGCTCCTCGGGTAATTTCGCCCGCATGCGGAACATAAACATCCGGATCAGCCATGCCTTCATCGCATTCTCTTCCACGTTGATATCGACTTTTTGAACGATATCGCTACCGGTTTTGAAAACCTCATACAGGCCCGGATTTTGTTTCGGCCCCGTAAATGTCGCGACTTGCGATTCCGCCCAGACACTGGAAAACAGGTTGACGACCGTCACTTTGCCCCGGAATAGCGCCGTGGTATCCCGTGGTTCCTTCGGTGACGCCAACGTAATGCCACTCAAGTTCGGGAAGTAAAGAGATTTATCTCGTTTGAACAGTCGGGTATTCGAACTGAATGTCTTGCCTTCGTGATAGCGCATATTTGACCATTCTCGGAAGTATGGCTTCGCGACCTGTTTCGTCCTGACGTTTGATTCATGTAGAATTAGTACTAAATGCTTGCTCTTCTCTAGGATAGGGATAGAAGTGTCCGTACAGTTCCTTGCGTCGCTCAAGATGTCTATCGTAATTGACAAAATCGTCTCGTCTTTGTCTCATACTCCGCGAGTCGATTCCGGTATTTTGTCCCTCCTGTGGCGGAATCGCGGACCCGATTGGCCGGTCCAGCGTGGGAGGTGTAAAGTCTTCATCGCCGGGTTCGGGACCAGACGAGGAGGAATGGGAAGATGATGGAGATTTATTTTGTTGGAATTGGATTTTATTGCTTATAGCTGGCTTGGTTGCTCGCGAGCTTTCGTCGCCGCTGGTGGCATAGTAGCGGAGAGACGGCTTTATTTGAGAGACGGTGCGAAACTGGCAACTGAGACAACGCGCTCCTCGTAGGATAGAAGCCTCTGTGAAAGAGGAGAGAAGCACCGACGGCCTCCACATATTGAAGTAGCAGTCAAATCCTGGGTTGATAGTACGCCTCGAAATTCACGAGATTTACCAACCGGGAAGTTAAATTACTTCCGCAGTCCCGTGACTTGGCGACGTTTTCGTGCCTGCTGCAACGCGTGTTGCCTGGTCAGCGTGTCATCCGTCCAATGTGGGTGGTTTTTTTTATCCTTTTCCAAAGGTTGTGCCATATACGTAGCTAAGTCGTCACCTGCTAGGCAGGGAGACGGACTTCAACCCATGGCTCGACTCGTTCGGGAAGGAGTTAAGTTGACCACCTCTTGAGTCGGAAATGGCGCACAAAATTGCAGACAAAAAGGCCTTTTTCGGACAGCTCGAGGACCTGGATCGGCTTTCTGATGACTTGGAGGATGAGGCGATGGATGATTTCTGTCGAGTTGTCGTTCTTTCGAGAAAAGAAAATGAACCCTTGCCTTCAGCTGCCTTGAGCCCTATGTATGCGAACCTGGTGACTTCATCGTGCTCACTTTCGAGTCCTTGGTCTTCCCCAGTTAGCATTACGAGTTCAAGGCAGGAGAGAAATGATTCCGTGAGCAGTGGAGATGCTCAGATTACTGCGATAAAAAGATCAAATACCGAGCCTGTTACGACTGAAAGCGCAAAAACCGGCATGACGACCATTAAGCGAAAGCCGACGTGCTCTTTTAAAGTGATCCCTGAACAACAGCAGTTCTTCAAGGGTCTAGTTTTTTGTGAGTTCTAGTGTTGATAATTATATTGTGCATGCTAGACCTTTCACTGACTTGCTTGTTTCAGACTTCTTCCCGAACAATGACGTTTCACCTCTACGACGTCTACGTATTCAGCGAGCGCAAGAATACGGTGCTCTTTGGGCAAAGGCTTGGGGGGATAACGTCACGCATGTTATAGTTGATAAGGGGTTGACCTTCCCAGATGTCTTGAAACATCTTAAGCTTGAGTCTTGTCCGGTGAGTTGGGACCGGAATTTATAGTTTATATGTCTTCTGACTGGCACGAAGCCCAATATAGCTCTTGTAGATGAGAGTTATCCTTCGGAATGTATAAAGTTTCGGTCAGTTCTCAGTACGTCTCAGGTGCGATTTCGCGTTAGTGGGATGCCTGTGCCCTCCGAATCAAAAGAGCCTGCCCCTCCAAGTGAGCTTCTGGATGGCTCATTGCCATTGAAACCAGCTCGGAGACAGCAGCAACATACCCCAACATTCTCCGAGAACACTCAAACTTTAAGTGGACCGGTCCAAATTACTAGCGAACCAGCAGATGAACCTTATGAACCTTATGAACCACCAGTTCATAAAGCCCATCCTATTCGGCAGCGTGATGCTTTGGAAGAAATGATTAACGAGACTATAGCCGTGAAAGACTTGGTAAGCTTCCGGGAGTTATTATGATGCGGTTCATAGCCCGTACTGATATGATGTATAAGCCTTTAGAGCCTCTAGATGCCCACGAAGATGAAATGGTTGTCGAAAAATCTGATGAAGAGGCTGAAACGTCGGATCCTGGACCAATTGTGCGGAAGAGAGGGAGATCAGTGAACAATAATCAACAAGCCACGGGTAAATGGCAGCAGAAGTTTGCCTGCATGCAGAAACATGGTCTAAAGTCAAATTCGGAAGGGCCAAATACTAGAACTATCGAGGTTCTTCAGCAGATGCTGGACTACTATACCAGGACTGACGACCATTGGCGTGTGATTGCCTACCGCAAAGCAATCAGTGCCCTTAGCAGACAGCCCAGGAAGATTGTGAGTCGAGCGCAAGCCATCTCCATCGCCGGAGTCGGCCCCCGGTTGGCGGACAAGATTGAGGAGATTGTGTTTACGAATCGACTCCGACGTCTGGAGAACACGAACACTACCTCCGAGGATCTCATACTGCAGAAATTCCTCGGTATCTACGGGGTTGGGATTTCGCAAGCTTCGAGATGGGTTGCTCAGGGCTATAAGTCACTTAAGGACCTGAAAATGAAGGCCAAGCTGACTCCAGCGCAACGGGTCGGGGTCGATCACTACCAGGACTTTTCGCAGCGGATTCGACGCAGCGAGGTCGAGGCGCATGGGGATATCGTCCGAAAGGCCGTACAAACGGCCCATCCGGGCATGCAAGTCATCATCAGTGGCTCGTATCGACGTGGGGCGGCTGACTCGGGAGACATCGACCTGCTCATCACCAAGTCTGACACATCCATCGAGCAGATCCGGACGACGATGATGGATGTCGTGGTGCCCCAGCTGTTTCGTCAGGGATTTCTCCAGGTTAGCCTGGCTAGCACGTCGCGAGGAGATGGATCGAAGTGGCACGGGGCAAGCAAGCTGCCAGACAGCCCTGTCTGGCGGCGAATCGATCTCCTCTTTGTGCCGGGATCGGAGATTGGAGCTGCATTGATATACTTCACGGGGAATGACATTTTCAACCGGAGCATGAGGCTTCTGGCCCGAAAGAGGGGTATGCGGTTGAACCAGCGGGGGCTGTATGCGGACGTCCTACGTGGGTCAGGACAGGTGAAACTGACCATGGGTCACCTCCTCGAGGGTCGCGATGAGCGACGCATCTTTGAAATATTGGGGGTTCCATGGTGGCCTCCTGAGCATCGCATATGCTGAGTGTTTGTATATTTATTCCCTGCAGGAGTCTCGAGGTGTTTCCTGCTTCCTTCCATGGAACTAGCTCTCTTTTTCTTTTATTTTTCTATCTATCAACCAGCTATGTATTGAAATGCTGACTGGGTGTGATGTTGGGATTAAATCATCAAGAGTGGGAAGGTTTTATATGTGTTGTGTTCAGGACTCCAAGAAGGCCAGAATTCCCTGAATGATAATTACAAGGTGATACGAAAGCTACCCATTTTAAGGCTCCGGGGATACCTCTCTACCTGTGGTTTCTCTTCTTCACCTGTATAATGCTACATGCAGAAGTTATGTTTCAACCATGAGAGTTGCACATAATATTTGGAGCTATTTGAGTATAATGCCCTACTCGACAATTTCAATGACCACCTTCCCAACAGGATCATGCAAACAATAGATAGTTTCAACATCATTAGCGAATTTTCATTGCTGCCTCCGCCAGAGTCACATTTTTTAATGCCTGGGTCTGGATAATACTGATCATGTAATTCTCCCCATAGTCACCCGTCGCATGCACAATGACATTCTCCCCGTATCCACAGTCAGTTTCGTCCGGTCCTGCCTGATGGTAATCTTCAAAACTCTCCCGAGTGATCTTATTCTCCTTCGACAGCAGAGCCGTCTTCGCATAGGCTCTTGCCTCCATGTACGTAGTGAAGACAGCCTCCACACTCATGTCCCGCACCATGGTGGTGTCCTCGTCCCCGTTGTACACGACAATGGTCTCGATCACGTAGTACAGCGGGATCGATACACGCCAATCGTCCAGATCCGTAGTGAGTCGTAGGTTATTTGGGGTCGTGTCGATGCGCACCCGGAATGTGGTTTCATCGGGGGCGACGGCATAAACAGCAAGTCCAAGATGTTCTGCTAGATTCTCCTCAAACATTTCCGGACTGGTCTCGTACTCGTTGAAAAACCCGCGTTCATATCCGGCATCGAATAGACAGCTGTGGGCCGCTGCCTTGGCCGCTCCCAGTGAGGTGTAGGTCCCTGGGATGCGCACTTTTTCTACCACATTGTATGGATCTTTAGCGATGTGCGACGTGGTGAGGAGCACATGGTAGAGATTGTCAGAAACAGGTCGCTTGATGTTTGCCATTTTTGTCTTGTCGATGGTTATCTAGAGATAGGGTAACGATGTCCTTCTCACGGTCGACTATGCATTGATAGAACTTGTTAGAGAATATAGATGGGTACAGATACTCTGTACTCCTACTCATGACGGTATACTATCGTCAATTATCGAACAGTCTAGATGCACTCCTCTCGCTTCTGGTGACTAGATCGAATGGCTCTTGTTTGGTCAGGAATTTCGTTCCGACGAGGCTTGCCTTTTAAGTATGATATAGCCACGGAACAAGACCAAGTGACTCTCCAGACATAAGAGCTGGATTCCGTATGCGTCTAATTTATTCAGTCTGATTTTATGCTGTGTAGAGTCCTCATACCGTCTTTATGATTGTCAGTAGCATAGGAGAGAGAACAGTTCAGCTGGGTAGCTGAGAATGATGGACTATGATAGATCTCTGTCTGTATTTTAATAGATTTTAGTTTCGTGGACTTTCTTGAATTTAATTATTTTTTTAGGCGCTTGCAAAACATATCTACCATCTCATTTCCTGTTTTGGCAATGACGTGAGCCGGATGAGGATAGTATAGGAGTCAGCTGTTGGTATAGAGTGTTACCATCAATAACTATGCCATTGATAACTGTTTGGTTGGCCCTTGCAGGATTAGAGCAGTCAGTTGATTCATGACAGATAATATCAAACCTCAGACCGACTTCTCTGTGTGCCTTTGATAGCTGCAGGTCAGCTGGAGTTGACGATGGACGATGCATCCGCTGTAAGAACTGTAAAAAGCGGTCACTGGAAATTACCCCGAACCATATTTTTCATTTCGATTTTTATTTATTATTTTTTACTTTCTGGCAGAGGACAAACGTAGTACAGCAGTGACTTGGCTCACATACCAGTGATGGGACATAGAATGGACAGTCCCTGAGACAGGAGACACTGTTCCTGACCAGACTGCCCTGTGAACACTCTATCAAGAGCCGTTTATATCTACAAACTATTGATTCTCTTTTCTTTAACTAGAGAACTATATTTTCTTCTCGTCACCGATCTCATCACCGCCTTTCATGCGGTGAAGCACATCCCAGTCCTCGTGACTGATGCCAGGCGGCAACTGCCAGACCGCCCGTGCAAAAGTTGGCGTTTTGCCGCTACTTGTACCATCATTATTCCCTTCATCCCACTCTAACACCTCGTTCCAGTCTCGCGTGCCTCTCTATCGTGCTCATCGTTCCTGCAATCTCAATCCCTTCTGGAACCTCCTTGTTCTCATTGTCTCTGAATATTCTCTGCTGGGTCTTGGCAGGTGGTTGTGCCCACAACCCTCTGCGTGGCCACTGCTATTTTGCCGTCCGTCCCACCCCTCGGTTCCCTCTTGCTTGTGTGCGTCACGCTTCTTTGCATGATTCTCGGTCTTTTGGCCTGTCGCGCATCAGGAGAAGAAGAAGAGTCTGACTGGCTGAGATATCTGGAGGCGTGAAATCCCCCTACGTGTTGGTGGATTTCCGAACTTTTCCTGTCGAGTCCTTCCTTTTTTTCTGCCACCCTTTCCTCCTTCTGTCGCACCCTTCAGCATTCAGCATGGGTCGCAAACCAAACCAGCTCATCCTCGAGTTCTTCATTCGCGGTCAGAAGCTCGAGGATGCCAGTAACCGTTACCAGCACACGTGCAAGGCGTGTGGCGAGAAATTTCCCAAGGGCCGTATCGATAGTTTGACCAACCATCTGGTGAAGAAGTGTCAAGCTATCCCGTTGCGTGATCGACAACGCGTCTTGCTGCGTCTCCATGAGCTCCCCGACCTTGCCGATGGCGACCAGAACAAGGACCCGAATCTTGCTGCACAGAATAAAGGCAAGGGGGTGGATCTGCCATTTACCACGCGTCAGAATTTCGATGGCCTCAATGTGCTGGCGGAGGCTTCGAGACAGGTCGGTGCTTCCGATCAGGGCAAACGGGGCGGCCCTGCTGCATACACCCAGTCGGTCACCGTTGGAGGTAAGACCGTCGTTGTTGACCCTGCGCTCGAAGCCGAGGGCTTTCAGGGTCACCCCGCCCAACCAGAACATGCCGAGGAAGACGTGAAGCCACCTGGTACGTGTTTCTTTGTTTCTTTCTTATTTCTTTTTTTGCCTTGGGAGTGCTTCCGTTTCCTTGTTTGTCGTCGGCTTGAATTCGTGTCTTCGGTGGCGCGCTAATGGAAAACAATGTCCCCAGTGACACCTCAAGCTTCCACTGCGACCCTACCATCCCTTCCTAATACTTCGCAAGTTGATCAGCCGTCATCCGCATCTCCTCCGTTGGCGGAGGCTTCGTTGACGCCTGATCCGGCGACTAACGCCCGTCAGTCACAGCTCTCCATGATCGCAGCTTCTGCTAGCGAGATGGTGCCTCACGGGCTGCCGATGGATCATGATCCTAGCGATGGACTGTCCAAAATGGGTGCCCCGTGGAATCAGCAGCTGTCGACTCAGGAACAACTGTTGTTCGACAGTCTTCAGGAGCATGACCCTTCTTTGACTGCCGCGACGCAACGCGCCGCTACCTTCCCTCGTCCTATCGCGATGAATCCCAACTCCCAGACGAAGGGGTTCGTCAACGAATTTGGCAACTCGACCAAGCCGACAAAACCCAAAGTGCGCGGACGGTTTTCCGCTACCAGGCGTAGGGAGGTCCAGGAAGTCAGAAAGCGGGGCGCGTGTATTCGGTGTCGGATGTTGAAGAAACCTGTATGTTTGGCGGTGCATACCCCTATCGTAGTGGTTTGACCCTAACACACTTCCTAGTGTTCTGGCGATAGTCCTTGCACCACCTGTGCCAGTGTCGAGAGTGCGCGCCTGTGGAAGCACCCATGCATTAGAACGCGTATTGCGGAGGAGTTTGAGCTGTACAACGCAAGTATGTGTAGTTCCTTGTCTGGATCTGATTTTTGCCGGACAGAACTGACCACACCGCCATGAATTTTTCAGATTTGCACGCCACCCTTGCTTACCACGATGTGAGTAGCATCCGAAACCAAATCAAATTTGAGCATTACGCCGGGCGCATTGAGGTTACACACTTCGAGGAGAGCATGGTCTATGTCACTTTTAGCGCTCTCCAGGGCCATAAGCCGTCTGCATCGACCCTCGATCCCCAGCTTCAGGGTCTTGGAGACGACTCGCAGTTCCAGGGACCCCTCTCCGAGCTTTATCTACTGGATAGCGACTCGGATGATTTACCTGGCAAGCTTGAGATGTACATTAAGAAAACCGCGGCGTTCTTCTACGAGCGAGAAGCTTCAGACTTCATGAGACCGACCCTGATGCTAGCGGCTGAGTTGAGTCAACAGAAGAAGGTACGTTTGATGCTGGAGTAAGGACGCTGAAATCATGCTCATTTGTTTCTAGGATGTATTGCTAGAGCGAGTGCTGGAGTTGTGGGTAGCAACTCATATTCTTTCCGACTCCGAATTATCCTGGAAAATATTCTACAACCCCACGCTTCCTCCGACTTCAATGAATTCCCTCGCACAGCCCTCGGACGACGGGCGTATGCCGATCGATCAGATGAGCAGCGCCGAGTCTTACGCACTTCTGTGCTGCCAGTTGCGCGCGGCCACCGAGAAACGTGCGTCCCAGCTGAGCAAGTCGGTGATGAATGACCTCGAGCGACGACTACTCCAGCGCCAACAAAGTGGCTGGTTTGAGACATTCTTGGTCTCCATCATACTGCTGAACTGTGTGGAGCGCACCTGCTGGCTGTTCCGCTCATGGGACAACGAGGCTTTTTCGCAGCGGGTAAGTGATGACCACGACGGATCTTGACGAACCGCTCCCTCTGACGTATATCGCAGTGGCCATTGGACAAGCGCCCTCCTTATTATGCAAGTCAGGGCGATCGCTTTTCAGATATCTTGCACATGCTGCTAAAGATGCGCAGCTTGCCGCCCAAGGCCAGTCCCCGCCCCGACAACGGCGTTTTGAAGGCTGTGGATGGGAGCGACGAGAACGCATCTCGCTGGTTTGACATGATCAAAATCACTCGTACGTATACAGCCTCTGGGATAGGAGTGAAGTAAACTAACTTTTGATCAGCTCTCTTCCTTGAACAGCGCCAGGCTACCGTCTTTGATCCCAACGATTCTCGCTCTCTCGATCTTCAATACGGAGCGAAACTGTTACCCCCTACAAATGTTTACACATGATTTGGTGCTGGTTTACGGGGTAAGGTTGAATTGAACGATATGATCATGAGGATTTGAATTCAGCGGGCTAGTATGATGGTTTTATTTTTTATTTTTATTTTTCTTTCTTTTCATTTTCTGTGCCGGAAGGAGACTGGAGGAGGAGCTCACTTGAACCAAGCAAGTCATGGCTTCTATTACTCAAACCTGAGTACCTGAATTGTAATTTAGTTCTGTGATTCGGTCACATGGACCTTTCTTTCTTTTAATAGTGCTTCAATATTCACTGTACTGATCTTAAGAATAGTGGTGACCTATTCAAGTTCGATCTCACAATTGCAATTCCCGAGAACCGAGAACTGCGAACCAGAAACAAGAGAAAAACTCGTGATGATCATAATTATACTCATAATCATGGTAATGATGTTATAATAAAAAATACCTTCCAATCTCCATCGCCCATCCAGCAAGGAATCAATACCAAACAACGAAAAAAAAAAGAAAGAAAGAAAGAAAAGAAAAAAAAGGTTCCAAAGAGAAAGATCTAACCAATCTACCAACCCTTAAGCACACCATCAAAAAGAATAGCCGGATTCTCACTAACAGGTCTGATCCCCAACACTCTAAAATCAACCTCATTTGGTCCCTCAGCCCAATCGCGCACAGTAAATCCATAATCGGAATCCATATCGTAGTCAATGATGCTGGGGAAGCCGATCCTGAAGCCACAGCTGGCACTGGCGGTACTGGTAGAAGTTAAGGGACCGGGACCGTGTCCGCGACCGAGGGTGCCAGTGTCGGGATCAGAAGAAATGTGGCTGTCGACCCAGCCTATGATGGCACCGGGGACTTGGGAGCGGGAGTCGGAGTAGTCGTAGTCGCAGCCGTCGGTGTGCCAGTTGTAAATGGAATTGGAATTGTATCCAGGCAGGCCCCTGACGACGGTGGCGGTATTGTGTTCGTGAGGACCAACGATCGTAGTAGGGGCGGGAGTCGAAGCAGGAGTCAATACGGGGGACTTGGGAGATGGATATGGAGAGTCATCGCAGGTGGAGGATGAACCCCAGTGAGTGACTTTAGGGCGGTAGGTCCAGGAGGAACATTCGTGTTTGATGTTCCAGCCGTCATTGTTATTGTCATTGTTGTCATTGTTGGTGGTCACGTAGACAGGGGCTTCGTAGGGGGTTTCCGCGCAGGCATTGACATTGGCATCGTTGACAGAAGGACACCAGCCAGAATGGTCAGTGGTAGGCTCGGGGGCTCCCTGGTAATTAGAGAAGTCGATAGGAGTAAGGGCGGTCCATTCGCCCACAGCAGTGCGCCCGCCATAACGGTCAGTGACAGACACGGGAGCTTCACTAAACCAGTCATGATGGTCGGTGGCAAGCTCGGGACTCTCGCTATCCCAGTCATGATGGTTAGAGATGGGGTTGTTGTGAGCAGGGGGGGCGGCAGTCCATTCAGCGACAACATCAGCGAGCTCAGGTTTGATGTTATCGGCGGAAGAGGCACCAAAGGATGCAGAGTCTACGACGGAGGACCTCTTTTCAAGCAAGACGAAGTAAAAGTCTTTGACATCATCGGTGAAACTCAGGTGGAAAGTGCTAACTCTGTGTCAGTATATAGGTGGAGGGAAAAGAGGACAGTGGATCTCGATATAGACTTACAAGCCTCCGAAGGTGGCCTCGTCATCACTGATCACTCCGGAGACACGGGTCAACAGAACAGGATCGATCACAAGGTTCTTGCGGCCCTCAGCAATGATAGGGCAGTTCTTGGTCAGAGGGAGACCGGGGAAGTTGAACAGCCGGAATTGAGCCCCATCCTTGCGGAAGATGAGGAGTTTCTTTGAATCCTGAATTTGATTCAGTAATGATGTTTGTAGAGGAAAGAGAGATTCTCACAGTCATGTTGATTGTAGTTATTCAGTTTTTTAGCGATGAGTGGAATCGTTTATGGATTGAGTTGTAAAATTGAAGGAAAGATGGACGAAGGAGAGAATGTTAGGAAGAACAGAAAGAGAGGGGGAGGGCAGTAGATATTAATATAGCCTCCTAAGCTATTTCAGTGACAGCCAGACATCACCAGTGAGTTATGGCAGGTGAATAGAGAAGAGAATATGTACGGATATCAGAAAAAACAGGATCAAACTGGCGGGTGAATACCAGACAGCAGCAACAATGGAAGAAGAATCACGGATCAGTCCACATATCCCAGGGACCCTTACCCAATCCAATCTATGCAACAGGGAATCTGAAAGGAAAGCGACACATTTACCAAAGAAAAACAGTAAATCTTATCAACATCATCAACGCACCATGCCACATTAACCTAGCCCTGGTCCTATTTAAATGAGAAGATACGGAAGATCCTGCACCACATTCAGATACCTGTCGAATCCTGTGGATGAAGCTGATCCCTCGCCTGCTCCAGAACCACTGCATAATACTTGCCCTCTTCCGAGGTATCATGGTACGGGCCAGCGGAAACAACAGACCTGAGGCGCTAGTTAGCGCTCTGCTTGCTCATACGTTGACAGGTGCACGGATGCATATGAATAACTGCATGAATTGAATGAACATACCACCCCTTGTACTTTGGTTGGTTGAAGATGTCGGTGAATGCCTTTAGAATGCGCAGCGGCAGCTCTAGAATCGAAGGTAATTCTGGTCCAGGCCCACAAATGGGAAGACCCAGTTTATTAACAGGTAGATACACAGTCTCTGTGGCTTTTTGTGGATTCCGCGCCTCTTGGAAGATAAGCAGCCGGCGCACATGTTGTGGGGAACCCATGATTGTCCGTCCACACTCTGAACGCTGAAGTTAATGGTGGCGTGTTGGTAGATCTGTCAGTGGAAAAGACTATGCAGGTCCGTGTGGGTTTCTTTCTCTATAGTTCCCTGGATCACTGTGTGCATAGATCGTTCACGTGCCTTCGCTGTCTCCCAAGGTGGAGATGGGTCTGATGAACGGTGAAAAGGGCTTCATCTAGGAGATGAGAATGCTGCCTTCTGGGTTGGTTTGTGCACAAGCAACGCGATTTTCCTCTTGGGGGATTAGTCAGCGACTCCACCTCGCAGCGATTCTTTTTTTATTTATTCTGGATCATTGCTTTGATTCAGACCGTTCTATACATTAGATAGTTCATTAGAATAGCAGTGGGCTGGTCTCAGAGAAAGCCCTCTTTGGTATAATCTTATATATACGAAGAACTATAGAACAGGTGCTAAAACAAGATAGAAAACAAAAAGAGAGACAGATATCAAAACATCAGGGTATCAAGAATCAAAATTCCGCCTCCGTTGACCACGGCCGCAGTAGAAACACAAGGAAAATGGCCAACTGCAAACCAACAATTCACCATCTGGTTAATCGTTAGGGTCAAACGGGTCTAAAGCCCCCCACCTAAGTATCAAGCTCACCATCAAGGACACGCCGAGCGGCGTCTAGTCGCCATCTGAGCAGCCGTACGAGTTTCGGATCCGGGTCCGCAGAGGTTGTGATAGTCTGGAGGTCCATGCAGACATCCCCCAGACTCTTAAATAGGTTTTCTAAAAGCCGCGTGTCGTCGCCGTTGAGACCCATGTTACCTCTTTCTGCAGAGCTCGGATGAGAGCTAGAAGCTGCCCGCACCGTTGACACGAGAGACGAAGCCAGGGCTGTTGGGGTGGCGGACCCCGTTGTCGCAGAATCCGAACGTTGGGACGTCGACCGTGCATCTAAATACAGGTGCTCTTCACCATTGCTTACGCCATTCCGTAAGCTGAGTTGTCTCCGGATTGCCCGCGGAGTGCCCATCTGCTCAGAATCAGCGTGGTCTGGATGATACTGTGCCGCATCTTCGTATCCATGATAGGGATGGTGCTCAAGCATTTCTGTCCCATCGTCAGTGCCAATCGGACATGGGGCAAAATGAAGAAGTCTCACCTGCATTGAATCTCCTATCCCAGTAGAGCACGCTTTCTATGTCGTCACGGTCACCTTCTATTGCAGTCGCAAAAGTCGCTATTGTGGAAACCGACGCGCCGCTATTTGCCCGGGAGTGACGGACGAGCTGACGGTCATGGGTCGGGCGTGTGGTTTCAACAGATGAATTTGATGCCTCACTTCCTCGACGCAGCCTGCTCTGCGTGTAACTGCCCAGAGCGCTGTGGAGGATGAAATTCTCGTAGTCAAAGGCGTCTTCGCGTTCCTCGTGAGGCCTAGAGTCGTTGCTCTGGGGGACGGCGGGAAAGGCTTCTAAAGGATCTTGTAGGTCATCATCCAAAGGCTCACGCAATATCTCATTCAACGCCTCCCGGTCGATCTCCGAATTTGACGAACCGTCCGTGTCATATTCACCCTCCTGTGCGTCTTCGTAGAGACTTTCAGCGACCGATTGGCCATCATCATCCTTGTTTGGCTGGTAAGCCTTGGAGTAAGCCATCGATTGAGATTTGACACCCAACTCCTCACTGACGTTTGGGCCGGAAGGCTCCTGCCCATCTACAGCGGAATCTAGCTCGCCGATAGATCGCCTCTCCCGGACGTGCTCGGGGGTATGTCCACACCCCGGGCTTACGATGCTATGATGGTCTTTCGATTCCAGCGGAGTATTATGCCAATGCTCTGTCGCGGTAAAAGGGCTCGGCGTTCGCAGACTCTGTAGACTGCGTCGACGTAAGTTGTCCTCTTGTGCTTTGACCTTCAAACTGGATATTTTGATGTGTAATCCCTTCATCTGATCTTGAAGATCTCGCACCTGGAGCTGCGATTGCGACCGGGACGATGAATCATGGGAAGGGTGAGCTGAGTTGAACTCCTCTGCGCTCGACGCCTTATTCCCACTTTCCTCCGTTGAAATCCCCAAGCCTCTAGATGTATCAGACAATATGTGCTCTTCCGCCAGGGTTGGATGCAAGGCATTGATGGACGACCTGTGGGTGAGATACGCCCTGTTCGGTGCATACTGAAACGAACGTTCACCGTTATTGAAATTCGACGTAGTGCTCGATCCCATGGCGCTCACTGATCGGGAGGGGTTGAGATCGACAACCGAGAGACTCGCCGATGGGACGTTGGTCTCACTGTATACCCGTGAATGGCGATTGCTGGGAAAATCCTGAGATGACGTATATGTCGCACGAGGACGGAGAGCGGACGGCCGTCGATCAGTCCGGGATATGGATCGGTACAGGCCGCCGACAGGCTGGCCCATGCCAACGGACGGTGTTGGCGACGTCGGCAGCAACGGGGATACCCGCATCGACGAACGAGCTCGTGTTAGGTTACCTTCCATAAGCTACCATGGTACAGTCAGCCAGGAGAAAAACAAACTATATCTACTCAGCATTTGACCTACCGTAAGTCGCTGCTTTGCATTCTCGAGAATTCTTTCTGCTTCACTGCTCAAAACCACCGATGACATTTCATCTACGGGACTCCCTTCTTCCGTAGTTGACACAACACTCAATCGTGAACTGTCGCCATTGGTACCCGTCTCGATGGCACGCACCTTTTCCCTTAATTGATCGTGACCCATGCTGTGTACCTCGTGAGAAACCGCTGGACCATTCGCACGCACCTTCGTCTCCTGCGACGAAGCTTCGCTAGCGCCACTAATTGTCGAGCTAGACGAGCTGCTCCACGTGCCCGTGTCCTGATTCTCGGTCTCCTCGACGCGATGCGGAAGCGGCGACCCTGCCAGTCCATCGTCGTGCTCTATAACACCTGGATTTCTCACTGACAACCCGGATAGGTGCGTCGCTGACGAAGCATCCTCCTCCCCGATATCCGATAAGCGGCGACCGGCTTCATGCCCCTCGTGCTGCCACGTATGACGCGGGAAACCCTTCTTCTGCGGTCGGTTCGCGGGCGCATGTATACCATCTTCTGTGGCATCTCCACCGAAATCAGCGGGATACTGTTGGGATCCGTAGAAGGACTGTAGATGGGAGAGGGAGGGCAGGTTAAAAGGAGGCGACGGAGTGGACGATTCACGCTCTTTCTGGTCGAACGGTAAAATCATATCCGGGTTCGATAATGTCGGCGACGGAGGGATCGGTGGGGGATATCGCGGAGGATGCGAGACATCCTCCACAGCAGAGAATGTGCTGTAGGGCATTTTCTTGGTCTAGGTATGGGGCCAAGAGAGGCGCGATGAGCAGACGATAACCCGAATCCCAAGGGACGAAGCGATGTACCACCACTCAAAACAAGGCCATCTGAACTGGGGAAGATACCGTCTGCTTCTTCTTAAGGTACCGTATCTGCTAGTCAAATGAGAGAGCGAGGGGGTGGGTGGGATTATTGAGCTGTAGGTGGGATGTAGATGCAGTCGCAATAAGCAAAAGATGCGAAACAAGTCAGTCACGCAATTAAAATAATATTAGAAATGCCAAGATGAGAAGGAGAGTAGAAAAAGAAAAGAAACAAATGAAAGAATGAAAGAACAAGGGAATGTAATGTGGATTAAAACCTAGGGATTAACTGTAGGCACTGTAAGAAGATCAAGACAAGAAAAGAATCACGACAACCAACTTAGAAATCCTATTCGTTGTGATTAGTTTCTTTTGTTCCTGAACAAATAGCCCGTTCCTCGTGTGCTAACTCTTTTTTTCTGCCCTTACTGTCCCCAAAATGGTATGGATCTGAGCCCTGGCGATGGACCGTTAAATGCCCGGTCGCATATAATAATAATACTAAGTACAGAGTAATACATAATACCAATAACAATAGAAAAGAATTCCTTAGGGCCGTACCATTTGGACCACCGTCATCAACATGGGGGCCAAGTGGTCGTAAGTTATTGTTGCTAGTGTTTACTTCCTATAATAAGCAGCGTTTTGGTGGAACCGTACGGTACTAGATACTCTGTACTGGTTGAGGACCATTGACAACTCTCAGACAGCAACTCTCAGACATCACCGCTGCACTGGAAGTGGGCCACATTAAAAACCACCTGCAGGAGATCATCATCACTGAGAGATTAGATGGTTCATAAAATAAGCTCCTCTGTCCTTGCGCCCAGCGTCAGGAGCGGGTGGGTTGTATGAGCCCCTGAACGGAGAGAGTCGGATTATTGGTATTTTGTATCATAACGGGATGTTCTGAATAATTTGTTTATTTTTAATTAATTAATTAATTCTTTGGTTTTTCTTGTAGATTATAGACACACCTACGAGGCATAGGAAACTAATAGGAAATATTCAAATGCTTTTCTAGCTCTCTTGGTCCTAAAACGATCTCAGACCCTGTACAGATGAAAGATGCCAACCCGATTCCTAAACACATAAATAAGAGCCAACATTATAGAGTATACTGTCAAAAAACATACATCTATATCACCTAATCGATCAGATCTTTTCCAGCAGCAGTTTAGCACCACTACCGGCAGGGCCAGCCTTCTTCTTGTCATCCTTTCCAGTCGCCGCAGCGGCCTTCTCCAAGGCCTTCTTGCCCTTCTTCAGCGTCTTCAACAGCTCGCCCTTCTTTTCAAATTCATCGGACTCTGCAAGGGCCACCACCACGAACGTGTTGGATCCCGTGGCCCAAGACATAATTTCATCCTTGATCTGCTCATACAGCAACGCGTGGAAGTTCAATGGCGGCTGCACCTTCTCCACAGCCTTCTCGGCACTGTTGAATCGCCCACCTTGGACGAGAGACTTCAACAACCGGCCCACAAATGGCGAGTCCTGGGTGTCGGATCGGGATTTAGCGGCAGTGGCCACCGCGGACAAGGCAGCGCTCTTGTCGCCGTCAGCATCGAACAGCACCTCGGCAATAAACTGGCAGCCAAAGCTGGTCTCCAGCAACGAGTCTGCGCGTGCAGCAATAAACCCAAGGAGATTCGAGGATGCAGCCTTCACCAGCTCTTGGCGTCGAACTGTCGGGTCCTTCTTCGAGGTTTCCTTGCGCACTTCCCGGATCTCCTTCAAGATTTCCTGATCGGCCTCGGGAAGAAGCCATTTCACTCGGTCTCCGGCGAATGGAAACAACACGGGAATCCGAGCCGTCAGGTCGGTCACCTGGAAGAGCAGCTCCTCATTGCGCGTTTCCTCCGATGCGTTCTGATTCAGTAGCTCCGTGAAAATCAGTTTAGAGGTAAGCTTGGTGTCATCAATGACTTCATATGCTGCCAAAAGCACCATGTGCCCATGGAGATCACCCGCCATCATCTTGATAGTATCCTTGTAGAATCGAGTAAGTAGTTTCCGGTCCTTGGCGTTAGAATATGCCAAGCTCAGACACATCAATCGCGAACCAGGTTTGGTGAAGGCCAGGTTTTTCACCAAATCCCCTTCTTCGTCACCCTTTAGCAACTCGATAAACTCATTAGCCTCTGTACTGCCCGGTTTTGTGTTCAGGAAATACTGTAGCATAGCATCGTGCAGCAGTGTGAATCCGGTGTTTTTCTTCTGAATAAGTTGGTTGATGAGTTCGTGAAGGTAATGCATGATGGGAGACCTCTTCTCAGGGTGTTCCTTTAGGATCTCAGAGAGGTCTGCAGATGGTTTTTTATCTGTCTCCCTGAAAATCACAAACTCCGGCCCATACCATTCCCGGAGGATAAGCGCCTTTTGTTCCGGCGTAGCAACCATTCGGTAAATATCATCAAGAATCCAAGACGCTTCCGGATGACGGATGAGCCGTTTCACCTTACCATAAAATTCTGGGATAATCATGTCCCGGGTCTCGTTGTCCCCATGAACAATCATCTTTCCGATCAGGAACTTGGCATATCGGCTTTGTGCCAAGTCGTTGAAGTGGCCCTTCAATTCTTGTGCAATCTGCTTCCGCTGCTCGCTGTTCGCATACTTCAGCGCGGTCTGGATAACGCGAACTGAATCGTGCTTGAAAACGAAATCCCTGACACGTCCAGTAATAATTTCAAAAAGCTCAGCAATGAGCTTCTTCCTCTCCTCGAGTGGAACATGCGATTTACGACGCAGACGCTCCCACAGCTGTTTCGAGCGGATAATTATATCGGCGTTGGGCCTTGCGGCTTTGCGCTCTTGCAAAAGGGCCTTCTGTTTGGCATGCGATTCGCGAGATGAGCTTCCATCTAGAGAGAGAAAAAAATGTTAGTCCAAACTCGAATCAGCGACTGAAAGTAATGCAGGCATACTCTTCGCAGGCTCTTCAGATTTCATAGATTCCGCGCCAGAGTTTGGCTTCTTCTCTGTAGCTTCAGTATCTTCACTGCCCTCTTCTTCGTCATCCAATTCGTCCATGTGAACATCTTCATCATGAAATCCCTCTTCCCTATCGATCTCCGAATCCGAGATATCGTCAACGTCAAAATCATCTTCATCCTCTGATTCCTCTTCTAACTTCTTCTTTTTGGCAGACTTTTTATCATCCTTTCCGAACTTTGCGCTCTTCTTCGACTCGCTTCGAGGAGTAGTTTTCTTAACTGATGTAGATTTGTCTTTCTTCGTCGGGGCGGCCGTCTTCGTCTTCGTGCGTTTGCCGTCGCGCCCGTCGCCGCCGTCAACAGAACGCTTCACTCCAACCATGGTGATACCTCTTTGTCTTTTTTTCCTTGGAAAATAATTGGATAGGCAGAATAGTGAGGAATCACTAGTGGAGAGAAAGTGGTATGTCACCGGCTCGATAATTTTCTGCTCATTCACTCCCGCGGAGTGGCTTTTTTTTTTTTTTTCGGGCGGTAAAGTTTGCATGGTTTGCACTACTGATAAGCATTAAGCACTATAAGCAGCATCATGCGATAATACGGATTCCATAGAAAACGATGGTGAGAAAATAAGACATAGGAGAAGAGACAAACGTATATGTAAAGCAAAAGAGCTTTAATTGAAGCATTATATTAATTTCGCTACAAGCAATCGCGTTGTATAAAGCAATGATGGTCAAATGAAAATCATCCAACAGCCAAGGAACCAACACGGTTCTAGAGAGTCGCATATCCCATTAATGTCCCTTCAACGCCCAGTAATACTCCGTTTATAATTATGCTCAAGGGCTTCAGCCCTCACGCACCTCTGTCGCTACGCCGGGCGACGGTGGCTTCATGGCGCCGAGTTCGGAGCCTACATTGCTTTGCCCTCGTTTCCTGCCAGGGATATGAAAGCCCAGGTGAGAGGCTTTGGAATTCGGCGTTTGTGAGTCGCTTGTGAAGTCGCCGAGTCGGGAAAATATGCCTTTTTTCTTCGGCTTCTCTTCTTCTTCCAGTCCCACGTCTTCAAATTGTTCCTCCTCCATAGATTCGGGTTGTTTCCTAAATCCGGTATGCACGGCAGATGTCGATGTTATGCGAGAGAAGCGCGAGTCAAGTGACGTTCGAGATGGCACCGTGTCACAGTAGCTCACTGGAGAGCGGGCGGAGATGTCCTAGGAGGTTAATGTTAGACTTCTCTGTATAAATAATCTATATTCGCTTTCGTGGCCGAGAAAGCGATTTAGAGGGAAACTAACGAATGACCGGCGGTATGAATCAAACGATTCGCGGGATATAGAAAAGGGTTCATTATCGTCAACTAAACATCGGTGATTCGATGATTTCGATGAGCCCGGATGCCGATGCCAGAAGCTCTGCTTCTCCGGAGGAGATGGCTATTTACATATAATTAGCCATTTCACAATCTCAGGTATTCGTTCAGCACATCGTCGGGGGCGGGTAATATGTACCGGAAGATAAGCACCATTGTCGTCGACAACTACAGGTCGATCACGAAGTTAGCGGGATCGCATTATATTCAATATGGAGTGAGATAGACCATACCACTCAATTTATATTCGACCGGTTCATTATCGGAGCTTTTCCTGAAACTCAGAGCCGTCGAACTGTGACTCTCTGTGGATAAACGGCCGTTAGGATTGCTATCAATCTCCCCGCCATTGGGCGCGGCGGACTTTTTGGCCAAGAAGTTGCGGAACGGAACCATATTCAAACTAGAGGGGAGGTGTGCTTGCGCGGGAAAGAATCGGTCGGACACGGGCTTCCGAGACCAGCACGAGTAGAACTAAGATCCCGGAGGACTGAAATCTCTAGAAGGTGGGTACTGGAGAAAGGGCGAGAAGGTGGGCAAGTTGTAGGAAACAAAATCTCACATGATCGGCGGTTCGGCGTCGGTACAAATTATGAGGTGGTGGTCCGCCTGAATGTAAGGCAATTGGATAACTTATGGGCGATCTTGAGGGGCGAATAGTTTCGGTTTCATTGGCCACTAAACTAATTTCTCCGTGGTCAGGGCGAGATTGTCGCCCCACTCCTAATCCCCGTACAACTCGGAGTGCTAATAATTGCGTTATGGCTTCCTACCATCTTTTTCCACCCCCTAGCAGATATCGTCTCTACCCCTTTTCTGGTTGTCTTTAACTTTCTGTTTGACTTTGTTCTCGTGCCGACTTTCAATTCTAGCCGACCATTGGTGCGGAGGACGGCCTTCAGGTTGTCCTGGTAAACTACTTAACACCAAATAATTACTATATATAACTTCTCTCTCAGTTATCTCAGACATTTTGAGCAAGTCAAGGCTGGTGTCCAATTGGATGTGCAGACGTCATTAGTGTGTTGAACTTGCTTGCACGGCCAGTCAGTGGGAGTATAGAACCCAACGGATATCTCTGACTCATGTCTGGTGATGGTGATAAGGCTCTAATATCCTCTCTACCTCAGAACAGAGTAAAGATGTGGCTCCCTAGGTTGTCACTTGTTGGTACTGGAAGTCATTGGTGCGGGACTGCACTGCGTCACGGTGTGCGCACACACAACCCATTGGTAAAGTTTATGGTTCAAGTCTGGGGGATCTACTTCGGCGATTTTTGGGTTACATAGATGTTTTGCTACGGAGCTTGAAGTCGACGACTGCCTTGTGGAAGGCCTGTCTAGCAGTTGCATTCACCAGTGATCCATATCTGGGGAATCTACATATTAGCCTTCTAGCAAAGGTGTATCTTTCCTGCGGAAACTCTCGATTTTTGCATGTGATGAAATAGGCCAGTATCGTAATTCTACGTGGTCTAGATTGGTACGGACCAGATAATGCTACAAATTTCGTGACACTACCATCATTGATTAAGAAGCACAAGATAGCTGGGTTTTACTGCAGGCGTTACTATGCTCTGCACATGTTGTCACCAGCGCACAGTAGCCTCAGTTCCATACTTGCTACCACTATTTCGTTGCATCATCCCTCGAGCCAAATTTTCTTCAACCTTCAATGGCACGACGAAATGATGAGCTCGTGATAGCCATGCAATTATGATGATCGCCGGGGAAAGGGAATGAATCCCCTGTCTTTCCCTCTCCACTTCCATCTTCTCGTTCTTCCTAACACAACTCTATCTGCTCCCCCAACAAAAACCATCTGCTCAAACTTATCTATCTACTCTAGCTTGAAAAATTTTACACTATCCGAATGGTTTATGACCAGAAGATCTTGCTGCCTCTTGCCTTCTCGGCTGTGGCGAAAGGAGCCATTGCTGCCGCTTTGCCTACAAACCCAACTCGGAACGGCACTGTCCCATTCTCAAGGAAACTTTGAAGACAAGACTAAGAATTCCTCGTTCCCCCACAGGCCGCAGTTGCATACAACTGAGACCGAGTCTACTAGTAGTTGCTGCCTGAAAGGAATTTGACTGCTGATTTCTCTGAATGCTAACTCTATATGTGGTCATAGCGATGGAAAGATGACACTCTTATCACCAAGGGAGGCTGGTTTTGTGACTATTGCAGTTTTCAATGAATTCTATTGGATAACCTGTCCATAGCAGCGTAGTCCGACGACAGTACTCTTGTGTTGATAATAATAGCCGTGACCTCACTACTCCTACTACCGTCAATATGCTCCTGGACAGCAACGCGAGTAATGTTGACCTCAATCTCCGATGACATGTAGCGGCTACCAGAGTAGTCATACGACTGTTCAAATGACTGCTAGCCGTGATGATTTGACTTGTTCCTTGTCAATGGATGAGACTATGGCTCCTTCGTCCTCTTGCTTCAGTACTCTCTACTCGCGCCAGCTGAAATCACTCCACTGTGTAATTAAGACTAGGAAGTTCATCGCTTTTGGACCTTTTTGCCTAGTTGTCGCCCAACATACTCCAAACTCTCAAGACGAATCTTGGCTTATCAGCTTCGAAACTCAGCAACCATGCACTAGATCGGCTCTGCTTAAATAGTTGTTTGCGAGGAGTATCACGAAATGGTGTTAAGCGTAGGAGATCATAACTCTTCAAACATTTTCCACATTCTTGTTCCCTAATGCTCACTTGGCTTTATGATGTGTCCGGGTTCATAGTTCGATCCTAACTGAAAGTCATTGCAAAGTCAGCCGAAGCTGAGCATTATGCACATGACTCCCATCACTGGACCTGGCCTCAGAGACTGTAACACTGTGAATCACTTGCCTTGAAAATATAACTTTCGTATTATTGCTTCGCAGGGGCGTCGATGTTACTGTCAAGCCAATAGAGAAATCCGGTCTCGATGATATAGCAATGACATATAGCTCTCCAGCTACCGCAGCAATGAAGAGAAATAAATATTAGGATAGCAGTATAAGAGTCGAGGCCTCAGAGTATGGGAAGATCCCGGTTTGAGAGAAACGGCAACAGTGTTTCTAACCCTCTATTCTTCTTCTGAGTTCGAAAGCCACGAAGGTAGTACTGCCATGGCGCTCGTTGGCGCCTTCCCGGCATCACACTCTGTCTTGATTCTCTGAACTTTACGGAAGTTGAAAGCGCTGTTTCTTCTCGAGTACAATGTACAAGGAGACTAGAATCCCCAGAGACTCGAAATGTGATGATGGCAGTATACGTACATGGGCTGGTCGCGTGATGCTTCTTGGACGGTGATAGCACATTTCAATCTACAAGTTCATATTGCACTAATGCTGTGGGCTTCCAGAAAAGTGCCTAGGATAAGTCTAGTACTGTAAAGAGGCATATATGCCGTTACCAGAATACGTGTCGCTTGCATTTCATGAGCAATAAAGAGTGTTTGCGCGCTATCGTGCATGTACTGGCAGATAGTAAACTTCCATCTGCTTTCCAGCATTAACCCAATCCTTGGGAGAACACTTGACTCCAAAATGGAATCCTAAGGGGCCTCACGTTGGACAATATGCAACTATAACATGTTCGACTTTGCTTTCAGAGTAGCAGCTCCATCTCCAACAAGATTCTTCGGACTTGTTTCAGCCGGAGTTCGATTTTCGCAAATGGGGAGTGGTCTCTAGTAACTGACATGTCAGTTAAGGAATATTAACTCCAGCAGTCTTGACACGCAAAACAGTTTTGCAGCAATGGATTGGATGGTCGGATTCGGTCATTCTCGTCTATAGGATTGGCGCCGGTGAAAATATCCGGACTCTGTAGAGATCTGGGTATCGAGGCGGACGTCTTGGAGGTCACTGACAAAGTAGAATAAAATCGTCGCAGTGGGAAAATAGCAACAAAGTCATAGATAGCAATTGGATTCTCGTATTGTGCTGCTTGCATTGCATATGGCAAAAATATATACGGGGTGAATAGGTAAAGTAATTGGTCCGTTCTTTCTTTAAAAGGTACAAAAGTCTGACTCAACTAAAAAGCGAAATCGCACAAAAACCAAACGATTAGAAATCATTTACTATAGTTCACAATCACAACATAAGAGTGACAGAAGAATTTGTTATGTGTTGGATTCTGGTAAGATTATGCTTGTGGAGTCAGTTAGATATTATAATATGGCCAATTTATTTTAATCTGTTATGGATAACCGAGTGGGAGACCACCCGTTAAGCTAGTGACCTTGCTTAGGTTAACGCCAGCGGGAAAGGTGCCTGGTACGAATCTCGGGGTTGTCATCGTACTCGTGTGAGTAGTCCACGATCGCTACGAGGCATTAAGCAATGAAGGTGATACTTGAGGGAAGCAATTCTGCAGAGGCACCTTCACCCTAGGATGGCGTCGCCAGATTACACCATCCCGTTACAGGGAAGTTGGCTGTTTGGTTGGACAACTACTCATTTTCTTCTTTTTGACTTTTTTTTTCTTTTTTTTTTGGTGCGTTCCTTCCTTCTGTCATGTATCCCTGAAAGTAGACACGAATTTCCCAACAACCTTGGGTATTCTTATGTTTAACGTTTACTATGAATGTGGCTTCTATGATATCAGAAATTATCCTCATCTCTGTACTCCGTATTTCCGTGCGAGATATGTCATGGACCTGATCTTGCTATATAGTACGTTGAGCTCGATAACAATTTACGCATTCTTGGCTGTGGTGTAGTGGTAAATTTCAGCACCACCACCCTGCCAGACATTGGTCTTCACAAGATGTGTTTGTTTTTGTTGTTCTGTCGAATCCTCTCTTTAGCCTGTCTAAGGCACCCGTTTAAGCTGCCTAGTGCACGTGATGTCGCGACGGCCGACGCGTCTACACCACAATTGTTTAGTACAATAGAGTCATCTCATTTGCAACCCCAGGAACATTTTTTTTTTAGAAACTGATATTTAGCGTGCCCAATTTTCTCTATATACCCTAATTAATTAGGAATCACTTGCGAATAGGCGGTGCATCGCGTTCTGTCGCGTATTGCGGACCTGAGATAGCACTCGGTTAAGCACTGTGACTACTGTCTTTTAGGAGTCAACAGAATTCATAGCCGCGGAATTTCCTTCCTCTTGATTACGCATCTAGGTCGAGATGACTGCAGATATGGATACTCAGAATGAAATTGATGATAGTGGCCTTCCAGGTCCAGGAGCACCAACCCCACTTTCGGCCTTGGAGGTGAGCACACTATCATTCTCATTACCATCCATACTGGGCAATAGACATGTCTCCTGTGTGTTTCTAGAACGATTGAGTATACTGACAATTGGCTCGCTAGGGAGTGGCCGGTCTGACGGGCCGAGATATCAAATTGTTCGTCGATGCTGGCCTCCATACAGTCGAGTCGATTGCATATACGTATGTGCTTTGTCCCACTATCTTCAGGGTGGAAACTGGTTACTGGAAGTACCTTTACATTGGTCTGGCTAACCCTGGCTTAATCAAGACCGAAACGGTTGCTGGAACAGATCAAGGGTATCTCTGAGCAAAAGGCTACCAAGGTTCTGGTCGAAGGTAGGTCAATTCATGCTGTGTATTAAATTTTTACTTTTTGGCCACGAAATCTAACGGGTGTTATCGAATAGCTGCCAAGCTTGTTCCAATGGGCTTCACGACCGCAACGGAAATGCATGCACGACGAAGCGAACTCATATCCATTACAACAGGATCCAAGCAACTGGACACACTGCTCGGAGGTGGAATTGAGACTGGCTCGATTACGGAGATATTTGGAGAATTTAGAACAGGTAAAAGTCAGATATGCCATACGCTTGCCGTTACTTGCCAGCTGCCGTTCGATATGGGCGGAGGCGAAGGTAAATGCCTTTATATCGACACTGAAGGAACATTCCGGCCGGTGAGACTATTGGCCGTAGCTCAAAGATTTGGACTCGTTGGCGAAGAAGTTCTTGACAATGTGGCTTATGCTCGAGCCTACAACTCAGACCACCAGCTTCAGCTGCTGAACCAGGCGTCCCAGATGATGTGTGAAACCCGGTTTTCGCTTCTAGTTGTTGACTCGGCCACGTCGCTTTATCGGACAGACTTCAATGGTCGTGGCGAGCTGTCGACTCGGCAAACACATTTGGCCAAGTTTATGCGTACCCTGCAGCGTCTAGCAGATGAATTTGGTATTGCGGTTGTCATCACCAATCAGGTCGTCGCCCAGGTCGATGGCGGCAGTGCGATGTTCAACCCTGACCCTAAAAAGCCTATTGGCGGTAACATTATTGCCCATGCCAGCACGACCAGACTTAGTTTGAAAAAGGGCCGAGGCGAGACTAGAGTGTGCAAAATATACGATAGTCCCTGTCTCCCCGAAAGCGACTGTCTCTTTGCAATCAATGAGGATGGGATTGGGGACCCAAGCCCGAAAGATCTGGAGAACGACTGAGGATAGAATTGTTTCACTTGTTAGCCAAGATATGACGATCCAGATATGCGTTCTTAGCTAGTACATATTGCATTTTAGCTTATAATATTGACGTCGTATTGTTCGTAACAGCCAGGGAACGTACTGATTATGGTATAGGAGCACCGTCGGAAGATCTGTCGTGGAAAGGCGGAAAAGCGCGTTGCTGAGGCCCGTGCCAAGACCATGTTTTTTCTGAGCGGTGGAAGAGCTTCACCTTTTGTTCGTCACCCACCCCCGGACTGCAAACTCCCATTCCTCTGCGACAATCGGCCATGGACACTTGAAGTAATACATTTCAATATCGTGGAAGGTGGTTTGCTGAAATCCGACATGGCGAAAATTTACAAAGACACCCGGGTCGACCTCCGGCCATACTCGCCGAACTCCGTCGTCAACATCCAGATCCCAAGCCAGGTGAACACGCACGGCCGCGCCCGATTCTCGATATCCTCCCTCACAGGCCCCGAAGAATCGATCGCAAAGGATGAAGAGGAGTTTTCGAAACGGTATTTGGCCACTCAAGGATCTGTCTATTTCCGCAAACGCACTGTCTATCCTCGAACGTTTTTGTGGAGGGTGGTCGATGACAGCAAGGTGCTGGAGATTCAGTGCGTGGACCTGACGAAGGGCGGAATTGAACACCACGAATACAATGTGACGCTGCGCTTGGATTTCCAAGAAGAGATTCTTCCGTCGGGCGTTGGCTTTTCAGACCTGGAGGACCATGAAATTTTGAGCGTGTTTGTCATTACTGCCTCGAAGCGGCTGCACACGTTGACCCTACGCCCGGACTTCTTTCGAAGGGCGACAGCAATTGAAGAGAACATCTCGGACTGGTGCAAATCTTGTGTCCCAGCGCCTCTGACATTTTCTTACCCTCACCGACTACACGCCAGCAGTCCGCTAGAGCTTTTCATTTCCCTGGATAACGGCTCCCTTTTGCGCCTAACTAGAAGATCTGGCGATGATGGTAATACTATTATCCCACACCACACTTTTGAAAAAGCGTATCAAATTTAAATACTGACTCAATGTCTTTCTAGGCTCACAATGGTCCCCTCTGACCTTTGATGAAAGGACTTGGGGGTCGTCGATTCGAGGCTTAGTTAGGTGGAATGCGCAGCCTTCGATTAAATACAAAGGTCGCAACCTCGACCTGAACCTGGCAAATGCGATTGCCACCACATCCGATCAGACCTATGTTTTTGCGATTTGTTTAAATCACACCTTGAAGATATGGAATCTTGCCACGAATAAATTGGTTGCGACAAAGGATCTATTGGGGCGCGAGGTACAACAGCCAGATGCACCATCATACTCCCTCAATCCGTCGGAGACTTCGTTTATTCGTGTTTTTAATGTGGAGAGGGCTCTAGATGGAGGATATCGGTACTACCTCGTTACATACTCTCCCTTTGAGGATGGTCGCTTCAAATTTTGGGCTATAAAGGGGGGCTTGACATCGCCACTGATTATTGAAGACCTTTTCCCTGATGATTCATTGAGGCCGTTGGACCCGGACTCGACGGGGAATATGTTCTGGAGTATCACGGATTTCCAGGTCAAGCCCGCAGAGGAAGGCAGGGGAATGGAGATGTGGGTTCTCTGGAGAAACAGCAGCTTCTACCAGTTGTATACGCTACACTTCAACTTTGAAACATTGGTTACGAACTGGAATAACAACTGGGTGTCAACCGTTATGGATAGTCGTGGACAGGAGCAGCCGCCGCCCCCTGCGCTTCCCGATGTTGCAGACCCGACAGAAAAGTGGCTGAGCTTTCTTTTGCAACCGAACAGGTTTTCTCCAGAAGTACTAGAGACTGCCTTGGCTATTTACCAGGAAGCTCTGAAGCCTTTGTCTTCCCCTAGTGTGTCGAAGAGAAACGGTCACCTTTCGGAACGACTCTGCTCCACCATCACTGCCACCGTCTCTCTGCGGAGGTACGCTGACGAAGAAATGGATTTCACGCGGTATCGGACAGACACCGATTCTAAATGGCGCCAATTTTGGCAAATCGCAGATGATATCAATAAGAGACGATTCGAACCTGTTTCACTTGTGTACGACTCCTACTATGAGACTCCATGGCTGCTCCTTTCAGATAGCTGTGCAGTTATTCGAGAGTGTAGTTCTACAGAATTGCTATTGCATAACTCGAGTTCAGTGCTGCTCGAAGAAGGGCCGAAGGTTGAGGATCGTTGGAGGCATAGGAACATGAGCTCAGAGATCGGGGACTTGTTTGAACAAGCTTCTCATTTGATCAGTGTCTCCTCAGGCTTCAGGAAGAGATTTCCGGCGGAACTTGAGCTGGCTTGCCAAAGAGCCCTTGAAGCAGAGCTGTTTACCGAGCCGTCGTCATCAGTCCCTGACAGGATGGATACGTTCCGTGATCGATGTGACTTTGGCGAGCAGATTTCAAATAAGATGTATGAAGGCTTGATCGCTGCTATGGACCCGTATCTGAATATTTATAATCTGAGGAACGAGGTCTTCTATACCATTATCGACACAATCCCGCCTGGATTTCCTGGCAAAGATTCCGATCTTTTAGCTACCCATTTCGGCGTCAAGGTTACTGTTAACGGCGTGCAGGAGTCGATCTTATTTACACGACAAATTCTTACCAATCTCTTAGCTCTTGTCCTTTTTGTGGATGGTGAGGTGCAGCAGGAGGAGGGATCAACCTTTGATGCCAGTAACCTGTTTGCCTCGCTGATAACTCTTTTGAGAGAATATGAAATGATGCATTGGCTAAGCTCGAATTCCCGGAAGAGCTCTGGTAGATCCGTTAATGCTCCCGAGGATCTGTCGGCCTCAGCAACCGTGGACTCACCCTCAAAAGCTAAAGACTCCAGAATGGTGACCATCTTGGAAGACTTATTTGCTGCAGATATCAAACCCCGCCAGACTATTGGCTTGCCTCAGAGCCATACCTTGACACTTGGTATTCGAGATGTCCTGTCCTGGGTCACGCGTCCAGGGGAGGTAGCATATCCAAACGCCTTGGTCTACATACAATGTGATCTCATTGCGAAGAACAATATTGACCTTGCTTGGGATTTCCTCCGTTTCCAAGCAAGTACGTCCTGGGCAACCTATGTGAAAGGGCGCTTGTACGTGGCCATGTCCGAATTTGATACTGCAGCTTTATATTTCCGGAAAGCTGCATATCTTCTCTGTAAGTTCAGTTGGTGCAATCCTAGATGAGATCTTGGTATCTGACCTGTATCTAGCATGCGGTAAACCTCTTGGTAATTTGCACGAGATGTCGTCCACCCTCCTAGACATTGTCTCCGTGGACTGCTTCCATAACGGCCTGCCCAAGTATTTCCAGCATATCCTGTCTCTATTCGAACAGGCTCGCTCGTTCTCGCATGTTGCAGACTTCGCTAGCCTTGCACTGCAAGCGCTTGAGAGCGAAAGCGGAAACAAACAAGACACGGAATATGTCAGCTTGAGAACGGATCTCCTCTCGCGCCTTTTCTATGCTTCTCTTCATAACTGCCAGTTTGACCAGGCCTACTCTGCACTCTCTCGATATAAGGACCTTGCGCTGCAAAAGTCCGCACTCGGGTCTCTTATCACCGGTATATTGGCCGCATCAGGCTCTGGGACTGCTGGGCTTCAGCATATTCTCCACTTCCCGACATCCCTCGTTCCTAACATTGCGTCCTATGTGGACGAGACTTTAGTCTCACTTGCTCGAAAGCAAACATCATCTAGTTTCTATTTAGATGGTGGAAACCACTGGACTGACAACAGCCCGGATTATCAAAGGATCTTGCAAGCGTATCGTATCGCGCGAGGTGATTACCGTGGCGCCGCTGAAATTGCATATCGGAATGTTCAGCGACTCCGAGACACTCGAGACGGCTCGTCGGCTCGTCTGGTGTTGGCTAAAGGGCGAGATACGGACGGCTTACCAGCCACTGCAGGAGAGGACGATACGGAGAGCCAGGAGATTAGACATGAACTGTTGTCGCTGATCAACCTGCTCAGCTGCGTAGACAAGAGCGAGTCTTACATCTTAATCGAGAAAGACGACCCCTCGATGGTAGCTGTGCCGTCCGATCGACGCCGCAGTATACAGACCGATGATGGGGACGTATTCATGGACGACGCGGAGTCCGGCTCACCCACGCTCTACGGATACAAACGCAGGCTCAGCTCCAGTGCAACCGTAATTAGACCTTCCAGCCGCAGAAATAGCAAATCATCCTTCACAGCGGACACTACCATCCCCCGGCGTCGCATCATAGTCACTCTCGACCATCTGCGCCGTGAGTACCAATCCGAATTAGATCGGGTCAGCCGAATCGAAAGGGGTGATTGGGAGTTTGGGATTATTGATACCGACGAGGCGGATAATGACGATACGATGCCACTCTAGATCTCTTACAGAGTTGCGAAATGACTCTGCTATTTTCATATCTATCTGCCTGGCCCTCTTTTTGTGTCTTCTTGAATTTGACTCTTGGACTGCATTTGTATTCTAGGCTGGGATTGTTGTTATTTGGCGATGAAAAGAGAAGAAAGATGTATGGTTTTATTTCTTAATTGCAATGTACGGTGCAATAGGATGGTCTCTGTTTTCTACCTAGGTTGTCTTACGTTTCATAGCCAGAAATACTATGTCAGGATATATCGTCTATCTTTCGGTTCAAGCTGCTTGTTAGCTATTGGCTGATAATGTTATTTGACGTCTTCCAGTCAATGATCAGATAGAAGGAATTATGCACTCGAATTTGTATAGGACCCACTAGTGGTTGGAGCAGTAATTGGTAACACCGAATAGGTCAGGGTATATCCACACCGACACTCATATCAAGCTGCTAAAACCTCACTCCTAATTAACACGCCTCCATCCGGAGCAACTCGGCACTCGATATATATCGCCATAGGATGTTCCTCCAAGAAGGCTTCTCATGACCCCCAAAACGGAGTTCACCGGTTTTGGTGAGTCGGGCCACTGATCGTCGTTACAGCCTCATGCTACTATGGGAAAGGAAGAAAAAGCGTGGAGGATGGATGAGGGTGCTTACATATAAAATAAAATGAACCTAGTCTGCTGCACTTGCACATCTAGTGGATCTATCTTTTTATTTCATCCTCTCCCGCTGTATACCCCCAAACCTTCTACACGGCATATCTATAAGCCATTATAAGCTATAAGATATCACAATGCACTACTCACTACTTTCGTTGCATTCCCTGCCTTGATCGCCACCGAGAGCTTTACAGATAAATGCACTGAATTTCGGATTCTCCCCGAAAACGGACCAAAGGGCATTGTCCTGCAGCCCAAATGCAGCGACGGGTACTCTGTCTTGCCGCTGGACTGGTGCATTATGAATCCCCCCCGGGGGGGGATCTCCTGGCATAGGAAAAGTGGGTTTTTTCAGTTTATCTAGGATATTACTGACGGCCAAAATCTATGCCGTCCTTACCGTCAAATTCACTCCAAATACTCTTCGTTCGGCGGGATGATGCGTGAACCAGCGGTAGTGGAAAGTGGTATTTTTGAAAGGATGGACTTGGACACGATCCAGGCCGCTTTGAGAGTAAATATCTCCAGCACTGTAAATGTGGACAGCTTGTTTCGACTTCATTCCTTTGGATTTTTGTTGCTATCTGACCGACAGTGGGGTCCGGTTCCTATCAAGGATCGCTGTTGTCTCAGCAAGCATGATCACCAAGTCAACCATCTGCCAGCGCCAGCAACGGTGTCTGCCTGGGCCGATACTTGAACTGTACCTACGATTTGGTCCCAGTCCACATACCATGAGGGACGGCCCTGCTCTCAGGCTTGTTTGACCGGACGGCACTCAAGCCCCTTCGCAGTATTTGATACCTAATAGTTCGGCCAGGATTTGGAGGAGGCTGTGCTGGCCTCACAGCCTGACTCCAGCTTGTTTTATGATGTCGTGTCCCGAATTCCTGGTCCATGTGATGTGGACCTTCCCATTCACGCATCTCTTCGAGATCCTCGGATATCTCCATTAGTCGATTTGTTCAAGGCAAATGAGTCTAAAACAAATCAAACGGCCTGCAGCCCCCAGCCCATGGAGGACATAAAATGGCCTCGGGCTCCATGCGCAGCGCAGTTAAGGTGTCTAATGACGTCGAAGGTACAGTCGATACAGTCGATCTATAGATAACTCCCATGCCTTCCGGGTTTGGGACGCTTTGACTAAGAGCTGAGCCACTCACAGAACGCCTCATCGGACATATCAAGCGAACGCTCCAGCTCCCCATATCCGAGCCGCTGGATGGATCCACTTCCCTGTCCAGGCTGGGTATAGATGCATTGAGTGCAAAAGAGATCCGACGTTGGGCTTTGGGCCAGCTGCATGTTGACGTATCCGTTGTAGATATCGTAGCAGGTATGACGGTAGTTGACATTGCCCAAAAGTTAGTCACAGAAGGATGAGGGAAGCAGCCAGTTTGAGGATAATTTTATGAATGTACAATCGCGAACCCTGGGACCACTTCAGCAGTGTTTGGGGTGTTTCAGAGCACGTCCAGCATGTAGTCCCTCCCGAAGAGCGCCACGCGGCGACTATTTCTGAATCTGACAAATTTTCCGAATGTTTCAAGTCTGAAACGGAAGAGCTGAACATCATAGCCTCTGCTCCCAGATTTCGGCGCACGGAAGGAATTTCATTCACTCAAACTCGACTGTGGTTCGCTGGCCAATACATGGGAGATCCCGTACAATACAACATCGGAATGTTGCACAAGATCCACGGGCCCTTCTCGGCAAAGCGATTAGAGAAAACGCTGTTTGAGACATTCGCACTCCACGAAATAATGCGAACAGCATTCCTTCAGGATAAAAGCACCGGGGAGCTTCAACTAGAGCTCCTCAGTGATGCCCGCCCAGGATTCCAGCGTATCCATGACCAGAGCGCCCAGCAGTCACTCGGAGACACGAAGAGGACCTGGCACATATATGGAAATTGGACCAGGGCGAAACGCTTTGGGTGACGGTTGTCTCTCTCGACTTAAGGGAGAACGGGGTCGTCTTCGGCTACCACTGCATTATAATCGACGGGGTCAGCTGGCAGATCTTTGCTCGAGACATCGACCTGGCTTATACAGGTTGGCCGCTGACTCTACCCGCGTATGACATATTCGGCCGAATTGAAGCATTCGGTGGACTCCAGGGACTTTCACGAGGGGCTGAGCTTTTAGCGTCGTGTCCTTTCGCCCGGGTAAAAGTAACGAACAGCAACAGATAACTTCCATTGCCACAGGGTCAGCATCACGCTCGGGGTACCATCATGCAGAAGATAGAACATGCGCCAGGGTCTCCGCGGAACAACTTTCCACTTTTACTTGGCCATGCTTCGGGTCGTCCTAGTCCGGCTGTCGGATATCATGGAGCTCTGCATCGGTATATCTGATGCCAATCAAAGGACCACCGCTTCACTAACATGATGGGCTTTTTCGTGATTTTTTTACCTCTTTATTTTCACGTCAGCAAGGAGGAGCCATTTGAAAACAAATTCTAGTAGCAGTGCTGAAGGCACTCAATCACGGAAATATGCCCTTAAAGCTGATTCTTCGCCGACTCAATATCCCCTGTCCTCCATTTATTCCTCACTTTTCCAAGTCGCCCTGAATTACTATATGGGCGAGTTCTTCCGCATGCCACTGGAGGAAGCCATGATGATAGTTACAAATTTTGTCCCGGTAAAGACCTTTACGACCTGTCGAGGATATCATCCAGACAGCCGGGGAATGCAAGTTGTATTTGACATACGGCTATTGCCTTTACACTCGCCGCGATATGATCCTCTGTCTTGGTGCCGAATCTTTCCCTAGTCTCAATTGGACTTCTTTTGGTCGGAGGCAACTCGACTGCTGGTCAAACTCGAAGCGGCGATCAAGAATTCGACGGAGATGTCGCTATCGTTGGCCGACCTATACGGGGCCAACACGCTGCGGCAAATGGCCGGGCTGATCGATGAGAATAAGATTAAGCGGCCGCAGAGCCTATTTATTAGATTGGGACCCCGAAACAAGGATTCCTGAGCCGGCCCAGACGTGGTGGCCACCAACCCCAAAGCCCAAGGCACCGGGGACGGCCCTCCAGACCTGTGCCACGAGCTTTCTGGGAAACGGCGTTTTGCGAGCGCTGGTGGGTAATCTCCGGGTGATCAAAGGGCATTTCATTGCACTGGCAACCGAGAAGAAACTCGCCCTAGCGTTTTTTGAATCCGGAGGTCGTTGCCTATGCTAGCAGTCTACGTGACCCAATGCTCGGCCTCTACTTCAAGTCCTGCGTTGATGTGACCATACACACAGGGGCAGAAGGCCACTGCTTGCACAACTACACATCCATCTGTGGCCTTAATATATGCGTCACTCACCGGTTGAGCGAACTCGCTCTCCTCTCCCAAACATGCAAAAATAGCCAGAAGTTCCTGAATTATGTTTCCACCGCTCCATATCCACTGCCCGTGCATGATGATAAGCGAAGATGTACCCCATGAGGGCAGAGCGGTATCTGGAACAGGCATAGAGACATTACTGCTTAGCTATCTGGAGAAGAGTGTAAGTACTGTATCCCTTCCTTACCTGGGTTATAATGCAGAATCATAAGCTTCAGCCCCTTTGCATGGTATACTGCTAGGTACTTTATAAAAATACGGCACGTATTGTAGATCCACTGGAAAGTGCTCTCATTTTCCGCTCTACTTATGCAGCTAATAAACTAGACCAGCCCACATGTTCTATCTGTATTGTAAATAACCACTCTCCTACATTGTAATTAGACTATGCAAACCGGAGGATGTATGCTGAATGGCTCAGCAAATACAGTGTTAGTAAAAATTTAAGAAAAGCGCAACATGTAGATTCCTGAAAGGCTGAAACTCTCTAGTCACGGAAGAGCCACTCTTAATCAGGGCGAATTAATTCTTGTGTCTTTTTCACACGACGTGCGAAAACATGGTATTCGCGTGGCTCGGATGAGGAATCCGCCTTAATGGCTGCCGAAATTGAGTTTAACTGGCTCGTTAACTGACTCTCAATGTTGGAATACTCAGCATATTTCCGACAATACTGCTTCTTAGTACTTCGTCCATAAAATGCTGTGCGTAAGCCTCAGCTAATTATCTGTCTAATTCTAGTTAATAGCGTATGCATTTTAACGACTGGAAGAGTTAATTACCTACCAAATTTACCCTGCTGCCTGTCCCTCAGCACGATGCTAGACCGACTGTAATCTACCACAAATTTTGCCAAACCACAAGCAGTTCCAGACGTGGTGTTGTCTTCACACAATACTAACGTGCTTTCGAAGACAATGAGCACTAGCCGTAAATATGTGATCAATGATGAAAAGCCAAAAAGGAGTTATGTTGGTTCCCATGAAAGGGCCTCTTGTTAACTAGTTAACTAAGTTAACGTAACCCGCAATCTAGTCGGCCACCGAGGTCATTCGGCCACTTCTGTATTGCATATAAAATGGCTCTTTTTAGGACCTGAATATCTCAACTAATATTGTATAAACCATATAGAATATATACGTATTTTATTTTTCGTAGCCATAATATTATGCTACTCTAAATATTTAAAGCCCTCTTTGTATTATAGAGAACCAGAAATATTACAAGGCCCTAGACTTAGTATCTCTTTATATACTATAATATTAGTCCATACTATATAGGTTTTAGCCCCTGTTGTTATGTTGTTGTTGGGATACTAAGGTGTTAAAGGTGGGATTTTATTTGGAATACAGAGGTGCGGTGTGATGGTTTGGTTGTCTCTGCGCTAGTAGAGATAAAACCACTTGACCATATAAAAAGGTACAAGACGAGACTGATCGAAGATCAGTCGCATCTAGCGCCCTATATAGTATGTTACAGGTTCAGCCTGTGACATGCGGCGCTGGCTTACCGGTTACGTTATTGGTATTCGACTTGTGAATATTCGTAAAGCCATTATTCGTGTGTATCCCTAATAGTGAATGAATAGTTCAGCTATCTGAGAGCTAAGAGTCAGTGCTAACAACAAGACGTAGTGTAGAGAAGGAATAACTATCTAGAAACATAGATTGTAAATAGGGCATATACAACACGTGACCTATAGGTCACGTGTGACGTCGATCGGCATCGTGATAGAACTAAACGCTTGCAAGGTTTTCTTCAGCAATGTATGATTCATAATTACAACATGGCCAAATTATAGTTTGTAGTGTCTATTACGTTTAAGGATGTCTACAGAAATAGGAGAAAGATATTATCTGTTTGCAGCCATAATTGACATGTGGTAACGTTTACATTCTTTGAAGCTGCATTTAGTGACGTAACTGTAGTGATGTATCTTTTTACAGAGTAGTGATGTAACTGTTACAAATTAATGTATTCCCTAACTTTAACTGTTACACCTCTTGCACATGCATATAATCTGATTCAAATCATACCATGAGTGGGAAAGCTATATTAATATATTAATGTGCGCCGCGTAGGAACATCCACCCCCCCTTACAGCATTTACCTTATGCGCTCCCTTGACTTTATCGATATTTAACCTAACAGATTCCTTATTCTATTCCCAATTAAATTTCCTTATCAGACCTGAGCAGAACTTATTCTTTTCTTCTGCCACCGGCTCCTTACTATTTATTATCTTTTAATTAACTGTGAAACAGTACATGGTAAAAGCAAACCTATGAAAAGCTCCCAACATACACTCGCTAACTTATCAAGGAACTACCTTTCACTACAATGCCACGCCTAACTACAACAAAAAGTAAAAGAAGAAAGCCCGGTGTAACTGCTGGTGGAAAGAAAACCAGCCTTTATTCACAATTTATGAAGGACCAACTTCCAAAATTCAAGGCGGGCCACCCAGGAGTAACACATAAAGAGGCCTTTAAAGGAGTCGCAGAAATGTGGAAGGATGCAAAGGAGAATCCTCGTAACACCTTGGTGGCTTAGCCTATGTATAACATGTACTGGCTTTTCCAGTATATTTTGACTCTGGTTTGACGGTTAAGGTAAATAACGTGGGGGTGGGGCCTGTTTGATTAAGTCACAATAACAACTTAATTAAACAACTTAATTTTAACTTTATTAACTCTCTCGGCTGACGGAGGTTTTTGCTTTAATATGTAAAGGTGTCAGAATAAAGTTAGCCCATACTGGGACACCGTGCGAAATAACCAAGTGACGTGGCTGATCCTGAAGAAGACGGGTAAACAACACACAACCATATACATGCATGCATGAGAATATTGGGGCTCTCGTAGAATTATGTGTATAGTTTTTGTTAAAGTCTCTAGGGGAAGGGGGCATGTTGTGAGGTGCTAGGATAGCGGTGACTAGATAGCATATTGAAACTACCGTGCGATCTAGTATTGCATGGTGAGTATATTGTTCTATATTCGAGAGAGAGCGTAGACCAACCCTTCCTTATGTCTACGTGTCCTTCGCCCCTGAGTCTGATATATTAGATCCCTGCGGGACTACGATATCTGAAGCTGCCTAAGGCATCCTGATTTCCAGCAGTTTTGATAATTAAGAGTTTTATTCGCTTGAAAAGGACTATTAAGATATTTATTATTATTTTACATAGAGCGTGGGGACCTGTGAAATTGATGCCGAAAATGACCGCTACTGAGGCCATTGTAATGGCCGAACAACTTGATCAAATTGGTGCTATCTTAACCAGAATTTCAAGCGTAGAGAGTGGAAAGAAAGTGATGAAGGGCCGGGATGTAAACACTAAACATTGTAAGACCACGTGGTTACCCTTGGTGCATCCGTCAGCCATAAACGGCCGTAGGAATCGGACACCGAATTTGCAAAGACACCAAGTTAGCAGTTCAAATTCCCATACAAATGGCACTCTTAGGCCAGGATATCTTAGCAACAACATGTTTAGGAGATAGAATAATAAGCATTAAGATTAAATAAGTAGTTATTTTTAAATATTACAGCAATTATCTAGTAAATTATTGTCGACCAAAGTGGGCCAATATTACGCATTATTCACATCCGCTCGGTCCGACTTTATTCCTTTGTTTTTCACATTTTTTTATCCAGCTCTCCCAGATAGATTCAGATAGTTAGAGACCTTAGAGACCTCATTCTTCAATGCAGATCCATATTGTGATTATGATCGGTGATACTAGCTTATACGCGTATTTAGCTGACCGACAATTGTTGTGGAATTTAGGGGAAGTGATGCGCAGGGAGCTATTCTATCAGCTACAGGCCAACTAGCCTAATTAGGAAGTAGATGTCATTCAGTGGAAACACCAGGAATCGCAGTATCTCAACCAACTGAGCCTACTAAGCGGTTCCCTATATTCTCATTGAGGTGTTCTACTATCTAAAGGATTCAGGGGTTGAATCGATCGTCAGATACTCCGCACCGCCAAGTCGGGCGGATTATAGTGTTTCCGTAACAACAATTATTAATTCCTTATATCACAATACAGAATATTAAACTATAGTTGTTTTTAGAAGAATATCTGTATTATAAGCTAATAATATCATTTAAGATATAAATAAACCACTTTAATTCGTAGAATTCTATATATATATTTAAACCTTTGATTTTGAACCATAGACAAGCCTTGGTTGTGTAAAAAAACAACTACGCACCCTCCAACCCAACCCCCACATTTGGGGGTATTGGGTATCGATTTATACATCGTTTTATAGCCCTCTTCAAGCTTAGTAATTTCTCCACTTTTCTTGATACGACAGTCCAATCCCGTTCAGTATTTTGATGAAAAAGACTGCGATTTTCGTGTGAAAAGTTTTTCGTGTTCCCGTGTTCCCGGAGCTCGGGCTCCCGGGATCAACCAACAGTGCAGTCCCTGTTTCTGCTGCCTGCTACCGCCACCTCCCGCCGCAGCCTCCAACAACGCCAACCACCACTGCATATTCGAACGGTCCCTGCAGAACACCCTATCTTAGACTGCGGCAAAACCATGGACAACCGCGGATAACCAAAACCGCAACCGCAAATTTGCGGTTTTGGGGCTGATTTAAAAACCGCAAACCGCACTGTGGGCGGTTGCGGTTTTCACTTTGGAGAACCGCGGTTTTTGCGGTTATCCATGGATATGTAAACATTACAAACATGCTGAAACTCGTGACTTTCCAGTGAATGCATAAATTGTGCACTTTTCGCAGTATTTTTGGAGTATCTAGTATGTAATAGATTACCTATATCTCTTAATTTGAAACCTTTAGAATACACTTTTAGACCAAATTCGATTTCTCTTCTAAGTCTCTAATATTACAGCTTATCAATCTCAAATCCCTCAGGTAGCTTAGGCCTCTTCCGAACCCTCCCTGACCGCGCCTGCGTCTTCTCAATTGGCATATCGGGAAGTGGGAGACCATTATCAGCATCATCTATAGCCTCAGAGGTGTTACTTCGGCACCGCTTCCGTTGTACCTGCTTAGTTTGAGCTACAGGCTGCGTGGTAGATAACCCTTCTTCTGCCTCGTTATCAGATTCATCTGTATCATCCTCAGATAAATCCTCTGCTTCGCAACCCTCTTCTTCATTATCACTAATTGGTTCGAGTTCATTAAGCGATGGAACAGGCTGTCTTGTCTGATCAAGCATAGCAGCCTCTCCGACAGAGAGATACTCTTTAATCATCTCTAGCTCGCTTTGTTCAAGATCAAACTTAGATGAGAAGAGATGGAGCATTAGATCTTTAATTGTGCCTGGCTTTAACTTTGTCCCCGACGATAGTGACAGACATCACGAGCACAATTAAAAGCCGCTCAACACCAGCGCCACTTGCAGGAACTGAGAGGATATCTCGTGCAATCTTTGCAAGGACTGGATACTCGTGCTCATGCTCCTTCCAGAAGACCCGAGGATTACCTTTTGTGAGCCCTATAAAATTAATTAACTTCAGAATAGTATAGAAATAGAGAATATGTACCTTTTGCCAAATACCGTGTTATTTTATCCTCCGGTTGATCCACTTCAGCTTGTAGAGCTGTCTGTGATTCACATAATAGCTCAAGCTCATTTTCAGCAGGATCAAAGATTGCTTGGTTATCAACCGGTTCTGTTTCCTGGATAACCTGCTGCTGATATCGCTTAAACTCCTTCTGTAAAACCTCCCGGTAATGCTTCATGAAATCGACTTCCTCTCCTTTCTCATTTTTCCTCTCCAATCCGCATTATCAAAGTATCGAAGCTTCTTTGATGGACAGAGAATTGTTGCAATCGCATAGACTGTGCCATATGACTCATTGTCTGTTTCAGTGTAGTATTTTGAGAGCTTTTTTTTGCTGACTGAAGTGCCTGAAGCATTCTCCTTTTCCATGGGACAGCTTTACGTTTCAGTTTCTTCTCAACGTCATCAAGATGATTAAATAGCCGATTATAGATACTGAAGACATGGTGAACTGTAACATCTCTGGTCTTTGATAATACACTAGTAAAATCAAAGAAAGGCTTAGTGATCAGAAGCAAATATTCAACTTGGCGCCATTCCTCTTCATCTAGCTTAAATTGAATATGTTGATATGTTATACAATACCGATCAAAGACTGATTGTAATTTCCTGGCACGATTAAGCATCAGAAAGGTAGAATTCCAGCGTGTGCGAACATCTTGGATCGGAACAAGCTTAGGCTCAGTAGTTTGAAGGGTAAGAAAAGCTTCCCTGCGCTGTGGACTAGCATTGATAAAGACAGCGAGCTCTCGAATCTAAGGATAATATATATTAGTATAAGTATAAAGAGAGCGCGAAGATATACTTACCTTTTTAAGGTTCCCATAATATTCCTTGTAGGCTGCCGAGAGCTAGTTTGTAGTGACTGTGTACGCGAATCAGACCACTCAGTCTCTGCTTCCTTATTTGTTGGATTTGCTTTTATCTTTCCAAGTAGATCCTTTAGGCTAAGCTGGATAACATGCGCAATACATGGAATTCGGAAGACAGAAGTCCCACTTAGAGCTTGCGATTGAATCATCTCTTGGACACCTACCATCATGGTGTTGTTATTTGACGCATTATCTGTGGTAATTGATAATACACGATTATCAATATTATGTTCCATGAGTATTCGAATCACAGTCTGACTTAAGTGAGCACCGGTATGCGATCCTTGGAGATGCTCAAAACCAAGAAGGACCTCGCAGTAATTCCATTCTTGATCAAGAAAATATCCAGTAATTGCCATAAATGCCTGGGAAAAGGGAGATGTCCAGCAGTCAAGTGCAACTGAGAGATAGCTTCCTTTTGGAAGTTTGCTAAGCACATTTTGTTGCCTTTCCTGGACAGTGTTGTCTAAAAGTCGTCGGATAGTCCGCGCAGAAGGAATATCAAGCCTTGATTCAGAGAGTTGGGCAGCTTCAAGAAGGCCTTTAAACTCTGGGTGTTCAACAATACGAAATGGGAGACGGGCGGTGGTAATAAAGTTAAGAATTCTTCGCTGGAAAAGATCATTGGTAAAGACCTTTGTTAGTGCACGCGGCTAGATAATACTAATATTAGTAGTCTCTCTATATCTTTAAAACAATATTCAAAACGTACTGATTCACGTATTAACTGGTCAATCCCTTGCCTCTTTTTTTTTTTCTAAGCGACATGTACCACCGTTCAGATGTGCTTTAAGTGCAGAGGTTCCCGTACGCTTATAACCTGGATGAGTAAGGGTTGCAAAACACCGCTTACACATAACCTTGGGCTCGCCAGTCTTCTCGTGTGCAACCTGTTCAAAATGCTCCCAAAGCACTGATGTTTTTTCCCATCCCAATGTAAGCTATCTCGGCATTGAGAGTTCAATCCAAACGTAGTTGTTAACCACCATTCCACGAATTGTTTCCGGGAGTCATCCATCTCAGGTTTAGTAGCATAGAGAATCCAGAACTTTCGAAGTGTAGATCCGACACGTTCAAGTGACTTCGGCGCATAAGAAAATCGCGGAGGGGGAGTAAAAGGAATAGAAGTCACAGTTGGTTGACTGCTTGGTAAATCAGGAAGGTCATCTGATTGAAGAAGATCGGGATTGATAAAGGAATCAGAATAAAAGGATACTTGGGACTGAGACATTGTCGTAAGTTCCTAAAGATTAGAAACTAGAAATAATAAAGAGACATCAGGAGAAGAGAAAGGGAGAGGGACTTACAGGAATTCCCCTATTATTTAGGAGATAAACAGGTCGCAACCGCGAGTTCGACCTGTACAAAACTATACACGATGTTAATTGGGTGACTAGCGATGGTAGTGCGGTTTTAATGCGGTTTTAACGCGGTTATTTGCGGTTATCATGGATAACCACAAGATAACCGCAATGGAAAAAATCACCAAATTCAAGCAATTTGAAATAGAAACCTGGTTTCTCCTGAATTTTTAAGTAAATATACTAATTTAAAGTAAAATATAAGTATAATAGGCTCTTCTGTATTCTTTAGTAATAATTTTTATCTATAATAGCCTGATTTAGTCAACCTACGAAATCTTATAAAGTTCATTCAGTGAGTGTACTAACTTCTGTTTGTATAAAATATATATTTTTACAACAACATCCTGATTTCCTTAGTAATCTTAAAATCTCAGACAAACACCACTTACTAGCTACGTAAAATAAGAGGCGATATATCAATATTCGGCTCGTTATTTAAGAATAAGGATCAAGGTGAGCGGTAAAGTAGATATCTATATATATTACCATGCTCTATCGCCCTCCCACGACCAAATATAGAAGATAAAATAAGCAAGAAACTGCACAAACCAACATTGCAAACTAATGCTACAATAACTCATGCGTTGCAAGGAAGCAATATTACTTGCTGACTTTGGTGAATAGTGATGCTACGATCGGGCCAGGACCTCACGGCAGTGATATAATGCCATGTACCTTCTTGGTTACTTATAATATACCAATGGTCTAGTGGTAATGCATTAGATCTAGTAATCTAGAGGTACTGGGTTCGATTCCTAGTAGGTGCTTGTGTCTATATTAGACCATCTGTACTGCAGCTGGCTAATATAGACTCGTCCAGTGCCTAATCCTATGGAGGACCTTTAGATATTTTTATTATTTTCATGCTTTTATTTAACTTTTAGGGCAAACAAACATACTTTAACAGGCGAAATGCCTTGCTATCTAATAACTAGATATAACAAAGAGGAATCGTTAAGATAAAGAAAGTAAAGGGGAAGAAGTGGTCTTATACTACAGAGGTTATATAACTGCAATAAGCGGACCAATCATGTGCGCCAATTGCAGCGAAGGCGAATAGGAGTAATATACGGGCGTGGCCTGCAACACATTCCTTGTCTTTAAGTTTTCGGAATAGCTTATTATCGTACACTCCCAGGAGCATATTGCCTGGGTACACGTATATAAAACGTTAGAGGAGCTACAACCAATAGGGGCAATAGGGACAGTAGGGACAATAAGAACAACTGGCCTGAGAGGTCAACCGGGCTCACTGTATTAACCAGAACAGGTGTATTTTCAAATTAAAAACAAGAGTATGTAAGCTGCATAAGTGTCACCTGATATGCTAGAATTGGTTAAAGAAGCGAGAGTTATGCTAGTGCGGTTTTCATGCGGTTATCCATGGGTAACCGTGGTTAAACCACAAATCTGCGGTTGCGGTTGCGGTTTTCAAAGTGATATCCAAAACCGCAAATCTGCGGTTGTGGTTTTGACTATGATACCCAAAACCGCGGTTTTGCCGCAGTCTACCCTATCTAGGGAAGGAAAGCCCTATAAGTTCGCACTTATAACTACTCCTGCACCTACTAGGGGTTTAAGAAACTCCTAGATAAGCCTTTTACTGTTACATGTGATTGAAATCTTGACATCCTTGTGATACTTCTTGGCCGCTACTAGTTATAGTTCCCTAGGCCTCTATAACACCATCACTGTCCTGGAGAGGGATAAGAGGTGGGGACCTAGCTGCCCTGTACACCACAGCAGTTATTCCAGCTTGGTATTCTGCAAAAAAATAATAAAAACCTCGCTCCTAGTTTACCATTTCTCTAAAAAGTGGTGAGATTTTTTCCTGCGTTTTACTCCACCAAAACAGGAAGCTTGGACTGCCCCGTAGAATTATTAGTAGGAAGCCTAAGTTCACCTGAAAGACAAGACTGTGAGCTGTATCCCCAGTACTACTTCTCCTAGGGATACCGTTCCGGAGCTGGTTAGCCCAGATAGGTATAGGAAAACTAGTATTGGAGCAGAGATATAAGAAGTAGTTAAAATCCAACAGGTAAATTTAAGCTGGTTTCTCTCAGCTTCCCTCCAAAAAGCTACCTTGGTTTAATAATTCCCTTTAAAAATCACTATTTATTAGCTAATCCCCAGCTAGTAAATTATTAGGATCCTACCTAGCTTTCCTTTTCCACTTTTTTTTTCTTCCTTTCTTTTCCTTTTCCTTCCCGTTTCTGTTCACTGCTCTGTGGATCCTCGCTTTAAAAGAAAATGGGGTCTTTTAAAGACCCTATAACCCCACCCAGGGACTTGTCCCCGAACCCATCTCAGCCCCCAAGCCCCAAAAAAAGGGACTAAAGGCAAAAGAAAACACTTAGTGTCAAGCCCAAGAACAAAACTTAATTTTAGGCCTGATTCTAATTTAATTCCGAGAGCCCTAATTCCTTTGCATCGCTGGATCAAATGTCCGAAGACGAAGAAGGGCTTCTTAATAAAAAGGAGATGGAAAAGGCTTTGCAAAGATAAATAGAAAATAACGCCACATAAAGCCATATCCAAAAGCTTAAGTCAGCTAAAATCTTACTGCAAGAAATCCATTATGGTATCCTAAATCCCGAGATTCTTAAAGCTTTAGATTCACACCTTCAGGGCCTTTCTGCAATCCAGGAAAAACTGCAAAGCCCAGAAAAAACCTATGCTTGCTAAAACAACCAATTTGAAAAACTTTAAAAAGAAGTTAATGCTATTAATTAAAAACTTAATAAAATAGTTTTAGCCTCTTCCCAGCCCGAGTAAAAACAGGTAAAGCCTTTGTATACAACAGCAGCCCAGAAGGGAATAAAACCACAGGTAATAATCCCAACTAGGAGACCAGAATAACTAAAACAGTTAAAACAGGCCACCTACAAAGGTAACAGGCTAATTCTAGAGGTTCCTGCGGATTTTCTGCAAGAGCTGGACTTTATAAAGCTCCGAAATCAAATTAACCACCTGTTCCAGACAAGAGAAAAGGCAGACAAACCCATAGTAAGAACAGCAAGTACTTTTTATACTAAAAGGACCCTAATCCTTACCATAATGGATAGCATTCAAGCATCTTATTTAGTGGAGAAGCTTGATATCTGGAAATTACTTATTCCCTATACTAGGTGGATGTTTAATAAACTATAGGTAAAAATAGTTATTTACATGGTCCCCACCATGTCAAGGGCTGAACCCATAGAACCTACAAGATAGGTTATGTACAAGAAGGAATCGTTGAAGAAGGGAAGAAAGGAAGAAAGGAAGAAAGGAAGAGGAAACAAGCGGTAAACAAACAAGGTGGGGAGTCACGTGACATCGATCGAGGGCCAATGGGCCAAAAGGGTCAGTAGGGACAGTAGGGACAGTAGGGACAGTAGGGACAGTAGGGACAGTAGGGACAGTAGGGACAATAGGGACAATAGGGACAATAGGGACAACGGGGACAATAGGGACAATAGGGACAACGGGGACAGTAGGGACAATAGGGACAACGGGGACAGTAGGGACATTGGCCCGAGAGGTCAAACGGGCTCTAGCCCTTTACACTACTCCCTCCCTACCGGTTCTTTGGCTTTTGGTGTTGGGCCGCTCATCCAACAATAGTGTTCCCATTGACTGGAGTGCGAAGCGTGGGGAGGAAATTGGATCCATGGCTCCGCCATGACAACTTCTGTGGGGGACACCGTCTGCCCATGTGACGCACTTCCGAGCTGGACGTATGTTAGGGCGTAGGGCCCTAATATTTGGCTACCTTTTCGGTTTCTTTTTGGCTTCTTCTTCTTCGGCTTCTGTGGCGGTTGGGG